CCCTAACCCTAACCCTAACCCTAACCCTAACCCTAACCCTAACCCTAACCCTAACCCTAACCCTAACCCTAACCACGGTAATATCGTATAGTTACGACGAGACTATATCGAGTAGTAGATACGAAGTACTTACCGCTATATTAGAGCCCTAGCCTAGATCTAGCTAAGCGAACCCTATCTAGAGCTAGCTATACTATTTGGGGTTGAACCCTAATCCTCTTTACCCTTTTGGGCGTTGAAGTACGGCCACGTCGCGCCTACTCTAACCTCCTCTAACAACTTTAGTTCTCCACCACGCGGCGTACTAGATATATATACTATATACCGTTCGATCCGCCTTAGAAGGGCGAGTACGCCGATATCATTTTTACCCCGATTATCACGGGGGCGCGGCTAGTAAGTCAAAAGAATATAGCGACGGAATCCTACGACACCTTAGCGCCGGCGCGCGGCCGGATTGGCTAGCCTCGCGCAGCCTCGCGAGGAATCCTACGACGTTCCCGGGTCCTCTTGGATAGGCCGAGAAGAAGGTATAGAGATAGAATAGAGCTAGCGATTAAGATAGTTATTATAGTAATCGAGACTAAAGTATAGAAGTCTCTTGAATAGAGATCGCTAGAAAAGACCGCGCTAGTTAACGATAGATAGAGATATAAACTCTAGACGAGAAAATAAGTAATTATTTATTCTATCGAGATAGAAAACTTATATATCTAGAATATAGGTTTTAAGATCGCGAATAGACCTATTTATAGACTATTTTAGTAGATTTAGTTCGAATAATATCTATATAGTAAATCGCTTAGTTAGGAATTATATAAGGATCTCTTAAATATATCTTATTAATTTATTAATATAAATAATTATTTATATAATATAATAGATAATAATATTATTATAAATAATCTTAAGAAATATTTATATAAAGAGAGTAGAAGAAGTAGAATATAAAGATAGATAAAAAAGATAAAAAAGATAAAAGAATTATATGAACTTTAATAGAGTAACGACGTTAAGATCTAGATAGAATAGTATTCGTATATATAAATATTTAGTAGATTTATTTATATCTAGTATATATTTATAAATAAAATAAATAATTATTCGTCTTATAAAAGTATAATAATATATAAAGATATCCTATAAGCTATATTAATAGAAGGAACTTATGTAAAAGCGAATAGATTCTATTTTAGATTAGTAATAGCTAGCTAGATATATATTATACTTTATAATTAGAAATTATTATACTCTTAGTGAACTAGCTATTTCTAGCGAGGAATTATTATACTCTTAGCGACTTAGCCGTTTCCGGTAGAGAATTATTATACTTAGCTAACCTTCCTATAATTCTACGAAAAGACCTTACTTTTAACGCTTAATATCTTACGCTAGAGAGATTCTAGAGAGATAAGCTATATATTATTATATTCGTCTTTAGAAGCTCTATCAAATAGTATAAATATTATAGGGATTATCCTAGTATTAGTGTCTAATCATAGGCCGAGAAGAAGGTATAGACTAATAAGAAGCTCTATTAAATAGTATAAATATTATAGGGATTATCCTAGTATTAGTATCTAACTATAGGTCAAGAAGAAGGTATAGATTAGATACTATATATAGTCTAGTTACTAGTGAAAGGGTAATTAAAATAGTTACTTCCTAATTAGGATACTACTATACCTATTTGGAATACCCTTCCATAGTAGAAGGGTATTTCATACGAGGTTACGATATATAGGGGAGTATATTATCCGGAATATACTATAGGAGAGTATACCGATCTAGATATATATAATATTAACTATAATCCCTAAAATCTCGATACTCTATTAAACTTATAGTATAATAACTATATCTTAAAAGACTATAAACTTAACGATATTAGAGAGTACTTACGAAGATAAAGTTAATAATATAATTATTATTCCGAAATTCGACCGGAAATACTAAATATTCTACGGTACTATTTTTAAATATTCTATTATTAAGATAGGTCTCTAAGTCCCTACCTAATTAGACCTTTTAAATATTTCACGGTGTAATATTTACGGTATTACTAATAGGCGCTCTACCTAGGACTCATCTTAACACTAAGCCAACTTTGCCTCAGTCCACCCCGTCCCGACAGCTTGATGCGTCGCCAGAGCATCCTCGCCCGTCGCCCGACTGAACAGCATACGTTCCACTCCTCCACCTCGGCGCTCCTGAGGGTACCATGGCTTAGCGAATTTTGCCGGCGGAGCTGCTGCTCGAACGAACACCGGCTCATCGTCTTCCGCCTCGTAGTCCCTGCGGCGGTTCTGGCGGTAATCGACGGTACTACTATCATCATCTCGCCGCGGCGGTTCCACACGCAGAGTCTGATACCGCCGGTCCCGGCGACGGTAGGTGAGGTCCTCCAACGCCTCAATCACGGCGAGCTGGTCCTCATTCGTGGTCCCGGACCGCCACACCCGGAACTTCTCCTCAATGTACCGTCCGGACTCGGCCTCTCGCGCCAGCGCGAGTTCGAGTTGCTGTTCGTCGGGTTTGGTGGCCGCCTGCACCGAGGAGAGGTCTAGGGACTCGTTCGAGGGGTCGGGGAAGCCAGCAAACTCGACTGTGACCGACAAGCCCGATTGCTCCCCCTCCTCTTCTTCCTTCTCATTCTCCTCCCTCCTCCTCCTCTCGGCGCTGCCGGTGGAACCAGTGACTCCAAAGTCGATTTTGTCGCGCTGTCGGAGCTCGCGAGGCTCCGAGGTTTGTCCGGCCGGCGACAGGCGCTGGCCGTTGACGAATGTCCCATTTTGGGATCCCACATCTCTGATGAAGACTTTACCCATCTTCGTGGCCGATAGTTCCGCATGGCGCTGGGATATTGTCATCGCTTCAAAGATTCCGTTCGTCTCTGACGATTGTGCATTCGTTTCCCGCCCGAGCGGGAAGATATCGGGGGAGAGGGGGACGTTGATCTGCGTGGTGCGGTACAGATGTCCCCGTTCCCACAACAGCAGCACAGCCTTGTACTGCACCTGCGGAACCTCTTCTATCAGCTGCGGGAATAGCTTGTTGACAATGTCCTCGAGAATCTGCATTTTGTGTTCGCTCTCCTTCAAAAACGTCGTGATGTCGTCTTGTGCCTTGAGCGCGACGTTGCCCAGAAGTCCAACCGGCTTATTTCGCACGAGATAGTCGCTTCGAATTTCGTTTGGCAGAGGCGCCGGAATGCTCCTCACCATGCCGAGCGAGCCCCAGCCGCTCCAGCGGAGAACGCATAGCTCGGCACTGACGCGGAAGTCCTCGTCGCTCTCGACGATCATGAGCAGCGACAAGGACGGCGGGAGGCCACTCTTGCTGTTGGGCTCCTCGTACATCTTCCATTGGGCTCTGCTCTCGGACACCATGAAGCCGTGGATCAGCCTGTTACCCGCGAACGAGGTCTTTTGCCCAAAAGATAAATTTCCACTCAGACTGAGGGATCCTGGAGCCGCGGGCGATGTACCTGTTGTGAGGCCCAGGCTCTGTCCTCTCGTAACCTCCTGGTCGGCAATCTTGACCAGACTTGCCTCGGGATTGATGCCCATTACCCTAGGTGACCTTTTGGACACTGTTCCTCCACTCACTTCAATAGAGACCCGAGCTGAACGGATGCGCTTGGCTACGCTGAATGGCCGCGCGAGGTCGAGCTTGAACTCCAGTTTTTGTGCGGGCTGCGCGTGGAAAGTCGTTGATTCGACTTGGGTGAGTTTAATGTCGAAGTAGCAGTCTTGACTGGAGTGTCGGGCTAGTACATAGGGCAGATTAGGGGATCCTTGTGACGAGACATCATGGGCTGGAGCTGCTGTGATTGACATTGCCACTGCTGGTACGGCGCGTGGAGCGATCAGGCTTTGTTAGTGTGGGCGCGTTTGCTCTTGCCCTTGTAGTAGGAGAGATAGTTAGCAGAACGCATACGCGTGCTATAGGCTTGTCAGGTGCTGCAAATGACAGTCGATATCGTGAGATATATCGTCCGCAATGTTGATTGAACCCGAATTCGCGTCGATCGAATTGAACTCAGCTCGAGGGGGGTTGTACGGAGGGATTGGCGCTCATCAGCCTCATACCTGCAGCTTTAGTGGCTTGGCCACATACGACGTTCATATTCTGATTCGGAGCACTAAATTCCGCTGTGCGCGAACAGACCAACCTGTTATGGATCAGCGTGAAGAATACGCGCGTACGTGTCAAATCGGCATTCGCTAGAAGTCGTTCTACTGTAAATACTACCTGTAATTTCTGTATGCCTAAAGTTGGACCACCCTATAATGAGCCAACCGTGTAATGAACCACCTCGCAGTCGTATAGTTACTACACCATTCTCTCAGTTGCTGGGTACCGTTTTGTTTTTCGGAAAAAAGATGATTTATAGCCACGGTGACAGCCTACTGCTCCAAGTGATTTATGTCACCAATGTGAATGCCCGTTCGACCCGGTAATCTTGAGGTTCGAGACAAAGGTCTGCATGGCATAGCGATTTTCGCATATGGAAACTGATGATTATGGCCGAACCTCTATTCATGCACATTTAACCTTCCACATGGAGGATTCGATACTGACTAAAGCATATGGAATATCTTCAAGTACTGACATAGATTTACATCAAGGAGGAATGTAAATCCAAAACAGCCCATAAATTAATACTTTCATCATTGACCGCTGCTACTCTTCCGCCAATCACAGCCCCTCAAATGCGGTGAGATAAATACCTCGGTAACTTTTGAGCCTGGTCCTCTTCGGCCTTTATCGCGATCATGCCATCCTTCCCTACTAGCACGCCATTCTCACTCGAAGAAACGATTCTTTGGCCGTGGAAGACCAAGATGCTCCCGAAGCGTTGTTCCCTCGTAATCTTTTCGGAAGATCCCACGTCGCTGCAACTCAGGCACCAACCGTTGAGTCACATCGTCTAGGCCTTCGGGCAAGAACGGCAATGCGATCGTGAACCCATCGCACGCCTCTTCGTTCAACCACAGCTGCATGCTATCTGCAATGCTCTCAGGTGTCCCCACGAATGCAAGCCCGGAATACCCTCCTTGCCGCTGTGCAAGCTGTCTGACTGTTAAGCCTTCCTCTGCAGCCACTTTCAAAACCCCCGCACGACTTGTCTTGCTGGCGTTGGTCTCAGGAATGTCAGCGGGGAGTGGCTTGTCCGGATCAAATTTGGATGCATCTGTCCCGAGCGCGATTGACAATGAAGCTATGCCGCTGTCGTAGTGAACTGAGCTGTCGAGTTTAAGTCGTTTCTCTTGCGCATCTTTGACACTGTTGCCTACAACGATGAAAGCAGCTGGCAGGATCTTAATATGATTGCGATCGCGGTCAGCAACAACCGCGCGTCCTTTGATGTCGGCGTACAATGCTTTTGCGGATTCGATGTCTTTCGGAGAACAGAACACTGCTTCGGCTGTTTCTCCGGCAAGCTGCTTTCCAGGCTCGGATTGACCGGCTTGCACAATAACAGGCCAGCCTTGAACGGGTCGTGCGATATTGAGTGGGCCTCTGACCTTCAGTTCGTCTCCTGCATGGTTCAAGACGTGAATCTTGTCTGGATCAACATATGTGCCTGACTCAACGTCGCGAACGAATGCATCATCTGCAAAGCTGTCCCACAGACCTGTGACAACATCGTAGAATTCTCGTGCACGCTTGTAACGATCTGAGTGATCCATATGCTCGTCTCGACCGAAATTCTTGGCTGACTCTGGATTTCCAGTAGTGACAATATTCCATGCTGCACGGCCGTTACTAATATGGTCAAGGGATGCGAAGCGGCGTGCAATGTGATATGGCTCGTCGTAGGTTGTTGATGCTGTTGCTGCCAGGCCGATTTTGTCCGTGACCTGCGAGAGAGCGGAGAGGAGAGTAAACGGCTCGAAAGAGGTGACCGTGTGGCTTCGCTTGAGTGCTTCAATTGGCATATTCAGCACGGCAAGATGATCGGCCATGAAGAATGCGTCGAATTTGGCACCTTCCAGTTTCTTGATAAAGGATTTGAGGTGCGAAAGGTTGAAGTTGGCGTCCGGATATGCGCCAGGATATCTCCATGCGCCAGTATGAAGGGAGACAGGGCGCATGAATGCTGTGAGATGGAGTTGGCGAGGTGCATCATTGCTTCGGACGGCAAGGCTTTCGCGGTCACCCATTATCTCGATAATTTTCAGTTTTGTTGTAAATACGTTATGGTTGGAGCCGTGTTGGGGGGAACATGACTTGAGATTATAGAGTGCCGTACGTATATTCAAATCATTGAGGCGCTGACAAATGCGGATACGGTCGCAATCACGACATTGTAAACCTATGGGGCCTTGGTGGGACAAAGTTATCTGAACATCTCAACTGGACTGTGATTACTGCGTATTTGCAAAATGTCAGTCTTCGCTATCGCACCGTAAGATACAGGATCGAAAATCAACTCGTTGGAGGCTTAAGTAGCGCTACCGGTGGGGAATCAATATTCAATCTACTAGAGTGCATCCACTTTACGGGATGTTGTCTATCTTTATCTATTACCTGGTACACACAATATATTCTTTCAGAGTTTATTCTTGTTCAATACTCTGTGCATTGGGGTTTTCCCGGACTTCAACTGGGATGCCTTCTTGGGGTAATCGGCGTTTGATGTAAAAGCGATCATTCTACCTCGGCACATACACGCCGTACCTCCTCCTTAGTTTTACGATATGTTTCCAGCCTGTGTGTGCCAGTCCAAATAACTTCTCTTTTCAATTGCGGGGAATACGTTTTCTTGTTCGTCCCATAGTTATAGTTCACCATTACCCATCTCTGTGGCACCACGCTACGCATTCATTGCTATTTGTTCTATTCTACTGAGTATAGTAGACAGCCTCTTGAGGTTGATGCTTAAATACCACTGTATAGAATCAAGATGGCTCCAATTCACCCACCACCGACAAATTTTGCCAAACTCTCCTTTCCCGCCTCAAGGGTGGTCCTTGTCACGATGTCGAGACCCGAAAAGTTGAATTGCATTTCTGCGGCGGATGTTGTCGAATTGAGCAATGTCTTCCGCTGGTTCGACGATGAACCCTCTCTTTCGGTGGCTGTCCTTACTGGAGCTGGGAATAAGGCATTTTCGACCGGCGCTGATTTGAAGGCATGGCATGAAAACGCGACTTCCGCGGGTGGAAAGCCGGGTGCGGGTCCTGGCGACGTACCTGGAGCTATTCCTCTGTCCAATCGTGTTGGGAAAAAGCCAGTGATCGCTGCCGTCAACGGTATGGCCCTGGGAGGGGGGTGCGAAACCATCATGAACTGCGATCTAGTAGTTGCAGCCGATACTGCTGTATTTGGCTTGGTGGAGGTGAAGCGAGGTGTTGCACCATACGCTGGAGTTCTTCCTCGCCTGATAAGGACTCTAGGCCTACAGAGAGCAAGCGAAATGGCTTTGACGGGGAATTACTTCTCTGCCCAGAAAGCAATGGAGTGGGGCTTTGTTAACAAGGTGGTTCCGCAACAAGATGTCATCAAGGAAGCAGTGAGGTACGCGAAAGTCATCGCCGAAAATAGTCCTGATTCGATTATCTGTACAAGAGCGGGGTTAAGGCAGGGGTGGGAAACTGCAAGTGTCGTGGAAGCAACTGCTATAACTGGAAGAAACGAATGGGCCGAGCTGCAAAAAGGAGAGAATATCCTCGAAGGCTTGAAGGCGTTCAAAGAGAAAAGGCCACCTGTGTGGTTACCCTCAAAGTTGTAGGTTTCTCACAGCCACGATGTCGAATGTTGATATGCTAGCAAATCGCAAGGCTGCTGCCGAGCAAATAGCACGTTCATGGTGTGAGTGGAAGTTTTGTGGAAGTTTTTCGACGATAATTAGACTAATGGTAGTTCACGAAGTTCTCTGTGATAGCATTATGAAGGACAACCTCCCTCGTATCTACCAGCAGCAGCCTGTCCAGACCACTTTGCTCGATCGACCCACTTGGATTGACTTTCTTTCAACTTTCCGTCCGCCCAAGCTTGCATAGCGACGCCTTGCAACGCGCGACCGAAAGAGAATGTCAAGGCCCAGGGCGCAGCATTTGGATTTGACTGTTTCTTTTTATTGATGGCGTTGAGGAACGAGATCGAGTCAGAGTCGCTGAGGCCCCCAGAAAGGAAGACAATGGTTGGCACAAGCGGTGGCACTGTTTTGCTCAGCACATGTACAGTGGCCTCTGCGACCTGTTCAGGAGTTGCATTTTGTCCAGACTTATCTCCTGGGACAACCATTGAAGCCTTCAGGACCAGCCCAGCGAAATCGACTTTGTGCAATGACAGCCGCTCAAATATTGCAGAATAGGCAGCGATATGAGCCTCCACCGAGCGCTCCAGCGGCTGATCGTGTGTCATCAACACCTCAGGTTCGACAATTGGGACCAGGCCAGCTTGTTGCGAGATGGCAGCATATCTTGCCAGCACCTCGGCGTTGTCCATTATAGCAAGAGGTGACGGCGTAGAAGGGGAGACGATGTAGGTACAGCGCCATTTACTGAAGCGAGCACCTCTCTCATAGTATTGCTTGCATCTATCGAGCAAACCGTCCAATCCCTGGGTTGTTGTTTCCTCTGGTGATGTCCGCGGCAATGCCACAGTGCCCTTGTCGACTTTTATTCCCGGGATGATGCCACGCTCCTTGATGATGCTTACGAAAGATTTTCCCTTGTATTTGGAATCCAGTTGGGCGTCGTGTTTCATAAGGGTCTCTTCAAATGTGATTATACCGGAAATGTAGTTCTCAAACGAGCCATCGGCCGTGAACATGGCATCTCGCCACTCACGGCGATTATCTTCGGTGTTCTCCTTGCCTACTTTTTCCAGCCGCTTCTTGATACTGCCTGTGGACTCGTCTGCGGCCAAAAGACCTTTGCCTTCAGCGCCTATAGCCAGGGCGGTCTTGTGAAGTTCTTCTCCATGCTCAAGTGGCGACGGAGGCTGAAAATGCTGAGGTAGGAGAGGCGCGGATCCGTGACCAGACATCTTCGTTTCGTCTCAGATAGATGTAACCATTGGAAGGATATGAAACGAAGGTGGACAGGGGGAGAAAGCGAGGTTTGAATACCTAGATACCTTCCATTAGCCCGGCTCTCCATTACGTGTGACGAAAATCTTTGTGGTCATGGTGACGTCCATAGCCCATATGGTGTCCAAAAAATCATCCCCATCTTCCCCGCAAATTCAGACAAATGAGGCTCTTATGGTGACTGAGCCCATAGCTTTACGTCAGTAGTGCGGAGTCTTACTCTCGATCTGGTTGGGCTTTGGCGCACTGACTGAAGTGGACCTATTGTACTCGGTACCACGTCTTCAGATTAGACAGGTGGAACGCTTATACCAGATATAGCATGCGCAAGTTGTACCAGTGAGCTATTTACGAAGGTTATGTTTTGCGGGTGAAGATGCAACCAGCATTATCCATTGTTAGCTCTAAAATACCGTTCTCCCCACGCTCAAAGGCCTGCAGCTTTCTTCAAATGCTCATCGGTCGCGTATTTGGCAATCAGCTCCTGCTTCACCGCCTCGACCTCCGACCCTTTAGCTGCGATCAAAGCTTCGAGTCTCGCCTTTGCATTTCCAACGTATAGGGTGTTGGTGAGATCTCCAAGGACCGAATAGAATGTTGCACCACTGTCGCTCTCAGGCGAGCTGAACTGTTTGTAAACGCCATCTTCTGCTGTGCCGCGCATAATGAGAATCATTCTTTCGAATCCAATGGTGCCGGGGGTCATTACGCAGTGGACGCGTGACGGTTCGTTGACCAAGAATTTGTGTAGTGTGTTTGGAGGAACCGATACCGGCTTGCCCACCTCGAGCTCGAGTGGTTTGAAATTGGCCTCGTCCAGATCTTCCGCAGTCCAAACAGTCATTGAACCACTGACAAGGGTGAATTCTTCCGTGAAGTCGGTATGATAATGCGACGGAGCTGCGGCACCAGTAGCTAGGTCGGAATCAATAACGGTACGTTTGCCCCCATTTGTCAACGCCGATTCGACAACAGTAGGAAATTTATCAGCTTTCATTCTGTGCAGGCGGCTTGCTGTCTTGGACGAAAGCCACTGGATATATCTTTTAAAGATCTGGGTATAAATATTGGAGACGGAGAGTGTTCTAGTTCGAGGCAACGGAGGAAGCCAGTCATTTATAGGCGCAACCGGAAGGCCTCGCAAGCTATACATTACCATGTTGCACCATATCGACAGACCTTAGTCACGCGTTATTCTCGTTCATTCATGTTGTGCCAGTGGAATATGTGACAACCTATGAGGCCTAGTATAGGTCTTCCTCGTGTATTGCAAACTAAAATCTGACCGATCACGTTGAAGTAGGCGCGCAATGAAGCCGAGACAAGTTGATTCGTCTACCACCTTGGGGGAGACGAATCATAATCAATGTGACCCGAACAATCGCGGGAATTCACCGTCCAATCAACCGGTGTAGTGCATGTAGCAAGCATGGCTAGCTCTAGCTGGGAGTCGACGACAACTCATGCCAGATGCCGAACCGAACTCATGGGTTAGGGCGCACCGGTCTCTTGGAAAGTACACAGGTCGAGAGTCAGGGAAGGTGGAAAGTGAGGCCATTGTGGTTCGTTCGCTTACTCATTCGGGGTCCGAAGGTCGTAAAGTAGGGTGCGCGCAAGAGAGGTGTACAGCACTGCGAGAGAAGATGCTGTGTTAACATGATGAGATATATCGACGTTGGCGCAAGCGGGGGTAGGTGGAACTGAGCAAAATATAGCCTATCGGCCGAGTTTCTCTTGTTTCAACCCGGCTGACTTCCACCTCCGCGGGTACACCTTCTTGAACTCGAACTGGACTGATCACTGGCTGATCTCATAATCCCACGGCGGAAACCAAAATTTTCTCAGTACCACCGGGCGACGCACCTAGTTTCTACCAGTATTATACATCCTTTCGCACTCATCGATCCTCGAGTCCTACTGTGTAAAATGATTCTGATAGCCTGAATGGGAGCCGAATCCCTCAAAAAGCAGAGCTTGATTATGCGTCGCCTATAGTCCTGGCTCATTCTGCTTTGTTCCAGTCGTAAGCTCGGCTCAGGCCCCTTTTCACGTCAAGATTACTGCAATCTGCTAGCTTCCCCAACCGTGTTCAAAGGAATGGCTTACCGGCTACAACGCTGTTGTGTGAGCGTGACAGACACCGACCTTGGACAAGCAATGTCACATCCATAGCTCGTTCAGCCGACACTACCTTGAAATTTTGAGAGAATTCCATTGGCTGCAGGCTTGCACATGTGTATGAGATACGTGAGATATAACGAGATGCGGAATACGTCCAGTGGTAGGTTTTTTTCCGGCCACCACACCTACCGTGTAAGCAGTGAATAGCTGTGAAGACGGTAAGTGCTACGGACGATTTCAAAAGAGGTCTACCTGTTGTACCTTGTTTTGGTCCAGTCTTTGCCCGCCTGGACAACGCGTCACGGTTCGGCAGATGTTTGATCCGTATCCAGTTGTCGTACCTCGTATAGCGATTGCTAACACCAGGCTCGTTGCTAAGTTTCTCTGAGCTCTCCGGTGCGGGACGAGAAACATCAATGGACACCATTACGCATCCATATTTTGCGATATTCTCTGACTTGTATCATCAAGTGCAGGGATGTCACGGTTGATCTGGTCCTCCCTACGCATTCAATTGATGAAGATCTAATTAAAAGGTGCAGTGAGACGTACAAGCTATTGAGCTGCATCGGTCATAGGCTTGCGGGCGCCTAGGAGATTTCCAAGCGTCTTCACATCTCGGGAGATTGAAAGTGCCTATGCAGCAGCAAAGTCCAACTACGGATTTGCTCGACGCTGGTACTGGTTATCTACCTAGGGTACACTTTGTTTACCACATGACGCTCTGGGGCAGCACGATGGTGTCATCTATGCTCTTGGGGGCGCGAGAGTCCCGGCACCCGTAGTCACGTCGGAACTTTCTCGAGCGGGACATGCCAGGACTGACAGATTGTCCACCAATGTTCACAACTCGAAGATGTGTTTGTTAGTCGGAAGATTGTGTTCACTTCAAAAATCGGCCAAGGATTGTCAGCCCAGACCAGCAACTCCTGATCTTCCCAGACACTTTTCCACTCGTCGAGTCAGGTACCTTGGTACATAAGCAGGTACGTGTTTGGGGCTTTTGGAAGGTTTCACTCAGGGTCCCCGTCCGTTCGGGTCGACAGGCGCCGAACAAGTAATTACCTAGGTACCTGGTGTTTCGATTTGGTTAGTGTCTTGGCTGATTTTCGCATTCATCAAGACTGCGTCTTACAACATCTCCCTGCTCTAAAGGTTCGATGTGTCGATGGATGAATGCGAGTGGACCTCGTATTGACGACCAGAGTCGCCCTTCATTCCACACCGGCGAAATGGAATTGCAGCAGTGACGGTTCGCCTTTTCCACCAAAGGTCATTCCATATATTTGCTGCCTAGAAAACGGACTTGTGCGCCACCCGGTGCCGCCCTTGTGTACTCGGTCACCATGGGCTCAAAATCGAACAACGCATTGTCAAGGCTTGCCAAATTATGGCCGAGATCATTCATCGAAGAGCCCCTTGTCGTCCTAGACATTGAACCGAAGAGTTCGGCGGTACCATGGAGTACATTGTCTCTCTTCATAGTCTCAGTGGTTGGGTCCGTGACCCAACTTCTCGTGGCAATCAATGCACCGTGGTCAACTGTCAGTACGGCGCTTTGGGCTGCTGCGGGGCTCCATATTGCAGTATGGCGCCCCAGGACCGGCTCGATATTTCTCTTCGTCGATTTTGTGGCCGTCTTTGCTATGGGTGTGGGCTCCACTGCCACTCTCTTTTACGAAAATCTGGGTACCAGGGGCGCGGTGCTTACATTTTGCGGTACGGGACTCGCTGCCATTGCTACGATTGTCGTTGTCAATATGCCGCTGCGTGACCCAGCCTTGAGTTGCGCCGAGATCAGTCGTCCTTTCACCACACCTTCTCATGCATTGCGATCCCCTGAAGACAACCTTACGCTTCTGCAGTGGATGACAGTGTCCTGGCTATCACCTCTGATCAAGGTCGGGAACAGGCGACAACTTCATGACGACGATGTCTGGGCTCTCGCCTATGAGTTTCAGCACCGACATCTGCATGACGCTTTCCGGGAGCTTAAGGGCAATGTTGTCAAACGATTGCTGAAAGCAAATTGGATCGATCTGGTACTTCTCACGATCCTCGCAATCGTCGAACTGGCTGCCAATTACTCCGCCCCCATGATTCTCCAAAAGCTTCTTCAGGCCATGGAAACGGTAGCCGTCGAAAAACGATTAGTGATCATGTACGCAATACTCATACTTGTGTTGAGGGCCGTGGCCGCTCAGAGTGCAGTCTTTAGTCTGTGGTTTGGAAGGCGTTGCTATGAACGGTCTCGTGGCGAGATGATCACCATGTTATACGAAAAAACGTTGAATCGGAAAATTCTTGGCGGTTTGCCTCAGCAAGCAGAGACTCAAGTGGGGTCCGCCATGAAAGTCTCCCCTGACCCTTCCGACATTGGAGAGGCTGGTCCATTGCTTGAGACAGCAGGGGTCATCAGTGGGCAAGTCGACCGACCAAAGAGCTTCGCTAGTCGCGCCCGAGAGGTAATTCAAAAGGGTAGATCTTTCATGTTTTCCAGAAAACGCGCAAGCAGTGAGAGAAAAACACCGGCGTCGATAGGGAAGATCCTCAACTTGATGCGGAATGATGTGTACGAAGTCGCGCAGCGTTTCTGGGAGTTTCAAACTCTGATCAACAAGCCGCTCGGTCTCGTGCTCTCCATCTTTCTCATTTGGCAACTGCTTGGGTGGTCATGCTTCGTCGGTGTGGCAGTGGTTGTTATTGCACAGGTCTTCAACTATGTCCTCGCCCGCATCCTCATGAGCTGGGAACAGGAACGGCGCAAAGTCACCGACATTAAACTACAAAAAATCAGTCAATATGTCGAGGCCATAAGGCATCTGCGATGGTACGGGTGGCACCTCACCTGGCTTGACGGCGTCATGACCGCCCGCCAGAAAGAGCTTAACTTGAGAATTGTCACCTTTTTGTTGAACTCCGCCATCAAATTTCTGAACTCGTTCGCCAGCGGCATGCTCCCGGTTGCCACATTTTATGCATACACAATTGCGGCAGGACAAGAGTTGCGTGTTGACATTGCTTTCCCGGCATTACAGCTCTTTTCACTTCTGCAGAGCAATATTCGAGAGCTACCAACGTTGATCACGGTCTTGCTCAATGCTTCGGTGGCAGTCGGACGGATCTCAGAGTTCATTGCTGAACCCGATAAGATTGACGAAGCGGACGATCGAGGGTATACGGGTGACCGATTAGAGCTGCACAATGCCTCCTTTTCATGGCCTGGGCTTTCGGGGATAGTGCTCCATGATCTCAATCTCTCATTCTCTCAGGGATTGACTGTTGTTTTCGGTCCGGTGGCAGCAGGTAAAACTGCTTTGCTACAGGCTCTTCTCGGTGAGCTCGATCTGCGTCAGGGGAAACTGATGAAGCCGCAATCCCCAGTCGGTTACTGTGCACAGACGCCCTGGCTGCAAAGCATGAGCATCCGGGAAAATATTCTTTTTAATTCGCAATATGACGATGCCCGATACAAGAAGACCTTAGAAGCATGTGCCCTTCTTCCTGACCTTGCAAATTTCAGATACGGTGATCTTTCCAATATTGGCGAGAACGGCATTGGTTTATCTGGCGGCCAAAAAGCCAGAGTTGCTCTTGCGAGAGCAGTGTACAGTCGAGCACAAATTCTATTGCTTGATGATCCTCTGAGCGCCCTGGATCAACAAACGGCCGAATGGATTGTCAAAAAATGCTTATGCGGCAGTTTGATGGAAGGTCGTATCATCGTTCTTGTAACCCACCGGACCGATCTTTGCCAAAATGTGGCATCACAACTAATCGAGATCAACGACAGAACAGCTTTGTTGTATCGAAATGATGAGGAGCTGTCAAAAGTCATGTCGGCAAAAGCACCAGAGGCAGGACCGCTGGAGGTCGAGAGCAATGTCAAAACCATCGATGAATCTGCCGCGATACCAGAAAAATTCATAGAAGACGAACGCCGAGCTCATGGCGGAGTGCAGCTTCAAGTTTATTGGGAATACATCAAAGCTGGGACACTGAGATGGTGGTTCATGGTGTTTGTGACGGCCGTCATCTGTCGGGTCACTTATGTGAGTGAAAGCTGGTTTCTCAAAGAATGGGGAGAAGCATACAACAAAGCGAGCCTGCGGTTTCTGGCGCTGGGGGCGTTTGACTTCGAGGTGCATCTCTTCAAAAGTCCAATCTCAGGTCTGTTCGACCGGTTCCCTGATCCAGCTGTCAATGTCCAGCCTTGGCTTCTCGGCTTTCTTATCATCGTGGCCTGTGAGACCCTAGGACTCATGCTTTCCCAAATGTCCATGTTGGTCGTCACATACTCTGCTGCGCGTCGAATGTTCAAGGTCGTCATGGATCGCATAAGCAACGCCAGCTTTCAATTTTATGACGTGACGCCGGTTGGGAGATTGATGAATCGATTGACTTCTGATATGGGGACTGTCGATGGCAATATCGCCGACCTGTTTCTCATCGTTATATGGTATGCTGTTGCTTGGATCACCTCCATGGTCGTCATTGCCAGCATTACACCAATCTTTCTGGCATTTGCGATTTCGCTCACGCTGGCTTTTGTGTTGATCTTCCTGCAATTTCTACCAACCTCACAAAGCTTGAGGCGGCTTGAGATGGTCTCTCTGACCCCCTTAATGTCCAATTTCGGCGCATTGCTGAATGGATTGATGACCGTCAGGGCGTTCTGCGCACAACCACAATTTCAGGAAAGAAACATTCAGGTCACAGACGCATTTCAGAAGATGGACCATTTTTATTGGAGTCTGCAGGCCTGGCTGATGTACCGATTCGACATGCTATCAGCAGTGTCCACATTTCTTTTGACCATGCTCGCAATTTTCTCCGACCTCTCAGCCGGCTTGACTGCGTTTGTCTTGATTTCAGCAAACAAGTTTGTCCAGTCCACCCACGCCATTTGCAAATCGTACGGCCAACTCCAACTGAACTTCGTATCTGTTGAACGAGTGGTTGAACTGGTCCATATCGAACAGGAACCGCCGAGTTCCATTCAGCCACCGGCTGCATGGCCCACGTATGGAAGCGACATTGTCTTTGAGGATGTCACCATTCGATATCAGCCTCATCTAGACCCGGCACTGACAAATGTTTCGCTTCGCTTCCAAGGGGGATCAACTAGTGCCATCACGGGTAGAACAGGGTCCGGCAAGTCAACTCTGGCAATGGCGTTGCTAGCAACCATTACCCCCGAGTCTGGTCGCATCTTGATTGATGGCATCGACATCGCCAAAGTTGATAAACAGGCATTGAGAAGCAGAATAACCTTCCTGGCTCAAGAACCTATCCTCTTCCCTGGATCCTTGCGTCACAATCTTGACCCAATGGAGGAGCACTCGGATTTCGCATGTCAATCCGTCTTATCAAGAGTTTGCGGGAAGTATGGGTGGACGCTTGAGACACAAATCGACGCTGGAGGAAGAAATTTGAGTCAGGGACAGCGACAGTTGGTGGGTCTTGCTCGAGCAATACTGCGAAGGAGCGCAATTGTCATCATGGACGAAGCCACAGCGAGCATCGACTTGGACACATCTGCTGAAATACAGCGCGTGTTAAGAGAGGAGTTGCAGGAAAGTACAATCATCACCATCGCTCATCGGGCAAAAGCTGTGGAAAATGCCGAATTCTGCGTTGTGCTTTCAGCTGGTCGTGTTTTCTACCAGGGCCCACCTGACGGGGCCGGATTCTGAATCAAGGATTGTAGGCGTCGAGCTAGAAGGTTCCAAGGCTCTTTGGATGCGCAAATAGAGATATACAAAATAGATTGAAAAAGCAATTGCTTAGCAGTTGTCGCGCAAACAGGCGTGATACCGATTGGGAACGCTCTAATGCTCGACAGGAAGATGGCAAGGATGTAACACGTTGGACTCATCCATATCTTTTGCACAAATCATCGATATGCCACTTCTGAAATTGTTCTTCAGCTCCATCTCGATTTCGGTGGGTGTCAGACCTGCGGCCTGGACGGCCTGCTCGGTGTGCGCGTGTGCACCATTCAAGGAAGATTGGCATATTGGCAAAAGGAAGCGCAGGTTTCGATGAAATTTGGTTGAGGACTGCACGTCATGTCTCGAGGAGTCGTCACAAAGCGACGGTCGCTTGTAAATGTGCAGCTCCCGGACGCGGCGTCCTCGTAATATCGATGCTGCCAGAGGGCGCGGAGGGGAATGAGACTGCGACACGGAGGTGAGGTGACTTGCTGCTCTCAGTCGGAACCCTGGTTACTACCCATACTGATCATGGGCAGGGACCGAAACCGAGACACTCGATTGTTTGACGAAACAATGATCGATGTGGTTCCTGTACATGGGGCAGGTTAGCTTCTCCTTCTCGCGGCTGGATCATGATCATTCCTCTGAAGTTCAGAGGCGCTTCTACAAAGAGTAGGCTGCTAAAGATGGGGAGGAATGAGTTTTGAAGGACGCATTCAAAATGGAATGGCTGTTGCGACACATCCGGCTGAGCACACACGGTTGCAGGCTTGGAAACATCCAGAACTTTGGTGTTGTTGTTCACCTGAGCGCCTTCCGAGCACGCGTTTCGAATTTAGCCAATCGGATTCTCGCCCAGGAAAGCACAACCATCATGAAAATGACGTTTCGAATTTCTTCACCTCCCATTCAACTTCCAGGCTCCTTGAGAAAGCGGTGTCTGAGCATCTTACAGTTATATCAAGTCCGCAAATACTGCAACTTGATTGATACAACATTCAATAATCTTGATTCCATGGGGCCAATCTGCCTTCAAGTATCGATCGAATAGCCGTTCGCTTCCTTCCATATTGTGGCATCAAACTCTGCCTTTTCTGCCAGCATGTCGGACACACCCAACTCCAGCGACGACAACCGTGCAGCACGAGTTGTTGCGGGACATCTCCCTTCGGGGTATACCGCTGACTTCGATGGCGTGCATGCCGACGATGATGATGCAGCAAGAGGACCCGGAGAGCCTGAGCCGGAATCGTCTCTCAAACTGCAAGGCGGCGACATACACCGCGATTTGTACAAAATCCAAAATCGGAACAGATTGCAGAGAGCTGCTACCTTTTCCCATCCAAATGACAACCCCACAATGGAGAACGAGACATCAGTTTCCGAGCAACTTGTCCCAGGTGGCTTCCGGCGGGAGTTCGTCCGCAAGAAGTACGGTCGTTTCAACCCCGCAGTCATTCCCGTCACCAGGAATTTCGTCGAATTTCTCTCTCTCTACGGAGCCTTCGCTGGTGAGGATTTGGAAGATTCGGAGGATGAATCAGCGCTCGAAGATGAAGAAGAGCCTTCAGAGACAAGACCTTTGCTCCGGCGACGGACTACCGTGGCTAACAAGGGAGATGCCGGTACGACGAAGACCTTCTTCACCTTGCTCAAGGCATTTATCGGTACTGGAATCATGTTCTTGCCCAAGGCCTTCAACAATGGCGGCATCCTGTTCTCCTCGATGACACTGTTGACAGTTTCACTTGTCACGACCTGGGCATTCCATCTCTTACTGCAATGTCGGCAAATCCACAAAAAGAGCGGCTATGGTGAGCTTGGTGACGTGATTGGCGGGCCCAGAATGAGAGCTATCATCCTCGGATCAGTCACAATCTCGCAACTCGGGTTCGTCTGTGCCGGGACAGTCTTCGTCGCGCAAAATCTGTATTCATTCGAAGTCGCAGTCTCCAAAGGTCTGGCTCCCGTATCGACCAATGTCTTGATCGCTCTCCAGCTCATCGCTTTGATCCCACTTGCATTCATCCGCAATATCTCGAAGCTTGGTCCCGCGGCATTGGTGGCCGATGTCTTCATACTGCTCGGTCTAGCTTACATTTACTACTACGACATTTCCAGCCTAGCCGATCTCGGACTCAACCCAACCGTGCAATTGTTCAACCCTCAGCATTACACTCTTACGATCGGGTCAGCCATATTCACTTTTGAGGGCATCGGTCTCATCCTCCCAATTCAGTCGTCCATGCGCGAACCCGAAAAGTTCGAGCCACTTCTCTGGGTCATAATGCTCATCATCACTGTCATCTTCACCTCTATAGGAGCACTTTGCTATGCGACGTTTGGCTCAGACACCAAGATTGAAGTCATCTCCAACTTACCACAGGGGAGCAGACTTGTCAACGCAGTCCAACTTCTGTACGCATTGGCCGTTATGGCCGGCACACCAGTCCAGCTATTTCCAGCCCTTCGAATTCTTGAGGGCAAGATATTTGGCCATCGTTCTGGCAAACGGAACGCATCCATCAAATGGAAGAAGAATGGGTTCAGGACGGTCCTCATTGTTCTGTGTGCCTTGGTGGCAATGTTGGCATCGAGCAACCTTGACATCGCCGTGAGTTTAATTGGCAGTCTGGCTTGCGTACCACTTGTGTACATATATCCGCCACTCTTGCACTACAAAGGAGTGGCAAAGTCAAAATGGGCCAAGGCTGGAGATGTTGTGTTGATGACAGTGGGCGTTGTTTGTATGATTTACACAGCTATCATCACTATCGTGACCAGCTTCATGCGGTAACTGGGCATCATGGTACTGGAAGTTGGGACCATTTTCCGATGCGACAGCAAATTGGCCAAGCTCCTGCGGCTCGCAAAATTGATTAGTTCTTTTCATACCCGGGCTTCTCTGCTATCCCGAAGCAGCGAGAGGCCACTCCAAAAACAGTCGACGGCAGCGATCCACCTGTTTAGGATAGCTAGTCTGAAAAGACCATTTTCACATCGTTGACGTACTTTGCTGGGCAACAAGTACCCAAACTCCTAATTTCGTTATGCTTTGGATGTCAGGCGAGCTTGACTGATTGCTAGACCAAAGACACGACCGATTCCATTTGAGATTAGATCCTAGGCTTGAAAGTCTTCCACTCTTTGACAGGCGTGGACTTCTACAAGGCTTTCGCTTCATTATTGCTCTACACCTCGCTCAGGAGAGCCAAGCTATCCCTACTGCAGGTGAGTTATTGACCAAGGGAAATGGCAATGTGCGGCTCTCCTAGAAAAATTCGGGTTGGCCAAGAGCGGCGTAGGGAAACCTTCAACGATTTCACTCAAGGTGTTGTTGTCGATCAGAGCCTGGAGTTCGCCCAAACGAATCCGTTACCAAGATCGACCTGCAATTTGAACGTGGGGATCCCATCCTTCTGAACATGGAGTGAACACCGTTGAAGCGTCTCTGCCAGAGTGCGGGACGCTCATCAGATCCTATTCCGCATTTCTGGGGCCAGAATGACACCAGGGTCCCCCAACAGTCGTATTTGAATACGGAGACTAGAAGAGAAGGATGTTTCACTTGTATATTCTCTCCGTGAAAGTTTGTAGACCGAATCCCGGCATTGCCAAGAGTTAAGGGTATTTGTCTATATCCAAAGAAAGGCCAGGTCGGTCGCAGGGGGAGGTTGAGGAACGCCTTACAAAGGGAAGTGTTATTTTCCACGATATTATTGGTCGAGATTCTGATCGCACTACCGAGTAGATAGCATGCCAAGAGTATCTGCTCCTTTAATCTCAGGCATCCTTCAAACGTTCCTTCGAGGCTGAGATTTCCACCCTCAGCAATGACTACCTACCTGCTGACCTCCGACATAATTGTCAGAGCCTCTTCGCCTCAGAACAGATACTTTCCCTTCCGCCAGTTCGCCCTTCTTTGGCGAGTATCAGATCGATAGTGAGATCAGCTGCCCATGACTTCAGAAAAAGACTGTGATTTGCTGTCACATCTCTCGACTTGTGAGCAGGACAACAACGGCTTTGGGAAATTGCAAAACTGCGGGGGCAGGTTGCCTTGAGCACTGAGCAGAGGCTCCAACCTTACAAACGCTTCAGCTAATCACCAAATCCAGCCATGATTAACGCGACGATCCCAGCACATTGCGGAGGTTGAGCACCAGAATTCACCGACACCCAGGATAATTAGTCGGTCCACCGAGACCCGGGCTTGGCCAAAAGTTTATGCCCTTAGCCTCAGACGATGGCCAGCGAACCTCATGCAAGTCCGAAAGCTGTTCCCAGGCGTGGCTTGGACAAGGCTACGGGACAAGGCACGCTGTTGCCTCATTTGCATGAGTAAGAAGAGATTGAGCCAATCTTCCTTTTCCAGGCGTACCAGAGGCAATGTCTTGTCGATTTGGTGGGAGATACAAAAGCCTTCGCTTGTCTCTGGCCCAGAAGTCTCAGTCCTCAAGCTTCAAGTCACTCCCTTCAACACTGCATATCCGCTGCTGGTCACTCGTTTCAGTTCGGTAAAGTCATTCTTTTTGAATCATTATTCTACCTTGCTTGCTTCCTCAACTTCGCGTCGCGTCGAGCATCACACAGTCTCAATCAGAATGAAGTTCTCAAGTATTGTTGCGCCCCTCCTCCTGGCTTCGACCGTCGCCGCTGTTCCCGGCTGGAGAGATTGGCATGACGCGGGTTCGAAATGCCCTCAGAGCACTTGCCTGACTCAAGCCGATGCCGACGACATTGTCGCCAAATTCATCAGCATTCTTGATCATCCAGATGTCGCTGCTTCGAATGCCACTGCTCAAGCGTTGTTGGGCGACAACTTTTTTGAAAAGTCCGACTCTATCAATATGCTGGCTGGTCACCCGGTATGACTCTTCAGGACTGAGTGGCATCTATTACTAACTGGACGTAGATCGGCGCTGTCACATTCTCTGGCAAAACTCAGTACATTCAAGGGGTTCTCCTCGCTCCATCCATCACGAACATCACGACGCATAAGACCATGGTCGCTGGCTGCACAAACGTTCTATGGTACTGGAACATGGCAGGCATTGGAAGCAAGCAGATACCAGTCAATGGATTCAACCTCTTTGAGATCACTGCCGAGAAACAAATCGCTGACATGTATGTCGAATTCAACAACATCGGCTGGGGCATCGACACTGGTTTCACAGTCTACAGCCGCAATGGCACCAAACTTCCTTTGGCATAGAGCAATGTATGAGGCGGGGACGTGCTAGGTCTTGGGCCAAATTCTCTTCTTGATGAAGATCACGGGAACATTTTCATCATGGTATCAACGCTTTTCTAAGGTTCTTCTGAGTTTTATTGACATTTTACCTATGGGCCCGCTAGGTCTTGTCCCGGATTCACTCCAACTGAGGTTGTGTCGCATTAGAAGTCTATTTCTTCGCAATCATATTCTTTTCCAGTCAGCAGAATCCTTAAATCTGCCTTTGCACTTGTGCGCCCACACCTGCCACTGGAACCTTTCACGACGGCGCACTCCAGATGAGCAACATGCTCTCAAGGGAAGCTAAGTGAAGATACCGGCGTCAAGGTGTGACTCCAGAATTTGTGTGTGTGGCCCATAGACTAAGAAAAGATTGCAACCTGCGTCGCTGTACAGATAAGCTTGCTGGAATCGACCACTCGGCCCATGCAGGGGCCCGGGTTCAATGCCGTATAGCGGGCCTTTCTAACCAAGGTGTGAAGCAAACTTTTTCAGCTGAAGGAACGTTACATTATGTAGCATTTACCGGAGGGACTTCCCAATGGCTGCGAAGGTATCTTGTTCGTCCAAGACGCTGCACAGGACAGCGGGTCGGCGAAAAGACGTTGCGAATCTACAAAATAACGGCAGATGATCATCCTTTCGCTCCGCCGTTACCGAATAGAACGTCTAGGTCTTGACGTGGACAACGATCTGCCCTTCATCTCCCAAACCCTTCTCAACTTGGGTTCCAAACTCATGACACAGTCTCCTGAAGGTATGCTCCACCCATTCATGATCTGGGTCGCCTTCTTTCAGTAGGTGTGCCTGGAACCGCTCGATTCTATTGGGATAGACCTCGAGCCTCTTTACCTCGAGCTCGCTTTCTCCCGCCTTCTTTTCTGTCCTCTCGCCAACGGAAATCTTCCATGCCGCACTCAAGTCGTTTCTGAATTTGGGATCAACCGCATAATCATCCACAAAGTCTCCGCATCCATAAACCACCAGCTTCTCTTTGTATATCTCCACGCCCTGAACATGGTGGCTGCTGTGCCCGTGGATTATGTCCACTCCGCACTCATCAATCATCCAATGCGCCAGGTCGACAATCTCCTTTGCGGGATGCCACCGATAGTTTGGACCCCAGTGCATCGACACAACTTTCAAGCCTAACTTTCCTGGCTCCTCCCTATGATCTTTCGCCAGGAGCTGTTCTCTTATCGTGTCCCTCCCTTTTCCCGTGTAGTCGACTAAGTTGAAGGCGTCCACGGCCCCCCACTCGCTCGGATGATCTGCAAAACTCCAGCACTTGACATGCCATCCGTCTGCTCCTCCGAGCGACAGTGTGGCGGGTCTGGCCGCCTCTTCTTTCGTCCTCCCAGCTCCTGCAAACTCTACGCCATTGTCAATCAACGTTTGGACAGTTTCTTGCAAACCCTCAACGGACCAGTCGAGCGTGTGGTTGTTCGCCAGGCTTACATAGCCTCTTCCATTCCCACCACCCAGGCCGACCTCTGTCAAGCACTGGACGTTCCCAGGATGAGTGCGGTAGTTGAACACTTTACTCGGCCACTTCTTCTCGCTGGTCGTCACAGCTGTTTCGAGATTTGCAAGCACAAGGTCTGACTTTCGGATCAACTCCACACTATTGCCCCACGGTGATAGGTAATTGTATGATTCGAGTTGGGGAGAACGTGGAAGAATGTGTTTGTCAACTGTCCATGCAGCCGATTCAGGGTCAGAATGCGGCGATTGCCGAGCTATGCTGGTGGGCAGCAGAGCATCGATGAGACGGCCAATCATCACGTCACCAAGTAGAAGAAGACTGTATCTTTTGGACATGGTTTGCGTGGTGAAAGTGAGGGCTTCTCAGAACTGAGCAAGCAACACGACCCTGGAGCCAGAATATGAAGTCTTAACGGTATTTCTGAGAAGCTCGGGCCCTTTTGTGGATCATAAGTGATTTTTCCCTCGTGTCTGCGACCACGTTAACATGGTGTGATAGATAGCGGGGTATTTTGGGAATATCGCAACTTATAAAGTCTCCTTTCTCGTAGCGCATCACCTCTCTCGGTTGAAGGTGATCATGTGGGAAAATAAATATGGATGAACAGCAGTCCTATCCTTCATAATCGCGTCGTGGCTGTACTTTGGCGGAACACATGCAAAAGTCAAACTGGGTGGCTGAATGGCGTCTATGCTTTATGCCTAACGGCACTGACGTGGTGAGATCGGAGGTAATAGTTTTGTTGCCGGGCTGACACGCAACATTTAGTCACTTCTTGGATTGGACTGACTGTTATCTACCCAGGTAGTAAAGACTATTAGGGCGGAATCAAGGCCAGCTGTGCTCTCTAACTCCTTCCAAGACGCACACAATGATTGTCCTGAAAGAGCGCGACGTGCATTTTTTGCTCTCCAACATCTCGGTTCCAGAATGTCATCGTCTACTTAACGACTTGCACGATGTTCTCCGTGCATACTCTTCGACCAAAAATGCCCCACCATCCGAACAAATGATCCATCAGCCGGAGCGAGAATCAATCGTTACGAGAACTGGTAACACTTCGGTTTTCATGCCATCTTCCATCACAACCTCTACCGGCATTAAGACCGTCACGATTAGTTCTAAAGGACTAAAAGGGTGCATTAACGTCTTCACCCCAGACGGAGAATTGCTAGGCGTATTGAATGCCGAGGAAGTCACTGCATTCCGGACTTCCCTAGCTGTCATGATACCGTTCATTCGATGGCCGAATCCGAAGAGAAACCTCGTCATCTTTGGAGCTGGACGACAAGCAGAGTGGCACCTGAAACTTGCCCTACTGCTTAGCGACGTGAAGCATGTCACCGTCGTGAACAGGGGCGGTCCTCGACGGATGGAGCGGCTCCTGGCCGATCTGCAGCAGAAGAATTCTGACCTTGTTTGTCGGGTGTTGCTGAAGACGGCCGAAGATTTTGACTCGCTGTTACGAGAATGCCTTTTGTCTTCAGATATCATTTTCTGCTGTACCCCGTCAACTACACCGCATTTCCCATTCAGCTATCTTGACAAAAAGCCTCGGTTCATATCCCTAATAGGATCCTACAAGCCGTCAATGCAGGAGGTTGATTCCGAAACTCTCTTGTCCGGTGAACACATCTATGTGGATACAAGAGAAGGCTGCCTTGTCGAGGCGGGAGAGTTGATCAAGGCCAAGGTCCAAGGAGATAAGCTGATAGAGATTGGGGAAATACAGGACATGAAGCCCCTTGGGACTGGAAAAAATCTTATCTTCAAGTGTGTGGGAATGGGCATCATGGACTTGGTCATGGCAGGGAGTCTGCTTGAGATGGCCAAGGAGAAAGGCATGGGCTTGATAGTTGACGACTTCTGATTTGAGAAGGTCACTGTCGTTCGACATATTATTGCAGGGCTCCCCGCTATAGCGGCTTTCGCGGGGAAGGCTTTAAACACCGTCTCCGAAAGCGTAGTCGTTCGCCCACCGAATGTCCCATGGACGAGACTTATTGACGAACCTGAGATCTGTACCCAATCGAATCCTGTTGTCCGGGTCATGGTTGATTGTCGAGGCATGGATCTATATTTGATGTCAGTGAAGATTACCACGGGAAGGATCTCTTTCATACAGCATATGCGCTGTGAAGCACGACATCACCGGCCTCGTACGCCGTCAACAGCCAGCGCCGGTTATACTGCCTCCCGAACTCCGCAGGGCCATCTGCCAGCAACCCTCCGCTCATCATATTCTGATTGAACGCATTTTTTGCCTCCTCGTCCGTCAATCCTGAAGCCTTTGCTTTGGTTGTAAAGTCATGCTCAATCTCTGCACCAAGAGTGTGGCCTTTGTCGAGGTAAATCAAGCCGCCACCTTGCCTCGAGATATCTCCCATCGGCACCCAGGCAGTAACTGCAGTGTCCTCGCCATGTCTCAAGAAAATTTGATCATAGTGTACTCCGATTGCTTTATTTCTTGGGGTATTGTTCCGCAAGAGTGTTCTTCTGATTCCCAGCGTATCGTCCCCCCAACCCGTAAGCTTCGCAACGTAATCCCGCAACGCTAGATTTTTGCAGAAATCTTCCTTGTACCAGTCCTCAGTATGCGCTTTGAGAGCTAGATCAACAAACAACTTGGCCACTTCGGGATGCGGCCCTGTCGGACGGCCGTTGGAATCGGCAAATCCTGCCCCAATTCCAGGGAAATCGAGCTTGTCCTTGGTTTCGTCAAAGATGCCGTCGACAGGCTTGGTGCCTGGTTTGAGAACGCCACTCGGAGATAGAAGCTTGAAATATTCCTCTCTGGCCTTGAGGACATCCCTTCTCGGTAAGAGACCCTTAACGAACAGGTATCCGTCTTCTTCAAACCGCCTGCGAGCCTCATCCATCGGAGTGTCCAGTGTTGTCGGTCGCAAGTCGCCATACTGGTCAGGAGTCAAGGGGCCATCATTGACGAAGAATTGTTCTTCTGATGTTTGTTGAGGGGGAGATAATTCTGCATGGGGCATCTTAACAAAGCAGGGTCTAGTTCGGGCAGTATTGTGAACAGCTCAATGGGACTGTGCCAGCTAGATCCTGAAAAGATGAAAAAGTCAGGGGATGTCAGTACCAACGAGTCAAGATATAACGTTCGATTCGGAGACATGGTTGATTGAAGCTACCAGTCGCCGATGATCTTCTACGCGCCACCTAGTCTCCCTTGACATGCAGGATCGACCCCGGGAAACTCCCAACTGGGGTGGTGGACACAGATGACGTTCAAGAAAGGAAGTCCTGGCCCGGGATCTCTCAAAGCGAGCTTGGAATGTCAGAAAAGGCAAAGAATCCCGAAGACACAGTTCCCCACCGACTCCATTCTCCGCAAAACAAGACTTCTCCGGATTTCCCCCTTTTCTTCCTTGTTGTATTCGACCGACATGTCCTGTGATTTCTGTCGGAAGAAACATATCAGATGTGCGACCCTGCCCAGCTTGTTGTCCTGCAAGAAATCGGGCATATTTCTGACTTCTCTTAGGTGATGGCCAGCATCCGCGATGTGGGCCTTGCATAAAGACTGGTCGGCAGTGCATCCGACATCCAACGTCGTATCGGCGCGCTTCCAGGCCACGAAATTTCCGCACAGAACAGATTTGGGTGCCTGTACCCCCGAAAGGTAGCTGAAGAGCAATCAAAGCTTTTTCGCCGGATAGTAACTTTTGCAGTTGATTTCGTAGATGAAACTCCTTTACTTCGACAGGGCAAAGCTGGGGGCGATCCCCCCAAGAAGAAAGCTGTTCAGCAGGAGTCCGTCGATGAGCCACAGCATTACATACTGTCGAATGATGTGGCACGGAATGAAAGACCATCGTTGCTTGCTGGAGAAGCTTTGTCCGGCGAGCATGTCAAGCCATCATTACGGCGCACACTGAGAACCCCCGAGGACGACTTGCCGTTTTCCAGCATAGAATCCGCCGAGTTGATGAGATACTTCATCGACAATTGTGCTTGTTTCTTCGACTTTAGTGACGCTGATAGGCATTTTGCGTACGCAGTTCCACTTAGAGCTCGCCAAAATCCGACATTAGCCAACGCTATGCTGGCTCTGGCCGCTCGGCACAGAAGTCGGACAAGGGAGTATGAGCCTTTCGCGGCCGATCGATATTACAACGCATGCCTCCAAACAATGATTCCAAGGCTTGGAGATAAGTCCGCAATCCAAGATGATGAGCTTCTTGCGGCCATAGTCATTCTACGACTATTGGAAGAGATGGATGGTCAGTGCGTGTGGACGTCCCGTGTCTTCCTTATTGACTCTTTAATAGTGCCGATAGTGGGATCAGATCCTCAGAAGCACCTCTTCGGCACTCAAGCGATTATCACTGCATCACAAGCACGCTCCCAGTTGCCAGCAACGGCTTTGAGGAAAGCATGCTATTGGGCGGCATTTCGGCAGGAAATCTTCATGTCGCTCTCTACGCAGCGACCATTTAATCTGATCTTGCCCGAGATGAAGCCGCCTTCAAGACCTTCTGATGACTGGTCATGGACACTCCAAGCGACGTATCAGTGTGGCAAAGTACAAGCTTTTGTCTTCGGCGAGGAATCTACGACCATGTCGAGATATCTTGAATTGATGGATGAGATTGAGACGTGGCAAGAAGAGTGTCCGACATCCTTCGACCCTGTATACCAGGGGGCTGATCAGCTGGAGCATGTTTTTCCAGATATTCGGATCCAGTTGGATTGTCACGGTAAGTACCAATACGAGCAAGACCAGGGATGTAACCTTGATGACCTTGTTACAGTGATGGGTTGGCAATACATAACCATGGCGCATCTGCTGCTCAGCGTCCACCGACCGTTGCCTCGTGTTGGTCCGTCCCATAAGCGAAGAATGATGGATATGGAACAGGTTGTCAAAAGTGATGTCAGGACATTGTGCGGAATCGCTGAATCAAATCCGCAAACCCCTCCGGCTAGTTTAGTAGCCTGCATGGCTGTTGCATTGTGTAAGTTTGCTTCTCTCTGGGTTGCGTACTAGACCGCTGAAAGCTCACAGTCGGAGATCGCTTTGATTCCAAGTCGGAGCAGGGGCTTCTGAGAGATCTCCTTGTTCGAACAGAGCTCCGCACGGGGTGGCCTACTTGTATGGCACGAGAACAGCTTGAACGAACGTGGGGTTCGACGTGAACGACTCCACACCAAACAGCTTGACGTCTACTTTGTTGCATTGCCGGCATGTGCACGAAGAACCAACGTTTGAGTCGGAGGCTAACTGTTTTGAATCCAATTTCGGTTAGCCACTCCGATGATCGACCTTGACATATCCAGATCCGAGTACAGCATGGCTGGACAACTCCACAGTGCGTTACCCCAAGAAGTCTTGACAGCGATTTGTGTACGGTGTTATAAAAACTCTTCCTTTACTTGTCTTCACCTCAATATCTCCTCAAGCCAGGCAATTTCCTTTACTCCCTCAGTGCATCAAGGAAGATGTTATCTATCAAGCAGACCAGACTCATTGAGCGTTCCCCGAACTATGATGTTAGCAACCCACGTCCTGCGAACCTCCCATATGTCTACCTTGTGACTGCTTTCGTGTCCTTGGGGGCCCTCCTCTTTGGTTATGACCAAGGCGTAATGGGAATCATAGTTGCCGATGATCGCTGGATTCATCTTATGGAGCCAGCCAATTCTTGGGTCACGGGTGCCGTCGTGTCGCTATACGACGTGGGATGCTTCCTGGGTGCGATGAGCATCGGATACCTGGCGGATCATTGTGGTCGAGAACGGACCTTGTCTATTGCCAGCGCAGTTTTTATTGTTGGAGCTGTCATTCAGGCTGGGTCTTACGATATTCCGACTATTACTGTTGGGCGCATCATTCTTGGATACGGAGTAGGCGCTTGTGCCGCTGGGGTGCCGCTATATGTTTCAGAGATTGCTCCAGCAGGCTTGCGGGGCCGAATCATTGGTATTGAACAGATGATCCTGTGCTTGGGGGAGCTGATCGCCTTCTGGCTCGATTATGGCTTTGCATATCTGGACACGCCTGATTGGTGGCGCATACCTTTGGCCATCCAGATCATTCCCGCCGTTGCCCTTGCTGTTGGATGCTGGTTCTGGGTTCCTCCGAGCCCACGTTGGCTTGTGCAACAAGACCGACATACTTGCGCGCTCGAGGTGCTCGCGAGGCTACACGGGGACCAGGCTGCAGAAATTGAAATGCAAGAGATTGCCGAAAGGGTAGCCTTCGAGAAGACGGTTGCGGTCACTACCTGGAAGGATATGTTCGCATGGCCGGTCCTGCGTGTCACGCTCATTGGAAGCGGGGTGCAATTCTTCCAGCAGATAACGGGCACCAATTCCATTGTAAGAACATGACTCTCCGAAACAAGTGTCAAGACGATAAACTGACCATTTGGGCGCTGCAGCTATACTACACCCCTAGCTTGTACGAGCGTGGTGGGATCACCTCCGCTCATACACGCAACTTGGCGACAGGGGGTGTCGGGATTGTCTTATTCGTCTTCGCCTGGATCCCCATTTTTGTCTTCGACAGACTCGGACGGAAGACCTGGCTACAAATCGGTGTGATTGGGATGATGGGTGCCATGATCGGGATTACAGGTAAGGCGCTTAATAAGCTTCTTGAGCTGCGTGATGCTGATGACGACAAGTCCTCCAGTGGCACGCGGAGAAATACCCTCACGCGAGTGGTAACTATGCGATTGTCGTATTCCCATATTTGTTTTATGTCTTCTTCAACATCAGCTGGGGTGTCGGCAGTTGGACATATGCCAGCGAGATATGGCCTGTTGCACTTCGGGCAAAGGGTAACGCATTGAGCACCATGAGTTTGTGGGCGGGATGTTATATTGTGGCACAAGCCAGTCCTCCGATCGGAGAAGCGATCGGCTGGGGATTGTATATCATCTACTCCGGGATCTGTGTGCTGGCATTCCTGTTTGTCCGGTACGTCATGGTCGAAACCCGAGGACGTACATTGGAGGAAATGAGCCGACTTTTTGGGATTGAAGACAAGTTCACAGCTGGGAGGGGCATCGAGCCAGCGACAGTATCTGAATCCAAGAATGGGGGTATTGTGCATGAGCAGGTGGAGGAAGTGGGCAAGTAAACACGGTCATATGGCGCAAAATCAGAAGAGCTGACCAGTTGATCGTGAGGGCGAGTCGCTGCAAGGCTGAGATCTAACAGGCTAAAGAAAATGCGGGGCAGACGACGGAGGCGAGGACGCTCTGCCCTAACAAGTCAACTTTGGCCGACGGTCGGGAATTCCAGTCTATCATGAGAGATCTGTTAGAAGAGCGTCGAAAACAGTTAAATATCCCCTCAACGGCCATCAGTAGTCATGACTTACCTTCTTCCTCTTCAACCTGGACCATCCAGTGCTGGATTACCACGGTCACTCCCTGCACAGCATGACCCTCCTTGTCGCTTTGGCTCGTCGGACATCACGCCTCACAACCATGAACAGCCCGCGAACATTTTCAACAGCAAAGTCTCTCCTGGCAAAGCCTGTATCCATACAGGCCACCTTGACAGAAAGATCTCGGGGCAAACTCAGCGAGCAGAACCTCGAGAAAGCAGTCCGACAAGTCCGCCATGACGGGCTTGTGATTGTCCAAAATGCCATCGACACTAATGTTCTCCGCAAGCTGAACGAGAAGATGGTAGAGGATGCCTTGGAGTTGCGGTCGAAGGGGGAGAACAGCCCATTCAACTATAATCAAGGAAACCTGCAACAGGATGCGCCGCCTGTAAGGGAATACTTCCAGCCAGAAATATTTCTGAGTGAGTCATGCACCCAAACCTCAGTGACTTCTGGTTGACAGGCGATATATCAGATCCAATTGCCACCCAGATAACTTCGGCCGTGCTCGGGCCTCGTCCGAAATTGACATTTTGCTCAGGTAACTCGGCAATGCCTCCCAGACCAGGCTCTCCTCCCGAGAGACAACCAGTACACTCCGACGCGGATTTCGCACATCCCGATCACCCTTTCGCACTGGTGGTCAATGTCCCGCTGATCGATATGAGACCCGAGAACGGGTCCACTGAAGTTTGGCTGGGCACACATAACAATTTCGGGATTGAGGCACAGGAAGGGGCACACGGCGAGCGAGCCTCGGGGAGGATCCATGCTTCATTATTGGCAGAAAGGTCGAAAACTAACCCACCAATCCAGCCATTTGTTCCCAGCGGCAGCATCATCGTCCGTGATCTGAGACTCTGGCATGCTGGTATGCCAAACACAACTTCGCACGTGAGAATCATGCTGGCGATGAGTATGTAATGTCCTTACCCTTGCAAGTCGTTCGACTAATCAGTGACAGTCCATTTTGCTCCTTGGTATCGTAATCAAATGAGGCTCGAGCTTGCCGAGGAGATAAAACCGCTGGTGGAGAGCGTACGGGATCTTGACATCAGGGCCGACTTCGTACGTGAGGGCGACGCATTGAAAAGATACCTCAACCGAGGTTTTGGGAACAGCTACGACTTTGGACAAAGTCCATAGGCGTTGATTCGCAAGGCAATTCTTGACAGAAGTTAGAGCGCTATTGCCTCGCATATCGTCATGCATATTTCATGCATTTGTTGACAATCTTCTGACTGGTGACGGATGCCGCCTGCTTGTAAAGTAATAAGCTCGTTGGCCGCGTGAATATGCCATTTTAGGACACTTTCTCGACCACGCCGGAGGACTATCTTTGCAGATGACTTGTAGAGACTGTGATGATTGCTTGGTTCTGGCAGGGATCCATGAAATCCCAAGGTGTCGTACCTACCAAGCTCGCTAGGTAGCTTGGTAGTCGGCGGTTCACCACTGGCAGGCGAGGTTCCCAGTGCTTGGCTAGGGCAGACCCCAGAGAAATATCAGCCGCTCTCTCAATAAGAGAAAGTGCGGGTTCCCCGCTGCTTCTCAGCCCCCGAATGCGTTCCTCCCTCCTGGTAGTCCTGTCAACCTCGGGACACCGACAATGATCGCGCTTCGCTGCTTCTCGATTATTCATTCATGAACTGGGAAGCATGGCCAAAATAGCGGGTAAGAATTGTAAGTGAGCCATTGCTTTCCTGTTTTCCTGGGAGCTCAAGTCTGATATTGAACAAAGCATGGTGAGCCCAATACCCTTCGGCCTGCCTCGAATACTTATGAACCCGATGTAGTAGAACATGCCGACTTCGGAAATTGAAATGTAAGAGTCACCCACATCGGCGGCCTGTTTCTAACTGTGATGCGAGGCGACGAGAAGTTGCCGACATGTTCTCGATGCGAAAGAAGCGGCCGCTGGTGTGACCGGACAGTGCCGTTGAAGATCCAAGGCCAGAGGAATGTTGGTATACGAACAGATGACGGAAAGGGCACACAAAGCAAAGAACAGCCTTCTGTCGAGCGGTTTGCCGAACCTCGTGTGAGATTGCAGAACGAGGAGATCGCCCACTACTTTGCACATTACCTCAAGACGCTGGCGCCATGGTATGACCTTAACGACCTTGGGCAAGCCTTTAGAAGAATTGTGGGAAGCAGAGCTCAGCAGAGCTCCTTGCTTCTCAGTGCCGTCATTGCATTTGCAGCTATACATAAAAGTCGAACGTCTCACGCCGTTCCCAAGTCGTTAGCAGAAAGACATCATGCCCACTGCTTGCGGCTCCTGATCGGAATCACCGAGACAGCCCCGGCCATTAGGGACGGAACAGCGTTGGCCGCGACGTGCCTCCTGCGATCGTATGAAATACTAGCAGGTGAGAGGAAGGATCTTCAGGCTGACATTGGCTGATCTGCGCCAGAGGAGGAAGATCCCAATCGCCATCTTTTTGGGGCATTCTCATTGATACCGTCCTTGTCTTGCAGTCTTCCGGAGGAACCACTGCTCAAGGCCGGTTTATGGAATTACCTTCGCGAAGATATCACCTTCTCGCTCATCAATGGCTGTCCCTTGAAAATCGAGGTTGGTGCAATAGACATCGAGCTGCGTCGCGATGACGACTATGCGAACCAAATCACGATCTTGTTGGCCCGCGTCATAAACAGCGCCTTTGCGGGTGGTGCGGAACTTCTTGTCGACTTACAGTCAGCTATCAGTGCTTGGAGGTTGTCTGTACCGTTCCAGCCTTACCATCAGTCCCACGAAGGTGCACTGCCAAAGATCCAGATGGTCGAGGATTGTCACGGTGAGTTGGTCCACAGAGCTCTTGTTCCAGACCTGACCAAATCTAGTTGCTGCAATACAATATTGGCATGTCGCCCAGATCCTATTAGGTCTCAATACCGGAAGTGAAGTGGACTTTGAAGACCACGCTCGGACCATATGTGGAATGGCTTTTTCTGCCAATAGTGACCCTGTCGTTGTAAACTCATATGGTCCAATCTGCTATAGTGAGTCTTTTGATGACTGGAGAAACGAAGCTGATTCGTGTCAATCCAGGCGCACAATGGCTGTCGGGAGACGAAGCCCGACGGGAAGTGGTCAATCATCTGCTGAGCAGTCAAAAGAGGACTGGGTGGCCAGTTCAAGCCATAATCAAGAAGCTGAAGCAAAGTTGGGGTGGTGAAGCAGAGAGATGACTCTGCCAACGCGCGGCGTGGACAGGGATCCTGTCGGTCTCTTTAATCCACGACCATTGCCTCTGCCATGAGCAGTTCCTCATCAGCAATAACCTGGTCAAACTCGTCCATGTCACCGCCATGACCATTGGTGCCGTTCCGAGCTGGAGCCTCATTCACCTCACTGTGCATGTAATCGTGCATTGTTGCGTCTTCTCTTCCCATATCGCCTTCGCCTCGCCTCGCTTGTTGCTCTTTTTGGAAGTTTTCCAGCTCCTTTAGGTCCCAGCTGTCTTTACCTTTTGTCGAGCCGTCAGGTAGTTTCTGACCAGGCCCCAAAGGCTGAGCTATGCTTCTTAAGAACTTCTTTGCCATTCCCACAGCAGCATCGGTGCTCAATCCGGTCTGAGCATCAGTAATCTCTTCCGCGATCCATCGAGGCAACTGGGTCCGTTTCTTCTGAAATCGACGGTCGGCCAAAACCATTATACCATAATCGTCTTTCCCCCGCAAGACTCGCCCTAGGCATTGGGCGGCGTGTCGCATAGCGTCGAAAGACAGGAAGTCTTGTTCCTTGATTCTGTAGGTCTCTCGCAGAAACTCCAGGCGTGCCTTCAATATCCTTGACTCCGTGTACTGGAAAGGGGCGCCCATACACAGCACTGTACGCCCGTAGTGATGATCAAAGTCGATCCCTTCAGACACTTTGCCACGAGCGACACAGAGCAATATTGCGCCTTTACCATTTTCACATGCAGTGCGGTAGGTCTCCAACGCCAGACTAGTCTCTTGGGCGTCCGGCGTCTCCACCAGAATCAGCTTGTATGTCCAGATTTGATCTAGAATACCCATCCCCTGCCACATACTTATGATCATCTCCATGTAAAGATAGGAAGGAAAGAAGACAACGACGCCGTCCGGGGTGATCTTTGCAAATTCATACAACAAAGCGCCATAATTGCGTACCACGCCTGGATCTGACCGAGATTGGAAGCCAGACGTTATAGACTGTTGATCAGAACCACGTGTCACGATCATTGGCAGGAAAGATCGCCGTGCAAGTGACATTGGATATGACTCTTGTGTGACGGTGCTGAAGTTGAGCATCCTTGGGTACATCTCCAGGGGCGAAATGGTTCCAGAAGTAATGATGACGGATGAGAACCGTTCAAAGACAGGCTTGATCGCAATCGAGGCATCAAGACATGCGAAGTGCAAGATCGGGTTGGCGACCGTGGCTTGCTCGGTCTCGAAGGGCTCCAGTATTAGGAGGAATCCGGTTTCGTAGGTTGCAACAAGTGTGGCAAACGTCGCCACTTCTTGTAACGGCTGGTAGTCCTCGATATTCGTCAATTCCAAGGTGCGGACAAGAGATGTTAGACGTTCGGCACAAAACCGCAGTGGCTTGCGCTCGATAAACGTCAACTCTTTGAGATGTGCGAGAAATGAGGGAGCAGTTTCCTGAATGACGTATAGGACTTTCATTCGGGTCTTGAGGTACTCGATAAAGCGTTTGAGAAAAGCCACGAAATGCTCGGCTCGACGGATATTGCCAGGGACAGCTTCCTTCAGAAGATCGTCGGGCAAAGTAGGATTGGCCATGAAGGCATCCTCTGCTCGGGCTTCATCTGCTTCTCTCAAGCCTTCCACGAGCTTCTGGTATTCATTCTGAAGCTTTTCCTCGTCGGATGCCTTCATCTCCTCAATCTTCCGTTCCAAGTTGTTTGCTCCGCGAGTGGCCTTCCTCAGTGAGTCTTCGGTCAGATCAATGGACAGTGACTCAATACAGACGTTGTCGATGTTGTGGGCCTCATCGAAAACGACTATACAATCCTTGGATAGCTCTTTTGAGACACGTTCTGCAATTTTGGGGTCGAGAAGATAATGGTAGGAATAGATGATGACGTTGCAAAAGGGCATCATGCGCCGGGCTGAGAAGTATGGGCACTGCTTATGATCTTCACCATACCTTATAAGTTCATCAAGTGTGAATACTCCAGGAGGGACCAGGTTATGCGGCTCGAGGAGATCCAGATTATCGTGATAGACGCAGACCTCGACATCCTCTCCCCGCTCTTTTTTCTCTCTGACAAAGCCAGCTGTGAGACTCCGGCATCTTGCATCGACGACAGCACCACTCTTCTCCCGCTTGACGGAAGGATGTAGGCACAGATTTTTTCTGCTGGTCAAGCCCAAACCTCGAAAGTCCTCGACGATACCAAGTTCCTTAGCACGATATTTCATAAGTGCTCTCAGCTCAGCCAGTGCCTTCTCGATTTCCGACATGGTACGGGAGCAGTAGATCAGCTTGCGATGTTCGGGGTAGTGTTGTTGGTACGCCACAATGAGGGACAATAGCGAAACGGTCTTGCCGGTTCCTGAAGGCATTTCGAGCACGCAGTGACCCCCAGCATCAAGGGTCCTTTTGAGGTCGCACATGTACGCATATTGTTCGGGATAAATTCGAGGGTAAGGGAAGAGAACAGGCAGATCACTAGTACTCGTTAGATACACCGTATTGGTATTGCGGAAGAAGGAGACGACCGTACTCAATAAAGAACTTCATGTTGAGGGCGTGACCTGGATCGGCGAGCACCGCTCGGCGACGGTTTCTGTTGAGCGCCTCTATTGCGATCAGTCGAGTTGTGACATGTCAAAAGATCGAGAACCTTAGGGTAAGCGTGCCAGGTACTAAGCATGTAGGCAACAAGTAGGTGATACGGCGGCGGTGGTAGAGGTTCAGTCTACTTTTCCACCACAGGCGGCACACGCCCACCACTCTAGCACGCGTCTAGGCGCAGACCACAGGCAGCTCTGTGGCGCGGTCTTTGGGGCTGCGACGTCATATAACCAACATTCAAATTCGGAGTTTTCACTCGTCCACCCCACGAGGCTGCCCGCTTAAGTTCAAAGACTTTGCGTCGTTCATACTGTCAAGCACCGCAAGTTTCAGGAGGACGACCGCGGCAGCATGAGCAAGAAGTTCAAGTCACAGGCCTCCGCCTCGAGCGCTCGTGCTGCTTCTGCTGCCTTTGGATCGTCCTCGTCCCCCGCCTTCGGCTTCGGACCCGCGTCTCAGGGATTCCAGACTGCGGCCTCCTCGCTATCCTACGTCGCTGAACAACCAGATCTTAGCACTGTCTCAAATCCGAACCTGGTTGTCTCCCTTCGAAACCTTAGCAAGAAGGACAGCACTACAAAAGCCAAAGCACTTGAGGAGCTACAAGACTATGTAAGCTCGTTGACCTCGGGTGACAACGTTGATTCTGGCCTGCTGCAAGCATGGGTTCGTAATTCTCTTCTGTTCAGAGTTAGCAGAATACTAATTGTCCGAGAAGGTCAAGTTATACCCACGAACATCCATCGACAATGCACGCAGAGTCCGCCAACTCGCACATGCCCTACAAGGCTCCCTGACTGCTCTCTCCGGCAAGCGAATGGCACCTCATCTACCAAACGTGATCGGAGCATGGCTTTCTGGTTGTTATGATAATGACAGGTTGGTGGCTCGAACTTCGCAGGAATCGGTGGGAGTCGCATTTGCCACAGATGATAAGAGACGGGCGCTGTGGAAAGTCTACAGGAATGCCCTCCTTGACTACGCCAACGATGCCATCTTGGTTCAGACACCCAAAACCTTGAGCGATGAACGGTCAACCACGCCAGATGATTCAGAGGCAAAGTTTGTTCGAGTAGCTGGAAATGCTATGCAAATGCTCAGTCAGACTATCAAGATCAATTTCGTCCAGGGGTCGGGGGGCAGCAAGCCTGACATCTCTGAGAGTCTCGGAAGGATTGTGGTGGACAAGAGACTTTGGGAGTTCTCGTCTCATGAGGATCCTATTCTTCGGAGGGCTGTCTGTAACCTGGCAAGCATATGCGCAGATACCATCCCTGGACAGCTGGACTGGAAAATCATAAGTGCTTGCTTTGTTGGCAAAGCTCTGAACGGCAGCCAGCTGGGTTCGTCTCGTCAACTGTCAGAAACGCTTGTGGCTCTCACCTCAGTCCGGCCCGAGGTGTGGACCACAGATTATTCTTCCAAAACAGCGGCATCCAAAAGACTGTTCCAGTACCTGCGCAAAGGCTCACAGCGAGGTCCGGCGGATTTCTGGATTGATATCGCGTTGCTCCTCAAAAAGATTCCAGTCGAAGCCTGGAGCGCTGTCTCCGATGATGGCAAGGTCCATGTCAATGACACCACAACATTACTTGAGTCCTTGAGGACGGGCATAACCAGCAGTGACGAACCACGTCAAAATCTCCAAGCTGCCTGGTCCACTTATGTGGATCTCTCCTTCTGGGCGAGCCACCTGTTAGGAGATGATCAGTCCAGAGCGTCGCTACTGGAGGAGAATGTACTGCCTTTGGTTCGCCAATATGTTGTTCAAGATCCTAAGCAAAATACCTGGGACATTCCGCGTACATACAACGTCAAGATTACGGCTTCGATACTCATAAGCCTCCTCCGCTGTGATTACTACTCTTCGTTTGACAACGCTTGGGTCAATTACTGTGAGCAACTCAGTACTAGCATGAAGCTGTCTCTACCCGAGAGCTCGAAAGATTTCGTGAAATCACAGGACGAAGTGATTGCGCAAGCCAACCGGATGTTTCGCCTCAAGCCCCTTATTGTTGGTGCCGAATCTCTGTTGCCCACCGGGAAGGCGCATGCAGTGGACGTCATCCAAGAGTCGGATAACTCTTTGATCAATGCCGCTTTGCAGCTCCTGAAAGCGCGCAACGGCAAGCCATATGGAGCAGCCGCTGTCCTAGAGGCTGTCACTTCTTCTATGGAGACAATAACGTCCAATTCTCTGCGAGAATTTCTCGACTCAGATGCCATCGAACTCCTCGGTAGCCCATCCGCAGAGTACTTGTCCTTGATCCTGCTGCATTTCCATCGGAATCTGACACAAGCATTCACCAAGTTGATGGACGCAGAAAAGGGAGCCGGCGCCAAAGCACTTGCACGACTTCTGGGTCAAGCTACCGAAGATGATCTTTTGCAAAACCCTCACATCGAGCCATTCATCATCCGCCAGATATCGTCACAACTCGAAAACGGCTTTGCACAAGATAATGTGAGAAGTGTACTGATGAATGCCCAACTTGTTCGATCCAATTTGCACAAGAATTGCTGCCAGGCGATACTAATTCAGCTATCGCCGGGCGCCGATCCAGTGTCACAGCTCGCAGTTCTTCGCTTCCTGCTCAATATGTTCAGCGATCACCGATCCGCCTCTTCTCTCTTTTCTGAGGGTATAGGGAACATGATTCTCTCGAAGCTACTCGTTCTCTCCGATTCAGACAACGTGCAAATAGCCGAATTGGCAACCTCGCTTATAAACAACATCAAAACATTGCCTACCGGAGCATCATCCACAGTAGCTACTTCTGCTGCAGTCATTGCAGATCAACTCTCTGGGAGCGGCATCCCTCTTTCCATCTTTTCACTCATTGACCTTGCCAAGGACACTCTCAGAACCTCGCCATCCCTCGAATCTGGCGTGGTTGCCGCCCTCATCCCGTCTGCTAATCAGTGGAGTGACGCCCTCGCAGCTCATATAAGCGCTCCGCCACCTCTTTCACTCTCGATCACAAATCCTCTTCACGGACTCGTCTTTATGATTCGGCCAGTGGGTGCTGTCACAAACAAGAAGCAGATCAAAGACTCCGACGAATTTTCTCTCCTATTTCGACTGGTTCTCTACGTGACGAAGATGTTGCTTGACACCGATTTGTTGAGCTATCAATCAGAGGAACAACTTGAAACACTGTACACTTATTATCCCCTTGCTCTGCAATTCGTCAATCAGAAGTTGACCCTGGAGGCTGCAGGTGATCTCTGGCAGAACACGAGCGATGAGGTCACGGAAGAGGCTGCGGAATCCCTTGCGCAAGGAAATTCTTTGGTTCAAAAATGGGCGCGAGATGATAAGATGCTGAGAATCTGGATTGAAAAGATTCGTTCGACAAAGCTTTTAGACCCGCAGGCTTTCTACTACAGCTTGACGTTTACCGACGTGGGGTTACGTTCCATCGACGAACATGGCCTTGCATCAATCACGTCCACCCTCAAAGAGGAAATGAAGGACATGTACCGGTCGGAAGAGGTTGCGCGGTCAGCCAGTCTGATTTGCACTTGTCGGGACTACCTCATCAGCTCACCAGAAGGGCGCAAACTGCTCAATGAACTGATTGCCATGGGAACCGACTTGAAGCTTTCGTCCACAGTCGAAAGCGGCCTACAGGCACTGGTTCTACTAGACCTTCTCCTAAATGGACAGTCCGAATCATTGGAGATCATCCCTAGCCAACGACAGATCTTCCTGATGCAAACTCTTGAGCGTGTGGCTGGCGATGCATCTGCCGGTCTGGCCTGTCAAACGATGGCCATGAAACTTCTCGAACCGGTTGTTACAGCTACCAAAGACATCTATGGGGATCACTGGGGACGCATCCTGCAAAACCTGGTGTCTCTTTGGCGAGACGGCAGTGACTTGAACAACGATCTTCCTCTCCTACATGCATCACTTCGAGTATACGGACGACTGAGGGATCTTGCCAATGCTGAAGATGCGAATGAAGACCTTATTGAAGCCTGGAAAGCCTCACGACCGTCTCTGGAAGAGGGTTTGTTACACTGCCTGCACGGCTTCGATAGACCCAGCAACGAGATTAACCAACCCCGCCAGATTACAGCTGAACTGCTTCGACGACAACTCTCACATATCGACGTGCGGCCTGATAAAGATTTATACTCCTTCTTGTCGTCGCCGGAGGCGCCGGTACGGAGAGCTGCTTACGACCTTCTGCACCGATCAATCCCCTCTGAGCAGGAGCAGACGTCGTTAGACGTTGCCCTGGAGTCAAAAGTTGCTCATCTCCCGCCAGAACTCTTGGGGGTGCTATCGGACACTGCAAACCCCTCTGATCCAGGGGTCGCGGCCTCGCGGCAGATTTATTTGCTTTCCTGGCATTTGGTATTCGACCACTTTCCAACAGCTTCGTACAAGCTCCGTGATTATTATGTTACAGACATCAAAGAGAAAGCCATACTCGGAAGTCTTCTTGACTTACTTTGCGATATTTGCCGAATCACGAGTAGCCGCCCACTCGATGCGTCGAAGATCGACATTAAATCTTTTGAACTTGGGACCAGTGAAACAGATGAACAAGAGGAGCAGCATCTCGCTATGCACCTTTACTATTGTTGTCTATTATATCTTCCTGGGCCTACACGAAGTTGGTTCATTGAACAAAAGAATCGAATCAAGTCGCCGTTGGAAGCCTGGACCCAGAAATACTTCGCTCCAGCCTTGATATCGGCCGCGGCTGGAGCGGTCAGCGACTGGGTACGAACTCAGTCGCAAGACGAAGCCGATGCTCCGTTGACGGTCAAAACATCGTTGAGTGGCTCTGAAGTGGTGGCGTCGATTGCCGTAGATCCTGAGTCGCCGGCCATATCTTTGGCGATATCGCTACCGAAAACCTATCCTCTGGATTCCCCAACCGTGTCTTCGCGCACTCGAGTGGGTGTCTCAGAGAAGAACTGGCAGTCTTGGTTGCGAACCTTTCAAATTATCATATTCAGCACCGGCAGCATTGTAGAAGGCCTCGTTGCCTTCCGGCGCAATGTCCAGGGCGCGCTGAAGGGGCAGAGTGAATGTGCCATCTGTTATTCGATCATCGGGACGGATATGCAAACGCCTAACAAACGATGTGGAACCTGTCGTAACACCTTCCATGGAGCTTGTCTCTTCCGATGGTTCAAGAGTTCCAATAGCTCCAGTTGTCCTCTATGTCGCAACAACTTCAACTACGCCTAGCTAGCAGACGCGGCGGATTTTATGAAGCCTGAGAGCAGCCAGTGGACTGAGTCGCCCCGCTGTCCCATCGAACGTATCCTGTTGCACCAGATGTTTCTGCGCAGCGACCTGGGTGTAGTCGTAGAGTCCGCTGGGGGCCCAGGATCTGCGGCTCTGGGTGCTCAAATTCAAAATTCAATTTTGGTTGTCTTCGTTTTCACCGTGGAGAGTACGTCCGGACTGCGTGCTCCAAGGGGACTAACACTCTTCAGGGCCCTTTACAAAGAGTTGTTGGGGCAGGCTCATCATACGCAAACCGTGATTGAACCCAGGATGACAACACCTAGTCTACAGATACTTTCACTATCACTCCAGAACCTTAGATCAGGTGGTGTTCCAACTGATTGGCGCTGTTATTTCAGCGCCAAACGTTGGTATAATCCGATTAGTTGCCGGAATGGCTTCAAACACCCCAATTCAATAGAATTGCATTTACCGGACCAGGTTCAATAGGTGAATTGCCGTTTGCAGCTGTCCTACTCGTATGGCGCCTTTAGGTTCTCATTTACGAAGAGCGTCACGGCGCCCAAGTCTAGCTGAAAACGTCGGCAAAACTTCCGGTTTGGTTTTGTACCAGGTAGTATTATTATGAAGGTGAATGCTCATTACCTAGTAGGTAGTACTTCTACTCGGTTCGCGTCGACGCCCTCCCACCTTCATAGGTAATTTCCCCCCATCAGAAACGGCCATTCCCGTCTCGCTGGGTGCAACGAACCCAGCTTTGTTGTGCGAACATGTCCGCGCCAGCAATCCCGAATCTGAACTCTCTTCGCAGAGGAGGCCAACGCGGACGAGGGAGGAGTCGAGCGGACCACGGTGGACATGCCGCTGTCGCGCAAGGGTCGAGCCGCAACCAGCATCATCACGATGAAATTGTACAAAGCACTGATAACGACGCCGCGACTTCTCGACAAAGTGCTGTAGATGCCGGTTACCTCGAGGACCCATTCTCTGCGCTGTTGCACACTGGAGGTCCCGTGTCAAGAAGATTGCCGCTTATGAATAGAGGTAGGTCTCCGTCTGTGAAGATGGTTCAAGTCCTCAATTTACCGGCCGCAGGGACTTACGTCAGGACGACTTGCATTGACCGCATCGTCGATACATTCCTATCTTCTGCGGGGGAAGGGCGCAAGCAGATCATCTCGCTGGGCGCCGGCAGTGACACGAGATATTTTCGCTTAAGGCAGAAACGTCGGAAACGTGACGTGATTTACCACGAACTCGACTTCGAAGCCAACACAAGGCGAAAGATCATTCAACTGCGCAGCCCAAGTTTCGAAGCAGCCGCAAAGCAATTTGCTGAGGTAGATATGCGAGGAGCAGACGTCCAGGTTTCCAATGACGCGGCTGGCTTGGTGTCCCCTGACTACGTAATTCACCCTCAAGATCTCCGACACCTCCCACACAAGGAAGCTTTCTTGACCGGCATGGACATGACCCTCCCCACGTTGATAATCTCCGAGTGCTGTCTTGTGTACCTACCACCTGATGGCGCTGACGCGGTTTTGCATTACTTCTCAAAGCTGTTTCCGAAAACGACACCTCTAGCAATCGCCATCTATGAGCCTATCCGTCCCTACGACTCGTTCGGCAAGACCATGGTAAGCAACTTGATGAGTCGAGGGATACAGCTGCAGACTCTGGAGAAGTATGCTGGTCTGGAAGAGCAGAGAAGCCGGTTGAGGTCACATGGGTTTGGTGATGACGGAGAAAGCTCTCCCCAAGGTGCAGAGGCGGCTGACATAGACTTCATCTGGCAAACATGGATAGCCCCAGAGGAGAAGGAACGCGTTGACGGGTTGGAGTGGATGGATGAGGTGGAGGAATTTGTGCTTCTTGCCAAACACTATTGTATCTGTTGGGGGTGGAAAGGCTTTGGAGAAGGTTCACGCTGGAAGGATTTACCCAGTCCGACGTCTTGAGTGACTGTTTATTAGATATCATCCGTGCTAGGTCGCTCCACTGTTGTGACGGACTGATATCATGATATCGACGACCAGCTGGTGCTAGTACGCAGAAGAGAGTACCTACGAGGTAGAGTTCCCCCGTTTAAGGGGGGCGCCAAAGGGTATATCACGTGCTCCGCCCAAGTGCTACCTAGGTACTTACACATCCAAACGGTGGCGGTGGCCTTGGCCTTGGCCTCGCCTTCGCCTTTCTCACTCGGACCTGTTTCACTTGTCCAACAGGTGTTGAATACCAAAACAATGCAAAATTCGTCGATATTTTTGAGATCGACACATCATCTCGTCAGACTCAATAGCCCCATTGAACTGATGGACAGCGTGCGGTGCCTCAAACCCCATGAGAATTGCATGATTCACGCTCGTGCCTCTGTCAGTGGCTGGACAGACAGTCGTGGCGCACTTCGCTCCAATTTTAATCCCCGCCCAGAAACCAGCGAGCCAGCAACCAAAACAGTCAGTGTTTCTGTGCTGGGGTACTTATCAACCCTGCGGGTCAATGAATCTCTGCAGAAACTTTGGGAGCAAAGCCAAACGGTGCCTAGTTCAGAGGTTTCAGCTGTTGGTTCCAACGAGGTTCCAAGAAATGACGCAAGCTTTCCTCGACTGGTCTCGTCCCTGAGCAAAGACCTTGTTGCAAAACCTGGACCGAGGAGACAGCGTCCAAGCTGGAATTGATCAGAAAACAACGAGATTGCCAGCCAACATTCCTGGCGAAAAGATGTCACATCGCACAGCAACGAGGGCATAGGCGAAATGTGCCTCTGGTGATTACCCCGTGACGATTCGATAAGGCAGATCACACACGACCATTCACCTCAAGTCGGAGGATTTCTGATTCGCGCTGCGAGATTGACAATGCTCCAAAGTGGACTGGGGGGACGCGATGGCAGGGTTGGCGCCCTGACCTTTCCCCATTCACAAAACAAACAGCAGCTAATGTGGGCCTTCTCCAAACTATCTGGACCTGTCCAGTGGGCCAGCAATGCGCCAGCCTTGCATGGTTGCAGAGTGGCTCTGCCCCGGTCTAGCCCATCGTCGCGGGCAATTTGCCCTTCTGGAGCTTGATCTGCATCTCATTTACCGCTTCGCCATAGCTTGGATTTCTTCTTTTTGTGTATTGTGTCTTTCGCTCTCCTTCTGTTTCTGTGCTCGTCGTCGCCGGGGTCGTTGTTCGTCGTCTTTCGCTGTCGCGCGCTCTGCGAGCACCCACGTTCCTTACCAAAACAACTGACCCTAGTCCTTCATTTACGACTCGTTATCGGCGTTGGCAAAAACCCCCCAAGTGTCGCCAGGCGATGCTGATGCGAAAACAATTATAACAGAGAATCTCGCCGAACGCGAAGCATCATGCGCAAACGGACAATTACCTCGAGCGCAAGCGCTCTACTACTTCTCATCGCTTCTCTCGTCAGCGCAAAACACAACGGGATCCACGAACACCTCGAGGCCCTTCACAAACGACATCGCGCAAACCGCGACCTGGCCGCTAGGTCAACGGCTGAGGATGGAGAGCAAGGGGTGGAAGTAAGATCGATTCCAGAAAGTCAAACCTCTGCAAGCAGTTTGGAGAAGCGACAGGCGCAATGTGCTTTTCCCACAGATGCTGGTCTGGTCGCAGTCACCCCAGGAGATGAGAATGGCGGATGGGCCATGAGCCCAAATCAGCAATGTACACCAGGAACCTATTGCCCTTACGCTTGTCCAGCCGGTCAAGTGTCTATGCAATGGGATCCCAGCGCGACTTCTTACACATACCCTCAGTCAATGGTTAGTTTCCGTATATCAGCATGACCATGCGAATTGTGCTGACCATATTCAGAACGGTGGATTGTACTGCGATGAGAATGGCAACATACAGAAGCCATTTCCCAGTAAGCCATACTGCCAGTCCACCAATACCAACATCGGCGTCCAAAACAATGCTGGTAGCGTTGTGGCATTCTGCCAGACTGTCCTTCCGGGAAATGAAGCCATGTTGATTCCCACGTCCGTCACCGATTTCGCGACCCTCGCAGTACCCGGTCCCAGCTACTGGTGCGAAACTGCAGCGCACTATTACATCAATCCTCCTGGTATCGGCACTGATCAAGCTTGCGTATGGGGAACCAGTGCTAATCCTTACGGTAATTGGTCTCCCTACGTTGCCGGGGCCAATGTGGATAACTCGGGGAACACGTTCATCAAGCTCGGGTGGAATCCTATCTATCTTGAGCCGGCCACACCTTTCCGCAATCAAATGCCAACTTGGGGTGTCAAAATTGACTGTCCCAATGGCGGATGCTCAGGGCTACCATGCGCAATCGATCCATCCCAAAATACGGTCAATCAAATGGTTGGAGATTCGAGCATCGGAGCAGGAGGTGGAGCCTTTTGCGTGGTGACCGTCGCGCAGGGCTCGACCGCCAACTTTGTGGTCTTCAATGCCGGTGGTGATACCAGCGATAGCGGCAGCAGTAGCGGTTCCAGTTCGTCAACTACGTCGTCCAGTGCCAACAATGCCGGACAGTTCTTTCAAACCACCAGCTCTTGGCAATCACCTACAGCTTCTCAGTCGTCCTCTGAGTCACCTTCTAGCAAAGCAACAACCACTTCAATCGAATCATCTACAGAGTCCTGGACTTACCCATCGGTCGTATCGACAAGTTCTGTTCCTACGGTATCGGCTTGGACTGGGCCGACCACATCAACCGGTTACTCCTACGCACTGCCAACTCACTCGCCATATTACTCGTTGTTCAACCATACCACGTATACGCCTCCCACAGAAGGAGTTACCTCAGCAGCCGTCGAAACAACCGCCGAAGCCACAGCAACCCCATCCGGGCCAGCCTCGTCTACGGTTGCGCCGCTCTTGCCTGCCACCGGTGGCTCCTCGACGGTCCAACTCTCTCTTGTCAGCCTCTTCTCGGCCTTGGCAGTCTATGCAGCTGTCATGATATGACAGCCACATGCTCTCCAATATTCTGTGGCATGGTATTGCAAATCAAAAAGAGCTCCGGGCAATCCTATGGGACTTGAACATTAGCGCAGCTGGTCTTGCAGACCTGATTCCGACCATTGGCTCGGCTGGACGATTTGACCACATCCATTCACTTCTTCCTGGATATTTTCGATTGCAAGTTTGCTGCTATTTTTTTGGCACAAGGAGAATATACTTTCATGTCCATATCATTCTGGTAATGCCGGCAAGGGGCACGCAGCTGCGTCAACCCACGTATTCGCATTCGGATCCGCCACCTGCTCGTCCGGGAGATTTTTTGTTGATAGTTCCGCATTCTCAGAATGTCTACGGTTTGGAGACCCTGTTTTTAACGATGCCCACGTCTGTTTGTTACACAAGTTCATGTTGGGACAGCAAGTACCGAGGGTGGGCTTTGAGGACGAGGGTTGATCGTTTGAGATTAGCACTTCGGCGGTTGGGAGAAAGCAAACGTTGTAACGTTTGGCTGTGTTGGACTGGGGAAGTACATAGTTGATTTTAATCAGATCTGTTCATATACATCTTCCTCGCCAACGAAAATCCTAATAGCATGTACCGTTGGTGCACAAGGTAGGGCTGTAAGACCCTTCCTCAGGGCAATGGAGGAATATTGTCGTCTAACCGGATTGTCCTGTCGCGCATTCGAGGTAATACAAGATCGGGACTCCGTAATACGAGCATTGCGGGTTCCCGGAGGGGGGAAGGAAGATGTTCTGTTTACGATACCGAGTTCGTTCCCAGCCAAGGCGTACAGGTTTTGGTGGTGACCCTTTTGCATGCTTAGCCTCTGACGATGCTGTCTGGAATGGGTGGAGGAGGAAATAGAGAAATATGGAGGTGTTACACTTATGTTGGCTACTTTCCACGCGGATTCGAATTTTGCTATCAATTTGGTAGACTTAAATCTTATAGCCATATCATGGACAGCTGCAGGTGACTGTGTCGTTCAACAAAAGTCTTCCAATTAGCCACATTCTCCTCCAAACGCAGAGAGATCAAAGTCGAGGTACGAGCCTTTCTTTTCGCCCTTGGGAATCAAATTGATTGTGCTATATGTCCATATTCCTGGTCTCCATTGCTAATGCTCAACGTTCCGCTATATTCCAAGAAGATTGGATGCAACATATTTCAAAGCCTCCCAGCTTCTATCGTATTCTTGTGCTAGGCTATATGTATATCTTTCAGGACCAGAAACCCAAAGTGTTAGAAAACCAAAGTGTTTGAGAACTAGAGGCCGGCCAAGCCGTTCGTCAAAGGAAGATCCACACAGTCGCTGATCGCGCCTCCGGTAATAGACGACTCGAGAGTCGCGTTACCCAACGTGTCCAGTCCCGCATCGAAGTCCTGGACAAGGAAGACTTTACTCGGGGTAGTACCATCCGCGTAGTTGCACAAAACGGTCCAGTACTCGTTGCCTTGGGTGTCCATGGCGACGAAAACGCTGTCGAGTGCCCCGTCGTTGGTGCCGTCGTCGACGAGGAAAGGCACCAATCCAACAATCTCTGAGGAGATGGGAATGTGTTCGGAGTCACCCAGGCGGAGGCGCGAGACACCGTAGTTGGTCATCTCAGTCGAGTAGTAAAATAGGGTGCGACCCTCACTATCGCCGACAACAACTTCGTCAAAGACCTGGAACAAAGCACTGCCAAAGGTCTCAGAGTCGATGTCCTGGATGCGAACGTTCCCGTCTTCGTCAGCCGCAATGTTGTATTGAAGTTCCGTATCGGAGATGATGGTGTAGTTGTATTCCGGGCCGGATTGGTCTGAATCATTGAGGTCTAGCGGTGTCGTGAAGTTGGACGATGTGTCATTCAAGTAAGCCGACACCACGGAGGGGAAGTCGTATTCGTCTTCGTCGTCCACGCCGTCGCCGTCGCCGTCGACGTCAACATCGATGTCTGGGAACGGACCGGTGCCGTCTGCGTACTGGGATAGCGTCAGCAGCGAATCGCTGTCGTAGTCGTAGGTGCCATCGGTAACAGTTGTATTGTCAGATTGACGCTTCGTGAATCCCGATAGAGTCAAGCATTTGGTAGCCAAGTTGAGCTTGTACGGGTCGAGCAGCGCTTTGTCCTTGGTCTTGTACTTCTCCTTGCCGAAGAGTTTAGCCACCGCGTTTGCCTTGAGGTCGTGTTGCAGGTTGATGTAAAAATTGATGCCATTGCAGGTCTTGTTAGTCGAAGCGCCGTTGGTGGCTCCATTGGCGGTGGAGTTGACGCCACCAGAAAGCGTACCATTCGAGAGACTAACTTCGGCTTGGAACGTCGCACCGGCGTGCAGTGAGGGGACACTGGTGACGGCCACTTCGGCAGTGAACTTGGAGTTGGCGATATCCAGACCAAAGGCCAGACCGATTGGAAGCGCGACGTACGTGTCCACGATGATCTCGCCCTTGGCTTGGAAGGTCGGCTCGAATTGTGGTTGCCAGGTCGGGGTCTGTGAGTTGCCTGAGTTTACCAGATCTATGACGGCACGGGCATTGGCAACTTTGACTGTGCCTCCCACGAGGATTTGGCCCGTAGCATTGAAGGTGAAACCCGCTTCAGCATCGAGGGTGATGTATGGTCCAATGGTGATGATGTTAGGAACTGACAGACCCGGGATACCTTGAGTGAAAAGTCGCACGCTCTTCTTGTCAGCGTAGCTGACCTCGGCCGCCACGCCCAAGTTAACGCCTGCCTGGAGGCTTCCTAACATCTCAAGTTGGCCCATGGTCAGGCCCTTGGTGATGTGGAAGGCCGCGCGACCAGCCACCTTCAAAGTTCCCGTGACACCACAGGAGACACAGTAGACATGGAAGTTGTTGTTCTCCCAGATCTTGATAGCATTGAGTGGTTTTTCGTTGGCATCCTTGAAGAAGTCTTGCTGGACGTATTTTACTTGAGTAGCGTTGGGGATGGTGAAGGTCTTGTTCAATTGGTATTCGTGAGGGCTGCCATCGACCCATGATTTGATGTCAGACGCCTTGGAGACTACCTTTTTGGCAAAGCCGACGATTTTGTCCTTTAGAGACGGCTTCTTCTGGGTCCCTTTATCTTTTGATGCCTATCTCGATTGTTAGTCTGGGAATGTACTTGTCCTGGTACTTCTGTATCGTGAACTTACAGCCGCGCCCTTCTTGCGGATATCTGAGACGACAGCGTTACTTCGACTCCTAGGAGTAGTGGTGGTGGCGCGTTTTCTAAGGGACCTCTTCTTGGAGTCTTGGTCAAAATAACCGCCGTCGTCCGTGTCGATATCGACGTCGGAGTCGCTGTTGTCATCATCGCCGTCGTCACTGAAAATGCCATCGTCGTCGTCATCGTAGTCGTCATCATCGTCATAATCAGCCCAGTTATAGTCGTCGAGACCGCCGGCAAAGTCAGTCAGGTCTTGCTGGAAGTCCGCTTGCTCCCACATGATGTATCCCAGGGCATCATCAAGCTGTTGATCGAATGTATCGCTGTCGTCGGTACCTGTGGGCAGGGATGTTGCCGCAGCGCTTGTAGTTGAAGTTGCACCAGAACCGGGGTATCCCTTGCTGGTTGTTGAGTAGCCTCCACCAGAACCTGCATAGGACACTGTGGTTGACACACTTCCAGCCGCTCTAGTCGAGGATGATTGTTGATATGTGCCCCATTCAAGGTCGAAACTCTCAGCAACATAGTCGAGATCCACGGCCTTCACGTTACAAGCGGCAGTAGATGTAGCAGAGTCAAAGCTCACCGACGAAGTCAGATAATACACATAGTGGCCGTCATCAGAACCCTCGGTCGTAGCCAGGACAAACCAAGTGCCGTCAGCAGGCCACGAGTTAGTTGCGTAGTTGTAGGCTTGTTGAGAGGAAAAGACGACGGTCAATGACGAACCAGACAAGGTGGCTGTCACAAAGGCCGAATGATCAAGCACGACGGTGGGATACTGGAAAGTAGTCCCAGCCGAGACGTAGAGAGAACCGGACGAGATGCCGGAGTTGGGAGCTCCTTGGGCAAAGAATAAATTCTTTGCGCTGCCTGGCTTCAAGTGCGAGAGATCTTGGTCGTTGTGCGAGGGTAGGAAGCCAGGGGTCAGGGTGTGGATCGGGGCCGCAGCCGAAACGATTGCTGGACTGCCGCCAGAGTTTCCAGAGGAAGACGACCAACCTCCAGAGGAGGAGCTTCCACCATACGAGGAACCGCCAAACGAGGAGCCTCCGCTTGTTGAGCCACCCGACGAGCTACCAGAAGAACCTCCCGAGGATGAGCTGCCAGGAGAGGAACCGCCTGAGCCTGAGGGCCCGCTGCTAGCCCAATCGCCCCAACCATCTGATCCCGTATTGCTTCCGGAGTGGCTTGAGGAAGAGCCATCTTCATGAGGGAGCCAGTCTGCCCACTGCCCGACCAACGTAGAGTGCGTAGAAGTCTTGCTCAATGAAGTGGTGGTGGTGGTAGAAGCAGTGGTAGTAGTGATCGTGGATGTGGTCTTTCTGGTAGAATCAGTCCAGTCTCCCCATGAAGGGTCGGTCTTAGCTGAGGTGGTTGGTATCGCAGAGGTTGTCGTCGTCGTGCTTGGTGTTGTCCATTCGTCCCAACCAGCTGGTGAAGCAGCTGCCAGTGAGAGAGTAAGGGCAGAAACAAGGAGGTATGCAGCCATTTTGATTTTTAGAGTATAATTAGGCTTAAACAACGATAAAGAAAGAGAGTGGACGACCCGAACGGATCAGTAATGAGTGACTGAAAACAGCAGCAAAAAACCGAAAGAAACAGCACAAATGAAGGACTGGACTGGTTAGGAGTGCTCACCAACAACGCTTACCATCATGGGGGGCGTATATATTATATACTCGTACATATCTCCAGGTTGAACTGAATTGGAGTCTGGATGGTCATGTTTCTCTTCCCCATCTCACGCGGTCGCTACGACCGGGACAGTTTCAATTTTACTCCTTCAAGGCCGGATTCGGATGCCAAGCTGGACCTCAGGTGAAGTCGATGAAGCCGCAAAACGCCATATTCTACCCTGTACCAGCGGTAGACATGCAAACAAGCGCCTGGAAAAGCTTTCGCCGAGATTGAGCATGGGATTCGCTTGATTGCACGTGGCGACGGGGGTCCTCACTTTCGGCCTTACCGAGTTGTGCTGTCCAGCTAATCCAGCGAGCCAACAGATTCAGTCATTATATACCGGACAGACGTTGGGAGTGGACGAAAACTGGTATGCCTTCCAGAACGGGAAGTGCTAGCGCCTATGCCTGACACAACGGGCTGTACCGAGCTGTAGGAATAGTGGATGGGGAGTGAACTAGCAAAAGGAGATTGAAGAAGTAGCCTTGTGCTCCGGTCGTGGGCAATGGCCGGTTCCTCGCGAGTCCAACGATTGGTCTCAGTTTTGACCTCCTGAATCCTCGAGTTGAGTCGAGACCGCGGACGGAGTGGGCCGTCATAAGACCAGACTCACGCCGCCGATGTTGTCCAAGGGCTTTCCGCAGCATTTGGCGTCATCAGAAATGGCAGGCCGTGATATCTGGAGTCACTTCATTCAACACCTGCCATGACTCCGGCGAGCTGGCTGGAGAGAATCCTGAACGATGGAGAGGGCCGCGCCACAAGGCCGTGGAAAAATGACTCAAGTTCTCCTTGAGGTCAAAAAAGGCCAACTCACGTGACTGGGTAGTCTTGGCTCTCTTAGCTTGAAACTCTTAAGCGTTCTTGGCACTCTTGGCACTCTTGGCACTCGGGATCTGTACCTCGTCGAGGCGGCGAATACAGTCCCACACCTAAATCGGACGGACGTTCAGCGCCGCCACCGTGCATCGTGTGAATCAGAAGGACCGTCAACTCCTTACTCGCATACCCGTCCTTCGGTTGCAGTAATGCAGGGGAAAAGGGTACTCGGCACTGCCGGCAACAACGTCCTGACCTATGATTGTGGTAGAATAGCAGGGCGGCAAGGCAGCAATAGATCTACGGCAAATTTGATATTCCCTTTTGGGTACGTTTCGAAACATACTGTTAGACATCATACGCCATATCTCGGCTAGGGGAAGGACTTTTTATGACCGTGACCTTCAGATTCCATGCTTGCTAAACCTATGAGTGCACGGTCGAGATTGACGCAATGTCCCAATCTTCGTCGAGACCATTCTCAATCCCCGAGCCAAGTCATCAGAATAGCACATGGGTCATATAGGCACTCCAAGTGCTAAGGCGCGGCTTCAACATAGGAGCTGTATCTCAAGAAAGCCCGCTACACCGTCTATTCAAAGTATCAAGGTGGACCCGGACCAAGGTACAGAAGCATGAAAAACAAAAGAACAAAGGAGTAAACCAAACAAAATCAAGAGACGCATCTACTGGGTCACACCACTCACAGGGACGCTGCTGTTTTTAGTGGGGTTGGCGCAGCCCTAAGTCATTGCTTTTTCTTGAGCAAGATCAAGGAGAAGCCGGTCGGCGACCAGATCTGGACCACCCGGTACTCTTTTGCTTTGGCCTTCGTGTTTATCTCTGGCAGCCAGTATATCACATGCACTGGCCACAGGCATGGCGCACACTTCGACGTAGCAGAAAGGGGACCTCGGTTTCGGCAATCGATGCAATGCTCCTCTCCGGAAGCTCACTGTTGAGTTTCCTGTCTCTTCCTCTCTCTCAATGGAAATCAACCGTGGGTACAGGCCTCATGGCAGCTTGCATCTGGCTTATGCCTGTTACAGCACTTGTGGCGCCGACAGCGCTCACTGTGGGAACGACCATGAGGAACGCTACCAGAAACAGCTGCATTGTACCGACACTAGACTAGGTCGTCTTCGGGACTCCAACGTCCTTACTGATGCTCGTTCCTTGTTGGTCACAGACGATTCAGATTTGTACTTCCATCCTTCGACGAGTAGTGAAAGACGCACGGCCGCAGTGTTGGAAAATGGTCGTCGGGTTGACTGGAGGTCGCCATGTGGACCGAACTGCACCAACGAGATCGAGGATCCATTCATCGGCCCTTCCTGGCAGTGCACACAAGTGGAGGACGTTGACGATCCATGAGCGCCTTGGAAGCCTAATTCTCTGGCTCACCCTGCTGCTGGAGTGAGTACGGAAATTGTTCAAACATTACTGACGGAGTACAACTCGATCGAACTTCTCTACAGTTCTGTCTACTATGGCGGACTGAATGCATCGACGAACCAGTTCTGGGGGAGTCACTGCCGACTTCGCTCAAGGTCTCGGACCCATCTGGCGGCATCTTGGGGAGGTCGCCGAGGGACATACTTGACGTCCAGGTATACTACACCCAGGTCGTCAATTCCTCATGTACAAAGCAAGTGAGCTATATTTGACGGACTTCAAACCAACACTTTGTACAAAAATGAACCCCCCCCCCCGACCCTCCAGGTCTCTTCGGATGGCTAAACCAACGCAGCTACACCGTCCACAACGAGTACCTGCAAAGCCTGCCGATTGCACTCCGAGACATCGTCAGCATGTATACAGCCATGATCAGTACGCTGCGCGATATGAGCTCGTGACCAACGCCATGGTTGGTCCCGTTCCATTTCTCATCACCAACTTCCCCATCAATATGACCTATGCGGTCGAGACACCGTATATCCTCCGCCGGGACCTTGGCTCCTGGCTGCAGGAGCTCTCGCATAACCTCACGATATCCCTAGTGTCCAATCCCTCCCTCCTCGTCATAACTTCCACTACCGTGCCATGCAATGGAATCCTCACCAAGACGGTTTGAAAAGCTGACTAGCTGCGCATTCTTGCGGCATACAGCACTGGCCTGGGAGTAACACTTGTCTGCTTGGTTGTTGGTGCCCGCGCTCGCGTAGTCAACTGTGTAGCTCACGATACATCGTACGCACGACGAGGATTGAGGAGTTAAACAGCCTTATCGACTCAGATAATATCGGAGGTTTACCTTTGTTAACGCGTGCACTGCAGGGAAGCAGAGGCTGAAGACCCCAGACAGTAGGCCGCTCGACCTTGGAGATGAGAATACCACAAGGATAAGGAGTCGGTTTGTATTAGAGGATTAATGCTCGCATACTTGTCTTTGCTTCGCCAAGATGGTGAGCTCGTATTTCTAGCGTCGACACTCCCCAGGTGTGGCTGTGTGGCTCCCCCTCCATAGTCCCTGGTGATCTTCCGTCCACCCCCCACCTTCAGCCTGGACAGCACCACTCACCCACCACTCTCACCCGCGCACGACCACCTACCTCTATTGTTACTACTTTTCACTGTCCAGAACTATATGATACCGAGCCGTTGACCCTTATCACTGATTTGACCTTCTACTCCTCCTCATCCGAGTCCCAGCCAGTATCCCGATCGGCCCGAAAACCATCGCCAAAGAGAGCCAGGTCGTGCAGCCAGGTCACGATGCCAGCGGCATCTCCTCAAACAGTGAGTCTCTGCACAGACCTGAACTACATCGATTCCAGGACACAAATCTAGAAGTTCAATGTGGCACCGATCGCGTGCAGGATCTGTTTCACTCTTCGGCCCCAGTTGCGCGTCCTATCTCCTCTCCTATCACACCAAAGTCCCAACCGTACCTAGGTATCTAATCCACTCTGCATAGATAAAACTAAAATCGACTCTTCGCCTCCTCATCCCTCGTCTCCGCAATGCACAGAAGAAAGACACCGCCATCTCCGTGTCAGCGCGCCGCGAAATGGCCGAACTGCTTGCTCAATCCAGGGAAGCGTCCGCCCGCATACGCGTCGAGAATATTATCCACACCGACATCACCGTGGAGCTGATGGAGATCCTGGAACTCTACGCCGAACTCCTCCTTGCCAGGGCAGGCCTGTTGGATGTCCGAGACAAGAACATCAAGGAAGGCACAGCGCAGGCGGGCGATGATACCGGTTTGGAAGAGGCGGCAGCGAGCATTATATACTCTGCGCCGCGGTTGCCCCGGGATGTGCGGGAGCTGGGCATCGTGCGAAGCATGCTGATCGAGCGGTTCGGCAAGGACTTTGCGATTCGCGCGAACGAGAATGAAGACAACTGTGTGCCCGCTCGAGTGGTAGATAAGTTAAAAGTCGATCCACCAAGTGCGAAACTGGTGCAGGCATATTTGGAGGAGATTGCAAGGACTTATGGAGTGGACTGGCCTCCGCAAAGGGAAGAAGAGCAGGTCGAGGCACTGAGTAAGGAAGTCGATGGTGAGAATGCTGGAGATGATGACGGCGAGGGCGGTGGTATGAAAGAGCCACCTTTGCTTGCGGACGGGGCATCAACAAACCCAGCGACACCATCACGGCCGAACAAGATCGACATTACGGGGTCTTTACAGAATGCGACACCGCCTTCGAGCTTGGAGCCTGGAGGTGCAAAAAGCCCTGTCTCGATAGCTCCTCCTGGCGCGACATCTGACAATCTCAGCCCAAGGGTCAAATTGCCCGGCGGAGGGGAGATCAGAAAGGGCTTCAACAATGCGAAATCCACACCACCCACGGGGACTGCAAAGGGGAAGAGCCCAGGTGCAGGTGGAGGGGCCGGAGGGGTGCCTGGAAATGTTCCGACCGTAGACGATTTGGCAAAGAGGTTTTCGGCGCTCAAGAGATGAATATGGATCTTAAGCAGGAAACGAACCTGCAGATCGGCCATCTGCTACGCAGAACAGTTGAGAATCTGATGCATTGAGGATTTCTTCCTTTTACCGCAGAGTCGTCACAGATTGTACGATTGCTGTGGCATCACCTCTGCCATTGGCAACTGTCCGCTGTCCAGCCCCATCTACACGATCTTGTTTCCTTTTGACTCCGTGGGAGATCTCGTCGGTAGGGCGATATACTCTTCTTTTTGGACGCACTTTCTCACGCAACGTGCGTTGATCGTTTTCTCTTCCTCCACCAAGGGTTGAGTTCCCCAACACCGCCGTGTGCTTGGTGAAATTGTGCAACCAGGTATTTGCATGATATACGTCCGCTTGACTTGTATGGATGTGCGCCGAAACATAACCCGCCGTAGATGCGTGACTTGGGAAGCCGCACTACTTCCCCGATTATAGAATTTCATCAGGCATTGCTGATACGTGGTAGGTGTGATCCAAATTCAATATAGCACATGAAATGCTCAAGCTTTGGGCGCATGTACTGACCATCCGCGTTCAGGATCGCACCTGAGAGTTGCCGGTGTAGCGTTAGGTAAGATCCAAGGGAGCAGTCGGGAAGTGCTTCGCAGTATTTTGATATATTCCTCGTGTCCGTGTCTCGGTGGTTTTGCCTTCTACTTTTCCCTTCGTCACTCCAGTTTATCCAAATGCTCCAATCTCGTCAAGACGACCTGTTTGCTCGTCTCCTCGATCTCGCCGGCCAAGAAGACTTCGTCAAGAATGGCGTAGACCTTGTAAAAGTTGAAGACGAGATCCAATTCGCAGACATTGCCGAAAAACTGGTCGAGCACCTCGACGAAGAAGTGGATGGCTTCGAGGTAGGCGAGCTCGTTGTCGTTGGCGTCGACGCAGACACAGAAGAACAAGCCCGCGTACCGACGGTACACGATCTTTGTCGAGGACAGGTTCTGACGGACCAGGGGTTGGGCGTGGGATGTGGAGGCGGACGAGGAGGGCGCGGATCGGAACTCGACGAAGTTGGATTGGTATTTCTGGTCACGGGGAGCAATAAGCCGGTGGACCTGGGGAAACAGTCGAATAGTCAGTATGAAATGTCCTTGAAGAGTAGTGGAAGCCAATCTCAAGTGGGTGAGTCGTTGCAGTGAACATAACGTCTTACCTCGCCCTTCAGTTTCACTTTCTCTTCGTCAGTGTAGGGGGCATACCACTTGGCCAGCCTCGTTTTGCCCTGACGATTCTGGACAAGAATGAAGGAGAGCACCATGATGGAACCTGGCAGATGCAAACCACTTCGGCAAACAACGATTGAAGATCAATGAATGATGGCCACGCATGGGGCGTTGTCACTTTGCCATGTCCCCGAGTTGGCTCGGTGCCGAGTCCGGCGTGAGATTGGACTTTCCCGTTTTAGTGACAGTCAACAACGTCCCAGTCTTCTCCTTCGATCAGCACCACAGACCATCAAGCCTTCATGACTGAATGATTGCACCGTGTTTCCTTACGCTCACGTCTGCAGAGCCAGATCTCCAGTCTATAGACTTTTTCATCACCGCTCGCTAGATCACATACTTTCAGGAAGTGCAGGTCATGGCGTGCAGAGAGATAGCCATAGAATGGAGTGTCATTGCGATGCTCCAGAAGGGACCGTTGACACTCATTTCGTTTTCTTCCAGAACTTGACGTTGTGAAATGTGAACAAACGAGGCTTCATACGTGTGTGAGTATATATATTCCTCCTTCCCCTTGATCTTGCGATCCTTTGGTTTTCCATAACCGGTCCTATATCGACATATCAATCTACGATTTAGACAATACTTCCAGTTCTCAGTCGTGTTCTTACATCGACGAGTCCAAATCCATAGAGGAGCGCATTGCATCCGACCTCAACATGTTCAAGACTCTCCAAGCAACTGTGCATGAGATACTTGAGGTTGGCGAAGAAAACCAAAGTCGTGGACGTTCCAAACGCAGGCCCGTCGATGCGGGCTCCGCAGGTCCCCATACCGGATCTGATTCCTTGTCGCAAGCTTCAGCCACAGCGAACAGCGACAGTGTTGTGCATTTGCGAGGTGGAGCTACCCGAGAAGGTTGGGAGAGGTCCGATGGGTGGTGTAGGTGCTGCGTCGTGATGTGAAGCAAACGTTGCTGGCATAATATGAACTTCGTCGGAGGGCTGTTGCTGTATCTAAGTCATACATAGCATCTGTCTCTTGAGATCCTCGAGGTAAATAGCAAATTGGGCCTTTTGTCTCTGCTTGCTGCTTGCGGCGTCTCTTACTGGTCATTGTCAAGAGCATCAAGTTTCTGGAAGCCCAATAGGGTAAACAGTAAACCGACCGAAAAGGATGGCTGTGTACCTAGGTGCTATAACCCTGTGTGATTGTACATTGCGACTGCCAGTGATCCGCATTCGGTGTATGCCAGCATAGAGGACTCCTCCAACGCCAGGACTATGATCTCGCACCTACATGTATGGAAGGCCAAACCCCGTGATATCTGAAAGTGCCTGAAGCGACGACTGCACCCCTATCTCCCTTTATCTTACCCGAACACTTGATTCATGGCCTTGTGCGCCAACTCGACCCCCACGAATGTGGCTGCATTCGCTGGTATGGCTCTGGCCAATGCTGGTCCGAAACCTGGGAAGAAAGCTTTGATGCCACCGCTTCTGTATACCTGCGAAATAACACCACTGATGGTTGGCTTTCCCTCCGCGGTCTGTATCCTGCTTTTGATCGTGTCGACAGGGAACACGGGTATCCACATGGCCACACCTGCAGAAGCTCCAGCAGTCATGACAGCAGGCAGACTTAATTCCCCTGTCGCGTTGCCCTCGGCATCCTTGGGGGAGAGGCTGCGTTTGACGTACTCATAGACTGCGAAGTACGCGGCTGAACCGGGCCCATCGCGAGCAAGAGTCATCGCGGAACCCCTGAACACGGATCTTATACCCCCTTCATTATACAGCTGTCTGACGACGTCCAGTCCGCCAGAGTATTTGGGTTTCTCTCCCGGCGCGAGCTGTTTCTGACCCTGAATCTGTAGGAGGACTTTAACACGCTCAAACGGCGCGGTGATGAGGGTCATGGGTATAGCTGAAAAGAACCCGGCGGCGGAGATTTGCCCGATGGAGTATTGAGGCGTGTTGTTTTTGACAGGCACCGTAGTGAACGAGTCCACGAGCCTTTTCCCCATATCGTAACCCCAGAAGCTGACGGCGAACATGGGCGTAACGCCCACCAGAGGAGCCGAGACACCTGCATAGAGGCCTCTCGCTAGCCCCTCGCGAGCGACGGTCTTCTTCACAACATCGATCGCGCCCGAATAAACTCCCTTCTCAGCGGTCTGTAGGCGAACTTTCACCAAGTCGAAAGGGTGCCCGACTATGACCGCGCACACGCCACCTACTCCGCCAGCGGCGAGAGACCGGAGACCAGAGACGGCGCCCTTGGCGGTCTCTTTGACTTGCTCTTTGACTTCCTCGGAGGAGGGGAGTTGTTCTATTGACGAGGGCATCGTGGCTGGGGCCATTGAGGAAGCACGAGGTTGGAAAGGTGGGCAGGCAGTCCACGCAGGGATGTCGGCGAGTTACCCAGTGATTCAAAGCTCGAGTCTTCGTCTGTGTAATATTCTTGCTATGATGCCGTGCAAAGGGACGGGCGGACGGAGCGAGGAGGCGATCGACGGCGAGCCTAGAGGCTTGTCGGAGGGGCAGGTGCAGACGCGTCAGGGCGGAGGGACTCGTATTCATCTACGTGATATCATGGTAGAGTATCGGGGTCCAAGGTCCAAGGGCTGTTCACTGAAGCTCAAGATATAAGTTCACCTTCAGAAGAAGTTGGCACACAATGGATAAAATTGTTATGGACGCGGAAAACGTCGCATGCCTTGAGAATCGCCGAATTCAAAAGCATGCGAGGGTGAACGGAGCAAAAGCCACAAATTCCCCGGAGGTTGTCAGCCGAGGTTCGGTCCTGCTTCCTTCGCCTCACGGTGCCCTCCAGCCGTGGAGAATATGGCTACAGAGGCTCTTTGAATGCCCCGAGATGTTTTCGTTCTCCGGTAATTTCGTCTGGGCGAATCTCGGAGCCCGATACAAAGCGTAGACGCGTTCAAGCTGGTTTCCCTAGGTACTAGGTAGGTTTGGTTTTTATAATTATCACTTTCCAAAAATATACAACCAACACCATGCTACCGCAGCTTTCCCGAGCCAAATTGCAGCGCCTCCTTTCCTGTAGTATACATATATCTCGTGCAATGACGAAGTAAGGAGTCTGAGTCCCGTGCAGCAAACTCAGCTCCCAGGTAATCCTCCTGCTCACTGATGGCCGCGCGTGATCCCGTGTACCGTCTTCATCACCTCGCCCAGTTTGTCCCCAAACAAGATGTGAGCTTCAGCGACCAAAATAATGGTGAAGAGGAGCCAGCAAGCAAGGAAGATGAGTGTCACCTTGGCCATCAACCTCAGCAACCGCATTCGACTCTGCCAAGGGAAACTTCTCCACGCCTCGACTAAGCCAATCTTGCCTTGTCCGCCAATGATAGCGGGAGTAGTCTTCCCGCCAAATGTGCGGTCAAATGGGACAATGGTTTCATCCTCCTCTGGGAGCATTGACGCTGCGACTCGGACCAGGGTGACGGTGGCGGGGATTTGGAGGAGCACGAATAAGGCAACCATCAGAGAGAATCCTAGAACTCCCTGGCCGCCCACGGCGTAAAGATCTTTGCGACCTGGCTGATAGTCCGGATTCTCCATGTGCTTTAGCGACCCAAATGACCCACAAACCAACATGGGCAGAATGGATACGACCTGGTGGGTGGTTGCCCACAAGGCAACAGCGGGGGCTATTTTGGGCCAGGTTCGAATGGAAGGAATGCGCTTGTACCATCTCTTCTCGCTAGGCTCAGAAATGACAATGTGTACCCAGGCCATGTGGAATGTGGCAAGGGCAGTTTCGGCGACAATGGCAGCAAAGGCAACACCCAGTCGGTTGGGGAAGATGGTTGCGATGATGGAGATGAGGAGGCCACAAATCATGTTCCATGCAAAGAACATGGACAAGCCGCGGAATCGAGACCAGTAGCCAGCTCGAGCTCGGAGGTGCTGAATGGTCTGGCGGATCGAGGCTGTGTAGGGCTTGTTGCGGACGAGGAGAACTTCGGCATCGCCATCCAACTCGTCCTCGAGGTCCTCGGGTTGGCCGTGTGTGGGCTTGGGTGCAGGGTTTGCAGAGTAGGCGGGAGGGTCAGTCGGTTCTATTGTGCCGACAGGAACGTAGGCTTCGGTTTCAGGGCTCTCAACCATGCATAGGATGGGCAGCAAGTGGCCGTAGGTATAACCAACCTGTAGATTCGTTAATGTGCATCCGAGACTGTAGAGCAGAGACACTTACAGAAAATAGAAGGGCAATGAAAACCAGACTAGAAAGGACGAAGATCAAGGCAGCCAGTGGTGAGACTCGAGGTTGCTCGCCTCCTGCGGGCTCCTCCAGCCCAGCCGTGGCTGCAATCATACCACGGTGGGCGGCTTCCACGCCGCGGCGAACAAGGTGCGTAGACAGAGTCATGATGAGGATAGATGGAGGAATGAAGAGAAGGACGGTTGAGGAGGAAGAAAGAATCAAGGATAAAGAATGAAAGAGGGAACTCGGTCTGGTGAGATTGACGGTTCTTTATTGGGGGGTCGAGCAGCGAACGTCGACTCGTCGAGGGTGAAACAAGCGGATGGATCAGACATTCCATGTTCCGCCGACTCCGAAGGCAGCAAATCAGCGTCACTCAGGCTGCCGCGTTTCCAACACGACGAACAAGCACAGCCACAGGGGGCGATTCTGTCCAAGGCACAGCTGAACAGTACTCGGCATGATGACCGAAATATAGAGCCCTCTCTGCACAACCGGCCTGAGGACTCGCAGAGTTCTATCTGGATCCGGATAACTCTGTAACCAGGTATCGGATTTGCCTCTGCTGCTGGACGATTTGTTCTCCCTCCTGTTCAGCTTGGGCCTAACATGGCATGCTGTCCCAACGAGGATGAAACCCACCTGAAGTGAAACAAGTTGCTGACACTCCTGGGTTCTTTGTGCTGCACGGCCACTCCGCTCTGGGAAGAGGGCGAGCCCATCTCCATTTCTTTGTTTAGGAGATTGAAGTGTTTGATGTCCTAGGCGCTTGCCAGAGCTGAACGGCACATAGCAGCCCCTCAGCGAAATATCTGCCAACTACCTAGGCTATCCAGTCACTCGCTCCGATACCATATCGCTCCTTCATGTTGTTGCAATGCAAGACATATCATCATCTCCCAGGATACGTGAAGTCGACGCGGCCGACGCGCTATGCAGAACACCAGCAGCAAATAATAGATAGCCCATTTCGCCATATCTGGATGCCCGTACAGCCATCCCATGTATCACCATCCCATTATGCGATGCAATCTCGCCCTGCTCCAGAATGTCCACTTTGTCCGTGCGCCAGCAAGCACTCACTCGTCCCCTAAGCTTTCTCTCACGATTCGTTGACACTTTCTCCGGAAACCTTTGGGATCTTCCCTCCACATCTTGGCTGCGTCCACGTTCGCGGGAGACTCGTCGTTCGGGGAACTCAACATACTGATGACAGATATCAGGATCGTCTCGGGACTTTGTACGGGACTCCATCGCTCTGCTGCCGACTCATACCCGTATTGGTCATCCTCCTTCGAAAGTGTATTAGCCTGCGCCGCCATTGTTGAAGTGGGATTGCACTGCTGCCACCAAGCAGGACGAGTTGGTTGGAAGAACAGGGACACTTACTGGAGGGTGCAGGATAGATATACAGACTTCACCACTCGGATAGACATTAGGGTGGAATATTGGGGTTTCGAACTTCAATTTGGGAGGCATCAGAGGGTATTCTGGAGGGAAGGACAAGCGGGCACGAAAGAATCCTCCTGAGCCATCGTCAGCTAGCCGTGGGACCGTTGGAAATTGCAGATTCATACCGCCGTAGTATTTACAGTCGTCATTGATCATGAGCATGACTTCCCACTCGAAGACATTGTTGTCCACAAGCCCGCAACTGATGCCCGGTATATCTTTGTCTGACTGCATCTGTTTCAACTGCCTGCCGAGCAACACAGCAGCCGCTGATGTAGCAGTCATACTGGCAGGAAGTATGACCGGAGCTGCCACCCAGGCTGCGGTTCTGGTCCTCAAACTGGACAAGGAGGGAGAGGACTCTCCTCGTGGTCAGGGTATCTTCGAGGGAGTTGAGGAGGATTTCGAGATTGAATGGGAGATCGTTGTGGAGGAGGGATTGGAAGCTGGCTGAGGCGGCGACAGCACTGTTGAAAAGAGTTATTTGCTTTATTTACTTGCAGAACAGCAAGTGACTTGAGGAGCTTCACGTTTGAACCTAGGTATGCAGCGTGGGGGGTGACTTGCAAAGTGGAGGGAAATGGTGTTGTTGCTCTGGTTGCTCCGATTTGTCCGTTACCTCCGATCTGGCTCGGGATGAGGCTGGCCCTCGCTTCATCCGAGTCTGCCTTTATCACCTACTATTATTACTACCACTGCTACTACTAACTAGATGCCTACCTGGACAAAGAGGTTACGGTCTGAATACAATATCCCCTTTTGACGACGCTCTATACCTAGATACATAAAGCTCGTGTTCACTATCCCCTCAACATATCTTCTAATGAGGATTGTTCAAGTTGCCCGTGGTGAACCTCAGATATGGACGGACCTCCTTAACATCAGCGAACTTCTTCTTCGCGTCCTCGGTGGAAACTGAAGGAGGCACAATCACATCCTGCCCCATCTCCCAGTCAATCGGTGTCGTTACTCCTTTTTTGTCACCAAGCTGGAGTGCGTCGATGACCCGGAGGACTTCAGCTGTATTCCGGCCAGTTGAGGCAGGGTAGAGCATGATCAGTCGGATCTTCTTGGCTGGGTCGATGATGAAGACAGACCGAATGGTAAATGCAATACCTTTTTCGTCGATATTGTCTAGGTCTTGCTGATCCACCATGTCATATAAAAATGCCACTTTGCGATCGGCGTCTGCAATGATAGGAAATTGCAGGTTCGTCCTGGAGATCTCATTGATGTCCTTGATCCACTTGTCGTGACTTTTGAGATCGTTGGCGCTCAGGCCGATCATCTTGACTCCTCGCCTCTCGAATTCATCCTTCAACTTGGCAAACGCTCCCAGTTCCGTGGTACAAACCGGGGTGAAGTCGGCCGGGTGGCTAAACAATATAGCCCATGAGCTATCAATGAATTTGTGGAAATCAATATCGCCATGTGTGGTTTTGGCTTGGAAGTTTGGTGCCATGCTTCCAAGACGAAGGCGAGGCTGCTTTTCTGCAGACATAGAATATGCCCGAGCGCATTTCGCCAATGAAAATGGTTTCGTCCCGAGTGAAGGCACTCCTCGGCCCCGAAGCGTCAGAGTCAATGAACGGCCAAATGACCGCGATGCATATGAGGCCATCTTGGAGCACAATACGATTATTATTAAAAATCTTCGAGCACAGACAAGATACACTCAAAGAGAAGAGCAAAGGGAGACGAGGTTATAGTTTCGAGGCGAGAAACACAGGACCATTACCTACCTAGGTAGGCGCTGCACATTAGGTGTATGCGGTAAAAATGGCGTCATTGGGTCTTCGAACGCCCACCAGTCCCAAAGCAGGTCTATATACAAGTATCCAGTCTTTTCCCTTCGGTTAATTGTCTAGATAGTCGCGAGTCAATTCTGATAGCAATTCATGATTATCCGTGCATACGGACACTTTCATCAGACTGTAAGTCCTTCGAGCGCTACAAGAAATAGATGTCGAAGGCCACTCTTCCGGATTATGTGGGCGAATGAAATTTAGCTCCGAAGTACACAATGATACTTCATCCTCGTTGCGTCTTTCAAGAACGAGAGACAGAGAAAGTTGGATCACGGCCCGGGGGAACCTGCAATGTATTGACTGCCCGGACCAGGTCCAAGAATCTATGGCGTCAGAAACCTCTAGTCAAGCTGACAATACAGCCAGTTCCTATACGTCCTTTGGCTTTTGATCCGTTCGTGCATAACAACGCCAACCAAAGCAGTATGCTACCTCCAAGATGCTCCTGGCTCAAAAGACCGCCAATTCGTGAAACATCAAATCCTACCAGAGACAATATTGCTCTCCGCTTGGATTCCTCTTAATTGCCATATCTCCAACCACCCTCCAGCCTCATACGTTCTCGCTGTTCTCGATCCGCCTTGACCTCTTCGAGCGTCAGCCCATCGCCACTAAGTGCCCAATTGGCACTGCTAGTCCGGTCTCGGAGCCGTTTTAATCTATCCTTGTTGCCCTTGGAGAATATCTCTTCTATTTTCAATGGTGCGATTGGCCCAAACACTGCATCTCCGTCCATTCCCTCCTGCCGCATGAGTTGCTCGGTAAGATGGCCCGGCGTGGCCCAATCAGGAATCGGGAATGCATTGCCGTCGTCGTCTGATTCTTCATCCTCCGAGTCGGTTGGAATTTCGGGCAGATGAATGGCGTCCCCGTTAGGATACTGCGGTGAAGACTTGACTGTCTGGATCGTCTTTTGTTGCATGATCGACACCGGAGTTTTCGTATGCGCTGGTGGGTTAGGGGCATCTGCAAAGGGGATCTTTCCGCCTGTGGCATATTGTTGCATCTGTGGAGGTGCGGCTCGGCTGGGAGGTTGGGGGAATTGGCCCACATACGTCGAGGATTGTGCTTGCGTGTATGTGCTATGATTGAAGATCGATGCCTTCTTCCCAAGCTGTGACTGCCGGATGGGTGCACCAGAAACAACAGGACGTGGAAGAGTTTCAGTCACGGTTTCTTCCTCAGTCTTCCGTCTCTTCGTGTCGCCTTGAGAAGTCGGGAAGCCGTACTTTGAGTTTTGGGGACGAACGGTGCCCTGTTCTTCCTCCAGTGGTCGCTTTGCAGGCTTCGCGGGATTGGTGGGCAGGGGGTGGTTGAGTAATGGTCGACCAGTGGTTTGACCACCAAGACGCGAGGAAGGTCTAATCTGGGCAGCTTCGTTGGCAGCACGCTCCAACCGTTGCTGTTCTGCTTTTCTGGCCGTCTCTTGACGTTTGCGCTCAATAGCTTGCTGCTGAGCCTGTCGCTTCGCTTGTTCTGCCGCAACTCGCTCTCGTTCACGCTTCTCTGCCTCCGCACGCTGCCTCTGTTCCTGCCTGCGCGCCTCTTCCTGCTGGGCTGCTCGCTTGCGCTCCAGTTCTCGCTTCTGTTCGAGCTTTCTCTGTGCCTCTCGTTCGTCCTGTTCTTTCTTGCGTTCCGCTGCAAGCAAAGCTCTTGGCTTCTGAGGCGGATGGACCGAGGATTTCACGGTTGTCGATGTGGATGATTGCAAGGAGGCAGTGCTAGTCTTTTTATTTAATCCTGGGCGCTTGGGCTCCGCAGCCAGAGTTTCCTGGGTATTCGCAGCCACTTGCGAGGTACTGGCTGGCATTCGTTGAGAGAGTGTCCCGACCCGTATGGATACTGGTGCAGGCTTAGCTTTGTTCATAGGGTGGTCTTTTCCCAGTCTTATTGGCCGACTTGGTCTTGCTGCCGATTCGATCGAGTCTTGTTGTTCGACAGGCTGTTGCTTTGGGCTTGAAGGGCGAAGTTGTTCAGCCTCGATTTTGGCCATCTGTTCACGTGCGAGCTTTTGTTCCGCGACTTTCTTTCTCTCCTCCTCCCGCGCCTTCTCCAGTTGCTCATCCATCCGTTGCTTTAAGTGGACCTCTTTTTCCTTTCGCTTCTCCTCTCTTTCTCTCTCCGTGGAACTGCGGGTCTTTCTCGTCTCTTTCGCGGGGCTTGCAGGTAAGGGCTTATCTTCAATCATAGCGTTGAGGTTCGGATACATTCCAGGCATCGCATTCGAAGCCACCTTGAGGGCATTGGGAGACAAGGTTTCCAATTTGGCCGCGGCTGACACGCTTGCACTGCTAGTGAACAGGCCTTTGGCAGTCTTCATGATAGATTGCAACTTGGACTTGGAAGCACTTAGATCGAGATATCGCCTCGGAGAGCCTTGTGGAGTTGTTATGCTCTGAGTTGGATTTGACACTGATATGGATTTCGCCGGGCTTGGCGGAGGTGCCATGGATGCCTTTGCAGGTGAAGCCAAGGTGGCGGTTGAAGCAGACTTGGTGTGGCCAAAGCCTGGCATCATCTTACCAGGACCCGGCGACATGCGAACGGGAGTTCTCATGCGCTCATCGTGCGCAATCAGTTCCGGAGCCCGGAGATCAAATTCCTCCTCACTATCTGATTCTGTGGGCATTGCGGTCTTCAAAGGAGATGAACTGGCAGCTTCTGGACTGGTCAGCGGCTTGATCCAGTCGTCGTCGTCATCATTCGCAACCTGTGGTTGCTTTTCATTCTGGGGTTTCTGGTGCTGCTCGTTCAGCTGCTTCATGTCCGACAGGACGACAGCCGAAGGGATTGACTTGGAGGGTCGTGGGGGAGGGACTTTCCCAAGCATGTCGATTTTCTCATGCAGTCTTTGTGTTGAGAATTTAGAGTGCGCTTTGGTGACTTGATTTTCGCTCTCAGAGTCATCGTGACCCAAAATCTGCACGTTCGAGTCATTTTCATCGTCGTCTGCATCGTCCATCTCAACATCCTTGTTGTCATCATGGGGCGAGTGCTGTATTGCCTGACTTGAAGGGACATTTGGTCGAAAACCATAAGCACTTGACGGCGGTCGATGGATTTGGTCGATATGGCTTGTTCGTGAGATTCTGGTACCAATACTCGATTTCAACGGCTCTCGTGCAGGCAACGCAGCAAATGTCAGACTACTTTTCCTTACCAAAGGTCTTTCGGGAGTTGATTCATCGGAAGGAGATCCAATGTCATCCAGCTCAGGGTGTACTTCTGCTTGCCGCTCGTTTGTCGCTTCGATATTATCGCTCTGGTGAATATCCAGCACTACGCTTTGAGGCGCAGTTCCCTTTACAGCCACCTCGGGACCTATCTTCGTTGTTTGGTCTTCTTTTGCTGAATGAAAGGATCCTTCGGTAGTACGGTGCCCTTCCTCCATTGCCTCGTCCATATTATGTTCTGAAGTCGTATCTGTATTGTCACGAGATTCTTCGAGTACTCTCTCTGGCCCGTCGCTCGGGTAAGGCTGTGGGCCGATATCCACATCTTCCTGGCTTGCGGTGTGGTAGCCTGAATCGGTCTGTGACTTGAGGGGTTGTTGTGTTTGATCGGTTGCGATTGAGATTTCGAAGCGCAGTTTCGGTTGATCTGCTCTTTTCTGAGGACTCTGTCGTGGTAACGGTTTCGTTGAAAAGACGTCGCTCAGAGGCTGCAGCACAGGCATTAGATGCTGTCACACGGAGGGGAGCTAAGACTCTGCTTACTATTCGTGCGTCTTGGGCGTGACGTTTCCTCGCCGTGCGAGGAGTTTTCCCTCGAAGCTTTCCGGGTGTCTTGAAGACATTGGCGACATCACTATTTCAGGTCAGCATCCCTGCAGACACGGCTGTTTCTGAATTGGACATACAGGTGGCTCTTGTTGAATATCTCGGACATATGCTCGTTGAGCCATTCGAGCTGGTGCTGGGCCGGGTATATGACTTCCTCTTTTTCATTCTGTAGAAGACTCAAAGCATTCTCCTTCTCGGCTGCGATCCAGGAGACTGATCCGACCGTCGTACCTTTGGTGGTCATTGTGCTCGGCGAAGTCGACGTGGAAATGGGGACAGAAATCTTGGTCTGCTGAATGCGTTGGCGTCAAGGCTCCCCTAATAACGTCTTGCTGGATCAAGGAAGTGCATTGTTGTAGGGGCAGGATAGAGGGCGGGCAACAGCTGATTGTGAGGTGAGAGACGAGGTCAATCATGGCGGGAATCTTTCCAGGTTCGTGTGTTTTGGTTACAGCCGCGTTGGTCTTAGCGTGGAGCACGCATTCACGTGACTGGTTTGGCTATTTCCTGCTACATTCAGCTGCAGTGTCAACCTTGGAAGTCTACTACTCCATACGTACTCTTCCAAAATTGCATCTCGTGTTCCCACTTCCACGAAGTCCAGCAGTCAAACCCGCAGGCTGAGAATGGTTCATTCTCACAGACATCTCAACCAGAGCCCAATAGTGGGAAGGGGCGATGCAGGAGGCTGGCATGACGCCGCCGCGGTACGGCGGATTGTTGACCGCATCGCCCCGGTTCCGAGATGCTCCGTCTCGAAAATCAATGACTTGTCGTTCCGAGACACCGCCAGAGAAGAGCGATTGGTTGGGTTGGGAATCCCCAGACTAAAGCACTCCTCACCCACTGCTGGCCTAGTTGGAGAAGGCAGCGATCTCGGAGTGTCTCCAATGGTCCCTGTCTTCATAATAGGTCTTTCAAATCGTCCTTCTCACGTAGCGACGCTCGTTTCTACAGATACCATCGTCGCAGTCCTAGCCTTGTAGCACCCTTCGCATCGTCCAGCTGCCATCATGCCCACCAGACATTGTTTTAACCGCCTATCACGACAGCTAAGTTCCAAGACTCGGTCAGCCATCTCCTCTCAGCCTCGGTTATGGCAACAAGTATCTTTCAACCACGGAAGAAGGCACTTTTGCGCAACTGGGAAATGCAGGATCATGGAGACAAGCTGTTTCACTGAAGAGCAGCTGAGCGTGCGCGAGGCTATTCAAAAGATTTGTGCTCAATTTTCGAATGAATACTGGCAACAGCATGACCAAACTGAAACCGATCCCAAGGAGTTGCATGCTGCTTTGGCAGCTGACGGATGGCTTGGTATTGCTCTTCCAGAAGAATTTGGAGGTGCGGGACTGGGTATCTCGGAAGCGACCATGATGCTACAGACAATATCTCAATCCGGGGCAGGCATGGCAGGTGCTCAGTCTATTCACGGTAACGTCTATGCTGTCAGCTTATTCTCTCGCTCCTGTAAGTAAAGGTCATTAGTTTCTAACAGGTCTAAAGACACAACCGCTTGCCAGATTTGGAAACAAAGAACAACTGCAATCTACGATACCGAACATTGTCAGCGGTAAATGGAGAGTATGCTTTGGTGTGACTGAGCCGAACACTGGGCTGGACACATTAAGGCTAAAGACAACCGCCACACGAAAGGGAGACAAATACATCATCAATGGTAAGAAGCGATCAAGATATTTGAACACAAGAACAAATGTTCCTAACCGACTACAGGACAAAAGATATGGATCACCTGTGCACAGGTCGCTTCGAAGATGATCCTCCTTGCTCGAACAACACCTTTGGAAGAGGTGAAGAAGCCGAGCGAAGGCCTGTCTATGTTTTGTATCGATATCGACAGATCGAACCCTGCGCTGGAGCTCAAAAAAATTAAGAAGATGGGTGGAAGGGCTGTCGATGCCAACGAAGTCTTCTTCGATCATTATGAGGTGCCAGAGAACACTCTCGTGGGAGAAGAGGGGCAAGGCTTCAAGATCATCTTGCATGGAATGAACGCTGAAAGATGTCTCTTGGCGGGAGAAGCGCTCGGACTTGGCTATGCAGCCATTGAGAAAGCCGCACAGTATGCTAGAGAGAGAGTCGTCTTTGGCAGACCCATTGGGAAGAACCAAGCCATTGCACATCCCCTGGCTGACGCATACATGAATCTGGAAGCCGCCAAGTTAGCCGCCTATCATGCAGCTCGGTTGTACGATCAAAGCAAAACGGATACCAGCATCAGTCCTCATGCGGTCGGTGTCGCATGCAACAGTGCGAAATATCTGGCGGCAGAGGCAGCTTTCAAAGCCTGTGAGAGAGCGGTCATGACCCACGGCGGTATGGGATATGCTATGGAATATGATGTGGAGAGATATATGAGGGAGATCTTTGTCCCCAGGATCGCCCCAATCAGCCGAGAGATGATTCTGAACTTCGTGAGCGAAAAGGTACTGGAGCTGCCTAGGAGTTATTGAGAAATTGTAACAATATATATAAGTTTCTGCATTGGTCCAGGAAACGCTCAGGTATCTATGGCAATTGGCAGTGGTGGTAGAGAACTGGCAGAATGATTTTCGTCTTTCCCACTTTTATTTTCCCCGCACTGATATTTTCTAAGATCCAGCGAGCCAGATATATCACGGTCGCCCCCTATCAAGACACCTGTCTCCCTGTATGCAGTCATGTCGCGGATAGAAGAACTTCCAGATGACTTCGACGAGCGTGTCAATCTCAATGATGCGCCTAAAGATGTACCCTCAATCGAGGAGTTGTACGATCAGCACATCTCGGCCTCTGGTCCGTCACAAAACCAGATGTCTTCCAAAAGCTTCGAGGAGATCGTGCAGGACATGAGCAAAACCCCGCTCTTCATGAACAGTCTTGACGAAGCGACTAGCGACGGTAGGCCCAAACGTACGGCTGCTCATGCAATTGGCTGAGCAATGGTCTGCAGATGGGGAGAATATTATGCTTGACGCCATCAAAGCCCTGCAGCACGAGGGAACGAAGGCGGAAGTGGCACAGGGATTTAAAGAACGCGGGAATGAAATGGTCGCAGAGAAGAAATGGAAAGACGCCAAAGAATTTTACACCAAAGGGATTGCAGTCCTAGCGGACAAGGACGAGGATAAGTGGGACAAGGCTGAGGATCAGGCCGCGGAGGAGAAGCTGCGAGTCCTGCTCAGCGAACAATTATACGCCAACCGAGCTCGTTGCAATCTGGAGCTGAGTAGGATATTCCGACTTTTGCATGGAAGGCATGCTAACAGGTCAGAAAACTATCGGTCGACCACCCTGGACAGTGCAGCTGCACTGCGTATCAACCCTTCGAACATCAAAGCGCATTACAGGTCGGCCTCCGCCCTGCTCGCCCTTGACAAAGTTCTCGAAGCGCTAGATGTCGCATCCCGCGGGTTCAAACTCGATCCTGACAATACAGCCTTGAAGAAGTTGCTGGAGCAGATAAGAAGCAGAATGAAAGTCAAAGAGGCAGAAGACCGCCGCCGCTTGGCAGAGTTGAGAAGGAAACAGCAAGAGAAGGAGGTGTTGGAGGCGGCCTTGAAGGCGAAGAAGATTATCGTCCGTGGGTCTAAACAGCCTCCAAACTTGGAAGACGCGACCATTCGACTGTCACCAGATCCTCTATCGCCCACCAGTCTGCTGGAATTCCCGGTGATGTTACTCTATCCGATGCATAACCAGACCGACCTGATCAAAGCCTGGGCCGAGAAAGATGCCATCACCCATCACCTGAGCTACATTCTGCCCTTGCCGTGGGATAGCAAGAACGAATACAAACAGTCGACAGTAGACTGCTACATGGATACCATCAGCGGTGGGCTGATGAAGGTTGGCAAGAAGTTGACTTTGCTGGAGGCGCTCTCCAACGGGAAGACGGAAGTGGTGGACGGGCTGGTCAGGATTTACGTGGTGCCTGTGTCATTGGCACCTCAATGGATAGAAGAGATGAAGAAGAAAAGGGGCAAATAGAGATGATGCAGCACCAATTTGACAGCAGGATTTGTGGTTTCTGCCCTGTACGAGGTACTGCACTGTGGCTACTAACGAGGGTTTGTTCTTTTGCTGCTTCTCACCGCACACCCTCTTCTAGGTGCGCTTCTCAATTGTCACTAGGTACGAAAGCCATGCACACCCTCTGGTCAAACAAAGTGGTCATCGATCTGACCAACCGTGCATCAGCCTCCCGTCACCAGTCCCCTTTGCCTTCGGAGTTCCAGTGCCATCAGTGCCTGATCCCTGTCAAGGCCCCTCTTTGCCACGGACCGCGTGACGCCCAGCGCCGGCTTTTAGCTGGTTTCGGCTTGAGATTCTTGGTGGGTGCCAGTGCTTGGTGTCCAAAGTTGTTGGCGGCGACCAGCCGCTACCCACTCCACCAGAACCGCAGCGCCACCCTGCCTTAGTCAAAACACGCACACCGCATCAACCCACGTTTGCTTCAAGGCTACGCTACGCTTCGTTCGCATCTTCACGAAATTCATTAGTTAGTTCACGGGCCCAATCAAACGACTGCTAGCACTTCCAGAACAGCCATGAACAACCCCGCCTTACCCATATACGTTTCTCAGAGCCCTGGGCCATACGCTTTCAGCAATTCCCAGCCCAATGCCGGCTACGCCATCCCTCCCGGAACTCCCTTTGACCATGCCCAGACTCCATTCCAGCCGGGCATGATCCCAAACCAGATGCAAAGGCCCTTATCCTACCCTCATCAGGCGCAGCAACCTCTTTCTCACCAGCTCTACCAACAACATCCCGCCCAGGTTGGCGCACTGTCGCGCCCGGAGAGTCGATCCAGCTATAGCCCACAGTCCCAAGGTTAGTGGAAGTCTTTCGGAGATCATGCACAAAGATATATCACTTCCTTTCTGAGCGCGGAATCATGAGCTTGACAGAGTACTCACTACCAAGCAGGACATCCCTCCAATGGGCAAACTCCTATCCCTGTCCCAGTGACCCAAGGCACCAACCCGGCGTCGAGTCCCGCCCATTTACAGAGGGCAACTACCTCTGCTCAGTCCTTACCGTCTACGTCTGCGCCGGCGCCGCTGGATATGAATATGGCAACAAATATGGCACATCAAGGGCAATCGAGTTCCACTTTGGCTCAACAAGCCCAGATACAGAATGCGACACAAGTGGCACGCGCTACTCCCCAGCAGCAGCAGCAGCAGCAGCAGCAACAACAACAACAACAACAAACAAGCGCTGGCTCGGCAGTCTCACCACAGTCTGCTGCGCGAGAGAGAGCACGAGTCACGGTATTATTGGAGATCAATACCCATTTGCTCCAAGAGGTTGTATCATTACAGGCGCAGGGAAAAGCGGGAACCACACTGACTCAGGGACAACAATCACCTACCTCGCCCATATCAGCAACAGATCCGGCCAATGCCATTACCAACAGCCCAGGAGAGCCGCCAAAATCGGCGGGGGGAACGCCTCAGTCGAAGCCACCATCACAAGAGTATGCAGAATGTATGCGGCGCCTACAGGCCAATCTATCTTATTTAGCTGCGATTGCGGATGCGAAAAAGAAGGTCAACGGAGCCTTGCCCTCGGGTCCAGCAATAATGATTCCCCCACCTCACTTGCCGCAGGTGAATGAGTTGTATAAAAAGTTGAATGCTCTATTCCCGGAGGCGAGTCACTCGGCGATCAACAAAGCAATGGCACAAGCAGCTGCGCAAAACCAGAACACGGGTCCGAAACCGCAAATACCTTTCACTCCTGCGCAAGGGTGATGTGCACATATCAACGAGGACGATACTACTATAGGTCCCAAGCGGCGTTCGGTGAAGGCGCTTCTGCCTCGAGCGGCTTGTGTGATGATTCTCTCGCACATATCTCTCTCGCTGAAAGGATAACTGTCGAGCAGATCATGTCAATGCATCTCGTGGATAGCAGTCTGGTCCCTAGCGGGCACTGGAGTTCCAGCAATCGCACTACGGAGTTGTCAGACTGGCTACATTCCAAGCCTTACCAACCAATTTGCGCCGGTCATCAAATACTCCGATACTCAGCGGTCTGCTGCAGATATACTGGGGTTTCAGCGCCACTTCGCCGGACTATCGCGACAGCAAACGATGAAATCTTGGGTCTAAACCACAAGACAGGCAGTGAGGCATCCAGAGCATGCAGTGGATCCGGCAGGAATAGGACGATATGTAGATTATACGAGCAGGATTTGGTGCCATGTAGTGGTTAAATTTAGTATTGGGATGTTTGATCTGAGTCCAAGTGCCAGAATGACTTTACCCCCGACTTCTTTCCGCCTTGAAAACCCAAGGACGTTGATGATGGCAATTCAAAATCCCCCGTTAGCCATGCTCATGAATCCATATACATACAAACCTGGACAGGCTGTAGGTGTTCAGCCTCAAAGAGTCAAGCTGCAGCCAGAAGGCGGCAAGGGGCGGCCACCAACTTGAAGTGCCAAGAGTCGATGGCGGAGGGGAGTTGCGCCGCACTGCATTCAAGTTGGTCTCTGCCTTAGGCTCCGACTCATTTTCAGCGCAGCTCAGCCTTGTCCTTGCCCGGACCAACCTTGTATTGCTTTGCTAGCGACATCAAAGTCGTTGTTGCTTTCTCAGTCTCTGCCTAGCCTTTGTGCGCTTTAGTTCTTACTCTGGATGATATCCAGTATCTGCCCAAACCTCACCAGGGCTTCTTCTACTTCTATACAATTTTGTGATACTTCTGCATCCAACTTTTCTGCTAGTTTCGGCTTCACAACCCTCTTACGCGCCCGTCGCCTCAGGTCCTTCAGCCGACCCTTCATTTCCATACATAACCCGACCGTCCACCACAAATCACTACCAGGGCGCACCGCTGCATGCTTCCGATCTGCAACGTCCCTCCTGCATAGCCGCCTCCAAAGTCCTCCGACATCCTCACTCAATTTCCGCCTTTTCTCTGCGACTCCTGTTTCTACCATGTCTGCCAATGGCGAACTTCGACTCAAGAGAAGGACAAGTCCGACTTCGGCGCTGGAGAGGCCGAAGAAACAGTTGAAGCCAGAGAATGGAGTTCCTACCCCCGGCGACGCTACTCCTCAGAATGGCTCCGTGTACGATATCGAGGCCAACTCGAACTCGGTTCCCATTATCAACCCCGTTCCAGCCGCGGGCGATTCTCCAGAATGGCAGGCTACCATAGAAAGAGTGATTAAGAGTGTGGTGTCCATTCACTTCTGCCAGACATGCTCTTTTGACACCGACCTGTCCCTCTCTTCCCAAGCGACCGGGTTCGTGGTCGACGCGGAAAATGGCTACATCATGACCAATCGCCACGTCGTCTGCGCCGGTCCATTCTGGGGTTATTGCGTGTTTGACAACCATGAAGAGGTGGGTTGCCGTTTCCCTGCACCGTGTGCCTGCCACTCTGACAGATTGCTGACAATAATGTAGTGCGACGTGAAACCTGTCTATCGCGATCCTGTCCACGATTTCGGTATTCTACAATTCGATCCCAAAGCTATCAAATATATGAATGTCCAGGCGCTCAAACTCCAGCCGGAGTCTGCAAAAGTGGGTGTGGAGATAAGAGTGGTTGGCAACGACGCCGGGGAGAAACTCAGCATCCTCTCGGGTGTGATTAGTCGGCTCGATCGCAATGCTCCAGAATATGGTGAAGGCTACAGTGACTTCAACACCAACTACATCCAAGCTGCTGCTGCTGCTACTGGTGGAAGCTCCGGTAGTCCAGTGGTTAATCTAAGTGGACACGCGGTTGCTCTACAAGCCGGCGGCCGTATTGATGGTGCCGCTACTGATTACTTCTTACCGCTTGACCGTCCCCTGCGTGCGCTGCAGTGTCTACAACGAGGGGAACCGGTTAGCCGAGGAACTATCCAGACGCAATGGATGCTGAAACCCTTTGACGACTGTCGGAGGTTGGGTTTGACACCCGATTGGGAATCAGCAGTCCGAAAAGCCCATCCGAAAGAGAACAGTATGCTTGTCGCCGAGATTGTGCTCCCTGAAGGACCTGCAGACAACAAGATCCAAGAAGGGGATGTTTTGATCAAGGTCAACGGGGAGTTGCTGACATCGTTTGTTAAACTTGATGCCATTCTCGACTCCAGCGTGGGTGGGAAGGTGGACCTCTTGTTCCAACGTGGGGGAGAGGACCACGAAGTGACACTGGCGGTGGGAGATCTTCATGCAATTACCCCAGACAGATTTGTCACTGTGGCTGGCGGGAGCTTTCACAACCTGTCCTATCAGCAAGCTCGACTATACGCCATTGCCTGTAAAGGGCTGTATGTGTGTGAAGCTGCCGGGTCGTTCAAATTGGATAGTGCTCTTTCGGGGTGGATCATTGACACAGTGGACCAGAAACCGACGCCCGACCTCGAAGCCTTCATCGAAGTCATGAAAACCATTCCTGACCGGTCTCGGATCGTTATTTCGTACCGACATATTAGGGATCTTCATACTCGGGCCACTACGATCGTACATATCGATCGGCATTGGCACCCGAAGATGAGGTTGTCAGTGCGAAATGATCAAACAGGCCTGTGGAATTTCAAGGACCTGGGTAAGGCCCTGCCTGCTGTACCACAAGTGCCAAAGTCGGCAGATTTCATCCAACTGGACGGCGTCAATCTGCCTGCCGCGGCCGAAATCATCCGTTCGTTTCTCAAGATCACATGTTACATGCCTGTCAAGATTGATGGATATCCTCAAGCAAGAAGAACGGGTTTTGGATTGGTGATCGACGCGGAGAAAGGCCTGGTGGTGGTATCCCGGGCCACTGTTCCAAACGACCTGTGTGACATTACCGTGACGGTTGCTGATTCGATACAAATCGAGGGCAAAGTTGTTTTCCTACATCCGTTGACCAACTACACCGTGATTCAATATGATCCCTCATTGGTGCATGCGCCGGTGCAAACTGCGAAGCTATCCACCGAGATGATCAAGCAAGGCGCCGACACGATCTTTGTGGGTTTCAATCAGAACCATAGGGCCGTGGTCGCAAAGACCACGGTTACGGATATTACGGCTGTTGGAATCCCTGCCAATGCAGCAGCTCCTAGATACCGGGCGGTCAACCTCGACGCCATTACCATTGACACGGGTTTATCCTCTCAGTGTGCATCCGGTGTGCTGATGAGCGCGGATGGCGTGGTGCAGGCTTTGTGGCTTACCTACATGGGTGAGCGAAGTCAAGGCAGCCATAGAGACACGGAATACCATCTAGGCTTGGCTACGAGCATGATCAAGCCGGTAATTGACCAGATTCGATCTGGTATTATACCGAAGCTTCGGATTCTGAATATGGAGTCTTATGTCGTACAGATGTCGCAAATGTCGCATCATGGGAGTTTCGGAAGATTGGATCTCAAAAGTGGCCAAGGCCAATCCATCGCGACATCAATTGTTTATTGTTAGGAAAGTGGACTGTGGTCCAGCCAACGGACCCAGTGATGGACAATTACTACAAGAAGGGGACATCATCTTAACTCTGAATGACCAACTCATCACCCGGGTCAGTGATTTCGACATCATGTATGACAAGGAATGGCTCGACGCGCTCGTCGTCCGGAAAGGCAAGGAGATCCGCCTTCGCGTCCCAACTGTGCCTACGGAAGACCTGGAGACCTCACGAGCGGTGATCTTCTGCGGAGCGGTGCTCCAGAAACCACACCATGCTGTGAGACAACAAATCAGCAAGCTTCATTCGGAGATCTACGTCAGTGCAAGGAGTCGGGGTTCGCCAGCCTATCAGTATGGGTTGGCACCTACGAATTTCGTGACCCATGTCAATGGGGTGAAGACCCCAGACTTGGACGCGTTCGTAAGAGAGGTCAACAAGATTGACGACAACACGTACTTCCGGCTGAGGGCAATGACTTTCGACAACGTGCCGTGGGTAGTAACGATGAAAAAGAACGATCACTATGTAAGTTCCCACAATGCAATTGCAATCATGGTCAATACTGACAATCCACTTAGTTCCCGATGTCAGAGTATGTCAAAGACCCTACCAAAGCCAATGGGTGGAAAGTCATCTCGTATGGTTCGCGGGGTCGCAAAACAAGAGGCGAAGATGGAGCCCCCATGACCTCAGATTCAATGAGCGCGGAAGACGACGGCTTGAGCGATGGCGATGAAGCCCCAGATAGAGATGGATGCTAGAGAAAGGGCCTCTAGAGTCGTTTTAGAAAGGCAAGTTGGGGATCGAAGGGTTGGGATATCGTCCTTTCCCCGGGCCGCTTGAAGAACAATCCCAGTGTCAGCCTCGTAAGGAGACACGGCATCAAATGGTATGACGCGAAGTAGCCGATGACGGCTGAAAAGGGGAGCTACATTAATTTCGACAGGCCTGAGGCGACCAAGGCTAAAGGCTGAAGGCTGAAGGGTGAAGGCTGTCACGGTGTGTACAAAATGATGCCAAGCCCATTGATGATTATCACATGTCAAAATTGCACAGTCCTTAGACCCCAGCATTTCCTCCATAATCATTGTATGTGTCGTGCACTATGTAATCGGATCGTCGGGCCAAAATACTAGTAATGTGAAACCTTCTTGGCATCAACCAAGACCACTGCACCGAATGACCAAGTTCAGGGGTGATTTGAGAGTGACAGACAACAAAGATGAGATGGAGCTAGTCAAGAACATCAGAGTAAAGGGATTATTTACTAGTGAGGTATAGAATACTGTGTGGAGGACAGAGTGTCAATGGGATGTGTACGAGGTACCTACCTAAGGTACCTAGATATGTATCCCGTGGGAAGGGGTGGACTGACGTACCACGGGTGCATTATTAGGTGTCTGGATTCTGTCGGAAGAGCACGCGACCACCTGGGCCACTGGCAGTTGGCACCACCTGGATCGAGGGTAATGGAAGGAGGCAGAAAGCTTGCCTGGGACGAATAGTTGGGAGCCCCAGGACAAAAAGGTTCCAGGCGAGCAGGGCGGTTGCGTCAGAGCGAGTGGGTGGTGCAGGTGGTTGTTGCTGGTTGCTGGTGGTTGCTGGTGCCGTTTCCACCCAACAGGCGGGCGTCGGTGATGCAGGTGCCAGGGATTCCGTCAATCAAAACGAAACTGCCTGCAGCTCCCGCAGGTTTTCCACAGCGATCACCACAACTGACGTCCCACACATCGACTTGTCAACTCTCACAAAACGAACACCTCGTCCTCTCCCCAAATTCATCTTTTGCCCTGTTCCAAACTGCCTTCTTCCTCAATTCATCATTCATCCATTTTCCATCTTCCATCTCATCAACCCCGTCTCATTGTCTTGATCTCATCCCTTACTGCTGCCTACCACGAAAAAGTCAGTAGACGACTCCGTCCCAGTACTTGCTACTCTTAGTTTGCACAATCCTGAATCGTTACTTCCGACCTCTTCCATTCCACACCTCCCTAACAGATGTCTTCTGAAGGCTACGGTCACTCGTCCGAGCTGCCTACACATACCGACATGTCTACCACCGACGACTTTGCTCCTGCTCCTACCACCAATGGGACCAGTGAGCCGACCTTGAAGGATGCTTTTGTCAACAGTAAGGTACGCAAGCTGCTGCGATACGTCACATTTCTGGTCTAAAGAGAAATCATATAGCTAACACTCAATGGCCAGGCTTGGATCTGAACCGATGCTCTCGCCTCTTTCACTGACGGGTTTCCAGACGCTGCCTCGGCGGTCAACACCGTGACAGAACATCCCATCACTCAAAACATCGTCAATGGTATGGGTTTTGGTCCCAAAAATAAGAATTCCCTGGCTGATACAATTTCAGGTCCCGTAGCGACCTCTGTTAAGGACCATACTGCGGCCACCAAATCCGAGTTCAGCGATCTGGCCAATTCCCGACAACCTCCTTCGTACACTGCTGCCAACGATACTACTCTGACGCGTAGGCCAAGATCCCCCTCCCCGAAAACCCTTTCTCTGACTGTGGAGCAGACTACCATTCCTTTTTCTACACCTTGTTGAGCGTGAGTACCCTCATGATCTTTCAAGTTGCAACCCGTCTCTAACTGCTATTCCAGTGGAAGAACAAGCGCGCCACCGGTATTACGTTTGCCTCCGTCGTTGCCTTTATCTTTGCTTGCCGCTACCTGCCTATCATTCGATACGTGATCAAGATTACCTGGATGACTCTTGGTGGTATGTGTCAAAATTCCGTGCAGTTTGAAGAACAGTCGTTGACATGAGAATCAGTGGTCACGCTTGCCGAGGCCTCGAGCAAGGCGTTGATGGGCTCCAGTGTGGCCAGCTCGCTCCGGCCTCGACGGTACTACAAGATTCCCAAAGAGTCCCTGGAAGCTTCTCTCGATGACCTCGAAAATCTGATCAACTTCTTCGTTATCGAGATCCAACGCATTGTCTTTGCCGAGAACGTCCCGGTAACTGCGGCTGTAAGTGGGGTCGATAAGGGGAATATGATCGAAAGCTGACCGTTCCAGGCTTTCTTGAGCGCCTTCTTGACCTACTATCTCATCAAAATTGTCCCGTTCTGGGGCATGGCCTTGATTGCTACCTGCGTCCTCTTCCTCGGTCCCCTGATCTACATCGAGAACAAGGAATTCATTGACGCTCATCTTGAGCACGCCGGAAATGTCATTGGTCAACAGACGACCCAGATTCGCGACTTGACCGCTCAACACACCAGCAAGGGTCTCGACACGATGAAGCAATACACTGGGACATACGCCGCCAAGGCTCAAGAGATGGTTGGAAGTGCTCGTCAGAGGATCCCTTCTCCCACCACCGGCAAGGCTCCAGTCAAGGAAGGTGATTTCCCCTCGGCGCCCCAGACAGACCTCCCAGCTACTTCCGGCGAACACCGCCAGGCCGAACCCATCACTTCTTGAAGGAAGGGCCGATTGCAGCAGCATGACGGTATGATTGCATAGCGCTGCGAGCGATTTTGTTTGGTTAGCAAAATCATAGTGCACGATGGAAGACGACAGCCTCAATTCAATGATGAGCGGAACGCGAGGGCAAAGGGCCTGAATGAAGAAGTCCCAAGTTGACAATCTGATCCTGTTATGAAGGGCGAAAGGCGATGTTTGGTGGCTCGACCTTGGGTGGTCCTCTTTGGAGGATGTAGGAGCATAGCAGTCCAACTCAGAGAAGCCAAAGATGATGGAACAAAGGTGATGGGTGTTTGAAGATTCTCTTGTACTGTATGACAGACTCAAGTATGATTTGGGACAATCCCGAATAGCATGCTTATTGACCACGCCTTTGTCAATTATGCCACTCGGTGCCAATAGAACCTCCTCCCAGCATGGCTGCTCTACAGAAGTACGAGGAAAGCTTGGAATAGTGGAACGTACCAGCCATTTCCTCTTGCGCGACTGTCTCGATCAGCCGGTCGTTGTCGAGATCCACGCCCGGGCGGACGGTTTTCTTTCAATCGGCAAGGCTCTCTTAGCCTCTCTGTGACATATCCCGATCTCTTGAACTGGTGCAGGCTATAGCGGTCTCTTCGCTTGTCTGCATGGCAATGGCTTTGCCGCTTCCTTAACTTGCTCCCGGCTTCCCACAATTGCATGAGCTTCTCAATCGATTTGTGCGCTTTGCGACCGAAGGCTTTCCCTGCGACTTTGGCTTTTTTGGGGTCTCTGTTTTATCCCATTATAGCCTTGCTCTCTCTCTGTCATCCTTGACAACGACACCCTTCTTCCCGCTCTTGGCCATGTCCCGCAACACTCTCCTGAGAATCTTTCCACTGGGGCTCTTTGGGATCTCGTCGACAATCTCGACCTCGGTGATCCACTTATGCCGGACCTTCTTGTCCTGGACGTACTTGATGAGCTTCTTGCCCGTCGCTTGCAGGTCGCCAGATCTCTTGGATGGCTTGAGCACGATGTAAGCTTTGGGCCGCTCGCCCGAGTAGTCATCGGAAATGCCAAGCACGGCGACATCCTCGACGTCGTCGTGTCCGAGGAGAAGATCTTCTAGCTCGGCTGGAGCAACTCCGATGCCTTTGACTTTGATCATCTCCTTCAGCCGGTCCTGCGGAACATCCGTCAGCTTACATCAAACGAACATACACGACCCCAAGGAGTTGCAGTTGCGCGAGACTTACTGTGATGGTGATCAGCCCTTCTTCATCCAGGCTCCCGATATCGCCGGTATGCAAGAAGCCATCCTTATCAAATGTCTCCCTGGTGGCTTTCGGGTTGTTGAGATAGCCCATGACGACCTGGGGACCTCGGGCCCATATCTCACCCGGTTCATTCAGCCCACATTCCCGTCCCGTGTCCGGGTCGACGATCTTGACCTCGGTGGACGCGACGATGGTGCCCACCCGGAAGGCGTATTTATAGTCGTACTTCTCGGGCGGATGGGCAGTGATACACGAACAAGACTCTGTCATGCCGTAGCCCTGCTTGAAGCCCGTGCCGGGGAAGCGCTTTTTCAGGAGTTCGAGGATCTCGGCGCTCAAGGGAGCGGCGCCCGAGCTGAAGCGGCGCAGAGAGCTGAGGTCGTACTTTGCGAGCGTCTTTTCGTCGCGGACCATGCGGATCAGGATCGGAGGCACGAGGAGCATTTCCTCGAGTTTGTAATCCTGGACGGTCTGCAGCATGCCGTCCATGGTGAATGCGGGCAACATGTAGACGTTGGCGTTGAGGAGGATCGGCAGGTGCATTTGGTGCACCAGACCCGTGATGTGGAACAAGGGCAACACGGCGAGAATGCGTCGCAAGGTGGCCGGCGAAATCTGTTGGATCTGGAGACACTGGGCGATGACGTTGGAATGCGCGATCATGACGGCCTTGGGCAAGCCAGTCGTCCCCGAGCTGAAGGACAGGAACCCGCAGACGTCCTTGTTCTTCTTGCCGGGAGGGAGGCGGAATTGTTCGATTTGCGAGCCTTCTCCATGTGAGCGGCCCATCTCCAGCAATTCCTTCATGGTTGTGAACCCTTCCATCTGTCCCTCGAGCAGGAACACCCTGCTCTGCGGGATGCCCGCTTTTTTCGCCGCCGCGGCCGCCACCTCCATGGAACTCGGGACCGTGAATAGGAACTTGGCCTCCGCGGTCTTCAGCGCGTAGGTCATTTCCTCAACGTTGTACGCTGGCGAGGCGCCGCTGATGACACCTCCGGCGCGCAGCACGCCGAACATGGCACACGGGTACCATACTGTGTTGGGGGAGAAGAGGGCGACGGTCTGGCCCTGTAGGAGGCCGTAGTTTTTCACCAGCGCGGTGGAGAGGTGGGTCGTGTGCTGTTTCAGGTCGACATAGCTGAGGTGCTGTATGTATGTGAACAAAAAGATCAGCCGTCCATATGTTATATTATAGCGTGGGGAATGGAAAAACGTGAGAATGGAAAACACGGATTGCCCCATTACATACCTCCTTTGTCACCGCATTCGTGAAACCCTGGATGTCTTCCGGCTTGTGATGTCGCATCGGACTATATTCAGAGTCGAACAGCCACGTCCATACGGGGAGATGCCATGGCACTGAAGAGTTGCAGAAAGAAGACAAGGCTGGTTAGCTTTCGAGGGGTTCAAAGCACGGTAGCAGCAGAAAAGGATTGGAAAGTAGACTCGGGAGGGGAGACAAACTCTCAATCGGTGGCTGTAACGACTTGAAGATAGGCATCTCGACTGTTGTCTTTGTCGAAGCAATTCGTCAAGGATTGGTCGCGGAGGACTTTTCAACCTGCTGTCGATCGACCCGGGTGGGATTCGATTGATGGAGAGGAACGTAGCAGCGATTTGCAAAGACACGCAGACACGCAGGCACGCAGACCGCCGCGAAAATAGAAGCAGGGAAAATTGATCGAGACAAGTTGATCGATTAGTGTGGGAGACAGAGCTCCCGAGCAGTAGCTACAACTTTGACCTACCTTAGTCCATCGGCTTTCCCTGCACTGACTCAAGCATCAAGGCATCGCAGCCTCGGAGAGCAACGAGGCAGATCCTCGGCTATTGTCCAAGTGCGGAGAGACAGGGTTCGACAGGAGATACAGTGGGGGGAAGGATGGGGTCAGATGGGGCATGGGGTGGGACGAGGCTGAAAGAGGTGAGAGAAAATACCAGGTAGGCATTTGACAGGGTTGCAGCACTTGAGAGGCCTGAGGCTGGGTTCGCTGGGAATCAATGTTCACCTTCATCCACCGAGAGTATATCCAGAACCAGAAACCATGTACCGAGTATCTGCGCCAGATCCCCATCCCAGCTTGTACATAAACCATGTCCATCCGTCCCCCAGTTGTTCGCTTCAATGCATACCTGGACGTCCAAGATGCCGCTGGTATTCAGTGATCTGTCCATCCAAGCTCTTAATGTGTCCTTCCATCAAGCCCTGATCCCTGAACCAAGTACTTTTCACTCGTAATCATGTCTCCAAAAAAGTAAACGAAGCAAAAATTGTTGTCGACGATGCAGATGGGCTTCCACCAAGCCATCAACCACTCACCAAGCGGAAAGTTTCCACTCCCATTGTCGGCGTCTCTACCAGACTGTCCCGTGGGACACCTTCCTGCTTGCGTCTGACGTAGAAGCTGCGACATTCGTTCAGAACCTGAGCCCACTCTGCCAATGACCGACCGCTGTATCGCGCTGTGCCCATTTCATGCTCCTTGGGCTTCAGTGGCTTCACCTCTGCCGCTCTGGCCCGAGCTCGATCATCATTGCTGATAGCACTTCCTCTGCTACTACTGCCGCTGCCGCTGCCGCTGCCGCGGTCACTGCTGTGGCTCACACTGCTTCCTCCACTCTCCGAGCTCCGTCGCGCAATGAGGATGCTTTGGGCGTTATGCGGAAGCTGAGGTGCTGTAAGAACCCGGTTCTTGGTCTCTAAATTCGTTCGGCCTTGGATGAATTCTAGAGAGAACTTGAATGAGAATGCCTGGTGGGGAGGTGTAGCCGGTCGCTTGGGTGCAGTGATGGCACTGTTCGGTCCAGGAGCATCACTGGAAGGAGGAACACCGTTCTCGTCCGGACTGCCCGGTGGAGTTACTTCTCCTGGCCGGTTGTTACCTGGGGTGCCAAAGACATTGAGACCACGGAACAAACTCCACCGCTTCCTGTTCCCTTGACTCGGTGCATCCGCCATCGGGATTGTGCTGAGAATTGAAGAATGGTTTTGATAGGGCGAGCTCTGAGTGACGATCGATGGTGGCAGATATCTCTCGAAGTTTGTCTTTGGGGGTGTCATAATTGGTTGGCTGTCCGTGCGCATGATGACGAGGACACGGCTCGGTGCAGGTGAACAAGGCGCTGATGATGGTGGCACAACCCCTCGCATCTCCGCTTCCGCAGCCAGGTATTGATAATTGGCCCAACATTTATTCAATCTCGCTGCCAATGTCTGCAAGATCTCACTGCTGCAGTGTCAGTAGCCACTCGAATGAAAACCTGATGAATGCCGACTTACAAGTCGAGGTCCGATACCTGCCCATCGTGTCGCGCAATCTTCCAGCAGAGCAGGCGGTAGAAGTAATGCCGGACCATGGTCGACCAGTGGCAAAAGAGCTTCTCGAAAGTCTTCTCCTCCAGCAGCCACTCTAGAACCAATTGCCGCTTCCGTCCTTCATTATGTATTAGAATGGACCAAGTACTGTACAAGAATGAAATCGCTCGTATCTGGGTGAGGGTGGTTTGACTCTGCAACATCTGCTTGCAGACATCTAGCCAGAAAGGCCAGTCGAGCACCGGGGTATCAATGTATGTCTGGTGGTAACGGAACATGATGGGGAGGACTTCCTCCATAAAATCACAAATCACAAAACATGCGTCGTTGTTGTACAGGGAGATTCTGACAGTGGCGGCTTTAGTGACACTGTCAAACGAGGTCAAGAAAAGGCTGCGTAGAAGTGAATGTTCAGGATCCAGGTCCCCCATGACATCTCTGAGCAACATGACCAAGCGGTTTTCAGCAATCGAGCGAGTTGCATTCGCGATTGTCATGGGCAGCGGAGCCAATGCGTCGGGGTTGTCCATATGAGATCCAGTGCCAGGGGCATAGCTCTCGCCTCCAGCTTGACCGGCTTGTCGGTAGATGGTCGTCTCCAAAATCAGCAACATCTGTGCACAGACCGGGACCAGGCCAGGAATAGCTGCACGGTCTTTTAATGAAATCTCCTCAGTCAGGAACTCAGAGACGAGCATGTGATACTGCTTGGTGAAGACAAAGAACAAGTCACTGTTGTGACCAGACCATCGCGTAACCCATGGTTGGAACCAATTAATCCGCTCCGAACCAGGGGGGATTGGCCCTCGTTGCTGCAGCCGGCGCGAAAAGGAAGCTTGAGATGCCACACAGAGGCTGCGCACTGGTGGCGGAAAGTTCCTCCCCAATGCACTTGAGATCAAATCAAGCTTTTCTCCGTTCTCGACGCCGAATTGTCTAAATACGCGTCTCAAGGCGCTTGACGGGAGACACCACAACCTGACCAGCATATCCGCCACGCCAGGACAGAAGAAGAAGGCATAGGCACATGCTTTTCCAGCAAATGTAACGAGACTCTGAGGAGCAGTGCGCAACGACAAGATGCCAGTCACAAACTCCATTTGAGAAAGCAGGTTCTGGATAAAGATGTTACGCACGTTTTGGTGGACCGAATCGACTAGAAAGTCTGCCTCTTCTGATTCGAGAGAATTTGTTGACTTTGATTTGGGTATCGAATGTCGTTGGGGACTTTCTCCTAGAATTGAAGCGAACCCTGGTATCCTCCACTCCGGCCTAATCATGATCCTGGTCGCGGATTCCAGGAATGCGGGCCTGTCCGTGCCAGAGATCGATTGGTTATTTGCTCCATGAAGCATCTCGAGCAATCCGGTCCACCACTTGTTCAGAATCACTACTCGTCGATCGAGATCCTCGGCTCGGAGAGATTTATGAGACGGATGGTGCTCGTACTTGACAAGAAACGGGATCAGTGTTAACCGAAGCACCTTGGCCTTCTGAAGGCTTGACTTTGCCTGAAACCCGCTGTACTCGCCGTCGAGGGTCCTGAAGGCGGTCCATAACGGGTCTTTCCTCCGTGGCACTTCAGTGTTGAGAGCTGCTAACCGATCTGCGGAGAGAGAAGATGGTAGAGGAGGGACTTTGCTCAGCGAAAGCCTCGATTGAGACCGTTCGTTCGACACAAAACTCCGCAAGGAAGTTGCTGAAGAGTTCCTTGACATGCGCTTGAGATTCGAATCGCTCTTGTTCTTGGTTTGTATGAGGGAGAGTGGCCTCTGCGCCAGAGCAGGGGCTGGGCTGCGTTTGTCAATATCTTGAGTTTGCATGGCATTCTCTAATCTGGATTCGTCTGGTTCGGGGGATGAGCGTAGCGGAGGACTTGACGCCGCCGGTTCCGGGACTGCAACAGAGTTTACAGCATTGACGAGTTTCCGCTTGCTGGGTGACCAACTTCGCTTTCTCTCTGGAGTACTGCCTTCTTGGCGAGATGGAGACGAAGACCTTGATGAAGAGGCAGCCCACGATTTCCGAGCGAGGGTTCGAAGAGTTCCCGCAACAGAGCGGCTGAGACTCTTTGGTTGCTCATCCCTATCACCATTGGTGTTACTCGGCTCGCGCGGCTGAGGCTCATCTTCATCCGGTGACAGGGAGAAACGAGCACTCGCCAACATCTTCCTCTTTGCTTTTCTTGAAACTCGGCGGAACAACTCCAGATTTGCTGAATGCATACTGTCATTGACCTTGACTTTGGGATCAGAGGGAAGAGAAATGATTTGTTCGGAGAAGGTACGTTTGATGGTGGAAGAGTCGGAGGGCTCGGTTTCTAACGCTGGGAGGTAGGTGAAGCTGGCTGAACGGACGAAGTCCCTGGGAGGATCAGGTTGGAAGGACTCCGGAGAAGACATCGTGGTGGCCGAGTGAATTGGTAGAGAACTCAGAGCGTGAACGGGGAGGGCGGGCAGAATCTGCCCGTCGACATGTGCAGCGACAGCCATGGAGGCGGCGCGCCCAAACCGTACAAACTGCAGGCCCCGCGAGTCGCCGCGGTTACGCCAAAGCGAAAGACGTGAACTTTTTCTTACTCCTCGCCATCAGGTACAACGCAACTGAAGAAGAGCATCGACATGAGTCGAGACGGACAACAAGTTCAGCCAGCCGGGAGAAGCGGATCGGTGGACGGTGGACGCAATTGAAGGGGTTGGGAGTGAGAGGCTCGATGTCCTCGTCCGATATACAAGACTCTGAATGTTGCAGAATTATACAAGGCCGAAGAATCAGAAGAGTGAGAAGAACATCAACGAAGGACAATATTCACAGAGTGAAAGACAAAGGATGGACAACGAAGCAAGCAAGGAGCAGTACCAGTGTCAGTCTGCACAGTGCAGGTGTGGAAATCAAGAGCGTCCCAGTCCTTCAGGCTCAGGGTGCACGTTTTGGATGTCGCAGGCGGAGGATTAGAAGCAGTGGAGCGGCTTTAGGGTCCTTTAGGGTCCTTCAGGGTGTCGGGCGCGTGTGAATGGTTGACCGAGGAGCCTGAAGAGAGACAGTCGGCGTCATCAACCCCCGACGGGCCACCCGTGCCACCACAGGCCTGGACTCCAAGCCAGCTGTGGGTGACAGCGGTTGCCCTTTTGTATGGCCTGGTTTCGCTTGCTCAGCGCCTGCCCAGAAACAGCACCGCGAAACTGGGTTATCGTCCAGGTCGACGCCAATAGTGCCTATCGCATCATCCTAGCAACACGCCTAGGAACACGTTCTCTTTTTCTTTTTCCGTCTGATGCATAATTATCCACTATCCACTCTCTGACGATCCATGGTACCGTTGATCAGGTCCGGACTTTATCCCATCCTGGCCAAAAGGACCACACCGTACGGAGTGAATGAATGCCCCTGGAATCTGACGATTAGGAGGGTGTCGTGGACTCGTGGGCACTCCGTACATTTCCGCTGCCTTTTGTACCCATCTGGCTTGCCCATTGGCCCAGATCTCAAATCACGGAAAGGGAAATGCTTACACTGCAGCTGTTCAGTCGGTCTACCTTTATCGTCACCGAGGATTACGTAGATATCAGGCATCCTTTCCCGACCGCTACTGCAACATCTATCTTCTGTGAGTGGTCTTGACTCTGGGGTGTCAGATTTTGTGGGGTACAATGGCATGGATTGCTCAGATCAACGCCGGCGGACATGAACGTGGTTGCACTCTGGGAATGGAGGGTGTGAGGGACCAGGATTCCATGTTGGCAATCAGTTGCAATGCGGACCTTGGCAATGCATGATACCAGGTAGACACGGAATATCAGGCAAAAATACCGTCTTCGGCAGCTCCTCGAAAGTATCCTCTTCACAGTTACGCCCTTATTTCGCTGCTCATTCAGACCACATGGAGCTATATCAGAGATGGAGTGAGTCCGACGAATTGGCACGGCACAAATCGATCTCAAGAAAGTGCCCACCGCCCGTGTCAACCTGTTTTAGCACTTTGACTGATCCTTCCCGAGAGTCAGGCTCACTTTCAAAATTCTGAATTTGAAGTTCTCGTGCCAGAGTGATGGGCCATAGGACAGGGATTCTGGGTAGCGTCTGCGTCCGAACGCAGGAGAACTGAATTGATCACTCCCTTGAAAACCGAGGAGCACCAAATGTTTTATGTCACGTTTTGACTGATTGTACAATCCTTTTTCATCTAAGTTCTTTCCGCCGATATCAATGGTGTGCTGGTTCATCCTCCTCCTCAATGTCTTCGAAAAAGTCTTCTTCGGGCTGTGTCTCCCCTGGCGCAGCTGCTCCTTCAATCTCCACAACTTGGTCCTCGTATTCCTTCATTTCACTTGCCAGGTTGGTCTCTTCTGGCGACTTGGGCACAGCGGGAGGTGTGAATTTTTGGACGTGACCCTCGGCGTCTGATGCTTTCTGCGGCGGGGGTTTGTAGGCTCGCAACTCTTTCAGGTACATATCCTGAATCAAATCCGCTGCAATTTTATGAGTAGATTTCTTGAAAGAAGCAAGAAAATGTACTGACGCATCCTTGAGATTGGGGCGGCGACAAAGCTTCGGCGAGAAGCTGGCAGCGTTCTAGAGCTCAACCGAGCAAAGAGACGTGTCTAGATAACTGGTCAACAGCAGCTGGTACATTTGAATGAGACACTTACACTGGCCCTGAGAGATTGCGCCATTGCTGAGATTTGACAAAGGTACAACAAGTTCCTCTGGTAGGGTTGGAAGCTCTGTCGACAACGATTGAAAGAGTAGCTTCTGTAGAATGACTAGACTAACTGCTTTTGGATTAAGCACCAGCGCCGGCAGCCGTAGCATCACGTGATCCCAGCTAGCCGCTGACCAGGCTTACCTTCTGATTTCCAACATGCGCCTCAACTTGAGATTTCTACCACCTTCTTTCCACCATCCCGCCATCTACATATCGCAGAAGCCGTCATAATCCTCCTCTGTTGCCGTCGCTTCATCAGAGAACGCATCTTTGACGCTCTTGCGCATCCTTGAACGAGCCGCTGACGACGACTCTTCGTGTTCAGAAACCCCCGGCTTTCCTTGACTCACGAGACCTTCGCTGGTTTGAACGGTCACAGTCAGATCCTCGTTTCGTTCACGCCTGCGCTTTGCTCAAATCCACTGCGATAACTTCTCCCCGTACCCAGCTTCGGCTTCGCGCAAGAAAGGTACATCACTTTAGATAGTTGACGAGAGCGTCGTTTGGCCTCAGCGTTTGGGTTGTCTCATTCACTTGTTGATGACCTGACTGACAAACTGCCTTATCCAGTGTACGACGATCCTCGACCTCCGAGTCTACGTCTACACTACCTATCCGCTCGTTCAAAATTCACGCATAAATTAAAAGTGATTTCTCTATCGGGTCACTGATCACCTTCGCTACATTGCGCGTGTGACAATCGCCGCCTGGGCTGCCAGGAGCCTTACTGTCTGTTGGGACACAATCCGGCCCCACCGGCCTTTACCTTGATTACCGCCAAACTGTATTCCCCGCTGTTCGTCAAGACTTTTGCAAATAACCACAACCTACGGACGACTTATAAGGGTATCAAGCGACGCCAAACTCAACGTCTGCAATCTAAACTCGGTGGACGCGTGATAAAGAGTATTGCGAAACCATTCGGGCCCAAATTAAACAAGATGGCGACTGCGGGCGTCGAGAACCAACCTCCTGAAGCACCAGCATGGCGCGAAAACCTCAACACACATCTTATCTGCCCCGATTGCAAGCAGGTACCTCCTGATCTGATTGAGGAGAATGCCGACACCATCTGTGCCAACTGTGGGATGGTCCTTGCTGAACGTTTGGTCAGCTACGAGTCCGAGTGGCGTACCTTCAACTCTGATGAAGGCAAGGGCGAGGATCCCAACCGTGTCGGAGAAGCCGACAATGAGTTGTTTCTCACTAACAACGCTGGTACATTGATCGGTGGTGGCGGTCCCAACGTATCGAAGGAGACACGGAAGCTCAAGAAGGCGCAGGCGATGCAACAGGAAAATAAGGCGGACAAGGCTCTGCAGACCGCTTACGCGCAAATCGAGGCTTGGGGGGAGAAGGCCAAGCTCACGGCTACCATCAAAACTACCGCCAAAATGTACTTCAAGCGGGTTTACGAAGCGAACGCCCTCCGTGGCAAGCAGACAGAGGTCATTTTGGCCGGATGCCTCTTCATTGCTTGCCGTCAGCATCAAGCGCCCCGGTCCTTCAGTGAGATCTTCGGATTGACGTCCGTCCCCAAGAAGGAGATTGGACGAGCATACAAAAACCTGGAGAAGTTTCTTACCAAGTCGTCGAATGAGAGTATTCAAGCAATCGAAGAAAGCGGCGGCATTGCGAATCGGAATCTTCTCGGGTTCAAGAGTACCCAGTCAACTAAACCCGAAGACCTTTGTGACCGGTACTGCAACATGGTGGGATTGCCTTTCCGAGTGTCGACCATCGCGCGCGAGCTTGCACAAAAGATCCCTACCGTCGAAGGGTTGGCCGGCCGGAGCCCGTTGTCCAACGCTGCCGCATGCACCTATTTTGCCAGTCACTTGCTGGGATTTGGGAAGTCCACGAAGCAAATTAGCGAAGTTGCCGGTGTGAGTGATGCAACTATCAAGCATGCCTACAGATACCTTCTTCAAGCAAAAGACTCCTTGGTTGAGCCAAGCTGGCTGGGTGAGCAGGGAAACGCCGGCGGGTTCGGCGATCTGAAGAATCTTCCCGGTGCTTGATGTGCACCACAAATAGAGCTCCAATCTTTGCGTTGGGCGGTTGGATGGATAAGGACAAAGCAGAAGCAATTGGGTGACGGTTGATCCTGCATGGGATGAGGTTGTGCCTGCTCGGGTACTCACAAAAGTCAGGGGTTATTTTGATGGTGGCCGGGATCAACGGGTGGCCATGGTGCTTTATGATCCAATCTTAATGTTCTCATGTTTTGATTCATGGCCATTTTGTGTGCCGTTATGACATGGCATGGCGTTTATTGAGGGACAGATACCCAACAAACCGGAAGCACAGCTGTGCATGTAATGCTAGAGCCAATTGGCAAAAGTCCTTACAGGTTAGAAGATACAAAGTATCAACGTTTATGCTTCAACCGTCAATTTGGCCATAGCGCCTGCTCTCTGATTGTAAGGTACGACTACAACTTGTTTCGTGAATTTATACGCCCTAACCAATCGACGACACTGACGTGGGTAAGTAGCATCTTTTGGTATCCCGTGAGGCTGGGTTTTAAATCTTTTGAACCGTTTTTCTCCTTTGACAAGCCCCACAATCGGTTTCTGTAATGGCATCGGCAAATAGGTTTCCATACTACACGGGCGCCACAGACACTGTTGGACGGCGCGTATTTCTGAACAGTGCCGATCTCTGAGAAATAGAACAAGATATAATATGGCCAGGGGTCCTTGATGTGGGCGTCGACTTCTTACCTTGTACTTGACTACACGTTCCACGGCATATCGGACACAGTTGTGGCGCCCTGAAATACCGCTCTGCTATATAGTGGTCAGCAAAGATGTCTGTACAGTCTAGTCTAACATGCCACTGCGGTCTCGTCTGCGAGTCCTCTTCATTGCTATCCAACCCAACTATGCCAAATGAATGCATTATGTGCCATTGCAACGTATGCCGATACACCACAGGGTCCCTAGGCGTATCTTATCTGGCGCTTAGCGGCCCGCCCAGTGAGAAATCACTCACTTCCACTACTGCATACAAGTCTTCTGAGAAATACACCCGGTATTTCTGCCAGAAATGCGGATGTAATGTCTTTGTTCGATCTGAAAGGGACGGGAGGTGGTTGGCTTGTCCCGGCATCCTGGAGAGAAGCGAGGATGACAAGGACGAATCGAGTCAGATGAAATGTCCAAACAACATCACAAAGGTCATTTGCCACTGGTACCTCGACGATGCGAAGGACGGTGGCATCGCGCCATTCCTCACCAAATTAAGCGGGCGAGATGTTCCATGCTATAGGACCGAGCCAGACGCGGAGGATGAAGATCGCTTGGAGGAGAGCGATCTTCTACGACTTCAGATGACATCTCTTGCTCAACAGCCCTCAGCGCTTGAGAGAGGTCAAATGCTGGAAGTCTCTTGCCACTGCGGAGAGTGTCAACTCCTGATCGCACCACCGGCATACACTGCGACCAGCGAAGGATGGTACGTGCCTAAGACGGACCGCAGCAAATATTACGCTCGCTTCTGCTGTTGTCGGTCTTGCCGCCTGACATTAGGCTTCACACTGCAGCCGTGGGCTTACATTCCCCCCTCCCAGTTTTTCACTCTGGAGAAGGAGCCTGTCGTTTTCGGACCTAAAACCAAAGAGACGGTTCAAATCGACAAACTCAAACACTATCAGTCCTCAGAATTTGTGATACGGAGTTTCTGCTCCGTCTGCGGGGCAACAGTCTTCTACCAGAGTTTCGAAAGGCCATATATTATTGATTTGAGCGTTGGTGTTGTGAGGTCGAAGATGGGGAATGCGATGGCGGGGGAATGGCTTGAGTGGGACAGGGAGATTGTGAGTAAAAGGGCCGAGGCTGTGGATGAGGAATTGGTAGAAGCGTGGTTAAAGAAATGAATACAGACTCTGGCAATAATGCATGAGATATAGGAAGCTACCTAAATACCTACCTAGGTAGGTTATAATAAACAACTTGAAAGGTGAAAATGGCGCTGTGATACTCAGCCTTGAGGCCTGACACTCGGCGAGTCGGCTCTGGCGAGGCTCTCAAAACGCTTGGCATTTTTGCAACGGTTGCACTAGTCTCCCATACTTCGTTCTCTGTGAACGCCATCTCGAAAACACTCCTGCAACCACCTCCTCCTAGACCCATTGCCATTACGTACTTTTCTGGGTCTTTCGCAGTAACAGAGCCCTGCCTGTTTGACTTACAGAAAACCTTTTTACTTTGGGGTGAGAGTTGTTCACCATGGCTGCCGCTGCGAAGCCGACAAAAAATCAGCTAAAGCGAGCAAAGAAGAAGGCCGAGAAGGAGAAGAAAAAGGTACAAATGATGGCTTATCATCCGTGTCCTAAGTCTAACGTCACGCAGGCCGGTCCTGAATCAACCCCAGAAACCACAATCACAAATGGAGTATCCCCCAAGCCCGAGCCCGGACAAGAACAGTCTGTGGCCTCAAATGGCGTCAAGATCAAATCAGAAGATGCGCGCAATGGCGGCGCCCTTGCCGAACCGCTCATTGTCGACGATGGGAATCCTCTATTCGACATGTACAAAGATGTGATGGGAAAATTCGAAGAGGCGGACAAAGAAGATCCCGCGCTCAAGGCACCTGAGAAGCCTGAGGTGTACTTTGACGATGACGACGATATTCCAGATGAAGACGAAGAAAATGCGGCGCCAAAGGTTTCCAAGAAAAAGAAGAAAGAGATGACGAAGTTGTCTGTGGCAGAACTGAAGGCTCTTGTCAATAGGCCTGAGATGGTGGAATGGACAGACACGTCGGCGCCTGATCCCAGGTTGTTAGTCCATATCAAGTCGTATCGGAACGTTGTCCCCGTACCGAATCATTGGTCACTCAAGAGAGAGTATCTTTCTTCAAAACGAGGTATCGAAAAGCCGCCGTTCGCCCTGCCAAAATTCATCCAGGAAACAGGTATCGCGGAAATGCGGGACGCGATTCTGGAGAAGCAAGAAAACGCCACTTTGAAGCAGAAACAACGTGAGAGAGTGCAGGGAAAGACGGGCAAACTCGACATTGATTATCAGAAACTCTACGATGCATTCTTCAGATTCCAGACCAAACCCGAGTTGACCAGGTATGGCGAGGTCTATTATGAGGGCAAGGAGTTTGAAACAAACTTACGACACTTACGGCCCGGGGAGCTATCTGACGAATTGAAAGAGGCGCTGAATATGCCTCCTGGGGCACCTCCTCCGTGGCTGATCAATATGCAGAGATATGGACCGCCTCCATCGTATCCAGCTCTCAAGGTACCCGGTGTTAATGCGCCTCCTCCTCCCGGCGCAAGCTGGGGGTTCGCCCCGGGACAATGGGGCAAACCACCCGTGGATGAAGCGACGAACAGACCTCTCTATGGTGGGGACATCTTCGGCGTGCTACAGCAGCAACAGAACGCTCAGCAAGGCGAACCTGTAGAGAAAGAACTATGGGGTGAGCTACAAGAACAAGAAGAGTCCGAAGAGGAAGAGGACGAGGAAGAAGAGGAGGAAGAAGACGACGAAGAGGAAGGTGGAGCTGGGCTGGACAGTTCAACCGGTCTGGAGACACCCAGCGGCATGACATCCGCTGTGCCCACTGAAATTGGCGGCACGGAGACTGTCTCTGAATTTGACTTGCGAAAACGCCGGGGCACGGAAACTGAGGAGTCGCATCATCCACGGTCTGCCTACCAAGTCATTCCAGAACGCCAGTCTCGCGTCGAGGGCTTTTTTGGCGGTGACCGCGTCTACGATCTCAAGGCTGCTCAACAACAATCTGCTGTCGGTGTCCCTGTCCTGGGACAAGATGATACGTCTCGTAAACGGAAGAAGCCAGGCGATGTGGATGTGTCAATGGACCCGGATGCTCTCGCCGCACATGATGGGATGGATAAAGAAGAGCTGCGCCGCGCATACGAGCAGGGTCGTAAGGCGGAGCAGAATCCCAACTGGGATTTCCAGGAGGATTTGTCAGAAATGATTGCGACAGAATCGAGGAAGAGGCAGAAGAGGGATGAAGAAAGAAGGGGGAAGAGATGATCTGAAGGCAGCCATATCGCCCTCAAACATTGCACCTGGAGTTGTAAAGATGAAGGCATGGGATGATACCCTGGTGTCATTCGTGGAAGTCGTGCGTTTCGCTGTACCTTGAACACATGGCTCCCAGCCGCCATCGATCAAGGGACTCGCACTGAGGCGCCTCAGAAAAGCCAGTCTGAAACGCCGTTGCCGGCTTCTTTGCCGCCTCGAGTTTGAAGTCCTCAGTCGGAAGCAAATCATCAGTACTTGCCGGAAAACTGCTGGATACTGCGCCTCTATATCCCACTGTCAATTCATAAACACGAAGAGATTCGGTGAGACTTTCTGGCTTCGTTGTTTTGCATCCGTCAACATGAATTGATTCTAACCGTCCTAGTGTGAACCAGGCTACCTTTCGAGCTTGGGCTTTGGCGAGGACCGTTGAAAGACGGAAACCCTTGTACGTTCCGCTTCGACGAAGCATGTCCTTGAACGAAATCCACGGAACTCTTCCTCCAGCCATTCCAAACCTTGGTTTATCGACTTGATGGCCTGGCTGGAGATCTGCTATGCTCGAAAATCGAAGCGTAGTCTGTGTCCGCCCCGCCAATAGCACGGTGACGGTCGACCAGGTTGAAGGGGTTAAATCAATGTCCTCAAACGGAACGATTTTGCCTCCATCCGACGTCTTTCCATGCTCCCTCTCTACCCTTGCCCGATGCAGACAACATCTTGTTTTTTGTAGTTGAAGAGGGCATGTTCTCTAATTGGCGAGAGGCTCTTGAAAGACTACCTCTGCTGTAACGACGAATGGCTTTTTCTGCTGTAACGACGAATGGCTTTTACCTGTTAGAGGTGCTGGATAGTGCACAGGAACCGGTGGCTCTGCAGGGCCGGGCTCGAGAGTCGAGCTTCCGAGGTTGAGGAGGTGTGTCACACAGTCAACCGAGACGAGAAGAGGGTTATCCGGGAATTTTAGCCATTCGCAAAGTTCGAGCACTGTAGGGTAGTTACTCCGAAGATCACGTCGTGCGTTATCAAACGTGAATCTTGGCCGCTTTCGATCAGTCTGTGTATGAGGTAGTCGAGCACGAGAGCGTGGAGTAATTTGATATTCTCGTCATACTCGATGGGGCCAGTCAGTGTCGCAAGCCCAGTTCTGTCGCGAAGGATGTCCCGATCGGCATGGAAGATCTTACGTCGCTTTCGTGGTAGGTTTGGGCTGGTACCTACATGAATGCATTAGAAAAGATCCTGCTGAGTTCCATCCCGGAGAATACACACAAAAGTATTCGCGCTTCAGACCCATTATGCTCATTCATAAACGAGAGTTCTTCAAGCATGCCAATGCTGAACAAACCAATAGCACGCTACCTGGAAGACTCGATATCAGGCGCCGCTCAAGAACTCACTGAGATAAGCTGACCAATCGCGAAGATCGCGGTATGCAGCTCAGACTGTTAGACACGTGGCTTCTCGTGAAGATAGACAGGTGAAGGATAGGCAGGATACAATAAATAATTTTCTTCGATTAGTCTGAGACACGGCAACTAATAATTTGTAGTGAATACGTCTCCAGAGTTGAATACCTGGTAGGTGAATACTTACACGTAGGTAGATATGTGGGTACTCCGCAAGTCTTTGATTGGAAAGTATGCTGGCGCTCGGTCCCGCAAATTATTTTGGCTTTATATTTTTATTAACGGCGATTCCTTCCAACAATCACAACAGGTGTCCTCGATGGTCTAGTGGTCATGAGTAAGTCAATCAACTCATCAGCTAGTTGTTCGTCATCTAACAGTCAATTCAGTTTCCGCTTGTCATTTCACAATAACGAGCGCGGGAGACCAGGGTTCGATTCCCTGTCGGGGAGTTTCTTTTTTTTCGAGTTTTTTGGGATCTCACGTTGTTTTTTGGGCCTTATTCCCAACGCCGCCATGTATCTCAGAGTTGGACTGGCGTTTTCGCTTTCCTACCAGACTTGCCGAGTTCAGTGAGTAAATTTGTCTGGCATAATACCTAGATATTTCCGTTTGTATTAGGGGATTTATGGACACACTCAGTAAATGCAGGTGCGTTCCACGTAGCAACAAGTCATACAATCGCGAACCAGAATCTCAAGAGTATGTATACAATGATATGGATACTAGATCACGTAACAACCATGCCAATGTACTCAGTCCTTCTAATTCGGTGAATCTTATTGTGAAGTTCACAGACAGCCGGCGCATAAGTTTAGAACAGGTGTTACGGCAGCTGAAGCAAAGCACTTGCATTCGCGTCTGCCCGCTTTAACCCGGCAGTTGTAAAAGTGCCCACCTAGTATCGGGTGAGCTTGGGACAATTGGGTATCTGGTGGTGAGCAAGGGATGAGCATAGAGCGGCACCATCATGTTCCTAAAGGAGAATAAGCTAGCCGTCGATTTACCGGCTCTTGGCATATAATTTCTGGATGCAGCAAGCCAGCGACGCATCCAGATAGTACCTGGGTAGTGAGGTCGACTCCAACTTCTTTGTGGTTCTGTCATGCCACAGCCCGTCATGCAGGAAGTCATGTACTACCAGCTCGAAGGGAGATGAACTCTATGAGGCGACATATCACCGTTCGCTGTCGCTGACCTCTCTACTGACCGTCCTCATGGATCGCTACCGGGGGTATTTTCTCCACAGCACTGGCTTCTTTGAGATCAACTGACCCGTACCAGGCCACGGCGATCGCCCCCACCCCGAGATAGAGGACATCGAGAACGAGATTCCCACCCAGACGTCGAGTACTTTGGCGAAGGAGAAAGCTACCGGCCGGGTGGCTCAGGAGGCGACAATTCATACAGACCCCCAAATCGTGATCGAGACCGAGACAGGGATCGGTTTACCGCGGACTCATGGACGGCCGACAGAAGAGATGGGCGGCGGGATGACCGAAGGGATGACATTGACTCCTACGTACCAACCACGAGTGCAAGGACCGCAAGACCACGCAGCCGATCCCCGGCCTTTCGTCGACGCTCACGAACCCCGCCGAGCAGAAGAGAAGATTTATTTGCCAACAGACGTTCACCCCCTCGCCGCTACTCTCCACGAAGATCACCACCAAGGAGAAGATCTAGATCCCCGCCTGGTGCGAGGACACGAAGTCCACCGGACGCAAAGAGGTATAGAGAGTTTTCTCCTGACCCTGGGCGACGCTCACCAAAACGCGAACGACGATTTTCCCCCGACCGAAGCCGATTCGACCGCGACCGGTCACCAGTCAAGAATTCACCAAGAGGAGGTGAGAGTTATAGACCGAGGTCAAGAACGCCGCCGCGCCGAAGGCAGCACGATAATTGGGTGAGACGGTCGCCTTCGCCGAGAGACTCTGGCGCAGCATCGCACAACACCTCAAGAAGGTCGTCTCCTCCTATTCATCCAGATCGTGCGAGCTTGACAGGCTCTCAACCGAGATCACCCGCACATCCCATTCGAGATCAATACGACAATGCCGACTCCGCAAGCTTTCGAGGCAGATCCCCTGCTGCACCCTCAGCTGCAGATGGAGATCAACGTTCTCGAGAGCCTGATGTGAGCACACCGCGGGAGGAGGTACAAGTGAACGGCGAAACCCGACAACCGCCCTCTGGTCCTAGCAGTTATCGAAACGGCACCTACGAAAGACCACCTCCCACGGGTCCATCACGCAGTTTCAGTCAGCCGATCCAGTCCCCACCTACCGGCCCTGCAGCATCGATGTCCATGTCCGCTCACAATCGTGGCGGAGGCGCCTCCACACTTAACGCCCCTACCAGACCTCGCGGTTCTGTCGGCAGATTTGACGGCCCACCTTCTCGAGATTTCTCCGGCCCTCCAGTACGTGGTCGAGGCGGCTTACCATTCAGAGGCCCGGCGCCCTACGGACCGAGAGGAGGCTCTTACGGACGCGGTGGCGACTTTGGCTCAAGCAACCGAGCTGATTATGGTGGAGGGTCCAGTTACCGTGGCGGGTTTGGACGAGGCAGCGGTGCTGGAAGCGAGCCCACATTCCCGTTCCGAGCCAACAACAGTTCCAGTACGACGTACCCTCGTACACAACGCTTCAACACCCTCCAACAACATCTTGCCACCAGCGAGAAGATCGTCCCTGGGGGTAAACTGCTTCCCTCCGGGCTTCCCCCCGACCAGGAGAAGCGGATCAAGTCGCTCGAGGCAGAAGCCGAACGAATGCGGACCGAGATTGCAGAGAAGCAGAAGCTCAAGCGCGAAGTGTTGAACGAATGGGATGTAAGGGAAAGAGAGAGCGAGAGGGAGGCACTGCGTAGTGACCTCGCAGAACAGCACTTGCAGCAATTGATGGAAGGGGATGATGGGATTGGAAGAGCGGCATTCTAGTAGGATTTTACCTGGCGGGTTGGTTGGTCGATCGCTCTACAAGCAGCCGCGGCGCAACGGGACTGAGGACAGCCGGCTTGAAGGGGGATACCGCCAGATGTCCACCTGGAGTATGTCCTGGTGTCGTTCTTGTCACCCCTCCTTCAAGAAGCACCTCTTGCTTCCACAAAAATACGTTCTTGGAAGGAAAATTGAATTCGAGCGAGCGTGTGTGTGTGTCATTCAGATCATAGCATTGCACCAAAAAGCATGAGACAGGATAGGGCATATGGATAGGACTACTCGGTACAGCTCAAGACTTGCAACTTGGATGGCAATGCCGGCCTGTTGCGAGCGGAAAGGAAATTGGAATGAGACATCTGGATAAGAGAAGAGGCGCTGGGAGAGCTCGGTTTGTTTTGTTTTGCATTTTCTCTCTTTTTTGCTTTTCGTCTTTCGTCCTCCCACTCGGGCCAATTCTTGCCTTTCCAACAACCCTCCCACATCGTCTGGCCGCTCTTGCAACCTCTAGTCGCACACCACCTCCGTCTCGATGTATCTTTGGGTAGCTGACCCAGTGGCCCGCTCTACGAGCCAACAGCTCTGCCGCCATCCACCTCCAGATTCACCCCCGTGACAAACTTGCCCTCGTCACTGGCCAGGAAAGCCGCCACGTTGGCCACGTCCGAGGGATCCGTCAGTCTTCCCAGCGGGACGTTGAACAGGAACTTCTTCATGTTTTCTTCATTGTAAGGGACCCCCACAAAGGACTCGAAAAGGCCAGTGCCAGAGAGTAGAGGGCAGAGGGCGTTGACGCGGATTTGATCTTTGCCAAATTCGGCGGCGAGACCCTTTGTGGCCTGTGTTCCGAGCAGTCATTATTAGCTCCAGCGACGGGGCGGTTGAGATGGATGGAGGACATGAGACTCACATTCGCAACAGCGCCCTTGCTCGCATTATACCAAACCAGCCCTGGCCGGGGTCTCATGGCACCTATACTGGCAATGTTGATGATACATCCACCTCCCCTTTTTTGCAACGCGGGGACCGCAGCCGGTATGCTCAAAAAGATGCTCTTGACATTCACGGCCATGACCCTGTCGTACTCTTCCTCTGTAACCTCTAGCGTGGGTTTATTCTTGTAGGATGTTCCGGCGTTGTTGACGACGATATCCAACCCTCCGAATTTTGAGACGGCTATGTCGACCATTTTGCTCCAGTCACTGGACGAGGTGACGTTGGCGGTAAGAGTTGCAACGTGACTGTCGGCGGCATCGGCGAAGGCTTTTTGGAGACCGGCCTCGTTCATGTCTGCGGCGACGACTTTGGCGCCTTCATCAATAAATTTCCGGACGCACGCGAGGCCGAAACCTGAGGCAGCACCTGAGGAGACAGTAGGTCAGCTATGGGATTCGTGATGTCGAGTCACTCTTGAAATTTGTGGCAGGTTTGCTGAGTTCTTGATACTTACCTGTGACGATGGCGACCTTGTTGGCTAATTTGCCGGAGCCTGTTTGGACCTCGTGGAGACCTGACATGGTGAAGAACTCTCTATGGAAAGGTAAAGATTCAATCAAGTGGGAGTATTGCTGGGAAGGTAGGAGGGGGAGGCTTGTCGCCGGAAGTCGACCGTGAAAGATATATAGGCCATTGGGCCACCTCTATGCCCCGCAATGATGGAAGATGGCCTGGGAACAAGTCTGAGGACCATGATGTGTGACCAACAAGAAAACAACAGAGGGGTAAGGTCGTCTGTGGCCAAGGGCTTGCGGAAGAAGCTTGCGGGGATAAAACCTGCAACCGCATGCGGAGATGGTGTCTCGAAACCACCTCCTGGCGAATGACGATTGACGGAGGCCGGAGCCATCTCGTTCTCGGAAAACTGGTTGTCGGCAATGCCCCCGTCTCTTGCAATTTGGTACAGACGCAATATAATATAATGGCCCCAAACGGGTTACAAGTCACCAGACCTTGTATCAGCAGCCGCGGTCGATCGCGACGTCCAGTCCCGATAACACCGAGTTCGGTCGCCGGTGGAACGGATCGATGCAGGCTGATTGACCTGAATATCATCATCTTTTGTACGCAGTAAAGATATACCTGTGCCAGGAGGTGTACAAAGCTTTGCAACGCGCAGAGATGTCAGAGATCGACAGCTTTGACTGAACCAGTAAAACGAGCTAGGAAAGGCAATGGGGGTCGCAAATCGAGCGGCATCAGATTCGTGGTGGGTATCTCAATGTTGATATACAGCAGTACAAGACCGTCTTCAGCTAAGGTTATTTCCTCTTCTTGTTGGCGCGACCCTCTGCAGGCTATATTAGTGTCTTGCTGGCTGTCATGGACTTTGACGACCGTACCTGCTTTCGTCTTCTTCTTCTTGGGCGCACCCTTTCCTCGTAACTTGGCAAAGGCCACATTCTCCAGTCTGTCGTCCTCCTCTTCGTTGAAACCCTCCAGATCAAACTTTTTGAATTCGTCCAAAACGTCTTCCACGGTGGCTGATCGTCTGGGGTAGTACGAGGCCAATGCTGGACCTCTTAATCGCTGGCGCAGGACTTTGTTTCCCAGCCGTTGCTGCATCGGGTTGAAGGTCGTAGAGAAGATTGAGCATTGAAGCTGTAGGAATTTGGCTAATTAGCAGGAGTGCGCCTTGAAAGAATCACGCAGTGATTATTGCGCGCTTGGGCGCGGGCGAGGGATGTGGTATCCGGACTCAGTCATACCTGCATCAGCTGTAATAGCCGACCTCTCGATGGAGAAGCCATTGCAATGCCAGACCGAGGGAAAGGTGGTTGGTTGAATGTGCTGGAGACGACAAGTTCTGCATTGAGACCAAATTGAGGCCCTAGAATTGCAGTCCGGCACCAGTTGCCGTCGGAAAAACAACTCGCCTCTAATTTCCCTTTTTGCATTTTCACACAAACGGCCTGCATTGTGCCTTTGTCTTTCTGCCTGTCTCTGCCCATCTACATCTCTCATGTGAGTACTGCTCCTCCCGTTGTCATAAGAACACTTCGAATATCGTGCTCGCCCAGACGATGGCGGACTTTGGCAGGAAGCGCAAGTTCGAGCACGAGCCATACCGCTCACCCAAAAAACCATACAGAGACAACTCAAACCCTGCCAGGCATACCCAACTCGAAACATCGACCAATAATGGCCTTCCTCCTCTGCCGCAAATCCATGACAAATACCGATCGGTTGTCTTCACTCACCCCAGCCAGGCGCCCGGAGATGTCCATGCCAGCTACGACAGACTTGAATTTCTAGGAGACGCCTACCTCGAACTCTTTGCGACCCAATTGATCTTCGACAAATTCCCGAATCTGGACCCGGGAAAGCTGTCTCAGATTCGAGAGTCTCTCGTCAAAAACGAAACCATTGGCCAATATGCTAGCCTCTATGGACTTGACAAGCAAATACAAGGCTACAAGCAATTCCAGAATCAGGCGCCTCACGCCTGGCTCAAGATCAAGGGAGATGTCTTCGAAGCCTATGTCGCTGCCGTAGTCCTGACTGATGCGGATGAGGGAAGGCTAGCTAAGAAATGGCTTCACCAGCTCTGGGATCCCAAATTGCAGGCTGCCCTCACTGCCAATGATGCCCCATCCAAGAAAAGTAAGGAGGAGCTGGCCAAAAGGATTTTGGCCAAAGGTGTCAAGATCAATTATGTTGATGAGAAGGAACCCATTGTTCACTACGGCCAGGGAAGAGAGACTTACTTTGTGGGAGTATATCTGAATGGTTGGGGCTGGGACAACCAGTACCTTGGCAGTGGGAAGGGGTCCAGCAGAGTTGAGGCTGGACAAGCAGCTGCAGCAGCCGCACTCAACAATCATCCGCTCATTGATGAGATCGCAGCAAAAAAGGCAGAGTCTTACCCCCAGCGAGACAAAGAGGCTGTGAAGAAGGACGAGACAAACAAAGTCTAACATTGTCTATGGATGTGTCTTCTTGAAGCAATACTGAGACTTACCAGTCTCCCTCATCAGTTACCTCTTTGGTGATGGCAGCACAGGACCTGAGACAACGGCAGCCATGGACTTCAGCAGATGACGAGCTCAAGTTGCATGAACTGGCAATTCATGTCAATCACAATCGCCGAACTCTTCGTCACCGACAACCTCCGAACACCGGATTGCACTCTCGAACTGTCTGGTCGACTCCACCGAGCGGCGTGCTGCGGTAAAGAAGTCCCTATTCACCTCCTCATGTCTCGATATACCTGTGGTTTCCACTTAGCTTGCGACGATAATGACGGAATGATGATGACTGGTAAAGTCAAAAACCCGTGTCAAGTTGAAGGGAAGACTTACGATCGTCTTGAGGCTCCATTAGCTCCTTGGTGAGGCTCTCTGATTTGAAGGGTGATAGCTGGGGCTCAGGAATCCACGGCTGATCTTGTTCTGATGCCGGCATACCACCCTTTTCACGCTCATTTTCTTTGCCATCATGTTTTCTGCGCTGGAACCATCCGGAGATACGCCTATTCAGCCTTGTGAAAGCTCCTTGTTCCTTGCCGTCTTCTTTTCCGGAAGCCGTCCTCTTGATGCAGCCAGTATCATCATTTGCTGCCTTTGTTCCATTGTCCCGCACTATCACATCAAGGCTTCCCCCGTCCGGATTGTCTTCGTTTGTCTCGACCCCGGCACACAGTGTGGACGTCTTGTCGGACTCAATCACAGAATCTTGGGTAGGCTCAGCGCTAGCCCAGGAAACAAGCCGATCAACGAATTCTTCCTCTTTGTTTGGCCAAACATAGCGGTAATCGATTCCTTCACCATTTCGAACAATCTCAAATTCGCCTCCACTCCGTCCAGCCATGCGTCGACGTTGTTTACGGGCCGCAATGCTTTCGGCTGCCCCTTCCTCTGACATGGTTGAGATGATATCGGGTGTTGTTGGAGTTGCCAGGAACCTGGGCTGAGCTGATGCACTAGCAAGTCTATGATGCGGTCAGCTTCTGCATGGTGATTCATTGCTGTCCTTTCCCACGACAAAGAGAACGCGTTGTATACGATAAATACAAGGATGAGACAACTTACTGGGGAAGCGAGCGAAGCGAAGTCGAGGAATATTATCAATACCAGACGTCTCCGACTGTGATGAGTGGACAAAGAATGCCGACTCTAAAATCAAAATGAACAGACATGTGGCGCGCTAAGACGATGCCTCAGAAAGATGAATCGTTGCTCAGTGTTATGGATGCCTATTCTACGCGCGAGGTTGTTGACGCGGTTGCCCAGCAGCCTTGCAGAGTTGAGTGAAGGTGGTGAAGGATACATATTGTCCAAGGACGTGAAGACAGACTCTGGAGCTGTGCAAGACATCCTCAACGTTTTCACACCTTCTGGACGTCCAGTGCTCCTTCGGAAGATGTGGCGCAAACCGTCGTCATATATCGGGCGTTTTGTGGACGATCCATGAACCCTTTTCGAATCCAGCCTCGCCTTGTCCAAATACGCTTTGTTACGGCGCACACCTAATAATGTATCATCAGACAAAGTAGATTCTTTGTTTAAGATACAGTCGACTGAAAGGAAGGACACCATGATGTTGCTCAACAAAGCCGACGACGCGAAAACAATGCCGAGGGCGACAAAGCCAGCGAAACGGAGACTGAAGCTCGGATGTCTTTATTTGTTCTGCTACTTGTTTGGCCATCCGGGCCATCTTCGCCTTCGCCACGGAATACAGATCACAAATCACGCAACGACGCAGTCCTCGATCGCACTACATTCTGAGTGCCAACTAACGCACAAGTCAAAACATATCACGAAGATGATACTCCCTTTCCTCGACCTCCTCATCCTCCTCTTACTCTCCTCCACAAGGCTGAGTACCGCCTACCCCTCCCCAGCGGGTCTAGCCTATCTGCCCAAGGGCCAATGCACCTACGCGGGCCAAGTCGTCTGCGCGTCGACGTCGACGTTCGCAATCTGCGACGCGTCTCTGATGGGCGTTATCCAGCCCCTGGCCGTGGGGGATACGCGGTGCGGTGACTTTGGAGGCGGAAGCGCAGCAGCAACAACACCTGCAGCTGGCCCTCCTCCCGCGTCCTCTACGCGAACCACCCCAGCAAACTCGCAAGAAGGAACCCTGGGTTTCATGCAGACAATAGAATCAATGATTGCCACAGCCACAACACCTCCTGCGTCGTCCTCGACGCCGAAGAAGCCTGGGAACCAAACCACCTCCACGGCCGTCCAGCCAGTCACCACTCCCGCCCCACATTTTGCATCAGGGACGGGCCTCGAGGTCATCCCTGTCACACCGCTTCCCACGGCGGTTGCCACGGCCGCAGCGCCGCCTCGGGAGGGCTGTAATCCCGGCAAAAGCACTTGCTCGGGCGATTAAGGTTCATGAATGGTTTTGGACAGGGTCAGTCTACTCATACGAGCTATAGAGGTGGGACAATACATGGCCATGAGAGGATTTAGCCCTCGAATTACCTTGCCTATATAAATTACATGAGTGGAGAGCCAAGGTAACCCATGACCCTTTTCAAGATCTATCACACGCACACCACGAGTTTCTTCGCCCCAATAGTGGTGATTCTCTTGCCCTTAAGCCTTGATAATGAGATATCTGTTTTGAAAAAAGCACCCCGTTTTTGGGGTTCCCATTTCCTCTCTATTCTATCCCCGTCAGACCGTGTCACTTGTTTTTCTTTTATTCAAATATAATTGAGCCATAATATTGAAAAATGCACATTGTGCTCTTGTCCGTTCCTTCAGCCAAGGTTCGTCCATCCAGCCAGCACTGGGACGTCAATGCATTATGTACCTACCTAAGGTATCTAGTATGGTGCCTAGTGATGGTCATAACGATGGTGGAAGATATCGGTGGTGATCCCGTTACATGGTATGCTTGTTTGTCTCCTAACCCTTACCTAGAAACTGGTCTTCGATCCGTTTGGATTACCGGCTAAGCCGCCCTACACTACACGGTCACTGAGAAAAGTTTTGACTGGCCAAGTGGGCAAAACACAGATTCAAAACGTATTGCATAGGTTAGTTGTATTGAATCTAAGGGTTTCAACACAGTTACACACTCGTGTCAAGCTGTCATATTCCCAAGCACCTGAAGCTCCCGACCTGAGACAAGGGGAATACTTGTATCTTTAACCGTCCACCTTCTTCCTTTTCATCAGCAACGTCTTGAACGGATTTCTCCCCTTGAACCTCAAGAACGTTATCGCATAAACGACGGCGTAGTTGAACACGATGAACCCAATAAAAATGCCGAAGTCGCGCCAATGGTGAGAGTAGTATACGGAAAACCGCTGTCCAAATTGGTCCCCAGTCGCATACTGGCAGAACTCGCAAAAACCATCGGCTCCGACCTGGACGTAGCCGCCGGCTTGGGAAATAAATTTTTGAGTATAGGACTGGCAGGTATAGCCCGGTGGCGCACTCTGAAGCAAATGTCAATCCACTGACCTCGAAACCACATAGAATTGACTCACGAATCGAGCGAACTCTCCCTGGTTGCAGCGAACAGGCTGATTGTGAATGATTGCCTGCAACGGCCGTCAGTACTGCTTACGTGACATTGTAGGGATGTCACAGCTTACCCCCAGCATAGCCTCGAGAAGATAGTGGAACGGCGTCAGCCAATACATCCTGAGAAGTATCAGTAAGTGCCTCGATGTAGTTGCGAGCATAGAATAGCAGGAATGTGCTGAAGCAGGAATTACTAACCAGCTCCGCCAAAATTCGGGCAACTGTTGCGGTGGTACGACGACACCACAGAAGCTCACGACGAATAGGAAAAAGACTGGCACCAAGAGACTCGCAAGCAATTCGTTGGGCGCGAATGAAGCGATAGCCTGACCAAAGCTGATATAGTACAACTCGAAGAGTAGTATACACAGCAATAGGAATCCTGAGGTGAAAGACGAGGTTGAAGAACGATAACCGGCGATTCCAAACCACCAACAGCAGTAAAAGACGGCTCCGGCAATCAATGAGTAGGGGATCTCGGCAAGAACAGCACCTGTCGTCCAAGCAAACCAGCTGTAAATCTTTGCGTTGTTCTCTCGGGATCGAAATATGTCCCGAGAGTGAATGAACACAGGCTGCAGCTGCTGAATGAGCGGTGGCGAGATTGTGAGCACCAGGAAAACAGCAAAGAGACGTGATTGCATGTCGATGGAGGCAAAGCCAAGGTGGTAAAAAGTGAAGGTGGTGAATAAGCCGGTCATGATATGCAGGATGAACTTGCCGAGGATATAGTTGGGTGTCCGCTACAAGGACGTCAGTTGAAGGTATACCGACCCACGCAACGGAGATACTTACCCAGTATGCAGTGAACGACCTCTTGACTACCGCCTTAGTCTGCGTCGCAATTGGCATGGCGTATTCCCTGTCGTCCCTGACATTCTTGCTATGTTCGACGTTCTTTCTGCGTTCGATCATCTCGGATATCTCGTCAGATCGAGCTTGATAGCCGGTGCTTTGTTCCCAAACATCACCCCAGTCTTTGCCTTTGTAGTTGGGATCGCCCGCGCCAATCACCTCAAGCATGTACTCTGCAGGATTTGCATCTGGAGGACATTTTCGGGCTCCGTTCTCCTCGAAGTAGTGAATGAGCTCTTGCGAGTCATGACCAAGAGGGCCATGATATACAACTCGACCACCAGACTTGAGCAAGATGAGCTCGTCAAAATGTTCGAAGAGGACCGCCGACGGCTGATGAATCGTGCAGAGGATAGCTTGACCAGCATCTGCTAACTTCCTCAAGAATCTCACAATGTTGAATGCCGCGCCAGAATCAAGGCCTGACGTGGGTTCATCCAAGAACATAAGAAGCTCGGGTTTACTAGCTAGCTCGACACCGATAGTCAGTCGTTTCCTCTGTTCCTGGTTGAGGCCTTGGCCAATTGTTCCGATCGTTGCTCCCGCAATGTCTCGCATCTCGAGTAGGTCAATGATTGTCTCGCAATACGCATACTTGTCCTGGATAGGTACTTCTTTCGGTTGTCGGAGTAGAGCCGAGAATTGAAGCGCTTCTCTCACGGTTGAGGTCGGTTCGTGAATATCCATCTGCTCTGCAAATCCTGTAGCACGCTGAAAAGACTTGGGCAACGGCCGTCCGTCGACAAGAAATTCGCCTGTCACTGTGCCGAAGTTGACGCGCTGTGCAAGCGTATTCAACAATGTCGTCTTCCCTGCACCACTGGCGCCCATCAAGGCGGTGAGTCTACCCGGACGAATGTATCCTTGAACGTTTTGGAGCAGCTTCCGCTGGCCTTTCTCGTAGGGAATAGTATAGTTGACGTCCCGGAAGGTGTATACTGTCTCGTTCTTGGCCACATGTTCTAGCAGATGTTTGTCCTGCGTCGTTCCCCTAGACTCGATGCTTTCGCTACCAGGAGATATAACCTTCTCCACCAGATTTGCTGGGGTCGAATTCCCGGATTCCTCGTCGTGTTCAGAATTCTTGTCTCGGCCGCCTGTTTCAATGGCCTGTTCCACTTTCTTGGGGACCTGTCCACGCTTGAAGACGGTAATAGCGCCACCACCTGCATTAGGCTTCATTTTTTCCATGCCAAAAGCGGCCACTGCAAGGAAGAATGCGAAGAAGGCCCATAGGAAACCGAAATTGCGCCAGAGATGGGTACGACTATACCCGAAAGCCTGCTGAATGTATCGAGCTCCGTTTACAGATGTTTGGCCCGGTTCACTCCCAGCCAAGGTGCATGACTGGTACTGAGGCCGTGCATTGGGACCCTGAGGGACCAGAAAAGGAGGCACACAATCCATGATCAGACCAGTAAATTCATTGGACATCAAACATTCGAATCCGTACTGTATCCAATTAATTCGTCGAAGCCAGCTGAACCAAACACGCATCTGATCGGGTGCTATGGAATCATCAGCAAATTCAAGGAGACTGGACAGGGTGACCTACGAATGAGGTAGCCCGTATACACAACCAATATCTGGATCGAGACACCAGTAAATCGAGTGGCATCGTCCAGAGTCTTGCAGAGGGCGGCAAGCATGCGAAAATAAGCGTAGGTGACCATCGTGACGGTCCAGATTATGAGACAGGAGATGAAGAATTGGGAAGCAGAAGCGGCAAGCCCGGCCATCCAGTATATGATGACGTTGAACAGGACGACCTGAATGGCGACCAATGGAATATCGACGACCGTTTGGGCAAGGGCGTATGCCGCGGGACGGTAGAAGGAGAATGATTTATGCTTCAAGAGGATCGGCTTGGAGGAGAATGCAGCAGTCATTTCTGCCAAAGCCAGCAGAGCATTGAAGAGAAGAACAAAGAAGATTGCACCACCTCTGGGGAAAGCTCCAGCGGCTGTTTTTGGCTGTTGGAAGAACAAGCTTCCCACAATCAGTCCCTGCGGCATCGTCAGCAGAAGTTCCAGCCTCCCATAAGCAGTCGGCGTCTATACGTACTTGGAATACAATGCCTCCCCACTTCCCAATCAACGAAGCTCGATCGCCCAGCATGACCAAGAACTGCCGCTGTGTGCATGCAAGGACCTGCTTATGAAAAGGGATGGCATAATTTTTCTTCTTGTCCTTTGCAATGTTCTGCCCACGGGCTTGCCGTTGTTGCTCTAATTGAGCTTCAAAGTCCCTCATGTCTTGAAGGTTGCGTTGGTAAGCCTCTGACTTGCGGTAGATAGCAGCGAATTCCTCTGCGTTTCGTGGAATTCGATCTTCCCAACCTTTTCTAACAGCCCTCGCGTGCGGATCGGTGACGGAGGTTAAGAAGTCAGATGTTGTCCAGCGTGGTTTACATTCGAAACCAAGATTGATGAAGTATTGTTTGGCGTCATCAGCTAACCCGAAGTACAAACACTTTCCTTCGTGGATCAACAGGACCTTGTCCACAAGTTCGTATAATGACTCTCCGGCTTGATACAAGGACACTGCTGTGGAAGTGTGTGCCATGTTGGTGAGGGTTCGGATACACTGGACGTACTCGAGTGCCGTACTTGCGTCTAGACCTCGACTGGAGTTATCCCAGCCTTGAACCGAAGCTCTCGTGATCATGGCTACTCTCTGTCAGTGACAAACTTCATTTGGTGAAATCTGGAGCGTACCTTCTGCTATGCTGACTCGTTTCTTTTCGCCGCCAGAGACTCCCCGAACAAATTGATCGCCAACTTTCGTGCCCAGAGTGTGTTCGATCCAGAACAATTTCGTGACAACCCGTAAGAATTCTCTCGTGTAATCTGCGCGGGATTCACCTTCTAATCTCGACTCTTTACCCGGAGTGCGAGTTTTCAGGGCAAACATTAGAGTGCGCTTGACCGTCAATGTGGGATAATGAAGGTCATCTTCTGGATTGTAAATGACTTCTCCTCGAAAATCCCTTTTCATAGTCTTTGCGTCAGTGCCACCATAGGTGACTTCCCCTTGGACTGCCTCGAACCCCTCTCGCTGATTACAGAACGCTTTGAGAAAGGTCGAACAGCCAGAACCTGGTCTGCCAAGAACCAGGAGCATCTCCCCGGGTCTTACACAGCCGTCCAGATGGCTCAGAAGTTCTCGCACTGGGGGCTTACCGACCGCTGCTTTTGCGCCTTTGGTGAAAAGAGTCTTAAGCAGCCGCGGTAGGCCGAGGAATATGTCGCCGACGGTTGGCTGAAGGCTGGCGCCCAACCCGACCCCTTTCACGGTCAAGTCGCGAAATATGACCCCACTGTGACGGGTTTTCTCTTCTTCGCTGTGCGCCTGTCGAGCTTGGCCGAACATTCGAGACATGAGCCTCTCTATTTCGTCATTTTCCTCTTGAAGCTGTGCCTCGGATTTGCCTGAAGCGCTTGTTCTCCTACGGGACAGGACATTGAACAGGTCGTCCTCTGACTGCACACTCCTTTGCTTTTGAAGGCGCTTTTCGTCAGTTGTTGAAGCGGCCCTGAGCGGTTCGAACTTGGAGTCCGTTCTTCCTGCTGCGGATTCATCTGATAGATCTGTGGCCGATGAAGCGGACGACATGCTGTAGACATGTCTGCTTCTGGCTCGGTATGATGACTCGACCGGGGAGTTGGTAGCTATGGCAGTCTCGTTAGAGGAGGGAGTGTTGTCGTTTCGATGGGTCATCAAGGGGCCTTCTGGCGGATATGGTTGAGATTGAGGCTGAGAAGAAGTTGGAGTGTCCCTCGTGGCCTCAGATGGTATAGTACGTTGACCATTGTCACGTTCCTCGTGGTCTGGAGGAATAGATTCCTCCATAGATGAGACTATTGGTTGGGTAGGAGAATAACCTGGCGTATCTGGAGTCGGCGGGGCACCCTTTGTTAAGAAAGAACCATGAAGATATTGTAGAGGTATGGATACGCAAGGCCGAGATGTTGGTTGAGGTTGATACTAGCACCGCAGTGGTGTGACGATAGTTTATACGGATAGGAATGCCATGGCGTGACAAGGGCGCGCATGGAGAGCATGCGAGTTCAGGGCAATAAAAGTCACTCACTCGGGCTCGGTGATAAGTCATGGACACCTACCAAAGTCCCTGCCTGGGTGCCTACCTGCAGTGGGTGCCTACCTGTGATTGAGCTCGATCGAGCAGCAGCAACTCCCAAGACGGCAATATCCAGGCGCGGTCGGGTGGAGGGTGCAGGCGCCATGGTGATTGACTCTTTGAGGTGAAGGGTGCGGCGGCATGCAGCTGGATTACGTTGATGTTGCGAGCAGGATGCTTGATGGTTGGAGGAATCACGAAGTCAAGTTCGACTAGCCTCCGTCTCATGACGAGGTTATGGAAGTTTGCATTTGTATCGGATCTGAAATCTCCCGAATCCGGGAGACGCAAGGACGAAGGTGCAGTTCGGCGCCGAGCCACGCCTCACCAGCCTCTCTTTCTCAGTGTACCGAGTACGAGGCGAGGAGGTACGCTTTGCGATATCAAGTTAGATTAAAATCCGAGACTTTCTGTAACTAATATCGCTAAAACGACTGTGACGAGACGATCAGCAAATTGTCATTTGATTCGGAAAAACACTCGATGTGGCCCAAGGTTTGATAAACTACCTAGGTAACTTACCTAGACATCAGAGCTGCAGATCAGCCTTGCTGAGTACCGTACGGTGAAGACGTCCTTGATCTGTCAGACGTTTTAATAGCACTTGAGGAATTTCAGGGATCCTGACCAGCGACAGGGATGGATTCTCTCGGATGTCGCCATACTCAAATTGAAGACGATCTGGAACGGGGGTTGGCGACGGGTAAGTCATATGTAAGAGGCTTCTGAAGCGGCCAGCATGTTAGATGCTTATGCACGAAGATCAAATCCATAGCAGCGATCACGAACGGACCACCAACTCTAACACAGACGCCGACAAACCACATATGGCACTGCTGCAGGCCAATTTTGAAACAGCGTTGGCTCGAGGCCGAGAGTCTGGTCCTCTTGAGCCATCGTATGAAGGCGAAAACAACTTCTCCCCACCAGCCGATTTGGACCCGGCGATGTTTCTAGTCAGCCCTCTACGGGATGGAGGTCCCACGCCGGTGCCTTACTCCCATCGCATGCTGTCCCCAACGGCTGGCATTGAACGCAAAACAAAGGACTCTTCCGAGTGCGGCCTCCGAGCCGCAGTGCAACGACTCTCTTCCTATCTCCGTCCAACGACCAAAGCAGGACCGAGCGGTCCCACTGACCTGATGGGAATCTCGCCTCAAGCCAATCCGGATGACTTTCCAATCAATTGTAAGTTTGAAGCACGGCTGCAGAAGTATTTGAATCCGCGAGTGATTTATCGTGACCCGAAAGACGATTCAATCACCTTGAATTTTGCGACCTTGCACCAAGCGGAGTTGCATCGCCTTCGAAAATCTTTGATTGAAGCGGCGATAGACTTTGCGTACGGAAAGCACTCTGAAGACGACCCGTTCCCGACGCTGGGTCTGATTCATGCCTACAGTACGTCTACGTCAATGCATACCAACGGAAGGACGATGAGCTGATATTGTCTTCAGGAAAAGCCTTAGAGGATTGGGACTATATCAAAAGCTGTGCGCTGAAGGGTAAGGAGAACGATCCCTTCATTGCAACAAGTAAGGAATATCAGGACTGCGTATATATCTGGCATGCCTGTGCGGAATTTCGAGGCGAGATGGACCAGCATGATCAGTCAAGGCTCTTGGGACCGGTCGGGCCTGATTCGCCCTCAACTCATTCGAATCCATCGATCCTCGGGGCTGCCCTTCAAAGCCTACCAGCACCTACGCCTCATGAGCTACAAATCTTTTGCAAATTCGATACAGCTTCCAGGACTCGTGATACCCAAGATCTCTGGGGCGCATCCCGCAACAAAGGGAACGAGCGTGCAACCAAAAGGGCACTATTCCAGCGAATAGGGATGGCCTTTATGGGTGGTGCATTTCTCATCGGTCCTATGCTCGTAATGGTCTTGCATCCGAGTCAGCTCACGGCGTTGCTGACGACGTCTCTCTGTGTCTTCGCTTTCGGTTTGATAATGGCTCTGTATTTGGACGACCCGTTCAATGTTTTGTCGGCTACTGCCGCATATGCCGCTGTCCTGGTGGTGTTCATTGGAAGTAATGGTACGGGGTAGTCCCAGTGGTCAGCAGAACGCAGAATCGGTGCTATGCTGAGAGATATATCTAAAGTCTATGAACAGCCGCGCCGAGTAGATATACCACCTACTGCTAGACCGCCTTGAGAGCCTGCGTGAGGAACGGGCCTCATGCGAATAGACAGAGTGTTACAGGCGACTCGAGAGGGAGTGGATGGATGGGTATTAGGTGTGCCCACAGAGGTTTCCATACAAGATTCGAGACGTGAGATAAAAAGGAGCCTCTCCTGCGGTGAGTGCGTATATCTATAGCTCGTCAGTCTGGAAGGCTTCAAGGTTGGCACCAAAAGCCACTTTAAATGACGCTGTGTTCGAATTAACGTATTGTCATAGCCTTGATGGCCGCCACAGCCATCAAGGATGATTGGATGCTCTAAGATACAAGCATAACTGTCATGGGATAAGCAGTTGCCGGGAACTGGATCGCTACACAAATCCCGGAATCATCTGCGCCGGTGTAACAGGACACCGATTTCGCACATTCCATCATTGTCGTCTTTGTCATAAATCTTCTTCACCTGCCTCAACCTCATCCCGCAGACTCGGCCGAGAACGCAGGCAATCATAAGACAACCGGTGCGTCTTCCATCCGATCATGGACGGCCCCCTCCTCTCCCCAGGTTCAATGTGTGGGTACCTAGCCACCTAGGCAGGCATTCGTGTGCATGGCCATGATGCGTTCCCAAACTGGACAATGAGAATCGCTTCATAAAAGTGGGTACGGATGTTACCCGGAATAGAGAAATTCCACTGGGGGGCCTTACCACACTTCTGCCATACCTATAGGGGTGTTTCGTCACCAAGATTCATCTGCTATCCAGACCAAGTCAACGTGTAGGGCCAATGGGTGAAAGAGCGTGGCAATGTCGACATTTGGCGGGCGAGGCGATGTTGGTCGTTCCACCGGATTGCCGTCAACTGACGGTTGTGGCAGGTTTCTTCGTGAAAAAGTCACTCATCTTCTTCATTCCTGAAACATTGACCTTCTTTAGTTCGCGCACTCCTCTTGACTCTCCCAGCTTCTTCTTCCTCTCTTCTTCCTCCTGCTTCCGCTTCTTCTCTGCTCTCACTTCCAGAGCTTCATCGTCTTCCAATCCCCTCTTCCTGCTGAAATCCGTGATCGATCTTGACGCAAGTGCCTCGGCTTTAAGATTTTCCAAGTGCCTGAGGTGGTCCTTCAAGGTGGTAAAGTCGATCGGCGAATCTGGTGAATCAAACCGAGCTCTCAGACGGTCCGCGATCGACTCTGGCAGGTAAGAAGTGAGGATGAAGTCTAAGACGACCCGCTGTTTCTGCAGCTCGAACAGCTCCTTCGAAATTGGCTCACAGACGACAGTGCTGATCGAACTCGTCGTCGAGACTTCGGAGAAGATGGTAGATTGTGCCGTGCTCGCGGCTGAAGATTGCGAGTCCAAACTATCAAGTGCCCCATCATCTTCGTCCATTGCTAAGGGCACTGTCTGGGTGGATGTAAGCGTCTCCTCCCGCTTCACGCTAAGGATGGGAGCTTCCAATGCTCTTTTTACAAATTTGTCCAGTAGGCTAGTTGGTAAGCCTCTGTTGTCGGCGTTCTTGACCTTCTGGACGATCATGCGTGCTGTCTTCTCTTCGCTAGGTCTATACATCTGCTCGCCTCCTGCTTCAATAGTGTCACAAAGCATTGACATGGCGTTCTCTACCACGGGTCGTCCATGCTCAAATAAATATCGTAGCTCTTTATCATCCTGTATTCGCTGCTCGAAGAGATCGTCGATTGGCTGAAACAAAGCCTTGGCCGCGGTTGGCTTCGACGGCAAGATGAGAGGGGCAAGTATAAAGGCGACATCGAATGGTGCTGCCACATAGAAGTCTGGACTTTTGCTTATGTACCCTTTGCTCAATAAGTGATCTGATCGAGTCTCATCTTTCGGCTCTGTCGGATTGGTCTGGAGGGTTTCAGGAATGCATGGAGTGAAAAGGAGACTCCGAGGGTCCGTCGTCGGCGCACTGATTCTGTTGAAGTGGAATAGCCCGCGTTCGGGACAAAACAGGAATCTTTGTGGGTTTCCGTCGCGAGGATGTCGCAGGAGAAGGAAGCGTGCTTTGGGGGATATATCTTTTGGGAGAACGAAATGCTTCAAGGGCTTCTGTTGTGGATTGGTGGGGGCAGCTGCGGCGTTCGCAGATGGTTTCTTGACAGGGCTAGTTGAGGTTGAACGAGTTGCTACCGCCATATCGAAGGTGTAGGGGCATTTATGATCACTCGAGCAGGTTTGGTGGAGGTACGGTACATTGTCTTCTGAGCAGTCAAGAGTCAAGAGTCAATTCCCCTCCGTTGGTGCGAAAAGATAATTCGCAACGCGTCTGCAGCGCGTCTTGAACCGCCAATCGGAGTCCGTGTTTGCTCCGCAGCCCAATTGTGTCCTGCGTACCGTGACCTCCTTCGATTTCGTGCCCAGTACCTCGCATTCTCTTGAAAAAAGCGGCCGGTACACTGTGTAACGTCAAATTCCATCGTCTTCTGGAGCTCCTTAAGTTTGAAGATACTCAAGCTCGAAGCAATCCAAATTTCGCCGTCTCCCACCGCGTCCATGTACGCATACTGCCAGGCCTCGACGCCGACTGTTTGTCAGTGATACCATCCACCATTTGTCTGCAAAATGTCCTCAGAGATTGCCTGGCCTCCTGTTTCGCCTCATGCTGCGCTGCTGAGCTCTCCAAGTGGACGCAAGAAGTATGAAGCCTACCGAGAGGGCACATCTCCCATAAAACGATCTGCAACGACACCTAGTCTCGTCGACAGGCTGCGAGCGGCTCGCACGAACAATGACTTCGGGGTTCTAGGTGGAAACGAGGAGGAGGAACAAGAAGAAGACGAAGAGACACTCCAACTTCAATTGGCTGCAATCGAGGCCAAGTTAAAATTGAAGAAGTTGCAACAGAGCAAGGCAAGGGCTGCAACTCCCACCAGAGACTTGGCCCGGCCAGCTTCTGCTCATGCACCGTCCGCTGCGCAGGTTGAGGTGAAAGCTTCTCCGAGTAAACGGATACAACCCCCAGTGTCGAAGTCGCCATCCAGAGTTCTCCTAGGAATCGACAAGGGTATCCGAGGCGCGGATGTATCACTACGCAGAGCCAATACTACCAACGGCAGTCATCGTTCCACGAGAACGGACAGTTCACTGCCGGGCAGTCACAGACCACCCTCTCAGTCTGCAGGATTTAACTCTGCGCGATCCGCCGCCTCATCTAGGTCTGCTGTAAGGACCGAGTCACGCAAAACATTCAGCGAGAGAATGTCAGAGGCCCGCCAACGGGAGACGACCCTCGAACAACATCGCGCCACGACAATTCAAAATCGCAGCAGAGGATTTGCCCTGGACCAAACGGAAATGGAGCGTTACAGATCGACGGCGGAGGAATCACGCAATCAACAATCGTCAAAGTCACCGACCCGACAATATTTCGAATATAGTCGAGACGAAGTCCTGCATGCCGCAACAGAAGCTAATATTGGCAGTCGACAACTTAAGAAGAGTCGAACCATGCCTAATCTCAGAACATCACCATCCAGGCACAGCAGGAACCCAGAGACCCAACCGGGAGACGCGAACCTTTTCGAAGGCTTCTCTGGACTACACCTGTCTTCGCGAATCCTGCCGCACTCGTTCCTCAAACGCACTCTTCCCACCGAACAATTTACCATCTTACGTATCCCAGACCTCCTCAAAGCCGTCAAGTCGCCTACATACGACCTCCCTGAATCTCTATGCGACTATGTCGTTTTTGCGGTGATCGCTTCCAAATCCTCCCCTATGGACCACAAGACGCCCAATCCCAACAACGGAACAGTTGGGAGTAACGACTGGGAACGCCAATGGGAGGACGGATCGCGCAATCATCGGCGCTTCATGGCTCTGACCCTGACAGACTTGACCTGGACCATCGACTTATACCTCTTCAGCACCGCCCTTCCCCGCTACCACCGGCTCACACCAGGCACTCTTGTGGCAATCCTCAACCCGGGCATTCTGCCCCCGAAGCCAGGGAAAGCCGACACGGGGGCATTCTCCTTGTCCCTCTCCGATGATTCCGACACCATCCTGGAAATAGGCACAGCTCGAGACTTGGGGTACTGTAAGACCCTGAAAAAGGACGGGAAGGAATGTGGAAGTTGGGTCAACGCGGCCAAGACTGAGATTTGCGAATGGCACCTCAACGCGGAAATTAACAGGACAAAAGCGAAAAGAATGGGTGTGAACACCGGCACAAATGGTTTCGGGGAGTGGAAGAATCGTCCTCTGTCACGAAATGAAGACGGCGGAAAAGGGACGAGGGACGGACGACGATATGACAGGACGACAGAAAGTCACTATTACATCGCCAGCACAGGACCCAAAGTTGGCGGGCACGGGCACGGGCACGGTCGCCGTATGCTGGGCGTGGGTGTGGGTCCACATCTTCTGGACAGCGACGACGATCCGTTTCTGCCCAGCGGTCAAGACGGGGGTCAGCTGTCCCGCCCCAGCGACCGCGATGCGCGCCTGAGGAAACGTCTCGCCGCACAGGCGAAGGAGCGCGAGATCGCGCAGAAACTCGGCTCACGAGAACACGGCGGCGGACTCGGGTTCGGGTTCGAGAGCGCCGGGGCAGAGTACATGCGGCAGCAGAAGGCGAAGAAGACGAGGGACGATGAATCCCGAATAAAAGACAAACAATCTGCTGCAAAGACCGTGGCTGTGGGCGCCGTGGGCGAGACAGAGACTCAGACTCGACGCCTAGGTCCCAATATCTCTGGGAGTATCTTGACCAGCACCACGAACGAGAACCGAAAGCGCACAGCCGCAGATGTGCGCCTCTCGCCCGTGAAGAAGACGCGCTTCGTCACTGAAAAGGGCATCAGAGAGGCCGGCAGAGAGTCCCTTGGAACGGGCGTGGGTTCTCAAGATCCAGGACCCGGTGTTGGGGTGGAGAGTGAAAGTGAGGATGAATTGGAAATTGTTTGAGCGCCGCTGCTGTTGACGTCTCGCTTGATATGATGAGGGAGAAAGACTTGGGGCCATGACATGCTGCCGTTGTGACTACCTGCAAGACTACATGTATAATCACTATGACCTAGAGAGAGAGAGAAGCCTCTGTCTCAGTAACGTTTATGACATTCTCTATCAGGAAAAAAGCTCAATGAATGAACCGAGGGTGCTCCTTTGGTTGGGCCTAGTCTCGTACCCAATACGCAAAGACCACGACAGGACGCCGCGCACCGTGTCACAATCTTCTCGTCAAGACAATTTATCTCGATTCTGCTATCCTTTCAATCGTTTCCCACCAAGCCTTCTGTCGAACCTCCATACTAAAAGATCGTGTCCCATACACACCGCTGGACAGCCGCCCATACCAACAATTGAGCTCAGTCAAAAAGGCCAAACCCCATCATGGGTCTTCTCCTTCGTGGTTCGCGCTGCCGCCCTCCTCTCTGTCGTTGTTGGAACTGGCATCAGAAACTTGGTCATCTGCTAAAACGCCTCCAGTCAGCCCCGAGGTAGTCAATAGAGAAGAATGGATACTCACTGGGTTCTCCGACAGTTCTCATCCGTCGCAGAGTGGTCATGGTATCTTCAAGCACTTTCAACTTCTTATTCAGCTCCTCCCGTTCAGCAAGCGATCCTGGTGACTCGCCAGCAATTCTGGTCACCATGGCATCATCCAGGTTGAAGACAATTTCTGGTTTGAAGATATCAGGTAATTCGTTGAGAAGGCATTGTTCCACCGCATACACCCCGAAAGAGTCGACGATGGTCTTCAACGCAACCTATCAAAGTCAACCTCCGAGCTCCACTGAGCAATATGCAACTCACCTTGTAATAGGCTTCCATGGCATTTGTCGCATCAATACACGCAAACCTAGACATGTTCGACTCTGTATCTTTGAGTAGGGCGGCCAGAAGCGCTCCTGTATCTATGTGACAGCTGTACAGTCGATCCCTGCCGTCCTCTGAAGTAGGATCTAGGCCAAAAAAGTTCCGGAACTTCTCCACCAATGCTTCTCGCTCCGCGTCGCGGCGCTTCTTCTGCAGATTTTCAGTGAAGTAGTGATTGTACGTGATAGCATGACCTTTCATGTGCGGTTTGAGAACTTCCTCGACCTTCTTGTGCAACTTGGTGACAATGGTCTCCAAGTTGGGTCGGATCAGGAATCTCATAATGCCGTCCCCCGTGACAGAATCAGAGATATGCTCTACCACAAGCTCGATTGTCGTCCTTGCTGCGGTGACTAGTCTCTCCTCTGTTTCGTGGAGTAAGTGCTGCCACGGTCTGCATTGATCAAAGAACAACTCGTCCACAATTGATGGGTTGAATAGACCAGGAAGTTCACGACCTCGGTTCCGACGCACGCGAGCCTCGACAGTGTCGAGATACGCCTGGCGGGAAATGGGTTGTGGGCCGGGCTTTTTCTCTGACTGCCCATCTGTTTCTTTGTCGACAATCTCCTGAGCGTGCCCTTGGGTGCGCATTCTGGCGGCGAAGGTAGTAAGTGTGTGTTGGACAACAGCACGGAGACGTTTGTTGTAGCCTTTGTCGGTATCTGCGCTTCCAAAGAATGGATCTTCGTACGTACCACGAACGGAAGACTTGATCAAATCGACAAACTGCTGGCTTGCGTGGAAAAGATAGGTGCGTTGTTCAAGGAGCGACCCTCGGGGAGCACCGAGCGCCGCCAACTTGCTCTTACAGAGAGTCAATTCTCTCGTCACATCTCGTACCAGAGAGGGAAGCTCCGTGAGAATTTGACCGAGCAAGACATGACTGAGACGTGGACGGAGATTGTCAATCCCAAGCTGACTGCTGGGCAGCGCTGAGGACCACACGCGGGATTGGAAAAATTCCTTTTCAGCAGCATCTCGCTCGGCGGAAGTCGTGTCTTTGGTGTCATAGTCGCGGTTCTTGAGAACATGCCATCCCAGCTTGAAGTAGACATCTTCATTTCTCGCCAGTTCCACAAAGGCAGCCTCGCTGTCAGACCCAGCATGCAGCAGATCTGGCTTGGTGATAATACCCAAGGTCCGCTGGCCCCTCGGGTCGATTTCGCGCGCGAGCTTGGTGATGATTTGATTTGCCAGGTCATTTTTGGCTGAAACGACTGCCAAGATGATGCTTCTCTTACTCTTCATGTACGACTTGACCAAGGATTGCACCAGCTCAGCGTCATTGTCTGATTGGGAACGATTACCAGCCCAGAAGATGCCGGGAAGATCAACAAGGGTCAGGTTGGGCTGGTTTGGACCACAAAGCTCGACTCTTAGGATATCCTTTGCGAAAACGGTGTTGTCACTGTCCAATCCCATGGCTTTCTCCGCGGATTTGACAATGTCTGCAAAGTCGGCGATCGAGGTCGAAGGAGGGGTGAAGAGTGAGAGGCGTTCGGCATCTTGCTCTGTGCGATCGGCACTCGGAATGATGGTGACCACAACTTTAGAGGCAGGGCCACGTCGAAGGATGAGTTCAGTCGCGAATCGGGTGCAGAGGTTGTCTTTGGTGGGAAAGCGGAGGCCCGAAATCGCTTCCAACACACTGGATTTGCCGGAGCTTTGGTCACCGCAGACAATGATCTGAGGCAGATCCACGTAGCGACTAATGCCTTGAAGTCGCAGACTGTCGATGAGGTTCAGAATTTCTTCGTGCTCGGAGGTCTGAAGGCTGACTTGTGCCATCTTGAGGAGAGGTCGTCGCCGCTGGCGGGTTTAGCAGGGTTTGGCAGAGAGCTGGAGTGGTTGAGGGCGGAGATGGGACGGGCTTTTAGGAGAAAGAGAACGATCCCTCCCTTGGCGTGAGAAACTTGCAGGCTCCTGCTTGCCTGTCCTGCTCTTGGAGGTGAGGCAGAGCTAACTGGCGTCTCCACTGCGAGCAAAGGCACAGAATGTCCTTTGACCATGGCCTTGACCATGGCCTTCAGCTGCGCCTCTTTGCACCTTCGCTTTGTTGGCACGTTTGATCTGGCGGCTGCCTGCATTGCGGATGCCAGTGACCTGATTGATAGCCACGGCATTGAGAATCCTGCCAGGCTGTGTCAACTCTCCATCCGGCGCAGTCCCCGATGTGGCTCCTACACAGCAAAGCAGGTCCTCCACGTCGGAAGAAAGAAAGCAAGCTATCCATGACTGAAGAATCATTACGGGGCGCGCAGACTGTCAGCGCAGTATCAAGACAACACTCGTTAGTTCTACCTGGTATTGTTGGACAGATGTATAATGATTCAGGGGGCCAGGGATGGCAATGATGGGTATGGGTTGATGACGAGGAGGTCAATCAACGGCTAGGAGGAAAGATGGCGAGTCAGCCTCGTGAGCCTTGGCGGCAGCCGCAGTCAGCCTCGCCGGCCAAGACAAGAGATAGAGGAGTAACTGACCATTGTTAGAGAAGTGATACGTTCCCCTTGACAACGAAGCCTCACTGCCTCCTTGAAAATTGATTACATTAGGTACTTTTGCTTGCACTTGATCATATCATGTCAAACTTGACATATCTAGCAGACCGTCTTCCAGATCTTCTTCCACCATGGCCAGGTAGCTTGAATTCTGCGTTCCTCCTCTAGAATCTCCCTGAGATTATGAATTTCTCTCCGTCCGCTCGTGATATCAATCTCTCTGATCCTTCGGATCTTGGTTCTCATTACCAGCTTATAGCCAAAATACATGGCAATGACGATAGGTGCTGCGAGATAGACCTCAAAGAAATTCTCCACCAATTCTGAGGCAGACATGTCGGCATAGCCAACGGGTGCGAAGCCGGTCCAGAATTGCGCAATAAGAATCAGAATGTTCATTGCCAAGCCTATCCACGAGCCGTACACGGTGGCTTGTGATTTGAAAGCGAGTTCGTCCAAGGAACGGCCAGCAAGGCGCCAGGCGCTGCGGAAGCGGATGTGGCATAAACAGATAGTGCCCCTTGGATATACAGGTTAGTCGGAGCGCAGGATAATTTAGAGGTCAATCCTACTTACCAGGTGAAAATCGAAGCAAGACCACTGATTGCAATCATCCAATTGAATGCTTGAGTTGAGGTGTCCGGACCAGCCGCGACAATGTAACACAGAAATCCGAAGAGAGAAGAAACAATAATGGCAACCAATGGACGGCCTTCACGGTCGACGTAGCCCAGTATCTTAGGAGCTTGTCCCATGTCCGCAAGCGCAGCCAGAGTCCGGCTGGAGCCATAAACGGAGGAGTTTCCAACGGACAGGACTGCAATGAGGATGACGACGTTCATGATGGAAGGAACCGCATCAATACCGGCGTTGCGGACAGCAATGACGAATGGAGAGGCGTTGGCGTCCGATGAGGAGCTGCCGTTCAGTAGTTGCGGGTCATTGTAGGGGACGAGGACGCCCACGATGGTAAGGGAGACCATGTAAAACAGTGCAATCCGCCAGAAGACTTGCTTCACAGCCGTAGGTAACGCGATGCGAGGGTTCTCAGTCTCAGCAGCTGCGAGGCCCACCAACTCGGTTCCACTGAAGGAGAAGGCAGCGGTGACAAATACGGAGCACAAGCCCTTGAATCCATGGTTCTAGGCAAACGTCAGTGACCAAAGCAGGGGATGGGAAATGGAGCTTGACCTACAAAAGCGCCTGGATCGTACCAGTAGCGGGCGCCGATATAGCCTCGGTGGTCACCTGGGACACCCCCAGTATTGATGATGATGCCGAGGATGATAAAACCAATGACGGCGATGACCTTTATGATCGAGAAGACGAACTCAGCTTCGCCGTAACCTCTGACGCCGAAGAAGTTGATAAGAATAATGGCCACCAGGAATATAGTCACCCAGGCAGCCCCGTTAACGTCCCGACTGCCGGGCCAGAACTCGAGTGTAAGAGACGCGGCGACAATCTCGAGAGGAAGAGTAACAAGCCATTGGAGCGCGTAGCTGGAGAAACGGTCAGTCTCGACAAATATTAAAGATCAGCAGTATGACACTCACTTCCAACCCATTGCGAAGCCCCAGGCCTCATCCACGAATCGGCTGGCATAAACGGAGAATGCACCAGCTACAGGGTACTGCACCGCAAGTTCACCAAGAGCATGAGTGGTGCAGTACAACGTGATGCCTATGAGACCATACGCAATAACCAGTGATGCAGGGCCTCCGTTGGCAAGTGCCGACCCAGAGCCCACAAAGAGCCCAGTCCCGATGGAACCACCAATTGCAATCATCTGGAGATGGCGGCCCTTCAGCTTCATCGCCAAAGCTGGCTCGGCGGGAGGCTGATCTGGGAGCACCCTGCCATTGGCATCGATGGCCTGAGTCGTGACCCGAGCATGTGGATTCCGTTTGAAACTGTCCACGAAGCGACCGAATGCGGTGGGTGCGGGAGGAAATTCAACCTTTCCTTGGGATAAGTCGGTGCTGCCGCTAGGGCTCGCCGACATTGCTTCAATATCCTTCTCCATTGCAGATTGTTATGGAGGAATGATGGCACAGGGGGTGTCTCTTGACAAGGGAAGGCTGATATTCCAAGGGAAGCGAGTGGCAGCAGCAGCTGGGGGAGATATTGATATTAAAATAAACGAAAGAATCGGCATGAAGCGTCGATCGTCGGCAACATGCGACGAGATTTGGTGGCAGGCAGCGAATGGAAACAGCGACAAAATACAACCGAAGCGGAGTATGTGAAAATTTTGTGGATTGATAAATGTCGCATATTGAAAGCATTGGGGCACGACAGGGATACGAGTATTCTGCAAGGCTACCTTACCCACTTGGCCATGCCACCCCAGATGCCACTGTGCCATTTTCAGTAAGCAAAATGAACAAATGGCACCAATGGCACACCACAAGCACGAAATCGGCACCCAAACGGATACATGGCACGCTGCCGTTGAACATTCGGTGCACGATTTTTACTTTTCCCACATGAGGGTCATCATAAAGAGGAGCTGGTGATCTTTGACGAAGGGCGTGAGGTTGCAGCAAGATCGCCTCAAACCCAAGTTGGTTGTAAGACGACAGGAGCTGAGCAAGACCGGGCATGTGAGACCGGTGCCAAGAAGAGAAACGGCCGTTCTCAGCAGATTGGGAAACCTTCGTCGTGAGTGAAAGGTGGTGAAAGAGGTGAAATACGCGGGAGAGGCACAGAGGCAATTGTCTAGGAGGAAGAGAAAACTCTTCACGCGGCGTCAGCTAACGCAAAGTTTCCCCGCCAGCGCGAAACAGGTCGGAAGCTGGAAAAACTCTGTTCCGAGGCCCGGAAAATTCTCTTTCATTCAGCCTTGCAGCAAGTTGAGTGAAGGCCGTCAGCTTCAGGCTTGATCCTGCTGAGATTGCCCAGTTCGACGTCTCTGGACGACGGGTTAACCAATCCGAGTGGAACAGATTCCCAAGCCAAACGTGGGATTGTCCTATATTTGTACTCGGCGGGTCGGTACGTGGACGAGATTCACACCTACAGAGAAGTGAGTTTCCTGCCGCGCGGTGCGGTCCCCAGTCTTGAGGCTGGCTGAAAGCTTGACCGGGCTGTTACGAATACATTTATGGAGTGAAACAGAAGCTTGCAAAATCAAGGCGGAAAGATGAGCGACATTGTGACGGAAGGAAATCAGGCACTTATGCAGCATTTCGCGGATACCGAGGCACTATGAAGAAGTAATGAGATGGCCTTGAAAAGACAGTTGAGGCCGTTCCTGCATGACTGCCAACATGTTAGCCTTGCCCAGCTTGTCATCAACGGCCTCTTGCATGACAGTACCTAGAGCCTCCCTGAGCAATGCCGCAAGACTGGTGGTTTTTGAAGCGTGAAAACTTGTCATGAGCCCGAAGGCACTGAATATATGATGCACTCCTTTCATGTCTTAGACAGTCAAAGAGAATGGAATACCGAGCATTCGAGATACGCCAGCCGCATTGATTGTCTTCAGCAAGTCGAATGCCATCGATTCTTCCATAAAGCTCACATCGAGGACGAGAACTATTGTCACTTTTCTGCTCCAAGAGTCGAAACTTGTGGACATTGCTTCGTACGGCTACCATATTTATAGGTGGACCGAAGAGGAACGATTCTGGAGAAGGGGCGAATGGAAGTGCTTGAAGATGAAATCACAGTGTCCTAAGCATATCCCCGGTGAATGCCAAAAAGCAAAGTGATCCTTCCCGAATCACTCGAACAGCTGGGAGGAGTGCACACCGTGGACGAGCTGGAGCCACGGACCAGTTAGATAGAAAGAGTCGGCGTTGATCGTTAATTGGTGAGTGGACATGGGATGGAGGGAGAAGTGTACGAGTTGTGAGTGGTCGGGCGCAGGTGGCGGGGGAAAAGGAAGAGAGTCACAGTAGTAGTGGCTCGTCAATACTTGTGCGAGCGAATGCTGCTCGTAGAAGAGGTGATACACCTCTACCCACTACCCGCCTAGGCAGGTACCTTGGCTAGGCACCTCGTCGCCTACAAGGTCAGGCACAGTAGGGCCTGTAGGCGGCCTCTGTGCCGGTAGATGACTCTCCCTAGGCCCGGAGAGCGAGGTTGGGTTGAAAGAGTGTGTTGATCAACAACCTCATTTTGCTGATCATGTTTGTTTTCGAGGATAATGGCACTCCACCCACCTCCAGCATCGTCGTCATCTTTCTCACCTGGCCACCATGGTAATTTCTTCTGAGACTCGGTAAGCGAGAACCCTCAAGTCCTTGACAGAGTTCACTCTGCGCCTTTTAGCTGCAGGTCCCGACCGAGGGGATGGGCCTCGACGCATCCGCGCCTATCGAGGCCCTTCGGATGCACCTGAGATTGGCCCGTCCTCACCCACCGCAACCCGTAATAAGCCTGATTAGCTAGCCCACCGCACAGACCTCAGCTAGTCCTCGCGTGGCAGCTGAACCTACAGCACCTCCAAGCACCTTTTAACTCCCCCCAACTGGCCCCAAGCCTCAAAACGGGCTGGACCAACTGTGACTTGTGGCCTGGAAGGCACCGGGGGCACCCTGCAAGTGGCCAACCAAAGCTGCCGCCTTACTGTGCTTTTCCCTCTTCCGCTGTTTTTTCACGCTTCTCGGCTTCTCTTTCACACCTGCGCCCTCCTCCACCAAACAACACTACCTCGCAAGTACCGCTACCAGGACGTCCGCTCCCTTGACTTCCTTCTCTCACTCTCTCTACTGACCTTTGCAAATCGACATTCCTTCCTGCGATCGTCCTTCCGTCCCGTCTCTTTCGTCTTATGCCCAGTGCCCTGTGACTCTTGGCCCAAAAGAGCTTCGGAATTATATCCACTGCCTATCAATCCAGTCTTTGTCGCGTCGCAAATGAGTCCTAATACCCAACCTCGAGTCCACTGATTACCCGAGCAGGTCAACTGGGCGTCATCTACCGTCACACCGTACCCAGTCAAATTGCTCTTTGGCTAGTCGCCGTTGATGCGATGAATTCGTTGCCTGTTGCCGGCACTCGGAAACCTTTGCCTCGGGCAGCTTGCGCATGACCATGATCCTCGATATCCGACGTGGACTTCCTCGCTGACGCAATGGCCACTGCCATGGTCGCCTCTGAATCTTCTCTCAGCAGTCGTGTTTCCCTGATTTCCCTCGACCCGGCGGTCGCTAGTCACATCACCGGCACTACGAGGACCACCACGGTTCCCTCGGCGTCGCAGTATGGATCGAGTCCGAGAAAAAGTATGAAGACGCCCGACACCGAAGTTTCCCGCAGCCACAATAGAAATAATTCTGCTCCCAGTGTTTCGGACAAGAAGGGATCGACGTCGCTCAGGCGCGTCAAGGATAGTACAGAGGTCTTGAGGCAGCGCTCGACAAAATCATCCAAAAAGCCAAAACAGTCGCTGGAGACGGTCCCCGACAACGTCCACGGTCGCAACTTCACTGTTGGCAATGTGGGAACCGGTGGGATCCTTTACTTGACGCCCTCAACGCATCAGAGAGGCAATGCGTCTCCACACTCTATTGCCTCACCTGCGCATGTGTCGTCGGCATCACCACCTGTCCTGAGTAATGGCGAACAGTGGCCTCCAGCGAATGAAAAGGTGCCAACCACCCGGTCCGTGTCCTCTTCTCAGTCTCAACAAACGGCCTCTTCGAAACGGTCTGTTAGACCTTCACCAAGGCCTAAGGTCTTCCCTAGTCACGGCCGGTCGCAATCCTTCTCTACCATTGAAGACCATCGTCAATCTTTGCTGGTTCCACAGTCGCGGACGCTGAGGATTGTTATCAATCGCCCCGAGACCGCGAGACCAAAGACAGCCCAAGAGTCCACCGAAGAACCGGCTCTAGATTTCCATCATACCCTAGAAGTTCCTATTCCACACTATCGTATCGGTACTTTTCGCCTCAGTTCCAATGGAACCCCAGTGCTGCGGGGATCTTCATTCACAAGGGCGTCTCTTACACCCTCGGATGTCACCCCTACTCAAGCAATTATGCAGGCAGAGGGCCTTTTTGCGAAACCCCCGCCTGCCAGCCTCAAAGCTTTCGCAAAACTCGAAGCAACGGAGACAAGTGTCGAGGAAGCAGCACCCGCCACACCTGTTATGCCACCGCTCTCCAAGGCTACATCCACAACGACTTCCAGCTTGTCTAGCATCGTCCAGCCCCAAGTATTTGACCACCTGACCCAGATGTACGATGACCCTTCAGTTGTCCGGTATTGCCAGAACGTGAGGGAAATCACCGCGGCCACTCCTGCTCGGATCATTGCTCAAATCTCGTCGGACTCTTTCATGGACTATGAACTGGTCTCCGACTTTTTCCTCACATTTCGATCCTATATGTCAACTTATCAAGTGCTTGATCTTCTCCTCGCGAGGTTGAGGTGGGCTATTAGTCGCTTGGAAGAGGACGGCAGGATCATCCGCGTACGCACATTCGCCGCCCTTCGTCATTGGATTCTGAACTATTTTATGGATGATTTTTTGATTGACCACCGCCTTCGGGTTCGTTTCTGCAACGAGGTCAACACGTTATACAACGACGTCAAGGCAAATCCCGAGAATGGGTTTAGCGACCTCAAACTCTTGCGCGACTTAAAGCGGTGCTGGAACGGTCGCTGCTCATTATGCTGGGGCCCTGAGAACTTTGATCTGGACGGCGAACAGGAGGAAGACATTCGGCCTGGAGGACTGGCCGAGACTGACCGTACACCAAGGCCGCGGCTCGGCGTTCAGCCTGCCCAGGCACATCATGATCCCGCTCAAGCTCCAGTCCTGCGAGGGCCACAACAGAGTTGGTTCGAAGCAGATCCTGTTATCAGACCAAGCCACGATCGTCAAGTTTCAGAAAATTCTGGTCTCCTCAGCGATGGCAGCGTCCAAGCAACTTCTTGCTTTGTTCCTAAGCACCTTCTGCGACCTGGTGGTAGTGGGGGTGAAAGCCATTCCAAAGCTCCTCATCCTGTTTCCGTTCAATTGAGGCGAAAGAATGCGCCTGCGAACCTGCAAGTGGTCACTCAGCCCACACCGGCCCAAAAGGTCATCGGCCACAGGAGAGGAGCAAGCTCTATTGACAGCAATAGAGAGCCCACCCCTCGCAAAGTAGCTCCTGAGCCTTCCGCCCGGGCTGTGGAAGACGGAAGTATCATCCGAGGACTTCTTTACAGTCCAAGCACCCCTTTCGTCCAGATTGTATCTTCCCACTCCACTCAGTCGCTTGACAGACACGAAATGGGGGCCTCACGGGGAGGACCTAGAAGGGAGCATGGTACACAATCAGCGACTCCACCTGTTGCGAGGAACATCTTTGGTTCTTTGCGAAAAGTCCTCGGAAGTAAACATGGTCATATCGACATGACCCTTCTCACTGTTTCTCAGCCTGCTCAAGATGTGCCGATTCGAGGCCAAACAGCACATTTACCTCTCAATGTGTCCAAATCTCATGACGAGCTACGTAACAAGCCGGGAGCAGGTATGCCCAGAAAGGGCGAAATGCGCATTGATCTCCTCTCGGCTGCGGCATGCCAGAACTACGAGACTAGGTTTCCTTCGAAACATCGAATCAGTTACGCGCCCTTCTTTGCGACCAACCGTCCTCTTCAACCAACCACATCTACTGGAGACGAGAATGAGCCACAGCGTATGCCAAGTCATGCTACTCGTCAAAGTGGCTCCATTTTGATAGTTGACGATACGCGCCCAGATTTTCCTTCCATGTCTGGCGCGCTCCCACCGCCAGACAATGACTTTGACTATGGGGAAGCCGGTCCGTTGCCGTTGCTTAGCGTTCATGATGCTACACTGCTGGATGATCGAAAGGCAAGCTTTGACGCAGTTGCGACGCAAAGGAGCTCGAACGTTCTTCCGCATGATATAGATCTCCCACCAGCACAAGAGAGGGGTGGCAGTTTGGAGGAGGTCACAACAGACCCAACTGAGCCGGATAACATGCTCGAGGCCTGGCCCGAGGCTCCCAGTACGATCAAGAGAGCACATTCTCCTACAACGGCCAGTTCCAGAACTGTTCGGGAAGACATCAAGCCAGTAGATCCTCCTGTGGATGGTGATCTTGACATCGAGCCTGAAGAGGCTTCCGTCTCAGAAAGCATGCAGGACGGAGATGTCGATGTCCGTCAATCGGAATCGGAGGTCAGATTACCACCACAGACTCTTAGACGGAGGCCAGGAGGAGACTTGCGTCGGGTCGAAAATGTGCAAGAATTGGACCATACATTTCACCATGCTTCGATGGATACCGCCAGCGCAATATCTGAATCACCTCACGAATCGTTACTTATCATGAAAACAGACACTGTGCGGCGCATTCCTTCGCCAGAGGGCCCTCCACCTAATAAACCTATCTCTCTGATCAATACACATTCCTCACAACACCTCCGGCCTTCTTTCGAGGCAGCTGTTGCTGGTTTCTCTGCCATTCCCGACGACGAAGATGGCGGACTCGAGGCAACCTTAATGAAGCTTGAGGGCCGTTATGAGAAGAGGTCACCACCCATGGAACAGCATCCGCTGGATACTGCCGCGCGGCGGCGATCACTTCCAGAGCTGAGTCGAATGTCTCACCCAGAACCTGGCCATTCCGTAGGGGCAACCGACCATTCAGTGCCGGCTCCTCCTCTATCCGAGAACGTCCGCACAACAGTCGACGAAGTTGCCTCGGAGCAGTCGGCTGACGAACCCCTCACACCAGAGCCCTTGGTGGTGGAAGCAAAGCCAAGGTCCTCTCGTCGCTCCTCGATCTACGGACTTCCGACCGAAAGTGTAGCCGATTCTGATGAGTCTTATGGATCTCTGCCATTGTTGAAACGTGAAGCTGGCCATGAGAGTACTGCTGAACCTTTGCCTGTCAAACCAGCCACAGACTTGCCTATGGTTGCCCCGGGTTACTTTCCGCAAGATCCTCCGCAGTTATTTCACCTCCCCAAAGGACCTCCGCCGAGCGGAAACAAGCACAGAGCCAGCATTCCACGACCCGAGACTGCCAATGACAGTGCGCGATCCTTCCTTCTGGACGAAGATGAGAATCTTTCGGACCTATCCTCGGAGATTTCTGTGGACATCATCAATTATTCAGAGGTTGCGGGTCGCTCTATTTCGCCCATGCTTGCTGCCCCGGGAACGGCTATTTCGGGATTGGAGATCCCAGCACACCCGTTGACCTATGCATCGGTGGTGAATTTGCGTATTCCTACTCCACCGGAACGAGCCTCTGATCCTCTCCCACAGGTCAAGACAGCACAAGCCAATAAGCCTCCGCACAACGATCAGCCAGCGCGCAAACAGCAAGACCCATCATCCACTCAGCCGCTAGCACGTCTGCCAGCCGGTCCGGCGCATATGCCCTTTGTTCTCGCTTGTGATTCACAGGTTCTTGCCCAACAAATGACACTCGTGGAAAAGTCTGCGTTATCTGAAGTGGAGTGGTCAGACCTGGTCGAAATGCGGTGGGATAACAAGAACGCTGAAGTTCTGGATTGGGTCGAGTGCGTGTCAAGTGGGAACGTTCGAGGAATCGATCTCGTCAGCACACGCTTCAACTTGGTTGTCAAATGGGCGTTGTCTGAAATTGTTTTGACGCAGGACATTCATGAAAGAGCTCGAGTCATCACCAAATATATTCATGTCGGTGCACATGCTCGCCGATTGCACAACTACGCGACAATGCTACAACTCACGCTTGCGCTCACCTCCACCGACTGTGCGCGACTCGTGAAGACTTGGGAGCTGGTGTCAAACCCGGACAAGGCGCTGTTGAAGAACATGGAAGCACTCGCGCAACCTTTGCGCAACTTCCACGATCTTAGAGCGGAAATGGAATCGTCGGATCTGAGCGGCGGCTGTATTCCTTTTCTAGGTTGGTGGTCCTTTTCGCGTCTGGACACTCGCGTGCTGACTCATATATCAGGATTGTATATTCGTGACTTGACATATAATGCACAGAAGCCCTCCCATGTTGCAGGCGCTCGCGGGACCGAGTCGCTCGTCAACTTCGAACGTTACAGGAGCACGGCTATTATTGTCAAGGGGCTTTTACGGCTAATTGACGCCAGTTCAAGGTACAACTTCGAACCGCTCCCGGGAATAATCGAGCGGTGTCTCTGGTTGGCCGCCCTTGGCGATGATCGAATACGAAGCGCAAGCAAGACATTGGAAAACTAATCAATGGACATATTGGATAGCGGGCGAAGCATAATGGACGGATCGGATTTGGTCCGGATGAGCTGCCAGCCAGCTGATGCAGGTTTGTTACCACAATATCGACTCGCAGCATTTTAGCGACGGGCTTTGTCAAGCTAGCAGGCGTGCCTCTGTTTATTGAGTTGTCTGAACCTTTTGCATTTGCGGAGTGGCTCGAGATATTGGATTGTTGGCCGCCGAGCTGGATAGTTGACTCTAGCGTGGTGTTTGGGGAAAGCCATGGGACAAGTAGAAAATATGGGCGGATCAAGTCTGAAGCGATTCAGCAGTAGCTTGGGTATCACACAATATAATTTGGAAACTTGGGAGATGGATGGATTCCTATCTTGAGCGACCAGCGTCTGGACCATCGACTAGGACTGAGCAGAAGACACGTTCAACTCGTTTCCAGGATTGTACGAAGGCCACGCCGTGCTTGTGAAAATTTCATCAATCACGCTTTTCCTGCCATCAGCAAGCCAGCCATACTTGGAAGAAAGAGGAGAACGACTCGCTCCCAGTGCTGTGCTGTGCTAGTGTAGCTGGTCTACCTTGACCTTTGCTCGGACATTCCACCCCTACCACACGCTACCACCTAGTCCACCAGGCACTCTTTATTAGTTGAACCTGTCCGAGGCTGTGCGATCCCGCGACACTACGCGTATGTGGAAGCGTTCGCGGCTTGATCTTCTATACAACATCGCACTTGGGACTAAAATCCGGCCCTAGTCCTGTCCCATTCGTCGCGCTAAACACCACACTGCCCGGTGCAGGGAGCACGCCCGGGTTATCCGTCGTGCAAGCCAGCAAGAGCGGATCATCCGACGGCGGGGCCAAGTTCACCGACTCGAGGTCTGGAAAGTTCGGAATCTGGCTCTCGAGCGCGTCAAAGTCGATCATGTCGTAGAAGTTATTCGCATTGGCGTCGCGACACGACAGCGCCGGCAGGTTGTATTTGTGTTCCAGCAGGGACAGCACCGACGTCTGGTCGTGCACGACGTGGCTTATATAGTCTTTCTTGGCGTAAGGGGATACCATGATCAAGGGGACGCGGAAGCCGGTTTTGCGATACTGGCTGTATTGGTAGTATCCATTGGCGGCGTCGGCGGCGGGGATGACAGGCAGGACGTCGTCGGGCGCGATGGCCGGGACCGGGGGAACGTGGTCGTAATACCCGCCGTGTTCATCAAAGTTGATGATCAAGAGCGTTTGGTTCCATTTGGGACCGCTCATGAGGGACGTGACGACGTCGTACATGAGTTGGTCGCCCAAGACGACGTTCTCCGGGTTCTCCATGGATTGGACGGAACCGTTGTAGTCGAGGAAAGTGAAGGCCGACAGGTTCCCTTGTTGGACGTCCGACAGGAAGGAGTAGGGGAAGTCGCGGAAGTTGGCTGCCGCCAGGCCACTGGTGATGTTCGGGAAGAGCCTGAGAGTTGAGGTGTCGGTCGAGTTGCTGGGAAAATAATTTGCAATCATTAGTATATTCTAGGTGGGGAGAGATGGGAGGAAGAGAAGAGAGAGACTCACTTGTAGTTAGTCCAGGAAATGTTATAGGCGTCGAGGGTGGTGAATATGTTTCCATTCGGCCACGTCGCGGCAGCCACAGCGTCAGTTTGGCCCGTGGCAATCACACCTCTAGAAGATGCACCCAAGGCATACATCCGATTCGGCCAGGTCTGTCCCAGGAGGGAACAAAAGAACCGATCATTCAAAGCAAACACTTCGCCGAGGCTGTGCATGAAGGGCAAATGGCGGGGAGTAAAGTAGCCAAAGGACTGCGGCTTGTCTTGCTCTCCTCCCACCGCAAATCCATCCATGCTTCCATTGTTGTACTGCTGGTGTGACGACTGCCAGTTCTGAGACGGATTGTTTGTCTTGCCACCGCAGGAGTTGGGCATCTCGTAAAGCAGCTGGACGGACCCGTTGTTGTACTTTTGAGGCACCAGCGTAATGGGCTCGCCAGTGGAGCTGTCGAGAGGAAATCCGTCCTGGCCGGTCCGGTTAAGTAGGCCGAAGATGTTATCCCACGAGTGGTTCTCCATCATGAGCCAAACAATGTGCTCGATGCCGGGGATGCTGTCAACCCCTGCGGGTTTGTCTGGGTAGGGGATAGACCCGGGGAACCGTAACTGAGCTGGAGTCTTGCCCAAGGCTCCGAGCGCAGCGAACATGTGGCCGTCCATGGGGCCACACTCGGTCTCGTACTCGTAACCCCAAGCGACGCCGGCGAGGGCGGCGAGAGACACCACCGTATGCTGGAGGACATGCATGGCTAAAACGTGGCGCACTGGGGCGGACACCGAGACGTTGCACCGATACTCTTTGGTCCAGTAGACGATGTTTTCAACTCGTAACTCTGCAACTGAGTCTTGCGTGGTCTCCTGGTCTAACAGCAATCGTCTTTACTGATGAGACTCGGGTCTCATTTTATACCCGGACAAAGCTCCAATACCTACTATGGCTCTTGACAAAACTTCGAGAAGGCTGGCCGGCATTTGGCCTTCCACGCACAGTTCCCGTTCCTGTGCCATGAGCTACCCGCTCGATAGCTATACAGCTACCTAGCATCGTTTGCATCGCTTTTTTCATATTAGCAACCCAATCACGCTCAGTGGCCGAAAAACGTGAAGCTCTCGATCTGCTCAATCCCGGTCAGGGCAGCTCTCCGGAGAGTGACCGTGACCATAAAATAGCCGGTTCCCAGGCCGTTGTAGGAATCTTTCTGGAACTAAATTGTGGATTTGAACGCAAGGCTCACTGCCGATCTCAACATACAACCTCGCGTCGACGGATAGGGCAAGTCAATGTGGAATGAGGTTGCAGCCGCTGCCTCAATTCATTGAACTAGCTCACTAAGAAAGTTTTGAGGACTGGAAAACATCCTGGCAGCTAGATCCCGGCCTTTATACTTGTATGATGAATGTACCTGCATCTTGGCACGTGGATGGCGTTGGATCAAAGTATTGGCTAAGAAAGCCAATTGGCGGAGTGCTCTGTCGGTCGACATGCTGCCGTGCGAGGCTCAATGCGTCTCGGGAGCCGGCTTGTTTATGGCTCGGCGAAGAAGAGATTCAAACAGTCCCCTGCACCTTGTCGTGATCCTGGGTTGAGTTGTGAAAGTACCCTTGTGCAAAGCGAAAACATCGACGTTCACTGGACCATGCCGCTTCTCCGGGAGAGCTGTGGCAGAAGCTCAAGCCAAAGTCGGGAAACAACAATTTCTCTTTGGATCCGGCTCCCTGGCGGCTATGTCCGTGGACGCGAGATATGTGGCCACTCTCATCAGCACCAGCCACGTCGAGTTTCTCCGACGAATTGAGCCGACACGGTCAAGAATATCGCTTTTCGACGCCGAAGGACCTAAAAAACCGAAGAGGCCATACCGAGATACCTCCACCATCAAGCTGGGTTCCAGCAACGTAGGGCTCAGTCGAATTTGGTTCCGAGTTTGAAATCCGGAAAGTGACAGAGTGCGAAGAGAACGAAGGCATCCTCGCCCCAAAGCACAGGATCCCTACCACCAACAGAAAGTCCATCGCCTATGGCTCCCAAACGTGTATGAGAGCTCGCGAGGGTTCGAACTGGGCAACTTTGTCTCTTCGATCTTGTCGGAGATGACGAAAGAACAATTGACCAAATAGACCGCCATCGCTCTTGGCTATATCAGTAATGTCTCGACCGTCGTTCATCGGTTCATCGATCAGCTCCTGGAGGCCATCTGCCCCGACTCCCGAGCAATTGGTCAAGTCGAAACTCTAAACTTTGTCCCACGGCCTCTTCAAACGTTACCTAGGTATTTAAGCTTCAAACGTTATGTAAGGGTCATCCAGCATGTTCGCTTTTTGCTCGACGTGGAGCCGATTGGCGCTCCGATGACCTCGAATCACTACTTGACAGCAATTTTTATAGACGGTAAGGCATACTCACCTTCAGTCAGAAATTCGTAATGTGCTCCTCTTTTATAACCATTAGTTTTAGCACGAGCTCGTAGTTCGTCTATCAGGATATTTTGCCTACCCATATTCGTGGTGGCGTAGAGGGTCTAACGCCCGCCAATCGTGAAGTAATAGTAGCGGAGGCAAGAGAGACGACAGCTAGACGAACGGTTAAAGAAAACGGTAGTCGAGATGGGAGATCGCACCCAGCAGGCCCAGACTTAGAATAGACGCCATTCTGTACTTGAGGCTGTAGAGTCGAAGGAGATCGTGGCGAGCTGGGTGGGTACAGAAGGCGACTGGAGGCGGGGTCGGCCGCGAGGAACTCAAAAATGGAGTCCACTAAGTTTCGCCAATGATATGACCTGTCGTAAGAAGAGATCTGTAAGGTGACTACAGCAGAACTCAGAACGTAACGGCGCAGGTAAGTCAAAGCGTAAGTCGAAGGGTGAGCACTGAAAGGAGCCTACCTAGGTAAGTAGGCGAGAGGAGGGTAAGTCGCAGGTAGGTCGTCTTAAAAGCGGCACGACGGCAAGGTAAGGGCGAGCCACCCATGTGAGCTCCAAGCAGATTTCACTATGCTCGACCTACCAAGATGAGTAAAAAGTGCCCGTGCCTCACCCCAGATCAGAACGAGTGGCGAGCGGGAATCCCCCACGGGGTTGGATCCCAAATCACGCGATGCTCATCGGCAGCAGCAGAGCGGCCTACGAGCGTCGTAGTTCCCAGAATCATCACACTTTGTCCTCTTGCGGTGTCTTAAAAATCCCTCCCACATTCAATGTTCCCCGTCTGCACCGTCAGAAATGTCGGCCAACGCTATATCAGCCGCTTTTGAGGCGGGAATATTTGAAGAGAATGCCTCACAGAATCGTGGCTGGACAAATCTGCGCCCCAGGATTGAGAGTATGTTGGAAAAGGCTGACAACAGGACGACTCTCTTTGTAGGTGCGGCAGCCTCCTCCTTCAAGCCGACTGCCTATCCGACCTGGGGTAAATTCATCGAGCTCTTGTATAGCTCCCTGATTGATGTTGCGTCTGCGGAGCTTGAAAACGACCGCACTGGTTTGTCTTCCTAACAACTGAGTGGCACCGCGATGAGAGCTTACAGGGTTGCTTCAGAGGTCAGGAACGAACTCAAGCAATGCATCGCCGGAGCGCTCCAGTGGGGCAGACCCGACCGAGTACCCAACTACAAGGTCACCGAAGTCATTGCACGTCGCCTGGGAAAGGACTACCTTCGCCTCTTGAGCGCGTTTAGGACACAACAGAGTGATGATGGCTGGCTAGTCAACGACGCACATAGGTGGGTAGCAAAATGTCTCATGGATGGGAGCACTGCCGCAGCCGTCACAACAAATTTTGACGATTGTATTGAACGCGCGCTCGAGAATGCTCAGGCAAACATCTATCGGCTCACTGGCAACCGCCACGTCGATGGCCCGGAAATCGTCGAGCGCATGCAAGACACTACCAAAAGGCTAATTCTGGTGGTCAGCGGCCCTCAGTCTTGCCAGTTTGCACAGGCTTTGCTTCCTCAGCTTGGAAAAATGGTGTCATTATTGTTCAAGCTCCATGGATCCTGTTACGAGGAGGAATCCTGCATAGATACCCGGTTGCAGAGACAACAAGGCCTTCCGTCTTACGCAGTCGACATTCTGGATACTCTTATCAAGGAAAGTGTGTTCTTTCTTGTCTGCTACAGCGGTGGTGATTTGAATGACAACACGGACTACCTTCGAATGGTACATAACAAGGAAACAGCACGGCTTGTATGGCTTCAAAAGCGCTTCAACGAAGTCGAGCCCGGCCTCGAAGCACTTTCTCGCGTGCTGCAGACCGCAGATACTGCCGACCATGGTCTCTGCCTTCTGCACGGGTCAATGCGTGGAGAACAGGTGGAATGGGATGCAGAGCCTCCCGAGTTTGTGAACGATGTCTTCAGTTGGAGTGCCCGTCTGGGATCCTCCTGGTGTAAACTTGTTGTCCTTGATCTGATCGAACTCTGCAATGGAGCTTCAACTCAACGCCTTAGCCTCGAGAAACTTGGATTCTCGGGAAGCCAGCGACAGGATTGGAATGACGTTCTTGAAGATGAGTTGGGAGAGTTTCTTGAACAAGATCAGGTAACCAAGCCTTGGCCACTGGCCAAGCGAACCGTCACGCTGAATATTCACAGTTTGTAGCTGCTCGAAAATGCAGCAATGCCGCCGAACTACTCCACAGCATCCTAGCCGATGAACTAGACGAGAATCAACGCGCTTTAGTCTGCCCCCAAGTCAATCAGCAATGTTCAATAATCAAAGTGTTGCACCAGAGTTTCAACAGCAATTTGGACAACCAACAGTCGCACGCCCAATCGTGGGTCATTAGCTCATTGTACGGGCTTCTGTTGTTTTGCGGCAAACAGCAACGCGCCGCCGGTGAAGCGCTAGCTTTTGCTCAGAATTTTGCGTATCTGGTCGGCGATTTGCAGTCGTCTAAGTTGATTGAACAGCTCATTCATGCCCTGAAAATAAAGAGCCGCTCTAAGTCTGGAGAGCAGCCAACAGGGCAGAAGCGCGAGGACTCAGCACTCACCGCCTTTATTCCTTCTTTGGACAATGTCAACGCAAAGGCCAACTTGTACGGAGTTCCGCCGTCGCTGTTCTTTCGTGCTCTTTTGCACCGTGCGATGCTCTTCGCAGACAGAATCGCCATTCCGCCACAATTGCTCACTAACTCGAAAGAGTTTGTGGGTGAAGTCCTCTTCGGCGGCACAGATGAAGCAAAAACCTTCTACCTGAGCTTCCTGTGCCCCATTGTGCCCGAAACCGGGGATCAAGACGAAGCCAGATCGTTGTTATCGGGTTATCGGCGGAACACGGCTGGGGACTTCATCTCTGAAGGGTTCATGGAGAGCTATGTGAAAAAGTTGGAAGAGTACTTTCACTCCACTGACAATGAAAGTCGGTTCATCTTTTACTCGCGTGCCGGGATCGCCGACAGATATAACCAGTAAATTTCCCGCGCAGTCTCAGACCACCAGATGGAATCGACAAAGACTCATCTCATGAATCACTGGAGGCACGTACGTGGTCAGGATTCAGTTCCGGAAGATTTTGAGCAAGCGGACGAGGAGCTCTTGGCTGACGTTGTAGACACCATCATCACGGTCGTCAAACTTTTCATACAGAACAACAAAGGGCCAATAGATCGCTCAAAGCTCTATTACTTGAGCGGTCTCTTCGCCAAGGTCCTTGACGACCAGGAAGCGGTCTTCAAGCATCTGCGAGAAGACGTCGACCCCGAAATTTCTTTCCGCCTTACATCGGGCCGAGCGAAATTGCTAGAGCGGCCGTGGATCGCTGGGCCACTTTGTCACGAACTATTCGACGTACCGTACGAGTGCAACCTGCCAATTCACTTCACCATAAGCTCAACTTCGCCCAACAATGCTATGTTTGTTGAAGAGCGCGAGATGGCTTCCTGGAGATTCATGGCTGAATTGTCAGCCGACAAGTCAGCCTTTCAGATCAATGACGATGCCGTCTCTCTGGAACCACCCGCTACACTATCCGCCCTCCTCCTGGGACAGGCCTCGGAACAAGACCTCATTGAAGCCCGAGACGCGCTTTCGGAGGTCCGTGCAAAGCTGGCCGCTGATGAGCCACTCGATGCGGCAAGTAGAGGCCTGGTCGCACGGGAGCTGGCGACTTTCGGGAAGGCTGCCATCGACGTGGAAAGCGATCCCATCACTGAGCTTGCGGTGATTCCCGAGCAGCTTAGGGCATCACTCCAAAACTTCTTGAGGCATTGCGTCTTCTTGGTTCGGAAAGGTGCTGCGCTGGATAGGATGTACGAGGAGCCGGTGTTTTCATTGCCAGGAGCGCTCAGGCTGGAAAGGGCGTGAGGATAGAGCTCGAACAATAAGCTCAGTGCGCGGCTGCAGCACGGTCGTCACTGCCCGAACTCTCAGTGAGGGCCACTTCTCGAGCCTCTATCCGAGCTTCTGTATCTCCAAAGTCGGGTCCGATATGCCTCCGGAAGTATCCCGCGGACCAAAGACGATCCATAATTTCTTGAAGTCCATCGTGAGTGAAGGCCTGTCTGGCTGCATTTCTGATCCGGCGGCTAGCCCAGAGTACAGTGGCCCGGTTTACCAGAGAGCGGGCCTGCCAAAGGAGCTAGTGTCGAGGAACTCCGCATTTTGAGCAGATTTCCCTGCAGCAGAACTTGAACGAGCACGTGTAGGAGACGTCGATGTTGTCAAATCAGACGGAGGTTGTGACAGCTTACCCAACTCGCCTCGTTTCTGAGGTTCACAAGTGAGGGGATTGTGGCATAAAGGCCTTCCTGATTGGACGCGTGAACACTTCTTGCCATCACATGCCCTCCGAGGATATCATAGGCAAATCAATTGGAGCCAAAAGAAAATTCGACTCCGGAGTTGATTCGTCGATTTCGAGTACGAAGAATGCGAATCAGACTCCTCAAGGTCACCAAGTCAGAGCGCCGTATGGCATATTGACACGAACAGACGATACCTTCACTCGATCTTCTCACACGAAATTGGAGCTCATTCACCGTAACAGTTATTCTCAAGGACGTTACTTCCCCGCGGATTAACAGCACGCTTCGTAGGCGAGCAGCCTGTCACGTCTATTCCTAGATCCATGGGTTTCCGAACACATTCCTTCAAGTCCCAGTGTTACGACCAACGTACAAGCAAGTGAGTATCCAAAAGTCAGCATAGCATCATTCATCCTCATCGTATTCCTCACACTCTTCATCATCCAAGCGACCTTCCCTTGTAAGTCCCTCATACAGAGCCCAAGCTGCTAACGTCTTTGCATCTCTTGCACCTTCCCTCCACAGTTCTTCATACTTTACAAGTTTGACTGTGATCTTCTCCCTGTCAGTCCCTGATAGCTTGTCCCTCAATTCATTGATCTCTATCCGAGGCATGGTCCTCTCCCACAGGAACAGAGCGATATATTCATCGCACCCTCCTGGACTGGGATACATGGCCTTTTGAAGATGATCTTCAGAACCCTTGGCGTCCTTTAAAGCGATCTTGGTCAAGTTTCTGAGCTCGTGCATGGGGACAGTCAAGCCCGTCTCTTCCCACAGCTCATTAGCAGCTGCACCTGCAAATGTTCCAGCGTCGTCTATCATGCCGGCTGGGATCTCAAAGAAAGTCAAGCTTCCTGCTGGTATCCGCGGTTGCTGCGTCATGATCACGTATCTCTCATCGTTGTCATAGTCGTCCCCCTCTGGGCGCAGGATCATGAGGATGGCCACACTACCACCTCGAAGGAAAACAATCCCAGGAAGAGGCTTTCCATCGTTCTTATTTTGAACCACTGTTTCCATCTTGATAAATCCTATGCGGCGTTCGCCAAAAAAGTCCACAGACTGGACATTTATAGACCGTAAGTGATATCGTTCCCGCGGCTCGTGGAAAGCATGGCTTCTATCGGACTGGAGTTGTAGAGATTTTCGTAATGTTTCCAGCCAAACTTTGAACGGCTTGAACCCCAAAAGTTGTTCTTGCGTGAGGTTCCCTGGCAGGGTGACTTTCACAGGCGGTTCTCCCAAAGCTTCAGGAATTGTGAAGGTGGCCATGACAAGTGCAGAAGAACGTGCAAGGTCGTCGGTAGAGAGAGAAAATTGCTCCTCTAGAATACTATCTACAGCCTATTTATAATGATAGAAGCTGCGTCAATACAGCATATAACGATAGGCAGCACGAAGGCAGCACGAAGGCAGCACAAAGGCTGTGCACTGGACACGGCAGACAAGATGCAGGGTGGGGCTGTGGAGTAGGTTAGACCAGCCGCCGGCCCGGGCATAGCCACGTGGGGCTTTTGAACCTATCACATTCTTGTTGAACCCCATCAGTTCCATTGCGGGTTAGGCTATCCGCCTTGGAGGCGGGGTAGAGCTGAGGCTGAACCATTGCCACTTGGTATATAATATTCCAGATGGACTTCGTGTAACGCATGCTGCCCTTTTGTTCGAGTTGCGAAAGTGCAACGGGTCCCACATCCCAAAGTACCTAGGTACCCCAAAAGAGTTTCCGTGCACCTCATATTTATCTTGTCCCGCGAACCGGCAATGCTTTGTCAAGTTTGCCATGACATGCTCCATAGCCACAGAGGCCGTAAAGGGTCTGGAACTCAGCTTCAGCTCACCTTTAAGCACCACACCAAAGCCAGAAATCTTCGCGACTCGTCTCAAAAGACGGGTTGCTACCTATGCCAAGTCATCCAGGAGAGGCTAGTGAGTCTCAAAGTAAACATAAACGATGATGATAACAAGACAAGAGAATTTCTCACAGCCTCACTCAAACCCTCGCGTCGGCAACAGGGGTCTAGGTTGTATCGTCTTGACTTCAGAGTGACAAAACAGAACTTACTGGTCGCTAGCTTCATCTTGAAGCAAAAAGGTAAGGCACTTGTCGTTCGCCGAGACGACCAAAATGTCGCAGTCCTGACAACTTCTAAGATGACAACAACCCGGCCGATATTCCCGCTCTGCCGGTCAGCGACTGGACATCTGATCCGAAAGTGATCCAGATTGCCAAGGACTGGATTACTGAGTGCGCAAACGGTCAGGATCATGGCCACGATAAATGTAAATCACCAGACACACCATGGCATCCTAATCGCCTGCTAGACTTGCAGCCAATGCTCGAGTCCGGGAGAGCAACTGAAAAGGTGCAGTTGGTCTCACAAAAGAGGGGAGAAAGAAGGTCGGGCCAACGACCGGTCAAAGGTCCGTATCTCACGCTAAGCCATCGATGGGGAAAGGCTCCCTTCTTCAAGCTCACTCGAGAGACTCGCAACGAGTTACTCGACGGCATAGATTTGAGTTCCCTTCCACGAACCTTTCAAGATACAGTGAAAGTTGCTTGCGAACTTAAAATAAGTTGGCTTTGGATCGATGCTCTGTGCATCGTGCAGGGCGAGGAAGACCTGAAGGACTGGCTAGAGGAATCGGCGACCATGGAAAAAGTTTACGCGCATTCTTACTGTAATATCTCAGCCACTGCTGCTTGGGACAGCTCATGCGGGCTCTTTGCTAGAAGAGACAAGAGCTGGAAATGGGTCGACAGTGTGACCCTCAACACTAAGGACCTTCGGGATGGTCCGCAGGGGAGGATAGACTGTATAATACTGGACCTGTCCTTCTGGGAAAAGTACGTCGACAACGCCCCTGTCAACAGACGCTCGTGGGTGTACCAAGAACGTCTCCTGGCGCCCCGGGTTCTTCATTGGTGCGAAAATCAAATCGCGTTCGAGTGTCGGGAGGTGAGTCGAGCTGAATGTCGGCCAGAGGGGCTGCCTCATTTCCGAATCAAGTCGGGTGTGCTCATTGACGGGGTCCGCCTCAAGAGCGTCGACTTGGACGCAGGAAAGCGACTGCGAGTCATCCGGGAGGCATCCATCAGCGGCAAATCGACAGATTCAACAAAACTCCTAAACATGGTCAACGAGGCCGACCCGCACCTTCATTTCTACGAACTATGGAAGCACTGGGTAGAGGTGTACACCAAAATGGAGCTCACCAACCCGCGAGACAGACTCATAGCCCTGTCCGGGATTGCCAGAATGATGGCTTCTAAGATGGAAGAGAAAGGCTTTCAGGACATATACATCGCAGGCATGTGGCAGAAGCACCTTGCCAGCCAGCTGCTTTGGTTCGTCAATGAAGGAACTGGCAAGAACAGGCAGCCATATGAGAATACGCGACCAAAGGAATATCGCGCCCCGTCGTTCTCTTGGGCATCGGTGGAAACACCCAGGGGGATTACTTTTCCTGGGACCGAGGATAAAGAGCTTCTGGTGCAGGTTGAAGTTGTGCGCCTCTCTTATCGGAGCGAAGACGACATGTTTGGCCTGCTCACTGATGGCTATTTGGTCTTGAATGGGGTGCTCAGGAAGATCGAATTGACCGATTCCATGTCGCTGCCGAAACGCCCTCCGCCTTCGAAGGTGGAAACCTTCGTAAGTGTGACGGTCCGCTTTGGGATTATCGCAGTATGTGCTTACGGTAAACAGGCGCGTGCAATCAGTTGGGACCGTCTTCTCATCGCATCTCTTGTTGCGTGCTTCATTCCCTTTATTTTTCTGCTTCAGCTCTGTGGACTCCAATGCCTGGCAGAACACAGGACGCTTCTCATCGCCTGGACGGGCTTTTCAGTAAGTCTCAGTATCTTCTGCCTTGCTTTCACGATTTTCTGCCGGCAGCTGGTTGGTGATCCGCAAGAGTTGGCCAGCGAGGACCGGAATCGTTACAGCTGGCGTTTGGTTCAAGACGGGCATCCTGTTGGCAATAACTATCAGATCGTCTACCTGGATAGCCCTGCTAGTGAGCCGTCTATTTTTGGGCCAGATGCCCGGGTGTACTGTTTGCCTGTTTTGAAAGAAGATAGGTATCTGACCTGTCTGCTTGTGCGGGCGACTGATGGAGAATATGGTATGCGATACGAGAGAGTTGGGTTGACCAAGGTATCATCGTTGACACCAGACCTTCTGCACAACCTCACGACTGCTCCAGGACATAACAAATCTACATCAGGGAGATATTACTGGAGCCCGGAAAGTCGCATGAAGGGTGAAAGTACGATTTGCATTGTGTAGCTATCAGCGAGGCTGCGGCGCGAGGGGCGCTGGATCGCTCGTCCCCGAGTGTCGGGCTTTATGATTTCATGAATCTCTCTGGACTGGTGGTTGCGTATAAGACTCATGTTATGGGTGCAGAGAGCCTCTGGCCACCAAGCTCGTAGCAAACGTTAACCCCTTAGGTAAGCGTCTCTGGATCAGTGGCCACATTCTCAAGAGCATCTAAGATATTGCGGGCTCTGGCCGCCTGTTCGTCGTTGAATCTGAAGACTCCTTTAATTCGAACCTCCTGAGGAAACAGTCGGGCTGTTACCTGCGTGGTCGCTAGGGATGCATAGAACGGCGGCCTTAGACGAAGATAGATTGGCCCATGACCGTGTAGCGACGAGGATAACCAACAGCGGCCCCAGCAAGTCGCTGAGTCCCGTCACGCCATTCAATATAGCCTGAGGCAGAACGCCCGTGTTCGGGCATAGGCCTTGTGGAGAATGGAGCGAGTGGGATGAGCACGTCAGGCGGTTGCTTTGCGAGTATAGCATTTGGGCAGGCGAGAAACCTTAGCAAAGCGGCCATGTTGGATTCTCCCCGCAAGCGCCCCGAGGTCAATCTCCAAACAGCGTACCTAATATCTCAGTCATCACGACATTATCACCTCCTTGCCCGCCCAACAGGACAGTCTCACCGAGCAGGACACTGATGGCGCTGCCTCCTTCGCGTATGAGAGAACCAATCATACGACGCTGTTATGGGCGAAAAGAGCTGGAACATGATGGCCCGCAGAATTAAGAGTTGACGACCAATTCCCTAAGAACATCCCGTTTCGCGTGTTGCAAAACAGCGAAATAGAGTGAAGGGAGAGGGCAAAATGTTTTGTGGCGCTGCTTGGACGTCGAATGAAGAGAGAAAAAGGCTGAAGAGAACCGAGAAAGCGTGAAGCGGGAGAAAAAGGGGGCGTCTTGTTCTGGCCTGGCTAGTTAAATTGGCGCCAATCGGTCGCATCTGGGGGAAAGAATGAAAAGCTGAATGAGTGGCAATTGTAGCGCGGGCGCGGTTCGTAGCCGCTGTATGATGCTGTTTGCACTACATCGACATATCGCCCTCCCTGAGCAGTTCTATCAGCTGCCTTGCTCGATGAGCATCCGTAGCATCGTGTCTTGGCCACCATATGATGCTGCCTGCAGTGCATTACGGTATACTCCCCCTTGAGCGTTCACGTTGGCTCCCGCATCCATTAGCCACTTGGCAACTGCTTCGTGCGCCCCTCTCAGCAGGCCATATTTAATGCTGTCCTTTTCGTGCTATCAGACGTCTCTAAATCAAAGCCTTGCGTTTGTATAACTGATCCAGACCGGCTGCGTGGCCATTTAAAGCTACTTCGTGTTGACTGGCGACGTTCGGGACGCCCTGGTAAGGCATTAGTGCCCTCCACCTAACCAGAAACCAATACCGAAACATGTTGCTGCTGTTTGTCGCGATGTCTTGGTCTCGCAAATGCGACGCCCACTGCCCAGCACAGAGTCGCACGTGAGATCCGCGTAGTTTTTACTCGTCTTTTGTTGCCAAGTGACTGCTACCGAGGCACCAAGTCTTGAGGCAGAGAAAACTGTCGAGCTGCAGGAACCAAAATCATGGATATCATCTTCTCATGAACCCGATAAAAGCTGCACATCGCGCCTCCTGGGCCTACGGGCGGATGGTGTCAAGCACAAATTTTCCACCAAGAAGCACGCAGCAAGATTCCCGTCCTCGCAAGCAGCTGCCAATCTAATATGGCCATTTCTCTCGGCGACGACCAAGAAAGAACTCTTCTCCAGGCAAGATCGGCACCCCACCGAGCTGGAAGAGACGGCCAGGCACTGAGATAGCCTAGTGAGGCGCCGTTCGTCTGGCATTGAACAAGTACCTTCCATGCACTGCTCACCGAGCCACCCGAACTCCGACGTGGGATGTTGGCCAGTTACTATTGTGAACCGGTTGAACGGACGGATCCTTCTCACTTGGATCTGGCTAGATGCCGGGTGCGATGGCGACATTTTGCTATACCTATGGCATCATTTTGATATGCAATAACAACCCAATGAGGTGTCTAGAATCAACAGACGACTCCGCATCTAGTCGGAGAAGTCCCTCTTCATTCCAGAGAAATGGTAAGCAATGGGGAAGTGTTCCGATGTTTCCATCGAGTACAAAGAGCATGGCCTGGCCAGGAGGATATCCAGAGGTTTGGGACCAAACCCTGTTCCAGTGTCCAGGTTTCTCCAAGTTTCTCGGCATACAATGGCGGAAAAGCTGTCTGTTTCGAACGACAAGGGTGGCGCAAGCATCCCAGTGGTTTCAGAAACGCAAGGCCACAACACGATCCATGTCGTCCCTCGTGGTGAGGAGCTTGCAGATGACTCTTCTCTCGAGAACGAGATCGTCGGCTACGATGCTGAGCGCATGAAGGCTCGCACTCTCCTGACTGAGGCCGAGGAGAAGAAGCTTATGCGAAGAGTCGATTGGCATCTCATGCCATTGTGCAGTATAATGTTCTTGCTCAAGAATATGGACTATCAGAATGTACCAGCCGACTCCCCCGCGCACTTCTTTGAGCGTCAAGAAGAGACGCTGACCCAAAAGTCATAGGCGGCCAATGCTCGTATCATGAACAAAGGAACTGACCAGAACATCTTAACCCAACTCCATCTGACCTCCAATGATTACAATTTCATCTCCACCATTTACTATGTAGGTGAGCCACTCCCAACAATCTGGCTGAATGCTCACCCAGCATAGATACCTTACATCATCTTTGAGGCCCCTAGCAACTTGTTCATAAAGAAGATGCTTCCTTCTCGATGGCAGTCCCGCATTGTGGTAATTAACGGGCTACTCTCGCAACCTCCCACAGTGTGTTGATTATGCCGCAGGTCTCCTGGGGTATTGCGATCGCCTGCCACGCTGCTGTTACCAGCAAGGCTGGTCTCTATGCAGCTCGCTTCTTCCTGGGAATGTGTGAAGCGGGCATGTTCCCCGGTGTGTTACTGCAAATGGTGTATTGGTACCGTCCCGACGAAATGTCGATCCGTCTCCTTTACTTTTATGCCTTGGGAAACTTCTCCAACGTCATCAGTGGTGTGTTGGCGTACGCTTTCGACACAATATCTGGGAGGGATGGGCTCTCTGGATGGCAATGGTAAGAATCACAGAAGCCCCCTCACCAACGATCACGGGAAGGTCGACTAACGGGTATTTCTGCTAGGTTATTCCTCGTGGAAGGAGTCATCACAATTGCGTTCGGCATTGCGCTTTTCTTCCTCTTGCCAGACTGTGAGAAATGAGAGCCTCCGAGGAAGTCGCCCACTGACTAGTCGTCTAGTTCCGAAGCAAGCCAAATGGCTCAGCGACAAGGAAAAGGCATTCATTCAAGCCCGCTTACCTGCAAACGCCCCTCGCGCAGAAGAAATGAATTTTAGCTTCCGCGAAATCCTCACGGCCTTGAAGGACAAGAGAATGTGGTTGTTCACGCTCGTGTGGGCAACGATGACTGTTGGCACGACGGGTCTGACATTCTACCAGCCAACTGTCATTGCAAATTTGGGATTTACGTGAGTGCTATGCAGCTTGTTGACACGCCAGAGCACATTGACCCCCGGATGCTCATTCACTTTTTTCCCACAGGTCGATTGCGAAAAGCCAACTCCTGAACATACCGACCTCATTTCTCTCCATCATGATAATCGCCATCTCTGGATACTTCGCGGACAGTGCCTGGTTGCCTCGCCCTATAATCCCGATCGGGTTCCTCGTATCCATCTTGGCATGTTACAGCGTGCTGTACACGTTTCCAAGCAACGGTGGTGTCTACGCGGCGACCGTCCTGGCCAACTCCTTTGCGCAGAGCTGGTACCCATTGATGTGGCCGTGGCGAGTCCAAACCACCTCTCGTGCAACGGGGTCTGCCTTTGCTATCGGATTTGTCAACAGCTACGGCCAGATTGGTGGAGCCATCGGACCACAAATCTTCCAGTCGAAATACGCACCCCACTATACCGTGTCCTTTGCCATCGCCATGGCGATCATCGGCGCCTGTATTGTGATCACCTCTATCACGTGGTGGATTACTAGGGAGACCGAACGGCAGACGAGGAGAATAAAGAAGTTGCGTATGACGGCTGCGAAGAGGGGGGAGTCGGTGCTGGATGATGTCGATGCGAATGCCGATGGGAAGAGAAAGGAAGGGGTGGGTGATCCAGCTTAGATTTGCAGTCCATGGAAGATCAGCGTGGGACTGTTAACTAGAGATGTGGCCTAGACGGACACCGAGTACATACCTACCTATAGACATATACATACTCCACGCCATAAAGCAATGGCGACGATAGAGAGGACAAAGGGCGTTGCATCCCTGGCCACGGCCCGTGCCCCATGCCTCAACTAGCTACTAGTAGTCCATTGACACAGCTCATCATAATAGTACTTGGCGAGTTAGGTACGGGGTAATGTTCGTTAGCACTCGAAGTATGTGGTACCGTAGTGGAACCACGTCTTGGTCGTCATGTCAAAAGATATTTCCAAGTTAGGGAAAGCTTCTATACTTTCTGATCCAATGACATTCAAATGACGGTGACAGGCCGGGAAGATCCCATGAAGTCCAGGGTACTACCGATAATTTGCCCTATATGGTATTGTAACACTTCAACTTTTCCCAGCCCCGATTGTGTCGGATTCTGTGACGAGTCGCAATGGCAGGACCTATACTCGATAGGCCTAAAATCCCTTATTCTCGGGCACAAAGTGCACCGAGATGTGGCAACCAATGACTTCCATCTTTAGAGCTTCACCACCTCGAGACAGCACATCAGCTGGCGCCATTAGCTGCCCACAAGTGCTGCTCTAGAAGCAATGCCGTTCCTCGCTCAGCTGCAGCCCATCGTTGCCATCCTCGGAGAAGGCAGCATCCTCAGGAATGCTCAAGCCTCAGCCTTATCATGGCACCACGTCCTTCCGCGCCTGATCCCTGCTCCGCAGGCGCTCCTCAAGCACGAGCAGACTGGAAGGCTTCCGACGCAGACAGGCATCGTAAGCGGAATCTATTCGGGAAACTTCCGTCACGAGCTGAATTTCTTCACTCGCCTACTTCACCCGGGTGAGCTCAAAAAGTTCCAAATCGAGGTGGTTGAGGTTTGCAGAAATGAAGAGTACAACAACAGGAAAGACTTTATCTTCGGCGTCAACGACTATGGCGTGCTTCACGCGCTCTCTTGCCTTGGTTGTCTAATGTCATGTGCGCTCCTCGGATTGATTGTCAATATGGAAAAGAGACGGATTCGCACTCATTACGACCATCCTTCTTTCTCTTACTTCGACGATTGTAGGCTTTGCTTCTCGCTGGAGGCTCAACTTCAAAGAGGAGAACCCCCGGAACCCAGAGGATGTCATACCAGATGGAGATGTCGTCATCTACTACCCTGGTCCAGGAGCCTTTCGAGTGATCCGATGCAATGAAGTCGTATCTCGTCTTTGTTTCCTGGCAGAAGAATGTGAATACCTGCTTAATGACAACTGGTATCGCACGCTCGCCATGGCTGGCTCGGTGACACTCATTTTTGGTCTAATTTGCTTGGGAAACGCGCATATCATTTTGCAGATCAGCTTCGCTACTGCATACATCATCCTGAACGCTCTCTATTGGGCTTCCTCAGCGTATCATGAGAGACACCATTGGTCCCATGCGTACAAGGTCAATCCTATCGAGATGCACCTCCCTACGCGCAAGGGGACTAACCTCCACGATGTCGAGATATCCCAACAAGGCCCAGTCAACAGTCCTGTCTCGCCTTCGCGGAAATCGACGGTGCTGTTGGAGGCCAACGGCCCTCAGCCTCCCAAGCGGAGGCTGAGTCTGGCGAACCTCCGTAAAATCAGCAGTTTGACCATTTCAAGGAGGCAAGCTGAGGCGGTGGACAAGGTGAAGCTGCCCGAGTCCCTGGAGAGTTTCACTGACATTTTGTGGATCGCCATTGCATTGACGCGAAACACTCGGTGGTTGTGATCACCGATTGTGCCAGACACCCAAGTGTGGGAGAAGTGGGTTGCCGAGGCCGGGAGACAGGCAGCGGAGGAACCAACGAAGCTGAATGGTAAACTTCTTCTGCCGATTTGGGACTACAAAGCCAAGCTGAAGGAGTTGTTCACGGAAGAGAAGAAAGAAAAGAAGAAGAGACCGAAATGGCCGACTTTGGAGCAGATCAGCACCCTCGTCCCCAAGACTGTCGACCCTTCGCATTCCGAAAAACCTAGATTTGGGTCTGTTGTCCAAGCCGTGCAGGAGCGCATGCGACAAGAGTCTGAATTGGCGACGAGGACAATTCGTTTCGCCGATGGTGGCGGGCTTACCAACTCCCCTATCGACGAAGCAGACGAGGCGGAGTTGAAATGAACCATGATCTTCTGCTGTCGCGCTGATACTTTGACTTCAGACTTGGCATTGGCAGTTCTTGGGTTATGGACCTGTAAGAGGGAAGAAAATGAGGATGGCAAGAGGAAGATACAATCGAGAGGATTTGCCTACGACAGGAGGATGTATTGTGATGGCTTACGAATTGTACCGTTGCAGACATTGATGACAGTGATGTCTTTCGATTGATCGTAATTTTTGGAACTACCTAGATATAGATAACAAGCATTTGATTGTCTTGGGTTCCAGCGATTACAGTAAACAATGCAAGCTTTGAGATCTTGAACGTGACTGTTTCGGCTCCCCGGTTTGGGTATTTAGCATGTTTGTGTGGTGCATGGGAAGGCGAAGTCATTTCCCCTCCAAAAGCGGCGGTACTGTTGGCGGGAAACCTCGAAAACCACTTATCCGGGTAATAGATACCTAGGTAAATAGCCGAGAGCACCCCGCAATTAGATCTGAGTTTTATAGATATAAGCAGCAGATTTTGTGTCGGAATGAGTGCCGCACGGGGCGCATAGCTCAGGGGTAGAGCGCTCGCTTTGCATCACCAGCAAATAACCTGGAACAGAGCCGAATCGTGTGCGAGAGGTCGTGGGTTCGAATCCCACTGTGTCCAACTGGCCATAACTCGTGAAGAGTTGAGTTGAATTTTTTGCCCGCGAGATTTTCATCTTTTATTGCTTTTTTCACACTTCCGGCTGTTGCTGTTGGCAGGAGCTTAGATTTTGCGACTCAACGGCCATCCTACTTTGGTAAGTTCTTATGAAACCCGCTTCAGGCTACTCGATCATCACGTGTCTATGCCCCCAGTTTGGCAGTGTTCGCTAGTCGAGACCCGAAAAGTTTATTTTTATTTTTGTTTAGGCCTGTGCTAATATTCGTCTCACCGGCTGGCATAGGGCACCACATCATTGACTGCTAGACAGTTCAATTAATTCCCCTTCTTTTCAGTCCTGGCAGTCATGAACGGCACAAAGGCTGGCCCTTCGGTGGCCGATATGGCCAATATGTCCACTGAAGAGAGAATGGCGGGGATGGAACATTCTGAAGTCCGCTACTTTACGAGGTTGGTCCCCGCCAGAAAAATGACAATGGCAACTACTAACCCAAGCACAGCTACGATCATCATGGCATTCACGAAGAGATGCTGGTATGGATCCAAACGGCTCTTGTGTCGAACCTGTAAATTGACCCGATCTTAGAAAGATGAAGTCCGGACCCGGTCCTACCGCGACGCAATCTACCAAAACCAGCACATCTTCAAGGACAAGGTCGTCCTTGACGTCGGCTGTGGCACAGGCATCCTCAGCATGTATGTGCAACCTTTCCCTCGGCGACCCTAGAGACAAGAGTTGACCCCCATCAGGTTCGCAGCAAGGGCGGGTGCAAGACACGTCATTGGCGTCGACATGTCCAGCATCATCAACAAGGCCAAACTCATTGTCGAGGCCAACGGACTCTCGAAGAAGGTTACTTTGCTGCAAGGCAAAATGGAAGAGGTGGAGCTACCTACTCAACATCTGAACAACGGCAAAGTCGACATCATAATATCAGAATGGATGGGCTACTTCCTGCTGTACGAGAGCATGCTTGACACGGTTCTCTACGCCCGCGACAAATATTTGAGGCAGGGTGGCCTGATTTTCCCCGACAAGGCCACGATCTACATGGCGGGCATCGAAGACGGAGAGTACAAGGAGGACAAGATCGGATGTAAGTGTGCAGTAAAAAGGAGAGAGGCGGTCGGGCGGGCAGGCTGACTTCTCTTCCAGTCTGGGATAACGTCTATGGATTTGATTTCTCGCCCATGAAAGAGAGCGCTCTCAGTGAACCTCTGGTTGACACAGTCGAGCTCAAGGCGTTGGTCACGGATCCATGCCCTGTCTTCACCATCGACCTCAACACGGTCAAACCGGCCGAGCTGGCATTCTCCGAGCCGTTCCAACTCCGATGTACAAGAAACGACTTCATCCACGCGCTCATTGCCTGGTTCGATATTGATTTCACGGCCTGTCACAAGCCGATCAGGTTCTCGACGGGGCCTCACACCAAATACACGCACTGGAAACAGACCGTCTTCTATCTGCGAGAGGTTCTGACGGTGGAAGAAGGGGAAACCGTCACGGGTTTCCTCTCCAATAAGCCCAACAGCAAGAATAGACGGGATCTCGATATCAAGATCGACTATGAACTCGACACGTTGGATCGCACTCGGTCCGCACGCGGGACATGCGAATATAGGATGTAAGCCTCCCTTCTTACCGTCCCTGATATTGCAGTGGGTGGGTTACTGATCACCATATGCAGGTGCTGATCCCGGATGATGCCCTGGGGGAACGACGCTCGTCCTCCCGCATGTTGTTCTTCTTGATCATGAGGTCTCCACGTTCTTCCGGCACGGCCTCTAACATTGAACCCTGCGAAGGACGATAATGCACACATGGATGAAACACCTACCTAGTTTACGGTGAAAAAGGGTGGCCGCAATGGCGATGATGGTACTCCGGCACGAAAACCCAAGCTCCTCGTTATTTGTATAAGATACCCCACGAGTTGATGCTCATTTTGATACAAGGAAAAATTCATGGTGCATTTGCCCGGTAGAAATGATTTGCGACGCGATACTCATGCTGAGCTGAGATTTGATCTTGCGCTCCAGTGGATGGCATTGATGAAGCTGACCTGGAAATTGATTACTTTCATGTCTCTGCTGGGTGGCCGGCTATCCGCCATCGAGGCCATCAACAAGTTACCTCGGCACGCGGCTCCCCACGTTTACGTTTTAACTAAACTGCGCTTCTTCCATGGTCCCCAGGAACTTGAAAGCTGACCGACCGGCTTGCTGCTGTAGACTACAGTATTTCCTCTCCTGTTTTATCTGAGTGATTGGGAGCTGTCCAGGTTGCAGCTTGAAGCTTCATTTGTTCTGTCTTCAAAAGTCTCTCCACTGAGCTGAGTCACACAATGTCGGGTCCAGGTGTTGGTTTCGAGTATCCTCGGACTGAGGTGTCGTGGTTGAAGAGAGATGTCCTGCTCTTCGCTGTGAGCATTGGCTGCACAGTGGATGAGCTGCACTTCATCTACGTGGGTGCCCCAGGAAATGGACGTCGACAGCTCTCATTGACAACATCTTCTAGGAACTCCATCCCAAATTTGCCGTGTTTCCCACATACTCAATTATCCTCCGTGAGTCGCGCGCAACCCTCAACCCTTCCATGTTCACTTTGCATTATCGAACTCACACATGTCATTAGCGTTCAAGAAGACCACACAAGAAGTCATCGACTTCTATGCTGCTCAAGCTAGCAATCCGATTCCAGGCGTCCCCAAACTGGACGCAAAGCGGGTGGTCGACGGCCAGCGCCTGATCCAGTTCCTCAAGCCTTTGCCTCCGACCTCCGAAGGCCGAAAGTTTGAGCTGCGCTCCAAGGTCATTGGAGTCTACGACAAAGGCAAGCCAGGAACAGTGGTCGAGACTGAGCAGACCATCGTGGACAAAGAGAGCGGCGAGGTGTATACTCGGGCGGTTGGCTCTGGCTTCTTTGTTGGCCAGGGAGGATGGGGCGGTCCCAAGGGCCCTGCAACCGTCAACTATCCACCACCCAAGGGCCGAGAGAACAGTCCCGATGCAGTCAGCGAGAAACAGCTGACCGCGGAGAGTGCGCATCTGTACAGGTAAGCCAGCTCCAAGCCTGGGGGTTCGAATACCAACCATACTGACACCGGATGACCTGCAGACTCAATGGCGACTACAACCCACTCCACGCGACACCCGAACCCGGTCAGAAGATGGGCTTTGGCGGGGCTATCATGCACGGGTTGTCGACCTGGAACTTTGCGGCACATGCCCTCTTGAAAGAACTGGGCGGAAGTGATCCAGCCAACATGAAGGAGTTCCAAGCCCGCTTCGCCGCGCCCGTGAAGCCCGGCCAGAAGCTGGTGACCAAGATCTGGAGGACTGGCGATATCAAGGACGGTTGGGAAGAGGTCCGGTTCGTCACCGAGGTCAACGGCAAGGTGGTGCTGAGCAACGGGCGGGCGTTGATGAAGTGCGTGGGGCCCAAGAGCAAGCTTTAAGGTAGCTGCTGGAACTCAGATGTAAATCCAAATGAACATGATGCCGAACGACGCCCACTGGGGTTCACTTGGTCTCAACGCCTCCTCCCAGCTTCGTGGCGTTCACGGTGGGCGGAGTTTCGCGTCCAAAGCCCATCTACATCCATATCATCCACCGCCCTTTCTTTTCCTCCAATGCTGTCGTCGTTGCCGCCTGTACGCCCCGAGACATGACTGTCGTTACGAGATAAGGTAGAGGATTCTTGGAGAGCGAAACTTTCAAAATTGAACCTTCTGCAGAGAAATAATACTCGGCACGGCGTCAAACGGGCTGGGCCCCGACGCGCTGGAACCCTGAAGCTTTCTCGATGTCATTGAGCATCGTGTCTGTCGCTGTCCTCCGCTGCAGAGTCGGATGAAAACGGCGGCCATACACAACAAAAAGGAAATCGGTTGTTGAGAAAGAAAAAAGGCGGAGGGCGTGGCGACGGGGCAAATCTGGGGGAGCCGGGACCAAGAGGATGTGGTTACCGTGGTGTTCGGCTTTTGATACAACAAATCAAGGCGCGAGAAGCGGCAATCGATCTTGCATTCTGACATGAGCTGGTCAATGCTGGGGATCCTTTTCTCGACATTCTTCCATCTCAAGTTCCACCATCAAGTCCCTTCTCCGCTCCGTGTCGCCCCGGGTACCTAGGTACCTAGTAGGTAGGTTTGTAACGCTGCAAGCCAAGGCGTTTTCTTCGCTCCGACGCGATGCATTTCTAGATAGGTTGGTCCTTTGTACATCCCGCTTCAACCGTGCCGCCATTGTTACTCGCATGACCGCGTGTATCTTGGCAGCTTGTCGGATCGACAGCTCGAACCCTGTTCCCGCCTTTCCTACTCCCTCCGAAAGTGGAAATGCTGTTACATCGAGCTGAACACCATGCTGATGATAGGCTGCGCGTCTCTTGTCACATCCCATGCGCGGGAGTTCCTCCATGGAACAAGTTCCGTCAGTTGCACCCTGGCCCCATGAAGTTGAGCGTCGTGTGCTGCACGACGAGAATCTACTCCCTTGGCGTCCCCTTGCTTTTCTCCGTGGGTTTGCCAGATCTGGCACTTGGGAGACGCAATGGCGCGGCGACAAAGGGCTTGAGTAGCAGCAAAGTTCTCTGAAGCAATTCAAGTCAGTGCCCGACCCGTCGGATGAAGAGGTAGGTGTTTTGGTCGAGGACTTTGCATATTTAAGATGGGCAGACTCGCCCTACTTCTTCGATCGGACCGGTCAATCCAGTGCGGCCTCAAGAGTTCATTACTGTATCCTCTTTGAAACGTTGCTTGATTGCCGCTGAAGTTTACAAACATGGGTGGTGGCGGAGCTAAACCTCTCAATGTCTTCCGTCTGGGAAGTTCCCTGGCGGATGAACCCAGAGAAGTTCTAAACTGGAGACTTTGGTTTGCTGTTGTCTCCTTTGGTGTCATGGGAGCCGCTAGAGGCGTGTAAGTTGCTACCCGTGTCGTTGAATCCCCGGACCGCCGTGGCTAACAGTGATCCGCAGAGACGAAGGGTTGATCAGCGGTAAGATAGACTTGGTTGATTTTCGTCCCCTTGGGCTTTGCTAACCGTGTCCGACCAGGCACGTTTAATACGGATGACTTCCAGCACCTTCTGGGATTCGACAAACTTGACAAAGATGAATATGCAAATATCAAGGGCAACGTCTCCGCAATGGTTCAGATTGGAAGCGTGGGTGGTGCCCTACTCGCCTTTGTTCTCGCCGACCGTATCGGTCGTCTCTGGGCTACTCGACAACTGTGAGTTCTTTCCTTCTGACCGTATTGGAGGCCTTGGTGCTCATGACACTCAGGTGTATTCTTTGGATACTCGGAATAGTCATCTTCCTGACCAACAACGGCCGGTTGGGCCAGGTGTATGCTGGCCGCTTCATTGCTGGGCTCGGAATTGGCCAGACCACTGTAATTGCGCCTGTTTACCTTTCTGAAATTTCACCCAAGGCAGTGCGAGGACTTTGCACTTGTGTCTTCTCGGGCTCCGTGTACATTGGGATCATGGTGAAAACCACAACTTCCTCCAGTCAATTCAGTGAACTAACCTTCTGCAGCTCGCATATTTCTCGACTTGGGGAAGCAGCCTCCACATCGATCAAAATAAGCCCAGCTCCTGGATGGTGCCGACGTCCCTCCACCTCATGTTTGCCACTCTCATCTTCATCCTATCGTGGTTCAACAACGAATCACCTCGGTTCCTGATCAAGAAAGGCCAGATAGACAATGCAACAGTCAATCTGGCCAAGATCCGTGGCCTTGCCGCTGACGACGAATACATCACGGCTGAGATCAACGGTATCAAGCATCAGTTGAACGAAGAGCAGGAAGCAACCATGGGACAAGGCTTCTTGGGCATTCTTCGAGAAATGTTCTGCATGCCCAACAACTTCTACCGGATCTATTTGGGTCTTGGGACCCAGTTGCTCGGTCAATGGTCAGGCGCTCAAAGTATCACCATGTACGTGTTCCCTTTGCTTTCATATCTCAGGTCACCACCTGTGCCAGATGATTAACCCTCTTCGCGCTGTTGCTGACACTGGAACCCTCTATAGATATGCTCCGGATGTAGGTCGCCCGCCCCCCGAGAATCGTTTCCCGTCTGAAGAAGCCAGTGGTCTTATATTGGTCTTCAAGTCGATATATGCTAACACATTTGTGCAGATGTTTGCCCTGCTCGGTACCAAAGGCGACAATGAGAAGGTAAGTCTGATCCTACGCCCTAGTTTTACGAACATTCTGACTGACCGGAAAATAGCTATACGCCACGGCCATTTTGTGAGTTCCACTATTCTCTTGCGATACTATCTATATTTGTGCCGGCCACTGACAGCATACTCGACATGCAGTGGGGTGGTAAAATTCGTCGCCGCGATTTTCTGTGCGTTGTTTCTGGTCGATGCCATCGGACGAAAGAGATCCTTGTCCATTGGCATCGCTCTCCAGGCAATTTCCATGTGCTACATTGCGGCCTTCTTGACCGCTGTACCCAATATCGACAATGACACTGTCTTTACGGCTCCTCAGAAGCATGCTTCCACAGGCGGGATTGTCATGATATACATTTCGGGTGTCGGTTGGGCGCTGGGCTGGAATAGCATCCAGTACCTCCTGAACTCTGAGATCTATCCTCTCAGAATCCGTGCCGTCAGCAGCTCACTCGTAATGTGTTTCCATTTCGGTATGTTTCCCCCCTCACTTGGTTAGGGTTAGGGTTGTTGGCTGACAAAACTCGCGAACAGTCAACCAGTACGGGAACTCACGCGCAGTGCCTAATATGCTCTTAAACCTCAGTCCCAAGGGAACCTTCTGGTTCTTCACCGCGATCACAATCCTCGGTGGGCTATGGGCATGGTTCTTCATTCCCGAGACAAGCGGGCGTAGTCTCGAGGGCATGGACGCCTTGTTCCGCCTTCCTTGGTACAAGATCGGGAGATATGGACAACGTGAAGCTGATGTGAGTGATCAATTGACGAGAGAGAGGGTGTTGGAGGAGAAGGCGGCCCTGGGGGGAATTGCTGCGCAGGTAGAAGTGGTTCAGCAAGAGAAGGTATAAACTACTGTGGGAGGAAAAGACCAGCGGTGTCAGTATGGATACTGGTGCTTTGAGGACAGGTTGTCTTGACCTAGAATATAAGATTGCGTACTTGTCGGTATGCTTTGGTACTGTCGTCAGGAGTACGACCATCGGCACTGAAATTGCGGCGGCGAAGGATCTATCGTGTTCACAGACCCTTCATTCGTTGCTTCATCTCTCTTGTGAGCAGAGACCAAGTCCGCGGGGTGTCCAGAGGGGCGCATATTTGACAGCAGCTTCCTCTGCCTCCCCCTCCACCTCCAACTCACTTAGACACCTGGGTAAACCGTAGGAGACGGTCTTGAAATGAGGGCTTCCTTCATCTTGACGGCACAACAACTTCATTGCGAAGCTGAGCTAGGAAACCTGTCCAGCTGTGCAACCTGATTCGGTTTTGGCGAGCAAGACAGGCAGGTCGGATCCTCAATATCAGTTCATGGCCGAGAGTCAAAGCGCCCCTCACGGCCCCTCAATTTTCAAACTAACGCAGGTACCCGAGGAGCCGACAGGGACGCTCGCAATGCGCACAACCGACTGTTCCAGGCGGTATGTCCAGTGGCTTATGGCGCAGCCTCAAGAAAGTCAGCTCCCAGATGGAGGGATCGAGCGCGTGCAACTCTACACCCCAGTATCGTGGCATGGCTGGCTAAAGACAGTCTCCCATAACGGTCCGCAAAGCATGATCCAGGGGTGTGCAGCAGATATCTCCTTCTACCGACATCTGGTTACACGACTGAGACCTTGACCTGCCAGATACCTACACGACATGGGCGCAGGATAAAGCAGAAACTCTCAAGTCATGTCAGCGCAAACGCACGCCATCATCTTCTGTGTCCTCACCAGTGCCACTGTCTTCGCCCACATTTCGCTTGACTGGCAAGACTGGGCATGGTGGGTTACTCGTTGTCTCAGCACACTCAGAAGGGAAAAGTCGTTCGATCCGAGAAAAAGCCTCCGCCCCGCCAACGACTGAAGATAAGGACGCGAGTGGCCACAAGAGGTTGAGCCAGGATCCATTTTCGTTACGCCACAAACGCCCACCTCATCCCTGAACGCTGGACGTGCTTTTGGCGATTCAATGCGCGGCCGATTTCAAGAAAAAAATATCCCCTCCGCACACGCGACTTGCTTGCAGAATGTAATTTCCGCAAGACGGACGGCGCGTTGGGTTTGACTTATGTTAAGCCGGCTTTCACCTTTTGTCATGATGTCTTTCTCTCCTGCGTACGGGGCAGCGAGACGCAATCATGCATCTGCTCTGATGTATCAGACCCCCCTTGTCATTTCTCCCCCCTATCCGAAGTAACGTCTCAATCGATACCCTGATCGATCCCTCCCCTCGTCCCGCCTTAAAATCGGATTCATCCACCCTTGTTCCTGGTCGGGCAAGACTGGAATCTTATTAATTACATTTCTGGGCGCCATGCCATCCATAGACACCAATTTCACGAGTCCCCGTCATCAGTGTGCCAGCCAGATGGAATTCATATCGATATAAGATTCTGGGACTTCCCCGTGGCGTGGCGGCTTCGCCCCCCACTTGCTGGAGGGAAAGATCTTCCTCTTTTCCGTCTTTCTCCTGCCCTCGCAACGTTTTGACCACGAGGAGGAAGAAAGGCAATATGGGCGTCCGTCCCGTTCTGGATAGGTTTTCTGCTCCGGCAAGAGTCCAACGGCTCGGCGTATTCGCCATAGTGACTCTTCTAATTGTTCTCTTTTTCCAAAACACATTGTTGGCCGACAACTCGGTAATCCACCGCCACAAAAAAGTGCGTGGCAGTTGACGCTGGAGCGGTGCATACTCTGTTCGCTAACAAGTTCCAGGTCGACCGATCGAGGTCCGACTACTACCTACAATGGGGACCTTTCGAGCCGTTACCGATACCGGGATTCGTGAACACTGGACTGCCTGGGAAGAGGTCGTGCGATACTCTGAAATACAACTCGACCGTAGGGGTGCAGAAGAGCTTCTTCCTCGACGATGACATCAAGCAAATCGCCCTGACCCTCGACTCTCACCCGATGGTCGACTACCCCGACGACATGATGAACGACCCCAAGATGGAAGCAAATGATATCATTGACAAGACGTGGGCTCGCATGTCTGGATCTAGTGTGTGGCTGCCGGAACAGAAGGTATTCTTGTCCGTGACTCGGGTCATCTTCTGCCCTTCGAGGACGCGCTCAGTGCCCAAGATGAGCTTTCTGCGAGGCCAACTCTACAATCAAGACTGGGAACATTTGGATAATCATACCATCACCTGGGATGGACAGCCATTTACATTCCCCCTGGTCTTCGACATCCCGGCGCAATGGGAAGAAGACGGAAGCTTGTATGGGCCAGAGGACCCCCGGATTATTTTGGAGGACAACGTCGAAGGTGCGGAGCCAGTTGTCATCTTCAACATGATCGCGAAACGAACAGGGTGGAACAGAGCAATGTACATTTTTCGACCTTTCTCCAACTACTCGACCGTCCTCACTATCAAAGACACCGACCGACAACAGACTGAAAAGAACTGGGCACCATTTTTCATCCCAAACGAGCAACAACACAAACCAGGTGGCAAGAACCCCTCGAAAGCGGTTGCTCCTGTTCGTCAACCCAGCGAATACATCCATTTTGTTTACAGCTTCAAACCTTTGCGGATCTTGAAGTGCCACCTCCGTTGTGGTGACTGCGAGTTCGAGTACGAGCAAGAGGTGCCCGACAACTTCATGACTAAACATAATGAAGAAGGCGGCAGTTTGCGCGGCGGTACCAACTTCGTCCCAGTGCCCCTCCCATCGAGCATGAACATCGACCCTCGAGTCAGAGTATACGCCGCCTTCCCCCGAACCAACATCGAGAAGCACTGTGACGGTAGTTTTTATCGTCCAGAATTTGTGGTGATGGTCAACATTGGCACACAGTTCCATCTCGCCTTTGCTTCTGAGTCGCTTGACTTTGGCACGTCGATACTCGACCTGGGACCCGAGGATGACCGCTGCGACAAAGGGCGCATTCTCATCCCCAACAGCGTCGCTCAGTGGGATACGAGCAATGGCCATGATGTGATGAGTGTGACCTTTAGTGTCAACGATGAGACTGTTCAGGTCGCCCGCGTCCAAGGGCTATTGGCGTTTGTCCGTAATCTACCTCAATTCAAGAAGCTACTGAAGAAGGATGGTCTCTTGAAGGACGCTGATTCCGATCTGATGAGCACCTTGTCTTCATGGGTCGGGGACGATGTGCGTGGCTGTCTCGTGGAGTCTGCTCTCAACTACGCCGCTTCACCACAGGAACAACCGAAAGAAGGATCGGAAGTGATGGACGTGACCAAGGAGCTGATGCTGAAGCTCAAGCAGGAAGCCGACAGTGCTCCCAAGCCAAAGGAGGAAGAGGTCTACCATCACGGTTATGAACCAGGACTTATATATTTGGAACATCCTGCTGACGATGCCGGCGATCCACAACCTTTCAGCTTCGAGATGCTGGGCGAGTTTTCGGATGTCGAAGGTCTGTCGATTGAGGGGTTAGACGACGACGCCGCCAAAGTTGATGATAAGAAAGAGAAAGACGACAAAGAAGGAAAGAAGGAGGAGGGAAAGAAAGAAGACGGAAATAAGGATGGCACGGTAGAAGATGGGAAAAAAGATGAAAAGATCGAAGACGAGAAGAAAGATGGTCAGGTGGAAGACGTAAAGAAAGATGGAAAGGCAGAAGATGTGAAGAAAGATGCGATTTTAGAAGATAAAACGAAAGATGGAAAAGGGGAAGACGAAAAGAAAGAAGAGGGAAAAAAGAACGAGAAGGAGGTTACATGGGAACCGGATATGGAAAAGGTAGAGCAAGGCGAGGAGGACAAGAAACAAGGTGCTCAAGGAGAAGACAAAAAGGAGGAAGGAAAGACACCACCAAACAACCCGAAGATCGAGCCCAAACCACAGCAGGCTCATCACCGATATCATAACCATCAAAACCATCGCAGAATGTGGCCATGAATGCTCAACAAGGACGGAAACCTACCTCTTTCCATAGGGTCTACCGACGACCTCAAGGAGTTTTCGGGACCCAGCAGAGGTCACCATTCTCCCTGGTACCGCGATTCGGTCAGCGGAAATGACGGGGAAGACCATGAGCCCGCTTGGAGCTATGTCTTCTTTATCCCCCCTCACTGCGCGACTCCGCGAGCGCCTGACCAGAATCTGGCGTGGAAACCGCTTTGGATGTCTTTTCCCGGAGCGCGGCCTTCTCCCTTGGGTTGCACAGACAACCCTTGATTTTCGTGTTTTCTTTCGAATTCAGTGACGACTATTTCTCATGAAATGGATCTGGACGGTCAACTCTGGGCTATAGACGGTGGGCGGGCCGGAACAACAATGGTAGAATCAGGATATATTTTGGAGGGCGTTTTGAACAGTCCAGAGGCCGAATGTTCTTGCTCAGCGAGGAGTTCCGGGAATGGCTGGAGAGAACTTGAAAGGATTAATGACGGGACCAGGCTCAACGCAGAATAATGCGGTTGACCAAAGACATGAAGGGCGTCTGAACATGGTTGATAGCACAAGTGGAAGACGAAGAGCATATTGGGCTTCGCGTCGAAAGGAAATGAAAGACCTTGTCGTGATCTCTGTCACATCCGTCCCTGTCGGATCCTTCCCCATGAGCCTTGCATGCCGCATCGAGTCTCCGGAAGATTGCAGGAAGCCGGCCTTTGCTACTCTTGGATTTTGTAATTACTCTGTTCGTGAATTCCTCAAGAGGAAGGCTTTTGACCCGGTCCGAGTCAATACGAGGAAGCCCAGCAACTTTAGAGGATGGGGATCGACCAAGAGGGGAGAACGAGCCATGTTGATCTACTGGAGCCAAGCAAGTTGGGCCCCGGCAAACCATGACTTCCCGCGTCCAAGTCCCGACGTTGACTGGCGTTTTCTGGGCACGCTAGAGAATGTGGAAAGTTCCTATGGGTGTAATAATAGAGGACGGGGCGGGAAAGCATCCGGAAGGAGACTTTGAGGAGGACTCGGAAGCTTTTGCTTCCTGCGGTGTGAAAGGCTAGAGCTCGACCTCGGATGGGGGAGCGAAAAAGTCGTCACTTTGTCTTTTCTATGGCATGGAGAGAAGGGAGAAGAGAAGAGACATGGGATCTTTGAGAGAGTTCAAGAGGCCATCGATCAAGGTCTAGTTCAATAAGTTGGTGAGGCCAAGCATGCGCTGTTCCCGCAGGTAAGATACTTGGTAGGTAGGTACCTAGGTAGGTACCTAGGTAGGTAATAATATGTGTGCAGAAGGACACGAGAGAAAAGAGAAAAGAGAGAGTCTGTGACCGTCAGCCAAGTAAGCGCTCAAAGCCTCTTATCCACCACGCAGTCATTGGATCCCCGCAAAAAGCTACTTCTTGACTCTTGATCCTCCTCGCCTCATCCTCCCTTTCCCCGTCATCTTCTTCTCCAGGTCCCGCAAATCTAGACTCTTGGACAAGCCTTGGTTCCGCTGACCAGGTGCAGCTTCCGGAGGGCCAGGTTAAGCCTGACGGACTGCCCATTGTGACTGTCCGTTAGCAGGCCACTACAAGCTCGCTAATTCGTTGCTAGCAAGTCAGCAGAACCATGGGACGCGGATGCTTGACCATGCCAGATCAAAGCGGAAGGCGGAAGGCAAAGCTGGCACGCCGAGATGCCATGGCAAACCCAAGAGTCCGAGACTACTTAGACCCAGCCACCCCTCCTCTCTCACGATGATAGTCTGTCTTGATATCTCCATCTTCACATTCATCAGCCTGTACAGCATCATCCAGTATGGTATCCAAAGACCACAACGTCGAGGAGCGCCAGGTCGATCAGACTGTCCGACACTCGCTTCAAGATGAAGTCATGAGCGAGAAGGCTGCAGGCACGCACGCAGAAGACTTTCATGAAGCTGCAGAAAGAGGCCATACTGCTACCGACAAGTGAGTCAATCATATAACCCGAGTTCCGTCCATGCTAACTGCCCCTAGGTACGGCCACTCCCTGGTGACATTTGACCCCAAGGCCGAAGCAAGACTGCGCTGGAAGATTGATCTCTATGTCGTGCCCACGGTTTCTCTACTCTACCTCTTCTGCTTCATTGACCGTGCCAATATCGGTCCGTAACGCAAGAATCCTCCATTGTAATGCCGCGCTGACCTCCTTTCAGGCAACGCCAAACTCGCCGGCCTCGAGAAAGACCTTCACTTGACCGGTAACGACTACAATATTGTTCTCTCCACCTTCTATGTCAGCTATATCATCTTTGAGATCCCCGCAAACATGGCCTGCAAGTACTTTGGCCCGGGCTGGTTCCTGCCCGCTACCTCGCTTGCGTTTGGACTATTTTCCATCTGTACAGCCTTCGTACACCACATATCCGCAGCGTGTGGTGTACGGTTCCTTCTCGGTGTAGCTGAGGCGGGCATGCTTCCAGGCATTGCCTATTATATGTCTCGATGTAAGTCTCTTCTTATCCTGTCACTACGAGCAGCTTCCATTGAGCCCATGATTAGCCAGTCGGCTAACAGATATTGCAGGGTACCGTCGGAGCGAGTTGGCATTCCGGCTATCGCTTTACATTGTCATGGCGCCCCTGGCTGGGGCCTTCGGAGGCCTTTTGGCTTCTGCCATTCTCAAGCTGAGCCACTTTGGAGGTCTCCATAATTGGCGCATGATCTTCGCAATCGAAGGCATCATTACCTGCGGCCTTTCGCTCATTGCCTTCTTCACCCTGACCGACCGTCCCCAAACCGCGAGATGGCTCACCCAAGAAGAGAAAGACCTTGCGGTTGCCAGAGTCAAGTCGGAGCGCGTTGGCACGACCGAAGTTCTCGATAAGCTGGACGTCCCCAAGATCCTCCGGGGTATCATGAGCCCGGTCACCCTCGCCACGTCATTCATCTTCCTTCTCGACAACGTCACCGTCCAAGGCTTGGCCTTTTTCCTCCCGACTATTGTCAAGACCATCTACCCTCAGCATTCGGTTGTGTCTCAGCAGCTTCACACCGTCCCGCCATATATTGTGGGAGCCTTCTTCGTCCTGCTGTTCCCGCTGCTCTCGTGGCGGTCCGATCGTCGCAATATCTTTTTCATTCTCTCCGCTCCATTGATGATGTGCGGATACATCATGTTCTTGGCCAGCACCAACTCTCACGTCCGCTACGGAGCGACCTTTCTCATCGCAGCTGGGGCCTTCCCGTACGGCGCACTCTGCAACGCCCAAGTTTCCGCCAACGTCGTCTCCGATACCGCCCGCTCAGCCGCCATCGGCACGAACGTCATGTTCGGAAACGTCGGCGGCTTGATTTCTACCTGGTCTTTCCTGCCCTTTGACGCGCCCGACTACCATATCGGCAACGGATTGAATTTGGCGACCTCGTCGACCATTTTGATTCTTTCCATTCTCTTGCTGTTTTGGATGTGGGCGGACAACAAGCGTCGGGAAAAGAAAGATGTGGATGCCGAGTTGGATGGCTTGTCATTGAAGCAGGTGCAGGACCTTGACTGGAAACACCCTGCCTTCAGGTGGAGACCGTGATCGAATGTGGAACGAGCTGAAGAGGCTGTGCGCTGGATGGCGGTTGCCAATGAGGCTGTGTTGATGGAAAGGAGACGATTCCGTGCCGACTTTTTCAGCGAATAGAGCCAGAAGCCTTTTGGTGTAGTAGCATATGCATACATGGTGCCAGAGATAGTGTTTCGCTTCTCCTCGATCCAACGACATTCTTCAACCAATACTTTTCAGCTTGATCATCAGGCTCTTGCGCAGGGCCAGCTCCATGATGCGGCTGCGCTCAGGCATTTTGGCACCGGAGCGGAGAGGAAGATCATTTATCCGGTCCCCTCCCACCACCGAACCAATTCCTTCTCCTCTGCTCTGTTCTTCTCGTCTTTGCGGGTGTTCGAACGTTGTTGTCTTATTTCTCTCGACTCACACTTTGGACATGTTTTTCCATCTTCAAAAAGCCGGACTATTGCACTCTACGTGAGTCAGAGTCCAAGCCACCTATGCTCGATAATGCCAACTTGTCCCCCTGGCGCCGGTGCTGGCAGAGCAGGCTGGCGTCAATCCAGATTCAGCCTCGCCGCTAGGCAGACATGATATTCCCCACCACATATAACCGGGGGTGGTTCCTTGCGAGTCACTTGAAACTTCCAATGCTTCGGAGAGGAAAAGTATATATCTACTTGTACTCGGCCTTCCTGAAGAAGTGGTGATTGTGTTGTATTGTCTTTGGTTTTCCGGATCCTTTGGTCCTGCCAGCTACGCTTCCTCGAGACGAACGATCGATAGAAACCTGGCCTATCGATGCGCTCTCTTTGCCCAACCACAACCACTCCCAATTGTTCAAATGCAGCTCTCAGCTCGACTGCCCCTACAGGTGCAGGTGGCCTCAATGGCGTCTTCGCAGATGACCGCAGAGAAATGTTCTCATTCAGAAGCTTTATCCTCGTCATATCACCCCCGCCAGGGCTTTCAGAGTCGTCTCTCCTCTCTCCCGCCGGAACTCCACCATATAATCGCCGACCACCTCCCCTACCCTGACTTGCTCTCACTAAAACTAACAAACACCTACTTCGCCGCCCTGGTAGCTCCAAAACTCACGGTCAAATCGCGCATCAGCTGGGTTCAGGGTCGATACGCCCAGCATCTCCCCGTGCCCACGAGCAGCCAGCTCTCGTTCAAATCGGACGCGCTTTTCGTCGCCAATGCAGAAGTCAAGACGATCCTGAGAAGGCGGAGGCAACATCTGGAGTGCGCGGACCATGAGCGCGGGAGGGCCTTTGTGTTCTCCTCCATGTTTGCCAACCTCGACCTGCAAGTACGTGAAGGTGCTGCTGCACATCATCCGTGGACGAAAGTCTGCCTCGTCACGGGGAACACCATTTGTCCCAGGATCCAGGAGTTGGAGGCCAAGATGCAGCGGTACAAGAATAGCATGGTGGGCAAACTGGCGGTGCCTGTCCTACGAGCGCTCGCTTGGCTGGCGGGTTGGCTTAGTGACTCATTGAATCAGCCATGGGTTATGGCTGGAAGGCTACGACCGTCAGGGCTCCTCCTTGGAAATATCCTCGCGATGTCAAAGATCGTTTTGATAGTGGTCGTGATCTGCGCCTTCTGCTACTGCAACGACATCTCCTCCCTTGCGGATTCACCTTACGGAATTGGTGCAGTAAGATGAGTCAGTCCGGGGCAGGGATATGGGACGGATGGATAACGTGTCAATATCACGCAGCACATCCCCGTGTGGACCGGCCGCCATATTGCGGAAATGCCACGACTCCGCCTACCCAGAGCTATCCGACGGGAATTGGTCATCCCGACCCGGCACCCGATCCGCAGGGCATAAGCCCGGTTACACCACAAGTCAGTCTCTATACCGTCATGATGGCTGTCCCGCTGCAATGCTAGGCTCAAATGCCAGCGGGAAAGGATGGCGAAGTTCCCAAGTTGCATGTACCCTTTCCAAACTGAATAATGTCCACTTGATATCAAAACCTACATAAGTCGGCAATATCGTGCATTTCCATTGACAAACTATGCTTCTAGAATGTTTGCAAAATTCTCTTCAGTCTTCCAACATGTCATCTCTCGTCGCCAACAGCATCTCTTCTAACATGCCATCCCTCATCACCAACGGAACCTCTTCGGACTTGTCACCTCACGCCACCAACAGCATCTCCTCTTCCGTCTCAGCTTTCGACTCATCATCCACCATTCCCCTCTGGCTTGACGGGAATGAAGTCAAATGCAGCGACACATTTGACGTTGTCTCTCCTGTTGACCACCAGATTCTCTACAAATGTTCTTCTGCTAGCGAGGATGATGCGACAAGGGCCGTTCTTGCCGCGGAGAAGGCGTTCAAATCATGGTCCAAAACGAAACCAGACACCAGAAGAGACATCTTCCTTCGAGCTGCAGATCTCTTGGAACAGAGAAGCAAAGAGCTGCATCATTACAGCCGAACTGAGATGGGGATGGCGGAAATGGTGTCCAAACTGGAGCTCGGCCTAGCCATCAATGCGTGTAGATGCGTTGCGGGCTTGATTCAAGTGGCAACCACTTCATCTATGCCTGTCGTCGCTGAGGAGGACAGTAACGCTCTGTTGGTCAAAGAGCCATACGGTGTCGTTCTGGGGATTGCTCCATGGAACATTCCTTACATCCTGGGCTTGCGTGCTTGCTTACAGCCGCTGGCTATGTATGCCCTTCCCGCGACTTCCCAGTATTTGGCGTACGCATACTAAATGTGGAGTAGGGGAAATACGGTGGTGCTGAAAGGTCCAGAACATGCGCCGGCCGTCCACTGGGCCATCGCCTCGGTGCTCCATGCCGCTGGCCTTCCAGCAGGATGTCTGAATACAATATACCACCGTCCAGCCGATGCTGCGAAGATCACCAATACCCTGATCAGCCATCCAGCAATCAAGAAGATCAACTTCACGGGCTCAACCGCCGTCGGGGCAATCATTGCTTCACAAGCTGGCAAATACCTCAAGCCCACCGTCATGGAACTAGGCGGTAAAGCCTCGGCCATCGTCTGCGAAGACGCCGATGTCCAAGAGGCGGCTTTCCATTGCTCACGCGGCGCATTTATCAATGCGGGACAAGTTTGTATGTCTACAGAGCGGATCCTCGTCAACGCCAAGATCGCAGATGAATTTCGTTCCGCCCTCAAAGTTGCGATGGACGAGTTGTTCAGTGACAAGGGTATGCCTACACCCCAGCTTATGAGCGCGGTGCCGGTCCAGAAGAACAAAAGACTCATTTCAGACGCCCTCGGCAAGGGGGCTAGGGCTCTGTACGGCGACCCTGGCCATTCTGAGGCTTCCAAGACTCAAATGCGTCCCATCATCCTCGAGAACGTTGAGCCCCAAATGGACATCTGGTACACCGAGTCTTTTGGCCCGACTGTGTCTCTGATTCTCGTGCAGTCAGACGACGAGGCCGTCACCATTGCCAACGATACTGAATACGGCCTGTCAAGCGCGGTATTTACCCGGGATCTCCGGCGTGGTCTCCGCATCGCCAGGGAAATTGAGACGGGCGCTGTGCATATCAATTCTATGACTGTGCACGACGAACCGGCATTGCCCCACGGTGGCGTGAAGGGGAGTGGCTGGGGGAGGTTCAACAGTCTCAAAGGCCTTGACGAGTGGGCCAGGACCAAGGCGGTGACATGGAAAGACTGAGCAAGGGGAAATGTTAATGTGACGAGCCACTCGTAGTCCCGTTAACAGAAGTCTTTCAACCCCATAAGCACTCCCCTGTCATCATAGCCAGTACAAGGCCAGGCCAGACTCTACTCCGTCCCAGTCCGCGAGTAGATTGCGGTTGGTCCAATCCTGATACATCCAGCTGTGGGTTGCCGGTAGACACATTCGAATCCTAGCTCGACGCAGAGGGAGCAGGAGGGATCTGGCTCCGTCGCAACGAGACTTTCGGTGCCTACAAGAAGTGCAGGCCAACGCTATACGTCGCCTTTTGTATGCCGCTGTTAGGAGCCAGTTCCTGCCGCGAATCTGTCTGGGAGAATGTCTGTCTGTACGTGAAAAGCACGCATTTGTGGGGAGCAAGGGCTCGAATCGATTTTGTGGTTCTGCTAAAGTGCCGATAGAAAAGACGGGGATCACGGGCAACGACAGGTTATTTAGTACTAATTCTTTGTCTCAGATTCCAATGCCGCTTGGGGAAGAAGATCTGTGACTCTTGGAAAACTTGAAAAAAATCTCGTCGGCTCCTGTGAAACGGGGAAATCATCCATTGCTTTTTTTTTAAACAGGGACGTTTTCAGCTCCGTCAGCCTTGTCCGCGTATTTCTGACAAACCGGAAACTTCGCAAGGCTTACAGCCCGCAAGGGGGTCACCAAATGGGATCCATCATTTTCGGCGTCTTGCTATTTTGCTGGAGTGACGGGCTATACATAATTATCACCCGTCTCCATCTCTGATTTTTGAAACGTTTTCTGCCAACGCAAAATCATTGTTGGACTGTGTAGTTTCCAACAAGAAACAAAATCAGAGCTTCATCTCGCGTATCCCATCTGAGTTGCTATGTGAATCCCGGCTCTCGTCTTCTCTGGAGCACGCGCGTTCTAAGGCTGCGCGTCTGAGAGAGTGTCTGCTTCATTTTTCGAACTCGATGGCCCAAAAGGGGAATGTCACTCAGACACCAAGCTCTCCAGATCACAGCCATCAACGCGATAAATTCCGAGCGCGGTCAACATGGGCTTGTCGTGGAATCTGTACAAATACACCGGGTCGGTCCCTTCCGCAGTGTGTTTGTACTCATTCCACGCCGGAACACAGAAAGTGTCACCCTGTTTCCAATGGAAACGCGCCCCGTCGATGTCCGAGTAGCCCTGCCCGGAGACGACATGGTAGACGGATGAAGCTGTCTCCCGGACGGTGGGAGATGTACAGCCTGCATTCAGACGCTCGGCAGCCCCTCCAAGGGTTTTGGACACTAGTAATTAGAACAAGATGCGTCAGCTGTGTTGTTCTGGATCAAGAAAAGACAAAGCTCAAAGGCAAGGCCAGCTGGACGAATTGATCGCATACCTGGTTTGCCGTCTGGCCTCAAGTAGTCCTCCGATGTCCAATCCCCCAGACTTTTGTCCAGCTTCTTTTGCATATCCTCCCACGGATGTAGGTTGGGACTGTCATCAACGGCGTCTCCTTGAGGATATGTGTCCGACGGATATTGTTCGACAAAGTGCGCTGGGAAATGCCTAAAGGTAGGCACATCCAGACCGTCAAGCCAGATGATCGGTTTGTCTCCATCTGTACCCTGGTCGTGCCAATTCCATGTTGGATTGAGGACTAGATCGCCACGCTGCATGCGGATTCGACTCGCACGTATTGTTGTAAATCCATCTTGTCCCTCGATGATAAACCGCATTGCGAAGGCGGTGTGCCTATGAGCAGGTGTGACCTCCTTGGGCATCACTAACTGAAGGCCTGCGGACAGAGTATCTGTGGTGTAAGGTGGGTCTAAAGCACGCATGTCAGCAAGGGTTTGAGAATCTTCGGAGACAACGGCTTGAGCTTACCCCGGGTAGGATTCACCAACATCAGCGTCCGTCTTTCTGCTTCCTGTCCGGTGACTAGCTCCCCGGCCCATTGGAGACAGGGTCGAATCTCATCGTATCGCCACACGCACGGAGAACAGATAGCTTTCGGCGTTGGGGGGTTCATTTGAGCCATTACTGTCCACAAAGGTTTCGTTTGGACTTTGAGGGCAGCGTTGGCGAGCTCCTCGTGGGATCCTTTGTCCACTGGCAAAGACATCGTCGTATGTGGGGAAAGCGGTGCTGCTGAAGCCATGGTACTGGTAGTATCCTCGACGGCAGGAAAGCCCAGTTAGGTGACAGAAGAAAGATGATTGTTGCCAACAGACCAGACCTCCGCGATGCTAAATTCCATTATATAGACATGCTCTCGGGCCACGGAAACGTTGGTGCAGTTGCATATACACAGGCGATGTCTCATTCCTCGAGATAGTGAAAGGCGGTTTTGGCAGAATCCGATTTCCTATCCTAAGTCCGGGACAGGTCTAGTCGTCATGTTGCACGGCCGTAGAATGAGACTCATCCCAATGAGGCGGGGTGTAAACCCACGGGCTGCATTAAGGCGGTCCTGGAGCCCACATATTAACACTTGTCCGCGTGGGGCATAAGCACGGTACGTCGATGTGTATTCCGCAATATCCGCATCCGCAATAGCCGCAATTAGCTAGGAAGCGTTGAGAGAGCAATTAATAGTTGAAGCCTTTCTCCGGCATATGCGACGTTCCCTGAATTCCCGCTCCACCCATCCATCTTCAGCATGTACGCGACCCATCCGCATAATTCCTAAGAGCAATGAGTAAGTTTTGGACATATTCATGTCGGGATGATCTGTGCCGATAGAGTATAACAGATCAGACGCCACTCATGTCACATTCGTCCGACAAAACAGCCGAAGCGCAGATCCGGAGACGAACGAGACAGGCCTGTGAAGCGTGTAAACTGCGCAAACGAAAGTGCAATGGCCGCGAGCCGTGTGACTCGTGCATACGATACGAGTACGAATGTCACTATGAGAACCACCCTCGAAAGAAGAAGAGGGCCAGGGCGAAATCTAGGCGAGCCTCGTCGCCTTCACAGACGCTATCAGAGTCGCCGGTCTCGGTTCCCTTGTTACAGCGCGTGCTCCCTGAGAGCCAAACGAGATCAGACTGCGTGGAGGAGAAATACAGGGAGTGCAACTCGGGCATGGTATTTCCCCATGTTCTGGGTCTCAAACTCAACCCGGAGCAAGCGCCCAAGGTCCACGGCTTTGGCTGGAATCTCGGTCTGGGTGGTCACCCAAATCACTCGGAGAGAAGCATCACCTGGACTCTCCCCAGGGCACAATGGCAAAGGCTTTTCGATGTCTACGAGGACAAGATCCACCCGCTGTATGGCTTTCTTGACCTGGAGACGGTCTTGGCCAAAGCTGCGAGGAGATGGGAGGATCCGTGCGTGACAAACGCGTACGATCACGTCCTCTGCGGCATCGCGGCTCTTGGATCGTTTTTCTCGCGTCCCAACGCGAGCGAGCAGGAGCGACACCTCGTCGAGTGTGCCAAAGATATCATGGAGATGAGGAATCTGTCCGCAAGCCCTTCTCTCGACGACGCAGAGGCCTGGCTGCTGCGCACAATCTACCTTCGCGCGAGCAGTTTCCCCCACGCGGCCTGGATGGCTAGTTGTACAATGATGCATATTTTGGAAGCCCTTGGCATCCATCAGGAGGCAGCTGCCGTTTCCTTGGTCTACTCTGACGCCGCAGTGCCAAATAACAATGTCGAGGGGAGAAGGAGGCTATTTTGGCTCGCAAGGGCATTGAACACCTGGATATCTGTCGAGTATGGACGCACCAAGGTCATATTTCGAGGCGTGTCCTGTCAGATACCGTCGGTGAGAGAAGGTGACTTGTCTACAGATCTGGTTTCATTATTCCTCTTGTCAGAGCGCTTGGAACCGGAGCATGACAACCGCCTCGACGTCCTGGAAGACTGCCTCAGCAACTTGGAAAACTCGCACTTCAGCTCGGACGCTCTGACTCTGTCTCAATGTATGGTTGCCTTTGGCATCTACCGGCAACTGCGAATGCTCAATCCGAACCTCGAAGCCAAGATTTCGGCCAAGTTGATCGGGCTCGGGAAAAGAGGCCTCGAAGCCTCCTCGCGACTGGCCGACGCGCATTGTCCCTGGTGGCACGTATCCAACGTCCCTTTCCAATTCACCTGTCTCTTGCTGGCAATGGACACCAAGGAGTCTCTGACGCATATCCGGGACTCGATAGCCACTCTGGGAAAAGTGGCGGACCGCTTTCCGACGCAAATGACGCGAAGGGCGCTGGAGACTGTCCAACTCCTGGCCACACTTTCCCAGAAACGAAAGGAACACGACATTGCCCTGTTAAAAGAAGGGATTGAACTGCAAAGTTTGGGTCCAGCTGTGCGGAACCGGCATCCTGTTCAGCCAGCAGAACGAGTGAACCTTACTTCCGATCTCTCGGTCGCGGGCGCCGGCTTGCTTGACTTTTCTGATCTGAGCGATGTGGATTGGAATCTCCTTGCCAATAACTCATTCGATCTGTCGGATATGTTCCCTGTGCCGGAGCAACGAGTCTAAGGAAGTACACAACTCCGTGCACCAAAATTTAAAGGATTAATGCCAAAGAGGCATTTGAGAGACGTCAATTGAAAAAAAGGCGAGACGAACGTGCATTCGGGACTTGGCCGCAAATTGTTCCGCAGAGTGTGGCGACGTGACTGTGTCGTCCTGACCGGTAATCAGCAGTGTGGGCATCCAACCATCTGCAGCTTTACTTTGTAAGTTAAACTATCACCATGCATGCATGCCCTCTAGGTGGCGCCATCAGGTGTCGAGCCTCATGCCGGATCGAGAATCGAGATGTTTATACGAGGTATTGTTTTATTGATTCAACCCTAACTTTTCGCTCTATGATAAGTCCTATTATTCCTGGTACCTAGTACTACCATCCCGGGCGAAGACGGTTGTGATCGGGATCATTGTTATACGCTCACCAGGACATGATGGATAACACCCTATCCCGTTTCCGATTCGTACGTCCATTGTCATCATGTTTAATCACCATCGATCGACTCGACACTGTCACATCGTCGTCCAGTTGGGGGGTGACTGCTCTGAATGCTCAATCAACCACTCCCGCAGGCAAGACCGAGATATAATCCAGCGGCGCGGGCTCAACGCCGTCTGCCACGCCCACGATCTTCAAGACATCTCCTTTGTTGACGGTGACGTTGTGGAATGTGATTCTGGTGGCGGAGTGGCCCTGTAGGAAAAGTGTTAGCTTTTTTCTGTGGACGACAAAGGGTGTGACGACGAAACTCCCCCCATACAAGACAAAATATAGAAATAGGAAAGTGTCAACTTACGTCGAGATAGATGCTAGGAGTGTGGCCTATAGTGTCTTCAAGGTTGCCAACCCACGATCCGACCGTGTGGTTGTTCAGGGATACTGTCCATTGCGACTTGCCCCCATAAAGGTCATAGTAGTTGACGGCGAGGTTATACGTGCCATTCGGGAAGTTGAGCGTCGTCGTCGCGGTACCTGTCGTGCTGTTTGTGGATGTCACAATGGCGGTCACGTTCGAGGCAACCTCGAAAGGTGAGACGGTGTACGGCTCGTACCCCGAAAGGGTCATGCTCTCTGCCTCAACACGCCACGGGTGGTTGCCAACGCGGCCCTGGCTGTCCGCGATGCCCGAGAGGTTGTGGTAGAAGTTGGTGATTGCGTCGCGCCACACAATCGAATGGCCTGCTTGGTATATCAATCGGAAGAGTGTCTCGTTGTACCGCTCCTCGTCAACCTTGCCCTGGAGACCTTCCCACTGCGTGACGTAGGTCTGCGCCGTGTCTGCGCCCGCATAGTGGGCGTTGTAGAAGTGTTGGATGACACTTTCGCCGGAGTGCAATTTCTGCGTGTAGTTGACGTGGTGGAACCATAGAAGTAGATTGTCCGGCGTGGTCGTGATATTTTCGTACATGGCCGCGACTTCCACGGGGTACTGTCCTGAGAAGCCGGTCCCGTTCGACACGGTGCGGTCCATCCCAATGGTCTTGTGGTCTGCTCGGGTCCATTGGCCCCATGGGTTGTTGTCTTGAGATTGGGGGTTGGGTCCGTAATGCGTGTACAGAATATCCGTCAGAGTTTGAATGCCGAGATTGCCCGTGTAGTTTTCGTACGCTGGCCAGGACGACATGGACATGTTGGTGATCGCGGCTACGACAGCTGGATTGGAACCGAACGTGAGCCGAATCCAGTCCTGTAAGATTGCTTCTGGATCGTCCGCAAAGTTCCATGCCAAGCGACCATACCCATACAAATTCGACATTGAGAGATGACTTCCCAACCAGGTGTCGTTGGTTCCGACGTTTACGACAGCGGCGGCGCCACCGAGAGGTCTGTTGAAGCGCTTGCCGGTGACGATATCACGCACAAGAGACTGGGTACGGTTTGCTCGCATATCGAAGTCTAGGACTGTTTTCCACAACGGAGGCAGGTAAACCAGGTGACACTGCTGTCCCAAATACTCTTGGGTAACCTCTAGCTCGATTGCCTGGCTCGTGTTTCGCAGGTAGGCGAAAAGTGGAGACGCAGGCTCACGCACTTGGAAGTCAATGGGGCCATATTTGATTTGCACGACCGCATTTTCGGCAAATTTACCGTCAAGCCCGGTGAAAAATTGGACGGCGGCATTGGCGCGGTCCTCTGTCCATACCGATTCATTCAAAGTGGTGCTGTCGTAGACGAACGCGCGAAACATGAGGATGCCGCCGTGCGGCTGTAGAGCGTTGGCAAAGAGGTTTGCTCCTTGAGCCAGAGTCCGATTGTATGTCAGAGGTCCAGGTTGTCCTTCGGAGTCGGCTTTGACGAGGTAGCCTGCCATGTCGGGAACGCGTTCATAGAGAACGTCTGTCACATTAGTCCACCATGCGATGACACCAGGATCAAGCGGATCGAAGGTGCTGAGATTTCCGTAGACTAGACCGGCTGTTGGAGATGCGAAATTCAGAGCGATTCCAACCTGTACTCCGTACGGTCGGAACGCATCCGCGATTCTTCCGAGCCCTTCTACATTCTCGGTACTCAGGAGAGAGGCGTTGGCATTGACATTGTTGACGATAATGGCATTGATGCCTATCGAGGCCAGGAGGCGACCATAAGCCGTAACTCGGTCAAGATTATTGACAACAGTGCCATTATCAAAGAAAACAGAAGGGCCACCGTAGCCTCTTTCAATTGACCCGTCCAAATTGTCCCCTGCTTGTGGTTAGGATCAAAGAGCAGTATCAGAACGGAGCTTGGGAAGAGAGGCTCTGTGCTGTTGGTGCCGGCTGGAACTTACATTGATTCACCCAGCGGATCGGCGCGTCCGGGTTGGAAGCATATGCGACATTGGAGAAGTTGCCCTGTGCGAGCATCGAAAGGTATTGGAATGCACCATAGAGCGCACCTCGTTCATTTTCGCCAAGGATTTGAACCGTCGAGCCTGTCGTATTGAGCCAGTACCCGTCCTCCACCAGTTGGGGGATTTTGGGGGAGCCGCCAGCGGTGTTTGCATACTCTGCCACAGTGCCGACGAGGATGGATGACGTGCTGTTACTAGGCTGGTAACTGGCAGGGTAAATGACCGAGAGGTTGTGATTCAAGATGCCCGCGAGGCCTTTCTGTAGCTCCACAGCAGCTATATGCACAGGTCCATTTGCTGTGGCATTCAAAGAAATGATGCTTGAAGGTAGATTCTGGCTAGACGGAGGAGAGGAAACAGGCGCATAGCGCAGCCAGGCGTCGATGCCGGTTTCAGCAGCGGCCAAGCTGGCGGCGACAAGCACAAGTAGTGAGCGCATCATGTTGGACTTGCTGGGCCTGCGGCTTGCGTGCTCACTTGTGTCTCGGACATCATCCAGGGCATATATACTTACAATAGGTACAGCAAAATAGCCGGCTGTTTAAACCCACCGCCTCCTACGTCGAGCTTGAAGGCTTCCCCGTACCCCAGGAACCAAATGCCACCCTCGATGAGAGTTTCTCCGCAGAACAGCGGACGGCGTTCATTGGCTCCGTGGCGTCGATCAGCAGTGACTACGCCTTAAACAGGGAGGTGATATGCTGCTCGGTCCGTTTCCGCCGAGTGGGATATGCAGGCATTGCTCCGGGGAGAGGTGGCATCCAAGCATCGGCTAAACCTCGAAAACCCTTTCAGGCTGAATGCACCGATTGAAAGCGGAGGAAGGAGGAGAAAATCAGACGATGGGTCCATCTGCACGGCTTTCTCCCCTTTGGGAGCCAGAACAACGAGCAAACATGCAGATCCAGCGAAGAATGATGAGCTGGGGAGTGAGGTGGAAGTTGAAGCCGCGATAGAAGTGTGAAGGGGGCGAATGCTGCACCGTAAATGGCCAAGCATAAATATGGCGGAGTATAGATGCCGAACATGCTCTTTCGCAGCCTTGCAGCGTCGTAGCCTCGCAGCCTCGCCAGGTGCTACATTAGCTTGATTGCACTACTTCATCATCAAACGGGCCAGGCGATCGAAGTCTAAGTATGTAAGACGAAGGCGAAGTGGCTATCTTGCCTCCCTGCGGCTACTACCCTACCTTGCGCGGCTATATTCAATCGCTGTCGGCTTCATTTGGTTTGACAGTAAGTAGCAATATCGCACAATTATATTGAAGGGACATCCACCGCGGAGCAGGCCATTTCCCTCGGAGCACGTCCAGTTTCCAGCCCTCCCCGTGTCCGAAGATCCAATTTACGGGTCCAGAGGACGCATGTTCTGCGGCACTAACTCGACAATGTATCCGTCCTGAGAACACGTCGTCAGTCAGCGAGCCATATTTGGGGGAAGGTGCCATGGTTGAAGGCAGAAGCCACACCTACCGGATCTTTCACAAATGCAATCTTCTCAAAGACCTTTCTGTACTCGTCATGGATCTCGCTCTCGGTGCCCTTGACCTCGACCCCGATGCCGCGTTCGTTCTCCCAGTCACTGATCGGAATGCTCTCCCTCGTGCAGACGCCCAGGTCCTTCAAGATCTCGACCCCGTTCTCCCTCATGCGCTTGAGAGCTTCGGGCACGCTCGGCACAGTGAATCCCAGATGTCCAAATCCTAGGTGGCCCGGCTCGTTACCCGTCGAATAATAGCCGGGATCTTGTTTCTCCGATCCATGGACATGGTACAGCTCCAATAATCCCAAGGTATGCTGAAGGTTTGCAGCAGTGTCGGCGCCAAATTTTCCCAAATCCGCTCGGTGTTCGTCCGTCTGAGGGTATCCCAGGTAATATATAGTAAACGGACCGACGTTCATGGTGAATACGGTCCGCATCCCCATGATGTCGACGTAGAAGGGGATGGATTTTGCCGGATCGCGGATCCGTAGCATGAAGTGATTCAGCTTGTACCCGATTGTGGGATGGTCGGGCGGGAGAGGAGGATCACGTTGTTGATTGTCGAATTGGCCATTAGGCAGAAAAGCGCCATGAGGGAAAGGCGTGGGTTGTTTGTGGTCGGAAGAAGATGCCATGGTTTGTCTATATCAGGACTGCCTCTGCGAAGACGATGACAACACTCTGTATCTGGCTAATCAGCAAACATTACAGTCGCCACTCCTGCAGACCTATTCATGTCTGGAAATGAAAGAACGTACAGATGGATGAAAATTTAGGGATTAGTTGGTCGGAAGATTTCCCGTTCAAACCACTCCACAGCAGTGGCTATCATTCAACTTTTCCCAGTTCCAATGGGTCGCCCATAGCATAGATCTGCATATCGCAACTACCGAAAGCCGCTTGCACGCCGTGGACGTTGTGGACCATTGTGGAAGCCCTCTTTGGGGGGCCCGGGATAGACCCATTCTACTCATTCAACCCCATATTATTCCACCCTCGTCGCCTCCTCCCATGCGGGGATACGGAGCGGATTGGGGATACATCGGGCACTCGACGAGCCGACATCAGAAGTGGCACAGGTCTAACGAGAAGAGCGTACTGCAGGGTAGTAAAGTAGACGTGATTAGCCGTTAATATAGGGTCATAATGACTTCTAAGAGGTATTCTGTCTACGCTTGATCATAATGGAGTCAGTATATTTTATCACTAAATGTTAGCCGTTTCTTATATGGCGGCCTCCTCGACGTTACTGTGTCAAATTGCGCCATTTCTTCCTGACGTCGGCTTGTATGGTATTGGCACCTACAGATTCTATGTTGTTTAACATCATTACCTCTATTCTTGATCAACGAAACCCACTGCCTTCGCCGCGCTCAGCAATGACCCTGCTCAAAGTCCCTGCAAACCGAGTGACACGATCGGCGTCAAATTTGGCTGTCTCAATTGCCTGTAGCACATGCTTGATGCCCACTCCCACAACCTCGCTGCGTGTGATATCCCGGATCTCCGCAACTGCCCTGGAGATTTCCCCGGCTTCAAATGCCCTGGATTCGTTCATGACAAATTCCAGCTCGTCGTAGGTGCGTACATTGGCGACGGGAATGTCGCTATTGAAGTGCCGCCAGAAATCCAGTTGTTGCAGGACTGAACGTTCCGTCGCTGTCACAATAATAAGCAGGCTTCGTCCCGGCGGAGGGGCTTTGCGTAACAGTGCCACCAGGGTTTTCAATATGGGGTTGGAGAATCGAGGGCCGATGGGTGTCCACTCCATGTATTCTTCAACGTCATCCAGGACCACGCACGACATTGGCGATTTGTATGCGTCCATGAACACCTTGCTGAGGTAGGAAATCTTCTGGGATTCGGACATTTCCAAGGTGTCCTTGTTGCTGACCAGCTTGATGAAAGGGTAACCGCTGTCAATGGCGATCTTTGCTGCAAGCGCCGTCTTTCCGCAGCCAGCAGGCCCGTGCAGACAAACCGAGAAGAGCGGCGTAGAGTCAGGGTTTCGCACCTGTTCCACAAAGAGTTTTCCTTCCTCAAGAACGTCCTTGATGTACTGTGAAAAGTGTATGACGCCTCCCCGGAGGCAGTACGAAAGCTCTTCCTCCGACACGCCAAAGGCCGGTTTCACCTCTTCCAGAGCGTTTTCAAAGTCGGCACGCTTGACTTTCATGTTTGCCACGTCGTCCGTAATTCCCGCCATCGTCCCAACCTTGATATGCCGAGAAAAAGCAAACGATGTGGCGGATTTGACTAGACCGCCAATTTCGGCCCCTGAAAAGTTCTTGGTCCTGTGGGCGAGATCCAGAAGGTCGACGTCTGGGTCGAGTACCTGGTTGTCACGCATCTTTTGGGTGTGGATCTTCAGAATCTGCGCTCGGCCGTGTTCGTCTGGCAGGGCTATCTCCATGTGTAGCTCAAGACGGCCCGGCCGCAGGAGAGCATCGTCAATCATATCTTTCCGATTCGTCATGCCAATCAGAAGGATGTTGTTTAGCTGATCCACGCCATCGAGCTTGGAGAGGAGCTGGTTGACCACACTATCTCCAACACCCGTGCCTCCGCCGGCACCGCTGCCTCTTTGCTTACAGACAGCATCCAATTCGTCGAAAATGATGATGTGGAGGCCGGATTCATCTCCCTTCTCTTTGTATTCCTTCTCCGCATCGGCAAAGAGCTTTCGAATGTTTTCTTCAGACTGGCCGACATATTTGTTCAGTACTTCAGGGCCATTAATAACCTTGGGTTCTCTGGCATTGAGCATTTTGCCAATCTGGCGCGCAATCAATGTTTTCCCAGTACCCGGGGGACCGTAGAGCAAGATACCCTTCACGTGCTGAATACCCAACTTTTCCACGAGTCCTGGGGGGAAAACGCGGGAGGCGAATGCTCTTCGGAAAATGGTAACAAATTCGGCATCTAGACCACCAATGCCCATATCTTCAAACTTGAAATCGGGAGCGATGATAGAATTGGCTGCAGGCCGACGAGAGGATGCCTTGAGATTTATAGTGGTCTTTCCGTCCTTGAAAAAGTTGATCTGGGTTTGAGGGGTCAAAATGCCTCGCGCATGAGGATCAGATGTCGTGGGCGCGGCCTTTTCACTCAGGTCTGCCAGCTGCACTGTCTTGACGGTGAGGTTCAAGGGAATACTTTTGAGGTCCATCAGGAATCGCTGACCGGGAGCGAACATTTGGCTGTTGAATAACTATTGACCAAAGTCAGTCTTGACCACAGATGATGGAGTTCTGAACCTACTTTTGTAATCTCTCTGGCTAGATCATCTTGATCGTAGGGCGTGTCTGTGGTTTTCCTCGTGCTTGCAAAACCAATTTCGATATCCATCGCACCAATATATGCCTGCGCCCCTTGGCTGAAGGGATCGTAGACTTCTGCCTGCAGTACATCTGTCAAGGCTACACCCATCCAAGATCTTTGCGGTTCTGAAAGACCGATGGTGCCTCGAGGGAATGCATCGAGAGGTCGAGCCGAGAGGACATACATGCCGTTGATAAGCAGGAAGACGTCAGTGCCATCGTAGGAAGGAGGAACGTCCTGCGAAGAAACAGCAGCGAGGTTGCGGAAGGTATATGAGTTGTCTGGAGATTTTGCAGGTTGCAGGGTCATAACAGCACCCTGGCCTCTCGCTGGCGCACCTCGACTTGGACTCTGCTGATGGCCCATGGGCCGAGGAGGCATGTTTCTCGCGGGCAGGCCAGGACTGCCGTAGCCTTGCCGAGGAGAGTCGTAACCATTCATATGTGTGTCGTAGCCGCTGCCACCGCCGCCTCCGCGTGGAGGATAAGACGGACGGGCACCACGTTGCGGAGAGGGTTGCTGACCGTATTGATCGCGTGAAGGTTGCTGACCAGAGCCACCGAACAAGTTGTTTCTGTTAAGGAAGGACATATCGGAGAGAGAAGTGAGCAAGAAATGACCGAGAAGTGAGTGAGAAAGTGAGCGAGAAGGGAGGTTGGATGGTTGGAGCCTTGGAGGGGTTGAAAGTTGGTATATACGAAGGGTCGGTCACCAGGAAGCCAGGTAGGAAAGGAATAGAGAACAGAGGACAGAAACAATTTGGCCACGTATGCCGTACCGCAGAACAACTTGGAAGTCAAGCCGTCACAGGCACAGGATTAGATATTGTTTCAAGCTGAGGCTCCAAAACTGCGCCGCACTCGAGGACCGTGATGGCCTCCAGGCGAGGCAGGATGACATCCAACAACTCCGCGTCCCGATGTTTTGCCGCTCGCCACCACAGCAAAGTAGAAGTGATTCACCGGTAACTATCAAATTGTCTTCACTCATAGGGGTTTCTGGATCTGCTCTTGAGCGCAGCCGGATCCCTATACCTATTACCCAATGCCTCTGCATCTCCTCCCCAAGAAATCGTGGAACGTCTACTCCCCTGCGAACATCGAGCGGGTCAAGCGCGATGAGGCCAAAGCCCGTGACCAGGCCGCCAAACAAGAAGAGGACAGTCTGCGGCGGGAAGCAGATGATCGAATCTCCATCTTACAACAGCAGCGCAAGGGCCAGACCAAAGGCTCGAAACGCAAACTCCCTGGAGAAGATGACACCGATCGCGATATCCGACTCGCCCTGGAAACACCACCTGCGTCCACAAAGAAAGAGAAGCAAGACCATAGTTCCCTTGTTGATGCGAACGGCCATATATCCCTAATACCTGTATCCGAGAAACCACCCTGTGTCGGCCAAGAACAAGCGAAAGATCCATACACGGTCTACCTCTCCGACGCTGTTGGCGAGCGAGATCGACCTAAAAACACTTGGTACATGTCTGTCCAGGACGAGCGAGAAAAATGGGGCGACGAGGATCCCCGGAAACGGGAACGAGAACTCACACGGCTCAACGCGAACGATCCTCTCGCGGCCATGAAGAGGGGTGTCAAGGCCCTCAGGGAGAATGAGAGACAAAGACAGGAGTGGATGAGGGAGCGCGAAAGGGATCTCGCAGAGGTTGAGGGGATGGGAAGGAGGGAGAATTATGGTAGAAAGCGCAGAAAAAGGGCTGACTATGATGAGGATGAGTCGGAGAGCCTGGAAGGGTTCAATCTGGACGAAGGATATACCAGACCGGATAGTACCGGGCAACACCGGGAGCGAAAGGACGAACATCGACATAGACACCGCCACGGGCACCATCATCACCACCATCATCATCGTCATAGACGACGACACCGAGATCAAGAAGCTATCGATGGGGACTGCCACCCTCGTGAAGGGCATGAAAGTCGAAGGGGAGATGACACAAGCAGATTCAACAGCAAGGAAATTGAACCCACCTGATGAAGTCAAAACGATATATTGCCGAATCGTTACCTGACTCAGCTACCTGGATTCTACCAGCTGGTCTGCACGAAAGGTTTCGGGATCGAACGGGAGCCCGAATGCTGAAACGAGCACCACTATTATGCAAGACCAGACACAGCAGTTGCGCCACGGGTGGTGATCCCACTACTCTGCACGGCGTCTGCATCTCTCAACATTAATCTTGAGTACCATACTCTGTTCTTCTCGACGACGAGAGTGCTGAGTGATTATAAAATGGTCATATTAAAAATGGAGCTGTCCACATAAGTTGGAAACAGGGAGCCAGCGCCAGTTGAGGCAAACACAAGCCTCCCCTGGACATAAAAGGCCTCCGGTATCCCAAATGGCGAACAAACACCTCCGTGTCAGGGTATACCACTCTTCCTTGAAGTCCGCTGGCCGTACGGAATATCGGAATTACATTGACCAGCAATCGCCATGCACAGACCTTCTGGCCGAATGTCTACCTTGCTGATGGTAGTGTCTCAGTCGGGAGTCAACCCCCATCAATCAAGCCAGACCAATAGGCAAACCACCAAGTCGTCCTTCAGTGCTGCCAGGCCTTTCTTCGCCCCTGGATGAATCGATCGAAGCGCCACATCTAGAGGCCATCTGTACGGTTGAGATCCGTCCAGCTCCCAGCTCCCTTCTCCGTTGCTTTGGAAGCAGGCTCAATACCTGTGCAATATGATCGGATTGAGCGTTGAGGTCGCTCTTGACCATATCTGGGGAAGACCTGGGGTCTGTCCACGTCCCACGCAACCTTTCAGCACGTTGATACAGATTGTCATGATATAAATTGTTATTCATGACCTCCAAGGCCGCTGCCACTGTCTCTTCGACCTCGTCGCCTGCGCTAGGCTTTTCCTTTCGCCTCTCTGCCAATATCCGTTCGAAAACCTCCAAAATATGCTTCAATGCAATCGGATTGGCGTAGTAACTGAACGAGCCGGCTTCGCTCTCTGGGAGAAAAGCCATGCCCACGTTGAACAACATCTGGACGGTGACTTTGTACAGCCGCGACTCCGGACTATGACTGCAATAGCGGCGGATCGCCTGGTGCCAATTCCTGACAAAGAGTCGTTGCCGCCGGGCGTCAGATTCTGTCCACTCCTTTGCCGAAAATGCTGCGATCGAGTCCAACAACAAGCCTCTTGCCTGTGTTAGTGAGTGGACAACCGGGACGTCGCATGCCACGTCTGCCCCAGGACCTGTCCCATCAATCAATGGGTCGCTTGAAGGACGGTCTTCGGCAAGGACAGCTTCGAAGTACGACTCGCACACTCGGACCGCCCGCCCGATCGTCACCACTGTGTCTAGCGTGGATCGATCGAACCTGGCTGACGACGCCCTGAGCTCTCCCCAGAGTCGTGATGCTGCTTTGATGTGGACACCTGCGGCTGCGTAATTCCGCTGCATGGTCTCGCAGATCCAGGCGACCAAGCACGCAACCGTCAGGCACAACTTGTCAGGGGCCTTTGCATTGGCCATTCTCGTGATCGCGGCATGATAGTGCCAAATCACACGCGGTGTCACCCTCGATGTTGTCGCCTTGCGGTACAGACCCAGTTGTTCATCGACCAGCGCTGCCGCCACCATTAGATGTCGGACGACAGGGGATTGCCATGCCCAACGAGGGATGAAACTGCACCAGAAATCATTGTCGGGTCCGAAGTTGCCCAAAGTAGGCCCAGTCCCTCTCAACCAAAACTCCAAGCTACGGCGCTCTTCGTCCGTATCGCCAAACCAGAGATTCACGGTTGTCGCCAAATGGGGATCATGCCAGGACGAGAAGTCTCTTGTCTGTTGTGAGCCGAGACTCTCGCCACCGTCGCTCCCAATTGTCAATGGCTTAGACTGTTCGTTTGAGCACCGAGGTTCGTTTCGTTTCTTGGGCTTTGCTCCTTCGAAGATCCAGGGTCTGGGAGGATTGTATCCCAGGCAGACTCGCCCGGAGCGAATGCACCTGATTCACAAGGTGAGAACCAATCTACACGTATGGCAGGAAAAGTAAGAAAACCTGGTCAGTACCTTTTGCAACTTGGCTTCTCTTCGTCACACTTGATTCTTCTGCGCCTTATATACGATAAGCGCCCAATAGTGGCAAGGAGAAGGGCTTAGTCGCATACTTGCATGTTGTGCAGCCGCTTCGCACCTTGTGATGAAGCTGCTTGATACGAGGCTTGTCTGTAGAAGCAAGACTTGAACTGTCGTCCTCCACTTTGTTCCGATCGCTCTTGACGACGGTGGGCAAGGAGGGGCGTGTCTTTGCCTTCCTTCATTGAAATGTTAACAGTGACTTTCACGACAGCTTTAGTCCAATGCACTTACCCACGACGTTGCTCCGGAGCCACATTGCCCTTGACCAAGGCTCGACTTTTTGGCGGTCGTGAGGTTGCTGCTTCAGTCATGATACGAAGAAAATATGTCGCTCTCGAATGATACTTGTGGACGTCGCCTTCGACAGGCTACTGTGGCTCAGCATAGCAGAGCCCGTGTTTGACATTCAGCTTATCCGCTGGTGGCCAAAACCGATATCTAGCTGAGTGAGGAATGGGATCAAAGCAAGATTCAAGGACGGTGACGTCTCGATATAACGTTCAACTGCGGCTCAGAGAACGGTGGACCGTGCGTCTCGATTATTGCTTGAGCCGTATGCAAGCGCCATGACCCACGACGTCAATCAGGCCCCCAGCATAGACGGCAGGGCTTAGTTATAGGCACGAAAGAGGGGACGTCCAACAATAGACGACTGGTGGTAACGTTGTACACGGCACGCTGCACCGATAGATATTCGGCTCCCACTCAGTCCTGCTCTTGCTGACTAGAGTGTTACCTTGCAGGGGCAACGGTGAGTTGACGCCCTTCAGCTCTGAGCTGGCAGCCTATAGAACCCAACGACGCGGCGATTTTATCCTGGTGTCTGGACGGGAAGTCTCGTATAGGACCCCCGAAGGCGGTCAAGCTTCCATCATGCAGCTGGCGCAAGCGAACATCTAGCGAATCAAGCAATTTCCCACCTGGTCCTCAAGCATTGACCAAAACTGGACTGTCACCTGCAAGGCCCAATCAAATATCGAAGGTTTTGCCTCCATCGAACAGATCAAGCGGGATTGGCGAAGATCAGTCGAAGTCGAAGGAGTGTTCGAAGCTCTCCCGCGTATTTTCGGACGCGGCTCGTCTGTGTCTGTATCAGGATGCCTCAACTGCAACCACTTTGGTCCTGAACACAACGACATGTCTGCGCGCTTATTCTCATGCTGAATGCAGTCAATGCGACCTGGGCTCGCCCGACGATGAGGGCCGTAGACCTCGTATTCGTGGAGAGAAGCCGGTCACAAGCCAAGACGAAAGCAGCAATCGGTGATTATCCCAGGCGGGCAATATGGATACGATTCTACTTGCCTGGGGCTCCAACTTTAAGGCCACATGGCAAAGAGGCACACCACCTTACCAGGCCCGAAGCAGCTGAACCCGGCCTTATCCATACAGCCTCATTCGGGGCCGCACCAACCACTTACATTTCCTTGATTCATTTCTATCTACTGCCGCCAGGGGTGATCTGGGCACTGTCCCTGCTAGTTGCTTAGTCGGGCGGCCTCATACTCCCTGCTGCAGAACCGGTGAATTGCAGAACTATTTCAGACATGCATCACCCAACAATTGCAGATCATTGGCCATATCAAGAAAACTATCCTAATCAGGAAAATGCGCGGGGAAGCACATGCCACCAGTCTCCCAGAGGGTTTCCCGTCGGACACATATGGCTTCCGCATCAAGTTTGGCTTTGCTTCGATGAATACCAGCGAGCTAGAAAGTGACACGACGAAAGAGCACGAGAACCCTGTGCAAAGTCGGGGGATAGCCAGAGGTTCTGTTCCTTCATGTTGCGCGTGCCTCATTCCGCCTCAAGAAAGGATATCCCGACGGGCTAGCGCAATGCAGCCTTACAACGCAATGCAACTCTGCTCCTCCTCCAAACCTCAAAGATGGTTCTACACACGCAAATCATTGTATCCTTTGGCGCCAGCCCTGACGAGGATCGTACTCAGGGCAGATTTGGACCGCCGCCAGCTGCCGTGTTTTCCGCTTCGAGTTGCCGCTTCGAGTTTCCACATCATTGCCCGCGGGCTGCGGCTCTCTCGCTCTGTGGGGGAGAAGGAGATTGAAATCAGCCCGCCTGATCCCCCGGAGCACAGCATGGCTCGCTGTCCAATATAGACTGCCGGCGCTTGGTCTCGACTCTCACTTAAAACCATGGACGAACCACATTCGTCGGGTAACGTGATAATTACCTACCCACTCACTTCCTGCCTATTTGGAAACGAGGCACGAGGCAGGACGAAAAGGACTCAAAGAGAAGACGTTGCCGTGACTTCTAGAAAAGGATAAGGGTAGGAGACATGGGCCAATACGGGAAGAAGAGACGGTATGGCGACCTTCTGCGATCCTGTTGAGTCCAACACCTTTCTACAAGTGGACAAGAGACGGGAGATACGAGGCGCCCAGCGAGAAAGGAGAGGAGAGGAGAGGAGAGGAAATGAGACGCAAGGAGAAACGAGGCGTCCAGCCAGCGAGGATTAAGGAAGGAGAGGGAGAAAAAGGGACAAGGAGATTGTCAAGCACAGTATATTAAAACAGGCGGACTTATGTAGTCAGACTAAACGAAACGTGGTAACTAAACAGGACTCTCTCTCTCAGGACGTTGAAGTGAGGAAGCGAACATTGAAATCAGGGTTATAGCAAAAGAAGCAGAAGAAGAGGCAACGCGGTCTACCCTGTCCTTCTCCCTTCCCTTTACTTATCTCATCCCGTCGCATCAGTATATCCCCAACCCCCTATTTTGGGTCTGTGGCATCCACATCGGTGTATAATGCGGCACCCCATCCTCATCGAAATGGACCTGACATCCATATGGATACTCTCCCGCCTTGCTGGCGCTGTTTGCCGTGCCTGTCTGGTAGTACTGCGGACTGCTGCGCACGCGACCATCCACGCGGCCCAGGCCCTGAGTGTGGCGCGTTTGGATCGGGCTGGGTCTCGACGACCTGCCAGTAGGCGGGGGTGCCGTCCGCGGCGACGTTCTCGGCTGCTGCTGCTGCTGCTGGTGGTGGATCACATTATTACGGTTTGCAGGTGTCGGCGTCGATGGGAATCGTTGGCGGCGCGACCCATACCGCGCGGCGGCGTAGTCGCTGTATAACATGCGGTAGGGCGAGGTTTCGGCCGAGGCGTCGTACCGTTCGTCCTCGGGGACCATGTCCTCGTAGTCTGGCAGGGGGCTTTCTTCGTGGTGGATTGAGTGGATTTCCTCGTCGTCGGTGTCGTCCTCGTCCTCGTTGGCAGCGATATCCTCCGGCTCGGGCGCTTGCTCTCGCTGGCCACGGGGTGGCACAACATCATCCCCATCCTCTCCACCATCTTCACTGTCATCATCGTCGTCCTCTGACTCGTCACTGTAGAGAGGGTTTCCCGCGGAATCGTAGTGTAGGTCGGTCAAACGACGGTCGTCGTAGTCGATGATATCAGCCGGCAAAGGCTGATTCTGCTCCGTCGACGGCGCCTCCGCCTGCGCATTGCTGGTGTTGGTAGTGGCGAACTTGACTCGCTTAGTGGCTCTGGCTTGCGCCCCGTCTTCGCCGGTGCCGGCTACCTGGTCGAACGTTCTCTTCTGTCCCGCTCCCGCTCCTGCTCCTGCTCCTGCTCCTACCTCTGCTGCCTCTCCCGGACCCGTGCCTTGCTCCGTGGCGTTGGTATTGGGATAATCGACACCCTGGATGCCCAGACCAATCTCCGCTGCGCACGGATTATTCAAATTATGGGTCCATCGATGTTCACGCCGACAGTAACCTAATGCCTCCGTCAACCCATCGTTCCACCCTTGCAGCTTCAGGATTTTGGCATTCAACTTCGCCTCTCGACCCTTCCATTCGTCCTCTTGGCTTTGCCAGTAGAACCCTACCTCGACGGCGCCGTTGGCGTACATCTCCAACAACTCTTCCTGCTTTGCGACTTTGGTCGTGAGCGCGGCGATTGTGCGCTGGTGTCGGTCGTCGGTCTCGGTGAGTTGGTTTCTGAGGCGAACGATTTCCGTCTTGTACGCGTGCAGGAGATCTCGCGTGGTGGGTGAGGACGCCGGCGCCGGAATTCCGTTGTTGTTCGAGATCACTGACTGTGACCGTTGTCGCGAGGCCCCAGGAGAGAAGGTGGCTCTGGGAGGAGGAGGATGCCCGGGCATGCCAAATCCAGCGGCAGCATGGGTGGTCGGTGGATGGCGTTCGCTGGGACTGTACGTCGGAACATTGGGAAGAACATCAGGATCCAGTTCAGTCCCTTCGCTCATAGACCGCATGAATTCCTCGCGGACGCCGTCGTGGCCAAGTCGTGCGCCCCTCTCTGCCCACAGCGCCCATCCGGGCCAGCGAGTGGGCTCCAACAAGATAATAGAGTAGTCTTTTTCCCCTTGTGCGGCGCTTTGGACTGAAGCAGATCCTTCCATCTCCATTGTGTTGCCTGCTGCGTCCATCGTCTGTACGGCGAAGTAGCCGCCACGCTCAACGCTGGAGTTTGGCACGTAGTTTTCCAGAGCGAATGTCGGGAAGTAGATCTCGTACTGGCCGATGCACGCCCTGATGTGGATGAACAACTGGCAGGGACGGGGGTCTTTCTCCATGGCGACCTTGATTTGGGCAGATGAAGTCTGCTGGAGGCCAGCTTGTGCACCGTTGGCGGGAGCTTGGCTTCTACCTGTTCTTTGCGTGCTTGAATCAGCATTGTTCTTCTCCTTCCTCTTCCTCTTGTTGTTGTCGCCCTTCCTGTTCCCAGTCTTTCTAGCACCGGCGTCATCCCCAGCACCATCAGCACCGCTTGCAGGGTTTGCATCGTCCCCAGCGCCGGGATCCTCGTCCTCGATCTCGTTGTCGTCGACGGCCTTTTCGTAAAGAAGCACATAGGGCGTGAAACCGTCCTTGTGGCTGAGAATGTCTGACAAAGAGGTCTTCTTGACTGTTGACCCATCGTTGAACACGTACCAGCCATCTCCGCGGCGAGCAGCGCCAATATAATGGCCTTCATTTCTGGAGCCTTGGTGGTTCACGACGGCCTGAAGCCGGTACTTGGCCGAGATATTAGCAGGCTCCCCTCGTTTCTCGAGAAAAGGCGTCAGGTCCAGCTCCTCTGGGATCGTGACCTCTGTGGAGTCCTTTGTCCACCTGAAGGTGCCTTTTCGGCCCCTTTGGATTTTGAAGCGCACGAGATGGACAAACAGGACCTCGGGCGGCACGCAGATGTTCTTCCATGTACCGCCGTTGGCGCGGTTTTGATTGCTTGAGGCAGCGCCAATGTTGCAGTTCTCGCAGCGCCAGTCGCCTCCATCTTTGGGGTTGGAGTTCTTTGCAAAGCAGTCTTCCAGCGTCACCGGCACACTGCGATCGGTTGTGGCTGCCAGGGGAAGGGACAATATTTTCTCCTCGTCTAGTTGTAAGGCACGGATCTTGACATTGCGAGTCGAGCCGCACTGCGTGCACCGGTTGCGCACTGTTTGGGTGACTTGCACCAACTCATTTATATTTACGCGAGCCAAGTCAATCACCTTGTCCAAGGTGGCTTGGTCCAGTCTATTTTCACAATCAGCTCGGTCACGAGGGCATCAGAGCCAGTCGTAGGGAAGACGTACTTGTTTTCGAGCACCTTTTCCTCTGTAAAGTAATTGAGCTGGTCGACACTGAGTTCGATCAACCAGGTCAGGAACTCGTGAGCGTCCTGATCTTCTGTGGCCGCCTTCATTTTCGTCGTGGGTCTCTCCTCCACAGGTAAGAACGAGCTCCTTTCTACGTCACGGCGCGGATTCGTAGCGTAGTTCCAAAAGATATCCATGGCCTCGTAGAGCGTCTTTGGCTGACTATGGCTCTCATCCCAGTATGCTCGGCTCAAATCAAACAATTCACACCACACGTCGGTATAGTCGATCGGCAACGATATCGCAGCTTCAGCATCGGCTTCGAAGCCGAGCAATGCATCGATGAGAGGTGTGCTGTAAGGTTTGACCCTCAGCCCAGCTCCCACCAGGTTGGGAATGTGCCGGTTTTCGATCCAGGACATCAAACGGTTGTTATGCAGTAACATGACTATGATGGCGTTCCGGTAGCAGAGGCGACCTGGATTCCTAAACCCTTTTCCCACATTCGAGGACTCCTCTAACCTGGCCGCAGCAATGGTCTCCTCTGACGCCCTCAGGGGCGTTTCGAACTCGGGTCCTTCCGATGTAGTCGGACTAGGAATCGGGCCATTTCCAGTAGGTAAAGCAGCCTGAGGGGGAGGTGCTGCCGTTCCAGGAGGAGGATTGGCTGCTGACCCTTGCGCTCCACCCACGTCGTTCGCAGCAGCTGGGGTCGTGGTTTTCTTTCCACTGTCCTTCTTCTTCGAGGACTTCTTGACCTTTGGTCGATCCCAACCTGTTCTATTGGGTCTCGCTCGGCGCTTTCCTGTAGGTTTGTGTTTCGCTTGTGTCTGTGAAGCAGGCTTGACTACTTTGGACGCACGCTTGGCTGGTGTTTTCCTTTTCGCTTGACCTTTCGGCTGGGGCTTGCTGTTTGCTTGATTCTGCGCCGCAACGTTCTGGGTGGCATTGCTGGTGCTGGCCTGTCCGAGCGCAGAAGCTTGTGCTCTTACCTGAGCCCTTGTTTGCACCATGATGAACTGTAGACTGGGAGTGTTGCAGAAACTGACTGACAGAAACTGAACAAGGGACGGGGTGGATGAGAGGGGTTGAGAATAAGAATGAAAAGAAGCGACATGCTGAGACAAAAGATCCTGGAGGGAGGTGTGCAAGCGAATTCAAGCACCGTTCAACACGTTTGCGGCCAGGGCTGAATGGGTGCGGCATAGTGAACAATGAGCGCGCTGCGACAGAATGAATAAGGCGAAAGGACCATAATAGCCGAAAACAGACAGCCCGCGGCACACAATAAAGGCAAGATGAATGTAACATGCGCCGCATGCAGGGGACAACAAGATCTCAAGAATAAAACACAATCAGAGGGCTGTTGGCGCTGGTGTTTGTCACAATGATGGGCATTGAGAAGGGTCGAGCCTTGCGCGAGGTCACGTGACATTCCGCAAGCAAACAACGAGGCTGCGGTGTTCGCCGCATCAAAAGGTCAAAGCCCACAGAGTTGTGATCTCATTAGAATAAAACAAAGAAGCTCGGTTCGCTTTGGCCTTGTCGCTAAACAAAATGCAATTAGTCTTTCGCGGTGTCTGTCGGTCCCTGGGGTTAAAAATGTTAAGACGAAGGTACGGGCTTTTGGATTTTCCCGTTGCCAAAAAAACGTCTCCAGTCTTCTGAATTGCGGTGATTCCCCCCAATCTTGAAGACCGCAGCTCGAGATCCATCGTTTTCAGCCGAAGATGGTAAGGGCGTGGATGCAGATGACGATGGCGCAGGGTCTTCTACTGCAGTCTTTTCGGAAAGTGCGACGTCCACTGACGACGCTGTACTTCTCAGTGTTTCCATATTTCCCACCTCTTTCATTCGCCGTTTGGTGCGTAAGTAGAAGAAAATGGCGGCTATCAAGGCGATTATGCCGAGGATTACGCCAATGGCGATACCGGCTTTGGCGCCGTTACCTAGTCCGCCAGACCGAGGGGTTGAAGAAACGGCTGTCTCGGCTGCTGCAGAAGCCCCAGGCGAGGTCATAATGGCAGCTCCCGTTGATGCAGAGGCTTGCGTAGAGCTTATCGTAGCCATGGTAGAATCGCCAGTCACTGATGCCGAGGTCGTTGCTGCTCGAGTAGCGGCCAAAGCGAAGGTTGTAGCAATGCCTTGGGTGCTGATCATTGTGAAGCCAGCTGCTGTTGTAGAGTCTGTACTGTTCTGGGCATCGCAGAGCTTGAGATTGCAATAGGTAGGGAACTGGGGGATTTGCATCCCGGCTTGAATTGGCGCAATGGCATACGTGCCATTTGACTCGACTGCAACATCTAATCAATCTCTGCTTCCAATACTGGTCAGGTTGAGGCAAGCTCACTTTGGTTTACATTGGCCAATGCAAATTGATCCGAGCCTGGACTCAGCTCACAAAATATCGACAAATCCACACTTTTCCAGACCGTCTGGTAGCTGACTTGAATCACATCGATGTTATTCAGGGTCAGCAGTTCCGTTGGGTACAGAAAGGTAGCGTGCGGCCCCATATCTGTAGTCGTGGATGTGGCAGACGTTGTGAGTGTACTTGAAGAGGACGTTGTCGATATCTCAGTTGTGGAAGAGGCCGAACTCGGGCTCGCTGTCACCGGCTCAGCATTGCTGGGGAAGTCAGGATGAGGATGCATCTGCGCCGCACGCCGCACATGATGAAACGAGTCTCCGTGCAACATTTAGAGGACGAGAACAGATCAAGGATCGGGATCGCAGTTTGACTTTCGCAACCGTTTTACAGGCATGGCCCTTGGAAGATCACCGTTCACAGGCTCGCTGGGGAGGAGGGAGGCGTCTCATGTTGACGGCAGATCTGAATTTCGACCGATTGTGGGCGCCGGGCAGCCCACGAGAGAGTTTCAGAAATAGAAAAGGCTCTAGTCCTTGTTGATGACGGCGCAGAGGCATGGGAGGCACCCGGCGAGCAAGCCATGATTTGATTCCTCTCCCCATCTGGAGAGTATGGCTGCTCAGGGAGCTAGGGTTCGAGACATTGGCCGAATGGCGTTGGATTTTGGCGAAATTGCAGCAATGAGCAGCTCATCACTCCAAGTGGAGCTGCCCAAAAGTCAATCTGGGTTGCGTGTCATCGCGTGGATATGGTTGATACCATAGCAGGGTGCCTCGTACCTTGTAGAGAGATACAACAGCATTCATCACTTTAGCGGAGAGCAATGGAGATGAACAGCGCGAGACCCAAGGCGTGGAGGTCGGGTATGGACAGTGAATTGAATGAGAGATGCAGCTTCCTGGCGCTGACTCTGGGGGATTTCGGAGTGACAACTGACAAGCGGCTGCTACTTGTACCGAATAGGCATGAGCAACTAAATTGGCGCCTACTGTAGCTCGGTTCTCGGTTCTAACCTAGCGACCTTAGGTACCTAGGAAGGCTACATGTAGGTGCCACCCAGGTGCCTGCGGGTCAGCCATCGGCGCCTAGAGTCTAGACCCGTACCTGTGACTTACCCGTGTAGGGAGGCACCTCCGCTGCCAACATCGCCCACTACCACAATCTTCATCTGGCACTCGCACTGTACGAATCATGTGGTGCAACCCCTTACAGGGATTGTGCAACGCCCAGATTTCGCTCGTGATATGCTGGATACATTATGAAGGCGCTCGATAACTGACATACGAACAAATTTTGGTTTTCTCGGAATCAACTATAAGTGCGATTTCTGCATCAACGCTCATTCTGCACGATACAAGCGGAGGGGGCCGTTAGATGTCTCAAAATGTACCGCTTCGCCAACCCTGGGCCGTGGTCCCCATGGTCCCGATGCTCCCGATGCTCCCTTCCCGCCGAAGATCATCCCCGTCCAGGTTCAGCTTGCTGAGGACTTCTGCCGGAACAGTTGGGATGTATTTCCTCGCTCGCTCCCTATTTGTCCCCCCAATGCCCGCTCCGTAACTAATGAGCATGTCTGTCGAGGTGGGAAGCGAGAAGGGAAGCATCAGAGATTGGTCCAAAGTCAAGGCATTCCGATTCATCGGTGGATCTGTGTCCTGCTCGACTGGTGAAGATATTGTAGGTGCCGACGCGTTCTGAGGTGTACCCGGCTCTTTGTTTGCTGGAGCTGGCGTCCCGTTCCTCCTTGCGGGTGTTGTCGTCCCCGACTCTGGTGCATCGACCATGGGGGTAAGTGGTCTCTTGATCAACGACTGTTCGCCTCTCTGTAACTGAGTCAGGAATTTCATGTGTGCTTTGGGTAGGTTCTTTTCGCCGACTTCAGCTCGATAATTCTTGACGGCATGGATCAACTGTGTCGGAGTGAGACGCTGGAGCTGGACTAACGTTGCGACCAGAGATTCATGGTCCTCGCCCAGCGAACTGAAACACTGCAGCCACTGGAGTAGCTGGATGATGGGTGCTAGATGCCGTCGCGCCGCGTCGACCGTACTCTCTCCAGTCGATATTGTAGAGCCGTGCTCATAGTGTTCTGGTTGTCGATTGTTTGTACGCGCCCAGTCTTCAATGGCAGATACATTCATGCGAATCTGCATCGCCTTAGTCCTCGAAAGGTATTTCTTCGTGGTCATCACCCGGTTGAATAACTCGGCACCAATCCAATACAGCAGCTGAGAAAGGATCTGTGATGTGATGACAGAATGGACGTCGTACAAGTCAAGCACAAACAACGTCGACGAGAGAAGGGAGGTGATATTTCGCGGAGACGTTTGGGCTCGTCGTTTTGGCGACGGAGGTCGAAAGCGCTTCTCCGGCGGCTCGTCCTTCGTCTTAGGCTTGGACTTGAAGACCTTCCATTCTCCCTGGAAAGCAATGTCGTCCAAGCCAGGTATGGTTTCGTGGTCCAACATTGCGACATCCAAAACCTTATTCATTCTCCTTTCCGCATCTCGGATGATGAGGATGAAAGTCTCGTTGATCAGCTCTGCAAGCTCCAGCTGGTATTTGGATGTGGCTTGCACAAGACCCGCATCCTTCTTTAGGTAATGCAGCAGCAGGGTCGCGTTGGATATCCAGAAAGCCAACATGGTCATGTCCCACTGGTAGCGTTCGATCACATCGTTGATGAGATCCATAGCTCTGGTGAGTACATCGTCTAACAGAGACGCCGTCATGTGATAATGGGCATATCGCGCCATGAGAAAGATCAGGTTCGCCGGTATGGGCTTTTGCGATGGAGATCGTTGTGGTGTCATATTGGTAATGATCAGGTCAAAGATAGCATCCAGCTTATCAGCTTGGAACACAAACATCTGGTCGCCAACGCAGCGGTCCCAGATGAACTCTTCCTCGTCGACCTCAAGATCGGTGGGTGACTGGGAGAAGTCAGTAAAACACTGTATGCGGCGTTGTGAGGTTGGCTGACCTCTGGTTGTTCGTCGAACCCCAAGGTGGATAAATCGACCTCCAAGTTAGCCGCACTTTCTTGCATCAACATTCGTCGTTTCATCTCGTTCTCTGCCATCTCCTCTTCGAATCGATCCTGAGAGAAGCCCGAGTTGTAGAAGTCATCTCCCAAGCTCGACATCCCGAAGTGATAGCCATTTTCATGTAGGTAATGCGAGAAGTCGGACCCGGGCTGGACAAAGTCGAGTGCGGTGCCCCCAGACGAAGACCTGATATCAGGGTCCGCTCCGTGATCGAGCAGCATCTTAGCAATTTGCTTGTGTCGATTGGTCATTGCCCACATCAAGGCGCTCCACTGATTGCGATCCTGCTTGTCCACGATGGCTCCAGCGTTTAGAAGCGCGGCCACAACTTCGTGATGTCCCTATCACACGGTCAGTGTGAACAAGTTTTCCGTTATGGTGCTACCCACAAAACAGCTAGCATATATCAGCGGCACTGTGCCCTCCTCATCAGGCTGGTTGACGTCGACATATTGCTTGGCCCTGCCTCCGACCAGCTTCTGAATGCGGGCGACGTCGCCATTACTTGCTGCCATGTTAAGGCTCTTCTGCAAAATCTCTTTCTTCTCATCATCCGATAGGTTGTCGTCTGTGGCAATTGCATCTTCATCCTGCCCAGGACTCCCATCTTCCCTGTGATGCGCCTGAGCAGCCACCATTTCCATCAGGCGCGAGTCGCTGTCCTGAATGCGGGCAAAGGTCTCCTCATCGTCGTAGGCCGGAGTATCCAGATGCAGATCAAAGGTCAGGGTTCTTGCAGGTGTCGGTGCCGTGATATACTGGGATGAGCCTATTCCAGACCGACAGCTTGTCAGCATTCGTCCCGGCGAGAGCACGAGACCTGTGAGGGCTGCTTGCCTTGCCATCCATCATATATCTCGGTTTCCTCGCCATAAGCGGGAAAAGAGCGACGGTCATCTAGGGACGTCGGCAGATCGTCTGGAAGCTTGCGAGGTGTCTGTTGCGAAGGAGACTGCGGTACATAATGGGCGTCGCTAGGGGTCACCGGGTCACCAGCGTCCATCGTGTTGGCTGCGCAGGGATGCCAGCAGGGACGATCTCATGTCGGAGGGGGGTCTATTGCAGAAGGGCAGGTCTCATCTGGCAGTATTTTTACAGGCCGATGCCATATTGTATCAGAAGCCGAGACTATCTAGGTGCTAACCTGCAGTGCAGCCCCGTGCAGTGCTGTGGTGTGTCGTGCTCTGGTCCATGGCGGGAGGTTCACCTATTGCCCGCACTGGCTGTAGCCGAGTCGGCGATCTGTTCGTTCTTGTTCCGTCCTTGGCATGTGCCGCCGCTTTTAAGGAAACCTGCCTTGCTGCTCGCCTTGGTGCTCGTTCTTAGAGGTGAGCAGGTGAGTCTGTGGGCGGTCTAATGTAGATCGGTCAAAGAGCACGATGACATCTATTACGTGGTTCTTTGCTAGTCATCCAGATATATTTAGAGGGATGATGTTCTCGTAACCTCCGTCTACACAGGACTCACCTTGTGAGTATTGGCAAGCGACACTACAAAGAATTTGACAGGGCAAAGGATGCAGCGAGGAACTATACTTGTGTCAGTCTTATATACGGGTAATAAGGAATCCTTTTGGGCATTTGACCAGCATGAGATGCAGGCTGTGAACATGAGGCGGGCGGCATTTCTGCTTTCCAGGTTGCCAGCCTTGCTCCAGCTTCGCTCAGCCTTCCCAGCCAAGAACCTCCCATCCAGTGAACCACCTGTGATCCATATTTCATCATAGATGATAGGTCACTGTAAATCTATGAATGTATATCCTTCGATTGCTTAGTATTCGATCAGCTGCGCCGGTAGAGAGAGCGCAAGGAGTCTCTCCCAACGACGATCCCCAATTACGTCTAGCCAAAACCAAACTGGCCGCTTGCTTCCCCCTATTTTCCCCCCTTTACGCCAAATATTTTGCTCCGTGTTGTCGGTCACCAACATTTGCAGAAAAGATAACCTTGTAATATACGTCCAGGTCTATACGTGGCCATGAGGTGCTCGCGGGGTGGCTTCATCAGCATCCCCGTGGTCGTTCTGATTGTCTTGATCTTCGCGAGCTCATGCCTCGCATCTTTGGGCGACCGACTTCCTGATTTTCGCGAATGTGTACAAGTACGTGCGCCCATTGAATGTCGGCCGTCGTGCTTCTTGCAGATCCTAACGGCTCCAGGTCTGTATAGAGGAGAATTGTGATTCGGGGCCAGCAAGCATACGTGAGTGTTCTCCTCTATCGGCCTCCAGATCTTGTCCTGAAGCCCTCCGTCAGCTCTTCATCTCCGACTTCTGCTCTGGGATTGTCCATCCGAATGCGACTATACCTGCCAGCATGTCATCACCGATCGACGAAAGGCACGCGACCCGCCCATGATTGAACCGGTGGTTCAGTTCCATGGAAAGTGGCCATTTTATCGGTTCATGGGCATCCAGGAACCGTTCTCTGTTCTATTTTCGTTGATGAACTTCCTCGCTCATCGAAATGGCATGCAAAGAATTCGCGAATCCATTCCGGCTCGCTACACTCTTCGGCCATATTACTTGGCTTTTGGATACTTTGGACTTGCCAGTTGGATATTCAGCATGATTTTTCATACCCGAGACTTCAACATCACCGAGAGATTGGACTATTTTGCTGCCGGCGCCAGTGTGCTATATGGACTCTATTACTCTCCCATCCGGGTGTTTCGACTGGATCAGAGCGACCCGACAAAGCAGAGCATTCTACGAGCGTGGACGGTCCTTTGTATCCTGCTCTACGTGGCGCACGTCACCTATCTGACGGCCTGGAGCTGGGACTATACCTACAACATGGCAGCCAATGTCGTCGTTGGCGTCATCCAAAATCTCCTCTGGAGCTGGTTCAGCATCACGCGATACCGCAAGCTGCAGAAAACATGGGCAGCATGGCCTGGGTTGATCGTGGCATGGATCGTCCTGGCCATGAGTTTGGAGCTGTTTGACTTTCCGCCGATGGCTGGAATGATAGATGCACACAGTTTATGGCATCTTGGAACCGTGATACCGACTATCTGGTGGTATAGGTAGGACAGACAGTCCAACGGCTCCTGATTAGTCCTGCTGACTTGCCCATGCAGCTTTCTCATCAAAGATGCTCAAGAGGACCTCTCCAGCCAGCGGCTCAAAGCATGACCACGACTACCTACCACCCACCCACCGTCTAGAGGTTCACGCCAACACCAGAGGCCAATGCTGGTTAGTGTAGCGAATAACGGCTGGAAGTCAAAATTCAAGATTCAAGGTTTCCCCAAGCCGAACCCGAGGGGACCATTTCTTCGGATGCTGCTGAACTACCGAGTATTCACTACGAGTAGGTCATTAACCCCGCCAGTCGGGCCTCTTTAACGCGAGCGGGAGGGGTTGGAGGGGTCATGGGAACGGGCTCGCAGGGACAACGGTCGAGTATTGTTAAGGATACCCCCCACGTTATTTGGGCGCTCCCGGGCGCCTCTGCCCGCCTCTGTCCGCCTGGCGCGCCAGGATCAAAGACATCTATTGGTCCCAACGCCGCCGAGAGGGTCACTAGTCAGGCACGCGGGGGGTAACTTCTCACCTGGTGGCCCCTGGGGCTCGGCGCGGCTGGTGGGCACTGAGCACCTAGCATCATCAGCCTAGCTCGCGAATGCACAAACCGTCTTTTGGAGAAGTCTTTCTTACTTGCATTTGTGCCGTTTCCATCTCCTCCGCCGCAGATCACCATTTCCTCTTCTTTTGTCTTCGCGCTTCTCTTCTCTCTCATCCCATTACTGAGCGGGCAAGTTTCGTCACATCCTAGAATCTCCAGCAGGCCGTGAGTGGGTGCAGCCTGTGTACACAGCTTGCAGTCATGTCCTACCAAGACCCTCGAGAGTCGGTCCTGAACAAGCCAAAGCCTGTCATCCATCTGCCCAAAGATCTTCTGGATCGTATCACCAAAGGTGCTGAGCCATATCCCATCCAAGCAGGGAGAAAGTATGAATATGGCACTGCAGGAGTACGTTTTTCCTCTGCTTCTTTTGTGACTGCGACTGACATGTTTGTCTCTTCAGTTCCGTATGAAAGCGTACGTCCATCCTCAGCCGCACGAAGCTGACACCTACCTGCCACCTGCCCACCTGACCTGCCCGTGATTCTGTCAACTGACAAAGAGGGGAACTCAGAAATGTTGGACTGGACCATGTCATCTACACCGTTGGGCTTATCGCTGCCCTCCGTTCGAAGAAGCGCAATGCGACCATTGGGATCATGATCACCGCCAGCCACAACCCGGCGGAAGATAACGGAGTCAAGTTGGTTGATCCTATGGTATGTCATCATCTCCGTAGCAAATGTCGACATGAAGGGGCTAACAGGAGGACTCTCAGGGTGACATGCTTGAGGTATTGGATTGCGTCGTCCATTTCGCTCTCACCACGTGACTGACAAGCGAGACAGCAATCATGGGAAGCATATGCGACTGTCCTGGCGAATACTCCTAGTGAGAAACTGGGGGAGGAATATGAGAAATTGCTCAATGAGACCTTGATCAGCAACATCAGCCAGCTGCATGAACGACCAGCAAAGGTGGTGTTTGCCCGTGATACCCGTGCTTCTGGACCGTACTTGGTTACCGCGCTCAAAGCCGCCTTGGACGCCGTCAATGTTGAGTATGTCGACCATGGCCTCATGACTACCCCGCAGTTGCATTACATTGTCCGGTGTCTCAACACCATGAATTCCCCATACGCTTTTGGCGAGCCGACCGAACAAGGCTACTATGAAAAGATGGCCAAGGCCTTCAAGACCATCATGCATGGCCGTACTATTCAAGGCCCTATCACTGTCGACTGTGCCAATGGTGTTGGAGGACCCAAGTTGAAGGAACTGATCAAATATCTGCCCTCCGCGAAGGAAGGCGGCATCGACATTAAGGTGGTCAACGATGATGTCGTCAAACCCGAGGCTCTCAACTTCGAGGCGAGTTTCTTCCGGATCGCCGAGGTCTTTTATACTTTGACTGACTTTCTCAGTGTGGTGCGGACTTTGTCAAGACTAAACAGCGTGCTCCCCCAAGTTCCAACGCGAAACCAGGAGACCGGTGCTGTTCTCTTGACGGCGATGCCGACCGTGTGGTCTACTACTATACCGATGAGCAGAACACTTTCCACCTTCTAGACGGCGACCGCATCGCTACTCTCGGAGCTGTGTTCCTTGCGGACATGACTCGCGTCGCCGGGATCGACCAGAAACTGAAAATTGGAATCGTCCAAACTGCCTACGCCAACGGCGCTGCTACCGAATACGTCGAGAAAGTACTCAAGCTGCCAGTCACAATTACCCCTACTGGCGTCAAACATCTTCACCATGCTGCTGCTCGGTACGACATTGGTGTATATTTCGAGGCGAATGGACACGGAACGGTGCTTTTTTCGGAAAACGCGATCAAGCTCATCAGAGAATCCGAACCCAAGTCCCCGGGCCAGAAACATGCTCTTGATTCCCTTCGCGCTTGCATCGACCTGATCAACCAAGCCGTTGGTGATGCCATCTCCGACATGTTGTTCGCCGAAGTCGTGCTTGCTCACAAGTCCTGGACGCTCGAAAACTGGCGCAACACTTACATCGACCTCCCTAATCGCCTGGTCCGTGTCGTGGTCAACGATCGCTCCATCTTCAAGGCTGTCGACGCGGAGAGAAAATTGGAGTCACCCAAGGGAGCCCAGGAGGAGATTGACAAGTACTGCCAGATGTATATCAAGGGTCGCGCCTTTGCACGGGCTTCTGGGACAGAGGATGCGGTCCGTGTCTATGCCGAGGCCCACTCCAAGACTGAGGCGGAGAAGCTTGCCAGCCAAGTCGCCGAGGTGGTGAGGAAGTATGGGACGATGTAAGGGAAATGACGATAGCAACGAAAAGGGCCATGGACAAGGATGGTTTGCTTGAATTGTCGGGGCACGTTCGAGTGTGCATGACTGTTGGACACGACAAGATGGCATGGTAGGGCATAGCGAATGGCGCAATCTGAGCAGGATGAATGGACTCCGCGGCGGAAATTTCACGAGGTATGAGATAGGTTGACACGTGGATACCCAAATACCAAAAAGTGCTGCTGTTTTCTTCGCTGAGGAGTTGCTTGCTTCTGGACCATTTTCATCCCTGGGGACGAGCCGCCTGTTTAGAAATGTCTTGCGTGAAGCATTTGCGCTCTATAGAAACCTGCCGTTTTCGGACAATATGGCGACGTCCCCAAACGGCATGCCACCTCGAGGATGACTAAAGTTTAAACCCGCTTCACACAATCTATGCCAGTGGCAGTCGGCAAAACAGTTGCCCCTCCCAGCCCATCTATTCACATCATATGATGCTTTTGGCTCCCCGTCATGACTTCGGGTGCTTCGGCAGGGTGGTCAAGATCGACTCTTCCTTATCCTCCTCCTCCAACGAGCTCGGCGATACCCTACAAATCTTGACGTGCTGACCACGAGTTAGAGGAAGGGCTTGTCACATAGACGATTTCCCCAAGACCAGGGCAGGTGAAGCAAGAGAAAGATGCACAAAATGAGGATCGAGAACGCCATCCTTCCGGGAAGAGATCCCAAATCTCGGTGGGATATCGATTTTGAAAGGAACACCATCAAAAGGATACAACCGGCAGCACCAGCAAGGGGTTCATCTCCAGACCCTTCGCCCTTGCTCCTCCCGCCCCTCTGCCACCCACATATCCATCTGGATAAGGCGTACCTGTTGACGTGCAACACTCAGCACCATCCGTCGCAGCCTTCACCGGAGGAGGGATTCAACCAGCCAGATTACACTGATCTTACCCCTCAGGATGGTTCCTTCAGTGAAGCCCTCAAATTCACCTCCTTGGCCAAACAACGCTACACATCTGAAGATCTCTACTTGCGCGGCGCCCAGCTCCTGGCCACGTCTCTGGCGCAAGGTGTAACCTCGTGCCGGGCTTTTGTCGAACTTGATCACGTCACCAGTCACTCATGTATTGAAGCAGGCCTGCGGCTGAAGGACTGCTTCCAAGGGAAAATGAAGGTGCAAATCTGTGCCTTCGCCCAGGATCCGATCTTCAGCACCGATAATGGTGAGACGAATCGGCAAGTCCTGCTTCGTGCGCTGGAGGAATGTGCTGGCCACGTCGAGGTCCTTGGTACAACTCCATATGTTGAGAAATCAGCCGCGGCAAGTTTACAGAACATCGAGTGGGCAATTGAGACTGCCATTAGCCATTCCCTTCATTTGGATTTTCACCTCGACTACAATCTCGACGAGATGCAGAAGCCCATGGTGTGGGAAGTCATTCGACTCTTGCAAGAATTGAATTGGAATACCCGGGCACAAGCTGGAAAAACAATCGTTCTAGGCCACTGCAGTCATCTGACCCTCTGCAGCGACAGCGACACGGAATTATTGGCCAAGGAGATCCAGGACTCGAAACTTCCCATTCATTTCGTGGGACTTCCGACAAGCGACCTATTCATGATGGGCCGCCCTACAGCAGCTTCTTCTCCCTCGCAGTCGAGATCTGCAGACCGTCCTCGCGGGACCCTTCAGGTTCTCGACATGATTAAAAATTTTGGTATCAACAGCTGTCTCTCTGTGAACAATGTCGGTAATGCATTCACTCCGTGGGGCACCGGGGATCCTCTGGCTCTGGCATCGCTAGGTGTTGGGATCTACCAGGCTGGTACGGACAACGATGCTAACCTCCTATTCGAGTGCGTAAGTTCGAGGGCTAGGAAGGCAATAGGTCTCGACACAGCGAGCGCACTCGATGACCATGCTCCGAACAATGCCGGCCAGGGCCCGACGACTGACTACGATACGACGGAGCTCAAAGAGGGCCGCAGAGGTGAGCTTCTATTGATCAAGAATAAAGAATATGTCTCTTGTCCGGGACATTTGGGGGTCAAGATTCCCGCACGCCAGCAAGTCACCGTGAGAGACGTTGTCTGGGACCCACCGCAAGTCAATCTTCGCCAGGTCTTGAGATGCCGATAGCACGACAGACATGGTGTAAAGGAGAAGAACCGGGAGGGTCTGAAGCATTTCCAGAGGACCATTCTCCGACTGTCCTTCGACTCTCTCAAGTCCTGCAGCAGTTCCAAGCAAACATGTGCAATCATCAGCAACCGAATCATTCACCCTCTTCTACTAAAACTTCCCGAGAGAGCATCGATGCCTTGATCTTGGGGCCGGTGAGCGATGCTATGATCACAGTCACGTCTTGTTCGTCGCTACTTCTTCTGACGAGATTGGTTGGTCTGTAAAACCGCAAGAGGTCGGGCACGAAATCTTGAGGGAAAGAATCACTCGCATCGTTTGTTGACATCTATTGCTTCCAGCGGGCTTGGACCTGTCTTGGTAACAGCAGCGATCAAATCGGGAATAAAAAAAAGGATAATTATGTGATCTGTCGTTCGTGAGATCGGCGAAGGCTCACTTCCGAAATGACACGAGTTTGTATGGGGAGACAACCTCGGAGCAGCAGCACTTTTCACCTTTGAAGCAGGTTTTGCCTCGCAAGCACACACAGTATTTACTGGAACGGCTCAAACGGACTTCTGCCTGCAGCAGCACATGGGGAAGTTACATTCGACGAGCGAATTAAAAAAAGAAAATAGTGGCGGAAATTGTCCTTTTGAAATTCTGTTTTCAGCCTTACGCCCGAGACTGTCTGCTTCTCTCCCTAGGTAGTATATTGCTTGGAGCTGGACGGATCTGGGCGGAGCGGAACAATTTGCGAAACATAGAAGGGTTGGTACACTTGGAAGATGGGACAGAATGGCAAAGGGGAGGCCGAGTGTGGCGGGTTTGAGAACACGATGAATTCTGTGTCTGGTTTCTTTGTTCAGGGCTTTAGGGGGTCCTTCCTTCCGGTTTCTTTGTGATCGCCCTATCTCCATCCCCGTCCACATCCCCGTTTGGTCCTTGGCTACATCTTCCCCCTCCGCCTCTCGGCATCCTTCTTGATCCACTCGGCCGCCTCGTCCTTGACCTTATCGTCCCACCGACTCAAGGCGCTTCTCCCCTCGGTGATATCCCCAATCGCCCAAGTCATGCGCGCATTATCGAGGCTCTCATCAACATCCGTGTCAGGACAGATGATATAGAACTGTCCCTTTTCGATCTTGTCGACACCATACTCGCACACCTGCGACGGCAGCCACGCGCCGCGCGGTTTCGTCTTGAGAGCCTCCTCGTCAGCCACGGGGCCGACATTGCCGCTTAGGCCCGTGAACGTCCACCCGGGCACGAGCAGGTGGGCAGACACATGCGGCGCGTAGATGCTCGACGACGGGGTGCGCAGGTCATGCGCCAGCTGTTCCGTCACCGTCTTGACCGCGCTCTTGCTCGCGTTGTACGCCGGGTTTCCCGGCGGGTTGGTGATGCCTTGCTTCGACCCCGTGAGGACCACGGCGCTGGGACCCGTGGTTCGCAACACCATGGGCAAGAACGTCGTGAGGCCGTGCACCATGCCGAAGAAATTGACCCCAAGCGTCCGGTGGAAGTACTCTGCGTCGCCCCAGGGTTTTGTCGTGCGGATCGACATGCCGGCGTTCAGCATCAGGAAATCAATGCTCTGGAACTTGCCGGATAGGTCCGCCTTGACGGCGTCCCACGCAGACAGGTCCGACACGTCCAGCTCGTAGGTGAGTGTGAGTAACTTGTTGTCTATCGCCGAAAGGGCCGACGACGCCGCTGAAAGTGAGGATGCGTTGATGTCCAGCAGCGCCACGTGCATCCCGCTGCGGCGGCAGTGCGCAGCGAACGCGAACCCAACGCCCGAGGCGCCGCCGCTGATCAGGGCCACAGCGCCGGAGCGGAAGATGGATGCCATCTTTTTTCTTTTGCCTCTTTTCCCTAGTTCGAAAGGACTTACTGAGGGTTTACTTCTGATAAGGAGGTGAGTTGGAGAAAGTGATTAAAGCAGTGAGTGAGAGAGGGGCATGAGCCGAGTTGAGAGACTTCAAAGTTCAACTTCTCCAACGGCGGAGATGCTCCGGAGGGAGACTGCAAGCCAATAATGACGTCGAAGCTGCGGAATTCAACGACGGCTGGAGATGAACAAAATGATAAGGACCAGACTCGGTTTATGTTCAATTTTATGGTTATTCGTATACAGACCATCTAGTCTGGATCTCTCTGTAAAGGCCCCTTTTGCTGGGCCCGCGCTTTTGGGCCTCTTCAAATACCGCAACGCTAATTCATTTAATGCTTTCTTTCCCTTTTTTACCCCCTGGAGTCTTTTGAGACATTCTTTTGCTGGACTCACGACAACCCGCCTCCCAATGCATCAACTCTCCCTCGGACTTGTAAGGCTCGGGGAACTGCAAAAACAACACAAGCATGCGACGGGGTGGTGGCGTCGTGGAATGCCCGTCCTCACGACGGAATCATCACTGTGACGCTTCAACCGCCTCGTTCTCCTTGTCCTCGATCTTGGCTTCCTGGAGCTCCTTGCTCACGTCGGCAACGGCGTCTTTCTCTTGAGCCTGCTCACCTTCGGCAGAGACAGGTCCGTTTACGCCCGCATCCTTTGCCGCCACCTTCTTTGCGTGGTTGTGACGACCGCTTCGGGCACTTGTGGACGGAGTCGCGTTGGATGCGTCGGTTGCTTCTTGCTCGAGCTTCTCAATTTCCTTCTTGGCCTTTTCGATGTTCTTGGAGCAGGAAGTCAGTACGATCATCAAATATGTAGAACAGTAAAGATCTCACCTTTTGGGTTTGCGTGTCCTGGTCCTTCTTCCAGCCCACCAGTTTCTCCTTGAGCTTCTCAACCACACCAGGGACATCGGCTTGGGTACTTGGCGGGTCAACCCCAACCTTGGCCAGCTCCTCAATGATACCAATATTCATGTTGAGCTTGCCAGAATCGGCAGGCGCCGCCGCGCCTTTCTTGCCCTTGCCCTTCTTCTTGCCACCACTGCCCACGAAGAAGTCTTCGTCCTCCTTCTTCATCACTTTCATGCCCTTGAAGCCAGACTCGTCTACGGTTCGTTGGGCAGCTGCAGCAAACTGGCCTGGTCCCTTGTCGCCTTCGTCGGTGTTGTAGCTCGGGTCAAAGTGGCGGATCAGTCCTTCAGCAGTGCGGATTTGGTCCAAGAAAGCGGGTTCAGAGGCTTCCTCGAGCTTCTGCTCGGCAATGCGGCGGCGCTTTTCCTTCTCGTACGCGTCACGCTCGGCCTTTTGTCGTTCTCGCCGTTGCTGGTAGATCAGGTCCTCATACTCCTTGTAAGCCTTTCTTTGAGCATAATAGTCATCCTTGACCTTCCTGATGGCTGCATAGGTCGCCTGCTGTTCCTCGTACAAACGGTCGCGCTCCGCCTTCAAGGTGTCAAAATTCTTGTTGGTGTCTTCGCGTGCGGCCTTGATTTCGTCGAGCTCTTTCTGATTGTCTTCAAACTTCTGGGACAGAGCACGGGACTCGGGGTTGTCAAACGATTTCTTGAGTTCAGCATTCTCCGCCTTTTTCTCGTCGATTTTCTTTTGCAGGTCGTCCAGGCCCACAAAGCCCTTCTTTTGGCGGCGGAGGGCTGAGATCTCAGCTAGCGCCTTCTTCTCATCAACCAGCTTCATTTGGCCCGAGTCGACTTGCTTAGTGATGCTGTCGATCTTGGCATCGATCTCCTCAGGGCTTTTGAATCCGGCCCGGTTACGAGCCTCCTTTTGCTCGGCAAACAACTTCTTGATCAAGGCATCGTTCTGGTTGAACTTTTCCTGCTGCCCAGCTTTAGCTGCCTTGTGTTCCTGCTGCTTCTGGCGGATAGATTTTTGCTCTTCAACCAGTTCTTTGAAGCGATCGTTTGCGGGAGTCGATTTTCCAGGACGGGCGCTGTCGAGCTTGGCTCGAATGGCATTCTGTCGAGAATCAGCTAACAAGTCCCATCTGTTATATTTGACCGAGCGGCGACACATACAAAGCGGGCTTGAGCAGCCTCGTGATCTTTCTCGGCCTTCGCAAGATCCTCCTTGAACTTGGCCTCGTCAGGCTTCTCAGGTCGCTTGTGGGCGCCATCAGTGGCTGGAGGAGTGTCGACGTCGGCCATGTCTGATGAAAGTGATCGAAGATACCAAAAATGAGTTACCGAAAGATAGGTCGTGGTAGAGATAGTCAGGGTCTGATATATATTTGTCTAATCCATACTAGGGCGTGACAGGTGAAGCGAAGGACTCAGTGAGGGGCACGTGGGAGGAGCGAGAATCTCCTTGAGTGACAGCAGAGTGACACACAATAAGAGTGAGGTGTCTAGCCGTCGAGACAGGGTGACGAAGTGCCGGTGATGAGGATGAGGATGAGAATGAGAACGAAGTGAGAGCTCGCTTCAAGTCGCAGTTGCAGTTCGTTTCGAGTCGGTGTGGAGTAAAATTATTTTGGGAATTTCGCCTGCTAATTAATTACTGACAGTTCCGTGGCATCTTGTGAATGGCGGTTTCGAGAACTGTGATCGGCCGGATAAAATACCCCTGCGTGCCCGTGAGCCTCACCGTATCAACTACGGTGGACTGGGGAGCTCAGTGCACTCCGCGGTCTTGCAGTCGACCGAAGCCTTCGGTGCACCATAGACTCCGGTAGAGAACAATGGATGACTTCCGTTTAGTCCATTCTTTAAACGTTTATGGCCAAAGCCCTTTCGGACCTGGAGGCCGGGATACACTCACAACCATGTCATTCTGACGAACAGGAACCGGTATGTAGGTTCCCGCGAGTTTGATATTTCCAGTTTGTTCTCCGCCCGCGTCTGTGGGCAAACCGCGTCGATAGCGTGCACCCTCAGACAAATCATACACAACATGCGCGATGATTGCTTACCACAACAAGACGAATGAAGGACAAAGGACCGTTCAGTCGGTGGTACTTTGAGTCCGTATGGCAGCAAACACAAAATGCCCCTAATGCACGTCATGATACTACCTACTTTTTGCTGGTTGTCCAAACAGCGTCGTGTTCTCCATCCTCGAGCTGCGCTGTATCTTCAAGATCATCGTCACCATTCTCTTTTGCAGCTCAACTAGACGTGCTCGCGAAACAAACCTCTTTTATAGCAATGAAGCATAGCTAGGTAATAATAGAGCAGAGCAGAATCGACTTGCTGTTTGTAGTCGGGTGGGCGGCGAATATATTTTCCGGTCCGACGAACTCGCCTCGCTCGGTACAAGGCTGCAGGCCGCTAATTTACCCGCCGAGGATTATCCAGAATTTTCCTCAGCCTGCGATCCTGCGGTAGCGCATCTGCAAAGACATTCCACAGAGGCACCTACGGCCACTCTTCTATCGACTTCCCGCTCTGTTGTCTCGATTCATACCCCTTCATTAGCACCATCAACATGGATCTCGACGATGACAGGCCGAAACTCTCCGTCGAAGCGGAAAAAGAGGTGACCAGATTATGGCGAACATGGAGGACTGTGTTGGAGATGCTCGTCGATAGAGTATGAAGAAACAGAGAGGCTGTACGCCATCGCGCCGAGACTGACAGACTTTCTAGGGCTATGCAATTGCAGAGGATGAGTTGAAAATCTCCCGCGATCAGTTCCAGCGCAAGTTTGGCGATCCTCAAAGCGGATACGCTGAGTGAGTCGGAGTGAAATCCAGATGACTTGTTCCTGATTCTCACATTTAATAGGAGGAGGCTCATGAAACTCCAAGCTGTCCCTACTGAAGAGATGATCAAGCGCGACACCCCTCGAGCTACGAAATCCAATCCCAACCCTCAAACCACGGCCGGCACGATCTGGGTCGAATTTAGCCCTGAAACTACCATTGGTATCAAACATCTCCGCGCGTTTGCCCAGCACCTTGATGCGAACAAGTTCACCACCGGGATCTTTATCACCATTGGCCCGGTGACAGCTGCTGCATTGCGCGCCTTTGAGCCACTTGCCGAACGAGGAATCACCGCCGAGTGGTTCCAAGAGCAGGACCTTCTCGTCAATATCACACGACATGAATTAGTGCCTAAGCATGTTCTGTTGAGCGCAGAGGAAAAGAAAGTGCTACTGGACAGGTACCGCTTGAAGGAGACGCAGTTGCCCCGCATCCAATTCAGTGACCCTGTCGCCAAATATTTGGGGTTGAAAAGAGGCAACGTGGTGAAGATTATCCGAAAGAGCGAGACTGCAGGAAGGTATGCCAGCTACCGGTGGGTGTTCTAGTGACCGAAAAAATTGTTTCCAAAAGCGTGGAGTTCAGAGGCTTCTGAGAGGGGACCAAAATGAACCGAAAGGCGTTTGACGGGGCCATCACTTGCAACCACAATCAAGCAGTTGGTTGCGAAGGTATCAATATCTGCTAGGTGTCGTCGAACAGGGTGGGCAAGCATCTGCCAATGTCGAATTTTGGAAGACAGCACCAAATCTCCAGTTGCGCGAAATTTTCCTCGGCCTGCGTTCGTCCCTGTCGTTCCACAACATGCCAATCAAGAGCGTTAAATTGCGAACTTCAGAACTCCCGACGTGCCCCCGCACTCTGCCTGCCTCTCCAGTGCCATTTGCACAGGATGCACCTCTGCTATGAAAGCCCAGATGAGCCTCAGCCTTTCTTCTCACTCAGCACGCGTTGACCAATTCTGATCAAGTCTTTATTCTCCAATGGATCCTTCTCAAACCCATTCAACACTTGATCCAACATGGCCGCCGAGATGTCCACCACGCTCACGCTTGGCAGCGAAATCATGAACCAGACCAATGTGGCTCTCAGCCAGTGAAGGATACTGCCTGGTTGCGTGATCAGTCCTGGTTTCGCGACGGTGACTTCAAGGTCGCCCGGATGAGAAGACGCGAAAGCCAGGACTCGATTCTCGGTCTCTCCCTATCGACAAAGTCAGGGACTCGGTGCCTTGTGGCGGTAAAGCCAGGGACTCACGCGCATCAAGCAGTATTTTGGCATGAATGTGGGTTGTTTTGTTTGATCTCGTTCGGCAGCCACGCCGCTCATGTACAGGAATCGGAAGGGCGTCGATCTGCTTGCGGAGCTGCGGGCTTCGAACATTGCTTCAAGACCAGCCATGGTGTACTCATGGCATACTCGATAGACCTCGTCCCAGGGCACGGTCTTGGACTTGCTGGGAGTGATTGCGAGGGTCCTAAACAAGGCCTTCAGCCCCTATCATATTGCGAGGTGGACACGCGAAAGGACAGCAGGCAGGGCGTGACAGACCAAATACAAGCATCTGCATCCCCCAATTGCTTCTTTACAGGATCCGGGTACGATGCAAAGTCTTCAAGAACCACGCTCTCCAACTTTGACGTGTCTGCTCCAGGACCCAGATTGTCGGGCACCGTGATCGGCCGTCGAGCCAAGGCCACCACCGAAGTTATTGTCGGATCGCTCAGGCTTTGGCGGATCAGCTCCGTCGCGACGAATCCGGTAGCTCCAGATATGACAAGCTTCATGATCAGACAGTAGCTTTGAGATACCCCTCTCTTTTAGTTGAGATGCAGTGACGCATAGCTTGTCTGGAAGGAAGGATACGACACGGTGTGCTCTGTAACATGTAGAGGCAGTCTTCCCATATGGGGGCCCTAGGGAGGTGGGGAGAAAAACCGCGGTGGAGCGGGGTGGGTGGCCTGAATAGTCCTCATTGGGTACATTAGCCTCGCTGACCTGGAGTAGAGAAGGGACTAAGGCCATTAAGTATGGATACTAGTACCTTAAATACCTCAGACTAGCTACTTCCTTACTAGTTAGTTCACTAGCTATTTCCTTACTAGGCAATTCATTATTAGAGACTCAAAACTTTCCGGTTCCGAGATGCATAACTCGATGCTCATCATACTGCTCGACAGCCTCACCAGCTTCGACGGCGATTCTGCCCATGGTCATTAGAAGCCTGACACCAACACTCTATTCTGTCTGCTCGCAATATCTTGTTTTCTCACGTCTAGCTTCGTCGACGCTCTTCTGTCCCCGTCGTTCCTGAGACTCAATTTGCAACAAATACTTATCGTTACACAGCCGCACCGCTACCCACGACACCATTTCAGCCTGATCACGAAACGCCCGTTCTGCCCATTTCGCCCCATTTCCTAACCATGGCAAGGCAAACACGACATGAAAGGCAGACTCGGACGTTTCATTCACGATCACTTCCCAAGTCTTGCTGACTCTCCAGAAAAACATCCGTTAGGCTGAAGTCTACCTTGGATGTGGCTTCTGTCGAGACTCTGTTCAACTAGATGATGCAGAAGCTGGGCCCCACTGACCGCCTCTTTCCTTCAGATATATCGCGGGGACAGACCTCTAACGTCCGAAGCCAGATTCAGCCTCAAGACAATTTCGACGGACGCGACGGGTTTTCTATTAATTCCCTTTTCTTTGCTCTCACTTCCTAAGCTCGGCCCAGCGAACTAGTAATACCTCAGTTTTCTGGGCCTCACAGTTAAGTGAAAATGGACGTCTCTCGACCCCAGACTCCGGAACCACCGCAACCCTTGCCCCTCATCCTGAGATGGTATTCGTTAGTACTCCTCTCGGTCTTCTATCTTCTCCCCGTTGTTGGCATCTTCGCCCTCCTGGACGCAGTCGGGACTAAGAGACAGCGTTGGACATTAAGCCTAATGGCCTACTTGTTGATTTCTTCTGCTGGGATACCGGGCACACTCTACGCTTTGGTCTCCTATTGTCTCTGGGGGGAGCTCGAAAAAATGAGACACTTGACCACGATGGCAAAGAGACCTATATCGGTTCTTGAACTTTCGAATGAATACAGGTCGTGGTCGAAAGTCATACCGCGCCCCAGTAGTGTGATATACCATTTCTTTGGCGGACTATACTGGGCCTCGTTCATGTTCCTGGGCGCCGCAAAATTGCAAGCATGGTCGGCACTGTTCCTCATCGTCAGCCATATCATTATACTCACCTACCTATTTTGGATCGCTTCCAAGTTCCGAATGATGCCGGTTGGCCTGAGGGAGATGTATAGGATAACACCCCCGGACAAGGCCTTGCAAAAGCTAGGAGGAGCGGTCGAGAGTCTGAAAGCCCTTCCTGAGATATCAAAGTACGGGCGTTCAGGAAAACCACTCGACGCTCAAATGTCAGATCACGATCCAACACCGCCCGCAAGCCCGACCTCAACCGATATGACGGAACTTCCGCGTCCAATACACCCGAACCTCAAAGAGCCGGTTTGCCACAGTCGATCCGAACTGCACGACAAGGCCCAAGCACAGCTGGTGACCTGGAAATGTTCCTGTGGATCGATCCTGTCAGACTATTACACCGAAATCATACCAGGAAGCGTGGAGCTCCTTCAAGCGGAGCTGCAGGAAGAGGCTTCCCCTTATTCTAACAGCTTCAGACTCTTGTGGTGGAACCTTCAAGCCTGGATTACGTCCACACTCAGGACCAGGGCAGTTCCTTCTCAAAACCCAGCCAATACAACGCAGGGGTCTCCAGAAACTACATCCTCCTCTTCCTCAGCCGGGCTTCGAGTCCCAGGGTATAATATCAGCTCTAGCTCTGGAGATCCCACACAGACTCCCTCGCAGCCTCTCTCTGCTCCTAGGAGTGTCAATCCGCCACAAGGGCAGCCATCGGCCTCACGGGTCTTTTATCTACTCTTATGTCTTCCTGAAAAGTTATCCGGCTTCAGACTATATCATCAGCAGCTTCTACAAACAACAGGATCAGCTCACCTGCCGAATTACGTGGTCAACGACAAGCAACTCTTCAATCTCTTACGACGGAAGTATTCAGCCGTGCGACGGCGCACGGTTTTCTCGCTACTCTGGCCGAGGACAGTGATTCGAGTATCGCTGGCTCATTTCCTCGTGGATGGCTCGGACCTTGTCGAACTTATCCACTATGCGTGCCACGGGGCAGGGGCCAATTGCAAATGCATTCCGCCGGCCACCGATAATGGGTACCATTGCGTTCCCCGGCCATCGCCGTATAGTCCTCCTATTGGGACAAATTATCTGACGCACCTCTTCCAACACCCAGAGTGCATCAGGAATGGCAATAATCGGGTCCTCAACCAGGTTCCGAAACGATTTGGGCAGTGCATAGCGATCTCTGGGGATAAGGCGATCGAGGCTTGGGGGATCGAGTTCGAAGAAGGCTGGGACCGCGGTCGGCTCAGGAACGCCGTCTTCCTCGTTGTCGTGGTGGCGACACTGTTGTTTGCGACTCTCTGGGCCGTGATGGAGCACGACATACAAAGTGCGTTTGCCATTTCAGCTTATTTCATATCTATCCTTGCGATTGTAGGCGGGTACATGGCTTCTACGGAGCCAAGGCTGGTTCACAAATGAATATCTGCATATATAATGGATGACTATCCAGATCAGAATTGGGGACTAGCAGCGTGACAAGTTGAATTGTATCACACTCAAAGGCATCTCACTACTTGCTCCTACAACCACTTGCCTAAGGTCCTCCTGCGAAGGATACCACCCGGGCACGATGCCAACGATTCATTCATGTATTATCAAAGCTTTCACAACGGCCTTCTAGTAACAGTTAGTCCAGTACTGGTGCCGATGAGCAGTCTTTGTTGACGGAGGTTGAGAAAAAGGACCCACCTCACGACTGGAGTGAATGTCCCCCTTGCCTTGCGAATGTCTTTCTTGTCATGAACCTAACGCATCTGAACGCCGGCAGTGACCACCTATATATTTTTTCCCAGTGATGCTCCAGTTAGGCTTGGTTTATCTTCTCATAGAGTGCGACTTCAAGCAATCCGACCGTTATCTATGTTCCCTTTTCTAGTTTGACAATGTCTCCCCCAAATACACCTACTGGCTTTTTTCGTTCTAGAGATCTTCTTGCATACTGTTGAGAGCGATGGTCGAGTCATCCTTCGCCGAGTATCTTACTCCGCTGAGCTGTCTGCTGTGCTGTCGACGGTGGCGGAACGCCATGAGCTCGAGACCCACGGCCAGCACGACCGAGACGATACCGACTGCGGCGGCGATGCCAGTATTGTCGCTGAGCAGTGCGCCCCTGGTTGAGAGTTAGTAAACGCATTAGCCTGGAGTGTATTTTCTTTTTTGTCGCCCTTATGGACTTCTATATCAAACTTACAGAATCGCATTGACCATGCCCCCATAGATGAGGACGCGCCCGAGCCAAATGTGGAAATACGAGGGAGCCGTGCGGCGGCCGAACCTTTTGTAGTTGACGTGGTGGATGTAGCCCATGATGACCTGAACGGAGAGGACGGCGACGACGCAGATCCCCAGGATCTGGTGGGTCTGGTTGAACGCCGCGTACTCAATACCGTTGATGCTCATGAAGACTGCGGCCGCCAGGCCGAGGTATGCTCCAACCGTGGCGAAGAGTTGCAGTATCCAGTGCACCTTGAACGCGATCGTCCATCTCCATCGCAGGCCGAGGACTCCCACGGGGAAGACAATGACGAATGCTCCGCCCAGGAGGATCGCGTGTGAATATACGAGGGCGTGGTAGTACTCGGGCTGGCCTTCTGCCGAGACACTCGACGTGCCTGAGATTTTGGGGACGGTGGATACTGCGTTCTGCGTCGCGGTCATGTCGACGAAGAAAACACCTGCCGAGGAGGAGAGGGTGTGTCAGCCAATGCTGTTGTCAACAGGGTTGGCGCTGCGAGAGTCAAAGTGTGCTTGGACTGACCGTAATGTGAATGCTGGTTGATGTCTGCATTGATGGAGTTTGAGCGGACTTGCTTGCTCGGCCCGACCGCCCATATCCACGGCTGTTTCGTGTCTGTGACATCGACTTTGTTGAACTTGTGGCTTGACGAGCTCTGGTGCCACTGTATGGTTGCTGTCATCTTCCCGTTCTCGACCTCGGAGCTTAGCACGGTTGCATTAACGCCTGACGCGGGCTCTGGCGTGTCGTGGCCGCTAATTGAGTGAGGGGATCAGTTTCAAGGACTAACTGTCGTCCGTTCTATGCGGTATGGGGTACGAACCTCGTGGTTCTCACGCTGAGCGTGACGTCTGCACGCATACATGTCAGCGCCCGGCCAGCATTACGAATCTGCCAGAGGAATTGGTACGTTCAGCACTCACCATCGCCGTCGGCAGAAGGATATATAATGAACATGAGGGCGTCATGCATGTGGTTTCCCGTGCCTACCGCCGCCCAGCCGTAGGAGACGGGCGCCGATATCTGCATGCTGAACTCTCCGGCGTTGACGTTGCCGTTGTTGCCCGTAGAAGATATGGCAACGCCATAGTTCTCCGATTTCTCGTAGAACTGGGCCTGTTTGGCGAGAGAGTGGGCTGCGAATGCTGAGTGTGTTCTCGGTCAGCACGTCTGGGGAAGGGAAACTGAGATGCTCGTGTAATTCGGCGACTCACACGACAGGACACCGGAAAATGCAGTAAGTCTCGTAAGTGTCTTCATCCTGGTGGCCGAGAATGCCCCTTTAAATTGTCCAGCACCCAAAGACAACAATCTTTGCAATCGAGAGCTCAGTATGAAAAGGAAACCTGGAGCTGCATTCTGACTGCAGCAAGAGTCTTATAGCACGACATTGCAGCGATGGGTCAAAGCCCCTGCCGAGCAAAGCTTGCGTGTGCTGAGTTCGTGTCCGCGCAGGCGGCTGAACTGAGGCTGAGCATGCCAGCTGCATTGGAGCGCAGGTTGTTGTTCCTCTAATGTCGACCAATGGAAGCGCGTGCATTTGTCAGAGCTGAATGTCATCTGTGCAGCTGCAGCTCTGCACAGAAAGGGTTTATCCGTTCCGCAAGGGCGAAATATCAGATTAGATATCGAGCTGAGGGTGATTGTTGATAATGCCTGTAGATGCCAAGTATGGAAGGCGTTCAGATTCTCCCCCGCAACTTGGCATTAACTTGGCATTAATTTAAAGTTGACGGATCTAGCCTGTTTTGGCATCGATAGGCTTGACCATCATGTGTGGCTTCTTCAGGGTCATTCAGCCTCGTTCCCCGCAGCACACAGAGTCCGAAAGCACGCATCAACGTCTTCGGGGCTCGGTCGCAGACATCAAGTGTAGGCGGCAAGCTTCCCTGCGGATGTTGGTCCTGAGATACGGGCCCGACACTCTGGCCAAAGTGTGGTGAAATATGGCGCCGCGGTTGTCTGGCCCAAGGCCGAGCCGGTTCCGACTTCGTCTTATGCCTCCGGTTCGCCACGTGCCATGATCTTCCGGTTCATGAATCAGGCACCCATCATGAAGAATGTGGAGATACACTGGGGAAGACAAGTGATCAAGTGGTATATATACGACTGAGTCGATGTCTTCTTAAGTCTCAAGCAGCATCGACTGAGTACGTGTCTTTTAAGCTTGCCGAAGTCCCGACAACCCAAACCAACGATAATATGAGCAAAGTCGAAGTCCAAAGCATCGATGACATGAACAACGCCTTCAAGGCGGCTGTTCAGAGTGTCATCGACTTCAACAACTCCTTCGACTGGCCAGAGGTAAATACCTTTGTCTACCGAGAGATAGACGGGGTCAAGATCGAAGCAGACGTCTGGGTATGGGAGACGGTGCCGAACGGGGACTCTAAGCGCCTGCCGGCCAAGCGGCCTGTGGCTCTCTTTATCCACGGAGGCGGATGGATGGCAGGTATACGCACCGATTTCCCCAAGCCGCTCTTGCATGAATTCCTGTCACGCGGATTCGTCTTTGTCTCGATCGATTACCGCCTGCTTCCCGAGGTGGATTTCATCACCGGACAACTGGACGATGTGCGCTTCGTGGAGACGTGGATTCGCGAGAAGCTTCAGTCGTCTTTGGCGGAACGGGGTGTGAATGTGCCGGTCGACACCGATACGATTGCGGTGCTCGGTGGTTCTGCTGGTTCTCATCTGGCATCTTTAACAGTACGTTCTCCCTAAATATTGCTCCCCACCTTCAGATCAGGCAGGCAGGAGCAAAACGTCTGACACTCGAGAAACAGCCGAAAATATGGAAGAAGAAGCCGTCAGCTCTGCTGCTCATGGCTGGGCCGACAAACCTCTTCGAGTTCCGCAGACTTGGTCGACCGATGGGCGGAGGCAAGTTGACTCAGGTCGTCGAGCAGTGCCCTATGGATCCGACACCAGAATTTATCAAGTCGGCCATGTTTGACGGTCCAAGGACCAACACCCACCCAACACTTAGTGTCGAGGCTTTCCTACAGCCCCGATCCCAGCTGGGCCTCTCCATCTTCCTGAACGAAGTTATCCCCGACTTTATGGTCCTCGGCCTTTCCGAGGGGAAGCTGCCGAAGAAAGGCAGTGCTCCCAAGGACAAAGTCGAATACATCAGTAGGTTCAACACATACAGTGCTCTCCGTGTGACGCAACCTTTGACCCGCTGACACAATGATTCAGGTGCGGCTTTCGGCGACCTCAGTGACTGGCCGCCGACGTTTCAAATGATTGGCGACAGCGACGAAGCCTTTGATGCCTCGCATCTAACTGTGTTCCACGATAAATTGAAACAGCTCAATATTCCATCTGGGGTGCTCGTGGTCCCAGAACAGTCGCATGCCTTCGAGGGCATGTCCAAGATCGGCGACCAGTTGCACTTGAGATATATTCAGCCGGCGTGCGAGTTTGTGGTGAGGCATACGCTAAAAGACAGCGAAGGAAAGTGAAAAGCAAAATGGACGGGTCTGTGGATAGAGAGAAATTGTGTCTGTGCGCAACCTCAATGAGCCTGGTGATTCGGATGCTCGAGCGATGAAGCGGAGACAAAACCATGTAGCAGAACAATGACTCACCGCTCTGGAAGATGCAACTTCAGTCATCCAAAAAAAACCACTAGAAGATCGTTATCAGCTTTCGACTTTCGACTCTTGGTGGGTCCATGAAGGAAGATGAGTCTGGATGCCTGTGCCTGGATGCAAAAGAGAGAGTGAGCACAAGCGAGCTTCGGTCCTAGGAAAGAATCGCGACAACTTCATTTTCTTCTGCCACTATATGCCCCAACCTAGGGCGTATCTGATAAATCGTTCACCACCTCAATCATGAAAACACATGCATATATGTACTTTGGCTCTTCTTCCGTTACCGCTGTCTTTGACCGTCCTCCCTTTGATAAGAGACCACCAAAAGATGGCAATATCTTGCCACTTCGGCCTCGCTTGGTCGTATGCGATCATGCTTACTATTCCATAACATGTCTTCGTCTGTTACAACTTCTGGGCCTCAAGTTGAGCTTGAAATTCAATACGAATACCGGAAATATGGGTTTTCGTGGTCGGTAAGGTCAAGAAATGCAGCCTGTTCCTTGGTCAATGTTGATTGCAGAGCATTTGCGGCGCCAGGAGCATCTTGTGCTAGATCGCGCCGACGGTTGAAGCGCTTGTAGTACAATCTGCACAGATTGCACCAGTCAGTCGGTCTGGCGTGTTGTTGGTCCACCCGATCACAAACAAACTTACAGAAGTGCCATCAGCGAGACCTCGGATGCAGCCATTGTAACCATGAGGATGATCATCCCCGTTGGGTACCCTTCGCTGGCTTCACTGCCCTTGAAGGCAAAAGGCCCAGTGATTCCACCAACCGCGGAAATCATGAAAATCATGCTGTTTGCGGTTGTTTTCTTGGTGTACCCAGCAATGTTGGACGCTAGAAGGCCCAATGTCTGGATCAGGGAGCCGTAGAAGAAGACAGTCTGGATTTGTTAGGATAGTCGGAAGCTGAGACTTGGATTCAGACAAAAGGGATACATACAATATAGAGAGAAGCCAAGAGACCTCCTTGGTTACCTCTGGGCAACTTCCAGAGCAGGGCATATGCAATAATCGAAGGCATCACAAAACCCATGGCGATGACGATGCGTGACTTTTGGAACCTGTTCGCTAGAAATCTTGAGGGCAGCACAAGTGCAAGTCAGCATTTCTGGGCAGTTCTCACGATTAAGGGGATTGGTATAGGATCTTACCCAGAGACTGGCATCAGAATAATGACAATACCAGAGATTGGCATGTATAGTTGCACTGTTTTAAAGCTAGAAAAGCCAAAGCCCTCGAGGACAATGGCCCCGAAACTGGTTCGGGTTAGCATGTCAATGGAGGAATTGAAGACAATAGCTTACCTGCCAAGTGCTGCCGTAGCGAAAGAAAAGGCAAAGCTGGTCACGCACAGAAGCCACAGTTGTGGATCGGTAACCGCTTCCCAGACCTGACTAGGTTTGAACTTGCGTGTTTGAATCCCCGTCTGGTTCTTTTGCAGCCGTCTTACGGCAATGTTACGCTCTCGCTCTGTTAGGAAGCGAGCCTTCATAGGAGTGTCTGGGAAGAAAATGCCGAAGAAGACGGAGTATGCGACGGTTATGGATCCTAGCACCAGATACATATTTTTCCACGGGCTCTTCTGGAATTCTCCCTTAATATTAGCTGCAGCGTAATCGAGTGACTGGCCCACAATCGCTCCGATGGAGGCACCAGTCATCCACAGTCCGATGCGAAGAGGTTGCTCTTCTGTTTTCCACCTATGGAAACTCACTGAGCTTATGTAAACCAAGGGCATAAAATATTGCTCACCACATTGAACTCAAGAGGACGCACGCTGGAAGACCAGCTCCTTGGAATCCGTAGAAGAATCTGGTCGTTGTCAACGGCTTAGTTGAGGTCGGAAGAATGGGGACTTACCTCAGAACCATGGTTCCTGCAAAGTTGTCTAAAGTGAGAAAAAGAAGCGAAAGAGCTCCAGTGTACAATATAATTCCTGTCATGTACTTTCCAATGGGAACTTTCTGTGCAAGTAGGAGGAGCGGATACTGGCCCTGTGATAAGGTAGTCAGTCTCCCAGCCGCCATCGGAGAGGTCGAACCAGGTCATGAGAGACTTACGGCCAGAAGTCCAAATGTCAGGATCGAATTGGACCAGGAGTATCTAGTTAGGTCCAGCACCACGGGGTCAATGCTCTTAACAGTGTAGAGCTTCAAATCTTGAATCATGCCGAATATTGCCGCAATACCATAGGTTCCGCTATCACATGCTGTCACGACATTGGCAATCACCAACTTATGTTCAGTCAGTCATTTGCCATATGGGAACAATGCACCTCATTGATCTTACCAATATGATAACACGCAAGTCGATTTTCCAGAGCACTTTCCTTTCTTCTTCTTCAGTCCATTCGATGGCACCGTGCTCCTGAACAAAACAATGAGCATCGTCGACCTGTTTGTTGGTTTTGACTGGCAGTTGTGTTTCTTCGTCATGTTCGACGATAGATGCAGCTATCTTGTCTGCTGAGTTTGCCATGGTGAGAGGGTCTGCTCGGTGTGAGAACAGTGCTGGGGTCCGAAAGGATTGTGGTCGTCCGGAGGACGGTAAGGCGGGAAAGTAGGTAATGTGTCTGATAGAGCCACAATCTTCCAGCTCACACGGTCCCCGCGTGATAGATATTCCCCACGGGGTAACGAAAAGATTTGAAAGGATGAACTAGATTGCTCGTCAAACTAGTATCGGGTGAGACACCGGTAGATTGAGAGCCGGATCCGGCTCTTGAACCGGTTCTTCCTCACTAGTTAATCTGCAAAGGCCATATCCAGGGAGTGGAGTTTAGAAAAGGTGGCTTTCAAATCGGGCCCTTTCCGGTTTGTCATGATGCCTCTCACCGAGAGACCCAGACCGATCTATGGAACATTCCATTCTGTTGTATCGTTGAGGAATTCAGTCAACCACGCTGTTGGATCCCAGTGAGATGGATCGTTGAGAAAACTGTCCGAGGTTATACCTTCCTCGACACGATTAACGTGGATAACCGGCACGGCTTCTGCCTCCTGCACCTGCGGACCGGAGTTGAGGTCGATCCGGTGAGCACCATCCTGCATGTTTCCACCTTGAGATTCTCTGCGTTCATGCTGGCGTATCTGCGACACACGACGTTTGAGAGAGCGCGCAAGCTGGGCAGTGCAGTGATTTGGACTGATTGCCAGATCCGCCATCAGCTGGGAGAATGCCTCAACTCGATCCAAGGCGTCCTCCATTTCGGCATATGCAGGTTTGACATGTTGATGCACTTGTACCACAAACAAGGCCACGAACGCGATCATGACGAAACCAAAATCACTCATATACCTCAAGGCATCCTTGCTGACCGGGGAAAGATGCAATGCCCAATCTAGGATTTCAAGAGCGTATTGAACGCACTGCTTGACAGACTCTCTTTCGCTGCTGCTAAGGTTACCGGTCGAACCTTGGATAAACCGAAGAGTGTAGCTGATGATGCAGAATCTAGCATATCGAAAGTGGAAGTCAAGACCAAGACCGAAACCTCCTGCAGACAAAGTCAGATCTAAGGGCACAAGTATGGAGCGAGCCAATGCATCAAACCTTGGGCTATGAATGCGTTCCATTTATTGCACCAAGCTTGAATTTCCATCTCCGCAACTTCCAAAGCGGCAGAAGGGGAGCAGTCCAGGCTTTCGAGGCTTTCGGGAACACACCACCATTCACTCAGGCGGCAGTCGAGGGTGCTTGCCTTTCTCGTGTGATCAGGACTATGCTTATGTTGCTGGGAATTTCCTCTTACCTTCTCCCACAGCAAACACAATTCGACCTCGCCAAGGATCCTACTTGTCCGAGAAGATTTGTCGATCCCAGCTAGCAGGCTTGTGGCGATGCGAATGGAAGCGTCACCTCGAATGCTTGGAGGGGTGCTATTCAGAACGGCAGTGCTTTGTGTTTCTTCAGTAAGCGCGCTTGGTAGGGAAGCCGTTGAGGATTTGGACACTTACTGGTGAGCCATTGTGTAAAGCCATAGCCAATAGGTGTACTTTTTATACTCTATTGTCCTACTAATGTCTTTTCTACCAGATATCAAATCCTTCTTGACGCCTTCCACGGATCGATGAATGCCAATGTTGATTGCATGTCCCTCAACTAGTGCCTTGAGCACGGATGTTGGAATTGGGTGGCGGGTGGCAGTACCAGCTGGTGAAGGTCGTGCGTACGCATAGAGTATTAGCAAAGCACGAAAATCCTGAATGTTTTCAGCTGAAGAGCCGATGGGGTTGGTGCACTTCTCCAGAACAAAGTCTGAAACCAGACCTCGAAGCACATTTGCTGTGGGAATACCACCAGCAAGGAAAAAAGAGGTCACATAACAAATGCAGTAGGCTAAATTCGGGTGCTTCTCGAGCAGTGTCTCTGCATCAAAATCTTCCTTGCAGAAGACCGGAATGAAGTGCAAAATTCTCTCACGAAATCTGAGCGTGTTAACGTGTCAACAAGAAGGCATCAAGGTGCTGTCAGACATACATGTAAATGAATTGCTTGATATCAGTCCTGGACAAGGGTAGCTGTGCCTTCACTTCCGATGGGGCATTGCGTTTTGAATGCAACTCAGTAAGGTCGCCCTCCAGGCCTGGAGTCTGAATCATGGCTTCATTCACCCGGTCGCTGTGACTATAGGAGTCACTGTTCCCCACGACTGCAGAGACTGGAGATGTCGAATAGATGGAAGGAAGTTCACCTGCGTCTGATATAATCCGCCCTTCATGCAAAAGAGTATGATGGCCACAAGTCGCGTTTAGTTGATTGTCACTCGTCTCGAGAGAAAAGTGTAGATTGGAAGGGAAATCTGTGGCGGGGTTGAAAGTGCCAAAATTGTCTGTGCCGGTCGCAGAGGCTTGATGCGCGTAGATTCCCCCATGATCGACGAGTCGGGGACAAGACAGAACTCGATCACGACGGGAGCCAGCAGTGCTTGTTGTCTTTGTTTGATCGTCTTGACGGAATTCGCATACTTGTCCGAGCCTTTCGCAGCGGCGGCATGTCGAACTCTCGGCGGACATGACACATCGCATCTGAGCAGTGTTAGAAGAGCGGCTCCCTGTGTGTCCTATTCTTCACGAGACGGTTGCTGACCTTAAGACGCCGACACTTCCTGCATGCTTGAGCGGCCCTTCCTGGCTTTGCGTATCGCAGATGAGGGGTCTCTGCATGTTCGCTCGGCGTCGCGACGTAAGGCGAGCTTTTGTGCATCCGTTGGCTGGGGCTCTCGCTGCTGTCATTTCCGGTATACTGGGATACAAATGGCATTGTCGCGATGGATTGATTCCACAGAAGCGGGCTGAGGAGCTGACTATCTCCTTGCGCAGGAAGAGAAGAGCGAAACATTCAGATCTCAGCGCGACGCGCACCCCGTGGATTGCTGCGGCCGACCCCGCATCATGATGAATCCCGCAGAAATGACTCTAACTTGCCCGACCGACTTCTTGAACCTCGGCATCAACTTGTCAACGTGCTTTCGTGGGTAAGTGAGGACCGATGAGGCGGCGTTGTGGTGGAAGAGTGTCGAGGGAGGGCGAGTGAAAGTGTCGAAGGTCAGCCAAACCATGTTGCACCGGTTGGACGAACCGGTCCCGGTCTGATCCCGGTTCCGGTTCCGCGACATGGCTCGCTACATTGAGTTCCTCCCTCAGACAACCCGTACAACCCTTTCTGGTCTCAAGAAAGACACACTAGTTTTAGGATCTGCACAAGGTCGAGACCTTCGACCTGCCTACGCTCGGACAAGGACATGAAGGAGTGCCGTCAATGGACCGGTATCCAGACTCAGACACGGTCCCGAGCGACCCACGAATGCCCGAAATAAGCTTAACAAAACACATATTTCCCGCAATGGCCTCAAAAGCAAAGTTACCTCACTGAAGGTATTTGATGGGCAAGAAGATTTGGTGCTGCAACTAATCAAACTTGGGCGCATTTCAAAATGGGTGACGCTGGCCAGCGGTTGGAGTCGCTTCTCCAGCACTTGACTCTCCCTGAGACGATCTCTCTACTCTCTGGGAAAGATGCGTAAGAGTACCACGCATCCGAACTCAGCCACACTTTGAAACCTAACATATTACAGCTGGCATACGGCGTCTATTCCTCATCGAGGCATTCCATCCATCCGGGTGAGTACTGTTGCCTTGATCGATAAGCAAGTTCTATTTGCTGAGGGACGGCTGTCCATGAACAGCTCTCAGATGGTCCGAGTGGAGTACGAGGGTAAGATGCAGCGCATAACGCCTTGAGTTATCGAGGGCTTGTTAGAATGAAGATAGGCTAACTCTAACTAAGGCGCCGCACCTTCCAAGCTACATCAACGACATGTTTTCCTTGTCCAATTGCACTAGCTGCAACATGGGACGTCAATCTAGTAAAAGAGATTGGAACGCAGATGGCAGGACAAGCGAAAGCACAAGGTGTCCAGTAGGGGACTGAACTCGTGGCGACCGCAATTTTGTTGACTGACACGGTTGTGCAGCGCGATTCTGACTCCCACAATCAACATCCAACGCTCTCCGCTTGGAGGGAGAAACTTCGAGTCATTTTCTGAGGATCCAGTGCTCAGTGGCTCTCTGGCCTCGAGCCTTGTCAGTGGCATTCAGCATGAAGGAATAGCAACCACAGTGAAGCACTTCGTGTGCAATGATCAAGAAACCCAGCGCACCAAAATTGATGTCATAGTTGAGGAAAGGTCAGCAAGCGTTGATTATCCCCGTTGTCTATACCATGACCTATTTTGACCCCTCGCAGAGCGTTAAGAGAGATCTACCTGAAGCCATTTCAGATAGTAGTGAGGAATGCTCAGCCTTGGGCTATCATGGCGTCATACAATCGTGTGAATGGTCTCCATGTCAGCGAAAATCCTCGTCTCCTTGACCAAGTCCTCAGAAAAGAATGGGGCTGGGATGGAGCTATTATGTATGTCCGAATTGGTGGAGCCCTATCCTTTCTCTGGATGTGGCTGACATTGTAGGTCGGATTGGTTTGCAACCTATTCGACTAGCGAGGCTTTAAATGCCGGCCTTGACCTCGAAATGCCAGGTAAGACGGAATGGCGCGGCAAGCTGGTCCTGAGATCGCTGCATGCTGGCAAGATTGAAGCCCCCGTCCTTCTGGAAAGAGCACGAAATGTACTCAATCTCGTCGACAAAACTCGTGCATCAGGTGTTCCCGAGGACGCTGAAGAACGTGAGAACAACACTCCCGAAGTCCAAGAAGCGAACCGAAAAGCTGCGACGGAATCCGTCGTTTTGCTGAAGAATGCCGCACAGCTCCTCCCAATCAAGACACCAGGTCGTGTGGCGGTTATTGGACCCAATGCCACTGAAGATCTGTACTGTGGAGGTGGAAGCTCGACAGTATTCCCTTACTACTATGTCTCTGCATATGACGGCATCAAACAAGCCCTAGCGGAGCATAGTCCGTCTAGTGAGCTGGCATTTTCGCAAGGTTGCTACAAGCACGCACTGCTTCCACTTTTGTGCACAGAATCTGCTTCTGGACAGAAGGGACTGGATCTGGAGTTCTTCGACCGAGACTTTTCTCAAGTCCAAGATGCTCAGAAAGTGGCAGAAACCCATTCACTCACGTGGAGGCTCGTGTTTCTCGACAGTCTACCAAAGGCAGCTCTTCCTTTAGTACATGGTCGCTTGAGAGGAACGTACACGGCACCAAACGATGGCGATTTCGAGTTTGGTGTTGTCACAACAGGCAAAGCAAAGGTCTACATCGATGGAGTACTTCTTCTGGACAATTGGACCAAACAAGAAAGAGGCCCTCACTTATTTGGTGAGTAAAGATTTTGACTGATCCAAAATCTCGTCTGACAACCGTAGGCCTCGGCACTAAAGAAGTTCGTGGGGTGATGAAGTTGACAGCAGGCCGCCAGTACGAGATCCTGACAGAGTACTCGAATATCAGCAACCTTCCTGACAGATCCGGCACCGATCTAGGTGGCGGCATTTTGCGATTAGGGGTGTGCCGGGTCGTCAGCCCCGAGGCCCTTCTAAACGACGCCCTTGAAGCTGCAGCCTTAGCTGATACTGTGATTTGTTGCGTCGGAACAGATCAGGAACATGAAAGTGAAGGCTGGGATCGAAAGGATATGAAGTTAGCAGAACCACGTTGCACAATGAAGCCTCACCACTGACCCATCTTAGACTTCCCGGCACACAAGATCAGCTTGTCGAAGCAGTGTTGAAGGCGAACCCCCGGACCGTCATTGTGAACATCTCTGGCAGTCCAGTGGAGATGCCATGGATTGATGAAGCTTCGACTGTCGTTCACGGATGGTTTATGGGCAGTGAGCTGGGCAATGCCTTGGCAGATGTTCTCTTTGGCAGAGTTTCTCCTAGTGGCAAGCTCCCCATAACTTTCCCACGTCGGCTGGAGCAAAACCCATCGTAAGCTTTCCTCTCCACGATCTCATCTAACGGACCACGATTACTGAACTGGAACAGATATGGCAACTTTCCAGGAGAAAACGGCCGGGTGAGGTATGCTGAAGGCATTTTGGTTGGGTATAGGCACTACACAACCCGACATGTCCCTTCTCTATTTCCTTTCGGCCACGGTCTGTCATTCACGGAATTCCAGTACGGCGAACTCTCGTTGGAGGGTGATAACTTACTGCATCCGGAGGGCGTCGTGTCGGTGTCTCTGGTGATCAAGAACATTGGAAGCTACACGGCACACGAGACCGTGCAACTCTATGTGTCCTCCTTGAACAGCTCGGTGTTTCGCCCGCTCCTGGAGTTGCAGGCCTTTGAGAAGGTTCGAGACGTACAGCCGGGAGAAAGCCGGAAGTTGACATTCAAGATCGACAAGTACGCGGTGGCAGGTTGGGACGAGAGACAGGAAAAATGGATGGCGGAAGCTGGCAAATACCGCTTGTCTGTTGGGGCTTCCGTGGAGGACTTGAGGCTTGCCACTTTCATCCAGGTGCCCACCACCTTCCACTGGTCAGGGCTATAGAGATAGATTGTCGATAGATATCTTGTATATGATGGCCCTGACAAGCATCATGAAAATGTGATGAAGCACACGCAAAGCCTAGCGTTCTCCAGGGTTGGTTGAGTGAGGAGCTGCAGGTCTGGACGTTTCCTCGGTGGGGGGCCCTTAGAAGAACACCTCGTACCTCGTAAACAAGGTGTCATGGACTCGCGCGTGCAGTTGCCATTTCCAGGAGCCCGAAGAGGCTTGATAAAGCTTGGCCGTGGAGCTTATTTAGCTTGTATTTTCGTGGTAATACCTAGGTACCTAGCTCGCTAGGTACCTAGGTACCTTTCTGCTCTCCCTGGCATGTTATGTCACTCCTCAAACTCCATTGGTCTTCATACCCAGCTAATTATCATCTTGTCCCCGCTCAAACTCCATCGGTCTTCATATCGCCTTTGTCACTGCGCGAAGTCCATTGGTCTTTATGTCGCCTGGTCTCTGCCTTTAACGTCCACGTGCGCTGCTTTCTGCTTCTGAGCTCTTCATTTTGTCTCAATGGATCTTGCTAGCTACCTAGGTAGCCTGCTTCTTCCAGAACGCGCGGCATCGTCACACTGTTAATCTTTGGCTTAGCAAGTTTGGACACCTTCCATTTCTTTCCTTCTGCAAAGTTGCACGTTCCATTGCATTTCTTTCCTCTTTTCGTCGAAGATAGGAGACACGTGTGAGATTTCTGCATGTTGGTTCGCCCCTAGGCTCTGAACCTGGGCTTTTGAAACCATGTTCGTCATCCAGTTAGGTTGAAGATATAGCATGGATCATGCCCGTGGAAAGCAAACAGCATGCCACTCTCTCCTCTTTCCAGAACCTTTCGCTGAGCCTCCTATTCACCATTCGGCATGCGCTCGAAATACCTTCTGTCAGTCATTACGGTGGTGCGGCTTTGCCATGTGGCAGCTGGGAAAGCAAAATCATTAGTGGCACCAGCTGGCGCTGATGTCCTCACTGTTGCTGTTATTGGTGACTACGGGTGGACTGGATGGGTTCCGAGTCCAGATCACTTTTGTCTCGAAGTGCTGCCTCTATTGCAAAGTGCAAATATCACCGTCCCAAATGAGGTAATCAATGACTGTGACCCGGGCGACAAGTCATACATCACCAATGCCACAGCTTTGCAGCTCGATACTTCGGCATATGTGGGCCAAGTCTGTGCGGTCAAGAACTGCAGTGCATTTATCTCAGTCGGTGACAACTTCTACGACAGCGGCGTCGACTTTTCCACTGCTGGTATTCTTCGCTTCCAGGCCGCCTGGGTCGACATGTACAGCCAGGGCGTGTTCGACCAAAAGCCGTGGTATCAGTGTCTGGGCAACCATGACATTGTGCCAGGACAGCCGGGAGTTGACTTCCAGACTAAAGTTGCTCCTTTATATGACGACCGATGGTACTTCGGTACCGAGGGTCTGCCTTACTACACCTACGACCTGACTGGGGCCGATTGGTCCGCTACATTCGTTGTCGTCGACTCAGACTGCTTTCTTTCCAGCTACCAGAAGAACACATCAGTCTACCGCAACCCGTACACGACTGCGTGTCACAATAATACGCAAGTCCAGGTTGACTTTCTCAATACCTCGTTCTCTCAATCGAATGCCACCTGGAAATTCCTTCAGCTGCATCACCCATATGCCTCTGCCGCAACCAACCAAACCGACTTAGCTCCCCTGATTGAGGTTGTAATGAAGCACAATGGCATTGTGCTTAATGGTCACGATCATTGCCTGGGTCACTTTTACCTGAATAATACCAACTTCGTTTTGTCTGGTGCCGCAGGATACCCGCAGGCAGGAGACTGCAACAATGGTACAGCTCTAGGACCCTATGCACTATACCTGGCAGCGAACAACTTGACAGGTACGTCATTAGAATTTTCTCCCTGTCCCTCTTTTGAGCCTTTCTTCCGTGGATGGGGGGCGGCCCACAGGAGGGTCTACATAAAGTCATTCTTAAAGAAGTACTATCAAAACGAAGTTGGTGATATTGTGCTAAGACAGGACTTTCTCTAGCTGCAAATGGCTTCGTCACCCTCGATATATCCAGCAGCTACGTGGGCGTCGAGTACTACGCACGAGATATGGCATTCGAGAATGGCGATCTATATCCTGTCAATTGTGATCTCAGCCCTAGCTATTCGTTCAATATCACCCAGAAGGCAACCTGAGAAGACGCACGTTTGATCTCAGCCGGCTTGGTGCGTGGCAACGGAACACAATATAGACGCGTCCCCTCCAGGGGAAAGGGGTCATAGGAGCCTGGCTAGCGTATTAGAACCCACCAGGTTCCCCGGCTTTATGGCATGTACCAATGCAAACCAACGCAACCAAATGGCAAACACAATGCGTCATTGAAGGATAGAGGGATAGAGGGATATTATAAGGCAACCTGAGTCAATCAGAACGGGGAGTGATGTTGTGTCTTATCCTCTTCCTCTTGACCCCGCACCTGAGGCGCCGTAGCAGTCCGTAGATACAATCAAGCACGTCGACCTTGCGGAACGTTGTCTGCGCCCAACTGAGGGCATCAATGACTACTTCATCGGAAGCTAGCACACGCTGCTGCAGCAACTCTTGATACTGTCCCTTTCCCAACAGTCCCGCAGCTCAAGAAATGGTGAAGATGTCCTTTTTTTCTGTCAGGTTGCCTCATTCTCACCACCGTTATAATCCAACATATCAACAACACGGGTGTGAGGTGCCCATAGCCTCCTATCTTTAGATCAGATGGTCGCATGTAATCCACATCCCGTTCTGTGACAAGACCAATTTCCCGCTCTTGGTCGAGCCGGGGTCCGTAATTACCGGGTACGGGGAACTGAACTTGGTGAATACTCAACCACACTTGTATTACCCCAGGTTCACATGAGAGTTGAGCTTGATCTTCCGAAGCAGAGCTGATGGAGTACATTGCAAGTGTTTTAATGTGCTGCTACTGCTGTTGATGACATGCGGTTAACAATTACACTATCACAAACAACCCAATTCCTCCCGGCCCGGCTTTGTCAAAAATAAATAATGCCCTACCCAGAGAATCAAGAAAACCCAAACCAGAATCACAGCTACACAAACAACACCCTCCCCAGCAATGTCCGTGCCGCCCTAGTGATGCTTCGTTGGTCGAGTGGGTTGGGTTGTTTACGGGTTCACACCCGCAATGGGGCCGCTGAAGCCCGAGACGTTGAAGCCAAGGTCGACGTAGTAGAAGACGCTGAATTCGACGTTGACATGCTCAATGAGACCCTGGTCGTTGATGTCGAAAATGTTCATTCCCTGAACGGCCTGGGGTGGTTGCGGGGCATTGAAGTTGCCCGGGTTGGCGAACTTCCAGTACCAGAGGATCTGGTTGCAGTTGAAGGGGACGAGCTGGAGATCGGTGATGCCAGTGATGGGCGGCTGGGTCAAGACCACGCTGATGTATTCCTCCTTGGTCGGGAAGGTGAGGTCACCCGGCTGAATGCGCGGTCTTGAATCAGTCTTCCAGTCTCTGGGAGTGGCCATAGATGAAGAAGGAAAATCGACTTACCTTGAGGCCGAGGAATCCGTTGATCGAGTCGGATTGCTCGGTGAAGTCGGACGCGAGGATCTTCTGAGCTGTCGCATTGGCTTGTGCAATTTGGCTGGGATCCGCGTGCGCGAGGAAGAATGCGTAGTCGTGGACAATCTGCGTAGCCTGGTCCTGGGAAACGCAACCTCCATTGCCACCATTGCCGTTTCCATAGCCGCCAGACCAGCCCGAAGAGGGTGCTGCTGCTGCGACACAGGCCAGGGCGAGGGAAGAGGCAATGCTGAATGTCTTCATGATGGCGGTGTCGTTGGGGCGATCTGAGCCGAACAGAAGCTGATAAGTAACGAACGACGGAAGGAAATTTATATTATGGACCGAGTTGTAAATGAACGAAGCGGCTGAAGACTGGTTGGCACTGAGAACGAAAAGTTGGGAGCAGCCTTTATAAATCGCTCTGGATGTTTCATCGCGTTTGTTATTGGAAGGCCATCAGGGATGGAAGGATTCGAGATCCTTTGATTCATGCCGTCGTCCCTGGGTGCTTTGACTGGCACCACGGTAGACAGCCGGTGAGAGGACTGCAGCATGTAAAATTGCACGTTCCTTTGACCTCGTGTTGTCCCTGGGATTGTTCAAGCTGCGACCCCAAAAGTTGTTACGGTACCTGTCGACCTTGCCTCGATGTCTTTCGCACCCCGTCAGCGCTATCGCAGCCTTGTGTTAATTATGGTCTTCTGCCCAGAGGGGCCATTTCCGCGGTATTTCCCCGAGTTTTCATGACATAACACGAGCAAGGGTGGACCAGGATCGGCCGCCCTCCCCCGTGTCGCTGTCAGCGAAATCTCCATTTCTCCTGGTTGAGATCCCCATGGATCAAAAGAGCTCGCCCTACCATTTGTGCAAAGCAGAGCTGCAAAAATCCCGCGACCAAGACATTACAGCAGCAGGATCGAGTCTGTAGGATCAGGTTAATAAAGCTTGGACTCCGTATTACAGTGAAGTCCAACTTGGGAAAGCACATAATGTTGGCCCAGATCTCCGAGGTTGCCCACCTTTTCCCTCTCAACCATGGGTGACCATGTTTGCCGTTCCTGTCCAGAGTAAATTTGATCAGCCCGTTCTGCGCATGGAAAGGGTCCTAGGAGTTCAGAGCTGTCTTTGCTTTGGAGACCTGAATTTCTTTGATGAGCTTTGTGAGGTTCGGCTGTACAGGATTTGTGATGTCGAGACGTCGGCTCTGAATAGGCTTCTGTGAGTCGATTGCCGTTTTTGGCTTGGAAACGCTTTCTGCAAGGGATACACTTTCGGCATTCCAGGCACGGGCTCTCCTGATTGGACTATTGAGCTGGATCGTTCGCTGCAGGTGAACTGTTTAGGCAACCCATTGCTCTGGATGGAATCAAACCAGGTCCCAGATTATGAGATGCTGCTCCACCCATGCCTTTGAATCGCTCCCGAGACTAAAATCGACCAATAAAGGGAGTGACTCCTTTGATCTTGAATACGAGGACTCCGGAGCTCGGGCACCGGGTCGAATTTCGAGTCCAAGTCCAGTGTGCAGGATGGCCAGAAGGAACATACTTGGCGACGTGGCAGATTGGATAAACAACATATTCGGTTTCCGTAATAATGTCATTAGCCTCAGCCAGAAACAGGAGGTGAGCCACCCTGTCTGATATTAGGTGGTGTTGTCTGACATGGAGACTTTTCATCCAACGACCAGGTTTCAAGGTTTGTTCACTTCATCTTCGTAGTTTGAAAATGATATTCGTCCACAATGAGTACTGTGCTTACCTGCCGAAAGGGCGCTATTCTGTCCTGCACTGTTCTGTTAGCAATGCTTAGCTTGGTGGTCGCCTTACCGTGCTCGAAGTCGTCAATGGGCCAGGAGATGGCTGCGCATAGGGCGGCATTAATATGTCTCTCAAAATGGGGATCCCCGCACGCTGCCCTAACATGGCTTGGCGCTGGAGTTCAAATTTCCCCCCACATCCATACGTCGAATGGCTCATGCCGCTTGACTTTTTTGGCTATATTGGTTTCGTGTCCAGCTCGAAATAATGGGCAAGCGAGGCGGCAGGAAGGTAAAGTCTTTGTTTGATTTTACGGCTCAAACAGCGCTAATGTCTCTCTCATAGGGTAACCGTGGTCGCGGTGGTGGCGGACCACGTCCTCAAGGCGACTATCGCAGCAACAAGCTGGACATCAGTCGATACAATGACAACTTCCAGCACTACTACGACCAGCTCGGCATAGTTCCAGTTGATGAGAGAGATGACTTCTGGAAAGCCATGCGAAGAGACCTGCCCAATAGCTTCAGGTTTACCGGATCCAAGGCGTGCGTCCTCGTCCGCCTCGATTCCGTGACTCTCTCCAAACACATGTACTGACTAACCTTCCAGACATGCCTTAGCAGTCCAACAAAAGCTGCGAGACCACTACATCCCCCAGATAACCTCAATCACCTACGAAGGCCAATATGTGGACGCACCTCGTCCTGTGGAATGGTACCCCGACCAGTTGGCCTGGTACATGACTACCCCGAAGAACGTTATTCGTCGATTCAAGCCGTTCGCCTCGTTTCAAAAGTTTCTTGTGACAGAGACCGACGTTGGAAATATCACGCGGCAAGAGGTGGTTAGCATGATACCGCCATTGGTCATGGACCTCAAACCAGGCATGACGGTGTTGGACCTGTGCGCAGCGCCGGGCAGTAAATCCGCGCAGCTGCTCGAGATGATTCATGCCGGGGAGGAGGAAAGATGTCGACAGGTCGCAGCCAATATTGCAAATGGTCTCAATAGACCGGAGGGCGAAGACTATCAGGATGATGGCCGGGCGACGGGACTTTTGGTCGCCAATGACGTCGACTACAAAAGAGCTCATATGTTGATCCACCAAATGAAAAGACTAAGCTCGCCTAATATTATTGTCACGAACCACGATGCGACCATTTTCCCTTCGATCAAGATTCCATCACCTCCAACCGCCGAAGGGAAGCCTGTGAACAATCGCTATCTCAAGTTCGACCGGATTCTAGCTGACGTTCCTTGCTCTGGCGACGGCACAGTGAGGAAGAATATGGAGATATGGAAGTCCTGGACGCCGAGCAACGGACTGGGTCTCCACGCCACGCAAGTGCGTATTCTAATCAGAGCCTTGCAGATGCTCAAGGTCGGTGGTCGGGTTGTCTACTCGACCTGCAGCATGAACCCAGTCGAAGATGAAGCCGTCCTTGCAGAAGCGATCAGTCGGTGCGGAGGCCCGCAGCTCGTCCAGATCCTTGAAACAACGGACCTGCTTCCAGGGCTAAAACGCTCGCCCGGGCTCAAGCAATGGAGCGTTATGGACAAGGCTGGTCGGATCTGGAACGACTATGAGTCCGTTCTAGAAGCAAAATCCAGCACCGAGGGCCTGGAAAAGCTATCCGAGAGCATGTTTCCTCCCAAGGAAGATCTACCTCTTGATCGAGCCATGCGTGTTTATCCACACCAGCAGGACACGGGGGCTTTTTTCATCGCGATTTTGGAAAAGAAGTCGGAGATTAAGGCCAAACCAGAGGAAAAACCTGCCACTGTCACACAGACACTGTTGAAAGCGGAAGCAGTCGATTCCCCAGGGGCGGATATCGAATCTGAGCCGATAACAGATGGAGCAATGGAGAAGGTCAGTGAGACGGTCAACGGTGACTCTGGAACCACAACAAAACGAAAACGTGAGGACGGTGACGACGAAGACATTACGCCAATAAAGCGGGTTAGGAGCCAAGAGAAACTCGTCAATACCAGTCCTACTTCAACCATCCAAAATGGTCCGTCTTCATCAGCCCCTACGCTACAACCACAACCTCAACAACAACCGCAACAGCAACATCCAAAAAAGAAAAACCGAGACCAGCCTTTCGAAGAACCATTTAAATATCTCTCTCCCTCTCTTCCCGAACTCGAACAAATCCGCGCCTTCTACGACCTGTCCCCGCAATTCCCCGTTGACCGTTACATGGTCCGAAATCCCGAAGGCAGACCCACGAAAACTATCTACTACACGAACAAACTCGCCAAGGACATCCTCCAAGAGAATGAAGGAAAGGGGATAAAGTTCATACATGCCGGCGTCAAGATGTTTGTGAAACAGGACGTACCGAGTCCGGAAGTGTGTCCGTGGAGGATCCAAACGGACGGATTGAGAATATTGGAGACGTGGGTTGGACCTGAAAGAAAGATCAGGTTGAGAAAGAAGGAGACGCTGCGAGAGTTGTTATCTAACATGTTCCCAAAGTTGTACGGGGAGTCAGGGGACAAATTGGGCGAAGTGGGAGAGCAAGTGCGACAGATCGGGATGGGATGCTGTGTGCTGATTGCGGAGCCGAGCGAGATGGAGGCCGAGCAATCGAGCGACAGCGGAGGACAGGGCGAAGGGTTGGAGGAGAGAATGGTTCTCCCGCTGTGGCAGTCTCGCCAGTCCCTCAACCTGATGTTGCCCAAGGAGGAGAGAATGGCGATGAAGTTGCGCTTGTTCAACGACGACTCACCGCTGGTCAACGAGAGTAAAGGCTGGACCGAGGCACCCAAGCAAGAGAAGGCCAATGGGCTTGCGGGCCACAAGGACGGCGGGTCAAAGGACCACGATGACAGAGATGGAGAGGAAAGGCAGCCGAGGAAGAATAGCTCTTCACCGGAACTCGAGGCCTCCAAGTCTGTGCCTGTGGAAGATAATGCACCTGCGCTGGACTTGCAGAACGGAGCTGACGACGAGGACGCCGACATGGAAGCCGGCGGAGTTACCATCTCTCCTGCCGAGTGAATGCATGAAATGGACCGGGCCATTGTTAGAGCTATACAGATAGAAGCCCCGACGGCGCGCCAAATCGGACCTTCTCGCGTGCGGCATTCTTGAGAAAGGCCGGCGAGAGAAGATCAAGAGGAAATGAATGACTATCTCGGTTCAAAAAGAGTGATAAGGACGTAAACCATCCCAGCTGGCGCTTTTAAAGTCGTACCACCATTGTGACACGCCGAAATGTGTTCTAGGCAATGGGAAAATCCATCTATCAGTATATGCGCAGTCTGTGTATGTATGTATGTATGTATATAATTCACTTTCAACCGGTTGGACGCGCACACACATGCCATGAGCTTCGATGGTGGTAGTGGAAAGTATCCTGACAGCTCTGTGGAAACTAAGACCAGACCCAAACCCAGACCATACAAGGGTGGGAGGGGACAAGACAGGAGAGGACGGTCTCTATCTCCTATATAGACAGCAGGACAGGCCACAGCCGACCGGCTAGCCCGTCCCCATCTGCGCAATTCAAGTTCCGGATAGGCAGTTTCAGATACAAAACTGGTCCCGGTGATATGTCTCCCTTACCGCCGTTCGGGACTCTCGCTGGATTTCCAGTGATCATAAGCAGAGAAGGAACCTTGGAGAGGGAGGACAAGTGCCAGCTCTTTGTCACTCCGGACGCATGATGTGCATTAGGCGAATGTCGTCCTCAGGAGAGGATATAGAGCCAGGGGGAGGAACGAGCAGTCGTGATCGTCATGCCCGGTGCCAGTGTGTAGCCTTCCCTCTCGCAAGACGGGGCACATTGCATAATGGCTTCAGCGCCTCACTTCGTCTATTTCTTACGGGAACATTTCATGGTAGAGCGTTAATCCTGCGTAGGCGGACCGTGTCGATCAAAGCAGGTTCGAGTAACCCCCCTCATATCAGCAATTCAACTGCCTTCCTCGGAGAGCCGGACAGTCAGGGTGGGAAAATTTGACCAAGAAAACCCCGTCGGGTCGTGGTTGACTGATTGCTTCTCGTTAGATGGCTCCAGAGATGCATCGTCATGTGTCGCGTTGACCACTCGTAGTGATCTTTTGGCTGGTTTCTGATCGTTCTTCTTCTCCTGGTCAAGCTCAAACTCGCCAGACATCGGCACGGCGAGCTCCTTTTCTCGTAGTCGAACGACGCTCTCATCGAAAGGCGCCAACTGACCCTTGCTGCGCTTCTCGACGTGAAGGCGGTTGTAACGCTTATTCCCGCTGAAAAGCGAGAGCTCTGCTGGAGTGGCTCCGTTGTAGTCCTTGATGCTTGGGTCGGCCCCGGCATCGAGGAGAATGTCGATAATTTCCGGCTTCTTTCGCCATACGGCAGCATGCAGTGCCGTACCGCCGTATCTGCCGGCTCGTTCATCCAGGTCGGCGCCCTCTGTGGCCAGACTCCTCACGGTCTCTGTCAGGCCGTAAGACGCGGCGTAATAGAGCGGCCGAGCACTCTGAAGATCCGTGTCCGGGTGGACAAAGCCATGCCACGAATCAAAGAGAACGACCTGGAGCCAAAAGAGAAACTTGGGATTTGAGCGTGTGGTCATCAATCTCCGGATGAGAGGAAGTAAGTCGGTCTCTGCGCCCGACATCTGCACGTGGAACGGCCAGTTTTGAGCCGCGTAGCGGAGAAGAGGGAACTCGGAGAGTGTCCACATAAAATCTGCCTTGAACAATGGACCAGCCGAAAAGTCCTCCAGAAGCATATAACGGATGCATACCTCGGCTATGGTGCGGTGCGATGCCTGCGCGGGAATATAGAACTCAGAAGATGAATCAAGCCGGCCCGTGAGGAACTCCCGGACCGAATGATGGGCAAGACGAGCGGTCTGTGAAATTGGATGAAAGGCGATCAAGCTGCGGCAGATTTCGAGGACGTCATTTGGATCATTGAGCTTCGAGTCAGGATCTAGTTCATCAAAGTCTGGCTCAAGAACCACAGCTTCAGCAAGTTCGGGCAAGGTGAGTGGTGTAGAAGCATGAGCAAGCCACAACAGCGTCCGCGTTGCAAAAGGGATGTCCTCCCGAGCAATGCTGTCGATGATGCGCAAATATGAGCCCTCAATGCTGGGAGGGAGCTGAGTTAGCGCTCGCTTCAGAGCAGCATCGGTCCTCAGCCTGGAAATTTCGTCTAGTTGGCACTGTACCCAGCGAAACCTTTCGGAAGTTAGCAAAGGGATTCTTGGCCAAGTTGGGCTGTAGTTCGTATCATGACTTACATCCCGTTAGCATCTGTTCGCAGTGTCCTCTCCACAAAAGCCTTCATATTCTCGCTCATTCGTCGAAGCCGTGGATCACTACAGATTCTCATCTTGATATACACACTGATATCTTGTTCAATCGCTTCTTCAGGAACAGGGATGTTTGGAAATTCGACGAGATATCGACGCAAGTCCACCTCTGGTCGACTGCTAACAAACACGCGCAGCGCGTATTTTCCAGATCGCACGATTGAGGTCAGAAAGTCACCCACCATCGAGTAGTCAGGAGACTCGTCCAAGCCGTCAACAACAACTGTTGCCGAATTGGTGCTTTCTAGCAGCTGCTGCAGGAAGGTCTTCAACTCCATTAGACTTGGTTGGCTCGGGCTGCCTAGACGACTTGAAGCTCGTCTGTATGCATCAATAATATGGGCAGGCAGTTGTGGCAGTTCCGAACAGAACTGTTTGACAACGGCGCCAAAGAAGGTTTGTGGTGTCAGACTTTCAATCGTGCTGGCATCATAGTAGAAATAGGCCAATAGAGAGTCGTCTGGTTTTATGTCCAAGAGATGGTGGATCAAGTAGCTCGTGGCTATAGTCTTCCCTGAACCTCCTTGGCCATGCATCCAGAGCAGAGAGGATCTGGCATTTGACCAGTCGAGGAATGCAGGGTCGTGGAGGAGCCAGTTGCACGTGTTCTTGCAATGGAGCTGATGTGCTCGCTGGAACTGAGCCTCGTAATTATGCTCACACAGCCAGTGTAAAATGTCTCTTCGTTCCTGCTCAGCATTCTTGTATTTGATCTCGGTCAGAGTTTCTGAGACGGTTTCCAAAGTGGCACTCTGGCTCATCAGTGCCTCCCTGTTTGCCCTTTCTGAGTAACGTTACCTGCGCTGTGAGTATACTTGGACTTACACTGAAAGAGAGCTCAAGGAGAGGGACAAGGAGTTTTTATGTCTCTCGACGGCCGAGACGAGTTCCTCTGTCTCATTCTTGCGAAGTGGCCAAAGAAGGCGACTGATTGCACGTTTTCCTGGCGATTTGCTTGAATTCGGAGAGAACTTATGCAGCTTCGTGGACACAGTGTCCAGCACAACCTTGCAATTTTTCAATGACGACTCCAACTGGTATACTGGCAGATCCATCTGCGTGGCCAGTCCTTGGACACCCAACAAGATGCCATTCAGGCTGGTGACTTCAGACACTAGCCGCCTTGCTTCATCCGGGGCCTCAGCCACCGCACAGCCGTAACAGTAGCATTGGCTGATGACGGTGCCGGCCAGGGAAAGAAGGCCAGCCACCCCAGTGATGAGCGAGAACGGGTCAGTCATTGTGTTGAAATCCCGACCTCTGGCCCAGAATCATACAATCCAGGAAATGGGTGCGATGATTCCAGGATCATAAGGTCATGCATGCCATTTTCCACAAAGGCTCTTCATATCCTCTGCTCGATTAGTTCTGTGAGTATAATTAACGATACACTCTCCAGTCGACGTGCGTAGGCCTAAGGGTTCTCTCTGGCGGAGACGACTGAGCTTTTTGATATTTTGACAGGGGAGTCTGGATTACACTGGAAGAGAGGAATGGGGTTCGGCCCAAGCCCGCCAAATGCCAAGGAAGGCTGGGCGGAGGCATTTGCACAGCCACTTTTTGGAGAAAGAGATAGATATGTAGATACATGGTGATACAACCTCGCCGCCTGGTCTACAGGTCTGCCGCATCCTAAATTGCATGGAGGTCGGTCATGAGGCGATTGCGTGCGCCTGACTGTCCTTGTTCAAAGCACTGGGGAGCTCGCCCGGTGCCAGCTGCCATGCCATATCAATGGCTCCACGAGGATTTCCTTTGTTGTACAGGAATAGACCCTGTAGGGCCGCCATGCTTGTCCGACTATTTCTTGCAGGCCCAGGAGGCAAGACTCCTATTTCACGGAGTTTCTCAAAGAACTCCTGCCTGAACATTCCATTTGCATCGACATCACTGTAGAATCGCGCCCACAGTTGTTCAATCTGGTAAGGCGTTGCTTCACCAAGTCGCACAGTCATATCGACTCGGCCAGGCCGCACAAGTGCTTCGTCGAGGCGATCAACGTGGTTAGTCGTTAGAAAGATGATGCGTTCTTCGGCGCTGCCCACGCCATCCAAAGCGTTCAGCAGGCCCGAAAATGTCACATTGGCCCCCTGGTATCCATCTGCTTCAACCTGACGGCGGTTTGCAAAAGCCGCGTCAACATCCTCCAAAAGGACCAGCGTCCGTTGGGGAATGACAGTCAAGAGATGGTTCAGTCTATCGTCCGTAAGACCACGCTCGCTGAGATTTAGCATTGCGATGTCATAATTCAAATGACCAGCAAGGGCCTGAATAAACGACGACTTTCCCGTTCCGGGTGGGCCGTAGAGGAGATAGCCTCTCCGGTAAGGAATTCCTCGTTCGGCGTACCATTTAGCCGACGAGAGGAAGTCCTGCACATCTGCGACTATGCGTTCCTTGACGCCTTTGTCGAGAATGACGGACTCGAGCGGCCGCTTGCTGCGAGGGTGGCCGAACTTATCCCACTTTGTGCCCCATGCGGTATATATGACAGTCTTGCCTTCAACCGACTGGGTGGCGATGTCATGAGCTTCTTTGAACAACGACTCAAATACGTGCCGCTGAGAATATAGCGTGGTCAGGGTAACTGTTTCCCAAGGTTTTCCATCCATGGAGAACTGCTTCGACTCTCTTTGCCGGTTGACCATTATCCACGCATTTCTGTAGCGGATCACATGCCTGCCGGGACCAGGGATCAAGACAAAATTTGTGTGAATGGCACCATTTGGCAGTTCTCTTTTCTCCGTCTCTATTGCCAGATGGCGCATGCCTGGTGTGAGTCGCTGGAGGAGAGACTCTACTGCTCCTGCTTTTGCCTGCGCTGCCTTATCTACCAATCGGCCTCGTTCATGGAGCGTCATCCAATAGAGAAACCAGGGGTAGGAATCGTCCCGAACACTGATCTCGACATCGACGAGAAGACGGCGTCGCATAAGGGCTGCTCCATGGCGAAGACCTCTTCGACCAAAGGCGAAGATTGTACCGAGGCCAGCAAGACCGAAGCCCTTCAGGAGTGTTAGACATGTCCATTGTGGGAGTGTGACCACTACTTACAGCCGCGAAGAACGGATTGTTGATCAACTGCGCAATCAGCCCGTTCTCTGCAGAATTGATGGGTGTTGCGAATTGGCGCACAAGGTCAGCTTTCTGGGAAGGGACATCGGTCAAGGCGGGAGTTGCGAGAGGCGTGTTCGTGTTGGAAGCGACCTTGACCAGTCCATTGTCGCTCTGCATTCCCTCTTCAACATAGGCGATGGGGATACACGGGATCTAAGGTGCGAGAGGAAGAACTGGATGCGTTCATTGCTTGCTTCAAAAGTTGCGCATTAATGCATCGGAACGAGGTTTGGCCGACTCCGATATGCAGCTGCGGACAATCCGGGACTCCAGCCAATCAGAATCCAGAGTTTATTGTCCTTCCCGCATTGAGGAATCGATGATTCCTTAACTCCAACCACCCATACCTCCATACTGAATACCGAGTACAAGAATACGAGTTGCTAATCCCCCTCGCTCCCTCTAGGCAGCAGGAAACTATGCTCAGGCGGTCTCGCTTGATATAGCCCTTCCCTCGCTCCATGCGCTCCTTCTTCCGGCTGCTGTTCAGCAAGCGCACTCCGTTCAAAGCTCATACTGCTGCTACACATCCACCTCCCTTGCGCACCATGACCTCCTCTTCAACGGCCGCCCTCCTCTACGCAGCCACCATTGCCGTTCCCTCGACAGCATCGCCAAAACCTGAGGACGAGATTACAAAGGCGAAGGCATGGCACGTCAAGAGCGGTGGCTTTGAAAACCCTTGGCCATCATGGCAGATGCACTCGTTACCAACGCTGCTCTGGGGTCTGCTTTCTAGGAGATTCACTGGCAAGGCGAACAAACCCGATACGACTCCTCCTACTGTTCCAGTTCATCCCCCGACTTTTCTTCCTTCGCGCACGGCAGGCGCTTCAGGCTCTCTTAGGGCAACATGGCTCGGACACGCCTGTTTTTATGTTGAATTTCCCTCTGGTCTGCGCGTCCTATTCGACCCAGTCTTTACAGACCGCTGCTCGCCCTTTTCGTGGCTCGGTCCTAAGAGATACACCGAGATGCCTTGTCAAATAAAAGATATCCCCGTCATTGACGCCGTCGTCATCTCGCATAACCACTACGATCATCTGTCGCACCCTACAGTCTTGGAGATTGCGAAACATAACCCAGAATGCCATTTCTTCGTGCCCCTAGGCAACAAGAAATGGTTCTCGGCAAGCGGGATCGAGAAATGCACTGAACTGGACTGGTGGGACGAAGTGGATTTTACGCTGACACCCTCATCCCCGACATCTGTAGAGACGAAACGCGCCAGCGTATCCTCCACCGACGAACCCAATCCAACCTCCTCCCCAGACTCAATAACAGCTCGCATCTCCTGCCTCCCATGTCAACATATTTCCGCACGCTCCATCCACGACCGCGCTGCCACCCTTTGGGCATCGTGGTCAGTCTCATCAGGCTCCAAATCAGTTTATTTCGGCGGGGATACTGGCTATCGCACCGTCCCGAAGTCCTCCGATGGGAAAGATGACTGGTCGGAAGAGTATTCAAAGCTGCCTCATTGCCCGGCATTCGCGGACATAGGTCGTCTACGAGGGCCATTTGATCTCGGTCTCATTCCCATTGGGGCATACATGCCACGGTGGATCATGAGTCCCATGCATGCGAATCCCCGTGATGCGGTGGAGATATTTCGGGACACAAAGTGCAAGAGGGCGCTGGGCATTCACTGGGGTACGTGGGTGCTGACCGAGGAGGACGTCTTGGAGCCGCCCAGGCTGTTGAAGGAGGCTTTGAAGCACCATAAAATGGAAGAAACGGGACTGTTTGATGTATGCGACATTGGCGACAGCAGAGAATTTTGAGAATTTAGTACAAAGATGCATGCCCTCCAGGTGTTGAGGATTCGAGAGTCAAATGCAATGGTCTGTAACGCTATTGAGATGGCTAGCAAGGACTGTAAGATATCCACGGGGAGTATTTCAGGAGCAATCACGACTCTATTGGGCGTTTTCACAAAGAATGAAAGTTCGCCTCCTCTACATGTCATCGTTGCTAAGCTAAACATTATCGCACTGTCTAATAGTACAGGATATCATTTTGTATGCTGACTCTCCCGGGGAAAAAAAAACAAGGAAACCATGAAGGATAGGACGGACAAGTAAAGCTCAACGCCAACCCGCAGTGCGCCACAGCAGCCCCAACAGTGACCTTCCTCTGTAGTTGGTACATAAGGAAATCCCTCCCGGTAAAGTCTTGATGGTACAGTATCGTCCTGGCCGGTCCGTAATAGTGACACTCCCGTTGCTCTTCGGTCTCCTTTCGCCTGCAAAGTTTTCTCTCTCGTTCATTCCGGCCTTTGTGGTAAACAGCAACACAGTCTCTTGTTCAAATGCATCAACAACAGATTGTTTTCAACTCGTTTGTGCCGTTGAAATGTCGGTTCGAAGCGAGAAAATCATGGCAGGTCACTCTTGACTTGGGGGGTTTCGTTCATATCGCTCGCCCCTTGGTATTTTTCTTGGTTCTTGCGCCCTTTCCTTTACCGCCTTTTGCCGCCTTTGCCTTCTTTTCTTCTGCGTAATCTTCGTCTTCGTCTTCCGCTTGGGCTTGGGCTTGGGCTTCACCGTCGTTGTCTTCATCCAGATCATCTTGACGGAGAGCTCCTATGTACCCTTCTGGAACTGCATCGAGGGTGTTTCCTGCATGGTCTCCCTCTTCCGTCTCGTCAGCTGCCTCGGGTCCAGCCCGAGCATTGATTGGAGCGTCGTCTGCATCTTCATCTGGGACCGGAGGCTCTTCACCCTTAGCAGCTTTTGGTTTCCGACCAGTTTTGGTTCGTTCAGGTTTGGCAGCAGCTTGGCGATTTGAGGCGGCAGGATCGACATCTTCGTCATCCTCATCTGCATTTTGGATGGCTCCCTTTTTCTTTTGGCGTCTGTCACGCTTGACGGGTTTCATAGGTTCTTCCTCCATTTCCTCAGTTTTGTTCTTCTTGGCTCGTGATCTCTTCGGCGCTTTCTGAGGTGCTTCTTCTTCTTCTTCACTATCTTCCTCCTTCACGGCGGCTTTGCGTTTCCTCCCTCCAGCTTTCTTTGGTGGCGCCGGCTCTTCAGGCTCAGCGTCTTCATCTTCGTCTTTGGCCTTGCGACGTGAGGCTTTCTTTTTGGCTGCTGGCGGTTCTGGCATGTCCGCTTCGTCCTCTGCTTCGACCTTGGCTTTCTTACCTCTTTTCGGCTTGGGTTTGGAGGGGGTGTGCTCGTTCTCTGCAGCAACGTCCTCGTCATCTTCACCTTTCTTCTTTTTCGGAGTGCGCTTGTTGATGCCTTTCATTCCCGGACGGTTGAATTCAGGTTCCTGGAATGAATCCGTCAGCTCAGGCACCAAGGACATTTTATCAGACACGGGTGCTTACACCCTTCCAGTCTTCGTCGGGAACATGACCGTGGATCAGTGCATATTTGATCTTCTCACGCGATTCGCCATCAATCTCGTCATAGCCATCAATGATGCGATCTAAGTCGGCATCGAGATCATCATCCAGCTCGTCAAGCGGGCCGACCTGATCTTGGAGTTTCTTGATTTGAGCAGGCGAGATGCATCCCCTGGTACAGAGTGAGCTACAGCCGGCTTTGATCCTTGCAGGGAGAGCTTACCAATGCTTCCACATCCACGATGTATGCTCCTTGATAGTCACGAGCGTCCCCATCCTGAGTTCGCCCTTTTCAATCTTGATCCCCTCTTTCTTGCATGCTGAGTTTTGGCAGCCGGCACGGCCGGTCTTGGCGAGTTCTGCATTGATGATATTAGCCCAGAGACACGAGTTTTAAGGAAGCAGAGGGAAAAATAGAAATTCGCACGAGGTTGTGACCTCCAGTTGCGACGGCAGCTTTGACAACTCCATTCCATGCTAGTTCAATGTTTCCTGAAACCGTAAGAACGCACAGGGGACTTACCAAAGCGATATGTTGGTTCCGATGCCATGATCAGCTGGTGAACTTGACGAGAATGTGGAACTGGGGTAAGCTAAGCAGGAGCTGGGCAGGGTGAACGAAGTTGAAAGCGAAGTTGCTCAAGCTTCCAGGCTTGAGATCATGCAAGCAATGAGAGAACTGGCACGGAAAGGATGGATAGAGCAACAAGGCTGATTTCATCTGAGGATGGTAGAAGTTGGCAAGCAGGAGACAATGGCTACCTACGTAGGTACCTAGGTGGTGAGGCTCAAACAACCGAAGTTCCTGCCGCACTGCCTGGAAACTGAGAATGAGAAATCACTCCAAGGAAAATGATGTTGTCTGACAGGTGCCATGGCGTCATGCAGCCACAACACCACGACTCCCTCGGTGCTGCGTTTCTGTCAGACAGGTGTAAATGCTGCCATACAGCGCGACGCGTAAAGTTGCTTTGACATTTCACTGTCGCCTCACCCTGATATCGGCCTCAATGTTCAATTAAACAAGATGTGCTTTGTTATATTCTTCTGGCTCCTCTCAACAAAGCGAGAAGGAAGTCGTCCACTCTGAGCTTACGATGACGAAACAGTAGACGGCTTGATATGGCGAGAGGATCCCGACTAGTCTTCATTTCCTATGGGCCAAAAAAATCTGCTAATAATGCTCTTTGAATTCTGAAAACTGATTTATTTAAAACTGCCCGCTTATATTCAGAAGACCACGATGGTGAGCAGTGACAAGTGTCTCTGAAGCGGTGCCTGACACCAAATTCCCTCCTGCTTATTATGCCGATAATGCTGTCTAGCAAGGAAAGGAGAGTTCGAAGATGATCAACTATGCCTGCTTGGTGGCCTTGCTCACCCCGTTACCACTGGCGCTGCCGCTCCCACTTGCCGCTTCCAATTCCGAGCTATCAAGATGCCCTGCGGCATCCACGCCCTGCAGCACTCCCGCACGTTTCTCGATGTCCTCATGGGGCTTGCCATAATGAGCATCGTAGTCCTGTTGCAGCAATTAGCACATGCGAAATTTGGGTCAGAAGAAGGGGGTCTCACATGTCGTCCATCATGGAAGAAGGCGTACGGAAGCTCGCCATGGACCTCGCCATCACCGATGAGGAGTTGGTCTTCGTTGTATCTCAGAGGGATCCTCATGACGTATTTAATGAACAGGCAGATGGCGCTGGTCCAGAACAGGTTCCACCCGATGACGAAGAGGAAGCCGACAATTTGGACCCAAACTTGTCTCCCGTTGCCATCAATGGCACCACCGCTGGGGGCAAGGGCAAAAGCCGCAGTACCTTCGCTGGTGGCGAAAAGTCCGGTCAAGAATCCTCCCACGACGCCGCCAACCAAATGTGTATGGAAATCTCCTACCACGTCGTCGGAGAATTCGAGGAACCACCTTTGCTTGCCCAGGATGTTCATTGAAATCCATGGAATCGAGCCAGAGCAAATACCAATGATAATTGCACCCCATCCCGCGACAAACCCAGCGGCAGGCGTGATTGCGACAAGGCCGGTGATGATACCTTGAATGGCTCCAATGACGGCGGGTTTCTTGAAAAAGACGAGGTCCATAATGGTCCAGGTCAACATGCTCATTGCGGTGCACACATTGGTATTGAGCACGGCGGCACCGGCATCAGGTGAGGCAGTATAAGGATCACCACCATTGAAGCCGTTCCAACCGAGCCAGAGCAGCCCAACGCCCACGAGCGCCAGCAAAACGTTGTTCGGATGGAACTCGGTGCGATCGCGAGGATGTCGAGGGCCAACCCAGTACGCGAGAACCCATCCTGCTGTTCCGGACGAAACGTGAATGACATATCCTCCCGAGTAATCCAAGACGCCCAGGTCGAACAAGAAGCCACCTCCCCAGATGCTGAAAGCACCCACAGTGTAGCTCAGAGTCAACCAGAGTGGCACGAAAACCATCCAGGCAAGGAAGTTCATTCTCGCCAAGGCCGAGCCCGCGATAAGGACAAGGGTGATGGCCGCGAAGACGAACTGGAAATAGACCATGGTGCTCATAGGATATGCTGCGGATATACCAGCCTCTGGCAGGAACGCTTGCTTCAATTCGTAGTTCATCTCGACAGCGGGGCCGGGCACACCGACGAATGGCAACATCTGTTTGCCAAAAGCGGCTTTGTATGCGTAAACGACCCAACAAATGAGGACGGCGGCAAATGCGTACAGGACCATGAATGCCGAGTTGATGGCCCACTTCTTTTTCACCAAGCCTGCATACATGACCATCAGACCCGGCACCGATTGGAGGCCGACAAGAGTCGCTGCCGTCAGCTGCCAGGCATTGTCGCCGTTGTTAAGCCAGTCGGGCGCAACGAGTGTGTCGGCGTCCCAGCGACGCTGGGTGCGGTAGCTGGCCGCGTGACCGGGCGACATCGAGGTCAAGCGATTTGGGAGGCGACGTTGACGGTGGTTCGGGGGAGGGAGTGTCGCGTCCAGCAGCCGCGTTCTTGAACGTCGGCCCTGTCAAGTTTAGGAGAGGAGGGAAAAGCACAGGGAACGCGTTGGGGAGTCGAGCAGGAGCAGGAGGGAAGCTTTAAGAACACTGCCAGCGATGCACGCGACGAAAAAGAAAAGGCGAGCTCTCCAGCTCTCGAACCACCCATGCGACTTACATGCTCGACTTAGAGGGGACCGGGGCCGGGATTCAAGCGATATCTGTCCCAGAACATGTCATGATTCGCCAGCAAGAGGCCTTATTGCCTTTTGGTGTACACCAGGCTTGAATTAGCAAAGGGATGTCGCCGTGTTAGCGACCGACGCAGGCACAACGTGGCGTTAGTATTCGTGGTCTAGCCCGCATGATAGGCCACAGGCATTCGCCTGCTTATCATCTATGACCCCCAGCAAAGCGATACGCGATTGGGTTTGCAAGCAATTGTGCAGATGAAAATGGAATGTCGGGCCAAAGCTGAGGCAAGATGAAGGCTGGGGAAATACAGCCAATTATGGGGAAGATGCTTATCAGTTCTTGGCTGGAGGACGGAGCCTTCGGGAAATGGAACTGGACATGCTAACCTCAGTTAAGCATTTCGAAGCACTACGGCATCTCCACAAGACCGTCAGATCAATGACCATTGCAAATTGCTGGCTTATCTGCGAGATCAAGGACGAAGCGCTGGCAAACTCCACGTGGGGCATCGACGGCAGAAGCAACCTAGACGAGATAAAAGGCTTCGGGATGCATGCTGGGTGGACTGATGCCGTTATCAAGTCTGGGGACTATTAGGACCGGAGCACTCACCGAGAGTTGCCTATTCACGTCAAAAAAGCAAGCCACCTGCTGGTGCGTGGTGTTCTGGTCTCTGTTCAATGTGCTGGCGAGATGAAGTTCGACTGCTCCCGCAGGTATGGTGCCGAAAACACGCCCACTGCTGACTCTCTCAGCAGGTTGACTTGATGGTCGAGCAGCATATCTGTGAGGTCACCTCTCAACACCTGTTCAGGATAATGCGATGGAGTCTCGCACATTTGCCAATTCTAGCGTTGTACTTCGGTACGTCAACCTGCTTTTGCAGTGGAAGAAGAATTCTAGCATACCTGCACCCACACGACTCCGAATTCCAAGCTCTTCGATCATCAATCCAAATCCCTGGGAAAGGTTTCACAGCCCCTTCAATTGCGGTCCTTTCAAGTCGTGAAGGCGGGCTGGCAGGCTACACGCCAAACAAAAGAATATCATTAGGAATGGGGAGCCACAGATTCTGGTCCAGAGTGTCTCAGCCTTGCCCATAATGTGCCCGATAAACCTGATGGAGCTTCTTATACATATCTTACGAGACGTAAGCAGGTCTCGAGAGCTCCAGTGGAGACACCTCGCAGACAATGGTCCCTCGTAAGTTCACAGCCATCAAATGCTGCCATGTGGATACGCCAAACGCATTGCCATTTCGCCGCTCTTCGTCGAAAGGCTGCCGGGTGGTCAGGAAGGTGTGCTAACTCAAGGTGGCGAGGTGGTAAGCATCGATCAGATGTGCCGAGACCCAGCGCACATGATCAGCCCATGAAAATCACTGTGGTCAAGCTGAAGCAGCGCGATGATACTGGCCTCAGAACCAACATGGTCCCCCTCGACTACACGGATAGTCTTGGTGTTAGAGCTGCTCTTCACACAACGGAGAGCCTGCTGGAAGCCCTGAATTTGGGCAGCAATAGATCAAAACTGATTACTTACGGTAGGTTTTCAAGGTAAAGAAAGCCACGAGTTGTACACTTCTGTTACTTTGGCCTTGAGCAACACTTCGGGCCACTGTAGCTCTCGCCCTCTGTGCGGTCTGCCGTGCTATTTGGCTGTGTTCAATTATGCCATTTGCATTTCGGTAGGCAATACAATCTATCTAGTGGTAACTTCACCTCCTTTCGACTTCGACTTTTGGTTTTTTCAAGACAAATACTTGTTAAACCAATCAATCCCCTGCTGCGCTGCATCGTCCATCGCCTTCTTGTCCTCGTCAGTGCTCCAGTCGCCTCTCAAGGCAAACCCATGCACCTGGTTTTTATACACCTTCACTTCTGTGGGGACACCCGTCTTTTCAAGCGTCTCCCTGATCTGATCCACGGATTTCATGTCGAGCAAGCTATCCTTTTCACCTACAGCAATACTGGTGGGCTTTGATACGGGGATTATATCGGCGGGGATAGAAAGGAGGGACGGGTGGCAGGCATAGGCAGCATCCACGCCGCCAATCTGGCCTTCTTTGCGACCGTGGGCTTGGAGGATGGAGTAGCGACCACCCCAGCAGAAACCGATCTGTTGACATCAGCCCCGAATAATCAAACTTGGTGCCACAGCGTTTGAACGAGCGCGCTATTTTCGACAAAGGGAGGCAAGAGACTTACCGATCCGACCTTATTGGTCCCCGGTATTGTTCTCACATGATTGATAAACCCACTGATGATGGGCTCTGCAACGGCTTCCCGGTGTTTGGCCAACCACGGCCCGAGTGTGGCCATCACATCAACCGTCTCCTTCGCCTTGTCCACGAGACCTTCCTGCTCTTTCTTTTTCAAAGGCGGCTCGATGCTCTGGAGGAATTCAATGTCGAGCGAATCCCCTTCATGGACGTCGGGTATGTATGCATAGAAACCAGCTTTCGCATATTGGTCAGCCAGGAGCCGAACATTCTTAAATTTCCAGCCAAAGATGTCGACGATGAAGACTACGGTCTTGGAGGTGGATTTGTCGCTGGGCTCCGCGATGTAGGTGGGCAGGCCGCCGATGGTGTCTTCACGACCCTTGGGAGTGCCTTCGTGCACGACTCCGGAGAGGCAGCACGCACCCATTCCAGTGTGAGTGGACATGGTTGCAGTCTTTTTAGCCTTGTGGAAAGAATGATCTGGTATGAAAGGAGAGTGTGGTCAGGGACAGATGGTGATCTATGGCACCAGTTGAAGTAACGTCCTGAGGAGCTATAAGTGTCCCGGCATCAATTGAGCAGATCTCGACAGCTTCGACATGATTCCAGTAAATTTCCTTGAACACCCAGCAGCCTGCGCATTGCTGTAGAACCCATGATCTCATGATGCCGTAGCTTGGAGCTCGGCGCTCGACAACGATTCGTGCAGAGAAACTTCCTAATACTGACAGAGGCGCCCAAGAGGGGCAGGTTGAGCAGATTAGCGCGCGGGGTATCGCTTTGGGTACAACGGAAAGAAAGTTTGGGCTGAGCGATGTAGATTGTACCCTGTTCGCTGTACATTGGTCCACCATCTGGTGTATGGGGACAGGGCCTTCCAAGTTGGCGCTTCAGTAATCAAGGCCGTCATATCCGGATCGCAGAGTATTCACATAGCCCTCCATATGGCACCGGGCGGTCCTGATCAGTTTCGCACCAACAATCTTCCCATCCTCCATGGCTGCACCAACCTCCAGAATGCCCGATGGATGGCCGATAATGGTGTTTGAGTGATGGAGGTGCTTCGACAGTGCATGCGGGAGTGTTCCCTCCATCTTGCATGCAACTCCGAGATTCAGAGCCAGTGTGACGGGAACCGCCTTGTGGGCCTGTTCCATTGAAAGAGCCTGGCACGAAATATCCAAGCCGTCGCTTCTAGCAGGGAACAGCAAAACGATCTTGGGTATGCTGCTGATGTTCGGGTCTAAGCCCATCATCTCGGTGCCCCGTTTCCGGATGGCCTCTAGCTTCTCGAGAAGCTCTTGATTGGCATTCAGTTGGTCTGAGGTCGCATCCGCCTTCCACCCAATGTCTCTGCCGTCGACGAACACTCCTGGATTGCTGACATCGATCAGCGATGCTCGGACGGTCTGGTCTCCGATTTCGATATGGTCAACTGGCTTGCCGGTGGGTAAGGCCTTGCCAGTCTTTGCACCTTGTGGCTGAAGGAATGAGAGCGTGATCGTGGAACCTGTCCCAGGAACCCCGTCGATGCTGCACTTGCCCAGCTCTTGATATTCCCATCTGCCGTCGTACGTGGTTGCTTGAAACGTAGATTCGATGATTTTAGCTGTATTCATGTTTCTCATTCTCAAAGTTAGGGTCGCGGCCTCCCCTTCTGAAGTCCCTTGATCATCCTGTACGGGTTCTTTCTGGTAGATTCCGGAGTTGAACGCGAAAGGACCAACCACCGAGGTCAGATTGCCGCAGTTACCAGCCATGTCCAGCTTACCGTCCTTGACGCCTATCTGGAAGAAGGTATAGTCAATGTCGGCATCTGGCTGCGACGACGGACCGACAACCATGGCTTTGCTTAATGAAGAAATGCCACCTCCCATGCCATTTAGCTGCCTGCCATACGGATCAGGAGATCCCAGAACCGCTGCAAAAAATTCCTCCATCCTCGTAAAAGTTGCCGCCTCGGGCTGCTTCCCTGTTGACAGGGCCGACTGGAACCATTTCGGCAGATCGGAAATGTTGAAAAAGACGCCTTTGGAAGTGCCGCCACGCCAGAATGAGGCCTTGACGGCCCTGGGAAACGGTGTTGTCGACATGGCTCTCTTCAAGATGTTGGCGAAGACCCGGGGCGTGCTCGCGGACTGACCAAGGAGCATAGTGAGTAAGGATCAGGCTGCCCGCTCCATTCGCGACTGGACAGTGCGCATCTCGGAGCTAAAAGTACCTTTTCGCCCTGAACAACAATGCCAGTATGAGCTGAAATATGTGAGCCCGCCGCCAGCAAGAACGAGCGATTGACTCGACTTGACGGGGAACGGCCGCCAGCCTCGTCGACGGCGAGGCTGACCAATCACAGCCAGGTTAATTGGATTGACCTGCTATCGTTCCCCCGCACTCACCGTTTCCCGCTGCAACAAGTTGAGCGACAGTTCCTTGGTGAAGCCTCGCCCTTCTGGGCATTCAGCGCTCAGATAGAGGCTACCGTGCTATCCCGTACCCTTTCGACCACAATGGGCTCCATCGAGCCATCCACACAGCCGCCGCAATTCCTCGTCATTGGAGCTGGCTCCCGGGGCCATGCATATGCCCGTGCTGTCGAAGCGTCGACATCAGGCACCATTGCGGCTGTGGCAGAGATAGATCCGTTCAAGCGTCAAGAGTTTGGAAGACGTTACATATGGGGAAGAGATGGACAGCCTAAAGATTCCCAGTCTTTCGGCCGGTGGGAAGAATGGGTTGCGTGGGAGAAGAGACGTAGAGAGGACGCAGACAAAGCTGGAGGTCCCGAGCCTGGCTATCTCCCTATAACTGGTGTCTTCATATGCACCATGGATGAGACTCATGCGCCTATAGTCCGTGCCATTGCGCCTCTGAACCTCCACATCCTGTGTGAGAAGCCGTTGGCGTTATCGCTGTCGGACTGTCTCTCTATCTCCTCAGCCTTGTCGAAATATCCCCCAAAGGTGGTCTCAATCGGACATGTGCTACATTACTCACCGCACAATATCCTTCTGCGCAAGCTGTTGACCGCGGACCAGGTCATCGGTGAGATCGTTTCCATTGAACACACCGAGCCAGTCGGCTGGTGGCATTTCTCTCACTCTTACGTTCGCGGCAACTGGCGCCGCTCAACCCCAGAAGGCGTTGGTTCTCTTCTCACGAAGTCTGGCCATGACATCGACTTTATTCTCTGGTTGCTCTGTTCACCCAGTGCTCTCACTGGAACAAAACCCCACCTCCCCTCTACAATCTCCAGTAATGGAGCCATTACGCATTTCCGCCCAGCAAGAAAGCCGCAGGCTGCAGGTGTGGCAACTAACTGCCTCTCCTGCCCTGCTGAACCAAATTGCATCTACTCTGCGAAGAAAATCTACCGCAATCGGTGGCTTCGGCAGGAGAAAGATACAGGTTGGCCTCTCAAAATTGTGCTGCCCGAGATTGAAGACATTGTGTCGACAAAAGGCTGGAATGCGGCAGAGGAGCAATTGATGAAAAAGCTGGGTGAGGACTACGACAAAGCCACTACGCCCGACGATGTCATTGCAAGTCGGAGCTGGTATGGTCGCTGCGTGTACGAATCAGACAATGATGTGGTTGATGACCAGATCGTGACAATGGATTGGGAAGAAGACCCTCTGCACGGCCAGGCCATCGGTCGCGGACCAAAGAGGGCGCTCTTCCATATGACCTATCCAACTCAGGCACAATGCGAACGGCGAGGGTGGGTATATGGTACGCTGGGTGAAATCAGCTACGATTCCCACAAAATCACCGTGCACACATTTGCCGATGGGAAAACGATTGTGCATGATATTCCAAAACAGGCACCAGAGGTGGAGAAGAGCCACGGCGGCGGCGACTGGGGCCTGGCTGGTGCGTTTGTGCAAGCTGTTGAGAACGTCAATGCTGGAACAATGGATGTTGGCCAGGCACAAAGAGAACTGGTGGGTTGCGATCTGGAAGAGATCATATTGAGCCACGCGGTCGTGTTTGCGGCTGAAGAAGCAAGGAGGGAAAAGAAGGTTGTCAACTGGGCCGAGTGGTGGGCAAAGAACGGTTCGCTCGCTCAGTAACTTGGTCCCTTTGGGCTGAGAAATGCTCGGGTAGAATTGTGCAAAGTACGGCGAGGGTCCTGGACTTCTGCTGGAAAGCGTACGATGTCCGAGTGTCAGAGCCCACAATAGATGCAGGGTCAACAATGCAATCTCATCAGTCCAGAACGAAGGGAGAATGCTCGGACCCCTGTTGGCCGGGCATGCGTCTTACATTCCAGCCCAGCTCCCACATTTCCTTTCCGGGGCATGTCCACAATGGATTTCCGCGAACGTCAAAGGTTCTTTGTGCGAAGCCATGGCAAGCTTGACAGTATGCTCTTCTCAATTACTGACGATCGCCAACCCGTTTTCCTCTATCGTTGAGATTGGTGGGAAGCAGGACTTGGGTATTCTCACTTGCCTTGAAGCACCATGGCCTTGACCAAATTGTCGAGCACCATCTTGTTGCTCATCTGCCTCTCTGGTACGTCTGCCCACAGGCTCTTCACAGCGGGACCTTTCAATGGCATGTTGTGAGACTGAAAGCCAATTGGGGCGTCATACTGACACGGAATCGATAGCAAACGCGACCTTGGCACAACTCGTTGAAGCATCTCTACCAACCGCCACGGTCCCCATCGCTTCAGCCTCGTCTCCATGGCTGACGACTGCGACCCCAACCTCTGATGCTTCCTATCATCCGAGCTCTGCCGCCTGGTCAACAGGAAAGAGCAAATTTCCGTCTTATTTCGGAAAAGCAAAGATCGCCCATGCGGCTTTGGGGGCTGCTGCGTTCCTTGTATTCTTCCCTCTTGGTGGTATCATTGTCAAAGTTTGGCCGCATCGTCACATTGTCTGGATCCATGCGGCCATCCAAGCGTTTGGATTGGCCGTATTTGTGGCCTCGACAGGTCTGGGGATATGGATGGGCATGAAGTTGGATGCTGTGAGTATAATGCACCTGCTGCAGCTTCAACCCTCGCAAGGACTTCTGCTAATCAACTGGCTTCTCTATACCAGGTCGACCACTACCACTGTGTCATCGGTCTCGTCATCCTAGGCCTTCTCTTTCTCCAGCCCCTGATGAAGTTGCACTGGTTCCACGAAAAGATCCCGAAGGTGGTTCACTTTGTGCACATCCATCTCTGGCTCGGCCGTGCATTGATTCTTCTCGGGATCGTTGATGGCGGTCTCGGTTTCCAATTCGCTGCTACCTTCAAAGGAGCCAAGTGGGCGAGCGGGTGGAAAATCGCATACGGCGTGTGCGGGGCGCTTGTATGGATCATATATGTAAGCGTTGTGATTGTGTGGGTGGAAATGAAGAAGCCCGCCGCGAGCATGTCAAGAATTGTGGAGAATGAGGAGATGGCGGCATTGAACCAGGCCAGAGGACGAGCTGGGGACAGACCAAAGACGGCAGACACAGTGACGAGTACCGTGCACGATGTCGAAAGTGGCGAGGCTTTGCCAGTTGAGCCGGTGAGACCTGCCCGGCCCGCTCGGTTGTGATGCGAGCGTGTCTTTGTCCTTGCGTGCCCGGCGCCAGTTCGATGCATCATCAGGAGAATGACTATATGGGCTGCTTTATACTTGAAAGGGGACGAAGAGCAGCTCCGATTGAATTGGGAAGTGCTGTTGGGTATCTCGTCTGTCGCGGTACAGGGATAGTTCCCCATTTTGCGACAACGAGGTGTACTTAAGCCTGGATACATCTCTTGTGGACCTTGATATCGGCGTTTGAGGTCAATAAAATCTATCTACCGAGACCTCGCTTGGGCTTCGGGTTGTATCAGAAGATACACACCATCTCAAAGACAATCACAATAGCATGCAACTGGAACGTAGTGATGCTCCACCAACCCTCGTCCCTAGGCCATCCTAGAATAGATAGCAACGCTAGATTAACTTTAGACCAAAAAGGTCTATATACAAGACGACAGGTCAGTATATCTCGAATGGGTCAACTCATATGGACCCTGGTTGACAAGTGCAAGATTTGCCGACTATATACATAGTAGCCACTTAGCACTACCACTCTGAATGCGCGGCCTAGGCTCAAGCAGAGACCCGAATACATCATGTGCACTATCTTTTAGTGCATTTGTACAGAATTCATATGTTCCCGGATGTCTTCCGCCATACTGGAAGGATACCCGTCATTGTTTACAATCAAAGGGGCGCCCTGCTGAGTGTGTAGTTGTGTCGACCAGAACACTTGGAATGGTTCCCATCAGCAGGGACGCTCAGAGAGATCATGGGAAGAACCCGGGTCATCCGGCTTTTTCCCACCCAGTTTCCTCCTGAAACACATTGTAATGGTGCCAAAGACGGAGCCGGTCAGCCAGAGCAGCATGTTGGCGATGTTGAATCCAGCGGCAACCTCAATCTGTGTGGATCGGTTGTCGAAATACCTCCCGCGAAATGCCGCAATCACGCCTGTCCAGGCAAACGTAAGAACCCATTGCCAAAACAAGACCCATAGGAGCCAAAGCCGGCTAGGGAACGGAAAGAGGATATCGATGGCAAACAATATCGCGGTCAGGGTGGACAAAGATCCGATGGCGATGGCGTAGACCTGCGAGCATAGTCGTGTCAGGGGTATTCACAATGCAAAGCCTCCTCCCAGGAAACCCACCGAAGCACCTGTATTTGTGGGGCCAGCTGCTATATCTGAGGCATTGAGAGCGATGGCAATCACAGCAGCAGTGAACTGCAAAACAACTTGTGCCAGGTGGACAATGCGACTTGTTGAGTCAGCATTCCAGGGAAGTCCAAGGGTGACCATGTTGTGCTAGCACGACGACATCCAGATGTTACTGCTTTACGCCGGAGATGCAAGTAGTATAACCATGTTGATCAGGAAGTCTTCAAACACGCTCGTTGCAGTTTATAGCCGTGTGGAGACTCAGGCAGCAAGAATTCTTGAAACCCGCGGCCAGCCCCCAAGCGCCGTATTCGTATTATTCTCGAGATTTCCTCTTTAGGACTGTTCGGGGAGCAGTGCTTAGCCGCCAGCTCAGAGCCGTTGTTGATAATCATAACGCGGAAACTGTCTCGCTGCGCTTTCTCAGTTACAACTCATTTCCCCTGGAATAGCATGCTCTGGAAATATTCAAAGACAGGACGTAAGGGGTGGATTGAACAGGAAGCGTTAAACGGAGGTTGATTTCGTTGCGAATCAAAATGCTTCACCGTACGACTGCATATCTGGCCGTTTACTTCACCCCAGTGCGAACTCCAAAATTTTGTAGAAAAAAAATTATCCCCGCAGCAGGAAATATTGGTGCAGGCCAAAGAGAGTTGCATAACCTTAACAACATTTCTCTTGCCAGCTTCATTGTTGCCGCCGGGTTATGGCTCTGATGCGCAATGGCAGGATACGTCAAACCAATTCCCGCGGCCACCGGCGGCCTGGCCTTTTCCCGACTACAGTCCGACGACATCAGAAGGATTTCGGTCAAGAGAATCCATGTCACTCCAGCTCTGGATTCCATGTTTGGTCCGATACCAGGAGGTCTGCATGATCCCGCACTAGGTGCTATTCAGGCGCTGGATGCAAAGTAGGTCCTCGAACCCCGTAGGAGGTTGGGTGCTAATGTTCTCAGCTGTTCTACATGTCGCATGAATGCAATCCACTGCACCGGGCACTGCGGACACATTGAACTTCCCGTCACTTGCTACCATCCACAATATATCGACTCTACCCTCCGCCTCTTACGTGCGAAATGTGCCTACTGTCATCGGTTCAAGGCGGCGGAGAACTTCGTCAACCAAACAGTGTGCTCACTCCGATTGCTGCAGTATGGGCTGGTGGAGGATTACCACAAAATCCAGAGCATTCACCTCAGAGGAGGACTGCCAAGGACACCGAAGAAGACAAGCTCGGACCAAATGGTGGAAGATGTGATGGAACTCGAGCCAGATGAAGAGATCGCGGACCTTATTGACCGGAGAACGAGGATGACGAACCGGGCTATCAGATCCGCTCGCAAGGAGAACCGTATCGATGACCAGGCCCTGATCCGAAATCCCATAGCCATTTCTGCCCGGAAGGATGTCATTGCAGGTTTCCTCAGGGAAGTCCCCAATCTGAAGAAATGCGCCAACTGCGGCGGTGCCAACACCCCGTATAGAAAAGATAGAAGCGTCAAGATCTTCAGGTTACCACTTGCAAAGATGCAAAAGGATGCCATGTATGTCCTTGGGAAAAAGGCGCCGAACCCTCTTCTGTTTCTCCGGTCCGAGCAGACTCAGAAAGAGGAAGTGAAAAAGACCACCATCGTCAATGGAGTCCATGACGAGGACATCGAGATGTCCGATGGCGACGAGGCAGAGCAGACAGAATTACATGGAGCAGAGGAAGAAATCGCCATGCGCAATGCGTTAGAGACATCATCAAAGTCAAAGAACGCCGAAATCGAGGATGAAGACGATGTACAAGCGTATATGACAACGAGTGAGGTTCACGCTGCGCTCACTTTACTGTTTGACCGAGAGCAGGAAGTCCTTCAGTTGCTGTATGCCTCTCAGCCTGGTCGAAAGGCCGTTCGGGTATCTCCGGATATGTTTTTTGTCACAGCAGTGCTTGTTCCACCGAATCGTTATCGCCCTTTGGCAAGACATGGGCCCAACCAGATGCTGGAGAATCAGTTAAATGCTACCCTCAACAAAATTATCAAAGCGGCAGGTGATGTTCAGCGCATCTCACGAGAGTCGAAAAGAGCAAAGGTCGACCCAACCGTCAGACCTCGGAATTTGAACGAGAGCCTGCAAGCCGCAATCGTCCTTCAAGAGGCGGTCAATGCCCTTATTGATTCCCCCGTACCTGTATCCGGCAGACCAACTGACCAAGGCATAAAGCAAATTCTGGAGAAGAAGGAAGGTCTTTTCCGAATGCATATGATGGGGAAGCGCGTCAACTTCGCTGCTCGCAGTGTCATATCGCCCGATCCGAACATTGAAACCAACGAAATCGGCGTACCTCTAGTTTTCGCGAAGAAGCTGACCTATCCCGAACCGGTGACAAGTCACAACTTTGAGGAATTAAGCAAGGCAGTGATCAATGGCACCGAAAAGTACCCAGGAGCGGCAGCCATTGAGAATGAGAACGGGATGGTTCTCAGCCTGAAGCGCAAGACGATCGAACAAAGGAGAGCCCTAGCAAAACAGTTAATGACATCGACTGTCCCCGGGGCGAAGGGGGAGAATGGCAAGAAAGTATACCGGCATCTTCAGACGGGCGACGTGGTCATCATGAATCGTCAACCTACTCTGCACAAGCCCTCCATGATGGGTCACCGTGCCCGCGTGTTAACGAATCAAAAGACCATTCGAATGCATTATGCCAACTGCAACACCTACAACGCCGACTTCGATGGTGACGAGATGAACATGCATTTCCCTCAGAATGAGCTAGCGCGAACTGAGGCTCTTCAAATCGCAGATACGGATCACCAGTATCTTTCCGCGACTGCCGGTAAACCGCTGCGTGGGTTGATTCAAGACCATATATCTATGGGCGTTCAGTTTACCAGTCGAGACGTATTCTTCGATCGAGATCAGTATCAGCAGTTGCTTTATAGCTGTCTCAGGCCTGAAGATTACAATACCGTGTTCGACAAGATCCAACTGGTGGAGCCAGCAATATTAAAGCCCAAAATGATGTGGACTGGCAAGCAAGTCATCACGACAGTATTGAAAAATATCACGCCGGAGAGATTTCGTGGCATCAACCTTACCAGTAAATCATCAACGTCGTCAGACTCATGGGGCGAAAAGACGTCTGACGAACCCGAGCAATGGACTGTTAGCAGGAACAAGATAGTGTTCAGAGACACGGAGCAAGTCGTCATTTTCAAAGACGGTGAGCACCTTTGCGGAATTCTCGACAAGAGCCAACTTGGCCCCAGTGCAGGAGGTCTCATCCACTCAGTGCACGAAATCTACGGACACATCACTGCGGGCAAATTGTTGAGCATCCTCGGCCGACTTCTCACAAGATTTCTCAATGAGCGCGCCTGGACGTGTGGAATGGATGATCTCTATCTCACACCTCAAGGTGACAATGAACGGCGACAGGAACTGAATAAAGCAAAACAGATCGGCCTGGAGGTCTCAACGGAGTATGTGACGTTGAAATCCGGCGAGGCCGACCAAGAAAACCCTGAACTCCTCACCCGGCTTGAAAACGTGCTCCGTCACGATGAGCAGCTCAATGGTCTGGACCAGGTTTACAAGGCCAAAGTCAAATCAATCACGGACAACATTTCCAAAGCCTGTCTGCCGGCTGGTCTTCGAAAGCCATTCCCTCGAAACCAGATGCAAGCAATGACGATTTCTGGGGCCAAAGGGTCCAGCGTGAACGCAAATCTCATTTCTTGCAATCTTGGTCAGCAGGTTCTGGAAGGACGTAGAGTTCCGGTCATGGTCAGTGGTAAGACACTACCATCCTTCCGAGCTTTTGAGACGGATCCTGCAGCTGGTGGATATGTATCAGGGCGATTCTTGACAGGTATCAAGCCACAGGAATATTATTTCCACGCCATGTCTGGCAGAGAGGGCTTGATCGATACAGCCGTGAAAACGTCCAAATCTGGTTACCTACAGCGCTGTATCGTTAAGGGGCTCGAAGGTCTTCGAACAGAGTATGACACGTCAGTACGAGAGAGTTCGAACGGGAGTATTGTTCAGTTCCTGTACGGAGAAGATGGACTCGAGGTCACCAAGCAGAAGCATCTGAAAGAATTCACTTTCCTCGCTGAAAATCACCAGTCTGTCGCGACACTTATGAATGCGGAAGAAGTGATTCCCAAACTCCCGCAGTCGGAGTTGGATGAAGAGCAGAAGAAAATCCTCAAGTCACTGAAGAAATCCAAGCAAAAAGACCCGTTGACAGCTTCCTTCAGCCCCGCGAGCCATTTCGGAAGCACCTCAGAGTCATTTGCGACAGCCTTGACTGAATACCTCAAGAAGGACCCGAACAGACTTATTAGAGACAAGAAGACAAATCCGGACGGGACACTTGGCAAGAAGACCTTTCGAGCCCTTATGGATTTAAAGTACATGAAATCCATCGTTGAGGCCGGGGAGGCCGTCGGAGTTGTCGCAGCACAATCTGTGGGAGAACCTTCTACCCAGATGACACTGAATACTTTCCACTTGGCTGGCCATTCGGCAAAGAACGTCACCCTCGGTATTCCTCGATTGCGGGAGATCATTATGACTGCTAGTGCGAACATAATGACCCCAACGATGACACTCAAGCCCATCGAAGAGTTGAACAATACTGAAGGAGAGCGCTTTGCCAAAAGCATCAGCCGCTTGCCGCTCTCTCATGTCATTAGTGACATGTCCGTCACCGAGAGGACTGGCGGCGGGGCAGGGCACGAGAACGAAAGAATCTACGACATTCGAATAGACTTGTACGAACCAGAGGAATACGAGGAGGAGTATGCCATCAAAAGGGCGGACGTCCAACGATGCTTTGAAAGGATGTTCCTTCCGAGATTGGATAAGATGATCAAGGCCGAATTCAAGAAGAAGGCAAAAGAGGCCAACCGCTCGGAAGTTACGGCGGCTGTCCCAAATGTCGGCGCGTCGGTCGGGGTCGACGAGGGAGCCAGGACAAGAGCTCCAAGAGCTACTGAAAACGAAGGTGGGGAAGACGACATCGATGAAGACGCTGATCCAGACGACGCCAAAGATATGGCTGCCAGACGCAGAAGAGAGAACACATTCGACGAGCCTGATGAGGAGGAAGAAGCCATAGCGCGGGAATCAGGCGATGAAGCCATGAGTGATGACGACGGCGACATGGACGAGGAAGAAAAGAAGTTGCGCGCCAGTCAAAAGGCTAAGAAATATCAGAATGCTCAAAACCTTCGTGAACTGGATCCAGACGATGAGGCAGATGACGCCGAAGATTCGGCAGATGAAGCCCGACTCAACCAGTTGAAGAGCCAACTCGATCACCTCAAACGTTTCATCTTCGCAAGAAACCAGGGCAAGTCCTGCCGCATTGTCCTCAGCTACAGCTCTCGAACCCCCAAGCTGCTTCTCCTCCCTCTCCTGGAAAAATGCGCTCACATGTCAGTCATTCAATCGATCCCCGGTCTCGGTGTTTGCACGCAGTTTATGGAAGAAGTCCACGGGCCTGACGGAAGACCACTCAGACGTGTTGACCCGGAGACGAACAAGGAAGAGATAGTCAAGCAGCCGATGATCACGACCGAAGGGGTCAATCTTTTGGCGATGCGCGACTACCAGGACCAAATCTACCCACATTCAATTTACACCAATTCAGTGCACGATATGTTGAAATACTACGGAGTCGAGGCGGCGCGAGCGGCGATTGTCAAGGAAATCGACACTGTCTTTAAAGGACACGGAATCGGTGTAGATGCACGGCATCTAAGTCTCATTGCTGATGCCATGACGCATTCCGGCAGTTATCAGCCTTTCAGCCGGCATGGTCTCGTAAAAGAAGGGGGAAGCTTATTGGCAAAGATGAGCTTCGAGACGGTCATGGGATTCCTCAAGGACGCGGTGTTATTCGGAGAACGGGATCCGTTGCTGGGTCCTAGCGCACGCATTGTGGCAGGGAGGAGAGGAAATATCGGCACGGGTGCGTTTGATGTAGTCATGCCTGTACATTGACGAGAATCAAGGTCTGTTTCAAGACCATCCCTTAATGGAAATCATTGGGACAGGACAGCATCGAACGTTAGAATACGGAGAAGGGAACCGCTTATAGAGTTCCACTGGGTCTTTTCGAATCGCCGGATACGGTCTAGATGACACCTGAAACAGTCCATCCATGCGCGGATGGTGCAAGAATCCTTTCAACCATGTTGTCGATGAAAAGTGGAAGCGTTCTTGTTGGCGACGAGGGAGACGTTCATTCTTCCAATACGCAGAGGTTGCGCTTCATCTTGCCTTCTTGATTCGACTATACAACTCGTCGACAATCAACATTCCTGGTGCCTATGCTGCAACATGGGATGGTGAAACCCAGGGGAGCTTGCAAGCCCAGAGACAGCTACAGACCCAGAACGAGCCCCGACGAGCAACGGAAATACTTCTCAGATACTTTCCCCCAGAATGCCCCACCAGTGCCAGGCTCTAACGGTGTGGGTTTTGGATAAACGGCAGCTGGGGATGAAAACCTTCTCCCACTTTTCCTGGTGAAGGACGGGGAATGTCCCACCTCCACAGGGGAAGGATTCGTTTTCCAGGACCCAGCCCACCGAGGCTCATTTTCCTATCCAAGCAGCCCAAGGAGGCTTCGGCCTGATCCCGAGAATAGCGGCTTTGACATTGTCTAGTCCACGCCCCAAATGAGGTAACGTCTCTGAGAATCGAGGCGCCGTCGACGTTCCGCCCGCCTAGTGCGACGCCTGGGTGTGTGCTAGCGAAGCTAGTTCAAACTAGAGAGCGAGGACGCAGGGGCATGGCGTTCCCCTTGCAGACGCGAGCAGATCCAACTCCCAAAGAGGTGTCTTCTCCGACAGATGGCACAGTTGTCAACAGCCAACACGAGTCCTAGGTACTCGTACATTGTACCTATCCTCTCTAGCACCGTCGCAACCACCGGCGACGCCAGGCTGACTTTCCGAGCATGTCGAGCCAGGGAGGATTGAGCAGGATGGGTTGGCAAGGGGCAACTCCCGGCAAATTGTTTCTCAGGACGCGTCGCCCCGTTACCTAGGACCGGTACTGTTGGAGTGAGCAAAGTCAAATTGAGATTCGTGCCTACCCGCAGCGACGATCATCCGGCCTGGGGCGGAATTTGGGTTTTGCTGATGCATGTTATTACGACTCAGTCTGGCGGCAGGATCAATAAGACGACTCGAGCAGAAATCCATCAGCAAGGAACGCCCCCATCATTTTAATGACAGTCATGCAGTCAGTCTCCGGCAATTTCTTTGCATGGACTGCACAAGGTCATTCCTGTAGCTACGACTCCTCCCATCCCTGGGATGTCCGGTTTCTACACTTAGATACCTTTGGCTCTACCTTCCTACACCCAGGAGGACCAATAGACATATGTTTCGGCCAGGCATTACTTCCACGCCGAGTATGCCTGCTGGTGACCCTGACACCTGCCTGCCTGACCAGGGAAGACCCCTTTCATTCTCATGGGCCTCAATTTTCTGGGGCACTCGTATCGAGGCAGTGCTAGTTCCACCTGTCGGAATTTCAATTCACTCTGCTCTCAGCGCCACGATAGTCCCTGACGAGTACGTTCATGTAACCTCCTGCAGCCACGTGGTGCCATTCCTCTCCAGGCAGTTCTCCCTTGCATAGCAGGGAGGCTAATCCGGGGAAGCTTGTTGAAGTGGGATCCCGTTTGACTAATGTCTCCCACATGCCAGCATCTAGGTTAGCAGCACCTCTCTGGTGCAACTTTTGCATCCAAGATGTCGTGGCCGTCTCATGTTTCTTCCTGCTCTATTGTTTGCGAACTCTCTACCCCGGATTCCCCTTTTCGCGTCCTGTATTACCTGAACCAGCTGTTACCCATCATGAGTCGATACTAAATTAGCAGCCACTCATCCAGTGTCCAGACAGCCTGGCAACTTGGATACGAGCCTCGCTTCCAGTGCCGCAAATCGTGGGAACTTTCTGCTGCCATCAAGTGGTTCCAGGGGTCCTTGTGCCTCTAGATCCCTTGCGGGGGCCATTGTTCCAGTACATATCTGGGCCCGGACTCCCACATCTGACAACTCCGGCTACAGCCGTCGATTGTCATCCTGTATACTTGACTTCCACTGCTATCGCGCATATGCTCAGGCAGTATGGGCCTTGAACGTGGTATGCAAGCTGTGGTGACAGCCGCCGTCTTCAACGCACTCGCTTTTATCTTCATCGTGCTGCGATGCATTTCTCGGTGTATGGTCATCCACCGGGCGGGCCCCGAAGACTATTTGATCATTTTCGCTTTGGTGCTTTCTGTTGGTCTCACTGTGACGATTGTACTTCGTGAGTACTTGGGAATCCCTCTTCAGAAACCATTCGACTGACAGTGGTTACTATTTCAGAAAAAGATCATGGTCTGGGTCGTCATGCGGACACGGTCAGCGAAGAAGACAACGAGACTCTGTCAAAGGTACGCAGCCCAACCCAGTCCACGAGGATACCGACAGCATCTTTGCTGACACAAGCACCAGCTGCTGTACGCCAGTATTATAGTCTACAATTTGGGGCTGTTCCTGGTTAAGGACTCTATTCTCTACCAGTATTTGAGATTCTTTGTCGAGAGGCGTTATCGCATTGCTGCGTGGGCTCTGATTGCCTTCATCTGTCTCGCCGGAATAACTTTCATCTTGACTTCTTGCTTCTCCTGCTGGCCGGTAGCTTATTACTGGGACAAGAATGTCAAAGGCGGCCACTGTGTCGATCTTGAGGCGTTCTGGTTCAGTTTTTCCGGCTTCAACATCGTGACGGATTTGGCAGTCTTGGTGCTTCCGATGCCTGTGCTGAAGAGTCTACGACTTCCCAGGAAGCAGAAGATCAGCTTGATTGCCGTGTTTGCATTGGGTGGTTTGTATGTTTGAACGGTCCCGTCCTCAGTCGAATATTTCTGTCCAGCTAACCCCGGAAACAGCGGCTGTATCACGGCCATTCTTCGTCTCCATGCCCTCTACATAGCAAGCATATCAACCGATCTCACCTACGACAATGTAGGCGCTGCGACCTGGTCAGCAGCCGAACTCAACGTGGGCATCATGTGCGCCTGCATTCCTGCCATGAAACCCATCATCAGCTCGATATTCCCGCGCCTCTTGTCCTCCTCACGTCGTGACCGCCAATCCAATCCGTATCCCCGACGAGCATCGTACATGCGCAATGACAGCGTCGTGCAACTATCGCAGGTGGTCAAAACGCACAGCGTGGTGAGCCGAGACGACACGGTTAGCTTCGATCATGGCCACGAGCCGCATGCAATTCGCATCAAGAACGAGTGGTCTATCAGCGAGCATGAGCGTGTCTGATGCTGTGGCTCCGGTCGAGTATGCCCACTTTGCAACACGGATGCAGTAATAGCGGGTCGATGTACAATACGGATTATGATGGAAAATGAAAGGGTGCGAAGGCTCCGGGGGAAAATGGGATGGTTACCAAGCGACAACAGTGGACTAGGATATGGGATATGTGCTATGGGGAGGCTTTCACAGGACATCAATGGACTTTGGGGGCAGAGGAAGCCGAAAGTCTGAATCGTCAATCGGAGAACCAACAGTGGATGCCCTCTTGTCACACAATCCTATGCGGACGATTGTGAGAGAAGGCTATCTGACTTATTATCGTTGGTAACGGCGCTTTGCTCAGATCAAAGAGTGCAATGTTCTTTGGGGTGGCCATCTGCTGCATTCGAGCATTGGGATATCGGCGTGGTGTCATGCGATGGTCAGGTAGTCTCCATGCAGTCTCCATATGGAAGGGTCTCGTTCCAGGTCCTATCAAGTTTACTGTCATATCTGTCTATATACGAGGCAGATCCTTCTTGCACAAACAAATTGTAGGTCAGCTACAACGATGCACAAACAGTGTGGCAAAACTGATCATTGTCTTGATTGAGACTCCAAGCCCTTCTTTGGAGATGTGGTTACCAGCATCTTCCCTGCCAATTATAGTTCTAGCTACCAGCGTCACCCGAAGGGGGGATGCAATGCTGGAGCAATTGACTGCTATTTATTAAATTGCGGAGGTTAGACGGAGCTTGGACTTTATTTGAATACTACGCAGAAAGCCTGAGGCTGTAGCTTACCCCCAGCAGACGTCCCAAGAACAAAGCACAATGAATATGTCTCGCCATTTGACTGGCCTTTTTTCTAAGAGGAATAAGAGCAGGGAGTCCAAATATGGGACTGAGTATCGGTGATGAGAAGGGGCCGAGCATCTGAGTAGATAAACGGGGGCCACGATGGGGGTAAGAGAGTCACACCGAGGCTGAGCCGAAGTTGGGCCAACAACTCAAGGATGTCATGGATTGAGGATTGAAGTCGGGGAAGGGTTCTAAAGCTCATGTCTCCTGTCGGGGTCCACACGAATCCGACAGTCTGGAAACGCATACCTCCGTCCATCCAACAGAGCACTGGGCGCTCTCCGTCCTTGTCAGGACACGAGATGTACCCCGAGGGAGAAAGGCAAATAGGGGGGTGGGTGTAGGTACAGACGTCGCAACAACCACCATCTCCACTTTCCGCCTTGCATCGCGGATTCGCGGTACCGGGCAACCGGAGACAGAAAGAATTGTGCCTCGGGTAGGGATTTTCCCAAGCGCACGGACTATTGACGATGGGTGCAGAGACATAACATACCCTACCTACCTACCTAGGTAACATATCAAATGTCATTCGTGAGCTTCGCACGGATTGGGTGTCCTTGGAGTAAAAAGAGCCATTGGAGTATCTCGGGGTCGGTTGAAAATTGGGCAGGCGATTCTCCAATGTCAAAGAGAAAATATTACGTTTGACAGGGGGAAGTCTTTTTGGTGCTGAAACTCTGCGCATGCATGCGGTCGCTAAAACCCCTCAGAGCCACCCACGCCTGGGGATGTCACTTGTCCGAATTAGATTTAACCTTGACCCTTGCCAGTGTGCGCTTGTTTCCGAGAATATGGTACCGAATCTGGGCTGTAGAAAGCCGTCTTCGAAGCTAAGAGGACATGGGCTGTGCCATTTGGCCATGCGGCTGTCGTTCGGGGTGGAGAAGACGAGAATGTTCTGGGAATTGCTTGCTATACTTGGTCCATCTCCTCCGAATGCCCCGACTATTGGACGTTACACACCGTTCTTCACTTTCCCACCCTTCCTCTCTTCCTCTAACAGGGCAATAGTGTCCTTTGTGATAGCATCTAGGTTGGAAAGCGTCGAGCCAGGACCTTCAGGCATCGGGCTGTCAATGTACACCTTGCGAGTAAAGTTCTTGAGCGTTTCCAACACGGTGCCGCCCTCGTATTCGCCCTTCTCAACCACGTCGAGCATTGCCGCTGCTTGCTCCTCGGGCGTGATCCAGATGTCCTTTTCATCGACGGCCTTGAGCTTTTCAGGATGGTCCGACCAGAGCGGCGTGTACACCATTCCCGGCGCGACGGCGACCACTTTGATGCCAAATTCCTCGTGTAGAGGGGCTAAAGACCTCACGATTGCCGACACCCCGGCCTTTGCGGCGCTGTAAATCGGTTGATTGAATAGCATGCGTTGTGCGGCTAGGGAGGAGATATTGAGGATCACGCCGACCGTGCCGCCGGCTTTGCGACCCTTGGATCGTGTTATTTGGTCTCGGATCGCTAAGCGTGTACCTTTGATGAGGGCCGTGAGATTGATGTCCAGAGACTTGTAGCTCTCTGTTTCTGTGTCGTTCCAGAAGTTGGACCATGTCTATCAGGGACGATTAGAGTCAGCAGTGTCTACTTATATTGAAAGGGGGCCAAGGCTAGACATACAGGTTCGAATACGCCGGCGCCGTTGCATACGATGTCTAGAGGGCCTAACTCTGTCTGTGCACGCTTGAAGAGGGCTTCCAGCTCACTCCATTTCGACACGTCCGTCTTTTGGAACAACAGCTTGGTTGACCGCGGCTGTTTCTCAAGTTCCTTCAGCGCAGCAGACTCTTGGAGGTCGCCCACGATGACGTTGGCGCCCTTGCTCACAAGTAGTTTAACAAAAGCGAGATTTATCCCTGTTGACGGGCAACGCAGGATCAGCTTGAGGTCGTTTTGAACCAAAACAAAAAGCTGCCGGGATCCCTAGCATACCTGATGCGCCACCTGTGACAATGGCGTTCTTGCCAGCAACTGGAAAGTCCATTGTAAGTCTGTTAGTCTGGTATCCTTGATTCCGCGTCACTTTTTTGCTCAATCTGTTAAGAGAACTGGCAAACTTCACTTATACACGACAACGTATCGAGGCAGGTATCGTCGGCATGAGCCAAAGATCGCAAACAGCAACAGATCTCTTGGAGAAATGTTGGGGAAGGACCGACGGTATTCGGATATAGTCAATCCACGTGCTGGCCTTGGATGTTCCTGCTTCACCAAGGAGCTTTGTCTAACGCCGTCCGTCTCTCTTCCACCTCGGTTCTCCGCTCGGTCGTCGCCAAGAAACCCGCTCTATCACAAGGCTACGGTCACCATCCCCGCTTAATCCCCAATTCGGGTTAGGCCGTCGCTAGAACCAGATGCGGAGTCAGGAGTATCAGTGTCAAGGTCAACCCCGTGACAAAGCAAAGGACAGCAGGTGCGGGGTGCATCCCTAGCTCGCAAACGGAAAGCTCCTTCGAATGCTAAAGAGACCTTGGACAGTTTTGAGCATCCCGGAATCCGGCATCCTGATTTCTAAGTCGACCCTGTGGCCATGGAGCCTAGGGTAAGTAAGTCCAAGTAGTGCCCGGAGGGGAGCTCCGACTGGAGTCATTTCCAAGCATCCTCTAGTCGCTAGTCTTCTGTGGTTGCCATCTTTGACGTCTAATTTGCTCAGAAGATCCACTATCCCGCGCCTATCTTCAATGACTACCTCGTATACTGATGGCGACAGCACGACAAGTCTCGCTTGGCTATGTCTTCTCAGGTCAACCACTACGAGGTACAGCTTTCGCTTCTGAGTCTCTAGCCGAACCTTCACCTGCCTCCAGACGGCCATGGCTTCTCCAAGGATCTTGCGTCCCCAACGAGGTCCCCCTGGGGTTGTCTGTTGAAGCCGAACACGAGGATGGTAATTGTTGCCAAATGGACAATCTGGTTTTAGTATACCTGAATTTAGTGCACAAATTCTCTGGGAATGGCTGATCTTCCCCAAGCTTCCCCAAAATATCCTCCAATGCTGATGGAAAGAAGTGCTCCCGGACCTTCTTGCGTTAGCGAAGCCAGGGCCTAGAAGTCGACAGGATGAAAACGAGTTACATGAAGTGTGCGCATCCCTTCCCCTTTTGCTTCTCCAGTCTCCACTCTCTGGCTTTCTGGGGTACAGGAGATTCGAACCATTTTCCCGAAGACATCCTGGAAACGTGGCAAGGGACTGATTAGCCTCATGCAAGTTATATAGCTGCCTTACCGTGTGAAATTTGATCTCCCTCAGCCAAACGGTCTTTCAAGATTCTCTTCGTGGGTTACCAAGATTCTACCAGGCTGATAATCCCTTGCGCAAAAGCCCAAAATGGCTCTTTCTGCCTCGACACTTCGTCTCCTGGTAAGCTAATCAATGGCCGAAACCCCATTGCGAACCCAGAAAACCATATACTTACTTCTCTAATAGATCGTCATCTTCGTCGCTCTGGGGAGCACAACCTATGGCTACTGTGCCTCCATCATCAGCACGACCCTGGCGCAGCCCTCCTTCATCGCCTATTTTGAACTCGATACCCGCTCCAATGCTACAGATCTAACCGGGTCCATCTTTGGCCTTTTCCAAACTGGTGGTTTCTTTGGCACATTGACGTGTCTGAAATCTGCCGATTGGTTAGGTCGACGCAAGGCACTCTTCTTGGCCAGTTTGGTCACCACCGTTGGTGGAGGACTCCAAGCCGGCAGCGTGAACATTGGGATGTACATCTTTGCACGATTTCTGACCGGTGTTGGCATCGGTAAGGTTATCTTTTCTCAAAACGACAGCCGGCTTTCAGTAGAGAGACTGACTTTCGCCTCAACAGGTGCGCTCGTCACACTTGTGCCTCTTTACCAGAGCGAGATCGCTCCCCCAAAGATTCGAGGTTTTCTTGTCGCCATGCACGGCGTAATGCTGTGTGTTGGCTACTCGGCCGCCAGCTGGGTTGGCTTGGGATTCTATTTTGTCAATGCGGGCGGAGCACAATGGAGACTTCCCCTGGCGATCCAGTCCCTTTGGCCGGCCACGCTCGCTTGTGGAGTATTATTCCTGCCAGAAACTCCTCGATGGCGTACGTTTACCCGCTCTTAAGGCCGACTTTGTTGATAGCAGTGATGTGATATCGATACTGATGAGTCGAAAACAGTGCTGGATCACGATCGATACGAAGAGGCTTTCGAATCCTTCAAGCGTGTCCGCGCCGAGTCATCCGATGCCTTCTTGAACGATGAAGCAGCCATACGAGCCGACTTTGCTATTCTCCGAGAACAAATCATCTTCGAGAAGCAACAACAACTATCCTTCTGGGATCTTTTCCGCCTCCCCCATTATCGAAAGAGGCTTATTGTCGGTTTTATCACCATGGTCGCTCCACAGGTCACGGGCACTCAAATCATCTACAGTATGGACTCACGAACATCTCTCATTTCTCTGATTGGACTATCCTAATATCATTTGTGCCCAGACTACGGTTCGCAACTGTATAAGAATCTGGGGTTCAATACCCTCAAACAACTCCTACTGAGTTGCGGATGGATCACCTTCTCGCCTTTTGGTAACTGGTTCAATGCCCTGGTCGTGGACAAAGTGGGCAGAGTGAGGATGCTGCGTATGCAACCATGATACATGTACACTGCTTCTGGGAGCATTTGCTAACTATTGGAGAAGTGATTGGCATCGTTGGCTGCATCTTATGCCTCGTCGGAGAAGTCATCTGCCTCGCTCAGCTCGACAATGGACAAAAGAACCGGGCAGCCACAAACGCCGCCGTGTTCTTCCTCTTCTTGTTCGTGGGCTTCTACGCAAGCTTCATGTAAGTCTTCACTCAACCGAAGACCCTCTGCCAGTGCTGCAGGGAACCGGCGGACGGAATTGATGTTCTCGATGCTGACCACGTAATAGCGATGCGACTACATATATCTACGCGTCTGAGATTTGGCCCACTCCAGTCCGGGCGAAAGGTCTGGCGCTGTCCATCTCTGGCCTGTTTCTCTCATCGTTGGCTATTCTGCAGGGGTAAGTTGCTCTTGCCTCATTTCTGTCTTTCTACGGGTGCATTCAGGCGAGTCCACGAAATCATCGACTGACTATATCTCCTTCCACCAGCGCCCCAGCCGGCTTCGCCAATATTGGATGGCGCTACTATCTGGTCTTCATCTCCGTCACCTCAGTGATGGTTGTTTTCATGTACTTCTACTTCCCCGAGGTAAGCTCCCACCTGTGGTCTCTCTTATGGAATTTCCCACAATGGCTGCTGACCTTTCACCCAGACCAAAACATTGAGCTTGGAGGAGATCGGAGAAATCTTCGGTGATGAAGTTGCACATGTCGACGCGAGTACAGCCACGGCCATGGGCGAGAAGGGGGTCACGGAACTGCACATCGAATCTGCCGATCTGAAACAGTAGGCTGCTCGACGGGAATCACTGGTGTCTAGATGACAATATCCGGCAGCCCTATAGTATGCTTGAGACAGAAGGAAGTGAGAAAGAAGGAGAAATTTTGAGCAAGCAGGGAAAACATTCTCTGAGCAGATGCAATGGCCGCGAGGTGAAAAATATCGAGAGTCGATGATTTGCTACATTTAGTAATAATACCATGGCTATTTCTCGAACCAAGCTATTTCTGGGCAATCTGAGCGTCTCAAACGATTTTCTCTTGCAGGAGACGTCTATATATGGTACTTCCTATAACAGTAGTAACATTGTTAATTCTGCAGTAGCACCAATAAATCTGTTGGCGACGAAGAAGGAGAAACTGTAGCTACAATGATCGCACAGCCAAGTGGACAGATCCCAATATCACACTGCCAGCCGCCAGGTTGACGAGAACGAGGCTCTGAATTCCTCTAAGAAGCATGCGCATGGAAGGCCTGGGCAGAAATGAAACAATCTGGGCAGCATGCACTCCTGTCACGAAACCGCCGCGGTCTGGACTTGGGGTTAGCAACCTCAACCCTCTCGTTGTTTATCCGCTACGGTACACTTCACTTCACCCCAAGGGCGTGATCGAGACTCAATATACTTTGTTCCCGCCACTTCCACAGCGTTGATCAGCGGTCGAGACCTGTGACCATCCACTTAAGATGGCGAGCGAGATCTCTGACCCGCCACGCTGGGTCGTTGTCGAGCCACGTTATCCAGATTTCATGCCACCAGCAGCACGTGGAGTGCGCGCCAGGGGTAAGGACCTACACCGTTTTGCCATCCTCTGATCTACTCTTGGGGTAGTCGTCAAAGAAGGCGTGAGGCCATGGGGAAGGAGGACTTGGCCTTGGGGAAGGCCAGCCAGCCAGCCCAACGACACGGCGAGCAGACTGAGAAGAGGCGGAACTTCATCTGGCCCTATTCTCCATGCTCGCTGAGTTTGGGGGTGGCGCTCTTGGATGCCCACTGCAAATGTTCGGAGCTTGGTCGAGGGTTCTGGACCTGGCTCGCCGCTTTGATAAAGGGAGGGTTTGAGCCATTGACGCTTTGGCCTGACCACTCTCAAGTAAGTACCTTATTATCATAGCGGTGGCGAAGCCTGGCATCCCAGGGAGCCAGATTCCCCGCGCTGGATCAGTTCTTCAGATCAAACCCAACTCGTGACTTGTCAAAGCCGTGGAGACGGGTCGGACGAAAGGACATCTTGCGAGGGATTTGCGGACAAGTACACGGTGAGCTCCGGTAGTGGCCCCTCGCTACCTCTTCAAAGGAGCGAATTTGACTCCATGGCCGCGTCCAGCCTGTTGGGGCTGACCTCAGCAACAACTTCATCCAGATTTTTCAGTTCCTTCGTGTGCCATGCGCAGCCATAGAAGGGCGGTCCTCAATTAGCGGTCAGTGGGTGAGAAATCCTGGTTGGAGTTTCAATACGGCTCTATTCTGATCTTTTGAACCGTCGCCCTATCCTTCACGGTGTATGGATGTTACATGAACATGTCTTCTTCGCACCAGATCTGAGTCGTTCTTCTCAGCTGCAAATCTGGGAAGGTAGCCGCTTTTTTCGTCGGAGTGTCATGCTTCAAAGATCATATCTTGGAGATTGCCGGATCCTTTTTGCGAGCTCGTATCTTGAATCCTGGTTGTAACCTCCTGCCATCCCTTCTTTTTCTCCGTTTTTCTTTATTGAACCCCGTTCTCGCAAATGGTCACGTAGCGACAAACCCTCGCCTTCGCTGAGATGAGTAGGATATGTAGACGGTTGTCGAGTTACTTCTCGCCTGTTCATGTTATTTTCGCGAACGATTGCGTCGCCGCCCCTTGTAAGCCGTTTCGCACGTATGCGTGGATGGATCAATCGCCGAGACCCTTCTAGATGCCCAATATTCGAAGTCTTTGCAGCGCTGTGTTTGCCTTCAGTTCACTCTGATATCTTTGCTTGCCGTTCGCTGCAAAGCACTCGAGTCGCCCTCGCCCAAGGACAGGCGACTGGGACCTGTTGAACTAGCAAGAGCGCACGCTTTCGCTATCTATGGAAGTGAAAACGGATAAGACTCCGGCGAAAGATATGGTAAAGTAGTTGTGATCGTGCTTTGCTCCAGCATACTCAAACAACAGTACGGGATTCATCATTCCATAATCTATAAGTAGCACAGATCTCTGGGACGCCTGATGGAACCTTGGATCCAATGGAACCACTTGGATTCCTAGATACCTAGGTAGTTGCATGGAGTGGCTGCAGATCCAAGAACGGGAATATTACCAAGGTCGGCAACCAGCTCGCCAGATAATTACTTGCTAGGACACACTAAACTTTTCGAGGTCCTTGTACGAGGTACGTACTTATCATTTAGTGGGAAAAAGTTGTTATTAGAAAATAGACTAGCCGAAACTAGTTAAGATTTATTGTATAGCGTGTATCTGTTTGCTTCTATCAATTGCTACTTGTATGCGGTAATAATATCGGGGTTAGTGCAGGCCTCCAGTCCCAGGGACCCAGGCCCTAGGCCCCCTACCACGTGGACATGTCGAACTGCTTACCTTGTTTGGCCTGTAAGTCGGGCTCTCCGCCGGCACGCTATGCATCTCCTTTGATGATCGACTCCTCCATGCTTGTAACTGGTAATCGGTTTGCTTGTACAGCTAAACTTACGTCACAAGGAATTTCAATACAAAAGGGAGAAGTCGTCTCAGAAAGAAACATGCTGTTAATCATATCGCAACATGTCTCCTCTTACCACGAGGCAAGTCTACCTTGCGCTCTCACTCTCTATGATCAATCAATTCGCGTCGGCCTTAACCAACGCGAACGTTCTACGACTAGACCCAAGCCTCCTGTATAACATTCCTTCCAATGCCTTCGCTGGCAATGTGTCCGAGTCTTTCCTTCAGACTACGAACCTGTTCACCAACGGAACCACCGGGAACAATTCCACTGCTATGATTACGAAGCCTTTTGTCGCCTATGATGATGAGTTTGAGAGTCTATTCGCAGAAAACGCGACTCTAGAACTGGTGTATTCCAGCCAGGACGACACACCAGTCGCCGACGAAATGGGGATCTGGGTGTGGGATTACAATCAGGTGTGGATGTCGTCAGCCAGCGTGGACAATGTGAGCTACACAAACATTTTGGATCTGAGTGATTACACGATCACGAAGTTGGCCGTCTCGTCGAACGGCGTTCCTATTGTCAACCCAAATGGCGGTAGCTACGACAGTGGAAAGGTCTATCTTGCAGGAGATGGAAACTTGACGATACCACCGGCAATATACGAAGTCGATCCAAAGACCCACGATGCACGTGTCGTTGTCAACAGCTACTTTGGACTACGGTTGGGGGGACCGAACGATATGACCTGGGCACATGGTGGCAACAAATCGTGGCTATTCTTCACCGACGAGCCCCAGAGTTATTACTACAACGGAGGTCAAGCTCCCCAGCTCCCCGACGCGACCTGGCGATGGGATCCCCAAGAAGAAACTCTCATCCCTGTCATTGACCGCACTGACATCCTCGTCCCCAACGGGATTCGGGTCAACAAAAACAGCACCAAGCTATACATTTCAGACACTCCACCCAAATTAGTTCCCGGAACCGGGTTCACCGAGACAGGCAATTCTGTAATCAATCTCGGCAGCGGCTCCGCGGCCATTTACGTTTACGATCTCAGCTCGGACGGGTTCCCTTCTAACAAACGCCTGTTTGGCATCACGCAGCGCGGTATCTCTGATGGCATGCATATTGACGATGCTGGCCGGGTCTGGACGGCAGAGGCCGACGGCATTGTGGTTCGGAATGCATATGGCAAAGTGCTTGGGATGATCAATTCTTTGGCGGTTCAAGGTGAAACTGTAGCTGATTCTGATCAAAGCCCTTTGCAGAACTTCGCTTTAGCGGGAGACAAGGTTATCGTTCTAGCGTACAACAAGATCTACCAGGTTAGATTGAGCGGTATGATAGTTTCAGGGATGACGTGAGCAAGGAATGGTTATTTTGTCTCCCAACGAACGTCTCTCTGGCTGCATGGTTGAATCTGGCTAGTTCAGTGATCAGTGCCTGTTAAGAAAGATGAACCAAATGGACCCTATGAATGCCAGGTATGTTAGCATTCGGCGATGACTGTGCAGACTCTCCCCTAGTTGCTGTGCTTACCAGTCCCTAAGCGGTATTCCTTCCTCTAACATCATCGCTGCTTCCCTCGCTTGATCAAGCTCATGCATGTACGCAAGCTCCTTCAGCCGATCAATGATGTATAGCTTCGCCGCCGTGGGGCACACCTCGGACTCGGCCGCCGTTGCCAGCGGCCATATCAGGCCCCGTGCCCTCATGCTGAACGCCAACTGCAGCAGCTCCAGCGAGTATGGCACGCTCGCCAGCAAATCGTCAATGAGGGTGGTGGCTTGCGCAAACTGCCTGCTTCCGCAACTCGCCCCAACGCGCGTATAACGGGGTTTCCGGTTGCCGCTCGTCGACGATGACACCCTGGAGGTCGTGCTCAAAGGCGCAGAAGATCCACTCGTTGAGGCCGATGCGCATCAGGCCCATATTATTGAAGAGCCGCGCAGAATGCGGCCTCTTACTAGGTCAGACCCCGATGGCTCTGGCATCACCTCCTTGTGAAGGGGACCGTGCTCCTGCAGGCGGCGGAGGCACAGGGACGCGGTGCAGAGTGCAGCTAGCGAGGATAATCAGGCTGGCTTGGTACACGAGATGGTAACCCAGCTCTGTCTTGAGCGACGCCGATTCCCTTAGGGCGGAGAGGTTGACTGAGCCTTGGACGTGCACATTCCAGTTTCGAGGGGATCGCCGCCCGCGTAATGCCAGGGTCTCAAAAGCCGTGACGAGGAGAACGCATAATAATGTCCTGTCGAGGACGGCCACGCGAGGATTGCTTAAATCCTTGTTCACCTGCCTCAAAGCCTTGGCGTAGTGGGAGCGGGCTTCCCGCATCAACCTCACGCTCCGGTACTGCAGAGCCAACGCTGCTAAGGCGGGGACGTATACGGCTTTTATGATGTCGTTATCATTCACCAGGGTGGGTAGGTGCTCTGGCAAATAGTTGAACGGGCTAATTGACGAGAAAACGAAGAGGAAGTAACATACAGCAACCTCTTCAGGAGGTGCCGTGATGCTGAACACCGTCCTCTTTCTTTCATCTTCATAGCACGGACTGACCCCAGGAGCATGGTCTGCTGAGAAGATGTGAGTAGCTTGCGAGTCCGACTTGGACTTGCGCTTCTTGATGTCTTATGCTCTTGCACAACTCGGGGCGTCTAATCGCGGATGGCCAGCCCAAGGGTGTCGCGATATCCAAAACAGGAGGCACCTATCCGCGCACACTGCGAGCTTTGTGGCGTTCTCAAGTCACAGTAGAAAGATAAAGGCAGAGGGTTAAATATACACGTTCTCATTGAAACCCGTGCTTGAAGCTGGTCGCGTAAACACAAACGTTCACAGTCGTCCAAATACGTGGGAGATGTAGCCAGACATGTCCAGTTCCTCGTCGCGCATTCAGGCTATTGTCCCAGAGTGCGTCGCCGCTTGCAAGCACTTTCCTATGTACGAGGAAGTATTCCGCAGGTAGAGATGCGGGGGTGTTTGCCAATCGGAACCCTCGGGTCCTTTGTGCCTTGGGCGAAGATAACATGGCAGGAAGTCATTGGGAGCGCCTCAAACGAGCTGAGAATTGCGCGAGGTTGACTATACCATACGGAGTATAAGATAAAAAGGAATGAGTCATTTTAAGTCTGGGTACTACTCTCCTTGCCATGGTTGTACCTCGTGGTCCTGCTCGTGCGCGCCTTGTCAGAAGGCTTTCTACCTTCCAACTATACTCCTCAGACTCCGTCAGACTTTTTGCAATCTCAAAATTTGCCTTCAGGCTCGGGCCGCATGGCTGATCAACAGATAAAGCCCTCGGAGTCAAGACAAAGCCCCGGACCCGGAGACTCGAGAGGTCGCTTCGGCTCAAGACAAGGCTGGAGAACTCGCTCTCGCTCTCGCCGCTCCACTTGAAGACGCCGCAAAGGTCTGAAGGAGGACAGAAATCCGGATCACACGATAAAGAATCATCCCCCAGCGAAAACCCAATTGTTTCACAGTGAATATCGTGATACGCGCGAAGTTACGTTCCATGTTGAAAGGTGCGCGTTTGGAACGGTGGAGCCTGAAAGACTCGGCTGCTATCTCTCACTCTCTGTCTCAGTGAGAGGGCACCAAGATTTTGAAGAGCTTTTTATTCGAGTTGACTATGGCCCGAACTCTAACGAGAGAAACCCACTCCAAAGGGTTGGCTCTGGGGTCTGCCTCGCGGAAAAAACGCCAGTAATGGAAAACAAGATCGTGAAAAAAGGAGTTGACGTGGGGATGCAGGGAGGTAACGACGCGGTTCAAGCCGATGCCAACTTTACTAGCAGGTTGACAAAAAATTGGAGTGTCGAGCATCACCAAGAAGTGGAACACCACGCCAACGATGGCCCTGGTGAAAACTTGAACTTGAGCTATATCAAATTGACAGCAAAAAAAAGAGTCACGCGGATTCACAAATACCCGGTAAATTTCAGGTGTGTGCTGTCCTGGAGTTTGACAGCGCCAGAGGATTGAATATCAGCATTGCGTCAAAACCAACGTGGACGGCGAGTTGGAGAAATGTTCCTGGCGAGTCCTGCGAGGAAGGGGATTGGTATGCCGTAACGCAAATTTCTGGCACTGATTCCTCGGAGAAAAACGACTTCTCGAAGCTTGAGGACATCGGGATCAACCCAGAGGATGCTCAACGGAGTTAGCAGGAAGAAGTATCAGCGGCATCAGGCGACCTCGTTACGCCACGCCACAAGGGGATGCTTGTGACAAGGACAAATTCTGCAGCTGTCTCATTGAAAATCAGAGGGCCATCTCCGTTTCGATCGTGTCAATAACGTCGAACAGGCTGTTTGGCCAGCCCACAATCGATGGCCACTTTGATATGAGGTCTCGGTCCTAATAAGCTAGCCGAATCCCAGTAAGTTGAAGTCAAAACTACCTAGGCACTTAATATACTTTTGACTAGGTCCAACTGAGTTTGGAACGCTGCTTCAATCTCGCCGCTGTGTCTGTTCGGATTGACCACTTCCTATCCCGAGCTCCGCATCTAGAGAACTATCCACGGAAATGATCATGGACGAGAGTCGCCAACCGTCGAATGAGTCTCCAAGCATAGGCAAATGGCACGCAGACACTCGTGGATCGCCAAGGTTTCACCATGATCAGTACCATTTCCTCCGACACGCCGGTTCAAAAAACCTGTTCGACATCGTCGGCGCGGTCCTGATACTAGCACTCTCCATCTCCCACCCAATCTAGCCTGTCAACTTCGATCTAGCTGGGCCTTGTTACAGTAAACAACATGAAAAGTCCGTACGAGGATCGTGCCTAGATAGCTACGGAGAAGAATGAGAAGCCCCTTTTATCTAATGACGTCGATTCGATTTGTGACGGTGATACCTTGCAAACAAAACTTTGATCATGGTCGGGCTTCACATGACTACACATCCTTTTGCCTGTTCAATATTCTGCAGTAGCCGCTTCCGTTTCATCTTCTCCTTTTCAATCTCGGCTGTCTTTTCTGATTCCAAGCGGCTCATTCGCTCCTCGAAAACGCGTTGGACTCTCTCCGCCTCTTTCTGCAGCTCCTTTTCGTGCTCTTCTTTGAGCCTCTTACTTTCCACTTTCAGTCGCTCTTTGTCCGCAGTCTGTGCCTTTAGCCTTTTCTCAAAATTCTTCAATTCTTGCTCTATATCCCTCACACGCTCGTCATTGCGTGTAGTTTCTTGTCTGGTCTCGTCTAGATCTCTCTTGAGGGCTTTGATCTGTCGTTCGTAGTTTACCCTTATTGCGTCTATTTTCTCTTCCATTATCCTGCCTACTCCCGTCTGGTCTAGCGTCATGCCCCCAGCCATCTCTTCCTGGACCGTCAAGGCCATGCCGCCAGGAGGACGTTGTTCCAATAGGTAACGCACGATTCTCAATGCCGACAGACTGCCTTGGTCATGCTTGAAGTCCTTAGCTCCGTTGGCGATCATTTCCTTCCAAAAGTCGTTAGTTTCGATTAGCTCCTTGTGGCGTTGTCGTTGCTGTATTCTGTCTGATTCCACACTGCCCCAGTGCGTGGTTGCAAGAGCTACCGATGACATAGACTCATCGCCGCAGAGTTTCCTGAACAGGTGGATGTTAGTCCGGGCAGTTCCACCCAAGCGCGGGAGGTGGATCCCGTGCAAGTACACGATGCCTGTGAGCTTGATCCCCTTTTCGTACGTCACGTTGAGCCAATTGACTATCTCGCGCAGGATATCTGTGTCGGATCGGTCGGTGTCGTCAAAGCCGGGAGTGTCGACGAAGATAACTCGGCGGCCGTCAATGTCCTTTGCCGCTGGATGGGCTTCTACCTTAGCAGTCACTGTGGAGATTTAAACTCTGTCCCTTCCATGGGAGCTATACTATGGAGGGTGGTTTATGACTTACTCGATCTTAGACCCTCGCCGATTATGGCTGTCTGGCAGAAGTTCTGTATAAACGTGCTTTTTCCCGAACCAGTCATTCCCATGACAGCAATAACAGCGTCATTGGGTCGGACATCTCGGATTCTTTCAAAGCGGTCAGTGGAAGGATTTCAATCTTCGCGGAGGTTGTCTATGTTTCGTCTTATTTTTACACGTACTGGAAAATTGGAGGTGCAGTTTCAAGCACTTCCATCTCAGGGTCCATGGGGGTGTATGGCGGCGGGTTGACTTCTTGGAGCGCTTCTTTGGAGGCGAAGAAAGGGTCGTAGGCAGTCATGGGTTTACGGGCGAACCGACTTCTGCGAGGATTGATTGAAGAGTTCCGTGAGTCCGAGAAGAGGGGATGTCAAGGTTCATATATCTCCAGCCTTATCCTGAATTGTTTGCGTCCCGTGCCCCTTCCGCAACCTCACAGGCCGGGGTAAAGAAACGAGGCGAATTGCACAGCCTAGATGTAGCTTTCAGCCGCATTTCGATCTTCGCCTAATAATACTTAGAGAAGGCCAAGGCGTACTGGGGAAGGGAAACCAACCCAAAGCATGTGTGCGCATGCCAGTCATTCATGGTATCGGTATCATTTTGTCTTGCATTCGCCACCCGTGATTGAGTCCAACGATTTGTTCTACTGCATGCAAAGGGCACCCAAAGGGAGCCAACCATGTGTGACACGTCATCACACTGCCACAGAAGTACCAGTATGCCCAATGGGAACCCCTCGTCAAATGTTGTGTAACACTCTGTCCTTCCCTCCCCTTCAGTAAATCAATTCTTGAAGGGCGAAGGTTATCACCGCCCCAAACTGCCCCATTCCGGCCCTACGCCCGACTTTTTGACGTGGCAAGTTGTGCGCACATCGATTTGCCGTAGAAGGATACGCCCTGCTCTCTAGCTAATTGCGTCAAGTCGGTGGTGGGCTATTGGTATTTTGAAGATGCCCAACGAAGGGCATCAAATGGCCGCATTAGGAGCCCGGCTCTAATAGGTATCACAAGAAGAAACTGTAACTGTTGATTGTGGCCTCCGTGGATTGTAGCACGTGGGGGAGTGAAATTCCCCATCAGTCATGTGATACGTAGCTAAGCCTTACCACCTGGAACAGAATCCCAGGTCCGCCCAACATGCAGGTGGGCATTCCTCTCCGAAATTCCGCCCAGCCCTTGCTTATTCGTTTTGACTACAGCAAAATTCCATCATCTCCATATCTGCGCAAAGCCATGCACAGGAGGAAGCCTCATGTATATCACCGAACCCCATCTGAAGGTCAGGATGGTGCTGGCCAGAGGCGATCTGCTTTTATAGACGACGAGGAGCAGTCCACCATGTCACCGCGAAGGCGATCCAGGGTATCTTGGCCGTCCTCCTCCGCGAATTCGCCAGTCTCTTCCTACACGCCGTTCTCTCGGGACGATGACGTACTAGACGCTCTGGGATCTGCATCAACCGGAATCAGAAGAACGGAAAGCAGACGCGACTTACCACCATTGTAGGCTCTACTCGGCTCATGAGTTCGTATTGGCTTAAACCGGTTCTAATGTCGTCTTCAAGGGCCGAAAGTATGGTCATCGTTGTTATGGGAGTTACCGGGTCGGGAAAGAGCTCGATTATCTCTCTCCTCGCCGACCAAGACGTGGAGCTGTCGCACAGCCTACACTCTAGTAATACTACATCTCCTGCAGGCGGTCCAGGCTGATACATTGGCAGATACTGTGAACGTCAAAGTATACAGCTTCACAGATGAGTTTGGAGGAACAGTGTTTTTAGTTGATACGCCTGGCTTTGATGACACAACCCGGTCCGATGCTGAAATTTTGAGAGAAATCTCTTACTTCTTAGCAGCGTTTGCCAACCGCAGTCGGCTAGTTGGACTCATCTACTTGCATAGGATCTCTGATGCTAGAATGCCTGGCTCAGCGGTGAAAAATCTACGAATGTTTAAGGGTTTGTGTGGTCAGCCGAATTATAAGCATGTGGTCTTGGTAACCACCATGTGGTCGGAAATGGAAAGGAATGGTGAAGGAAACGTGGCGCGTCAGCGGCTATCAGAGCTACAAAGTACTTACTGGGCTGACATGATTCAATCCGGGGCCATGGTAATGAAGCATAACGGTCAGCAGTCATCGGCTTTAAATATCATTCACACACTGACGAAGAGTGCCAATTCGTACGTCACTCTCGCCATTCAGCGCCAGTTAGTGGATGAGGGAAGAACATTAGATGACACTGATGCTGGCAGAGTCGTCTGTGATGGGATCCAAGCCGCCAAGAGCAAGTTTGAACTGGAATTTGCTGAACTGCGAGCACACTTGGACGAGGCGGAGCAAGACGAGGATGAAAAAAGTATCGACAACCTCAGGAACGACATGGCAGCCGTCGCGGCACAAGCCAAACGACGCGCAAGAGATGGCCACAGTCTCGAAGTCAGCATTCAGCAACTGGCCAAAGAGCATCATCAATGGTACCACGACCTTGTCGCCTCTCTCCAGGAGCAGGTTCACGGTGGCGCTCAGACACCTAGATCTGTAAGTGAGGAGCGGTCCGCTAGGGCGCAGGACCACAATCTAAAGCTCCAAGAAAAGGAGCTCGAGCTGGAAGAAAGAGAGCGGGGGCTCGAAAAGAGGGAGCTAGAGCTGAACGCGAGAAGGCTGGAGCTCGACAAGAGGGAGTCGAGACTCGGGCAGGGTCAGCAAACAGGGACACCCAGGAGAAAGCCACTCCAGCATCGATCGAGAAGCATAGCCGATCCTAAGAGAGAAAGAGCCCATCAGGTCACTAGCGAACGAAAGATCAAGTTGGAAAACAAGCAGGAGCAGAACGTCGGTACCCACCTTTTGGCTATGTTCGGCTACCGTAGAGACGCTATTGGGGCTATCCGAAGGAAACGAGAGGGTCAAGAGGTAAAACGCACTAGCACTTCGAAATCATTGTCGGATTTCGAGCATCGATCGCCAAGCGAAAGTCAGGACGAATGAGATTTTTATGCTCGTCAGATGCAGGCGCAGTGTGGACTTTATCATAAGAGACTAGGAAGAGACTAGGAACAGGGGAAGCATCACTGAACTGACTGGATGTGGATGAAGATGTTGAAACTTGGTGAAGATTCCGTTGCAGACAGCCTGAGCCGCAGCCACAACCCGAGACAGCTTAGTCGAGACTCTATCAAACGGCGGGATGCTTATATCTGGAACCGGAAACGAGATTAGAAGAGGTCAAGATTCGCGGCTGAGTACGGTACCTGGGTAGCATCTCGCCTCGTCCCTTTTCTCTTTTGCTTTGCGGAGATTTTCTTTGGGACTTTGGTTTTCCTAGTACGTAGAACGAGAATGGGTTCCTGAGCACATAGTAGTACGAATGAAATCTTAACAAATGGATCAATCTAGGACGAATACAGTTGCACTAGCATTCAGCAATTTGGCATATGCCACAGCAAGCAACTGGTGGAAGCATTGTCCTCCTTGCCTCGGCAATAAAGTAAGTAATCCTATCTCAAGGTGATTCACCAAGAGGTGACCGAGCAAATTATATGTTTGTCCTTTGGTGCGGTCCATTACAATAAGTGCATGTAATCTCCAAGGTCGTCCGTCGCTCTGGGGGGCTTACTTCGATCTCTAGTACATTCTAAACATTGCAATCTTACATTTCAAAGGGGCCCACCTGCACACACACGGGTAGGAAATCTGGGAAGAATCCGAATCAACAGTATCGCACCTAAAGAGACTTGGTCTGAAGCTTGGCAGTAGACAATAGCCACGCACACAATGAAAAGGCCTTTGAACGAATGATGCGACATTCAAGAGTGCACCGGGGATATACGACGTAGTAATGGGCGAAACTGTTCTTGTCTGCAATGTCTGGATCGAGAGAGTAAATAGATGAGATCAGGGTTAATACAAGCAGAAATGCAATCAAAAATGGACGGATGAATGCCATTAAATGTGTGGCCTGCGTCGAATTGAGGTTAGAAATGTCGGTGTCTCGCAAGGCTGAGGTGGCCCACAGCGTGAAAGCGGCAGCACCCCTTTTCCTAAACTAACTTAGCGTCCCTTATCCACCCCGTGCTGGGCTTGGCGTGGTCACGATTTTCTCCGCATTCGCGCAGGCATCTTGGACTGTTTGAACTGCTCTGCAAACATTATTTTAGCCAGCTCCCCTTTGCCGCACCGCCTCTCACCTCACGCGAGCTCGCAGCACGTGCAAGAGCAGTCACACTCTTGCTCCTAGTGAGTCCTCCTCTTTCAACCTTCACAAATGGCAGACAGAGCGAGCAATATGCTGAAAAGGCTTCACCCGGAAGACGATGAACTCGAGAGCCAGAAACGGGCCAGATCCAACAATGGCTCTCCTCGTCCCACCACTCCGGCTACCGCCGCCGCCTCTGCGCAAATGGGGACAAAGCCAGACGCCGATGCGATAGTAGCTCGTGCTAAGGCTGCGGCTGCAGCCAAGGCGGCCGAGTTGAAAGCGAAATTGGCAGCCATGAAGAGCGGCGGATCGATCGCATCACCTGCAATGACAGCGAGTGCATCGCCGACCCCAAATCTGAGTACAGCCGACAGGATTGCTCAGATGAGGGCTCGTGTGGCAGCAGCGACCGGCCGAGCGGCAGCACAGACTCAGCAAAAGCCATCGACAAACTTCACTGCGCCAGCCTACAATGATGACATGTCGAAAGCACGAGGAGGGCTGAACATTGGTATACACCCTGATTTGCTGGCTGATGCGCAGCAAGACGCGCAGAGAAGCAAGGGGCGAACACCGCAGCCGAAGTTCCCATCTGCCATGGGAAATCGAAGAACAGAGTCACCCGCTCCAGTGCAGCAAAAGGCACAGTTGGATCTCTCGGGCCCTTCGTTGGAAGAACTCAAGGATAACCCATACTTTGATGCGAGTCTGGGTTCCCGAAATGTGGTGCCTAAAGCTCGGCATTCTCGACAGTTAGTCTTCAACCAGAAGGGCAAATATATCCAACAAGCGGCAGCACTCCGACGTCAAGCGCAGTTGGAAGCTATGAAGAAGAAAATCGCGGAGCGCGCAAGGCAAGCCGGATTGGAAGAAGATCTCGATACCGACAAGGCATTCCTCGTCCCTCCGCCCCCTGACCTAGAATGGTGGGACGAAGGCCTCGTGAACGGCAAATCTTACGATGCCATCTCCGACCCTGCAAACCTGAAGATCGATACACCGGATAGCATCATCACGGTCTACATACAACACCCAGTGCTCATCGAGCCACCACAGAAGAAGAACAACCCTCCGCCCAAACCCATGTATCTCACCTCGAAGGAACAAGCCAAACTCCGCCGCCAGCGACGCATGGCCGATCTCAAGGAAGAACAAGCCAAGATCCGACTTGGTCTCGTCCCGCCTCCTCCACCAAAGGTGAAAAAGAGCAACTTGATGCGCGTCCTCGGCGAGGAAGCCGTCAAAGACCCCACGGCCGTCGAAGCCCGGGTGAACAGGGAGATTGCTGAACGGGCGCAAAAGGCCGAAGAAGCCAACCTGGCCCGCAAACTCACCAAGGAACAACGCGCCGAAAAGCTCGCAAAGCAGCAAGCCGAAGACGCCAACCGCGGGATCCACATGCGCGTCTGGAAGATCGACTCCCTCGCAAACGGCAAACACCGGTACCAGGTCTCGGTCAACGCGGACCAGAACGCCCTCACAGGCGTGGTCATCATGCACCCGAAGATGAACCTCGTGGTGGTCGAAGGCGGCGAGCACAGCATCCGGAACTACGAAAAGCTGATGCAAAACCGCATCCGCTGGACCGAGATGGAAGCGCCCCGTTCCGTGGCACAGGGGAACCGCGAGGCCCTCGCCAAATGGCTCGAGGCCGAGGACGAGAACGGCGAACTCAAGGATCTGAGCCTGAATAAGTGCGAGTTGATCTTCAAGGGCGAGGAAAAGCAGCGGAATTTCAAGAGGTGGTTGGGCGCCCGGGTGTGCGAGACCGACGCCCAGGCCAAGGATGTGTTGAGCAGAGCCAAGATGGACAACTTTTGGGCTTTGGCGAAGACTTTCAAGAAGGAGGTCTGAGGATCTCGGCAGGATGGGGGGAAAGATGGTGCGCAAAAAAGGACCTCGACAGAGATCAAGAAGTATATATTCAATCGAACGGCAAGCCTGTAGATACATAATATCAATAGGAGAAAATCCCAATAAGTACGCCGTTGCTGTCTTTTGTCCTGCTTGCTTCCTCGATAAAGGCACCGAGAACGGGGACTGTAGTACAGTAGCAAACATGAACCTATCCCGCTGGTAGTCCTCCTGCTCGAAAAGGTAGAGACAGAGGAAAAGAAAAATCCACCAGGCAACTTTTTGCCCAGTGCTTCCCTGCTAGCCAGCCTGCCTGCCTACTTACCTCATCCTTCAAGATCAAAGCGACTTAGTCCTCCTTCCCTGCTCTTTAAACGTCCCTTTACATGCCTCATGAGTTCAGCTTGCCAGCGGCCTGTTCCAGTATGCCCGCCACTTTCTCGACCTCGGCTTGCGCCACCTCCCAGTTCCCGGCATCAATGGCGTCTCTCACACTGGGGAACGTCGCATCGTCGTAGCCACTCCACATCTGCGGGGCAAATATGACATGTTTGAACTGTGTTCGGTTGACCAGTCCGCCGCCTTCCGTGAGGTCGAGAAGATCCGTCTCGAAATGTGTGAGGCGATTGTTGTGGTCCAAGCGAGCCTCGCCCATGGCTGTGGATTCGAAGCCGCCGGCGCTGAAGATGAAGTCACGCCAGGTTGCGTCGAAGGTGTGGAAGCGCAGCGCCTCCTGGGCGAGGATGTCCGAGGCCTTCCGCAAGGGGGAGATATCAAGAGTATTTGCATCGGATGCTGTGGGCGCAGATTTTCCATACGTGTTAAGGTCATCGATATATCTCACAATAGCCCTGGCGTAGGCGCTGATGTCGAAGGGAAGGACCGGCCTGTCAGCCAGCTCCAGGATGAGGAGCGCCCAGATCTCTCCCATGGCCTTGTGATATGTCCAGTCTGGATCACCGAACTTGGCCATCCACTCGAAATTATCGTAGCAGGAATGGTAGGGGAATCTGGCACCTTTGAAGAACATATCAATCGACGAGGTGCCGACAATGTCTTGGAAGGCGACGAAATCGCTTCCTGCGCCGAGGCCTTCGATCCTCCGGCTGTCTGCGTCCCAGAGTTCGCGGATGGATCTGCCTGTAGAGGGATCACCGACACGGTTGATTACATGCAGTAAGGGTCGTTCATAAAGAGGAGAGGCAGCGGCATGGAAATCGGCACCGGTCACCCCAACGTCGACATTGAGGTAGGCAATTCCATCCTCGCGCAACTGATCTTCCCGGTTTTCGACGTACTCGGTGCTGCCGATCAGGTTGTACTCCTCCCCATCCCAGCTAGCGAATTCGATTGTACGCAGTGGCCGCCAACCTAGTCGCCTCAGTTCACCAAAGATGCGCACGACTTCGAGCATTACGGCTGTGCCGCTGCCGGGATCGGCGGCGCCGGTGCACCATGCGTCGCGATGGTTGCCCACTACGATCTTCTTCTCGGGCTGCTCCCAGCCTGTAATCTTGCCAAGCACATTGTAGATAGGCTGCGTTTGCTCTTCATCTTGAAGATTCTTGAGGTTGACTTTCGGAGAGTCCTGATTGCCCGTCCAGTATTCAAAGTCAGGAACTCCCTGCCAGTTGTCCTTCATCTGGTTACCGTGCCCTTTAAGCGACTCGAGTAGATGCTTCGCATCCTCCCAGGAGATGGGGATGGAAGGGATCTTGTTGAGGCCGGCACAGTCCTCCGGTTTGAGGTGTTTCTTGTTCTCTGGCGTTGAAGCCCATCCCGGCGTGAGAACATCTCCAACAACCCAGGACATGAGGCTAACCGCACCTCTCTGTACAGCGTCTTGCGGCATAAAACGTCCATCTGGAAAGGTTGGTCCCTGAACAAAGCCATCTTGCGCGGGATCCGAGTAGATGATACATCCCGCAGCACCGGCAAGTTCTGCCGCTTTGACTTTCAACGCTCGGTCTCCCTGGGAGCCATAATAGCGAACAAGGACAACGGCGCCCTTGACAGAGATGTTGTTATCTTCGAGAGTCTTGAAGTCCTCCCTCGACCCGAAGTTTGCATATATCAGGGGACCAGTCACATCGCCCGACTTTGAGTGGCCATGAAACACCAAAGACTTCTCTTGATCTTCTTCGATTTTCGCCTCCCATTTCATATTTTCTGGCTCGACAATCGCCACTCTTCTCCCATCCTTTCGTGGATAATTCAGGTAGACGTCGTATCTCTCCATTTCCACGTCTTCCAACTCGCCTGCTTTGAAAAGCTCGGCTACCCATTCTCCCAGCACATAGTTGCCTTCAGTCCCGGCGATATGAGGGAAATCCGTTATGTGCTGCAGATATTTCTGCATGTGTCCATGATCGTTCATATGGTTCTGTACAAATATTCTGATAGACTCGGGGTCGTATATCTGGCCCATCCCCATGCGACTCTTGGTAAATGACAGAACGTCCGACGCTATAAGTACATAGAGAACACCCATGATCAAGAAAACACCAAACAGTCGCCCGATGATAACGACACGATTCGCATCGAATTGTTGATAGTTTATTCGCGGCCATGAGATGTTAGAGAGGTATTGGCGAAAGGAAGGGAGGGTGAGGGAGGAGAACGAGTTGGTCAGGTTGGAGATACTCTTGGATAGACGATATCGAAGGAGGGAGCGGTGGGAGGAGGAGTCGCTTTGAGGGTCTTCCACGTCCATCTGCTGCATCTCTCTGCGCACTTCATCTTCGCCATCTTGCTCGATACCATCCAGGGAATCAAGACTCGGCCGCGCAGACTCGACAGTGGGAGGGCGATAATTTCGAGAGGATCCCAAAAGGCCTTGCCTCTCAGCATCATCACTGATTTCTTCTGGGCCGAGTCTAGATTGGGAGGAAGCAGGACGGGACGAGGTGGCCTCCTCGTAGGTAGGGATGGGCAGGTGAGCGTACTGGCCTTTGTCACCCATAGCGGTCGATGGATAAGAGTGATGTCCCGAGGGACGCCACTCACTGTCGCACTATCGTCGATGCATCTAGGAGAAGATCTTGCCGTGATAATGACCGGGTCGACGGGACAGGATCGCAATCTGCTGGCGAGAAACAAAGGGTGGAGGTGCGCTGGTGAGGAAGGAAGATCTGGAACAATCAGACAATCAGCGCAGATGCTGGACTGCGCCTCTCAGCTTCCGCCTCTGCGTCTCGCCTCGGCCGCCTGCGGACGAGCGCTACGAGTCCACGACGAATTCCTCCAAGCGAAAGTCCCCGCTGAAACACGTTGCCATCAGCCGAAGTGCCACCTCCGGATCTTTATGGTTCTCAGTCCCGGAGCATGCGATGTATTAACCAAACGTGCTCTACTTACTAAGTTATGCATCGTCGCCAGCGTTGCGTCCATTGACCTTTCAACTATACATCAAAGTCACGGCGTGCTATCGTACATACCCTCACCATAACACACTCCCTCGACCATGGTACCATTTACTTGTTGAACAGCTTTTCCATCAGCTCCAAACAAGATCATCTGACCACCATTATTGCGGTGATCATATGCAGTCCAGTTGACACTCCTTGGTCCATTGGTCGGATCCTTGACGAATGCGAGGACATAGTCTTGCATGGCAGCACTTGTCTCGGTTTCCAACCTTGACACCGCCCCAGGCCTAATGCCATAAGTTCCAAACATCATTGCCAGATCTGATGCGTGATACGCGCCCATCCACCACAGCGGGTTGATGTTGGAGAAGTTGCCGCCATAGACATACCGAAACGTGGAGATGTTCAAGTCGTTCCGATATAGACTCGAATTAGAAATGCCACATACGGTGTTGAGGGTCCCTGCCAGCACTGCTTGCGGGTTTGGACCTGCGGTGAGGTTATTCAATGGATACGGAGCCAGGGATGCATATTCATTGGCGGTGTTGGAAATGATCGCTGGCACTCTTGCAACCTGACCGGCTCGATATCGCGCCGTATAATTGCTAAAGACGACGTCCTCGTCCGCAATTGGCGTGAAAGCAATCGGGGCCTGATGAGTGTTTGTTGTGCTCGAATTGTCTTGATACTGACCGACGAAGTTCTCGATCTGGCTGACAGGGACTCTCCGCATACATTCCAACTCAGCAGTCTTGTTGTTTGGAAAATCACAACCGAGATTTCGCGCTACAAACGTGAAGTTGGTGCCATGGACATCTGAGTTGGCAGTGCTTGATAGTGCTGTTCCGGACTGCATGAAAAAGCCGCGTGCTATGGGATCCTTATAGTAAGCAAAGTTGTAATAGTCTGTCGAACGAGAACCAGCTGACTGGCCCCATAGCGTTGTGGCAGTCGGGTCGCCGCCAAAGCTGGCAATATTGGTCTGGATCCATTCAAGGGCTGCTCTTTGATCTCGAAGCCCCAAGTTCTGCGTGGCCAATCCTGCCGCGTTGGGAAAGCCCATGATGTTGACCCGGTAGTTGATCGTTACCACAATGTGGCTCTGGCTTCGAGCTACCCATTCAGCTGGTATTTGGATCGGTATGTTGACGCCGCCCGTTACCATGCCACCTGGATAGCCACTTAGAGGACGGTGAAAGTGTCTGTCAGCGGTGGCACGTACCTCCTGTCATGAACATAATCACCGGCAGCTTCGAAGCCGCGGTGGCGTTTGCCGGCGTCCAAATGGCGAGGCTAAGGCAATCTTCAGAGGTGCCGTACGCATACAGACCCGCACTGGTGCTTTCGCCGCCGTCAAAGATCAACCATTCCGGAATCTGTTCGCTCCAGACGGACTTCACCTTGGTCACAAATTGTGGGCAGGAAAGAGGGTACTGAGTGGCATCATAATTCTTGTTTGATGCCGGGAGCTTCTGAGGAGGCAGCCAACGACGTTCACCTGTTGGAGAAAGAGCATACGGAACATTTCGAAATTCGCGAACACTTGGGTAAGTAGGGTTGAGGAGACCGGTGAATATACCGGTGCTAGCTGTGACTGAAAGGCTCTGGCTGGAGATACATGCTGCGCCAGCCACGGCTGCCAGGGCATTGAAAACGAACAGAACAAGCGACTTCATGGTGAAGCGGGATAAGGGGATTTGAAGCGCAGCGAGAGAGAAATTCCCTTTTTACTTTTTGTTCTCCTCGTGGTCTATACACTCGACAGTCTCAATCTGCCATGTTTCGATCCCGCTTCTCTCGGACTCCTCCTGCATATTCCGTGCGAATGACCCCGATCATCGCTGCTTCGCCGGCATTTGGACCGAGGGGGCTTGAAGTGGTATTGGATACAGCGAGGGTGACGTGAATGGAGAAGTCTCTCAGTGGAATTGGTGAAGCTCGCACGGCTAAAAAGGCAGTTTGGTGCAACAACACTGTTCGAGTCAAAATCTCCAATTCGCCAAACCAATGCCTGTGGAGAGGATCGACGTCTCCACGCATCCTTGAAGGCTTCATCGACGTCAACGCGGGGTTGCGGAGGAAATGGAACATGGTAAACAGAACACACCCATCCGTTTGCCGATGCTCTGCACGACACATTTGAGGAGACTTTGGAGATTGTTGAAGAAAGGAATGGTGCAAAATACCAAAGTCGACACTGCTGAATGTTTGACATCCGGCTATTGAACGCTTGAGAGTCGTTGTCTCTGGAGCACAAACTATTCTGATTTACCTGGTGTTCAGCAACTATTACGGCGAACTACTTGACGACAGTTTTCATTGCCAGAAGACCCTGTCTAGCCTCGTACTGGAGGACTTACACTTCGCGCCGTTTATACAAGGTTAAGTTCAGTCGTTTCGTGCGGAACTTGAGAGGCGTCGAAATTTCGGAATTCAACGATATAGAATCGGAAGATATCAATGCAGTGTACACATGGACGTCAGTCGTTGAGGAACTCGCTGCGCTGTTCAGCAGAATTTCATGAGAAGCTCGTCCGTATTCGGATTGTGCTCTGGTCAAGGTACCCAAAGCGTTCGCAAAACAATAACTCTCCAATATGGCTTCGTCGTGTTATGAGGAATCCAAACCAACCCAAATCGAAACAACAGTCAGCCCACGACGCTGTCGAAGAAGACCCGTTGGCTTCAGCCAAAAGACTGCGGCTTAGGAACTTATCGGCTGACGACAGCATGCGCACTGTTTCTTCATCCTACCGATGCTCAGGAAGCATCGTATGTCCTGCTGTGATTGTCTTTGTTTGGACCAGGTGACGGCGTCGCTCGCCAGCTACACAAGTTCACTCCTGCCTGTTTCTCGTTTCCGGCCGCAAGAAAGCAATCTACAGCCATTCCGGTCAAATATGCTCTGGGGTTAAGGGGCCATCTCTAGTTGTATAAGGAAGTGGTATGCTGGTGAAGTGTGGCCAGTATTCAGGAAGTGGATAACTTGAGTTGATTCACGGTGAAGAGAAGGCAGTTTGACCTGGCACATCACTCACCCTCTCAGTGACTTGTTTCTGTCACATCTTTCTGATGCATGCTTGGATCCCTGAGTGTTTGCTGTGGCAATATCATCATCATGTACCGGTATAAATATCTGTCCTTCAGTTGCTCTCCCTTCTCGAGCTCCGGACTCAGAAAGAAGCAGAACTCGAATTAAATGTGCAACAAATATACCAACAGCAGCACCACAACGCATTCAAAAACCACAGACCGGAAGACTTTCGTCGACCATTCCGACACAGCAACCGCTATTCAGACGACGAATTCGAACCGAGAAAGCCGGCTGCCAATCCTAACCCGTCGTGATCTCAGTCCGAGAATCCACATACACACATCTACTGGACCAAGATGTGCCATGTTTGGATCAACTTTTATACCTGTGGCCACAGTGATACTACGGAACATCATTGCAGAAGACCACCGAAGGAAAGATGGCGATGCGCCTGGGGCCAGTATCGACGCAACATCCCTGAGAAGTGTTGGCCATGCAGGCGGCGGCAAGGACCGAAACTCTAGCCCTTGCGTTACAGCATCGCTCGATACACGTTGCAAGCTGGGACCTCTGAAGCTACATTGCTAAAGGCTGCCAATGTCGAGCTCGTGCTGGAGATTGAAATTACCTAAGTCACTCCTTCGGATCCTGAGCGTCGCCACCTCCAGCATAGGTGTGACCTCGAATCAACCTCTCATTCCAATCCTGTTCCATCTTCCGAACCCTTTCCCAGTTTTCCTGCCGCTTCTTCTGCTCTGCACTCCTCTCCCCATCGTCTTCAGTTGGATTTTTTGCTTGGTCGTCCGCAACGTCCTCTTGCCTCCGTCTCCCGAATCTCGCAGCCATGCTCGCCAGACTCGAAAGCCTAGCTCTATTGACATCCTCCTCTCCTCTTTTCAGCATGTTATCCCGCTCGGCTATCCAGGCCTTGTATGACGGCTTCTCACGTCGACGAGGCCTCTGTGTTACCTCTTGCTCCTCATCATCATCATCATCGACGAGGTAGACGTTGTACTGACAGAACTCCCAGACGCGAAGCTGCTTTTCAAACCCGCTATTCGGACAGATTTCTGGGCGTGACTCTCTTGCCAGCGTCAGAGCAGCCGAGTACGATAGCTTGAACTTCCGCATCACTTTCACGACAGATCTCCAAAGTCAGCATGGCATTCCTCATTTGTCGAAACAAAGAAGACTAGACCAAATGAAAGTCTCGGGAGCAGGACAGCATTAGTGACCCGGACTTACAAAATGCCACAACAAACGCTCCTGAACGGGAGATGCCCTGCTTACAGTGGACGAGAACGCCTGGCTGAAGCGAATTTCCTGCAACATGTCCTTCTTGGTCTTGACCTTGATTCAAGCCCGCTTCAATCCAGTCACAGGCCTCCTCCAGATACTGGAGGATATCGACAAAGGGATCGTCATCGATATCGACGGTCTTGACTTCGGGACTGGCGACGGCGACGTCTGGGCCTTCGTCTGCTTCAACAGGCGCACCAGCGTCAAGACGGTTCCGAGGCCGCCATGTCTTGTGGGGCTGCAACACTGACAGAACGCGAGCGATGTTGTGCCCTTTGAGGTTGTGTGCTGAATAGGCGCCAAAGCGACTAGTTAGAAGAGAATGAAGGTTCAGTGCATGTTGCAAGTCTTCAAGGCGCGGAACATATAGTTACATACTCGGAGATGAACAAGCCTGGAACAGCTCTGATGGGGACGAGCTTCGGCGACTCCATCGTAGCGAATGCAGTTTCGTTTATCAATGGATCTTTCTGTGGTCGCAATATTCCTCACGGACAGAGCCTGCATATGTGGCAGACTTTAACCAAAGGTTCACCTCACCGCTGCAGCTTGGCTAGTGGCTCAAATATAATATGGGGGCCGGAAGTTGAACGGGTGCGTAAGCATCGCTGCTTGAGCCTCGTTTCGATGTCTGCCTAGCTACCTGTGTAGGCAGATGTGTAAACACCCCATAGACCCTGAGATCGTCTTGTTGTTAAGATCCCACCACTGTTTAGACGTAGACGTCAACAATCTCGACACAGGTCATCGAGGTAAACGGCGCAGGGAACCTCGCGACCCGTCGTGATCATAGCACCGTTTCTAACAATGCGATAGCCGATATGCCGCTCTTCACGCTTTCAATCGCCCGGGCCATCCTGTGGGAGGGGACGAATCCGTGTCAACGCGACATGCAAAGGGACTGAAGTTCAGCCTCGCTTGTTGTCTTGCTGGGATGATGTTGTTGGCGTATGATAACTGCACTATTTGGTCACTCGATCTGGATCTCCTCAAGAGCTTTTCCGGAAAATTAAAAGTTAATCTCATTGTCCGAATCCCCGCGGATCGCAAATCACAATTTGTGCAGATGAGTAATCTTGTCGCAACGGAATGAACCGACCGCTCCATAGCAGCATGAAATGAGCTGTGCGCGCAATAATGATAAATAAATGCTGACATGGAGGTCTTCATTCATATATTGTCTAGATCAAGTACTTGAAAAAGCTTTTCCTCAATAGCGTCACGGTTCGAGTCTTGGGTGTGCACGGCACTTCTGGCCAGGAATCAGTACTGCAAAACATGCCGAAGCGACCAGGAAAGCTACAGTTCATCAGCTGGACGCATGGAGACGGCGGCGATGTGGCCGACACCCAGCGGAGGGCTCACTCGCATGCTGCCCGCACAGCGCATGCCAGGGAAAGACGGCTTCGGATTCTGGAGTACCAAGCACGGAAAGCTGCCCAAGGGATTGTAGAAGACTGGGGAACCAGAGACAGTGCTCCGGCGGAACCCATGAAGAACGTGGCCGCAGCGCCCGATGGCGATGTCTTCAGCCTGGAAGAAGAGACCTCCATGCCTAGTCCGCCCCTGATAGGTCTGCTGGATTCGGGGGGCCGAGGAGACCCTTTCTCGAGCTTTGCCAGCCCCTTCAACCCCATCGAGCACTTCCTCTTGTATCACTGTAGGTGGAACTACAAGCCTCCAAAAGACTCCAGGACGACTGTGGTCGTCCGAGATTTCATTCCCATATGATATTGAGGGGGCGGGTAAACCTGACTGACCAGTGACAGATGTGACCGTGGTGATTCCCTTCATGTCAAGCCTATGCATCACACTCCGCGAGCACGCAAGATACTCCGAAGAAAGAAGTCGGGACTGGGTTCAACTCGTCCTTTCCGACCCGGGCAGCACCAAGGGTATCTTCTTGGCCGCGAGCCGCCATCTCTCCAAAATCCACCAGCAACGCCAGAATTTTCTGCGCCTGTCTTTGCAGTACAAAATCGATTGTATCCAGGCGCTGAGGCGGGCAATCTCTGCGGGGACATTGACGGCCATGGACGATTCCACGTTTGCCAAGATCATAATCCTGGCTGCCGACGAGGTGAGGCCTGGATGCCCTTCAAGTGGTTGTTTCTTTTCTTTCTTTGAGATAAGGGTTCGCTGATAAGACGATAGTTCCTGCTCGGTAATCTTGAGATGTCCAGACATCACATCCGCGGCGCGGTCAAGGTGGTGGAGCTCAAGGGCGGTCCGCACACTCTTGGTCTCGGCGGCTTTCTCGAGCACATCCTGTACAAGTACGTTGGCGAGGTGGGCCTCTCGTATAAGTTCCAACCGCCAGAGATACCAAGTTTTTAAATATTCGGGCTAAGGTGTGAACCCTGGATGGTACAGTTATTGTGGTATTGAGTGAGCACCGAGGGCCTGTAGGAACAAAAAGTGGCCGTTGGAGCTCAACTTCTATATCTTACTTGGTTCGGTCATGGTCGGGTTGCGAAGCTGTCACCACAGCAGCCCAAGCGGTAAATTTACAAACCTCTGCCCAAAGTGCACTTTTGTACCACCGAAATATCTGTCCATTCGGGAACAGTAGCAGTTCAGAGTCGCGAGGGTTGAGAAAATTGAAAGACAAATCTGGATGGTCCACGTTCTTCTGTCCGCTCTGTCAAGTAGGATCTAGTGCTAGGTGCTGATAGCACCAAGTGACAGCACGATGATGGGTATCATTGCCACAACAATGTCAGATTTCTGTCGTCGACATCAACAAGAGTCCTTGTGTATGTCGGAAGATGCCAAGCGATATTGCCAAGCGCCGCCTATTCCACGTCCCATCCCCAAATGGACCAGCTGAACTTGACCTCGGGTTCAACGTGCGTTCAGCTGGCGAGGAAGACAGCTTCCATCGCAATTCAATCGCAAAATGATGATATGTACTATCTTGAAGGAACCCAACGACCATGCTCGACCTGGACCTAACCAACAAAAATAGAGCCTGCACGCTCAGCAAAGCGGCAAGACTGTCTGAAACCAATCCACAATTAATTGAAGAGACAGTTCCCCTGCATAGGTATTGGCGTCGATGCGAGCATGATCCTGGACGACGCGTACAGAAAGTCGACGCAGTATCGACAATGGTCGTACACGCAAGAAAAACTGGCCGAAATACGCCAAAACACAAATGATGTCGCTTGCATACGCCTCAGAGAGAAAGCCAGAATAGCCGTTGCGGCGGAATCAACTCAAACATCGAGCGATGAAGGATCATTTTCTCACGGTCGAGAGGGCGTCGTCCTTACCGATGGCGACATTCAGACTCTCAAGGCAGAGGAAGAATTGAAGATCGTGGATTGGGCTTGCATGAAAATCATCGAGGTTAGCGGAGCCATGGAGCCCCGAATCCCTTCAAATATCACGGTACGAACCCGGACCTCCATACGCTTGTGTCCCATCATGATACTGCCTTCTAGATGGAGTCTTACTCGCTGTCCTAGGCCACGGCAATTCAATATCTCCGACGCTTCTACCTCACCAACTCACCCATGATACATCATCCGAAGCAATTGGTACCTTGCGCTCTATACCTTGCCACAAAAGCGGATCATTTGTACCTCCCACTGTCCAAATTCATTGACGGACTCGAGGGGGTGAGCGAAGAGAGCATCAAAGCTCGGGAATCCGTCTTGCTCCAAGGACTCCGCTTTGCACTGGACGTGCGCCATCCCATGAAGGGGTTGGTAGGTGGTTGCATCGAGATGCATGCCATGGCAGAAGAGGGCCGACTCGGCGGTATCTCGAAAGCCACAGGATTCGCAAGCAGGATCGATTCCGCAGCGGATCAGGCCAAGAAGCTTCTCGTGACAGCGGCTCAGATGACGGACGCGTATTTCCTCTATACGCCCAGCCAGATCTGGCTTGCTGCGCTGACGCTGGCCGACCGAGAACTGACAGAGACATATCTCGAACGCAAGCTCGCCGACCTCGCATCTCCGGAAGCAGCAGCCACGGAGTCGAGGACAAAGCTCGTGTCCACGATCTCGGCGTGTGCGCGACTGCTCGAATCGTATCGCCTGCCAGACCCGCACACTCAGCGCAAGGAGCTGAGGCGCATCCGCAGGAAACTGGACATCTGTCAGAATCTGGCGAAGGTGGATATCGAGGCATCCCCAGGCAGGACCTTTACTTCTATGGAAGGCGAAGGAGAAGGAGGAGACTATCCAGGAAGGCCGACGAAAAGGCGCAAGCTTGAAGTGGAAATCTCACAGGAGAAAGGAGACTCTTCTGACTCCGATGGTGTAGTCTAGATGTGCGACGAAGAGGGTTCGTAAACGAATGGACGATTCTATTAGTTGCACTTGGAGCATTGAAGCCCAAGTCCTGGCAGTCCCCACCGGTGTACCCATCTACCTTTCGCCTCCGCGATGGCAGTTCTGAATTCATGTATCGCAAGTGCTGTGTCTCACTGACAGCGTGCTGGGGTGGTATTCTCAGCCATAACGGACAGATGGCAATTGCGGCACATGCTTACATGAGCAGAAAGTGTCATTCTATCTGTCCGCGTCAACCTGGCAGGCATCTCTCTATCTAGGTATATATATATCTTATGACGAAGAGCTCCCCTCACCGAGCCAAAAAGCCAAGCAGAGCACCTCTAAAGCACCAACCCCCCACAAACGACAAGCTCTTCTCTCAGACTCTATTGGGACATTTCTATTCATGCCGCACCATTTCCGACCCGCGCAACATCCAGACCCTCGAGCTTATTCTCCTGGCGCCAGTTATTCAAAATGTCAATGAAGGCCAGCACGCCGCCTCCATAGGGTGCGTGGCGCCGGGCTCGCAACGAGAAGTCGCCCTCGTTGTTGTAATAGCCCGGGGTGCAGTCGCGCAGGAGGTTGAATCGCATCTTGGTGGTCTCGACGATGGTGTCGACCCATTTGGCCTCGGCGGCGGCGCTGGCCTCGACCGAGTCGATCCCGCGCTTCTTGCACTCGGCCACGACGTAGGCGAGATGTTTGGCCTGCTCGTTGGTGAGGTGGATAAAGTTGACCGACAGCGCGGATTGCAGGTTGCCGACGAGGAAGCAGTTGGGAAAGCTGTGGGTGGTCCAGCCGTGGTACGTCAGGGGACCTTCGCGCCACTTCTCGGTCAAAGTCAGGTTGTCGCGCCCGTAGATCTCCATGCCGGCGCGGTGGGAGAAGTCCGTAGCGACTTCGAAGCCCGTGGCGTAGACAATGCAGTCCAGTTCGTACTCGACGCCTTTACTTACCACCCCTTTTGGCGTGATAGCTTCTACCCCTTTACCTTCGGTGTCTACAAGATGGACGTTCGGTTGATTGAAGGTCTGCAGATACTCGTCGTGACAACAGGGCCGTTTGCAGAAGTGGTTGTACCACGGCTTCAAGCTCTCGGCGGTCTTTTTGTCTTTGACAATGGCGTCCACGCGCGCGCGAAGCGATTCCATCTTCTTGAAGTCCGTCAGCTGGAGCTCCGCGGCGTAGGCTTCCGGGGACATGGACTTCATCTTTGTCGGGTTCGGGCGGAGGTTGCCGAGCGACTCGGTCCAGGCGTCTGCCACGAGGTCTTTCTCCTGGTAGCCGCCGCCGAGGATGATGGTGAAGTTGTCCATGCGTTCCTGTTGCCAGCCCTTGTGCAACGTCTTCGCCCAGTCCTCGTCAGTGGGCTTATTTCCTCGAACATCGATCGACGAGGGTGTCCGCTGGAATACGTAGAGCTCCTTCGCCCACGCCCCTAGTTGCGGGACGAGCTGGACCGCCGTGGCGCCCGTCCCGATGATACCTACGCGCTTATCGGCGAGCTTGGTTAGCCCGCCGTTTTCGTTCCCTCCGGTATAATCGTAATCCCAACGACTCGAGTGGAATGAGTGGCCCTGGAACGACTCGATGCCAGGTAGCCCGGGAAGCTTGGGTCGATGGAGTGGACCTGCAACGGGGATGACGAAGCGTGCTCGAATGTTGTCTTGCCGATTCGTCTCAATAGACCAACGGGACTCATCGGCACACCAGCGTAGGGAGAGCACCTCGGTCTGAAAGAGGGCTCGGGAATAGAGGTCATAATGCTTTCCGATCCTTTGCGAATGAGCCAGCAACTCTTGCGAATGTGCGTACTTCTCTGTTGGCACGTAGTTGGTTTCCTCCAGGAGAGGCATATAGATATAAGATTCGACGTCGCACTGAGCGCCAGGATATCTGTTCCAGTACCTAGTGGAGAGAAGTTGTCAGGGGTAAGGCGCAGAGAAAAAGCAGTCACTACCACAAAGCACTGCGTGCTCACCATGTGCCCCCAAAGTCGCCGCCTTTCTCGATGATGCGGAAGTTGTTTATGCCTTGCTCGATCAGCCGCACAGCAACTAACTGGCCTCCGTAACCCCCGCCGATAATGACGACCTCACAGTCCAGGTCAACCGGATCGCGCGTGAAGCCAGGTTGGACGTAGGGATCCTCGACATAGCCTAGGAGCGAACCCTCAACTGGTCGGTATTGATTAAAGCCGCCATTGTCGAGACGCTTGTCTCGCTCGGCCAGATACTTGGACTTGAGAGAACTGGGATCGAAATCAACATCCCTTGCCAGCCATGATACCGTTTTCGCAGTGGTCTGTGTATCCAATATTGGCATGGCCTCGACAATTGGAGCCGCTGCCATAGTTGATCCGTTCTGAGGCTGTGCTTCGGTTATAAACGACTGCCGGCCGATCCCTTTATCCCACAGAGTGCCTAGCCGGAGACGCAAATGTTGCTGCCCTGGTTTTCAGATATACCAGAAGCGCTCACCCTAGTTTGGCGACGAAAAGACATTAGCACAATCCGTATATGCAAAGGTATATGCGGAACCCAACGGATTGTCCTTACTGCAAAGTTTCATGCCGTTGGCGGGTCGATATGTGAGCGGTATATCCACCACAGACTAGTGCTGCTTATACCTCGGACGGAGTCCACAGCCGGTCGTTATGTGAGTGGCCAGTCCAACTTGGCAACTTGGCGCGAGTTCAGGGGGTCGTATTACATATGTTGAGCTGATGGGAGTCTGGTGTAGATATTGAGGAAGAAGTTAAGAGCCAATGCAAAGCATCAAGTTATGCTCTGAAGAATTACCCCGCTTCTCGAATATCCGTGAGATGCCAGTCAAGGTATACCGAGTAGACTCTGACTGTATCGCAGAAACTGCCGAATATCTGAATGCCGGTGCCCATGAATAGTTCACGAAAGGCCCCCATCGTATCGATCAAAGCCCCACTCACGGCAGCTGCATTGCCGGCACGGTTTGATCTGGAACCAAAACAGGAGGGCCAAGGCAACCTCAAGGCCAGCTTTGGCCAGGATTTCGGGTACGGCGCGGGGATACGACGGCATCGCTGGTTTGAATAGAGCTCAGACTTTCAGAGGACCTTCTCCCAAAGAAGAGCACGATCAGTATACCGAGCTAGCTGAGTCAACTGCGACACCACTCTATGCGCAGCAAATGAAGAGCCATAATCGCCCGCGCCATTGTGATTCCAAAGAAAAAAAAAAGGTTATCGAGGGAAAAGAACAAAAAGAAAAACAAAGTGTCCAATTGAGAGGAGTGGGACTCGAACCCACGCAGGTTTCCCTATGAGAATACAGGCTCCTTGAAGGCAGAAGCCAAGAACTTCAAGTTAAGCTCTTGAGTCACACGCCATAACCGCTCGGCCATCCTCCCAACAGTTTTTTCAACCATTTTCGGCGGCACAAAAATATATCAGAAAATTTGTATGCTTGGCGCCCGGCTAAATGTCGGCATATGACCGTCGTCGCGGCTGTGGGCCGGTTATGGAAATGTGTAGGTGGCACAGTCTGACACAAGAATATCACAGTAACGCGCTTTCTCTAATAGAGCTAGCTAGAGACTATAACATCGACGAGGGAGCGGCCATTTCAGAGATAGCTCGCCTCATTCATTAGTAAGAGGGGAACACCGCTATAACCCAGCGTAGCCAGGCACCAGGATGACCTTATAAAAGCTAAGACCCGCAGTCTCTGCCTGGACTCCTCTCTGGTCCCCAGATTTCTGGCCGGCACTGCTCTGCTCCCCTGTATGCAGAAGATGCCAAAGGAGACTTGCTGCTGGCTCATTCCAGCCAAAGAAATCGACATATCAGCTTCAAAGAATCCAGCTCTCAGCCCGCCTAGTTCGTGATGCGCATGCACATGTCGGGCGTCGGCCCCGGTCCACGAATACAAGAATCAAAAGGCTTTCAGAGCTTTGCCTGCATGGCCAGTCTGAGATCAAACGGACATCCGAAATACCCGGTCGTGTCACCTTGTGCTTGCTCAACCACAAATGGACTGTAGAGACAAATAAGCTGGATGGACGCCTTTTTCCTGTTCTGAAATTGTGGGGATACAAGAGCATAAGCTGATCGGAAATTGTAGCTTTGTCAGTATTATGGGATGGTCGAGGCCACCTACAATATCAGCACAGCTCCGCTCTGCAGTATAGAACAGGATGGCCTAGCGAATATTGAGTCTTGGGCCCATATTTACCACCTTCGCTCTCGCAATATCTGCTCCCTGACTTACCCATCCTGACATACTTCATTGCCAACCAGAATGGGCTCCGTATCAAATTCGTACGACTATGTCATTGTGGGTGGCGGCGTCTCCGGTGTTGTGGTTGCCTCGCGCCTACGCGCCTCTCTACCCAAAGCCCACATTCTGGTCTTGGAAGCTGGCAAAGACGAATCCAACTTTGAACTGGCGAGATACGTCAAGCACATAGCCTCCGTCAGGGGCTCTAAGATCGACTATGCATTCGACACCGTCCCTCAGAGACATCTGGACGGCAATCCGAAGAAGGCCTGGGCTGGTCGTGCTCTTTCCGGCGGTGGCGCCATCAATGTAGGAGCGTGGTTACGAGGTCCTGCTGTGGACTTCGAACGTTGGGCCGAAATTCTCCAAGATGATTCTTGGACTTTCTCATCTCTCCTGCCTTACTTTCGCAAGTCCGAGAACTTCATTTCCAAGGACGTGGATCCCAGTCTGCATGGGTCGGATGGTCCGATGGAGATCAAATTGAACAAGGACATTCGGCGGGGAAAATCGTATCCTTTGTGCGAGCAGATGAAGCAAGCCTGGCAAGAGTCAGATCCGTCGGTGAAATGGAATTCAGATGTCAACAGTGGAGATCCTCTGGGTATGGGCGACTGGGCAACCACATTCACCCGCGGAGAGCGACAGTTTCCACACAAAGCGTACAATCTCGAAGGGGTCGAGATCCAGACAAACAGCGTGGTGAAGAGGGTCATTCTAGAGAGAGTTGAATCTGACAGTGAGCCGAGGGCGACCGGGGTTGAAATGGCAGACGGGAGAATTATTTCCTCCAGGAAAGAAGTGATTGTGTGCGGAGGTACTTATAACTCGCCCAAGATCTTGCTACTCTCGGGAGTAGGACCGGCGTCTGAGCTCAGAAAACACGGTATCGATGTCCAAGTCGACCTCCCAGCTGTTGGACAGGGCTTGTGTGATGATATGACCATGCGGCAAGTCTGGCGGCTGCGTCACCCAGAACGAGGGCTGTCGTTCGATTCACCGCTTTTGACAGATCATGACCTGGTCTCGAATGTGCCTGTCGACTTTATGGTTTGGGCACAAGCTCCACACGACCTCATTCGCGAAGCGCTTGCAAAGGACGGCATTAAAGACCACCACGTCTTCAATTCCCGTGCAGTTCACCAGGAGATGTACACCATGTGGATGGCAGGACGGTCTGCGGCTCTGCTTGCACAACTAGGTCTCTCGAATGATGGATCGCTTATTTGCTCCAGCACATATAACGTGTATCCACTAAGTCGGGGTTCTGTGTCACTTGGCTCTGCGGACCCAGCAGCGCCACCGGTGATAGACCCCAACTATTATGCCGCCGAGACTGATCGAGCTATTTTCCGTGACGCACTGCGAAAACATATGCATGTCCTTTTGGGGACGGAGATCGGCAAGTCTTTTGTCGCAGCCGAAGTCCCACCGCCTGGGTTTCCTCTGCTAAGTCACGAGTCGAGCGACGAGGAAATTGATCAGAGAGTGCGTGTTTTTGCGGAGACTGGGTCTCATCCTTGTGGGACCTGTGCGATGGGAAGAGTCGTGGATGCTCGCTTGCGGGTCAAAGGTGTGAAGGGACTGCGTGTGGTGGATGCTAGCGTCTTTCCGTCACCCATTGCAACGCATCATCAGGCAGCTGTGTACGCCGTGGCTGAGAAGGGAGCAAGTATGATAGCTGCAGATTGGGAGGAGGTGAATTAAGACATCTGGAGAGATGATATCCCCGTCGAATTGATGGCATCAGAGTCCAGCGTTGAAATGACGCCAGAAGAAGTAGAAGGCATTCGTCAGACACGTCATTTGAATTAATTTCCGCATCTGTTTTCGGAATTCGAACTTCATCAATTCATCCGACTAGACTCCTTTACGCCTCTAGTTTTGCTTTCCAACCTATGACAGCTAATCGACATGCCTGAATCTCCGGAATCGTCTCATGACGCACAGGCGGATGCGGAACTTACAATGCGTGCGATGATGGGCTTCAGCTCATTTTCCGAACGCCGGCCCAAAAATCAATCCCGTAAGTCACTCGTGAACGAAACATCAATGAATTTTCTCGCGCGGGATTTGCCCTCAAGATAGGAGTCAATGTTTCGAAGTGCAAAAAATAAGAAGATAGCTTTGATCTTGTTCCTCCGGCTATTTATCATTGCCTTCCGCATGTCAAAACTTCGTGTCTCCCTATTTCTCAAAGGCGAGTGGTCCGCCCAACTCTATCGTCCTGCTGGGTTTGGTCCTTTCGACTCGGCATGTCAGATGTCTGCATTGCCACTCATTGTATCTTCTTTATCCTTCCTCTCCCCAATTGCTCAACCTTCCTGACTGGAAACCCGAAACCTCTGACCCTGAATCCCAGATACATCGCTCATGAATGCCCAACACAGTACAACAGACTCGAAGGAACCGGCACCAGATGCACCAGGATCATCTGACTTCTCAGACTCTCGCCATCCACAAGCATTCGAGTCTCAAAACCCGCCTGGGGATGATGAACAAATGTCAAGTCTCCACAACGACCTGTCTCCCAACTCCACACCTTATCCAGCACAACAACAACAACAGACAAGCTACGCATTCACTTCTCCACAAACGGGAATATCGTACACGTCGGAGGAGCTGGAACAGTGGTCTCGAGGCAAAGTCAACGCGCGAGGTGACAAGGTCTTCTTCAAGCCCGGCTTTGTATCTGACGATCCTTGGTTCCGACTTCGCGGCGGTGCAGGGAATGGTGGAGAAAATCTCGGCGGGAATAGGGGGAAAGGCCCAGGGCAATAGTAGTCAAAAGGAATTCGACATAGAAGTGAGTGAGTGTTTTAGGATGCAAGACCATCAGCGTCCGGAACCGTGTAAAGGACTAAAATGGTGGGATTTACAGCACCGTATCCAAACTCCAGCACATGCGAATCTGAAGTGTCCTCAAACAACTTTCCCACGCACATAAACACTGCTCTCTCCCCCTCCCCATTGCCTCTGAGAACTCCGCGAGTGACCTATCAAGGGAGACGCGACGCCCCCCAAAGGAGGTTTCATCCTCGTAATAATTCTTCCCATGCTCCCCCACCTTGCGAACGACAGAGAGATTGATGAATTTTTCCCACCACCATCAACGAATTCCCAGATTTTCAACGCAACGAAGAGTGTCCCTTCAGGCTCTCAGATTCGAATTTCACCGGAAGAAATACATACGCACATCGGGTAACAAGACAATGCGGATCACCCTTCCCCCTTTCCTGAAATCCGCATACTTCGGTGGGCGGGAACAAGAGAACAGGAACCCGTCGAAAGTGGAACAGAATTGAGAAAGAGACAAAGGAAGTACAGAAAGAAAAAAAAGGGGCCGCGCAGCCTTGTGATGGACACCCGTACCTTTTCTGATTCAAAGCGCGTTCTACAACACCTTCCTGCGACCCGTTCACGGCCATCTAGCATCGATGGATTGGACCAAGTTTGAACCGATCCAGTCTCCCGCTCCTAACACTAAATTTCCCTTGGCTTGGCTGCACCCATGGCTTCCCCCGACAAAACAGGCTTTCTCACGAGAAAAGCTGGGCAGGGCAGATGTCAAAAAACACAATCTCTTCGGAGTCGACAGAGTGCCAAATTTTCGTTCTCCAAAGAACAGCATTCAAACGCCCGCAGAAAAGATAATTTGCCGAGCCATGGCAATAGGCAGGAGAGGAGAATCGAATTACTGTTTTGAGCGGGATTGATGAGGAAAATCCCTATGTTCTCAACAGTCTGTGCCTGATGCCTCGCGCGTCACCAGTTACAACCGCATGGGCCAACTGTAAACTGTACATTTTCACCTACCATGAAAGAAGGTCTTCGTGCCATGTTCATAGACACATATGTTTCATTGAGAGTAGGTCAGTAACTCTGTGCTAAACACTAGGCAGGCTCTTCTCCATCTTTCCTAGCTCTTTCTCAGAGGCCACGCGTGCAGGGTGGTCGGGGTCAAGCATTCGTTGACGGATCTTCACAACATGCCTCATCATCCTCAGCGCCAGAGGATTCTGGCCGAGATCCCAGTAGATATAGGCCAGATTGTGCTGCGACGCTAGTCGATCAGGATGATCCTCCTCTAGCGTCTGCTCGCTAATTCGCACTACCTCCTCTAGGAGTGCCACTGCCTCCTTTACCTGTCCATTCTCTTGATATGCGACTGCTAGCTGGTGCTGCGACGCTAGTCGATCAGGAGGATCCTCCGCTAGCGTCTGCTCGCGAGTGCGAACTACCTCCTCCAGTAGTGTGACTGCCTCCTTTACCTGCCCATTCCCCTGATATGCCATTGCCAAATTTTGCTGCGCCAGTAGTCGCTCAGGATGATCCTCTGGCAGCTTATGTTTATGGATCTGAATCCTTACTACCTCCTCCAATAGTGCCACTGCCTCCTTTACCTGGTTATTTGCCAGATATGCTATTGCCAGGCCGTTCTGCGACATTAGTCGATCGCGATGATCCTGGTCAAGATACTCGCTTCGTAAATTATAGCACTCTTCGAAATATCGGATCGCCTCCTTGATCCTCCCATCATCAAACAAACATAGTCCTACCTTCAGGCACAGCTCAGATCTCACTTCGGGGCTGGCAGTCTGGGCCCGCCAGAGGAGACGAATTGCGTGAGGCAGGTATGCTCGCCATCGATCTGGCTGGCTCCACTCATTCCATGGGAACACACTGGTCACATGCAGAAGCGCACTTTTTTCCACCTCAGCCGCGAACGCCTCTTTTCGAACCCAAATCCGTGCAGCTAAGTGCACAAGCCTGTGCATGTCGAATGTGTCTACATCTCCGCGCCGGACCAGGAAAGCGTATGCATCCAACGTCCCGAGGGCAAACAACATTGCTTCTTCTGACGAAAAGAGAGGCAGAATGGAGCGTGGGATGGCCTTCGGTTCAATGCACGAAAGGAACGTCAACAGGTCGGCGGCGTCGGGGTAGGATTGTCGGATGTGGTAGAACGATACCAGCCAAGTGGTGGCCACTGCATGTCGCGACCCTTCGAACCGAGTGGAATCGCGGAACTCTCGACTCATCAGTTCAACCGCGTCCTGATCGGTTTTGCGAAGTAGTTCCACGTATTTACTGATAGATACTCCGGTCGTGTTGATGTACGCTGCCGCCTGCGTAATCGCCAGTGGAAGATAGGTCAGCTCCTGGAGCAAGTCCGCTAGTCCCTTCTCGTCACCAAGGAGGTCTTTTCGAAATAAGCAATTCCCCAGTAGACGTATCGCCTCTGGCGCACTCATCTCTGCCAAGTTGACCATTTCGCCTCCAACTTCCGCGGCAACTCTCCTGAAGCGAGTTGTAAATAAGATTAGGCCACTGTCGCTCTCTGGCAGGTACTGAAAAATTCCGTCGTTCTCGGAAGAGCCAAACAAGATGTCCATGTCATCCGCATTGTCCACCACGAGCAGCCACTTTCCACCTTCGTCGGACTCGAGCCACTGTCGGAGAGATTGCCGAACATCCTCGTTATCTGAGCGCTTTCGTATCTCCAGCTGCTCTGATATCTCCGTGCACGCTTGTTCAAAGCTCGCGCCACTCATAGCTGACACCCAGAACACGGAGTAGTCCGGCTTGTTTTCTTTAGTCCAGTATGCGATTTGGAACGCTACCTGCGTTTTCCCTACACCGCCTAATCCCACTAGGGAGACTTTCTGCCCGCCATCTGATGCAAATAGTTGCTGACGGAGCGCTTCGAGCACTTCCTCCCGGCCCACAAAGCGCTTATTCCGTGAAAGAGGGATATAATGGCGAGCAGGTGTCGTGCGACCTGGATCCCATTGTGAGCGCAAGTCCCTCCACATAGGATAGGCTTTCATACTGAACTGTTGTTGAATACATTGATCATTGTGTTTCTCACCAGACTCAGTATTCACTCGCCAACGACAAGGTTTGTCTCACTTTGACTTCACTAACCAGAGAGTTATCCGCCTTTCCTACCACGAAGCGTTAGTGGTAGAACGGCCAGCAGCTATGGGAAATCTTCTAGGTACACACTTTGCTTCAGCGTCAAGTTTGCCACACAGTGCCGCGCGCGGGAGATCTGATGTTGGTCGTCTAGGTACTGATGCGTCGCCGCCTCGATGCGACCTTGCTCTTTATATTCGGCCAAGTCGACATCCTGGAGTCCCTGCTCGACATTGAAACGGAAATATCGATTCTGGTCCAAGTGCTGCCTCCACCGCGCCACAAACCGTTTCGCCGTCTCCTCGGTTTCTGTTGTGATTTGGACCAACGTCTTCGACAAGAACTTCAACAAGTTATCTTCAACGGCCTTCTTACCTGGATTCCCAGTTCCAATCGAGATAAAGCACTTCACCAGCGGTTTTACTTCGGCAGATTCAGCACACCAAATGTCGGCGGCTTCTACTTCCACCTCTTCCACCGGGTTGTTCACCCCCAACGCGCCATCCACAAACTGTCTGGCTCCAATCGAGACCGGATCGAAGAAGCCAGTAGCGGCGGACGTGGCGAGGGCGGCTTCGCTGATCGTGGATTGTACACTCGGTTTCTGGGGAAGGTCATAGCTTCGGAGACGTGTGATTCCGTATAGGTCCTTCGCCGCTGCACAGACGAACCTACATAACGGTTGAGATAGTATAATCAGTCTTCTTATGCGTTTGTACGTACACTCTACATCCGTGGGGTTTCCCATCATTAAATGCTTCAGTCGGAGAGTAACCTTGGCTGGTGATGACGTCTTCGATGACGGTCTTGAGATTGTCGCTATTGAATCGTGGTCGAACTTGTCCTGACCAGCTGAACGGTGTCCGGTGCACCTTCTCTTCAAACACGGCTTTGGTCAATCGGTTATAAGCCGTAATGCATTCGTCCACGTCCATCTCAAGCCGGCCAAGCATGATAGCGATGAGGCTGTCGCATTGAGTCGTATCAGTACGGGAGCCATGATCAAAGAGGGAGTGTGTACCACGTACCCTCCGGTGCTGGTCCCGCCGATGAGATCGAATAATTCACATGGCTTGAGCGCCGAAGCTCCGCTCTTCTGGCGTTCGTAATTCACCTGGGTCATAAGGCTCTTGAGGATATGGAGCGTGGATAGACCTCGGACTCCACCGCCGTCGAGCGACAGCAGACAGAGGCCGGTGTGGTCGACAGGGTTGGACGGGCGCCCTGCCGCTCCTTCGGCGGAGACCGCTTGCTGCATCAGGTCGACCCACGCTTGGAGATTTGGGAATGTAGTCTAGCGGAAAGTTGAAGAAGAAAGAGAAAGTATGGCGTCTGTGAGGCTGATGCCTGCGCTCGAAGGTGTCTAAGCAAGGCATTGTGAAATGCCCACGATCAGGCTGAAAATGTATGTCTCGACAACGCATGCGGCCAACCTGTGGTAGCCGCGCCTAGACAACGAATGGCTGGTGGTAAAACGGGGACTAGGTGTGTTGGCTTGGAGCGCTGCACAGCCTCAGCGGTTGTGGCACTAGTGGCTTCGCGGAGCGCCTATATCGAAAATAGACCATGAGGAGTAAACCCATTTGGACTCCTCCAGGCGCCAGAGGGGCGGCAGAAATGACAGAGGCTATCTACAGAGAACTCTTTGGGATTGACGGCGATGTGAAGGCTGTGTTGATGGTGTTAATAAGGTCGTCGATGAAAGTTGAGTTGGTTTTGGTAGCGACGACAAGGTGGAAATGCAGGCGCGCGCGATGCAGAGTGCTAGCTCGGAACAACTAAGGTCCGAACCGTAAGTTGCATTACTAGAAACTGACTTGTCACGCGCCAAACTGTGAGCATCAATGAGACTGACCGATGAGAGTCGTGGCTATTAGTATACTCGGTACCTCGTACTCGGTAGAAAGCCGCATCGCCGATAGTACCAGCTCAGCTTTGGTACCTCGCTCCCTACTAGGTAATACTAACGATATTCCTCATACCTTGTACGGCTCCTTAGCTTAGTCAGCTGTCCACTACGGCGAAGCACTTAAGCCACTTTCAAATGACGGACAGCATCGGATGTTTCCCACTGTCCTGACGCCGTCAAGGAGCGTGTCACATATAGTGAATAGGTGCTACATTTATACTTCCAGAATATGCTGCAGTAGTTGGAGAGATAGGGGTCTTTAGGACTAATTCGCCTTGGGCGGACAAAGATGTAGTTGTAGGAGGTGTAAATCAAGCACCTGAGGTCTCTGCGTACCGGACCCGGCCACGCGGATGGCTGGATACTTCGTACTCGGTACACATACACGTAGAGATATACTCCAGACTCAGGCCCTTCTACTTTTCATTGGCATTGGTATTGGTATAGCTTCTCATTGCCTCACTCAGTCACTCTGTGTGAGGGTAGTAAGGGACCAACAAAGATTGGGCCTCGCTGAAAAGGGAGTCTACTTACTCAAGTAGCCAGTCACGCAGAGTGCGCATAGCGACCAGCCCAGATATCTACTACATCTTCCACTCAGCTATATTCAGAATGAGACTACCTAGGCACTATGTGATGATCAACTAGAGGGCTACTACGGGGTACTACTTAAGGGTTCCCTATGACATGTCACCCATGTCCACCGAGCTTTTAACCTATGCGACGGGTGCCCGGGCCAGCCTCGTGCCCACAGGGGCGTCCCTAATCACCTTGGAACGCCTATAAACCTCCTTCAGAGACACGCCACATGGCTCCCTGCACCCTCCAGCTGCTCCCCCGTCGTTAAGGAGCTACCATTGCCCCTTTATCCCTAGAGACGCTACGATTAGGCTTGGGTCCCCTGTAAATCCAGCCCGGGGGGGCCCTACGACTTCCCTTCTAGGGGACAGGTTCGGCGCCAGACTGGCCAAGATTGAAACTTTTTCGTCAATTGCAACTGTCACCAGGGCAATAAGAATACATGGGGAGAGGAAAAGAAACAAGGGAACCCAAGCCACGGTCCGAGCCACGGGCCAGAAAGCCCCCGTGAGACTCCCACACAGCCGCAACCTATTTGTAACTGCCCCAGAGGCACCCAGACGGCCATTCTGGACACCAGCAAGCTTCTCGAAACCCCGATATTTCGCCCCAGCACCAAATCCGGCTTAGCCAGCACACTGCAATCTCCACACCATCTGCAAGTCCCGCAGCTCGTCACTTGCAGAATCGAGGTCTTGTGACCGAAAGGAGGGGAAGTGCTACAGGGAAGGACGCCCGTCCCAAAAGATGCCTGGATAGCTCGTGATCCAATTAGACCGGTGGAAAGGTGGCACCAAACCAGAGAAATGGGCCCGATGTACCTGCAGGGGGATTTCATGGTGGCACCCGCTCGGCGTTTGCTGGCTGGCGCGCTCGGTTCCTGCAGAGTCGATCGCTGCAGTGCGAGTTCGGCAACTGGGCGATTTCTCTGGTTGCAGAAATGGGCCTGGCGTCATGCACGCCATCGCCCTGGCCACCATGCGGGGCAAAAGCAGCAAGAAACTTGGCTCGTTTCGTGGGGTGGAGCGGAACCCTAAACTCACTGCCACGTCAATCACCCCGGAGGACTACCGCCAAGGCTGCATTTGAGGCTCCCGGCGAATGATTGTTCGACTTCGATAATGGACTCTGATTTGCTGTTGTTGGACGACATCCAAAGGCTTGGGCGGAGCGGAAGCCGGACGGGCAATTCACCTCCATGTCAACCCCTTCCGTAAAATGGAGGACTCCCGGAGGCTCTCGAACTCGAAGAACTGGCTCGGACAAGAAAAAGACAAGGAAATTCGTAGCATCGTCAATCGTAACTGTCGTGGACTCAGGCATGGCGGCTGCGGCTGGCCTTCGCATACGCCTCCGGATGTTTCTTCTCTGCCTTCGATTTCATCGCTCTAACGGCCCCAAAAGTCAGCCTGGCCATTGCGGCACCTCCGAAAGGGAGCAGTGCTTCGTGCATGGCTTTGGACTCACGATATTTTCTTGGACGTGTATTCCACGTCTCGTCGGGCCTCTTTCACCGCATCGACTCCTTCGGCGAAATTGACCCGCGCGGATTTCAATCTCCGCTGGGCCATCGCTTGCAGCTCTTGCAGCTCTCGCTGTTTGGCATTCAATTCGCCAGATCTGCCGGTAATCAGTCTCTCGATCTCGCCACGGGCTTCCAGAGTGCGCCTTACGTCTGGGCTTGTTTCGCCAGCGAGCGATCCATTCGAATGGGATCGAAAGCGGCGTCCATTTTTTCGCTGAGCATGTCAACGACATCCACTCCGGAATGCGCGTAAGGGCCACAGTCTCCGCTGCTGTGGCTGGGCGCATAACTGGAGTGAGCGGAGTAGGAACCCGCGGATGTCCGACTTCCAGCGTAAGATGTGCTAGTGTCAGAAAGTTCTGGAGAGTCAAGAACCCTGGATTGGGGGTAGCTGTAGACAGGTGCCTTTCCTGACGGCATGGTGATGGGAAGGGTCTTTTGGTGAGTAGCATAGCTAGTGGGATGACGAGAGTAGGCAGAGGTGGCCATTGTGAAGAGATGATGAGTACAACTGAACCTAGGTGGGAGGTAAAGGGACAAGTCAATGTGTGGTAGTGGGATGGAAGAGACTTTGGGACTTGGACGAAGATTGATCAAGGTCAAGCAGACAATTGTGTGAACTCTTCCAAAGATGAGTGATAGAAAAGGAAGAAGGAGGGAGGAGGACTTTCAGACAGATGAGACGGGTTTTTATAGGCGAACTGGGGCACTCCTCTCGTCACAAGGGAGACAGGGGAGTAGACTGCCAGCTCATCACTTCCCTCTGGGCGGACCAATATGAGTCGTGGCCCAAGGGAAGGGGGGTGTCATGATGAGTCCACCGACCCCGCTTCGTGAGCAGGATGAGAAGAAGAGTAGGACCAATGCGAGGACGATTGAGCCAGGGAGGAAGCAGGGTCGGCACCGTCCGCCACCTTCCGCCCGGCAGAGATAAAGGAAAAGTCCGTGAAGGGTTGACCAAAGAGAGCGGAGAGAGACCCTCCACGAGCAGGAAATGGCAGGGTGGGATCAAAGTCTCAGCTGAAGCCGAGTCAGGCAGTTGAGGGGAGGCAACGGGAAGCCGAAGACGATCATTGGGTAGATGAGGCATTTTGCCAGGACTTGAGGGTCCTTAGTCCGCGGGATCTAGAAGCGAAACGGCGGACGGGAGTGGCTGTTCTGAAAGACGAATGGAGCGAGGACGGAGAAGGTTCGTGATTATACGTGAGCAAGGGGGGAGATGCGGGAGGAGCGGTGATTCGGCCAAGGAGGTGGGAGGGCGGTTTGAGATAGGCAAGTTCTCTTTTTTTTGCCATGGCCATTGGAGGCCTTGAGGTGGAGGAGAGGAGAGACGGAGGACTTGGCCACTTTGCGGACGACATGTGTGTGTTTGTGTATGTGCGAGACGTTGAGTGTTGGAGGAAAGGTATTGGGAAATTATCTTATTGAACTTCATATTTTTTGATTTTTTGGGGCGGCTGAGGCGCGCGGGCAGAGGTGGATGCCGACACGAGGGTCGCATGTTGGAATTGGTCGAAGAGGATTCAGGAGTGGCAGAGAGGCCTAGACGTAAGAGGTCGGGTGAAAGCAGCGAGAGGCAGGGTCAAGAAAGGGTCAAGCGTTAGCCGTTGGCGCGTGGGAGGGGTGAGGTGATGGTTGCAGGCTGGCCGGTGGGAGGGCGTGGGAGTGTGAGGAGCGAGGGAGGAGGCGGTCGAAGTCGTGGTGGTGATGGCGATGATGATAAGTGGTGGTGAGGATGGTGGTGAGTGGTTGTTCGGCTCGGGTTCGTGCGCAAAGGGAAAATAAGGAAAGAAGAAAGTGCGGCACCTCGCAGTCAAAAGTCACTGGGATGCCGGCCGTCGCAGGCTGCGAAGAGAAGGGCACGAGATGGAGGTTTGTTGGGCGGGTAGATGTACCTGAGGCATTCAGACGGTGAGGAGGGATGTGCCTACCTAGGTAGGTAGCTCGGTAGGTAAGTCTTGTAGGTAATGCACCTGGGAGGCGGATGGGCGTCAATTATCCCTAGGCGTTGGAACGCGCATAGGGAGGGGGCGTGCAGAGGAAGAGTACCTATAGGTAGGTAAGGGGAAGCTGCCTGGCTGCCTGGCCGCCCGTCCTCCTCCGGCTCATTGGGCGTTGAGAAATAGTCCTGTGGGCTGTAAATGACTGGCAGCTGCGTCAGGTCACAGGCAAGCACGAGTACCGGTACTCGCTGGCCCCCAACAGGGCCCTCTCTGCTCCCCCATCGCCGCCCCTCTCTCGCCCCCGGAACAATCCACCTTCATGGAATGACCGCCTACAGGCACCTATAGTTCTGAGTGATAGTGTGTGCGTATGAGGGAAGTCGAGTCTTGGCATCGCGGTTCTTCCACTCCCACTCCCCACCCGACATGCTCACTACCCACGACATCTGTATATCAAATGCGCCAACTCAAACTCTCGCCTCCTTCAGTCATTCAACCGCAGAACATTTGTAGTGCCGCACGAGTAGATATTCCCCATCTATCTACCTACCTAAGGTACACAGCCCACTGGCCATCTGGACAGCAGAGCTAAGCTGCTTTCCTCCATTCTGATCCCGCCGCCCAGCCGAAGTCCGAAGCACGCTCTCGTCGCCAAATGCTAATCCTAACTCGCCTCCAAACCCATTCATGCATGTCGTGGTTCTCGTTTGAGGAGGTCTTCTGCTCCCCCCAGCTCAGGCCATGAGCATATTGACTAAAACATTGGGTCCTCTTGAACCCCATTACCATGCACATTCGTGTCATTATCCCCCGTCCCTGGTGTTGATCCAGCCTTTATATTACTCCTCCCTCCATTACCCACCTGTTCCTTTTTGGTAAAATTAAAAAATCAATATGGCCAGTGCCCATCAACCCTATACAGCGTGAGTTGCCCATGGTGAAGAATGCCCCAAACAGCATGCACAAGTAGTTGCCACTGGCAATGAAGAGGAAAACGCCACCTCCATAAATCCTTCGCAATGACTCGCTCAATGCATCGACAATGTCGTGGAACTAGTGACCACTCGCCCATGGACAGCGCACACTGACGCAGAGCTTTCCCTAACCTGAGAATCGTTTCCCTGCACCTCGACCGAACTCAAGACTCCAGAGGCCTATCACGTAAGAACACGTGTGGCACTGTTGGGTCCAGTAGCGTCATCATCATCGTCCCGAGCACATTGAAATCCACCGGTTTGGTAAGATAGTCGGTAAATCCAGCATTGGCGGCGGCTGCGCGTTCCTCGGGCATCGCATGTGCTGTCAGTGCCATGATCGGCGACGGCCTGTACGCGTGACTCCTTTCCCACTCCCGTATTTCCGTACACGCCTCATACCCATTTTTGATCGGCATCTGGATGTCACAGATGATGAGCGAATAGTGGCCCGGTGGCTTGCCCTGAACCATTTCCACGCATTGCTGCCCATTTTTGGCATAGTCGTTGGCCAACGCAACTTTCTTGAGGTATCGTTGGATCACCATCCGGTTCACGTCGCTGTCCTCGACCAACAACACTCGGTGCTCTCTTCCACCAATTTTCTCCTTCACCAAGTTGGCGATATTTCGGAAGTCGTCGGAGCTCGACTGCGCGACCTCGCGTGCTCGATCCTTACTTAAATTGCGCAGCTGTGCAGGATCGAAAATCATCGCAAACACCGACGGCTTGACCGGCTTGTGAATCATATAGGCTTTGCGCCCGCTCGCTGTCAGGGTAGTAAAATCATCCAGAATATCCCGCTTTTGGTAGTGGTCGGTAATCACCACGAGAGCCGGTATCACTGGACCGGTGAAGTTGGCCATCTGGCGCATAAATAGCATGATATCAGAGGTTGCAGGGATATCCAAGACGATGTGTGTGAAGGTGGGCGGTGATGGCCCATTCAAAAGATCGAGGAATGAACCGATATCCGGAATGGTCGTGACATTAGCTGCAATCGAGTATGGAACCACGTGCTCAATATGCTGCTTGATCGCCATCCGCGCATGCTCTGCAGGACATATAACGACAACCGAATACGTCTGGGGATGCGCCTTTTCCGGCGCCAACCTGCTTCCGTCGTTGTCGCTCTTGCTCCGCTTGAAGACTGGGTGAGACGCAATAGCCTTTTCCATCAGGGCTTGTCGTTCACTTGCTGAAACCGTAGATTCCGGAGGAGGTGCGGATTCGGGCGTTTGGATGATCGAAGTCGCCGACGACTCGGACGCTATGTTACCCGAGTTTGATCGCCCCGATAATCCGGAGCTATCGGACGGGAGAACCGGCGGTGAAACCAGGGAGGGCGATGACAGCACTGGCGATGGCACTACCGGCGATGGTACTAATGGCGATGGCAGAGCAGTCCCCTGTTGCGGAGGGGGGCTAACATATCTGGATAGACCGGGCGTTTGAATGATGCCCTCGTTGTGCAAAAGGCCCTTAGCTGACGCCATTGTCGGGGTCTTGTTGTCGGACTGTGATCGGGGACTCCCTCCCAACGAAGGCGATTGCCTATGTTTTGCGGCTCTCGAAGCGATAGGGGGTGAGGCAAGTTCAGACCCGGGGGGTGCCACCTCGACTCTGATGTAAAAGCTAAAAGTCGAGCCCTCGCCTGCTTTACTTTTGACAGAAAGCTCGCCTCCATGCATCTCGACCAGCTGCTTGGAAAGGAAAAGCCCCAGTCCCGAGCCGGCCTCGTGATTGCTGCCGCCCCCAATCTGGCCAAACTGCTTAAAAAGCCGTTTGAAATCGTCTTCATTGAAGCCACGCCCAGTATCAACCACATCGAAGGAGAGGAGGCCCGAATTAGCAGCCTGTCCTGTTGTACTGGCTGGCTCGGCTTCGCGGTAGGAACATCGCATGTACACCTCGCCCTGTTCGGTGAACTTGACGGAATTACCAAGGAGATTGAGCAGGACCTGGCGCACTCTGAAGGCATCCCCCTTGACCGTGGACGGAACATCGGCCTCCAGCGAATAATTGAGTTCGAGTCCACGCTCGATGGCCCGAGATGACACCGTATCCACCACCTCTTCACAGAGTGCCCGGACATGAAACCACTTCGGAAGTAGAGTCATCTTCCCAGCCTCGACCTTGGTCACATCCAAAATATTGTCCACGAGTTCCCTCAGATTATTGGCGCTGTTTTGAATTGTGTCCACCGTCCGCCTTTGATCGTGGTCTAGCTCCGACTCGACCAGCCAAGGCATGCTACCCAAAATGCCATTCAGCGGCGTTCGAATTTCATGAGACATGTTAGCGAAAAATTTGGTCTTGGACTCCATTTCTGAGTGAACCTTTTCATTTGCTTGGTTCAATTCTCGTTCCAGAGCTTTCCGTGTCTCGATATCGGTGCACGTTCCGTACCAAGACGCCTTTCCGCTCTGACTTTGCCATAGACCGGTGTCAACTCGAACAAGTCGTACGAGAAACCAACGATACCCACCTCCCCTAGACTTCAGGCGGATCTCAGTCAGGTAAGATAGACGCCCGTTCTCGTCCTTCTCCACGACCACTGAGCCGGATTTGATCATCCGCTCCAGCGAGCTCAGATCAGGCGAAAAGAGGTGCTTCTGAGTAGGAAGAGAAGGGGCAGGCGCGCCGACTGTTTTGTTCGAATCGTTGGACGAAGACGACGGACTTGTAGCTGAAGATCGAGCAATCGCGGCAACATCTGACGGTGCCAAAATGCCACATTTGTGCAGGTCATCGCGATGGACATGTTTAGCGAACCCTAGGCCTCGAGCATCCTCAAGCGTCTGGCCTGAATACGAATGCCATTGCTGATTGACAGCCACTATGCCGTCTCCTTCGATAGCCTCGAAAAGAATCTGTGGAATAGCATCCGCAAGTGCGCGAATCTTTGTGTCACGGGCCATGATTGCCTCCTTTTCACTGGCCTCGAGATTCTTGATGTATTGCTCGTGCACGTCCAGAAACGATCCAATCCAGTACAAGAGACGACCATTGTGGCTCAACAAAGTGCTGGCTCGAAACACAAACCAGCGGAAGTCGCTGTCGCTGTTGAATCTCTTGACACGGATATAGTGGGTGAACTGACTTCCCGTTCTTAAGGCCTCATTCCACAGCTTGACTAGGCCATTTCTGTCTGCTGGATGCACGTTCTTCCAGGGATCTCGCACACGACCTTCTCCTTGACTCCGAAATGCGTCAAATTTGCGGTTAGTCCAAACCAAGTCTCCCGTATTCGGCTTGGCCAGGAAAAGTTGAAGCGGTACAGCATTAAGCATAAGAGACGATATTAGCTCGGGCAGATGTCTCTCGCCGTCATCTTTATGTTCGCTAACACGCCGAGCAGTGTTTCGCCGAAGGGAGGAGTCAGCCCTGTCGTATAAAGGAAAAGAATGGTCCCCGGAATCACTTTCAGAGGTAATACTAGCCGTCCGAAGTGCCATCGGACTAGGAGGGTCAGGCTGCGTCTTTGTGGTACCACCTGTAGTTTTCTTCCCAGATATCTTTGAACCGGTGGAGGATTTCTCGGTTGAATGTTTGGCTTGCTCGGTCTCATCCTTGGTCAGCCGCGGGCCAGGAGTCAGTGGTTGTTGACCGCCTCTCTGTCTCCTGGCAGAGAAGTAGCTGTCCACCATTTCAGAGCCGGTTTTGCCACCCGGAGTTGGCGGTTGCCCTGAACTCATCCCAAATTGGTCCATGAGTGGCGTGCTCACAACAGAGTTGCCAGGGCTCTCTTTCAAAACTCCTGGGCTGAAGCTTTCTTGGTATGTCCATGATCTGGCATTCTCTTTATCCTGCGCAATTTGTCCGCTTAACTCAGCCATAAGCTCGAGTTCAGAGCCTTCATCAGAGAATGTGCCCCCAAGGCCGAATGCCGCACCATGTCGACCTCCTGGAGTGCCGCGCAAACGATCTTGGAGAGCGCTGTACTGCTGCGCAAGTGAATATGAGCTTGCCAGATGTGGTAGAAGAGCTTCCAAGGAATGCCGAAGACTACGCGGATACGGATTCAGTGGCGATAGAAACGACAGGATGGCGATAGGAAAACGGAGGTTAGATGCTAGAGTCCCTCTAGCCAAAATTGGCTGTATCAATGGCACGTGAATCAGAGTCTTGGACATATCGGCTCCTATCGCACTCAATGGTTGGTTGGCCGTGGTCGCATAGTCATACACCGGAGGATTTTGTTCGAATGCAGACTCATCAATGGATGCCGTGGGCTGCGCGAAAAAGGGCGATTCCGCAGGGTCAGGGCGTGCCGCAGGTGAAGGTGAGGGACTCTGCGACCAGGGTGATGGTTCCGGTTGCTCATATTCGTCAAATGCACGAAAGGCACTTTGCAGCGTCAGAGCATCCTCAGGTCTCGCAATTTTACGGTCGTCAGGACCTCCTGGTGAAGGTGTCGGTGGCACACTTCGATCATCCTCACGTCCCTTGACCTTGGGTGATTGTCTGGGTGCGGTGTCTGTGTACGCTCTTGTCAATACAACAGGTTTCCTCTTCCCAAACAACGTTGAAACCCCTGTACGGACAAGTAATGGGTCGGGTTCGGCCTCTAGCGGCTGTATCGAACGATGAACATGACACCTGAGGGTCGATGAAGCGGAACCCGAGGAGTTGTACAGTCCTTTTAGCGCTAAGGGATCCGACTCTGCCACGGACGTCGATCGAGGTGTGGCGGCTTGTCTAGTCAACCTGGGCAAGAGCGGTGAGATCGTCGGGATTTCCTCTGCTGGCTCTTTGGGCATCATGCTATAGGCGCGCACAGGCCCTGCAGGACGCTGACGGGCACCCCTAGCAGACTGATCAGGCATCGGCCCTGCAATAGAATGGCGGGACATAAGAGGCGGCCGGCGCGGAGCCCCCGAACTAAGCTCACTGGGGATCCTACTGGCAGGTTCTGGCCGTCGGCCTAGAGAGGTTATATCAGCCTCGGAGGTAGACAGGGATTCAAACTGCGAAGGCGGCACCCCCTCGCTGCCATTGACGTTGTATGTTGCCTTCTGCCCCCACGGAACGTTCTCAAGATCGGTGATATCACCAGGAACCGCCAGCGATGCTCGTTCAGCGCCATAAACCTCTGACAGAACCTCGGTGACATTGACCCACCACATATCTAATCCTGGTTCAGCATTAAGCATCAAGATGATATCGTACAAGTCAGGCGCCGGGAAATTGGGGTCCTCGGCATAGCCTGGACTCAGAGGGGTCTGGCCAACTGGTGTACTCAAATCCGAAGAGGATGCTTGCCGTTGCGGAAGAGGTGGCTGCGCAGGGTCTGAGCTCAGGGGCGGCTCGTTGGTGGGGGACAAGAGAGTGAAGGGTCTGTGGGAGGGACCTGAGCGGTGGCTGGTGTTACGATTGAGTCGCAAAGCCATGCGAGGAAACGGATATGACGGGGTCCTAACAGACCCCGGGGTCATGTCAAACGTGGCCCGTATAGTTCGAGCGGAATCTGTCGAGAGGGCTGCGGTATTGACTGACTCATCCGAACTCGACTCCGTATGCTGCAGTGATGCTGAAGGCTCCGACGAGTCATCTTGTTTTGTCGTATCAGACGAGCCGCTGGAAGCGGTGGTAGCAGCCGCGGCGCGCATTTGTTGTTTCTGTGCCAGCGCGGCACTCATCCTTCGTCGCATTGCCTCAATTCCAGACGGAGTCTCGCGTGTCAAGACACTCGTGACCTGGTGGTGGACCAGGGTAGGAGCATTGGCGGACGCGTCCGCGCCGCTTCTTCTCTCCCCCATGGCTTCCTCCTCCGATCTTGTCGCCGATCCATGGCCATCGTTGCTTCGTGAAGAGCGGCCACGAGGGGGCATTCCAACGCGATGTGATTTTGACGATTTCATTACTGCGGACGTAGACACTCTCTCGCCCAACTTCGGTGTCTACAACCTCGCTGCAGTCGAAAGGCAGGCATGGAGAGTAAGATGAGGCGAGTCCTTTGATTCGGGTATGGGGGAAATAGGGTGTTCAAGGCGTCCAGTGGCGCGTCCGATCGCTATAGCGTACAACAGGGCGAGGTATGTATTGTAGGATGAAGCGGGTAGTACTGAGAGAAGGTTTACGTCAACGCGAGACAAGAGCGTGGAGGGACGTGGTCAGGAGAATGGCAGTTGAGCAGGAGGCCACTATCGAGATTGAAACGAGAGCACGACGGGGTGTACGAGGGCGGCAGTGAAGTGATCGATGGTGAGTATGAGGCTCGTTTAACTTGAAGGTCGAGAAAGTTGTGTGGGCGTGTGAGCGTGTGAGCGTGTGAGCGAGCGAGAGGACGCGAACCCGAATGGAGTGGCAAGGTGGGTGGTGGTTTTGCGACGAGTACGAGGTGAAGGGATGGAAGTGCGCGGAATATGCAATCCGTCAGTCAGCGAGCCAGCCCAGCTCCATCAGTCAAGTGTTTGAGATGTGTCTATACTGGCAACTGGCAGTGGGCGGCGTGGTGGTAGTGTATGGGGTCCTGGGTAGTTTGACCTGGAGAGAAGAGAAACAGAGACCCGAGACAATCGACGACACAGGGCTCATTGTGGCGCCTGGCCACTGGGCTTTGCGGGATCGGGGGCTGCTGCACGGTGACGTAGGCGGGTGTCCAAGACAGCCTAGGGGTCACCAGGGTCACGACTCACCAGCAGCCGCACCCACCCAGGGCCACCGAATACCCCATTTAGCGACCAGCGACCAAGCAACCCCAAAGGACTTTGTCCAAGGGGGTCCTCCCAAGGAAAAGCCACCGGGTGCCACCCACTGCCAGCCCCTGCAACACCCTGTCAAACCAGCGAGCCACCTGCATCACCACGCCGTTTTCTCCTTGCTGGGGGCGGCCTTGTTCCTAGATACCCGATCTCATACCGAGTAGGGACTGTACGTTCAGTACCTAGGTAGGTATCTACCGCCTCTACAGAATGCGGCTACCTCACTACCACTTACTACTAGTACTACTATTACCCGACTCGGATCCATCTGAGGCGACTTGCCTCTTCTCTCCTTACATACCTAGGTACCTTAGTAGGTACCTAGGTACCTAGTACATACCGCAGCACCTGTCAGGTATGATTTACGAGAAGAGGGGGTGAACTGCATTATTGTGCAACCACCATCGACTTTTCCCCTCTTCTTACGAGGTACCTCATACATTGGGCGGAGCAACTCTTTGTCAACCAGCGGTGGTGCCGCTTGCAGTGTTCCAAGATTCTCTCCCTACGTAATCGACCCTTTGAAGTCCTTCTTCCGTCCACATCTTTGTCCGAATTCAACGTCAGAGGGCCCACAAACACGCCCTTTCCGGCCATCAACCTTTACCGTCCATCCCCCCATATACACTGTACCTTACTCGTACCTATACCTCATGGCTAGGTACCTACCTAGGTACCTACTGGAGTCGTTTCAAAATTCAAGGGCCTTGCCACGCCTACAGTGGATAGTGTGATTTGAAACCCACATTCGTTCCGGTCCTTATCACTTGAAACCGTTTTCAATACCAATCCCACCTGCTCTTCAAGGTGACACTGATGGGCAATGGCTGTTGCTGTTACTGTTACCTTACTCCACAAGAAATGCAGCTTTGATTTTTTGCCTCCTCCCTTTCTGGCAACTGTCCATAATATCACAAACAGAACAAACAGAATAAGATTGCTTGCCTGGCGTCCATAGATGATACTCGTGACCCACGATCGACATAGAAGAGCTCAAGCAGAGGACGGGTATGACGGACAATTAAACAAGACTGTGGAGGAGTGCATTCCCAGATGGCCCTGCAGACGTGGAGTAATCGACGATCACTTCTTTTTACTTGCCTCTTGTTCCTGGTTTTGAAGCAATCAAATTTGGTAAAAGCGTTGCGGGTTCACCTGTCGGGCTTTTACAACCTTGAAAACTATGTTGGTACCTGGCTGTATCGGAATCTCCTATCCGAGATCGTCGTTCTATCGAAACTTCCTCCAGCCTCCCCACCAAAATGTACAATCCATCCTGATAATCAATCATCGTTTGGCTTGTTCTCAAAAGCGTGCTTTTTCTTTTCTCTGCCGTTTGTCCCCAACTCCAGGCCATAAAAATACACAACTGGACAAACTGCTGGTGCTCAGTCTACCTTGATCGACCCGTAGATGCGGTGGACGAAAACATATGACGACAAAAATCCGATCGTGCCTGTAAACAGAGGTCAACTCGGCCATCCACCAGACGCGAGAGGGGCTCTTGAATTGCTTACCTGTGAGCACTGCAACCAAGAAACTGAGGAGGCCTGAGTAGCCCACATAGAGGACCGCTCCAGTGAGTCCTCCAAAGGTGACTCTCGTCGCCCAGAATCCCAATGCGTTCAGAAACACGTAGCCACCAGTCATCCCTGCGCCAAAGAAGGCCCTCCACTGCCAGCGATAATCTTCAGCGCAGAGCAAGAAATACACCAGCAGGATGGTGGTGCAAGCGCAAGTCATCACCATCAACGCATAGCAGATGAACAAAAATCCAAACATGTAGTAGATCTTACTCGTCCACAGTGATGTCATGATAAAGTACAATTCCACAAAGATGGCGCAGAATGGCAGAATGCCCGTGAGCAAAAGGGAGGGTATCAGACGCAACGAGCGTGCCACAGGCGGAATTTGTCGCGGAATCTGGTTGACTCTGGTCGGTGACTCGATCGCCGGAGATTTGAATCCGTACCATGATCCAGCTACACTCAACGGCACGCTGATGAGGAACCATATGCCGATGATGGCCAGCATTGTCGTGAACGGCACTGCGCCACTTGCTCCTTTCGCCCAGACGAAAAGGTTGAGTAGAAAAAATGTCCCAAATACAATGCCGGGGACAAAAACAGGAGTCAGTGCAATGTTGAGTTTCCATTTCTCGCCACCAAAGCTCTTATATGCTCGCGCCGACACATAGCCGCCAATGCACCCAAAGATGGTATAGAGCAGAAGACCGATGGACGTGAGCCAACCCCGGTTGGAAGGTGACAGAAACCCTAGCATGGCGAAGGCGACTGTCAAAGCCGTCATGACAAACAGCTGAGCGCCATTTCCAAGCAACACGCTCAATAACAGCGCATAACGAGGTGGTCTGAAGACGTCGCCGTGCACCAGCTTCCAGCCCGAGTCTTCTTGGACATCTTCATCAACAGCAGAGGTCCCTGAGAGGTCGTCCAAGTTGATGTTATCCAGTCGGTTATATCTGGCAATGTCCTTGCGAAGCGCCCGGACCAGCACCGTGCTGACCATACCGATGAGGAAGACAACAAAGATGGCTGAGTTGATGAGAGAGAACCAGTGGATTTTGGGATCGACGATGTGAAGCAACTTGTCCCAGCGCGTAGCCCAAGCCGTCTGTGAAGGGCGCCAGTAAACGCTGTATGTATAGGTAACTTGTGTTCCTCCGCCTTCCTTTAGGACAACAGGGCCGGAATTGAAAGCGCAACTTTCCTTTCCGTCTTCCGACAGGCGAGAGTCGGCGTATGATTGTGGCTGAACCAGGACGCCGACCACGCGGTATTTGAGCCCACGGAGTCCGGCCATATGGTAGTCGATGATAATATCCCAGTGGTTGTGTAGAATCTTTGTTCCATCCTCTTGGACCTTGCCCAGCGGAAACCCGGGACTGGCGAACCGTTCGTGGGTAAGGGGATCTTCTCGTAGCTCGGCCGCCGGAAGTCCATCGACAAAAAAGTTGACGTTATATGCCTCCTCGATCCTTTTGTTGACGAAGGTAGTTGACCTCTCGTCGAATGTCTCGCCCTGACATGCGATCTTGCATGTCTGATTCAATCCCATCCACAACTGGAAGGGCGAGCTCTGGATGCGGTCGCCGAATATGATACTGCCTAGCGACTCTCTTCTGGGCTCAGGTCCTCCAGCAGGTCGGCAAAAGTGGAAAGCTTCGTAGTAATAGTCATAGGCAACCACGGCGTGGATTTGCTCATCGTGCCGCGATATTGAAGGTGTGAGACTGTTGACATTGACTTCGAGTTGGTCCCCTCGGGAGTACGATGAGGGGGAAACGCCAGGGAGATAGAAGGATGTGGCCTCCTTGAGGAAGAGAAGGCAGAGAAGCAGTGGAGGAAGCTTGGGAGCCATAGCGAAGTGAGGTCCGACGGAATGGCGCAAGGGTGTGCTTGTCTGCGAGCGACCCAAGGGAGGTCACCTCATGTTTAAGGGGGTTGGGGAAGGAAAAGGCTTTAGAATCGAAGGTGAGTTTCACAAATATCACCAAAGGAGAGGAGTAATCGGTGGATGTCGCAGATGTCTGCGTAGACGTGGATGGGTGTCGGTCTCAAGGATGTGAAGAGGTGTCGTGTCAATTGTTCTCAGCCAATTCCTGAGATGCGCAGACGTACAAAAATGTACGCGGACTTCGGGGCCACTGGGCCGAGCGAACTCGGTCGACGCAGGCCATCAGTCCTCGATTGTTTGAATGTATACCAGGTACCTAGATAATAATATCGATTCAATTGGAAAGCTTGGAGTCATTTATTTCTGACGCTCAACCCTCCTTGCAAAGTACTCGGTACTCAGTGCAATGACACTCGTTACGCGTGTTCTTTCATGTAGCCTTGTGGCTTCAGCTCGTGTGTTCCAAAAGCACCTCCTTCGCCCCTGCTCCAAGGACAGGTGAAGCACACCGGCTTCTCATCCAAGAGTCTGACAAGAATACCAAAAGAGCGCCAGCGTCTCGAATGTTTTCCACGCCCACAATGCCAGAGTGAAAAGAAAGAAGTATCCGGAGTAGGTGATCGTTCCTCCGGCTAATCATACCAGGCCGTCATACAGCGAGAGAGCCGACACAATCGTCTCATCCCGTTTACTTCCTTCCTTGAACTCGGCCATATCAAGGCTGCCGTTCTCGTCCTTGTCCATCATTCTGAAAATCTTTCTAACCCTCTTCTCTGGCGTATCTTCGTCTTCGGGCAGTTTAACCATGGAGCCCACCTGGTTGACTGATTAGCCGACTCGGTGGGAAAGAGAGGGTAAGAGAGAAACCGTCTTACCATTTTGTAGATGGCCTCGACAATTGCCAGCATCTCATCATAACTGATCTTGCCGTCCCCGTCGATATCATAAAGTTGGAACGCCCAGTCTAGTTTATCTTCCATCTTGCCTCGACTCGTCACGCTCAAGGCACAAATGAACTCCTTGAAGTCAATCGTCCCGCTCTTGTCCGAGTCAAATACTTTGAAGACGTAGTCGGCAAAGGAGTTTGGGTCGCCAAAGGGGAAAAACTGTCGATAGATCTTTTGAAACTCTTCCTTGGTCAACATGCCTGAGGGGCAGTCTTTCAAGAATCCTGCATAAGGTGGAAGACATGTTCAGCCGCCATTCTCTTCTCTACCAGTCAGGGGTAGGTAGATCTTCCGCCATGTGATCCGCTCAGATTAGATATGACATACCCTTGTACCATTGTTGCAGTTCCTTCTTATCAAAATGTGTCGACTTTTGGAGCTCTTCCAGTTGTTGCGGCGACAGTTTTGATTGTCTGGAGATGAGGTCAGCTCACAGTGACCGTCGGCGACTGCGCTCCGGTGTCGAGCAGCATCACTGCGCTCACTTCTGACCCATTTTGATGGCGCACCCGAGGCCGAACGGCCCAAGTCTTCAGTCCCTGGTCTCAGAGCCGTGAAGCAAAGGGATCCGAATTGCGACGCGCGAGGTCGGCTGCGAACGAGCTGAGAGAGGAGTGTAATCGGCTACGATTGCGATGGCGGGGCAGGGCGCTTGCTAGGATAATAATGCGAACTGGATGAGGTCAAGTTTTGTTTCTATACGGGTCCGAGGTGGGCGAAGGACCGAGGGCATATAATCTGGAGTTCTTGCCTTGAAGCGCAATGTTTGACAAGGACCAGGTTTCTCGATCGTCACAACAGTCAAAAGACAAATCTGGCTTGTAGCCTCACGTGGGGATCAACTGTTCCAGGAGTGACTTGAGGCTTTGACGCCTGAAGTTCCGCGTGGCGGGGACTTCAACAAGCGTCGAGAACCAGTCAAAGTCAAATGACAAAGCCGCCTTTATCGCTCCAGGCGGCGACCATTGTTGCTAAGGAATCTAGACTTTCGGCATTTTTCTATCTAACCACCAGAGGCTCATCTTGCCTGCCCAGGTTCCAGGTTGTTTATGTCTCCGACCACCAACCGGAGGTTATTGCATTCCCCTTGATCTGCTCCAAAGGCTTCAATCGGAATTCGCGCTTCGAGTCGGTCCGACGAGCTGCTTGGCCACCGGCGCAGCACATTCCTTGTTGATATCTCGAAGAGACCTATGGGTCCTGCCATGCCTCGCTCATCGCCTTTGCTTCGAGAACCAAGACGTCTTGGCTTCACTCAGTGCCCGCCGATGCGTCCAACGATTTGGGGGCTTCTGACCGAGCTCATTATAAGCTCCGTCACTAGGCCCACGGTGGACAGCGGCTGACCGAGCAGGTGGCCTGACACACATGGTTGGGGCGCAATTAAGCATCACCACAATCACAAAACAACGAGCTGCGGCTATTCCAGTAACGCAGCTTGGTTGGTGTAAAGTACATCAACCACATTGCTGAGCTTTTCAATCGTCTCCAAGGCAGCGTCGTAGCCAGTATCCCGCTCAACTTCGTCGTACACGATCAAACAACCTTCTCCTTGGTCCAATACCCCAATGATGACTTTGTCGAGAATCATCTGAGACAGCTTTCTCTCCACTTGCTGCGTGTCGAGTCCTACCATCTTTGCGACATGGTCAATCTCCACTCGGCTGAAAGGTTCAATGACTTTGATCAGGTTCTGTTCCAGCATGGCGTCATACAGTCGTCGTAAGTGATTGCGGATGAAGACATCACTGCCCAGCTCGTACCGATAGTTGGATAGAGCCTGTTCGTACTCTTCGAGTGACCGATTCGAATGTGCTCTTGCCACGGCTTTCATGGCCTCCAGACTTGTACTAGCATATTTCTGCGCTTGCTTTGACGACAGCAGGTTATTGACATCATCGACCAGGTTTAACATGATTTTGCAGAGAAGCATATACTGCAGTGCCGACGTGGCGCGGGCGGTGTCGTCTTGAGCGTGATACCCTTCCAACGCCTCGATGAAGTAGGAGTATGCGGTGTTGAAGTCTTTGTCTTCGGCGTGCAGCATGCCGCTCTGCATGTCCAAGCCGGCCTGCAATAGAGGAGGAGTATAGACCGACGCTGCAGATGTCCTTGCCGAAGTCAGGGCAGCTCGTGCTTTGGCCTGATTGGTGAGAGCATGGTAGACCCGAGATTCGAGCAATTGCACCTCGACGAGCACGAGCTTGTCGTCCAACCGCTTCAGCTCTCGCAGCAGACCATTTATTAGTGTGAGGGCATCATAATATGATTGCTTCTGCATATAGAGACCAACAAGTCTCGTTTCGAGGTTTTGACGAAGGAAGGATCGTTTCTCGGAATTGGCCCAGTCGATGCACGATTTAGTGGTAGTGATTTGGATCTCGAGAGTGTTGGGAATGTCGGTGAAGAAGTCGAGTAGTTGCCGGACTAGACATCAATGTAAGCATCTCATATCAATTTGATTTCCTGTCAACGTACCAAGCTTGGCCGTTTTGGCTTTGGCGAACGACGACAGGGTTGACCTGCTCGTCTTGACCAATTCCGACAGATCCTCCGAGCGCTTACTGTCTCTGTACAGCTCTCCAAGACTGACCAGCGCATTCTCATAGACTTGTAAGGCACCCTGGTCCGAGCCTGGAGATTGAGCGAGCACCTCCTTGTAGATACTCTCCGCCTTCGCCGGATCGGTTTTGGCCAGCTTTTGGGCTTCATTGACCTTGGCCTCGTTGGAAGGTGGGGGCGCCATCTTGTGCAATGAGAGGAGAGACAGGAAGGATGTTCGGATTGGTGAAAGACCAAGGTTTATTATAGCTGTGCAAGCGATAGAAAATGATCGATGACTTCCACTTTGGGGATTGGAAGGCTGCGACAGAGCGACGCAAGGCGCAGAAAAGACGCGGTTGGCGTAGGGACTCTTGGGCCGCGAGTGGCCAGCCTTGCCTTATGTAATCCTTCTCAGCCTTGCCGCTGGGTGGCCGTGACGACAGGGTCCAGCCGCTTTTTGCGTCTGCTCCACAAAAAAGTTCCTGCGCTCAGACACCACCCACCCAGACCTCGACTTCGACTTTCTGGTCTGTCTGCAGCAGACTGTCTATCATCGTGGGTGGACTGCTGTAATATGCTGCTGGCAATATGGTAAGTGCACTCCACCTTTTTCATCTCTACACAGCTAACGGAAGGCTAGAAAATCAAGTCCCTCACGAGGCCACCTGCGCCTCCGGGCGAGGGCGCTGTGCGCCAACCTCGAAACCTCGATCCAAGCCATCACCCTTTTGAACGGGCAAGAGAATATACAAGGGCCCTCAATGCTGTTAAAATGGAGCGCATGTTTGCCGCGCCGTTCATCGGACAGTTAGGCCAGGGCCATGTCGACGGTGTCTATTCCATGGCGAAAGACCCTGGCTCATTAGAGAGACTTGCTAGTGGAAGCGGTGATGGTGTGGTCAAAGTATGGGACCTCGCAAGCCGCGATGAGTTTTGGAGCGTGAGAGCACATGAAAACGTGGTTAGAGGTTTGTGTTGGACTCCAGAAAGGAAACTACTGTCTTGCGCCACCGACAAGACGGTCAAAGTCTGGGATCCATACAGCACAGAGCGGAGCGGAGTGCCTCTGACAACTTACCTGGGCCAAGGGGCATTCACTGATATCTCACATCATCGGAATCACGCCTCATTCGCTGCTTCATCCAGTGCGATATCACTCTATGACCTATCCAGACCTGCTTCCGGCCCATCTCAAGTCTTGCAGTGGCCGACCTCGACTGACACAATCACTGCTGTTTCCTTCAATCAAACCGAGACATCTGTCCTGGCATCAGCGGCCCTGGATAGAGCCATTGTCCTCTATGATCTCCGCACCTCTTCGCCTCTGACCAAAGTGGTCCTGAGGCTGGCGTCCAATGCCATTTCTTGGAATCCGATGGAAGCCTTCAATTTCGCTGCTGCAAATGAAGATCATAACATCTACATATTTGACATGCGGAAATTGGACAGGGCCCTGAACGTACTGAAAGATCACGTGGCTGCGGTCATGGACGTGGAATTTAGTCCCACTGGCGAAGAATTGGTGAGTGCATCGTACGATCGAACCGTGCGGCTGTGGAATAGAGATCGAGGCCATTCGAGAGACGTGTACCACACGAAGCGAATGCAGAGAGTGTTCAGTTGCCGCTTTACCCCGGACAACAATTACGTCTTGTCCGGCTCAGACGACGGCAATGTCAGATTATGGCGAGTTGATGCATCGAGTCGACAGGGTGTCAAATCGGCAAGGCAACGACAAAAGCTCGAGTATGATCAGGCCTTGATCCGGAGATATGCTCACATGCCGGAAATTCGGCGCATCAAACGCCATCGGCATCTCCCCAAAACTGTAAAGAAAGCAGCAGAGATCAAAGGGGAGGAGCTCAAGTCGATGAAGAGGAAAGAAGAGAACGTCCGCAAACACAGCAAGAAAGGCAGTATGCCCCGACACAGTGAGAGAGAAAAGATGGTTCTTGGAACGGAGAAATGAAGCCTCTGCGGATGGCCAACCACTGGTAGCATCACTGGGACAGTATTCCTGGACTCCAATGCCACGGACCGTCCACAGTCCCTACGACCAAGGACCAAAATGCGCCATAGGGTCACCCACCGCCCTTGAGTTGCTGCCAATGTTCACAATCTGCCAATTAAGAAAAGGACTACAGGGCGACCATCGAAAACAATGGATTGGTTCCCTTTCTGGCTGTCAACTCGGGGAAAGCATGGCCTTGGGTGATGACTTGCGATAGGACCAGGTTTCATTAAAGCGCAAAAGACGTTAAGGATTAGCTCGCGTTGCTGAAAGCAGCGGAGACAGAAGGGTCTTTGTGCAGTGGGAACGATCGATAGAAACAAATTTCTAGAAGGATGAGATCAGATAACGACCATGAGATCTAAGAGAGATCTCGCAGGAAAGAAGAGCAGCGTAGGAAGCCATGATGCTGTGGTACACTGAGGAGTCGAGGACTCACAAGGCTGCAGAGGGCAAAACCTCGGCCACTGACGAGGAAAATACCTGATTGAATAATTTCCCCTGAAACCAAAACAGTCGGCAATGGCCTTCTTCTTCACCATCAAAGAAAGAAATTGTTCCTTTCTGTTGTAACTTATTTTACTTTTGTGACTGAATAAGACGGCCTGCTTCCGTGAATAGGTGGTGAAGCCGCAAATGGAGAAGATCTGTTAAATCTCTGCCGCGCCTGCGACTGCTGCCCTCTGACTCCCTTCAACCAAGCAGAGCCTCGCCGCCGGCGACTGTCACGGACAAAATGGCCGCATTCGGGGCCCAGGTCTCACTCCTGAATTCGTTTCTGACGGAAATCGTCGACAGTATCCGCAGCAAGAATGGACAACGTATCACCGACCTCATCCAACTCGACTTTGACAGCCTGAGTCCGGAGCGTCAAAAGCCATATTCTGAACTCAACCAAGAGCTCAACCGGGCCCATCCTCCAGAGAGAGATGGAGATCTTGTGGCCAGGTGCAAGCAGACTGTGTCGCCGGACGAGTTTGGGTCCTTCAGCACGTCCTTCTCGGAATGCATCATCCAGTATTTTCGCTACCTTCGAGACTTTACGTCCGCGGACAATCAGGCAAAAGCAACCAAGATTCGGCAGTTGACCAGGTGAGTTATTGGCCCATCAGTCTTTACGTCCGTGGGAGGACCTCTGTTGTTGATTCCTTTTTTTTGGACAGTCAATGTGTAATCGCCTTGGGGGACACCAAGTATGGGATCATTATGATACCAATTGTGCTCTCGTTTTCCCGCACCCTTGCAGCGATTGCTACCAACCTGGATCGAAATCCTTCTTTGATTCGAAATCCTAGTCTGGCGACCGCACAGGATACCGAAGGTGCTCCGGGGAAGGTGAGCTTCGTGGAGGACGCAGCGAATGTGCTACGAGAGGCATTCATCAAGTGTCTTGCCGGCAGCCCTGGAGTTCCGCGAACATCTCGTCCTTCTCCAGAGGACAAGCGGGTTGGCATCTATCTGACGGCAAATTCGTGTCTGAAGCTGCTATTACAGTGTCACCGCCTGCGCAACGCTCAGCAGATGCTCTCGAGCATCGACGTTCAGTCACCGCCGTTATCCTACTACCCAGCAGCACAGCGGGTTACGTTCTTGTACTACCTGGGTCGGTTCCATTTCGCCAACAATCATTTTCGACGTGCACAGAAAGTCCTACAGACGGCGTACGAACAGTGCCATCGCCAAGCTATCAAGCATCGACGGTTGATCTTGATCTACCTGATAGCAGCCAACCTTTGTCTTGGTCGATTCCCCTCTTCAACACTCCTCTCACGTCCAGAGAGCAGAGACATTGGACCAAGATTCACTCCCCTCTGCAAGATCATACAAACGGGCAATCTTGGACTCTTCCACCAGTACCTGGATCTGGATAGCGAGTCCGGAGAGTGGTTCCTCAAGCGGTCCATCCTCTTTCAGCTGCTTAACCGGTGCGAGATCCTGGTGTGGAGGAGTCTGATTCGCAAGACTTTCCTCCTTGTCGGCTACATGGGCGAAGAGAAGAAAATCCCATTCCTCAGGTTGAGCTATGTCCACCGTGCAGCGGTGTGGGCATTGGGCAGGCAGCGGGCGATTTCGACGGCCAATGGATTTGGCTCACACGCTGCCTTGGCAGATGAGAAGAAGTACGTCGACCCTGAGTTCGCAGATATGGATGCGGCGATCAACGAGACCGGGTTTGATCCGGAAACGGGAGTGTACATTGACGAATATATCGGGCAGTATGTACCATACAGCAGTGAAGGGGAGGAGTCGCCTGCCATGAACGAAGTGGAATCTGCAGTCTTGAGTCTGATCCAGCAGGGTCTGTTGAGGGGCTTCGCTCTGCATACCAATCCCCGGTTCGCGATCCCAGGGAGCCAAAAGGCTGGGGGACCTATGAAGGCAGGATTCCCTGAAGTGTGGAGCGTCACTGCCAGTAAAGACGGAGGGGAACCAGTGCCCGGTTGGGTGGAAGAAGGAAATCTAGATGCAGGGGGAGGCGGGAGGGTGGTGAGGATATTCGGAGCTAGACCAGCAGGTGCATGAGTCTGAAGCCGGCTCAGGATATAGCAAGGATTGGCATGACGCCTTGCGGTGGGCAGCATGGCTGAGCAGCATCGCGAACGTTTCTAGAAGGATTGGACGGGCCCAATGATATCTACGAACCGTTGCCTTTCTGTCCTAATCTGTGAAAAAGGGGGACCTGTGCATCAAGTGCATGACCTGCACATAAATGCCTCGTCAATGTAACCACGTTTTGGGGGCGAGGGAGGAATGGGCGTCGAAGAAGGGGTGATGGAGACTTTTTCTCAATAACGAGGCTGAGTCGCTGCAAGTGAAGACTCAAGAGGGTGGGAGGAGTCGAGCCATGTTCGTCATGCCACACGCTGCCATGCCGTTGCGACCTTTGGCCCTTGCGCCCACGACACCCACGCATCCACTCCAAGAGCTCCCAGCAGCAACCCCATGGCACCCAGTCCACCAACAATTGTTCTGTTACCTACATAGGTACTCGGTACAGACCGATCGAACCTCTACTCGAACTCGGACTCCATTGAATGCTCGTTCTCTGTCCATCAGATCCGAAGAGCTCCTCGTCCTGACTCACGCCTCAAGCTCCATCTGCCCTGCTTGGCAGGCTCAGCAGGTCGAAGCTTCTAACTGCGCCCCGTCACAATTCACGACGGACTCGTCTCTAGCATGCCGCCACCTGCTTCTGCCATTGGCTGCCTCTCCCGCCCATGCTTGTTGTCTACGAGCGCAGATGCGGATGTTGGTGCACGGCAGACTCCTTACCGGTGCCTGTCACCTGGATGAAGGGTGGTGCCTTGTGCTAGAAGATGGAACTCGTCTCTGGGACTAAGTGCTCATGGCTCTCTTAAACATCTCCTCAACCTTTTCCTCCCTGAGAACCCACCTCGCAATGACAACCCAGCCTTAACAGGTACAAGAATGTATCTGGATCAGCCCCTGCTCTGACTCCCCTTCTGCTTGTGGACTTGTCTGTCTCACCGAGCCAACCCTCCGTGGTGTGACACAATGGCCAGCCTAGGTGAATAACCCACCGTTTCAAGCGCATTCGATACACACGAAGCTCCCTCTCGCCATTCCTGCAACGTCGGCCGTCCTGCGTTCAACATGTCGGGAGCCGAGATTGGTATCGCCGTCATCGGGGCGGTAGCAGCCCTGATCACCGCATACAAGGACGCTGGCGCTATTGTCGAGAACATCAAGGAGAGACGCAAGGCAAAAGGCGCCCTACCTCCCAGTGTGGCCCTGGAGGAGTCCATTCAAGAAGGCCATCAAGAGATTGAGAAGATCACAGCAAAGGGCATACGGCGGTTCGGGCCAACGTTCGAGCAAGGAGATGGTAAGCACTGTTCTAGACTCTGCTGCAGCACGGCTCTGGGGCACCTGGCGCTGACCTCTTCTCAAAGATATTGCTCATCGGGCTCTCCAGACCCTTACCATCGAAGTCCAAGCATCCTTCTTGCACCATCTGATGCTCGCCAGCAAAGACGACAATGTCATCGATTTCGAGGCCTGCATTGATTCCGCCATCGCTGCCCGGCTGCGCGCGGTCACTATACTCAACGAACTCTATTTGCGCCAGCAAAAACCTTCTAGTCCGAACTCGGAAGTGAGAATGTCACTGCCCCATGCAGAAGAGACGAAGGAGGTTGTCGAGGCTTCTCCAGAGCGCAGGAAGCAGTCTAGCTGGACCCCGGAACCAGTGCCTATGCCATCACGTAACACGCAGCGGCCGGCGAGACCATCTCGACCCCCGTCAGATGAGATGAAGGAGGTCGTCGAGGCACCTCCAAGCCCCGAACGCAAGAAACGCAGTGGAATGCTGGAGTCCGAGACACCTCCTAGCCCAGGCCAGGTTCCACGGAAGTCGTCCTGGAACGTCTTCAAGAAGTTGCATCGAACTTCATCTGCGGAGAAAGAATATGTATTGACGCCACCACAGGCCACCTCACGGCCTCCTTCACATGTCACCTCTCCAACATCACCTTCAATCAGATCACTGGACGATCCTCGGAGATCCCAAGTCATGACCCCACCAATCAGCCCAGTATCAACCGTTTCGTCCGTTGATGTGCTGGCTGCCGCGGGCTTTTGTAAAGGGGCGTACTACATCCAACAAGGAATCTACGAGAAGGGAGTCCAGGTCTCAATGAAGAATATGGAGTGGGCTTGTCACTGTCGAAAATGTTCCTTTGCCACACCGGCAGATCGAGACGAGCGAGGTCGAGCACGCTTCGACGACAAGCCCCACTCAACACGGAATCTCCGCTGGCGGTCTCTCCTGCTCTTCAAATCTCACATATCGTCTGGCTCTGGCCGGCAGAACACGACCCGGGCATACAGATGCCTGATATGCGTTCTTCTTGGTGATTCAACCTCTGTCTATCAAGGCGAACATCCTCTGTTTGAGCACATGTTCCACCACCAAGGTGGGGTCGTCAATGGCGTCGAACTGTGGGGTCCGATATGTTTGGAGCCCAGCGGAGCCAGAATGGGGTCCGAAAGGACGTTTGATGTCTGCTTCGCGGAAAATCCCAGATTCGCTCCCCCCAAAGGAGCGTTTGAAATGGGCGTCGCGACGGAGATTGTCGAGGCGGATGGCACGGAGATTTACGATAATGAGGATGTCTTTAAGAATCAGTGGGTGGATGAGGGACCGAGATGAGATGAGATGAGATGAGAGGTGCGCGGACGATACCGTTCCGGCTTCTCACTTCAGGAAGGGGAGCAGAAACGACCAAATGTAAGCTCAACCAAGATTCGGAAATCTTATGTTTTTTTCGGTATCTTCTGAGATGGAAGATAAAGTTGGAACTTTGTACTGTGTGATACTACCTGGGAAGGTGATTGACGGGTTACAGGACGGCATCGCGTGCTTCTAAGGCACGTGGAAACTGATAGAGCGGGCCGGTCTCCAGCTACATGGCTCGGTAGAGACTCCAGCACTTGAACAAGATGGGAAGATCCACATTTCATTTTCCCTGGTCGGCCATAGAGAACAAGTAGGATCTGTGGGTAGTCACCGGTCCGTGCATCTGATTTTCAGATGTACAGGGAAGACATAGGGTGCTGAAGGGCGAGGCTGTGGTGCATGATTTGATAAAAGAAAAGCCCTTTTCCATTTCTACCTAGAGGTACCTCAGACTCAGCCTCAGCCTTAGCTTTAGCTTTAGCGTCCGGAGTCCGGATACGAGTGATGTCTTTTAATTCTCTTTTTCATTTGATGGGCTGGAGCTTTGGGGGCCACAGAGCCTTGTTCGCTTGTCAAGCTCAATATCAATATCCCAGGTAATGTCTCCCCCCCCGGAGGTTTCCAAGCCGGGAGAAGGGAGGGAGGGGGGAACGGGACGACGCACCTTGATTACTACGAGTTTGCACCATATCCCTGATCCGTGAAAGGCGTGGAGGCTGTGGTGTGTTCATGGCGGGGGGTATTTGTAGCAACGCACCCACAGAACTTCCCGTGTGCGCTGCACGAGGGACAAGGGCATTGCTGCAAGCGGTGCTTGGCTCAATCAGATGGTCCCGTGGGCCTCTGGTATAGGGACGGGGTTGGGCGATCAACACTCAGGCTGTCTGCGTTTTGTTGCTCGGCTCGCTTGCTGGTCTCCCCTCCCTTCCTGGATCTCTCGTATTCACGGGATTTGGGTGCATGCCACACCCCGCGGCGTGTTGGCGATGCTTGCAGATGGGAACCAATTTTGGAGACAATGTACAAGTGCAGCCCATAGCTTCTATGCAGAGAACAGGGTGTTCTAGAAGAGCTCAGGACCCAATCCTGTTTGCCCGTGCGTCGATCGCAGGGTTTATACCGGATATACCGGTGTCTTTACCAGCGACCGGAGGGTCTCAAGCGTGCTCTTTTTTTATCCGACGGTTGCAGGTGGAAAGCCTCATCATGCATCAACCCTTGTCACTTCCGTCCTCGTGGGTGTGCACTGCACGGCGCCTTAGGGCAATGTTGTTGAAGAACTCTGCAGCATTGATTGAGGGGGAGGTAGCTTGGTAGCTGTGTATATATGAGGCTGTTGATCTGTTGACCATGCAGAGAAACTGTTTCAATTGTCAAGCTACTCAGCAGCAGCAACTTCAACATCATCATTACCTTTCTCCTTCAAACAGATCACAACAAACGTCCTGGATATACAAACCAATATTGTCATCCAGTTCCGAGAACCAAAAAAAGACATGTCGAGCGGCAGTGAGATGCAACACCTTCTGCCGGACGTTGCCAGCCGCCGGAGCTCGCGGACTTTCGTCGCTGACCAGAATGATTCGAAATCCGAGCAACTGCTCCAGCTCATTCTGGAGGAGTTGGAATCACACAACAAGCCCCAGATGCCTCCAGAAGTCCCCCGAAACGAGACAAGGGATTTTGCTTCGGTGCAGTCCAAAATAGCTCGAGCCACGACCAGCAGCAGCGCCGATTCCTTGATGTCTCCCACAGGCTCACCCGAAGATAAATTCTACGAGAAACTCTTCGGAGGGGTCGTTGCCTTTGCAGCCTTTGGAGGGTCCATCACATTTCAGTGCATTTTTCAAGCCGTACCGGACACGACCGAGAACCCAGAGGTAACACCGGAACATGCGCGGACATTTATCGCAATCAGCTGGTTGCTTTTCACGATGGATTTGAGCCTAGCCAGCGTCTTGCTTGCCGCAATGTACGTGCACAAAGCGTGGCACAGAAGACACCAGCTCGAACCAGAGACGCAGTGGACCCGGTTTCGATTCGATGTTTTCCGTTATGTAAACCTCATTGCGGCTCTCGTTCTGCCTTTGGGATCCCTAATTGCGTTGATGTTTACAGCACTTGCTGTGTCAGTCTTTTCAAGCAATGTGGGCTGGGCGGCATTGGTGTCGGTCATTGTTCTAGCGGGCGCCATCGCAATTTTGTGGGTTGGCTTCTGTGTCAGGGAATACCGCACCAGACACAGCAGAAAGAGGAGAGGACAAGATTCCGCTGCATGAGACTGAGACCCCAACCACTAAGCCACAGTTAGATTTTCTTTTTTTTTCAGATGTACTCGGTAACCTAGTCGTATCTCAATTCTTCAGACGTCAATGTGAATCAAAATGTGTGACCACAGCAAACGAGGTTTCAGGTTACTTTGCCTTTCTTTTTGAAACTGAGACAGCAGCGGGGCGCAGGGTTCTTGGAGTGCCACAGGATGGGGGTCCGGGTTGGATTTGAGCTTGGGCCAAATAGCGGGCCATTTTACGAGGAGGGAAAAGGGTTCCGTGGGAGCGAGGGAGCATGGGCAGGCGAGAAGGATTCGAGCGTTGGCCGACTATGCCGAAGAGAGAATCTGAACATGTGCTTCGGTAAGCGTCCGGCCAGGCGAGGATCAAACCACGCGACAATGACTGTGTGCTTTAGCGAGGACACTGGACGGAGGAGAACAAAAGGAGTCAGGGAAAAGGGGAGAGTGGGTTTCGAGAGATAAAGGCTAGATAGAGAGGTACCTAGGTAATCTGTTAAGCGGTACGCATGATGCTTTGTTATCTTTGGGGGAGAAGGTGGCACCGGTGGGTGGATGAGTGTGTGCTGACTTTTGAGTTTCGTGTTGTGGAAGTCTTTCTGCAAAGGGATCGACCACCAGCCAAAGGGCAATGCACAGCAATGTTTCTCGGTGATTCGTGAGTCCGTGAGTTCAAAGTTGTCGGAGAGTCTGAGAGTCTGAGCGTCTTTGTCTGTGCGGGAGATTGTCCAATTCTAGCCTTTGTTCAGACCCTTTCGTAAGCCCTGGGGAAATGAGGGTCTGGTGGTGACTGTGGGTTTCTGGCTCGAGTCCATGCACCCACAGTCTTATCTCGACGTACGGATGGACAACACATGGTTCCTATTTGTGTTCTGCACCTGTAGGATTCACAAGAGGGGGATGTGGCCAAAAGATGAGGAGAGAAGTACGAGGTACATCCAGTGTGCAGGCTCACGTCAATGCGAGTACTCCCGTATCTGGCTGCGCTGGGCGGAGGGCGCGGTTGGGGCTGGCTACTGGCTGCTTGTATCTACCGGTGGGCAACGGGTGGGCGCCTGGCGCCTGGGGTGACTCCAGATGCAATTATTAGCCACTGATAACGACGCCTACGGGTGCCTATGGTTCCTTCTGGTGCTTACAGTGCCTATAGCCGTTAGTGAGTTGGTTCTTTCTGGAGCCCCGAACAGTCCCAGGGCATCAGGTCCCCAATCGCAATTCCTTTCCTCCTCTCACAACTCCCTCCCCTCCTCCAGTCATATCTCACCCTGGTCTCCCAGCCCACTCTCACAGACACACGCTCTCTATCTTCTTGCCCCCTCGGTCTCAGCTAGTGGCAGGTAGTAAACGAACTACCCCGAGTCCCCGAGTTAGGGACTGCGCTCAGTGCTTTTACTTATCAGTTGCGCCACCGTGCTTTGGCCTCTCCCACTCTCCACTTTCCATCGCTGGCCTCTCATTATCACAGTCTGCGACCAAGATAACCCTCCCTGCCTTTGGAGGGTCTAGTTCGCTAACTCCTCGATCCTTTGTTCGCGACCCCAAGTTGTATCTCGCCCGGTCATGGCCCTTTGCGCCCACCCACCCGATTGCCGCCTTTTCCACTACTATCACCCTCTTCGCACTCTACCACTACTACTACTGCGCTACCAGTCCGCTCTTCCCTCCCTTCAGATTGAACAATTGACGCCTTCCTGATTCTTCTGCGCCTCGCTCCAGCGTCTGTTACAACTCCTCCGCTTCGAGCTTACCTGCCGGTGCAACCGCCGTCGTTCTCTCGAACCTCAACGTCCCATGGCCTTGGTGCAGAATTCCAGAAATCGTCCGCCTTGACAGTTGTTCTCGAAGCTATGACCCATCTCTCGAAACTCCCACCCTAACCCCCGACCCATCTGCTCTCTGGCCCAAAAAACGAAATGGCCGTCATCGAGTTCCTCGAGCGGCACATATACCACAATGAGCCGCCCGATTTGCAGTCGCGGATCGAGACGAACCCAACTCTGATCGTGTCTTGGTGGTGCACATTGTTCTCCCTCACAGCCATCCTGATCCGTATCTTGGGACGTTGGGTGCGCACCGAAAGATTGTTCCTCGAAGACTGGATCATGTTCTACAGCATCGTCCCCCTCATGATTCGCATGGGACTCGTCCATGTCGTTCTAATCTGGGGGACCAACAACACAACAACGGAGGGACTGACGCCTTTGCAAATACACCATCGCGAGATTGGAAGCAGATTGGTCCTGGCCGCTCGGATATTTTACGCCGCATTCATTTGGGTGGCTAAACTCACCGTGCTCGAGTTTCTCAAGCGCCTCATTGGAAAGTCGTGGGCCAAGTCGTACGAGATCGGACTCCGGCTCATTTATGGTTTCCTGGTCGCCACCTTTATTGCGGTTGTCATCGGTACACTGTCTGAATGCCAGCCTTTCTCGCACTACTGGCAGGTCGTCCCAGACCCCGGGCCCCGTTGCCGAGAAGGACTGGTGCAACTGATTGTCATGGGAGTGTGCGATATCGTCTCCGATGTGGTCCTGATCATTTTCCCCATTCCTCTGGTCTTGCAATCCTCAATGCGCGTCCGCAAAAAGATATCGCTCGTCCTTCTCTTCCTTCTGTCAACCATTCTCATCGCCATCACCGCCTATCGAGTCCCGTCTACCATCTCACGACGCTCCTCACAGCAGTATCGGTCGCTATTGGCGTCGCTGGAAATCCTGGCCGCCGCAGGGGTATCAAATGCCATCGTCATTGGCAGCTTCATTCGTGACCGAGGCGTGAAGAAGGCTAAATTCAGAGCGGCGTCCTTGCAAGACGACACAAGTTCTCTAGGCCGGCAACCTACAAGAACTCGGACTATATCTGTCACTCAACATCACTGGGGTTCTGATGAAGATCTGGCCAGGGGTGTGGGTGTCGCACTGCCCGCCGTACTGCGGCGCGGCACCTATACGGAACAGACGCCTCGCTTGGCCGAAGCAGCTCTGCCACAAAAGTCCCCCGATGTCAACATCGAGCCCGGCGACCAAATCCAACACACTCCATTCGCCTCAAGATGGAATTTCGCAGAGGCATCTCGTAGTCGCAGAAAATCCTCCCTGGATACCCTCAGCAGCACCTCCACAGCCAACATTCGATTGCGCGATATGAATTTCCAATCTGAGGAACCCCCCAAAGGGGAAGACGACATTGAGTACGCAGAACCCGACACACCAAGCAGAATGGGCTTCTTCGACGTCGGTGGCTTGGTCGATCAACCGCCCAATGAGTCACCAATGTCTCGGTCTCGCCAGGCATCCATCCAAGAAGTTTCTCGTCGCTTGTCCCAACCCCATCACAATGGTGTCAGGTCCGGTTCGAAAGCGTTCCTTTCCGATATTGGGGGCCTCCTATCCCGACCCTTACGGATACGCGAAGAGGACGAGTTCCATTCCACTTCAACAGCGTCGCCGAGACAGACGAGCAGTCCCGGTCGTTCGCCGATGAGGACTGAGAAGAGAAAGTCATCCCATCGGAATCGCTTGTCTTCGCAGCCGGAGGATATGCAACCTATTCGATCGGCGAGGCCGAGCGGGCCTGATGACTTGAGTATCTCGGATGCAGGGGGGTTACTACGATGACATCTCCCTTCCAGGTTGATCCTTTGAGGGGCACTACTTTTTCTATGATTATATGGAAAGCTCATGGGCCAGCGAGTCCAAAAATGGTTGTGCGTGTCAGGATTTGGCGTTTCTAAAAATTTCAGTTTATGCATATACCACTGAGCGACGGCGTTGGGGAGACTACGTATGCATATGGGTATTTACGGTGATTTGGTTGATATAATGATATCCACTTGTGTAGGAGGGGATATTAGTTGATGAGTATGGGATGTTGCTATGAGCATGATGATACTGGCTTGGCGCCAGTCACTTGTACTTTTGCACAGTCATGAGAACCAAAAGAATACAGCTATTGACGTTCAGCCTCGGTGTTTTGTGTGTATCTGCTGTCGCTGTTCTAACACTGTCACCGCTGATCTACAATCGGAGCTCGGCGCGTCCTCAGCATAAACAAGTGTAAAGTCACCCAAAGGGGAGGCAAGGCTGAACCAAGACGGACGCGAGGCTGAAAGGGCATCAGTGATCGACGGCAAACTTTCCTGCTTGTAGCGAAAACGACGCGGAGGCGAGACCCTTATGACGCATGCCGAGCAGTGCCAAGCTTCGCGTTGGATTTACCGAGGGTAACCGAGCAAGATTTGAGCTAGTGCTAGGTCTGGTTAGAGCAAATACACTTTTGATTTATCTGCGGCACCGTATCGAAACTTCTCAGCTCTCGCGTTTACAGCTCTTTTCTCCTACGACTTACTCCTACAAGGCTCCATGGGGACTGCGAAGTCAAGCCTGCCAGGAGAGCGCTTTTTATGTAATACGACAGAGAAGCGTCTTGGCCACACTTGGCGGAGTTAGAATGCCTGGATACCTTATTAACGACCGCACCAACCCTCTTTGGGGGAATTTTGGAAGAGCATTGATTGGTCAAACTATCAAAGCCGTATGAGATAAGTCTTGGTATGTCGTCGTCAAGTGTGTAGAGCATACTGGTGATAGACTTGTGGATGGCCTTAGAGCCAGCCATCGCAGGCGATGACTCCACGACAAAGGCATTTCGAGGACGAACCCGCTCGATGGACATACAAATGACCGATGTCGAGGACATCCAGGTCCTATTCCAACGAAGTCGGTCTCCAAGGCTTCTTGGTTCGGCCCACATGACGAGGCTTTGCTAGATGCATGCATATGCTGAGGACAAGTTCCTCCTCGCCGGGGTTGCCGGCTCTCAATGCGAGTGACTGGGGTTGAACAGGTCATTCGTCGAAATCAGTCTTCCCGCAGCAGCGATGTTGCTGTGTCAGGGTCGTCAAGTCTTCGGAATCATGTATATATATGATTCTATCCCCCTCACAATTGACTGGGCTTTCTCTGCCTCCTGACCTGCTACCAAGCCAAGCGCACATTTGCCCGCCGCTCACTCGAACACTCGATAGAGAAGCACCATTCACACGACCTTCCAGGATGTCCTCTGAAATCCCGAAGACCATGAAAGCTGTCCAGCTCGTGGGGGTAAGTGAGTTCGCTGCACAACCAACCAATGCACGTCTGACAGATTCTCAGTGGAAGAAACCGTACGAACTGCATGAGATACCGGTTCCTGACATTGGCGACAGCGACCTGCTTGTCAAGGCTGACGCTGCCGGGTTTTGTCATACAGATTACCAGGTATGGGAGGGTGTATACGAGTCGCCCACCCCAATAGTGCCATCTCACGAACCTGTTGGCACAATTGTGGCGGTCGGGCCTAAGGTGCAAGACAAATGGAAGGTCGGGCAGCGCATCGGCGCTCTCCTGTTCCGCCATCAATGTCACAGCTGCCTTAGCTGCAAGGTGAACAATGACATCCGCTTCTGCGAGAATATCGATTTTGCTGGACTGAAGGCTGATGGCGGCATGGCCGAGTACTTTATCGCTGATGGCAACAACTCTGTTCTGCTGCCAGATGAAGTGGATTTTGTCAACGCCGCTCCGTTGATGTGTGCCGGGGTAAGTATTCGCTTCACGTTGCTGCTATTGAGGCTCATTCATGAGCATCTCAATTGACCGTAATGCTAAGTTTCTTTAGGCCACGACTTGGGCTGCCATTGAGTCGTCGGGAGTCCAGCCTGGCGCGCCCATCGGGATAGTGGGAATCGGTGGGCTGGGCTCTTTGGCAGTTCAATTCGCAAAGGCGCTGGGACACCCAACGGTCGCAGTCGACAATCGCGAGGAGGGCAGAGCCTTAGCCCAAGAGACCCCATTGAAAGCAGACTTCGTTGTCGACTTCAACGACAAGGAGGTCACCAACAAGATCAAGGAATGGGCCGGCAACGGCGGCCTCCCGGCGATCGTCATCACCACCGACAACAACGACGCCACCAATTGGGCGCTGTCAACCCTGAGGCCGCACGGAGTCGCCGTCCCGCTTGGCTTGCCTATGCCGAACGTGCAGTTCGATTCCTTTGCACTGGTGTTCCAGGAACTGACCATTAAGGGGTCCGTGGTGTCGACGAAAGAACAGGCGGCAGCCATGATGAAAGCGGTGGCCAAGCACGGGGTCCGGTCGCATGTCACGACGATTCCGCTCGAGAAGGTGCCGGAGGTCTTGCCAGGGGCATACCTGGATCCTCGTCTCAAGGGTCGTCTGGTGGTGAAGATTTCATGAGGAAAAAGTGTGATTCTTGAGACATGTGCTCACTTCCTAGGTACAACCCTGTCCTATAGGGTGGTATGACATTCGCTCCAGAGGGGGAAGAGCTGGATATCGACTTGCCTCTTCTTGGCAGAGGATGCAAGCTGTATTTGATGGCCGAAACTCCGGGGTTGGCAGGTCTCTCTTCCTGGTTCTTTGGGCGTAGAATTCGGTACCGAAACAGTAGTCAACATCATCTCTCCGCCGCCTTTCCTCTGCGTATGGTGTATACCCCGCTTATGTTTGTTGGGCACCTATTTTGGACCAGGTAGAGGTGACAGGAACAGTGAGCATCTCGTACTTTGATTGGCGCGCATTCAGCCTCGCCGGAGTCGAAAATTCGGCCCCGAATATTTGAGTATCCAAGAGTCGGGACAAGACGAGACCGACAAGCTGAGGGCAGAGCACAACAGGTAATCACCAACTGGTTCGACACGAGCACGGATGGCTGCAGGTCTCTCTTGGGAATCGTCAAGGAGGGATCAGCTGAACCGGCACTTTAAAACCACCTGCTCTGCTGACCTCTGGACGCAAGTCTTCACGATATCCTTGAAAACAGACATCCAGTCAGTTCGCACCAAAATTACACCTTTCTTTGCATTGGAACTTTTCTTTTTGGAACAAGCAAAATCCGCACAGAAACAGAGTCGACATCTAAGCAATATCACAATATGGCCACAACCCAGAGACCGTACAACGTGCTCAGCCCGTGGAAACTGGCCCATATCGTGCTTCGCACGGCCCGGTTCACGGAGATGGTTGACTTCTACAAGCGCTTCCTGGGCGCCGAGGTCGAGTTCGAGAACGACCGGGCGTGCTTTTTGCGGTACGACGACGAACACCACCGGCTCGGCATCATCACGTACGACGGCCTTACGGACGACATTGGCAGACGAGCCGCGGAGCCGGGATTGGAGCACATCGCGTTCACGTTCCACAACCTCAACGACCTCGTGACTGTGTGGGAGCAGCGAAAGGCATTGGGGATCGAGCCCGTGTGGTGCGTCAACCACGGCGCCACCACGAGCATGTACTACGCCGACCCGGACGGGAACAAGCTCGAGTCGCAGGTGGACAACTTTGACGACCCTGACGAGCAGCGCCGCTTTCTTACTTCTACTACATTCCGCGAGAACCCTGTCGGCACAGATTTCGACCCGGAGGAGCTCAAGAGGCGCGTGAACTCGGGCGAGGATCATGCCTCGATCAAGCGCCGCATCGAGATCGGACCAAGGCCGTTCCCTACAATGGTCGGCGCGAGGCCCTGAGGATGAGGTTGAGGGTGCCCTAGGTAGCTAGCAAGCAGGATGCCCACCACAGCCAGCACAGCCTTGATTGAGCTCCTTGGCTGCCCCATTGCTCTCAGGGCCAAGTGTTGTTGGCCGTGGAAGCACGAGTCGGCTTGTTCAGAGGAGACTGGGTACATTTCAGGCAGTGAATCGAGAACATGCTACCGTGTTTTGAGGCAAGAACAGGGAGATTTCCAGATTTAGGGACACTGTTGCACGAACCTAACATACCTAGTATATTTATTGGCCCATGAGCCCCTCTTGCTTGATCCTCTTGAACTTGACGCTTGCTCCATTTGCCAACTTTTTTCTTCCCACTAAACCCGTACGCCTTTGCGGGAGACATAGTATAAAGTCTTGATTGTACTTGCGTCTAGCAGACGCCCTCTGCTCTCCGCTGGCAAATCTTCCCGCATCAGCTGTCGATTCGGTGGAGATGTCTGCTGACAAAGTTGTCGGCTTCGTTGAACCATTCATTGAGCTGCTGAGATAGTCTTCTATGGCCTTTGTAAAAAGTGGGAGAAGAGTTCCTGGACTAGGCTGTGGTTCGAAACTCTAATAGCTCATGTCCAGGGGTTCGAGTTTTCCCCAGACGCCACATCCGCTGCAGAATTCGGCGCCGAAATCATCTTGCTCACTGGTCTCTACTGGTCGTTGATCCTGAGTCTTCCTGTCTGCTTCCCCTGTATTCGAGGGTCTTCTCCTGTCACCCAGTCTTTTCAGCAATTTCAGCCTTGTTCTATTCCTCAGCATATTAGAATGCGGCTCTTGAATGCATCAGCATGTTCATTTCAAATCCTCGCACCTCTTCCTGAATGCTGCTCCGAAGCTGAGGATTTTATTGTTGTCCGGCGGCATCGAAGGAATGAGCTGGAGAGCACATTTGCCGCGGTCGAAAACCCTATATTGTTCCTAGCGATCCATCCATCCATGAGCTCTCGTCATAGTCCTGCTTTGAACTATAAGTCGTCCATCTCAAAGACAACAAGAACAACGTATATAGGTAGTTAGCTGTCCAGGGATCACAATTTAAGTATATTTCATCCCCAGACCAAGAGTGTCGACTAGACAAGGCTATATCATGGAAATAGTGACCCGTGGCGTTCATTGCTTGCGGGCATTAGGCCAGCCCAGAATTCCCCCGCCATCATCTTCCCCACGAAATCTACCAAATCCCCGATTTCTGCACCTACCACGCTACCTCAAACTTCTACCAGACTTGTGACATGGGCTTGGATTCGTAACTCCTGAACCTTAGGATCAAGCTACACACCGGCCTGGTGAGAACGCAAGTCGCCAGTGTACAACTCCAAGCATCCCTCCTGCCCTTGTGAATCCGCCATCATGCCAGGCCACACATCGCAGCTGCCCCGAGCTAGCTGCTCCTCCTGTCACACGCGGAAGATCAAATGTGATCGTCGACCCGGAAGCTGTAGCGCCTGCTCGAAGATCCAGATATCCTGCCGATACCCCTCGAGCGAGCAGATTCTGAAACGTCGTGCGCCGAGGGGACCGTACAAGAAGAGAAAGTCTCACCGGGAGAGGGAATTGGAAGATCTGGTCAAAACAATGGCAGCAAAGTGCAACGAGCTGCAGGATGCCGCCAATATTATAACCCTGAACTCCTCGCCTTGTTACGCAGGCTCCCCAGCCGTGAACCTCGATGTGGACGTGCAGGAATATCAGAATGACGTCCTGAAATCCTCGAGTCCGAAGTCTACTGTCACATCAACGTCTTCTGGCTCGTCCTTCAGGTACTTTGAAAGATCTCGCGGCCTGGGTAGAGCCTGTACCGTCGCAGAACGCCCGGGCTCCCTAGGGTCAAGCTTGACGATTCATACTGATCCAGAGCTTGTGGCCGCTAGACGCTCGGAATCGACTTTCATAGAGCCCCCTAACTCTTGGTTGCAAGGATCTCAAACACTCGAGCTGTGGCACATCTACAGAACCCGCATTGACCCTGTGACGAAATTAATCCACTGTCCGTCCTTCTCAGAACAGATTCTGCTTGCAGTGTCTCAGTCCTCGGCTGTCGATTCTAACCTACAAGTGCTTATCTTCAGTATTTGTTATGCAGCAGTCGATGTCCTGGCCGCCGGCGAGGTCGAAACTCGATTCCAGCAGAGAAAGGACGCCTTTGCTTCTCTTTACAAGCAAAGGATGGAGCGTGCTTTGGAGGAGGCGGCCTCACGCCAGAAGCCGTCATTACATGTCTTGCAAGGCCTTGTTCTTCACACGGTAAGTCTGCAGCCTTGATTGATTGGTTGAACTCAATTTGATGTTTAGATCTGCCTGTTCCGTCGGGCTGGGGATGGCGTGCCAATAGATACGGCTCTGCTTCACATGGCCGTGTCAGAGGCGTGCCTGCTGTTCCCAGAAAATGCGAGCAATAACCACGCCAACCTATCGCTACTCGAAGAGCAACTCTTGCTTCGTTGCTGGTGGGCACTATATGTTCTCGATTATCACAGGGCTGCAAAATGCGGATGTGCGCCAAATGCTACCCTCCAATCTCAGCAGGTCGCGCTACCTCTGAACCTGAATGACATCGACCTGAGCCCCACTATGCAGCAGTCTCCTACTCCCAGGACATCAGTCACCGAAATGTCTTATTTCCTTGTTGTTGTTGAACTAACTCGGCTTCAAGCATTGGCATTACCACGTCTCAAGGCCAGCGAGTCGGAGTTTGACCTTCCCAAGGACCTCGAATCCATGGCTAACGAGCGTGTGCGAGCCGTGGAAATCAATTTTCTTTGGCATTGCGAGACTTCTCGACAATTTGACTGGCTACTGCTGCTGACCGCCAAAGCAATGCTGGTACGTGTGAATGTGGGAACCTTCCTTACATCTCCGTCCTAATGCTGAATCCACAGAATCCAATTGAGATCCAGATGCTTGACTTGGGACTAGCAACCTATTCAATGGATAAGACGCTGGCGTGTGCAGCATGCGACGATTTGTCTGAAAGGACCTTCTCACTAGCCCTGGACGTTGTTGAGTGTTGGTACATTCTGAAATCCAACCCAAACTTATCATCGTGGAGTTGGTACGTTGACATTTTCCGCCGCGGGTACGACTTGGATTATGTCAAATCCGAATTGGCTCAACGGCCAGAATCAGAACAGCGGGCTCGAGCTCAGACGCTACTTGAGCTTGGGGTGCAATAGTAGAGGTCGAATAAGTCTTATGCGGTTGGCGACTGAGGCAAGATCTGTTTATCAACGTTCATTCACAGTCTCCTGGTAAGGCTTACGGTCCTTACCTGCCTTTCAGAGTATAGACTCCTACGTCCTCTCCCAAGAAGCCAGGGACAACAGAAAAAGGAGTGGGATTGATGTTACAACCTTGCAACGGACACTGCATCCATAACTTATACAACCTGTCAGGCCGCTCCTCTCCTGTGCATCTGGATCGATCCGCAGCCTACAGGACGCGATATGGCCATATAATCCTCATCAACCAAAAGACCTCATTCCAGAAGACCTTCAATTGAACTTCAATCGCCAGCTCGTGCCAAAACAGCCCTCAGGCCTCCAGAAACCGAGGCCGTGAATTGCACCTCCGTGACGAGTTCGCGGCCCAGCACCTCCTTAGCCTTATACCATCTGACGACACTCGCGATGCACACGTTAGGCTCCGCCACGGCAATGTTGAGACCAATGCAGATCCTGGTTGAGGCTAGGAATGGCACCAACTGAGGCTCTTGGTGATGCAACAGCTCCGGATCTTTCACCGGCCATCTCTCGGGTTGAATGTCTCAGGATCGTTATATCCTGCCTCGTCGTAATGCATCAAACATCCCAAGATCCACCAAGAAGATGGCCCGACTGAATTCATCGAAAGCATTCAGCAATGGTCCATCACCGGCGAGTCTCGACAGTACTCCATCGCTCTCTCCGAAAGAGAAACGTGAGGTGACACCAAATGCGAGCGACCGAAAGAGGTTTGTAAGGTCCACGGGCGTCCCAGAGACATACTCGTCTTCGCCTGGGGCCGTCAGCCTTGTTGCAAGCTTCTAGATCTTGAGTTGTAACCCCAATACCTTCTTGCGAGCGAAACCGCGGCTACGAGGCCGTCGATGGTATCCAATGTTCGACGATCGAGTTTTTCAGCAGAGACGGACGATATCTGGCATCCCCAGTTTTTCTCAGTGTTCACCAACCTGTGAGTGAGGGTGTCGGATGGTCTTCACGACTGTCGGTTTGTTGTCTCTAAAGTATAGCCAGAGAGCTTGTCGCCCTGTCACAGACACTGATGCAAGGGTATCGGCTCAAGTGCAATGGCATAGTCATGATGCTTTGATGCGCGTGCAAAAGATTCGACGCGTCTCGACGCCCAAAAAGTCAAGGAGGCTGGTACCAGAGTTGTAAGAGTTGTACCCTTTGTCTTTTCTGGTTTCCGACGTCTCCGCAACTATCGGCTTCGACAACGTCCAAGCATGTGTCTCGGGTCACTTTTCGCTCCGAGAAGTATTTGGGACCCTTTTGACTCGAACCTATTGAGCGATACTGATACTCCTATTGTACCTACTCTTCTCAGTTCCCGGAATTGAAATTTCGGGGCCGAAGTATCACGCGTTCGACCAACTAGCTGACTACGGGTACGATATTATTATACTCGGATCTCGTAATAGCCCCCACAGCCTGGGGAAGGGCAATCAATGTGGGTCCGTGGAGACCAAGATACGAGCTGCTCCAGACAGAGTCCACTCAGCCCAGACAGTCCGACGACATGATTTGCTTGCGCGATGCATACTTGTTCTGTCCTCGAAATCGCGCAGATGCATGCAGTCGGTCTTTCTGTGCTAATTCCGACTTTGGTGATCGCTTGAGCTGTGCTTTGCATGCTATCATGTGGGAATTTCCCTACTATTTCAAAAAGAGCAGGGCTGACTGCATCAGAACTGGAGTTAATTGGAGGCGAGCTTGGAACCGTGGTCGCAGAAGTACCCGACTATGACAAATCTGACAGGGGCTGATGCAGTCCATCAATATCAGAAATACGACCGGGAATCCACGCGAGAGTCTATCTCCCAATGGACTGAATCTCTCACGACACGTTTTGCGACGCTATAGACAAGTGCGAATAACCAAAGTGGACGCTGCGGCCGACATACCGCACCTATCTGCCACCGCTGGCCAGGTCTTTATTCTTGAGGCTCGAATACCTCCTCGACAGCCAGGTCAATACACCAACTGATCGACTGACTGACTGACTTACTGAACCAAGTTTCTCTTCGCTGCAACGTACGGGAAAACCAAGTCTTCAACCTCTCAAGCACTCGGGTGGTGTCTAGATATCGAAAACAAGATTCTACCGCCAGCGAAATGACTGTGTTGGGGAGAGATTCGAAGATCCTGATCGCGGGCGCCGGCCCCTCTGGTCTGGCACTGGCACAGATGCTGCGGAAGGAAGGCATCAGTTTTGAGATTTTCGAACGCGATTTATCGCGGTCTCAAGGATGGTCCGTGGGGCTCGACAAGTGAGCATTCCCATCTCATCAGCACCTTTGCCAGAAAGCCCAGGAGTCGGAATTGACCAAGATAAGAACAGATGCCTGGACGAGCTGGAGCCACTCCTGCCGGGAGATATCGCCGGGTTCGCCACGCTGAGTCCCAACTACGCACAGGGGAAGCTGGACTCCTTCAGCTTCATGGACGGAATCACGCACCAGGTCTTAGGGCAGGTTGGATCTAAGGGCCTCGACGGCCGAGACAGAATGTACTTCTGCCCGCGCGAGAAGATCCGTAAACTCCTGACACCGCACACGAACCTTCAAATAGGCAAACACGTTACCGGCTACAAGGACGACGCCGAGGGAGTAACGCTACTCTTCAAAGACGGCACCAGCGCTCGTGGCACGATGCTCGTCGCCGCTGACGGCGCGCGGTCCGCCGTGCGACGACAGTTGCTCGAGCGCAGCCCGCTGATCCAAACCGAGTTTATCGTGATCAACGGTGTCGTCCGGCTCACCAAAGAGCAGTGGGCGCCGATCCTCGAGCACTCAACGTGCGGCATCCTCCTCGGCACGGACAAATGCAAGTTCTACTTCTTACTGATTGAGTACTGTGACGACGACAGCGGCGATGCGTGGTTCAACTGGAACATCTCCTACCGGAGTAGCGACTATGCAAAGGACAATCTGTGGTCGTCCTCGGCGAGCGCTGATGAACTCCTCCAAAAGGGCCTATCGGTGATCAAAGACCTGCCACCGTTTCTGATCGACAGCGTGGCTCGCACGCCGCTCGAGGGCGTCCAGCGCCCGCCCATCAAGCTGGCCGAGACGGTCCTGCCCAACCAGCTCCTCCCGCGCGGCAACGTCACTCTGATGGGCGACGCTGCGCATTCAATGGTATGTCCGCTCCTCCTCCCTGCTCACTCATTCCTCATCACATACATGAAGCACGGTCTCTAATGTGGGTGGTGGTAGCTCCCCTTCCGCGGCATGGGCGCCAACACGGCTCTCATCGACGCGTCCGATCTAGCCAAAGGCATCATCGAGGGTATCCGCAACTCCAGCTCCGTGGACTCGGTGCTCCAGGCATATGAGAGAGTCATGATCCCCCGCGGGCGCGAGCATGTCCTCGCGTCCCATGCCGTCGGGGAGGCTGCAGTCGCGAGCCAACTCGCTGGGGGGAGGCTCGAGGAAGTTCAGAATCTAGCTGCTTCAGGGTGAATAAAGGAAAGCGTTGATTCGGGTCGGGCTAGGAGATTAGGTTTGGTATATCGGACTCAGTAGATGATAATCCGAAGTGGTCGAGTTGTGCGACAAATTATCCAGCCTGGAGAACCAATCGATCCTTCTTGCTCGAGAACAGACAGCAGTTTCACATTCGACTTATCCTGGTACACTTGCTCGAATTTAACTCCAGAGAGTAGTTGATCGACACGTATACTTTCTACTTGAAATATCTACTAACCGTATTCCAACCGCTCCTCTCTCTATATGTCTCTACTTTGCATGCGTAATCCCATGCCTCAGCGTCCCGATTTTCTCAAAGTAAACCTCCACCGTGTCCCCGTCCTTCAAATACCGTGGCGGTTTCATGGTAAAGCCCACGCCGCCGGGTGTTCCCGTGAGGACGATGTCGCCGGCGTGCAACGTGCTGCCTCGACTTAGAAACTCGATCAAGGCGGGGATTTTGAAGTGTAACTCGGAAGTGTTGCTTTGTTGGCGAAGCTCGCCGTTGACCTTTGTTCGGAGGGCCAGGGTGTGTGGGTCTTTGAGGACCTGATCATGATCAAAATGCCGGAGGGAGTTAGATACGTGCTCGCGCTCGATGTCTTGTATGGGGAGTTGAAACGTACATCTGCAGACACAATGCAGGGCCCGACAGGGCAGAAACCGTCAAAGCTCTTGCCGTAGGTCATCTGGGGCGGAGGAAAGGTGCCCGCGAGGGTGGGATCCATTTGCCATTTCCTGCAACCAGGGGGACATGTCAGCTCGATCGGGTTGTCGAGAGTGACAGGAGGTAAAGAACCTTGCGGAAACGTCGTTTGCACTCGTGTAACCAAGGACATAGTCCATGGCGTCTTCCTGGGAGATGTTCTTGCCGTCTTTGGCAATGACAAAGGCCAGCTCGCCTTCATAGTCGGCCTGCTCGTCTTGGATGATCGTGGCGAGTTCCACGTCGTCCCCGTAGCCTGCGAGGGCGTTTGATGTCTTTGAGAACATGGCGGGATAGTTTGGCGGCGCAATGCCCAATTCTTGAACTATTCACCAGGTCAATATATCTCTTTCGTGTCGACGGCGTCGCGCAGCGATCCTACGGTGGCTGACGTAGTTCCCACCGATACATCGGATGCTCGGAACCATTTTGTACGTCAAAGGGCCCAACAGTTTCTTAACGTGGAGCACCCGATCGGTGACCTGGCAGGTCGGCAGCAATGGGTCGCCCGTGACGACCTTTGCCGTCAATGACTCGTGGTTCGCTGGGTCGCCCATGTCGAAGTTGGCATCTGGCACGATTGCATCTCCGAAGTAGACTTGGCCGTCCTCTGCGCTGATGAAGCGTATAAGCCTTGTCCAGGGGACTCTTGATGGTATGGCCATGGTCGTATCAGATCAAATTTTCGACTCTAGATATTTTGATAAGGAGACTTATTGCCCTGTCAGATAGAAAACATGGCGAACCTGAGGGTGTGGTCCGTCTTTGTTCTGGGAATCTCCTCCGATCTCTACTCCAGAGAGGACATACTAGTACCAAAACATATGGCCACCGGTCGAAAGTCGAGAGCTCGAGGGTATCCCACCGTAGAGTGCGGCAATTTGACGCGGATGTTTCTACAAGCCATGTTCAGCCCTTGCTGTGGGTCTAAGCAGGGCTATTCGGATGCATCCTCTTGCTTCCACCATTGTAATATGACGCAGAATACGGCGGAACCATTGATGGATGGATGGATATGGGGGGTCCGGGATACCATGAGTAGTTCGAGTGACTGGATCCGCCTGGCGCAGCTCAGATTTCGGCTCCGAATATTTGTGGCTGTTGCCCCGGAAAAGCGGCTTTTGAAGACCGGGTCTAGTGAAATGTCACATTACCTATCGCATTGCTGGAGTAGGCGTTACCAAGGACGTCCTTCTGACGGGCGCTTTGATCATAGGAGACAGTGCCTTCTTGGCGAGGTTTGACCGTGACGGTTGTTTGTGTGATTTCGTGTCTTGTTTCGCCCTTCCGACCATGGTGATCATTTGAGATTCGGCCCAAAGTGATGAGGCAGGCTGCGACAAGGCTTGGGCCAGAGGAAGGGCGTCTGCCTCGACAGTTTCTTGATGAGTGATTGGAAGAACTTCAGGCTGGTCTTTCATCTCTGGAATGTGAGACTCGGCGTGCAACACGCAGCCAGAAGTGAAGACGATGGATTGATCTCGAGCCTTCCGTCCCTTCTCGATGCAAAAGAAGCACGAAATAGGGGAGCAAAAGCGCGTATGTAGACTACCCGAGAGTCAAGTGTCATGCTTTCACGGTACTGGTACATTTCAGGCAACATGAAAGGCAAGTGATTTCATTCACATTCACTTGGTTCGCGCCTTCAGGGACTATAGTGACAGCACATTGACCTCTTGGCGAGGGTTGACCTGCTCTGAGTCACTCTAACTCACTTTCTCCTTACCTTCAAATTTCGATCTCACAACGACTGCGACACAACCACAGTCCTCCGGGTCCGACGCCTTGGCTGCAACGACGAAACGATCACTCCCTCCGACGCCCACACCCCGAAAAATCAGTAAGAGAGGAAGACTGGTCGCAATGGAGGCTCCTACGCTGGTGAAGAACAAGGTAAGAATCGGCCGTGGCTGCGCTCAAGTTTCGACGTTTGGCTAATCTCAGCTCCTTCAGGACCCCTTCAACGCCATCCCTCGCGAATGTAGCAAATTGGTGTTGGATTGTCTAGCCCTCTCTGACATCGGTCGATCCGCAATGGTCTCTAAATCGTGGAACCAAATCGTAACGTCGTGGATATCCTCTTACGGTATCGCAGCCCACTTTCCCTGTGCTGAGAACCCACGGATGAGGGGGGTTTGTGACGCTATAGTCCTCCACGAATTCGAGCGCTTGGGTATGGACAATGCCGTATTCTCACAAGCCGATATATCTATCTCGCTAACACCCTATTCTTTTAGCTCGTCAAGATCGCGCCCTGCGGAACGGTGAAGCTACATCAGCTCGGAGGTTTCCCAATGCTACCCTATTCGTCACGGCTGGAGACTTTGCGGCGTGGGCGTCGGACCAAGGCACGGTGATCTACTACCAACGTCTACAAGAAGGGGCCGAGACGATGACTTTGGATCTGACTAGCCTCGGAGAGAGCTATCAACAAACTACGGTCAGGGGTATGCTTCTGAATTCGGATGGATTTCTCCTGGTGAAGATCAGCCTGCGGCTCGCCCCCTTCTTCCCATACTATGGCTTTCCAATGTGGTACCGGTAAGGAGAAAAGAAGGCGTTCTTGTGGTAAACGAAGTGCTCATCGATTTAGGAATTTTGTGTACTCGCTGAGAGACCGGGCAATTTTCTGGGAAATGAATACCGAGGTATTGGACGAATTTTTCCCCTGGGCCGAGTACACCCCTCTCTGCATCGGGAAAGATCGAGTATACTTGTCCCAGCAAACTTTGAACAACAGTTACAATCTCGTGGCTGAAGACTTCCGAAGTGGAACCCGTTTGCATCGGACACCTATCGTGGCTAGTATCGAGGACGACGATCAGGGTTCCATGGCCCAAAGAACACTTGAACTGATTAGACTCGGAAACGATGAATTGATTATTCAATTCGACTCCAAACGGCTGCTAGGCAGGCCAAAAACAATGGAAGTCAATAGTTTCGCCATTATCAACGGCGCCGACGGTCGAATCCAAACAATCGCCTGTTCCGGGTTTCGAAGATGTGCTCGAGCATTTGCTAATACGAGCTCCAATTCCATTGCTTTGGTCGGGTCTTCGGTGAACTCTTCTGGTCAAATGATTGTTCAGAAATTCTCACAACAGCCAGACAAAATCTTCTTACGAACCGCCGTACATGTGGTCTCTCTGACGCTGCCAACCAACATCTTCAGACTCGCCATGCATCCGTTTACATTTCATGCCTTTTCTTTCCAGAATGGTGATTCAAGTCCCCGGGCATTGATTCTGACGGCTGAGAAAGATCTCCAAACCTGCTCCGGGATGGACACGCTCGTAGCACGATGCGGGCCAGGAGTGGTGGTTGACGCATACCGCTGCATTGTGTCGAATCAGCTGTTGACCTTACGCCCACAAGAGCCTGATGGGCATGACCGACGAACATTCGAGTTGCGGGGGGATTCAGAATGGCGCGATATCTGGGCCTTTGACCTGCTGGATGATGAACAGCTCGTGTTAGGTCACTATGGTCACAGTGGTTCCGGCTTCAGGGGTCGTCAGGATACTGACCACTACCTGTTCTCTTTTACACCAAAAGCATATCGAAGCGAGGCCGAAGGTGAATGAGGCTATTGAGGGGCCGTCTGGTACACTACTCACATCCTTGGATTATGGATAGGGTTTTCAACGTGTACTTCGTGGTGGCGCCCTTGTCTCGTGCCCGTCTGCAATCTCGTCGGCCTGAGAGCGAACGGCGAGCAAGTGGGGGTGGAAACGAGAGCGCGACGGTCGGTGCTTGTACATAGATGGAGAAGCTGCCAGGATTTCGGTGGATCATACATCAGCTGGAGTCCCAAATTTACGAAGAGGCGCTTCTGCTAGAAAGACCCTCGCTCACTCTCATGACTACGCAGATTGATACCACCTTGTTGATTGCCCCAGCCCTTTCCTTGTCGACCAACAACAACATACCTCGTACCGAGTGATGATGGCGCATGTGCCACTTTTGTCCCCCATGTCCCTCATGTCCCGTAGATCTATCAATCAACCGGTCGGTCCGTCCCATCCTCGACACAGTAGCACCGCTCGCGCGTCACGTCCATGAAGTGGTCGCGTGCCGTGTGGCCCCGCACCGACTCATCGTACAAGTCCCTCTCGATCCAACACCAGACCTGGTGGAGCCAGCCCAAGAAGCCGCCTTCGGTGGTCTCGCACACTTTACTCATGCAGTCCAGAAACTCGTCGTTGCAAGTGTGGAGTTGGTCTGTGGGACAGTCGGCTACAATAGCAGAGAATAAGCAGTCAGCAGTGCTTTTGTTCTTTTTTGTTTTTGGGAAGGTAAAAGCTTACCAAAACATCGATCATGCGCATTGCAGCATTCCCCAAACTTGCCGCTGCCAGGGAGGATGCTAGCGAAGAAGCCGATCCCGCACCCATTCGGCGTAAAGTTGTCGAGAGATATTCCCTCTTTGTTCTTCGCGTGTTGACCGTGCGGACACCGTCGGATATCCTTGTCCGGCTGGCCGTTTGGGTATCGCAGGATCGGGTCGTCGACGTCGTCGGCGTCTCTGATGGCCAACGCTAGGGAACTATTGTGTGAGCCTCTGCGATGCGATATGCTGGATGAGGAGTGATGAACTCACTGTGGTTCAACGCACTGTGGCTTGGGAGGAGATGACGATGGTCGACCAGATCCATCCCATCATCAGTGGCGGTGGTGACCATGACTTCTCCGAGGTTGGTGGCCGCGTCCTCTTTCAATATAACGGGGCCGACACCGCATCCGCTGCACCAACTGGACGGAACGGGGGCCGGGCTTCTCTCTTCAAGAATAACCGTGGATGTCGATGTCGATGTCGATCTAACCATGGTGGGATACCCCAAGCCAGGAAGACCGAGGCGAGGATGAAACTTGACATCCTCATCTTCCAGCAATACAGATTCAGGCGCAGGGGTAGGGGTAGGCGTGGCACTGACACCGACACCGACGTGCATTTCCCTGACAATCAGGGATACCCTTGGCCTCTCGTCACGACGGGTACCAGCACCAGTCCCACTCGGGGTCGTCGGGAAAGATCCCACTGTTGCCCTCAAGGCCGACGCCACCCTCGATGCTCTGGTGGGTATAGATACCCATAGGGAAGACGTCACGGCCGCCGTGACGGTCGTCAAACGGCCCTGCGCCTGGACCAGCGACACTACTGGGCCTGCTGCGACCTCCAGGGGCACCGCCATGGCTACCTGCAGAGACAGCGCGGCAAGCAGGGCGGAGACGAGGACGGAGAATGAGGGACGCATCTTGAGAAACAACCTGTAGACGATAATCTGCGTGCAGACCAGGCGGTGAGCTTGAAAGCAGAGGACTCTATCTGAACAGAGACTGTTTGATCGACTAAAATGCACATAAGTCACGCACTTCATGAAAAAAGGTGAGAGCAGACTTCTTTATTAAATATACCCCCACCACGGCCTCCCGTAACCACTGGCTACGGCCCAATAAAAAAACAACCTTACCATCAGCAGTCGAAACTTGTCGGAGCGGAACCAAAGGAACGCGCTGGAAAGAAAGTTCTCCGCCGTGCGGGCGCAAAGTTGGTTCGACCTCTCATATCTAGGTGTTCAGAACGGTGGCTTCGAGACCACTTGTACTAAGAAGCGAGGACAGAGGGATAAAATTTCCAAGGGCAGAGAGAGGAACTTGAGGGATGACCAAGGGGAAGAAACATGGCATGAAAGTAGCTAGGTAGGTTTTGTAGTTAGGTGTGCGGTGGAGGGATAGGTAGTTGAAGTTACTATACGAGGTACCGAGGAAATGGGACAAGTTTGGAAATAATTGTCTTTTCATTTCAGGGGCTGCAGCCTGATTCCGACCCCGATTCAGTTTGTACCTTGTAACTTGTTTCCACTCAGCTCTTCAAGACCCGCTTGGGGAGGGGTTTCGTTCTTTCGATAAATCAATACAGCACAGCATTGCGAAAAGCTCTCTCTGTCGTTAATCCTATCCAAGCTCTGCATTGTGGTCAGTTTGCAGCTCATCCCAGCTCATCCATCCTAGTGTCTGAGTCCTGATCCAAAGAGCACGCCTGCGCCAAGTTTTCTGCACGCCTTTCGGAGATTTTTTCCCGCGCACACACATCAAGATGTCCAACTGAATATTCGGGGTGATCACCACAGCCACACGTCAGGGTGTAGCCAAGTGACTTCTCGCGAAGCTTGCATTCGCTTTCTCCCACTGGTGAATCATGCCTTTGACATTTCGCTTCGAAATCTCCTTCTCGTTCTCGCCCTTTCCGTTCTCGTCCATCTCCATCTCCTGCGGCTGCGCGTTGTGCTCCCCATTCTCCGTACCAGCGCGATTCGTGGACGATTGCTCATTTAAGCCATTGCATTCGCCAACATCTTCTTCTTGGTGGTCATCATACACGCTCACCGAGTTCTGAGATAGCGACTGTGTCAAGAATTGGAGTTGAAGTTGGGGATATGATTCATCGTTCACCACAACCACCGAGGGTCGGTGGTCTGCCAGCTCCGCACTCCGTTCTGTAAGATTGCGTTGATTCATGGCCATGCCCTCGTCTCCTGTAGCAACCTGATCATGAGCATCGAGCGTGACGGTCTCGAAATTGGCATCATAGGCCATTGCAGGTGGGGAGTGCATGTATGCCGCCGCCTCCTGACTTTCGTCGCTGACGGTGATTGTCGGATTGACAAGAGGACTCGGACTCCGGCGCTCAATGTGACGTAACGAATCAACTCTTGGCCCATGGTGCATGTATTGTGGCCCGGCGTCAAACACTGCACTGGGATCTGAATCGTGACCATCAAATAGGTACTCATTCCTCAAGGGGCTTTTCTGGGCGACGGGTGACAATGCGTCTCGTCGGCCGTTAGTCGGCGGTGGAAGCAGTGCAGATGGGTGGCGCGGAAGATACCCGTGACCGTGACCGCTGACGGTGGACTGGTAAGAGTTCCGGAATTGGTCTGTTGGAGGTGCGAGGTGGCTTAGTCGTTGCTGCGAAGACCGTGCGTAAGGGTCATCGAGATTGTAGAAATACGGAGCACGAGATTCATCGCTCCCTGAGCCCTGTCGCCATCAGAATGTCAGTATCAATATGTTAGGTATATTTTTGGAGAACGCAATATGCAAAAGCCTGAGACAACACTCACGGTTTGCCACGAACTGTCTCCCACAGTTGAATAGTCATCCCAGTTCTTATTTTCTCCTTTCCGTCCCATTATCATCGTGGTAGGTCGCAGCTCTCCAGCCTCCATGCGTGCCCGTCGACCCCTCTCCCATGCGTACATGTTATTGATCCATCTCACCTCCTTCAACCTGGCAGTCTGCGACGCCGACAGTGGCTTATTGGGATTGTAGAATTCAGTTTCGCCCGTCTCTTCGAAAGCTTCAAGATCATGCAAGGAGGACTGGCTCCGACGACAGTAGCGGAAGACACTCGCGAAGATGATGATGCATGCGAATGCCGCGAGGATGACGATGCCGACGATGAGAGACGGGGAGATTGCCAGCGTGGATTGTCCGCTGTCGTTGTTCTGTTGAGTGGCCATCGTCCCGGCGACCAAAGGGTGATAGGTGAATGTCAGGCCTCAACGGGAAGAGTCGACGAAGTTGCGCTGAACGGAGCGGCGATCGCCCAGACGACGCTCACGTTGTCACTATTGAAAAGGGTATTCTTGCGACAGGACGACGTGCTTGCGATCAGACATACCTATAGTCATCCGTCGCGGGAAATAGTAAGGATGTCGTCGACAAAGCCAGTCGTCGTTACAGCGAGTGGGGAGAGGAACTTGCGCAGATGACCACGGCGCTCTGACGAATGTGAAGATTTGGTGATGATGGGTGAGCGTCGCAGGCGTGAAGTCCCACGCCGACAAACTTGATCTCGCCTCCATGTTTACCAAGGTGCGGCAGAATGCATATGCTCCTTCACTGCCGAAATGGTACCACGTGGATTTCTTCTCATATTTCTTTCTGCGCTCCGGACATGAGAGGTCATCTGTTTCGTTCCTCTCCTTCCTCCAGTCCAGTAGTATTAACCTACTCCATTCTTGACATGAGCTTTTCAACGGCCATTCACTGTCAATGAGTTTGAAAACAAACCTGTGCTGGCTGAACTGCTCCGCGTTCACCAACCCATGCAGGTTACGGTGCAGAACGCAGCCTGGTTGAGAATCCGCCCAGCGGTGATTGCAAGTGTGACGGAATCTTACCGTCGCACACCCAGGGAGCCGATTTGCCACTGGACAATCAGAGGACGATTCGTTGACCTTCGACGGCGAGCACTGGGATTACTCTACAGATTTTGATACGGCTGGCATGATTAATGGCGGAAATGTCAAAGTGGATGATGGTTTCAAGATCCTCAACACCCTGACAGCTGTCGTTCTGTGCAGTCTCGGCGCCGAGAATTTGGCCCCTGAAGACTGAAAGAGTTCGACAATGCCAGCCTTGCAAATCTTTCATGTCCAGCTGTGGTATTAATTGACGAGGCCAATGCTTTGTTCATGACTACGATATTTTGCCTCGGAAGCTATGCTAATGTAAGAATAGACACACACAACGTCGACGAGCTTTCTGACGGGTTTGACTGTGCGAATTACTCCTGAACCATTTCTCTTCCTGCAGTTGCGAGGTCGTTCTCTGTTGCTTTCAAAGAACAAGTTGTTTGCTCACGATAGCCCACTCTTCGTGACTCCCAGCAATGCAATGGCCTTCTCAGCCTCCTCTGCACCCTCTTTGCTACCGTCGTAGACCTTGTTCATGAAGCCGCTCAGCTTCTGAAGAGCTCCCATCATCTTGTCATTATCAAACTTCTCATAATGCGCGTCGAATAGTGCCTTCATTGTTGCTTGACATGTGTTCATATTCTTCCTGGCATCATCAAGCTTGGATTTGACCAAGAGGAGCTGCTTGCTAATCTCCTCTTCGGCTGTTGGAGGGGCTGTTGGAGGCAAATTGAGTACGACGGGAACAGCAGCGCGTGCGGGAGCTCGAGTTCTTCTGTTGGCACGGTTGCGGGCGTCTCGAGATGGTGGCTTCGAGGTTATTCCGGTGGAGGCCAAGGACATGTTCTTCCCTGGAAGCGCGTTGAGATATTTAAGCCGGGTATCGCCCACACTTGGAATAATGCTCCCGTTGACCACTTTCTGGCGTTTGGTTGTGATATCATGCGAGTCCGTCGGATCACATTCACTGTCTGTTGACAAGGTCAAATCGATCAGGTCCTCTTCTTTGCTACCAGGCAATGGCCGCTTTCTCATCAGAGGCTGGACAGGATGGAATTTTAACTCCACCTTATGGTTTGATGGAGGTTGAATTGTGGCTGCTCTTCTCTTTCGGTTTGTATTGTCACCAACGCCACTGGGACGATACCTGTCAGGGTATATCGGATCTTTGGGAAGATGGCCTAAGAAGTGGAAAGGTCTTTTTCGAAGTGCAAGGCGCTTAACGGCCCAGATGAGCTCGAATAACGCTTCATGATTGAAGGTATTGAACCCAGCTTTGGTGGCAGCGTCGGCGACTTGAAGCTCGAAGCCGGTCAGTTCGATAGCTGCAGCTTGTTAGCACTATCCTGATCTGCTCTCCCAGTGACCATACTGCCTTGATAGAGACCTGTAACTCCTGTTTCTCGATGTTCATACCAACAGCCAACACCCCGCCCGCAGAATCCGTAATGTTTCCACGGCAAACAGGTACCTCTTTGTTGAACCGTGGTGGCCATTCGACCGCTGTCCCAATGAGCGAACTCGCAGGTGGAAGCACCGAACGCGTCGACATTGGGACAGCGGGGCCCGAGAGCCCAGTAGCGACAAATGTAGCGCTTGTTCGACGGCATTGTGAGAGGCGAGAGCAAGGTGGTATTGCAGCTCGGGATCGATCAGCCGGCAGCTTGAGCTGAGTTGGATAAAGAGACGAGCTCACCAACAGAGCATAATGCAGAAGAAATGAGATAGCAGTCAATCAAAACAAACTGCTGGATGAAGGGAGTGTAGGAATGACATGAGAGAAGTGAAGGTGAAGTGAGTTGACGAGGTGAAGTGCCACCAACTTGAACCTCAAACGGGGACGAATGTGGGCATCGAAGGAAGCCACTCACACAACGCAGGCCGAAAAGGCCAGGGAAAAGAGCGACAGAAGCAGCAGGCAGGGTTATGCAAGTCTAAACAGCCAAAGCCTCCTCGGGTCATCACTCATCGCAGTAGCAGTTCAAAATCTCTTAACTTGACAAGCTGGTCACCTTACGCTGAAGCCCGACGCTTCAAGGACTTCGCATCCGTCTTGAGCGTCCCTCCGTGCGTCTTCAACTTCATCAACACATAGGCAGCCTTGGTGTCGCTAAATCCCTTTGAGGACTTCTTCCTTGCTGGAACACCATTCTTCCCCTTTGAGTCCTCAGAATCGTCTGACCCGGCATCATACTCTTCATCAACCTCCATGCTTTGCGCAGCCGATCTATGGGACATATCCTGAGCCGGGCTGTCTTTCTCGATATCCTTCGGTGTAGTGGTGGGAAACAATGGCTTCCTAGGCGGCGGCAACAGGTCCAAAGGGGTATGCGATCTCGGGATATTGGCTGCCATACGACCTTTGCGAGAGGTTCCGTAAGGGGAAGACGACCTGGTAGTACTGGACGGTGACCATGGATTATCAAAAGAGATTGGGGCAGGCGAGCGAGGAGTGTTTACCGCAGACCAGGGGTTGGTAAAGGCAATCTGGGGCGAGGGAGAAGACAACTCATATTTGTCCTCATGGCTTGTGTCCGTCGAGTATTCACTGGTGTTGTCAGTCTCTTTGTGGGGCTTGGGCAAGATCATTCTGAGTTGAGGGCGAACTTGGGGCGTCTGCGGCGTCTGAGGACTGGATATGCCTGACCACGGCCCGGATGCAACCAAGCTCTCAAGTTCACGGTAGTGTCGAGCTTGCAGAGCACAGCGTTTGGTGATCTCTGCATCAATCTGCATGGAGCCAAAATTCTCAGAGTCGGGAGGAAGACAGATGTTTGGAAAATCCTTTCCAAACACCGGGGTTAGTGCGTAGCGAATGTGCCAGCAAAATGTGGCTGCCATTGCTTTGGCCGCGTCGTAGGGAATCCAGTAACCTGTATCTCGTGTCAGCTTCAATTGGGACCATGAAGAGTACTGGCTGGGCGCATACCTTGAGCAACAAGAGCCCCTCCGGTGATGCTATGGCACAATTCTTTCAATCCCGGATTTCTGCTCAGCATCTTTGCGGGTGTTGTCTACAGGCATACGGTCAGCTAAGATGTGCATCACTTGGTCGGTGACATACCTTGGAATAATTTCCACACTTGAACAAAGGCGTGGTACGGACTAGACCGATGTTGTAGTCCCACAGCATGGTGTAGGTGGTTGACTCTCCCGGGATCTTGAATTGATATTGAAACACTGGGACGTGGTCAGGCGGACAACATAAATCAACGGCCTGGGGAAAGGTACCTTCGAAGCTCTCCCGCCCCGTCTTCTCCCAGAACAACTTCTTTTCGCTGTTGTATGGGATGTGTCTTGGGTAGGTCGCTATATCGCCAATCGGATAGACCTCGTACATCTGATGTTTAGCCTCAAGCAGCTCATCTTGATATTCATCAGGTGGGTATCGACATTCCCCTTGGATGACCCCCCGCTTGAAGACTGCAGCATCTTTGCACATCTTTTGCTTCTTTCGATTGCGTTTGTCCGGTCCATTTCCGACCGTGTCAGACGCTGCCGAGGTCGGGCTGTCGCGGGCAGAGATCTCGTCCCTGCTGTCGTTGTTACTCTCGTAGTTCTCGCCCTCCTCGACGGGGTTGAGCAGAGATTGGATTGCAGCCATGCCGAAAGGAATATCACTTTGCAAGGGAATTGGGAAGGTCTGGGAAGTCTTAGCGCTCGAAAGAATGGTTTGATATATCTGCTGGCACAAAGGTCTGCTTGATGGCACAGCAAATGGCAAATAACAACCAGAAAACAGGCCACGACAAAGCTTAGAATTTCGCAATCTGCACGTTCTCCATGGAATGATAGAGCCCAGTTCCACTTCGACCACGAGATACAAAGAAAAAGAGCGGACGATCAGCACGTCTTTGCACTCATGCAATAACTCAGGCAAGTTGCCAGTCTAGGCCAGAGAGTAGACGAGGCGGTCTCTCCATGCTCGTCCTTCCTGGACGAATCAAAGTATCCACGGTACTGAATCGGCTGGCACGCTGGATGAGCGGTGTAGGAGTTCTTCCTTGAGGCATCGGAAGGGCGCAGAGGCGAGGCTCAAGTTCCCAGAAAGACTAAAGTTTCAAAGCTCAGTCCATTGATGTCCTGTCGGTTCACGCACCTGGGCCAAATGCGAATCTCGCTATCAATGCCTCTTGGGACACTGGTACAAGTGTAGATAGAGAGCTGGTAGCATTGAGATCAAGGGATATCTCATGTGAGGCAAGCCCTCTTCTCTGCAAGCCAAGGCCGGGTTGGCGGGAATCCATACTATTCTGCAGATGGCCTCGAGCCACGTTGTTCGACCGGGATAGTAGGGACGTATCGCAAACACGACTGCACCTTGTCAGCCAAGCCAGGTACTTCAAGCGTAGGAAAGTCTCACCCAAAAGTCGTTGATCTGGCTATCTAGGCGTGGATCCTGCTGCTGCTTCTCCTCCGCCGGTACCTTGCATTGGCAGGTTGCACAATCGATCCGCTCTTTGGTCAGCCTTGCGATGGTCATAAAACAGACAAAGAAATCCCTGCGTCAAGTCATGCACAGAATATACACAACGGTGTCGGATCCCTTTCGTGATCCTCCAAGCGTGTTTTGGCTTGCAAGAACTGCTGCCAGGAGACCAGGGTATGATGTTTCAAACACCTTCGGAGCCGAATCACGTCAAGAGCCTGGGTCTTTTGCATTGCGCCCAGAGATGCATCCAGGCATGGTCAGGTACGAGCAACTGCCCGAGTCAGCAAAAAGGACTGGATTGGAGTATGCGGTACCAAAGAGAACTATTTCGCCAACGCAGCAGAATATCTTATGCAATCCATTGCTCCACGCAATTCCAGCCAAAACAGAACTCCGGAACGATATTCACATTCACATCTCGTGTCTCATTCGATCCAATGTCAAGCCACTGTCCGAGTGCTTGACCAAGTCAACCACCCCCATTGTTGCATAGTTACTCATCCGAAAAAGCCGCCGAAGAACCCTCGTCTTGGAAACCCGCATCTTGACTGATATCTTCTTCATCATCGTCGTCATCATCATCAAAGGTATAGGTTGTCGGCTTCCTCGCGGTCACGGCTCGTCTGGCAGGTCTCGCCGCCGGTTTCTTTGCAACAGGTTCGTCCAGGTCGGAGCCTGAAGGTGACTTCAGAATATCATCAGCCAGTGCATCCAGATCGTCATCCGAATCCACGACCTTCTTCTTTGCAAGTCTTTTTGCGTAAGCCTTCGCGACTGGAGACTGTCCAACCTTCTTTGTTGCTGAAGCCTTCTTCGGCGCCGCCTTCTTTGGTTTTGCTTGCTCATCCTTCACTGCTTTCTTGGTAGGAGCCTTCTTGTTTGCTTTCGGCGGGACAACATCACTCTCACTGTCGTCGCTGACGATCTTCTTGGCGTTCTTAGGTGCAGGCTTCTTGCTGTTCTTCACCGGAACATCGTCTTCGTCAGAATCCATAACAACGTTGGTGTCATCCTTATTTGTCACAATGATAGATCGTCTTGGAGACTGTTGAGGAGCAAGCATCTTGTAGTCGGTCTCATCGTCCGATAAATCCATAGAGGTCTTTGCAGCTGGCTTGAGAGCCGGCTTGTAACCATGGCTGCTGGTAGGGCGGGAAACAGAATTGGAGAAAAGCGCACGCGATTCAGTGCCGCTATCTGGGTTGGAATTACTTGGCAGACCTTTCACCATGTCACCAAGATCAGCGAGCAGATCGTCTCCATTGTCACTTTCGGAGTCACTCATCAATGCATAGTTTGTCGGCTTTTTGGTTACCGCACGAGCTTGTCGGGGTGCAGCCTTGGGAATGAGCTTCTCACTGTCGGACTCGGCTTTCACAGAGTTGGCAAGGCCATTATTGCCGGGCTGCGCAAGATCGTCCTCCGGCGCCTCGATAGGGTCACTGGCACCATCAGTATACATGGCTCGCTTATCCAAAGCATTCTTCAAAGCATTTGTTTTTGGTGCAGCATACGCTGTGATAGAGCGCTGTTTCGGAACCTGAACTGGTTTCGGAGCAGGTGCACTCTTCTTTGCTTTTGGAGCAGACTCCTGGAAATCAGAATCGTCATCAAATGCATCACCAAGTCCCTTTCGTTTCTTGATGGTCGGCTTTGTTGTCGCTGCTGTAGCAAATTTCTTCGAGACTCGACGTCCCTTTCGGATATTACGCTTGCGGTTGTGCTCGTCCTCCAGCTGGAACCTCCATTCAGCGATGAATTCGTCAAGATCGTGTTTCCAAAGATCTTCCTTGGATTTCTTCATCAAAGCATCGATCTCCTCCTCTTTGTCTCCGATCTGTCGCAGGAGTCTCTCAACTCGCTCTTGAGTTAAAGACCAAAGAGCCATGCCGAGAAGGTAGTCGTAGGCGCTGGCGTCTACAGTGTCATCCTCATCCTCTTCGACAACAGGTTCGGTCTCGCCTTCTTTGGCTGCGTCTGGCGTCTTGGGAAATGCATCAAACCCAAGCTTCTGGAGTTCTGCAATAAGGACAGCCTTTTTCTTCTTCGAAATATTGAGTTTTCCGTCGATTATCATCTGAATGAACCGAGCTTGATTCGTGAGCCGTCTGAGGTCTTTCTGCATCTCTTGCAAAAGCCATTCCTTGCGCTTAGCATATAGTTGCAGACGATAGCTGTAAAATTCGTCCATAATGGCTTCGACGCTCGCATATTTGGTGATGCGGCCTTCCGGATCAAATGCAACGAGATTGGATGTCGCCACTGACCTTGTGAGTTTGAATTTTTCCACCAGACCTTCTTCGTTGGCGGACTTCATGTGCTTCTCGTCCAGCTGGATGATGAAATGCACTGTATCGTGGGTGTTATAATCCTTGTAGTCCTTGATAAATGATGGAGTCTTCTCTGCTTTGATAATTTCTTCTAGTCGATCTTTGAAATCCTGGGTCCAGGTACGGATGGGCAACTCTGTTATCTCAACTTCAGAGTCGCCAGTCTGGTGGATGATGCCGCTGAATTGAAATCGATCAGGCCCGGTAGCTTTGACCTCCCCCTTGAACCCGCGGAACCAGGGTTGCATAGGTTTCCACTCTTCGCCGGCCATCCTGCGTTTCAGGTTTTCCACAATGTCTTCTGGATTGTAGTTGGGAATGGAAGAGCTCCAGCCCGTGCCAATACCGTCTGCACCATTGACGAGGACCATAGGGACGACTGGTACGTATACCTCAGGCTCAATCTTCTTGTCGTCATCATAGTTGTAGGTCAGAAGGGGTTCATCGGCTTGGTGGAACAGCTTCCTTGCGAAGGGCGATAGACGGGTGAAAATGTATCGAGCGCTGGCAGAATCGCTTCCGCCCTGGTTCCGAGTACCAAATTGGCCGGAGGGCTCCAACAAGTTGACATTGTTCGATCCCACAAAGTTCTGCGCCAGCCCGACAATCGTCTGCTGGAGAGATGTTTCACCGTGATGATACGCCGTCATGCCACCGACCAGACCCGCCAGCTCAGCGACCTTCATATCCTTTCTCAGATTGCGCTTGAAGCATGCATACATGACTTTTCGCTGACCAGGCTTCAGGCCATCAACTACTGAAGGAATGGATCGAATATTGTCGGCCATGCTGAATAGGATGAGTTCTTTGTTGACGAAATCGGTGTAGGAGATGTTTTTGGTTGTGTGGTCCAAGAATGTCCCTGGCTTGAATTGCCGCAACCACTCCTTTCGCTCGTCTGCCTTCTTCTTGGAAAAGGCAAGTTCGATCAAAGCGGTCTCTTCATCCTTCATGACGTCGAATTCTTTGTGGTGCTTGTCGATATCATTGAAGTACTGCTGGGCATCTTCCGTCGTGCTTGTACCCAATCCCTTGTAGTATTTGTTTTCCCATCCGCGTTCGTGCTTGTGTGCTTCTTTCCAAGCCTCATACTCCGGCATGGTATAAAACGAGCGAGATTGAGTAGGATTCTTGGGATCGCCCTTCCACACCTTGACAATGGGAGTAATGAACTCGACCAGGAATTTCGGGATCTTCAGCAGACTGGGAAACTGAACCTGCAAGAAGTTTATCAATAGTCCCTTAATATGACTCCCATCATGATCTTGATCGGTCATAATCATCAAATGTCCATAGCGGAGACCGTTGGTGTCAGTGTACACCTTCTTGTGCTGCAGCCCAAGGAAGTTCTTGATGTTCTGGATCTCGGCGTTTTTGGAAATTTGGTCAATAGAAGCATCCCGGACGTTGAGGAGCTTGCCTCGTAGCGGGAACACGCCGAACAGGTCGGGACCAACCACGGAACGTCCTGCCATGGCAAGACCTTTGGCCGAGTCACCTTCGGTCAAGATCAATGTACACTTGTGCCCTTCTCTCGTGCCGGCCTTATTCGCATCCGTCAACTTGGGGTTGTTCATTCGGCTTCGCCTACTCCCGTCAGATTTCTTCAGGATCTGGTCGGCTTTCTGCTGAGCAAAGTGAAGAATATTGTTAATAACTTCAGTCTTCGCAACCTTCTTCATGAATTCTTCTGAAACCTGACATTTGCTTCCAAACTGACTAGCTTTTGTGGTCAGTTGTTCTTTGGTCTGCGATGTGAAGGCCGGATTGACAATGAGAGCGTTGACGAAAACGAAGATATGGTTACGAATCTGGTTGGGCTTCAGTTGAGCACCACCTTTGTTCTTCTTCTTCACGACTTCCATCAAGCGGTTAACAATCTGATCAGCCACATAATTGACATGTGTGCCTCCCGAGGTGGTGGCAATAGAGTTGACAAACGATACTTGTTGGAACGAGCCATCAGACACGGCGAAGCCAATCTCCCAACGGGGATCGGGAGATTCGGTGATGATTTCAGTTGTGTCATTTGCAGCCTCCTCGCCGCGCTCCTTCTTGATGGCTTTGGTATACATTTCGATGTACTTCTTGAAGTTTCGGACGGGCACTGCGGTCCCGTTGAGCTTGACTTTGACACCTTTACAGGTGCCGGCAAGATCATAGACCCGGCGTTTGAAGAGCGCCTCGAGATCGTCGTCCATGGCCGTCATGCCAAATTTTGCAAAGTCGGGGTAAAATGTGACTTTGGTGTAGTCTTCTCCTTTGGAATCCGTGATCTTGGCCTTGCCCATTTCGGACATGTTCTTGGTCCACGTCTGCTTGTACTTCTTCTTCTGTTTTGAGTCGGCAGTCTCAATTGTGAACTCCGTGCTGAAGATGTTGGCCAGCTTCGCACCGTAGCCGTTCCTGCCACCCGTGATCTTTTGTTCGTTGTCGTCGTAATTTGAGCCGGTCAAGAGATGGCCGAAAATCATCTCTGGGATGTAGATCTTCTCTTTTGAGTGAATCTCGATAGGTATACCCCGGCCATTGTTCCAGACGCTGACTTCACCCTTTTCACGGTCCACGGTAACACGGATCTCGTCCATCTTCTTGTCATTCTGCTTGTTATCTGCGGCGTTGACCAAGATCTCATCGAAGATCTTGAAGATACCGGGGACGAAGGATATCTCGCGAAACTCCATGCAATCCTGTTCCGTGTTGTAGACCCACATCTGTTTTTCTGTCCGCTCCACGGAGCCAATGTAGGTGTCGGGACGCTTGATGATGTGTTCCAACTGAGTAAGCTTCTGGTATTGCTCGGAGACGCGCTTTTTCTTCTTCTGAGGCTGTGGAGAATCAGTCGCACCATCCATGCCTAGGGCTTCATTGACAACATCGCCGAGAGGCTTCTTGTGACTCCCTTTGACAGGGTTCGGCTTCGCTTTCTTCGCCTGCGGAGGAGTGTCCTCGAGCAAGGACTCGTCATCGAAGGCATTGCCGCCTTCATCTTCCGAGGCTTCGTCTTCCGAGTCTTTCTGAGGCCGCTTCTTGGGAACGGTGGTCTTCGGCTTTGGGCCGGGCTTCGCTTTGGGAGCCGTTGCCTTCTTGGTTGCGGCCTTGGGTTCGGCGGCTTTCTTGACGGGTTTGGTCTTGGGTTTCTGAACAGTTGGTCAGAAATGCGCTCGCTTTGTTGGGAGACACGTCGGGACTTACAGCGACAGGCTCAAAGTCTGAGCTGGCGTCATCGATGTCGAACATTGAGTCGTCCATCGCGCCGGTGTCCTTAGAGGGGAGTGCGAATCAGGTACGCCCCAGTCGCTGGGGGCAAGGAGAGTGAGGTGTTGTCAATGCATGCAACACAGGGAGATATGACGAGTTGTCTGATCTAGACTGTCAAAGAAGGTTGGGCAAAGCGTCTGTTGGTTGCTGAGGCGGTTGTTGATCTTGTAAACACCAAAACTTGAAGGCGGCGAGGCGGCTTTGAAAGACCCACATCGCCAAGACCTCGCGTCACAAGCTAAGCCTATACAGGAAATATAGAGCTGTTGGTACGAAAGTACTTCATTCACTTTGCCCTTCACCCTTCACCCTTCACCTCTCGCTTGCTTGTCCATTACTTCGAGGATACAAACCAGCCCAGCAAGTTAGCGGAGAACAAAGGCCTACATCGTGTTCTGCAAATCGGTGCCAGAGCAGCGAATGGTTGTTTTGCGACATAATAGTCCACTGAAATCCGCAATATCGAGTACTAGTAGCTGTGGGACAGCCCCCTTAAACTAATGCCGCTGTACCTGAGCCGCGGGTCTGGGTCTCCAATGGTGCTATGCCTCAGACTTCCTATTGCCCCCCCTCAGTCCAGTCAGATACTCGTATGCGACAATGGACTAGATGGTGCTTATGTCGTCTTGGGGAGCAATTCATCGCGTGACATCCACTCGTCGTCGTTGCAGCACCTGTGGCTTCAGAAGTGTCAGAATGGCCTCGCCAACAGCACGAGCTTCTCCCCGCACCGCCATTGACGCGTTTCTCCTCCATCAGTCTCGCGCTCCTCGAAATCACCATTCCTGGAGGCACATGATTATCAGGCTGCACCGTGTGCATAGAGTTTACACAGAAAACATTATACATCATTTGAAGTTCTACCTTTTCACGGTTTAGTACTCCAGACCTGCAGAGAGCCGAAATTGCATGAACGGTGGGCGATCAAGCATTGGGTGTGGACAATTTGGCGGGCAGGCGGACTAGTGCCCACTCCATAGTTTCAAAGCCCCCTGGCCCACCACTGCTCAAACATGTCGACCTACGACCCTACAACCCTACGAAGTACGAGTGTGGACTGTGCTCTCGCCTTCCTCCTCCCTTCATCGTCCTCGACGACAGCCATTCCTTTCTTCCCTGTTCCGCACTCCCCTCGCACGGTCGCTGGCAGACCTAGCGAGCAGTCTCTCTTTGTGATACCTCTAGCCGTTGCAGCGATCCAAGTCTCAACGATCCAAGGGCTCACTCTTTTGCCCGTGACATCCGAACTCTCTTACCATCCCCGCCTCGTTCACCGCCTCTGCTATACAGTGAGAGCCTTCCCTGCAGTCTCCAGGCTCAGCCAGAATGGCCGAAGTCGAAGTCGTCCCCCCAGTACCTTCTGACGCCATCCCCGAGAGTGGGAGCGATGTCGAACCCGAAAATGTGCCTCTCCCTCGCAGTTCCATGGTATCAGTGCGACTATCAGATATCCCATTCGATCCCGATCTCGACATTATCGGCGAGAAAGACATGTCTCAGGAGGCCTCGCTGCCTCGCAGTGGCCCGCCCTCGACTCGTACCAGTCGATCCTCTTCCCATACTTCCGAGAGCTCGATTTCGTTAAATTCAGTCAATTGGGAGGGTCTTGAAAAGACCGAGGAACAAGAGCACAAGGACGAGGCAACGGATGAGGTGAGCTCGATAGTGTCTGTGGTTATGACTGCGGCTAACGGGAGATAGTCGACAACATTGTTACTGGCGCGGTTGGAAAAGGAGAACGCAGCGTTAGCCACCAATCCCAAGGCTGGCATCACGACGACTTCACGCCCACGCAAAAACACACGGCCTCCTTCAGTACAACAGCTGAAAAGAATGGTCGATGGACCCCAGCGCCAATCTTTGAGGTATTCGCTATTGCCTGCTCCTCCAATGACAGAATTGGAATTTTGGGCAGCATTGGTTCAAGATTATACTCAAACAGCTCAACGACTGCCCACCTTAACATCCAACAAGATCAGGGGAGGTGTTCCGCCACCACTGCGTGGCGTTGTGTGGCCCAGTATCGCTCAAGCTCACGACGGCTTTTTACATTCAGAATATCAGAGACTCTCCAATGAGCCTTCGCCTTATGACGGTTTGATCGGAAAGGACGTGGGCAGGAGCTTTCCCAACGTCGACATGTTTCGAGAGAAGGACGGCGATGGTCAAAGAATGCTCGGCAAAGTCTTGAAAGCCTTCTCGCTTTATGACAGCAAAATCGGATATTGCCAGGGTCTGGGGTTCGTGGTCGGACCACTCCTGATGCACATGAGCGAACCGGAAGCATTTTGCATCCTTGTTAGGTCCGATTACCGCTCCCCTTCGCTGAGGAGAATGCTGACTCAAATGTAGGCTTATGGAAAATTACGACCTTCGTTCATGTTATCTTCCCGACTTGTCAGGGTTACATCTTCGGATATACCAGTTCCAACAACTTCTAATTCGGCACTTACCCGAACTGGCGGCTCATCTCGAGGAGTTAAAGGTTGAACCGCTATATGTGTCACAATGGTTTTTGTCTTTTTTTGCCGTCACCTGCCCACTTCCTATGCTGCTCAGGATTTACGATGTAATACTGTCTGAAGGGGCAACAGAAACGCTGATGAGGGTTGCCTTGTCGCTGATGCAACGGAACCAGAAAAAGCTGCTCGCCTCGACCGAATTCGAGGACGCCATGCAGTTTCTTCTGTCGAGGAGCCTCTGGGACACTTATGCACAACATGCGGACGATCTGGTGTCGGACTTTGTGTCATTGACTGGGTTGGTGAGCCGAGAGTCTCTTGATTCACTGGAGGCAAACTTCAGGCACTCGCAAAACTTAACGGCGGCGCCCTCTTTAAAGAGTGCAGTGTCGTCCTTCTTGGGCCGATTCTGGGCAGGCTCGTCACATACGCCTTCTAGATCTCAGAATCTGAGTCTTATGATTCCAGGAAATAACAAGTCGGTGCGAAAATCATCTTCTGGGCAAAGTTTAACATCGACACTCAACTCGCTCGAGACAACCAACACAGACACTAGTACACTTGCCACAGAGATGTCGGATGAAGCACCGCCGAAAGCGACTGTATCCGCTGCCACCAGCGTCCATTCAGCAATCGTCCCTACTCCTGATTCGAGTAATCGAAATCTCCATCATCAGATCGAAGATCTGCTCACGGAACTTTCCAAAGTCCAACGACAACATGTCGAGCTGGCCCAAGAGCTTCAGAGAGAACGAGAAGAGCGAGAAGAGGATCGGCAAATTGCACGAAAAGTGCTGGAGCAACTACGACAGCAGACCACCAATATAAGAGAATTGGCAGAAATGGACAGCTCGGAAGCCACGGACGAGGATGCGGAGCTTGACATCCTCATGGCTCAAGCTGAATGTCAACTGTGTCGCGACGGCTCCAAGCGGCTGTCCGTTTCGCAGTCCAAACACCAGCTTCGCGATGCGGTTTCGGAGTGGAAGGAGAAGCATGACGCCGAGGTGACAAAGTGTCGAGATCTCATGAGACAGCTCGACGAGCGAGAAGCAGAACACAACACCCTCAAAGATCAGCTGCGAGATGCTCGATCTCGGATTCAAGATGCACATCGTGACAAGCAGCGCTTGGAAAGAACCGTTAGCGAGTTGCGCTCCCGTAATAACTCAGTGCCAGAGTCACCTGCCGACCTCTACACTCCCGTCAATGAATTTCCCGACCTGAAGTTACCTCCTCCAAAATCTGGGTTGCGAGAGTTGAGATTGGGGAGGCCGGAAGCGACCAGGTCAAGCAGCGTTGGTCCGTATTCGAAACGTTCAAGCAGCCTCAACACCCAAGCGGTCCTTGCCACGGAAAACCACGAGCCCATGTCTAATGACGCCCTGCTGCTGGAGCTAGTGAACGCCAAGACAGCTGAGGCAGTCGCACGACAGGAGCTGGAGGAGACCAGAGGGAAGCTAGATGCTTTGCGAAAGATCTTGGGTGGAGCGACATCCTCTCCTACAGCACGAGCTAGCACGACCGAGTCGCCAACAACGCCTGCCGTGGCGTCAAGTCAAGGGCCAAAGGAACCTCCCAAATCTACCCACGCGCCTACGGCGAGCACCGGAGGATTTTTCAGTGGATGGGGGAAGAGAGGGACCTAACGACGAGCAGAACATTTCTCCATTCCTATACGTACTCATTTAATTGATGATCTAGACAGCCATTTGAATCATTATCGATGACCCTCCGGACCTTCTTCCGATTTCCTTGCGGTTATAGAACGATAGGGCTTGGCCCTCATATGCCAGCCCTCTTTCCATTGCCTCGTGAGCAAGAGATTCAGCAATCGTGTCCGCTTCCCAACGAGACTTTCCCACCCTGGAACGGTGCAATAAGGGGACGGAGTAGATTCTCAAAAGATCATTCTCGTCGGAAACAGTTTGCATGAGGCAACCGGCAATGTACCAACCCCACAATTGTCAACGAAAACGGAACTCGTGCTACGGCAACGAACCGGACTTTGGCCGGACTACATACCTATACGCTACCTCTGACCTCTTCGCCCACTTCCGAAGCTGCTCAACCTCGCCGAATTGCTGTTACATTCCTCGCCGAGTCGCTGACACATCTGATACTTGTATTCCTGCCTGCCATACCAGTGACGGAAACGTCCCGCCTTCTGGCGTTGTGACTGACCAACCTTTGACGCTTCTAGGTATAGGTTGATGCCCTCTATCCGACAGGCTGGCATGATCCGGAAGCGTCCATCTTGCGTGGCTGATACAAGCTCTCCCCTAGCATGACGCGGACTTCAAGCCTGCGCTGAATAACGCGGAGGCTGACATGGAGTCCCCAGACTCACCACAAGAGGCAGGTGGAGCCGTCCTTGAGCCATCTACCAATATTCAACGCCATCCACAAGCCGATGAACTGAGCCGAAGGACATGAATAACGTCCTCTATGCATACAGGGTTCTCTCTCCGGTGAGTTGGACCCAGATCCTGGACAATGCGTTGATTTTGTCGCCCGTCTACTCGTGCAGAATGCCAGCAGAATATGTTTTCAACGCTTTCCTTGCATGCCAGATGGCAGCTCCCGAAGAACTTCTGTTTCAAACGCATCTCGCTTATGGACTTTCCGATGCATGATTTACAATGTGATGACGAGGCGTTCTCTGGTCTGGTCGACGTGATGCTCCCACCCTTCGGCACATATAGAGAACGAGACCTACCGTCACAGGGTCAATGTCTGGGACGAACGTTCCAGCCTTGAAGTCTTTCCCAAAAGACCGACATCAATACGCAGGAGACAAGTGTGGTGTGTGCCGACCAAGCGTCTGTCTTTCAAGATGGAGATGAACTATGATGAAAATGTATGTTGTGCATTCTCCATGCTGATTGATCAATTACTCACTTTCATGCCATCTAGACGCTCCACGAGGTAAACAGGAACTGTTTTGGTTCGGAATAGCCTTACTTACCATCGTGCAGTTGGAGAATGAGCTTCATACTCATATCTACCCCGGTACCGAGATCATGAGTGATGTTGGATCTCATCATTTTGTCAAATCTTCCGACCGATCTCACCGAGTTCTGGTGCCTCAGCCATCAGCAGATAAGCATGATCCTCTGGTCAGCAACCACCAGGCCAACTCAGGCGATCACTCTAACAGTTGTATAGAATTGGAACCGCTTCTGGAAATTCTCAAGTGTCTCAATGGTGATCGTCGCCACGTTCGCACAAGGATTTGGTCCTCTGGCTCTTGCGCCTATGTTTCCCAATCTGATCGAAGCGTTCAACACAGACCTTGCAGGTATGGATGGGATGCCCCTCGTTGCTGCTTCTATCTCACCCACATTGCAGGGGCCGTTCAATTCACTGGTGTTTGCATTCTGGTCTTGGGCTTCAGCAACTTTCTCTGGTATATCAACGCCATCTGCCACTCAATTTTGTTGCTGTTGCTGATTTTCACAGGGTTCCCATCCAGACCTCTTTCGGTCGCCGACCTGTCCTTATCTTCTCAACCTTGATCTGCCTGGTCTCAAACATCTGGAGAGCCGTAGCCAAGGACTATCGGAGCTTTATGGGTGCTTGTGTTCTGAATGGAATTGGTGCTGGGCCTGCAGAGGTACGAAAGAAGCATCAGTTGTTAAGAAGATATCATGCCTGACACAGAAACAGACTTGTGCACCTACAATCATTGCTGATGTACTATTTCTGCACGAACGAGGCGCATACAACACTCTTTATTTCACCGTCTATTTCGGCAGCTTGATGGTCAGCAAAGCCTTCCTCGATGCAAAGACTCTTGCTTATGTGTTTCCCAGGTTGGACCGATTATCTCAGGCTCCATGGCAGAATATAGCAACTGGAGAAACTTCTGGTGGCTTAATGTGGGCCTACACTCAGCTGTTCTCATCGGTCTATTTTTCCTGTTTCCGGAAACCAAATGGCATCGCCAGCATCCGAAAGAAATGATCACCGAGCAGCCGAAGCAAGTCAATTTTGAGGAGAAGGTGACCTCCGATGGGGTTGAGGATCCCAAGAAGCATTTCGAGTCCGTGGAGCCCACCGTGGTTGACCTGACAGTCGCTGCAACGGCTGAACACGATCCGTACTTGCACAGCGGCACACCATCCAAGAAACAGTTTATGCTGTGGCAGAGCAACGCGCATCCGTTCCAGGCCATTCTCATGGATCTTTGGGTGCCCTGGAAACTTCACCTTTACCCTATCATTGAGTTCTCGGCGTTTGTTGTGTCTTGGTCGGCGTCGTCATTCTTGACGATCAACCTGACGCAGTCACAAAACTTTGCGGCGCCGCCTTACAACTTCCCACCACAGAGCGTTGGCTACACAAATTTCGCCGTCCTTGCCGGGGCATTGATCGGCCTGCTGACCAACGGCCCTCTGAGCGACTGGATTGCAGCCCGGGCGACCAGGAAAAACAAAGGTGTTCGAGAGCCCGAGATGAGATTGCCGGCCATGATACCTTATGTGATCATCATGCTCATCAACAACTTTGTCGTGGCGTTTGGGTATGAGTATAAGTGGGATTGGCGAGTAAGTGGTGTCCTGTCTCGACTGTCGTCGACCTTGGTCATTAGCACAGCTAATGAATGCTCTGCAGATTATCGTTCTCATCGGCTATACTTGTGCTGGCATCCAAGTCGCTGCCATCCCGGCCATCGCCTCGACCTACAGCGTCGACTCGTACAAGCCGGTCGCAGGGTCCATCTTCGTCGCCATTACGGTCAACAAAAACGTCTGGGGGTACGGTTTCAGCAAGTTCATCACCCCGTGGATCATCGCCGATGGATATCTTCCACCCATACTGTTGAACATGTGTCTGATCTTCTTGTGGTGCTCATTCGGGATTTTGTTCTACCTCTATGGGAAGACCTTCAGGAAGTGGACCAGCAACAGCTCGGTTCACAACATGTGAGCTTACAGAGCTCGGTGCCTGGAAGGGCTACCGCTGCACAGATACAGGTTGGTCAAACCCTTCCATATAAAGAGTGGCTACTTGGTAAGTCGGAGACGTGGGAGGAGTGATATAGATTGTATAGATCACGGCGGTCACCAAGACCGTAATTTCGGCCACCCTCGTTGTTTTCTTTTTTTTCATTTCGGTTTCGGCGACCCCTAACGCGACAAATATTCACTTACAACAAACCCTCTCGGGCAGACACCACGAACAAACACACACACAAATGAGAAGAGAGAAAAAAAATGAAAAAAGAAAGAAAGGGAGAGGAACACATGTCTCTCCCGTCCTTTCTGAATTGAACCCTTGACCACCCACACCCATCCACACACATTGTATGAGGTTGCAAAAAACTCAGACTTGTGAGAAAACTCCCTTCCGGTGGTTTTTTTGTTTCTTTTCACATTCTCTGGTTGGATGGGCGGATGCTCCCACCTATAGCTTTCGATGTATCCTCCCTTTGATCTGTCCTCCTTCTTTACCAGAGCTCCTGCGCATTTTTGAAGAACCACTGTGAGCCTACCCGAAGTCACCATCTCAGCCCGAATTAGGGAGATACCGAAGGTAGAGCTCCTACGCCTGCGATGGTCCTTGGATATTCACTTCTGGCTGCGAGTTAGGGAAATGATGCAGAATGGATCATCGAGGAGGTCGAAAGACTGCGGACAAGCCTTACTCCTTCATGCACCATTTTACCAGTTGGAATGTTGACAGAAAATTGTCCTTTACAATATTTATGGATATGACTTGTGCTTTTTTCACATTGGGCCCGCTTGGGTGTGGCAGAAAGGAGGGCCGGTTCTGGTCTCAGAGCATAGCAGATGTCGAGAGCAACTGCCGCCACTGCCCAACTCGTTCCTGACACTGGACAGGGCGGTCGACGGGACCCAACATGCTCAGATTGAAGCGTCGTCGTCTTCACTTTGCGCCATTCGAAGGCGCGAGAACAAAATGTCACATCCAGTTCAATTCCATCATTGCACCATCCCATCGACTCCTACCAAAATCCTACATACACTACGCCACAGCTATTCGTGCTTTGAGCCATGGAGTATCCGTTACGAGAGCAGACGTTGACCACCGAGAATGAAGCTCCTCCTTGCCCAAGCCCTTCACTACCTCCTCTGGAAAAAGCCATGCTGCGGGACGACAACTCCTGGCTCAAGACCTTCTCAGACCTGAGATATGGCATCTTCCCGGCGAAGAAGCCCGAGGAGGTCATGGCCTACCAGGGGCTTGCCGAGTACGGCCTGGAAGTTGACCCAGAGATGGCGAGACGCTATCATCTTTGTCTGGAGGACCAAAAAGTGCAGTACATCCGGCAGAAGCTAGAGGAGAAGCAGGCCGAAATCTTGAGGCAAAGACGAGAGGCAGAACAAGAAGCCGCCTGGCAACATTCAAGACAAAGAGAAATTCTCGCTCAACAGCAATTTGCTTGGTACAGCAAGCAGAACCCGCGATATGCGCAATCCGCCCGACATGAAGATTTCTTCCGTGAAACTGCTGCGTTCGCTGTTGCAGGAGGAGAATCCGACGACACAGAGTCTGAGCAGGCGATGCAGTTGGATGACAGCATAATGAGCTCACCGACTTACCGATATGCGGCTCAGAACGATGCTGTCCAAGATTCCAGTTTTACTATCCCATACTTTGCCAGGACTGTCGACAGCACCGCAGAAGCCGAAGAGTATCTCTCCGTTGAGGCTAGGACCCGAAAGCGCAGAAATTTGTATAACCCTTCTCAGCCGCCGCACCGCATGATGAATTGGGCAGAGCGGGATTATTCAGGGCTACTTCAAACGCCTCCTCCTGGATTCACTCCTACCGCATCTATCGGTGAAGCCGATCTCCACCGGGACATGGTCCATGACACGCAACTCGCAAAACAGCTTGAACCACACCGCATTGTCCAGGACGAACCGACACCCCCTTACCATCCAGACGACGAGATGTTGTTGCAAGACTCAGGCGAACAGGTGGCACAGCGTGTAAAATCACCAACATTGTCCGATTTGATTGGAAGCGAGACCCCTTCTGAAGAAGACGACGCTAGCGCTGACGGAGACTCGGATTTTGATCCAAGGAGCAGGTCTTCGCAGCCTCCAACACACCGCGACGTGAAGGGATTCGGCGGGAGGAAACGAAGGGCGAGTGGAAGGTCGACCGGAAGAGCGAGTCGGAGGGCAAGGCGCTAGGAGGCAGCTGGCACGGCTCCGTTTGTGGATGCAGAGTTGGACTGTTGACAAGAGTCGAGAGAAAATGTTCTGAAGCACAAGGCTGGAGGTTGAAAAGTGATTGAGGGATCATGCGTGCCACAACATGGATAAGCAACGTGACTGAGTCGAACAACAAACGCACTGGTGCTGAATGCTTGGAGAAGATGCGGTCATGACTCCGTCACAAGTACTATTGGATGATCAGAGCTGCGAGTATGAGCTGGACAGGAGCATTAGGTGAGGAAGCACGTGAGGAATTATGCAGAACTTGCACTGAGTATGTAAAGCAGAGTCTACCACGAAGCGATGATAGCAACCACAATGATAAACCTGTATAATGAAATATGCTCTTCGTCGGAAGTTTTAGAGCAGATGAGTTAACAGAACGATACACAACGACTTCTCCATCAGGAGTTTAATCTTCATCTTCCTCGTCGCTATCGGGAAAGTCCAGGTCCAAATTAAGTTTCCTCTTCGGCTGCGGTGGCTTGGGAGGTCTGGGGACCTGCTGCGCTTGACTCGTACTCGTCGAAGGCTGGCCTGCTGCACTTGCGGTGGCAGTGACAGTGGCAGTGTCTTGACCTCTCTCCCCCTCGAACGTCGAGAATCTCTTCAACTCTGCAGGAGAGAAAGCGGTGTCTTCTGCCATTTCCTCGCCCAACGTGCCGGTACCCGTATCCTCAGCAATGTCCTCCGTCTCCCTGACCAGCCTCTCCACTTCTCTGTCCAACGCCTCCTGCACAGCCTTATTGTTGGCCTCGTTTTCTCCTCCTGCACCTGCCGATTGCTGTCGCTGTCGCTCCATGAAGAGCTGGAGTTGTCCCAGCGCGCCGACGCGCAAGATGCCAGCATCGGGGAAGGACATGCCCATTTGTGCGCGCTGGAGGGCGATCGTGTTGTCTATGCGCAGAAGTTCCGCGGTTGTTTCGGCTGTATGGGTCTCATCTCTGGCCTCCACCGCCGCCGCTTCTTCAGCTGCGCCATCACCTGTAGCCAGTGGGGGTTCGACGCCATTTAAGACTGCAGGTGGTGCTGGTGGTGATGTTTGGTCCTTGCTTTTTGCAGCGATCTTCCTCCGTAGAGATTCGGCTTCTGCCTCCCGCGCCGCAATGGTATTGTGTTTGCCTATCCTAGCCGCGAAGGGCAGGAGGGTGTGGTAGTCGACTTTCGCAACTTCCCCATCTCCTCCTCCTTCTTCCTCGTCAGAATCCGCATCGAGGATCGACGGGTTAATGTGGCTGATCTCCTGTCTGAAGGACACGCATTTTCGAATCGTGTCCTTTAATAGCTCTTGTAACCTCGCGGCCTCGGCACGGAGGTGCAGGATGCGGGCGTAGTTCTGCTGATGGCGTTGTAGCAGGGAAAGCGCGGAGGCGAGGTCGTCGTCGTCGGAGATGAGGTCTCGGGCGAGTTGCGGGGCGTTGGCGAAGGTGTTGGTCTGGGTGAAGGAGGTGATGAGGGCGGAGAGGTGAGTCTCGATCGAATTCAAGGGTTTCAGAACGAGGGAGTCCATGATTCGGTGTCGATCGGGTCGGCACAAGCAGTGATGGTAACGATGAGGCGCAGGTTTGGAGACATCTATCTCGTAGACGCGTCGGAGAAGACTCATCTAAGGTACAGTTTCCCGGTACCTAGCCTCGCTACCTAGCTCGCTAGGTAGGTAGTCGCGGCCCGCCCAGGCCGGTGCCACTTTTAAATCTTAACTCTCGCCAAGACAAGGCTGTCATATGCAAAAGGAGGGGCAGGTATGAGGTACATACCTAGGTAGCATTAGATGTGAAATGGGACAGAGGTAGTTTCGTGATTACACGGCCACACCGTTGTTCGGGCTCTTCAAGCCATGCCCGCGGCAGAGAAGGTCCATCATTCATCGTTCTTATCGTCATCTTCGTCGCCCTCATCATCGCTCTCTTCAATGCCGCCAAAGAACTCAATCTCGGCCTCATACGCGTCCTGAGTTTCGGGGTCCCAGACCATGAACGTCTCGCCGCCACGGAAACTCGATTCCGGCTCCCTAGTCATCCTGCCTAGCCAGCGGTACACGCACTTGAAGCCTGTAAAAAACACTACACGCTTGTCACTGAGCCAGTCGGTCCACGAGCTTCCAGAGTGGCCCGTGACCCAACTCCCTCCAGCATTGGCCTTGGCGATGCCCTCAGCACCGACCTTACAGCCAACTCTCACCACGTTTTCTGAGTCCTGCCAAACGTTGAGGTGGATGCTCTCGGACGAGTATGTCCACGTCGAGCAGACTATACCGTGCTCCTTTAGCTCGGGGACTTTGGAAAGGGCAAGTTTGTTGTCTCGAATCCATCGCTCAAACGGCTTCTGAACGTCGTACCCTTCGACGATCACATCGCCGTCGCAGATGAGGACGGCCCCAAAGCCTGTGTTTGTACTGTATTCTGTCATCAAGCTGGCAGAGGCTGGCAAGCCGAAACTTGTCCCGTCGACGCCAGCACCAAGGTTGATGCTCCTCTCTTCGACATCACTACTGGACAGTGGGTCCCAGCGTCGCGTCTCTGGCTCTTTGACTTTCGGGGCGACGGATGGCTTGCCATTGAGGGCTGCGATTGCGGCCGCGTTCCGACGAGAGGGTAACGACTCTTCTCTGGCAAGGTGCAACCTCCTGACGCTAGTTTCACGGCTCCCAGCACTGGAGTCATGGCATCCCACGGCTGTCATCTATGCATTGCTTCCACTTGCGGCCGACGGTGAGCTGTGGACGTATGAGGAGGACGACAGTCCGCTAGTGGTATTTCAGCAATTCGTCATGCATTGCACACATACCTCGAAATGTCTTGATATTGTCTGCCGGCCTTGGGCGCCTAGGACCAACACTGGTACAGGTCACGGATCCCAGTACGGCACGTGGCGCAAGTCTGACAAACTGCCATCCTGGATTCGCCAGGTGAACCATCTCCCTTTTGGAACGGACAGTACGACGGGACGCCGCAATGGGGACTTGTTCATCGGGCATCCCAACCAGCCATACTATGCTACGGCGCTGGGGTCAGCCGCAATGCCCATTTTTGGATACGTGACGGAGAGCGGGAAACGCGAGTTCAACGGCTCCATGACAGTCAGCGGGTTTGTAGTGGGCGTGATCAACAAAATCAGCAGCCGCTCGCAAGGTGGTACTCTACCGGCCGACTGGATCAAGTTGTTCAAGTGTCAGCAGGACGACGACGGCTACGACGAAAATGACGAGATGAACGACGATGACGACAACGAAAGCGATAAGACGGACTCTGTTCCCAACCACCTATGGCGCACTCTGGTAGCCGACCGTGGACCAGGAGGGACATCGGCCCCTCTGTGGTATCACCAAGCTTGTCGGTACTGGCTCGGCGAGTACTCCGACGTCGATATTACTACAGATATGATCCGCGACAAGAAGCTCCCGTCTATGGCGCTCGAGTTCATCCAGCGCGTCCGCAGCGTGATCTGGAACCGGACTCTCTTCACCATCACCGACTCTGAAAATCGGCAGCTGTTTGGTCTCGGCCCGCCGAACGCCAAGGAGGTGCATAGTATCTGTGTGTTGCACGCCTGCAGCGTCCCGGTGGTCTTGCGCCAGGTTGGAGGTCATTGGAGACTCGTAGGCGAGTGTTTTGTCTATGGCATGATGGACGGCGAAGCAATGCAGGTGAAGAAATATGTTGAAAGGACTCAGGAATTCGTACTTCGCTGAGTTTTACCTGGCACCCACCTGCGGGCCGAGATGGACCTAGATATCAGCACCTTGTCTTCAACAATCGACCCACGGCATTTTTCCTATATACGGAACTTTCTCTTTTGTACGCGACAGGGAAGTTGAGGATGCACGGTGGGTGTGAAGGTGAGCACAAAGGCGGCATCACTCTTGTCCCAAACGGGGTGAGATTTGGGGTAATTAATTATCTGCGTGAGTTTCCGTCAATGTCCCGTCACCATGGACCTGGGACTCCAAGACGAAAGCTTGTGGCCACCTCTGGCTCAATCACATCCTCCCACGACTTCTTGTCTCACGGTGCTATTAGGGATGCACATGTTACTCGGTACACCACCATCCAAGAGTCCCAGGCCCCGATCGATCCCATGAGCTGTGCCCCGCATCTCCCAGCTCTCTCGAGCTCTCCAATATGATTCCCCAAAACTACCGGCCCCAACAGCGCTCAACCTGCATGAATGCAGCGCAGTATGTAGTCTCTGCACAAATGAGCAGCTTGTCGAATCACCTTTCACACGTTCATATCAATTTATCAAATCGAAGATTGGGGGAACCACTTTCTCTCATTCGACATCTTCCGGGCTTCCAGAGGAAACAATCGATGCTCCAAACTTCTAGCCAACACGGGCTAATTCTCCGCGCTCATCCCTGTCTTTGCATTCGTCTAAAACTCAATTCCGTGGTTGACGCTAGGGTACACTCACAACGACGCGCCAGGGATGTGCCACGTATCTTTTGCAGCTATCGCACCCTCTGCAGGTGGTCCCGATCACCCAGTATCTGAGCACCTGTACCCGAGTACCCAGAAATCCTCCAGCAACGAGCCAACCCGCGTTCTATGTCTCCTCTTGTGGGATGCATCCTCGAGAGAAGCCCGCATGCATGGGAGAAAGACCTTATGGAAGGGTGACGATAGGTAGGTACCTAGGGGCTGTTTCTTCGCGGTACATAATCCAACCAAACTCGGTTATGTCGGACTTTCAAGGTACAGTATCTACCATGCTTGTACCTGGTGGTGGTTGTTCAGTGGCCTAGGTATTCGTTCTCCTCCATCTTTGTGTAACCCGACCCTCTCCACGCAGGTACATACCTAGGGTAATTGGGGGTTTTGTTCAGACGCCCTATTCGTTCTCTCCCTCATCTTCTGTGTAACCCTCCCTCAGACCCTCCCACCCAGTCACTTTCTGCTTGTATCCCACCCAATACCTACGTATATACGACCCAAAAAAAAAGATGCTATTATCACCTCTCCTCCAGCTATCAAAGGACAAGATTGTCCTGGGAATCGAACTCCTCATCCCCACGCTCATCGCCTACATCCTCTTCTGCGCCATCTACAACCGCTACTTCCACCCGCTGCGCGACGTCCCCGGCCCGTTCTGGGCCTCGATCACCAGCCTGTGGTACTTCCGCGCCGTGCGCAACGGCCGCGGGCGGGACTACCAGCTGCCCATCCACAAGAAGTACGGCTACGTGGTCCGGCTGGCGCCCAACCAGGTGTCAATCGCCGACGCCACGGCCATCGAGACCATCTACGGGCCCAAATACGACTTCACAAAGGGGGATTTTTACAACAACTTCCTCACCCACATTTCCAAGCGCAAGGACACGTTTGCCGAGCGCGATGAGGCCGCGCATACCTGGCGCCGACGCACCGTGGCGCATCTGTACACGCAGGCTGCTGTGCTGGAGTACGAGCCCTGTGTTGACAGGGTCATTGCTCTGTTCCACAAGCAGATGGATCGCTTTGCCGAGACCGGAGAGGTCTTTGATGTCTCTGTTTGGCTCCGCAAGTACACGTTTGACATTATTGGCGAGATCTTTTACGGGCGCGAAGGTGGGTTTGGATTTATCAGAGATAACAGTAAGTTCCATGCCCGTGTTGGTGACCAGTTTTCATTTCCGAGAAAGGCAACTTGCTTCCAGAGCTTGAATGATCAGAACAGTATTAACAGAAACTACAGTCGACTACAACAACTGGTGCCATTTGATGGACGTGATGCCCAACCCCGCGGCGGCATTGAACAATCTCCCCTGGGGGTTCCGGAATCTGTATTTTCTGTCCCAGATGATCTATCCAGCGACGCGCGCGGGAGCCAAGGGGTTCTTCACCGTGATTGACCAATCGCACGCGGCCGTGAAGCAGCGGCTGGACGACATGGCGGCGGGAAACCCGTACAACCGCAACGACGTGCTCAGCAAGCTCATCGACATCGCCAACGACCCCAAGAACGACTTTGGCATCCTCGACGTCACCACCGAGATCTGGGCCATGATCTGGGCGGGCTCCGACACCACGTACATCGCGTTGACCTCCATCTTCTACCACCTGCACAAGAACCCGGCCACGCTGGCCAAACTGCGCGCCGAGGTCGAAGAGGCCTTTGCCAACGGCACGCTCAAGTATCCCGTGCGCTACAACGACGCCATCAAACTGCCCTACCTCCACGCCGTCGTGCGCGAGGCTATGCGCATGCACGGCTCGCTGGGCACGGGCCTGCCGCGGGTCGTGCCGTACCCGGGCGTGGAGATCTGCGGGCGGTTTTTCCCCGGAGGCACGACGGTCATGATGAACGCCAACGCCGTGCACTTTGACCCGCAAGTCTTTGGCAGCGACGCCGAGCAGTTCATCCCCGAGCGCTGGTTCCGCGACGGCGACAAGGCCGCCGCCAACATGGAGCGTCACATGATGCATTTCGGCTACGGCAAACGAATCTGCATCGGCAAGCACATCACCACCACCGAAATGTACAAGCTGCTGCCCATCGTCCTAAGGGACTTTGACTTTGAGCTCCAGATGCCCGGCAAGGAGTGGACCGTCTGGCAGGGCTGGTTCCACCAGCAGAAGGACGTCATGGTCACGGTCCGGAGGAGGCACAGAGATCAGGTGTGAGCCCGTTACTTACCTAGGTAAGCAGGCTCGTTCAGGGCACAAGCGGCTGTTGGTCGGATCAAGGGTTGCTCGGAGTGAACGATGGGAGAGAAAAGCTCCGAGTGGGTATTCATCAATGAAATGTCCATCACCCCTTGGCTCCATCCGTCAGTGCTTCTCTTCTCCCTTTCAGGCCATATCCGAGGCCAGATTCTCAGCCTTGGCCCGAAACAAAAACTGCGCTGTAGGGCGCGTGGCCCTTCAAGCGAACGCCAGAGCCTGAGATGTTGCAACAGCGCCGATCAAGATCCAAAAGTGCCTCTACCTGTCTGTAAGAGACGACGGAAAATGTCGAAATCGAATGTTCTCGCCACGCTGCGCTGTTGCCGATCAGCGGTTTCGCATTGTGTTTTCCTGTGGCCCACTCACACCATTCCTCCTCGTATTGCCGCTTATGCATCGCATCCTAGATTCTCTCCGCCAATGGGGGACGTTCCTCCAGACCGGATGCCTTTTCGGGGCTGTGCCAGGCGGATTTCGAGGTACCGCAGTATACACATCTGTGACTTGCAGCAAAGACATCTGTGACTTTTGGTCCTGCTCGGTGCCTGAAACTGGTGCTTCAGCCTGATTATATAGCCATGCGCACCCTCTCCAGCCCACCGCCTTCCATCCACAACTTCCTGTTTTTTTGGTTTTCACTTCTTGAGATATTCCCGTAACTTGCGTTCTTCAGCGCAGCGCCGACTGTTCGAGTTGCAAAGGATGTGTTGCTGATGGACAGAATTCAAAACGGGATACTAATTCCCGTTTTGCGCAGCTTAGAGCTGGAAAGCGACCTTTGTCGCTCTGCACGGAGCCTTGCCGATCTTGTTGGCACTGTCTATGGTTGTGACAATCCCAATCTGCTTCCGGCTATCAACCTCGAATTGACCCAAAATGTATTCGTACCGTGCTGGAGGTGCACGGCAGGTTCCTCGCACTATGCCTGTGCCATATGTGGAACCTCGCGCCGATCCTGTTGCTGATGCAGAGCCTCGCAGCAAGCCCCTCGTCGACCCCCGCCGCTCCCATCCGACGGTGCCGACTTATCAGGAATTTTCAGGATATCAAAGAGCAAGCGGGGAACTAGCAGGTTACACGCTTGTACCTGGCGACACTTGGAGTTCGCCGTGGTCGTCTTCCAACAATAGTATGTCACCATCACCGACTCAGAGTCAAACTCCTGGAGTTCGCAGGGAGAATTCCACTGCGAGTGAGTTCCCGCCGAGCGTGTCGGAAAACGAAACTGTTGTTCAACCTCCTCGTAATCCCGAACAGAGCATTTCCTCGCAATATCGCTCATTCAACGCCGTATCTGGTCGAAAACCAACTATAAAATCGAGTTCCATCCTTCTCGGCCAGAACACTCGCAGTCGGGAAATTCAAGCTCGTACGAGCCACAGCATCATCGACGACGAAGATTGGCAACAGATAGAAACCGGAGACCGCACCAGTTCGGCTTCGGATGGGGTTTTCCGCTGCACGACGAGCCCATGGCGGATGAGAGAGCCTCGGGTCACAGCATCATTGTCGTTTGACTCCGACCCGTCCAATTGCGGCTTCAGTGACACCGCCAATCCACCACTTGCATATCGAGATCGTGATTCCTGCATTGGGCCTCCCGAGACTTATCGAGCCATAGGAAACCAAAGCCCAGTGGATGACGGAGAATTCTTCGCTACCGCTTCGCCAATGTCCAGAGAGATGGACACGGCGTCCTCTGGAGAAGAATCATTTGTTTTCAACTCTCAGTCTCCGCCATCATTCGACGGAGGAAGTCAGCAAGAATTTGAAAACCTAGTTTCAGAGATTGCGCAAGAATTGGTGCGAGAATTCTTGTCTGCCAGCGGAGGTACGCATGTACGCACCCCCCAAAGCTCGCAAGAATCGCCCACGAGCTCAAGCAATGGAACTCGACCTTCCACTGGATCTTCTGCATCGACTACAGAGATGACAAATGTGGTAGAATCGTCTCGAAAGAACAAACGCCGCGCACACGACGGCAACGAAAAGCCAAGAAGACCACAGAAGCCACGTACCGAGAGTCCCATCCCGGATGATCTTGACTCAGAATGTCTTCTTGCCTGCCCTTACACGAAATTTGATCCAGACAGATATTCAGAAATGAACCAGAATCTGCATGAGAAGGCGTATCGTCGATGCCGAAGTGTATGTCTCACAAATATCCCGCGGCTGAAGCAGCATCTTTACCGGATACATCGGCGACCTGAATATTTCTGTTCGTCCTGCTATGCCGATTTTAAGTCGGAAAGCGAGTGTGAGCTTCATGCTCGGGCAAGGCCAGCCTGCCTTTTGAAGGAGTGTCCCTTTCAGGAGAAGATGACCCACGAACAGTATAAGGCAGTCAAGCGCCGGAAGATGAGAAGAGACGCCACGTCAGTGTGGTACGGAATCTTCGACATACTCTTCCCAAATGCGCCGCGTCCAGGCACTCCCTTTCTGGATGATGCAACATCCCCAGCCGCAATGAATCGTCTCCAAAATTACAACACCTATCTCGAAACTCATCTACCCCAAAGGCTCTCTGAAAGAATGGGTGGCCCTCTTTTCGATGGAGATCCTATGATGTTTCAGTGGCTCATAAATATGGCTCTTGAGGAGACCTTGCCGACGGCCCTGCGGGAGATGCACCATACATATACGCTGACATCTTTGGAGGGAACGAATGATGACCAAGTTGGCCGAATGGGGCATCAACCTGGAAACTGAAGGCCATTCATGGTTTCCGGAAATAGTTTGCGAGTGTGTTTTTCTGTGGACTCTTTTCAATGGTCTTTACTTTCTTTGCCTTCGGCTCATCCGCATTGTCATTATTCTTCTCTGGTTTTTCGCCAATTCTGAGTAAGGTCATCAGCTCCTCGAAGGCTTCGGCAGGCACGATCCCTCCGCTTGCCTCTTTATGACCTCTGGCAAAGCTCTCTCCGAGCCTGTCTCTCAGGCCGTCGGTGGAGAGGTCCGCAGCAGCTTTCAAGCTGTCAATGATATTCACAGGTGGATCCCTCGACCTTGCGCATCGGGCGATGCGACAAGAGAAGTTGACCATCCCAGGGAGATAGCCTGAGTTGGCGCAGAGAACTATTTCCAAAGCTTTTGAGTTCAGAAAACCGGCCCACCGAGTGGCGATGACCGGATGGACCTGCGCTGGGGTGTTGATCCTCAGGACAGCAATTCGTCCATCCAGGCTGAATTTTGGAGGAGTATGCGTGTTCAACTCGACTTCTTCGTTTATTTCTGCACGGGCACTCTGGAGGCGGCCATTTCTTAACAGGTCTTTGGGGTCCTTTGATGCGAGGAGAGCGGTCCAGGCACTGATAACGTCATATTTAGCGGTTCGCCTGGGTGCGTTGACGAGTGAGGTTGCATCATTGATGGATTTCTTGGTGAATACCTTGAATGTTTCTTTCATGTCTGGAAATGGAGGGGACCACTTCAAGGTGTTTCCCAGATCACCATGAGTGCCAATACAAGCAAGGTACGCACAGGAGGCGGCGATATCCGGAGCAAGAGTCTTACAGATCTCGTAAGTGAGGAGAGACGATGTTGAGACCGGTGGGTAATGACAGGCGGAGACCACCTGAGCACCTTCTGGAAAGTGGTCACTCAAATGGTGGTCGATGATTAAAGATTTCGTGGACTGCAGATCAACCACGGGCGGTGCTGCTATAGACCCCTGGTCGAGGACGACAACATACGCTGGATCTTGAAGAATCATGTTAGACAATGCAGTTAATCAACGAAATGTCCCAGAGTCTAGCTACCTTTGGCGGCCATGGCTTCACGCTCTGACTGAGTGTGGATGGTTGAACCCTTCTGAATCAGATGAACATCGATCAAGGATGGATCGAGGCCGAGACTCGTCAGCGTCCGATGGAGAATGACGCCTGATGACAGGCCGTCCGCATCTTTATCCGGTACAATAAGAGCTTTCTTCCCACTTGCTGCGCTGCTCTAGTTAGCATTGCCGTTGACGAGTTCGAGGTTCGAACGACGAGTAAATGGGGAAAGTCAGTCACACCATTCCTTTATGAAGGCTCTCGCCTCCTCCATGGCAGCCGCTGGGGCTGGCCAGATTGGGTTCCCGGCATCATCACGCCGTGGCTCAACATCGCAATAATCTGGAAGTTTGGGACGAGGTTTGGCAGTGGCGGTTCGTTTCATTCCTCGCCAACCTTCGAACGGTAACGGCCAGGGGCGGTTATGAAGGAGGGAGTTTGAGCGTATTGGGCCCAAGGCAGATGTCTGACACGAGGCGCGAATCAGCCCGAGACTCGAGATCTGGCGAGGGATTGTGCTCAATAATAGCATTCAGCGTCAGTTGGGACGAGAAGGGGATGGCAAGAATGAGATCAGAACCTGGAAGACACGCGACCTGGCGACTCATGACGCCCATGACCGGTAACTTTTGGTCTGACAGCCATTTACGCCACGTGCGCGCTAGGAAGGATCGGATTGATCTGTCTGACAGCAGTAGCGCCCGCCAACCCATGGCCGCGTGAGGGACCAAGGAGTCAGCCGGGCACGCGGGCACCTGCAGGCAACCTCGTTCTTCGTATATGTGCATCTTGTATCGTCGTCCTGCCCATCACCCTTCTCTCTTTCTAACACTCGGGGCAGATAGTTGTATGATGTGAACCGCTGTGAGCGCCCGTGGCGTGTTGTTTCTGCGTACTATCCGAATCGTGCTCCATGGCATCCGCCTGCTTTGCTGCCTTTCTGATCTTTCTCTTCTGCCTGGGTGCTCAATCAGTCCCTGCCCTTCTTCGCGTCCAGCATCAATCAATACAGTCCTACGCGGCTATTGGGGATTCTTACGCCTCGGGAGCTGGAGCAGGCACTCCTGGATGGCCTCCGTATGCCGACTTCCGATGTGGCCGCTATTCTGACGCGTATCCAATCCAAGTCGCCAACAACTCCCTGATCAACATCGAAAAATCAAAATTCAAGCACCTTGCATGCGGTGGTTTGACCAGCACGGTCATCCTGCGAGACCAAGTACCATATATCGGTGACTCGGACCTTGTTACCCTGACAGCCAGCGGAAACGATGTCAACTTCTTTGTGGTTTTGAACGAGTGCGTCTATCATTGGCAGCCGTCGATAGGTTGTGAAGCCCAGCTTGTCAAGGCCCGAGAAATCATCGAAACGACGGCACTCCTCAATCTGGAGAACATCATCTCTGGAGCCGTCCAACATCTAAAACCCGGCGCGCTCCTGATTGTTACAGGCTATGCCAGATTTTTCAACGAGGACACAGACTACTGTGACAATGCGACTTTCAGCCAAACCAGACCTTTGGACTACCTGACTAAATCCAAGAGAAGAGAACTCAATCAGCTGGTGATTATGTTGAACGATGTGATCAAAGCCACTACGGAGCTCCACGGCGCTGTTTATTTGGATATTGATGGCGCTTTCGATGGCCACCGATTTTGTGAACCCGGGGTTAAGGAACCAGAGATCGACAGGAGTGACACTTGGTTCTTCAACATGCCGCCACCCCAGACCACGCGGTCCCTCGCCGGCTCTGCGTCTCAACAGCCTTTGAGTGACGAGGAGGGTATGCCCAACCCAGAAGTTGTTCCTGAATGGCCCCAAATCAAAAAGTGGAGGGTCTTCCACCCTACCGGAGCAGGGCACCACGGTATATCAGAGGTGGTTGTGAGCGAGATCCTGCGCCGCTCAGGCCCTGATCGCCGTGAGTGAGGACGCAGATTGTCGCAAGCATGGTGGGATTCGGGGGATAGGGCAGCTTCATTATTCTGAATTTGTGAGCGTTTTGTAAGAATATGCCAATGCCTGTACTGGAGCCATTGTCGCACTTTGTACTTCTTGGTGAATGAACTTTTGTCTTGCTTTCCTCTTTACTTCGCGAAATGCTGATACATTGAGTACCGGTGCAGCTGATTTCTCCTCCAGTAGTATCTGCATGAGTGGCTTGATGGGTGAGGAGGGTCACATCAGTTCGTGCACACAAATGATGAGCTCAGACTAGCTGCCCCTAGGCCTGGTCAAAGCAGGTTTGTTTTCTCCAAGAAACATTGTTTATAGATGTTCAAGTGGGGATCAGAATGATTTGCTCGCAGCAACTCCAATTGTGCTTAGCTGAACTATGTACGATTTCCGTCTGGGTACGATTTCCATTCCCACACTTTACACGACGTAGCCTTTGTTCTGTTTGACGCCTTTGACATTCATGTCTTTCCACGCGAGCATCGCAACCATTCCCAAGACCCAGGTTGAGATACCAGCAATCAGCAAGTATCGCCATGTGTCTCCGTAGGCTTCCTGAATTGCCAAACGCGTGGGTGAACCCCACTGGTAGGACAATTGCTGTGAGATATCGTCGTATATGATGGTGAGATTTGCTTGGCTCTCCGGAGGAAGATATTGAGCGAGTTTCTCTGGCAGCGTGCCTTGCCAGATGGCGGAAGAGATCGTGTAGCCAACGGCAGTCCCAATGTAGGCAAACAGGTTGAGCAAGGCGATACTGATGGCAAAGTATTGCTGTGTAGAGGCAGCAGCCAAGATGCCAATTTCGACCGTCAACATGATGATTCCAAAACCCAGGTTGACGAACAGGTTGCTCATGGCAAGGTAGCCCACGTATCGATCAGGTTGGCGGAAATGTATCATCAGACCTGTACCGAGGATGATCATAGGGAAGCCGAAATAGAGGCTAATAGGTTTGTAGCGTCCGGTATATGAGATGATTGATCCAGCGACAAGGTTCATGACAATTTGCGCGACCGTGCCTCCTTGTACGAGATAACTTGCTTCAGTCACGGTAAGACCATTCACCACTTGAAGGAAGGAGCTCAAATACCCGTTCCAACAACTTGTGCTTAAGAATAGCGCAAATCCCGTCATGCAGGTGCCGAGGACTGTGCGATCTCGAAGCATTGCCCATGGAGTGAGGCGAACCCGAGCGAAGAATCTTTCCCATACAATGAAAGCTGCGATCAAACACGTTCCAAACACGAGGAAACAGATTATAAGGGCGGATCCCCAACCCTTGGCTTGCTGAGTGTAAAGGTTGAATGGGAGAAGGAAGAAAGCAAAGCCAGCAGATATACACGAGAGTCCGATGATGTCAAACTCGTGCATATAGTACACAGTAGATTGCCATAGCGTAGATCCACTCCGATTCGGTGTTGGAAGCACGCCCTGCTTCTTGGCTTTCATGTATTGCCACATGAAGAGTCCAAACAACGGAAGAGTAACTCCCGGAACGAGAATACTTTCCATTCCGAAGGCCCAGCGCCAGCCGGCCCCCGTCAAGAACGATGTAGATATGGGACCTGCAATTCATGATGTGATGAGATAAGGTGAATTGGCCAGTGCTTGCATGAGACCTCGATGGCGTAGTGAAGACGTATCCGCAATGAAAACGCTGAGGCAGTATCCGACACCGTTGATGCCGACGGTGTAGAAGACTTGTGATGCCGCATATGCTTCAACGTTATTGCAAGAAGCCGACATGATAATGCCGACGGTACAGAAGAATACGCACAGTAGAAAGCCATGAGGACGACCGAAAACGTCCAGGACTTTGGCGATCCCCAGATTTGTGACACCACCAATCACTTGACTCAAAATTCCAGTGGTTGGAATGAGTGAATGTTCGGCAAAGGCGGAAGTAACATAGGGAATCAAGGCGCCACTGACTCCGACTATGATGCCTTGGACAAAGTAGACGAACCAGATAAAGATATAAGCGGCCACCAAGGTATGTCTTGTCCAAGCAATCGTTATGGCCTCAGCCTTTTGCACACCAGCTTGAAAGTTGGTGTCGACCGAGTTGTCGTTAGGTGCGTTACCGTGGATAATGTCTGAACCGTGGTTGATTTCGTGGTTTGAGTCGTCTTCTGATTGATGGACATTGCTGATTTGCTTCGTCTCACTTTCGAGTACAGGGTACATAGCTATGGGCAACTCGCCAGAGGCCATTTTGACGCCTCAACCTCAACCTCAGCCCAAGAAGCTTCTTCTGCTGCTGCTGAGCGTTTTCATGCAGGGTTCTCCTGCAGTCCGATGTTGTCGACAACATTTGATCCTTGATCTCGGGGTTAATATCTGTTTCGTTGTTGATCGCTCAGCAGAGAAACAGAGGACTCGGCAGGTAAAGGTCCTAAGAAAATAAACTGGAAAGTCTAATCGTTGCATACTGAGCAAGTTTCCATTCGCTAGTGCGATACTTCTTGGGGGAACCAAAGGCGTGAGCAAGTTTTCATCCATCACCGTGATAATTCCTCTACAGAGAATATGCACCTAAATTCTGTGCGTGTTCATGGGGATTGGTAGCACGAGCGGGATTGGTGCGTTAATTTCACAAACCAAGCCTCTGGATGTGGCCTCGTACCACTGAGCGACGCGCAAAGGACAAGGCTGCTGAATTTCTTTGCGTGGCTATGAGAAAGGGAACCTGGAAGTGTTGACACCGATCCGATGGGATAACACCCGACACCCTGAGATAACCCCCAACACGGCTTAGCCTACCTAGGCAGGGAAGTCTGGCCTGGGCAGGCTAACATCACGTGAATCTGGCCTAGGCAGGTCTGGCTTAGGTCACTTTGGCCTACCAGGTACCTTACCCAGGTAGGCAAGGTAGTATCACGTGCATATAGCCTAGCCAACTGAGATCACGTGAACTTGGCCGGCATCCGGCATGACGTTATTGGCAACAAACTTGGGGAACGCGTCTTTGCACGCGACGGGACTAATCACTCAAAACTCCCACACCCCAACTTGCAACCCTCGAGTATACGACGCAGACACAGCTCACGACCAAACTTGGGCATTACTTCGCACGATACACTTCTGAAGACGACCTTTTCCATCATGTTCTGCTAAGGCCGCATCGTAATGCTCGGGGTCACCACTGCCAGACAACCACCAGTTTCGCTCGCAATTCCAATCCTGCCATGTACCTCCCGCGTCCATTGATCTCGCACCTCTATACAAACCTCATCCGCTCCCACCACCCTCTTTCCCCTCCTGTCCTGCTTCTGGTCGCCCTCGAACCTGATTCATTATGCGCGTGTCGCATCCTCACCGCGCTTCTCAAGCGCGACTACATCCCTCACAAGATACAGCCTGTCTCGGGATATGCAGATCTGTCCAAGGCTGGCGAAGATCTGGTGCGGCCCATGAAGACTACAGAAGGCGGTAGTGGTGGCCTCGTCATCTGCCTCGGTGTTGGCGGACTTGTTGATCTAGGAGCTATTCTAGGCTTGGAGGACGAAGAGTCGAATGAGACAATGTGCGGAGTCGAAGTGTGGGTGCTGGATGCAAGAAGACCGTATAACCTGGACAATGTCTTTGGCGGCCAACCGATTGAAGCTCCCTTGGGCGATATTGCCAACGAGACAAGGCCGCGCGCTCGGGGAGTGGAGAAAGGATGCATTCAAAAATCATACAAGTCCGGCAAGGGCGGTATCATAGTCTTTGATGATGGCGATATTGCAGGCGACTTGGACACGGAGAGAAACGCGTATTGTGCGCTAGCAGAAATGCCGCAAGTCGACGGAGATGAAAGCGATGGTGACGAAGAAGACGGAGGTCACGACAGCGCGTCATCCAGAAAACGAAAGTCTTGGTCTGATCGCGACAACGAAGACGACGACAGCGAAGAAGATGAAGAGAGACCACGGCAACGGCGAAGGAGTAACTCGGGATCATCTATTGCGTCCCCCCGGAGCAGGAGCCCCTCGTCTTCCCAACCGGTGTCACCAGCGTCTAAAGCACAGTCCCCGAAACCTCAAACAGCAGTACAGCTACGTAGACGATTACGAAAGTTACGAGAAGAACACGAATCGGTGCTCCGGCAATACAGCACTCTAGGCACTTCCTACTCCGAGCCAGTCTCGACACTGGCCTATTCTCTGGCGTCAGACCTGGGACGTGAAGACAATGACATATTGTGGCTTGCCATCATTGGCGTCACTTCGCTCGAGCTGTCTGGCCACACATCTACTGGTCTTGGGACATCTGTTTCGAGAACCATGACCCTTCCGCATGAGCAACATAGAGGATGGCGGACCACACGTTCTTCGCAAACCTATGCCCTGCTCCGCGACGAGGTCAGAAGGTTGAATCCCCCGCCCGCAGACCAATCGCCAGCAATATCTCCCGTTACTGGCGGCACAAGTTCACCCAGCGACACCTCCATTCGGCTGACACCAGATCCCCGATTTCTTCTCCTGAGGCACTGGTCTCTGTACGACAGCATGCTGCATTCACCATACCTTGCTTCTCGATTACATGTCTGGAATGAATCGGGCATCAAGCGACTTCACAAACTTCTTGCGAAGATGGGGGTCTCCTTGACTCAATGCAGACAGACATATACGCACATGGATATGGATTTGAAGAAAACCCTCCGGGACCGTCTTCTGAAATATGCTGGCGTGTATGGCCTGGACGGTCTCGTCCCGTCTGGCTCAGGGCGAGCAACCTACGAACAAGAAGGGTGGGGTTTCATCCGCTCCTGGGGCTGGAAAGCACAACTCTCGGCCGTTGACGTGGGCGTCATTCTGGGAGCGATACTCGACGTCGGCACAAGTCACGCACCCACTGCTTCGGCAGCGTCGTCGTTGTCGACATCATATGCAGCTTCTTCACAACAAACGAGCGCCTCCGATGACATTCCAGAGCGCTCGGAAACGCTTCTGCCACGCTTCTTCGCCGCTTACGACGCCCTCGCACCAAACCACCCCAGCCATCTCCTCGCCGCCATTCCAGCAGCGCAGCATCTACTACGATCAATCCTCCGCACAGGCTCTTCCTTGCTGATGAAACACCAGATCCGCCATTTGCGTGCGTTTCGTATGGGCGTTGTCAAAGAAGGACCTGATTTAGCCCTTTTTGCAAACAGTCCCGGGGCATTGGTAAAGTTGGCGTTATGGGTCGGTGAGGCAATTGCGGTGAGTGAAAGGGACAAAGGTGGCACAGAAGCACCAACGCCATTGGTTCTTGCCGCTTTGGATGAGGCAAGAGGGACGTACGTGGTTGTTGGCACGGGCGGAGGGATTGGTGGCGGTGAAGATATCGAAAGCAGGAAGGAGAAGGAGGAACGAAGGAAGAAAAGAGAGGAAGAAAGGGAGAAGAAGAGGAAAATCAAAGAGGAAAAGAGAGCGGCACGGAAGGCTCAAAGAGAATTACTGGGCGAGGACTCTGATGCCGAGGAAGAAGATACGGAATCAGAGTCGGAGCCTGATTCGGAGTCGGACGACGACCAAGAAGACGAAGCAGAACAAGAAAGGAAACGCAAGAGAGGATATGGGCACAATCGGTTTGGGATTGCCTTCCAAGAGGTTGTCGAGGAGACAAATGCACGGGTCAAGATCGATTCCTTTGATCATTGTATTGTAGAGGTGAAAAAGGAGGATCTGGCGGGGTTTTTGGAAGGGTTAAGCCTGAAGGCTGTTGTTGGCCGATGATCTGGTCTCTTTGAGGGGCAAAGTGGATGAGACGGAATGAGCGATGTGGACATCATCGAAAGGGTTGGTTGTGGCTGTTGATAGTACATGAAGAGTGTGAGTATGCACTTTGTCTTTGGGCTTGTTCTTTGAGGGTGTGTGGGCAGTTTGTGGCTCATATTACGACTGTGGAACCGGGATGAAAGCTGATGATTTGGGCAAGAGTGTTTGCTGGGGGCGTGAGACGGAAAAGATGAAGCCCAGTTACTGTTGAATGCTCGACGCATGTTTATTGGATTTTTTGCTGCATGGCGACCGGGGAAAGGAACAAGGTACATATCATCCTCGGCGTGTGACTGATAAAATCTGTTTAGGTTGCGAAAGAAGACATCATGACTTTCCTTTGAATACGCTTTGTGCCCTTGCTGATCGATAGTACTCTTCCTTCTACTGACCGTGTTCCTCGCCATGTCATCTGACCTTCGCTTCAGTTGAATGCCTCAGCAGGTCCGTCACAGTTCCAACCCTCCACCCTCGCCTCCTCAGCTCTGGCAAGACGATTCTCAACATTGGCGCCGTCCACTCCCTATCGTGGATGACGATAATGGCGCCTGGTGTCAAACTGCTCAGGACATGCCACGCATTCAGCCCCGGCCACGAAATCTGCGCGTCCCACGGATAAATGCTTCCCAGGACGAGTCTGTAGTTCAGAAATGGCTGTGCGAGGAGGGCGAGCATCGTCACATTGAAGAAGCCGCTCCCGGGACGAAAATACTTGGGCGGCTTCGCCTTCACTGCGAACGTTGCGAGATCTAAGGGTGTCAGTGAGGCGTAGATCTCGTGGATCTGTCTTTCGACCATTTGAATCTGCCGCGCGAGCTCTGTGAGAGGTAGATGCGCAGACGGCTCATCGTGCATGGCGTGGTTTGCCAGCTCATGGCCATCAAGGACCAATTCTCTCAAGGTCTCCTCGTGGCCTGGGATGTGTGCTCCGATGACGAAGAACGTGGCCTTGACACCGCCGTGAGCCTTAAGGAGACGCTGGATTTCTCGAGTGTGCCGCGAGGGGCCGTCGTCGATGGTCAGAGCCACGATTTTTTCATCCGTGTGTATTGGGGTGTGGAACACAACATCGGGATAACGGGCTTGGAGCCAGCGGATCAGCCATTTTGGGGGTTTGTAGATGAGCCAGACCAGGGTCAGGATTGTAAGAGTGGAAAGGGTCGAGATGATGAGTAGGAGGTTTGTCATAAGGAGGGGAAGCGAGACGATCCGCAGTTGGGGGCTACTTGTTTCGCTCTACCTAGGAGATGATGACTCCCGGATTTGACAAGCGTGGATAATATTAGACGACTTGGTCCCTGGCGTGTTGGATCAGTACCTCTTACGAGGGTAGGTACCTACTCGGTAGAGAACAAAGTCGGCTGGCAGCCTTGGGCTCGCAGTGACAAGGCTGAATGTTCCCCGAATCGGGCTTCTGGCACGGACGCGCCTCAAAGGGGAAACATCTCCATTCAGGAAAAATTCTGCCCATCGCAAGGCTGTAGGGCAAACCTTACGAGTAAATGCATCCTTTGTATTTGATAAGGGTCATCTAGTAGCGACGAGCATGTTTTTGTTATTCACACAAGCGACGATTTCCTTATTCTGGAGGCTGCATGTCCTCCGTGACCTCCATGTGGGCACACAAAAGGGGCAAACTTCGCGAAAAGGAACGAGGAGCTGCCCACCGTGCCACCCCCGGGATGATCAGCACTGGCAGCGGCTGGCTTGCCATGGGTAAACAAGGTGCGGCGCTCAGGTCGACCGACGCACGACAGAATCCATGGTCATCTTACTACTGTTGACTATTCATTTTCGATTCTTTCACCTACAGAGATGGTGTTGTCGAACCCCGAAATTGCCAGCTCTCGCCAAAGGCTGCAAAGTAAATTGAGACTGACAACCGAGCAAGTCAAGCGGCAGACATGCGGGCAAAGGCTTTCTGGAAAGCGAGATTTCTCTGCCCTAGCACGTCGACTTGGGTCAGTCAGCTCTTCGCTTTCCCTGCCGATCGTTCCTTTCCTTCTTCCGGCAACACGCGTTGAATGCCTTGTCCAGGCGTAAGTCTTGCGCTGGCTTGCATCTTGCGGAGTTGCAGACGAACTGCACGCTGCATGGAAGCCACGGTGTTGGACACGACGAGTTCCATATATACGAGGCAAGAGTTCAGATTATTCGCCGAGTCCTCAATAGACTTCTTCCTGCCGCTTGGCTGCATGAGTTGTCGTTAGGCCTTCCAACGGCTACTTGGGCGCCACTGAGTTGCATGGCGCTGCGCCAGTGGGAAAAAAAATCCTCCAGTCTTTGGTCGACACCATCGATGGTGCCTTGCAGGAAGGGCACTAGCCCACAAGCTGAAACACTTCTACCGACAGGGATGTCAAGACATGTCCTCAACAATCCTTCTCCGGCGTCATCGCGAGCAACTCCTGCATGAGTGCTTCCTCACGACAAGTCTCGTCTTATCCAGATCCTTGCTCGTTGGCCCCATTTCTCCAACATCTATCACGTCGGGATTCTCTCTCCGGAGGCGGATGCGTCTTAGGCCCCTCCTCTTCGTCCCCACCATTCCCAGTCTGTGCGCCAAAACCAACCCATGCTCACTCTCTCTTGCATCTCCCCAGCCTTCGAACCATTCAGGTGTTGCCTCGCGTCTCAAACCATCTCCTGAAGAAGGCGTCTCAAGAGTCTCACCAGCAACACGGCTCATTATGGAGCACCCTCGTGGAACCCGAGGACTCGCCTGGTGGTCAAATAACAAAGGTCTCCATCTTCATTCGAGCCCACTCATTATATCCATCCCGCCGGCGTACAAGTCATGTTTCTTGACCTCTGCCAATGCTCTGTGAATATACATAATGAAGCTGTACAGGATAGCATTTGCCACACTCAGCTTTGTTTCCTGGGGTTTCGCGGCGGATCAAGATATTCTCACCATCTTGCAGCAGCAGACGGGGATTTCCACCTTTATTGGGCTCTTGGAGCAATTCTCAGATCTGGTCAATGTCTTGAACCAAGGGACATTCAGTGGTTTGGAAACCGACCTCTCGTTGCTTTACGACCCAGACTAAGTACTCTGCAGTCCTCATTCCAAATGACCAAGCGCTCGCTGCGTTTGGCGATGAGAATCCAGACTTCACCAACAATACAGATGCTGTCCGGGCCCTGCTAGAATACCATATCACCAATGGCACTCATCCATCAGCTTCATTTGGCCTACAGCCACAATTTGTGCCTACGCTCCTGACGAATTCCAATTACACCAATGTCACAGGTGGCCAAGTAGTAGAATTGACGGAATCGGCAAATCAACCCACGGTCGTGAGCGGAGTGAAGGCAGAGTCTCATCTGGTCGAGGCCGTAGGTTTCTCTCCATTCCCGATATCAGTGGAACCTTAATGCTGACCGACAAAGGACATATTCTACCTTGGAGGCCTCATCCACATTATCGACTCAGTGCTTACAATCCCCGTCTCATTTCCAGCAACCGTCACAAAGACTGGCTTGACGGATCTTGTGGCTCTGATGAGCATAGGAGGCTTCTTGAGTCCTAGTTCTCCAGCAGTTAACGTGGGTGCCCAGGTTCCTGGAGGGGTTTTGGCCTCTTCAATGGGTCTATATAGGCTGACGACGTCTAGATCGTAAACTCACTTGCAGATCTGACCATCTTTGCGCCCAACTCGACGCATTTCTCGGCCGGGTTCACGGGATGGGATGGTCTCTCGCAAACCGACCTCTACTCCATCTTAGAGTACAGCATCTCTCAAGGCCCGGTTATTTACTCGTCGGACTTCAAGAACAACACCAAGATTCCCACTCTGGACAGAATATCGGCGACTATGACCGAGGTTGATGGCCAGTTCTACGTCGACGCGGCTCTTATCAAGACGAGGGACTACCTCACCTCCAATGGTGTATTGCAGATACTTGACAGGTGAGAGCCATCACAATTCCCTGCCTTCCTCTGCGGACACGATGACTGATGTTTGTATGTCTAGTCCTCTCAATCCCAATACAACCGGACAACAGCCTCTCTCCACCGTTGTTCCGTCTTCCAGTACGGGATCTAAGGGCCTCAGCACTGCTGCTGGTGCAGGCATCGGCATCGGCATCGGCGCCATAGTGCTCGGAGGGGCCTTGATCGTCGCCCTTTACATTCGAACCAAACGCCGCCGACGGCTGATAGAACTGGCCGGGGGCAACCCGGGTGACCCTCCTCCCAGATATGAGTTGGATACCAAAGCACTGGACGCGACAGGTGCAAACGGCAGGGAAGTACCCAGGACCCAAGTCTTTGAGATCCATGCTCCACCTAAACCGCCCTCTCCTTACGAGATCGATGGCAACGAGAGGAGTCGGATCAGCGTTACCATCCAAGGCACACCTCCCCGACACCTAGGGTTCCAGGCTCGCTATTAGGGAGTATCTCCTCTGGACTGAATCGTGGTGGCCGAAGATTTCATCGTCCCGCGAAGGGCCCTAATGACAGTATGTTCAAGCCTATTTTTCCTTTTCGGGCTTGCAATTATGACCACTCTTTTACCTCATCTGTTATATCGACTGGCGCCTCTAGAATGGAGGAGAGAGGCCCCAGTACATGTACGAAAAGAAAAAGCAATGCGTGGGCTATCCTCACCTTGCGTGTTGACACCGCCTTAGATACCCTGATTTCAGAACAAAAGCTATATTTACAACTAGGCTCTGTTTGTCTATCTTTACACCTGTTTTTATGCCCCTGGCTGTGAACTCGTTTGCGTCGAGGGTGCGGGTGAGGGTTCAGCCTCCACTGGCAACTACTTCACCAACAGTCTCGCACTATTTAAACTTCTGTCTCGACCACTATCACTACCATCACAAGCACCGCTACCCTCTTTTTTTATTTGTCACGTCCAAGTGTTTGAGTCTGCGCATGATGGGAAGCTGTCGTGACTGTTCTACATTCATGAAAGGTGATGAAACTTGCTTTGTCAAGATGCTGGCCTTTCATCTCACCATCGGGCCCTGCCTTTCAACCGATTCCTGCCTCTGACCAACCAGTCCTGTCTTGACCAACGAGTCTTGCCCTTGACAATCGAGTCCTTTCTTCGAAGCGAGAGTTGTTGACGCTCTCTTCCTCAGTTCAATTCTCGCCCCTACCCGCTTTCTTCCCCTCTCTCGCCAACGAGGTTTCTGCAAGTAAAGCACAAACCAGCCTGGCAAGGTAGCTACCAACAGAAATCTCACTGCAACTCCTCCATTCGGGATTCCGTCTAGAGACACTACCTCACCCACAACATCTTTCTCTCCCTCTGCAGACCGTCGCACTTCAGCCCTCGTTGATCGACGCCAGATGGACAAAGCGGATCAATCCGTGGTCATGGACCCTTCGGCGGCTGAGCCAGAGAATCATCGCCTCAAACAGCTCACGGATCTGCCAAACGAAATTCTGAGTCTCATATGCAGCTTCCTCATTCCCCATTGTCCTGATATCACGCCGTTCAAAGCAGATGAGCTCGACGCTACAAGAACTCCCACAAGACTCGAAGGGCTGGAGACGTTCAACAAGCTCTATGCAGGGTATATATTTACGGAGCAATTTACAGAGACGAACCCGACAGAAATGAAGGTAGGCGGATGCGATAGGCCCGACTTTCCAGTTTTGAAAGCGTCTACAACCAAAAAGCGAGGGCACAATAGCCTTGCCAGTTTCGCAGCCACGTGCAGATACTTCAACACTCTTGTCCGTAGGCTATGCGCCCGGCGTCACTTCACCCTAACCGTGAGCGCCTACGGTCTCACTTTTGAGAATCTGCGAGACGCATCACCCATGCAGACGTTCTACGCACTCCACCCCGTAATTTCCACGTGGCATGAATACGACTTCCTCATGGTCGTATCGGAAGGGTCCCAAGTTGTCGAAATCCCACCTATGCAGCTCCCTGGAAACATCGCATTCGGTGCATTCACTGATGCTTTCAGGCACTTGAGGCATCTCCATTTACACGTGGAAATGGAAATGGCACGCCTCGGAATCGGGAAGACAGACCTTTTTCTCGAACGAATTGGTCAACTCCACCGCCTTCGCCGCCTCCGCGGGGCAAAACAGCTCTCCCTGGAGAGGCTTGATATCGTTGTGAACGTGGGATTCCACAACTTCGCCTTGAACAGAGCCATCGGTGATCATGATGATTCTGAAATACCGAACCTGACCGGTTCTGAAATAATGTTTCTGTTGGAACCGGAAGAATTGTTCACCGTCGGTAGATACGGCGTGTGGCAGGTTGGGGCTGTCATGGCTGGATTTGCCAATCACATATGGCGTTTTCGAGCTGAAGAAAACTACAGACGGATGGCTTCAGGGACAAGCAGAGTGGGAGTGCAGAGCCCTGTGACGACACGGCTGTTGATTCTCGGACAGGGCACGCCGAACATGCGCTGGGGCCAGACGGGCAGATTCCACACCAGCGAAGGTTGGGAGGTTGTGCCGTTCGGAAGCTTTGAGGACTTCTGCAAGAAACTTCAGGACCACATGTTCCCACCTGCCGAGTGTTGCCACCCCGCAGAGAATCGAATCATCGACCAAGAACGATACATCTGCGAACTCGGACTTCCCCTAGACGAGGACTATCGACTCCCGTATTTTGACCTAGAAATGGATGTGTGAGAGACGCGAAACGCATTGGCGACGCCGGGGTTGGACGATGACAAGCAGGAGAAATGCAGTCGTAACTCACAGACCGCAATCGAAGACTACATAAGCGTGAGCTTCGACAATCGAACCCCTTTACTCTCGGACAGCATTCCAGCATCAGGGGTAGCAGGTTATGTTCTCTTAATTGGCTTTACACATGTCGGCGTATGCGTCGAAGACCCTGACATCGGATTTATATTTGCACAAGGCAAAGAAATAATTCATTAATCTCTGTATTAGTCCTTCAGAGCAATGGCATGTTTGAGGATCCTCCGCAATACAAAGTAACATGTAGTGCATTTCAGGGGTAGTTTGCGGAAGGACGATTTTCCGATGCCGGCCCCCCTGCTGCGCCCTGTGTATGCTCCTCGTTGCTTACCAACTTATTTCCAATCAGCGTTGCGAGATTCACCTTAAGTATTCTTCATATTGGAAGAAATATCTCGTACTCCGTATAGGGGGAGATCACGGAGACGAAGAGCCCTTGCACCATCTGCCTGCGAAGCTGAAGACATCGTGTCACTTGAGAGGAGTCGAAGTCCTCTAATCCCCGCCCGTCATGAGGCCAACACATTCGCTATGGGCGTTCCTCGCCCTCGTCGCAGTCGCCTGCGCCGCTCACACATCCAACTGGGCCGTTCTGGTCTCTACCTCTCGGTTCTGGTTCAACTACCGCCACCTGGCCAACACTCTCTCTCTGTACCGCACCGTCAAACGGCTCGGCATCCCCGACTCCCAGATCCTCCTCCTACTCCCAGACGACATGGCGTGCAACCCGCGCAACGCCTTCTCCGGCACCGTCTACTCGAACGCGGACCGCCGCATGGACCTGTACGGCGAGAACGTCGAGGTCGACTACCGCGGCTACGAGGTCACGGTCGAGAACTTTATCCGCCTGCTGACCGACCGCTGGGAGGAAGGGGTGCCCGCGAGCAAGCGCCTCCAGACGGACGAGGGCAGCAATATCCTGATCTACATGACGGGCCACGGGGGCAGCGAGTTCCTCAAGTTCCAGGACAGCGAGGAGATTTCGAGCTGGGATCTGGCCGACGCGTTTTCGCAAATGCGCGAGAAGAAGAGGTACAACGAGATGCTGTTCATGATCGACACGTGCCAGGCAAATACCCTCTATCGACAATTCTACGCGCCGGGCATCATTGCGACGGGCTCTTCGGAGGAAGACGAGAGTTCATACTCCCACCACGCGGACAACGACGTTGGCGTCGCGGTCATTGATCGATGGACATACTACGTACTGGAGTTTTTGGAGACGCAAGTCACGGGACCGACGTCGGATAAGACGTTGGGGGATCTGTTCGACAGCTACGATGTCCAGAAGATCCATTCGAACCCTGGTGTGAGGTGGGACCTGTTCCCTGGTGGAGAGCAGGCCGGGAGGAGTCGGCGGGTCGTGGACTTTTTCGGGAATGTCCAGAGCGTCGAGATTCAGGGGAACAAATCAGGTGTTGAAAGCCTGAAAGACGATCTCGAGGGTTTGAAACGGTTGGTGCAGGAATACGAGGCTTTCGCGGCCGCGCAGGAGAGCAACAAGACGCAAATGTCTGATGTTTTACAACGAAGAACAAGCGACATCAATGCAACTGCCAAACAGGGCTCGCCGAAGCGAGACACAGTCGGAAGAATGAAGGTGACGGAGAGCACTCAGTGGGCTCGGCAAGTTGCCGGAGTGACTGTCCTGTCCGGACTAGCAGCACTCTGGTATTTTGCTCCGAAATTTGCTTGAAGAAAGCTGTACTGTACCTGTTCCTCAAAGCGATCTCTCACCCCCGCTATGGACAAAAGACAAGCCAGAATCACGAGTGCCCGAACTATTGATACGGGATAGCCTTGTTCTTCTCCAACCACAACTTCTCCACATCCGAGTTTGCTGGTGGAGGATCCAAGCCTTGAGTTCTCCAGAGATCACGAGGCGTCTCAGCGATGTGCAGTTCCCACTCCAACTCGGCTCTGTCGATAATGTACGGTTTCAGGAGCTATAAGGATTGTCATCAGCGGACATTGGAGATGGAGCCAAAGGTGACCTTGAACCAAACGAACCCCAGCTGGACCACGACCATGTGCAAGTTCTGTTCATAGGGGACGGGTATAAGGGGAAATGAGACATACCCCATTGATTCGATCCATCCAAGCCTTTCTGGTCTTCCTCCCCTCCTCGGTCTCGGGGCTCACCATCGCTCTGGCAATCTGCTCGACCACGATCCTCACGAAATTGTTCTTCGACTCTCCGCCCACGAAGAACCCCTTCTCGTCAACGTCGATGAATATGACTACGACATAGAAGGGCGGGAGGCCGCGAGAGACGTAGAGGTCGGTGATGGCCTTGGAGATGCCCTCTCTTTGAGAAGCGGTGAAGATTGATGGGTGGGAGAAGATGCGCCAGAGAGGCATGGTGTCTGGCTACGTGCTGGACACGAAGATGGGATCCGGTTGTGCTTCGTTGAGTAGGTGAAGTGAGATGAGGCCTGCTGGTATCGTTGCCGGTTGGATTGAGAGAAGGAATCTGCTCCCCGCGCAGAGAGAGGAAAAAGGCGGTTTATATACATCTACGAGGTATATATCTTCAGACCTCTCATGCCGAGGTCGGATCTGGAAAGCAGAACAAACATGCATGGCAGCACCAGCAGCAAGCAGTGGATCCACCAGGCGTCTCGGCAGTGCCCACCCTTGACATAGACTTGTACATCTGATGGCGGTACGCAGGGAGATCTGATATGACAGGGCTAAGCCCGTGTTACCTCCCTGTTTGTCTGTCCGTCACCTTCGCTCTCCAAAGTCCCCTCCCCCTACCTCTCCAAAAAATACCATATCCATCCGGCCCTTCCTTCTGCTTCTCTCGTGCGAGAACAGGGCATGTCTGTCCGTGTCTGCGTCCTGCCCATCCCTACCTTGTTCGCGCGTATGCGTCTTCGTCATCGCTGGGGCCACCCTACTGGCGTCGCAAGGAAAAAGGGTGTTGATTGATTAGTGAACAAACGCAACAATTTCCCCATTTGCCATTGTTACCATGGTACGGCAAGGCTGGGCGCAACCTGGGCGAATCAGATGCCGGGCCGCGCTCAACGGGGGTCCGCCCGCGTGAGAATAGAGGGAACTGACTTTTACAAGTTTAGTCGCACGCCCTTGGGGGTTGTAGAAACAGTTTTTTTTTGGTGGTGGTGGTGGTGGTGGTGGTGGTGGTGGTGGTGGTGGTACGCGCCGCCGGGGCCCAAACGGACATATAATTCACTCAAGCGGAGCACAGCACCGCACAGGATCGAGGAGGAGCAGGAGAGGGGAAAAGACCAGCATAGGATGGGATAGGAAGACATTCGTGTTCTTTGTCGAGAGGAAAAGGAGTATCCACTTGGGTCGCCGACATAGACGGCTTTCAATTATTTCTGTCCTATCCACATGATAGGACTTCATTCGTTTCCCACTCGCTCTGCGTGCGAATACGGAGTCCGAATTTGGACGAGTGAAGAGAGATTGATTACTCTTCCCTCCGTCCTGCTGCCCAAGTTCCCTCCGGACAGGATCGGTGAGCGGGGGATGAGTGCCTTGATACGAATAGGACCAATTATGGACTGTTGACCCAGTCTTGCGATAGTCCACGCTGGGGAATCGGTAAATAGCTGTGTGAAAGGGGTGAGTGGGTGGATAGTCGATAGGGTGGTAAGTCTCTTGATCCCCGTTGGCGAGATGTGCCTCCAGCTCTGATGATTACTGAAATGCCACTTTCTGCGACCCGTCGTGTCCAGTCACCAAGAGATGCGCGTGTTGTGAACCGGGATGTTATGTGGACGCCTGTTCAGCCATGGAGACGATCCCTTCGCGTTGCAGAGACCACTTCCAATTTGCGGGATGTGCTCTTGAATAGTGCAGCGGCTGCGCCCTTCCCTTTAGTTTCTGGAAAATCACCATTCCGACCAGTATATTCAGCGGACACAGCGCCCCCGGCTCGCAAGGTGTGGCGACGAGACGAGATAGGTGCACAGAGGGAGTCACCGTAGCGTATTGAGCATTCAGCCACCATCTGCGCATTGATGCGCTTCGTTGCTTTCGTCTCCGTAACACTAGCTTACTGTATACTCGGTTGCATTCGCAGTGGTTGCCGCATTGAAGATTCAAGGTCGGTAATGGTTACGGCGAGAGTAATCTCGCCGTCGCGCACAGAGTCTGTCCGAGCGCCGTTTTTTGAGAAAGCTAAGCGCGTCGATCGCGGTGTGCAACAGGGTGTAATCGCTTTTGCAACACACCCACCGATTAGTCGTCGAAGAAGGGATAGGTCAAGAGTACGGACCCAAATCAATCAGCGGATTAAACCATCGCTGAGAAGCGGCCTCTCTTCACCCCTTCCTTCTCGCCTTCTTGTCCGCCCTCTGCTGCATAATTCTCCTTCTCTTTTCAAAACTGTCACCGATGCCGACACCACCGCTACCATCTCCTCTGGGACCGTCCTGCGTGTCTCTCCGTCTCTTTTCTCTCCGCTCAAGCACATTGGATCCCTCGCCCCTCGCTCTGCCCGCGACGCTCCTATGGATGCGATCACCCAATCCACCCAGGCCCGTCCAGTCCTCCCCTCCAAATAGATCTCTCTTGTCCATCTCACCTCGCTGTCTCGCTTTCCTTCTCTCGGCTTTACTCTCCGCGGGTAGCCGGACGAAATTTCGTTCTTCGTAGTCGATTCTCGCTCGCTCCTTGTCACGCTCTTTCGAAGACATGGCCCCACGTCCGTGCTTGAGAATCGTGTTGTTTGAGCCGATCGAGGGTTGTGCGCGTGGTGCTGTGGAAAGTTCTTCGTCAATGTATTCGTCCAAAAGCTGCGACTTGCGCTTCCTCACGGGGGCATCGCGGTCGCGCTGCGAAGCCGGCTCCGGCATTGCAGTGGGTGTTATCCGTGGGGGTTTGTATGCGCCCGTGGCGGTAGATCGTGACTTGACAGTTTGCTCGTCCTTCTTGCGTGTATCCATATTTCTCAGGAGGGCGGCAGGTCTTGGTCCCACAGACATGTCGCCTTCGGTGTGATTGTTTTCAACCGCATCATCTTCCGAAGACTCTTCCGAACCAGATTCGAACTCGTCCGAGACACTGCCGTCTCGGTTGGACGTCTTTTTTATAGATGGATTCTTTGAGACTTGACCCGCTGCCGTCCTTTGGGCAGTCCTGCGATCAGCTTCTTCGGCGGCCCGCACAACTTTGTCGATCTGGTATTTCAATTTGCTCTCCAGCGGACGTACGCCTCTTTCCAGATAGACCCGCAGTTCGACAAGGTGTTTTGTAACTTCTGAGACTAGGTCTGCCGACGAGTCCTCCGTGTAACCATTGCGCAGCTTAATAATGACCAGGAAGGCGAGGTTTTGGATGTAGGAGAGGAGAAGGTCATTCTTAATGTCGAGGAGGGAAATGCCTTCGGCGGGAGGTAACAATTGCTGTTCCGCCTCTGGAAAAGCGGCTGCAGCAGATTGCAGTGCGGTAGTCAAGGTCGACAACATCGAGCCGGTATTATCTTCTACAGTCATATTGACGGCCGTTGAATGATTGTTCATGTCTAACTTGCAGGCTTCGAAAAAAAAGTTTTGCGGAGAAATTCATGTCACATGGCGATAAGATAAGCCATGCCGAGCCTCGCAGCCTCGCAGCCTCGTATCGGATACCATCAATCTCAAGGAGATCGGCACAACCCTTTACCCTCTACTCAGACAAAGGGAAAGACCTAGCTCAAAGAGAGAACCCCGGACTTGCAGCAGGCGTTGATATGGACTATGAAGGACTAAAGGGCGAGGGAAGGTGATGACTGGGGGAGTATTCGAATTCATCGAGCGTGATATCGGCAGAAAGTGGCGCGTGCTTCGAATACTGAGACTCGGGCATCGAGAAATTCATGAGTCCAGCGCATGTTGATACCGGTGTTCACCTCACAAATCAGGCGCGAAGACGGCGCAGATATCTGTGTAGCTAGATTAATTGCGCATCTGGGAGAGTGGCCCAAGAGCTTGAGATAAGAAGAGGTGTCAAAAGGTCAATCCCCTGCTGTGAAATGTCGCACAATTCCAATGTTAAATGAGAAAGCTGCTTCTGTCAATGCGTATGGCTGCCCCGCCGGCCGTGTAACCTGCGACGGGGTGTTTAGTCTCAGGGTTATCTTCTGCAAAATGAATCTGTTCGTGCGCTACCCTTGGTGCAAATATTCCCGTTAAGATGGACAGGTGGACAAGCGAGATGTCCAGTAACCCACCGGGCGAGAATAGGGGACAAGGTCAACATCAACCCGGTCAAGTTCGTTTCGCTTGACTAGAACATGACGTCGAATTGTCTCCTTTTTCCACGAAAGACCCAACATTCGAAAAGGAGCATCAAGAACATTTCTCCCTCAACCTGCACCGACAAAAGGAAAAGAGGAGGGAACAAGCTTCGTTGCTACAGAAAAAAGAAACCACACAACATAGGGTGCTGACTGCCCAATCCTGCCCCGAGGCTCCAGCGATCCTCCTCTAGCCCCCGACGCCTATGCCGCCGCCGCCGCAACAGCCCACGCGACCTTTTGAGTTTCGGGGTGCCAGAGACTCACTGTGGGTGACTGGCTGCGCTGCTGAAGCTTGGAGATCTGGAGCGCGCCCGCTGAGGCAGCTCGGCAGGTGAAGGAATGGGCGATTACAATGCCTCTGCGTCTGCGAGCCCGTCCACCTCCGGCTTCAACTACACTCTTCAAGGACTGCCCTACAGCGAAACCCGAGCATCCAAACCTCCCATCCCGGTCACGCGCTCAATCTCCTCGTTACATCGACTCGCAGACTTGGAACCAGACAAGCCGCAAAATTCTCCGCTGACAGGGGACACCGCGTCCATCTCCTCCAATAAGAGATACAACCCACACCCGTCGCAGCAAGATGGAGACGGACCTCGTACCCAAATTGCAGACTCAATCTCCGCAAGAGAAAGTCAGACAAGCACCACGCTGAGCCTCAATACAAGAACTCCCACGGTATCCAGCTTGACCTCGGCGACCCTGAGCATTCCTCAGATCCGAGTGAACGAGACTGCGTTCCGAGACTCGCTTGCGGACCGCAGCAGCAACATCAGCACATCCGAGAGTGGGAGATGGTTATCACTGGGACCGTCGCGGTCGAGTTCTGCTGCATCCTTCAAAGAGACAGGCAAAGATACACTGGGCACGTCCCCGGGATTCAATGGTCTATCCTTGGACATCAGCCTTCCTACAACCGGATTCGGCGAAGAACTACTGCCCACAACCAACATAGAATTCTCCAAGAGAGGGAGTATGCTCATTGATGGGAGGAGAGTCAACCAGTCCAACCGCAAAAGCTCACCGAACCTTGCTCCGATCATGGACGAAGAAAAAAAGACCAACGGAGAGCCCGGGCTCCCAGGCGCCTCCAGTAGCGACCAACAATGCGCACCCGCAGCCGTGACGAGGACTCCAAGTGCCCGCCCCTCGGGCAAGATCCTCTCCGCCGACGAAGAACTCCTGTCTGAAAAGGTCCGCGCATTCTACGCTGCAGGGACGGATGGTCAACAAGACACAGAGTCCAACGTCAATCTGGCCGTGCGAATGGGAGCTCGATGGCAGTCGACTTTGGGGGCCGATGCAGGCAGTGTCAGCAATCCATCCCTTTCGCGCGCCACTTCCACCACAGATATCCACGAAGAAGCCAACAACTCGAGGCAGCCAAGTATGGCAACATCTGCCTCGCATTCTTATATGGTTCCAGAGCGCGAGGAGAACGAGCTTGCCGGCGGCTTAGAGGACTGGAAGGACATCAATAATGCAGATGTGGACCGCTACGGCTTTATCATCGCCAAGGCCCCTTCCACTACTGTTGATGGTACCGACGAATCCAAGGCGCAACGTCTTACCCGGGTATCAACAAGCTTACAGCTGGCGAGCGAGACGCCCCGAAGGAAAAACACTCTGCGCCGCACTCCCAGCAGTGCACACGGATCTCTGCGGTCGTTGCAGAGCAAACATACCACCCCCGAGAACACTCCACCTCGTCCTGTGAGTTCTCAAAGTGCCTATGCGCGCCCACAACGTCGAAGCGCCTCTACCAGAATTCCGATACCAGGCTCGAAAAACCGTCGCCTGATGGACTCGGCAATGGATATGCTCACGCTGCCAAACTCCGCACAATCAGTGGTAGAGAACGGACACGTGCACATTGATAACGCGCGGGCGCGGCGGAAAGAGCTCGAGCGTGAGGCGAAATGGCGGCGAATGGCAAAGGCAAAAACTCCTTCAAAGGACCCCGAGACCGGTAAACCACTGGTGGGCGCCGGCTCGGAAAGCGAATATACTTTTGACACCACAAATCCAAAACTCGTCGAGCGGACGTGGAAAGGCATCCCTGACAAGTGGCGCGCAACAGCGTGGCACAGTTTTCTCAGTGCATCAGCCTCGAAGCGGAAAAATTACCTCAGTGACGCCGACTTGACCTCGCTATTTCATTCTTACCAGGATCAAGCAAGCCCGGATGATGTGCAAATCGACCTGGACGTGCCGCGGACGATATCTTCACACATCATGTTTAGGAGAAGATATAGAGGCGGCCAAAGGCTATTGTTCCGCGTTCTGCACGCCATGTCGCTGCACATCCCTTCAACGGGATACGTTCAGGGCATGGCAGCCCTTGCGGTGACCTTGTTGGCATATTACGATGAAGAAAAGGCCTTTGTAATGCTCGTGCGCATGTGGGAATTGCGCGGCTTGGGCGAATTGTACAAATCCGGCTTTGGCGGGTTGATGGCTGCCTTGGATGATTTTGAAAAGGGATGGTTGGATCAGGGTGAAGTGGCGAGGAAATTAGAGTCGCTGAACATCGGGCCCACGGCGTACGGGACAAGGTGGTATTTGACATTGTTCAACTATGCCATCCCATTCCCGGCGCAGTTGAGGGTGTGGGATGTCTTCATGTTGCTGGGTGACGATACCACGGCCACAGCCACAGACTCCTCCTTGACAACTGCTCCAAACCCCGGTACATCGTCATCGAAAGACAACCCTGAGGGGGTTTCATTCGGGACGACCTTGGACGTCCTCCACGCCGCCTCTGCAGCGCTCATCGACGGCATGCGCGACATTTTGCTTGAATCAGATTTTGAAAACGCAATGAAAGTCATGACCAGCTGGATCCCCATTCAGGATGAGGATCTCTTCATGCGCATCGCGCGGGCAGAGTGGAAGATCCACAGTGCAAAGATCAAGGCGCGGTGAAAACGAAACGGAAAAGGAAAAGTCCAAGGATGGAAGGGAAGGGAGGGGGTCTAAAAATCGGTAGCCGAAAAAAATACCTAGGTATGAACATATAATGGAAATGTGTATCTTGATTTTGGACCTGTAGAGGCGAAGACCGAAGATCAGATCGACACCGAGACGTACGCACGTCCTTTGACCCCATCTGCTCGTGTCGAATATCACGAAGGAAAATTATTTACACCTAGTTATCGTCGATAAACGAGGTTCCTTTGGTTCTCATCCATCGTCCATTCCTCCTTGTGCGCCGATTGTCACCATCCAATCTCCTCTACTTCCCATTCGGTCTCTCGTCCTATTCTGCAGGGCAACTTCGGCCGCCACAAGATCAGATCTGTATCTCCATGAGTGACAAAGGGCAGAAGCAAGGCTAAGGTTGTCTGTCAAGAAAGATAGGCTGGTGGGCTATCTATGTATGAGCAGGAAAACTCGAGCCTCTGGGAAAGGAACGAGTCCCAAGTCGAAAGAGGGGGGGTAAGGCTTCCGTGTTTCCTGCAGGTGGTTCTCACGTCGTTCGGGCTTTGGGTCCAGATGAGCATGAGTTTGTAGGTGAATAATTACTGCTCTATTGGGTTCTGCGGTAGGTGTGGTCTTGTTATTCTTTTTGGTCTTGTGGGTTGATACGGGAGCAGTACCTGCTACATATTAGGTAGGTAGGTAGGTAGGTAGGTAGGTAGATACTCTTCGTTCTCCGTATGGATAGGTAGTTCACTGACCGGATGGCTCTTTGCTCGCCTGTCCGTTCTGTTGTGTCTATTATCGATATCATGTCGGTTCTCACTTGTGCAGACTCCAAGACCAAAAAGATAGGTGGTGTGTGGATATACATAGTATAACATGGTCGAATCTGAAAAGGTCACCGTCTACGGAAGTGCCGCCGGGGGTTTCTGTCCCCTCTTGTGAATATGAATATATACATACCTAGGTATATGTATATATATATACGTACATACACACATATCTGCTTGCTAGCCCACCCGTCCAAAACAGGCTACGGCTGGTAGGTGACGGGTAGAAATTGTGAGAAGAGGACCTCGTATGCATAGATGACCCCCAACCCCTCCAACTGTTTCTGCCCATCGTCTTTTCGTCTTCTTCTCCTTTGTATCGTGACGTCGGGAAGCCGGGTCTGTCAAGGCTACAACTCTATATTGCTGTGGCTAAGACCTTTCGAGCTTTGTCCTCAGATCAGGGCAGCAGAAGTAGCAGGAAACGTCTTGCGGCGCCCTGTCAATGCTTACTGCCTGGCACCCACCTGGTATGCTCCGGACGGAGACGGTCCACGGATAGAAGAGATGTATGAAAAGGCGGCCATACTCAGCAAAAGATGAGATGAAAAGGTAAGATAAGCAACGACCGGTCAAAGAGTCCTTCATATTTGCCGTGGAAGGGCACGACAATCAACTGAACTCAGCGTGACCATGTTGCAGAGTGGCTAATACCATTCTCACATGTTGCTGCGTCTCAGCCCGACGACACCATGTCATGCATTTCGCGGACGAACAAGCCTCTGGCTATCTTACCATCGGAGGTTCCAAAGCACTCGGCGGCTGATGGCAATTGTCGGCTGTCAGACCTTGCTGAAAATGAAGAGGTCCTTGTCTGCCCCCTGTCTGCGCTGAGAAAGGACCACCAACGCCCCATTGCCTATGTGTCTAAGCTTGTGGATTGCACCCGGGCTGCTTTTCACAATCTACGCCATCCTCCTCCCGTAGACAAGTCCACCAAACTGGAGCGAGACGACTGCATGATGGGCGTATAGGTGTTTCGTAACGGCTCAGAAGAAGAAACCTTTATGCAAAGGGCAGCCAGCCACCTGAGGGCGACAAGTACTCCGCAGCTGCGAGCCACCCGATGTATTGCTCCCTCACCAGTCTCGCCGAATTGGATTTATCTCCAGAGAGCAGCACTTGCAGACTCGAATCGTGGAGGCTTGGAGGCGGTCTGAGACAACAGCTCGGCTCGGTGAGCGCTCCATCCAAATTCTAGTGCTGATTAGACTCACATCAGGCAATATTTGGTAACGAAGCAGTCGAGTCTTCTGAATGCACCTTGACGACAACGAGGCTGCATCATGGCTGCGATATTGCGAGCCAGCATTGCCACAGTCCACCACCTGTTCAACATGTCATGGGCCAAGAGATTTTGGTAAATCATTGACTCCTCCCAGTGTACCGAGTACTCGGTACGAGGACTGGGCAATGCACACCATGGAATCGTCTGTCATCCTTGCCTCGCTTAAGAGATTGGAACAAGCCATCTTGGGACCGACCATCCATCTTTGCCTCAGAGCACCAACGCTGAGCCGGACATTTGCGAAAGGACTCAGTGCTGTGCAGTAGGCTTGGGGCTGGCATCAGAGTTGTTGATTTACGTACATCAACTTCCCAATTGGCCACGATTGACAACCTTCCTCGCGGGAAAACGGTGCGTTTGATCGACCGAGCCAGGTCACAGGTGAAATGAGAGCAAGCGAGACGCATGCTGCAGATCCCTTCAAGGACCCATCGATCAAGCCCAAAGAGAGTGATTCTTTGCGCCTCCAATTAAAGAAGCGCGATGATTAAGCAAAGATAATATCCCCAGTGTGGCAGGAGAGATGTACCAAGATGCAAGCCACTGACTACTCCATCCTCGTGGGGAGAGACAAAATCAATGATGTTTGATCTACGCGATTGTGAAGCTGTGGTTGGTTGGTACTTTCGCAGGTGCACAAAGTATGGATACTGGTAATGTCAGTAGATTCGGTACATATTTCGTGACTCTGCGCGGAGGGCATCCAGCGACTGCTTCGTCCTCAGCTCGGTAGGCCATATTCGGGCATTGGAGGCGACATATTCGGCACTGGATTGGATGGCTAAATAAGCCAATGCGGGAGAATGTCCCAATCTGGAGGGCCTTACAGCCTGAATAGGGTCACCTCCGTCGTTGTCATGCTTTGAGGCGCGGAACACCAAAAGTCCGGAAGCATTCCTCAGGGGTCCAAGGGTCTTTGCATGGTGGGTGGAAATGGTGAAGTCAGTGGCTTGTTGCTGATGAATGCTCGTCCTGGGTCGGCACGTCCTGCAATACCAGGTATCTTGAAAACTGATCTGTGGCTTGAGGCTGCAGCCACTGGGATGCAAGAGCGCAGGGATACGAAACTCGTGGCGGAAGCATGTTCTCTCGGCAAGGTGAAACAGTTGGTTCGCTTCGAGAAAAAAAGAAATGATTCACAGCTTTCCTATACCCGAAGCCTTGGAGCCCTATTGCAGGACGATCATCCATCAATGCTTCAGATGGACCGAATAAACCTTCGCGCTCTAAGCCGCCTTCGTCATACGTAGCAGCAGAAAGGCTAGATGTGGTTCTGTACAGCGTAATTGACATGTAGGACAGCACGCTGCAAAGTACTTGATTGAGCACCGCCTTAGCGAGCATGGCAACTTGCGGTTAAGCACCGACATGAAGCAGGCGACACTTGTGTGTTGGGGATGCTCGCAATAACCCGAGCTACTGGTTGGGATGGAAAGTTCACTCCCGGAATCGTTTAGCTGACCGCAGAGCACGACTGATGCCCATTCCGACGAACAAGCGTTCAAATAGGGGGTCAAGACGGCACTGTCGATCCCAGCTCGCTTGCAAATATCGCGTGCTGATATCCCTGCGGCCTCGTGCGACGATCCGTGTTAGAACTAGCATGGCCAAGAGAGAAATAGAGTGTTCCCTTTTTGTATGACAAGTCCAACGGGCATGAGCCCAGCCTACCTGGGATTGGATCTTTAAAACGGTGGCCGATCACACGTACGTCAAGCACGCGGCGCCCGGAGTTTGATGCGCAGATCCTCTCTGCACCATGACCTCTTAGGGTGCAGCCATTGAAGTCAATAACGTGGCAGGGAGGACGATCTTTTGCCTTTTGAGGGTGGCCGGTTTTGGCATGCTTGTCAACAGGGAAAATGCTTGTGGCTTTGCTCGGTCAGACATGACTCGGTCAGGCGGTGATCGTTCTTTCGTCCTGTGTCCGCAGCGGCGGAAGACGGATGTCCGTAGAGTCAACCCGTAGAGGTCGACACATGGAGGCTTCTCAATAGTCAGCTGGCATTATTGAAAGTAAGTTGACTAGGGTGGTCAGAACCAAGTTGCAGGGAGAACTCCTCGCTATCCAAAAATCGCGGCATTTGCGAGCTGTGGCTCACAAAATGTCAAATTGAGCGCAGCGGAGCTCGCCGCGCAGGATTGGCCTGTTCGTCCCTATCGGTCTGTGCTGATCAGTTTTGAACAGTCTAAGTAATCCTAAGCGATGGCCTCGCTTCCAAACGCATCCTCAATCGACGCTCAGACCATCCGTGCTGGAGAATGCCCGTTGTTATTCGCGAATGCAGTGGAAGCCAGGATTGCTCGAAGTAGTTCTATTCGCTTGGAGATTGGAAGGACAAGGCGATCCTCAACTGGTTTGGGACACGATGGAGGTCACTCCAGCACGTATACGGCCTAGACTGGTGTGCATTCTGCCCAAATCGGGCCCGTCAGGGACGGCTCATGACGCCAACTGAGGGTTCTCGAGCCGCGCTGACTTGGCTGGGAGCACCGGGCTTGACCGAATTGATCTCGGTTCTCCAAGTCGTTCGCGGTTATGAGAGTTTAGATTGCGAGGATGGCGGCCTTTAGCTGCTTTGGTGTTTGCATCCGACGTTCTCTCGCCCTGCCCCGTTACAGAAAAGGTCTTAGAAGGCCCGAAAGCCGTCGAAAGTTTGGCTTTTGCACAGTCTTGATTGGGCGCAAGTCTCGAAACTTGGACTGCCGAAATACGAGGGCAGCGTTGCAGCAGACTGGAACAGGGTGCAAACTGGCGTTTATGCCGCGAGGAGCCGATGTTCTGTACCGATCAGAGCAGTTTCCGCACAAGTGACAGGGAATGAAGCAATGGGCAAGAGAGTAGTATCACACCACTTCCATTCCAGCAGTAGCTGACAAAGGTCATACGCAAGAAGCGACGCCCGTCCCAGGCTCTTTGGGGTATGTCATTTCAGCTGGTCAATGCCATCGGAGAATTCTTGCTGCAACGGTGGTGGTGTGTAGGCAGTATGCCGGGCCCCCGATTTGCAACACAAGCGAGGGCCGGGAATGCAGGACGCCTACATTCAGTCCATGCTTTTTCTGGTTGTTGTTTTGTGCCTGCCCGCCCTAAGCAACCAGTTTTTCTGTCATTTCAGGGCTTGTTGCTCGCAACCCATGCCTCTTGTATTGTATTCTATTGGTCTGCGAACAGGGATCGTCCTGGTGTGTCCAGGAAACGCTCCGACTTGCAGTTTACTCGGCCTGAAAATGTCGGGAAAATATGGGTTTTGCCAGGCTTCGGAGTTGCGGCCAAGATGCTATGTACCTAGGGGTATTTTTCATTGTGGCTGTCATATGGTGGTCTGTGGCACAAGGATGATTTTTTCGCGCCTAGGCTTGGGAAAGGTGCAGTCTCTGATCAGAGCTCCTCCACCGAGTGTTTCGCATTTGTGGCCCCTCGAGAGTATCAAGATCCTCATATTTGATTGCAGTGGCACTTGCGCGCAATACAGCCATGCAGTATCTCAAGCGCCGATTTGGGAGGGTAGCCAAGGAGCTGTGGGTGACGGTAAAAGTTTGCTGTCAATGGCGTAGGCGAGCAAGGAAGAGGTAATTACCGCTTTGGCACTGTTGAGTCTTAGAAGGGTAGCCGGTGTCAGGGTGAATACCTAGGTACTCATGACTGAAGCCGTTTACGGTTGGTGGAATCATTCGCCTGTCCGCCCCAGTCAGCAAAGCGGTTTCCACAACTAGCGAGACAAGCAAGCAAATCAAGTGCTGATTATTATTGTTTTTGCATGCGTTTGTCACGGCCCTGAATGAACCACTTTCTTGGGGCAGGGCAATGTACCTTGTAGGTACACTCTTCAGTTTTGAGATATGTCAAGGGATCATGGGGTCGGGTATTGTTCTCGGAGTGAATCGAAAGGAGTCCTTCGGAAAGCCACCTGGATGTTGCACCGAAGAAGCCCAAGACGTCAAGGTGGAATTAGGATAGGTCATGATCGACATAAAGAGCGCGTGGCTGCAAGGGGAGGCATGTTCGTTCATGGAGGGCCGCATGGCAAGCACGTTTGCGGGCGGCGGCTACGGCAACGTGGTTTTTGGCCGCAGGGATGGCAGCTTTGGTGGGCTGGTGGGGAGTGCCCCCATTCCCCCAACGGCTAGTTAAAACCTATAACGGGGAAGTACCTGGGTGATCATGACGGGCATCCAAAAGACCCCTCGGCTAAGTACAACACATTTTGATCGCAGGCTCCCACAGGGGTTGCGCTACCTGGCGAGCTGGGTAAAGGGCATAGCACCCTGCTTTTATGGGGGGTCCTGCTGAGCTCTCACCGGACCCTCTAGGCATGGGAAGATCCCTCCTTTTGCCAGGTATTGGGGCATCAAGATAGTCTCCGGCACAGCCACCATAAGCCCGGATGGACTCCCGGCTCTCCATAACCCGCAGCTGGTTAGGCAGAGATTCCTTATTATTCGTGCTACTAGGGAGGCATGGGGGACTACCTACCTAGGTTCAGCGTTGCTAAGCAGTCGGTGTCAACCGCCGACAAGCAACACACCGTGACAGGGGGCCCGCAAGGGGGGTGACATTGCCACGAGGCAAAGACGCAATCCTCGTGGGACGATCAGTTGTCGGAGTCATTCTGTACAGTGTCATCTTGGAGAGCGCAAAGCAGAGGCGGTCACCAATTCTTTCAACGGACTTTGCTCCATTCAATATCATGCAGTATCCCTTCCCTCCTTGGCTGTTCTCTAAAGGGTCCGACCCCATCAGCAGAAGGCGGCTGAGGATGGGAGAAAAGGCCTTGCCGTGAGCCGAAAGGCAGCTTCACCGGAAAAACAAAAGCAGGGGAAAGGGCTTCTCGAAGCAGGCAGATCTGGAAATCGAGAAAGACCGATCTGAGATGGAAGGAGGAGAGAGAATGGAGGAAAGAGATGACAACTGTGGCGGCAAGTGGCACGGATGGTTGGTTGAATCATGAATGGCCTTTTGCAGCGTTGGAAGAGGAGAAGGAGAATTTGGAGGCGTGCGAAACACACACCGCACACCGGCAGCACTAGAGGTACGTACCAGTCAAACAGGACATAGCTAGGTAGCTATTGGGAAGGTAGCTCTCATGCTACGTAAAACTGCCGTGTTGTATACGAGCTGTGTCCAATTGCTGGGATCCGGACATCAAGTTTGTGGCAGACGGACTACCAGTCTACCACGACCTGAGGTGGCACAATACCTCCTCGTACGTAGCAGCAGATCTTGTTACGGGCCTGATCCCTGCGCCTCGCCTTTGCCTTCTTTCCCTCTTCTCTTTTCCTACTCGTTTCTCGTTTCTCGACCCAGACCGAACAAGAAGCCTTAAGGGCCCATATCCCGGACCTTGCTGCTGACCCTACTCATTGCCCAAGCTCCAAGCTCGCTGCTACTACTACTCCCTTGCTCCCTGCTCCCTGCTCCCTGCTCGTCCTCCCTGCGCCCTTGTTCCAACTCTCATGCTGCCCACCGGTCTGCCTTACCCAACACGGCAAGACTCCATTCTTGTAACTTTGCCTTCCCCTCCGAACTGTGGCTACTATTTCTCTTTGGGAAACTCACTCGCTGCTCCTCTAAAGCGTCTCCCTGCTGAGCCACCATTTTCTTTCCCTCTCACCTTTCAAAGTATGTCTGGCAATAGCTGGCCGTTTCCAGACCGACTAAACAATGCTAGTTAGTTGGCCTCGAGGGCAGGAATACCATCAACGAGCCGCCCAATACCAGTCCTCGTACGCTTCTCCTACACCCTCTGTCTCCCCATCTTGCTCGAGCCCGCCTCATTTCCCAAACCCTTTCATACCTGGCTTGCTACAATCTATTCGTCCCTCTCAGTCCCGCCTCTTCCACTTTGATACGCCACTCCATCCTTCCAGCACAGATCCCGGTTCGTCACCTCAACCTTTCTCTAGCCTCCTCCTCTCTCTCCTCCCCCCCTCTCCTCTCCCCAAGAGGGTCTCCATCCGCTTGATGCCTTTCGTAACGCCGCATTGGCAACCCTCCGAAAAAGCTCGCACCCGGCCCTATCATCAGCCCAAAAGGGCCGTCTCTTCTCATTCTTGTGTATCAGAGACTCCCTATCCTGTCGCTTTCGAACGGACCCTTACCTCGGACTGACCTCACCCCTTCCACATCGCTTAACCTCTATTATTTCTCCGGTCCAGTCGGTTTTTGTTGTTCAACTTTTGGATTCAGGAACAGACCCTTGTTCTGATTTCGGAGACCCTTTGCACTGTTGTATACCTCTGTCAGTTCTGGTCTAGTCTGGTCCCTGCTGCGGTCGGTTGATGCAAAAGATTCCACTCCAAACTCTTTGTCTGCTCCAGCAACAACGTAACCTCTTGTCCATCATCGAACTCTAGTCTGGCTTCTGACACCTGCGTCTGTCCTCGTCAACCAAGTTTCTCCAATTACTAGTCGACAGGGCTCATGTCACTCTGGGGTTCAGGCGAAGAGCCCCAATTTCAACACCCTGGTAGACCGGATCCATCCACTACTTCCACCCCATAACTACTTGGACTTTCTCACTGTGCACAATTTGGACAGCCTCTGATCTAGAGAGTGCCACTACCGCCAATCCACGATTTTGTGGCTGCACGTCATTGCCGGTTTTCCTCAGTCAACGCTGTTTCCGACAGATATACAAATTTCAGCTCCCCCCAGGGTGTGGACCAGACCAAAAGCACGAGCACTAGCAGTCTTGCTCTTGTCCTGCATGTCCGACAGCATACCACTCCGTTGCTCGAACAGACCACCACTCGACAACCGCCTCCATGTTATTATCACTGGCCCCTCCTAACCACATGCAGCAGAACGACGTAAAACCCCCCCATGACTATCCAATCTACCCTAAACCGACACCTTCGCGAATCTCACCTCCACCGTCTCCTCGCAACTTACCTCCATTCCTAGAGGACTCGAGGATGAACAACTCTCACCGAGGGTTGCCACCATTACCTGCTGGTCTCCCTGGTACTCTCAGTCTTCCCCCTCCAGAACGAGGGCATTCTACTGCTCCTCCACTCGGCCACCTCCCAGCTCCGCCTTCTCAGTGGGCTGGCCAGGATGAGTCGATGCGAAGCTGGCTCCATGCAAAGGCTGAGGAAGATCGCCGGAAGCAAGAGGAGGAGAAGACCCGGCAGGAAGGTCTGCGACTCGACCAAAGACGCATTGAGCAGGATATGTTGCGAGAATCTCTTCAAGGAGGGATCCCTCCTCCGATGGTCCCTCTGATTTTTGCGGGCATTGGTGGAGGGAACCTTCCTGCTCACACCTTGGAGTGGGCGCAACAGTATCTAGCAAGTTTGACGATCCAGAACCAGCAACAACAACAACAGATTCAAGCCCAGCAGCAGCAAATCCACCAGCAGCAACTACAACAACAGCAGCAGCAGCAGCAGCAGCAGATGTCGCCAGATATTCACCGAGATCGAATTATCCAGTCAAATCCCTATGCAGGCCATCAACTACAGGCACCACCACCACTTCCCCAAGCACCTGCAAATGTACAAGCCGGTCAGGGTCGCAGTTCTATATCTGGGCCAGCAACAGCTCCTCCTCCCGCACTCTCACGTCTCAACACCACCGATTTCATCCCAGGTTCGTTAGCAGGCCAGAGCGGCCGACAGCCCGTACATACGATGCAACAAGCGCAGACTCCTGCAGCTGAGCAACCGTCTGGACCAGGTCTATTTTTCCATCACTGGACGCCGCCAAACCCGTCCTCTTCCTCTGCGGGAAACCAGCCTCCGACACCCTCAGGCAAAAGCACGCACGGGTCGCCATTCTCACAGCACGCAGGATCACATCTACGGTCGGAATACCAAAACTCCCCGAAGAAACGGAAGACAGCAGGTGGGCATGCCGTGCCCGTGCCCCCTACCTCACAGCCGTCGGATCTATCACAGCCCATGTCGTCTCGGTCGTCCAGAGAACGAGAAATGAGCCCAGGTCATCGAAACAGGGCGATGCGGCATTCACGGCAAAACAGTGATGCCTCATCCCGCGAACACGAGTTGGGCAGTCGCAACATTGCTCGACCGAGCAGTCGTCAACAGCGCAGGGATGAGCTCAGCGGCGGAGCGGGGTCCAGCCCAAGAAGGAAATTAACGGGCTCCTCTACGAGTGGATCGAGCGAAGACAGTAATCCTGCTCGGTATGAGGGGTTAAAGTCTGAAACACGGTAATAATACGAGCCACCTTGGCAGAGTCGGAGATGAAGCGACCGACTCGGGGACAGCATATTGACATGGCATTTTCAAGCTGAAGGAAGTGAATTTTTCCACCAGGGTGACGATGACGAGCACACATCCACATTTTCGGGCTCTAATTATGATTGCGCACTGTTTGTGCGCACGTCGAATGCCGGGTCTTCGCCGACAGAGGTGATAATAAAGAATACCAGTTTGAGAATATACCTTGCAGCTTCCAGCTTCCACAGCCACCTCGCCTGTGGCTGAGCTGCGGGCTCAAATCTGCTCATCCACCAGGACGCCGCTACCTGCACAGTGATCAGACCACAGCGCCATCAGCAGCTCCTAGGCAACCAGCAGATAGGCCGCACCATGTTGCGAAATGTCATTCCAGGCTTGCGAAATCCTTCATCTCCAAGTTTGACCTTGCTCTCGGGAGGCGACAACCTAGCTGGCCGTTTAATGTCGCTTAAGGCGCTTGAGGCGCTGGGCGGGATGTGAGCACAGATTTGGTGGAGACTGGAGGTCGATTCGGGGCGCGACCAAATCTGGGAAGATGCTGCCCAAGTGGGCGAGGTCAGGCGGAGAGGAAGGCCCAAGAAGGGTTCTGGGTGATTTGACGCCGAGTGATTGGGGGTTGTGATGGGGTACAACAGGAATGATGAGCATGGCATAAGCGAGAGGAAGCGAGATGGAGGAGACGGAATGTGTTTCGAGGAAATGGCGCATCCTTTCGGAAGTTGCACCGGCGACGACATGATTACGAGTGATTGCTAGCAAGATTGGCAGACGGTGCAAGGTATCGAGGCTGAAAATCGAGCCAGCACTCGTGTCATAGTATGTCACCAGTGGGTGCCAGTGGCATGGCATTTGGTGTATGGAGCAGCGGGGAGCTCCACAGGGGATTTCGGTGCATCACTGATCAAGCCACATGGAAACGCCTGCCACGGCGCACGGACACGCGCCATGACGGATTGGGCGACTTGAAACACGATATTTTGACGATTTTGATGACACCAGATAGAACAGGGCAGGCAATTTGGGCGACTCGTGTCTAGACCTGGAGTTAGTTGGATTGGATCAGCCGAGCTGCAACAAGGACAGGACCTTAGTGCCAGCTGTTGTGATTGCGCGTCGGGCCGCATTTTTGAAATGGCTCAAAGGATGGTCAGGGCGTCGAGGATGTCAGGATGTCAAGTGGATACAGAGGGAGCGACTGTGGCCACCTCGAGCCAGAGTGAAAAAGCCAGAGCCGTGGTCAAAGCAAAAGGGCGCACAAAGAGCGAGATACAAGGAGATTCGGCGAATATTTCAAGGCTCATTGCGGGAATAAAACTGAGAGTGATGAAATCAAGATGAACCGTAGTTTCCTGTGAAGCATGAGGAACTCGGGACTCGGTAGTGATGGCAGCATTCTTGCGCACCAGCTGAAACATGGTCAGTGGGTGTTTCAAGTTGGGTGGAGAGCAGAGTACCGAGTAGGTACCTACTGAGTAAACAACAACAATGGGTCCCGAGGTCTCTGGCGCGCGTGGTACTTTTGGTGCCCCGGGTCACTACTGGTGGTGGTAGGGGCATAGTGGGCCTTAGCTTCAGTGGCCAGGTGCTCAAGGACCGTCAAGGTAGGAGCAACTTCGGAGACCGGGAAGCCAGCTCGTTTCATCTGGCGAGCTACTAATTTGTAGTGTACCTCGTAATTTGCTGAGGGACACACACACACCCAGGTACCTAGTACCTACTACCTAGGTACACACCGAGGTAGCTAAATTTCCCATATCCACCTCAGCTACACCTGACATCACCTGAAGCTCATTTTCACTTGACTATCACCTCTTTTCTTTGCGAGGATGGACTAATGACTGTTTGGACTCGACCTACACTTGAGAATCTCACACAATAAACAGTATACTCTGATCAGACCAATAACTCAATATTATCCTCACATACCCACACACGTCCTCGTACCTGTAGATTCACTTCACATATGGTGATAGCAATTCAGCTTAGGAACATATCATCATATCAGGTAGTGTGCACATGCTGGGTGCATGCCACTCTCAATAACTCTGCTTCTCTGCCCTCTCCTCGGTTCCTCCTTCCTTGTTCTTTTCGCTGTCAAGCCACTAATACTCAGAAACTCAACTCAACTCAACTCAGCCACTGGCAGTCGGTGAAACCGAGCTGAAACTTTTCTCCTCTTTGTGCGATTGCTCCCCTCGGCCAGCTGAACTCGCCCACCGCTTTCTTTACACTTTCTCCCAATGTATAATAAGCTTTTCGCAAACTATCAACGCTGTAGCCGCTTATGGAAAGGATGAACAGATGATCCCTTGCTGCTGGTCATCCTGGACTGACTTTGATGGATAGCTTTTGGGTCGCCAGCCAATGGCGAGTCAAAAGTTACACCTCACAAGGACAGGAGAAACCCACTCGCACTCCAACCAACATACAGTACTCTCACAGCCGTCACTCAATGAACCAGCTCGTTCTAACTCACATACGGGCACTCTTGTTTCACGATCTGACCGTCGATATGCGTCTCCTCTGTTCCCCAGTCCAGCCCAGTATAGACAGCCGACCCGACCAGCCAATCATGGACCCCTGCGCTGAACGTCAACTCAACGACCAACACCACCAACTACACTCACACTGGACAAACTGTATGCTACGCCGCTGCACTCTGTCTACATCGTCGAGTGCACTCGAGACGCGTCGTCTCCCAAACAACCCGTCACCCTTTCCAATGCAATGTCTCAATTCCCCGTTTCTACCGTCAGCAAATACTCAACGTCATGTGGTGGATGAGTGGAAGAGCATCGGACCAGCCATATAAGTCTAAGTTTGCGGAACCGAGAATGGATATGCGTATCTGCCATCAACTCTCTCCGATCCATAAATCTTGTTCTCGACAGCTAATACCACCTCTGCGGGCGAAACCTTCTCGAGCTGAAGCTGCTGGCCTGGGCCCATATCATCAGAGACATTACGCCCATGACTCGGCCTCCTTGGTTTACACTGCCTGCTCTGCCGCCTCTTTCCCCAATCGAGGCCTTACATACTTCAGGCTAGAATGCCCTGCGTTTCAGGACAATGTTGCCTTTGAGCAATCCAACATCGTCATCGTTGTCATCGGCATTGATGGGCGTCGATAAACAAAACAAACCACGATGATACCACGAGCCACAAAGAGGGAAATCTCGTGTGCAGATCTCTCAATTGTCGTTGACTTCAGACGAATCATGGCCCTCGACTCTCCTGACGAATAGGAAACCCTCCATTCCTGCTGCAAGGTGCCAGATCCACCTTCCAGAATGTGCCATGGAAGATCTCTAAGAACGAGATCGAGCTATGATGGTGCGCAATCAGCTTGGACAGGTCTGTGTGCCATCACAACCCGGTTTCTGGAAGCGAGAGTCCCTGTCTCCAGCACCGATTGTTTGCACTGTCAAAACGACCCATGATGGGGCCTGTTGTGGCTAGCTGACGGAGCTGAGGATCAGCGGCCGTGGGCCAACCATCTTCTCTGTACCACCCGCTCCCTGTGCCGTTACAACGATGCAAGCAATTGGGGACGCTTGATTGGTGCACGGGCCACCAGGCTGTCTCTCTCAGGGGTCACACGGTTGCGTTGCTTGACGTGATCGGGCGATGAAAGCGGAGTTTCTTTGGCGACTTGTGCTAGAAGTAAACGGGCAGCAACTCCACCCGTATCCAATGATCGAAGGCACCAGTTCTGGCGTTATTTGGGCGAGAATTGCTTTACGAAATGGAGCTTGGACCGAATCTTGTTGGGTCACCCAGCTCCAGTGGATGACTGCCGAGAACAACCCTTCAGCACCAGCCACATTAACGACTTGAGGCTGAAGGATCCTCCTTTCTCAACATACAGAGTAAGTCGTTGGGCGATCGCCCCATCATCCGCCTCATTCTTCCCTTCTTCCATTCCTCCGGTAAGCCGCCGTCTCCTCCGTGTGCCGCTGCACAATCTGTCTTTCTGACTTGGGCTTTTCACGTCTCTTCATTCCCCCTACTGCGGTCGATGTTCCCGAGGCGACACCCCGGACTCTCTCTTCACTTGATGTGGGAATGTCCGTTCAACAGTGGCAACGCCGGTTGAGGCTGGCACGTCCTGACTGCCTTTCCAAATCACGCTCGAACCTCAAGTCTGGTGGCGCACTGAGCTTGAACCTTAAGGAACGTTCACCAGACTCTGATCAGCAGAATAGTCGTTTCCTTTTCGTCGACCTCTCTTCTACCTCGCCGCCCCTTCCTACGCGCGGTCGCACGACTCGGGCACAATGTCCGCGGTCACCTTTCAAATTGCGTCGAGCGGCGCTCGAAGATGGCTAAATGTCGCGTGGTGCCCGCGCCCGCGATGCCCACGGATTAGAGCGCCCTCATCCACACAAACTCGCGACTGTCTCGAGCTGCAGATGAACAATGTCGCGGTAGAATTCATGCCTCTCTCACACTGGCTGAGGGGTGATTGCATGCAGCAACTCTCGCAGCGGGCACAATGTTGAACAATTTGACTCTGCCAAATACTCATCCTGTGCGCAGGTAGGGCTGAGCACCATCCAGGTTGTCTGCAATTTTTGGTCCATCAAAGAACCAAGTGCAGCTTTCAGGTTTGAAGGCCCTGCGCAGACACGTTGCAGTGGCGTCTTCTCCAGTTGCAGAACCGCCATGTTTGGTGTCTAAGCCTTTCCCACTGGGTTTACGCACTCAGCCCGCCAAGCCAGAAAGCGTTCAGCTCTTCTGAATTGCTTGCGTAGCGAAACTTGCAACTACGACTAGCTGAAGCGATTGCGCTTGGCTTCAAGCGATAGGACATCACATTCTACTGTCGTTCGGGGATCCGAGCTTTCCTGTGTGCTCCTTGGTTTGCCCTCTGGGCTACTTGTTCCGTCTGCACCACGGAAGTCGCATGGGCGAAATACCCATACGGTCAGGTCGTCTCCACTAGCTGAGCGATTATGAGTCGGAATCTTCTGTCTGACTTTCAGCGAGTCGCACGGTGCACACCTGAGCCTCAACCTCATATTGTTTCGTATATCTGCCGCTGATTGGCGGGCCGAGCCAGGCTTCAGCCGCAAGCCTCCAGCTGGGTTTTCGCCCCCAACCTTGGAACTACAGCCCAGTCTTCTCGCTGCCCACCGTCCATAACGTTTTTTTGACTTTCGCATGGATTTTGCCTGGTTTTCTTCAGCCACAGATCTCCTGGCAATGACTGACGACTGCAAGGGCAAACATGAACTAACACAGATATTACTATATCGCAAAAGAAAGCTGATCAATTGCTGCTCAAGCTAAGGTCACGTTGCTGGTATGAGCGCCACACAATCTTCCCCGCCAGTCGAGGGTCGGACCTTGCGCTTTAATTTTGTCGAGGATGACCACCTATCCCACTTCCGGGCCAGCCTACAATGATGCTAGGACTAGGACTTCCCTGACATCTCAGCAGGGCATACGTAGAGCCTGTGAGTTTGGGAAACAATCCAATGCCGGAATCACAAGCCTAGCTTCAAAGCACCCTTACGAGCCTCTCCCAGAGTTCTTTGACGAAGGCCGACTGTCTGGAATGGAGTCACAACGCGGTCTATGCGACTCTGGATGCTCTCCAAAGTTTTCGCCCGCAAATAGCAAATACCTAGCAGTGGAAACCTAAACTTGACTCGTTTTCGTCCCGCGCATATGAGCTCTAAGGGTGTATGGTATGTATGTGTGTTTATTTGTTGATATGTACTCGGTACGTCGTCATCAAGGCCCGGTATGACCGTATAATTATCCCCAGAAAAAACGCGCAGAAGAAAGAAGAAGACGACAACGCCTTGTAAAATGCAGTGCAGTAATCTCGCCTCTCGCTTCTCCCCTAATCCGCTTAACGTGGATAGCGAGATAAATAGGGAAAGATATAGGATTGGATAGAATTAGGATAGAACCGAATGGAGAGAGAGGACACGATAGCAGTCCCCTCTGGTTCAAAAAGAGGAATGGTGCGCACATTATTGAAAAGCATCACCCCCAATTTTTCTGCTGTAGAAAAGGTCTGCCTCTCTCTCTCTGTCGGGAGCTTTGTTGGTTGACAAAGTCAGCCGAGCAGGGTCTTCAGATTCGCCAGAGCGGCCTCCAGCAGCTTGGGGGCGTAGCCCTGGCTTTTGGCTGCGTCGATGAGCTCGTCGAGCTGGGCCACGACGTCACTGCTCCCGAACTTGTCGCGCGCGTATTTGCGGAACGCGGCCTCGATGCCGCTGCCGCTGCCACTGCCAGAGTCCTCGTCGAACGCGCGCGGGATGACTTCTGAAAAGACGGTGCTGCCGCCCGCGGCGCCCGCGATGATGTTGAACCACTGCTTCTTCTGCTCCGGGCGCATCAGGTCCAAGGCCCGCGCGAACTGGGTCGTCTCGTACGCCGAGACCAGGTGGATCACGGCGTGCGCGGTGGCCAGCGTGCGAATGATGCGCTTCTGCTGCTCCGGCTCGCTCGCCGCGCCGACCGGGTTCCCCGCCCGTTGCACCACCAGGTCCGCCCGGTCCGAGTCGAAGCCCAGATAGTACTGCGCGATGCAGCTGTCGTCGGCGGCGGCGTGGGTCTTCATCACCTGCGTGATGACCCCGCTGGCCGCGTTGAGCAGCGGCAGGTCGACGCTCAGCCGCACCTCCTCGTCGCGGATGATGCCCACGTCCTTGTTGATGATGGCGGTCGCGGAGGCCATGGGCGGCGACGCGCTCAGCATGCGTGGGCCGCGGTTCTCGAACATCCAGCTCCAACCCAGCGGCATCTTGCCCGTCGAGACCTCCTTGGTGGTCAGCACATCGTAAAATTTCTGCGTGTCGACGCCATTGATCGCCGCCAGCCCCATGATCTCCGAGGCCGAGGGGATGTGGATCCCGCACATGACCTGGTTCAGTGCTTTCGCCGACTGGCCCGCGCCCAGGCCGCCGGGGACGGGGAAGAGCGTCTTGCCCTTGCTGGCGACGTTCTCGAGCACCGTCTTCGCGTTGGGTTCCTGGAGGTTCTTCATGTCGTCCGAAGATACCATGATCGTCAACGTGCCATTGATGGATCTCGCCACGCCACCGGACACGGGAGCGTCGATCAACCGCACATCCGGACGGTTGAATTCGCTCGTCAACCGCTCACGTACGGTCGATGGCTGTGTTGGGGGGATCGTCGCGTGGATGATGACCGTGCAGCCCTTGGGGAGGGCATGGACCGCTCCGTTATCGTCGAACAAGGCGGAGTGGACGTGGTGATGGTTCGCCACCATCAGACACACGACCGCAGCGTTTCTGACCGCCTCTGCAGGTGAGCTGGCCGTCTTGGCGCGAGACTCGGGGATCTCGTCGCATGTTGCCGACCAGCGGTCCAGCGTTGGTCCGTAGATGTCAAAACCCGTGACTGGGAAGCCCGTCCGGACCAGGTGCGTTGACATGGCGAAGCCCATCGCCCCAAGACCGATGAAGCCCACTTGGGGGGACTGGTTCGCTGTTGACATGACCGCCATGGCTGCCTGATGGGTGTCTTGATCGTTCTAAAAGGGATTTTGTTTCCCGGACGGGGAACAGGAGACAGATGCTGGATGGCTGCTTCGTCTGATATAGATGACCTTTCAGCGGGTAACTGTCACGCAGATGTCGAGCAGATGAGACAAGGCAAACGCAATGTGCAGAAGGGACGTCAACGAAGGGAGCGACGTCTCAGTATAGAAAGGTAGTCAAGATTGTCGTCAAATAAGTACTTGCCGATACATGTTTCCCGTCGTTGCCCTGCGGTTAAAAGCAATGGCCACCCGGTCTATGTCGGTGCAGAGACCGATGGCAGACAGCGACAAAGGTGGAGATGGTTTGTTGAATTGTGGAGGGTCTTGGAGCAGCATCTCTTTCTGGCTCGGCTCTTGGGGTTGCGGAGAGAGTGGAGGAGGAAAATCCTGAACGAGGCAAAATGCCGGCGGCGTCGCTCGGAGGAAATGCCGCGAAGCCCGGCACGTGACTGTATATCACGTGACACTGTCATTTGATCTGACATTTCTGGGTCTCCTGTCTTTTGAAAGCCGCCCTCCCTCATTGCCTGGCTCGAGACCTTCTCATTCACCAAGCCATCGCTTGCAGCGGCTTCTCTTGCCAAATCCCCAATGCAGAATTCACCGCAGCCACCTAGTCACCAAGGCGCTGCCGAGGCAGAACCTCCAGGAAGTATCTTCCAAAGATGAGGCTTTGCTCTTGCAAGCCACCGCGCCCGGTTTCCCTGTACGGAGACTAGGAAGTGAGGTACTCTCACACCCTCCCAGCTCACTCTGTGTAACGTATCGGGTAAATCCTGCAATGTCCTTCTCACCTCGGGGTACTCGCTTGCACGCCGCGTGACGTGCTTAAGCCACCTCACTCTTAAAGCGTATGCGGCATGTCTTTTCTCCAGGCTCCATTGGCTTGATATTTTCAAGCCTCACTAACCGGACAGCAGTCCCCCTTGTCTGAATAGGCAGACTGTTCAGCACCTTCTGACACGTATTTCAGACCTTTCGCGGGGCAATGTGCAGGACTGCGGAATTGCATCGCTCAGCCTTGCCAGTTTGCCTTTTCGCCCTTGTGGCCTTAGTCGCGCAAGAAGCCAACCAGTCTATAATATGTAGCTGTTTCCCTCAGGCACACTCTCCTTCTGCAATCACTCCTCGTTTCCCTCTTATTGGAACCACAGGAACAAGCAAATACAGTGGATCATTTGACAATAACAATACACCCAAAATGCCTGGCACCAACTCAGGCAAGAAACGGATCTATACTACTAAACCCAAACATGTCACCAGTGGCAAAAAGCACCATGACGACGACGACACTAGGTCACAAAGTGATTACTCCACTGTGACGGCGGCCTCAGGCTACCCTAAAGAGACATACAAATCGCCAAAAGAGGCCCGACGGCACGAAGATGATGACAGGCAAGACTTGCCGACCACCAAAACTCGACCCCAGCTGAGAGAGGTCACGTATCGTCAAATTTCAGAAGCCTTTCGAACGGCAGAACTGCCATCGCTCGGTCGGAGCCTCTCCGCTGTCACTTACATTCCCATATACGAGTATTGTCTGTTGCTACGCAGGCACGGTATTTCGGTAAAGCTTGGTCCGGATGGGCTCGGAGCAATATCTCAGCAAGGCCCTAATGAACCACGGCCAGTGAGCTACAGTCATAATTGCAGCGCCCACAATGCTCCCGTTGATATTCACAACCCATCTGATCAAGAGAAGCAAGCCGTCAGTGAAGCTATCACTTATATCGTCGGATATTGTGGGGGAGAAGTTGACATGCCCGGTTTCGATCCTCAACCTGACCTGCAGTGCAAGCCTTGCTCCAACCCTATCCCTAGCCCGATGCCCAGCCCTGTTCCATTGCGAAGGGGTATGGATGAGCAAAACAACGTACACCGGACCACTTCTCAGAATGTTCACTCTATCCCTAGCCCGGCGACCAGCCCGCGTATGCGAAGGAATGTGAATGAGCACAACAACGGAAACCGCAACTCTCTTCAGAATGGCCATGGATCCCATGCAGGGGCATACCAACCAAATATTCAAGGCGACATTTCCATCGGCCTCGCCAGCGACTACGAAGACGGGCGATCTGAGGTTAAGTGGGCTCAGGGTCACGGTCGATGAGGCAGAGCCATATATCGTTCTGGACTTCTTGGTGTTTGTCCAGGCTCTCGGCTGCTAATGTCTTTTTCTCTTTGTCCGTGCGGGTTTTGTAACAGGCTTCGGGTTATCGCTATGTTTTTGTTGTACATTATTGGCGCCTTAGCTTGACCCCCCGGCTGGCCGACTAGCATTCACACAGGACGTTGAACTAGTCAAGGTGGGTGTGCATCAGCACACCCTTATTGGGGTCGCTTGGTTACGGAAAACATGTCTGTCTCAATATTTTTGATATAATAGAGAACACCTTCTTCTTATATACCCATTCTCAACAATCTGCTTACCTTTGACCAGCTCCTTCAGCCTGATTCTCGATCTCCAGACCCCTGTCGTGTTTAGTACGTTGGGAGAGCAAGGGTGACCCTCGTTGCACTACGTCATCACCACAATCCAACAGACCATCCACATGCCTTTGCACTCCTCCTCATCCATTGCCCTCTTGTCCTTACCCCCAACACCCCCTTTGTCCGTCATTTGACAAGAGTTGATTCGTCCTTTGGGCCACACCATCTTCTCTCTTACCTGGGCTGGCTGTGTAACCACACATACCTATCTTGAAACCGAGGTGACGTACCAGCCACAGCCCGGATGCCTACCGTGCCACATGCCTCTCTTTCGCGCATGATGGCATCATAAGGTCTAAGTCCTTCCTACACGCATGCTCGCCCTCGTTAAAAAACCCAATCTAGAGCCTGATGTGCTTCTGACTTAGTTGGTATTACCCACTCAAGCATCAAGTTAAACAGCTTCCCACAATCTCTAGCCCGCTTATATTTGTGTGCCAGCAACAGGCGATTACAACACCGCTACATCAGCTCTGCAACCCGCTACTGCACACTATACACCATGGAAGGCGCAAAGAACTGGTACAACAAGCAATACGAGTCCTGGGTGCCGTGGATTGAAGACAAAGTCCTCGGCTGGTTCGGCGAGAACAAGACCAGCTACGTCGCCAAAGGTATGAAATTAGCAGGAATCCAATAGCCCGCTAGCAACAGGCTTGGATGTGGCCATTTTGCTAACGGATCTCGCACGTAGACAACCTCAATAAGACCAAGATCACCGGCGACGAGAACGTGGACGCCATCCAAGACGACGTCAACAAAGGCGTGGGTAGCCAATTCGGCAAGGGTGGCTTGCTTGAAGGCGTGGGGAACCTGACGAGTAAAGAGGTTCTCAACCGCGGAGAGAGACAGGGAAAGAACGAGAAGGGTGGTTATGGCTTGTGAGAAGAGAGGGAGGCAGATGGTACTGCGAAGGCTTGAATTCGGCGCCGTGCAGGCTACGGACATTGTGTTCTTGCTGGGAGTATGTGGCTGGAGAGTTTGTTTACTCTAGATCAGTTTTTAACCATGATGATACCACGATATATCAAATTCGACGACGTTTGCATGATCACAAACTACGAGACACTTAAAAAAAGGACAAAATAGTATTTGTCTGACAGAAAAGATCTCAACGTTCTCTGCCGTTAGCCCTCGTCAGACGTCACACTTGGCTCAATTTCCCTCACGTCAACTTCTGAGCACAACCTACATCGCTTCTCTCAACATCCACTCCGAAACAACCAACCGTGCCTTGACTTTCATGCCTTCGGGATCGTCCTCAAAGATGGGGCATCTTCTGCAGCGTCCCTACCATGAGAGGTCCAAAAGCCGCAGGGCCCCAATGAACCACAGCGGCCCCGTTCACTGGCGAAAACCATCCGTGACGATGTTTTGTGTATGTAACGTTATGCTCTGGCCGACGGGCATAACGCAACAACGCAACGACGTGTGGGTGTTCTACAAGCCCACATAATGGACTTGTCGATGTATATATATGGGTATTTATGGGATGAGAATGTCATTGCCTCTTCATCAAACATCAAAAAAGACATCCTCATCCTCTATCCAAGTCTCATCGTCGTGTATCCTCCTCCTTTTATCTGACCCAACACAAGCACCACACTCTGACTTCTGTGGCATCTCACCATCTCTCTACTACGACACCATGCAAACCACAACCACCCCAGCATCCCTGCCCCTCTCCTCCTCCCCTCCCCATTCCAAGTCCAAGACCACAACTACCACTACCACGAGTCACCAAACATGGACATCGTCGTACTTCTCCTCATACGCCTTCGCGTTCCACTCGATGCCGTTGGCATACATGCTCTCGGTCCCGCCGCACGCGTACCTGTTCTCGAAACTGATGACGGCGTCGGGCTACGCGTACTCGAACCTGGTGCCGCGGGCGCAGCTGGCGACGCTGGCGCCGACCCTCCCCAAAGCGACGGCGGATATGCTCTGGCGCGCACGGGGGTGTCATTTGAATGCGCTCGAGGGGTTTCCTCTGTTTGCCGCTGCTGTGGTATGTACCTACCTACTATGCAGTTACTTATTGGTCATGTCCCTATATATCTATATACAGACCCTTTATAGTTCCCCTTTCTTACTCTCTCCACCCCGCCCCCCCTCTCCCCTTCTCCCATCCCACTTTCTAACACCCCCCATGCTTGGTTGTCAATGGGACTAAACCGACATCACGCAGCTCGCCGGCACTTCCGCAAACCTCGACCCAAAGGAACTCAACACCTGCGCCGCAGAGTACCTCGTCGCCCGCACGCTCTACAGCGTCTTGTACATGACCGTGCGCAGCGAGCGGGCCAGCTACCTGCGCTCCGCGGTCTGGGCGTGGAGTGTCGGGATTCCCGTGTACGTGCTCTGGAAGGCCGGCATGAGGTGTGTCGACGGCGGGCATGATGGGGTTGGGGCCGGTGAGAAGGGAAAGGAGAGTCTGTAGGAAACGGGACGGGCTAGGTCTGAGCAGGAGAAAAGTGAGCGTGGGGTACTTGGGGGACTCAGAAGGTGTTTTCGTGATAATGATGGCCACGAGGTTTGGTCCCAAGGGTAACGATCAGGGTATATGGTCCCTAGGTTAGGTATCTAGCAGTAGAGGACGATGGTGGACACCATGGCGGTGTGATTCAGTGAGGAAGACGTTCGAGGTAAGAAATATCTCTCACTTGCATTGGACATGCCAAATATTTTGTATTTATAGTAATCTAGACGGCGCAGGAAAGTAGCTGCTTTCGCGTCTGATGATTTCCAACATGTATATATATAGACACACAAGAAGATACTCCCGCTTCATGCTGATCTCGCTAACCAGTTTTCTTTTCTTTTTCCTCTTCCCCGACGGCCTGTGCGCCCTTCTTACCTTTCTCCCTCTTTTCCCTCGCGTACCGAATACTCTTTGACCACCCGGCGGTCACTGCACCTTTGACGCTTTGCACAAGACTGGGCCATCGAATCGTGTGCTCGATAACCTGTTTTACTTCTTCCCTCAGGCCTCCACCTTCGGTGTCCTGGGCGATTCGTTGCTCGAACGGCCCGCCTTCCCGCCGGCGAATGCGATCTGGGTCTTCATCTTTGGTCTTCTCGAGCATATCATTGAACTCGCCTCGTGGGATTTTGAATTTGGATTGATATTCAAAGTAGAGTTTCTTTCGGAAGGCGTTGGGAAGCCGGCGGACCATGTGACCCCGGGTTACAGGGTCCATGTTTTGGGCCAGTTTGGAGTTGACGGACGGGTCATCGAGCCAATCTTTGTTTGAGCAGGCCGGATCATTGAAGGAGATGTTGGGAAGGTTGTCAATCAATGGTGTGTAAAGGCGGCGGAAATTGGGTAACTGGTTGTTGACAATGTTCTCAACTTTTCGAGGATCATCCCCACCGACGCTCATTCGTGGATCGCCCATATACGAAATCCCCGCGATGGTCGAATACAATTCTTTCTCGGTGAACTCAGGTGGAAGGAGAAGCAATGCCGCGCGGACTGCGGCGATCAGGTTGACTTGATTTGCCAGTCGGACTGCCGGATTGTCCCGTAAGATTTTCACAGGCTTCTGTAGGCGGCCGGCGAGATATAGAGTGTCCCATTCCGACAGATCTCTGCAGAGAGTATCCAAATTGACCACTCCATATTTGATGAGAGTTCCATTGATGGTGATGTAAGGGTTAAAATACACCCCTGCACCGAAGGAATCTTGAAGTTTGGAGACGGCGTAGGATCCCAAAGAACCCACCCAGCTATAGTGATCTCGGTGTTCTTGCAGATTTAATGAATGCCAGTGCTGGGAATAGGAGACTCCGAAGATAAAATCAATCATCTTCTGGTTCCCATCCTGCACTTTGGCCACAGCTGCGGGGGGGTTTGGATGCAAGTTCTTGGAGCCTCCGCTTTTTCCTGCGCTCTGAGGAAAGACACCCGAGCCATAGGCAAAGGCGTAGCGAATGGGTGCCCGAAACTTCCACAGGATTTGTCTCAGTGCCTCCTTGAACTCCTCATTGATGATGATGTGCTGATTGACACCAAAATCCTTACCAGGTAGCTCGGAGAACTTTGAAATGCTAAGGTCGGGATTTTCTTCCCAATCTGAGGCGGTCGAACTCGAAGAGGGAGGTTTGGAAGAGCCTCGAGAGGAAGGAGTCTGCTCGGAGGAGCCGGGGTTGCTGGTGGTCGACTGCTGACCTGGGGACGCACTGGGGCTCTGCTTCGCTTTGGAGGCGTCGAATCCTGGAGGCGGAGCACTATCACGGCCTCGTTCTTCCTCGACAGTAGCATAGTGCCTGATGCCTGAGTTGAGAGAGAAACGTTGAGCGGCGGCGAGAATAGGTAGCCGTCGAGGAGTGCCGTAAAGTTCTTGAAACCTCCTCTTGCCCAAGATGCTGGGCACGACCCGTAAGGTCATTTTTGAAGAGTTGGAGCTGTTTGCTTCAAGTATGCAACCATTGCTTGGATTTCTTGAGCTCACTACAGCATTGATTCATAAGTCATATCCACCTCCTGTACGCTGAGGCATGCGCAGGAGAGCAGAGATGGGCAAGGTTGGAATGAGATATGACGCGACACAGCAGGAAAGTTACGCGGAAGCCAAGCCAAATTGACGTGATCCAATATGAGTTTGGCCTGGCCGCGGTCACGTGGATTTTGTCTAGACCACATGCACGTGATCCTTCCAGGTTCAGGCCAAAATCACGTGGTCGTACGTCATCCGCTAATACTAAGCTCGACGCGGCCGAATTCGGCAGAATCAACAAACACTCGTAGCATTGAACTTCAGTCTTCATGCCACCGTTCCTTACCTATCCTGCAATTCAGTTTACACCATCACCGATAACCCAATGGAATACGCAACGTACGAGTCGCGGCTTGCGTCTTTCGAGCCTCCGTCGAAACGATCAAAGCTAGGATGGCCGCACAAGACGCCGACGCCGGATGAGCTCGCGCGAGCCGGCTTCTACTACAAACCCTCCAGCGCCAGCAATGATAACACCATCTGCTACCTTTGCGAAAGACAGCTTGACGGATGGGAGCCGGACGATGACCCAGTGGGAGAACATTTGAAACATTCAAGCGATTGTGGCTGGGCGATATTGATGAGCGCAGGGCAAGATGCTAAACACGACATCAGCACAATGGAAGACCCGACAGGCCAGATATTTGCAGACGCACGCCGGGCCACCTTCGCCGTTGGATGGCCGCATGAGTCAAAAAGAGGTTGGCGGTGTAAGATAGAGAAGATGGTTGAAGCAGGATGGCATTTGGCGCTACTGCCAGAAAGCGAGGATTATGTGTCCTGCGCCTTTTGCAAATTGTCTCTTGATGGCTGGGAACCAAAAGATGACCCTTTCGACGAGCACTATCGGCGATCTCCAGCTTGCCCTTTTTTCCATTTTGCAGGAACAACTGCGCCAGCTAAGCGCCCGAAAGCAAAGAAAGGCCGCACATCCAGAGCGTCGCGCTCATCAAAAGCCTCGACGCGGTTGTCGACACAGTCAAACACCCAAGACATGACCACCCTTTCAGAAGCTCCTAGCAATGTCAATGATCTCATACCAGATCTCGATGACTCAATAGATACGAGCACCATGTCGGCAATGTCGGTCATGTCAACAGCATCTACTGCCACAACTAGAGCCAAGCGGAAAGCTGCTGGCGGCCGGTCAAAAGCGACCAAGTCCAAGAGAACAAAGACCACCAAATCGACAAAGACGAAGAAGGAAGAACCTCAGCCTGAAGCGGAGGTAGTAAATGGAGAAGAGTTTCCGGCAGAAGTCGAGCATGAGCAAGTCCAAGTTCCGGCTGACATTGATCTCGAGCCAGAAGTTCAAGCAGAGGAGCAACAAGCTCCACCAAACCCAGCGCCCACTCCTCCCGCCCAGGTCTCCTATCCATCACTAAATGAAAGCAACACTCCCCCACGGATTTCCAGTGAGCCTCGTCATCCAAGTCCTCTCGGCCCACCGCCTCAAGCATCACCAACGCCTTTGAAGGCACGTCCATTCACATCTGCCGCCAGGACAGCAACACCGAAGCCTTCCACTGACAAGATCGAGTCTTCTCGTCCCGTGTCGCCAACACCAAAAGCTAACCACACCTCTTCCCCAGCTCCCTCTCCATCAACTTCGGACATTGAAAACGCCCCACCCTCAACGCGGCCTGCATCCGCACGTCCACCTGCTCCTGCTCCTCCGGACTCATCCACTCCCAGCCACCACCGACATCCAAACGCGTCATCTCCCAATGAAGGTGCAGAAATGCCGAAATGGACGCCGGCGGATATTGAATTGATCTTTGCTCCCACGTCGCCGCAGAAAGTTGATGCAGATATAGTCCTCGGCTTGACGGGCTCACAACTCTCCACGGACGAAAAAAATATGACGGTGCAGGAATGGATCGAATTCATTGCCAAGCAGACAGAGGAGGGGTTGAGAGCGGAAACGGAACGGGTGGTGGGGGTTTTTGAGCGAGAGGGAGAGAGGGCCATGAGGGTTCTGGAGGGGATTGTCTGTGTTTGAAGAATGCAATCCTTACAGTGAAGTGGAGCGGGAACGGAAGACAGGAAGAATGCTTGCTTCCAATTGACGACGGGGTGGGTTGGTTTAGTCTACATCGTTTTCTGGCATTGGGAACACGGATTGGATTGATCTGTCGAAGGGCATGCCATGGTGTTTCTGCTTGACTGCAGGTGGACACTACGGGCGACACACATTACTGCTGCACAGGTGCCTGCCAGCGTTACGGCACGACAAGGCATGGACTTCGGTATGGTAATATTTTGCGTGCAATGAGGTGTTTATTGGATAGAGAAAGGCCTGGCATGGATCCATATTGACCCAGCTTGGGTCCAGGGCTGGACCGGAGCACTAGAAAGCATTTCACGGATGACCTTGAGGTCAGTCACCCAACTGAATTGGCGGAGGACTACGAAGCACAGAGTCTCCCATTCTTCAATTTTGATTGATTGACTGATTGAGATCATGTTTCGGATTTTCCTGGGTTTCAATATCACTTGGAGGGCTCTTTTTGAGCATCTCATCGACTTGCGAAGCTCGCCCGACTCGTTCGGTTTGCTCATTCAAAGCAAAAGCATACCGAGAACATAGGTAGTCAGACATGCATAGCATCGAAAACAACAGCAACACACACGAATGTGCAGGGCCCAAGAGCAACACAACAGGCCGGGAGATGGATAGAGCATAACATGAAGGCCGTTGCCTTGCCTATCCATCTCCGTCATTCTTTACACAGCAATGTCCGCCCCGACAAAATCCTTCTCTTCAATCAGCTGGCTCTTGGGCTGAGTGCTCGTTCCGGACAGCGCAGCGTCGAGGGAGCGGAAGTTGGCGAGTTCCTGCATTTTTGCTTTTTTTCACCAGCCATTAGCCATGATTTTCCCCAATCATATGGTTGTGTGTGTCTTTGGTTGGTCAAAACTCACTCTCGCTAACGGGACTCGTCGTGAAGATGGCCTTCTCCCGTTCCCCCAAGCTCGGATAGATGCCTTCATTGATCAACACCTCCGCGAGCGCCCTTCGATTCGCGTCCGCGTCCGCGTTGGATTTGCCCTGCGCGATCAGCTCCTGCCGCGCCCTCTCCAGACACTCGCGGTAGTACTCGGCGTGGTTGATGTTGCAGACCTGGTCCCAGTTGACGGATTTGTGGATGGGGCAGAAGTGGCGCGAACACAACAGGCAGGTCTCGAGGTATTTGGTGGTCGGGGAGAAGTCGCCCGGGTTCTGCTCGTCGCAGAGGTAGCATTGCTTGACCAGCGCGGGGTTCTGGGGTCGTTCCTTTTGTGAGGGTGAGGGTTCGGTTCGGGGCGCGGAGATGGTCGAGGTTGGTGCGCCGGGCGTGTTGATCACGATTGTGGGAGGTGCTGGCGCTGAGGCTGACATCTTGGAGACCCCTATAGAGGAGAGTGGACTGTGTAGGTAGGACAAAGCGAATAGCACCCCGAAAACCAGCCTGCGTGGGACGATTGGTTTTTGCAACTCCAGCAAGGGACGAAGAGAGAAGAGGGATTGTGAGAGTCGAGCTCGGTGGTTTGTATATAGATGTAGGGCCAGTGGGGGAATTTACGAGGATATAGCAGGCCTGATGAGCAGATTCCGAACTTCTGGACCGTGATCAGGTAGGTCAATGTCTTACTCTTTTGCTTGGACAGAAAGGTTGGTAATGTGAGGTTGCGAAGGTGTTACAAAAATAAATAAAGCCAGCTCTAGCCTCTTATTTATTCGGTCCTCGGGCATCGTGCATGCATGAAGAATGCACGCCATTGTTGGCTCCCTGCTTTGCTGGTGTTCAGCTTGACGAATTGTGCCTTGCTAGGCCCGCGCACCCAGCCAGGGCACGACGAGCCCCGCAAAGACTGGGTAGCTCGATGGCTCTAGGTTACGAATGTGGCTTGCCAAGGGGGTCACAGGTGAGGCAAGCGGCGGTGGCCTTTTCCCCGCCATGAAGGGCTGAAGAGGAAGAGTACCGAGTACCTATGATGCGGCTGATGCGGTTGGTGTTTCGGTGCCCGAGAAAGGTGAGGGCTAGGTAGAGACAAACAATGACAACGACGTTGAGGGTTAGGCGTCCGAAACGAGAGATGCAAACGGTCGCATGCTGTTGGTCAGGGAGAGAGCTGCAGAATCCTCCGCTGGGGAGAGACCCTGATAGACAAGCGGCCAAGAGAACCAAGAGGGGCCAGAGACAAGAGAGCATGCGTCGATCATGGATGGTCGGTGGATGGCCTTGGATTTCAAGTTGTTTGGTTGCCGTGCGCAAGGAGGCCGCTTACCTACAGCTCGATAGCCACGATAGCCACGATATCCACGATAATAGTTGAGAGCCGCCATCAATGATCATCATCGAGGGTCGGCGGTCGGCAGTTCTGTGGCGCCGACTCGCCGTCCTCATCTTACGGAGTACAAGCCTCGCAAGGTACTGAAAGAATCCGCGACGAGCTTCTTTTGCCTTTGACAACAACAACTGCCCAGCTTGCTGACGTCGACGATGCCACCAAGATCGACAGGGACGCTTCGGAGCTGTTGATCCTGTCCCTGACCAATGCACGTCACCATTCGAGGTCAACTACCTAGCTCTCGTGGAATGCATCGACTCCTGCAGGTACCGCACAGCGGCACCTGGACATGCATCTTCACGTCCACACCCGATAGCATTGCTTACACAGCTCTATTTTCGTTTCAAATGCATTTGAACGAGCGCGGGGTCTCAGACCTTCTTGCACACGGTGATAAACGGTGACACAACCCCTGTAAGAGGTTATTTCAAAATTCCATCGTTTAGACTGCAGAGGGAACCCCGTGACTTACCACTCATGAACAATGTACCCGTCCGCGCATCATGGATCACAGTCGTCATGCCGGGCAATACCTCTCCCTCAGCGTCCTCGATGATTTTCGTCAGCTCATACTTGTATCTGCCCGCAATCTCTCTGTTCAACCTGCGAACCCGCCATACAGTTGCCGGGGCGCTCTTTGGATTGAGCGGGTCGTCAAAGGCGGCCAATGTCTTCATCGATTTAGGCAGAGTCGCGGCGAAGATGTCTCCATTGGCATCCTCAGAGAGGTTGTCGATGGGATAATCGAGGTCGATGCTGTGCACCCTGACCACCGAACCGTCCGGATTCGGTTTGAACACGGTGATGCCTCCCACGGCCGCGCTGGGCACATAGACAAGGCCGTCGCTCCCGAGATGGAGTCCGTTGGGGAACTTGAACCCAGAGGCGACCTTCTTGCACACACCGGCCGCGCTGCAATACGAGACATCTCCTGTGCCTATAAAGGCAGATAGATGATGTTGCTTCATGCAGAGTTAGTGAGCCGGACCGTGAACTTCGGACGCTTCTCTTACCAGGCCAACCTTGTGCGGACCGTGATCGTTCGTAAAGAAGAACCCGCCATCTGGCATCACAGCGACGTTGTTGGGCGTTGCAATCTGGGGGTCAGCATATGTCTTGACATGCTTCATACTATCAGAACCCGGTTCAGTCGCGAAAACTTCAATGGTCGAGTTTCCCCCCACGACCGCGTTGTCGAGCAATTCTCCCGTCTCTGGATCAACCGAAGGACGCGCGTTGATCAACCACAACCGAACATCCGAGCCATCTGCAGAGGTAGTCCCAGTCATGCCGACGACGTGGATTCGACCATCGCCATGCACGCCGGGAAACCCTTGCATCTTGAGTACGCGATAAGCGTAGCCTCCTGAGCCGGTCGGGCTGTCAATATCCATCGCGACTACATGGTCATGCAACGCTCTCCCGGAGGCATTGAAGCGATGAATACTGAGCATCAATCTCTTAGCAGGTTTGTTCCCCCTTTATGATTTTTGAAACCAAAAAAAGGCCTTTTTTTTTTAGACAACCTACATACTTTGGCATCCACTCCTTCCTCGCCAGCGCGTCCGAGCACGCCAGATACAGCGTTCTGGATCTCTGGTCCAGCCACATGTCTTCGCAGGCCTGGATGTTTGCATCGCCGCTCACTCGGTGGCATCGGTATGGGAAGTCTGTGACGGGCTGCACGGTCCGACCGAGTCCCATGCCGTTGAACAGGGCGTCTCGCAGAAACAGTTGCCAGACCACGGCGCAGAAGCCGAGCGAGATTGCCACAAGGGGGAGTCTGTTGGCCATTCTTTGCGGGTTGGTCAAAGGTAATGTTTTTTCTGAAGGTGGCCCTTTCAGTGTCCGGCTAGTATCCCGGTGTCGTTTGTCCCCCAAGCTGCAGTCGCTTATGGAAGCGGAACTTATCATCTACTCATCTCTGGTGGTCGGAGGAAAGACTTATGTAAAGCAATGCTGGCACGAATCTCTCGCGCTGCAAAGTATGCCCGAGACACATCTACGGAGGTTCCCTCCCTACCTAGATACCTAGGCACGCTCGGCTTAGTGGGGTGTTCGCCCACCCTCACCCACCCACACCCGAGGCTTGTAAGCTCACTTCGGACACGCAAAGAACCCCTCAAATCATGCAACTGTGCTTGGGGTGTGTATTTGTCCCTGCAAACAACTGACATTATCTCCTCGCATTCCAAAGAGGGCGGTCCTTTGCCTTGGCCTTGTCTTTAGCATTTCATTGAATACACCACCGCACCCCAGACGACCATTTCTCACATGAACTAATCCTATACTTAGCGCCATCAATTCTTTGCAGCTGCGCGTCCGCCGCTTGGGTATACGTGTTGAACATCTCTTTCTCGACTTGAACATGCTGGATGATGCGCGCCTGATATTCGACTGCGACATTTGGATTCGAACTCTTCGCGCTGGGATGCTCGTGTTGGAGCGAGTCTGTCATGTTACTGTGATCGTGGCTTGGGTCCATGACGCTGGCTGCAACAAGGATTGCAGAAGTCGAGGCAGAGAAGATTCGACGCTGGTAGGGTGCATAGTCTTCGTCGACCGTTTCTCCCCGGGCCTCCATCATCATCTCACGCAGCACTTCTTCTCGGGCTTCTTCCGCGATCAGGTCGTCGTCGAACATGCGTGTCATGGAGGAACCATCCCTGTCGTGACCAGCGCTTCCATCTTGGTCTAGGGTTTCATCCGTCACCAAGGTAATGTCTTGTTGTAGGATGAGAGCAGGGAAGGTCTTCTCGCGCAGTGAATTGACGAGATCCCAGCGTCCGCGGCCCATGTCCCAGTTCACGAAGTAGAAATAATCCCATTCCCAAGGCACCATGAAGAATGCGCGGTACAAGTCTCCCAGCTCCGTGGAGTTCTTTCCTGCCTGGGTGAAGACATCCCACCCTTTGTCTGGGATGAGTGCGACAAGTGAAACATGAAACCCAAGCTCATCGGCCAAAGCGAGGTGAGTGTCGGGCTGTTGTTCGAGAGCTGCCCGCGTGCGAAAGACAAACGACTGGGGCGCCCATTCAAATCCAATAAGCTCCGTTGTAGAAGGTCTCGTCAAACTGGAATAATCACCTTGGAAGATAGAGCCCCGGGGGAAATACTTCTGAGCAAGGATGAACGCTTTCATTCGTTTGATCTTGGCCTCGCTGTCGTATCGGCTGACCGCAAGGATTGAAGAGAGGTCGAGACCAAGCATGTTGGCGAGACATATCGTTTCGTCCTCTTGGTAGCTCGTATTGCGCCACTGGACAGCGGTCCAGATATCTCGAACTCGGCTGGGGAGTGATTTAGACTTGAAAGCAAGTAGCTTCGAGTATGGCTGACAGGCTTCTACAAATATCAGTCGGCACAACAGATCTTCAAATTTGGACGAGTCGTCCCATCCTTGGACTATTATTTGAAGCTCGGAGAGGTCAACCGAGCCGTCCTGGAGCTGAAAGACTGTCTTCTTTGCCAAAACACCCTCGTGTAACGTCCAAAGGCGTCGAAACCAAGCCGTGCGCGTAATGCGCGCCGCCAGTTCCCAGGGGCTGCGATCAACAGAGATGTTATTCAGTTCGTTATTCAAAACAAGCACCGTCCCAGAGATTCTGTAAATGGTTCTCATCTCCGCAATCGCTGTATTTCGTTCGGCTTCGAATCCCTCCCCTACCGGGATGCACAAAGTATCCATCCAGAATGGCTGATTATCGGAGGCAGCGAGAGGCTTGCTCCCCTGGTTTGCTATCATGTTGACCCGTTCTTGAATCAACCGAACTTGGCAAAGGGGCAAGGCATTTGCGGCATGGTTACCTAACCCGTCAGCCCAGACGTGCGAGATAGCAGTGAAGCGAATTGGTGCGCTCTGATCAATGGCAACCAATTCTAATCTGTTTCCGCGGCGGTCAAGGCGAAGACATGGGATTTGGCTGCCGCGAATGATCTCGGCAATCCTTTCAGTGGGCAAACCTATAAACGTGCAGTCGCACAGTGTATTGACGTGCTTTGTTCGGTAATTCGATTGATCGACTTGCCATGCTTCACATTGCCAGTGTGAGCACTTGGAGTGAATGGCGGACAATCCTAGGACACTGAGTCTGGAGGAGAAGTAGCTGCTGACCACAGAACACTCTTGTTCTAAGCGTGAGACCTCGCTTGGACACCATCCATTCTTCGCAAGTTGATCATGTACGAGTCGTGACTTGCTATAGGTCGAAAATGAGAGAGGGGCCGCCTGCAACACGACATTGCGTGCCAGAGACAGTGTGTTGTGAAGGACTTCAAGTGAAAGATTGAGTTCATCGGGCAGGAGATCGGAGTGGTAGGGGCCACTGCCACTCTGTACGGCCTGAATGATGTCTGCAGTCGTCTGGCTGAGGGTATTATGCATAGAATCCATGTGGTCCAGAACCAGGTCAATTCCGGCCCGGATCTCGAGCTGTTGTTTGCCATCGAGTTGCTTGATCCTGGTCCTCCATGCATCGAGTCTTTCACAGAGATGGGAAGTGCTAATGACTTGATGACCTTTCTCTGTGGTGACGATCCATTCGGCATGATCTTGTTTGACGCCGAGGAATTCCTCCAAGACGCCAAAGAACAACCATGACAGGACGAATGCGGCGAGATTGCTCCTCAAGGCTTCGGAGCATTGATGCAGCTCATCAGAATCTTGCTTCGCGAGGAAGCCGAAGCCGTGCCTGGCTGGGTAGGACAACCACGGTTGAGTATAGCGATAAGGGTTTGAATTGTTTCCGTAGACGGGGATTTCGATGTGGGCCAAGGCTGGAGCAGGTGGTAGTGGAATGTGATTCATCGGAAGAGAACGTCATGCCAAAGGCTCGCAGCCTGTAGGGAACGAAGCGAGCGAGAAAGACGATGGCTCGACGTTCACTCCAAATTTGACAGGCAGGTGACAATATACCAAGACTACCCAGGCTATCTATGCGCCCGCCCCCGGCTGATTTCTGGCTCTCAATTTGACCTCGATCCGGACGCTAGGAGGTGTGTACTCCCTGGATTGAGGACGTCTATGCTGGTTTGTGCCTGTACAACTGGGGCGAGGGTGATCAAAGAGATGTGCTTAGGGGCTTCAATTTAGGTCACGTATACAGGTAACTACCTGGATGAGGCTTACTGTCCAATGAGCTAGCCCACGCAATTTGGTTGCGCTACGGTGTGACATTGACCAACCGCGCAACTGGCCAGCCGTTGTAGTGTCAATCCAGGCGTGTTGATGGCTGCTCTAACCGGACAATTCTCCAATGTCGGTGGGTTGCAGCAGCTACCTACCAAGTTCTAACTTCTATACCGGCACTCATCAGTATAGTGGCCCTCATGGTGGCACCGAAGGCACCATGCTTCGTCCTGCGTATGGGCAAATGGGCATCGTTTCCCCGGGTGAGAGTGGGGGAGATTGCACTTCTTCGTTTTCCACCACCTCAAGTCCAATTTTGGAAAGTCCCGAAACAAATTCCGCTCCTCGTCACTATGGCGGTAACCACAATCGCCTCTTTTCTTGCAGCGAACGCGGTCAGAACATTGCTGAGTTTGGCGTATGCCGCGACGATGGTCTTGTCCCAGGTCGGAACGAACCACCGTTTGCCAGCCGTCGTTGTCGTCGGGGTCATTGAGACCTTGCATCTCTACGTTTTCAATGTGTCCACCCTCAGGTTCGGCGGTACTGGACAGCTTAGCTTTGCGTTTGACAGGTTCGTGTTCTTCTTTCGCTGTGACATGGGCGGAATATTGGCCATTGTCACCCGTCAACGCCGCATACATATTGCTAGTTTCGACCACGGGCGGGAGGTCCTCATTGAGACGACTTGCGTGTTCGGGCCATGACAGGACTGTCAACATTTCCTTAAACAGCTCTCGTGCCTCGAGGACCATAGCCTCAATGTTCTTTACCTTGGGAAACTCCACAAACATCTCCGTTTCCGTTTTGGACAGTGTGATGTAGAACAAGCGGCCCAACTGAATGAGCTGCTCGCAGACAGAAAATTCGAGGTTATCCCTGCCCTGGTCAGCAAACTCGCAGAGCACGATCGTTTGGCCGGGATCAATTTGCCTGGCCTTGATCTGTCGGGTAGAGCGGAAGTTGGTGAAGGAAATCTTATCGAATATCCAGTTCATAAAGTTTACCGAGAATAGATCGTTGTCGGAATTCAGCTTCAAGTACTCCGTAGAGATTCCCGATCGCCAGGCCCAGAGCTCCACTCGGATATTACATTCCAGCACTTCCTTGATTGGCGGGAGGATGTCGCGGTCTCCCGTGATGGCGACAAACGTCGTATTGTCTTTCTGCTGTTTGTACCTCAAGTCATACTCGGCCCTAATTTTGAGTTCGGTGGCTTTAGAGCTCAGATCCGTTGCCATGGAGTTATCCACCTCCTTCTCTTTCCCGCGGGCGCGATCATAGATCTTGGTCTTGAACTTGAACTTCTCAAACGCTTTCCACACTGTATCGTTAGGCGGTGGGCGAGAGCCATACAGAAACGAAGGACCTTGGCTGCGGCCGTTGCGGAGCGTGTTGATCAATTTCCCGACGTCAATCCTGAGACGCGGGTCGCGATCGCTGTCTGTCAGTTTGGGCATGTGGCTATTGCCCGAGGCGGCGAACTTTTGGGCCTCGATCCATATGTTGGAGTCATCCACGAAGAACATGCAGGTCTTGGTCGGTTCGGTACTCATAATGGATGGTGTCTGTTAAATCTGGCAGCAGCTTAGGTTGGGATAGCGAGCTGGCTTGAAGAGTCGCAGTGACGCCTCAGGCGAGAGGTGGTTCCTGGTCCAAATCCCGGTTAGCGCCGTTTCGGCCTCAAGCCCCGTTTGTATGGCTCTGCCTTTCACCTCCCATTCACCCCCCATAGTATTTCGTATGAGAAGCGTAGCAACAACACATCACTCCGGCCTAAAGACAAATAGGTGAAAGTGGTCGCCACTTGTGTTCAAAGGCGCTTCCAAGTCGTTGTCCCTTCGGCTAGTTACGGCGAATGAGGTTTTTAGTACTTGAGTCAAACAGGTACATGAGGTAGGTACCTAGGTACTGTCACATGGTTTCCGGATAGAAATTCAAGCGCCCTCCTCTTCTCCATTGGCCCAAGTCATGAGCCGAGTTAAGGCTCGCCGCCTAGAACACGGGTCTTACCCATCTATACATATATACCATCTAAGCCCGCGACGACCGCCTGAGTGAGCGAGAGAGAGTGCGAGATGGTGAGCGAGAGATAGTGTATGATCCGCGGAGATGGTTTCGTTGTTATAGAGGAGCAACAAAATCCAATCCCTCCGCGAAGCGAAACGAAAAGGGAAATATCGTGATCATTACGAGCTGACTCCGACGGCGGCCCCCGCGTTCAACGCCAGAGAGCTCAGGGATCCCTCTGGAGAAACACCAAGCTGTGGACAGGATTGCGCATCTCGCCATGCCAAGGCCGATGCCGGGGGGACGAGGTTGATGCAGGGTGAGGCTGATGTGACGGCAGAGCTGACAAGGAGGGTCCCAGCTCTTTCATTTTCATCTCGATATGCCTCAAGAGTAAGCCGCATTGGTGATGAATGATGAGGTCCGGGAAGTTCCGTTGCCTGTTCAAAGTGATTGCAGTGGTTTGAATGAGGGTGTGACATTGGTGGGTTGTAGTGGTAGAAGTAGACGATCCACGACAAGGATACGGAACGATGGTGAGCGACTGGCATGGGAGTCCTGATATCAGGAGGTAAAAGTCTGGTCAACTCTGCCGAGAAAGAAGATGTCCTAGAAACAAAGAGTCGATAGAATATGGAGGCATTCATGGTCAACGACATTCATTTGGAGAAACACTGTTTATTTTTAATCATGCGTGGGGTATGGATAGGACAATAGCGTTTTCGTGAATTATAACAGGTGCAAACCAGGTCAACAGCTAACTTGCGTGTGGCTGCTGTACTTTTGTTCTTCTCTGCCGCCGCGCAAGATAGGTCATCCCTCCCTTGGCTCACTTCAAATACTCATCTCCAATCTCCTGAATCATGACATCAAACAGAGGCTTCGCGCTGAACCAACCGGCCCTAGGCGTGCCCACAGACTTGTAGGTAAACGCAGCATCCTCATCATCAATCTTGACCGTTGTGCCTCCACGACCAGCAGCAGCGGCATCAGCCAAGAGTTGGGCGTGGCAACACTTCTCCAAGGAGCAGAACCAGAACAAGGCGGCCTCGATCGTCTGTCCGACTGTCAGAAGACCGTGGTTTTGCAGCAAGCAAGCCTTCTTGTTTCCAATTGCGCGGGCAATGTTTTCTCCTTCTTCCTTGGCCAGCACCACACCCTTGAATGAGTTATACACGGCAAGGTCGTTGTAGAACGCACAGCTGTCCTGCGTAATGATGTCGATGGGTCGACCTAGAGCGCAGAAGGCACGGCCGTAGAGACTGTGTGAGTGGGCGGCACAAACGACATCTGGGCGGGCCTTGTGGACGGCTGCGTGGATCATGTATGCGGCTTGGTTGAGCAGCCTGTTTGGGCCGCCGTCGATGACTTTTCCGTCGTGGTCAACGAGGATGAGGTCTGATTTCTTGATCTGCGAAAAGGCCAGGCCAAAAGGGTTCACCCAGAAGGTGGTGGGATCCACCGGGTCTCTCAATGTAATGTGGCCTGCGACACCTTCCTCAAATCCAAACTTGCCGAACAGGCGGAATGCAAGAGCGAGGCGGCCCTTGAGGTATTCCCTCTCCTCGTATTTGTCCGTGAAGCGGGGCGGGGATGGGAATTTCTGCATCTGAACTTCGGCATTGCCTTGCTTCAACTTGGGCTCGTGGGTTGCGGTGCCTTCAGGTTGGGCATCGGCTGTGTCGTAGCCGGGGGCGGGGACATTGGAAGTCTCAGTGTAAGTTGCCGTAGGAGGGGCCATGGTGGATGAGAGGTGTGTCTAGGTACGAGGCTTCTTTGCAGGGATATGGTGCACAATAGTACAAGACTGACTTGATGAGTATATCGTAGAGGCACAAGATGATAAGAGGGATTAGAGAGAAAAGTGAGAGGGGAATTGTCCGTTGATATAATAACCTGCGGTGTCTGCCCTCGTCAGATTGGAAAGTCAATACGTGCAGGTGGGGAAAGTGCCGACGGGGGCGGGCTCCACGGTCGGTGGCAAAATACCTAGGTATCCCAAAGAGATACACAACTCGACATCCTCGACCATGGGGCCTCGGATTTGTGAGCTTTTTCTCCACCCTTAGGCCACTGCTTGCGTTCCTCGAATCAAACTTCGACGCCCTTCGGTCCATCCCTACATACCGAGTACTTGGAGCGGGCTGCGGGGAGCGACTTCATGTCGCCATCGTCGTCGATTCTCCAAACACTCGATTGGCTCGCCGGACAATGCGCCGAGTAGCGAGAACACTGAACAGACCTGAGCGAATGATAAATGCATCAAATATCAGCCAGCCGGTTGGCGCGGCCCTGCATGAGGAGACGTCTTTTGTCTCGCCAGGCAATCCGATGAGCTGACGGAAATGACGGCTGTTCAAGGCTCGAATCGGTATCTTGAGCATCCATCGATTTGCACAGGCAACAGCGACAGGAGCATACCCCATTGCGGATTTCGGAATCACTCAAGTCAGAATAATTGTCAGTGCTTTGAAGCCAGGTTTGCGCCATCAGCCGAGGCACCAGCGAGTTGACGAGCTATGTCTTGTTCAATGATATCCCACCACTTTAGCCTTTGTTTAACCGAAGGGTTCCCTGCCTGGGATCAATACGGTTCTCTCTGTGTACAAGGCTCGGTCGAAGCATGCCAGAAGATGTCTCATGAAAAAAGTAGGTTGGGGAGTTTCGGTCGCATGAATTGGCACGGTTATTGCCGGCTCATGTCAGATACCATGATTCTTCCCAACACTTTGTATCGAATTGCTCACTATTGCTGCAAATAAATCAGAAAGAGAGTTGGCCCAAGCTTAGCTCCCTCCATTCAGCAGAGGTTCAAATAGCCTCGTAGGTGAAAACTGAGAAATTAGCCCCAGTCGTTCCAATAGTCCCATTTGGATAAAGCAGAAATTCCGGAAGACCTGGAGACCGATACTGTGACACAACAGATGCACTGGCATTGTACTTGAGTTTCACGCTGGGAGGGGCAGACTGGGCGTTGGCTGCCAAAAGAGCAAACACTGTCTTGCGATGCATTCACACTCTTACCGAGGAACATGGCAGCTCCATCCGCTGTGATGAAGCCGATGCATGTCCCTAGAATCCCACTCTGGCGACTTTACCCGATTTTGATGCTCGGACAATCTCCCTTGATACCTTCACTGGCATTCACAGAACCTTGGTTTACCGCCATTCGGTTCTTGGTAGCGCATCCTTTCTCCATGACTGAAAAGTCGACCCGGAAAATTCCTGCCCCTTGGAAATTCAAAGAACCGCTCGCCCATTGCCGGAGCTCTCTTTTGATGAAGGTCTGAAAATGGGCGCCTGACCTGTCCAGAGAAGGCTGATTGATGCTATGTCCCCGTGAACTCACCTCTCCTCAGTTACCTTTGTGAACGATTAAAGCTGCATCCGGGTCTGCAGCATCTTGGGTTAGCATGCGATAAGGCTGAAGCTGCGGCGCGCGGCGACTTGGGCGTGCTGTACCAATGTACTGCGCGGCTCCCAGATATGTACTGTGATTTGCACAGTGTTGGAGCATGACCCCTTAAGGAGTTGACCTGCGGTTCGGACCTTTGGGACTTTTGGGCTCCTGGCCGGCACCAAAGCATTGCAAAGCCTTGCGCATGGGAATCAATCTTACCACAGGAGATAAATTTGCCTCTGGATAGCAAGTACTTCGTACTCTGCTTTGATCCGCGATCTCGGGAGAGGCGCTTGGAAAGCTGGTCCGACACTCCAACTGGCGTCGTTCGTCCTACGTTGGACGATCTTGGCATCAGTACATTGGTCTCCTCGTCATGCTATTGATGACAGTCCTAGATTTGATCCTTCAAAGGCAATCACCCAATGGCTATACCGATATCTTTGAAGTCTAGCTGTAGAAAAAAGTATGCAAGAAGGAGAAATGTTCCTCCGGGACGCGGCGAGGCGGATAATTTGCTAGTGTGCAATCCCCCTATTGTCTCAAAGAGGTTAGAGGATCGGCCTGCTGCAGGGTCCAATCGCCGCAGCTGTTTGCGAGTCTCGTAGAAATTTTGTATCGCAGTACCGCAATCAGGTTCATCCATCGTCTTTCTTTACTTCCTTCACCCTTCACAGTCCTTTCTTTCCGACTCCCTGCGACTCCCTTTATCTTGTGTTTCTCGCGGAGCCTCGTCTTCCCTGCTTTCCCTTTCCGTGTCTGTCCTTTCATTTCCTCCGCCACCATGTATGGGGCAGCACGGCAGCAAGGGCGACATGTCCTAAGAGCGCTCCGAACCCTCCCATCCGTCTCAATTCCCTCTTCCCGGACACAGTTTGTTCCTTCAAGCTCGCGGAAGTCTCTCGCCAAATCTCTCGGTATCAGACAGTTTTCATCGACGATCCATCAATGGCAACAAGCCCTCGCTGAAGACCATGCTCGTGCGGAAGATTTTGGCGCAGAGGACATCTCAGCCATCAATCGAGAGTACACAAAATTCTCAGAGCTCGCAGATGCGGGTGTTATTGACAAGAGAATCATCGACACTCTGGTCAACAGCATGGGTATCCACACAATGACCGAAGTCCAGAGAATGACCATCAACGAGTGCCTGGACGGGACGGATGTCATTGCGCAGGCGAGGACGGGCACTGGCAAGACGTTGGCTTTTCTGATGCCCATTGTGCAACGCATCCTCCGGGAGCCCGGGTTTGGCAGCCGACAGCCCTCAATCGGAGACACGCGAGCACTCATCATCTCCCCCACGCGCGAGTTGGCCGAGCAGATTGGAGCGGAGGCAAAGAAGATCGTCCGAGGCACAGGCGTTCAGGTACAACTGGCTGTCGGTGGCACGCAGAAAGGATTCCATCTTAAGCTCATGCAACGGCAGGGCTGCCACATTCTTGTTGGCACGCCGGGGAGAGTTAAGGATCTGTTGTCCGACCCTTACAATGGACTCAGCTTGGAAAACATCCAGACTTTTGTGTTGGATGAGGCTGATCGACTCCTTGATATTGGATTCGCCGAAGAAATCAGAGAGATCCAGAGTCTCATGCCCTCACACACCCGCCAACATCGCCAGACGCTCATGTTCTCCGCCACCATGCCACGAACCGTGGTTGGTCTGGTCAGAGAGACCATGAAGCCGGACTTCAAGTTTGTCCGGACGGTTGACCCAGAGGAAGCCGCTACGCACGAGTCCGTGCCACAGCACATTGTCTTTCTGCCGGGAATGCAGAATCAGATTCCAGCATTGACTGAGATCGCCTGGAACGCCATGGAGGCGCATCGGAGAGACCCGGAAAACAACATGCCTTTCAAAGCAATCGCTTTTTTCAGGTCGCTGAACGAGGTCAACGTAGCATACGAAACCATGAAAAACTTGCGCGACCCAACAACCAATGGAGGAATGTTTGCTCCTCACCCACTCGCACCATGCAAAATCGTTCAAATGTCATCCCAACTAGATCAGCGGCAGAGAACTGCGAATGCGCAAGCATTCCGGCAGGCTGAATGCGCACTGATGATCTCCTCGGATGTAACAGCCCGAGGAATGGACTTTCCTAATGTGTCTCATGTCATTCAAATCGGCGCACCTCATAGAAAGGAAGATTACGTCCACCGTCTGGGCCGGACTGGGCGTGCTGGCAAACCGGGCCAAGGCTGGCTTCTGCTACAAAACGACGAGAGGAATGATTATAGACAACTGGCAAAAAGCATCCACGCGCACAATATTTACGAGGACACGAGCCTGGACACGGCAAAGTTGGATATGACCCAACCCACGCAACTCTCACCACAAACTGCCAAGATCATGCAAATGGTTGAATCAGGCGTCCGGCAAGTTTCCAGGATTGACAAGGCAAAGGCATACCAGAGCTTGTTGTCCGTGCTGAACATGTCTGGAAATTCCTCGAGACAAGAGATCGTCAACCAAGTGAACGAGCTTGCGACCTATGGATGGGGGCTTGAATCCCCACCTGCAGTGACGCGAAGCTGGGCTGATAAGATAGGATACGGCGGTGTCCCAGGGCTCCATTTCCGAGAGGAAAGCGAACGCGGTGGTACTTTTGGCGGTAGTTCGAGATCCGGGTTCGGGGGTCGTCGTAACAGGTATGACGAACGCGATCCATTCGGACAAGGTGCCTCTGGCGGCGGTAGGGGAACGTTCAGTCAGGGCAGCTCATCCTTCAATGACCGTGGCCGTGGCAGATTCGGCGGCGATCGAGGGTTCCGTTAAGAGGTCTTTGGAGCTGGACGATCGGCTAAATGCTCTGAAGGAAATTGTCCAAGCGAGGCCGCTTAACAACCACCAGACCTGACTTTGCGGTCGAAGCGAGCCTGTTTGAGAGCGGGTTCATATGGTAATATTAAGCCCGTCCACTGTTTTCCTGGACCGGTACCGATTGCTGCGACTGCAAAGTCAGGTGTCCTTCAGCCTCAAGGAACCTGCGGCGTCCTCCTCCTCCCACCGACCTAGCTCCAGCTCTCACAAATCTCAAGCAGCCCATCAGCTCCTCGTTTCACCTGTGTCATTCATAAACATTTTTATGAAGCTGGCGTTTCAATGGATTGGAAAGAATGGGCTGGTATGGGCTTATGGAATGCATAGGGATTCCGGTATCAACGAGATCCCATGACCACGAACCGCGCATCTACTCCGCATCGTTATCTTTGACATGTCTGAAACACCTCACCTCCCGATAGCGAGCCGGTCAAAGTGAGCAGTATACGACTCATGCATTGCTGGAATCAGTCTATCGAACGCTCGACCGGGCAAGCACCAACATTCCTTCCGACGCGACGGCGCTCTTACGGCCTATCCTCGACTTCTTATATGTGTGTTTGAATATATAAAATGGTGCGGTTGTGATTTTTGTACATATACATAGGACGGATGCTTCTCCATTCCTATTTGTGTCTATTAATATGCCATTTCGGCCGAGGGTTTCAATCCAGGACCAGGGCAAAATGTTCGGCTGGATTACTGAAAAATAGAAAGCGGTGGGTTGGGGGAATTGATAGAAGATTGACGATAAGGACCTTGGACAAGGAAGGACCTTGCAAGGGCGAGGCGGAAGAGCGTACCTACCTAGGTAGGTAACCTAGATTACCTAGTTGCGAGAATGCAAAGAATCTCCTCTACACTGTATTTACCAAAGTAAAGAAACCTGGACTTGGACCTGAACCTGAACCGGTAGTGGCTTTCCTGTTTCTTGGTTGCGTTTGTTCGATATGCGTTACACTAGGCAACACTACCCTAGATACCTAGGTACCTAGATACCTAACGAGGCTCGACACGTCGGATGCTGGGGGAGGTCACAAGTCTCGTGCATTGGTTTTTCTGGAGCGAAATCACTAGCAAAATTTGTTTTTATTTTGGGTTATTTCTCAGGAACTCGTTAACCTCTACTGCATGTGAGGTGATTCAAGGGGGGGTCATCTCCCTTCCGGCAAACTATCCGCTGGAATTCTCATCGAGAGAGCCCCCTTTCCTGTAATCTGCTGCAGGCACCATATGCCCCTTCTTCTGTGTTCGATACAAAAGCTCCCTCCTGGACCGTGACTAGCTGCATCCTGACCCTTCCCTGTGTCCAGTTTCGCTCTGGCCCATGTGAGAAAAGAAAAGAGCTTAAACGAAGGAAAGGACGGGGATTTTCTAGTGCGAGCTCCGCCACTGCTCCATCTCCTGCTCATTAATCTCGCGCAGATCGTTGACGTTTGCGACCTCACCCGTGACTGCGCCCTTGACCATCTCGACCCCTCTGCCGAGCATCGTGCCCTTCGGCAGCGCGTACGTCGCCGTCAAGGCCTTGAGCTTGATGACGCCGATGCGCGGGTCGTTCTCGCTGCCGTCGTGGGTGCCGTCGCCCAGGTCCCCGAGCCAGGTTTTGAGGGAGGGTGTGTAGTATTTTTTCACCGTGTCTCGGTCCGTGATGATGCTGGCCGTTCCCGAGATGGAGGCCCAGCTGCCCGAGGAGTTGAGGAAGGACATGTTGACGTGCTCGTCTGACGAGAGGTCGGAGGTCTTGCCTGATGAGGTGTTGGTGTGGAAGAGGAGGTCGACTCCGCCGGATTCCTGCAGTAGGAAAAGTGGTTAGCGAGGGATGGCTTTCTTTTTCTTTTTCTTGATCTGCTCTTTGGTGCTCTTGTGGATGTCCAGTATAGAGGTGATGCGAAGATGGGGAGCTGGAACAGCTGGAGTGCTCCTCGGGAGATCTCAGATATGTGACATACCTGAGCAGCCAGAGCCATACACCTCGATACTAACAGACCAGAGTCCGCGATGCGCGTGGTCATCATGCCAAACTTGGAGGACCTGATAAAGTCATTGAGGGCATTGATCTTCTCTTCGAGACCGGGCTCGTCTTTGTTCTTGGCCTTGTACCTATGTTTGCCACGGAAACAGGTCAGTCTTTATATTGCGTATTTTGCGTCAGGTGAAGAAGTGATTGAAGATAGAGGGATCAATTAGGAGGAGAGTGTTCCTCGACGACAACACTGGGCTGTGAAGGACTGGTGAGGAATGGGCAAGAACGTACGGATCGGATGCCATGTTGAATAGATGGATGGATGTGGTCTCTGATATTAGGGTTTCAATTCAGATTGCAGAAGAGTACTGGGATTGTTAGAGAGTCTGAGGGATGGATTGTGAGCAGACAGAAGATGAAGTGTACTGAAAGAAATAGGAATACCTCGGGTCAAGCGAGTGACGTCGATGAGGGTAAGGCAAGAAACAGTCCCCCACGATCGTGTGCTACCATTGGAACTTGAAAGGCAGAGAGAGTTTGTCAGTGATCACAATGTGGGGTTTACAGAAGGCATCAGATGCTGAGGAGATCGAGAGAATGAGGGTTGCATGATGATGATCCAGGAACATGTGTGCGTCACTCGTGGAATTGCCATGTCGGTGATGCTGCCAAGCAGTTTGACGGACTCCTCTTTGTTCTGGTCCATGGGGAAGCTGCCATTCTACATTGCGCCCCTCTGTCGGCATTGGCGTTCTGGTATGGATCGTTGGATGCAGCTTTCATGAAGGGTCGCTTGGTGGTTGTAGAGATGTCGGTGTTTTGATCGACGAGGCTGGATGACTCCATGGATTCAACATCCAGCCAATGACGTCAGTAAAGATTACTGAGGCGCCTTACGTACAAACCGCGTTGCTTGTTCCGCGAGGCTACGGACCAGCAAACTCGATGTGACAGGCGATGCTCACAATCCTCATGCCACTGACCTGGCGTTTCATCACAGGCTAGGTATACTAAACGGAGACCTGGCTCTAAATCTGATGGCATTGTCGTCTGGTAATGCGACAGATGGTCTCCGGTGCCGGAATGGGCGAGAGTCTTCGCATGGACGACTCGTGTAGTTGCCTTCGTGCCTCGTAGTGCCAGTTCCTCAATGTCCTTGTGCTCTTTTCCTGCACCTTGGGAGGACTAAAATACCACCCAGCCTGGAATGGCCCTCGCGGAGCTGACTCGAATCGTTTGCAACTGGCGTGAGATGATTCTCGCCCTCAGAGACATCAGTGATCGGAACCACGTTGTAGCCTGGTCTGGTGTCATGAGGAGTGTGCCTGAGATAGTGGGTGACCGGACAGTCGGTTGATCAAGTGACTATCCTTTCATTACATATAATTGACCTCCGCAAATTTGTCTTCAAGAACAGCCTTCGACCTGGGTGAGCCCCATACCCGGGCAATGAACCACTCCAAACAGGCAAGCAGTTTCTTCAACTCAAAAAACACCCGACTGTGCCTAATAAGCACCTGGGAACTCGAGTACCAAGTTGCGGCGTTTCTGAAATAGCTTCAGTTTTTGTATTTCAGGTCGGCACTTCAAAACGGGCTTTCTTTTTTCTTTTTTGGGTTTTCTTCTAGACCCTCTTTCGAGAAAGTGGGTGCGGTGAGGCAGAAAATTCTTGCGTCTCTTAGCGGGCTGCGGGTTCGAGGCCAACCCGGGCAGCGCAGTAAAGACGGAGTCGACTCTTTGCCAACAGTTTCGTCGCCTGTAATATCTGGTTCGATGGAGACTGTCGACAATGCGATGGCAACTGGTGCATTGAGCAACTTGAGTCTTCGTGAGGAGACACTTGCTTGCTATTGCAATCATGCAATGTCTGATTTGTCGTGGGAATAGCATCTGATGCATGCTTCCATTCCATTCCAGTCAAGAGATAATCCCCAGTCGTCCTTCCCACTCATCTTCCTTTTTAATACCCTTCTCTTCTTTGGCCGCTCTCCTCTTTTCGTTCCTCTTTCTTCTCTTCTCCTCTCTTTCTGCCGCGTCAATCTCTTCAGCCTTTTTAATCCTCGCCTGAATGTCGAGCTGGCCCAGCATTTTCGCCTCTTCCTCCTGCTGTCTCTTCCGAGCCTTGAGCATTTCTAACCTCTCCCTCACATCTTGAAACGTCGCTCTTTTTACCTGCCCCGACTGCCCGGTGTTGATTAGGTGCTGCTTCGAGTTCAGATGTTCAATGTACTGCACGTTGTCCTTGTATGTCAGGTCGCAGGCCTCGCAGTAAAACCCTGCGCCTTTCCCCCTCTTACCAATTCCCGCACCCGCAGGAACAATCGTACTCTTCCCGACCATGCTCGCCACGTCCAGCCTTGAGCCACGCGCCGTCGTAGAGTCCAAGGAGGAAAAGTCCACGGGCTTGTGCCATTTTTTGCCCTCGAGTTTGGCTTCGTAGCGCGCTTTGGCTTCCTCGCGACGTTCTTCTTGCTCCTTTTTGGCTTTGGCTTCATATTCGGCGCGGTCCCAGGTGCGGCGGAAATCGGTATCAGACGCGGCGGCAGTGCCGTAGGCGGACTTGCGTTCGGCCATGGCGGCGTACCTTTGACTATGGAATGGAGATGCTCTAAGGAAGTGTAGGTATCTCGTGCGAGAAAATAAGGCAGTCGCGGAGCCCAGGAAAGGCAGATGCGGAGAAAAGCAAGATGCGAAATTTAGGGTCCTGCGATCGGAGAAGATTTCCGTGCGGAGGACGTCGATAGCGGCACCACCCAGCAAACTTGAATTTTAACAAGCAGCTACGACGAAGAGCTTTCACAAGAATTTAACAAGGTTTATCAAAAGAGATATTGGCTGTGAAATCAAGATTAATTGTATTGCACTGAGAGATCAAGGTGGAGCAGTCAAGGGTGGGCTTGCTGTGCTGTCCAGCTCGTTTCCATGGCTATTCCGTCGACCTCTGCAATATTCTTCGGCAACGACATTTCCAGCTCATTTGAAACAGACCTTTTATGCAACTTGGTCAGACGCTCCCGGCATGATAGTCTGCTGCCAACGTGCCTTGATCAGCGCTTCAAAGTTCCATGTATTTTCATCTTTTTCCCGTTGAGGGATTGCACCAGATGTACTCAAACCTGCTTCTGCATGACTTCACCATCTCCGGGCTTTGTTTGTCTTTAACGGTGGAAATCACGGGCAGATGATGTACCGCAAGGTAAGCTGGTTCTGCGGGTCCGCGTTGTCGTTGATGGCATATCCAATCTCGACGGGCAAGTTCATATTGGTCTCGGGGCTGTCGTCGATATTCAAGACCTGCAACTGAGCCAAGAATGTGTTCTGATTACCGGGGAAGTCTGATGTTCCTTGCACGATGAACTTGATGTCGCGGGAACCATAACCCTCGGCGCTAATCGGTGCGGGAGTCTCAGGAGGACAGAGGTATACGAAATTGACGTCCTTGCTGATGGTCTGGGAAACGGATGACGAGGGCAAGGTGACGTAGTTGTACAGAGCGTCGCAGGAGTTGCTGGTGTCGCCGACGGAGCCGCGGGATTCGACATTGATGTTGACTTCCCAGGTCATGCCGCATGGTGGTCCGACTGGATTAGGACTGATATTGAAGGTGAGATAGTCGGCGAGTGCGCCTGAGCCGGAGGTCTCGTTACGGGCTACCAGACTGGAAGCAGCTTCGGCACCATTGAGAGACGAGGGGATTGCGGTGGCATTGATGAGGGCCAGCAAGAACAGGAGAATAGGAAGCACGATGAGTTCCATGTTGGCGGGAAGTCTGTTGATGGACTTACGATCCAGCTGAGAGCAGTTGTTGTACAGGGAAGTGGTTGACTCCAGCGAGAGAAATGTTTTGTTACCTTCCACACACGAGATGTGAACACTAGATCGTGATTCATACCTGTCATCTATCTTTGCACGCTGAACGTGAATTCTCTCAGGTGTCATTCTTTGCAGGCCAGGGCAACACCGAGTACTTCACATGCTCAGCGTTGACTCCTCACAAATTGTCCTTTACACGTTAGTCAGGCCAAATAGCAACCTCCAGCCAAGGGTAAGCATCCTCTTCTTTCCTGCCTGGTGCTATAAGGAGAAGTCCGGCCACAGACAGGTCTCACAAGCTGTAATCTATATGCGGTCGTCGCCTACGGAATCATGGTAAAGCTATCCTTCACAGCCTGCTGCAGAGAGGAATTGCAATCAGTATAATATACATCCAGAGCCTGACAGGCTCTGAGGAGTGAGTGAGACAGAGGAAACCATCAGAAACGTCATCCTAGTATCAGTCGTAGGTACCTAGTTGGCTAGATTCCAGGGATTAACCCAGTTACAAGTATCTACGAGGTGTCAATGTACCTAGGTAGGTAAGTGACTCTAAAGTGAGGTATATCTGAACCTACCTACCTAGGTAGGTAGTCAAATAATACCCAGATCCACCTGGTGCCACCAGATCGGGCGCCTATCACGAATCACCAGTCCCTGGCACTCGGCTATCAAGTATAAGTGAAGTTAGGCGTCACCAAGTGACAGACTAGCGGCAGTCTCCGCATGCGCCAGGTACTGCGGAGAAGATACAAAAGGTTGGAGATATTTTTCTTTTCCATCGAGATAAAATTCACCAGGACCTGGAAATTTCATTGCGGCTCGACAAAGACAAGATGGCGTCGAAGACTTCACCGTTCGATCTCTCCAAATGCGCCAGACCCAACATCCTCAAATTGGAACCTTACAGATGTGCGCGGGAGTAAGTCCGCCCAGGCGCATTGCTGGTCTTTCACTGACTCACCTCCCCCAGCGATTACAAAGACGACGGCACCAATATCCTCCTTGATGCGAACGAAAATGCCTATGGCCCTGGGCTGGTCCTTGACAAGAATCGTGTGCACGGCAAAGATGACAAGACGACGGTCGACTTCCTGGGTCTGAACAGATATCCTGATCCACACCAACTCGAGCTGAAGGAACTCTTCTGTCGCCTGAGAAACACACATACCCATACAGACAAACAATTGAAACCAGAGAATCTGTTTTGTGGAGTCGGCTCAGATGAAGCCATCGACGCACTTTTGCGCTGCTTCTGTGCACCTGGAAAAGACAAGATTCTGACCTGCCCTCCCACATACGGCATGTACACGGTTAGCGCAGACGTCAACGATGTTGAGGTGGTTAAGGTCCCTCTCAACCCTGACAATGGCTTCTCGCTGCGGCCCCAAGAGATCCTGGACAAGCTCTCCTCTGATCCCTCCATCAAGATGGTATACATTTGCTCTCCTGGAAATCCCACCGCCGGTCTCATTTCAAAGGAAGACATTCAACAAATCCTTGAGCATCCAACTTGGAATGGCATTGTCGTTGTGGACGAGGCATACATTGATTTCGCACCTGAAGGGTCAAGCCTGGCGGAATGGGTGTTGGAGTGGCCGAATCTGGTGGTGTGTCAAACGCTGAGCAAGGCATTTGGCCTGGCCGGCATACGTTTGGGAGTGACCTTCAGCAGTCGCGAGATCGCAGCGCTGCTTAACAATCTCAAGGCACCATATAACATCTCAAGTCCAACCAGTGCCATTGCAATAGCAGCCTTACAAGAAGAGAATCTGGCAGTCATGCGACAATACCGCGAGAAGATCATCCAGCAACGCGAGCGACTTATTCGAGAGCTCCCACGTATTCCAGGCATTGGCCGCTTTAGAGGAGGGTCTGCCTCGAACTTTCTGCTGGTCGAGATTCTGGACAAACCGCGTGAAGAGGGCGGACAACCAGACAATGTGACGGCTTTGAATGTTTACGAGACCATGGCGGGGCAACGCGGAGTGGTGGTCCGGTTCAGGGGAAAGGAGTACGGATGCAAAGGTTGCCTGAGGATCACGGTGGGCACCGAGCAGGAAGTAGATCGCTTCCTTCAGGAGCTCAGATCTGTCCTGGGCCACATTTACTCTGCTTCATCGCAAGGCTCGAAAGTCAACGGAATCGACAAGGAGAACCAGAGTGAGGGGGAACGCGAGGTGGCGGCCAACAATGTGATATCATAAGCGTCACGGTTCCTTCCTAGTTGGTGCTGAGAGCTTGTCTAGGGGCTGCCTAGTAGGTGCCTAGAGCGAGTGGAGGCTGCTTAGACTTTTTGTTTTTGGCAGATCCCATGGGTTGCCCATGCCTGTAAGTCCCCATGAGCGGAAGGGGCCTTTTCTCCCAGTAGTGGATAACAGCTATGCCCAAATCCGATAGAAAGAAACAACACCTGTTTCTCCCTAATCCTGTCATATCCTGTCACATCCTGCCAACACATCGCTCTCGACTCCTTCACTGTCGTCCAATCCAGCACCACACCGCTTCCCTTCTCTCACTCTCACACACTTGCAGATCGGCTCCGATTTGCCTTGCAGCCTGGCGCTCGAGGTATTGCGCAGGAACACGGAACCACCCTGCACATCTGTCGTCCCCAACTTCCTGCCTTTGTGTGCCTTACGATAGGCCACAATTCCTCACAATTCTGCTGCCCTATGCTAGTGACGAGCGAATGATTGACATGCTATGAAGAGATACAGCCTCCGCAGCCACCTGCCTGTCAAGTCCTGCATCTTGATCTCATCATCCGCCCTGCAGCTGCGTGCAGTCATTTCCTCCCACTGCTATCGAGCCTCCGAGTTACTGTCCTTTCCACTCGACAACCGCTCTTTTGTCCCACTTTCGTCAGTCTCCGGCTGCGGTTGAATTGTCAATAAGGCTGGCCAGTTCACTCCTCGGTCACTCAGCCTTCACTCAGCTGCCCGATCTCCAGACGATACACAGACACTTCCGGACCTCCCGTTTCACGGTTTCGCGAAACCATGTTGATTGAGCTCAAAAGAAGGCAATTGATCGTCGCATTACATTCTTGAGGGACTGACGCCCCAAGGGTATTGGTGAATCATGGTCAAGGCAGATGTTAAACGGGACTACTACGCGGACTTGGATCTCCCTCCTACCGCTGATGCAGAGGAGATCAAAAAGCAATTCAGACTTCTGGGTAAGAGCAAAGAGTGGCGCAAACACCTGAGCTGAACTCACAGCGATGCAGCGAAACAATATCATCCAGACCGAAACCCTGGTCACGAAGTCGAGGTCGTGCCTAAGTTCCAAGCCGTTCAAGCCGCCCATGAAATTCTAAGCGATCCTGTAGAGAAGGCCAAATATGATGCTGGTCGGGCAAGACTGGCTGCTAAGACCGCCGCGACTGCTTCAACAGCATATTCTTCCGATCCTTACGGTCTAAGACCGACCAACTCCAAAGCGAGTCCTGCCGCAAAACAACAATTTCCCTTTCCTCCGCCTCCCAAGCCGGCGCAAAATCGTGCGCAGTTTCCCACGGCAAATCAGAAACAGCAGGCGTCTTCGGGTGCCGATAAGTTCAATGCGTTCACTAGAGGAGTACCACAATCATGGGATCGGGCGAAGTACGATGAGGCGCGGGCGGAGGCCGCAAGAGTTTTCCCTACCATGAGGCCTACATCTTCTGCTCAACAAATGCCACCACGGTCGACACCCAGGCAGGCCCCTACTGCTCCCAAACCCCCTTCCAACGCGGAAATGCCATACGTGCCGAACATACCGCCCACGAGTTTCCCGGGTTTATCTAGGACAGCAAGCTCAAGAAAGCCAGACTACCACAGCGCAGACGCGCCGCAGTTTCCTCGTTCGGCTTTCTCTTACGTTCAAGGGACGCGCGGGCAGCCGCCTCCCAACCCACATATCCATGCCCCAGACAACCAGTCCATGCGGTCGCCTCCCGTTTCTCGAGCTAGGCCTGCGGTCAGTCCTCTACGGCATGCCCGATCTTCTGACTATGACATGAGAAGCGATCTTCTTGGAGGTCGTCCGTCGTCAAGATATGCTGGAGGTGGCGGGGAACGAACAGACATCAATGGAGACGGCATACATCGTTCGTCCAGCGTTCGCAACTCACCAGTCGATGATCGGGGACCTTTTGGCAGGCCCTCGACTCGTTACGAGAGTATTCCACGTCATCGGAGTGCTAGTCCTGGGATGCGAAACGCAGGAATACATGCAGATTTCTCGGAGACCTCATCGAGTGAGGAAGAACCACTGCATATGCATCCCAGGCCGAAGGCTGTCCCTCGGAGCCGACCACAAGTCAGAACAGGACTCAGTTATGATGCAGACAACAACCCGGGTTTGACGGGTCAGTTCCCCAGTACTAACTATACTAGAATCGTCGATGACAGTCGTTATCACTACCCCCCTCCTCCCGAATCGAAAGAATCGACACGCAAACCGTTCCCAAGCATGACATCCCCAGATGTGGAGGCGCCCAAGGCTAATGTGTTTCATGGTGACGGAGGAGGTTCGGACAAACCCAAGTATGCTCCCTTTTTCTTGGATTCCCGCACATGGTCCCGAGGATACCGAAGTGGTGGTACTGCCCAGAGAGGATATTCCTTTAACGGCTTTCCGTCGTGGGCGGTCCCTTCGAGTGTTTTCCCGCAGGTCACGCCTCCCCGGTCTCATGGACAGAACAGTGACACCCTCAGGGCGGGAGGCAGTCGTGATTTCGTTCAGTCGTGGAACAATAGGACTAACCCAAGCTTCAGTAATGACTCGGCCCAACCGAAAGTCCAGACAACATTCTCGGCGGCGGATTGGCATGACAAGGTGACAGCCGAAGACATCTTCCGCCCGGATGAGTCTCAAACGCGCAAGTCCCCCTCGAAACTGAACCGAAACGGAAGTAAACCGACGTCGCGAGGAAGAGCACAATCGCGGTCGGCAGAGCACGAACCCGCTTCCCCGTCTGAGATTCCCAACGGTCACGGAGAAGACAAGTCGACGGCATTCCAACCTGGAAAGTTAGGTGATGACTGGGCTGCCAGAGCGACGGCGAGACAAGCCCCCCTCAATCCGAGGGCAAGCCCCGGATCCGACACGACGGACGATTCAAGAGATCGCTACATTGTGGTAGAAGAAGACGCAATGGATGTCGACACGCCGCCAACCAACGACGACACTAAGGCCCCTGCCTCGAATGGCATCAAATATGCAGTCAACGCGGGACCGCCCCGCGCCGAACCGAAGCGGCGGTCGACGAACGGAGGCGTGGACCTGAAGGATTTCGCTCAACAAGCTCCATTCGCGCCAACATCGGCCGGGCTCAAAGGCATGAAAGACGACCTCGAAACATTCCTGCCATTTGAGTCACGAGCGTCAAACGAGGTCAACCTCAACAGTACGCCGTCCGCACGGATCCGGGCCTTGAATCTCCCCAAACCACCCAAAATTGTCATTCCGCCGGCTGAGGATCGGTTGGACAAGACCAATTTTGCGCAGTACGTCGAGAATATGGAGCACTACATGGGCGAGTGGAACAAATTCAACGCGAAAATGATTGAGCATTTCCGAGCGCGGCAGGATCGCGTTTGCGGCACGATGAGCCCGCACTGGATTGCGCAGCCGAGTGATGGGCCAGGGGCAGATGCATTGGACGCAGATGGCTCTGGCGACAAGAAGGCAGGGTATGGGGCGTATATGCAGTGGCTGAAAGACGACGCGCAATGTCGGAACTGGTGGGAAGAGGCCAACGAAAAGCATTTGCAGTGTTTGGAAGATCTGGGAAGAACCAGGCAGGTTGCGAAGCGCACGTTGCGGCCTTGATGAACATGACACGGCCTCGTGAAATTTTGCTCGACTTCTTTCGAGATGGATATGGCACGAAGTTTTGGGCCATTGATACCAGCAATCTCAAGCCATGAGTGGCTTTTGGAGTGAGGGAGTAGCGCGCAGTGCGGACAAGATACCCATTTTGACCTTGTTGCCCCTTTGTTGGCACAGGTACCTTGTAGTGGTTAGATGGATGGGAACCTTGGAATCCTTCTGCGATAGTTTTCAGGAGACTCTGAATGTCTAGGGAGATTCTTGGTACTCGTACTCCTGGTACTGCAGGGTGTTTCTGCCATCGGCAAGTTCCGACGGAGGAGCAACCTAAGCTTCACCAAGCGTGCACCAAGCATGCAGCAAGCATGCCAAGCTTCGGGTGGTCGCTGGCCGCGGCGTCGGGCATTGCCTTGTAAGTTCCAAGTTGTCAGATGCTTGGGCTTGCGACGCTTGCTTATCACTCGGGCTCCTGGGGCTAAAAGGCAAGACCGCAGTTTGACCCGGTCGTCAACCTATCGCCGACGCCAATTGGAGCACCTCCTTGTGGGTGCTTGGTTCAGGCTTTCCCAGCCACGGCCAACTCACTGCACGCTCACTGCATCGGATGACTGGCTAACTTTAGTAAATGTAGGCTGGTCCAGTCATCCACCAGTCAGGCCGCGCAATCCCGCCTGGTGCCATGGGTCTGAAACCTGGAATGCGCCAGGAGCTTAAATTGACAGCTCAGCTACAAGTTCAGATTCAGCTCCCTTTTCTTTTTCCTCTTCTTCTTCTCTCTCTATCCTGAAGAGAACAAGCCGTGCATCTCGACAACACTCTCTTTTCCAAAGATACTCGCTCATCTCAACAGACCGTACAAGTCCTACGCAGACTCCTAGAAACACCATCAAGCGCAATGGACGCCGAAAATCAACAACAGAAAGCCCAGGCTCCTGAAGCCCAGACTGGGGCTGACAGTGCTATCTCCCAGCAACCCGTGAGTCGCCCGTGCATCGTACATCGATCTCGCACACCTATCCATTAAGATCCGCCGTCCCATTGCTGCCTTGTGGACATCTTTGATAGACCAAAGCGCTGACTTCTTCCTCAACAGGCCGCACGTGAATCTATGGATGCCAGCGGAGTCAGCAGCAAACTCGGTCTCCGAGGCGGTGGTGAGGGAGAGGACGTTTGCTGTGGCTTGTATGTCTTTATGATTCCCTGCTGATTCTATCGCCATGTCCTCCGTTCCGAGCAGCTTGGTACTGACACTCTCTGTACAGGTGCGCCGGATTTTTGTGCTTCGAATGCTGCAAGGATTGCTGCTAGATGTGCTACATTATCACAGGCAACCAGAATGCAGACACATGCATAGAGACCAGTGCCTTGAATCAACCAGCGATTGATACCCAATAGTCCATCCAGCAAACCTGTTCTAGCACCCCAGGACAGTTCAATTGACACATACTTCAAACTCGTCTCTATCTGCTCCATCACGCATTCGTTGTCTGTTATTTCCTCTTTGTGCTTACGGATCTTACCTTTCTTAGAATCTGTGAGACTGGCCTTTGGGATTCTGATCGTCTTTTGCCTCAGAGGGCAGTGACACGTGGTTTTCTTCTGACCAAAACCCTAAGGAGGTGGCTGTGTTGGACGCATCCTTCCAATCCCGAGCTATGCCATTTTAAATTGACAAAATCCTTCGACTCTGCGTCGTGCTCGGGCACGAGAAAGACCAGCTCTCTGCGCAAACATTCGAGGACTCTTTGCAAGGGGCGGGAACGTTGTGGTATATATGCTTCCACTCCTTTCTTGCCCGATATCTTCGTCTCGATCCCTCGTGTCCTTCCGTTGTCCTCGCCATTCAAGTGACAGCTTTATTATCATGTATGCCAGTTCCGGCGAGTAGGGTGGAGCTCAGAGCTCTCAAGTGAACCTCGTGTGCATCCCGAACTCTCCAAAAGTCACAGCTGTGCCTGCGAAAGGAGGCAGTATCTCTGCCAATAAATGCTGTTCCATTCGTATCTTGGGAATAGCGCATTCATGCTCAATTGAACATGCGCCGAATTGCTGCCAGATTCGCAGTACCAAATACCCTCACTACCGAGAAGCACTTGACCTTTCCGGTCCAGGCGACGAGGCGGTTCTGGCCCCTTGCAGCACCCCCGTAGAAACAAGCAACCTCGTCTCCGTAGTCACGCGCTCACGCGACCCTCCATCCATGTTCAATCCAGCTCCATCTGCTTCGGAAACTGATCACAAGATAGATACCACTCAGCCGACCATCATGGACAAGGCGATAACTGTATCCCAGCTTTAAGTGCCTGCGCCGCTGCGTCCCGGCGACTAAACCACACATTCGAAACCACGACGGGCGACGGTGGACATAATGATGGCTCCAGCATCCACGTCCGCCTGGCCATCAACGAATCCTCTGGTTGGCGCCTTCTGCCACTTCATCGGCCTGGACTACTTTTACGAATGGCAACGATGGGGCAACTGGGGCCATTTTTTGTCCCTGTGTGGACTGGTCGATACCAGCAGTGTGCGGCAGCTGCACTGGAATATTAATACTTGGACCGACGACGAGGTGTTGGCGTGGAAGCAGTCGTACATGACGACGTGTTCGTCGATTGAGGTTGCTGTAAGCATTATTCATGCTCCCCCTTGGGGGAGGTCGACGACTCATTTGCTCATCCAAAATGATATTAATGAATGTAGGGCGCCATCTTCGCCAGCGTCGGCCTTACAGCCCTCCAACTCCCGAACATGGATTCAACGCACTGGAGCGCGCGGGCCTTGTTGACATGCTCGATGATCCTGGGCGTGTTGTCCGTGGTGTTTGCCGCCTCGCAGCAGTCCGACATTGGCATGCTCAACAAACCGCTCGACATCCGACTGTTCCTGTCCCGGGGCAAAGTCGAGCTCGAGAAGCGGCGGCGGTACCGCAAACCCTTCATCCTTCTCCCACTCGAGAGTTCCGTCGCGGCACTGAAGCAGTTCGACCTGCCCAGATTCGCGCTCAACATGGCCGTGTTGCTGTACATTGTCGGCCTGGGCGTCTACCTCCTCTACGCGTGGCTATACCACGTCGAACCCGCGGGAGGGAGGGACGACTTTCGCAACATCTTCATCGCCTTCGCCGCCACCGTGGGCGTCGTCTATCTCTACGTCTTGGGAGTCGGCGCGTTGGCGTACGCGGATTCCCGCAAGCGCACCGAGGACTTTGATCTCGATCGCACCACCACCTTTGCCAAACCGGCGTCGCAGACCCAGTTGGAGGAGTGGTTGAGGGCGCTGCAGGACATGCAGAGTATGAACTCGGAGAGCGGCAATGTCTATATCAGGTTGCAGGCGGCGGTTAATGACTTGCAGGCCAAGTGGGAGGAGGATAGGCAGGAAAGTCAAGGGAGGAAGAACGCTTTGCGGACGATGGGGAGGAAGAGGAAGAGGCCTGCGAGTGCGGGACGGGATGCGTGAAGTGACAGACACATTGGCTGGTCTATTTCAAATCTCTTGATTTGATGTCTAGTCACTAAATCTCTTTATTTGATGTCTAGTCACTCTTGTCCCTTTTTTTTGGCGACACTCCCAGATGCATCGAAAACCCACCGGAGGGTCAGGCATTGAAGCAGCAGCACCACCCGACGCTCCTTCAGACCATCGCGACCACGACTTCCCACGGCCTCAGCAGAATCGCCCAGCCTTTCTCGCCGTCTTTCCGCACCGCGTTACCTCCCTCCCCGTTTCGCGTATTGTAATTGCGAAACTCCTCCAGGATAGCGCCTTTCCTCAGCCCAGCTCCGTCAAACAACACCTGCCCTGCCCTGGTCGTTGGAGGCGGAGTCCACCATATCTCCTCGCCCGAGAAGTTTGTCACGACAAGGCACGTTTTGTACCTGTCGACTTTTTCTCCTGTGGCCTGCTGCGCGTCGGGGTGGTTGTCTGCAGAATCGTCTGTCCTCAAATATGCGACGACGTTTCCGAACTCGTTGTCCAAGTCCAGCATCTCGAAGTCGCCGTAGACGAAGATGTCCTTGTGCCGCTTGCGGAGTCTGAGTATGCGCTGCCAGTAGTGGAATGCGCTGTCGTGGTCGGCGAGCTGCGCCTCGGCGTTCCATTCCGCAAAGTCTGGGTGGATGGACATCCAGGGTTTGGCGTCCTTGGGGGCATCCTCCGGGAGGAACCCGGCGTAGGTGTCTGCGTCGGCGGTCCACTGCATCGGCGTCCTGGCATTGTCGCGTCCAATGAGCCGATATTGCCTCCTGTAGGCGGCCTGTTTCTCTTTGTCGTTGGGAAAATCTCGCAGAACTGTCTTCCAGTGATTGAGTGCCTCAATGTCTCTGTACTCATCCATGCCCCAACTCTCTGGCACGTTGATCTGAGCAAGTTCTTGGCCCTGGTACACAAAGATCGTGCCGGACAGGAGACCCAAGTGTGCAGCAAGCAGCTTGGCTGACTTGGTGCGATACGCGTCGCTGTCGTCGCAGTACCTCGACACTGTACGTCCTTGGTCGTGGTTCTCCATAAACACGGCATTCCAGCCGGCATTCTGAAGCATGAATGATTGCCATTTCGACACAATGTGCTTCAAGTTGCGCGGATCAAAGTCCTGGTGGTCCCACTTGATCCCGCCGGGCTTGACGTCCATGCCTACAATGTCGAATTGAAACACCATCGCGAGCTCGCCGCGGTCCTGTCTGACGGCCTTGAGGATTTCTTTCGTGTCCTCGACGCCGGGCATCTCGCCCACGGAGAAGGCTTCGTATTCTTGGAGAATGGTCCCGATCTCTCGCAAGTATTCGTGCAGCCGTGGACCACAGGCATAGTGTTTCACACCAGATTGCAAGAAACCAGGCCGTGTGACTTCTCCGTCTGGCAAGCCTGGATCCTTTGATATGAAGTTGATGACATCCATCCTGAACCCGTCGACCCCACGGTCGAGCCAAAACCGCATCATGGCATGCACTGCGTCCCGGACCTCGGCGTTCTCCCAGTTCAGGTCAGGCTGCGCACTTGCGAACAGATGGAGGTAATACTCGCCCGTCGCCTCGTCGTAAGTCCAGGCAGAACCAGAGAAACCTGATTCCCAGTTGTTGGGCGGAATGCGGTTGCCATGGTCGTCGTGGCGTGGCGGTCGCCAAATGTACCAGTCGCGATATGGGTTGTCTGTTGAGGAGCGCGATTGCTTGAACCACTCGTGTTGGTCTGACGTGTGGTTGACAACCAGATCCATGACGTATTTCATACCACGATCGTGCAGGCCCTTGATAAGATCATCGTGGTCTTCCATCGTGCCATAGCCGGGATAAATAGCACGGTAGTCTGAGATATCATATCCCATGTCAACCTGTGGAGATTGTAGGATGGGACTGAGCCACACAATGTCCACTCCAAGGCTGGCGATGTAGTCCAGCTTTGAGATGATGCCGCGGAGATCGCCTTTTACAGTGCCCGAGGCCTTGTCCACGGTGCAATTGGCTGATTTGAAGGATGCTGGATAGATCTGGTAGACGGAGGATTCTTTCCACCAGGCACGGCGAAGAGGCGGCTTCAACGTTCCAACTTGTGATGTATTTGCCATTGTGACCACCTGCACAGTCGAGATAGTACCAATTTCGCAGCGTCTAAGACGTGTATATAGGAATTTCCCTTGCAGCCGAGAATTTCTCCGAGCTCGAATCAATTGCGAAGCCACCGGGTGCCACCTGTTCATCGGGATGATGAGGTCAGAGTGTGTCTTCTAGGACAAGTGTACCTCCGAGACTAATGGGTCCATTTCTAGCTGAAAGGAAGGACTAAGTCACACGGCAAAAACCCAATGCAATGGTGGCGTAGTCGTCACTCTACACGTGACAGTGACCGACACAGACTTCAACGCATCGCCAGATCTTGGCGGGTACAAGAGGAAGTAAATCCACGCCGAGCTCACCTCCTTGAGGGTGAGACGGTAAGCCTTAATGAAGGATGCAGGACGTCCCTCACGAGGTGGGTCAGTCGAAGAAACATTCATCAATGGTGACGCAGGCATACTTCGGCATTTATACCCGGACGATATGTGCATCCGAACCAAGAAACTCGGCCAGTTCGTGTTGGATGATTTCTCGTTCAATTCCATCTGCTGAAAACGAATATTCCGCGTACGGGTACCGTCTGTCACCTTCTCGGTCATAGAATTCTCTTTCTCTCATCCGGGCATACAAATCAAGCATATTGGGTGCGCTCATAGTTCATTGCCGCCGCAGAGCCGTGCTGCTGTCTTGGTGCCACTATTTCCTGCGGCGGCCGCAAACGTGTCGCTCTTAGGGAAGACGCAAAGGTAAGAAAGACATGCGATGTCCCACACCTGGTGGGACGCGTTCTCTCGAGCAAAATCGGGACGCCACCGCTAAGGGTACGATAAGGCTGAAAATCAGAGCTGGTCCAAGAGCGTGGATTTTCTGGGTCAGAGTCGGCGGAGAGCGTCGATTAAATCGTCGGAGTATTTAGACACGATGGTATCCCGGCACTGAAGACGACAAGGACGAATACTGCGCGAGCGAGAAGTCGAAGTCAAGGTGGTCATGGCCGTGGTGAGGCGGTCCAGGCTGTCTCAGCCCTACCAGCGAGGCTGTGATTCGTTTCACCTTCCCCCCTGGGACGCCCACCCAGCCATCCAAACGGCCATTCCTGGCAGGAGAGAAGCTTCCCTTAAGCGGTCAGCCCTATGATAAGGGTGCTTCTCCCTACGTGGCCGGGGATATTTACTGGGTTTATCAGGTGAGTTATCCCATCGTGTCACACCGATTGGAGGCCCAGCAGAGGAATTGCCAGTAGCTGACCTTACCTTGGATTTTCTGGCGTAAGCGCGAATGATGAGACCTCTCACTGCAAATTTGATTGTAAAGAGCGAGCCATCATGGTGCCTCTCTGTCAGGGGTTGCCGTCTTATTTGCCGGTACCTCGATGGAGAACCGATGCAATATCGGCATAGCGAACCATACCTTTTCTTTTTGTCCAGATGTCATATCAAGCTGGTGTGATCAACGCGTGTGTCAACCGTCCAGACCCTGGTTAGCTGACAGCCCGCGACGAGTGTGCACACTCATACTCCTTACTGTTCGACTGTCCTTCCTGCATATTAGAGTTGAAGCTGCGGATCCATTCCTCTTGTTGACAAAGTTGAGTTTCGTGCTTTGAGATCTGGTTGATGTCCGCGGGCGTCTCCGCGGGCATCGATCAGGACTGCTCAGGCCCTGATCTAATTCTTGCTGTTCCTCTTCTCCACCTGCGGCTATGGTATCGGCTCCGAAGGCTACCATGTTTCTGGCAGCGGTGTCGTGTCGAGCCATAATAGAGGCGCAGAAATCCTCTGCAGGTGTTTTGGAATGCCTTTATCCGGGACAGCAATACTACGAAACACCAGTGTCTCGCCTAAAGGGCCACAAGAGGAGACTCACTGTTCGTGAAGACGTGAGGGGTAGGGTCGATTGACAATGGGTTCTGTCGCAAAATCGTAAGGCGCACTCTTCTCTTCGCCATCTCGTTGGCGACGACAACAACTTTCACTAATCCACGTGTAGCAATGGTTCTTACACCACATCATTTGCATTTTTCGAGGCCATTTGGGAGGTAGCATTACAGCTTCTGTACACGCAGCCTTCCTTATACTGATCAACATTAGGCCGGCATCACACACGTTTTTGTAAACCTGGGATCCGACCATCCGTCTATTCTCGAAGCGATCGTGAAAGGACAAAATGAGGGGCGCAATGGCAACTTCCCAAGGATTATCACATGTCCTAATGAGGTATGCGACAAGCAGATTTTACACAAAGGAGGGCATCTCTAAGTCTTCTCTTAGATGGTAGCATTATCGATGGCCGACGGCATGGCACGACTGACCAATAAGCCACAATGCGTGATTGTTCACGTTGATGTCGGAACCCAAGGGTTGGCGGCTGCCGTTCACAACGCATCTTGTGGACGAGTGCCGGTGTTGATCTTCGCTGGACTTTCACCTTATACCATCGAGGGAGAGTATCGAGGCTCACGCACCGAGTATATCCACTGGATTCAGGACGTTCCGGACCAAAAACAGATCATTGCTCAATACTGCAGATACACGGGAGAAATCAAGGGTGGCCGAAACGTAAAACAGATGGTGAATCGGGCACTGCAATTTGCAACAAGTGATCCACAAGGCCCAGTCTATCTCTACGGCGCGAGAGAGTCTATGGAGGAAGAAGTACGTTGCGCTTTTCGACCTCTACTTCATCAAATCCACTAACTGCTGATAGATCGAGCCTTATTATTTAGACCAAGAAGTATGGAAGGCGGTCGACCATGCAGCATTGCCACACACCGCAGTTCAGACGATTGCCGAGGACCTTATCAAGGCTAACGAACCACTCCTCATCGTTGGATACACAGGTCGAAATGTCGAGGCGGTTGATGCTACCATTACTCTCGCGAATAAAGTCCCTACGTTACGAGTTCTAGATACTGGCGGATCCGATATGTGTTTCCCCGCTGACCACCCCGCGGCCCTAGGGCTCAGATATGGTATTGACCCAGCAATTACGACGGCAGATTTTATACTCGTGATTGATTGCGATGTTCCCTGGATACCGACGCAGTGTAACCCTAAGCCGGGTACTAAGATTGTTCACATTGACGTTGATCCCCTGAAACAGCAGATGCCGGTCCACTATATCCCTGCGGTTGCGCGATATAAAGCGCATGCTGGTACTGCTCTGAGTCAGCTTAACGATTATCTTTCCGCAAGTGTCGAGCATTCGGATTTCCTATCGAGTACCGAGTATTCGTTTCTCACCGAAAAACGATCCATCCTGCACCGGACCCGTCGTGATCAAATCAAAGATCTGGCCAAGCTCCCGACGGACCTTCAAAGCCCGATCGATCCTCATGTGCTTGGTGGACAAATCAGAGCAGCAGTTCCTCATGACTGCATTTTTGCCGCAGAGGCCGTCACTTTAGCCACGGTGATTTCAGATCAGATTGGTGCGATTCTACCCAAGAGTTGGATCAACTGCGGCGGTGGGGGACTCGGTTGGTCTGGAGGTGGCGCGTTGGGTATAAAACTTGCATCCGATTTCGAGCACCGTGATCAGAATGCGTTGACGGGGACCAACAAGGGAAAATTCGTCTGCTCCATTGTCGGAGACGGGACTTTCCTATTCTCGGTACCAGGATCTGTTTACTGGATTGCTCAGCGATACACGATACCCACCTTGACGATTGTCCTTAACAACCATGGATGGAACGCGCCTCGGCGATCCATGTTACTTGTTCACCCTAATGGGGTAAGTCTTGTCACCTTTTGTCAAGGTGACTTGTCCATCGTCTTCTCATTGTGCTAATTCTCAAACAGGAGGGAAGTAAAGTTGACAACAAGGCCCTGAATATCTCGTTCGATCCGACACCGGATTACCCCGGTATCGCCAAGGCTGCAACGGGTGGAAAAGCATGGACTGGGACGGTCAGTACGGTGGCGGAGTTGTTGGAACAGTTGCCCCAGGGTGTGGCGGCCGTGAAGGCGGGTCGATGTGCAGTGCTCGAGGTCAAGCTCGCAGATACCACCGCCCCCCCAGTCACCAAATAGACGAGGAGAGTACTTGAAAGCGTGGCGATTTCAACCCGCCGGATCGTGTCTCTCATCAGGGAGAGGTTCTGGCTCCATTGTCATCTCACAGTCCATTTCCCAGAGGGCTGGAATAGATATATCCAATAGTTTCAGACGGTACAGAGCCACTCAGATTGATGAGCATCGAGTTCGGTTGTCGCATATGGCACTAGGCCAGGTCGGGGTTAGCCTGACATCGCACACCTTTTTATTCTATTTCGCCGAGTCACAGACTCTCTCTTCTTCTTACTCCTCAGATAGACAGAAGACTCAACAAACAAACCCTGCCATTGCGGCAACCTTTTACTTGTTCTTTTGTTGTGGGCTAGAGCTTGACCTATTCATTTGTTGTCTTGCAACATCGGTGGCACGCCTCCAGAAATTGCCAACACGCTTTCCTGATCGCTGACAACATGTCTTGAACAAGCCGCTGGATCAGCCTTCAGAAGTCTCCCAAGCATTCCAATGGTTTTCTTATGCTAGCTTCGCTCTGGCACACCTTCGCATGCGACCGTCTCTCCATGGTCCGTCCATACCGGGGCAATGCCCCGTGGCAGGGCATAACGCTGCGAATAGTGGACTCCAAAGTTTTGTTTCCACGGCTCATTGGCACTCGCATTCCAGCTCGAAGCCGACTGCCACGACTTGTTGAATTCCAAATCACATAGACCCCTAAAGCCGTGGCATCTGGGCGCGTTCATGTCAATGCCGCCGCGACTCGTTCATGGGAAGCTTATTTGACCACGTCTCCGCGGCACCGTTCGGAGGTGGGCCCATGGACGTCTGACGCGGCAAGTCCTTCGCAGTAGCCTTACTAGCGGCACGTAGACACTCTTGGGAAACCCGCAGTGGGTACCGACTTCCCCGGACCGAGGGGTTTGGGGACGATAGTCGTCCTGGGACCGAATCACAACAACTAGAAGACCCTTATTCTTCAGGTCTATATAACTTTGGCATCTGGACAGCTCTTGCGCTCATCGACTCCAGGTTTCGAAACTGCTTCTTTGAGCTTAGAGAACCACTTTCGTGCTCAAGATGAGTCAATCACCAGTGGTCGGCGATAGTGTGCGAGTCAACGACAAGGATGGGGTGATCCACTGCGAAGATCAAGAACTTGGATCTGTCGATGACAAGGCAGGCACCAATATGTATCAGTATGTCCTGACCCTCTCCTAGCCCTGTGAACAAAGATACTGGTGCTGATGGTGGGCCACAGTGAGAGTGAAGCTCTTCCTGAATTCGACCCCAAGGTCCTGAGGAGACTACGGCTGAAAATTGACCTTTGGACCGTCCCCATGATCTTTCTGATCTCTGGCCTGGCCTTCCTCGATCGTGCCAACATAGGTAAGTGCTATCAATGCGACCTTGTGGTGCTTGTAATGATGGCTGACCTGTTTGAAAGGCAATGCTCGACTCGCCGGACTGGAGAAGGACCTGGGCATGCAGGGAAACGACTTCAACATTGTGCTGACGATCTTCTGGGTCGTTTACATTGTTTTGGAAGTGCCCGCTCTCGTCGCATGCAAATACTTTGGTCCTGGATGGTTCCTGCCCGCCATGACGGTGGGGTACGGCTTGATGTGCCTCCTCCAAGCCTGGGCGCATAACATGGCCCAGATGTGTGCTTTGAGGGTCATGATCGCCCTCTTTGAAGCTCCCGTGCTCGCTGGTTGCGCTTACTACTACTCCCGCTGGTACACCCGTGCCGAGCTGACTTTCCGTCTGGGTTTGAGCAGCACGGCGGGACCGATCATGGGTGCCACCAGCGGTCTGGCCGCATCCGCCATCTTGACCTTGGACCACTTTGGTAGTCTGACCCGTTGGCGAATGATATTTGCCATTGAGGGAATGATCACCCTCATCATCGCGGCTTTCTTGTTGGTTCTCTTCACGGATCGTCCGGAAACGGCTCGATGGCTGACCGAGGAAGAGAAGAAGATCGTAATTGCCAGGATCAAAGCTGAACGTGTCGCTACCACTGAGGTCCTTGACGGAATCGATAAGGCGAAACTTCTTCGTGGACTCATCAATCCAGCCGTCATAGCGGTCGGCTTTATCTTCTGTCTGACCAACATCACCGCCCAGGGTTATTCATTCTTTCTCCCGACCATTATTAAGTCGATCTATCCCAACAAGAGTGTGGTTCACCAACAGCTTTGGTCTGTTCCGCCGTACGCCGTGGGCTTGATCACCAATATTGGAGGCTCATACCTCTCCTGGAGATTCGACCGCCGGATTATCGTCATGGTCGCGCTCCTCCCACTGGTCATTTTAGGATACGGCATCTTCTTGGGCACCCTGGATTCTCAAGCCCGGTATGGCGCTACCGTCATCATCGCCTTTGCAATTATGCCATTCCAAATCCTCTGCCAATCGCAAGTGGCCGCCAACGTGGTATCGGATACGGCTCGCTCCTCGGCACTCGCTCTCAATATCATCATCGGCAACATCGGAGGCCTTATCTCTACCTGGGCATTCACGGCTTCTGATGCACCACACTATATCCGCGGAAGCGGCCTCAACATCGCCAGTGCGTGCACATCTTTACTTTTGGCCATTGGCGTCATCTTTTGGATGAAATGGGACAACAAACGTAGAGCTACCAAGGACCCCGAGGCGGAGCTGAGTGGCCTCTCTCTCAAGCAAGTTCACGACTTGGATTGGGCTCATCCCGGTTTCCGGTGGAAACCATAGGTGATACAACATTCTTGGCTAGAGAAGAGAACTATCCCGAGCGTCATGTGCGGGAACATAGCTTTTCCCTTTGTCATGCAGAAAAGTCGGGCCAGGAACAGAAGTTCGTGTTTTATTCGACTTGTTGCGTCGCAGATCCAGGGTTTTGTCACGTACACACGCAATATAGGTTACAGATAACCATGAGAAGTTACAGCCTCACGCTGTCATGAGCCTAGCTTGTATACGGCTGCGCTTGGAGACACAGATCTGGGGTCCGCGGAGGTGCTCCCGAATATCTTTGTCGGCATCTTGAGTTGCTTCACAGTGAATCCGCTTAGGAACTGACATGCATTGCGCTGAAGTTAGAGAAGCTGATCCATGACCTTTTGACAGACTGGTCCAACATATAAAGTCTTGATTGCCATTCTGCATATACTGAAGGGATCTACGCCGTCACCATCATCTGCAGCGTCGAAAGCTTCCTTGTTTTGGCATCTCTCTTTCTAGGCCGGGATTTCTCAGGAATTCGAGCTTCGTTGTGACTGCAGCAATCGCCATAGCAACTGAGGATGGCTGGCGAGCGTCTACCTAACGAATATACCGACGTCGTTGTGGTAGGCTCTGGGGTTGCCGGGCTTTCGGCGGCTATCGAAGCAAGTGTCAAGCATGCCAACGTGCTATTGTTTGAATCACAAGACACGATTGGAGGGACTTCGACGGTGAGTGCAGGAGGCTGTTGCATTGTGGATACGCCACTTCAACGCCGTGCTGGCATCCACGATACAGTTCAGGGTGCGCTCTTGGAGTGGTTTGCGCTGGGTGGTCCGACGGTAGACCAAGCCTGGGCGCGACAGTACGTGGAAAACAGCAAGACGTTCGTCTACGATTGGCTTGAGCAGCTGGGTATACGATGGACCGATGTCAAGCAGCCCGAAGGAAACAGCCTTCCTCGTTGGCACCAGCCAGAAGGTTGGGGCAAGGCCGTCGTGCAAGCCCTTCTCAAACGGGCACACGGTCTTGGGGCCGAGGTCAGGACACAATCACGGATACAACGTCTACTCGTAAACAACAATACGGTATCTGGGGTGGAAGTCGAAGCGAAGGGCAAGACATACAGGGTCATCAGTCCGGCCGTCATTGTCTGTACGGGTGGGTATGCAAGCAACATCACGAAGGTGCTGGAATGGTGTCCAAGGCTGCGAACAATACCACGTCTGCTCGGCGGCGGCGGAGTCGGTGCTCTCGGCCAAGGGCATGATATGCTGCAACGAGATGCAGATGCCCAATTCTGCTGTCTAGACCACATCTGGTTGTATCCGGTCGGCACTCCAGATCCAACAGACCCCAGCGGAGCCCGTGGCATTGCACCTCGCCTGCTTCGGGGCGACATCTGGCTCAACAGTCGAGGGGAGCGCTTCCATGACGAGTCATTGACGGGTCCCCGCGTCGGCTCGGTGGCCTTGTTGAACCAGCTTGGCCAAACCGCGTGGATGGTCTTTAGTGCGCCGGAAATCAAACATCTCCAACTATACAACAACGAGGCTTACTTCCCTCCTCCCTCCGATGGCCAAGACCTTCCCGCCAAAAGATCCTTTTGGGCAGACTCGAAGTATGCATGGCGGGCAGACAATATTGAAGAGCTTGCAGAGGTCATTGGCTTACCCACAGACGCAACTCGGTCCACCATCGATGCCTTCAATGCAGACGTCGCCGCGGGACTCAGCTGTGACTCCCAGCACGGTCGCCCGTTGCAGGACGCAGTTCCTCTAGAACGGAACCTGGCGGCGATCCAGATCTTTCCCATGGCACAAAAGACATTTGGCGGAGTGCGCACCGATTTGAAATGTCGAGTGATGGGTCGCTCTGGTGACTGTGTCCGCGGTCTGTTCGCGGCCGGGGAGGTTGCTGGGATGGCTGGTGGCTGCATCAATGGCAAGGCTGCCCTCGAGGGCACCATGTTTGGTCCCTGCCTCTACTCTGGCAGGGTGGCAGGCATGACTGCGGCGTCCTACGTTATACAGTCCCTACTTTGATCTGAAAATGACTGCGCACCTCAAGCTAGGCCACAGACTGGGCTCATCATAATCAAAACCTTCATCCCCTCTAAGTTCGCCCTAGTCCGCGAAACTTCGCCCTTGTCCGCGGCAGTCCTCGGAGTCTGAAAGTGTTTCATTGGGACTCCAACCGTGCAAAGAGTCCGAGACTTCAGATAACGACTGCTTGCGAGCATGGCCACAGTCCATGGACAGTGGTTCTCATCACTCAAGGACTTGGTCGATCGACGTGAGGCCTGGCCAAACCCGAGACTCGAGATGTGGAGATCAGTGGTGCCACTGAACATGCAGGAGCCTCTAGCTGGTGCACATCTATATATCGGTTTCGAAATCAGGAAAGACCACAGTTGATGGCGCCGTGTCATCATCCAGCATGGGTACCTCCAAGTATCCCACAAGGCTCACCAACGTCCTAACGACCTTGCCAGGAGCATTGCCTGCTCGAAATGTCCCTGTCGATGCGAACTTGACCGACATTGTCACCAGATTCCTACAATCCTTCGAAACCTTGCGCTCAGACGACTTCTGTCCCGATGCACTATGGCGAGATTCTTTCGCGCTGAGCGGGACGATAAGGACCTTCTACTCTGGGCCTGTAATCGCTGCAGCCTGGGAGCATCTTGCGCAGCATCACTCGCCATGCGAGCCTCAGTTGTTGAAGGACTCATGCGCGATTGCTTATGCCGGAACTGATTCGTCCTGGATCGATGCGCGATTCAATTTCAGGACCAACGGACCGCTACCAGCGATCTGTTCTGGATTCCTATCGCTTGCTTATGAGAAAGATGGGTCGTATAAGATTTGGGTGCTGCGAACCATTCTCGAAAGATTCATCGGTTACCCTAGTGCGGACACTATGGCACGAGAGAAGACTTTGGGCCTTCAGCAATCGACCAAAACGGAATACCAGTGTCTGGTGATTGGTGGCGGCGCCGCTGGCTTGAGCACCGCTGGCCGTCTCAAGGCACTGGGTGTTGACTATCTGATCCTGGAGAAACTGGCCCACGTTGGTGACAGTTGGGCCTGCAGATACAACGCCGCCAGGTGTGAGTTTTGTCTTTGGATTGCTTCAGTTTGTCGCAAATCTAACCAGGAATCCTAACTAGTGCATGGCACGAGACATACGGCCCATCTGCCGTTTGAAAGAACTTTTGACGAGGAGTATTCCCTCTACCCATCCAAAGACGAAGTGGCCAAAGGCTACCGGGTATGGGCGGAGCGATATGGTATCGTGGGTTTCTGGTGCCTTTCTCCCGGTGCTGGTATCTTTGGGCTAACGCACCCGGCTATGCAGAACATCTGGCTTTCCACTGTCATCAAGGGTGGCTCTTGGAATGCGGCAAAACGACAATGGACCTTGAACGTAGTCCGCAATGGGCACGACATATCCCTGACCGCCAAACACATCGTCATGGCTGTCGGTGGCGGTGGACATATCCCCTACATGCCCGCGTTCCCGGGTCGTGTAAGTGTCACGAGTCACAACCACCATCACCAAGCTCACCATTTATACCGCAGGAATCATACAAAGGTGATGTTTTACATTCGTCTGCTTACAAAGATGGCTCTCCCTGGAAAGGAAAGAGAGGTATTGTCATTGGCGCTGCAAACACAGGTAAGTAGTCGGAGTTGTGCACCCATTTGCATCCGCGCCGGCACGTTCAATGTTAATAACGACCCTCCCAGGACACGACATTGCTGAAGATCTGTATGAGCATGGTCTGTCAGTGACGATGATCCAGCGTGGTCCAACATGTAAGTTCAAAGAGCTTGAGCGGTCTGAAGAGAGACCTCTTGATATCGTCGACTTTCACGAAGCTGACTTGGCGCCTGCAACAAACAGATATGGTCCCACTTGATTATCTCGCGCCCGTAATGGATGGTACGTTGAGAAATTCCCGCCTGCACCTCTCCAAGCTCGATCGAGGAAACAACCGCTGAGGGAAAATGACCAGCCGTTTACAATGCCGATTTCGATGTCGAATTGGCCGACCGCATTCACTACTCAAGCCCGGCCGCGATGACTCGGGAGCGATCCAACAAACTCATCCACTCCCTGGTGAGAGCCAATGCCGAACGGTTCGATGCTCTCGAGCGCCAAGGATTCAAGCTCGTGAGATTCGGTGACTTCTTCCATCATCAGACCGAGAGACAGGGTGGACATTACGTCGACATTGGCACTTCGGCCAAGATTGCTGATGGCAGGGTACGTTGGAGGACTGGCCTGGCCTGGCGCCTGCTATTCCATTAAACCAATGCTCTCTCTCATTTTCTTTCTAATTCACGAAGGTGCAAGAGCTAACGGGCTTTTATTGAACAGATCAAGGTCAAGTCTGACGCATTCATAGACGCGTACACACCCGAGGGCCTCCACTTTAGCGACGGCACCGAGATCAAGGCTGAAGTGGTCGTGTTTGCCACCGGGTTTCACGGCAACATGCGGCAATTCGTCGCCGACCTCCTAGGCAACGACATCGCAAGCGGCATAGAAGACTACTGGGGGTTGAATGCCGAGGGCGAGCTCGAAGGGGCTTTCAAACCGACAGGCCGTAAGTTTTGTCCCCTCTCGTTTTCCCCCAACCCTAATCCGCGCGGTTTGAATAATGCTCTCGACCAAGAGTCTAAAATACCTACTTATGTCTTGACTACTAGATCCCGGATTGTGGTACATGGGCGGCGGCTGTGGTCACGCACGTTACTTTTCACGCTTCGTCGCCCTGCAAATCTTGGCCGATGTGCAAGGGAAGCCGCTCAAGATATACAAGGACACACCAAGCCCCTCCATCAATGCGGCTTCTTCTCCTCCTCCTGCTCCTGTTCAAGTCGCTCAAAATAGATCGGCTCCGTCCAGCAGGGTGGACGACCTAGTTGTCACACCTAACGTTTTGGGCTTGCAGCACCAAGAAGGGATCACAATATGACGATGGCAAGTTGTCGTCTATGGGAGATGCAGACCGTCGGGTTTATAACAGAATATAAGCACTAGAACTGGGCACAGGTTGTGAGGGCTTCACGTGATACCATATAATACCCCAGATACAATATCTAAAATTGTCTCGACCCTTTTTCTTTAAACAAGGCTTTGCCACCTTTCTGTATCGAGATCTTGTTGACGACTGTAATATTACCAAGATTGGTTTTCTGACACAAAAAAAGAGGCAGGTATGTCAATCTTAAGGGAGTATGCAAATAGCGCTCTGTACACGTTCAAACAGATCAAATCGGGCAGTGACTTGTTCCCCCATCGGAGGCGCGGCAATGAGAGAGACCTGAGTTTCCAAATATTCAAGTATCAGGGACAAACACAGTCACGCCTAAAAGCCCGCCCGGGACTGCTGAACCCCGAGGTCACGGAACATGTCTTCCCAGGGGAAGTTGGAAGGATCGGACCCGTCTGCATCGAGGCAAGGGAACCACAGATTCGGGCTGCCGCCGGGTTGCCTCCACGGCGCAGTGAATGTCGAAGGGTCAGATGGCGGCACCATGCCCGACGCGTCGGATTCATTCTCTGCAGCCACAACTACGTGCGAGACATCGGGAGGCAAAGGCAGATTGCGCGAAGAACCTTGCCAGCAATCCGGGTGGTCGTCCACGGAAGACCAGGCAGTAGAACATTCGAACGCAGCATGTTGTTGTTGTTGTTGGGTCATGTGGTGTTGCAGGTCTTCCCGCAACCACCATGACGGCGGCGCTCCTAATCCTCCAGGCAAATCGGTGGGGGGTTGGGAACAACCCATCTGCTGCGGCTGTGACTGGAGCAGCCCGAGCCTGCTCGAGCGAGGGGCCGTCGGCCAGCTTTCAATCTGTTCGAAAGAGTCCCCCGACGTAGATCGGCGGGACGCACTGAGGCTCGGTGGCGGGCGCGTGTTGTCGGTGGTGGTGCGCCCTTTCCACCCTTGCACGGTCCGCTTGAGAGACTCCATGCCTTGTTTCACCTCGGGATCCTGCTGTCCACACTCCTCGAGGATGCGGTAGCATTTCAAGATCTCCGCTTTCCGTTCCGCGGCCAGTCGCGGGTCCCGGCGGATGTAGACATAGTCCATGGCCAACGTCGTGGTTGCGATGAAGACATGATACACGACCAGCCAGGCACGACAGAAGAGAGAGTCCCGCACGGCCTCTTGCATCTCGAGAACGATTCGTGTGGATTGGAGGCATACTATCCGGCTGTAGGTGTACCGCTGATCTTGGTAAGACCGAGCCAGAAATCGCCGGTGGAGCAATGCGAGGGAGTTGTGCAATCCGAACAGCAAGAGCTTTCGTTGTCGGTCCAGATATGGTCGCTCCGTAAACAGCCGTTTCAGGTATTCTTGGCCCGTCTCATAGTGGAGATATGCGGGAAGGGATTGGTAGGTCTCATTGATCTTCTTGTCGAAAATCATGACGGCGCTGTAGTCGAATTCCACGTCGCTCAGCTCCGCCTTGCTCACGGCATCCGTCAATTTCTGTATGATGTTGGCAATGAGCAGCCGGGCGATGAAAAAAGTCACCACCGTTATCGGGCCCGATAGCGGTTGGTCGTAGTTATAGCCCGGTCGAATGTTGTCGTCCTCTACGTTGCTGGGGAATCGCACATTCATGTGGTCGGGATGGACCAAGTACGACCCGAGTTGGCCCCAGTTGTTGAACGCCCACATCCTGATGTTTGGAGCATACTGCGTTAACACGGGATTTCCATTTTGAGAATGACACGCTCGAGCCGCACTCACCAGTCAGCCATTACAATGGCCCACCAGACCCGACGCTGAATTTCCAATGTTACCGCAGCGTCCTGGGTCTGGGGGCTTTCTTCTCGGGCCTTGCGCTGGCGAGGCGAGTCTATCCGGTTGAGTTGTAAGACATGAGCCTCGGTGATCAAAAGTGCTACTTGACCTCTACGGCCGGTGTTTTGAGGATAGGTCGGGAGGAATAGCGCAAGCAGGACTTTTGCCTGCAGGGTTTCCAGCAGAGGACAGATGAGATGGTTGGCCTCGGCCAGGGCGCGTTCAACCAATATCATCCAACTTCTACAGCAGGCTTTGGGGTCTTTGATCGGACATGGTGCATGGCCGGTGGTGGTCGAGTCCTGCCAGAAGTACACGGCCACGGATAAGACGGCCACCAAGAGCGATATCCGCGGCCAATCTGGTGGTTGCGTGCCGTCTTGCAGACAATTGTACAATTTCTCGAACTCGCGGCGTGTCGTTGGAACGTGAATGATGGGAAGATACCAATTCAGGTTCTCCACATAGAAGGCGAACAGCGCCCGGGCATCCAACAAGCTCGGCAGGATGTCCACCAGCTCCGAGACTGCGGGTGGCTTGTGGACAGACGACGGAGTTCCGACTAGGACGTATGAGTTCTGGACATTCACATGAGCACTCACTTATGCCTGAAGAAAGGAACAACAGAAGAATAATAATAAACGCACCACATCCGTCCCTGTGCTTTCAGGTGCGCTCGGAGGTTGTGGAGCAATCCCCTGCTCATGTCTGGTGGATTGAGGTGGAGAGTCGTTGTTCTCAGCATGGTGTTGGTTTGGCTCTGACGACGAGGTCAGGGTTTTCTTTGAAAAGACCGCTTCTTCGAGCTGCTTCAGACGTTGCAACAGGTTACTAGTCTCGACCTCGGCGGCGGTCGTGCAACTATCGACATTTTTGTTTGCCGGAGACTCAGACAATGTATTCTCCTGCGACGCAGACCAAGTGATTCCTACATGCCTGGTCAGTCAATGACTGCAGGGGGATTAGGGTGTCAGTATACCGTCGACAACCGAAACACAGGGAATGCGCCTCGAGGTACAATTTGAGCACGGGGTCAGTCGGTCACACCTGAGCTTTTTGCTCCGACAGAATCTGCACGACAGGCCATCCTGGCGGGAAAAGCCTCTCTCGCGGTGGACTGACGCGTTGCTCCGGGCCCTTTTCATTTTGGTGATCAATCAGCTGGAGTCTCGGAGATGACAACGCAGCATGGGAAATCTTCAACGAGTGTATGCGGTTTCACCGGTTGTTGAAATAGCAATGTCGCGATAGCCCTGATACAGCTGTCGATAACTTAGTGTCAGCCAACGACCGGCCAAAGGATCCCCAAGTAGGCGAGGCATCTAGTTCGCATGAAGCACCTCGAGCACACGAAAATACCGATCTAGCTTCCCCAGCCGTGCCGGGGTAGAAGGCGGGGGATGCCATTGACGGGGGGGGTTCCAAGATGGCGAGCGGCTGGGCCATGTGGAGGACACCACAAGTCACCGTACGGAGTAGCTTGATCAAAGACTCTCATGAGGATGATAGCCGAGGCTCTCCATTCAAAACCTTGACTTCCACCCGCAGATCGAATCCTGACGGACGAGAACTGCAAGTAGCTTTGGGTCCGCGGGCTTGTCCAGTCCCTGCTCGCATTCTTCTGGTAATGATCGTAGCTCGTATGCTGTCCGTATCCACCACACTGGGTCGGGACCCTAGCGCCCATGGACGCAACAGATACGGGACCTGCTATATTGCAGTGCAGACGCCCGAAAGTCTGAAGTCCGTGGACATGACCCATGGAGGCACGATGCCGAGACCAGTACCTTGCTGTTGTCGGCCAAAGGACTTAGGTGAGCTTTATTGTTTCTGGACTCGACCATCTTATATGCTTGCACGACGAACATGGATATAATGGGTCGTCAGAACAGCCTTGAACAGATCTACTCATGCCTTCCTTCAATAGTGCACAATTGGAACGTCACTGTCCTGAAAGTCCTCTTCACGTGTCCTTGCCATGACTTTTTTCACGCTTGCCACGCTATCAACCCCGGAAGGTCTGACCGCCGCTATCGGGGTTGGCGACAAATACTATCCGCTAAGCCAAACGCAACAATTCCAACATGCGACGGTCATGTCTCTGCTTGAGGATTGGACTCGATCCCTGACGACGCTAGAGACGCTCGCCGAGGAGGCCCAGGCCGGCAAACTCTCGCACAGTATTTCCGCCAGCGATGCCATCTTGGAGACCCCAGTCCGGTATCCCAACAAGGTGGCGTGCGCGGGAGCCAATTTCACCGGCCATCTGAAAGAAATGGGCTTCACTGATCTGAGCAAATGGGACATTCTCCCCGTCTTTCTCGCTCCGCCAACGACGACGCTGGTCGGACCAGGGACGACCGTCAAAATTCCGCGCACGACGAAAGAATTCGACTGGGAACTCGAGATGGTGGTGGTGGTAGGCCAACGACTGAGACATGCTTCACGGGAAGAAGCAGCCGCCGCCATCGCAGGTTACATGGTCGGCCTGGATCTCTCGTGTCGGGACCTCGCCATATGTGACAACCAGCTGAAGATCGACTTCATGCGCGGCAAGCTGCAGGACACCATGAAGCCCGCTGGTCCCGTCTTCGTGCCAGCCAAGTTTGTTCCCAACCCGGATGACCTCAGAATGACCCTCCTTGTAAATGACAGGAAGATGCAGGACGCGTCGACAAACGAGATGCTGTACAAGTGTGACGAGATCGTGTCCGTTATCAGCAGTCACGTCACCCTGGAGCCGGGCGATCTCATTTACACCGGCACTCCCAGCGGCCAGGCGAAATCCCATGGTGGGGCCTGGCTCAAGGCTGGGGACAGAATATCTGCCCGAATCGAGGATATCGGGGAGCTCAATGTCACGCTCAAGTCCGATGATTAAGGCATACCTAGGTAATTAAATGAATGAGTCCACCAGGAAGGGATTGATGAGCATTGAAGTCTGGGCCACTTGTAGAACTACTGCCATATTGCTTGGAGGGATCGATGTCGATACAGCACACCTGGGCCTGCTTGATGTTGTACTTCCAGTGCGCTTAATGATGGTCTCAGTACCGTCGTTAGATAGAGGGAACACTCTACAACGGACAGGAATGGCAAGTTGCGAGCCTCCTCTATTGTAGGGGTGAGTCGCGAGCAGTCTTTAATCGTCTTGGCATACCTCGTACATCACCACTCCACAAGTGCAGCCACGAGGCTCTGCACCAGCCTCGCACGTGCCTCGTCATTCCGTTCTACCATCCTGCAGCACATTGTGCTGGGCATTTCACACTCCTAGGCACACAGCGGAACAGGCAACATGGCCTTTTTATGCCCCTACTCGGCTTCTCCGATTCTAAAGCTTCGACTCAAACTCAAACGCCAACTGTGTCATCACGTGTGCCCATCAAAACTGCCTCGTGGCTGCCTCGCGCTAGTGGCGCCTGTCTGGGCCTTTGTGAGTCGCGATGCTCAGCCTCAATGTGATTTGATCGAATAGTTTTCGATATCTACGAGGTACGAGGTATGTGTTTCCATCCTCTGTCGGAAATTCTCATGGTTCAGCTCGTGAGTATGGCGTGGTAGTATGTGTCGTTTGAAGATCCTCCTGTGGCAGCACAAAGGTGGGAAACTGCGTGGTGCTCAAGACTCGTCCCAACCACTATGCTTGACCCCCTAACAGCCCTCGGCCTTGCGGGCAATGTGATACAAATCGCCGATGTTACCTGGAAGCTGGTCTCGGGAGCACGCGAATTGCACACTTCAGGATCGCTGTCTGCACTAACAGCCATAAAGACCGACGCAGAGACCGTTTACGATCAGGCTGTTGCTATCAGAACCCTGCTGGAACCAACCATCGGCTGTCTTACGAAAGACGAGGCCGTGAGTGTTCTTTTCGTGGAAATGGGTATCGCTGACTTTCATTGCAGGCTCTCCACTCCCTCTCTAAGCATATCGAATCGACCTCTGAAGACCTTCTTGTTTGCGTGACGCTCAACGAGCAACAGACGTCGATATGGAACAACATCAAAGGCGCCGCGAAGGCAGTCAAAAAAAAGAGAAAGATTGCCGAGTTGGCCGGGAGACTGGAGCGCCTTCAGAGTCAACTTGGTCTCCGGATACTTGTCGCCTTAAGAACGAGTCTGAGTGAGCAGTCCAATGAGCTGCAAGACCAATACGGGTTGATCCACGACGATATCAAACACATCATACACGTCCTGGAAGGTACTCGCAGGAAAGCACCAGATGTCAATACCGATGGACTCCCCGGTAGCTTGCCGAGACAGTCATTTGCGGCCAGCACCGCACTGAACGACCGAACGCAAGACGCCCTCGATGATAACGCACAGGGCTTAAAAAGTCAGGAACTTTTACCTCAGACCGGACCACCGAAAACGGAATTTGGGAAGAATCTCGCCCTACTGCGGCTTCTCCGGTATCGACACATGCAAGATCGTCGTGATGAGATCCAGAAAGCGCATCGGACGACCTTTGAGTGGATATTTCAAGAAAACGCCGACTCAACTCTTGGGGCCAACTTCCTACGCTGGCTTCATGCCGACAGCATGATTGTACCTTACTGGATCAACGGGAAGGCTGGTTCAGGCAAGAGCACGCTGATGCGTTTCCTCGTAGAAGATCCTCGAACGCGGACGGCCTTGTCAAAAGGGAGCGGGTCAGACGAATTCACCATAGCTTCTTGCTTCTTCTGGAATCTAGGCACAGCGATGCAGAAATCACACCAAGGTTTGCTTCAGAGTCTGTTGTACACCGTTCTGGAAAAACACCCAAGCGCGATCCCTGGCGTTTTTGCAGATATCTGGGACAGCCTTTGGGACAAGGAGACGGATGGAAACATGCCGCCTCTAACCCTCGTTGAGCTCAAACGCGCTTTCTCGGCCCTTGTGAACCTGGATCTGCCCTTCAAGATGTGCTTTTTTGTTGACGGTATTGACGAATATGATGGTGACCATGTCGACATCTGCTCCTTTCTCATGTCGACTTGTTCGGAACGAGTTAAATTGGTCCTCTCGAGTCGACCAATTAACGCGTGCATCGAGGCATTCCGACACTGTCCGTCCTTACGCCTCGAGGACCTCACCTATCCGGATATCAAGCAGTTTGTTGATGATCGCCTTGCACGGCATGAAAAGATGCAACATCTCCTCAAGACGCAGCCGCTCAAGGCCACCGTCCTTGTCGAAGAGCTGGTCGCAAAAGCTTCTGGAGTCTTTCTCTGGGTTAGATTAGTTGTCAAGTCGCTGTTAGACGGCTTGCGGAACGACGATCAGGTGTCGGACCTTCTGGTCAGGCTACGACTCATACCACCTGATCTCGAAAACCTGTACAAGCATATGCTGGGGAAAATGTCGCCTCTGTACCGCGAACAAGCCGCGCAACTGTTTCAGATCATTCAATACTCCCGTGAGCTTTGGGTGAACCGGCCTGTGAAGACATTACTCTTGTCGTACGCAGAGTTCGATCCACAGATCTGTCTGCAGATGCCCCTGGGTCCAGTGGCTGCCGCAGAAGCGTTGCAACGGTGTCGAGCGATGGAGAACCGTCTTCGAAGCCGCTGTTGCGGGCTGCTAGAGACACGATATTTTGTCAAAAGCTACAGCGACAGTTCAAACCAGACGTCTCTCAACGACGAGTCATCGGCGAGTGGCAGGGATGAATATTACTTCGTCCTCACAGATGGATCATCACTTGTTGAAGAAGATCGTGAAGTCGTCAACTCCAATGTCCAATACCTGCACCGAACTGTTGCAGAGTTCTTGCACAGGAAAGATGTTTGGTCCAGTCTCATGGCAAGCGAAGGCGAACTATCCTCGATGTCAATTACCACTGCAGTAGGGCATGCGACTTTGGTAAAGCTGAAGATATCACCATTCACGGGACAAGACAGCGTGACTTGGGCGTTGAAGCTTCTCAAATGTTGTAAGACCGCAGAAGCCGAGACACACAATGCTCAGGTTCAGATCATTGACGAGTTGGACCGCGTCATGCACCACCATTGGCATGGGCATGGAGGCTGGGGACGAAACCATTGGGCCCCAGCTTCCGACTGCAACACTCGCTATCATCATATGTTCGCTCTCGCCGTTCGCTCTGGCCTTGGCAGATATGTCGAGGAGAAGCTCAATGACCTTGGACCAGATCTAATTCATTGCGGTGGTATGCCTCTAATGCGGCAGCTTATCGTGGCCGGTCCGTCATTCGACGAGGTTCCATGTATGGCGAGCTTGCTTTTGCGCTACGGTGCCGATTCCAACGAGATGTATGAGGGCCTCAGCACTTGGCAGTTTGCGATGCACGAGTTCTTGTGCCAAGCAGAGCCGTCGAATATCAACGCCTGGATCAGCCTCTTGAGCCTCTTTGTGTTGAATGGTGCGGATGTGAACGCCCCGATCTATGCTGGGTCCCCAGGAACCTCCTCTGCGGACTGGAAAAAATCTTCGATGTCACCGCTGAGTGCTGTCCGACAGGTCCACCGAAGGCTGTTGGCCGGCCAGGATGTAACGGCATCAACCGCGACGACAGGATTAGAAGATATACTCCTGGAATATGGCGCGCAGCTTAACCTAGATCGTGATCGAGTGCGCTTTGACGAAATCCCCTCCGAGCACCCCGCTGACCCGGCACCTGCTGACGAAATTTCAGACTCGTGGGCGAAAAACCTGCCTGCGAGAGACCACTCGTCCATGACAGCTCCGGTATGGAAGTTGGCAGCGGCTATCTTTGCAGATGAAACAATAGACCCAAGCGAGTATCAGATTGGGCAAGCCAAGGTGAACGAGATATCAACACGAAAGCAGCCTGCGGCCGAGGCGACTCAGGAGCAGGGCGGAGCCAGAATTTTGCAAGACGCCCTCTCACGGGTCCAGTCGGTCGTGGACGAGGGAGTCAAGGATCTGCGCTATCACATGGGCCAGGGCGACAAGATTCCGAAATGGCATTTTATGGCGCAGGGCTACCTACCAAGAAGTGTGAGGTGGTTGCACTGATTTGCGAAATCTCAGGGTCATCGTACGTAATGAACTTGGATCCCTCTACCATTTTTTGTTCTTTGGCTATCCGCTTGGGTGGATTTGTCGAGACCTGCCTACCATGAAGGGTATGACCGTATGATGTGATGTGATTTTTGAGCGTATGCGAGTTTGATGGTATGGCTATGCATTTATGTCCTTTTATGGACAATGAGATGTTGTCAATAATGCATTGCACTTCCCAAATATTATTCTTTCAAACTTGTGCGAAAAGCCCGGGGTCAAGTCGCGGTTGGTGAGTGTGAGAATCTCCAATGGAGATCGGGGACAAGGCTACGCGGAATAAGGGGGGAATTCATCACTATGCCACCCAGAAACCAACCCTGTACGTGAGGAAGACGTGGGATTCTATCCAGAGAACATGGGCATTAAGCTCACAGGACCTGGATGAATCTGCGAATCTGCAAACCTGCGAATCTGTTGCCGGCCAATCATACATGTAGACTGCAGGTGGTGTACATGTCAATGGGGCATTCCCACATACTACTCGGTCGGTCCTCGTGGGCTCTATGGCTGTATACCTATTTTTTCATTGAGTGCAGGTGGCCAGGAAACCCCTCCGTGTGAGTTCGTGACCGGGCTCTCTGTGCCATATCCCCTGCAGGGTTCTTGCAGTCCCGATTGCCAGATTTTATCTCATCTCATCCAATTTTTGCTCTTTTCATTGCAACCCATCGATCGTAATACCTCTCACGTAGCGTGGCAGACGGGGGCGTCTAGCCGCGAGGTGTCGGGAAGCTTCTTCGAGTTGCCTCTCTCTGTGCGAATCTACTCGTCCCCTCCACCCGCTGCCAATCCACTTCCGCCGACCTGTTTCGCGCTCTTGGCGCCGCAGATATCGTCCACTCTCAGGAGCAGACACGCACTTTCCACCGCCGTCTTGATGCTCTGCAATTTGACCGCCTGGGGTTCCCAGACACCATAGTCCTTCATGTCGACCACATTGCCCGTATCGCCGTCGACACCGAACGTCGATTTCCCCTCGGCCTGCTTCGCGCGGAGCTGGGTCAGGATGCGGATGGGGCTGGCGCCGGCGTTCTGGATCAGTGTGCGGGGGATGACTTCCATGGCGTCCGCGACGGCGCGGTACGGCCACTGCATCACGCCCTCGATGGACTTGGACTTTTGCGCAAGTCGCACCGAGACGGCCATCTCGGTGGCGCCCCCGCCGGGAGAGAGGCGCGGGTGGAACATGACGTTGCGGGCCACGGACATGGCGTCTTGGAGGTTGCGTTCGATCTCGTTCAGAATGTCCTTTGAGGGGCCCCGGAGCAGGATCGTACATGCTTTTGGGTTCTTGCACTTTGTGAGGAATGTGAAATACTCGTCGCCGATCTTTTCAATCTCGAACAGACCACAGCCCGTGCCCACGTCGGACTCGACGAGGTCGTCAACCCGGTTTACAATGGTAGCGCCCACGGCGCGGGCAATGCGGTTGTTGTCCGTCTTCCGCACTCTTCGCAGTGCCGTGACGTTGGCCTTTTGGAAGTAGTGTTGTGCCAGGTCGGACACGCCCTTCTCGGTGATGACCAGGTCGGGCTTGACTGCCAGGACCGCGTCGCACATCTTTTTGACCTGTTCCTCTTCGATCTGTAGGATTTTGTTCCATGAGTCCTCGTCCGTGATCTCGACATTTGTCTGGGATTCGCCCTTTTTGTACTCGAGAGTGCAGTCCAGCAGCACGATCCGAGGGTTCTCTATCCGTCGACGCATCGAGGCGTGTGTAATGTCCTTGTTCAACATGACTCCATCCAGCACTCTTGACTCCTCGATTTCTCCACCGGGAATCTTTTCAACGCGGGCGTATCGCTTGATGTCGATTTCTACGGGTTTCGAAGGCGCCACCGAAGAGGCGGACTTCGCGGTGCCGTTCGCCTGGGGTGCATTCGAAATAGATGTCTGGTCCTGAGAAACGGTTCGCACGGCGTTCAGGGCAAGGGAGCACATGAGTTCCGAGTATCGAGAGATGGTCTTGGTGCCGATGGAGGATTCGATGAGCGAGATCATAGCCTTGTCGCTCGAGGTGTCGACGGGGATGGAGATCTCTTCGACGATCGCCAGCGCGTCCGTCAGAGCCTTTTTGAAGGCCTGGATAATCACCACGGGATGGATATTTCGTTCGAGTTGGGGCAGCGCCTGCGCCAGGATCTCGCCCGCTGTCCAACCTCGTCAGTTTGGATCTCTTAGCCTCGACATTAAACAGCAGCAATATACCTAATATGATGACCGTCGTTGTCCCGTCGCCCACCTCCTCATCCTGCGTCCGACTCAACTCGATCATGCTCTTTGCCGCAGGATGCGCAACCTCGATCTCTCGGAGGATGGCGTGGCCGTCGTTCGTCAGGACAATGCCGCCCATGGGATCAAGCAGCATCTTCAGCATTGCTTTGGGCCCGAGACATGATCGTATGATATCCGCCACCCTGTGTTTTGGTCAGCCCACGGAACCGGGTTTCCTAGTTGTGTTTCCTCACGTTTTCGCAGCGGTAATGTTGGATATTTGCGCCTTTCGACCCACTTGTCTTTCACCATTCGCCGTATCTATCAAGATAGGTCAGCAAGTCGGTGCACGCAGAGAAATACCGGATGGGCTCACTCATAACCACCACAGGCGCCTGCATCCTGCCTGCGGTCTTAGGCCTGTGGCCTGGAAACAGATTTCTAAAGGATCTTCGCCTGCAACACCGGAAGAGCGGTCTCAGATATGGGGAGGACTACCGCGCGGTCAAAAGACTTGTAGAACGGCGACAACGAAAGGACTGGTGTACTGTGGTTTGGCTAGTATGTTGGAATTGAAGCCCTGTGCGATCGGTGGGATGGGGTGATCTCCAACTTTTTTACATTCGGCCAGGCTGCGCTAGTCTACATTTGAATACGGCTCAGCCTTGTGCTGTGACCAATAGCACTAGGCGGGACGCTGTACGACCTACACTCACCGACTGGTCTGATTGATCATGTGGGAGAAGGAATGTGCTTCCCTCGTCATAAGAGTAGCAGCATGATCTTTTTCCGTGTTGAAGGGTCTAGGTCTCGGTGCGTTTGGGCCGATAACTTTTATTACACTACCCCTCTAGTCTCCACTTGTTGCCACTCGTCTTCCCTCCTCCCTTCGATATCTTTTTATAGTAGACGTCAATGACCTGAGCCTTGGAACCATCGATCCCATTAATGCACAAGAAGAAATAACCTTCCCAGTCAACCTCGAGCAATGATGCGTGCTGGGAGGCACACAGGGTGGTCGCTCAAATCGGCTCCTCCCTCGGTTCGATCAAAACTTCATTCACCGCAACATGCTGCGGTTGTCTCAATGCATAGACAATCGAATTGGCCACATCTTCCGGATCCAAGATCTGCGCACCAGTCGGCTCACCATATTTCTTGATTGCTTCAGTGTCCGTGGACATGCCGAAGAGCTCAGTCGCCGTGTTGCCAGGTTGCACGCTCGTGACACGCAACCCACTCCCTGCGGTTTCTAGTCGCAGGCTCTGTAGAGTGGCTTCGACAAAGAACTTGCTGGCTGAGTAAACACCTAAGCCAGGGAAGACCTTTCGGCCCGCATCCGACGATATGGCGACAATGTGCCCGCTACCGCGCGAGATCATCGACGGCACCACCGAGGAAAGGCAATGTAGAAGCCCCTTGCAGTTCACATCGACGGTACGGTCCCAATCTTCTGTGTGCACATTTGCCATCATGGTGTAATACATGACGCCAGCGCAGGACACCAGGATATCGACTGGCCCAAGCTCGTCATTCGCTGCTTGGATAAGGCTCTCGACCTGCTTCCTGTCCGTCACATCTGTCTGTCGAACTATCACCTTGCCCTCGCGGACCACAAGTCTGCTCTTCACAGCCTCGAGAGCGTCGGTGCGGCGAGCGCCTAGAGCCAGATGGAGGCCTTCGCGTGCCAGAGCTGCAGCGACGGCAGCTCCGATCCCGGATGAAGCCCCAGTAATGACAGCCACACGTCCGCTCAGGGGTCCTCTTCGTATGGGCTGCGCGGTGCCACCGAGAGCATGTTGACGGGACGGCGGACGCGGCAACCATCCTCGGGCAAACCAATGGCGAGCATACGTTTCGAGCAATACGCTATCAACCTTGGGTCGTTCAACAACAGCCCGCAAGGGCCTAGTAGCGGCGTTGTTTAGCACAACAATGCCTCTCAAGAACTCGACGCTCGGCATGCCGCTGCGGAGGATGTCAATGGTAAAGGCACCATCTCCACCTTTCAAGGTGCCTCTGTTCTCCTGCCATCGGCTGACCCAATCGTCCCAAGGGAGTGGTTTTGTGGAATATCCAAGCTCTTCTAGGTCTTTGAAGACTGACCGGGTCTGTACGGGATCAGGATCACCGAGGTGAAAAATGAACTGCGTGGTGTTGGTCTGATTCGAGAGATGGACGATGGCTTTGCTAACAAAGTCGACCGGGGTCATCTCAGCGCGCCAACCTTCCACATCTGGAGCATATCCCAGGTTAACGGACTCAACAATGATCGCATTAAGCAGATCCCGTGAGTTCCCTGCTCCTGTTGCACTGTGACCGCTGATTGTACCCGCTCGATGAACCTTCACCGGCAAGCCTCGACGGCCAGCTTCACGTACGAGTTTCTCTGCCACCCATTTTGTCTGGCCATATCCATCGGCCAGTTTTTCTGGGACGTCGTCCACGTCCAGCATGACATCCTCATCCCAGCTATTCCGAGATGGAGGCAACACACCATTCGTGGAGATGTATTGCACTGTGGCTCCAGCGCGACATGCTAGGCGCAGGATTTCCCTTGTTCCGCCCACATTAGCGTCCCGGAGGGCAGCGTACGGGTACACAAGATTGACACTGGCGGCAGCGTGGAAAATAACTTGGACACGCCCTGCGAGTTCTTCGAAGGCGTCCGGCGAGAGACCCAGTCGAGGTCGGGATAAATTGCCAGGGAGGATTTCGACGCGTTCCATAATCGAGTCCCGCCACAATCCCAGATCGAGCAGGTGCCTTCGCAACCTTGCGACGCCTTCTGGCAGATCGGCTTCGGAAGGATCACTGAAACGTACAAAACACAATATCTTTGCCGATGTGCTTTCCAGTAGGTCATTCAACAAGAATGCACCCAAGAAGCCAGTGGCACCGGTCAGTAGGATCGTATCTGCTTTGCTGGCCGCACATATGCTGGCATTTGTGGGTCGAATATTGTCCTCAAGGGTCGAGTCTTTCCGGAGGACATCAGGCAGATGAGCCTGCACCGCTGCAGCATGACCGTCTCTCACAGATCGCACTGTTTCCAAGTGACCATTGAGAGTCGCAGGGTCGACAAGTCGTGCTAGAGGCACCTTGACTCCTAGAACCCTGGAGAACCGTGCAGACAAGTCTGCGAGCGTCAAAGAGTGACCGCCAAGGTCGAAGAAGCTGTGCTCCGGCGTTATGGTGTTCCGTGAGATCTTGAGACTTGCAGCCCAGATTTCAGCGATGGCTTCAATATCAATTGGATCATGGTCTCCCTTGTGTCCATTAAATGGGCTACTGCGGCCACTGCCATTGACAGCTTTGGGGGTTGTTGGTTGGGGAAGGCGTTTGAGATCAACCTTGCCAGACACTGCATTGGTAGGCAGCTCCTCAACTTCCACCCACAGAGCCGGAATCATATAGTGAGCCAGGTAGGATGAGAGCGTCCGTCTTGCAGCTGGACTGTGCCCCAATTCATTAACCTCCAACTCCGGGCGATCTGCGGAAGACTCCTTGTCCCGGACAAAGTATGCAACGAGTTGCCGTTCCAACGCCTCGCCATGAGCCGTGACTGCACAATGACGAACAGCCAGGTGTTGCACAATGGCGTGCTCGACCTTTCCGGGGACGACGGAGTAGCCACGAAGCTTGATCATGGCTCCGACGCGACCAGTGATTTCCAAAAGTCCTGACGGAAGGATTCGTGCCTGGTCTCCAGTTCGGTACATGCGCGCTCCTGGGGCTGAATCAAATGGGTCCGGTGTGAAGGCTTTGGCAGTTGTCTCAGGACGATTGATGTAGCCGCGGGCCAGGAGTCTACCGCCCACGAAAAGTTCTCCGCTTTCTCCAGCTTCCACCTTTTGACCACTCTCATCGAGAATGTAGGTGTGTTCTGGATCCAGAGGAGGGCCGACGGGACAGTAGTTTGCCTCATTGTCCAGCATCTCTCCAATATCTCCACAGGCAATCTCGTGAGTCTCGCAGGCGCTGTAGACGTTGAGCAGGGTTGTGTTGGGAAGAGCTTTTATTGCTCGACGGGCCAAGTCGGTGGTCACGACTTCACCGTTCAGCCACAAGGTCCGCAGCTTCGGAAGACGAGCCCCGATCTTTGGGTGCCGCGACAGCACCGCGGCCAAGAGCGTCGGGGTCATGAGGGTCTCGGTGATTTTCTTAGAAGCGAGTAGGTCCACGAGCGCGGGGGGGTCATAACTGGCCTCGTCGGGCACTGCAACGACAGTGGCTCCCCGCAGCAGGGGACGCAGGATCTCCCAGATGAAGAAGACATTGCAGGCGACACGATCGCCGGGCTGCAGATCGCGAAACCCGAATCGCAGGTTATACGAAAGTACTGGCGCTCGATGAGGATTGGCGATGCCCTTGGGTTTGCCCGTTGTTCCTGAAGAATAAGAAACGAAGGCAAGTCTGTCCAGATCATCATCAGCAGGCAGCGGAGGGAGGTCTTTCACATCTCCATTGGTGTCTGTCTGCTCCTCATCCAGAGTGATGAGAGGAATGCCCTCCTTGATCTTACCAAGTTCGGCGCGGTAAGTGACCACTACAGCTGGTTGGGCATCGTCAATAACGTCTGCCAGGAGTTCAGGAGGGTAAGCCAGTTCGAGGACGAGAAATGCCCCGCCTGCCCGGAGCGCGGCGAGACAGGCAATCACATAGTTGGCACTGCGTGGTAGGAGCACGCCAACGAGGCTGTCTCGGCCGACTCGGTGCTTGCGGAGGCGATTGGCGAGAGCCTCGACCTTTCGGTCAAGTTGGACATAGGTGTATGTCGCCGTATCGTCCTCCAACGCCACAGCATCCGGTGTCACCTGGACCTGTTGTCGGAAAAGGGCCGACAGGTCCTTACTGATGTCGAGGATAGCCATGATTTCTCACAGTGGGTTTTGCTGGGTAGATGTCCAACCCGACTAGCACTGCGTGGTTCCCATTGTCTTATGGATGGGAGGATGATGAAGAAGGAAAGACGCCGGTGACACTCACTCTGCCTCTTGGGCAACACAGGTTTTTCCGCAGGGCAAAATGATTTGATTCTGTTGAGTGGCTGTGGGAACTTCTCCCACGCTTTTGCCAGGATCTCGACCAATGGTACCACGGTATCCAGAAGACGTCATCACGAAAACTTCGAGATTCCTTGGATAGACGTCGCTAATTCGCCAACCGACACGGATCTGGCGACACGCAGTTCCTGAGCACATGCCCGGCAGGATTGGCGAGCGACGGCCCAAATCCTGGTAGATCTAAACCTAGACATGGAGTAACTGGACAGGTACCCAGTCTTGCCCGTCCGCGGATCTGTACCCGGTCAGCAGTAAGTCGTCTGCGCTCTGTGGGAGCAAGGCTGCTCTAGTACTTTTTCGATCGACAGGGCACTTGTTACACAGCCATATTGCTCCCAAGAGTAGTTATATAGCGAACAGGTAGGTAACGCTGTGAAAAATCCGGATACATGGGGGCTGAGTCAGAAGGATTAAATAGGGAGGTACGCCCCCATATTGCCATCGACGAAACGTAACCGCATTTACTAATGGGAGCCTAAACAACATCTACCCTTCGTCTTGGTCCATATCATCTCGACTCCGCTTTCCGCCCACGCCCTTTCCCGTCCGCTTGTGCCGCAGGGTTGCACCTTTCTTGCCCCTGTTGTCATGCAGCTCCTTCATCTCCATGGCGGCAGCCCGTTGGGCGTCTCCCACCCGCTCCGCCAATACCATGACCTCTTCCTTGACCGTCTCGTACTCCTTCAATTTCTTACCTAGTGCGCCCTCAATCCTCATCCACAATTCCACATCATACTGAGTGACGAAAGAAATCGCCTTGCCGCTCTTACCCGCTCTCGCCGTCCGCCCAACTCGGTGGATGTATGTTTTGCTATCGTGGGGAAGATCAAAATTGATCACGAGATCAACAGAAGGAATGTCCAGGCCTCGTGACGCCACATCAGAAGCAACTAATAGATTGCGGGATTTTGCGCGGAACTTGTTGAGAGCAGCCAATCGCGCCTGCTGCGACAGCTGGCCGTGGATGGGGATAGCTGAGAAGCCAAGGGTCCGCAGGAGGATCGAGATTCGCTGTGCTTCGTTGACTGTGCGTGTGAAGATGATCCCTGTCTGACCGGCCAGCTCGTTCAAAACATGTATGAGATAGAGGTCTTTGTGCTTGTGAGGGATGAAGAGGTATGATTGGATCAGCGTCGATACAGTCTGGTATTTGTCCTGGGAGACCGCCACACGAAGGGGATTCGACAACGATGCTCGTTGGAGCGATTCGACCTTGCTTGACATTGTAGCAGAAAACAGATATGTCTTTCTCCCTTCTCTTGGTATTATCTTCAGAATCTTGTCCAAGATCGGCCCAAAGTCCAAGTCAAGCAATCGATCGGCTTCGTCCATGACCAAGTACTTCAACTGGCGCAATGAGAACCCCTTTGTGTTTTCCAGATGGTCCAGCAGACGTCCCGGCGTGGCAACAATGACATGAGGTTTCTTGCCCAGAGCAATCGCTTGAGGAATCATGTCCATGCCACCAACCAGCACGGCGCACCGGACTGCGATCAGCGAACCCAGAGCCTCCACCGCCTGAGATATCTGGTATGCAAGTTCTCGTGTTGGCGCCAGGATCAAAGAATGGAGTTGTTGCGGTTTGTCCATGAGTGCCTGAAGAATGGGAAGGACGAAGGCAGCCGTTTTGCCGCTCCCCGTCTCTGCCAACCCAATGAGGTCCCGACCTTGCAACGCCAACGGTATTGCTTCGGCTTGAATCGGCGTAGGCGCTTTGTACCCAAGGCTCTCGCATGCTTCGCACAGGGAATCAATTATTCCTAGTTCTTTGAACGTGGTTGGCTTCGTGGACTTCGCTTGCATTTCTTCCTCAGCATCGCTGGTCGGTGCGGTTTCGGACCCGGTGGGCGATCGATTATCGTCGGAGGAGGTTACATCATGACTCAACTTTCGTTTCTTGAGCGGCGGCATCTTTCTGGTGGGAGGAGACAACAGTTGCCGGGCAATGGGGGAGGAAGGAAAAAGTTTCTGTTTCATGTAGAACAGGCGCAGGCCCGAAATTTTGGCGCACGGATCTGGCTTATCTTATCGCCCGTGATCTTCAGCCTTGCAAGCCAGCACTTGGCAAGGCTCCGTTGCGGGCTCGGAAAATCTTTCGGAGCGGAAATGAACGATCTAAACGTCACAAAGGACTCGGTACTCCGTAAATAAAAACTTCTTGTTTGTGCCCAGCAATTTGAGACGCCGGAGTGCACTGGGGCTAATGTGTTGTGGTCGAGAGCTGTACTGCCGCTCAAGATTGGATTAGCCTTTCGCAAGCTAACCTCAATTCCTTACCCAGATACTCACCCTCGACTTCTTCGACAGTACCATCTGTGCCCCTTCGCGGCTACCCTCTGCACCAGTTTTCGCCACTCAATCACTAGCGTTTACCAGGTGCATTTCCTTCCCGGCTATTGCATCCGGCTCTAATGTGACCCGTCAGGAAATGAGGAGATCCTCAGGGTTCGTTGGTAGCATCGATGCGATCGATGAGATGTTGACCTCTCGCATTTTCGGATCACGTCATGCGGGGGAAGGCAAGGGAAGGAGGATCGGTGTGAGAAATGCTTTGTTGGAGTTGATATCATGGTAATAGTCTATTGTTGATGATCTATACTGTTGTCTTTTCAGGGCCATCTATTGTTGTGCGATGAAAAGACATTCCCAGCAACCCGCTAACGCAAGTACCACGACAATGGAGGACTGGTTCCCAACACAAATAGGTCTACTTTCGACTTGAGCACGATTTCAGGATATACACGCGAAACGCACGCTCAATCCCTCCTCTACAACTCGCTCTTCGTGGGAGCAGCGTTTTCGACCTGAACCGAGTGTCTCTTCTCGTCCAACTCGTGGTGTTGAGTAACGGTAGCTTCGAGACCCATTTCAGCGGCCAGGGTGAGACCCTTGTTCGAGGCGGCAGCGCCGGCAACCAGTGCCTGGTCGCCATCGAAGTGCTTGGCAATTTCTTCCACTGTAGAAAGGGAAAACAGTCAGTGTGAGAACAGGTGATACTTGGGGGACGAAGGCACTTACGTGGAGTGTTGCGGGTTTCGACGTAGAAGAAGTAGACAACAGCAAGCTCAAAGCCGAGCCAAACGCAGTAGAAAATGTAGTATTTCCAGCCGATGTGGTTCAAGGCGATGGGGTTGATGTATTGGTTGAAGAAGAGAGCGACGTCAACCATAAGGAACATGACTGTCAAGCCCTTTGCTCGGATGTTGTATGGCAGGATTTCAGCCGTGTAGCCGACCAACATACCCGACCAGGCTATATTATACCAGAAGTAAAAAACGTAGATCATCCCGACAACAGCGTTGGCTGCACCTTTAGAGCCAGTGATGGCATATCTGGCCGAGCAAATGGTCCAGACAATGAAGGTGATCAACATGCCAGTGGTGGAGATGAGGAAGAGCTTGCGACGGCCGACCTTGTCGACGAAGAAACAGGCGGTGACGGCGACAAAGAGGTTGAAAATTTGAAGAACGCCATTGATCAAGTTCTGGGTCAAGGTATCGGTGTAGCCAATGTTGTTGAGAATCTTGGAGATATAGTATGAGACGAGACCGTTGCCAGACCATTGGGAGAAGAGACCGGCAGACAACAAAATGATGAGTCTGCGGCGGTTGCCCCGGGTCTTGACCAGCTCGAGCCACTGATTTCCCTCAACCTCCTTCTCAAGTCTGATGGTGTCGCGGATTTCGACGAATTCCAGTTGGACCATCTCGTCGTTGTGGTTGCCATTGGCATGGACGTCATAGAGGATATTCAGACCCTTCTCTTCTTTGCCGTGCGCGATAAGCCATCTGGGAGACTCAGGCACAAACCAGATGAAGGTGATCTGAATTAGAGAAGGAGCAGCTTGGACAATGGTGGGGATACGCCACGCCCAGTTGTTGTTAATGTGGTCGGTTCCGTAGGTGAGCCAAGCAGCGACAATACTACCGGCATACCACGTGGTGTTATAGATCGTGGTGAAGATGGCTCGATGCTGAGGGTGCACAAGTTCCGTGATCAACAGAGGCGAAGAACCGTGAGCAATTGCGATTCCAAAACCGAGCAGAAATCGGGCTCCCAAGAACATGCCAAAGCCCGCAGAGATGGACTGAAGGACGACACCGACCAACATGATGATGCAGCCAGTGAGGATACCCATTCGACGGCCGAGGTAATCCGCTACGTATGGCACGAAAGGAATGGCGGACAATGAACCGATGGACATGATGGCGTTCAAGATACCAATTTTGCCACCTTTGGGGTTGTTGAAATGCTTCTCCCAAGGGGGCAGAGTCTGGAGACCGTTCATCATGGAGCCGTCATAACTGTGACAAGGTCAACAAAAGGGCACTTCTTGTGGTACAAGAGAAGTCATTCGCAGACTCACCCGTTGGTGGCACTGGTAAGAACCACAAACATAAGACAGATATAGGTCTTTCTCAGCGCAGGATCCTTATACCACGTCACAGCAGGAAACTGGCGCCCTGCCAGCTCGAAATATCCTTTCCCCATGTTGACAAGAAGATACTGATGGGTGATGAGGCGCTTAGGAGAGGATGAAACAAGGACGTAGAGACTGTATCTACGTTGGAAGTCTTGATGAAGAAGAAGAGGGAAAAGGGACGAAAACAGGGAGCAAGGCAAGTGTTTTATACAAGGTGGCATTCGTTACAGTGCAGACTTATCTCATCCGCCGTGGTCGAAAATACTACCGCGTGCATTTTGGGTGATAGCGTTCTAGAAAGTCTGCATTCACAGCTGACCGGGGCTGCAGGAGCCAATGGCGGACTCGATGAGGACACAAATCTTGCCATATCGGTGGATCCAAGCGGTCTGGGTTGGACGATCAAATCCGATGGGCGAAAGGCTGGGAAAACAGGCCCGCCCACTGGCGTGACACATGGCTTGGGAGCTTCGATCTATATCGACAAGGGAGAGCCGAGTCTGGATACGGCAAAACGACCAGGGAGTTTTACCGGCCGTCCCGCCGCAAGCAGCAGCAGCATCAGCCTCTCGGGAGGAATCGAGAGCAAAGAAAAAGAGAGGAGATCAGAACCGGGTCGGGAAGGAGGAGAACACATAGGTGTGTGACCCTCCGGCCTCCTCCTCCTCCTCCTCCCACGGGGCCCTAGGTTGGGACTCTTCTGATTGATCTAGCGGCAAAATTCTGGCCAAATTCTGTGCACATGCCCTGTGGGGGTGTGGAGGGCGAGGAGGGCGAGGAGGGCGAGGAGAGCGAGGAGAGAATGTGGGAGTTCCAGGAAACAGACCCCATGCTGGACCCGGGCAAAGGATCGAGCTGGTGAGCTACGATGAGCTCGGCTATGCCTAAAAGAAGGGGGCGGTGGAGGATCTTCGGGCAAAGGATAACAGCCAGCAATCAATTTATCCTATTACCCGGGCAATAGGATACAAGGAGGATTGGCAGAGGAGCAAGCCATTCCCATCACATCGGCATTGGCATTGGCACTGGCATTGCCACCTTGCTTCAAGGAGCTTCCTCTTCCGGAGACTGAATCAGACTTTTCCGGCTCCATCATCAAAACCCCTGTGCGCGATCGGCTACGTTCTGGAAAAAGACAGAGCAAGAGAGTCAAGACAAAGACGCTCTCAGATCGACACGGTACGAGTACGAACTCGACGCCATCGCCGGGGCGCGCCTAGTCTCGTCGTTTATTACACATCGGTATAGCCACTTTAGGTCTCCATCTCCGTCCGGGAAAATATGGAATTGCGGATCGTCATATGCGCCGGCAAACAGCAAGCCAGAAAGACACACTGCAGAGACAGCTATCCTAAGAACATGACGAAACCCGTCCCCTGGTCGAGGCTACAGTACCTTGGAAATTTGAGGAGGAAACAGCTACAAGGCTCTCGGGTCGATTCTCCAGGCAGCTAACACAGCATCCAGGAACGCGCCCAGTCCCAAAGCAAATGAGCCGCATATACGGAGTCCTCTATACCCACCTCCAGACTGGGGCATTGGCTCATGATTCGTGAATCCTAGTGCTGGTTCTGGGGGAAGGGAGGAGAATGCTGGCTGGGCTAGCTGCCTCATGTCTACGGTGCCCGTCCGCATTCGCTACCTCAACGTGCATACTACTAGGACTAAAGCTCCTTGCCCTCGTCGCCGAACAAGGAAGGTCTATAAGCGTCTTCTCTGTCGACTACATCTCCTGCTGGCTCATTCTCCCTGCTCTTGCGGGGTTCCGGTTGATATCTCAGAGATTGACAATGTCGGCAGTCTCCCATCCGTCCGTCTGCGTGACACGCCTTCACTTCGGTGTGAGTATATGCCAATTTCGAATCCTGGTGAGTGCTCCAGCGGTTATTTGCCGGTATTGAACAATATAAAGGTGCGGAAGAATGGAAAGGTACCGTGGTTGTGCTGAAGGTTGAGCAAGTGTAAGGGCCTCAGGTTGCTGTCTTCATCCCCCTTGTCCCTAGTTTTTGCCCGTGAAATCAAGATGTCTCTGTCCAGGCTTGTCTCTGTTGTCTCAGCCCTCGCGGCTCTTGGTCTGGCGACCCCGACGGGACAAGGATGGTCGCCGCATGGAAACTATCCACCGCCGCCGCCGTCGCCGCCGTCGCCGCCTTCTCCTCCTGCTTCTACATCAGCGACGACGACCTCGTCAACATCACCTGCGCCAGCGTCCTCTGCGCCAGCATCCTGCTCCGGATACTTTGAGCCCTTGGCTCCGCCTTTCCTGAATGATCTGGCGCAAGCAGCTGGCAAGCTGTGGTTTGGCAGCGCGACCGACCAACCTGTATGTGTTAGTGCTAGCAGAGGAAGAGTTCCGGAAACTGATAGGAATACGCAGGGAACTGGCGAGGATACCAACATCCTCTATCAAGAGATCTTGAATGATACGCACATCTTCGGCCAGATCACCCCGGCCAATGCGATGAAATTCGAGCTGAGTGAACCGGGGCCAGGCGTCTTCAACTTCACGGGCGGAGACATTGATGTGGCAATTGCGCAAGACCACGGGAAATATCTGAGATGTCATAACCTGGTCTGGGTCAGCCAGGTCAGCGAATGGGTCTTGAACGGGACCTGGACCGCAGATACACTTACAGCTGTTATGCAAAACCACATCCAGACCATGATCTCCCATTTTGGAGGCGCCTGTTACTCGTGGGACGTTGTCAACGAAGCCCTTGCTGCCAATGGGTCTTTTTCTGAAAGTATCTGGGTCGGTATTCCTGGTTCCTGTCCATTGTGATCTGTGTGAACTGATTTTTTTGCAGTACGATGTGATCGGTCCGGAGTACTTCTTCCTGGCGTATCAATTTGCCCGTGAGTCGTCTCTTACACAGCGGCCAGGAGTTGAGGAGCTGCTAGCAGGGGATCTGTTCCCGTTCCCCTCTCAACCACCTGGAGGTACTGATAACAAAGCGCAGAGGAGGCCGTGGACTCCCTCCCAGCCGGTACACGCAAGCCGAAGCTGTACTATAACGATTACGGGATCGAGTCCGGCAACAAGTCAGTGGCTGTGCTGGGTCTGATACAGCAGTTGAATAGTCGGGGCCTCCACCTCGACGGCGTCGGGCTCGAGAGCCACTTCGTCGTCGGCGAGACGCCCTCGCTTGAGGACCAGATCGCCACAAAACAGGCCTACATTGCCGCGGGCGTTGAGGTGGCAATCACCGAACTCGACATCCGTTTTCCGCAGGCCAACCTCACAAACGCCACGGCCTTTGCCCTCCAAGCAGAAGAGTACTACAACTCAACGGCAAGCTGTGTTCAGGTGGACGGGTGCGTCGGGATCACGGTTTGGGACTTTGACGACCAATACAGGTACGTTTTGGGACTTGAACTCCGTGTTTTCCGGAACATATTCCCTACCTTGATTTTATGAGTTGAAAGGACATCGCGATGACTGACTCCACTCACCTGATAGTTGGATCCCTTCGAGCTTTCCAGGGCAGGGGTTGGCCGACCTCTACAATGCTGACTTCACGGTAAGCAATGCTCCCCCTCCATAAAGTCCCGTCGAGTCCAGAGGATTGACTCCACTGGCTCCTGCCGGTTCCTGGCGCTGTTCCATGTATGCTGACGAGCGATGGGCGCAGCGTAAACCGGCATACTACGCTGTAGGCGATGCATTGCAAGGGGTTCCGTGCTCGGTGTGTTCGGCTTGATCCTTCCACTACTCAAACAAATACTTGGGAATTCTGTGGCTCTATCAATGCGTATCACGCAGGACGCACTGTTGCCATTATTGGACGGACCATGATGTGATTGAGAATCTGTTTCTTGTTCGAGTCATGAACATCAACCACACAAGAGTGCATAAGGAGTACATATGATAATAGCAACTAATATCTAACTGGAATGGCTCCCCAGGCCATGCACGCCCTGGGGGGTCTTCCCCTCCCAGCTGGCCGATGCTGTGCCCAACGATCAAACTGTGTCTTAGATTTTGGGCGCTGTGATTACTTCTGCAAGCCCCTATTTTCTCTCCATCCGTTTCTGCCTTGCGTGATCTCGCCAAACCGCCTGAACCACGGCTTTTCTGTGGGCATCACCAGCGGTGGACCCCGAAATAAGTAGCAGTCGGCAGCCGAAGATCAACCGTCAACTTCCTCTCTAGCAAGTAGTACACCACACACCACACCCAGCGCCGTTCTTTCATCGCTTGTGGGGAAAAGACATCAGCCACCAAAGAGTGCGCTTCAAGAGGAGGCATGTACATGTACATGTACCTCGTAACGCATGTAAGCATATCCGAAATACGGATCCCGTGGGCATAGTGGAGTGATGCGTGGTTCATCCGCGTCCTCGCCTCAGGTCCGTCCGGTAAGTATTGACTAACAAGCACCGCTGGGCGACTGGTTTAGTTGGTTGATTGATCACTTCACGGCGCGCTTGCACACGTCTGCTCCGGGATGATCGACGAGTACGAAGTACTAGGCACGGCACGGAGCTTCGTCGCACAGCTTCAACTCGAATTCAACCGAAGAAAAGTGAAAAGGGGCATGGAAGGAAGATGGCCTTGCATCGCAGTACCCTGGACCTATGGCGAGGCTGTGGTGTCCTTGCGAGCAAGATCATTGCATGTCGGGATGCCCGATCCATCCGGCATCAGACTTCCAGACCCTAGCTATGAATAGAAGAGAAGCATGGATGAACCACTATCGATTCACGGCCACGGACTATCAGAAGTGCGTTCTATCCGTCTTTCCTGACATGTCCCAAAAGAAAATGGCTCAAGTCTGGTCCCCGCTTGTACCAGCACACACCCCCCCAAAGGAATTGCAAAGGAGGGAGTGGAGATATCGATATTGACGGCATGGCCCACGTTCCCTGCACGACAATGAAGTCTCTGATCGAAGATTCATCGAGGCTCTCGAGGAAGGGCACGCAAGGGCGAGGAACAGGGGTGCTGAGGGATGGGCAGAGAAAGTGGGAACCCCCAGTGCCACCCTGGTGGCCAGACGGAGACTGCGAATTCAGCCAAATATCCCTTCCCCCAGTCCCGTCCAGTCCAGCCCAGCCCGGTCCTCTCGTGGTCTGAGAACCCCCGTTTCTTCCGAGGAACTGCTGATCTCCCAATCTACAGGAAGGGACCCTCACTACCGACCGAATGGCTGGTATGAACAAGCTTTTCGAGCCTCCCTTCGTACATGCACTGCATGATCTGGGGCCGGGCGAACGGGGCGCGCGAGGGGTGAATAATGGAAAGCAAGGACCAAGATGAGAGCATGCGATCGCTCGTACGGATAAGACGTCCGTTTGCGAGGCGTGGGTGGCGTGGGTGGCGTGGACGTCGTTGGTCTGCCTCATGAGTGAGTCCAACGAATGCAATTCGCGGCCCACTGCAAGGAGGCAGAGGAGAGGAAGAGTGTTGGATTCTTGCTACGAAAAAGACGGACCCCCATAACACACGAGAACGACCCTAACATTTTCCCATACGGGGTGAGCATGCGCTCTTTCCACGAGATGCCCTTGCGTCCGAACAACATACAGAAATTACCGCTACGGAGTATAATGCTTCTTTGATTTCAGCCTTTCTAACCCCGTTAGCCTCCCCGATTTTTTCAGCCTCAAAAACAGTACCGTGGAATTGTAAGAGGTCCGAGATGGCTGTCTATCGTTCCTCCAAGATCAAGCACAAACGTCTGCACAGCAACGCTCGGTTACAACATTCACAAATTCAGAATGTGAGGCTCTTGTCTCTGTAAGTGACGGACATTCCGCTACTCCCAGATCTGTGGCATCTTGAAATTCCCATAGGGATGTGTCGTGTTGTCGTCGTAGACTCCCGCGGCAGTTAGTGTAGTGATATGGTGGAAGGCATCGTGGAACTTCTTGGTACATTTGTCCAGTCAATAATGACGACCAGCTCCGGCGTTGATATGTGTCGAATACACAACATTGCCTGCCATATACTTATGAAGCGCCAGCTCAAAATACGAGGGTTGGATGAATGCATCGAGCTGGTCCTGCCTAGCAGCCACGACGAAGTCTTGCCATTGCTGAAGGACGCTGTCGGCTTCGTTGCAGTTGTGATTTTGCAGCTCACTCCAGTCCTTTTCTAGAGCAAGAGTATCGATGCCCGAGCCGTCACCCAGGGTCAGGCGAACCTACCCACTACTGGGGGCGGCACGCCTAATTGCTCGAAAATGTCATATATGGCGTATACAGATCATCTCTTGTCTGCACCAGCAACTACAACTGCACCGCTGAGGCCGTTCACAGCCTCTGGCACGCCACTTGTTTTTGATGACTCTCCCATTTTCTTCGCACGGCATGCACGTTGGATCTTTCCCGCCTGGACTAGCGCTTGTATCAAGCTTGACTTGGCAGCTGTGCCTGCAATCACGACCAGTGATGCAGACAGAGGATTTGTGTCCGATAGTCGCATTGAAAGCCAATACCTAAGCCAACATCTTGGTCGAGATCACTGGCAGTTCGGTGGACGCCCGTCCAATCATCTCCACGGACCAGGATCGTTGGGGCAGTCGAGGACTCTGCTCAAAAAAGAGCATCAGAAGGTTGAATGAACCCAAGGAGTGTTTGCTGTGTCAATGCCATCCAGCCAAATCAAAAGAGAAGCAAGATGTCGGAGACGGCCGCCACGGTCATCGAAACGCGCCTCGAAGGGTTGCAGAAAGAGCGCGACCTACCTTCGTGAGCCTTGAACAGAAGGGTAATTTTCTCGACAGGGTTGAGATCAATAAAGCTTTTGGACGTCGAGGTCGCGTCCACGCTTCCCTCATCGAAGAGGAGCAGACCGAACTACCATCAGCCAAACATCTTCTGACCCCGGCCTTCGCCTGCAGTGGCCAAAGAACATTTAGCCAGCTTGCCAAGGCGTGGTGAAGGAGCGGAGATAGCTGGCCTCGCTGGATCTTCTGGAGAAACTCAAAGGAAAATGCCGGGGATTTGGAAAGCCAGCTGCTTGATTCCGGCGCGGAGGAAATCTCCAGTCGTGGTGCCGCCTCCTGTGCCTTTTTGTGCCTTTGTGCCCCTTTTGGCAAATGGCTGATGAACTCTATAGCCAATGAGCTGCCTACGCGATTCAGGCTAAATCCCGGTTTTCCTTGATTGCAGCTTGGTTCGAGTAACTTGGCAGAGATGCCGTCGTCATCGATTGTCCTTCTTTTAACAGACCGCAAGCTCCTCCACGGCAGTATGCCAAATTGTCTTCCTACCGAATGGTCCTGTCGACTCAGTGGTCAAGGCGGTGACCTTGTCTGCATTCAACCGGCATCGACGTGACCACCTCCGCACTCTGAACCAGCCCTTGGTGGGACGAAGCTGTCCGATGCAAGATCTGCCTTCCTGACTTGGCATGGCCCTGTGAGGAGGTATTGCTTCACGGCCGGAGTCTGTCCTGAAATAGGATGAATTGGTGGCATTGTGCCTACGGACCGGCGGAACCTGGTTTTCAGACCTTCATGGAATGTGCTCTCGTCGAACTGGGTATGATAATGGTAAGAGGACCATATACTGCCCAGAAGACGTGCTAGGCATCTTTCTACCTTGTATCTCCTATAGCTACTTGTTGAATCGAACCGCCGTCCTGTCATGAGCATGGCTTCATTCTTTCGAGTCCTGTTGCCGGTAGCTCTGCTCGTTGGACATAGCTTTGGCCATCCACAGGAGATCGCTCGCCGGGCCAACGTCGCCGTGTCCAATACTGGGAGTTCACTGACATACGTCTTTCAAAACAATCTCAATGCCTCGGACGATGTCAACCATGTCGGTGCCATATTGCTTGACTCGATGTCAGCGTCTGCCGGGTCGGCTGCCTGTCAGGCGTTGAGCGAGACCCTTTTGACTCAAGCGACCATTCAAAACTACAGCCATGATTTCTCTTCCGCCTTATCATACCTGGCATACTCTGGCAGAGTGTCTCCCAACCAGGTGTATCACATTGCCGGTGGCAGTTTGCAAGTGTCCAGTCAAGCACAGCTCTCTTTTCCCGCTATGGCACAAAACGACTCTGCTTTTCCAGTACTTTGCACGCAATCAAGCAATGCAAGCCAGCCTCCAAATTCTACGGCAAGTGCTTCAAATCAAGTAGTTGTCGCGGCAGCAGACAACACGTACGTCGGCTATCGAAACCAGAAATCGTTTCGGTTTCTGGGCATCAGATATGCTGATCCACCACAGCGTTGGGTTTACTCCCACCTCTATACTGGGACTGGCAAAACAGTGAACGCTACTGCTTATGGCGCCCAGTGTTCTCAGCCATTCGTCAACGGTACGAGTGAGGATTGTTTGTTCCTCAACATCCAGACTCCATACATTCCCAAAGCTGGATCAACCAAGGATCTGCGACCAGTCTTATGTGAGTCTCCCCTAAGTCGAGTGACAATTCGTCGTGCAGCGAGACTGACTGAACCAGTTTGGATCCATGGTGGAGGATTTACTGGAGGCACTGGAGCCGATCCGCTCAGTGATGGTGGCAACCTAGCTTCTCGCGAGGACATTGTTGTCGTGACCATCAACTATCGGCTGTCAACGCTCGGGTTTCTTGCTATCCCCGGCACGAACATCAAAGGCAACTTTGGCATCGGCGACCAGATCGTCGCGTTGAATTGGACCGTACAGCACATTGCCAAATTCGGCGGAGATCCGACCAGGATTACCATCATGGGCGAATCTGCTGGAGCCGGCTCGGTGCGGACTCTTCTCGGCAGTCCTCCTGCCATCGGGCTGTTCCAGGGCGCCGTCGCCATGTCCAACCTGGGTGGTGGAGTGACGCTTGGCCTCGACGGCAACTATGGCACCACCTACTCGTCCTACTACACAGTCAATGAGTCCTATACCGTCGCGGGACCTCAAATTTTCAACTCATCAAACTGTACGCAGCAAAGCTTGAGTGGTAAGATCGCATGTCTCAAGAAGGTCAATGCCACGGACCTGGTGAATCTCGAGACCGTGGCCAGATACGTGGTCCAAGACGGCACCATCGTCAACTCGTCGGAGCTCAACGTGGTCAAAAGAAATGCCGGAAGCGCCCACGTCCCGATCATGTTCGGCAATGCCGCCAACGACGGCGCCTCCTTTTCCACGATCTCCCCGACGCCCGTGCACAACGAAACAGAGGGACTGATGACCGGTCTGAGCATCAACGCCTCTTACGCGCAGGCCATCATCCACTCCGGCTTATTTCCCTACTACAACACGGGCAACATGACGTTCGACTCCTTCAACGTCACACAGCGTGTCGCGACCGACACGACCTTCCGATGCATCGACCAAGCGACCGTCTACGCTGGCGCCGAGACCGGCACTTTCCCAGCAGCATATTACTACCAATTCGAACGCACCATCAACGGCTACAACCCAGAGAACGTCCCCGGCGCGCCCGTCACACCCGGCTACCCGAACGGCAACCCGAACCTGCCGTACTTCAAACTCCACGGCGCCGACATGCCCTGGGCGTTTGGCAACTTCTACGTGCCCCTCCGCGACGCCAACGATCTGTACTCGGTGCAACTGGTCAGCGGGTACTTTGCGGAATTCGTGCGAAGCGGCCAGCCGAATCCTCCCACCCCCTACCTCCAGGCGAGGGGTTACACGAGAACCCTGCAGGGCGTGCAGGAATCGGGGCCTTGGGACAAAGTGTCCAATGCCACGGGCCCCATCAAACACCTGAACTACCCGATGGCGGCGAGCGGGCCATTCGTGGATTTGCCCCAGTGCGCGTGGCTCAATTATAGCATCAACTACTACCTTGAGCAGAAGTAGCAGGAGATATAATACCCAGAGTATTCATACATACATAATCGAATGGGAATGAGAAACGAATCTGAAAAGCAGGCTCTTGTCTCCAACCATCTGGCAAGTCGTGCCCAGCCTCGTCTGAGGGAAAACGAGTGGAGGTTGTTGGAGAAACGACGGGAATGTAAACAAATACCTCTCCCGAACTCACCAAGGACATTAGACTCTCTGAAATCATCTCCGCATTGGAAGACACTAATAATATGGGTTGGCATTTGATCACATTGGACTACATTGACTGCTAAAGAGACAATACGGCTAAATGGTCGATCATGTTCAGTTTTTCAACCACTGCGATCCTAAAGGGCTGGTGACGGTTCCCCTCCGCGTACTATCAGGCGGGCTGACCAGAGGTATTTAGCCGGTCCGTTCTCGCCAGGTGGGCACTGGACACAGGGCACAAGCCGTAGATGACAGACTGAAGATGGAGGACGGTCTCACTACTGGCCCTGGGCCTTCCAAAAGGGTTCGTACTCTCTTTCATCCGTTACGCACATGTGGCCGGATTGTTCCTGTAAGTTACCCCTCTCTGCCAATGCTCAAGAGTAGAAGAGTACGCAGTACGTTCCGTTCCGTTAGGAACGTCCCCCTCCTCTGCCTCTAAATTAGCCGGGAGGGACAAGGTAAGTTAAGGAAGGAAGGGCTCCTCTTCGAAGCAAGAGTAAGATTCAGAGCCCCATCCTTTGATCTGTCCTTTTCTAGAGTTGCAACAACAAGAATGGCGTCGGGCTACCTCAGAGTCGACGGCGACAAGGTGGTAGACGGCAATGGGCAGCGAGTCGTGCTTCGCGGAGCAGCCATTGGGGGATGGATGAAGTAAGTGCGCTCGTTTGTTTTTGCTAAAGTGAGAAAATCAAAAGGGAAGGAGAAGGCCACCAGCTGATGACACCCTCGACGGCAGCATGGAGAACTTCATCACAGGCTACCCGGGCCACGAGTTCCAGCATCGAGCATCCATGAGGAAAGTGCTGGGAGACGAGAAAGCCGAGTACTTCTTCGACAAGTGGCTGGAATACCACTTCACCGAGGCCGACGCCCGCTTCTTCGCCAGCCTGAAGCTCAACTGTATCCGACTCCCGTTCAACTACCGGCATCTGGAGGACGATATGAACCCGCGGGTGCTGAAGGAGGCTGGGTTCAAGCATCTCGACAGAGTGATTGATTTGGTGAGTTCGGTGCTGATGACCCCAAAAGAGTGCCCACTGAACCGTGGCACAACTTGTAGTGTGCAAAGCACCAAATCTACACGATCCTTGACATGCACACGGCGCCCGGAGGCCAGAACCCGGATTGGCACTCGGACAACCCTACCAACTATTCCGCGTTTTGGGACTACAAAGATCACCAGGACAGGACCATCTGGCTATGGCAAGAGATTGCAAAGAGATATAGGGACAACACCTGGGTGGCTGGGTACAATCCGATCAACGAACCATGCGATCCTGAGCACATCCGACTACCGGCCTTCTATAAACGCATCGAAGCCGCGATCCGTGCCGTGGACACGCATCATATCTTGTGGTTGGACGGCAATACCTTTTCGATGGAGTGGAAGGGCTTTGATGAGGTCTTGCCAAATTGCGTATACGCTCTTCATGACTACTCGGTGCGTCCTGAGGTCGGGGTTCATAAACGCTGTATTTGAGCTAACTAGTCGCAGATGATGGGCTTCCCTACCGGCGATCGCTTCAAGGGCACTGAAGACCAGAATAGCAAGCTGGAGCGACAGTTCCTCCGGAAGGCCGAATTCATGCTCGAACACAAATGTCCCATCTGGAATGGGGAATTCGGTCCAGTCTATGCTGACCCAGCCGAGGACGAAGACGCAGAAGCCATCAATCAGGATCGGTACAATATGCTCGGCCAACAGCTGAAGATCTATGACAAGCATAAGATCAGTTGGAGCATCTGGCTATACAAGGATATCGGCGTCCAGGGGATGATGCACACCAGCCGAGATTCCAAATGGAACCGGACTATCCAGCCCTTCTTGGACAAGAAGAAACGATATCGGCTGGACGCGTGGGGTGTTCACCACTCTCCCGAGGCGGAAGCCGCGTTGAATCCTCTTGTCGAGTGGATTGACAAGATCTGTCCGACAGCGAAGGATGCCTATCCGGGTCCATGGCAGACCGAAAGGCACGTCATGCGCGCCGTGATCCAGACGTGGTTGAGCGCGCAGTTCTCAGACGAGTTTGCCAAACAATTCGAAGGAATGGATTTCCAAGAGCTGGACGAACTGGCGCACAGTTTCCACTTCGACGAATGTGTCCAACGAGAAGGTCTGAACAAGATCTTGAGCGAGCATGCTCCTCAGTAAGGAGCAACTGCATCAGCCGAGTCATCCGCTTCACACATGCGCAGATCCGAATACCTGCAAGTCCTCCGGCTGGCTCCAATATGTTGGCAACCCGACGCTGATTCATCAGTGGTACACTAGGCGCTATTTGCGACTTTGAGGACGCCCGGCTGCAGACCGCGCAGATGTTCGCCGGGAAGGCATTACCTCCTTGCAAAAAGAGAAGACTGGGAATCAACGTGAATATCGGCGGACGATTACGGATGCAGACGTGGGTAGAAGGCAGGTTTGAGCGTGATCCTTCAAAGAACTAGCATGGCGCAGTTCGCAAAAGCCCGGGTTTGCTCAAAATCAAAGATGCCCGAAACGGGAGAAAGCCAAACTCCACCATTGCATGACTTCGCACTCGGTAAGCTTGCTAGGAGCATGTCCATTCGAGGATCGATTGTGGCAGAGACCACAGCGGTAGGTTACACATCGACTCGTAGAGGACGCAGCTTCTGGGGAGCGGTGCTTGACTCCTGTTGAAGGGGCCGTGGAGGAGAGGCGGTCGACAGCCAGGGATGAACACAAGAAGGGCACAATCGCACTTGCATAGAACACTCTTCTCGATAGACATTTGGAAGAACATCTCGCGACTTACGAGTACTCGGTCCTTACTCGGTACAGCTAACTCCAATACAACGCTGCTGATTGGGCCGCTGTGACAAAAGATTCCCACCCTTGGAGGGAAGAAGTCGACGCACAAAGTCCGAGAAGTCGGCACTTGAGACAGCTGAAAAGTGGTGAGGTCAAGGAGAGTGTGCGTAGTATTGAGATCACGAGAATGCTACATCGGCCAAGGAGAATGTGGTTGGATGGCAGGAGGAGGATGATGATGCAGTGGATTTGGTGGCGGTGGGTGGCGGTCAGGACTCAAGGTGGGTTGGGCGAGGTTGGGTTGGTGATAGATTACCTGTGGTAGGGCGTTGTTTGGCAGTCGGCAGGCTCTCTGGAGTTCTCCCCTACTTGTGCCTATAGCTGCTTGGTATGGGGGTCACTAGGTACTCCTGGCTCAACAGCAGCCCGAAACTGCCTGGGATGGGGGTGCCCCGCATCATGCGCCCTAACTCCACGAGGAAGCTACGAATACAGCTACAGGAGCACGCACCCACTCTCTCCCACTCTCTTTCTTACTCACAACCCCTTCTTACCTACTAGGTACTCGTCTCCTAGCAAATCGGCGTCCGCTCACCGTCAACTACGTGCCATCGACTTAATAGGGACGGAGTAGAGATCGAACTCATGCTCCCCATAGACTTGGGCTATGACTACGGCCTGCCCTATATATGCTACAGCCTACTAGTCACTCGCCGCGCCGAGGCAATGCGTCTCAGCGGTAGAACGTTGTTGATCGCGAGCCCCACCCTCTTATTGCGAGCATCCCTGCACTGGTCACCAGCTTCCAAGGAAGCAAGCGTCCTGCCAATAGAGATGCCCATCCCGGAGCCCTCATCTACCCCGGCTTGCCTAATAGGCTTAACGGGGCGGGCCCCCAGCTTCCAAAAGGCCCTTAGCCACGGACCCTCGCCCACCACCGACACCACCCAGAAGATGATTGCCCAGATTTTGATTTTTTACCAGCAGCCCTCGCCTACACGCCCCAGCTTCTGCCAATCCCCCCGCTGCGTCCATCGCCATGGTCGAGGCTTAACTCGTCCATGTGCCTCCTCCTCTTCTGATCCCTTCAATCATCTCATGTGAGCAACCAAAAATTCTCCACACGCACGCTGCCCTTTTGTGCTTGTTGCCGCCCACCGCTTCTATCACGCCGAGAGTGCGGGTGCTGTCTCCGGTCGCTTGCCGTCGACGACCAACTCGACGCTTCCCCTCTGCGTAACTTCTTTTGAGCAACACAAACCACCCGACAAACGACGGTGCTTTCAGATTTTCAAGCTATGACAGTGGCTTTGTGCTGCTGTCGCCGTCGAATCCCGCAGACATGCTCTCCCGCATTCCCCCACAAACCCACAACTCATACTCCGAATTTCACGACTATGCTCAACGGCCCGACTTGATCAACCCCCAACCTCAGCAGCTCGCCTCCATGCTTCAGACCCAACCCAAACCATACGATAATGATAATCTGCAAGCCGGTCGCAAGAGGAGGGAGTCGGAGCTCGATCAAAATGATCCCAACGACACCGCGGCAGTTCGACGGAGAATAAGCCGAGCCTGCGATCAATGCAACCAGCTGCGTACCAAATGTGATGGCAAACAACCTTGTGCCCATTGTACCGACAATTCTCTTGTCTGCGAATATGCTCGCGCTCACAAGAAACGAGGGCGGGCGCCCAAGAAAGAGGCGGATGCCACCGACGAGTCCAACTATGTCAGTTCCACTCAACCAGCTTCCAACAATGCGTCCGCTGTTCGCCAATCGGCCGGACCCAGAAAGTATTCGTCCACTTCCTACAACGGTCTCGATGGGAATCCCTTACCTGCCAACAACACACCCCCGAGTGCTGGGTTTGACGCCAACCACCATCAGGCCGCTTTCTTTACCAGTTTTGATCCCTCCTCGGGAGTGAGTATTTCTGCCACTCGCCAATTGCACGAAATCGATCAATCAATGGTGCCGCAGATCACGCAAAGTCAGGCTATTGAATTTGCTGTCCCCAACCAGGCATACGCGCCATCCACCCTCGACTCCATGCACGTGCAAGGGGCAGCACAAGGCTTTGGATTTCCCCTGGGAGACGACTATTCGGTCGCGTTCATGGGCAAAGCTCCTATGGTCGAGTCGCCGGATTGGCTCGCTCTCACATCGCCCATGTTCATCAACGACCCCTTGCCGGCTCAGCCTCGCATCACAGATACCCTAAGATATCCCGTGCTTCGTCCACTGCTGCCTCACATTGAATCAATCATTCCTCAAGCTTTGGCGTGCGATCTGCTGGAGCAGTATTTCACGAGTTCAACTTCAGCTTACCTGAGACCTGCCAACCCATACATATTAGGCTACATCTTCCGAAAGAAGTCCTTCTTGCATCCTACCGATCCTAGACCCTGTACTCCTGCGCTCCTAGCAAGCATGTTGTGGGTTGCGGCACAAACCAGTGACGCTGCCTTCTTAACAACTCAGTTAGATGCCAGAGCCCGGATCTGTCAACGACTGTTGGAACTCACCATCAACATGCTCAAACCTCTAATTCACAGCCACCCAAATACCTCCGCCCCGACGCCAAACCCCAATTATCCGCAGATGGCGGCCAATGATGGCGGTCTGGGCGCTCTTGTTGTGCCGACACATTCGGGGGGTCACAGTGTCGATCGGGCACAGATTGACAACTTGGTGACCTACATACACCTAGCTACGGTGGTGTCCGCGAGCGAACGGAAGGCAGCGAGTCTCCGGTGGTGGAATGCTGCTTGGTCACTCGCTCGAGAAATTCGACTGGGTCGTGAGCTCCCTCCTAATCCGCCGGAACAGGATGGCGAAGAGAACAACGCGGCGAGCAATCACACAGACGGCCACTCGGGAGAAAATCGGAAGACTTCTGTGGACGAGACACGGCGCAACTCTATCGGTTACGTGTCGGAAGAAGAAAGAGAGGAACGACGACGGACGTGGTGGCTGCTGTACATGCAAGATCGGCATCTGGCGTTGTGCTACAATCGACCCATGTTTTTCCTCAACAAGGAATGTGAGAGCCTGCTGCAGCCGTTGGACGACGATGCCTTCCAGGCAGGGCGCTTTGACAAGGCTTCGGACCCTACGCAACGAAGAAGAGGGTTGAACATTGAATGCACGTCGCACAGCGTGTTCGGCTACTTCCTGCCTCTGATGGTGATCCTGGGTGAAATCTTAGATCTCAATCATGCTCGCAATCGACCACGGTTTGGCCCCAGGGCTAACAAGGCCAAAAACTGGGATGACCACACAGACGAGATCACTCAACAGCTGGAGGCGTATGGACAGAGTCTGAAGGATTTTGAGGCTTCTGGCGGACATGCTCAAGATACCAGTCACAATGATGTAGTTACCCCGTCAGTGGTATCGGCGGCAACGAATGAGTCCCACAGTGCTTCAGAGCTGGCGCTGCAGACCAAAACAGTGGTAGCCTACGGGACACACATCATGCACGTCTTGCATATCCTCCTGACCGGCAAGTGGGATCCGATCGCATTGCTGGATGACAACGATCTCTGGATTTCTTCCCAGTCATTTGTAACTGCCACGGGACATGCGGTGAGTGCCGCCGAAGCAGTGGCCGAAATCATCGACGATGATCCCGACCTGAGCTTCATGCCCTTTTTCTTTGGAGTCTACCTTCTCCAAGGCAGTTTCTTACTGTTGTTGTTCGCCGACAAACTGCAAGGTGACGTCAGTCCCGATGTGGTCAAGGCCTGTGAGACGATTGTCCGAGCGCATGAGGCATGCGTTGCTACATTGGATACCCAGTATCAGGTAAGTGGCTTTCGACGCAAAAGGGAGGCCAAGAGTATAGGAACTGACACAAGCTCAGCGTAACTTCCGGAAGGTCATGCGATCAGCCCTTCAGCAAGTACGAGGACGCATCCCCGAGGACTTGGCCGAGCAGCAGCATTGGAGACGCGAGGTGCTTGCGTTGTACAGGTGGACTGGTGATGGCACTGGCCTTGCATTATAAAGAGCAAAAGCCCCGGGAGGCAAATGGACCTGAAATCGGGAGGACACCTCTGCTTTGCGCATGACACCCAAAAGCAAGTTCCTGCCGTGCTCAGCATGTTTGCAAATGTTTTGTTTACGACGGGCGACATCATCCCATCTATGACGGATTGGGATTTGTTTACGACCGAAGAAATTCAAAGATACGGAAATTGGATGTGGAAAAACCTGCTGTGATGGCGCGCTGTCGCGTGCCTCTGGAGCTACGGTACTCGGTGATGTACTCCGGGACCAACTTGGAGGCACAGGATCTGTATATCGGTGCGCCTTGGTGTCGCATGTGATCAGGTCGATTTTGTTGATATCTCAGACACCCCATATGTAAGCAAGCGGACGAGGCGAGATTGGTTTCTATGCAAGGCTCTGATGAGTGGCGAATGATTAAGGCACACGAATCAGGATAGGGAAGATGCTTGAGAGGGAGGACCTGAGCACATGCTTGGCAATCTGGACTTGTAAAGAAAAGCCAGGATCTGTGATTGATTGCCGTGCAAGGATGGCTGCTGTCCCTGGTCTGCCGATATCATGTAATATTACTATGGGGAGGACTCGTCAGCAACACCGCCAGGTCCTGAAACAAGATCAAAAAAGGATGAACAGGCAATCATTCACACTTACCGAGTACGAGGTACCTAGGTGGCATCTCCCTTATCTCAGGGGACAAGGCTGCGGCAAGCTGCCACTTGGGCCAGTGAATACGGGAAACAAATCACCAACATTTTGTGTTCCGGACTTTGGCATTGAGAATTGGTGTGAGGCTGCTGCATTGTTTCACCTGGGTCTCTCTCCAGAGTCAAGTAAGGAGTTGCGTGGCAGACTGGGTTTGGGGACTCCTCCAGTGGCACCCAGTGGGCGCTGAGGGAGCCGCAGACGCCCGTTTGATGCTCAATTAGCGACTTTTCTTACTTGTAGAGAAGTCCGGATAGGCGGCCGAATACAGTTAGGCGGTAGCCCAAGCCCGCCTAGGGGCCCGACTATTGCTGTGGCAAGCTCCCGTGCCCCCCCAACACCACGGCCCGTAGATGGGGATTGGGGTGCCTCAATTTACCAAGCCTGGGTGACATTTTATTGGAGGCCCAACGCCGCAAGCTTAGACACTCCCCAAAACCTAACCAACGACCTTGCTAGCATCTCGCGCCGCAAAGTCTCCATGGAACCCATCCACCTGATCGCGCCATTTGTTCCAATCCATGCTCAATCTGGCCGATCCTCCATCACCATGGGCAAAGAGCGTGCGGTGGAGATGGGTAGAGACACACCAGATGGAGGGCAAGAGGAGGGACAACAAAGGGGAAGAGGAGGGTGAACACTGTCCACAACAGACGAACGAAAACACCGAAACAGAGAGCCGTTCGATACCTTTTCCACTTCAAATATCGGCCATCAGTCATCACGGGCGCCATCAGAGAATCCATCGGTAAGAAAGCGACAAGACACCATGTCTGTTCTTGCAGCCACACCAGTGCTCCAGCTCCAGCTTTCGTTCCAGCTCCAGCAACTTGGGTCCCGTCGCCAATGACCACTGCCCCTCTTCCTGCGATTTCCAAACTACAATTCCATCCACGGCATCCCTCCATCCATCCATCTATCAATTGATTCGGTCGCACCTCACCTACCCTCCTTTCGTTTCTTTCTCATCACACTTGTTCAGCCTCCCACGACTTCGCTCTGTGTCGAACACTTCGCGCCCTCTTGCGATTTAACGCACCTCTTCCCTCGCAATCACTCCTGACTTCGTTACCCAGCTTCCTGAACCGCAGGACTCCAGCCGAGAACACCGCTTTGGGAATGACGATCGCACCGCCATTTCCACACCGCAATCACTGATTCCCCTTCCAGTATCCGAACACCGTTTCCAGTTCCCCTCGCAACAGATTGGGCGCTGGCCTCGCTGCAAGTTAGCGACGACATCCTGCATCCGCGATTGAGATTTTGCGTAAGAACGGAGCAGCTTCGCCTTTTATTGTTGCTTGCCTGAACCGTTCAGATCGTCCGGTGTCCTGGGGGGGCTGGGCCTGACGCACGACTTGTACCACTGGCTGTGCCACCTAAACCACAACCAGCTGACCGGATATCCTACAGCGGACCTGGACGGAATAATTCTACCTCGTACTAGCAGAGGAGCTGTCGTCCAACGCCAGCCATGCCGCCGATGGCTACCACACATCCCTCGGGTGGGTAACTTTTCTTGTCTCAGCTGGGAAGCTTACCTTGCGGAGGTCAACGTTCTGTTTAGGCTTACCACTGCCATCTCTACCAACCATTCCGTGGACTGACCTCACGGACCCATCTTTCTCACCCTGCCCTGCCATCTTCGAGCGTCATTATTTATTTTGTGTTTTTTTCTTCTACCAGCTTGATCCATGCCTTGTCCGACATGCACTGACCGAGGTTCTTTTTTCACACGCAGACGATTTTGATATGGCCAAGTTGCAAAAGACGCTGAAGCAACGACAGCGTCATGCAGCCCGTATCAGTACCAACGTCACCAAGTTGACCCCTGCCGAAATTCGATCGCTTAATAATGGTGCGTTGGCCTCGAAGACGGGGAGTCAATCCAGTTCGAAATCGACGTCAACTCAATCCCGATCAAGACGTTCAACCAATGCAACACCTCCAGCAACTCCTGATGAGCTTCCCGCCTATGGAGCACAGACACACAGAAACTCGGTCTCGAGGAATAACAGCGTCAACATCCCAACCCCACCTCATACACCCAATACTCATCGAAGATCGTCTCAATCAAGCACTCACGGTCACCATTACGGCCATCATGTGGTCCACGGCCACGCAAACGGCGTTATTCACGCTCCTCGACCTCGGGGATCCGCACAAGCTGCATTCATGTATGCGAATGGCTTGTCTTCCCGTCCATCAAGCTCTGGGTCTTCATCATACCGTGGGCTGCCCACCTACCGCGGCCCAGAAGTTACGCGGACAGGTTCCTTGACCATGTTACAGCACCCGTCTCAAAAGATTGTTTCCAATCCGCTTTCGTACTTTTCAAGACCGCGGCAGAGCCAAGTCAGCACTTCACCAGAGCATGGGAAGCATGACTCGCCCGAAATTAGCATTTATCGCGCCCAAAGTTTGCGAAACGTACCCTCCGACTCTGTACCGAACGTCAGCGCTCCATCATCAAGGCCCGTGAGTCCGCCCAGAGTGACCGACTCGCCCGTCTCAATGATTGTGGATGGCACGGAGAAGTTCCCGGTCCTGGACCCGGCGGACGATCCACACAATCAGCCCAAGGTGCAGCTCGATGAGGAAATCGCTCCTAACGAACCGAACGTGGAGAATGTTGACACGCAGCCCAAGCATGTGACAGATCCGCCCATTGAACCAGCAAAGCAGACGACTCCGCTGGAATCGCCAAAAAAGGAAAAAGAAAAGCAGAAGCGGTTTACGATCCATGCCGCACTGTTTGGCGGAGATAAATGCAATCATGAAGGTACCGAAAATGTGAAAAAGCTCAAAAAGGGGAGAAGACGGACTCTGTCTTTCGGCAAAAATAACGAGGCTGAAAAACCAGAAGACAAGACAGCAATGCCGGCTGAAGCGGTCGACGAAGTCAAGGTGGATGGCGCGACGATCGAGACCGAAGAATTTTCGACACATCCGGCTGTTCGCCCTCTTTCCCTGATCATTCCGAGCGAATTTAAAGGGAAAGAAAAGGAGATTGTCTGTCCTCCAGTCTATGCTCGATGCGCCTGTTGTGGGAAGATGAAGCGGCCTTCGGGATACGGGGGTGAACTCAGTCCGGTGCTGGAAAACGAGAATCTAAGAACAAACTTCAGCTTCGAGATTGAACGAACATCCGGGTCATCGGAGAGACGAAGTTCCGACGCCAGTCGCCATAAATTTATTCCAATCATTCCAATGGAAGTGGGTGAAAACGAAACGCGTCAGGCGACAATTGAACCGTATACGGGTCCTTCAAAGAGTCCAGCGGAGCATGACCAAATACCCCAGATGGATATGAATATCGCTTCGTCGAGTCCAGTCAAGCAGCCTATCGGACAGCTGAGTTCAAGTCCACGAAGAATGAAGAGACTCTCCGCACCATCCCGATTCACTAGGTTTGCAAGCTTGCATGGACGACGGAATGTGGATTCAACCGTGATCGCCGAAGAAGATGAGGCCGAAGCGGAAGGAGAAACGGACGAGAATCGACCTCTCATGAGCGAGCCAGCGGCCTCTGAGGTAACTGGTGTCGTAAATCAAATTGTCGCAGCCGCAGCCGCTGCAGACGACGATGTGATCGCGAACAGCCAACCAGTGATTGAGCCGATGTCATCAGCAGACCGAGCATTCATTGAACCAGTAACCACAATGGCGACTCACGATTCCCAACTTATGGCCAGCGAGATTTTACAGAGTATTCCTCTCCCACGGTCCAGTCCTAGATCGGGTTCAGAGATGTTCTCCACGCCCGCCCGGGGCACTACGCCCGTGCTTGAGAACGTCTACTCCACCGATGCAATTCCAATTCAGCCTGCCGGTTCGCTCCAGGCTCAAATCATAGTGCATGATAATGTGGCAGACAGTCCCGATTCTGTCCCTGTGGACGAAACACCTACGTCCACTACTCCTGCAACAACGACAACAACCACTTATACGCCGTCCGATATTGAAAACCCCGCTTCACCAAAGTTCGCACCAGAGTTTTCAGCCTCATTCTTTGATACACCCGATCTGTCTCTCACTCCCAGATTCGAAGCTGGCACGCAGCCAGCCGGAAGGGACGCGAAATTAGACAAGGGAACGGATAAGCTCACAGGAAAGAGGAAGTCGACGGCGACCGAATGGGTGGCCGAGCTTATGACTGTGAATGCTTAATTGCATGGAGCAGTGGATTTTCTGACGGGGAAAGGCTAGAAGGACTTTGTTTCGAGAAGTGGAACAGGAACTCATAAGAGACTCTACATTATATACGAGGTACTATAAACTGCATGTTAGCGATTCGACGTCGGACGGACGACTAGAGGATTGGTGATTAACGATTTAAGGCCATTCGTGTATGTGTGGATGGTTGTAGCATAACCCCTGCAATAAGAGATGAAGGAAGAGGTATGTGTCGGGAATGCATTGAGCCATACATATTGTCTGGGGTCGACGCGGTTGATTTATGTATATGTGGATGAATGTGTAAGATATCCGTGCACACAAAGATTGTCCAAACCCTAAAGAGAGCCTCTCGTCGCGCCCACAAAATCAGCCTCGCGATTGCCATCATATCGTGAGGACGGCCACTGATGGCGCAGCAGCGTCTTTGGTCTCCTCAGCCTCGTGGCGCAGGGCAGATGAGCCGCGGCCGCAACTTGCAAATTGCCGTCGTCTCAGCCTCAATCTTTGAACTGCCCGATTTCGACTCAGGGAATCCAACCTTCATCAGGATATCCAACCTTCAACCTGTCCTCTGCAGCATGCCACGTTCTTGCATTGAGGAACAGAAGGCAAAGCACGAGACACGCCACCGAGCTTTTCATAAAGGATGTAGCCTAATGCCGCTATGACTTCCACGACACAACGACAAGGCTAACTGCTGAAAGGACCCCTTCGGGCGAAGGGGATTCTCTTTCCTCAACCTCTGCAATTTATCCTGCATGTCAGCACCACTGACGAGACCGTCGAGGTGTCTGATGCCTTCATTATCGCCGCAGTACGCCTGATGCCTGCGCAAGGTCATGAAGGTTGTCGATGTCACCACCAAAAAATCACTCTACGTCTACCAAGTCGACAAACAACAGGATCTGATACGATCTCGATCTAGATGGATGGCCTCAGCGACGCTGCCACCATTATTGCTGTCATAAAACTCTCCTGTGAAGTCGTCGGCTTCGTCGGCACGGCAATCGGAGCGACAAAAGAAAGGAAGCGCGTTCGCGAGGAAGTTCAGGCCTGCCAAACAATCCTTCAACAACTCAAAGATGAGGCCGAGGAATCAGAGGAAGGACAAAGATGGGCAAAGATAATCAAGGCCCTCGAGGAACCACATGCGCCGCTGGGTCGGCTTTGGATTGCTTTGAATGTCCTCAAAACCAGGCTTGAACCGAAGGGTGGCCCAAAACTATTGACATCTTTGAGATGGCCCTTTCAACGAAAAGAGGTGGAAAAAATCATCGACTCCATCGAACGTGAGAAGGCACTATTGGGTTTGGCACTGGTCAATGATGAGCGGAGACTGATTCAAGACCTTAAGAAGAGCTCCAAAGAAAACACGTGCCAAATCCGGGAGCTACTCGAAGTCGTTAAAGAAAGCTCGCAGGCCAGTGAGAATCGACTTGCCGAGTTGGAAAACGGCTTAGCTCGTATTGAACTGTTGCAGGCCGGTCTTAACGACGGCCAGGATCGTCGAGAGGCTTCTGAAGAGCATAGGACTGTTCTCGACTGGCTCACCCCACTCAACTATGCTTCCCAGCAGAGCGACTTCATTAGTCGACGACAACCGGGGACGGGACAATGGCTTCTCGACGCGACAGAGTTCAAGACGTGGGTGGAGACTGACAAGCAGATCTTGTTCTGTCCAGGTATTCCCGGCGCCGGGAAGACGATTCTCACATCAATCATTATCGAGTATCTCCACCGCAAGTTTCAACAGGACCAAGTGGACGGCAATATTGGTATTGCATATCTTTATTGCAATTATCGGCAGCGATACGAACAGCGGGCCATTGACTTACTCACGTCCCTACTCAAACAGCTAAGCCATGCAAGGTCCTCGTTGACAGGCTGCGTGAAGGACCTCTATGATCAACACAGAAGCAGGCAAACTCGTCCCTCGGTCGATGAAGTATCGAGAACCTTACAAAAGTTGGCGCGCACATTCTCCCGAATCTTCATCATCATCGACGCCGTTGATGAATGCCAAACTTCTGATGGCAGCCAAATGTTGTTCTTAACAGAGGTCTTCAATCTTCACACTAGCTCTGGAGCAAATATCTTTGTGACCTCGAGGTTTATTCCAGAAATTGTGAAGAAGTTTGAAGGGGCGTACCCTAGGTACATAGGTTAGCAACCGGTGTCATGATTCAACATTACAAAGATATAGATGCAACAGATGCAGACGGCCGAACGGCGCTGTGGTTTGCCGCCAGCAGTGGGCAAGAGGGTGTGGTACGACTACTGCTCGACAAGGGTGCCAACATCGAGGTAAAAGACAACGAGGGCCGGACGGCGCTACTGTGCGCTACCGAGGTTGGGCAAGAGACTGTCGTACGGCTCCTACTTGACGAGGGCGCTAACATCGAGGTAGAAGACTACGACGGCCATACGGCGCTGATGTGCGCTGTCTGTGAAGGGCACGAGGCTATCATACGGCTCCTACTCCACGAGGGTGCCAACATCGAGGCAAAAGACAACAACTGTAAGACAGCGCTATCGTGGGCCGCGTATTTATGGCGTGAAGATATTGTCCGGCTCCTTCTCGATAAGGGCGCCAATATCGAGGTCAAGGATAGCTGTGGCACGACAGCGTTATCGTCGGCCGCATATAGAGGGTACGAAGATATCGTCCGGCTCCTTCTCGATAAGGGCGCCAACCTCGAGGCCAAGGATCATTTCGGTAAGGCGCCACTGTGGTGGGCCGCCATCGAAAAGCGCGAAGGCATTGTGCGGCTGCTGCTCGAAAGGGGCGCCGATGTAGAGTCATGGGATGAGTCATTATTCGGTCCAATCCCCAGGTGATATCGACGGAGGATCGATCACGAGATCGTCGAGGAACTCTGGATTGACTTTTGGTTTTGCCTTATACTGATGTACTGCAAGGTATATAGTATGCCTACCTAGGTAGGTGTAGAATACACTACGTTGCCTTGTCATGTCTTCCTCTGCTTGTATGCCTGCCTGTCTGCCTGCCTGTCTGTGTGGTCGGACAAAAGACGTTTTGTGGCGATGACCTCCTTACGTTTGTTTAGAGGAAGGAAAGGGTGGATGCGCAAGTGCGAGTGGGATGATATGGCCTTTAGTGTGTCCATTCTGTAGGGTGCACATCCATACGTATAGACATACATACGTAGCCTAGCTCCCCTTACTTCCTTCGCCGCTGGCCTTCTCGACCAGTCCTCGAACCTCGTTCAGTTCCTTGTCCCCCGTTTCCATGAAACACGCCCCTCCTCGCATTGAATCCGCGAATAGTCTCCTTCCTTAGTCACCGTCGCAGATACACAATGAGAGGCTACCATGCCCACGCTAAACAAGAACCCAACTCGCCCAGATCCAACCGACCTCGCACCCCATTCCAAGCAACATGACCACCACGCCCATAACAAGCCCAACACCGACGCGACTCTGCGCATCCCGACGCCAACTCACGAGAAACTCCTGGCCCGCGACGACTGTCTCGCCGTTTCCCACCGCGGCGCTGCGGCCCGGGTATCCGAACAGGATCCAGAATGTGGCTGTGAGGCAGGAGAGGAGGGACACCACAAGGGTGGAGAGGAGGATGGAGAGGAGGGAGAAGGTATGGTGCAGATAGATCGTTGGTGGGCCGGAGGCCTGGTGGTGGTGGGGGAGATACATAGGGTATGATGACAAGTGGGGATTCGTGGTGGTGGTTGATGGAGAGGAATGCGTAGAAGAAGGGGGCATGGGCATGTTGGATGCAGTGAGCGCCGACGCGAGGGATTTTGTCCGGTGGAACGAGAACATGGCTGGACCATTGGAAGGGCCAGATTGGAAGGGCATTCGTGGGAGAGAGATGGAGGGCTGTTTGTTGAGACCACCTGCACCTGCACCTGCACCTGCAGTTGCCTGTATTGTTGTTGGCGAGGCCTCGGTGTTGCCGACGCCGTCGCTGTTCGTCCGCGAATGCACAAACGAAAAGACTGGACTCGTCGCCGTCGCGTCGCCTTGCTGCGGGCTGTACCCGTACCCGTACCCGTACCCGTAGCCATGCCCGTAGCCGTTCTGATGCGGCAGATATGATCTGCGGCTGCGGCCGCGACGTGCTGGGCCGTTGTTGGCATTGCCGTTATTGTTGTTGTTGTTGTTGTTGTTGCTATGTGAGTCGAGGGATTGATTGTTGCGGAGCCAGAGCAGCCACATCTTCCGCCGCCGTCCCACGCGAGGATTGAGCACATGTCTCACAAAATCTGCGCCGTCAAATTCGGCCCCGTTGCCATTGCCAGCGCCAGCGCCAATTTGCTGCTGGAGGCCGCTCTGCCAGAAGGGCAGTCCCATTCCTCGAGAAAACCCCTGCTGAGTGATGATATCCGTGCCCGTGCTGGCACCTTCCAACGTCCTCGCGCAGAACCACCATCTCGTCCGACCCATCAGCTTTGTCACGTAACTGTCCCGCACGATCGTGAACAGTTGCTCGTCATCGAACGTCGCTCTGTCAGACACCTCAATCTCCACTGTCACCTGAGCGGACGGGTGGCGGGCCAGGCGCAAGTCCAGGAAAAGGATCTCCGGGGCAGACGGCGAGGGGAATCGGTCGGATTTGGCAGTGTGTGGCGGCACGGCGGGAGTCGGCGAGAGGAGTGTGGTGGGCTTGGTGGAGAAGGGGATTTCGGGGGCGCCGTCGTCTCGTTTCTCGTCGTCCTGGAAAACTTGTGCAGAAGTGTTGTTGTCGTTGGTCTCGCTCTCGCCCTCGCCCTCGCCATAGTGCTCCGCCGACTTTTCAGTGTGGTGAGAGAGTGGCCTCGCACGCCTCAGCTTGGGCGTCTTATTTCCCATTTCCCCCTCCTGGGCTCCTGGAGGAGCAATAAATCCGTCAATCTCGCCGATACTGCTGTGTCTTGCCGGATACGGGGTGCTGACGATGTTCTCGCGGAACAGCTTATGGTCGTGGGTTCCCTTGTTGATGAGCAGGTCCGCAGGCCGGATCATCACCCGACGCGCCGGGTTGCGCACCGGTGCGGAGATAGCGCGGGAAAGTTTCTTGTCGTTCTCGGTAGGAGGGTTCGAGCGGAGACCGTCCGTGACGATGGAAGGAGAGACGTAGGTGCTTCCGCTTGTCGAGTAGGTTGCGTCCGAGGTCCGTGGGACCCGTAGAGAGCCAAACCCGCCAAAGGGCGTGGGCAAGGTATCGAGCGCTTCAATCCGGCTGGGAGTGTCTGGCCACTCGAGGATGGTTTCTTTCATCGTGTCGCGGTGCTCGTTGCTGACTTCGGCGGCAACCTGCGGGAGGGCGGTGATGCTCTCATCATCTTTCTGTTGCGGCTCCTGTTGGCCTTCGAGCGCCTTGAGAGCATCGCTTGGACCGCCTAGGATATCGCTCTTGTCGGTCTTCTCGACAGCTGGTGTCAGGTCGGAGACATTTTTGAGGTCTTCGCCCAAAGTCTGCGATGTTTCTGCTATGGATGGTCCATCATTCGTTGATATCGTGGTCGAATGAGGAGCGTACAACTTGGGCACCGAGCCGCCGGAGCTGTTGCTATGCTGCACAATGTGAGGTTTGCTGACGCGGACGCTGCTTGCTCTGTGAATGACGGGGCTGGTCGGGTCGAGCTCAGACGAAGCATCTGAGTCCGTAGCATCCATCGCTTTCGGCTCTTCATACCGACTGGAGGAAAGGACAGGAGGGATGTCTCCGATCGGTTCGAGCTGCCTATTTACAGGGCCGTAGAATGGGTCTGTTGGGCTTGAATTTGTAGTGTCCATTGATTGCCTCTTCATCTTGGATTTCTTCTTGAGGAAACTCCTTCTCCTGTCTGACAATGACGATGGTGGTTCCGGAAATGCATCAGATATCTCTGACTCTGTGGTTGTTTTGGACCACCGACTTACCTCTTTGGGAGGTGTATGTGGTCGGTCCTGGGCTTGTCGCATGAGGCGAGAAACCCCTCCACGCCAGCCAGATGTCGGCGATCGTGATTCCGGCATATCGGCGGGAGGTATTTCGTTGATCTTCTTGGCCGCGGTGGCTGTTTGTCCCTCTTTGGAAGGCTTCGGAGTCTGTGGATGGATAACGACTTGTTGCCTGGCAAAGATTCGTACCGGGCTTGTAGGAATGAAGACCATGAGTAATGAATATCCACCACTCGAGAGATATCGAGGAGTTGAAATTTAGCATCATCGCCGAAAGTTGTTTTAAGCGCCGCCATCTTGGGTGATTGCTTGCGGTGACCGCTGGTGTTGAAAGAATATTTTTCCGTTTGCGGTAAATTCTGCTTCCAGAAAGACTGTGGTTGAGGATTGCAGAATCCGGCGAAGTCGGGATAATTTGACTGCTTCAGACAGAACAAAGAAGACAACAGTCAATAAGACGCTTTCTGCTCTGCCAACATGATGGAAGTACACGGCAAACCTGTTCGCAGGTCCAATTTCTGATGGTGACACAGGATTCCTTCATCGAGCCGCTCGCCGCATTCCAGTCTCAGCCCCGAAACTTGCCTTGGCAGTACGGGCAGACATCGAAGTGGTCAAATAGCGCTTGACTCAAGCTTGGACCGTCGGCGCGTTCCAGCTTGCCAGGGTCGAGGAATTGCCTACCGCATTTAGAACAATAAACAGAAATTCCAGGCTCTTGAACGGCAACGAAGGAAAGACTGCACCGGGTGAACTGGTGCCCCCGATTGCATTTGGCTTGACTTGGGTCTGCTGAAAATGGAATGATATCACCGCAGAGCTCGCAAACCTCATCAGCTAAAACGGTATTTTCACCTCCAGATTCGGCAGCCGCCATGGGGCCCGTGTGATTATGAGCCGCTCGCTGATCTATGTGTTGGTGAACTTGGCCGGAAACATTTGTCGGAAGCAGATTCAGCACATCATCTGCCCAGTGCGTGAGAGGCGAGACACTGTTGAAATGTAGTTTGATCAGGGCAGCAGCGGTCCGCACAATATGTTTATCCAGGTCTGTTTTCACCAAATCAAGTGGCGAATCCCTCACAAACTCAAGGATGCCTTTCTGCACCTCTGATGGAGCTTTTTGTGTGATTTCCGACACCAGTGGCTCGTGCATGCGCGCGAACACTACTGTTGTTCGTTGGGCTGAAGGGGCGCCGTACTCAATCATGTCTGAAGGGTGTAGCGAGATGCATGCGGCGGCAATGGTCTGGTCAGGAGAGAATTCAGTACCCCAATAATTGACGCGAATTCTTCCCCCTAGCCCGAAGCTGCGGTCGAAATCTGAACGGGCCTTCTGGATTGCAGAATCAAACTGGCTCTGGGTGGGCATTTCCAAGGGAAAGAAGCTCGACTCTGACCTTAAAGGTGTAATTGAAAGCTCCATCTCATGTCGGTTGTTGTCGTTGCCTTCGTCCATCCAATTGACCTGTACAGACAGATATTTGGCTTCACTGCACTGGCCAAAGCTTACCTTGAGATCCACAGCCGCTGAACCAGAATGCTTACTTGGCTCAGCCATGAATCGCCATTTACCCGTCTCCAAACTCGAGATTGGTGAGGATTGGGCTAGAATTGTTCGCAGACCGAGCCTCTTCATGGCTCTTGCATCCAAGTGCTTTAGATCGGGGATCTTGTACTGCGCAAGAAGCTTGCATGACCAATCTCCATATGCGGTGAGGTTGGTCTTCCACAGCCGAAAGAACAAGACCGTGAAATCATCATCGGCCACAGCAAGAAGCTGAGAGCCCCACCTGGATCCCGCAGAAAGCGATAGCGCCGGCAGCCAGTGGAAGGCGCGAACTCGTTGTTTTCGTCTGGAACTATCGGCTGCTTCAACACGAGGAAGATACTGATTGACAATCGCCGTTCGCTGCCAAACCCCAAGTCTGCCATTAGACTCCCAGAGCGAGAGGATGAGATTTGACGTTAAAATAGCAAGCACACTTCTTCTATAAATACCCAAGCCGGACGGAGACCAAGACAGCGACACAACCGTAGACTCGGACAGTTCCTCCCCGATGGAAAACTGAGTAATGGTGGCGAGTTGTTGCAAGGGCCATTCGGACGACTCGAACTGGTTGACACGGAGAGTAAACGTGTGCCACTGCTTGTGTCCTGGATCACCCAGAGATCGGGATGCATCGCGAGGAGTTAGGATATGCACCAGCTCACCTGCAGCGACTGCCAAGTCCTCGGGCGACCAAGTCAGCGCATTTTTGCAGGTTGGCCAGTAAGAAAGCGTGACGGGCTCCAGATTGCCTTTGAGAGTTTCCATTGAGAAAATGGAGAAGAGATTGGCTGACTACAACCGAGCGGTGAAGGCCCTGCAGCCAGGGAGAATCGAGGAGGTGGCTCAGTCTGACGGGCTTGTCAGTGAGATTTTGTGAAGGACGGAGGCAGATGTCGGCGTCAGCTTGGCGATAAATCCCGACCTGCAGGCGTCGTGCATGGAGGGATACCTTGGATGAACTTCACGGACATAATGGTACGTGCATTTTCATCACCGGAGACAGAGTCATCATGGAGCCTCAGACATTGGCAAAGAATTGCTTGAAGACCAAGGCTGTTAGCACCAGCTGGAAAGCCATATTGATGGCAGGCGCCAAGAGATCTCAGCCTTGCACGTGGTTAGTCCGGCGATGGCAAGGCTGGCGAGGAAATCTTAACCCGGGTCCCGATTTCCGAGGGTCGTATCCTGGGGACAGGGGGGGGTTCTGGCAGTATTTTGACCGTGGGCTACTACCACATGCGGTAGCTCGGCAACTCACAGAAAGGAGACCGTCAGTCTAGACGTCCTTAAGGGTGGAGCTGGAGGACTCATTGACGCCAGGAAATAGCTAATTTGCTCCTCCTGGCCACGAAACACGAGAGCAAAGGAGGCTTTACCTGTAGGGCCTGAATACTGCTGTCAGCACAGGGGCACCCGAGATACCGAGCACTCAAGGCTATAAACATAGAGCATGAGAAGAGTGGTCATACTGTGGCCTGGTGAAGCCGTTGTCTGATGATGATATGGTTCTTCTTCCTTGTACCTAGAGCGCGGTATGACGAAGGATCATGTTTCTGCACGTTGGAATCCAAGGTTTGCGATGTTTCAAAGGTTGGCGCGTGTTATTGGTGGGCTTGTGTAGCGGCGGATGATTAAACGGAGATCCACTTGGTATGCAGATGGTATTGACGGACGAGAAATTGACAGAGACGGTCATGTGATCTCGCTTCCCACGGGATATCTGGGATCATGGCGTAGTGAGCTAACCCTAAAAGGCCTCTAGCGCAGCTACGGACATGCCATTCTTAGCAAAGTGGCTTCAGGGGCTGTATCAGGGGTACATTACGGATACCCCGTGGCTGTACTGCTCGTGTTCCAAAATTGGAGGCACCGGACTCCACTCACATCCCCTTTGGGTATGACCGTGTTATGATTGACAGCCGCTAGTGCTGCCTAACGTGGTGCTAATGTATCGTGTCGCCCATTTTCAACGCTGCTGCTGGGGGGGCTGAGGCACTGAGGGCCACCTCCTGAGAAACGCAAACCTGTTAGCCACGGACAAGGTCTGACTTTCTGTGCTCCCAGTCACCCCCAGTCCTGATTGCAAACTGCGCCCTCCCTGATGCACCTATCAGATGGTCGGGGTTGGTTCTTCTGAGTACGAGTAATGGCCCAGTCGGTCGCCCAGCCCAAGCCTGGATTTCCTGATGGCTGGCCCTAATATATGACCGACTCCTTGACGCCCACATCTCCCCCCCGGCTGTCCCCTTTTGTTGTCCTCCCATATCTATTAATCACTTCCCTTCGCTTGGTTTCTGCTTCTCTTGCAATTGTCAGTTGCAGGGCAGTTCCTTTTTTGTTCCTTTTGCCTACAATGGCGGCCTCCATCTCGCCGTCGGTCATCATGACCCAGATCTCCAGCTATCTCAATGCCAACGAGACCTCCGACGTTCTTTTCCAATCACAACAAGCGGTCAATGCCATTGGAACCTACAAGTGGTTCATTGGCACGGGCATTTTCGTCCTGGTCACCGCGATCCAGATCATCAAATATATGCTTAGGGACCGTCCTCCCCCAGGTCTCAAGCTCATTCCTGGCCCTACGAGCACCATCCCCTATATCGGACGTGTCCACGATGTTGATCCAATGGCCCCTTGGTTTGCCATGAAGAAGTTCTGTGATGAATATAATGGTATTTTCCGCTCCACCATCTGTGGTGAGATGCACATCTGGGTTGGTGATTCGAAGATCGCCTACGACTTGCTCTGCAAGAAGGCCCGAATCTACTCTTCTCGTCCCATGGTGCCCGCTGTTCCCGGAAGTGATTCTCAGGGACAGTACCTGCCCCTTTTGGCTCATGACGGTAAGTCTAAAAGATCACCCGAATTATCAATGGTTTCAAGTCTAATGTTTCAATGCAGACCACTGGCGCAACCAACGCAAGTTCGCCCACACCGTCTTGACACAGGGCTTTAACCAGAAGTACTATGGTTACGTCAGCCACGAGTGCAAGCGATTCCTGTACAAACTCCTCCAGGACCCCAAGGACCACTTCGCGTTGACCGATCGATTCTGCGGTCGCATCAGCGCTCGTCTCGGTTATGGCAGCCCCGCCTCTGCTGCGGCGCACTGCAAGAACGCTGGCGAGTTCATTCCGCAAATTTCTCCCTCGGGCCCCATCACCAACCTTTTGCCTTTCCTGGGTGGCCTCCCCGAATGGTTGAACCCATCGATCAAGCGCGTGCGTGAGCGACGTGAGAAGGAAGAAAAGCTCTGGAAGGGTCTGATGAAGCAGGTCCGCTTGGAAATGGACCAAGGCATTGCTCCCATCAGTTACGCACGAACCTACTTTGAGCGCAAGGAAGCCGAAGGAGGCAACCGATCATTTGGATTCGACGACCACGAAGCTGCCTACGCTGTTGGTATGTTGGTCACTGTCGCTATCTTCACCATTGGTGGCCCTCTCTACTGCTTCTTCCTCGCTATGGTCCTCCACCCAGAATGGCAGGAGAAAGTCCGCAAAGAATACGACGAAGTCATTGGCGACCGTGTCATTGAGGTCTCGGATGCTCCCAACCTCCCCGTCCTCCGTGCCGCCATTAAGGAGTGCGTCAGATGGCGACCACCAGTCCCCTTGGGTGTGCCTCGTCTTCTCGAAGAGGATGATGAATGGAACGGCTATTACCTTCCCAAGGGTGCTGTGATCCACGCTGTCGATCTTGCTCTTGCTCGCAACCCCGAGCTCTACCCTGATGCCGAGGAATTCAAGCCACAGCGGTGGCTTGAGAAGGAATACCCCACCTACAAGGAGCCTCTTACGGAACATCCCAGACTCATGGGCCATCATGGTTTCGGCATGGGTCGTCGTATGTGCCCTGGTATTGAAGTCACCGAGGCTGAGTTGCTCGTCGCTTGCGGCAGCATCGTTGGCTGCTTTGAACTCAAGCCATATATGGATGCCAATGGTCAACCCAAGTGGCCTGATTCCAACGCTTTCACCCCCAACTTGATTGGTGGTCCTCTACCTTTCGAGATGGATGTCAAGGTCCGAAGCCCCGAGAAAGCTGCTCGCATCACGGCTTGGTATGAGGAGAGTGTTGCGGATGAGGCTGCCGGGAAAATTGCCGCTGGCTTGTGAAGAATTGGACCATAATAATTCGTATCCCTCAAGGGCGACGCTGGCCGCTCCTGGAGATATTCTGCTCACATTCGATTAAATGCAAGGCGTTGTTGGGAAAACCGATTTCAGACATGTTGGATATTTGAGGCCGCTTGCATGTTTGCGCGCTGATGAGAATGACTCGACGCTGACCACTTCGTTGGACAACTGTACAGATACTGTCTGAGACCGCGTGGAGTAAGATGTGTTGGGGAGCAGGAGTAGAGAAGTTCGCGATTTTGGGTAGAAGCAATTTAACGACCATGTAATCTACACCATTTCCCCATTCCACCATTCTCATACTACTGCTTGTCGCTTGCGTTGAACTTTTTCTCGACGATTGGGTATAATAGCGTCAAGGGATCATGTCTGCCCAAGTGCGTCGAGCTCCTACAATCCGCTGGTCGGGAACGTCCTTGTTCGTGGCCACGTTCCTTCGGCGGCGACCACTGTCGACAAGCCTCCATCCCCCTAGCCAGGGCCCAGTAGTCTACGTCTTGAAGATTAGACCTGTTACCCACCCTCAACATCAACAACCCATCTCTTGATATCGCAAATAGTCACCCCCGGGCGAGAGTACAGCTCGCCGCACTTGTAGCCTCCTTGGCGTCCGCCCTTCCCAAGCGAGGGGTGTTCCGCTGACATGGGCGTTTTGGCAATACTGCAACCGGGAATCCTCGCCTGCAAACCGTCAGGAAGAAGAGGACCAGCTGAATTGTGGCGAGGTAAAGAGTATGGCGGAAAGTCCTTCCACTCAGTATCTGCGCCGAGGCGCCCAGACGCCAAGAGTCTTGGCAGCTGAAGTCCCCGGCTGTCGAGCGTCTTGCTCAAGTCTTCGTCCTCCGCCTTTGAGCTTGAAGACGTTTCACGACTTCTTGATCTAGCAGGCCTGGGCCATCCATTTCTCCGAAGTTCCAAGCGAGACAGTCTGTGCCTAGAAAGTCCCGGAATGGGAGAGTTTTCGTGCTTCTGAAAGTATCCTAATCCACATACATTTGGGGATGGTCTCCCATCATTGAGCTACTACCTCTTCTTTGTCTGACTTAGACATCATATTCCGAATACACTCCTCAACTCTGGCCAGATCAAGGTCAAACGCTCATTGACAATCAGTCTAGGAGTCTAGTCTCGATGACATGATTTTGATGCATGCCCAATCAAGCGATTCAGCCCGACCAAAGTGACCTGCTTGGAAGGAAAGGTTTCGTGTTTGAGCCTCGTATCAATTGGGGTCCAGACTTGGGGTCCACCAATCCGGGCCAATACATTGTCGCCGCAGAGTTCAGCCATGAACTACCTGGCTTGCTGTCGTCGCCTGATGTCCAGCGGTGACACCTCAGGGACGAATCCCCCCGGGGCTTGACTTCGTGTTGGTGCCCACTTACACAAAGGCAGATCCCGGGTTCTGGTCTTGGAGGCGCCGGCAACTCCTCAGATATGGTTCGAACTCAAGGTAAGGGTCCGCTTGCTCCGGTTGTGGGAGTGGCTGTCGAGGTAGGCTCAATCATGAGCAATCCCGACCTCTTGGTCAAGGGTATATCGAACCCAGCCGCCGCGGGCTGCAGATCTCCTCTCTTCCGTCTCGGTTTTCTTCACTTCCTTGAAATGGGCCACAGCGCTGCCCTCAGGCTTTGAGTTGCTGATACCGGTTTCGAATACCTGTCCACCACCATAATGAGGTTGGGAACGGCTTCTCTCTTAGGCCTGCTTGCTTTGCCCTTCGTGGCACTTGCGCAATCAGAGGTCTACACCACCGACACAAACGGCAATGCGTACACCACGACTGTGTACACCTCAGGCAGCACTTATGATGGAGCAACCACCACCAGTTTTTCAGCGCCGACCTATGTCCCTGCCATCCAAACCGTGCCATACACAGGCCAAGCACTGCTTGTGGGGACGTATGTTAATATATGCGCACTATCGGGACTACCAGTATTGATTGATTCTTGACCAGGTGCAACATCGCTAGATTCACCCTCCTCACATTCCCCAACGGCGACACGGTCGAAGTTCCACTTGTAGGATGTTCCGACGATCGGCCAGAATGCTGCCCGTCATTGAACTTCACACATTCCGAGCCAGAAGAGACGGGTTCTGCTTCTCCGTCAGCCACGGAGTCGAGCGACGAGGGAGACGGTCACGAATCTAGCACGGCCTGGACAGGCACGACTCCCAGCCCGACTCCAACGGGAGTTGTTTCCATGCTGAGCAACGCCCCACTTACTGTTTGTCCAAGGTATTATCATCAATCTCTGAAGTTCCAGGGTGCATGGATGTCATCTGACTTTTTTTGACTACAGCGATATGGTTGACATTGACCCAGTCTGCTGGTGAGTCTCGGGCCTCTCCTCCCACTGACCATTCAATTGTCTGGTTCCAGATTGACCGAATCTACTAGTCCGAGTGGGTTCACCACTTACGGCGAAAGCATCATCGGCAACCTCCCCTGTGTGAGCACACTCACCACGACAATCTCACCCGATTCGGCCGTGCTGGCATCCATAACCTCGATGGTCTCGGCCTCTCTGGCCGCCCAGTCGACAATGACAACCACAACCCCGACCATCAACGTCATTGTGAACCAGTAAGGCTCAGCCTCTTTTCCACCGCTTTCACTACCGTGTTTGGAAAACACTAACTTTCTCTCGACCAGAGTATGGGCCCTTGGTCTCCCCTGCGCCGACGACGAAGAAGGCGGAGAAGAAGGAGACCACACGCATCTAAGCACGGGCGCCAAAGTCGGGATCGCGGTGGGCGTCGGCGTCGGCGGCCTTCTCATCATCGGTTTCCTCTGGGCCTGTCTCGCCGTCCGCCACCGCCGACGGGCAAAGATGCGGAAACTCGAAGCCGCAAACACCGCAGCCGGCGGTCCCATTCGGCCTGAGTCGGGGGCGTATGCGGCGGCACAGGAGAATCCCAAACACGCCTCGATGGCGTCGACCATGGTGGCTCCGACCCCATCAATAGGCAGCCCGAACATGCACGAGCCGTACGGCTCGCCCCCCGGCACGCACGGATTCAGCCCGGCGTTCGGGTACGCAGCGCCGCCGCAAGCCCAACCTCCGCAGATGATGCAGATGCAGGTCCAGCAGGACCCCTACGGCCATGCGTACGGCATCCACACCATCCCGCAAGGCTACCCGCTCGTGGGCTACCCGCAATCCCAATCCCCGCCACCGCCATTCTACCCCTCTGGCGGCGGCGGCGGCAGCTACGGCAGCCAGGCCGCAGGACAATACAAAGACGCCGTCCCCGCCGAAGTCGCGGGGAATGATGTCCCAGTCCGCCATAATAACCTCTCACCTCCCCATCGCGACAGCGCGGGCTTCTCGACCAACGCCAGCGCCAGCGACACGCGCAGCCAGATCACCTCGACCACCAACACCAACACCAACACCGCGGTGGGCAGTTGGCAACCACCACCGGGCGCGGAGCCCAAACCGCCCGCCGAACTGAGTTAGCAAGGGGTCACGCAGGCCGCTGTGAAAAAAAGAAGGTCAGGACGAGTATTTTCGCACCGCACTAGAATGAGACCACCACGGGTATTTTGAGTCAAAAAAAAAAAAAACCATGTATATCCATTAATTTTATTTATTCATCGGATTCTGAATTTGTGGATTCTCGGCCAGGATCAAGAGCTAGCAAGGGGAAGTCCTTTCCAAGTACCAGAGAAAGAAAAGTGGAAGGGAGGGCAAATTGAAACATCCGCTCGACGAATGACGGGTTGCTTTCTTGGTATTGCTTTACAGTACGGAGTATTGAATGTACGAAGGACCTGTCTTTCTTTCCTTTCTTCTTTCGTCCCAGCCCTAATGCTCAGTAAAGAAACTCATGATAAAAGGTCTACAGAAAATACTAAAACAGCCCTAATCCTTGATTTACACTCCACCTCTTCAGAATCAGAATCCAAAACTATCGAGCAAACTGTCCGCGCTCGGCTCCTGGAACATGGTCGGCGGGGGCTTCTTCTTCTGCTGCTGCTGCTCCTTCTTTTTCTCGGCCTTCTCCACATTCTCTTCGTCTTCTTCCTTTTCCAGATCGTAGAATGTCTTTCGACGCTGGAGTGGGCCGACGCTGGGCGGCGGTGGCGGAATTTCATCCACTGTCGTTGTCGCTATTATGGTGGTCTGCTGCTTGTCCGGGCTTTCGGGGACAAACTCCCAGTCCCTAACTAGGGACAGAGCAAGGACGTCGCATCCCATGTGAACATACTGCCTGACGCAGCGCATGACGAATCCCCATTCATCCTTTGCGCTTATGACCTCGCTGCGCCATTCGTTTCGCTTCACCAGTTGGGCACGAAGTTGGGTGTACAACAGTGTCAGAAGAGGGTCGTTGGCGGCATAGCTGAGGGATCCAACCATCTCTGTCTCCTCGTATCCGTCGAGCAGTGGTTTACCCACGATTTTATGGACGGGATGCACGAGGGCCTGAATCGCCATATCCTTGTGATCAAGGATCGCTGCATACGCCCAACTTGCCATCCACCGTCCTTGCTCACTTTCGACGGCCAAGGGTAGAATGGTCTGTTCCATCAGCCGTGATGAAGTAGAGGATTGTTTGTTGCTTTGACTCTCGTATACTCTTGCAATAGCAATGGCGAGCTGCAAATCTTGAAGCTGATGTATGCAGACATTGATCGCGTCCCAGGGACTGTCTCCTAGTAAGAAAAAAGCTGCTGCATAGTGAAAGCGCCGCTTGCTAAGCAACGCATATGCGTTCTTCAGCGCGCTGGCCTTCCATCGCGGGTCGTCGAAGTTGTTGGCCAACAGCTTCATGGTGTTTTCCTTCTCTCTCACCCCGATCGCCGTTCTCCAGAGCCCCATTAGGACGGACTTTTTGCGAAGGGCAAGGTAATACAGTGAACAATCCACCGGGTTGCGGTCTTCGTTCTTTGTAAACTCGGTTCGACCGACATTCTCCATTTGCTGCCGAAGGGCTTCCACATCGGAGAGCCAGCAGAATAGTCCCGATTTGCGCGCTGCTTCCCAACTGAGTTTACCACCGTACAGACGAGTGACCAAGTCAACAAGAACTTCTTGGGATGTGCTCATTGAGGCGAATGCAATTGCACTCCACGGAACGCCTTCGTCGCCACACGTGTATAGTGCCTGGAGGTAACGCTGGCCGTTCGCATCGACCGACTCCTCGTGTTTCTCAATCTCTGAGATCATTTCGACCTGTTTCAGTATTTTTGATTGTTCTTCATTTGTCAGCTGCCACAGTTTATACTGTCGCAAGTTGCCCTCTAGAGCATCTGCATAGTCTGAAAGTGGTGGATTCTCTGTGTCCCCATTCAGATCACCGTTCATGGTATAATATGGTTTGTCGACCGTCTGGCTCGAGGTCGCTGCACTTGTGATCCTGTCGGGCTGAATGTCAAGGAGGCTGGACAATTCATCCCCTTCGGTGAAGTACTTCAGATCCCGATGAAGGTGATATAAGACATCCTTGGTCGCCTTCAGCCCATCGATGCATGTGAGTAGGGCAAGAAATGTGGGATGGAAAACAGGGACCAATGTATTCAACATTGCCATCATGGCGAACGTTTCGTTCGTTCGCATCTTTCCTCGTACATCCCGAAGAGGCCTGGCATATTCATTGTGGTGACTGCTCGCATATCCCTTGAAGATGAAAAGCTGAATGCCGGCTCCCACGACGAGATCACCACTTCTCAGCCAGCATAGGTCTCCAATTGAGTGGGTGGTAAAGTCCCTTATTCTGATGTGCCGCAAATCGACCCATGCGGATTCCTGGTCTCGGTATCCGTATCGGACCTGGCCTAGAATGACAATATGGTAGTCAAAGCACACTGCGACCAAGGCCAAGCCTTGAGGTGAGACAGCCCACGCGAATGTATGGATGGTGTCGGTTCCATCGAGCTCGTGTTCATACTCCCACGAACCGGTTTTGGCGTCCCATATGCTGAGAATGGTACTGTCGTCATTGACAACCACAACCTTGCCGTATCCGCTCGCACTGATCGCTTGAGGCCGGCGAATATTAGTCTCGATTAAAGCGCCAGAGACGAGATGTGGCTTTGTAGAATCCGTCTCTTCCTGTGGCCTGACCATCTCCAGGGTGCCTTCTTTGGCAAGTGCTGCGGCAAAGCCTAAAGCGTTGATCTCGCGGGGATCAGCTGGTCGATTGTTGGTGCTCATATTGTCACAGACGGAAATCAAGGCGTTGTACCGGTTGTGTGCGTGCAGCTGGACATTCCCCAACGATCGTATCATTTCGCGATAACCATTTGTTGCACCGGGTTCGTTTGCCGGAAGGAGCAACTCCCAGGCTTCGACAGTCCCGTCCGCATAATATCCCACGACAACCCGGCTGGTAAGTTCTCGTTCGCTAGCGATTCGACTTTGCGTAATGCGCTCCGGCAAACGGTCCCCTTCAGATTCCCAGACTCCAAGTCTTTTGGCTTTTGCCTCGCGAATATCCCATAGTTCGAGACCATGGCTGCTTAGAATTGCTGCGTATCTCCCACGAGACAGGATGACCGCGTCTTTGATTTCGACATTGACATTGAACGAACTCCGTCGCAAGAGTGGAGCGCTGGATAGATTTCCTTCGTGCTGCCAGATGCTGATGTTGCCGTCGTGTGTACTGGACAAGACGACGTTGCCAACCACATTTCGCACAATTCGCAGGACTGGCGCACCGTGTCCCGCCAGTGTTGAGATCAATTCAGTCCTGTCTTGCCTCACGGCCGTGTCAAAGAGATGTGTGATCTGGCTATCATACCAATCAATATCACCAGCAAAGGAGTGGAGGAGGATGGACAACGATGATGGAGTAGTGCCACCGGCGAAGATGCAGAATTGCAGATAATCTTCCAACGGGTCGCTGAGCTGTGGAACTTGGATATTCATGCCGTCGACATGTGAGATGTGAAACACCGAAGGAGGCATTCGGTTCTTGTACCCAGCATTTTCCAATCCCCACACAGACATGTGTCCTAATCCATCGAGGACGACGCAGATCTCTGGAGTTCGATTGGCAATCTCAATGAGATGCTCAAGGGCATGGTCCGCCGTTTTGGGAGTTGAGCTCAGTACAGCTTTTTCTGTGGCCGTCGAAAAGTCACGGCTGTCAATGATGAAGGCATACCGTCTGGTGCTGATGGAATTGGCACTCAGCCTCCGTGGCTGGATGGAGGAGTTCATGTTGATATCACCGACCAGTTGAAGCATGGTCAGGGCATGGGGATCGAAAGTGGTCCAGGCGCGGACGTGATTGTCAGAGCAAAATGTGTAAAGAAGGTTGTCCAGGTTCTGTTCCTCGTGCCATGGTTTCCGCCAGTGCAAGTTTGTGACTGCAGCCGGATGCGGTAGGTACGAGACGTCGAATCTGGTTCCTTCAACTTCATACGAAAGCCGTCTCCATATCTTGACGAGTCGGTCATAGTGGCCCACTGAGGCGACGAAGCTACCGTCGGGAGCAAGGTATGCGAGCGCCGTGGGATATGCCAACGTCTGATTCCAGACGATGATCGGAGAACCAGACTCGGGTATGAACCACAGGACAAGCCTCGAACCTCCAAGCAAGAGCTCTTGAGAAGATCCCCAAGACAGAGATTCCACCTGCAGTTCCGTAGGATTCTTCAATTCGTGGACCTGAGTCCATCTCAGTACACCCTCGTCGCGACCGACGGGTCTGTAGATATAAACATGAGTTGCATCGCAGAGGGCGATTCGACCGGTGGACTCTTCGAGGGTTATCGCAGTCAGCGAATCAACGGTGTCGACGTAGATGGTCTGGAGAATAGATTGAGGGCCGCTGAGAATGACGGCGGCATTGCCGGATATATATGCCTGGGCATTTTGTCAAGACAGTGACTAATGATAGTAGAACCGGAGACAACTCACGACCAGACGCAGGCCATTCCAATGCGCGGTGCAAAGGGCCTGTCGCTTGGATTGAGGTCGCCCAGGCAGGATGGCTCGCATAGGACCAATGTTAGCAAGAAGGTGTTATTGTTTGTACCGCATGCTCAAGCACAGACTAATCTTGTCATCAGCTCACAAGGGTAATATATCAGCCAAAGAAGACGTGGTCACGCAATGGAGAGCGTGCAATATCGAGCATGGTGTGACGCGATAGAGGTTCCGCAGGACCAATTTCTCCGCGTCGAGGAGGGACTCCAAAGTTCAGCCTTGTTCAGCCTTGTTCAGCCTTGGGGTACACGATGCTGCAGTGAGTACGTCACACGAGGCTGCCTTCCGCTTTGGATAGTGCATTTCTCCAGTAGTTCATCCTCGAGTCACTGAGATTCATGTTTGTTTCTACACTCTCGCAATTGATGCACAAAGAAGAAGAAGAGCATTGGCGGCGATCTACACCAACATGTCTGCTCAAAAGACATTCATTCCGCTCGGTGAACTCAGTCCCAAGCATAAGTTCAACGGGGAAATATGCTAACCAACGTCCTCTATATACACAGAAAACAACCCAGAAGTCATGACCAAACTGGCCCATCGACTAGGGTTGTCTCCAGCACTCTCTTTCCACGATGCATACAGCTTGACTGACCCCGACTTGGTGTCCTTCTTACCTCGACCGGCGAGTGCTCTCTTGTTCACCTATCCAGAGACAGCAACCGCTCACGCCACTACAACAAAGCCAATGAGGCCGAAGCAGGCTATGACGGCTCAGGCCCGGGAGAGCCCGTCATGTTCTACCGCCAAATAATCCACCACGCCTGTGGCCTCATTGGTCTCCTCCATTGCACCACCAATGGGACGGCAGCCGACTTCATCCAGGAAGGGAGTGACCTCGACATATTGATCAAGGACACGACTCCTCTTAAACCCGCTGAGCGAGCTCAGTTCCTTCATGACTCGGAGATGCTCGAGATGGCTCACGCTGCAGCCGCTCAGTCCGGTGACAGCACAGCACCACCCTTGGGACAAGATCCCGGCCATGCTTTCATTGCATTCGTCAAGGGTAAGGACGGTCATTTGTGGGAGTTGGAAGGCAGAAGAAAAGGGCCAGTCGATCTTGGTCTGCTTGAGGAGGATGAGGACGTATTGAGTGACAAAGCGCTCAGCTTAGGACCCCTTCTGTTCCTCAAACGTGAAGAGGCGGCAGGTAGCGGCGATGTCAGGTTCAGCTGTACTGTACTTGCTCCAAGCCTTGATGATTGATGAAGGGGCAGATTTGGCACTTTCATTGCGCCAGCAGGAACTCTGGACTCTTCAGGTCGACCCAGCCTAGATTTGGCTCGCTCTGCTTCCACCCTAGACGTTCTTGCACAATCTTCGAGTATGTTTTGACCTCGTCGACGGAATATGACAGAAACGATACCTCTTCCTGCCGGTGCACGCCAGTGCATGAGAACATAGCATAAACTGTCCTGCTCTCTCTGGCACCGTCTTTTGCTGACCCCAGCGGCTTCTCATACGCTCCACCTCCATGATAAAGACTTCCCAGCATGATGAAGGCTTCTCCCACGTGCATCTCTGCGTCAACAACTCCACGAGTTCCGTCGGCGCCAAAGTCGGGCATCTCATCGCCCCATAGATGGCTGCCAGGGACGACTCTGGTCGCGCCGTTGGCCTTGACTGTGTCGCACGCTGGAACAAACAGTCCTAGCAGCAAGTCGCGGCCTTTTGCGTATTTGTCGGCATGACTATGGCGAGCATGGTGATTCTTGTCGTCGCGGTGAAGGCCTTGCGCAGGCGTTCCCGGCGGGATATCAAATGCAATCGATATTGAGAGAAGCGGGTGGCTAGTTGTCGTGACGGGCTTGTTCCCGTAGTAATGGGTTGTCTCAAGTGCCAGAAAATGTTCGCACAGAGCTTGGTAGAGGGGATCGGCAAAGAACTTCTCCCTCACTGTTGCGCTTTTTCCAATGAGTCTGGTCACCGTTCTTGTGTTGCCTTGAAGCGCTTGAAGCCAGTCAGTACATAGAAGAGCGGCAGTTTGACACAATGGAGGGAACTTGCCGCCCACTTTCACACCATCTGCTTGCTGAGCAAGCCACGGCCGTACCTCCCAGTCGGCTTTCTCCAGCGCAGCCTTGTCGGTAAAGTCCTTGACTATCACGCAGCCATCTGCTTCTAATGCTTCGACAAATAAAGACAACGGATCCGATCGTGACAGCTTTCTGATGGCATGACCGGAGATATGATCACCCTTGTGGTTGTCCCATGCCACTCGTCGCGCGTGCTGGAGGATTGATGCCATCAGCTGAGTTCTTGTTATTCCTCAAGACCGGTGCCGAACGAGAAGATGAGAAGCGACGACTATAGCTAGCAACAGTGACTGGAGTGTCGAGCATGATGGCCGAGATATAGAGGAATGCCTGGCACTCTCGCCAAATCGTTTCTCCTGAAACTTACCACGGTAAGATCTCCCATGATGTAGGACCAGACTCTGTGGCGTCAGATGCTCTTAGCAGATAGGATCAGAGTAAGCTAACCCACTCTTTAGAAAGCAAAGGCCTCTCGCAATGAATGATTTTCCGCAACAATAAAGGTCATCGAGCGACCAAAAGTCCAGAAAGGCCGGGGACTTTGCAGGGGCTGACGACGACTCTTATCGGAAGTAACCATGGTGGTAACCTCCGTTTGCCTTGGCAATGCAGAGCGCGAGCGGAATAGGTCATATTTGACCAAGCCAACGGCATAATCTCCTGAGTTTAATGATCAACGTGGGCATAAACGCGTGCATCCATTTGTAACGCTGGTCATAGCATTCGCCTTGGTGCCTTGGCTTCTCTCGCCGCTCGGATATCTCGGCTGATGCATCTGCTTGGTCGGGTTATTGGGGAAATGGAAACAAAGAGCCGTGCTGATCTCCGTCGCTGGCCGAACAATCAAATATAGGCCAATGAGCCAAATCCAGCACAAGATTCTTGCTTGTACCTAGGCGGGGAAGAGAAGGTATCAGAGTTGTGGTGGCATTTGCGCCTCTCGTCCGCTCTGAAGGTGTTCGCTGTATGACATTGGCTTTCCACACGTCGTTGAGATCTAGACACCAGCTGTGCTCCTCAACCCAGCCGTTCGGGCTATAAGTGGCTTCAACGATGTAGGGAACCGAGCTCATCCCAAGCTAGGCGTGCCAAGGGATCAAGATGCCAGACCGAAGAGCTTGCCAGCCACAGGATCCCATTCGGAACCCCATCGGCGTTGGCTCTCCCTTATAGCTCCTTCCTTTAATCTTGCAAGCTGTTGTGAATTGGGATCAAACAATTCACGAAGGATATCTACCAATTCTTCCGCGCTGCCGAAGCCTTTGCCGTTGACGTTTTCTGTCACTAGCTCCGGCCATGCAGCAAAGCTGCTCCAGCCCGTCACGGGAAGACCAGCACCGAACATGTCAACCACCTTCATGGGCAGGTCTACTCCGCTACTGCTGGTATGTAGGGACACGCCGAGATCTGCAGAACCCAAGAGAAGAGCGTAATCCTCGAAGCTAAGCCAGTCGGTATAGATGCTCACCATTTCGAGAGCCTGTTCTGACCGGAGGTCTCGAATCTTGTCGAGATAGAATTGTTTTTGAGGACCTTTTCCAGTGATCACAACGACAAGTTCTGGAAGGTGTGGATGCGTCGAGGTGGCACTGGCAGAGTAGCTACAGAGAGCATCCAGGAGAAGACCAAAATCCTCGTCAGCTGTCCAAGAGGTCGAAGAGACGAGCAGTCTGACTTTTGAGTCGACAATTGCGTTGAATTGGTTTCGAATGAGGGGGTAACGCTGCAAGAAGGCCAGCCGCTTTGAAGCCGTTAGAGGCTGGTACAACTCTGCTGGCCGGTCATGCAAAGTCAAGATAGGAGCAGTGATCTTGTAATCCGATTTCAACACACGAGCCATGGCATCTGTTACGGTAAAGTTTGTCGTCGCTGCCTTCGCCAGACTGATTTCATACAACTTGGATATTCGGACCAGAGGATGATCTGCGCCCAGCTTCAGAGCCAGGATGGAATACCCAAAATTATGCCAGTCGACAATAAGCCGGGTTCGTCGAAAGAAACACACTATAGCAACGACCAGTAAAGTGGGAATTGAGGGAGGGTTCTGCCAACGATTCATGAGCATAGTCCAGGTACAAGGAAGCTGATAGATATACTTGGACAAGCATCCATTTGGGAGCAGCAGTAGCGTAGCTCAAAATGTTCCAAAGCGTCCATGTCTGTAGTAGGACTTTCAACGGTCCAGATACAAGGAACAGGAGCTTGTTGCTGGTTTGAAGCCATCGAGGAGCAGGTGTCAATGGAACAAGCGTGACACTGGGATGGGCGACCAGCTCGGGCAACGGATCAGTCTCTGCGCCACAGAAGATTAGACGGATTCCAGAAGTGGCTATCCCGAACAATTTTATTTCTCACCTCTGTAGCCAACAAGCTGGACACGGCCACCATGAGTCGCGATGCTCAAAGCGTGATATTGCATGCGAGGACTGCGGCCCAGGTCGCCCAACACCACGACTTGGACGGAACATTGTGCTTCAGCAGCATGCCCCGGAGAGGGTAACAGCAATAATACGACGGTGACAAAGGTGGAGATAGCCACCAATACTGTCAGTAGCATCCTCCTGGGAGGTATTGCTGCTTCTTGTGATGCTTTCGTCCTGCAGAGAAGCACCAGAAGTGAAAGGAGGAATGACGTCGACCAGTCAGATTGTCCAGATTGTCCAGGCTGGTCAGATACCTAGGTAGGTAGATCCAAGTGGTTTAGACTCGAGGGTGGGAAGAGGCTTGAACAACTTGGATAACGAGGCGGAAAAAGGGGGCCAGTGAACAGCCAATCATGGGCACAAGAGAAGTTGCACGCCGAGATGCGACATGCAAAGGTGCATCGGACGGGATGCTCCCTCTCCACCCTCGCAGGTTCCCATCCCTACCTACGGAGTTTGTTACCCCTTGAAATATGCTGCTGCTACTACCGTTATTGCTACTGCTGCCCACTGACATCGTTGGCCAGGGGCAGCAGACTAGACACGAAATGTATACCCAGCTATCCCTGTGATCTCCTTCCCCAGACTACTACCGACTACTTCACTCTCTCCCCCCCGCCTGCGCTTATCGAGAAGTCGGATATCAGCTTAGTCGGGTCAACAACCCTTTTCTGTCTTTCAAGCCAGCAATATCACCGGGACCTTCTCTCTTTCGAGTCCTCCGCTGCGGTGGCTACGACGAGGGTGGATGTTGAGCCAACACCAAAGTGTCCCCCCAACCATCTGGACCATCTGAAAGGACCATGAGCGCCACCTTCACCCTACCCATTGCTACTGCCGACAACTGCAAGCATGGGCATCCTCATGGTCCTTCCCACTCCCACTCCCACTCCCACTCCCACTCTCCTCTACATTCGAACCCGAGCTTAAATGCACGCTCCCATCAACGAAGCCGAACAGGAAGCCGCCTCACGGCTCCCTTCCCCTTGACACGAATTCCCTCGGATTCTATCCTTGAGCAAAATGAGGCTGCCATGAGCGTGAACCGTTTACCTCCTGTGAACACCCATTTTCACGAGCATCGACATGTCAGCCCTGCCCCGTCCCATGACCCCTCGGATACGCAGTTTCTGCCAAAGAGGAGGGATACAGAGAAGACCACATACGTATCCCCTGCTGTAGCCCGGCGGCCAACATTCAAAAGGAATTTCTCCAAACCCACCCAGTTCTTACTCCACTCGACAGAGCGCTCTTCATTACTCCATGGGATACTTGAAGATGACGAGTCCCGGCGCATATTTTATTTCATGATATTGAACCTCTGCTTTATGTTGGTCCAGTCGACATATGGCATTCTTACGGGTTCTCTGGGCTTGATCAGTGACAGCATACATATGTTCTTCGACTGCGTGGCCTTGCTGGTCGGGGTGTGCGCGGCGGTCATGAGCAAATGGCCTCCCAGTCTCAAATTTCCATACGGCTATGGAAAGATTGACACTCTGGCAGGGTTAGGCAATGGCATTTTCTTAATGCTTATTAGCATTGAGATTGTCTACGAAGCAATTGAGCGTCTGTTCTCAGGTGCCGATGTCAGTCGAACTGCCGAGCTGCTTGTGGTCAGCACCATTGGTTTGTTTGTGAACCTAGTCGGCATTTTTGCTTTCCACGGCGCCCACGATCACGGGCACGGGCATGATCATGGAGGTCACAGCCACGGCCATGCTCATCATGGCCACAATCATAATCATGACCATGACCATGAGGACAAACACGGTCACAGCCACCACGAAATAATTGGAGCCCCGATGACCGCTTCGGCCTCACCCATGAAAAACAAACAGGGAGTGGCAAGCGACCACCACCATGGCGGGGAAAATATGCAAGGCATATACCTTCACATCATGGCCGACGCGCTTGGCTCTCTGGCAGTCGTGGCATCTACCCTTCTTGTCCGCTGGACCGGTTGGAGTGGGTTTGATCCGCTCGCATCATGTATTATCGCCGTTCTCATCTTTGCGTCAACCATCCCTCTTGTCACCTCAACGACCAAAATCCTCTTGTTATCACTCAACTCCGACATTGAATACAATCTTCGAGACATCCTCAGTGGTGTGGCGGAAATCCGCGGCGTGGTAGGCTACACGGTGCCCAAGTTCTGGCTCGAGGATATCAAGAAAGAATCCGGACATCACCACCATCATGGCCATTCCCATACACACGATAGCCATTCACATGGGCATTCTCACTCTCATAAAGGCAGTGATGGCAAAAGGTGTGACGGCGAGAATTCCGACCCTACGGTATTGGGTGTGATCCATATCATCGCCTCACAGACTGCAGATCTAGACGACGTCAGGGAGCGGGTCTCGATGTATTTACGACAGAGAAAAATGGATATCGTGGTCCAGGTAGAGAGAGACGGGGAGCAACGTTGTTGGTGCGGCGGGGGACAGAAGAGCCCTCAAGCGTGAGCCTTGGAGCCTCATGTAAGGTTTGACGTGTTTAATGATAATACTTCACGAAAACAAATTGGCAGGACCACGAACAAGCTTCTTACCAACCTAACTAGCTGTGCTCTTCTGACGATGATTATGTAGAGTGAGTGAGCGGGAAACGACACAAGCAGTAGCTACCTAGAGACACAGGCCGCCCGGACATGACATGGCCCGTCAGGGTGGTTTGCTCTGACCATGCAAGAATCTAAAATTACATAGAGGATCTATCGAGATATCCAGACGTGTATGAAGCCCCGATGAATGACCAGCTTAGTACTTACAAATTGATTCCCCTTTTTTAGGGGGGTCGCCATTCGTTGAGTGTCAGTGTTCGATCTATTGGGGGGTCTAGTTGCGTGTGTATCTATTTGTATGTCTTGCATGCATGGATGGCTGGGTGGATGTATCGACCCCATCAACCTTACCCATCTATCTACCTACCCAATTCCTGTGACTTAAGTAGGCGGGTAGCTGTGTTTCCTCTGACTTCTGTCTTCATTTCACCTTCTCTCAGTTGGATCGTAGCGGCGATGGTGGAGGACCGGTGAATCTGCCAACGGAGATGACTCCGACTGGATTCACACGCTGACCTTCTCCGGATCATCGCCCTGCTGCTCCACCGCCTTCTCCTCCTCGTTGATCTGGCGGACCAACATCTCCTCGCGACGAAGGACGTCGTCGTCAATGTCAAACCAGCCAATCTCCCTGAGGATCGGGCCCGTCATGTGCATGTACTTGAGGTGACCCGAGACGCGGTCGGAGAGGTCGAAGCTCTCTACCCCACTCACGCCCTCGATGTCCTGAAGGCCTGCGATGGAGATCTGCGCGCTGCTGGTGCGGTACAGAAACGCCAGAATGTAGTCCTGGCGCGAGTAGACGTTGACGAGGCGTCCCGCGACGACAGAGCGCATGGCGCGCCACTGCGCTTCGTCGCTGGGCACGGGGGCGCCCATGAGCACGACGTTGTCGACGAGGCCGAAGGCGCCGCGCTTTGCGAGCGTCAGCAGGCACGAGTAGACGACCCGCGCGCCGAGCGACTGGCCGATCAGCGAGACGGGCCGCTCGCCCTGGACGCGGTTGATGAGCGCGTCGGCCAGCACCTCGCCGGCCTTGACGGCGCGCATCTTGGCGATCCCAAAGGGGGAGTCGACCAGCTTGATGGCCTTGCGGATGGCCAAGGGTGCCATGAGCGCCGACCACACCGCGGCGAAGATGGTGCGCTTGATGAGTTCCCGCCGGATCTGCGACCACGCCTGGCTGACCACAAAGTCCTTGAGCGCGGACCCGAGGTTGAGGAGGGCTTGCAGTTCCCACCGCAATGCAAACGGCTCGCCGGCCTCGCCCAGCACTCGCCACGGGAGGGTGACTTGTTCTTCCTCGGTCAACCACCCGGATACCCCGACCGTGATCCGTAGTCGTCGTCGTTGCTTTTGGGTTTCCTCCGGGTCATCCTCCTTGCCGTTGATGGGCAGGAATGCAAAATCGTCAATCTCTTTCGAGTACTTTTCCATGGCCTGACTCGTCATCCTCGCCCCGTACGCACCAAATAACCCCCCGACGAGCACCGAACTGCCAGCCAGTGCACCCAAATACCCTGCTGCGGCAGTGGCTCCAAGGCCTAACCCGCCCATCAGTGTGCCCACCCCGGCCGCCAGCAGAGGAGCAGCAAGACCGCCAGTGATGCCAATCAATGCGGCGCCGGCCACGCCGGCCACGCCGATCTTCCACTTCCTCGCCGTAGACGATGCCTGTTGGGCCTTCTGGGTGGATTCGCTAGCGTCCATTTTCGCTGCGGCGGTGAGAAGGCCATATGCTGTGTCTTTCTCCATCTTGGAAACTTCTGCGACACTGACACCGAAGGAAACCGCGAGCCGCACCAGGAGGACACGAGAATGGGCGCGGTAGGCTTCGAGGCTAAGCAGGAGGAGGAGGATTGCCTTGATGATTGTGGAGCGTTCGCCTTGACTTAGATCTGCCAGCGGCGTCTGTACGGACGGAAATACTTTCGAGAGTTTGTCGTCCACTTCCTGTTCACGCTCGGTCGGTCGGTACTGCTGCTTTGCGGCCTCGGTGGCAAGTTTGCGGGTCTGTTCGTGGTTCTTGTCCTGCACGGCTTCGTCGCGTGAATTGACGACCTCGCCGACGCGGAGGATGACACTCTCGGCCCAGGCATCGAAAAATGCCAGAGCCGCACTCATTAGGGCCTTGGATTCAGGGGTGGGCGTAGTCAGTAGCGTATCCGCCTCCGGTTCGACTTGAGGCTCATCATCATCGGCTTGAGTTTGTGGACCTTCGAGCCTTGTCTCATTGGACTTTTCATCTACCCCCTTACTCTGCTGTTCCGATAAGCTCAGTTTCGAGACCTCAACGGCTGCCCTGTCTGCCTCAGCTTCACCTGTGGCGTCCCCTTTCGGTTTGGGTCTCGGCCTCTCATCGAAACCCCTCACAAGACTCCTCCTCATCTCCTCGATAGTCTGGGAGATGAGGAGCGTCAAATCCGCCCGCTCTTCGCGGGTGAGGAGAGTGCCCAGAGACTGGTCATCTTCAGCTTTCCGTTGCTGGTCGCCGCTTTGGGCACGGCCAACACCACCCGGACGCTGCTGGGGAATGGCGGCATTGACTCTGTTTTTGAGGGAAGAGAGTGAAGGCATTGTCCCTCGCTTGCTCTTTCATAGAGTGCCTCGTATAATTAGAGTCGCTTCAATGCACCTTTTGAAAATGGTAAAGCTTCGTTAGGTTTCCTACAACCATCATCACGCTCTATGGTCATGGAGGACTTGGAATTTAATGGTAAGCTGACAGTATGTGACGTATGCCAAGCATTTTGCAGCCTCGTCAACGCACAGGTGGATTGTTACGAGGCTCTACATGTGAAGATCATTAAGTCCACACCCAACAAGGCTGTGCAAGTCGTCTCGACTCTCTGACCGAGGACGTGAGGAGACAGCTCTGTATGTGATACCACTGAATATCGAAACCTTACCTAGGTACCAACAGACCTCGATGGCATTTGGGCGGATGACCAAATCCTGCGCGAGCTGAGCTTGCGCCCTCCTTCAGACCCAAGCCCCGCAAGGTCCGTGAGCTTTGGCGCCCCAAAAAAAACCGGACAGGGAGGTCTGGGTTCGGTCCGGCACTATACCTCGTACCTCAAGAGGATTATCGCAGTACTAGAACTTCTGCGAAGAATGGGCCAAATGAATATCGAGGCCGCAATGGCGGCCAGCGTGGCATTGTGCCTCTTGCGGAGTTCTGATGGGTTTATTGAGGCAGTAACGTTGGGTTGGGATGCAGGACTGGTCGGGTTGACACGACATCGGAGAGATGGTACCGGGACAGAACACAGATCTAATCCCGTTCGGATTAGGAGTTGGGGATGATTCTGTAATCTTCCTGCAGAAAGCGTAAAGGATTCTCAAAAACATGATCTCTGTGTGTCCGATTCCAATCGGCTGTTAAGAATTAGACGACCAGAGGGTGTGCGGATAGTATAGTAGGAGAGCAGAAAGGGCGGATGATAGAAACGTCTGTAAAGCGGTCTATACCAGCACGCCGAAGACATCCGCTCTCAGTGAAGGTGGATACGAAAGCGGTTATTTGATGATGTCAACGAGGCCTGACAATGCAGTCTGGGGTGGTGTCGATATGGCGGGTGAACCGACGAGGGTCATCCCCAGAGATTCATCGCTTACAGATTGAATTTGCTGTTCCCGATTCAGAGGGGTTTTTCTCGGTTGGTGGATGGATGGATATTTTTGGGACATTGACGATGGGAGGCGAATTGCTTGTTCGCCCAGTCACCAGACTATAGGTATACACTGGGGAAAAGATTCTCGAAGTTCCCTGGATCGACACGGGCTTGGTATGCCGGACGCCTCGTGCAACGAAGTTGATCATTGTATCCCCGAAATTGGGAATGGCAGGGTGGGATTGATGGGACGTCGAGAAAAGGGCCGCAGTACTTGGTACCACTACTTGCTCTGCGAAGATCCAGAAAAAAGTGATGTGCGTTCTAGCCAACACAGGCCAAGTGACCCAGAACTTACCTACTTTAGGTGGTGCCGTGGCCTCGTATTCCGATGCGAAGGATATTTAGCGTAAGCGAGGGAGGAGGAGCCCAGTGGGAGCCCAGTGGGAGCACAGTACGAGTGTCTGGTGTGATCGGGGCGTATTCGTACACGGAGCTGCAAACCTCAGATGAGGCAGTGCACATCGGACCATCTCCACTTTCTGTCTATCAGTCTGCCTCGGGCTACTGCTTGGGCTACTGCTTGGGCTACTGCTATGGCTACCGGTACGCACAAGTCACGATACTCGTGCAGTAATTACCTAGCTGCCGCCAGGGCCCTGCATGCCACTCCTCAACGTGCGGCATATTCACTGCTCTTCCCCTCTAACGTTCAATGCCGCCTATCCGAAGCTACCCCGGTACACTCTCCCGGCATCTTTGCGTCAAGCACCCTCGTCTGAACGCGCAATCATCACCACACCACTTTTTGTATTGGGTAGACGATAGCGAATCTGCATGATGACTTTTCGGTGCCTCTGATGCCCCTCAACTTGTAGAATTCCCAAAGTGTGGACTCGGCACTCCGCACGAAAGATGCTCTCTGTTTCTTTTTGTCCGTCACAAACACTGCCAGGTGCGAGTAAGCCTTGCCTTGGCAACATTGAATCCTTCGGGGCTTCGCTGGAATTGGTCTGACGGTTGGCCGCAACACCTTGAGCGTTCAGTCGCGGAGGGGTTATCGGAGCTCGCAGAGATCGGTTAGCACGAGGCGGATACTCGTAGCTTTGCAGAAGGATGGTCAGTGGCCAGTGGCCTGAAAGCAGCATCTTCGCGCCCCGTGACTGAGGGACGACCCTTGGAACAGGATTCGATGAGCGAAAAGGGGAGGCACCCAGGAGGTTCCATGCTGGGTGCCATGCTTCCAGAAATAGCGTGCTTCAGGATGAGTTTTAGGCTAGTGAGAGTGTGGGCGCAGGAAGCTCTCAGTGCGTAGGTAGCGTGCGAGAGGGGAAGCCGTTATCCACAAAACCCAGACCCCTAAGCTTCTGCGCGCCAATCATGCAGCCCAATTCCCCAGTCTTACGCCTCGCTCTCCTCTCAGTCTCGCCCTCCTCCTGCGAATCACCCTCTCAGTGTCCTCATTACAACACTATATCAATCCCCCATGTCATGACGATTAGACATTACAAGTCGCCTTCCTGTCTACCTGCCACTTGACCACCTCATATTTAGTCGTGCGCTGTCGCAACACCTCCCGCGCAAAACATCAGACCCAATCTTCTATCCCTCACCACACGCCACATTCCCCTGCACCACCCTCTGTGAGTGCATCTTCACGAGATCCGGTCATCGCCCGTCGTGTCGTCGTCCACGCGTCCCTTAGTCTCGGAATCCGAACCTTCGACAATGGATTCTCCTCGTGAGTCTGGCGTCGACACTGGCAAGACTGCCGCCCCTCCCATCGGTTTCCGTCCTCAGAACGGCGGTGTCATCAAGGTGCAGCCACCGCGACGCGAGGACTTGCAACCCTCTTATGCGCAGACCCTACAAGAAACCCAAGAAGATGATAATGGCTGGTATGGTTCCATGAGTATGTGTCCCGCGCTCTGATCTTAAGAAGTTCGGAGCACCCTGCTAACAACCCTGCGCAGTCAACACTCTTGGACAGTGTGTCGGTTGCATGGGCGCCATTCCCTGCTGCATCATCTGCCCTAACCCCTACAAGCCCGTCTCTCAAGGAAACGTGGGTTTGGTCACTAAATTCGGACGTTTCTCGCGCGCCGTCGATCCTGGTCTGGTTAAAGTCAACCCGCTTTCCGAGCGCCTCATTCAGGTCGATGTCAAGATTCAAATTGTCGAGGTGCCTCGTCAAGTGTGTATGACAAAGGACAATGTAAGAAAACGTACCCCTGCCCCTATAACAAGCCTTTCTAATATACCTAGGTTACTCTGAATCTGACGTCGGTCATCTACTACCACATTACATCTCCCCACAAGGCGGCTTTTGGTATCTCCAACATCCGTCAGGCCTTGGTGGAACGTACCCAGACCACGCTCCGTCACGTGGTGGGTGCTCGCGTCCTTCAGGATGTTATTGAGCGTCGCGAAGAGATTGCTCAGTCCATTGGAGAGATCATCGAGGAGGTCGCCGCCGGCTGGGGTGTCCAGGTCGAGTCCATGCTCATCAAGGACATCATCTTCAGCAACGACCTTCAAGACTCGCTATCGATGGCGGCCCAGTCCAAGAGAATCGGTGAATCCAAGGTCATTGCTGCACGTGCCGAAGTGGAATCGGCCAAACTCATGAGACAAGCGGCCGATATCTTGAGCTCAGCGCCTGCCATGCAAATCAGATACCTCGAAGCCATGCAAGCCATGGCCAAGACCGCCAACAGCAAGGTTATCTTCTTGCCCGCCACCAATCAGACCATGCCCACTGATATGAACGCCATGCTGCGAAACGAAACCACTGGTGAAGGTAGTGGGTACAATTCCAAGTCAAACACAGGCAATGCTTTCAACCTGGACAACAACGACGGCTTCCAACAGGCCATGAACGCCAGAGTTATCGAGAACATCTAAAAGAATGTTGCCAGGCTTTCTGATCCTGGTTCCCCAATACCCGAACGCAATGCGCGCTCTGAAGGCCAGACTGACAGGGAAGAGTGAGGAGGGTGAGAGCCGAAATGAATGTTCTTGGGACGTGGTAGGCCTGGCTTGGATTTGCAATGTGAAAATTCGGCGTTTCATTCTTCTTTTCCTGTTTTGAGATACCCCTTCATGAGTATCAACGCTCGCTTTTAAGTTGTGTATCATTATTTCCTTGTGCTCGAACGAGGCATTGCCTCGCTGAAAGTTCAGTTGGGGCGAAAGTGCGAGTTCGAGCCTGATAAGCTGCTACTACAGCAAGTGTAATGACCTATATGAAAATGCATGTTGTTCTCTCGATCTTTTCCTTCTTTTTCCCCCTTGTGCAGCGAATTGCTAATGTTGATGATTGAAGTCGCGTGTTCGCACTGAGCCCATAGAGACCGCCGATCCGATTGGTGAGAAAATGTTCAGAAGTGACTCGCTGACAGTCTGGCGTCTTGTCGTCAATATTGACTAAAGTCCGATTATGCCAATGCGGCCGCATTCGGCCGAATTTTCTCCCTCTGCCTGGACCTATTTTCCTGTTCTCCTTTTCGACGCCAAACATTGTCTTGTTTGTTTCGGCCGCATCGCAAATTATGCTTTGCTGTTCGGTCAAAGACATGCAGATTCTGGATTCCTAGCGGGGGTGGCCGTGGCTGACTAAGTCTGCGTGCAGAATCCTCCGAGATTCAGTCATGCCATCAGGTGGTGCCGGCCAGAAAATCGTGGATGGCAGAGTTGTCACCATGGAGATAGGATTATCTCCCGGCTAGAAGAATTGCACATATATGTCTGCCTAGGTTGAAACACTATTTAAGACAGCAGACACTCTGCCTCACCTCTCCAACCATTCAATACTCCTCCAACGGATCATCAGACACCTACAAAAAGCACCTTCGCACCCAGCTTTGACGGTCACCTTCTTCAGTCAAGAAGATAGCCAGATCCCTACCACTTGTCCAAGCGAGCCCGCCGAGATGAAGACCTTTAGTTGGGGGACCACCGGCGACGAGGTTGTCAATGAGTTTGCCGATAGAGTCGAGGGCAAGACAAGTTAGTCCTTCCTGTCGAGAATATTGGGCAATGCCTGAGGGAATTCATGGACACTGATGTTGTGTTTAGTCGTTGTGACAGGCGCCAGCGAGAAAGGCTTGGGGGGAGAGACTGCGGTTGCACTTGCACATGGCAAACCTGCGCACTTGATCCTCCTGGCGCGCTCTCAATCCCGAGTGGAGTCGATCATTTCGCGCATCAAAGAAATCAACCCGGCCATCAAGGTCGACTTCGTCCCCGTGTCGCTCGACGACTTCGATTCCGTACGGGCTGCCGCAGCCACCATCAACGGCAAGATCTCGAAGCTCGACATTCTCATCAACAACGCGGGGATCATGGCGATCGAGAACTACACGACCAACAAGAACGGGATCGAAATCCAGTTTGCTACCAATCATCTGGGTCATTTCCTGTTCACAAAACTCCTGTTCCCCAAGATCCTTGCCGCGGGCCGTGGAGCGAGAATTGTCAACTTGACGAGTCTCGGCCACAAAATCGGCCCCGTTCGCTTCGACGACTATAACTTCTCCGACGGCAAAGAATACGACCCTTGGTCCGGCTACGGCCAGTCCAAGACGGCCAATATTCTCTTCTCGCTCTATCTTGCCAATAAGCTTCGTGACCGCGGAATTCAGAGCTACGGTGTCCACCCGGGCGGCATATACGAGACACAGTTGGGGGTCCATATTACGGATATTCCCAAGGCACTCGGGGGCATTGAAGCCGTCGCCCAGAAGAACACTGGGAGACACTTCCCTCTCGCGGAGGACAAACCAAAGAGCATGGCGCAAGGTATCTCCACGACTCTGGTGGCGGCGTTGGATCCGAGAATTGAACCACAGAGTGGCATGTACATGGCAGATTGCCAGCCTCAGAAGACGTATGAGTACGCAGAGAGTATGGAAGGCGCGGAGAAATTGTGGAAACTGAGTGAAGAGTTGGTGGGAGAGAAGTTTGCGATCTGAAGAGCCAACTCTCTATGTACATAGTTGGCTAAAGTCCATGGTATAAGAGGCAGTGAATATGCAAGTTGAAAATCCACCGTCTAAGAATGCCCGGAGTGTAATCTTTATCTGTGGTTGCAGAGCCTCGCCCCCCTTGTACCGGTACGCGTTGAAGGCGGACGGCCTCATATTGAACGCCACATACCAGACCCCCCGTGCCACAATATGGGGTGCTTCTGTCGAACTTTCCATAAACGGTCAGGTGGGGTCAGAGTCAGAGACTCAGAGTGCCTTGACTCCTTGAGTGCCACTGCCGAAGTTCATGGGGATTTTCCGATGTGGGTGAGTCCCGCGGGGCTGTTGCTGCATCGAAGCTACTCGTAAACAAACTGCCATCGGCCCCAAAAGCTCTTCAATCTTGAGCATTCCATTTGCCAATCACAGTCAGCCGAACCTCTCTTTGCAATTGCCGCCCAAACGAACCCCTAGTGGCGGTCTCATTGGACGAAATACAAAGGCCAGGGGCATGATATCACACGAGGTTCTCGATCGTGGAGAAGCCGCTGTCGGCAGAGCAATGCCAACCAAAAGCCCAGTTGCGCGCGGGGGTAGTGTTCGTGTAGATATAGTGACGATGGGTTCATTCCTGACGTCTTCTCCTTGCCGTCGTCTCTTCTCCTCCTGCCTCTCTTGAAGTGTTACGTCTGGGCCACACAGTGTCGAGTGTCTGTGATCTTCATCTGGAAGACCGTCTGTGAAGATGAAGGTTGAGCACAACCCGTCTTCGCCAGCGGGCCATTCGCTTGTCGCCCAAGCTCTGGCCTTTCTGAAGGGCAATTTACTTCTTTTAGCAGTCGTTTCACTCGTCATCCGATGCCTCTATAAGCGTTATGCCTCTCCTCTGCGAGACGTGCCTGGCCCGTGGCTAGCTTCGTGCTCGAGGCTTTGGAAAGGTATCGCTACTCATTCTTACCTGTTCTCTTATCGGTCGAAGCTGACTTTTCGGTGTGAACAGTGTGGAGTACGTACAATGGGCACACCGAGTTGGACCACATAGCATTGCACAAGAAATACGGTAAGCGGCCGAACCTGAAAACGCACGCAAAGGCCCAAAATCTCACCCACCTGCAGGACCTGTGGTCCGAACCGCCCCCAACGAGGTATCTTTCGGCACTTGCAATGCCGCCAAAGACATTTTTGCTGTGGGCAAGGGCTTCCATAAGACGATGTTTTACAGCGTCTTTCCGCCAAAGGTAAGTCCCAATGACGCCGGCATCCCTGTGTGACCGGAATCCAGAAAGTAACCCTGACGCGTTTACTAGCATGCCCCGGATATCTTCACCGAGGTTCGCGAATGGAAGCATGCGCAAATGAAACGCTATGCCGTCACACCTTACAGCCTTGCGCAGATGCAGAAGCGATCAGAGCCGATCGAGGGCATGATCAAGCTCTTGATGGAGCATCTGGAGAATTATGCCACAGCAAACAAGCGGGTTTGCAACCTGGGTAATCTGTTGCATTACTTCGCTTTTGATGTATGGTTATTGTCCCCAGCCCTTCTCTCACGCGGTGGCTAAGATCTTTCCAAGGTGCTTGGAGAAGTTGCCTTTTCGCGGCAATTCGGTTTCTTGGAACAAGAAGTCGACATCGAAGGTTCAATCAAGAATATCGACGACGTACAATGGTACGACGGAATCGTGGGCCACATTGCGGAATACGATATACTCCTCCGAAACAACCCGGTCCGACCCTATCTAGGCTTGCAAATGAAGCCCACCACAATGACGAAAATCGCCGTCGCCGAGCTTGAGAAGCGGAAACAGAAGGACGGGACCTACGATTCGGCAGGTATCGACCTATTGGCCGAATTGCTAAGAGCGCATGAGGCGAACCCGGAGAAGTTTTCGGTAAATGATGTGTTTAGTATTGCTCATGGCGCCGTGTAAGTGATGATGCTACAGGGCGGCTATTCTGCTTAGGAGTATGCTCATGCATGATTACAGGTTTGCGGGATCCGACTCCACGGCTTCGACGATGCAATCATTTTTCTACCTGGTCCTCAACGCTCCCAAGGTCTACGCGAACCTCTGCCAGGAGATTGACCAGGCCCAGAAGGCCGGTAAACTGTCCGAAATCGTTACCTACGCCGAAGCACAGGCTCTGCCCTACTTCCAGGCGTGCTTGAAGGAGGCTATGCGGGTCCGACCAGCAGTTGGTCTCGGAATCTACCGAAAAACTCCTCCAGAAGGTGTTGAAATCGACGGCAAGTTTTACCCAGGCGGGATCGAAGTTGCTGTCAATGGATGGGTGTTACACCGAGATGCCTCGATATTTGGGGATGATTGCAATGAGTTCAGACCAGAGAGATGGTTTGAGCGTGACGCCAAATTGATGGGCTCGCATCTGTATCAGGTATGTTCAAGACCTTTCTCTCCTCGCCTTCTCTGTTAAGAGGCTTTTTGAGGTGAGACAAACCCGCAGACGCTTACTGTGACTCTTTTTGCAACAGTTCGGAGGCGGCAGCCATCTCTGCATTGGCCGTAATCTTGCTCTATTTGAGATGAACAAGACCCTCATCCAGATCTTGAGGGAGTACGACGTCACTCTTGTGCATCCCGGACGACCGTTGGCGTATCACTCGACCTTTTTCGTGGTTCAGGAGGGGCTTGAGGTGTATTTGCGCAAGAGGAGTGAGAAAGTACAATAGTTCGGCCTCATTATTCGTGATAGTGCAGCAAATCTAAGGGGAGCTCCAGGATCAAGTGGTTTTCAATGGTTCAAAATATGTTACCCAGCCACATCAAGGCACATTGACATTCTGAAAGGTGTCGAACAAGAACTGGGATGAACTCAGACCGAACAGATATCTCAGTTTTTTCGTTGTGCATCTCAACCTTTGTTAGGACGGAACGGTAATCCGTCTTCTGCACGTTTGAATGTGACTGCATGACACCACGGGTCCGTATGTTACAGACGGTGAAAAGGTGCCTCAAATGGCTATATAGTGGAGTTATTTAAACCATAGTGCTGCTTCCTGTCACAAGGAGGCGAGAAGGCAAGGAGGCTAGGAGAAAACGCGTTCAGCCTCGTATGAAACGCGCCACCTGCCTATATTGGGAATGATAGACCCCCGCCGGCCTCGTCTAGCAACCTCGTCGCGCCTTTCCCCCACTTACTGTTCACTTATTCAGGCATTCTCTACGATTTCTCCTTTCTCACTGCAGACTCACTCGGCTTGTCAGACCGTCTCAACCCGCGCAGGACCGATGAGGCCCTTCGCCGTCTCTGACCATGTCGCACTCAAACACGACTTCAGCCTGTATGGCCACATTCAGCGCAGTCACACTGAATCAAATGCGCCTTTCGGAACCGACGACTTGATTATAGCCCATGTCGAAGTCCCATCCGAAGTCATCAACGAATTTATCGCCACTAGCTATCCCCCAGAAGGATATTTCTACGTCGAATTTGCTAATCCTGCAGCTGGCTGCTCTATTGTCAGTGAGAATGACATTGTCCTCGTCAGTCGAGCCTTTCGGTTGGGCGACAACGTCAAGCAAGATGGAAGCTCCATGACTGGCACAGTGATCGATTTGTCAGAGACTTACATCCTTGAACCTGTCTTCCCGAAAGACTCCTCAAAGCCTCCGACCTGTTCGGAAACCTGTCCGTCAACCCTGCCCGAGCGCTTCGCACACCCAAACCCACACACCCTCCTCTACGATGTCCCTGCGAGAGAGGTCAAAAGAGTACAGGATGTCATGCCAGAGGACTGCATAATATATAATAACTGGGTCGGAGTGGTGGAAGACGTGGAATACGACGCCGTGATTAGGCTTGCAGACTCGTCCATCGTGGTCATCTATACCTCCCTTGGCCTGCATATCCCCATTCCTGACTGCCAGAAGTCTGTCATTGCATTTCCTGAATCCAACGGGTTCTGGCACCCTGATATTCTGGGGTCCACTCAAGGTTGGCCAAGCACTATCCCGGTTTTAAAGGCCCAGCGCGGCGACTTTGTCATCGTGGATCGTCATTCTCTACGGTCAGGAAGATGGTTATCTGGCTCATTTAGTCCGAAGACTCCTTCTGAAGGAATCGTCCTTGATTGCCGAGCTCATGATATCATGGTCGATTGGATTTCTACCAGCCTTCGCCGGGGAGATCCGCCTGACGCAGCAACAGCGCCCAGATCGGAGATATCTATCTACGAGGACATCCAGACTTTCCGTGATTTTCCGGATTTGCGTCTGAAGAAGGAGGTCATGATCTACGACACCGGTAGGATGCCTAGTCGACCTATTGAGCAACGCTCAGTCGGTATTGAAGCTGGTTCTGCCTATAATCAGCCGGCCTATCACGAAGCCCACAACAGCCGAGAGAGCTATTCAGGGCAGGAACTGGAAATTGGCATGCGGGTCAAGTTCCGAGACCCTTCTGCAGCTGCGATAAAATACCAAGGAGTCGAGGGGACTTCACATGGCCAGCTTCTACATGTAACCAACCATGCATCTCGCGACTGGAATGTGAACGAGTACAAGGTTGTTCACATGCGACAGGTCACAGCTGTCATGTGGCAAGACGGCAGTGTCACTACGGTGGACTCAACATCGTTGACGAACTTTGCTCTCTTCGAAACTGAAATCCTTCCCACAGAAATTGTGTTGAAAAGAGAAGGCATGCGGCAAAGACCGGTCAACCTGAAGGGAAAGGCGAATGGCGCCGCAAAAGACTTTGACGAAATGACGTTCTTTGAGCGACCTCATGATCTATTGCCGGCCGGTGTAGGTGTGGTCCAGTCAGTTGATCCCACCGAGAAAGTTGCTCGTGTGCGGTGGTACAAAGAACCCAAAATTGAACTGCGGGCACCAGACCAAACTCTCGCACCGGGCTCACGGTTTGGCGCCATGGGAGATAAGGTCGAGGACGTGTCTCTTTTCGAAATCATGTGCTTCCCTTCCTTGTTGAGGCAACCGAGTCAGATGTGTGTGTTGACAGCTCCAGGCCAGCTCAAAGTCTCGCATGATGAGCTCCCCGGACCATCGCTGCAGGACCCCGGCAGGATAGCCTCAATTGTTGCGATGACTGCAGATCCAAGCATGAATGAAGGTTTTCGGTCGCAAGGTTCCCAGGCTTCTCCTTTGTCAACGGCAACTACCACAAGAGATCAAGGAAAAACCGCAAGACAATTTGACTGGATTGGCCAAATAGTCTCGTTGGGACTCGATGGCTCCATCACTGCCCGTTTGGGAGCAGCAGAACCTTGCCGGGACGTAGTGATTGATGCCGACGGGGTCATTGCTGTCCTCGACAACCACCAGCATCCGGTCGCCGACCCCTCAACTGTCAGCTTTATGGACCTTGACACCTGGAGTGAAAGTGGCTCCGCCTATTCGATGGGAACCCCATGGCCTGTAGAGGAGACGGTGGAGTACGAAGGCGGGGAGCGTCTGGACAATGACAGCGGCGATGAGAATTGGGTGTCGGATGAGGACCCGGCATTCGAAGATGCCGAAGAAGAACTGCCTGACAAAGGCACAGATCTGGAGAGGTTCAATGCTGGAGACCAACAAGGCGATTCAGCACAATCACGGCGGTCACTGTTTCAGCTGAAGAAAGTGCTCGGATCTGAATCACCAGCGCAATTTCTTGTGCTTGACCGGGAGCCCCCTTCTGATCAGTTCGGGCTTCATAATGCCCCGACAGCTCCCGGACTTAAACGTATCCTCAAAGAACACCAGATATTGGCGACGTCACTTCCCGAGGGTGAGATCTATGTTCGCACCTACGAGAGTCGAATCGACCTCCTGCGGTGCCTCATCATTGGACCGAGAGATACGCCTTATGAGAATGCTCCCTTTTTGATCGACCTGTGCTTGCCTGCGAAATATCCTGAGGAACCTCCTTTAGCCCACTTTCACAGTTGGACCAGTGGGCTTGGTCGCATCAACCCCAACCTTTACGAAGAAGGCAAGATCTGTTTGAGCTTGTTAGGAACCTGGTCTGGGAAGCAGGAAAGCGAGAGATGGAGCAACAAAGCGACGTTGCTTCAAGTGCTCGTTTCATTGCAAGGGTTGGTATTTGTCAAGCGGCCGTTCTACAACGAGGCAGGATTTGAAGGATACGAGCATGACAATGCATACAAAACGGAATCAGACTCTTACAGTGAAAGGGCTTTTGTCATGTCCAGAGGCTTTGTGAAGAGCGCTCTGCTCCGGCCTCCGGGAGGGTTGGAGGACATACTCGCTTGGTTATATCTGCCGCACGACATCTCGGACCCGCCTAAAAGTCTGCTCGTCACCATTATTGAGCGAGGAAGTCTATTGTTGCAAAGATCTGAGGAGGCTCGATCCAAGCAAGACGACTCATACGTCGACTCGGCAGGTGCAAAGGACGACGAGACCAAAGTGTTCTTGAAGCCGATGAGTCGCGGCGCTAGTGTTATGCTGAGGAGATTGATTGGTGAATTGCAGACACAGCTCGACCGATCTTTGGCAGAGAAGATGAATTAACGGTGTGACGACCAAAAAAAGGATGATTCGATGATACCCGGAAAACAATGAGCAAGGCGTGCAGGACGACCAGATTTAACAGTGGATCTGAGTTCTGGGATAGACTCTGGACAGGCCTAGTCAGCTTGCTGAAGATCTGCGAGACGGGATAGGCAGGTCTATTTCTAAGGATGGAGACCCTAGCTAGTTTTTTTAACGATGATTTCGGATTCGTGCATGAGCGACAGAGGGTCAGAATGGACTTAATCGGTGGCTATTGAAGCGAGTTTCAGGTGGCAAGGCGTAATATTGAACGAGCTTCCGTGATCACCAGTTGAGGTACCCTGTGGATGAGGCTGCAAGCGTAGTCGTAGTCGTAGGTATATGGGCGGGACGAGGCTGAAGATGGAGGAGCGGAGACAATACGGAGACAATCCGGAGACAGACGGAGACATGCGGAGGGATTTTGAACGCGGCGAGTCGGGGACAAATTAGCCGAAGTGGAGCCGGGGACCCGCAGTGCCGCCGCCTTTAACTGTTTGTCGCTTGTATGAAGCCTGGAAGACTTTCCCTTTGTTCCTGATTTATCTTCCCTTGTCCTTTATGTCATCAGCACTACCTCGTACTCCCTTTGTACCCTCTAAGCTGTCTGCTGGTGAACGACAGGCTCTGAATGTCTCAGTGACCGGCGTACACTGACATGTCACCTACTTCACATCTGTCGCGCGCTTGGTATCTGTTAGATTCGCCCCTCCAATCCATGCACCTCTTTGGCCTTGTTTCGTAGCCTGGTGTGGGTTTCATCTCTTCGCTACTTTCTACATCTCCATCCTCTCTGTCAGGACTGCGACCCCGGTAGGAAACAACCATGGCATCGCCCGCTATCCATCCGAGTAAGCCCTCGGGTTGGGTGGATCCTCGACAGTCAGGAGACTATCCCATCATCCTGGGGGACAGCTTGAAGGCCGATGCGAAGGCACAGGACATGTTTCTGAACATTCGATATAATTGGCAACCTAAATCTGGCTTCGACAACATAAGTCGTGAGGGTCGACTGACAAAGGCCGGTGGTGGTGACGACCGATACCACCTCGACATATTATCTGATGGAGGTGATTCTTCCGCCAAATACCACTATGTCGGCAACAAGTCCGCGTCGCATGCGGGAGAACCATCAGAAGGGCCACCTGAAGACCAGCAGCCGACAAGATCCCTAGCGCTCGTCTTCGACCAGTCCAAGTCGGCCTTTGTGCTAGAAGCCATCTCGGCATCTCTGGACATGAACCTGAAAGCCGCACCGGGCATAATGTCGTCCAAGGACGCCCGGGAGCTGCCACAACTCCCACCACCGGGCCATGGCCACCAGTCGTCTACAAAACAGCCAGCAGCGGCAGCAGCAGCAGCAAACGGAGGACACGCAGCAGCTCCATCTTCATCGGACGATGAGACACCCCCGGATCCTTCCAACCCCTACGACTTTCGACATTTTTTGGCAGAGGCGCGCGAAAATCTCGAAAAGTCAACAACCGCCGCACCGGGCAATCGGACGCCCGTTCCAGGCGGTAATCGGACTCCTATCATGAGTGGAACATCTACGCCTGTTCCCCCAGGGAATAGATTCTTACCTACAACGCCACAGTCCCGACCAACCTCAGTAGTGCCAGCCGGAGCCTCTAAAGCATCATCATCATCATCTCAACAGCGCAAGAAAAAGGCGGCCGAAGACCTACCTCGAGGAGGGCCCGGGCCAGGTCGCGACCGTGGTGCACCGGCTACTACCACCAAGACCTCCTCCGGTACCAAACGAGACGGACCCAAATCAAGCCATACCCACCAACCGCTCAGCAAAGCGCGCATTTCCGACTCTGACGATGAAGACGACACCGTCGAAGCGCCGGTCACTAGAGGGGTCGTACCTCCTCCTCCTCCTCCATCTAACAAGCCACCAAACACCACCACCACCACTGCATCCAAACCAAACCAAGCAAAGAAGGACAAGGCCGGAAAAGGCCACACGCGCAACGTCTCGGACAACATCGGCAGCTCCCCGCACATCATCATCAACGACGACGACGGCGACCTGGAAATCGACATGGGCTCCCCGCCACCGGACACCGCCCGGTTTAGGAGAGGCAGAGTGGATCCCGAGATGTTTAGGAGTCACACCGCGACACCGATTGGCGGGCTGAGTTCCAACACCACTGCGCGGTCCGCTTCGAGACCCGTTTCTAAGCCGCCGGTCGAGGAATCACCCGCTAGAGGTCGTACTGGGAGGGATAGAGATAGAGACAGGGATGTCACGATGAAAGATATCGAAGCCGCCTCATCTCCAGACGCAGACGAGGATGAAGACGTCGAGGAATTCGAGCTGGGCTCTCCGCGGGAGAAAAGCATGCCTGTCCCGCTTCCGAACAGGGGCGGCGCCATCCGTGATGATGACGATGACGACGACGCCATGTCCGAAGACGATGGCCGACAAAGTCGCCAACCACGAGAACAAACACAGATTCATGACCACCACCACCACCACATCCAACCCCCGCCCACACCGCCCGCTCCGGAACCAATCGCCCACAACGACGACGACGACGAAGACCTCCTGGAAGCGGCGCTCGAGGCGGCGCTGGAGGAAGAGGACGAGAATGAAGACACCGCGAACAACAGAGGAGGCATTGGGTTGGGCATCGGTATGGCGACGGGACCGGCAACGGCAGCGGCAGCGGCAGCGAATGGAGATGATGAGAGCGAGGTTAGTGAGGAAGAATGAGCTATCTTAACCCCAATCGACTCCAAGGGGGAATGCGCCGGACCGGATTTCATACAGGGCGCAGGCCACAGGGCGCAGGCCGCAGAAGCCAAGACAAAAAAAGGGGGAAAGAAGGCGTGCCTTGCTTGAACGCCTTTTGGACGGGCCTTTTCATATCCCAATCTTTCTGGTGATTGGGGAGGATAAAACTCGGTATATTTTTGGGGGAGTTTTAACTATTGGCTCTCTGCAGTTCGCTCTTCCAGCGTCGTGCACGAATGCGAATGAGTTAGTCGGCAGAGAAAGAGAAAATAAGCCACGAAAAATATTTGATATCGATGATGGAATGTCTTCACTTTTTCATACTAGGCACGGAAGCAGGGGGTAAAAAGGAAGATCAGAACGAGTTTCTCCAAATGTAGAGGGGAAAAGGAGTACCTTGTGTCGCTGGGAGCAGGACCCGGTTTTTCTTTCCACGTAATATGCCTCCCTACCTATCTTTCTTTCTTGCGTAGAACCGAACAAGTATGAACTCGGCGAAAAGAAGCTATTGTGACCCGCACAGATAAGACCACCACCAAATGCCAGGTTCAAATAGACTGACTGGATTCTCTCCCCTCGCTCAGACCATATCCAGGATCCAAGCACTTTGTCCGTCCAGGCTCACACCGGCCATGCTGCGATTCAGAGCCTCGGCCGGCTTCTGGCCCAACCAGACGGCCTCGCTGCGATCCATGCCTTCCTGGACGTCCCAACCCTCCGTACCCACGGCATAGATGACCCTGCCATGTAGGTACTTCTCGCGCATACCCCGCTCGTGGCCCTTTTCATACCATACGCCGCCACCGCTGGCGATGCCGCTCCCGCCCGTGGCGTCTCCACCGTGGATGTCCGGCGTGGACGCGTTGGTGGCAACCACCCCGACGACGACGCGGGCAACGTCCTCAGGCCGATCGGGCGGCAGCTGCACTGACATGCTCCGGCCGCCGGACTGGGCGACGGCGCGTGGGACCATGACATTCGTCACAACCGCGTTGATGCGCACGCCGTCGCGCTCCGGGTCCGGGTCGACGTTGGTCCAGAGACTGCGCACAAGCCCCAGGATTGAGTGTTGCGTCACTTGGTAGATGGGCAGCTGCGGAGTTTCCTTGAACGCGGCCACGGATGTGAGGAAGGTCAGACTGCGGTCGTGCATGCCCGGCGAGGCAGGAGGCTCGGGTTGCGGTTTAGAATAAGGGTTCACAATCGGTTTCTTGGTGCTGCTCTTGGATTTGGGTGAGTATTTCAGATACGCCAGTGCAATTCGCGCAAACCGGATGCTTGCCGTGATTATGTCTGCCAGCCCCGTGGGTTCTGTCGCGACCTCGTCGTAAGCCATCTTTGCTGTCTTATTGATCCCGGCTCGGTCTTCAAACCAGCCCTTCTCGCCCGCTCCCACCGGGCATGCTTGGCCGCCATCATCACCCACCCCGAAGATGGCGTGGTCGACCCGGCCGTACATGGTGATGGCGAGCTTGAAGAGGTCCAGCATGTCAGAGTACCTTGTCATGTCGCATTTGTTGAAGTGAATTACATGCGGCGGGCCTAAGGAGGAGATGAATTTGCGAGCCTGGTCACTATTCGTGTCGCCAAAGATCACGCGGCAGCCGGCCGAGTGGAATTGGCGTATTAGGCACTGACCCGTTTGACTGGCGCCATTGGTGACGACGATCACCTTGCCGTGAAAGGATTCCTTTGGCAGGGGCGGTGGTGTGAAACGGCACGGATTAGAAGCAAAGATTTGAGGGACAGAGGACATAGACTGGGATTTCTTGGTTCGTGATGTGAATGGGTTTACGGGTGCAATTGTTGAAGAGGCATTTGGTTTGAGGGGAGAGGGAGAAGTCGTTGCTGAAGGAGCTGGGACCTGATTCGACGCGGATGGAGGTGCAACAGAGGACGGTGATTTTGGTGAAGACAAGGGGGTTGCAACATCAGGGGATGTCACTGAATTGACTATGACCGTGGGAGTGGTCGCGGCGTCTGGAGGGGCGACTTGAGAAACTCGTTTTTTCTTTTTGGGGGCGGGTGTTTGGACGGGCGTTTGGACGTCTGGCCTGGGCGGTTCATCTGGTACAGAGACAGGCTGCTGTTCCTTTTTAACAGGAGTTAGATCAGCCTCGAGCTCGAAAGTGTGAGGAGTTTTGGTGACGGTCTTTCTCCGGCGGGTGGGTTTTCCAGAGTCGTCAGTGGTAGCGGCGTCGCCAGCGGCAGGAATGTCCAGTCGCGGAGCAGATGGCGGGGGTGAGCCAGATTCTTCTTCTTTGGTGGCAGTCGGCATGATGCTTCGTATAGGAGAGGTGGTATCTGGGGTCTTGGAAGTCTTGGATACCTGGCGAGAAATGCCTTCACCATTCAGGGTGGACGAGGCCTCACTGGCCCAGGGATTGGGCGAGACGGATTCACTAGACTGAGAGGTGACATCCAGCTGGGAAGCCACGTCGAACTCGCTGCCTGAACTGGTTTTGGCGGCTTTCTTACGCAGAGTGTCTTTCATGGCTGGCGGCAGGCGTTATCGAGGGGGAGGACAGCGAGCTGCCAGGGCAACAGGAAAGTGGCATCAGGGAGGTCACCTAGAGGCTAGAGGTCAACGAGGGATCGGGATCAGGTTCAGGTTCAGGCTGGTAACAGGTTCAGGACCCAGATGCCGTAGCGTGGCAACGGGTTGTGGGGTTGTGCAGGTTGTCAAGGTTGTGCAGCTGGATTGCAGCTGGTGCAGCTTTCAAGTTGTGGCAACTGATAGCGACGGGCATGTCGATCAATTTGAGGGGAAGAAAAGGCGCTCTCGATCGAGTTGTATGTACCTCGTATCTACGAGAACATGACCTGATCAAAGGGATGACTGAGCAAGCAGATGGTGACGAGCACCCCAAGTGATGGTTGTTCTGGAACTTGATCTCATGGGAAGCGAGAAACAGGCTAATTGCCCATTGGAAAGATGGGATGCAACCCACGAGGAATTCATGGATCAATTGCTGAGAAGGAGCTGAGAAGGAACAAGTCAAGGCCCCCGATTTGTTCGCTTGATCTGCCGCCTCCCGTTCTTGGGCACCGATACCACCTGGCGAACTGGGCATCCTTGCACCTTACTGTACCAGCACGGCTACGTGTACCGTATGTCTTCAGAACTCGGAGGAGAGAAGCTGGCACGGGGAATTCCTGATCGAAGAGCAAGTTCCACTGTTGCACAGTTCATACAATACTTCATCTCGCACTCATCGGTGGGTTGCTGCTATACTTAATGTACATCTTTATCCCTTCCCCTTCCTTTGCCTTTCCTCTCACCTCACCGGCTACTCCTACTAACCACCTCCCTCCCTCGCTACCTAGGTACCTAAGCTGCTAAGCTAAGTTGTGGCCTGCGTCCCTCCCACGTGCGGAATACGGACCCTCGCCCACGAGCCCCTCCTTCACCCGCTAAACAGCACAAAATGTACCTCGTATCCCCCGACCCCCGTATAATCGACTCAATGGCTCAAGTTATATGATAATCGCAATCGTCCATCTCCGCGTGCACACTTGAGAACCACTCTACCAGCCGTTGCCACTTACTCTAGTCAATCATGGCGCCGATAGTGTCATCTCGACTTCTTCCCTTTTCGCTTCTTTTATTTTCAACTGTGAACTCGAGGGATACGTGACATGGGTGAAGACGAAACTACAGCCTCTGAGACCGCCTCCCCCTCAGCGTCCCGGCCAACTTACTCGCGCGACCAACTCGCCACATACGTCTCGAAATGGATCGCACCTTCAAAGGACTATACTCTCGAGACGCTCGAGGCCGAGATCGAGGCAGACCCCCTTGCGGCTCTGTCGACCCTGCAACTTCGGCAGATGGCCTTCAATCCCTGGGGAAACATCGCGCTGCATTATTCGTGGCACCGCGTCCTGTCACTCGACCATGAGGCCTTGTATCACAAGCTCGTCGAACGAGGGTTGGGTGGCTACTGCATGGAGAACAACGCCTTCTTCAGCACCGTACTGAGGTCTTTGGGCTACAGGCTGTATGTCACAGGCGCCAGAGTCAGTCTCGCCTTGAGTGGTGATTCGGTGGATCCGGAGGGTTTTGCTGGCTGGTATGCCTGTTGAAGAAGCTTTTCCTCTTGGTCCTTGGGATGCCTGTATCGTGACTGATTTCACTGCGTCGACAGGCAGCATGAAGTCATCATCGTGATCATTAATAATAGGAAGTATCTGGTATGTTTCGATTTGGGCTCCTTTGCAGCGACCACACTAAACGCCCGCATATGACACAACCCTTTCCCTAACATTCCAATACAGGTCGACGTCGGTTTTGGGAGTACCTCGCCTGTCCACGCGATCCCTTTAGACTACGACAACCCGGGGCCCTACGAATCCGTCCCCGGTGCGCAGGTCCGCCTTGTCTACCGACCCATCGCCTCCAATACGGATCAATCCCAAAAGCTGTGGGTTCTCGAGACGCGCAACAAAACCGAACAGAAATGGCAAGGCGGCTACTGCTTTGCCGACCTGGAGTGGCTGCCCATGGACTTTGAGATCATCAACTACCGCACCAGCCAGGACCCGGCGAGCTGGTTCACGCACCGTCTTGTGCTGGTACGGATTCTCGTGGACGAGGAGACGAGGACGAAAGCTAGAGGGACCGTAATCCTGTCGGGGACGGTCTTTGAGAGGAGGATTGATGGAGGACCCAAGGAAGTTGTACTGGATGCGAAGTCGGAGAAGGAGCGAGTCCAGGGCCTGAAGACGTGGTTCGGCATCGAACTCACCCCGGACGAGCAGAGGGGCATTTCTGGCACCGCGGCCGAGATCCAGAAGCCATTCAGCGTGTAGATTAGACACATGGGTATCAGTTGACTGCGATGGGTTCGCTTTGTTTCTACCCACTTTCCAGTACATTTGGACATGGAACAGAGGGTATCAAGAACTGCGCTCTCCCGTGCCTCCTCATACATACACACATAGACCTTGTAAGCTTGCCGGCCAGCTGTCTTCTGCCTCGATAGGGAGTGAAGGGTGAGCATTGATCAAACTCGAAAATCAAGTGATATCCCACCAACTACTCCACCAACTCCGGCTTCTCCTTCTTCTTCATCTGGGCATTGGAAGTATTCGCCCTATCGCCATCCTCCGCGCTGTCCTCGCTGGTCATTCTCCTCCTGCGTCTGCGCCGACTCCTCCGCTTCTCCCCCATCCTCCTCCCCCTCCTCCTTCTTCCGCCTTCCTCATCGCCGTCCTCCGGCCCACTCCCACTCCCACTCCCGCCCCCATCACCCCCTTCCTCCCAACCCAGCATCTTCTCCCTCCTCCACGCCTCCCTCCTCTCCTCCTCGGCCTTGAGTTTCCCCTTCCACCTCCAAAAGAAGTAAATCCCCAACACGACCCCCGTGAGCCCCAGACTGACGACCCAGAAGATCCAGATGTAACTACTCACCCGGGGCGGGGAGGTGGTCAGGTCGAAGAAGTTCATCGACACGATCGCGGCCACGAAGGTCGCGGGTAAGAAGATCATTTGGAGGAAGGACATGGTTTTGTTGGAGTCGGCGTCTTCGCGGTTCGAGTCGTTGTCGCGGAGGGAGATTTTGCCTTTGATCTAAATTTTTTCCTCAACAAGGCCATGGGACATGTATGTGATTAGCCCAAAAATAAATAGATAAATTGGATATATACTAGAGAGGATCTATTAGGGTTGGCGGGCGTCGGCGTGTTTGAAGCACGTAGACCATAGCATATGGGGAGACATCCGGAAGCAAAAAGTAAGGAGAAATGAACCAATGGATCAGACTGGTGGGAAAGGTCGGTCCCCCAAGGGCCAGTGGGAAGGGAAAGGAGAACAACAAGAAAAGGGGGAAAGAAGCTTACAAAATCCAGGGCATCGCTCGTCCTCGACTGCAAGTACTGGCACGTCGACAGGTTATTGTCGATCAAGTGCGAAATGTTCATCAGCTTCTCCTCCATGTGCGGGTTCGTCTGGTGCACATATAACCTGTACGACGTGACCGTGCCATCATCCCTTCCCGCGCGATTGTCCCACTCCCTCAAAAAGATCTTTTGTTCGAGAAAATCCATGGTCTCGAGCAAAAACTTGGCGAGAGATTGCAAAAACTCCAGGGATCGGCGCAGGTACTGCAGCTGCGTGGTGATGGTGTCAAACTGCTCGAGCGAGCCGATCTGGGCGTCGCGCGACAAGAACTCAAAGTGCCCGACCTCGACGCACAACCGGTTGACCTCCCAGGCCGCATGGTCAAAGAAGATGTTCAACAAAATCACGGGCACGTGCAAGGGATGCACGTACCACTGCTGAGAAGCCCGCAGGAGCCTGCGTGAGACGTCCCCGACCGCCCAGTCTGTGAGACCGTCGAGCAGGCAGCGGGTCTTGCCGTCGCGTAGCGAATGCGACATGGCAAAGGACCACAGGAAAGGGTCGTCGCGGCGCGGGTTGTACGTCGACTTGAGCGATCGCCGGGAAGCGGTGCGCCCGCCCTTGGTGTCGGTCAGGTACTTTGTTCGTCGGGCCGGGCGGAGGACGAAGGGGAAATGGATCACCAGTCCTGGAGACGGTTCAGTTCGGCCATCTTTGTGTGCGGAACGAGTCTCATATTCCTCAGCTTCGAGTATGGTACATACCCATTCGCACCGCTCTGGGCGGCTCGACTTCAAAACTCCAGACCGTCTTGCGCTGGAAATTGCCCACTTCGCGCGCGTTCAGCCTCATCCAGGTGTATTCGCGATTGAGATCCCACTGATGGACCAGTTCCTGCACGTCCTCGGCCAGAAACGGGAGATAGTTGATCTGTCGATCCCCTGGTGGGTTCATGTCGTCGTGCTTGGCCGTCTGGTTGGCCCCCAGCGCCGGCCGCGTGCACAAGAGTCGAAGAGCCAGACGGCTCCCGCGTGGTGGTATCGCGGGGTGATACGCCTCAAACAGGTCCGGGGGAAGTCTCCGCGACGCCGGGTAACTTCGATCCACAATCTGCGCGCCCCGGCCGGCCGTTTCCCATATGTCGATGGTCTTGGCTTCGAAGAGCGAGGATCGGTCCGTCTTGTTGGGGTCCTTGTAGGCCGTGTTCTCGTCGTCGATGGTCGCGAGGAGAGACACGCGGATGGGATCCACCACGAACTCCTCCACGCCGTCATGGACGGGCTCCGTCGACTCACTCATCCTCTCTCTCAATGTCTAGCTGCTATGATTAGAGCTGGGGGACAACGACCAGAATGCCGCAGTTAACAGAAACTCTCATCCGCGAGAGGGCGTGTTGTCGGTGCGCGATCCATCAGCGGCAGGCCATCACTGCAGGGAACGTCCATCGCGATCACAGAGGTGACAACCAGATCGTCCATTTTTAAGACTCCTCGCAGCTGAGTCGCACAGCTGGGCGACGGTGTCGCGCAAAGTCAAACTCGCCCCTGTCAAGGCCGGTCTCAGCTGGGCCCAAAGCTGGTCTCGACGCAAGCCACAAAGGAGACCCTTGCGCGGGGCCACCAACAGATTTCCACCGTCGATATTTACCTAGCCAAGATAAAAGTTCCGCCCTAGAACAGTGGTACGGTGGGCTACGAAACGCTAAAGGCGTAGGGATCATTGGGGTGTGCCCCCATACCTACCTACCTACCTCGCTACCTAGGTAAGGTAGCTAGGTACAGGTACGGAAGAGGCCTCTTAATATATGTGAATGCCAAGGCTCTAACCTATTTTGGGGGATGCTCTAGGATTAATACAACAATAGTGGCCTGCAGGATTGGTCAACAGATAAAAGTCGTGCCGATCACACACGTCGGCCTCAAATGGAAGGCGTTTTCAGAGGATCGAATTCATTTTTATCCATACATTGAGCCTATGCCCACGCGCCTTATGGTGTCGCTTAGGGAGAATACGTGGTGATAGTAAATGCGTGACTGGGCTGCCGAAAGAGCTAAGATAACCAAAGGGAAAATAAGGCGATACTACCAACTGGGTGCTTTGTCCGTCAAGCCCCAGTGGAATGATAGATGGAGGTGACCTCAGAGGAATTGAGATAATTTCGTCTGGAAGAATGCGCCGTATCCAAGAGGCTGCTCAAAGAATAATATCAGGTATGGGGTTTGGTGGGATGGATAAGTCACTTGTATCATCGTGCTTTGATTGATGAGTCTTTAAAAAGCCATAGTTCCGAGTGGTATGTTCCCAACTAGTCAAGTAGCCGCCATGTCTCAACACTTCATTGACCTCTCTCTGTGCGCGCGTAGTTGATCGTTTGGGCGGCGCAACCCCGAGGATCAAGATCTGAAGAATCACCCTGACTTGATCGGAGCCTGTACGCAAATGTCTTCCTTTGCAGGCTTCGATGGCAGCACGATTCCCGTCCGTGACTTTGCGAAGTTTTGATGGCATTGGGATGGCATTCAAGGCTGAGAACCACCCTCAGGGCTTTGCGTGGAGCCTTGTCTTCTAGCCCGACTAGGAATGTCCATTTCCAAACATTGGTGATTGAGAATTATGTGCCTATGTGAACTGACCAAATTATTCGATATCCAACTGCTAAACGCTAATTTCAGGGTCGGTCCAAAATCTCTTATCTCTTCACTCTGTCGAGGAGTGCTCATTCGGAGGAAGATGAAATTTCCAGGTGTCATATGGTGCGCATTGAGTATATCCAGTAGGTGCTCGGACACCGCGGATGGAACCGCCTCCATCGGCTCTCTGAAGGGTTTTGTGCCTGCAGTGGATGACATGGTCATAAGAAATCAACTCGGTGATGAGCGGCTGTTGATTCCTCATCGATCGGACCAGCTTCTCCCAAGCATAGATGCAGTGGGTCACATGGTAGTCTTGAGCGACATAGACCGCATCGTGTTCGCCCTTTCTCATTTCCTCCAGTGTATAGATACGGCTCGCAGACGGGTCAGCGTACCAGGTCCAGTTGCCAACCTCGAGGAAGCGGTTTGAAAGGCTTTCGTCGAAACACGCTGCCGGTGTCCAGAGTTGCATCATCACGTCAAAGATGCAGCCTCGTTCTCTTGCTTCGTCGGGGGTATATCCGCAGTTCTGGATTTCTTCTTGTGGCGGGGTCGAGTCATCGGAACCCTCGGTGGATTTTATCGAGTCATCATCAACGAGGGGGGTTGGTGTTGCAGCAACCGAGGTGCTGGCCAGGGTGGTGCTGGCAACAACTGCGGCCGCGCTGGTGGTTGAGGCCGAGAGGGCATCAGATGTGGAGGTAGGGTTGTGGGAGACAAATACAGAAGATATCAGGGAAAAGATGGCGACGATGATGGCAATGAAAAGTGTGCCGGTCGCGACGGAGAGACAGAAGGATTGCTTGCCCCAGCCTGCTCTTGATTGACTCTTTTCGGAGAGTGGGAAGGATTCGTCGTTGGTGGAAACAGAGCGGTAGTGGTTGTTGAGGCCCATTGTTGCGACGTAGGCCAGTTGCCGGAATTCCTGCAGGTACAGGGTTGTTCTGATCGGCGCCGGCGGGTTTGCGAGAAATCGGGGCAACGGTCAACTAGGAGGGATGAAAAAGAGAACAAAAGGAGATAGGAAAGAAAACGAATGTGAATGTCGCAGATGCAACGTGATACAGAAGAAGATTGTCAGTGACAAATTAACCAGCTGGGCCAGCGGAAGAGGATGTATTATCGAAGGGACACAGGGTTGGGGGAGGGGAGGGCAGTGTTTTCATAGCATCTCGCGTCGAGGGAGCCACGAGCTGAGGGTTTCAACGGCGCTCATCTCGATCCCAGTCCGGAGCATTGCATCAGGGCTATCAGAGAATCAGGAAATCAGGGGCAACAGCGCCGAGCCACCAGCGCCCAAAGTTTAACTGCGTGTAATAACAAGCAACAAAATCCAGGCGATGGCGTGAGGCACAAGAGGGTGGCAACCTCCCTAAGCCCCCCTCCCCCCCCCCAAGCCTCTAAGGCCCCAAGCCCAAGGGGGAAGTGACCCTGGTGGCCGCCCCGAAGCCGCCATTGGCAATGGTGCAATAGCACGCAACAGCCCACAAAGGCCTGGCTAATAATGGGCACCAATCCGCCACATTCGCTTGATCTCTTTCATTATTTCATGCCTACGGAGATAGTCATGAGATGGAAATTGCTGTATCGATTAATATTCCCACTTTCCCCTGCTCTGGCTTTCATCCACTCTCACCTGACTGTTGTCTCTGATTGTGCTGTGCAAGACACTCGAATGGGGGGGCATTATAACATCATCCTACCTGTCAGCAGCGAATGCTGATGCTCTTCTCACACACAGAGCAAAAAATCAACTCAGCCTCAAACCTGACCTATCATGGGTGAGGTCACATAGATGGCCCAACTTGCTCGCTAACCGAGCCTCCCGTGGCCGGTCTGTCACGAACTGGCTGTGCTTCATATCCTGCTCATACAAGAGCCCAAGGACTCCGTATCCATATCCCTTTCTTCTACCCTGTTGCCATGTTATCCCAGAAGAATGGGATGGAGCCAATCTTCATCTAACCATCATCCACCTTCCCCATAATCGTCATATCTGATCCAGGCATCCAACCTTTCTTCTCTGTTCCCGCTGTACCTCGTACTTTTGCTTATCACTAGGCTGCACAATTACTCCCCGACTCACCTCGGCCAATGGACTTGATTCCGGTATATTCCAGCCACAACTTGCCAAGCCACAGACAGCTTCTATTCCTCTTTCGCAAAGTCCAATCCGCAGGCAGAAACCAAAAAGGCCAATCGTATTCGTAGCATCAACCAATCATGCCATCATTCCAATGCGTCCATCACTTGACGGTTGAGGCGTCAATGCCCTGTTCGTGGTCATCGCGAAGCATATATATGTCGAGATTCCTGCCGTGGATGTGCTCTCGAACAATGCTAACTGCAGGGTATTTATAAAGCTCACTCTCAGTATTGCTCGCGACCTCTTGCGCTTGCGACCACGACGATTCATTCTCCAAGCCGACGACAAATACAAATTCTTCTGTATCTTCCTCCCACTGACGACGTCTCTCCTAGAATGGGGAAACTCAGAGCTGCCACATCTCCCCCTAATAGAGGTGCATCGAGCACATTCCCGCGAATGGAACCTCCACCTCCCTATGAAGAGTCCTCTCGTTCCACCTCGGCCCATAGTAACGACCGATTGCAAGGAGGGGAACCTCCTCAGCCACAGACTGAAGCCCAGCCAGCGGAAGCCCAGCCAGCTGCGTCACTGCCGCAGCCAGGCCAGCAGCACGCTGCGCCCGCGTTGAATGAGCCAAGTCAAAAGAGACAGGTCGAGGAGGGCTGTTGCACATTTGGAAATGGCGCGTCAGGGTGTATGGTGGTTGGCGACCATGCGGAAGGGTGCTTAAATTATGGCAATTACGCCCAAGGATGCTTGAATTATGGCGATAACACGGATGGATGGTATGGAGCCCGATGATTCTACGTTTTTCGCTTTCTGTGGACGTATCGCCGGGTGTTTGCGCAAAAGGGTGCGTGTCTAGATTGGACCCGACGCTGACATTTCTTTCTCTTAGCATGAACTACAAATCAAGAGATGGATGCTTGCTTTGGAATGCCACCGGCGGCGGGTAAGCGACGGTCCCTCGCAAAATGTCTTTTTCGGCTGTCTTCACTCGTCACCTACTAACCATCAGATACTAGATGCCTGAATTTTAATACGAACAAACAAGGATGTTGTCAGTTCGGCTGACACCATAGGCTGTTACCAAACGAGCTTTTACGAGACTTTGGAGGCGACGTCATCTGTCATGGACCGGTGCTTGCGAGATATTCGTGGCATTGGAATAGCAAGGTGTTGTGGAGTTCTATCAGGTTCAGATGTGATACCACCCTGAGGTATGCAGTGTGAATATTCGTTCTGTATCAGCTGGAGACCGCTCTTCCACGGGATTTGTCGTCCTTGCACAAAGTCGAACTATATGTTGTTCTGTCTTCTCGTCTCCAGGCGAGCCAAATATACAGGGAGCACGATGTCCCAATGGCCAATACGAATCCACGTGGAAGTCTCGTCCCCAGCCAAGGGCATATGAAGCCGTCGCGCTCCACGCTTACGAGGATGTATCAGACCGTGTCAGTCTGTGAGGTTTACAGTCATTGCTTTTGACAGACCTTTTGAAAATCACGACGGCCGACTATTCGATTCTACGAGGTACTGCAAGGGCGACTTGTACTCGGAATAGACAGCCTTGGAAGTCATGCGTCTACTCCACACACAAAATCACTACCTCGTGCAGTTCGAAGACTTTCCCGACAATGATGTTGCCCTGATATACCGTCTTATCACATCGACGAGACGAGAGAGGTTGAACCCAGTAAGGACAAGACTGGAGTTCGTTCATGGTCGGGTGGCCCGAATTTCGTCGTGTCCATACCTATGCAGTGAGACGCAAAAATTCCATGCAGGCGGTTGGGTCGTATTCCTCATTCTTACTGCGCCCTTTGCCTGACGAGATTAGATGCCAAATGAATCAAGCCTTGTATTTTTGCCGAAACCAGTGCACTCGCCTGCATGCCATGTCACCACGAGCATTCGGTACCTCTGTATGGAATGTGCGTGGACTACTTAAACACCTAACGGGGTACTAGGTACAGTACGCATGCATGCATGCATGCATGAATGCAGACTTTCATCCTTCCCGCCCAACCCAGCACCCTGAACCACGACTGAGTCAGTAGATATCAATGCCCAATCCAGCACTGGCAATCAGCCATCCACACATACACTGTGTACCCGGTCCCCAATCCGCAACGCATGCAGAGTCGGATCGGCTAAACCACCTCGTTAAGTCACCAACCTACTGCTGTACCTTATCTACTACTGTACAAAGCTACATACGCGCACTATGATGTGGTACCACACACTCTCCGCCCCGTCAGCACTGGCCGACACGCGTGACCCGCACCGACTACCCAGCCAGGCAAAAAAACAGGTCGTACCGACAACGTAAAGTGGGAGATGGATTTCCTGGGGCATACATACCAGCCACGACCCAGGGGGCCTAAAAACCGGCCTTTGCTTGTCCACCACCTAGGCCGGGGTAAGCAGGTACCAAAAAGACTAATAACTTCAATTCTACCTCGGACGCCGCGCGGAGAGAGAGACCAAAAGGGACAGATAGACAGGGGTTGTGATATTCAGTACAGGTTGATTCGAGCGCGGGAGGTGTGTGTATTCGGTAGTTTACTCGGTATCTATCGATTCAAGACGATACGTTAATTCATAAAGGGTTCGATTGTTTACGAGATACATCAGCTCGCTCGTCGCCCAGGGTGGATTATAAAGATACTCGGTCCCTCGTCCCCACTATCTTGAACTCCATCAACACCGGTGTATACTCGTCGGCAACATCCTGAAACTAGGAGGTACGGTGAAATGGCCTCGTCTTCATACGACTATGTAATCGTCGGAGGCGGCGTGGCCGGACTCGTCCTGGCGTCGAGGCTCTCCAAACTACTGCCCCCAACAGATAACAAACGAATACTCGTGCTCGAAGCGGGCACGGACCCTTCCACCACGGATCACATCCTAACAAGCCAAGGCTTGCATATAGCCCGCGAATCGCCTCATTCCTATCAGCTCTCCATCTCGCCCAACCGCCACCTCAACGGACGAGGCGCGACTGTGCCGGTCGGCAAAGCGCTGGGTGGAAGTGCGGCGATCAATGGAGGTGCCTGGACGAGGGGACCGAAGAGCGACTATGACCTGTGGGCCAAGATAGTCGGCGACGACAGCTGGGGGTATGATGCGCTACTGCCATATATGAGAAGGGTGGAGAGCATGGTTGTGCTAGAGGGCGTGGTGGAGAAGGATGAAACCCAGCATGGATACGATGGACCCTTGAAGCTCACTCCGATACGATCGCTGTGGCCGGCAAGAAAGTATCCACTCAGGGAGTCCGTCCAAAAGATGTGGGAGGAAGCCGGGGTCAAGTACATCCCTGACGGCAACGCGGGGGATCAGAATGGACTGGTCGAATTTGTCGAGGTCTGGGTCAACAGCGCCAGACAGCTGCCGAGCAAGATACTCGATCTGACGAAGGTGGATGTTCGAACCATGAGTACGGTGCAGCGAGTCACTTTTGGGAGTGTCCAAGGACAAGACCAACCCGTTGCCAATGGCGTTGACCTGGTCGGCGGCGAGCATGTCGTCGCGAACAAGGAGGTCGTTGTCTGCGCCGGCGCGTATCATACCCCTCAAATCCTCATGCTCTCCGGTGTCGGTGACCCTGCTGAGTTGGCAAAGCACGGCATAAAGACCATTGCCTCGAATCGCGAGGTGGGAAGAAACCTCGCAGATCACTTGGGCATGGGAATTACCTGGAAATTGAAACACCCTGAAAAGGGTTTGTCCATCGGATCGCCTCTATTCGTCGATCCTTCATATTTTTCCGGCTGGCCAATGGATTTTATCGAGTTCGGAGCCTTGGATGAACTGGCAAGACTGGAACCTTTGATCAAGACCCAGGAAGACCGAGATTTGCTGCTTAGACCAGATGCTTCGCACATGGAAATTGCCACGCTGTACGCGGCCATGGGGAAGAGATTCACGGGCCTTGACGCACCACTCGATGGGAGCTATATTAGCACCGTGGTTGCATATCTGACGTCCACATCCAGAGGTTCCATCACTCTGCGGTCAGCGAGCGTCGAGGATCCGCCTGTGATTGACACGAATTTATTCGACACGGATGCGGACAGATTTGGCACACGAGAGTCGCTTCGAAAGGCTGCATCAGTCCATCTCGAAACCGAGGCTGGGAGATCCTTCATATCTCATGAAGTTGCCCCAGAGGGCTACGCGTGTATCACCAAGGCCACCACGGACGAGGAGATAGACAAGCGAATCGCCGAGTTTGGATACAGTTTTGATCATCCAATGGGTAGCTGTGCGATGGGAAAAGCAGTCGATAGCCACTGTCGCGTGATAGGTGTTAGAGGCCTGAGGGTTGTCGATGCGAGTGTCTTCCCGGTCCCGATGGCGTGTCATCCTCAGTCTGTGGTTTATGCGACAGCTGAGAGGGTCGCGGATTGGATTGGTAACGGGGATTAGCGGATCTTCTTGAACGATGTTGGGGAGAAAGCTGTGCTTGATAACCAGGGTGTCGATTCCACAAGCGCTCACCCCACTAGCTTCAAAGCAGCCCAGAAAGATATATTGAGAGTAATTCACACAGCTCTGATCGTTGACGAATCTGATATTGGTCTCCGGGAGGCAACATCTGAGGCAGGACGGGGGGTCGTCGTCGTTCCTGGAGGTGGTGCGTGTGCCGCCGGCGGTGGAGCTGGGGTTTGTGTCGGGGGGTTCGTTGACGTTCGCGGCGTAGGATTCTTATTGTCGGGGGTCGATCCTCTGACCCACAGATCTGGATAATTGATTTCGGAATCGGTTCGCGCTTGGTTGTAAGCCTGTCTGATTTGTTCCATGACCGTATACACATCGTCGTGGCATTCGGGATTCCGGAAGTTCGCCTCTGCATCATCGAATTGGTCCACGACCTTTGCGAGATCGTTGCGGAATTGTCGGGCGCGGTTCGGCTGGTTGCGACTCTTGAAATAGGTGATGAGACCCGCAATCACGGTGTTGGTGGCGCCGAGGAAGATGGTAGCAGTCCGAGCCCTTCTGTCGTTGAAGGCGCCCAGCACGGTAAGAGAAGCCGCAATGAGGATCTGGAGAAAAAGAAGCGAGTTCGAGGTCACCGCCACGAACCAATACTGGAAGGTGTGCCAACGGTAAGCGTCGGTCACGCGTTTTCGCAAGGACCTATATGCTTGGCCATCTGGGAGAAATCGGTCAGTAAGGCTTCAACGGAGTAGGGAAATCTGTATTCGTGGGTTTACCTGTGCCCGCAAGCTCCCCAAAGAATGTAGGCACGATCGGGTGCTGAGGAGGTTGAGGAGGCCGAACTGGCTGATTGCTCGGTGGTTGTGTCACTACGCTGTGATCTCCAGGAGGTGTGTGAGGCGTGGTTGGTGACGGTACATGGCTTGATTCTCCTTTCTCATCTATTGTCGTAGGAATCCTTGGGTCCATCGTCGACGGCAAAGCTCCTGTTGCCGATACTGCTCGAGGGCGAATGCGCAAGAAGTACTGTGAGTTGGGTGAGAGACCCAGACACTTCCAAGCAAGACTGCGTCGCCATTTTGATCAAGTCAAGGAGTGGCAGGTAATGGCCAAATTGGATGTGAAGCGTCAGGGCCAAAGCAATGGCTAAAGCGATGGCTGTGAGATGTTTCTGATTTGGATAGCACCAATAGCCTCAAGACAAGGACGAGTAGGCTAGTTCCTCCAGACGTAGAGGCCCAATCAAGAGATGATCTAGAGATGACCAGCCTTCTGTGGTGTTCTCGTTTGTGACGAGTGTTGATAAATTATCGAAATAGGGAAGGCTGGAAAGGAACCAGCACCGTTAGGCGGCCCTCAGTAGCACCACAACATCCATAGGGCCAACCCCAGGCGCCTACTAACGGGTCGACTGGAGGTTGGCCCCTTCCAAAACGGTCTTGGGGGCACCGGCTTTTGACTGTCTTCTTAGGCAGCAGCGCCAATGCATGTCTGAAGGACCCCATTCGTCAACGCCTCGGGCGCTACCTCCGTTAACCTGTTAGGCAGAAAAACACCCGTGTTTGCTCTCTTAAGTCTGTCACGGGCAACCTACAATCTTCCTCGACCGCGTGCAAATACTACCTGAACACCAATCTTCCCGGTCGCTGGTCTGGGGCTCTTGACTGTACTCGGTAGAATGAACTATACCGAGAGCTCGAACCAGAGTCTGAAGCCAAAATCATCCTGCATCAAGATGGACGAGTGACAGCACTGTGAACACATAGTGAGGTGGGTGAAGGAGCACGCCTGGCGCGCCTGAATTCGCAGGAACTGTTATTGCATTGACTTTATATATACCTAGGTATCCTGTACACCTTGAAAATTGATCACTCCTCCTCTCCCATGCCTTTTTCCCCAGACAGGATCATTCACAATGAGCACCAAAACCGAGTCGGAAAACATCGCCCTCGTGCGCCGCATGGTCACCGAAGTTCAGCAGAACGGCAACTTCGACCTCATTGACGAATCCATCCATCCGGACTGGGTCGACCACACCACCCATATCCCCGGGGCTTCTGTAACTACTCGCGAAGCCGTAAGGACCTCCATCCGTGGACTTCACAAAGCCCTGTCAGACATCAAAGTGGACATCATGCACTGTGTTTGCACCGGCGACGTCGTGGCCACCAACAAGGTCATCCGTGGAAGGCAGGTTGGCGAGTTGTTCGGCCAGCCTGCGTCGAATCAGGTGGTTGAGTTTCGAGTCATGGATTTTATGCGCGTGCACGACGGGAAGCTGATTGAGCATTGGGCTTGTATTGGTCAGATCTCGCAGGTATCACATGGAGATTGAGTCTTCGACTGTGCAAAATCGAAAAGGCAACGACGTCTTGAAAATTGACAGGATGCTACTGTGTTGTTGGCCATTCATTTCATGGCTTTACCGACGTTTTCAGATGCATGAAACCATCGGCAGATGTGAAAGGATAAAAGGAACGACTAGTCATGAAGGAGTCAGAATTGTAGGATGAATGATTATTATTCCGCCATATGATTTCCAGGGTTTGTAGAGTCCATCGACTCTACGGCCGCTTTTCCCTCCATGATATCCATAGTCCATGCAATTGGCCGTTGACCCTGATCCGGATCGGATATACTTGTAGCATGCCTCTGACGTCTAGAAAGGCCACTGAGCCTGCTCAGCAAATTTCTTCCAGGTAGTCTTCTGTGAGCCCGGCACCAAGAATTTGTCGCTCTCTGCCTGGGTCTTCTCGGTTCCTCTGCCGTAGTAACTCCAATCTCGGATCAGCATCATATTTTGTGCTAGCTCCTCTGCGATCTTGTTTCCCATTTTCGCAACAGCCTCGACGGTAGCAGGCTGTTCAACGAATTTGATCTCTTTGCCCTTGAGCTCCGAGAGCGTGTCGACAATTTCCTGAGGGTGCATCCACTCCCCGACACCATGAACGAAGACCCCATTCGCGGCCGATCCAGCTTCGAGGAGGCCCACCGTGAACAAGCCGGTGTCATTCTGAATGTCGATCAAAGGCACCCAGGTATTCTGAGGATTCCATGGGAGACTAAGTGTGAGCACGCTGGTCTTTTCGTTTGGTTTGATTTGGGTTTTGAGGTTGGACATGAAGTATCCCGGCATGTAGTACGAAACCATCATGTCGCCTTTGACCTGCTCGGCATACTCTGCCACTTCAGCCTTTGATTCAAAATGCTCGACCTTGGTGAGTTCGCCGTGGGTCAACTTGGTCACATGTGGCAAGGTTGACCAAACCAAGTGCTTGACACCCGCGGCCTTGCAGGCATCGACCACGTTCTTGCCTTGTTGGATCTCGGTATCTTTGTTCTGCGTCTCCCAATAGTTTGTGACAGCAAAGACGCCGTATGAACCGGCGACGGCAGCTTTCACACTTTCGATATCGTTGATGTCGGCTTTGGCTAGTTCAGCGCCTTTCGAGGCAAGAGCTTGTGCTGCGGGTTTGGAAGTGTCGCGAGTAATAGCACGAACTTTGTACTTGGAAGCCAGGCTAGGGTTGTTGAAGATGGCGGAGGCTGTGCTGCCCCCTTGATTGCCCGTGGCTCCAAAGACAGTGACGATTTTTTGGGCCATCTTGAAGGTATTTCTGAAAGCCACTTTCGGGATATGCAGGCTGTAATATGTGACGTTTGGTTCCTGTAACACAAATATACTTTCGAGGGGACGTGGAGTGTTTGGATGGCTGAGATCTTCTGGGCAAAGAGTCTGCCTTATTCAAGTGAACACGCTCTTATATAGGCAAATCCCTTGGGGAGACTACCATGCAAAAGCTTCCAAGGTTCGTCCTTTCGACGATCCGGAGCACTTTGTTACATTAGGTAACTATGTCTTTGCCATTTTCGGGCGTCAAGAGGGGTGTGAGGAGGAGCAAGGGTTAGTCATGTCCTCGCGCTTCGGCCTTTGCTGGCGATCAGCAAAGAGGAGGAGCTGGACGGGTCGATCTGGTCGGTAGCCGAGTCTGTGAGCAAACCGATTCGCCCGCCACACGGGAATCGCAAGAATTGCATGTGGTGCATAATGCCCACGGGCTCCCACCCTTAGGTGCTCTGGTCCTCTGGAGCTCGACAGAGCAGGGATGTCAGCAAGGAAGATGATCAGCTTGTGGCAGAGCTGACCAATTCCTTAGACGTGTTGGCCATGTCGGCCTCTGGCTAAACCGAAGCACACTGCATCTGGCTGGGCTTTTGTAATCTTGGCCGATGACGTAAGTGCTCTTTTGCCCTTTTGCCCTTGTCTGTCTTCCAACTTCACTTTTCACTTGTTCATGCCATCGCCTCGTTGTCTTGCATTCAAACACTCGATCGGTTACACCCCACGCCGATTCCGAACCCTGCTGATCAATCTGAATGCCAACGCAAGCCTGCGAATTGATCTCGAGCGGTTGGGGATATTCTTGATAGGGATCTTTCGTCGAACACGCGCTGGAAACAAACTGGATGTAAAAAGCATGACCAAGTCTTGAACGAAGAACATGCAGCACAAGACTCTCTCAAAATTCCTTAAGTCTTCCTTGGTGCGACTTGACTGTGAAGCGCGCACCGAATACCGACCGCATAATGACTTGGTGCTTGAAAACGAGGGCCTCGAATGGTATTTCTGGTCTGCGTCTGAATGGCGACAGGTCTTCTTCTATCTGTTTTCATACCGTCACCTTTGTTGGATTCCACCTGTCAATAGATCAACTCTATACATATTATTTGACACAGTTCTGATATTTCCCCTCTGATCGAATGATGACTGCCTGGAGGGGAGCAGGTTGGGTTGTTCTGATATGCGGAGAAATCTCGAGGGTGCCCGCTGCCGTAGCAACAACCAAATTTTCCCAATCGGGCAACCTACAACAACGCCAAGAGATGAGCGGCAACTTGAAGGTCAAAGTCGCTCTGAATTAGCAGCGCTGCTTGATAGACTTCACTGACCCTAAAGCTGACCTGAAAAAGTAAACTTCAGCAGCCGCACCTCCGGCCCTTCCTCTTCATCATGGACAACTCGACCAAGATGGCACCACAAACCTCACTGTTCCAGGTGTATTTGCGCCTTCGCCCGCCATTCCAATTCCCACAGTCAAAGCAAAAGCCTGAACCGTGGCTAATCGTGGAACCGCCGAATTCGCCAGCCGAACGCGACGAGAACCCGGGCAATCCCTTCTCGAGCCACATCACGCTACAGCCTCCCAACGACTCGAGAAAGCGCGCCATCGAACGATTCGGGTTTACAAAGATATTCCAAGAAGAGGCGACACAATTGGACATATTCGACGAGACAGGCGTGGCAGACACAATCAAGAGCGTGCTGCAGACTGGAAGAGATGGTCTTGTTGCTACACTGGGAGTTACGGGTAGTGGGAAGGTGAGGGAGTCTCGTCTCGAGGTTACCTCTATTGCTTGCTGACCGGGAGATAGAGTCACACAATCCTTGGATCCAAGTCTCAGCGAGGACTCACACAGATGACTCTCGACGTCCTCTTTAAATCAATTGGCGAGCATATACGTCGACCACACCACCCGGATCTCCCCACAGACACCAGTCTCCTCTCTTCTCTTCAAGGGTCTGATCCCACAGAAGCCCAAATCTGGTCGGCAACCACTTTCCTCGAGTCAATCTACAGCGATGGCGACCGAGCCAGATTATCACGAGCCCAGACACCCATGTCACGAGCTCAAACTCCCATGATGGTAGGCATTGACAGGAATGGGCTTCCCAGCTCATTTCCCGTACCTCCCCGAACCAGCACAAATACTAGCACTGTGGAGAACCCGTGCCCGTTGGCATTGATACCAGATCACTTCACAGGTGGTGCTCTGTCAACCGTGCCGATGCTGTCGAGTACCTCTAGCACGGTTCCGTTCCCCGAGAAGGAACCCTGGCGGCCGCCGTCCAAACTTCCGTTTTTAAATCGTTTGAAAAGCTTGAAGAAGTCCCCTGCTAAATCTATGGTTGTTAAGGAATCTCTTGGCCACCCCGTCCGAAGGCCTCCTCTACCTCGACCATCCACATTCCCACAGAGTCCTGATACAGGAGCATTTACTGTGGACATCGAACAGCAAGCCGAGTATGTTGTCCTTGTATCGATGTACGAAGTATACAACGATCGCATCTTTGACCTGCTGTCGAATCCCACTTCGCCGAATGCGCCACCCACGTCAACACGGCAAGGAGCAGCCTTGCAGAAGGGCTTACTCCGACGTCCACTACTGTTTAAGAATACCGAAATGTCTCCTGACATGAAAGTTGTTGCTGGTCTCCGGAAAGTTGTGTGCGGAAGTTATGATGAAGCAATGATGGTCCTTGAAACGGGCCTCACCGAGAGAAGAGTCGCAGGAACTGGAAGTAACAGTGTCAGTTCCAGGAGTCATGGCTTCTTTTGCATCGAGGTGAAGAAGCGATCGAGGCCAAACTACAATGGCGGGTATTTGATGGCCTGTCAATCTCCCTGGGCTGGTGGCACCATGACCATCTGTGATCTGGCCGGCTCCGAACGTGCTCGCAATGCCAAAACCACCGGATCGACGCTGGCCGAAGCAGGGAAGATCAACGAAAGCTTAATGTATCTTGGGCAGTGTCTGCAAGTCATTAACGACTGCCAACAGGAAGGAAGCAAGCCCATCGTTCCCTTTCGGCAGTGCAAGCTCACCGAGCTTCTATTCTCCAACTCCTTCCCATCGTCAAACCATGCTGCCACGTGCAGACCACCGCAAAAAGGCGTGATGATTGTCACAGCCGATCCTCTGGGAGACTTTAACGCCACAAGTCAGATTCTGAGATACGCGGCCATGGCTCGAGAGGTGACCGTTCCCAGGGTGCCTAGTGTGACGAGCACGATCTTGGGCGCAACCCAAAGCAAGGTACTACAAACGGGCCGGTGTACTCCACACGATGGTGCCAATTCATATTTTATCACGAAAGAACTGGAACAGGCGACCCATGAAGCGACGAGACTGGCTGAGGAATGCAATTTCCTGGCTGTCAAACTCGCGGAAGAAGAAATCCAACGCACCGAGGCAGAACTGAAGCTGCAGGCAGCGGAAGAGAAGCTCGCCGTTATGGAGCAAGAAGTACGCGAGGAATGCTGGACAGAGATGGAGGAACGATTGGACGAAGAGAAAGAAAGGTGGAGAGCTGCATGGGAGCAAGAGAAGCTGAGAGGGGAGGCGTACGTGGACGGCAAGCTCGAAATTCTTGAGAAGACAGCCAAGATCACGATACACGAGGATGCTCCTGGTGACGGGAGGATCGAAGAGCTCGAGAGGGAAAATGAAAGCCTCAGAGCAAAATTGCGAGCTCTGCAACAAGAGATTCAAACAAAAAGCCCAACAAAGAAACCTCGAGGCACGACCGCATCCAAGTCCCCTATCAAGGGCTTGGTTTTGCAAGAATCGTCCAATGCCAACATTGCGACCAACCCTTTTCTGGCTTCACTGAGAGCGTCGACCAAAGATAGAGACAGCGAGGCAACACTCAAGCCCAGAAAGAGCGACGATGGGCTCGATATATGTGATGTTTCGCCACGGAAGCTGTCGTTGAGGAGCTCGAGTGTAACCAGGGTCTCGGTGCTGGAAGACTCACAGTCGCCTGCTCCTGTGGTGAAAAAGCAGCGCAAGTTGACGACGCGCAAGTGGGATCTTGGTGATCCGGATGAGATTTGAGTGAAGTTTTCGGCGCAGGATTTCACGTCCATAGGCGCTGTACAGGATAGATGACCACGGCATTGAGTTGTGCTTAATAGTGGAGAGTGATGCGATATTTGTTCACACTGTAACCCCAAGAGGGCATTCATTCTCTGTGTTAATATAGGAACTGGAATGAATACGCCACGTCAGAGAAAGGGACGTCAGAGGCATGCAATTATTAGAGAGAGACAAAACCCAAACAAGCAAATTGGGCTGATTTCGCCAATAGTGAAACTATTGGGAGGTGAAGCGAGAGTGAGATGAGGATGGCAGATGAAGAGGTGGCTCGATGAGATGGTCAGACACCAACCACCGGGATTATAATCACGGGGAGCGAGCCTTACGATGATGTAGCAGCCCGAGCTTGCGTGACTTCCGGGCGGCAGCGGGGCGCGGTGCCAGGCGTGCCAGGTTCATGGTGCCAAAGGCTAGTGGCCGCAAGGCTACCTAGCTGGGTACCGACCTAGGTACCTAGAGGTAGGTGGCTCGGTGGGTACCTAGGGACTAGTAAACCAAGGAGTGGATTACGCGTGGCTGGGATCTCAATCTTCCATCACGTTAGAAAAAGAGGGACACTGCACTGCACCGCACCATCACCACCACCAACCTCTGCCTTCTTCTCCCGTTCCTTCTTTCTGAACCAAGCAACCTTTCTGTGGCTTTCTCCTTGCTTTGGCTTCTCTTTTTCAAACAGTCACTCGTTCTGGTTCGAGACTCTCTTGCCAGCTATTTCTTCGAATTCCTGTCCTATTCACCGCACTTATTCCCGTGAGGGGCATCCATTGGTGCCCGCAACCAGCTGAATTTCCACTGCACAGCCTGCCTGCTTGAGACACCCCGTGCAGGTTGGGCAGCACGCACAAGCAAAGCAAGAGGAAGAAGAAAATATAACCAGAAGACAAGCCCACAAAATAAGAGGCAGGACAAGGTATTCTGCAGTTTCATTGCGAAGTCCTTGCAGTCCATCCTCGAATCTCCCTTAGGGGAGAGCCCAAGCTCTATCAATGGCGCCGACGTCCTACATCCGCAGCGTCAGTGCCTCGAGTGAACACTTACGAAGCGTGGTTTCCCGCTCTGTGTCCTCGACCTTCGACACGGTCTCGTCCAACCACCCGGTCACCAGTTCCAGAACTTCGATTGCATCCTTCTTCGCCCTCATCCTCAGAGAGGTGCTACACCTCTCGAGACGCACGCTCCTCACCTCAACGAGTCCCTCAAAACCCTCCCGCCGGGAACTCGTGCAGCCCGTCTTCCTCCAACCCTTAGGTCATCTCGAGAAACGACAGAACGCCGTCCTCGCCATTCCGACCACCTATGCCGGCCTGAACTCCGGACCCGCACCCGGCGCCCTGGTCGGCATTGTCCTAGGCTCCGTCGGAGGCTTCATCCTTATCCTATACATCATCCTCTCCCTATTCCGCTTGTCCGGTTTCGGAGGCGGCGGTGATGAAGTCGTGCAAGAAGAAATCATCCGGCATCACCGAAGGAGGCCGCCTCCAAGCAGTGCGAGCAGCAGAAGTATGAGTCACGTCAGCAGACCGGAAAGGGTGGTGCGGGAACAAGAAACGGTCATCGTGGAAGAACACTTTGGTCCGCCCACCGAAGAGGATATTGTAGAGGTCATTGAAGAACACTCACCAGAACGGACGCCGCCGAGGAAACCCAGCAATCGCAGAAGTGGCTTCAGAACGGTGGATCCAGCAGAGTTTGGAGGAGGGCCGAGGCCGATGAGGAAGGTCTCGAGACGATAATATGTGAGAATAAGAGAGAAATGTGCTGTTAATTGGAAAGACCTTGGTTTAATCTGCTGCTGCTGCTGTCTGATGTAATGAAGCGATGGAGTTGGTGGGTACATAGGTACATGCGAGATTCTGTCGTTCCCATCAGGAATATCTACATCTGGCGAACAATCACGGTCGAAAGATGGGACTGGATTTTGCTAGAGAACAGAATGTTTGAATTGTGAACAAAGATTCTGCAGCATGGGTAACTTTCTGTTCGAACCCGTCCAGGCTCCGTTCATGTCCTACTTCGCTGTGTATAACCTCGTGTTCTGCTATCCAAGGGGGTAACATTTACCGGCCATGAAGCGACGTACTCTTTCTGAAGCTACGCTTCAAAGCCCTGGTTTTTCATTGCGCGGTACTGCTCAATGAGGGTGACGACCTCAGTCCCACCGTTTCTTATGCTTGACGCGCAACAATGTCTCGGCGTTGCCGTGGGCGATCATTTCCAACTGCTCGGCGGTCACCAAGCCGCTCTGCTCCAGGTCCTGCATGAACTTGAGCCCGTCCTCGTTGCGGGCGAAGGGGTAGTCGACGCTGTAGAGCACATGGTCCAGCTTTGTATTGCGCAGGATGCAGGCCATGGGGTTGACGCTCCAGTCGCCGCTGGTGGTGATCCAGATGTTTTCGTCCCAGACGGTCTTGAAGTCCCTTGCGCGGGGACCCCAGCGCGGCGAGAGCTGCATGATGCGCTCGAGCATGAAGGGCAGCATCTCGCCCATGTGGCCGATGATGATTTTGAGTTTGGGCAGTTTGTCGAAGAGGCCGGATGCGAATAGGCGCAGGATGTGCACGGCCACGTCCGAGTGCCACCCGAACGCGGACGAGGAGAGGGATATGGATGCCGAATGGGGGATGTTTTCACCGGTGTACAGCAAGGACATCAGGTCCTGGGTCGGCCACGTCGGGTGCAGGTAGATGGGCACGTCGAGATCCTGCGCGGCTTGGAACATGGGCAGATACGCCGTCCCGTCAAAGTAGGTGCCGTCCGCGGTGTGGTTCTCGATCAGGGCGCCCACAAAGTCGAGCTCCTTGACGCAGCGGGTGAGTTCGACCGCACACTCTTGCGGTTGCGAGACGGGCAGGACCGCGAAGCCGGCGAAGCGGCCGTCTGGGTGGGTTTTTCGGACGGCCTCGGCGAGCTGGTCGTTGGCAGATCTGCATTGCGACGGCGACATGGTGCCCGGGGCGTGGGACACGATTTGCAGCGACACCTGGCCGGCGTCCATGGATTTCAACCGCAAATCGCCCACATCGGAGAGTTTGTCGATCAGTCCGGGAATGTGCTTGAGCTGTTCAGAGTAGGAATCCGCGGAGCCGGTGAGGATGGCTTCGGAGAAGAAATGCTCTTCCAGAGCGATCAGTGGAGGGACCATTGTTTGACCCTGCTGAGCGAAGCGAAACAATTACAATGCCGGCTGCTCTATACAGGAGCAAGTCACCAGAGTTGCGGATCTGATGTCGGACAATCACGCAGAGGATATTTCTTCAAACGGAGTGCATGCAAGCCCTATGAAGATCTCTAATAAGCTCTCGAAAGAGAGGGGTGAGCTCACCTTGTATTATATCTGTATTACATTATATGTGCCGGATCATGATCCATCAGGTCGGACTTGGACTGCGGCCGATGGAGTCAGACGCGGGGTCTGGAGAGAAGCGAAAGGTGCCAGGTGCCCAAACGAGTAGCTGGGCCTGGGTTTGCGTGTCTTTTCCCTTTTCAAGCTCCCCGGGGACTTTCTTAGCGTGAACCATGAATCGAAGGATCATAGATGTCGGGATCTGGGGGATGACAAGATGATAAAGTCAGAGAAAGTGCGGCGGAGGTCCGTCCCAGGAAGACATGGCCAGCCACCTGCCACCCAGTGCCACCCCCAGACATAATCAACCACAGCCGCAGCGCTGTGGCGGGCGGATGAATTGAATCCGAGTCCGACAGATCCAGATCCTGATCCAGTGAGTTGGTTCTCCAGCTCCATGCCACACGTCTCCTAGATCTCAGCTCGCCATCCATCGCATCCCTCACCCTCAAGAGCCTCACCATGGTGTCGATCAAAAGACTCCCCTCTCTTCTTCCGGACGAGCCAAAAGACCATCACATCGGCAACCCGCCCAAAGCCTTCCACAACCCGTGGCCTTCGTTCAACCCCAGCCGCCACAGTCTGGGGAATATCGTCAAAGTTCGCTTTGGCAAAGATCGGCCCCAATTTGCCCCAGTTCCCAGTGACCGCGCCGAGCTGGTGCCCGTTCAGAAGGTCGATTTTTCCACCGCTCACCCAGGGCCAAAGGTGACCTGGATCGGCCATGCGAGTTTCCTGGTGCAGACCTGCAAGGACGACTCCGCGACGCGAGGCGTCAATATTCTCTGTGACCCGGTCTTTTCGGAGAGGACATCTCCCTTTACATGGTTCGGCCCCAAAAGATATACGCCCACTCCGTGTACTTTGGAGGAGCTCCTCGATGCTGTCGAAGTAGACCTCGTCATCATCAGCCATAACCACTATGATCATGCTGATGCAGAGACTCTGAAGGCGGTCTGGGCCAGAAGAAGATCAAAAGTTCATTTTCTGGTAGGACTGCACAATTCGCGCTGGCTGACTGCCATGGGTATCGATCGTTCATCCATCACCGAGCTGGATTGGTGGGAGGGGGTCGAGGTTGATGTCGACGGTGTGGGAAAGGCTCAGATCACATGTACACCCACCCAGCACTTCTCACGACGTGGTATATGGGACTCAAACCACGATCTGTGGTGTTCGTACGCTATCCAAGATCTGCAAGGCTCGGGCAAGAAGATCTACTTCGCTGGAGATACCGCCTATCGGTCCATCCATTCCATGAACTTGTCCCGCGAGGAAGAAGACGCACAGCCTGCATGTCCGGCCTTCAAGCAAATTGGCGACCTACTGGGCCCATTCGACCTTTCCCTCTTGCCCATTGGGCTCTGTGAGCCGAGAGACTTCATGTCAAACGTGCACGCCAACTCGTGGGATTCGATTCGAATCCATCAAGATGTGAAAAGCAAACGGTCAATTGGTATGCATTGGGGCACAGTCCGCGGCGGTTTATCCCAGTATTACGAGGACGTCCGCACCCCGATGAAGCACTGGAAGATGGCTGCTGAAGAGGCGGGCTTGAAATGGGGAGAGGAGATTGGTGTTTTGGACATTGGCGAGACGTTGACATTGGACTGACGACTCTTCAGCTCTTTGGCTCGCTGTTTCGAAAATGGTCGGCCGAACGAAGGTTCTCCCACTCGGCCGAGGCATTTGCATCGAGATTCTGTCCCTCAGAGAGAGGCTTTATCTACGAGTAGGCAACAGTATTTCACAATGGACAGGAGCAATCTTCAATCCCACGAAGCGACGCCCCAGTCCAGCGCTATCCGATGTTTCAGCCGGAAATGGCCGTGCTTCTGCAATCCCCCAGCTTTAACGCCGGGGGCTTGCAGCAGAGGATTCCAGCAATGGCACCAATGACACCGCTGGCTTTCCGATGCAGCCAACAGAAGCTTGATGCGAGTGGCGGGCCGAGGGTAAGCTCGAGGGAGTAATAGCCCCAGTGCACCATGCCAACTGCATGCCAAAACCCCATCGATGCTGGGGCTTCAAGCTCAACGCTAATGCACGATACTGACATGTCTAGTGGGATTGGCTGCCAGCTTTTCGCCAGAGCCTTTTCCTTGTCTCCTTACTGTTCACCCACCTCAGATGTACCTAAGCGCATCGTATCTTACCCTTTCCTTCTCTACCGCGACTATTGATCCACGGCTGATGCGCCAGGATGATCGGTGCCTGCGCATTTCCATGTCCTGCGTTTTATCGCACCCCTGGCACGGAGCCAGCCCGACCCAATAGAGGCATGGGGGCAACCGTCGATCTCCTGATGCATTCTATCTCCGGCGACGTGCATAACCAGTCGATGGACTACGAAATATCACCTCACCAGGATCATGTCCCACATGGCTGTAACGACTTCAACATATAAGTGCGGATGTGCCCCCTCGAACGACATGTAAGGACATTTCGCATTCCGATCGCCCTTTTCGTACTTCTTCCTGCATCTTCCCTCGTGGTTACCATTGCGTCGAAGGAGACCGTCGCACACATATATTCCAGCAGAGACTACTCCAAACCAGTGACTGGCGTCTCTCTTGATCAGACAACTAATACCCAACCAATCTCTAACCCCATCACGAAAATGATGTACAAATTGCGCTCCTTTTGGACCCAGTCCTTCGGGCTGCCCACGCCGTCACTCACGGAGAAGAACCTCCCCGATCAAACGGGCAAAGTCTACCTCATCACCGGGAGCAACACCGGGGTTGGCTATCAAGTGGCCCAGATCCTCTACTCGCGCAATGCCAAGGTCTACGTGGCGGCGCGCACCGAATCCAAGGCTCTCGCGGCCATCGAGTCCATCAAGAAACAACATCCCAAGTCTCAGGGGAAACTCGAATACCTCTACCTGAACCTGTCCGACCTGAGCACCATCAAAGCCAGCGCCGAGGACTTTTTGTCCCGCGAAGACAAGCTGCACTGGCTGGACAACAATGCTGGCGTCATGATACCCCCCCTGGGTTCCAAGGGCGCCCAGGGCATGGATCTGACGTACCAAACTAACATCCTGGGCCCGTTTCTATTCACCAAACTCCTCCTGCCCATACTCAAGCGCACGGCCGAGGACGAGCCAAGAGGCACCGTGAGGGTCAGTTGGGCGGGCAGCCTCGCGGTGGTGCTGCAGAGTCCCAAGGGCGGTGTGGCGTGGAAGAAAGGTCCCGACGGGGAAGAGACGCTGGATGACAAGAACAGCAACAGCTTCACGTACGGTGTCAGCAAGGCGGCGAATTATTTCTTTGGCACCGAGTTTGGGAAACGCTATGGTGTCAAGGATGGAGTTCTCCACAATGTGAGTTCCTCTGTTCCCCCCTGGTGGTTTTCCCGCCAGCATCCCTCCATATCCCTTTTCATCTTCTTATTATTGTCCCCTCCTCCCCCATTGGGACTTCAATCTACCTCTACATATGTAGATGGCCATTGCGATCCTTTTCCATAGGGCAACTACTGACCCGATTTCGACAATGCTCGCTAGTGTTACAACCCGGGCAACCTCTCGTCGGACCTCCAACGCCACGCCAACGACCAATGGCCCAGCTGGGCCCGCTGGATCCTACACACTCTGCTCCTCTACCCGTCCATCTACGGCGCCTACACCGAGATCTACGCGGGCCTGTCGCCGGACCTGACGCTGGAGAAGGATCAAGGCGCCTACATCATCCCCTGGGGTCGGAAGGGCCATGTCCGCCCGGATCTGCACGCCGAGGCCGTCACCAAGGACAAGGGGGAGGCGAGCAAGCTGTTCGACTGGTGTGACCTGGTCACTAGGGAGTATGCATAGGACAGCAGCCACAGCCATGGCCACAGCCATGGCATAGGATGAGGGATACTATTGGTGGTGGTTGGTTGACGGTTGACGGTTGACGGTTCATCCCTTTTATTTACCCCCTCATGGTCCGTGCTCTTGCTTGGTATAACAAGCCATGCCTCTCCCAGGGGACTATCCTTTCCAACCCACCTTCCGACAGGGTATTTCCAGCATATTTCCCCCTTTCGATCCGAGTATACTGCAGAAAAGACAGCGAAAGGCCCTTTATTCGACATGGTGTTCCGAGTGCGTAACCAGGGTTGTTGGGTCAGTGTTTGTTATATGTATATGGATATTGGTGATTTTTGAGAGCGCGTTGTGCAATTCTAAAGTAAGCTTGAATAGCCCAGCCCATTGCCACTAGGGTTGTATAAAAAAAATTCAATATGGGAGTTTTGACTTTTCGATATTATATTATATATATATATATATATATATATTTATTACTTGGGTATATTATCTAGGTTCAGAGCCCACCTGTTCTTTTCTTGAATGATTGTTCTTCTGCGGCGAAAAGAGCGAGGAGCCTAGCAATGATGGTCCGGACATTTAAGAAGTGTTAAAAAGGCGTTGAAAAAAGTAAAAAGTGGTTACGAAGCCTTCTTCTTTCTACTGCCTCATACTCATACTCATACTCATACTCATACTCATACTCATACTCATACTCATACATTTCGAAATATCATTTCCCGGTTTCTCGTTACAGCACACGGCGCAACAGAGACTGTGTGTGGCATCTGTCTTGTCACTGTGTCATCCTCATCGAACTTTAATGACTCTCCCAGATCTGTGGGCCCATCGAAACCAGCCGATTAAACAGCTCGTCTCTCTCCTTGATCGCCATAGCCCTATAAACTGTCCCGTCCTTTGCGACCACTTCAATCCCATCTTTCACCTCCCTCTCCGTCGCCCATCCGACCACGATCTTTCCCTTCCATCCCAATCCACCAATCTTCTTCACCTCGGCGATATCGGTAATAGAAACGGCCCAGTCCGGGTCGCGCGGCATGCTCTCCACGGTCTCGTCGTCGTCGAGGTGGGTTGTGAAATATACGCACGGCGAGGCGGGTCTCCTGCCACTAGGAGGGGAAACAGAGCTGTCGATGTACACTGCACCTTTCCGACCGCGGTATCTCGCTCGGAACTCTACGGGCCCTTCGCGGGGCTTGCGCCTCATCTCTGCCCGCGAAGGAAGCACGCCTAATTTCTCCTTCGCGTGCCCCGAGCCCATGGTGGCGCGGACGGTGTCGGTGGTCAATTTGGTCTCTACCGCTCCCGCCGTGGTATTCTTGAATGCCGACAAGATCTTGGCGCCGAACCCGCCTTTCTTCTTCTTAGGTTCTGGGGTCGCTTCGGTGCCGCTGGGTTGGTCGACGGTGATGACATCTTCAATCTCGGAATGCGACGCGTCCAATCCTCCCTCAGTAATGGCATGCTTGTCGATCTCGGCAGGCTTGTCAGGCGGCGCTTCAGACGACTTTGGTGGTGGCGGCAATGGAGCACGGTTAGCCTCGCCAATGCGCAGCAAAGTAATGGTAAGCTGGGCATTGGTCGGTACGCCTCTGAGCAAAGTGTTGCGGATCTCGAGGTATTTCGGCCAGTCGGGAATCTTCTCGTTCAACAGTTGAATTCCTCGCCAGATCAGGGGGTCGGAGAAGAAGCCGAACCCTGCGAAAAAGGTCGATCCCTTCATAACCCATTGGGCAGGTGTAATCAGAGAAATCAGAAGAACTGGTACAAAGATTGCACCCAGCTGCAGACGATTCTTTTGAGAAAATGGCGGAGTGGGCGACAGGGCATTGGCGAGACGCTCCCACATGTCAGAGGCCTCTCCGATGCCGTGCATGATCGGGCGGACTTGTTTCCAGACGGCATCCTCCATGGGCTTCTTTGTCTTATCCTGGACGGCATCCGGGTCGCCTCCCTGAGCAGAGGAAGAAGCATCCGCGGCGGCCGTAGCGATCTTGGTTGGGTCAGGCATTCCCTTGTCCAGGGTCTTGCTGCCGCCCTCTTCATCCGGACTCGCTTGGTCGTGTCGGCCGGCAGCGCTCGAGATGGCGACGGAGGCAATACCCGAGACCAAGTTACTAGCTTCTTGCTCGACAGCCTCGCCCTTGTATTTCTCGGGTGCTCCAGTGACACTGTCATGGCTGCCCAACACACCGGCCTTTGGTTTCTGGACTCCACCCGACTTACTGCTGACCAGAGCAAGGGGCGCAGGTGGGAATAAGATAGTGCGGGACTGCGGGACAGTGATGAGGACGATGATCATGGTGACCAAGGTGGGCACAATGAAGTCGAAGATCCAAGCCACAAAGTAGACGGCAGCGAAGCAAGCGGTCCGACGGGGTTCGCGCCACGACCTCAGTCTTGCAATGTGTTTCCCAAAGGCAATCAGGCCGACAATGACGGTCATGTACAGACGCTCAATGTTGGAGCGTAGTTTGTCCGGAGAGAATTCCTCGTCGTCGGCAGTGTTGAGGTCCAAGCCTCCCGGAGGAGCGTGAGGGATGGCTTTGACATGGTACATTTGCTAGCAGTGCGGTAAGTGAGTGTTCCCTCCCGATTCGAAGCTTTGGGCCAGAAAGATATACTTGCCTTGTTGAATCTCCTGATCAGCGTCCATAGCTCATCGTTGGGAAGGCCTCCGACCAAGTTATCTACACCCACAGCGTTGGCTTGCCATCCTAGATTAGTTGTTCTGTCCTCCTTACCGGCCCTCTGGACTGCGCCCTGGACTCCATGATCTCCCGTTGCCCCCGTAGCTAACTGGTGACTTGTGGTGGTGTTTTGGGCCAGAGGAGCGTTCGAGGTTACTGCCACAGGAGGTTTCGTAGCTTGGGTGATTCTCTGGCGGAACTCTGAATCATGCTTCTCCTCTGCTGGAGGAGTCTCGCCGCCGTCACGGAAGACATACCCTGGGGTGGGCATGGTTGCAGGAGGACACGAAGAAGCAGTTGGGACAAGGAGACTTGGTATGAAGAATGTCTTTGAGAGGACGAGGAGTAGTAGAAGAAGCGCAGTGGTGATGAATGCTGTGGTGTGCAGCCCTACGTCATTGGCGTATTGGTGTGTTTGGTGGACGCGCCTCTTAGCCAAGTTGCATATTTGGATGGCGAAGGATGGGAACATGGACTTGCATGGCAACCTTGTTCCCCGCCATCACCGCCAATCGATTCTCATCGCCAATCGCTCTCTGTAAGTCTGTGCCCTACGGGAACTTGCACTCGGTACTTAGCCCCGTGCAGTAACTACGGGCCCCGCTTGAAGTCTCTTTTCCTTGTTCCTTGTCTTGCTCTTGACCAGAACGAGCGCAGATTCCCACCCAGATATGGGCACGGAACAACAAGGGCAGCTAATGACGACAACTCCTCCAGAGAATATCAGCTCGTCAGGTAGATCATCCTTATGTCTTTGCACCCTTTATCAAAAGATTCTCCCTGTATGTACTAGATAGTACTAGATAGTATTTTGGCTTCGAGCATGATACCACCTGGTCCCGTCGTGATCCCATATCCTCTAAGATGTCCGTTGTATATGTCCCCTGATGCCTCGTATCTCATGTCCAAGCTCTTTACCAACAATCTGTCCAGCCATGTAATAAATCCCTCCATTCGTCCCACATTTTATCCACGCGTCTATGCAACTGAATAATATGTCTCATGCAACGGTCCTGCCTGTGCCATCGTATACGGTTTCCCATGCACGTATTTACTCCTCATCGGCTCCTCGTCAATCGCACAGTGGATTTGCCCGTCTCTTCCTTTAAACCATCCCAATGCATACCGTTTGTTGATGTTTTTCAGCCTCTTTTCCATCGCCTTGTTGTTCAGCGTCTCTGTATCGACAAAGTCCGACAGCATGTTGCTGGCGTAGATGAAGGCCAACACCGCTGCAATCGTGGACGGCTCTCGTGGCAAGAACGGGTGTCGTCGTCGAAGATATACCAGGGATGTCGTGAAAATGACAAAAAGCAAGATGAACACGGAGAGAACGAGCGAAGTCCAGAACGAAACGAACGTCTCGTCGCCGTTGGATCGGTCCTCGCCATGACTGCCCACGTGCATGAAGTCCTCTGAGTTGACCGAGAAGGAACTCACAGTCACCGTCAGGACATCCAACAGCACCGATGACACGCCCACCAATGCCAGGAGATAGTGTTTGTTAAGGAGAGCCTTGAAAGGCATGATCCCGTACACAGTCGCCTGGTAATCCAGGGTCAGGCTGTTTTCAGGTCTCGCGTTGCCTCGGGAAAGCTGATAAAAGGGCTCCATGAGTCGAACATCAGACTCAAACGTGCTAAAGAACAACTTCAAGCCGGTCGCGATGAGAATGGGAAGCCACGGTGCGGCGTTGGGCACCACCCGAGCCTTGGTCAACGTGATGATGGGCACTGAGATGAGACAGAAGACCATAAAGGCGAGGAACGGAATGCCCGCTCTCATTTGGAGCATTAGCGGATGTGGACTGGTGAGCTTTCTCTCGCTGTCCTGTGGCGGCTCACTCTTCGAGCTCCATTCACCCTGCCAGATCGAAGACTTGTAGAGTACGTATCGTCGATGCGCCAGTCGCTTGTGGATTATCGCGCAGTTGGCCTCGTCCAGTCCGGCGAAATCCTGGAGAATGTGCGATTTGGTGGCCATCGAGGCAATTCCGGCTATGCCTTTAGGATCGCTGAGTAACCCAGACTTGCGGCGCAGCTGAATCCACAGAATGACGACCACGATTGCCACAAAGACATAGCTTGCCGACAAAGCCCGAGACCAGCCTGGTGAGATTCGAACCCAATAATGCTTCTCCCCATTGGGACATCCGCTTGCATTACATCTTGGATCTGGATTCGTGGCAAACGTGATCGAAGGGTTTTGCAAGGCAGGAGAGACCATCGAGGCCATAATGTTGCCCGTGGTTGAGAAGAACACAGCCCACTGTCGCAGTCTGAAAGCCTTGAACGGGATGAAATATTGGAACATGGTCAAGTGATCCAAATTCAGGGAGGCCGCTGCTGAAGCACCTCGAGGTCGGGACAATTGATAGAACGGTTCCAGACGGCGGATATCGAAATCCATGATCGAGAACAGAACGGCGTAGACAATGGTGATCATCGTGGGAAGATCTGGGTCATGTTAGTAGAGCAGCATGAGTATTCGCACTGTTCACTTACACTTCCACACAAAGAAGTCCCAAGTCGAAATCTCCGCCACAGCATTGAAGGCAAGGATACCACTGTGTTCTCGGACGCTCTTAAAGGATTTCTGGCACAAGAATTCCTGAAACCCTGCCAACCCCAACGCAAGAGCCATCAAAGACAAAATGTACCAGCTCCGCATTGACCTTGGTTTCCAGTTGGGGATATCCGGATCATCTGGGAAGAAGTAGCTTTTCGTCTCTTGGGGCAAGACGCTTTGCCTCATAGGCATAGTCTCGAACGTGCGACTCTGGCGATTTTCCAATTCCCCACCATCCAGAGTGCTCAGGTCAACGATTTCTTCAACCTCGACAATCATGTTCTTCTTGAGCGCAAGGTCCTGGCCCAAGTCGCGCACGGTTTTGCTCCGATCGATACCGGAGCTCTCCGCGTTGCCCATCCCCCCAGTTCCTCTTCGCACTATCCGTGACGGATCCCGTCTTAGTTGCACACCCACGCCCTTCATTCCATCGCCAACCGACGCGCGCTTCTGAACGAACTTGCGGAAATCAGGTTTCCCATCCTTCTTGGTCATGCTCTCGGACTCGATTTCCTCATCTTGGAGTCGTGCAGCATCAGGGTTTGATAAGTCGGTAAGCTCCCAGCCCATACCCTCCAATGATGAGAGATCTACTGTCGCTGCTTGACCATCCTCGCCGTCGTCCAAGGTTGCATACTCCCGGCCTTGAGAACGTTTGGTAGATCGAAATGTGCCTCGCGACATTGGGTTGATTTTGGTGGTCAGACGTCGAAGCACCGACGAAGCAGCGGATTGCCCTGCGCTAAACCGACGAGCTTTGATGGGAGTGACCGGTTCTACCAGGTCGTACGGCTCATCTCGCATGCTTTCCGTTTCATCTATCGACCTCAATCGCTCGTCCCCAGAATGACCTCGTGAATGTCGTCGATGGTAAGGAGCGGATTGTGTCTCCCCGATGGTGACAGACACTCCGGGCGAATCTTTCCCACTAAGAAGTTTAACATGGTCTGGCGTTGACATGTGCGACGGAGGCATTGAGCCTAGATCATACTGTTCACGGTCCATCGTGACGATTGTGAAGTCTCAGTTGCGATGCGCAGGAGGGAGCGGGGTCAGCTGTGGTCCATAGTTGTTTCGATGCAGGACATTGATGAGGACATGCTTGGATATCTCGGTTCAAGTTTCTCGTAGAAGAAGCCCGACAGATCCCTCGGTACGGATCCGCAGATGATTGTTCGTGGTGGAAGAATTGACCCGATATAGACTTGGGTACCCGCAGGCGCTATAGTAACACAGATTCGTTTGGCAGGCTATACTCTAGACAACCAAAGGATAGTGGTATAATCGGCGTAGTGATATTCCAGGTGTCAAGCAGTGTTGACCCTTTTACCAATCCAGAGGACGTTGCTATGATCAATCGTCGACTAGTCGCAGATAAGCAACTGGAGTCGGGGAAATTGGGACGCGCCTGTTGAAGCAGGAGCTAGACTTTGTCTCGTTAAGACCGGTGTTAGGCGCATGCACGAGTACCTAGAACGCCTCACGATGGGACTGGATGGGAAGGCCAGCTCACTTGCCTCGTTCAAGTATCGAGGATCAACAACACATGGCGAAAGACGTACAATTCTTGCTCGACCATCGCGAGAACGACGGAGGGGACAGAAGATGGCTCAGGTTGTGAGACATGCGGGCGATAAGGAAGACGAGCGTTTTCAGCTCGCCTTGGAGGATGCATGATTCTGGTCGTCGTGGAACGAACATGCGGCGCTACACGAGGCGAAAAGCCGCAAAAGGACCAGGGGGAGACGGCCATTTGACCATTGATTTTCTCGGCGCCATGGGTTTGGAGGACCGTGGAGGGTCTGGAGGGTCCAGATTCTGGCTCTGACTCTGGCACATCTTGTGGCGCCATACTCGATGCCCGTTAGATGGGTCACTTCCGGCTCATTAGCCCATCCTTCCGCCCAAGGGGATTTGCCCTGTAAGGCCCCTGTGCTGCTCGGCCCCATCCCTATTTGTCCCTTCCAACGCCCTCTACTCTAAAGGATCGTCTGGAGGGCTGCATAGTCCATTTATCGAGTACAGACTGGCGAGTACTCGTAATTGTCCACCAGAGTCTGCACTGTCAGCACCAACGTGCACCCCTATCTGGAGTGCTTTCCGTACAAGGACCGAGTATGTATGTGTTTGTTGCTCCCATGGGCCATCAACAGGCCTCATTACTCCCAGAGCCGCACTTGACCTGTTGCGTTTCCTTAATGCGGGAGTTGGGGTCCAAACCCTTCCCAACCTATACATAGGCCGCAATCCGACAGCATCCCTTCGACTATGACAAAGCGACCCTTCGAGCTCGGTGGTTTACTTGGTCTTGCCAACAGATGTCTGCCGTAGCTGCCAGGCCCGAGACCAGTGCGACAATAGGTCAATCCGAGTGGAAAGGGCCGCTATCGCTGGTCGTTCGGGCATGTTTCATCCTTCGAAAAGGAGTCTGTCCCGTGTTGACCATGGGTTGGCGCGTCTTTATTGGTCAATGGGCATCCTCCTTCATTCTCTTTGCAAGATGACCATCAAGCCCATCATTCCCAGCATGACCGTCTTCAACCAAGGGTGCTCACTAAGCATGATGGTCACATATCCAACTGCTGGCACATATCCGCGTACGCTGCCAATGATATCCTCTTTCCTGTCCAGATAACTCTGGCCCCGCGCGTAGAGCTCCGTGTCATCGGCCACGTTGTTGTCGCCTTTCGTGAGGAGTTTCGGAGACGCTTTCGAGAGGTTGCCGCTGATAGCACGTGTTAATCCGAGGGACGCAATACTGGGGGAATGTAGTTAAGATGTCTGTACCTCTTGTCCGCTTCGACAGGCGCTGCAGCCGCATGGCTTCGGACGACGCGATGAACAATTGGAATGTCCTTGCCCTTGACGTTGTAGACGACGATTTCTCCCACTTCGGCCGTTTTGTCGCGGTTCCATAAAAACAACAGATCACCACGTTGAAACGCAGGTTCCATTGATCCACTCAGGACCACCACGATGGGTGAGGGTGAGTCTGAAATGACTGACAGAGACTTCCACAGCATGAAAGCGGTCGACAGAACGAGTGCAAAATTCAGTACCTGCGACAGCGATTGCCGGGGGTTGGACAGGTATGGAGCGAGAAAAGGTAACATGATGCGGACTGCTCGACGGCAGGCTTAAAATCGGGTTTCAAAGTAGGCGTCTCGACATCTACACAAGAAGGTGGTGTTCCAGAGAATGAGTTCAACAAGACAATAGAAACGTGGTGCGCAGGTACAAGGCATAGGTGACCGCAGGTGCTCGAAGCCAGGTGGCCGAAGTTCGGGCAAATAATACCTCCGGGGATCACCCGCAGGCAAATTCCATGAAAATGTCAGCTCCCAGCAGGCTGGCCCTCTTGTAAGTTGATATCAGGACAGAAGAACAAGAAAGATGATGGAACTGCGCACAGTCGACCCAAAGACTGCAGAACAAGAATGAGCACAAGATTCCGCAACGCAGTCCACAAGTCAGGAACAAACTACAGAGGACATACTTAAGCACCTAGGTACATAGCCGTGACTCAATGCGAACATCCCGATTCCGCCCAAACCCAGCCTGTCAGTCGATTCGCAATGTCACTGGCATAGCAGTCGGTAGAATATCCCCCCTCATCCAGGTTACCGTCCTCTGCGATTGACCCGGTGTTGTATTGTCGGGCAGCACGATAGTATGCTCTGGCGTCCTCTCCTCCGACCTGATTCAGTATGCCAGCGAGGCCATCCCCACTCAAAGTTCCAGCAACACCATCAAGGACCATGCCATCAATCTCAGAGGCAGGACACGGAGTCTGTATGTTCCCATTTGTGTTACAAGAGAAGCCGCCATCGTGAGCTTGCATCAACCCTGGGTTCGGGACACCATTATCGGTCGTTCTGACTCGGACGCAACCGCTGGATTCTTGAAGAAGGATTGCCAGGATGAAGCGGTGGTCCACATTGGTTTGAGTTGAAGCAGACTGGACTGCGTCCCAGATCTGCTCGATTTCCTCGTCGCTGTTGTCGGGCCCATTGCCTGGACCTAGATTGACACACGACGCACGCATCAAATTTTGATTCGCAACGAACCTGCTCAGATATCAGTCGGGCTGAGAGAAGGATATTCTCTGGTCCTCACATATCTCCAAACGAGACCCATTGCGCCATGTCTGGCCACCCAGATGATGCTGAGCCATCGCCAGAATAGGTCTTGTAGGTGTCGCATCCTGCGCCAACGCCGTCGTGGACATTGGTTGGACGGTTGGCGGCACCCAAAGCAAACACTTGCTTCGATGCGCGATGGAAAACAGGAGTAGGGTTGACAAGACCGAGTAAAGTGACAGCGCTCAGGAGCTGCGGACTGGGTCAGTCGGAAGTGACAGGCTTTCGAGAATAGCTCTCGACTCACGGTCAGGGGCATGGTTGCCGACTGCGTTGACTCTTGTTTGCCACCCACAAATAGAAGACGCCCAAGATAAATGGTACTCGGCTTCCTTGGTGTCAATGTCTCCCTTACTGCACAAAAGCTTGGTAGTTGTGAAGTTAATGAGACAACCAAGCTCAACATGTGTTCCCGGAATACTCGTGATTTCCCTCTCCCGGTAACGAGCCCCCCCCCCCAAGATACCACCACACTCTTTTCCCGACTGCCATAGCGATATGTTGGGTATTATGGTGCAAATCGGTCCAACCTTTCGGTAAACAGTGGTATCATCTAGTGTTCTTACATGCTGCTGGCCTCAGGCAAAGAAAATCGGCGGCTCACCTCGCAACGCCCTATATCGATTTGTTGCAGCCTCTAGGCGAACAGAGCCTTTGACCAGGAAGGGCCAGTCGTCCGCAAAGCCCTGAGTAACCTCCCAGCTCTCCGTAACATCCGGTTCGCCCCATAGCACACATCCATGTTTCAGAGCAAGGTCAATCTCATGCCATGTATGCCTGCCGGCAAGTGCCATGCATAATCTTCCCTCTAGTGGATGCTTTTCGATATACCAATGTTCAATAGCATTGTCTCTCACAACCGAGTCTGGGAAGATATCGAAGCATGGGTGGTGCGACACTGTTCGCTGTAGGTATGTCGGCTGAAAATCAGGTGCCAGGCTGGAGCTGTCAACTCTCCCAGTGATAAAAGGACTGTCAGCGGCGTCGGAGGCCATGAAGTTTATTTCTAGGTTCAACGCTCTGATGTTCTTGGCAAGTCCACGGAAGACATTGTAATACATCAGGTTAAGGAGCTCATCTTCCGGGCTAGGAATGAAGGTATGATATCGTATGTCCGTGGCGTGGATGATGCTTTCTTCGAACATGACAGGATCTGAATCTGCCAGCAAGACGTCTCCATCAAGAACCTCGACGCCAACAGAGCCAATCTGCAGCATCGTCTCTTCGAACCTTCGACACCACGACTGCACCAGCTTGAGGTTAAGATGACCGCTTGACGGATTTGGTAATCCTGAAGACATGGCGATATTGCTTCGCGTGGAGAGCTGCCCAGCAGCAGATACTAGGGAGCTCAAGGTGATTCGGCCATTCGATGCCACATTTTCTTTTGCTTCGAGGGTAAAAACACCAACACCGGGGAATCTGGACGCTCGATGGTGACGGCCGCTTTCTGCTTCAATGCCTGCCTCAGTCAAGGTCCTCTTCCGAAGCAGCTTTTGCTCAGCCTGGCGTTTCCCTATGCACTTTCATTAGGCCAGAAGTTTCAATTCCTGATCATGGGGACCAACTGTAAGCCCGTCTATTTAGTCGGTTTTGTAACCGACGTCGCTCTTTGATATCCGTCTTGCCAGCCCACAGCTCGTGTACGCTGCGCGCCTCGGGATGGCTCATGAAGGTAACATCAAAGATGTCATGGTCTGTTATGTGGTTCATGACTATCACTTTCTCTCCTTTTCTGCTCTATTTTGCCAACTCAGTATTTGTTTGCAAGATTGTTATCGAGCCAGTCGAACGAATTTTCGGGAGCAGGAAGGGCTTTCTATCTTGTAAAGAGCGATTAGTTGGCCTGAAATGTCCATTATCCAGAGACAGCGTGAGATTTCGATCGATTGATGGAAGAAGGACCACAAGTCGGAATGGATGGTATATTCGCCAACTTTGCTGATTACTATTCAATGGTTTGGCTGACACAAATGACCGCGAAGGAGAAAGGCATGTCCACAATACGCTGACGCATCAACATTGGCCACAAATAGCCGGAGGACATGCCCGATCAGGGATCCGAGGCTGTAAACAGGCCCGGTCTGATTCTTTGTAGCATTATAGCAGGCCGAAAGTTTCCCAGCTCCAGGTGATGGGAGTGGTGAGAGAACCAAACATGAGTCGGAGAGCACTTGGCTGTGACAACGGGATGAGAGTGTCCCGTACATCGCGGAAACAATGGTGGTTAGAAGAGGTCCCCTCTGTACTTGTCCGGTAAGTTGAAGGTTCGGCGATGGTATTTTGAGCACCAAGTCCGACAAGAGGTCGTTGAACAAGGCGATGGGGAAGCACGGGGAAGAGGTACATATCGAAAGCTTTTTCATCTCGTCAGACAGTTGCATTTTCAGGAGAAGGAGCATTCTGGATATGGAATTTTCAAATGACGAAAAATGACGGTTGGGTCAAAAATATCTCATTCCCGAATTCCTCCCTCCTTTCTCCGCCCAAACTCCGTGCACGGCAAACGATATGCCGAAAGTCTAAAGTCGATGAGCAGAAACAACCATTGAGACTAGAATGCTGTACATGAACAGGTATGAATTGCAATTTCACTTGAATATCTTGACCTTCAGTAGGTCTGCTAGGCCCAGCTTGGTGAGAAATGTCTCCCTCACCAAATCACGGACGCCGTTGACGATGGTTGCACCCCCTCCGTCGTACTCAACATGCACTCTGAACGGGCGCCTGCCATGTTCTGTGTCAACCACGCGCCGAACAGCTTCAGCAACGGCTCCAGGGTCAGCGTCCGGTGAAACAATCTTGCTGTGGCCTTCGGCACTGATCTGATCCCACCCTTTCAGAGCGCCTTCCAGATACTCCTTTTCGACTGCCGTATCTTCGGCCTTCATCGCTGTGGCGAAGTGGCTGGTGCCTTTTGTGAAAACGCCGGGCACAACGATCGACGTTTCAATGCCAAATTGACTAAGCTCCACGGCATACGTCTGTGCGAGGGAGTCTTGGGCAGCCTTTGCTGCAAAATATGGTGCCAGGAACGGGGAGCTCGGCCCATGAGCACTGCTGGACGATACCCACACCAGCAGTCCATTTCCGGCCCGTCTCATGTGCGGCAGGACAATTCGATTAATGCGCTGACAAGATAAGCAGTTGACCTCGTACATCTCCAAGAATTGTTCTGGCGTGTATGCCTCGGCTGGTCCAAAGTTCATATGTCCTGGTAGAAGCTGTCAATGCTTGTGCGAGTCGCTCCTCTCGGAGAGTCTGGCACTTACCGGCATTGTGAACAACAACGTCTATCTTTCCCTCGTCGGCCATGATCTTGTCGACCGCCTTCCTGATCGAGTCGTCCTTGACGACATTGAGCTGTATGCCTCGAAGCTGGCAGCTGTTCTCTCTAGCGAAGTTTGCAGCATCCTTATACACCGAAGTTTTGTCGTCATTGGGCTGGAGAAAGCCAGCATAGACGGTGTGGCCTGATCTTGCGAGCGCTCGAGCTGTCAAGGCTCCAAAGCCGGAGCCCGCCCCTGTAACCAAGCTCACAAGAGGTCGGGCAGCCATTTTTCTATGAGATGGTCGAGCTCTAAGATGCGGCAAGGCCAAGTTGTCAGGGCGTGGAAAAGACCGAACATCATCAAACCCCTTATATCTGCCAGTTGTCTACAGCGCCGGCGGTCCAGGTTGCCTGACGACCTGCATATTGGCTCCATGCTGGCCCCAGAAATTTTCCTCTTTCGCCGTATCTACTCCGCGCGGCCTTCGGAGATCGGAATCACCTCTGTCAGGGAGGTTCATTTGCATAGTTCGTGCAGTTGTTCGGGTCGAAGATAAAGACTCAAGGTGTTGGGTATACCTATCTCCACGCGCGATTACATCAGCGGCGCATATTTGCAGCAGGAGATTGGCTTTTCCGACGCATACGCGGGAACCTCGTACGAATTGCAAGGCGCCGGCGCCAGCCGGGCGGTGTTTGCGGAGAAAGATATTTCCCAAAGAGTACATGGTATGCTTTCCCCTATTGGCATCGCTTTATCCGCATTCCTGGCTTGATGCCACAACGCTCAGTATCCGGCGGGGGAAACGCAAAGACAAGCGTCGAATACAGGGGAAGAGCAAGTCACTCCGCAAACTTCCATGCCTATTCCCTATCACCATGGTTATTGCCAACGTCGTCTCGACCTTGGACATACCACAACTCCGCGATCGTCATGGCACTTTGCGACAGCCAACGTCTATATTAAGGACTGAGGGAAACGAGATCTTGAGCAATTCTCTCATTACAGTCAACACCAACAAGCAGCTTCATGAAACAGTTCAAAGCAATCATCTCCAAGCACAAATCCAGCCAGACATCGTCTTCCCAACAAGTCACTCCAAGCACTACACCTACTAATAAATCACCAGCCACAACCCAATCCATCGTCATGTCTTCCGCTCCGCTCTCAGGCAAAGTCGCCGTGATCACCGGTGGCACAAAAGGTATTGGCGCAAGCACAGCAATGCTCCTAGTCAAACTCGGAGCCAAAGTCGTGGTCAACTACGGCCGCGACAGCGCCGCAGCCGAGAAAATCGTCTCGCAACTCGGCAGCGACAAGGCATACGCCGTACAAGCTGACGCAGGCTCGGTCGCGGGCGTCGAACACCTGGTACAAGAGACGGTCAAGAAGTATGGCAAGATCGATATCCTGATCCCCAACGCCGGGATCCTGCCCATGAAGACGGTGGAATCGACCACGGAAGAGGACTTTGACAGGACATTCAACCTCAATGTCAAGGGGCCCTTCTTCCTCGTGCAAAAGGCCCTGCCACACATGGCGCCGGGAAGCAGCATCGTGCTCATCTCCACGACGCTATGCCACGCCTCGGTCGTCCAAGGACCCTACACGCTCTACTGCACGACAAAAGGCGCCATCGAACAGCTGACCCGCTTGCTCTCCAAGGACCTGCTCGCCAGCAAAGGCATCCGGGTCAACGCCATCGCGCCGGGCCCCACGGCCACGGACCTCTTCCTCGAGGGGAAGAGCGAACAAGTGCTCAAGATGCTGGCGAGCTTCTCCCCAGCCAACCGGCTCGGCAAGCCCGAGGACATTGCCGAGGGTATCGCCTTCCTGTGCGGGCCGGGCTCCGGCTGGGTGAGCGGGCAGACGATCAGGGTGAATGGCGGTTTCGCTTAGATGTGTGAAGGCCACGAAAGCAGCGGGTTGCGAAGAGGCAAGGGAGCGAACTAGAAAATTGTTTTGGACTCGTCGACTGCGGTAGGAGCGATGGAAGGAGCGAATGGCATTGTTCTGGGTCTATATTCTCCTTGTTGTACGTCCTATCGAATACCTTATTCCACCACCATCTCAGTCCTTAGCCCAATATTCCCACCCACAGGATCCCTGTGTATTTGCCGGGCAAAAAACACCTAAAAAGCCCGCAGGATTCCACGACTGCGGCTCAGTCGGGCGAGTCTCTTGATTCTCACCAGAACAAAAACCGGCTGGGCCGGATTACAGTGGCCCAACCAGCGGACCAGCCAGCCCAGTCCAGCAACCCAGCGCTGCATCCTACCTCAACAGGATCTAGAGGCAGATATGCGGGTATGATAAAGAATGTGCAGGGGAGGGTATAACACTATCTACTGTGGCAACCTTCGTGACTTTTTGCACGTCGTTGTAAGTCCATGGCAACAAATTTATCACCGTCACGACATGGCATAACATCCATGACTGGTTGGCACTCGGCTTGATCCGTCATCGTGTCGTTCTACAATATTTAGGAGACACGGAGTGGTGTGGACCTTATGGAGGGTACATACTCTGTGGATACCTGGGTACTTCTCAGCAGGGTCTCCCCAAGTTGCGACGAGCACCGCATGCGAGGGGAGTAGGAGACGACGCGTCTTCTCACCGCTGGTGGGTGGTATTGGTTGCAAGCACGGGCACGGTGCGCTTAGGCGGGCGCGGCGGCCGCACGCACACGAAGGGGTGTCGTATTGGGTGCCAACTCCGTTCAATAAAGAGATGGAAGGGAATGGAAAAGAGGAATGCAAAAAACGAATGGAAATGGTTACTTGATAGATCATACGCTAATCGTCATTGTTAGAAACCGCAATAGATACCTAGGTAATATCTTGCTCCGCTTGGTCCAAGTACGCTCGCTACCAATGGTGGTATAGAAAAAATGCTTGATGCTTTCTTTTCTCATTTCAGTTCATAACCCAAGTCGTTAATTTAAAGCAAGAATTTAAAGCAAGGCTTGGCCTCGCCCTGCCCGTAGTGCCATCTCCCAAGTCAGAGTTTTCATCCTCGCTTTCCCGGCCCAGCCTGCTTCAGAGCGAAGGCGTCACGGATCTTCTTGGCCTGCAACTCCTTCTCCCTCTCGAATTTCTGCTGGTTCGTCTCCGCCCGTTCTTTTCTCTCCCTCTCCCGCCGGGGATCTACGCCCGGTGGCGCAGCGCATATCGGGTTGACTTGAGGGCTTAGCGCCGCGGAGGGCGGTTCGGCGGTACTGCGGAGGATCGCGTCCCAGAGGTTGTTCTCAGTGGTTCCTTGTCGGTTACTGTCCGTATCAATGTTGCTGGTCGCCAGAATTTTATCGACAATGTAGAATGTCTCAGGAAAAGTCTGGGTACCGTCGTCGTAGTACCATCGTAGGGAAATGGTAGAAGTGGAGATGTGGCTTGTTCCGGTATGATCGGTCAAGGTGGTCGGTGCAACTGGGCGAATGGCGCCGCGGGTGGCGACCGCTTTGCTCTTTGAGATGATGCTCTTGGACAATATGCTGTCGTGGAGGGCATTGCTCAGCTTGACGGGATGTTCCTGGCCCTCGGCGATGACGAAGATGCACGCTTTCGAATTCAAAGCCTATAAACCGAATGTCAGCAGGCGTGTCTTGCCAAATAGCATCAAGATGGTGGTCGGTTAGTTTAGCGAAAACAGGCGAACTGAAATCCGTACCATTGGTGAAGTCGTGTCGGATGGACGAAACAGTTGCGGACGACGAGCTTGCCACGAGCGATATGAAGCCTCGAGCTGATGGGAATCTTGCATAAGAGCGTTCGAGATCGGGCGATTGCGCCCTGTGGACATGCCTCAAAAAGGGTGGCCTGCGGAGCAGTGAGGCGAGTACAGGGCAGACAAGTCAGCAACTGAAACTGCGAAACGACTAGGCAAACTTCGTGCCCAAGCCCAGATTAAAATGCCCGTGTGTTGGCAGATTGGTATTGGAGGATGTCTCGTCTTTCATATATCCAGGAGAGGTTTTGTGAATTTGTTCATGTACACCGTCTGCTAACGGTACATCCTGGTCGACAAGGGAGTTCAAGTGATGACACTTTGCTGCATTCTGGCTTGCTGGTCACCTGCGACTGTTGGGGGTGACCACGAACGGTAGATTTGTCACTTGTAGAATGCGGAGGTCGAGGACAAGCCACCAGGAACTTTTGACAGGTTGAACAAGATTGACAAGTCTTCTGAAGATACCAAACTGAATAGTCCATCCTCGGAACCGCGGTGGCGGCTTCCGGAACGTCCAGATGACCATATCCGTACAAAATCAACGTCGTTGGCCGTTCGGCAATGTTTTGGGGACTTTGAACTTTTACCCAGCCAGTTGTGTAACAAATTTGTCTTCAGTAGCCCGTTACCCAAACGCGTCCCTCGGTCCGAATCCAGATTTTGGGGGGATTTTGTCATACGATTTGGCCTCAGAAATCCGTGGCGAGGATGTCCTTTCCCAGAAATTAAGATCTGTGTCTCATCTTTGGTAGTACATTCATGGTATTATTCCCTTCATAAGTGAACATCTGCGCCCGTCCTTGATCCGGTTGGTGTGCTTTTGTAGTGACGAGATTGATTCGATGCCCCGGTGTCATGCTGCAATTGCAACATACTTCACGAAACCCATCGTGCTTTTCGAAATCTCCTATCCTGCGGTCTCTTTTCTTCGGTTGAGTTCGACCAAAGCGATGAATTCATCCCAGTTCTCCTCGATCCATGGTCGGCCGAGGATACAGTCAAATTTTGCTTCGGATTCTGGTGGCAAAACATAAAACGGCGCACGATAGGACGGCGAAGTCTGGTCCGCTCCGGAAGTGTAACTCCGGAAATGCCACTGAAGGACGACGGTGCTGCTGAGGTCGGTATATCCACCAATTGAATGCACACGCCCACTGTATGGCTGTTTCTTCAAGTCGAGCTCAGTGTGAGCCTCGTCAGAAATCAGGTTGAAATCTGCACCGGTATCCAACAGAACCCGCCGCGGAGTGGTCGTCGACTGACGATGACCTGACTTTGCATTTTTCTTCGGCTCAAGGTGGATGAACATGAGGACTACAAAGAGGTTGAGCCGCCGCCTTCTTTCTTCCATCAGCATGACTTTTCCAAGACATTTTGGCGGACCATCGCTGTCACCACCTGCTGTCCTGTCCGGCTCTTCGGTCTTCGCTTGGAACGAGCGCTCGATTACAGAATCTCGCAGCCGGTCAAGAATGGGCTTTTTTGCCATAGCCTTTGATTGCGGGATGGCCCGAATTAAATTGAACGTCCTTTGAGATGAATGCTTCCTCCAGCTGACCCGGGCCATCCTGTCACCCACAAAGTCAGTGATTGTCTTGGTCGACTGCGGCAGGTGGAAGTCTCCTCATACTGGTAGGTGCTTCTTCGAACCTTTTCTTTCACTTCAACCCAGCCCGCCTCAAAGTCCACAGTTCATTCACGTTAGCAGATGAATAGGTCCAAAGCCACCAGCGCCTTGGAAAAAAAGCAGTAACAGAGGTAGACAAGCCCGCCATCTTAAATAACACCAGGTGGCAGTCAAGCCATTTTGGGAATGGCATGTTCTCCCCTTGGATCGTGTCGTTGTACAGGGTCGGGCCCGTCCTTCGGGCGAGCTGCAATATGGCAACATGTGACAAACTCCTCCAAACACGACGAGAACCTTTATCCCGCATACAGGGCTGCAGCTGTGGGCCTCCGAGTTCTTTGAGACATGTCGACTTTTTGACAAAAATCAAACTTATTCCAGGTGCAAAGCAAGTCAGTCTTGGAGGGCTCGGGAGTACCTCCCAATATCGTGGGTCAGTGTCACGACAGGAGGCGCGTCTTTGCAACAGTAGCACCGTGTTTTGGAGAATGATAGAGAGTGAATCGACGATTGCCAACGGAAGCACCAGTAACTATTTCGGGACGACACTCGGTAAGGGAAGTTGCAGCATGGACATTTCCGCACTGAAGGAGCCCGAGACCTTGTCAGACTTCCGGTGGGCAACTGTTGCGGTGCAAGCCTTGTCTCAATTTTACAAACGTCCGGTTAATCCAGGGCTTTTGAACTGTAGACCTAGATGGCGTGGCTCCTGAATACCTCATGATATACATCGCAAACCAAGCCGAAAACGTGGGATAACTCGGCCGTAGGAAAATAAGCACGTGCTTTGAACGCTGTCACCACGTATGTAGGTTTGGCAGCATGGGCGATCTTCACGTAGTCTCCGAATGCAGGGACAGCCAGGCTCGCAATATGCGTTGACGGCGAGAACAACAACCGAATGGAGAACGTTTGCAGAGTGGCATTGCCCGCTCACTCTCCTATTGGAAGCTTTCCGTTGGTGAACGCTTGAAGGCGAGTGCTCGGAGCCTGCCATTTCCTCTTGGGCAGCGACGCAGGTGGAAAGCCCTTTGACGAGCGCCCCACTGATGAGAAGTCGCGGTTGCGTTGGACAAGTTAGTCTGTGAGTCCTCGTTATAAGCAGACATCCGCCCGCTGTCCTCCCACAGCAGACATACCCCTGATCTCCATCACCTTCTCGGAAGCCACCGATAAGATCGCTGCGTTACGAAAATGACGGGTTACGGGGCTCTGGCAGCCATGATGGCTAGCCATCAAAACATCGAAGCTTTCAGAAAATTCTCCAGTATGAACCTAGAGAATATCCTGCACATGCAAGCCGAGCTGCAACATCTCGAAGTGGTGATCAATGAGGTGAGGAAGATACCAGGGCTGAACAGCTTCGACCAGATCTGGATCGAAGACCCCGAAAGCATGTCCGAAGAAGACATACACCGGATTTTTGAGCGGTCAAGGACCCTGCTGGACCAGTATTGTAAAAAGCGTGGCTCTAGAACCAATGACTCAGAACAGGTTGCTGACAGTGGAGCAGATCGAGCTCTGTTGAGAACAGCAAGAATCAACGCGTTGCAGCAACCGCGAAAAGACAATCTCGAGCTCCGCAGGCAGTGGTATGACGAAGAAAGTGGTGGCGACCAGTTCTTGTATGGAGTGGAAGCGGGCATCTTCCGCGATGCAAGCATTGAGGAAGACCTTTTGACGCTGAAGGAAAATATTGGAAGCAACGACGCTCTAGCCAACTTTCTGAGTGAAAAGGTGGTGCCGCTATATCACCGGCTAGTAGGATATAAGCTTCACCGGTCTATGGCAGAGAAGGCGTTTGAGCGGACGTGGGAGTACAGGCCAGAAACGTTGGTGCAGGTTGGGAATACGATATGTATGCTGTTGTCAGCCGTGATCCCGGCACTGTCAATCCTGGTGTTGTTCAGCATGAGAAGCATGGCGGCACGCCTGGTCGCAATCAGCATGATGAGCTTGGTCTTTTCATTGGTGATGAACGTGATTGCCCAGAGACGAGCCGACGTCTTTATGTCCACTACAGCATTCGCGGCAGTGCTGGTGGTGTTTGTAGGCTCAACAAACGTGATGGGTGGTTGACAGTGGATCGGGAGAAGGTATACAAGGGAAGGCAGAAAACCCCCGAGCAGTTGCACAGTGACACCTTAACCCAAGCAAGGGCTTGGTTTTGGCCATGTTTTTATCGACCGCTGTCACACTGAGGCTGCTGTGGGAGCCGGAAAATGCAGCTGGGTGGGCTCAAAAGCAATTGTTGGGGTGCAGGATAGGCAAAAGGACGACAGGTCATCTTGAGATAGCCCTTCCCGTTGTTTTCCCTCACAAAGCACACAACTTAGGGGCATCAAACTCCACACACGGAAGTACGACAATGTCGATGGGTTTTCAGCCGGATAAAACTTCCGCGCAAGCACTTGAAAGGAGGCACCCAGGAGGTACATGGGGCGCCAATGGACTCGGTCGGCCTGGTGAGCCCTGATGACGTTGAGCTGAAGGTTGATGAAATAATGAAGCGAGGAGCGCAAAGCCAAAAAGGGAGCTACACGAAGATCCAGGAGTGCCAAGGCGAGTTGCCAGTGGGTTCTGTCGGTATCGCATTTTCTATATTCCGGGCGGCGGCCCTGGTCGGGCTTGGCGCCACTGATGGAGCTCGGAACAAGCGAGAGGGTCCAATTGTCCTACAGCTTTGCCCATCAGGAACTTCGGAAGCCCAGGGGAGGCCCTACCCAGCTCGCCAGTAACAGAGGGGCCAGTAGCCTCGGAGCCAGAGAGTGAGCAGACAGCCGCAGGTGCACGCACGGGGCAAAAGCACCACCAGACTCCAGAGTGCTGCTTGTGTGCTTCCCCAACCTCCTTGCTCGGAGCTCCCAATTATCCACAGAAGCTCCTCCCCTTGCCCCTCGCCCCTCGCTCCTCGCCCTTCGCCCTCTGCCTCTCACACCTCCCAGCTCTTCGCCCTCCCACTTTTCTCTCTGCTGCTGCCCTGCTACGCTGCTACTCCCTAGCACCTCAGCCAAAACTGCTTCTCCTCTTCTCCTCCTCTCCTCCAGCCTTCTGGAGCTTCACACCTTGTCAAGCAAGGTCAAGCGGCGCGCCAACCACTGGGCCGATGTCTCTATGCATTATGATGCGCACACCTCGGGCTCTCTCTTTTCCAACCCCCCGACTGCCCTGAAGCCCGCCTCTAGCCCTCCCCCCGATTTCTCTTTCCCCCTCTGTTCTCTCCCCTGAGCTGCTGACTAGTGCAAACCTGGGAGATGGACTCTGGGCCCTGACGTTTGCCCACAGCTCTCCCCCCAAAGGTCGCCCAAGTTTCTCAGCCGTATTCCGCTCGCTCACCCCCTACCTCGACCACGCACCTCTTCTCCCTTTCTTTATTCCTGCCCATAGCTTGCTTTCAATCGTATTTCTATCCTTTTTCCATCTCTTCAGACCTCCTTCCCATCTTGCCTCATCTACAAGTCACATCCACACATCATCTACACCATGGCGCCCACCAGAAGCCGACCTGGCGACGAAGAAGAGGAAGAGCTTGAGCTCCCCGAAGACGACGAGGAAGAAGAAGAGGAGTAAGTCTCATCTTGTCTGTCCTCATTTCCTGATCGTTTCTGCTTGAACTGTCGCATCTCGGGGGTGGAAGCGACTGTCCGAAGCGTTTTTCGCTCTCTGAATGCCGTGTCCTGCCTGATCATTCTGCGCGGGCCAAGTCATGGCCTGGCATGCATCATCTTCTCCATTCTTGCTCTTTACCTATACTTGCGTCCCGCATTTTGCGAGTATCATCCCAGACAACTGATCGTGCTGATGTTTTCCTCCTGGGCAGATATGAAGACGAGGATGACGAGGATGATGAGGAGGGTGACGAAGAGGAAGACGAGGAGGACGACGTAGAGGGCGAGGAAGAGGAGGAGGAAGAACAAGGTAAGTCCTGACCTCACCTTGGTCTGAAGTACTCTCTGCTACCGTCTCAACTTGATCGCTAATCGACTCGTTGACATAGCTCCCCCTCCCAAAAAGCGAAAGGCTGAAGCGGAACCTGTTGAACCTGCATCCAAGAAGTCCAAGCCTACCGCCCAGGAAGAGGAAGAAGAAGAGGAAGAGGAGGAAGAAGACGGCGAGGATGCTCCTGAAGACGACGCTGACGAGCAAGAGCAAGAAGAAGATGAGCCTGCGGTCAAGACCAAAGTTATTTCGGCCTCCGAGGGCAAACAGGCCGCGGCCACTGCTGAAACGGAGGAGCTCGACGACGAAGAATAGTCATCGATTGTTGTCGTGGGTGGCTTCCTCTGGCAATGCTGAAGTCAACACTTGCAAGAAGGATAGAACACGGCGAAAATTTCTCCAATGTAAAAGAGACCGTGTCTCCCGCACCCGCCGCCGCGGGGAAAGTGCCCGTGTTGCAATCCCTCTGCTCGACTTCTCTCTTGTGCGTGAAAACTTCTTCCCTCGCTGGTACTAACTCGTCCTACGAATGGCTCTTGAGATCTTAAGTGTAAAATCTCCTCTGTCTCCATGATATGTGTGCTGTGAAGTCTGCGAAATTGTTGGCGGCTTCAATTAGGGGTTGCAACCACTTCAGGAATAACAAAGTCACCGGCCATTGAGAGCCATCAGCTTGATTCTGCCTTCGTGTCCCGGCTCGGTACATCCGGCTCGACCGAATACCACGAAGGTCCAAGCTCTTTCGACATACGCGTATACGCTTGCAAAGAGAAGTACGAAGTCACTTCATCTAGGGATTGTTCTCTCGGGCCACCTCTATGCAAATGAGAGCGTTTCTCAGGCAATCTGGGAAGCTTGGCAGCTCTTTCTTCCTACCTAGCAAGATAGCTCCGTAGGTAGCTACCCCTGGTCAAAAGGCAATTCTCGAAATGCCATCGCTCATTCTTCGGAAATAACCAGCCGCTGGTGGTTGAATGGGTTGCAAGCACGGAGCTGAGCGGCCGTAGCGGCCGCACACAAACGGCGTCCCTTTGCGCGATGCCAAATGCCGCCAAGCAGTTTTGTAAGGAGGTCATCTTTGTCATCCTCGAGTTGCATTTGACGCTCACTGCATCTCGCATCGTGTTTCGGTCTTTGGCTGGATGGCCGAGAAGCTTTATGGCCTTGGCCAACATCATGAGCATGGAAGTCTGTCTCCATGGGCGTATTCATCTGCAAACCCTCCATCAGGTGAGTCGAAATGTGAATCAAAAGCTGGCGCTACACTTGAGCGCCATTCGCAGCATAAGCCGCACGCAGCGAGATTACTTCATCGAGTCCATTCTCTGCCGCTTTCATCGGCCGCTTTTCTCTTGGCTGTGTAGGTACAGAATGGATTGTTCTAAAAGCCGGGACATGCAAAGGGCTCCAGCTCCAGGTTATAAAGGTCTTCACAAGGCCAACGTGTGTCAATGTGCAACGCTCAAGCATCGTGCAATACGATCAACTATACACCAAGGCAGTCCGCCAACCTGTTACATCTACAAGTTCCTGTAACCTCAATCGCAGCTTGAAAGCATTCCAAGGACAATGACAAGCTCCAAGGTCTGGTTCATCACTGGGTGCAGCAGTGGATTTGGTCGAGAACTTGCACTCGCTGCGTTAAGACGCGGTGACAGAGTAATAGCCACCGCTCGCAATGCCAGCAAGCTTGACGATATCAAGGCTGCTGGCGCCACAACGATGAACTGGGATGTCACGGCGCCCTTGGAGGATCTCAAGAAAGCAGCTGAACAAGCGCATCAAGTTTATGGACGATTCGACTATCTGATCAACAACGCGGGTTACAGCCAAGTCGGCGGACTAGAGGAACTCACGTAAGTCTGCTTTACTCTTTTTGCCAGGAGAGCGATACTTAACTCTGGAAGTCCGGAACAAACTCAAGCACAATTCGCCACCAATGTGTTTGGGCTGCTGAACACTACGCGGGCCATTGTTCCGTATATGCGGGCGAAACGGTCAGGGGTTGTGGCCAACTTTTCCAGCGTCGGTGCCTGGCGAGGTTACGCAGGCGTCGGTCTGTACTGTGCTTCCAAGTGGGCGGTCAGTGGCATCTCGGAAACTCTTTACTTTGAGCTGGCAGACTTCAACATCAAAGTCTGCACCATCGAACCTGGTTATTTCCGATCCAACTTCCTCAACGTCGGTAACAAGCTCCCAAGAGAGAATACGATTGCGGATTACGAAGGAACGGCAGTGCGAAAGGGAGAGCAGTTGTTGGATGATTATGACAACAAACAACCAGGCGACGTCAAGAAGGGCGTCAGGGTCATTATCGATGTCTTGACTGGTGCGACAGGCAAGGACATCCCAATGCGGCTGGTGCTCGGACCAGACGCATACGGCATGATCAAGGCCAAGTGTGAGGAGACCATCGAAGGGCTGGAAGAATGGAGGGATCTGACTTGCTCGACCGATTTGGATGAGAAGTAAATGCCAGACCCAACTGGAGAGTCCCTGCAGGTGTCGACGGTATCTCCACGAAGAAAACGGATATCTGGCGGTGATGGCTGATGTTTTATTTGAGCACGCGACTCTGATGCCACGACAGCTTTTGCTTTAGTGGCTTCTGGGTCTGTTTGGCTTCCACTCTTGCTCGCTTTGTTGCATTGACGCTGGACTTCCGCTGACTCGGCTGATGGACATTTTGATGAAAAACTGGGTTGTTTGTGGCTGCAATCGTCTGTCACCCGTCTGCGAAAGCGGACGCAGTACGAGACTTTCTTTCCAACGTGTCGCGCGACGAGTCTCATTCAAAAGAGGCGTTGGTGGGGTTTCGGATGCTTCTGCTTTTCTGTCTTGCGCCCCATGGATTCAAGATTGATTTTGGACCATCAGATGAAGCTCTCCCGAGTGTCTGCTGTTCGATATGGTTGGTACCTAAATTCATATCATTTCCAAGTTCAAGTGCCGAGCCACCAGCGAGGACATTTCTTGCTCTCAGGCATCAAGCCTTATCCCTCGGGTTATATCTTCACATCGATCGAGCCAGAACGTTCCTCACTACCTCGATCTGATTTTGCGACTCAACGCAGCGTATTCGAATGACCTATGATCGCCATACAATGCGTGAAGGAATCCTCTGTCCATGTAAGCACTCTAGGAAATAACAACTGGAGGCCTGGCTCAATGCCTGCAAGGCATTCCATCCCGTCTGTGGGCATCTGTCTTCTTGCCGCCGCTTTTTGCAGCGACGGTACGGAATATAGAATACGATACTGTAACACGACTGCTGACTGCGATGTGAGGTCCTTATCATTACCTAGTACTGAATGTGGTTTCTTAATCGTATGCCCGCACGACTGCTCCGTATTCGAACAGGCTGAGATTACCTCAGGTCAGTCGAAGTCAGGCCAGGTCCAGAGTTATCCTGCCTCTTCCTCTTCAACCCTTCAGTCTTATTGCCACGGCTATGGCCGGTTCGTCTCACGCCTGATCTGATCCGTCGACTCCCCTTGGCCCCCAGTTCACTCTTCCGACTACCCACGGGAACTTGTAATATGGTACGAGTACCTCTCTCTCGCATCCCCGTGACTCGTATGAGTCCGGTCCAGTCCAACCCCGTCCATGAAAGCCTGGGGACGAAATTTCCGAGGTGGTCCAGGACATGACATGACACGAAGGTTATCCATTGCCCCCGTGTCCCAATGCCCCGTCGTTCCACATCCATCATGAATCCAGAAATGCTCATCATTTTCATATCCTGCACAAGAGCGGGGGGGGGGGCTCTGATTCCTTTTCACGCTTTACCACATCTCGCCTCGCGCGTTAAGTGGTGATAAAAATAACTCTATACTCAATCCTAGGAGGCTCGTTGCTTGGGGGGACACACACGACTTACGAGCAGCTCGTCGCCCTGCGCGAGGAGCCATAGTTCTTGACCCCCTGTCCAGATATCTGCGAAATTTCACAATCATTTCCCTCCGCCAACCTCCGCCTTGTCCACCACCTTGTCCACTTAGGTACTACCCACTCTACCTCGAGTGCCTCGACAAGCTGCGTAGGTAGACTTAAACGAGTTCCACACCACCACGGGGAATCCCGTCCTTCGCGTTGCTTTTTACATGCGTAAATGGGTACACACTCGCAACATGGGTTCGTTTCAGCAGTTTTCCCAACCGTATTCTATCCCCCTTTGAGCAGGAGTAGCATGTCCTCTTTTGAGCGTTGGGTCCCTTTTTTTTGTGTTCTTTCCACCCCTTCGTTTTTCACAGGTCTATCTTTTTTTTTCCAACCTCGTGTACGAGTAGATGCCCTAATCACCCTCCCCTGCATCCATCCATTTCCTCCTCCTCCATCTTGACAGATTGGACGTGCGCCAGGGTCCATACGATGAGGAAAAAGGAAATGGCATCCCCGCCCCACAGACGAGAACGAGTAATAGGTAGGGTCGGTAGTCTGACCCCTTACCTACACAAGGATCGCACCTTCCGGATAGGGAAGACCAAAGCAAAGAAGATTTGGAATACTATTCAAATATAGCCCTCCCCCCACCCCAACCCACCCCCCCCTTAACTCTTTTCGTAATTCGTGCCCTCGGATGCAGGGCACCCACGCAGGCATGGGAAATGCAAGTATGCCAAGCATGGTTGAAGGGATCTCACGCTAAGACCCTGGACTTCGGATGGGCTTGCCTTGGAGTTCCACCCCTTGCCCCCCTATCCGAGGTACTCGAAGTCTCAGAAAGGAGGGAGAGCAAGGGAGACCAGGGCCCTGACCTACCTAGGTACATGGGACGGCACGGGGATTGGCTTCCAAGTACGGCATGGTTGCTCCTCGCCCCCAGGAAAGCAACAAGGCTGCGACAGGGACGGAGGTTTAACTCGTACTTGGTTAGTAGTATTTTCTATCGTTTGTGGCTCTTGGCGTAGGTAGAACCATTACACGAGCATCCCCCGTTCGCTTTTCCTCCAGCATCCATCCATGATCATCATCACCTTGGTCACTATCATGATTTGACCATGACTACCATGGCGACCGGCTCGGTAGACAAACAATCATCATCATTGTCATCAATCCCCCAAAAGACTGGAGCCTCATACTCCTACTCCACGAGCAGCCTCGCCAGCCCTTTGGTCCGGACAATCGCCGCCATCCATCCACCCTCTCTGCTTATGGGCTTTTTTTGTTGCTAATAATAAAGAGAAGGAACACTCACGCTCCCCCCTCTTTTGTGCCCAATCATAACAATGACTTTACCGAGGCTCTGTTTTGTTAGGGAATACCAAGTCCTCGTGCGTTCGAATCCTCCTGCTGCCCTTTCCACCTATCCCCCCTGCCCCCCCTCTGCCTGGCTGACCTCTTCCGCCCCCCGCTTGACCTGCCACTCGAATCGTGCGTTATGCATACCTATGCACCCGCATTGCATGGAGCCTCCCCGTCCTTACCGTTGCGAGGGATTCCAACCCACGCGGAACGGCAAGGCACCCACGGACGGCTCACGAGGGCTATCCCGTCCAATCACCATATGTGCCAGTGTGCTGGGACGCACGCACCCGTGTGCAAGCAGACGAGGCGTGTGTGTGTGATCCACATTCCCAACGTTGCCAAAAGGGTTGCCATATATAGCAACGGCATGAATAATGCATGGAATATCTTGTTCCTTCGTAGCGTGCCGCCCTATACCCCTTTCCTCAAAGCCTTATTTAGTGCGAGTTTCATGCATGGATGGGCAAAGCGTGACTTCCATCACTTCTTCTAGCAAACCTCGTCTAGAGCTCCCCGGTCGGCGTACGCTATACTTCGAGTTAGACCACTTCCCGCCACCCTGTCATACAGAGGCAACGGAGGAAATGATGTTTGCTGACCTATCATCCGAATCCGATAGAGCCCGGTTCGCACTTTTTCTTTGCATACGTCGTCTCTTGGTGGCTGTGCTCGGGATATTCGATTTCTTCCACCATTGTTCCAGTCTTCCCGACGGGAAAGAAAGGGCATTTTCACCCTTGCAACTTCTTTCTCAAACCAGCCTCTCGTCTCGTAGGCCTTTGGACGTACTCGTAGTCCCGTACTCCACTTGTGCACCGGGTGTGGCGAAAAGGAATCCTCCAGCAATCCCGGGCTTTTCAAAGTCGCCATATGGATCGGTCGTAAACCTTGCCCTGCACGTTCTAATGCAAGGCGGGCGCCAGCTGCGTCAACGTTGGCTTGGCAGCGTTTTTTTCTTTTGCTAGCTATGTCCATGCTCAAAGCCTTGCCCCACGAGGCTGAAGGGGGTCGGAAACACTTCCCCACAACGACGTTTGTCCTAGGACCAGGGTCATTCAGCGAACAAAGGACACACAAATTCAGCATTGTCATTGCAGCGCGCTATATTTCCCCTTTCTGCAATCCTTTTCGAACCCTATTACCTTTTGCTCTTTTTTCCTTCCACGATCACAAAGGGTCGTCTCCACCACTCGTGTGTATCAAGCTTCCTGTATTCGGTAATTTTGATTAGCAACGCAGAAACCCTGGTCAGCACAGGCTCGACCTCACCTAAGGTCCATTCCAGACAAACAGACCGAGGAGGCCCGGACCTGCATCAAGTGCATCCGCGCGTACGTGTTCTGTCCATCTCAACCTCGTGTCGATGGGCAGGGTACTAAAATTAGAAAGCCCTTACACATTTGCGCTCAATTTCCCACGACAAACCCAGACGATGAGGCCATCACGATGGCTCGTATGCGAGCGAGAAGTGGGTGGCAGAGAGCGGATGACGGTGGATATGCACCAAATGCAAGGCTTTTGTGGACGACAGAAGTCTCCCATGCAAGGGAAGGCGGAGACGACGCGTCTCTCACCGTTTCTATTTTCTGCCCTCACTTGTTTTCAGGATGCTGGTGGAGGGACTGAGGACAGCGGTGGAAGTGAGGGGAGAAAGGATGGGACGAAGGAAACGGGAGGAGAGCAAGAGGCAGGAACGTGTAGCTTCTCAATCAGCTTTTGCCGTGAAGTCTCGATTACCAGAAAGCACAACGACATGAACATTAATGATGGAATCTCTATGTATATACTGCGTGTGTTTGAAAACAACCATTCACCAAAGTCAGGGTCAGTCGCAGGGCATCATGATAGAAACGACCGTGTCAATGCAGAGCAATTCCCATCCCAAGCAACGCTTTCATGATGCGATGCTCCTCGCAAATTGCAACCTTTCCCTCCCGCTTCGTGTGCTGTAGGCGGATCCATAAATCATCAAAAGCCAGCAATAGACTTTTCCCCTTGCACGCCTTGCCTTCCCACGCTTTTTCCAGCAACCGTGTAGAACCCGCAAAAAAGAACTGATGCAAAACTTCAATGTTCCAAACTTTCGTCTCGTCGTTGCCGGTCGTCGCCGGTCGTCGCCGGGTCGCCCCAGGTTGCGTGGCGTAATGCGGAAGTGGCCGAATTGTTTGCGAAAAGCGTATTTGCTGGAGAAATTGTAAAAGAAAAAATACGGCGAAAGCTTTTGCCTCCTCAGTAGTCTGTCCATTCTGCATAAGGCTCCATGGCGAACTCGTATTTGATGCTTTGATTTTGGCCGGCTAGTCACATATGAACTGATTGGCCCTCAAAATTATCCATAAAATTCCAATCGATATCCCCTGTACTCAATCTGGGATGTGGATCGAGATTGTAACCTAGGAGTGCTGTCCTTGCGTGTGGGTCGACCTCGTTGCTGCCAAAGCTGTGCTCGGAGCCTACTGGGAATTGTTGTCCAGGGAAAGCTGGTAAGAAGTCTTCGGATCCGTGAGCGGGTTCCGAGTAGAGACTGCTTCTCATCCCTGATTGCCATTGCATGGGCGCGGCGAAGGAGCCTGGAGTATCTGCTTGTGAATAGGTGCCATGCACCAAGGCCGGATTTGAAAGTGCTTGAAAGACTGTCGGCTGCGCGAGGTCCATCTGATGACTCGTTGGGGTTGGAATGCTGAATTTAGTGTTGGGTGGTGTTGATCCGTTCGAGTAGGTCCTCCTAACCTGACCTTGCTGGGCCTTTTGGCGATCTAAGGCGGCCTTCATTCTTTTTCGTATGATGGCGTTGCTGCGCTCCAAAGCGGGCGTGGTACTGGATGTCTTTTGCAAGACCTCCAAGAGAAAGCTCAAGCCATTCTTTTGTGCTGCAACCCCCGGGTCTTCGCCCGGTTGGGATTCTCTTTCAAACCGCAGAACGGCAATTGTTGCGGCAATGTAAACGCTATAAGCATTGAGATAGGAGACGTGGTTCAGTCCGAAAGTGTTCGCTTGCAGCATGATGAGATCATGAATGGCACCCGTTGCCTGGATACACATTTGCCATGACCGTGCTGGTCCTGGCGCGCTCATGTCTCGTGCTCCAAGCACAAGCGGGCGGTGTAAAAGAATCACCGTTGTATGGTAGAGGAGATTCAGTGACATGATATGCACTGGTGGTGCTAGAGATGGCATTTGGTCGGGATTGATTCGCAGATGAGGAGGCAAAGAAATGAGCCAGTCTCGTAGATCCCGCGAGATTCTCACAAAAGGTGCCTCACTAGCTGCCTTGGCCTCCGCTGAATGGTCTTCCTCTCCCATCTCACGACGGGCGGCGGCCTCAGAGGAATATATGCTGTGCATCAGATCGTTGAGAATGACGCAAATCTTGCACAACTGCCGGAAGCATGAGACCACATAGCCAGGGCAAGGAGGGTAGTTAGGGACATTCGCGAGCTCAGGCGGTGGTGTCTCTCCGTAGTAGGGTGCCCAGAGATCACTGTCACTGTAGTCGTCCATGAAGGTCAGGGGAACCTCCTCGGTCGCTGGGGTGAAACCGGGCATTCGGCCGAGATACAGGGATAGGATTTTATCCCAGGTGTAGCAGCTCCAGAACAATCGCTTTCGAATCTCGATGTCTTCGGGTGTCAGGCTTTTCACGAAAGCTTGGAGTTTGTCACTGGGAAGATGAATGCCCATGTCCAAGGCCATACGAAATGCGACACCGGAAAAGGTCCATGCTTGCGCGTTTCTTCCAAACATGACTTCTCTCGCGGACTGTTGTAGCAGAGCTTGAATGGTAGGAATAGAGCTGTTCCTCAGCATGTCCATGCCCAAGCCAAATCGCGCCTCATCGGTCATTTTTTGCATAAACTCCCCGGCGCTCATCGAGCTCGCCATGGGGCTGTGCTGGCTCAGAACACTATGATATTGGTCCTGGTAGACGTCGTGATTCAAGAATCGGGCACAATGAGCATGTATCACCTAAAATTCCATCAATTAATCGATCGAACCCAAGTTTTTCGGAGTGTTTCGCTATACCTTCAGCAGGGTTTCTGAAAAGTATGGTGGGTCTTGAGCACCTGGAGTATTCAGATCCACCATGGCCATTCCTCTCGTAAAGGCAGGCCTGTACACGAACAGAAATAAAGGATGCTGCCAGCACCAGTGATACTTGAGCAATTCGTTTGAAATTTCCTTTGGCACATTGGTCTTTGCAGCACCATTCGCAATTGCGAAAGGTTCAATCTGTCTTTGGTGAGTGGCGTTTAAAATCAAATCGCGTTTCACACGCTGGTCTTCGTGGAGATTTCCATTGTAATTGAGTTGAGCTGTTATCGACTGATGATGGCGTTGACTTGAGGGCGGCTCATGGATGGGAGACGTCGAGTTGTGGAATGTTACACTTCCGGTGTCGTCCACACTAATGTCGGCTTCCCACTTGATATGTCGATTTCGATGTGCCAGAGCTTGCCCTGAACTTTGAGAGGCGGCTGTTTCGCTGGCGGGTGATGCTGAGGGCAGTTTCTTGTCATCGTGCGACCCGGCCTGGCCCCATTCGTCAGATACCCCTGATGACAGAACACAACGAAGAGACTCCTTCATACCCTACTTAGCCAAACTTGGGTCTTGGCTTGTCGCAGTTGCGCCTTGAGTTCCTGGATTTCCTCCTCTAACGATCGTACGTAGGCGAGTGAGGGTGGCTTGTCGTAGTGACAGTCGTCTTTGTATGCGATACACCTACAACGTGTATCAGAATTATTGATCGATCATTGTGCGGGACAACTCACGTGGTGCATTTGGGTGTTTTCCCGTCGCATTTCGACTTTTGACAAGTTAGCAATCTATGCGAAATGCTTCCGGGGCACCACCAATTGTTTCGTCTTCAAACAGGTTGAAGATTGACAAAGAGATGGGCGATCAATACCTTTCTTCTGCGGCAGCCAGCGCATGTGGACTTGCGGTGCTTGGACTTTGGTTTTTGCTCGACTTCTGCAGGCATGGTTGAAGAGGGAATGACAGAAGATTAGATTGGTGATTGATGAGGGTCGGGAGGGTAGAGAAAGGGTCAATGAATCAAATGAATGAGTTCATGATCAAAGCCTCGTAGGGCGTTGAGGGACTTTGAATGGCTTTCTCCTCACGAGATCAGAATCAGAATTGGAGAGAGGTCCGTCAGCAAAAGTGCCAACCCCTGCTCGGTCTGGAGAGCTAGGATATTTTTTCATACACAGGCGGGCATGGGCAGGCAAGGTATGGCTTAGCGTCATGCGAGGGCGATTGTCGGAGCAGCAGACCAAACGAGTCTGGATAGACAAGGGTCAGTAACTCTGCGGGATGGCGGATGAGTAGTTAGGATGATACTACTAGCAAAGGCCTCTGCTGGGAAGGGAAAGTACCATCTGATGCTGAGTTACTGCTCTTTCCGGAACAGCAGACCATGGCAAGCGGAGGCCACATTTTTTCTCAGAGAGAATGAGTTTCAAGCGAGCAGGGGGGTTGCGGTGGGTTGGAAGCTTAGGGGAACGAATAGTTAGTTCGCAGTAAGTCGGGGATTAGTGGGTGATGGACCACGCAGGGCTGTGGTGGGATGACGAGTTCACTGTCTTCCTTCTCGAGTTTCTTGCCTTCTCTCCAAAATGCTCGTACTTGGACTAGAAAGGGCAGAAGGTGATTGACCAGTGGAAACGGGGATGCATCCAATGCCGGAGCTGCCTTCGCCATAACCGAAGCCACAGCGAACACGCAACCTCCCGGCCGGGCACCAGCCAACAAGCAGGGGGCGGAGGGGGAAGGAAGCAGGTGAGCAGGGGTGGTGATCAGGATCTGAGGGAAGCCCGAGCCGTGTCGCAAGATGTGCCCAGCGCCGAGCCATACACCTCCCTAAAGCGTGAAGGTCAGAGGAGCCTGTGACGCTAGACGCGCTGGACCAGGATTTGCCAATTAACCTGCCGCTTTGACAAGCTTGGGGGTCATCAATTGGGAGATGGGAAGTTAGAGGAGCACTGGAGCAAGAAGGAGGGCATAATAGTTGATTACGGGGATAACTAGGGCAGAAGGGGAACACTAGAGCAGGGGATAGATCGGGTTCAATGACAGGCTGTGCGTTAGCGGCTAAAGGGCGTTTTGCCAATAGAAGAGAGCCAGAGCAGCTTGCATTGCACCAGATTCTTACTGAGAATGGGGCTTAAGGAGAGAAGGCATCTTCATACCAAGAGCTTCCTGTCAAACAACACTCATAAGGGACTTGTGTATTATACCTAATAGACAGGGAAGCAGCGACTTGAACGACAAGTTGATCAACGACTCTTGTCAAAACTCTCCTCGCTTTCTCCAACGTGCATCTACGTCAATAAGGGAAGGTGGTGTGCTACAGGGCGTTAATCCAAGCCCCAAGAGAGTTTCTTTTCTCCAAACGCTAGCGACTAACTCTTCGGCTTGCTGAACGAACCAACCATTTCGTGCCCAAAGTCGACCTGTATGTAAACGGCCTTGACACGGACCGATCAAACACGGCGCCGACTGCGATCACCACCGAGGCTGCTATTGAATCAAACGTCCTTACAAATTCAACTTGCTTTCCTTTCTGAGGCACGAAGACTATCCGGAACGACGATCAACAGACCTAGTGTGCCTGATTATCGATAGCCTTGCTGCCCTGTGTCACCAAACAGTCCTCTGTACGGAATGACAATCCCAAGACCTTGTCACCTCGGGCTCCAGGTTGTTTGAAACGTCTCTAATGGCAAGGAAAAGACAGGCTGTACGAGTAGGCAAGCTCGTGCCGCTTCGTCATAGCATATCCCTTGGCATTCCAATGGGTTGCACGAAACACGAGTCGGTCAGCGATAGGCTATGGCACATGCAAGGTCAGAAATCCATGTTTGGTTAGTTCCAAACGCATTCAACCGACGGGCAACCGGCCTCTAAGATGCCTCTTTAGCCTTGTGGTCACTGAGGTCTGTATTGCCTGGTCTCATGTATTACAGCCTTCCTCGTGTTTAGGCCTCATAACCTCGTCACTCGCGCCTCGTATACTCATATTGCTTACGGTTACGAAGTATAGGACGAGCTAAGTGATCACAGGCTCTTCAACACCCCGGACTATCCGTCTGCATGGAAACTCGTTGGGTTTTCGATACTTCCAGAATGTCGGGATGGATGGTGTTGCTTGCTGCTTTTTCGCTACTGGTGTTGCGGATCCGCACTGTCGATCTCGTCTGGTGACGCTGAACGAATACGGCTTGTCGGCCCAATCAAGACAAATGATACTGTGGTTCTATGCCAAGTATAGCACAAGTCAGCACTCTATTCGACATAAGCACTATTGCCTCCCGCTTTGCTTGATGCATGAAAGCCCGACATCTGGTGCGTTAACTCCCTTGCTCGCCACGAGGGGCCCAAGTTTTGAACCACGCACAATCAACAGGTACTGACCTGAAGGGATCCAGTTAGACACATCCCGTCGTTCACATCCGCCCACTAGCCCCATTCTGGAGCCCTGTTCTGGAGAATCCCGGTCGATTTTCGAGCCCACCAGACCTCGGAATAGCACATACAAGAGCGAAATTTACCTCATCCCGCATCATCTCTGTCTCCCTGCTACCCCAATTCGACATGGTTAGATAATAGACTCTCGGGTTATAGGCAAAACTATTTGCCAAATTATGCATCATACGCAAGGTCGGATATTCATTATACAGCCTGACTAACGCTCCTATAGTGAAAGGGCACCCAACAGTGCCGGATGTCCAATGACAGGGGACGGTGGAAACAAGGCTAATGTACCTAGGTATCCTGGCCCTTTTTTGGCCGTCTCCAACGTCAACAAACATTTCGAGATTCCCACTCCATTTCGATCTTCATCACCCAATTCAGGACCCGCCGTTTGAACGGCGCTCCGAAACGTCGTTCCACGAGGAGACTGCTGTGAGATGACCACCCTCCCTGGCAGACGACGTCTGCAACTCTAAAATTGGCGCATCTCGAAATTTCGTTGAGAAAGAAGCTTCGTAGGCTAGATCCCAAAGTGGGCATTTTCGAATGCCCTTCCGCACGCAAGAGGGCACGCGCAAGCTCGTGTCCGGAATCTTACAAATCCACAATAACCAGGCTGGCAAACTCCCTCCCTCATCGACGACTCTAACGTGCTGGTACCCAGCCTCCTGGCTTGCGAATGCCAAATACTCTCATAGTTCTGATTGGGGAAAGACCAGGCCAAGTTGATATTGGTCAAATGCAAATGCCTAAGACTTCTCTGCCACCTGCGTCGACTCCGAGTCAGTCTGGCAAGAGTCAGAAGATGCGCACCAGCGCCCCTAGGCGTTTGTTCGTTCTCTGCAGTCATAGAGAAAGTTGCACAAGGACAAGCCGACGACTCCCGTCGTCAGGCAGAGTACACGAAACTTCAGAGCCGACATCCGGAGTTCTGCAAAAGGATCGGTCGGCCCCTACGACGGCTGCTAACACTCATTGGATTTTAGTCATTCGACTTAGTCAAGGCAGAATGCGCATGCCAAAAGGGCTAAATTGCCCCTCCCCATGCACAAAGCGACAGCAACCAAAATTACGTGCCAGTGCAGGAAAGGGTTGTGCTGTCAGCCAGTCACAGACCGGCTTATCCTCTCTGAATCTGTTTCACGTTATCCTTTTGCCAGACGAGGCAGGTAGTTCTTGCGAGAGGCCAAGGCTTCTGTCTAATTGCTCGATATTATCTTGGTTGATTTGCGACAGTCTCCGTATCAAACGAGTGGATGAAGTCAAAGATTGTTATTTCGACTCTCAATTATCTCAAGAATTCTGCTTCGCCATGGCGTCGACTTTGCTCGTCATCTTCTGGCCCTCTAGACCTATGACCTGGTCAAACTCCCGGACAGCTAGCAATTCTCATGGCCACCACCGGCTTCGACGCTAGCCGGAAATCCTCGTTCTATGGTCCAAGTACTCCCGCGCCAGATCAACAACCGGCCGTCGACCAAAGGAGAAACAAGGAGAGTATGTGAGCTCTCATAACTTCTCATAGCAAATGTGGAGTTCTCTGGCGAGGTCTTTCTGCACGACAACAGTGACTTGTCATGATCACTGGGGTGGGGGCCATCACATTTACCCCGCGTGGAGGAGGTCTTGAAGATTCGACGTTCTATGAGGCCCAGGCCAATGTCTAGCAGGACGCTCTTCCAGCAAGAACGACTCTCGCGTAGGGTGGTTTATCTTGAATTCTCAAAGCAAGAGAGGTCTGTCACACCCTACACCACCGGCTACAATGCCAGATGCGGGTCCCGGCTGTTGAATCACTGATCAAAAGCGAAAAATGGAGAATCATGCGCAACGCCCGATTGCTCTGTTTCATACCTCTGATGGGATCCGTCTAGGCCCAAGGTCGCGTGGGGATCGACTTAGCACAAACAAGTACGCAGGAACAGAGGGACGCTTGGATGACCCAGAGAGCTTGTTGATGTTGATCTGCATATTCATTCTGTGGAGGGAAGTTCCTGCGACAGCACGACTTCTGGGCGATTTGTCTTCACCCAGAATACCATCTCATCCTGTCGGCCCTGGAGCATTTCATCGTCGTTGCAGTCCAAGGCAGTCGCCAGAGCTGATAAGCCCTCTGGTAGCTGTCCGGAGAGTGGCCGGTCAGGTGCTTTTCACAGGGTGAAGGCCTGGAATGGCCGCGTAGATTGTAGGCATGTGCTCCTAGGCACTCCGTACATAAGTCGCGCTGAATCCTTCTGGCTTCTAGACTCCAGATCTTCCAGAGCTCCAAACTCCCTGCCGTGGTCTGAGGCCAGGCGAGGCGCTATTCACAAGGAAAAGCCAAAATCAGCAGAGGGGAGTAGAAATGACTTCTAGCCAAGTCGTACAGCGTACTGGGCCCTCACCTCCTGCAAAGGTATCCCCGTCTTTGGCTCCTGTCACTCTTTTGGGCCGTTCCGGGTTTCTGCTGAGGGCTTGTCATGTTCTGAAGAGTGCCGGTAAGTGTTTTCGTCAGGATTGGGGCTCCAGGGGCCCTATGCTCAAGTCTCGCGTAATATCGTTTTACCCGAGAGTGAAGAGCAAGAGAGCAACGGCTTTCGTCGGATCTTCCGAAAAGCCATCACAGTGTCCTGGCCGTGTCATATCCTTTTTTAACATGCGGTTCCTGGGTTACTGAACCTACCTAGGTACCTACTAATCGTTAGACCCTCTTTTCCTGCTGACTTCGCAGACCGACCGGGGGTTGCACCATCGCCTTTTGTCCTGGAACTTTGTTGGTGCTCCAGCCCTATCGTTTCGCCTGGAAGCTGCGCCCCCGCCATGCCTATCCGAGCCCCATCCACGTTGTCCCTTGTTTTTGCCTGCTTGCCCTTGGTCATGCTCACCCACTGAGGATCACAGAACACGGGGATGTCCACAAGTTTCCCTAGCTTCGCTATGTCGCAGGCAAACTTTCCTGGAGGAATTGGATCCAAAGTTCCAGACAACCCCCTCCCCCTCTGTTCCTTGCCACAGACCGCCCAGTCGGCCGCATACTCGACCTGCGCGTCTTGGGGCTCGCATTACACTGCTCACCAGCAGTAGCGCAGTCCAGAAAAAGACTTGGTGCTGATCAACTTTTTTTGACCTGCTTGATGAAGCCCTAGCACGTCGCCGAGATGCTTGGGGCTTGCTTGCGAGTGTCCAGACGACATTATCTCTCCCCTCCCGTCCCGTTCTATCCTCCTCCCTCGACCTAGTCACGGCTACCCTCAATTGACAAGATGAAGCAGCCAGACGCAATACAAAGAAACTACAGCGGCCAAGAGACCCTGGTCGAGGAAGAGATTGGAACAATTGACCTACATGGAGCACACCGGGAGTTATTGAACCCCCGGCCGTCCCAAGATCCACAAGATCCTCTGAACTGGCCACTATGGCTCAAGGTTGGTCTACGGATTCTGTGTTTTGTACGCTCAGAGCTCCTGTTGATCTTGGGCAGATTCTCATCTTGACTCAAACGTCTCTTCTTGCCGCAATTGGCGGTCTAAACACAGCTGCAATCAACCCCGCAACGGTGTTGCTCGCCCAAGACTTTGGGATCAGCAAGGTTGCTGCTTCGTATCAGACGTGAGTCTTGTCTCGACAACACCTCGTCCACCAACAAACTGACTTGCAAGAAGCACCGTCTGTATAGCTCTCAATGGAATAGCCCCTTGGCTGTGGATTCCGCTTGCGAACAAATATGGTAGACGACCAGTCTACCTGGCTACAACCTTCCTGGGCTTCATCTCCTCCCTAGGCTGTGCCTACACCCAATCTTATGGCCAGCTTATTGCTGCCCGAGTGTTCAACGGGTTCTTTCCCGTCGCATTTGCTCTGGGTGCTGCCACCGTCACAGACTTGTTTTTCTATCATCAGCGCGGCAGAGCCATGGGTTTCTTCACCGTTACCATGGTGAACGGAAGCCACCTAGCTCCCATTGTCGGAGGTTTGTTGGGCGAATACTGCGGCTGGCGATGGATCTTCAAGTTCGTGGCTATTGTGGACGCGGTCATGTTGACCACTGCCTTCTTCTGTCTTCCAGAGACACTATACCTCAGGAAAAGGCGTGTCGACGTGTCGAAGCCGGACTTACTCAAGCTGCCGACTGAGCAGAGGCCTCGGTTCACCAAAGAAGTCTACCTTTCCCGCATGCGACTCCGTCCGAACTTCCCTGAACTGAGATTGAGACCTAACCAGTTTGTGCTTCCGGCGTTGAAGATGGCTAAGTATCCCTCGGTGTTATTTCCGGCTCTCTACTACGCCACTATGTATGGTTTTGCGTCCATTCTGCCGGCGGTGACTGTCGCGACAATTTTCACAGAGTTCTTCCATTGGAACACCCTGACCATCGGCCTCACTTATGGCGCATCTCTCACCATCGGAGGCGTCCTCGGCGAGTGCGTCTCGGGCTGGGTCGTTGATGGCATGGTCAAGCGAGAGCGAAAGCGACTAGGCCGTGATCCAGAACCAGAGGTTCGACTCAACGCCATCTGGATGGGTGAAATCATCGTCCCCGCTGGGTTGCTGATCTATGGCTTTTGCTTGCAATATCGTACGGTGTGGATTGCGCCAATACTCGGGATGGGCATCGCGTGCTTTGGCCTGCAAATCATCACAACAACGACATACACCTATGCGATTGACTGTTACCGCACAGAAAGCAGTGAGGTGGCGCAGCTGTTTAACTTCATTCGTCAGGAGATTGGCTTCACTTTCGCCTTCTATGTTGTCCACCTGGGAAACAAGATCGGGTACCAGTGGACCTTCCTTATGTTCGCCCTCATTGGTGGGGTATTGGCATTTTTGCCGATGCTTTTCATCATCTTCAAGGGAGAAGAGTGGAGAAAGAGACTTGGAAAGCCGGTAGGCGTCAATGTCCTCGACAGCATGATGGAAATAGCGGACGAGCACGACCATGGTTCTGGATGAAACGACCGTGACAAGCGAAACATGCGAGACCTCAGATGAGATATGGCTGATGACTGACATAAGGGAATGGCAGATGCAGATGGGATTCTAAAATCCCATGCCACTCCGGCAGCAGCCCTGTCAAGCAGGGCCTCGGCTAATGCAAGTGATCTGCAAAATCGTGCACCAGATCTCTGCAAGACAGGGGCAGCACGATCTCGGCACGACCCCGTGGGAACCACGGCTCTCGGTGCTGCACGTCAGTTGTACATATACATATACGAGGTGGCATCTCACTAACAGATCTGGGTGACCTGGTGGTGCGAGTCCGAACCGAGATGGCGCCAGCTGCCCGGGGGTTCTGCGTGGCAGGGTTGTGCTCTTGAAGCTGCTTGCTGGATCCCGGAGAATTTGCTGGTACATCCTCCCCTCCGCTTAGCCTGGACCCCCAATAGGTGTGGAAGATGGTCCGCCCCGGAGGGACTCCGGAGCACATCATCAACCAACCACCAGTCTATCTTTCGTCGTTTAGACTTCGGACAGATTAGAATCAGCTCTGCTGAAGAACCTTGCAGCGGCTCGGCCGTGGGATATCCGTTTATTTCCGCTTGGCTTCGTTATTCTGCTGTCCGGATGCATTCAGCTAGCCCTGGGCGTAACGGAGCAGTCCGCCAAGGGGGCGGGCATAAAATGGCATGAGAAGGGCGGTCCTGCCAGCTAGTGCTCTTCCTCCATTTTCGATACATAAGAGCAGCAAGACCTCGATATAAAATTCCGGAGACCTTCTGCAGATTCTCGGTTCTGTATGTTACCCATCAAGGAAGAAATATGCATGATTCTGTTCCTGCCAGGCAGCGAGTTTCGGACTGAATCCCCGTTGTCGGAACCAGTCATTGAGCTAGCTGGCCGAGCATGTCTGAAGCAGGTTTGGATCTTCGGTGTGTGAATTACCTGTCCAAGGACATCTCTCTCGGGTGTCTGAATGGGGGAAACTCTTTTGCTTGTAATGATGGGCAACCAAAAAGCATACAACTTTCCTCTTTGGGATCCGAATTATCGCGAGCTAGACCTCTTGGCTTGCCAATCTTACCGGTCCAAGAAGAGGATGACCGGATAGTCTTGGGAGCTTGAGGATTTCGACTTCTCAACATCCTAGGACGAAGCGGACATCTCTTCTACTTCGATCGGCAATCTGGGTATGCTGACCTGCATCTACATGTGTGTCTTAAAGAGACACACTAAATCCATGGCATGTACCACGCCACAGTGGACCGTCGTTGGTCATCTTGCTCTATGGAGGACCAAGTATCGAAGAACTACTGGTCTCTGAATGATTTTACATGGCCAGACCGGACGAGGACGGGGATTGTGTGTCAGGATACTACTTATGATGTGCTACATCCGGTAGCTCTCGAGTCATCATCTGAGTGGAGATTGCTGTCTGCTACTACACAACCGAGCAGTAGACTTGCCGGAACATGCCCGCGCTCCGAGGTTCGAGATAGCCGCGATGGTAAGGGCCCCATGCTCTTTGGGCCTGATCGAGCTCGGAGGTCTCGAAAACCCAGGGCTGGATATCGAAGCTTGCCGGGAACGATACGACCTCTGCGGGACCGTCCCCTAAGTCCTAGTCTGCCAGGTCAAGGCGCCAGGTCAGGGCAAGTTTGGGCTTCAAAGAGACTCGAGCGGAGTGCGACCGCCAATCGAGACTGCCATCTAGGAGTGTGCAGACCAAGAAACGATCTTTATTGCTACTCCCGACCTATCGCTGGGAGGACAAGTAAGTGAATGTCTCGCCGCTTTGAGGTTTCGGGAAACATGGGAAACATTTCCCCAGCACGGGCAGAAGAGAGGAAGGAAGAGAAGAAGAAAGATAGGCATAGCGTGGAGAGGATGCCCGCCTAGCTAGGCAAGTGGTGTCTTCCGATAAAGGACAAGCCGGAAATGAGTTCCCAGACCCAGTCCCAGTACAGGTGAAGTTTGCAAACTCTCGTGTGTCACTGATGGTGGTGAGGTGAGGTGAGAAAATAAGTGGACAGAGGGGAGATCCGCGGCAAAAGACGGGGAGAGGGAGGGAGGGAGGGCTGAGGTTTCTGGGCCCTGGGTTCTGGGTCCCGCCTTAGGAGGAATAGCTGGTGAGGCTTGAGAGTGCTCGGTAGACGAGGCGTTTGAGAGGACGGGCATTCGCCGGCCGGAGAAGGGGGACAGACAAAGGACAACATATAATACAAAAAAGAAGGGAGGGAAGCTCGAGAGATGAAAGCGTGCATGCATATATACCTTGTACTTGTTATTGACGTCTTGCTGTTTGATTATGGAGGTATAGTATGGATATATGAAATCGTCGTGTATTTCATTCTCTCCTTGTCGTGTATGGAGACTGTTCCAGCCTCGTACGGCACTTAGTCCGAGACTCAGCCGTGGAAGCAAATCCCTGCTCAGACGGAAATAGGTGTGTGTGTGTGTGTGACTCGGAGTGTGTGTTTATCAACATAGCGTAGAAAGCAGGCAAGGGCAGACCCATATAGATGAGAACGGTCAGAGAAAGAAAAGGAAAAGAAAAAGGATCGAGCGCCAGGGTTCCACGGATAACCAGGTAGATCAGGATACCTAGGTACAGGTAGGTAAGTCGACAAGATCTCAGCAAGCAAGATAGACACAAACTATACATCTGTTTTGTTTATCCCTAGGTACTTCTTTCGTGGCGTGTTTGGGTACCTAGGTACCTAGGTAGTATCCATCTTGATCGAGAGTAGAAGAAGCGGAGGAAACACATGTACACCGGCGGTACATCAGGTATTTAGCTATGTAGGTACCTACCTAGGTAGGTACACCCTGTCCCATATGTATATCATTCTCCCAGCGCACTCGTAGTCCTCTCGTGTGTTGAACCACACAATTCCTGTTCATATGTATTTTTACTATACATTTGCTTGACTGATGTGTTGGCCTTTGACACATACACACACACACACACACACACACACTCTCTCTCTCTCTCTCTCGCTGCGTTTGTCCGAGCAAATATAAGTTATGAAGAAAACTTGTAGCAGACAAGCCATAATATGGGACAAGTCAAAAAACCATTTCGGATCTGACGCTGACTTCCCACTTTCGTCGATCCCCGACGCCCATCATCAGCAATCTCATGGGTCCCCAGCTGAAACATTGGTCTCAACGAGGAGGAAAAAGTGGATTGGACGGAAGATTATTGGAGCATGCTTTGGTAGATGCCTCGTTGGATCGCGGCTTTATCCCTGTGGAGACAGTAAGCTATAGCCTTTTACCAGTACGGCCGCTGCACTTCTCCATCTACCTGACCTAGGTACGAATACTCTACTCTCAGCTGTCTGAACACAGCTAGCATTCCTTCTAGAGGTAAAAGCCTCAATCCCCCTCTCGCATCGGGCTCTCAGCGGCTTCGTCATGATGAACATCCTCATCCGTGCCATCCCCCAACGTCAAACCTAGCATTTCCACTTACAGCTCGCATGACCCTGCGATGATTACCGTCGTTGCCCGTCTCAAAGTTCTCGTCTCCCACACGATCGGCTTCTAGCTCATCCCTCCACATATCATCTGAAGTTGAGGAGAAAGATGCTGCTCCATTTCCACCCGTGTCGGCAGCGTTAGCCTCAAAAGCCCGCTGCGCGAACCGGCTTTCGTCCCTCATCCTCAACCTCTGCAATCGAACGCCTTCAGCCTGCACACTCCTCGTCAATTCCCGATTCCGTCGTTCACGCAGATTGATGGCTCGCGCAGTTGGACTCTGCGGTACGGCTTCCTGATCCCAACTTTGTCGACCACGGTATGTAACAAAGGTCGACCCGACGTGGAGCATTCCTGGTGGTGCGGTATACGCAGCGTCTCGCTCAGTGACCAATAGATGCCTCGAAGTGTCGGCGGGAGTTTGTGGCTGAGAACTTGCAGGGAGTGAATCATTGTACACGCTATAGGAGCTCCCGTCCAGATTTCTATAAGGCCGAGGCTCGGTGCGCGGGAGGGCAGCAGCATTGCGAATCGGTGTTGGTGTACTTGGCAATCGTGGGGAGCCAGGTAGAGCTGGTTGCTGCCCGAAGTAGTCGCTTGCCGGCGTCCGTGGAAGAGGAGGAGAGCTTGGCATATCTGTTATGGAATACATCTGTCCGAGAAGGTTGCTGCTTCGACGGCGCTCTAAGGCAGGCTGAGCCATGTCGGTGCCGGGCATATCGACGGAGCCATTTCCGGGTGGTGATTCTGTTGCTGGACTCGCGAATGTGATGTCTTGCGCTGAATACGTGCGAGCGGCACCCGGGTTCGCGGGTGGCAATTCGAAGGGCGCACTGTCCAGCGCCTCATCTAGAGAGACTCGATTCAGGCCATCTGAGATGTGATCCTGTATCTCTGTATCCGCAACAGAGTCTCGCTCGGAGGATTGGTATGGGTAGGTATGACTCCGCCGCTTGTAGTTCCTACGTATGGGTGTGGCCGTCGGCGCAGGAACAGGTCTTCCCTCTTCCGGGTCGGTAGGAGGATGCTCGGGTGACGCCACCTCAGCAAATCGGAGAAGGGAGCTCTTACGAGGAGCATGTTGATTGATGTGCACGGGTGGCTCGATGGACTTGGGCGATCTTGGGCTACCGCTAGGAGAATTTTCACTCCCCTGAACGGGGACATCTGAAATGTGGTCTTGGTGTTCGATTTGGGACTCTTCAAAATCTGGAGGAAGCTCGGGAAAGCTGGATATCGATCTATCTAAGGACTCGGAGGAACAGTGACGAACTGGAGATTGCTTCTTGCATTCTTTTTCCTGGCTGTCCTGGGGCGAAGGCTGGGGACGACGGTAGGACAATTCGGCGGTACTTGAGATTGACACGGCAAAGTCCCGCAGGCCGGGATATGCTGCATCTGCCGCAGCCTTGCGATAGTCATTTAGATAACGAATAATATCATGCCTCTTGAAGCCTTGATTCAATAAGCCTTGGTAGATTTCTGTCTGCCGGAGGTGGAATTCGATATCGCGTTCTGAGAGGGACAGGCTGCTGGGCGGTAAGCGAAGCATTATGCAGTATTTAGAGATGAGAGAGGATTCCGGATACCAATCCGACTTGATAGGTTTGAGGAGGAAGTGTGTATCCGTCAGGCCATCAGGCGAACAACCGCCATGTTTCGCATAGGAACGTCACCTTCGCAGCATCCCCGTGCCACGAACGGGAAAACGCAGGAGCGATCAGTCTGGCCACGCAAAGATCCTGTCCTTACCTTTGACATTTATAGAAACATCGACTGTGGACATGATGGCAGTGATGGATTGAGGCTGACATGGATGGGTTGATGGGTTGACGGGTTGACTTCAGATCACATCTTGGTGAATGTGAGCCCAAGTGGACAGCAGTCCGCAGTCCACCACAGTCCTGCCACGTCTGCCAACCACATAATATGGATGTTGGTCTTGGAGGAGTAAGAGGTCGAGAAGCTGTCGATAGTACCTGGCTACCTAGGTAGATAGCCCATTGCCCATCACGCAGCTGGCACCCCAGGAAGCGTTTTACCTATGTGGGTTTGATGAATACCCACCTCGCCCACCTCTCGCTGCCGTAGTGGTCACAGAAACTCCACAGCAATCTGGCGTCAATCTGCGCGAGACCTGACGAGCAAAATCACCCGTAGATGAATGCCCCGGCAGTGACTGTCCAGGTGCAATAATATAGAAACCAAAAGATCCGATGTCGAGGTTGCTCGCTTTGCTCGGCTATGAGAAGGGTTCAAGTTGGCTGATTGGTGGCTAACTGGTAGTGTCTGTTCGCTGCAAGACCAACATCCATCATCCTGCGGTCCCTGCACACCATCAATTCGTTACCACCACTGCAGCACACAATTCACCAACTACTGTTCTTCCTTCATTCTTCCAACACACCCTCCCCACGCTCGCTACCCGTACAAGAACCTCCTTGCTCTCAGCGCCGTCGTCCTCTTACTGTGCCCTCCTTCGACTCCCCCGCCAGATCGGGGACCACCACATCAGACTTCTCCGTGCCAGATCAGATCCAGGGGACTCGCAATCCGCAATCTGAAACGACTCGCAATCTGTCTTGGACCCTCGCGCCCTTGACCCAAAGATTCACCCTCTCAGGCTCTCACTGCTGCTGCTGCTCCCCCTGCCGCAGCGATGAGGACACCAGTATCTCTACTCTGATCAAAGCCGCTCACCACTGAGACGTCATCGGCCACCTCGTTCCTCTCCAAGCCACATCGTCCACGAGTCTGAACCCTCCCCGTGCCACAATGGCCGACCTCTCACTTGGTCCGCTGAGGATTGCGAATCCTGATGATGCTTCGCCGGATACACCATTACAACCTCAGGCGCCCGCCTCTCAGTTCCCCCGGGTTTCGCCTCTCGTTGACCCTGATGGGAGGACAGAATATATCTCCGCCACCCCTCAGCGCTCCTACAGCCCGGTATCCCCAATGGGGTCTGAGACCGGCCCCGAAGACCTGCCGTCCCAAGCGATAACTTCCTCATCCTTCTCGTCAATACCATCGTCTGCACCTTCGCAGCCAACTTTCTCCCAAAACAATGCATCTACAGAGCGGCTCGCCCAGCGACAAAACATCCCTTACAGCTATCAAGATCAGCAACAAGCACAGTTCCCTCAATATCCTACCATGATGCCTCAAAACCTCCACGACCCTAGGTCGAACGCCTCACGCCCGGGTTCCGCATATTACACTCAGTTGCCGGTCAATGGTTCAGCCGCCAATGGGGTGTCCCGGCAAGGATCTTATAGAGTTCGCAATGATGGCCCAGGCTCGACAGGATTTCCGCAACGCACATCCTCAAAACGCTCGGGGCTAGGAGATGTTGCTGGGGTGCCGTCAAGAGACGATAGTCACACCGAAAGAGCATACGGTCAAGGACAATATACTCCGGGCAACGGACCCTTGCCTCCGCGAAGAACTTCTCGAGGCGTGGCAGGCCCCCGGATGGGGACCACACCCACCGCCGGCACCACACCACTCTCAACTACTCCTGCTTCCATCCAGACACCCCTATCAAGTTCCCCATACAATTTGGAAGATCGTCCCTTGACCAGTGCAGAGGAATGGCAAGAGCGTGGAGCCGCTGTGGGACTCAAGAAGGAGATCGGGGCAGATGGCACAGTCGCTTACAAACCGGTCAAAAAGGGCGTGAGGGACTTTAATTTCGGCCAGACACTCGGAGAGGGTTCCTACAGTACAGTCCTCGCGGCGACGGATCGAGCCAGTGGAAGACAGTATGCTATCAAGGTTCTGGACAAGCGGCATATCATCAAAGAGAAGAAGGTCAAATACGTTAACATCGAGAAAGACACTCTCAACCGCTTGACAGACCACCCCGGCGTCGTCAGGCTCTACTACACATTCCAAGATGAGCGATCCCTATATTTTGTCCTGGATTTGTGTCCTGGTGGAGAGTTGCTCGGAGTCCTGAAGCGAATGTCAACCTTTGATGAGGAGTGTACTCGATTCTATGGGGCACAAATACTGGACACCATCGAGTACATGCATAGCCGGGGCGTCATACATCGCGATTTGAAGCCTGAAAACCTGTTGCTGGACGAGAACATGCATATCAAGGTCACCGATTTTGGGACGGCCAAACTGCTTCCGGAAAGGCGGAACACCGATGGCAGGGTGGATTTCGAACCTGATGCCAACTCGACCGAGAATAGGGCCAACTCTTTTGTGGGAACGGCAGAGTACGTCAGTCCCGAATTACTGACCGACAAGAACGCATGCAAGGCGAGTGATATGTGGGCATTCGGTTGCATCGTTTATCAACTATTGGCTGGACGGCCGCCTTTCAAGGCCGTCAATGACTACCAGACCTTTCAGAAGATTGTTGCGCTCGACTACGAGTTCCCTCGGGGCTTTCCTGAAGTCGCGCGGGATCTGGTTGAGCGATTGCTAGTTCTCGACCCCCAAAGACGGTTATCACTAGAGCATGCAAAGAACCATGCCTTCTTCACCGGCATTCGGTGGGGTCGCGACTTGTGGAAGCAGAAGGCGCCACGGTTAAAGCCATATGTCCCTCCGGCAGCACCACCCATCAAGCTCAACGGCGGCAGTGCGCAAGACAGCTATCCGCCAGACATCGTGCCTGGTCACAGCACGCACCCAACCATGCTGCCTCCCAACAACCAAAAGCCACAACCGAGGGTTGTCACAGAACTCCCGCCGCCCAGCCAACTCGACATTGAGTGGTCTCCCGTTCTCACGAGAAATAACGAGAGAATCCTCAAATTAGGCAATCTATCTGTGCTGTCGACGCCGAATCCCCACAGCCCGCACAGCAACGAAGGCGGAGGGAAACTGTCGAGATTATTCGGCGGCAGCAACAACAAGAAACGGCAAAGACTTGTCATGGTGACGTCGAGTGCAAGAATCATTATTGCTGCGGCTGGTGGAGAGGAGAAGAAGTCAAAGTCCGAAATCTCACTCCTCTCGCCGGGCACCGAATACTCCAGCGCGACAGATTCAAAGGGAGTGACTCAATGGATTGTCAATACTGTAAGTTCTATATCATGATGCTACTGATATGGAGTCCTAACGCATTGAGCAGAAGGATCGACACTACGTTTTCGAAGACCCCAAGCCACAGTCGGGCGACCAGATGTCGACGGCAGTTGCAGCGCAGGAGTGGCTGGACGCTTTGGGGCGAGCTCGAGAAATCGCGATATCTCTGCAGTTGCAGAATGCCAACAACACGTACTCGAGCGACGACGCTCTCAATCTTTCGTCGTCGGCATTGTCCAGTCATGCCAGCACTATTGACCAGCCGACGGATCTGAGTCCTCATAGTGTGAACCAATCCCATTCTGGGCGAGGAATACTGCACAAGCAACATTCAGGCGGCGACGCAGAGTCGCTGAAGGGGAGAAAGCGGTTCAGCAAACGGCAGTCTAAGAGTGGATTGACTGCAGTCTTCTAGAAAGCGTCGGTCAACAACCGAGTGTCGATTGTGGCGTTGCGGGTCTCCTGTTCGTTTCTGGACCCTGAATTAGCATAGCATGGCAACTTGTTGGGTGTGATCAGCATGGCGATTGGGGGTTCGAAAAGAGCACCGACGAAAAGGCCGATGCAGGCTCGTCGAGGGTGCAGCTGTAAAGAAGGGCTCTTAAAAATCTAGAAAGAGGATATATAGTCGGCCTGGCCTTGTGACGCAGTTCGAGGCTGTCAGGGTTATTGTCAGGGTGCCAGCCTGAATGAAGAGACTGGCAAATAACCGGAACTTGCCCTTCGGATCCAGAGATTCTTTTGGATTTGTCTTGTTCTAGCCCGTGTTTAGTGTCTGGAGTTGGCCACAAATGAGATTGTGGCGTTGGGCTGGACGTGCAGGATGTGCTTGTGCCTTGGTTCATGTTGGCTCACGACTGGCTGACATCAACTTGCCTCGAGCCGGACCTGCAGCTGAACTACTCCCCATGCGGCCTTCGCTCTGCTGCTCCCATCGCCACTCTTCTGTGACCTGTCCCCGCGGTAGCCTCTTCTACCCAGGCGCCTTCACCCCATGGCGCGAACAAGAGAAGACGTCGAAAAGCTTTGCTGAGTGTCGGGAGAGGCACTGCAAACTCCAGGCAATCCAGCCGGTCACGAGGCGCAACGAGACAACTTTGCGAATTAGTGTCGACAAGCTCAAGGGCAAATCGAGGTCCTAGCCGGCTGAGAAACACCTTGTGACCCCCGAGACGGCGCCCGACTTCTGTGGGCGACACCTAAGCGACGCGTTCGAAAGGCAGCTTTGTATAGAGGCAGAAGCAGCGGGAAAAAGCGGTGACGCAGTCGAGGTCTATACAGTGGCTACAAGAACTGCCACCATCTGCCTGCCACATGCGCTTTCCTCGGGTGTAAACAGCTCCTCATGAAAGCCTCTTTGGGTGAAATGACATGAGCCAGCAGTTTGCTCCACAAGCACCATCTCATCCCGTCCAGCAAGCAAACCGAACTTCTTTACCTATGGTTTCACGCGCCGAGGTCGCAGACCACTCTCACTCCCGCTCCCACTCCCAGTCTCGAGCCGCGCCTTCTGTCGTTTCCCGTACCTCACGATCGAGAAATCACCACAGCCGAGGCCGCTCGCAATATGGGGGCTCCTCTCATGTGCCGCAGAACGAGTTTCCATTCTTTTCGCAAACCGGGGATGTCGAGATAGTCATTGTCTGCGGTGGACAGGAGAAGAGGTACCTGCTACACAGTTTTACATTGGCACAGTTCTCTGGCTTTTTCCAGGCCAACACAACTGAAGGATGGTCTCGAGGTCAACCGCAACAAGGTGGCCGCAACGTCTCGTCTGCTTCGCGACCTGATCAGGCCTTGAGTGCCATCGGAGAGGAGTCTTCTCAAGTCAGCTCGACTGCTGGGCCCTCCCTTCCTGCCCCTCCTCACCCAGCAGCACCAGTGTCGGCTCCGACCCAAAGGAGGAGATGGAGGTTTGAGCTTGACTGGGAGGACCTCGAGGAGGACGATGAGCCCATCTTGGTCCACAAGACCCCTCAGGGCAGTCTTTTTACTCCTGCAGCAGCGCCACCGCCGCCGCTTTCTCCCCCAGAACGTCCAAGACATCAACACACGTCCTTTTTTCGTTCCATGGCCAATTTGACCTTTTCTCACCACGGCCCGGCCTCACAATCTAGTGCCCAACTCGCAACGCCCGCCCCGGATCCATGCCTCACGAACCCGCTGCTCAGAGACTACGATAACCTGTTCCGCATTTTCTACAACTACGCTCCGGTTCTGAACTCCTCCAACATCGCCTCCGCCTATTCAGAATGTAAGGCTCTCCTTTCACTCGCAGACATGTACGACGCTCTTCCCGTTGTTGGACCTCGAATCGACCATCACCTCTTGCGGTTCTCATCGCGGCTCTTCAAGCAGATTGCGAAATACCCGCCGTCATATCTCAAACTTGGCTACCTCGCACGAAGTCGGATCATCTTCTCGGAAGCATTAACTCACGTGGTAGGCCAATGGCCAGCCGCCCTGCCGTACATCAAGCCGCCTGATCACTCGGGTGCAGGATATGAGGTGCCTCAGTCAGTAATTGATTTGATCGAAGACAAAGTCGATGAACTTGAGGAGTTGAAGCAGAAGGTCGAAACGAAGCTGTACAGGTTGACTCTGACCACATCTCGTGGTGAGAGGGTCAATCCGGCAAACGACTATCTTGGCTGGCTGGCCGTCAGTCTCTGGCGCCAGTGGTTGGCAGAGAACACGGCGCCCGAGATTAGAGGGATATTGAAAAACAGTCCGAATTCGCGACCCGGCAGCGGACATGCGAATGCGAACATGCCACCGAGTGTACATGGTCGACCATTGCCGCCGGGGACCGTCGCTCAAAATCCCATGCCACCGCCTCCTCCCTATCAAGCCCATGCGCCTGCTCCCCCGGCAATCAATACAGGCCGCATCTTTCGTCTGATCGGTTCTTCCGACCCTGACAAATTCCTCGCCGACGATGAGCTAAAACGGTTCCTCAAACTCACGCCACCTGGCTCTTCTCACTCTCTTTATAGTCGCGAAAATCTCCGGAGATTTGAACGCAAGATTGACGAGATCAAGAATGTCGCCAGGGATATTGTGAAACCGTTGACCAGGAACTGCCTCGAACTGGATTTGAGGAGTCTGAGTGACGGGGGAGGTGGAGGACTAGGCTATTTGACGTGTATGAGGTGCGAGGAAGACGAGTTGCCCTGGGAGCTTTGATGCATGAAGGTGGTACTCGACAGTGCGGCACTGAGGGAGCACTATCCTACCGCCAGATCCAGCCACCGAAAGCCCCTTACCACCAAATCTTCAGCCAGTCCTGATGTCATTTGCGTGGGACTCACCCGTCCACGAAGCTCGGAATATTCGGCTCTTTGGGACGTTGGTCTCAAATAAGAGTCACGAGAGGCACGATCCACAACCGACCAAACCATTCATTTCACGATTTCCCCATGACGAACGATACTCACGAATCTCTTTAAAAAGTGTTTACGGGTTTTTGATGTCCGTTTCAAGATTGTCTTGTCTTATTTGGTGTAAGCACTCTAGGTAGACGTTTTGAAAACCATGGAGCCCAAGCGAGCGAACTGTTGAAGGGCACAGCGAATCCAAGGATTAAGGGTACTTGAGGCGGGTTTGAGGAGAAGGGACAACAAGCATGGCGGCTCGTTAGCGAAAACGAGAAAAAAAAAAGGCCCCTCAGACCGTGTGAGACGGTGTGGATAGATACCTAGATATGTAGGGAGGTGTGTTTTTGTGCCGCTATGTATGGTACCTAGGTAGGAGACGGTTGAGGAGACTTTGTGGGCATTTTAGGATATTCAGGATACCCTGATGATCATGATGACTTATTTTATACCCAAGTATTCATCCTATCGACTTCCGCTGTCAGCCGTCAAGAGTATCGTACAGATACCTAGGTATGTCGCTCTCGTCTGGAGTGGTCTCAACACGGGCAGACACCCTAGTCACGGTGAATTCGCTACATGAATATTTATTATACGTAGGTTGATAGATAGGCGCCCCCCTCCTCCTCCTCCCACAAAACCACCTCTCCCTCCTACTCTTACTCTTCCTCATATTCGTCCTCTCCCTCTTCCTGATCCTCTCGCCCCTGGCCCTGGACCTCCCACCACTTCACCATAATCCGGACGGTCGGAATGTTGGTCCAATCCCAGGCATTCCGCCGGCCGAGATGGTCGATTCGGCGGAAGTGGAAGCGAAAGGAGTCAGGGGGTCGTTCTGGGAAGCTTTCCATTTCGTTTACATTGGGGTTCGTGGCATGCTGGACATTGTCGTGGTCAGGGTCGAGGTCGAGGTCGTGTTCGTGTTGCTTTTCTCTTCCTTTCTCGTCACAACAGGAACAGGATTCCGTGTCCGTGTCCGCGTCGGTGTCGGTGTCGGTGCCGGTGTCGGTGTCGGTACTCGTATCGGTGTCCTTCGGCTCGAATTCTCTCTCAGCAGGCTCATTCGTTGCACAGTTGTCGGAAGCGGTAGGTGATGGCAATGGTAGACTGCGTCCGTTTCGGGGATCGTTACGGGAAATGAGTGAATCCACTGAGGAAGACTCATCGCTTTCGGGAGATCCGTAGCTTTTGGTAACTGGGAAAGAACCAGGGACTGGTGGTTCAAACTCGTCGTTGCCAATACCATAGACCAATACCTGGTATATACATTTGAAGGCTCGGGCTGAAAGATCCTTGATGACCTCGCGAGCATCACAGGAATACTTTAAGGCGATCCAAATTGCAAGATTTGCAAGGCAGAACAACACGAAAAACTTTAGGATAAGCTTTTTTGCGCGCAAGACAAGGTACAAGACAAGGTACGTCGCCGGCTCATGGAAGGGGAGGGCAGCAAAGATATGCGCACCGGTTGAGGCGAGATATTCAACTTGGAGGAACAGGACGTCGATAGCCTCATTCCACGATGCCGGAATTGGGAGAGAAGGAGGACGTTGAGCATGGATCGTGGTGGCCCAAGGGAACAAGCCGTCGTCACTTTGCATGGCGTGGTAGATCCAGAGAGAATAGTTGATACTGAAGCAGAGCAAGCAGCGCTGAAAGAAGGCCTCGCGGTATCTCCAAGCCCAGAGCCATAACCCGTCAGGCAGGGTGATCATTGTCGCCATGCATGGAAGGAGATAGGTCGTTACGTCCTCGAGCAGGAGGTCGTACGCTGCAACGAGTAGAATGATACCCCAAAAGGAGGCTGGTTTCGGAAGGCGTAGCATTATGATTGTTTGTTGGTAGTTCAAGTGTGTCAGGTTGCTCTATGCTTGGGTTGTTGCGTGGATTGAAGTTGTATCTTTGGGCGTTGAGGGTTGACGAAGAGGGAGTTGATATATGCGAGAAAAGGTCGATACACAGGGCTGCTTCAGCCATCCAGACGATATACAAAGATATTTAGTAGCAATCCCGTTCATTGTTGTTGTCTTAGTCTGGGGAGATATGCTTTTGTTGTGCCCGAGTACCCGAAACCAAGGTCTCAACAGGGCCTTGTTGGGCGAAGAGTCCGGTATTAAGAGACCTAGGCGCGACATTGTAGGAGTCTTCTTTTGTCCAACCCTGAGACTTGTGATGTCTTTTAGTGCACTTCTTTGAGCTCAGTTGATACCGTCCTCGGAAGCATTGTCTGCCTGAGACATGTTTTCAGGATGTTCAAGCCAAGGCTGAGGTGGTCGAAAGGACGAGGCTGAAAGAGATAGTAGACGGTGGATTAGCAGGACAGTCACCTAAAGGTGTTTTCGCGCATCGATAGCCCGAAATGAAGAAATCTGATCCATTCTCGTACGATAGCGACTTTCATACCCTGCCTAGCCAGAGCAGCTTTTGCGGCGTCAGCCAATGGCCATGGTCCGTCCGATTCTGTACAGCATCTGGATCGTTGATTCGCTGTTCTCTTGCGGCTTTCAACTCGACCTGGTTGATCTTCCACGATCGGAGCACCCATGTGCTCGCGGCAGCAAGCAGGAACATGCAGCCCACGAAAATCTGCGAGCTGAGGTATCCAGACGCACTGACCATCTCCAGGGCAATCGGCTCGGCGAAGGTTGTGGGCACAACCAAGGACAGACAAATGACGCCAAAGGAAGAAGGCAGTCGTTTCAGTCCCACCACTTCGGCCGTCACTGGTGTGACTGTGTTCCAGAAGATGCCGCAGACGCATCCCGCCGTGAGAGCGAAGGCTATGAGGACGCCGTAGGTTTTCGCTGGCACCCATAGGGCGAGGCAAAGAACTCCACAGACAGCGGTCATGATTGTCGCCATGTTGATGCGGCCAAAGGCATCCGAATAGTATCCAATTACAGGCCTGCCGACTCCAAGACCAAGGCTGAGAACAGCACCAACAACGGAACCCTGCCCTGCCGTGAGACCGATCGACGTCGCGTAGTTGGGCAAGGAGTAGAGCAAGACGATATACCCCAGTTCAGTAAACACTCCCCAGAGGACAACCAGAATAACCTCAACCTGACCGTATTCGCGGTAGTTGAAAGCATTCTGCAACGGTTGCACGGCCTTGTTGCGGTCTTTGAGCAAGAGCGAACACACTCCGTTGACGGCGAGTCCGCAGAATGCCAGTATGCGGTAAGCCCAGTTCACGCCCATGCTCTGGACGATAGCACCTGCCGCAAGGTTGTACGCCAGCCCTCCAAGGCCTGCCCCCGAAGACGCAATCCCCATGGCCAGGCTTCGGCGAGTGGAGAACCATTGCGGAAGGGAAGCAGTCGCCGGGATGTAGAGCAAGCCCATGGCCCAGCCGAAACAAACCCCTTGCGTCAAGAAGAGATGCCATATCTCGGTCGCATATGAGGCGCCGAACAGGGCAACGAACAGCAGGACGGTGCCGATGAGAAGAGTGGCCTTCGTGCCGATACGTCTCGTGGAGATGTTCACGACAGGTGCACTAAGCAGAGACTGAGAGATGGACAGGCCGCCAATCAAGGCGTACTCGAGCTGTGACGCGTGTTGAAAAACAGGATCGCTGAGGTAGTGGGCGAGGAAAATACCCCATGCCTGTGCGCATGAGCTTCTACCTCAGTCCTTTCGTTTCAAGGCACTTACGCTGTTAAGGCCCCAGGTGTGGGCGTTGATCAGGAAGACACAGGCCGTGCATACCCAGCCATAGCCGCCGTTCGGAGGCACGTCTTCAACAGAGACAGCATCATGCGGTAGATGGTCCTCCAGTTGATTGACAGATGATTCCTCGAAAGCATGGTTTTGAGTGGTATTGGAGTCAACGAGCTCGAAGATCTCGGCATCACGATCGAACCGGCGACTAGGAGAGGTCGACATCGTCGTTGTGGGTGTTGACGGCTACGAAGGGCGATGAAGTGTACGATGTGGCCGCAGTCTGTTCGTTACAGCAGAAATGAGCCAAAAAGTGAAGGTCAAATTGAAAACCTCGTCATACTACCATGGCTTGCGTGGTTATATGCTGGCCGGTCCAAATCCCCGACGCATCCAGAGACACCGCCAGATGCCAAAGGGCGTCGAATCAGGTGGATGGATCAAAACAGCCGGAAGGTTGTCTGGCTGCCAACTTTGATATTTGCTATGGATTAGAAATATCCATCACCATAAGAACACTGTGTTCGTTGTAAAGCCGTGGAAATACTTCATATTCTATGATACAAGACTGGCTGCCAAATGCCCTTCTTCGCCGCTATGGCAGCGTACTCGATGCTTTCAAGAGCCTATGAAATGCAGTATCAAAGCAATCAGGGCAATACAACATAGCTCCGCCGTGCGTCTCCTACGCAGGGGAGTTGGCAGGAACTTTCAAGTGCGAGGTTGGAGTAGGAACACCTGGGCTCATCGCTCCGCTGTCAACTGATGCTCCAGCCTCGTCACCATGAGTCATTTCCTCTTCGTTGGACTGTCCCGTCTCATTTTCCAGAGCTGACACACTTCTTCGGCATGATGATTGTGGCAGCCTCGAATATCTTGACGACTGCAGAACATTGACCTCTGCTGATGAGTCGTCCGACTCTTCCTCGTCATCGATGCTGTGTGGAAAGGGCTCGCTTGCAGTCAGCCGCCGGCGACCGTTTCCCGGTAGAATTCTGGTCTCGTCCACTTCCGGTCGATCAATGTTGCGCTCGGGGCTCTCGGCTCTGACACCGTCGCTCTGCACGTGTGTTTCTCCTGTGCTATCAACAGAAGCGTCCCCGCTTCCTTCCAATGCCTCGCGACCTTGCCCAGCCCACTTTCGCTTCAATGGAAAGACCAAGGGTGACCGCCGGTCCAGAACGAGGCCAGGTGAATCCCACATACTTTTCACTGCGGACCACTTAATTGTATTCTCCCGGTTGGACAGGGTCGCCTCAGGTCTGGCCTGCTCTGAAAGTCCATCCACAGAATTGCCTAGATGACTTCCAGTCGTAGTCCGCGACTGTGGAGCTGAGAAATCTGTGCTGTGGTTGCCATCCTGGAGTTGCCGAGGCCTGAATGTTCGAGCGTCCGGATTCAGACCTGACTCTGACGAACCACTCTTTCCCGGCGACTTTGAGCGCGACAGTCTCCTTCCCAGCGCACGCGCAAAGCGTTTGGCGTTCAGTCTATCTCGTGAGTCTGCAGCATTATGCGATGCCTGATGGCTTCGATGCTGGTGGCCGTGAATGGTTGGTATATTGCTGGTGGACTCAGGATCTTTGCGCTCTGTGTCGTCGTCTTTGCTCCCTCTGCTTGTGTTTTTGACCAGCGTTTGGGTCTCTTGCTCACCAGCACTCATATCGTTGATCAGGACCAGTGCATCCTTCTTTTGTGGCGAGCTAGACCGGGACCTCGATTCTCTCTCCTCCGCCTGCAGGCGCAGTTGGCTATGCCAGAGCTTATTGTAAGCACCGCTCTGCTTGATCAAAGCGTCATGGGTGCCAGACTCAACAATACGGCCATCTTCAATGACGAGAAGATGATCGGCATGCATGACCGTAGACAGACGGTGCGCAATCACAAAAGCGGTCTTCCCTGCACATAGTTGGCGAATACTGCTCTGAATCTTCTGCTCCGTGATACTGTCGACGCTGCTAGTGGCTTCATCCAGAAGCAAAATATCCGCTTTTTTGAGGATCGCTCGTGCAATTGCAAGTCGCTGAAGCTCGCCACCTGAGAGCTTGGTGCCGCGCTCGCCCACCTTTTCTCGATAGCCATGCGTAAACGACATAATTTTGTCGTGTAGTGCTGCTGCCTTACAAGCTTCAATGACCTCTTCGTCCGTACAATCAATATCAGGGTATCTGACGTTCTCCAGCACTGACATGTTGAATACGACAGGATTCTGAGGAACCATGGCAATGTGTTTGCGGAAGGTTTCCATTTTGATGCGTCTGATATCTTGGCCATCGATCAAGATGCGGCCTTGGTCAACGTCGTAGAACCGGAAAAGGAGCTTCAATATGGTACTCTTACCACCTCCCGTCTCTCCAACTAGGGCCACAGTCTTACCGGGAGCTGCCCGGAAGGTCATTCCTTTGGCCACTTGTCGTTTGCCATCATATGAGAAAGAAACATTCTCGAATTCGACAGCACCTTCTAAAAAGACGAATGGTCGAGCATCTGGCAAGTCTTGAATGCGTGGCTGCTGTTCCAGTATCGCCAGAAGCTTCTCGGCGTTGACTAGCTTTTCAGCTACTTTTGACAATTCGCCTGCCAAAGTAGCTAGTGGTCCCGTAAGTTGTGCCCAGTATGTGATCAAGACCACAAAATCACCAATTTTATGTTGATCATGTGCGATCTGTAAGGCGGCCACACTGCATGCGGCAACGAAGCTGATGCACGGTACCAGGTGCCGCAAGCCCCGAGTCCAAACCTCATAGGACCACCAAAGGAGCATTCTGTTCCGAGTAACGTCGCCTTTCTCCCTATACTTCTGAGTCTCATAGGGGATGCGTCCGAATTGGCATACTGTGAACCAATTCTGCGTGGACTCGCTCATCTGGTAATACTGCTCGTGAAACGCATCGAGACAAGACCGACACATAGATCTCTTTCTAACAAGCACTGTGAAGGTCAGCCAGTAGAATAGGACCACCATTGATGCAATGATGAAGGTCATGTAAAGCCCAAAGAGATATGTCAGGACCACGGCTGCCGAAGCCAAGTCGATTATCATCGGCAAGAATTGAAACATAATGTCATGAAGCAAGTCAATCACATCTTCACCCTGGTGGGTCGTCTGCCAGATGATTGAGGATCTCTTGGAATCGTGGAAATCGGCTGACAGATCCATGATGTGACTGTAGCAATGTCGCTGTAAGGCGACTACCAGGTCGGTTCTTACCCGCCAAGATAGCCAGGTCTCAAGGAGCGGGAAGCCTGCGTGTGACAGTATGAATCCGAGCAGCACGTAGAGGGCAATGGCTTTCCAGGGGATTGTTTCTCCAAGACCATTGATGACCATGCCGAGACTGAGAGGGAGAGCAATTGTGATGACCCTTGTCAAAGCATTGATGATGCACATTCCGCCAAAGTAAAGCTGCAGTTTTGAAGACTTTGGGTACATGTATGGCACAAAGAGCTTGAAAGAGGCAAGGTACTGCCAGAATGGCCTGTTTCGAATGCGCAGTCTGTCTGCTTCGTCGGGTTCTTGAGCCTCACTTTGTAAGCTGTTCGGAGATGATTCATTGCCCAGAAGCGGTCGCGTTTCATCCTCATTTCCTATCTTTTTCTTTCCTTGAACGAACCGGGTAAGGAGACTGTCTCCGAGAAGTCCAATCTCAAGTGCTAGTTGGAGCCCTTGCAGAACGCACCGTGCCAACAGCTCCTTGTCCTCGAAGGGTGTACCAGGAAGCGAGACTGCAAAGACCGTGCCTTGGCAGACGAGAAGAATCGTCCAAGTTCCAATATGAGGATATGACGGGGTGGTGGGAGCTCCAGTAAGGCTAAGTAGGAGGACGACCCAGATCAAAGTGAGGAAGAGCGCATACACTGCGTCCGGGTCGGAGATTTGGTACGCGTCGGATCTCTTCAGGTCGATCACTGCTTCTGCAGAAGAAAGTGAGGCAGCGATACAAGCTAAGCCGAATCGAAACTTGCGCACGTTTCCGTCCTTCGGTTCTTGGGCACCAGAGAACGAGTTAACGATCGTGGCAATGGCGAAGAAGGTAGAGGACGCAACGACAGTGAGGAACTGAAACACCCTCAAAGCGAAAGGGTCTCCATGTAGCGCGTGGGACACCATGTCTGCTGTTTTGCGAGTAATGAGGTTCGCAACCGTCTAGTAGAAGAGGAGGAATATTCCGATAGCAACAGGTTTTGGTGAAGCGCTCGTCAGAGCAGCGATGTCTGCCTGGACCAAGGCTGATATGGAAGGCCTGATCGAGAATACATACACTTTTGTTCGATACCGCAAAACAGACTGCCAGGAGAGCAAGAGGAGTGCAGGCTCAGCACAGGAATCGACAATGGACGAGTAGAGGTGGTGGTGAGACAAATGGCCTGGTGCATGAATTGGCCTCTTTGGCCAGGCTCGAGATGTCGCGCCTATCGCGCAGCAGGCGCGACAAGCAATGAAAAAAAGGCTGAAGCGATGACGGGACTTCACCTTCTACAACTGCAGGCGCGACCAGTCAGTGAGAAAGAAGTAGCAGGTGAAGTGACTCGTGTCGAGTTTGATGAAGATTGACTCATTCTGGGTCGCTGCCTGCGCAAGACGGTAACACGACTTCGTGAGCACCAGTTTGTTTCTTCTGGCATACCAGAATACTAAGGTAGGTGTTCTACAACCTGGAGGGATGGATGCAGCGGATGCAGAACAGAGGCCATTCCTCAAGGCTGTCATCGAATGACGCCGGGATGGTGTCAGGTCAACCCGGACCGCAGGCTGCGTGACCTGAGGATGGGACTTTGAAATCCGTGTTGCGCCCTGGCCCATCTCACAATCCAAGTAGGTTGCCTTGCGGTCTCGCTCTTTTTGCATCCCTCGGCTGAAGGCAGGTGGGATGGAAGTTGTGCAATCAGTATCCGCCACTTAGACCTAGGGCAAAAAAAGTGATAGAGTCCCGGGAGCCCGTCACCAGCAATGACTGGCGGTCGGTAATTGATCAGATGCCCGTAGACAAGAAACGACGTATCAAAATTGGTCGAAAAAGCTTGTTGCAGGAAGACTGCATGTCCCGCTGCGTCCCAAGCACTAGGTCGCTCCATGGCTAGTTTGCAGCTGGCCCTTCACGTCGCACGACATCGTCCAAGATGGGACGGAGGGGTTGCTGATCACAGGCAGTACAAAGAATCGATAGATTGGATGCACGCCGCTTGTGTTTGATGCAACAGAATCCTTTCAGCATCGACCTAGATTGATCGATCTCACTAGTGGCATCTGCGTCGTTCCAGATCCAGTGAGACCAAAGAATGGCGCAATTGCAGTCCTGGTGACCGCTTGGAAAAGTCCACCGACCACGGCGTCCTGGAGATCCTGTCCTGTCTGCTTGAAGTCTGGATAGGCATTTAGTTCCAGCAGCCACACGTTACAATCCTGGTCGACCAAAAAGTCCACCCCAAAGATTTCAAAAGCGTTCGGTACCGCTTGGAAGTGGATCATCTGTTCACGAGCTGCAGCCTCGAAAACTTCACCAGTTACGTCGCAGATTTGTTGGAATATGGCGTCCTTCCAGTTTGCGTGCATCTCAGATGATTCCAGATCCCAGAACCGGTAGACAGAGGTGCTTTTGGTCGCTTCATCTTGGAAGCAGGTATTTGTTAGATGTTGTGCAAGGTCCAGCATCTCGGGATCTGTGGCAGAAGCGGGTGGTTGATAGCCTTTGGCTGCAAAAAGAGCCAGCATCTCCTTGTAAACATACACCTTCAGAGCTCCTGCCGCCAGCACGTAGGCCCGGATGTGGAACTTTCGACCCCCATAGGTTTCGAGCAGCAGTGGAGGGTCGATGTAGGGCTGAGCGATGAAATGCCTGAGCTGAGATGTCATTGCGTTACCCTCAAGAGAATCGCCTTGTTTGCGCCCTGGCGCATCATGACACTCGTCCTCTTCAGTCGAATCCTCCGCATCGGCATCGGGGGAGTCTTCCTCCCACTCCTCGAAGATGGCTTGAAGTTCGCCGCTAGTCGAGAACAGTCTGATACCGTTGCCACCGTCACTCATGCCGGGTTTTAATATCCACCATTGCTTTTGTTTGCCGGACTCTTGCTTCTCATTCTCTGCCAAGCTCTCGTTCAGATCCCATGCATCCACCAGTGCCTCATCCAGGAATTCCGCGTAGTCGAGTTCGAAATGCACACACGGCTTGAAATGTTTTGCCAGGATGCTACTGGGGTGTTTGACTAGCCAGGTAGACACTGTATTGGACAGATAGTGCTTGCGAATAAGCGCTTTTCGGATGACATAGGAGCAAACAAGAGACGTTTGTGAGTGCTGCATGGCATGCTCGAAGTCAATTTTCTCGTACGCGGTGAACTGCAAAACGCGATCCGAAGGATTTGGCAAGTCACTAATGTTGGAAATGCGCCTGAGAGGCAATGGAGCTAACTGTCCCAGGGCAGCCAGAATGAGAGGTTGCACATATGCATCCGGATAATCAATGAGCGCGTACATGGGCGGAGAATGCGAGTCTATACTGCAGGCTATTGAGCTTAAACGAGCATCATCTCTGCGCAGGCGCCCATCAGTAATTCGTCCCAGGATCTGCCGCCGACTTCTTCTGAGGTGAACTTACTCACAGCTTGATTTCGCCGGTGTAGTGAGGTAGGTGCCAGAAATTCGCAATCAATGGAGTGACCCTATCATTGTCAACGCGCGACCTCACCCCCGGGCGCCTTTGGTGTACTTACGTGATGTTTCCCTGCAGCACCTCCCAACCGTCGCCCTTGCCAGCATCGACAACCGCCTGCCGAACGTCGGCAAACTGGGGAGACCACTTGAACTTTCGATGAGCTCTCCTTGTCAGGCGTTCGTTGTTGTTTCCGGTAGCTTCACCAGTCTCACGAATTCTCTGCTCCTCCACGTTTGGGTCCTCGATGTCTTCCTCCTCGGCCAATTCGGTAAAGGAGCTTCCGCTAATCCATCGGTTTTGTATCATTTCAGCATAGACAATCTTATTGTTCTCAACTCCTTTTCGGAGAGGGACATTGATGCTGTACAGGTGCACGTCGTCCGGCCATTCCTTGGTTAACTTTTCCATCAACCGGGTGCTCAGTCTTGAAGCCGCAGAGATGACCTCAAGATCGTGCTCTCTCGAATCGAAAGCATAAGACAAAGCAATGCTTTTCACACCGCTCATTGCGCCTTCCATTGCGCCACCAATTGTCCCGCTGGACAGAGCAAAGACGGCAGTAGTGTTGCGACCATAATTGGGACCGCTGACTACAAGATCAATTGGACCTCTGTCCTTGAACACATGATGAAGCCCGATTTGGGTGCAGCTTGCCGGCGTGCCGTCTATCAAAATCCACTCCTCTCCGCCATCGTTAAATGGTCGGTCCGAGGTGATTCCGTCGTCCTTCAAGATGGAGCCCGGGCGATAGTAAGTCGGAGTCAAAGTGTGACCAACCATATGTGCCTTTCCTATCCAGGACCTCTGGACATGAGGCAAGACCACTGATACCAAATGTCCAGCATCTTGAAGGGCGGTTACCAGAGAATGAACGTATGGTGATGATTGATTTGACGGGGGACCGTCGTCATTTACGACCTGGTTGAGCAGTCAGCCATCTATTCCCATCATAGGTCTTGCGTTGGCCTACAAGTATGTGCATGTTGAAGGCAAATATATCAACCAGACACCAGGTCTATAATGCAAATGCAAAGAAGTCTATGGGAGAAGGTCTATCTACTCGGTAGAATGAGAGTAATCCGAACAAAAATTCGAGTCGGAATCGCTGAAGCTTGGCAAGTGGAACGCCGCTTTAACCGGCGATATAGGCCAACGGACCACCTCAAGTCCAAATGAAATGCATCCTTCCAGTAAGGCAGCTGAGATCCCGGATACTAAGATGAGACGGATTAGTGTCATTGTTGGCTAATTGCTATTCTCCCGAGTTCGTTGCTAAATACTGTAGTCGTCTTGAGCCTGCGCACCAGAGGGTTTGAACCGGCGTAACCTCGGTTCAACAGCGACGATGTCATTGCCTGGGGAAATCCATTTCGATCAAACCCTCGAGCATCTCTCATCTACAAGGATAACGCCACGACTAAGGATGACAGGACACCGCCATCGCACGCGCTCCCGCTCCCGCTCCCCGTACCATCATGACCCTAAACCTTCCCACCACCATTCCTACCGTTCCCGGTCTGGCGAACTGTCATCTGGCCAGCACCAGCACACCAGAAAGTCTTCCACGGCTACTACTACAACCACTACCAAGCCACTGCCATACGGAGCGCGAGAGCTTTCACGACATGACCTTCCCACCTATCGTCCCTTATTCGCTCTCTATCTGGACATCCAGAAACAAATAAACATCGAGGAGCTGGACGATATGGAGGTGAAGGGCCGGTGGAAGAGTTTCCTGGGGAAATGGTAAGAACAACGGACACCCTAAATTTGCCACGCTTATTTTGGAGAACCCGGGGCCTTCGGGGAACGACTCTGTGACTTCTACCGGCGCTGGGTGTGGGAGACTCAAGCCCTGGAAAATACGCTGGCTAACATGGCAGGAATCGTGGAGAACTTGCGCAGGGCTGGTATGATCCGACGACGTTGGAAAAGGCGAGGGCACAGGACCAAGAAGCCTCACCTGCCCTCAATCGGAGGAGGACAAGTCCAAGACCGGATCAGACGAGAATGTCTGACTCTCGACCGTCGGCTCAGAGCAACGATGATGACACCGAAGAAGACGTAGACTTTGGTCCTATCCTTCCCTCATCCCTCACAACCCGAGCCGAACATGACGACTCCTCCCTCATGGCTCGACGTGGTCAAGGCGCCTCCATCCCTTCCCTCGACGACCTCCGCGCACGAGATGACCAGGTACTTGAAGAGTCGCACGCCGCGCGGCGAGAGCATACGCAAAACCTCCGCCACGAACGTCATCTCGACCGCAAGATGCAAAAGGAGCGTCTGGACGAACTCGTCCCGCGTGCCGAGCCAGGGAGCCGCGAGCGCCAACTGGAGAAAAAACGCGAGCGTGCCGACGCGAATCGTTCATTTGCAGCTTCCAAGGACGCAGCCGGCGAGGTGGATGTCATGGACTCGGAGCTCATGGGGGACGAGGATGGAGGTCTAGCAGATATGAGGAGGTTGAAAAAGGAGCAGGAGAGAAAGAAGAACGAGAGAGAACTTCGGAGAGAGGAGATACTGAGGGCCAGACGCGCCGAGCGCGAAATCAAGTTACAGGCGGTTAGAGAAAAGGAGGAGAAGACCATGAGTATTTTCAAGGAGATTGCACGGCAGCGCTTCGGAGGGGGAGACGCTTCATGAACCAGGCGGAATTAAAAAAGACAACACCCTTTTGATTTTGCTAAAATATGGGTATTTAACTGGCATTAAGCGCAGCGACGGCCTCTGCGCCGTCAGGCTGCGGCTGCGGCTGCGGCTGCGGCTGCTGCTGCTGCTGCTGCTGCTGCTGCTGAGAAGATGATCCCGAAGATGCACCATTAGCCACCGGTACATTAGCCCCGTGAGTCGCGGCCGCTGGGCTTGGATTATTGTTTGCCGCCTTGAGTGCCGCCGCCATTTGCCAGGCCGGAATGGAAGCTTTGTTGCCAGTTGCTGGTCTGCCCAAGGATGTCGCAGCTGGAGTTGGGTTAGAAGTAGGAAGTTGTGGAGTTGAGTTCGTGGACGCCGGCGTTGGCCTCGGAACGTTCACACCACTAGCACCCGGGGCATTCTCAGCTGAAGGGGTTCCTACGGCGGTGTTGGACGTCGAGGCAGAAGTTGAGCCTGGCATGGTCGCTGGCTGCGTGCGTGGGATGTTGAAGACTCCAGAACCGCTACCCATGCGATTTCCCATGAGGACTTTCAGACTGCTCAGCTCGCTGCTCAATTCTTTCAACTGTCTCTCGCTCGCGTCTCGCACGTTATCAATGGAGCGAGGCAGACTGTCTTTCATGGTCTTGATTTCGGATTCCATCCGTCGCGCATCGTCTTCTCGCTTCTGATTCGCCGCCTTCAGCTCTGCGACAATCTCTTCAATGTCCGTAATGGCGCTGTCCAGTCTCTGGGTTCGGGCTTCTTCGGCCTGTTTCAGCGCAGCCGTGTCGGAGGATAAGGTGTCAAGCAGCGCAAAGGCCTTGTTGAATTGCTCGTCAATGGCGGCTTTATCCTGTTCGAGTTGCGGAGGCGTGGGCGGCGCTATTAACGGTTTGATGTATCTCTGAGCAAGAACGTACATGCCGTATCCTGCACCACCAACAACGGTGGCCATGATGAACCAGTCTCTCCAGTCTCGTTTTGGTGGCTCCGGGGGCGGTGGAGGTTGCCAGTCTCCGTATGGGTTGTAGGGGTAGGGATATCTTGGACCCGGAGGACCTCGGGCATTATTGTAGGCATTCGGAGGAGGAGGGTAGTAGGGTGCTGCATTTTGGGGCGATGCAGTTGAGCTGGCGGCAGCTGCATCACCGCCGGCACGGGCAAGGGACAGAGAGATCTCTTCTTGTGTGAGATTCTTGGATTTGAGGAACTCGATCCGCTTCTCGAGGGGAGCAGAGGCGACGGATGGATCTTGAAGGAAGGTCACCGCCGACGCAACGAGGTCTTCGCGGGGCGCCATTGTCGGCGAGCTGTTCACCCTTCAAACTAAGTCATTCAAGGACGGTCGTAGAAGGAGACCAACAAGCAGAAACAATGACTTGGATGGGAGAATCGCCGCTGACAGAGGAGGCTCGATGGATGGAGGAAATGATGCCGTCCAGATGCCGTCCAGCCATCCTCAATTCATTCCTGTCTAATCTCTGCTCAACCGAGGCACTTTGGCACGTGACGTGGACTTAGTCATCAGTCGCTGTGGCGACGAATATCAGGTTCGGCGTGTTGAAGGCTAGCCTAGTCTGGACTCTGTTGTACCAGACGCCGGACGTGGCCCATGTGGGCATATTCGTCAAGCGCGTCAACTTCTACGACTGACCACTACTTGTCAATCTGCGACAACATTGACTGCGCTGTCGAGTCAAGACACCGCCAAGTAACTGCTTGACCGTCTAACCGATCGCGAGCTCCCAACATCCACGATCGCGGGCAATCCACCACAATGTCACAACCCACAGGCTTGTTCAGCGTCCGTCGACCGAGGGAGACCTTGGGAAACATCACAAACTTCTCAGGAATCCCCCAACCCGCGTCTGCAATCAAGCGCACCTCTTCGAACACGGAACTGCGAAATGCGCCATACACTGCATCTCATGTGCGATCGACCTCGATAAACCAGAGCATCCAGCGTCCTGCGCAACCCATCTTCCATCGTTCCTCGTCCAGCGGCAATCTGCAAGCAGATATGGGGATGTCAACCGCTCGGCGGTCAGTGTCGAACAATATCTTTGGGAGCACGCATACTGGTCGACAGAGTCTCGCGCCAAATCAACTATTCGGCTCGCAGACACCGGCATCGCAGGGTTTGCAGAGGAGAAGCAGTATCTTTTCTCGTCCTTCTGGTCATGGAACCGCCGCGCACCAGTCGTTCTTCTCACAGACGCCCGCACCAGCAGGCGCACCCAAAGATCCCAGGCCGTTGAGAGATTCGTCGTATAGGGCACGACTGAGCCAGGAGTTGCTGGACTATCTGACGCAGAACAACTTTGAGTTGGAGATGAAGCATTCCTTGACCCAGAACTCGGTCAAATCGCCAACGCAGAAGGACTTCACGTTCATGTTTCAATGGCTGTACCGCCGCATTGATCCAGGTTACAAATTCCAGAAGAGCATCGATACCGAGGTCCCTCCAATCATGAAACAGCTGAGATATCCTTACGAACGAGACATTACCAAGTCACACCTGGTCGCGGTGGGTGGTCAGAATTGGCCTCGCTTTTTGGGTTTGCTGCATTGGATGATGCAACTCGCCCAGATGCTGGACAATTTTACCCGCGGAGCTTACGACGATGCGTGCACCGAAGCTGGTGTCGATATCGCTAGCGATCGGATTGTCTTCAGATTCTTGTTCGGGGCTTACCAAGACTGGCTGCAGATGGGCCCAGAAGATGATGAAGAGAGTGAGGAAGCCGCCCTTCAGCCACATATTCAAGCAATGACAGACGAGTTTGAGCGAATCAATGCCAAACACGCTGAAGAGCTTAAGCTCTACGAGGCGGAACACGAAGCGCTCAAAGCCCAGATCGATGAATTCGAGCGTAATGCGCCCGACATCGCGAAACTAGACAAGCACTTTAAGATCCTGGAGGACGACAAGAAGAAGTTCGAGGAATACAACGCCAACGTCCAAGCAAAGATTGAAAAGTATGACTCGAGGATCAAAATTCTCGACGCCGAAATCCAGAAGGTCGAGGCAGACCTGGAAGTCGTTGAGCAAGAACGGCAGAATTTACAACACTCGGTCGATCGACAGGGTTTGAATATTCAAGACATTGATCGAATGAACACCGAGCGGGAGAGACTGGCAAAGAGCCACGAAGACGCACTGGTTGCGCTGGATGAAATCAACAAGATGGTCCTCGAGAAGGAAGTCGAAACAGCGCGTAAACTGGAAGATCTCGAGGCCATTGTCAAGCGATACAATTCCTTGGGTTACCAGATGTCCCTCATCCCCTCGTCGGCGGTCAACGCGAAAGGTGTAGACTACGAGCTCTCCCTCAACTTGTCAGAGCCGAATTTCTCCTCTTCGACATCGCAATCACGCCGAAGTCGTGCCTCGCCCATCGAATCTGACCGCCTTCTCGCCGACCAGAACGTCGGATACTCACCCATGCACCTCCTCAACCTGGACCTCCGAGGCATGGTCCGCAATGCATTCATCTCGCTCCGCAAAGAAATCAACGAGCGGCGCAAAGCCGCGGCGGAATCGGACCTCAACGCCCGCGATTTTCTGGATAACATCTCCGAGGCTCTGCATGAGAAGAACACCGAGATCGATAATCTGAACTACCGCGTGCAGGAAGCTTCTCGACAATACTCGACCTTGAAAGAGAATGGCCAAACGGCACACACGCAGCAGACCTCGGCGATAGAAAAGTTAGAAAAAGAACTCAGCAGAATGCGCGAAGGGTTGGAAAAGGGCGTGTTGGAGCTCGAGCAGCGCGAAATGGAGGTCCAGCTGGCCTACGAAGGCATGCGCGAGGAGAGCGCCAGAGTTCGGGAAGAGTTGCACGGTGGAATCGAGAGGCTTTTGGAGGATGTGATTAGGTTCAAGGTGCATGTGCAGAAGGGCCTGGAGGAGTTTGAGGGCTGGGTGGGCGAGGAGGTCGAGGTGGAGTTGTTGGGTGACGAGATGGGCGAGCTTGGGCTGGAGGACAAGAACTTGCATGGAGAGGACGTCGAAGACGAGGTCGTCAGAGACAAGGTCGACGGGGACGACGATATATTTTGATCCGTCACCATCGTCGTATTCGGGACTTGTCTTTTCTTTACTGGCGCACGTCCTGGCAGCTTTCTTTTCTTTTCTTTTCCTTTCTTTCCACCTTGGATGAACGATAAGATGCTATACCTGGGCACATACATGGCAAAACTTGGGATGTGAATGAGACAACATGTCAACCACCTGCGCGCAAATGACTCCTTGTTGTATATGACTTGTTGCATCTTCCTGATCTCTTTCCGTACCTACATAGGTATATTATTCTTATTCCCCCTCTCCTTGATCTCATCCTCATCAGTACCTAAGTATGTAGGTATATTCGGGGGATACCTAGGTAGTACTGGCCAGGGTCATAAACCCATTTTCCCCCTTACGTGCAGGTCCCTACCTACCTATATAATTCTACCTCGTTACATCTTTTGGCAACATTTGATTAGAAAATGTTATTATCCTAACAAAATCTCCCATACATACATACATATTATATCCCCCCTGTGCGCGCACCGTTCAGGACGTCGGCATGCAGATTAATAATACTATACATACCCTCGTAGGGGGTCTGAGAATGTACCCTACCCACCTATACCTAGACGGGGACGGGACCTCCATGCCGAATTTGAGACGGCATTGGATTTTTCGTCGAAAAAGGTTTCAACAGTGCAATGGGGCTTTTAGTTTCCACTCCTCATTCCAGTCCCATTTCCTCTCCATTGCACTATAGCCCTGGCGTGGGCCTTCTTGCGTGTTGCATGGGCCCCGTACGCTTTCTTGTATCCAGCTAGGAGAGATGGAGGATTGAGGATTGAGACGGTTTTTAATCTCGAAACCACCACTACCACCACCACCACCTAGCTACGGAGCTGTCCTGGCGGTATGTATGTATGTAGTACCCAGGTAGATACAGATGCCATTGTTCATTCACGCAGGACTTGAAGCGTCACTAGCGTCACGACCGAGACGCCTTGCGGCAAGTATCACACCACACACCCATGCTGTCCGAACGCTCTACCCACGAGAGAATGGACATCAGGTCCAATGCAACAAGAATCCCGGCAATGCTTCCTTTCGTCAATTCCAGACTCCAGCGCCAATGGTAGTGTGTATATCAAACCAGCAGATAATCCATCTCGCTCGAGGCTGGCTCGTCATTCTTATTGTCATCGTCATCGTCACGCCCCAACGCTGACCTGTCCACTGCCCTCCCCAGCCTGACTGCTCCGTCTCTCCCTCTCCAGAGACTCCTCGTCGGGCAACATCTCGACCTGCCTGAGCAAAAAGCTCTTCTCGTCCAGGAACTGGTCGTCGTCTGTCCTTCCTTCCAGGAACGTGGGCAGGAACCTCAACAACCGCCCGCGGTTCTTGACCAGGATCCTTCTCACCTCGTCGCTCTTGTTAGGGTTCGCCACGAAGACCTTGAACACGTGGAAGGCCTCGTATTGGACCATCTTTCTGTCGTCCTTGAGTAAAGTCATGGTTAACTTCAAGTGGTCGGCGCTGGAGACGTATTGGGTCATGATGATGTAGTTGCTGCGGTCGAGGAGCAGTTCTCCCAGCAGTTTGATGGATTGACGTTTTGTGACGTACGAAGGCGACAAAAGGAGGATGGGGTTGTAGGACTGCGTGAAGAAGAGGGTATAATTTGTCACCAGGTACTGGGAGACGAGTTGTTTGTGTTTGGTGAGGATTTCCTAGACGCCACAGTTAAGACATGGGCAGTAGCAATGGCCACCGACAAGACGCACCCTAAAGGTTGTAAATGCATCGGCAGACACCTCGAAGCTGCTTTTATTGATCCATTCAAAAAACTTCCAGAAGACACCCTTGCCTGTTTGTTTGCGGCTGACGTCCAAATCTTTCAGACGCACAGCCTGTTCACCCGGTTGAGATTCGTCATATAATATCACAGCGGCGATCGTGTCATATGCCAACGCCTGTCGCAAGATTGTCCCGCACGGCATTGCGGATTGTGCGTAGTCGTACCCGCGACATAATTCGACAATGATTTCGGGCCGTTGGAGGACAAGATAGGAAATGGCTGAAGGCTCCGACGACGACGAACCGGGCTGTGACGAGGAGTTGTTCGGGGATGCTTTGTAGCGGAGTATATGGGAAAAGATGATCTGTGCATCTTTCCGGGCTTCAAAAGGGAGCAGACGAATGGACTTTGCCAATTCGAAGAGGATGTCTTCTTGGATGATACAGTGCACAAGTTGGTGGACTTGTTCGGGGCTGCAGTCGACTTCTAGACTCTGCTGGTCAGACTAATCGACTGGTTCTGGGGGGATGACTGAGGGTTCGAACCGGGAGTGCCTTGAACAATCAATTTCATCTGCGACATATGTTTCGCGACATCTTCTTCCACCTGTACAACCAAGGGTCAACAGTGCGAACTATGCGAAGGACAGGTCTGCAGACCTTTGGACTCGGATTGGGGTCGTGGAGTTTGACCAGGAGGTCTTTCAAGGACCTCGCAATCTCGGCGGGTTGCTTTTGTCGCCCTCTGCCTCCAAAGAGAAAGGCCATGGTGGACCTCTATGAAGGAAGTAGCATACAGTCGGAGAGGAATGGGTTACAGGAACAAAGATGGAAATGGGTAATCAAGGTGGATTTAGCACTCTGCGGGCGCTTCGAGGGGTGCAGTTGGTGACCGCAGCCGCGGGTTCAAGTTGGATTGAGTCTGGACCCGCAATGTTTTTGTATCTCGGTTGATTGGGGCAACCATCTCCATCGCCAGCGCCAGCGCCAGCGCCAGCGCCATCGCCTCAGCCTCAGCCTCCGACTGATCAGATTAGATCCAAGTTTCCTATCCCCACGGCGTCGACATCATCATAATGCTCTCTCTGATTCTCTCACAGTTGGACAGAGCATAATGTCCCGCCTCATCTCTCGGCTGAGACATGGTCATTTCCTGCCAACAACACACAGGGATCTTCTGCGTCTCCGCACTGTCGCTGCTCTGGCTTCTTCACCACCCAGCTCGCTTTTGTGAATCCGCACCCTCCCATCCCGATCTACCTCGTCTACTGACAGCACGTTACTGCGCATGTTCCGGTTTGGGAGAACGGCGACCGGCCAGTGATGGTACAGCAGCAAGCCTATCACGAGTCGCATAGGTCAGTTACGGCCAGATCAGTAATGTCTATTTCTCGAGCACGCGCCCCAAAGGACAAAAAGAATATGGCAATCTTTACCTTTAGGCCCCAACTTAAACAGCAGTCGCCATCACCTGAGCACTGCTGGTCGTAGCCTGGAAGTATGGAACATTTTAGGGCACTCTCTTGATTTGTTAGGTTGGAGTTGATGAGGTTGATATCATTCGAACCGGTGGAATTATTGCTGGTGTCGTTGAAATCAAAAGATGTGGCTAGCACAGTGGCTGGACTGAGAACGAGAAGGGAAACGGAGATCAAGGCAAGAGACATCATCTTGGTATGCTTTGTTGTTGACCTCGCAGCAGTCGTCGCGAAATGAACAGTCTAGGGTAGAGAATAGAGAGACGAGAACCAATTCAGCACAACTCAAGCCCTTAAGAACAAACAACACCCTGTCACTATCATCTTTCAAGGTTGTCACTCACCCCTGAGGTCAGCTTGCTCCCATTCATTCACTGAAAAGAGGTCTTGACTCCGTCCAGTATTCGCCATGTTCGTCTCTAATCTCACTTCCTCGACGATTTCTCAATAGTCACAGCAATCTGACGAGCAATAGTTGTTGATGACCCACGGGAAAATGCTTTCGGCGTCGTCGGGGTAGCAGCGAGCCTTGACAACTTCACGTCAGCAACGTCGTCCATTACATCCCGCACAAACTGGAAACGCCGAAGCAGGACTTACTTTCACGCCCCCCCAGGTTGCACAGCAGTCACAGTCCTGAGTGCACTTCTCCGATTCGTAACCTGGCAGGATGGAACATGTGCAGTTTTTGCTGAGATCGGCTGAATTGGTGCTGTTTGAGGCCGTGGTCTCGTTGACAAGCATGGATCTGACCCTGAGGACCGCCTCTGCAGGGTCTTTCAGGTTGGCAGTTGCAGGTCCAGTGCTTGTCGCGTCACCCAGGATTGATGAGACATCGTGCAGAATTGAATCAATCAAGGCAGCAACTGAAGTAGTAGTTGGGTTGGTGATGACGGTTGGGGCTGCAGTGACGGTGTTGAGCAAAAGTAGAGTCGTAGGTACAAACTTGAAAAGGCGCATTTTGGCTGATGCTTCTGATTCTCTGTGCTGCTGTGGCGCAGGAGAAAATCTCTGATGGGGGACGTGATCCTTCAGGTAGAAGCAGTAGTAGTCGACTCTATAAGCATTGCAGACAGTGCAGGTTGGTGCGGTACGTCTTGGTGGCTGCTTAGACATTCACATCCGTCCGTCTCCAACTGACTCCAGAGTGGACAATCTAGAAGCACGAGGTGATCTCCCAGGTCGAAGGTGAAGGATAACAATATAATTCCTCTTGTTGACGGCTGGAGGCCCAACAATGTATGAATAAAGCGAAAAGTGGTCCTGCACTATTGGAAAACAACCCATGTTCAGGAGGTTCCTTGTAGGTCGCAATGGGACAACTCTCATCCTCAATGTGTGTAAAATTATACCTCGCGATGGTCTTGTGCGCCGGCTACGTCTACCGCTTCCGGGCTTCCGCTGATCCATCTGAAAGCGCAGTGCTCTTCCCCAGAACAGCTGACTCTTCTTTCTCCTCGTCCGGAGTTTTGGGTCCAGAGAGGGTCTCGTAGTCGAGCTCGGTCGCAGCAGCCTCCACCATGCTTTGCTTTCGTTCGCGTTCCCGGGGAAAATCCTCGTGAGGCTTACCCTCAAACCTCTTGTGCACTGCCTCAATCATCTTGCCAAACCAATAGAAGTTCAACGAATTCAGTACCAGGTTGCAGGTCAGATACACTCCAGCCAGCCAGACTGGAATAGGTTCCGTCTGCGATCCAGTGAACTGCATCACTTCGGATTGCGCTACAATGCAGCTTTTGTCACCCAAGCAGAGTTGTCCATCTCGGGGGACGAATATAGAAGAATGTGCAGAAGTGGGGATCTCTCGAAGGACTGGACCGGATTGGATGTTGAGGTGCATCGTGTGCCAAACATCTTGATATACTCGCAACGACTGGTAAGTGCCCCAGATCAACCGGCAGCCAAAGAACACCGAGAGAAGAATCATTCCGTTGTACCATTGGAGCTGAGACCCGGTCATGTTGAGCTTGTCGCAGAACCAGTGAATGTTGAGGAAGGGTGTCGAGAGCTCGTAGAGGATAAAGACTGGGCCATAGTAATTGCAAAATGGTCTCTGCACGTCTTGGTAAGCTGGGAGAACGCTACTTTGGCGCGAGGCAACTTACAAACCCTAGGGCAAACACCGAGAGGGCGGTGATAGCATGGGCCAAGATTCCCGGTCCAAAGATTTTGAGATAGCGCGCACTCACTACAAGGTCCCAGACGAAGTATCCCGTCGCCAGACCTTGAATGAGCCCGGAGGCGCCAGTATAGCCATATATCCGCTCAATGGCACTGCCTTGCATATCTTTGCGCTCTTGATCTTTGAACATGACCCATAACGCCGCAGTGTTGATGACACACGACTGCAGCAGAGACACCACATGCACGTCCCAGTTAATGCGAGTGCGTCGCGTGAGCTTCGGATAGATGTCGGGGAATAGGAAATTCGAGAGGACGGGCGAGACAATAGACTGGGTCGTCTGGTAGAGAACAAAGGCTCCCAGGACTTCATGAACATGAATCGGCAGGGACGGGAGATGCAGAGCCTCGCTGAAGGGTTTCACCAGACTAACGAGCCATGGTGGAGGAAGCGGGAGAGGATCTAGCATCGTTCAGGGAGAGCGATGGTATTTGGCGGTGGGGGGAGGATGAGGGTGCAAGAGAACGCCTTGTCGAGCGAGTCTGATAGAGATAAGATGTGTTGCTCTGATGTCGATGAATGTGAATAATAAGGAGGTAAGCGAGCAATTTGTCCAGGTTGGAATCAAACAAGTGGCATCGTGCATCTGGGCACCTGGAGTGCTGGGCTCGATGGTACCAGCCGTAGCGAATGGGGGAAGTAGTGACGCACAAGCAGGCGAAATTGTTGGGGGAAACGGGCGCGTTTGGTGCCTTGAGGAAAGTGATCACGTTGGCACGCCGAGGGTCAAGGCTGGGCTCCTGATTGGTTACCCATCAGGCCGACGAGGCTGTACCAGATGGGCGCCAGACAAGGCCATGCGTGAACATGTCAGCAACCTTTACCACATCAAGTCAAGCAATCTCCCTATTGAGTATCTTGATACTTAATACCGTCATCATCCCTTCCCGGGCACTGGTTTGCAATACTCGCTGAACGCTCACTACCCTGCATCCGACTATCTAGCCAAGAAAGAAATAGACCAGCAACGACTCGGACTCCACAACGCCCAACCCTGCTCATTTCCAATTTGTTCAACTTCCCATATCCTATGCCGTCATCTGAAAGTAATCGTTATGGTTCTCGGTGCCTGCCGTCAATGGCTCAGTGCCTAGCCCGCTGTCACTGCCATGATACTTCATCCCTTCTTCAGTAATGGCAGGTGGGGTTTGCAGGTCAGGCAGCGTTTCTGCGTCGAGAATGGGACTGTGCGGTCCGTCCATCGTGGTCAGGGCCATCAAGTCCTCTCGGTTCTCATCGTTTTGATGGCCATCTGCAGCTTGAGCACCGTGCAGGACCATGGCCGTTTGGGTATTCTCGTCCGCTTCCTGTTCCTCATCCTCCTCAGCAATGCTGTCCGTCTGTCCGTTGACCGTCCCAACAATGCTGCTGCCACAGCTTGTCGACCGCCTGCTGTCTCTACTCAACGTGCTTCCAGTACCATATGTCATGCTGTCGGTGTACATGACGCTCGTGCCATAGCTGGTCCTCCTCTCAGTGCTTGTTTCGCTATGGTTGTCGTCATCGCTCTCATCGTGGTCAACGCCAAAATTCTCTTTGTCCGTCAACTCTGTTGGGGCACCATTCCAGCTGGCCTTGCGTCCGTTGAGATAACTACTAGGGTTACTCTTCACAGACTGGCTTCGTTTGAGACTGACAAGGCCGGTTGACTTGGGCACAGGAGCAAGCATTAATGCCATATCAGGCGTGTTTCGACCACGGTTACCAGTAACATGGCTGGTGCTCAGAATTCGACGATCAACAGTAGATGTTCTCGGCGTCGACGCTGCCTTGGCATTCGAGGTAAGTGGCGTCCTCTTTTTCAAGGCTGTACCAACGGCGCTGCCGATCGCCGACTTTCCGCCTCTGATAGAGGTCCTTGCTGTTGCCGTGCTGGTGGTGCTGGGAACACGCTTGAGGCTCATCGATGCATCCCGTTCGGCCGGACTGATTCTAGCTCTGTTGATAGCCTTGGAGGATGTCTTGACCGCTCGAGCCTGATTCACCAGTCCCTCAAGGATTCGACGCTCAAGGACCTCTGCTCTGGCATTCATTTCGCGCATTTCGTCTTGTCGGATTTGCAGGGCGGTCTCAAGCTTCGCCACATCTCGAGTCAATTTTTTGGTCTGTCCAATGAGCTGTTCTTGTTCTCGCCTCAACATTGCCATGGACTCCAAAAGAGAATTCTTCTCTTCGTTCAGGGTAACAATATCAGCCTCGACTTTCTCCTTCTGCGCCGTTCGCTTCTCCAAGGCGATCGCTGCCTCCGTTGCCTCTGCAGCTTTCGAGTCATGGTGCTCCCCCATCAGTCTCGCCTGCGTGGTCACCATACTTGCAATCTCAGCCGCGGTCGACATAACTTGGTGGTGGATCTCGTCAAGTTTCTGGAGGCTGGCTAGAGAATCTCGAGTCTCTTTCTGATGGTCCTCCAGCCCTGCAAACATCTCCTTGGCTGCACTCGCATGGGAAACAAGCGTGTCCAGTTTGTCATGCAGCTCAGTACTGTCTCCCGCTGAATCGGCATGCGATAGAAGAGTGTCCAGCTTTTCATGCACCTCACTAATCGCCTTGGACGGGTTCTCCTGGGAGAGCAGGGTGTCTAACTTGTCATGCAACTCGGACATATTCTTCGCAGAGTTTGCATGGGAGAGGAGAGTGTCCAACTTATCATGCAGCTCACTGTCGTCATATTCCCTTTGGGCAGGGACTTCCCTGATTGGTTCAGCGGCGGGTAGGGCTGGCAACAAGGGTGGTATGGCAGCTGGGATAGAGTCCACGCCAGATTTGATCTCCTCTGTAGCTCGTGCAAAGCTCTCTGTTTGCTGTTGTGAATGCTCGTAGTGCTGGGTCACCACTCCGAGCACTTCCTGGATCGCAGAGAGGACTGCTGGTTGGTGGTCCGACAGACTGCCCTCAAGCCTTGTTGCTGCGGCCAACGTCTTTGCGATTTCCTCCCGAGTCACACCATGTTCGAAGGCATTGCTGGCGTGGAGGTTGTCCACCTTCGAGTTAGTCTCTTCGATAGAACCAAAGACGGTTTTCGAGTCTTCAGAGATCCGCTCACAGGTTTCTGTGACTGTGGTTCCCAAAGTGTCCATGAGCGATTTGAGATCGTCCACAAGCGCTTTCGTACTGTTCGTGGCTTCCAGATGTGCACTGTCTCGCTCCTCTAGAGAACTCAGCTTGACGTCACTGGCAAGCTGAGCATCGTCGTACTTGTTCATCAGCAGAGTGAATTTGTCTTCGATCACAGATTTGAGTTCCGCACCCGTCTCCTCGTGTTTGCTGAACAGTGTGGCATCTCGTTCTTCCATCTCAGCTTTAATGGTAGAATGATGGTCCATGTGCCGTTCGAGTTCGTCTTTGATCATGGTGGACATTTCCTCGATACTGGCTGCAGTGGCATACTTGCTCATATCGTCATGGTGCATTCCAAGTACTTTGTTCAATTCCACGATTCCCTCTGCACTTCCTTCCACCTTTCCCACGAGCTCATCTCGCAGGTCGCCGATGACGTTTTTGACATCGTCGATCTTTGTGGCCAAGCCGCCATGTTCGATCTTTCTGGCCTCAAACGCTTGCGCAGTGAGACCATTGTCGGCCTCGAATTGCTCCCGAAATGCTTTGAGGTCATTTTTCACGTCCGTGATGTCGTCCTTGCGTGGGAGAGAACCAAGATCTGGCGGTCTGATATTCTCCATCTGGGTCTTGATGTCCAAGCACAGGGATTCAACGACTTCCAAATCGGACTTCTCGAGACTACCCTGTTCGGTCCTGGGTTTCTCCAGCTTGGCTCTTAACTCTTCCATGCTGGTCTGAACGTCTTTCAACATCAACTCGATCAACGTGAAATCTTCTCTGTTGGTTTGTTCAGCAGCCCGCTCGCTGGCTTCGTCGACCACTAGTTTGATGTCCTTGAGGGCAAATTCCAAGGAATCGATCTGACTCGACTTGGCCAGAGGCTCAGAGTCCGGCGAAAGGCTCTCGTCAATCCTCGCTTTGATGTTTCTCAGTAAAGTTTCGATGGCTTCGGTGTCTTCTTTCGATGCAGCATTCTCCGGCATGACCAGTTCTGGCGGAGGTGCATCGCGAACTCCATTGACAGCATTGGCTACCTGGTCGATGGCGGTGTACAGGCCCTCCAGGTCATCTTTGTGGATTCTAGTCTCGGTAGTATGGGCTCGGTCGACGGACTCCTGAACTTGTTGTATGGCATCTTGAAGCTCATTCATGTCTTCTTTGTGTATTCGAGCCTCCGTCGCAGGGGGTGGCCCAGCCATTCCGTCCAACGCTTCGACTTTGATTCTCAACTGTGTGATCATCACCTTTAAGCCTTCGATCTCGGTGGAGATGCGGTTCTGGTCGTGTATCACCATCTCCTGCCCACGAGCGGTGGCGGCGTCGGATTCGTCACCATGTTTCTCCTGAAGCCTCGAAATATCCGCTCGGACGTCTTCAATCCCCGTCTTGAGCGTATCAAGGATTTCGTAACTTGCACTGAGGTCAACTGGGCGGTCAGTCAATTTCTGGATGTCGGCTCGGATACCGTCAACTCCGTCCTGAAAAGCATCGAGGAGTTCACTGGTGTTGGACAGAATACTTTCATTCCCGTCGATTTTCGGACGAGACGAGGCAAGTCCCTCTCGGATGGCGTCGAGAACTTCCTCACGGTCAAGCGAAGAGCCGTTTTTAACGAGAGCCCCAGCAAGGGCTGTGCGCATATGCTCCAATTCGTCCTTGACTAGCCGCACAATGTCTTCACTGTTACTGCTGAGGGTCGATTGGCGGTCGTCAGCTATGTCACGAATAGCATCGAGGATCTCGTCCTTCTCAGATAGAGTATGGTCCCTAGCCATATTCTTGCTGATGGTTTCGCGAAGATGCTCAAACTCTTTCTCCATTGCGTCCAAAAGTTCAGGTGTGTTCGGCGCTCCATTCCCGCGTGCTGCAAACCCTTTGTCGAGATCCGCTTGCATCGCAGCAAATCCAGCCTTGACTGTGTCGATGATTTCGTCTTTGCCAGTGACATCGGCAGCACGGTCCACGTAGCTTTCGATGTCGGACCTTAGGTCTTCGAGTCCATCTTTGAGCGCGTCCAGTACCTGTTCCGTGTCCTTACCGCTGGCCGCTGAATATTGCTGGAACTCATTCTTCATGCTGCCGAGGAACTCATGCATAGCTTCGATGACACGTTCTCCCATTCCTCCTAGGGGATTCTGTTCGCCTTCCAAACAAGCTTTGATGGCGTCAAACAGATCCTCGCGGTTGAATTCGACCTCTTTGGCAACGCGATCATGTTGAGAAAGGCCATCCTTGATAGCGTCACTTATTTGATCTCTGGTGACAGTGTCGTGTTGCGCTAATCCTTCTCGGACAGCGTCGAAGACATCGTCTTTGGTGAGGTCGATGTCTATGCCCCGTGACGCAGACATATCTGGCCATTCAATACCCTTGATGCCCTCACAGACAGCTGCAAGGACGTCATCCCGAGTTATTCCAGCTGGCGCTGGGATGGGGGGAAGTTCGAAGTCGGCAAGGCCCTTCCTGACAGCCTCGAGCACGTCTTCATAAGTGGCGCCGGCATCTTTTGCTGTGGCTTGTTGTGGTTGGTAGGATTTCAGGCCCTCCTTCAATGTCTCCAAGATCTCATCTCGCTCCAACCCGAAATGCTCGAGAGCGATCTCTGGTTTACAGTCCTCCCAGGCCTCTCTCACGGCAATGAGTAATTCTTCTCGTTCGGCAACAGGATCTCGGATTGGTTGTTCACGAGGCTGGGGTAATTCCGCGAGGACATCACGGACTGCCTGCACAACTTCTTGAGTACCGACCGCTGGGCGATTATGCTCTGCTGATTGTCTCCCGCTTTCTTGAACAATGTGGTGCATATGTTCCTTAAGCTCAGCAAGCCCTTGCTGCACGATAACGGCGATCTCGTCCCGCTTCGCTGCTTGTGTCTCAGCACCAGCGCCTTTGGCTTGGGATGTCGTTTGGTCCAGTTTCTTTGCAAGCTCACGTCCCATTCCCAAGACTTCTCCACGTAGTTCTCGAACCAAGACTTTCACTTCATTTGTAAGACCGCCTCCTTGAGCCAAGGATTGCTTGACACTCTTCAGCATCGTAACAATGTCGTCAACGGCAGACTCAGAGCTTGACATAGAGCTCCGTCCTTCGACGCCTGATTTTGCTTTGGCTAGAGTTGCCGCTTTTGAGTCCCCTTCAAGATAAAGATCAAGGTTTGAGGGACCCTTAGTACTGTCTTTGCCGCTTGAGCGAACCAGCGCGCGAGATCCAGATTCCTCCTTCATGCCCTTCATGAACACGAGGATATCTTCCAACTTCGACATCATGGTCGGGTCGAAGGCTGTTGAGGTAGTGACATCTGAATGCGATCGAACAAGAGCTTGTGATTTTACTGCTTCGAGAGTGCTCATGATTTTGTCTTGGCCTTCGCGAGTGGCCATCTCTCTGAGCACTTTCTCGAGGAGGGCAATGCTTGCAGCTCCGTCAACACATGTGATGGAAGGCGACGCGGTCAACTCTCGGTCAAGTGCGGCAGAGAAGCTAGATGGGCTGCCTATACGTGGCAGCCCGAGGCTCTTCGGGCGTGGGGAGCCATTATGTGCCTTGTCGTCGAAGTAGAGCCCCAAGGTAGGTGTTGATCTGCTCGCGTCCGGAGGAGCAGCAAGTAAGCGAGAGTCGAGGTTTGTGAACTTGCTTTCCAGACCCGCTATGAGTTCTCTGAGACTTTTGCGGATGTCTTCGTCCCTCGCCGAGGTGGCCTCCTTGAGGCTCATGAGGTCGCCGTAGTTTTCTTTGCTTCTCTTGTTCAGACTCGACATCTCTTTCTGAACGCTTGTAATGATTGATGTCAGGCTCAGAATTTGGTTTGACAAGGCATCAAAGGAGTAGGACGTCGGGACTGAAGGCGATGCCCCATTTGTTATGTCACCAAGTGGCGTGGCATCCTGCCGATTTCTAATTGTCTGCAAGGCCAACATGTTCGACGGCGGCGGCGTGTTTTCTGTTTCTCTGGACCTTGCCGAGTTCCTCTCGGTGGGTGTCGGAGTCTCTGACCTCGGTCTTGTCGGACTGCGTTCCGATGGTTTATTGCTGGGAAAGTCCTCGAAGTCCACGAACTTTGCCGTTCGCAGGCCTTTGTCTGGTGATCTTCTCTCTAAAGAGTCGCTCAGTCTAGTGATGCCGGGACTCTGCAGATTCTGCATTCGCCTATTTTGCGCCCGTATGACATTTCTGTCTGGTGAGGTAGGAGGAGGGTTGCTGGTGTAGCCACTAGGGGCATTTTCTCGAGCTCTGGCGGCTATCAGGGCGGCAGCTTCGTCAATCCGTTTCGATGTGTTAGATCTAGTCAGAGGGCTTCCGGGAACTCCAGGGTTCAATGGAAGTGGCGGAGGTGCTCGATCAGGATCTGAGCTGTCCCACCTTATCACCGGGTCAGTATTGGCTGAGGTTCCCCAGCAAGAGCAAGGACTCACATAGGCACTGAGGCCCTGCCGGACTCTGAAAATGAATGTTGATGCTTGATGATTCGAGACTCAGCACGGTCCCGCGAAGCATCCCGCGAACTGGCAGAGTAAGTCGACATGGTCAATGCCTCTGCGCGGAGATTTTTCTCGCGAGGAATGTTGTCAATCAAACTGAAGCTGGCCAGTGCTCATAACGCACTTCGTTTACTCCGGCATGGGCCAGCAAGAACCCAACGATCAAACAAGAAACAATAGCACAATAAATTCAACGATGCTAGTATAACGGTGAAAGCAAGAGACTTTGGCGCTGGTCTGCTGGCACAAGGTAACGTCGGGTAGCAGTGCCTCTGTGATTGGCTAGACGAATCGGGATGTAAACAAAGCTAATTGACAAATCGGCCGACCTGCCTCTGCAGTTGAGGGGGGAAAGGCGGAGCTAGCGTGGACCACCCCTGTCACACGTGACCTCGAAAACCCTACTTCGCCAAGACCAATTTTTGAGCAATTCAGCACCGGGCGGATGAGTTTAGCATTTTGCAGCCTCAACTTCTCCCGAGTTATCCAACAACCTCTTCAAGCGCGAAAGTCTGACCTCAAGATGAAGTGTGAGTAAGATCGCATACAACTGTACTTTGCGACATCATTGACACATGAGATAGTCCTCAAGGTCGGCCGCGTGGCCATCATCACTCGAGGCCGATATGCCGGAAAGAAGGTACGGACAGAGAAGACGGATTTTAACGCATGCGAACGATCGGAGGTCTAACGATTTCTCTACAGGTTGTCATCATCCAGCCAATGGACTCCGGCACGAAACAACATCCATTCTCCTACGCCTTGGTCGCAGGCATTGAACGTTACCCTTCGAAAGTCACTCGCCGCATGGGTAAGAAGCGAATGGAGAAACGATCAAAGGTCAAGCCATTCATCAAAATGATCAACTACAACCACATCATGCCCACCCGGTACACACTGGAGCTGGAAGGACTGAAGAGTGTCATTTCGAACGATACATTCAAGGAGGTTTCGCAAAGAGAAGATGCAAAGAAAAACGTCAAAAAGGCCTTGGAGGAGAGATACTTGAGCGGCAAGAACAGATGGTTCTTCACGCCTTTGAGATTCTGAGTGTGGGGTTGTGCATCATGTCTTACGAATGCATTTTGCCATGACACGCCGCGGCATGGGGCGTTTAGACGCGAGGTCTTCGGGAGGCAGGAATCATTGCAACACCAATGCATCAACCCCTCTTTCGGGCAGATTTGAGGTCGGTCCGATGCAGCGAATGTTTGCTGGGGAGGACTTGACACCTGAGCCGGCGAAGCTGCAGGAAGACACGAATACGGCTCGAGTGAAAACAATTCAATATTCAGTGCGAAGATGTCCTCTTGTTGATGCGATTGAGTCTTCTGAGATCATTCGAGGTACAGATCATCTTTCAAGCGCTGCAGGTTCCGGAACAGCCCAGCAGCACCGCTACTTCCCTCATTCGAGCCTCTGGGATTTCTGTCCATGGCTGAGCTTGATCGTACAGAACTAGCCACCTTGGGATTCCGAGCCCTTTCTCGTGCATCCAGTGTCTTCCGCCTTTCTTCCACCAACTTAACCAATGAATCAACGAACTTCACTCTCGCCTTTTCCTCGCCCGTGCCCTTCCAAAGCATTGCCAGTTGTCTGTATTCTTCTACTCGTTGAGATGCGGCCTCGAGACCAGTATAGCCGGCCGACTCTTGCCCCAGTAGATCATCGATTTCTGCCCGAATGCTTTTCAATACCTCGCGCGCCTTGTCGTCTTCAGCTGTGCTTTGTATTCCCAACTCAGGCGAGGAGACTGAGATAAGGGCCGAAGCCATGGACAACTCAGAGGGAGGTATTGGCCATTTCATTGCTTCCCCAAATATGGCGATGACAGACTCAAGCCGTGCTTTCACCTTTCCCAGTAGCCGTAGTCGAGCCATGAAATCAGGCTCGTTCTGTGATTCCGCGTTTTGCAAAGAGCCATCACCCTCAGCTTCGGAATTCAAACTCGGTGGCTCATTGGCGATAAATTCGTTCTTGACGAACTGGCTAATATCATCTCGTAGCGAGTCGGTCAACAGCTCGTGAAATCCGTTCACATCACCCCGAAGCACCTCAACCTCATAGGCCAGACGGTTTCCACTGCGAATAATCTCGTCCGTCAAAGACGTCAAATCCGAGGAGGCACGGATGCTGATTGTGTTGAGCGACGTGAGTAGAGCAAGTGAGTCGGTAGAGGCACCCTGAATCTGTGTGGACCTGCTTGTCTTCGAGATCTGGGTCTGAGATGACAAGTTCAGGCTGGGCAGTGAATCGTTCAGAAAGTCGACGGGATCAAATTGAGGTTGATGGAGTTTTGCAAGTATAGATCCACTGCCGTCACCATTCTGTTCGCCGTGATCTTCGGCGTCTATGCGAGAAGGCATCTCGAGCTTGGGATTTCGCCTTTCGCCAGCTTCAACAAATGCGAGCCCTTCATGCGCGGAATCAAGCATGCATCTGCTCTTTCTTCATCGTGGACTTCTTGGCCGGTGGTTCAATGCTCTCCAATGATCGGCCATGCCCACGACATGTCGTGCACAAGGTCTTATCTTCCAGGGACAATGAATGTGGGAAATGGATCAAGGACTGTCATTTCTGAGCAGCCAACCTGCCCTTTCGGATCTCCATTTGCCTTCGGCTCGGAATAACTATATACCGACGGGCACGCATCCCGCTTGGCACGACCAGTCTGCTAGTATTTCAGATGTTCCTCCCACCTTTTCCATCTTCCTTCTTTTGTAGTTATCACACGTTGTTGAAGCTTTGTAGGTAGGAGACATGTTGTCTTGGAGAATCGTAAAGATCACTCGGGATGGTGAGACTGATAACAAAGCAAACAGAAACCAGTCTATGGACCAAGCTGCTAACAGGCAAAGAGAGAGTGAACATGGCAGTCCTGCTTGCCGACTTGCCTTGGTCTTGGTGCCCCAGGACCTGCAATTTGAACAGCAGCGGAAAACGAAGACGGACACATGGCCCGATGTTTGCGCCCTCTTTCATATTGACGGGGAAGTCGCTACGCTTGCGCTGTACCCTAGAAAGTGCGGCTTGGTTCTACCACGCGCTCTGCCTTATTGACTTTGACTGGCTGTGTGCCCTGTCGACCTCAATAACTGCACAGGCTGCCTCACTGCTTCCATCTCTGCCCAAACTTCCAGCATTCTCTTATGATTTTGAATTTCCTGCTCCTTCTTCAATCCTCCCTCCTTTCCCAACTTTTACCTCTCCATTCCACTCTCTCCTACATCCGCTGATGGCATCTCTCAACGTGATGCTGTCTGCGAAAAGCTGAGGCAACTCTTACTTTCCCTTCGTGAGATCTGTCAGCTACAGGATCCTCAAATCTGACTCCTCCCGAGACCCTTCAGCTTGCTTCACCAACTCCAGATCTACAACCTCCCTCTGTCAATCGCGCCCTACTCTACCCGCCATGGGCCGGAAGCTCTTCCTCAGCCACTTGGATGATGCCAACCGCCTACGCATCGAGCGCATCCACAGCATCCACAGCCCGGAAGAGGGCGTCGTTGCTTTCACCTATGTCTATCCCACTGGCAACCTTGAACAAGTCAATATCGAGGCATTTGCCAATGATCTAGGAGAATATCCGGACGGCAACTCGTTCATGGTGTGCTCCAAGGACACCTCCCTCGATCCTGTTGTTGCAAGAACTCTGCAAAAAGTCACCGAAAATGCCCACGGCAAGTCAGTTATCGACTTGGTGACTGAAGTTGCGGGGCTGTTGACAATGGTCATGACAGGAGACCGTGTCCAAGAAGATCTCATAACCGGCTATCTGATGGAGGATGATGAATTCGAGTTTATTTTTGAGGGTGATTCTGACAATGAATGTTTTGGCCTAGATACCTGTAAGTCCACCAGCACAGAGCGCGGCCACAACACCATAATCGACGCCGCCAGCATGTCAACTGCACCCCAAGGGATGGTGGACAAGATATGTGCAGATCTTAGAGCCCTCAAGGGTTCAGGCTTCCGTGTCGCGATCTTTGGAAACATCGCCACCGCCGGTATTCTATGCGTTTCAATCCGAGTTTCCAAGCTCGGCCTCTCGGACGAAGCACTGGAGGCGTGGAATGTGCCGCGAAAGCATTACTTCTTGTTGCTCATCAGATACATGCGGGGTTATTTGGACGCAGGCAGAGTCGTCACTGAGAAGGATCTGTCCGACTTCGTGGAGATGCGCGTGGGCCTTTGTGGCCACTATAAACCTTCCCTCCACGAAGTCCTCCGTCTCTTCCAGTACACGAAGCCGGACGATGAGCCCCCAGCGGACGATGCTGACGCCATATCAGCTGATCATCATCCCTTCGAAGCACTATTCATTGGCAATTCAATCAACCAGTTCCTCAACCAACGGGCCTTCAAGATCATTGCGGCTCGGGAACTGTACCAGCTCAGCTGGCTTGGCGCAGAGAAATTCATCAACGACAGACAAGCAGCTCCTTCCACCTCGAACTTTTGCGACATGATGCCCTATCACTGCGATGACGGAGGCTGTGCAAGCAACCTTCCCCCGGTAGTCATTGCAGACCACATGCTCCAGAACCCACTTGCGAAGGCCTCTTTGCCACTGATCCTGATGCAATTTGCCCTTAGACACTTCGTCCGGTGCACGGAATTCTGCCTCGTGTGTCACTGCCGGGTCGACGACGGGTTTGAAGCTTTGAAACCGTACGTCTGCTTGAATCCTCTCTGCCTGTACCAATATATGAAGCTTGGTTTAGGCCCTCGCCTGGAGTGGGAAATTATGGCCCAACCATACGTTGTCGACCTTCTGGTCAGCTTTTGCTACGCAGCTGCTGTTGGTGGCAGACTCAAAGAGCTTCCTATCGGTATGGACCTGGTAGTACCCGTCATACCCCGTCCCAGCATCCTGCGCACTACGGCGATGGCTTCATACAGGAAAGTCCATACCACATGGGTCCCGAAAAAGTCTTTTACATGCACGTGGAATACGGATTTGAAGTGCTTGACGGTCGGACAAGGGAAGAACACATCAATTGAAAAGCTCAAGCCTGGTGATTGGATTGTCCTCCTATGTGCTCCAACTGAGGCCGCAGCCCATTGCCGCGTCAAGAGTTTGGAGCTGCCTCAAATCTGGTTGGATGCATCAATCTCTGTTCCATATCCTGGGCATGTCCATGACCTCGACAGTCCTTCTGAAGAGGGAAAGACGGATTGCTATTTATACGACAAGACTTTTGACAGCCTCGCTCAAGAACACCAGGAGAACGCCATCATGACGTTGCTGGATGCCCTTCCATCTGTGATCAAGATGCGCGGCTCCTTGGAAGGTCAGGGAAAAAGCCAAGAGCCCAGCCTGGAAGCATCGCCTGAGAAGATTCCGAAGGCAGCATTGCATCTTCTCCGTTGGATTGTGGCATCCAATAGATCTTGCATCATGCAGGTTGACGACATCGAGAGCAAGGACGGTCCCTTAATTCCCGGGAAGGTCACAGATCGGGTTGGAGGAATGTATTCTTGGATTCAGTTTCGCTTGGCCCAAGGGGCTCCAGACAAAGAGAAGCGATTCAACGACAGCGTAAAGCGACATGCGCGGGCCACTGGAACCATGTATCCGACTCTTTTTGCATGGCACGGAAGTCGAACGGCCAACTGGCACTCAATCATTCGACTGGGCCTCCGATATGATGAAGTCATCAATGGCAGAGCATACGGGCATGGGATCTACTTGAGCCCTTCCGCGCATATAAGCTTGAGGTACTCGAGGGAGGTTGTCCCTGAGCGCTACTGGCAAGGATCTGAGCTCAAGATTGCGAATGTGCTTTCCCTGCAGGAAGTCGTGAATGACCCCGCGAAATTCACCTCCACCGCGCCACACTATGTGGTCCCGAAGGTTGACTGGGTGCAGACCCGGTATCTATTCGTCCAGACCGGAAGTGGACCCCGTCGCGACCCTGTGGGAATCCAAATCTACAAACAGGATCCCAACCGAACGGCTGTCAACGAAATGGGCTTGCCATTAAAAATCCCAATAACTGCCATATCGAAGGCTCGGAGACCCGGCAGCAGCATCGGCACGGTAGGAACGCCTTGCGGGAAGCGTACGAAGACAGTCTCGCAAACAAACTTGGCCGCAGCCGAACAACAAGAGGAGGACGCAGACAGTGTCGTGTCGGATGAGGATGATTTGGCTATCTTTCAAGCCGCCAAACAGGCCGATGACAATCGTGAGCCTTTTTTCGGATGCGACACTAATGCTGAAAGCCTGTGTGTCAATGGCAAGAAACGACCAGCGGAAGTGGCAGCAGATACCGACTTCGTACCTGGCGAATTGGACATCACGAACATCAAGTTCATGGAACCACCGAAGGACGCCAACCCGGTCGCCACCAAGGCACTCATGCGTCTGCTCAAAGAGGCGCTAAAAACCCAGGATGACACTCCGCCAGCCACACTCGGGTGGTATATCGACCGCAGCTTGATCAACAATGTGTACCAATGGATCGTGGCATTGCACAGCTTTCCGAGCGATCTACCTCTGGCTAAGGACATGAAAAGTGCCGGGGTGACATCAATAGTCATGGAGATGCGATTCACCAGTCAGTACCCTTTCAGCCCCCCATTCATTCGAGTGGTCAAGCCTCGCTTTCTGCCGTTCAGCCGAGGCGGAGGTGGCAACGTCACGGAAGGGGGTGCAATGTGCATGGAAGTGTTGACAAATAATGGATGGTCTGCCAGCCTCACTGTTGAAAGCCTTCTCCTTCAAGTCCGGCTGGTCATGTCTGATACAGAGCGACCTGCGAGGCTAGACAGACGACCTGGCACCTTTTACAATGTTGGAGAGGCCAAGGCAGCATACCTCCGTGCGTGCCGTAACCACGGCTGGGAAGTTCCTGCGGGGTTTGACACAATTCAGGAGCTGGACTGAGGCATTGGACGTCACCGGGCAGTATCGTGGGGGGAACAGTTCGACATGTTGCCCACAATACGACGTGTTCGACATTGAGGAGTATGGGGTAGGTTGGTAGACGATCAGAACAAGGAACTGGATTTGGCCATTCCACGAACAGGGCGAAAATGTAACGGCCGCAGGCAAGTCTCGCTTGGCCAGGAATTCCTTCGGTGGATGTATGAGTACGCAACTTGGGGCTAGGTAACACAGCATTGCATTGCATTGAGCATTGAGGGGCAGTCAGGGATACTGAATGATGCGCGACGGGCAGCCTTTGCATCGGAAGGGACAGGGTGACGTGACCTACTGAAGTTGACGGGCACGGCAACGCTGGTAGATCCGACGTTGAGATAAGAAGGGATGCTGTATGGAAGACCAGACAAACCCAGATAGTGAGCTTTCTCATAGCCGAAAAAAATTGTCGAGATGCCGATGAGGACCACTCTGCTTGGTCTATCTCTGTTTGTGTGGACAGAATAACACATGGTTGGCAAGCCACCGAGGATTCAAGCAGACAGCAGTGCAAGAGGTGATGGGATCCATAGACTGACACAGCCGAAAAATCCTGACATGTGCTATTTGATGTGTGCGTCTGTGTCTTCCTCTTTCTGTATATCACCCAAACACAACTGCGCACATGCTAGCGCGCTCGGCCCTAACTCTTTGACGGTAGGTATGCTCTTTTCTTTTCCCCCATTCTACCCCTACAGCAATCAACAAGATGGGCCTTTTTTTGAAACTTTTAAACTTTTGATTGTTGCGAATTGCCAATCGACCCAGGCCTACCTATTACCTAGGCAAGACTGAGACGTGGACCGGAGGAACGGGGACGGGGACGGGGACGGGATGTGGTTGAGGCGGTTGAGGCGGGTGAAGGCGAAAACGGGGCGTCGGGGCACTTTTCTACAGTAGTTTCCGCTTGCATTTTACCGGCACTAATCTAGCATATGGATGGATATGTACTGTGTACCTACTCTGTACATTCCATTATTAAGGACATGCATTGGTCGCTATAGGTGCGCTAGCTGTGTGGGCTTGGTAGGTGGTTGAATACCTAAGGTAGGTATGTAGGTAAGTAGGATACTGTATATAGCTCGGAGTATCACCACCAGGACAGATCCTTCTCGGAGAACTTGGATGGACAAAATATACACGGGTTCAAGTTGGGAGGTGGGTATATATATACCCCGTACCCAGTATTACAAGACATTTATCCCGGGGTGTGTATTCTGCCGGCTAGTATCTGGCTCTCTGCCCGTGTCATTCTTTCGTTCATTCATTCATCCCCATCCCTGGTCCAACTTCCCCGCGGGAAGGAATGGAGATGCCGGGTGGGTGGGTAAGTAGATCATAACCCAACGCAGCCCGTTGCATATGTATCGGTCGATGAGTCGCTGGGGGAGGGAAGGACCATTGTCGATTGAAACTTTAAAACATATGCAAATGGGACAGGAAACAAGGAAAAGAAAAGGGTCTCCGTGGGACGGGACGGGAGAGAAGATGGGTGTTTCCTTCTAGCTACTGCTCTTTACATCCAGTACACACCTAGTACCTAGTTGCGCTGATGTTGATCATGACTTGTTACAGGAAGGCAACTGTTGACTTGCCAAGTACACATCGATCTAGAGGGAGTCTGGGGTGTGTAGTGCCTACATACACAAGTGATGCTCCTCATCATTGCTTGGCCATTGCTAGGTGCATATGCAAGGCCGTTTTTAGAAGCCGCAGAATCCACCGCTTGCGCGCCGCATTTTCACATGCGAGAAAATTGTCACACATGAAAAAAGCATCAAGCAAGTCGCAATCTCTGTGACATAGCTCCGCCACGATGAGCTATGACTTGACAGACAGAGAGGGGTTATTTTGTTTTCTTTCTTGGGATGGCAGCGGGAAGCATAGTGCATCTGTCAGATGCCGGTCATCCATGGAAGGTTCCTCAATATGGTGCTTACCCCAGGAAAAAGATTCCGCGTTGCATGATGCGGGATAGGTCAGAAAAGGACCGTGCGAAGGAATTGACAGGTCAGCTTCCCGTCGTTGCAGGAGTGGCAGCAAGGATATAGATTGCAGAAATGCTCCTCGTCGACCGGGCACATTGTCATCCCACTTCCTTTCTGCTTTGTCTGATAACGACCAAATAAGCTTTGACCTCCCAAGCTAGCCGCGCATGTGTAACACAATTCAGGACGTCGGCATGACGTTTCAGGCGTCAGGACAAATAAGTCATTGCCACAGACCACGAGCAGTTCCAGGCACCGGAGTCGGATGCTTCGAAGGAGGTGGTGTGAAGACAGCGACAACGCCATGGATGTGGTGGAGTGGAGTATTGCGATTGGTTGGAAATGCGAGCACCAAGAGCTGCCACGAACAAAGGACTGCAGGGAGGGAGTGTGGCAGACATGGCTCACATCAACGAGGACAAGAGGGGCAGGCAATGGAGAAGCGCAGGGGGTCTGATGGACGGAGTACCCGTGGTCAGTGTGTTTGGGTGTAGGCAGTAGCTGTGTGTCATTCCACGGAGCTGCAATTCCATGTTTTTTTTTATCTAGCTTGCTAGTAGTATCCCGTATATGGTTGGTGATGAGTGGATAGCATGTTGCGGCAACACCAGCCACCCGTAAGCAGCAGGTGCAGGAGAATGAGAACCTGGGAAACCTTGAGAGTACCGAGTAGTAGAGAAGTGAGTGACAAGGGCCGACCAGGTTGAAGTGGCAGTATTAGTGGCAGTACCTAGGTAGGTAGTGGCAGTAGTGGCAGTCAGTGGCAAGAGTGGCCCGAGGCTGGCACTTTCACATGTCAGAACTTGCAACCAGCATCGCCCAGGCATGAGCTCCCGTCCACTTTGTCGGGCCATTGCAGCAAATGCTGCCCGCGCCCGCGCCCTGAATGGAGCGAAAATCAAGGCCATGAAATCATCTCCCCAGTCACCTCTGGATCGGGTCGCTCTTCATCGGTGTCATTCATGGGCTAAGGGCCGAATGGAGCCTGAACGCAGCTCAACAAGATTGCCAGCCCATCTCTGCTACAAGGCAATAACAGTCATACAGTCACCGTCACCGTCACCATCACCTATTTAGCCCAAAAGTCAAGCCGACCACCATATTATTCCCGCTCACTTCCCACCTATCTACCTCCGCTCTCATTCTTTGCTTCTCACCTCTGCCTCCTTGACAGAAACAGAGCTGTGTTGACCTGCCCTGCCACTGACCTACAATTGGTCCCACTCTTCACGCCACCTTGTGAGTATGTTGGTCCTTTGGTTCCTGCAGTAAATTCCCCGACCAGCGCAGATCTACGCCCGCCTCCCTCAACAAAAGGGAAAACCCGAGTAACTGGACTGCTTCTCCCCCCTTCTCTCCCGCTGCTTACTGGCGTGCCTTCACTTACACACCTTCTGTTGTCGTCCTGTGTCCCTCCGAGCAATAACTGATCGATTGCAGCTCCTGCACAAGTCAATCAACAACCATAACCATGGGTGAAGCTACTGTCAATGGCGACATGCCGCATTCTGCCTTCCTCTCGGTAAGTGAACCCAGCGGCCTCTGCAGAGAGATTCTGCCACGAACACTTGCTGATCTCTCGTCCTGCCTAGCATATACAATCCTATCCTCTCGTCTCAGACTCGATCAAGACCATCCAAGAGAACCCCTACGGCGTCAAATCGATCGAACTGACCAATGCCGGCTACGCGAAATTTGTCAAGCCCACGCTGCCCTACTTCCAGACCCCGGCGTCATACGCAAAGCCCTATGTCGCCAAGGCTGATGAGCTCGGCGACAAGTTCCTGTCCAAGTTTGACGAGCAGGTGCCTATTGTCAAATCCGAGACCAAGGATATTCAGGAAAAGGTTATGAGCTACATCAATTGGCCTCTCGAAACCGCAAACACCACCAAGGACTGGGCTCTCAATACCTACAACGACGAGTACAAGAAGTGCGGGGGAGATGGCTACGTGGCGGGCGGCAAGGCCGTCGTCACCACCTCGCTGATTCTGAGCTCCGATGTGCTCAAATGGATCAGCTCCTTCCTCCAGGCCAAGAAGGAGCAGGCCAAGGACGTTGTCAACGAAAAGACCAGCAAATAAGTGTATTGGCTATCGACTGCACGTCGTCTACTATGTTCCCTGCGCCCTGATTGTCAAGAGCACGAGCTCACCTCTCCTCTACAATCATGTACAAATGAACCAGCACCCAGCATTTGATACCCTGATAGCTACCGGCACAACTGGACGAGATCCGTCACAACAATCCAGCAACCCGAATGAACCTCACACGAGCAAGCGATAATCAAGGCCCCGGTTTCCTTTGTCGCCAACATCCGCTGTTTGCGGATCTCCTTTCCTCGAGTCAGAATTTATGCTTGATAGAAGTTTTGTTGTTCTGCGCTTCTCTGAAAATGCATAGAAATCGGTAGTTTCCTGTTTGAAATAAATATGAAGTCACCCTCAATGTCATAGCTGCCTTGGTGGCGATCTAGTAACGCAATCTTTTGTTGAGCGCGGCTGTTATGAAACTTGGTTTCCGACGAAAGCATGTGAAAGTCCGTGTTATCGTTATCAGAAATTTTCACATGCCAATGATGTCGTATGTGGAGCCTGAGAGAGCTAACCGGACCGCCCCCTCCTTTGGGACTCAGCGGCGACTCAACAATTCATAGGGAGAGAGAAGAAGCAAGAAGTGTCTTCACATTGACACTGTGGAAGGAGGATGAAAGGGTCAACATATATCTTCACGACAAACTATGTACACATTCTTCGGGGGGCTCGGATCCTTGCCAGACTCTGTCCTGCTGCGCGGCCCATTCGTACTCGGGTCCAGTGGCGGACACGGGCTAGAAAAGGCAGGTCCCGGATATCGTCTCCGACATTACGGGTGCTACTTGGCCCCGGCGCTGAAAGGAAAGAAATTAGTTTGATTATTACTAGAGTTACTGAGGTACTTAGCGAGTAGTATCGGGTCTGTTTGCTCAAGGTTACTTCCGTACGACGTACCTACCTAGGTATGTATAGCCCGGGTGCCCCTCCTCAATCGGGAAATGGGGACTTTGTATAAATATACCGCGCGAGCTGAGCACATGGGCTGCTATACCCCAGTAATGGCTACCGCACACGAGGTGGTATTGTAGGTAATATGGGCTCCGGACGGACTTTGTTTCTCGTAAACGCTCAAATGTTCGAAATACTTGAATACTTGAATCGAGGAAAGCATGGCGTTGTTACAACATTCCACGATCCAGCGGCTTCTGAAATAGGGTACAAGGGTATGGGTACTACAGGTATCTAGTAGGTTAGCGAGTCATCGGTGTGTTTGGCTCGAGTCGACCCTCCCTCCGCCCCGCGCTCCTTCTGATGGCAGGACCGTTTCGAACCGGGCGGCATGGACAAGGAGGGATCTTTACTGAGGGACTCGGGTGGGACGGTTGACCATTGACCACTGACCATTGACCACTGACCACTGACCACTGACCGTTCGATGTCCCTACTAGATAAAATGACCGGGCGCAACATCCTTGTAGGCGCAATGCTACCAGCTTCCCCCTTCCTCTACTATCTCCTTCTTCCTCTTTAATTCTTGGCATTGGGTAGGTTGGTAATTATCAGTGGTGGCTACCTACTAGGTTCCTTAGTACCGAGACAAGCAACAATGAAGAATAGGTGCAGTGGTGCAGGTAGTGCAGGGATAACAACCATATGTGGACCTATATCGAGTATATCTACGCCAAACACTCCCCCCGTTTCCTCTTTACTGTAGTCGAAAACTGCGGAAATGCTTGCATGGTGTGTAAGGGCCACCAGTGTTTCGAGACTTCTCTTAACAAACCCTTTCAAAGACCCCTTCTTCAGCTCGGTAGGTGCTTCGGGTCTATGCGCGTACATATACGAGTATCCTGCTGGATATACCCGGCACATCGGAGGAAAAGCCCAGCCAGCCTCTCCACGTCTCCGTGCCGCGCTGAAGGAGAAGCGAGAGTCATGTGGTCTGTAATGAAAAGTATGCACATGGGCTGGGAGTGACACCATCTCAGCAAAGTCCAGGATATCCTTCAACATGATCGACCCGCTCTGGAAGCTAGAGGAGTCTGTGTGCGCGACGGACAACGCTCATTTAAACTCTTAGCTCACCAACACCAAATCTTTCAAAGGTAGAATAGCGTCCGCTCCTGTCGGCAAGCGTCATGTACGGTGACAACAGCCCTACGTCACTCATATCCGGCCATGAGGTGCTGCATTGCGCTGGCTTCAACATTCCGTCAGACACATCGGCGTCAATGAATAGTGCTCTCGTCTCAACGGATCGACCATCTTCACTGTTCCGGAAGGTTTGGGCCGTGAAAGTTGGACTTGGCTAAGAATCTTGTCAGTGTCTGCATATGTGTCCAGCATACGCCGAGATATACGTCGGCATTGCGTCACTTTTCACTTTGTGCTTTTTGCAACTAGTGGAGGTGAGGGAGAGGGCATGACTCCTCCAACGCCCTTTCCGGAGCAGAAGAGCAAAGGCATCTGAGTGACGGTCAATAACATATCGAGTTGAGAGGTCCTGCGTGATAGGACGCGCATGATGATCCCAACGCGGTAGATGCTGGGCGACCTGCTACCTCATAACGAGTACATGGAGAAAGAGCCCTGCCCAGAAGCAAGGCTGCACAAATTAAGCAACCATTTCTGATCTTACCGAGAGACGAAAAGATCCATTACGGATTGAGAAAGCTCGGCACAGACAGATCGCCTTTGATAGGCTTAGAGCGCGGGATCGCCCAAGACGTCGACACAAATATGGACGCTGGTGACCAAGCTAGACAGAGGTAGGTTTGACAATCGAAGATGGATACTCGAATCTGCGCATGAGAACAGTTGCCCTCTTGGTGCCGGGCTGCAGATCTGGGTTTCGCAGCTGAAAATTTGTGGGCGCAATCGAGATTGCCTGTGAATTGAGTTTGCGATGATAAAGGAGATAAGCTCACACAGTCTCTGTATAGGAAAATTGTCCAAGATAGACCTGACAGAGAGATCAAGCGTCGAACTGCCTCAAGCAAGCGATTCAATCTGTCCGGAGAAGGGCGTCGCCCGCGGGGAGTGCAGTGGCAGGCCTTGCATGTCGGACGGGTTCAGGATGAGGGCTCATTCGCTCGCTCGGAGGAAAACGTGGAAATATCGCGTGGGAGCAACGCAACTGTGAGCACTGAGCAGCCAAATTGAGGAGGAGGATAAGATAGTAGGTACCTAATGATAGCGCAGGGAGACCCTTTGTAAGGGTGCGTCCGACTAGAAGCAGGACCCGGCATCCGCGGCGCGGAGCATCATTTTTCCAGCCTCCCACTTTTCGCAGTCTCCCCATGTTCTTGTAGGTACCATTCTACCCTCCTTCACGTCCACCTTGTCCACAATTCCACTCACTTTACCGAGTACGCTTGCGCCTACCAGATACGCTCCTTGTCCTTCCGCATGGCTGCAAGTCCAGCGGAAGCCACCACCACCCTAACGGAGTCCTCCTCTTTCCGTGCCACCACACGTTTGCCTGGAACCACTCGCTCCGCGTCAGCTGCACCACCTTGCAAGGGCGCCGAGATAAGCTTGCGCAAGAGTCAACAGATACGAGAAAAATGGACACGATCAAACAAGCCTCTACCACATCATGGTCTATACCTCTCAAGCGACGCCGCTCTGTTTGCCTTGTCGATCTGCTATGCTCATTGACATCACACAACAAGATCTTATTTCTCGTCGCCAATCGCTTTGGGCAGCCCATTGAAGAAACGAGGAGACCAGCAAACCATATTCGACCCTTTGCCAGAGGGTTTTCCAGAAGACGGTGTTATCACACATAGGAAAAGGTTGCGTGTGCCTTATCGCGCACCCATGAGTCCAGGGTCCGCGAAAGGGCCTAGGCCCATCATCAGCGCCAACCACGATTCGATCAAGCTTCTTCGACCCTGTCCCGTCTGTCCAAAGAGAATGGGGTTTGGGCCTTATCAAGCACCTTGCAGATCTCCGGGTGGAGCCAGCTTTCGGCGCCCTCCACCCAACGAGCTCCGACTGGTGTCTCCAGCATCGAGGTGCTTTGCATCATATCGCCCTCGATTATCGTTACGCTGTACGTCCCCTGTCACGTATATATGTGCCTGTCCGCCCTCTTGGGACGATGTTTCCCACTCTATGGTCGGATTCTAAGTCCCCGGCAAGATGTCGAAGTACGTGACCAAAACAAAGAACCTCATCCCCAGTGGGGCAACGGTCAAGGCGAGGGCGACCTCCCTCAGCGCGTGGGAGCTGCCCAAGCAAGGTAATACAACCTCCTAGATCCAACCGAAAAGCACACACATTTGCTGACCTGAATCCGTAGACTCCGCTCTCGCACCCAAGGATGTGTGGTAAGTCGGTGCTGTCTACAGAGGAAGCACATGCAACAAGCGCCAGGAGAACTGTTGGACTGATCCAGTATTCAGGACCAATGCGGATATGGACCCAGTCCCTCCAAAGTACCAGACATGGACTTTGTGGACGTGGATGGCCTACTGGGCAACCGACACTATCAACTTGGGTACCTGGGAAACTGCCTCTTCTGTGATTGCCGTGGGCCTGAACTGGCGCGACGCAATTCCCATCATGGTTGTCGGCACCAGCTGCGTGGCTGTCCCTATGGTCCTCAACGGTGCTATCGGCGCTAAACTGCACATCCCCTTCTCGGTCATCGTCAGATCTGGCTTCGGATATTACTTTGGTTACTTCTGCATCGTCTCTCGAGCCATCTTGGCCATGTTCTGGCTTGGTATTCAAGGGGCCAACGGTGCACAGTGTATTACTCTCATGTTGACCGCCATCTGGCCGTCGTACGCGCACATCAAGAATCACCTCCCCAGTGATGCCGGCATTACGACGCAGGGAATGATCAGCTATTTCCTCTTCTGGATAATTCAGCTTCCGCTGTTGCTGATCCCTCCGACGAGGCTTCGTTATCTTTTCATAATCAAACTCGTCGCTGCGCCCATCACTGCATTGGCTACTCTCGGCTGGATTGTCCACAAGGCAGGAGGAGGCGGTGCCATCTTCTCCCTCCCCGAAACGGTCCACGGCAGTCGACGCGCTTGGCTCTGGCTGCAATGCATGTCCTCGGTCACAGGATCTTGGGCCACACTGGCTTGCAACATCCCTGATTTCAGCCGCTATGCGAAGACCTCCCGTGGCCAGTATATTCAGCTGCCATTCCTTCCGGCGATTTTCACCGTTTGCGGTGTAATGGGTATCGTCACCACATCCGCATCCAAGGTCGTTTACGGAGAGTTTCTGTGGAACCCATTGGATATCATCCAACATTGGCTGGGCAGTCATGGTGGTCGGGCCGCTGCATTCTTTGCCGCGCTCTCGTGGTACGTTGCCCAAGTCGGCACGAACATCACGGCAAACAGCATGTAAGATTTAGTCTCTCCTGACCACTCGAAATCATGTGCTAATTTTATGGTAGTTCTGCCGCAAATGATTTGACAGTCCTTTGCCCGAAATACATCAACATCAAACGTGGTTGCGTCATCGCCGCCCTTGTTGGTGGCTGGGTCATTGTCCCCTGGAAGATTCTCAGCTCTGCAACGACCTTTTTGGCTTTCATGGGTGGCTATGCCGTCTTCCTCGCACCCATGGCCGGAATCATTGCCTCCGACTATTGGATCGTCAAGCGACAACATATTGATGTACCTGCTCTATATGATCCTCGCGGCCGATACCGATACAACGCTTGGGGCATTAATTGGCGAGCAATGCTCGCTTTTCTGCTCGCCATCGGCCCTTGCCTGCCCGGTTTGGCATGGAGCATCAACAGCAATTCTCGCATCACCACGGGGGCACAACATCTGTATTCTTTTGATTGGCTCTATGGATTTGTGACCAGCATCTTCGTCTACTCGGTAACCAGCTACATCTGGAAACCGACCAACCAAATCGTGCCGCACACTGTCTACGGCATTCCTCAAGACCCCGACGAGGAAGAAGCTTACGAGGAAGCATATGACGAGAAGGTGCTCAGGAGGGATAGTCTCGTGGGCAATCCCAAAAGCTTTGCCAATGTAGGTGGCATCGACAACATGGGCAGCGCTCTTCACTTCAGAAAGTCTGTTGACGAAACTGCCAAGGAGAGCATTGAAGTGAGACGAGCCAGTAGGGCAAGTCAAGGTGGTCAAGGACCGCACGAGCCTGGCACCGTCCCTGCTCATCTCAAGGGTGTCGACCCGGATGTGTTGAACGAGAAGGTTTAACTTGTCGATCGAATTGAGTTTGATCTCTGCAAGCTAAGCCATCTCTAAGCCATCCGAGCCAGACAGATTTTTCGCCTTGTGAAGGGTCTATGACAAACTTCTGAGTCACCGAATTGAAATGATACCCAACTACATGTTCTATGAGACAAAAATATATCAAGGCCCCTGTCAGACCAGTGAAATTTGTATACCTGGAGCAGATTGAGATAGCTAGGAAAAGATGTTGTACTCGTAGACTTGCAGAGTTCATTGCTAGGTAAACACTAGAATCTGATATTGCCCTGGTTTACGTGAAGATGTTTTCTTTTTCCTCCTCTTTTGCACTATCCAAGGACTGGTCATATCTGGGTGATTTGGCATTCGGTAACTAGTAGTATGAGGCACCGCCCCTCGCTGCCTTCCGCATGGTTGCCCCCTCGATCTCGAATCTGATGTCCCGTGTTTCCCACCTACATACACGCATACATCCTTCCACTCTTCCTCTCTTCCTTTCTCTTTCTCTCCTCCACCGCCGGCCCTTTCCCCCCCAATCTCCTACCCTCGTTCTTTTCTCGGGTCTAAACATCCACGTCACAAACAATAAAGTACCTCTCCACCACCCCTCCCGCGATGATCTTGCCGTGCACGGGATCCACGGCCGCGCCTGTGAGGACCGTGATCAGCGAGCCGTCGTCCCAGTACAGCAGTTCGGGCTCGTAGTCGCGGGCCTTGACCAGGCGCAGGATCGCGGCTTCGCCCTTGCGGCTGTAGTCCAGGAGGTGTTCGCCGGAGAGGCGGTGGCGGAGGGCGGGGACGTCCGGGAAGACTTTTCACTTTGGTTAGCTTCCTTTTTTCTTGGTTTCCTTGGAGGGAAGAAATATAGGAGGGGGGGGGGGGGGGTGCTGGCATGATCAAGAAACGTACTGCACACTGCAATGTCTTCTGTCCCGGGTATCAGTGAGAGGTTGTCCGCTCCGGCGCCGAGTTGCTGTAATTTCCACCCCAGTTAGTCAAGTTACTATTCCTTTGTTTATCCCTTTCCGGGGACTTGTAAGGATGGAAACACGGAGCTAGTGCTAAGTCTCAAACAGAAGGACGGAGACGAAGGGAAACGTACGACTTTCTTGCGCACCGTCAACGCCTTGGTCTCCGGGTCGACGTCGTAGATCGTGGTGGTCGCCTCGACGACATCATTCACCATCAGCGTCTTGCCGTCGTCGACCAGCAGCGCGCCGTTGGCGCTCGGGTGCGCGTTCGGCGGCGACACGGTGCGGCAGTCGATCTGAGCACCCGAAGCGTCGCAGTAGACCACGTCCGTGGCCCATTTCCAGGGTCCCCAGTGGTCTTCGTGGCTGCGGAGGATGGTCGCCAGGGGGCCGCCGCCGTAGAAGTAGTGGTCGTTGGTGATGAAGAAGGAGCTGTTGAAAAGTGGACATGTTAGGACGTTGGTCTTTTTCTGGGAACCCATATATATATACACATATATATTGTTTTCCAACGCTGTGTAAGAGGTTGGAGGGGAGAGAGGACAAGAGGGCGATCTTACTTCAAACTCGTCGCGGCTACAGCATTGGGCGTCTTGATAGCCGGATGTTGGAATTCGCGAACGTACGTCAACACGTCCGTTCCCAGAGTGTGGGAGAACAGCACGATGCTCTCACCTTTGCGGTCGTGGTTGACGGCGAAGAGGTAGATCTATTGCTCGTCAGACAATCAACCCCCCCACGGTCCTTTAGGTCTCCTCGCAACCGCTGGTGCTAAACCAGTCGCCTAGATTATGGGGATAACAGAGCAAGAGGTACAGGTACCTTTGAGTCGTCGTCTTTCGGCTTGAAAATGTCAATACCGTGCAAGACGAGATCGTGCGACGAGTCGATGCCCTCGATTTTCAGCTTGGTGGCCTTGTCTTTCTGTCATACTCGTCAGTCATTCACAGCCTTTTTACTTGGCGGTGAGCTTAAGGACGCTGTTATATGGGCCGTGAAATCTTTACCTTGATATCGTATTTCAGAAAGTATTCGTGGTAGCTCTCGTCGCTCATGGTGTCGTGGCGGTTCAGTGGCGGGTAGAAGACCTCGCGGGTCTCCGGGTAGCCGCATGCTATATGGATATGGGAATCGGTCAGGGTTGGAGATTTCCATGGGGGGGAAACCGGGAGAGAAGAGCACAAGCTGCAGGAGAGAGAGAGAGGGAGAGAGATAGAAGAAGGGACCCAACGAACCTAGGAATGCCGTCGCCGACTCATGATGGATTCGCACGTCCTCGCACGCTTTACCAACTGTTTTTCCCCCCGCACAGTCAGTTTCTGTTTTATCCTGGGATGATCCTTGATACACACACAACATAGCGTGCGGCCGAGTAAAAGGTAAGAAGGGGAGGACACGGGATCTCACGCACGAGGATTCGTCCAGCATTTGTCGTTGTTCAAGGGCCCATGATGCAGCCACGTCGTATGGATCTTTGCGGATGTGTCGCGTCCACCGTACCGGTTCAACACCGGATACGGGTTTGTGTAGAGAAAGCTGGACACGGCGACCAGGAAGGACAGCGGTCCGACCCAGACCCAGTTGTTGATGGCCATGGCTTTTGGATAGCAAACTTGACAAAGAAATTGGCTGGATATATCAATCAAGCGATGTATGGTCTCTGTGCGACGTAGTCACGGTAGTTTTGAGGACAGTGGATGGAGGGGAAAACCTCGGCTACCGGTTGGCGATAATACGTTCAATCAAACGTACTAGTAGTTGTCTAGAGGATAGAAGAGAAGAAAATCTGTAGAAGCGGAATTTCCCCGTGGATCCTCTGTTCTTTAGCGTGCCTTACACCTGATTCCACCAGCAAAAGGTCTATACGAGAGCAGTGATTCGATGTGGAATAAAGTAGTAGAGAGGAATTGATGCGTCCCAGCTATGCATACTCCCTCAACTTCCTCAGTATCTTCCCCCCGAGCTTGTCTATCAGACTTGTTCTTTTCTCATGACCAGGTTGTGATGGCGCTCCCTGCTGGGGCATGTTTCCAGCAGATCCCCCAGCGCTGGACACCGAGACACCACCGCTCCACTGCCCGGAGACGGACAACGCGCAGCACATGGGTTGCGCCTGGGGATGAAAATGCTCTGGCCCGAAAATGAGGACTCGGCCTTTGCGGTTGTTCCATCGCTCTCCCTCGTGCTCCGTGGCGTGGTAGATGCAGTACACTCTCCCATCCCCGTACGGAGATGGGATGAAACTCGCATGCCCGGGCCCGAAAGGCCCTCCCTTGTCCCGGTCACTGACAAGCAGCGGTGTCGGCCGTTTCCTCCATGACGACTCCTTCAGCGGGTCGTCGCCGACAAGCTGTAACAGGGCCAACCTGTAGTCGCTGGTCCAGCTCCCGTTGGCACTGTAGATGATTCCTTCAAAGCCCGGGATGCTGACGAACGTGGGACCTTCGTTGACCCCATGTGTCCCCCCATCGGCCCGCTCCCATGGTAGCTCTGCCCTGGAAATGCATACGAGCGTCTCCGGCCGCGCGACCTCTGGAGTCTCCAGCTCGATCAAGAATAAATCCTGCTGCCGGTCTGAGTGGTCGCCCAGCGGCCACCCGGAGTAACAGCAATACAGCTTCTGAGTGCGCGGTAAAAAGAAGACGGTTGCATCGATATTCCAGTGATCGGGCAGGCCTTTCATCTGTCCGAGAAACTCCCACGCTCCCGCCTCCATCGGATCTTGACTTTGACTGCGCAGCAGAAGCGTCCGATGCGAAGGGTTCCCAACCTCTGGGTGGGCCCCGCAGAAGTAGATGTACCATCTTCCGTTCAGGTAGTGGAGTTCGGGGGCCCAGATGTCCACCACCCAGGGAGTAGCAGGTGGTGGGTTCCAGGCGATGATCTTCTTGCAATTCCTGAAGTTCTCCATGTTGTGCGACATCCATATCTCGACGCGATCTCCGCAGGTGAAGGTCAGATAGAAGCGGTTGTGCGCGGCGACCATCCAAGGGTCTGGCGTGTCCGTGTCTGCGATGGTTTGGTTGGACATGTTGACACCTACAGGAGTTTAGACCGAGATAGATGAGTTCACAAAGTCGAATGTGCGTTGACTGAGATGGTCAAGAAGATAGCATGGCATTTTGCTTTGCTGTAATGCCTCAAGAGAAAGGAAAGATATAAATTGTCATCGACGTAACCGACGGTCATCGGTCGGCACATGTCGCCGAATCATGTTCTACGTCGGATTTTGTTCCACGACTTTCACCAAGCAGCACAGACTGCAATGTCTCTCTGCCTTTCTCCTCACACATCCACCTCTGGCTGTCGGCATCTCAGTCAACGATGTCTCGCTTCAACAAAGAGGAAGGGTAAACCATGAGCATCATGAACAGGTTGGAGGGAACGGAAGAGAGCTATCGTCCAATTCAAGATACCAAGGCGCAGTCTAGGCCATACTCGATAAACAAAAGCATCAGATTTGCAGAGAACGCCCACAGTTACAAGGCTGTGGCGAGCAAGGATCTAAGTGATTGTATGGTGTCTCTGTATAAAACTCATCGCAGATTGTGGGGTATCATAGTCATCAGCTCGTGGACACGTAACTCATAAAACATCACTCCTCTTCCTCCACCGCGTCGTCGTTCCTACCAAACAGGCCAACAGCTGGAGTGTACGCCGGTGTCGTAGAGGCCAGCAATTGGTTCCTTCGAGCCGCCGGCGTCGCTGGAACCAAGGAGACCTCCCTTACCGCCTCCTCACTGTTCGACCCTGCCGACGCCTGCCTCCATTTCTGGAGGAACCCAAGAGCCCGTCTCTTCTCATTACGATGGAACAATACATCGGCATCCTCCTCCAGTCGCTTTGTTCTGAACGCCGCATTCCTCCAGTTCCTCAGCATTTGCACAGCATAGCTGGCAGTCCTTGTAGAACGGTACTCATCCGCCCTCCTCTGATTCTCGAGGACCTGTCGGGTGGGGACGAGCCAATTCGAACCGAAGATATGGAGACGCTCAATGAGATTCTTGCGGAAGAAAGCATCGGCTTGGAGGTTAGCTTCCTGCACCTGCTCAGCCTTGTTGAACATGGTTATGATGGCGCCGTGGGCTGTGCGCCTTGCACTCTCCACGTCTTTGCGAGCTCGAAACTCCTGAGCGGTCACATCCATTTGACGCATCTGGGTGGCTTTCTCCCTCCAAACGATCAGTGCCGTCCGAGCGATGTTCATCTTGACTCTTCTTCGCATGGTTTTGTACGCTTCGGTATATTTCGCCTCTTTACTCTTTCTGGTTGCGGCTCGCCATTTGTGAAAGTACGTAAAGCTCAAAACATGCTTGCGAGCCTCCAAAGCCTTTCTCTCTTCGATCCGGAATCGAGCCTTCTCCCGCCACTTCTGAAGAATGTGTTTGCTTGCGAAATAGTCTGCTGCGGCCTCTGCTCGTCGCTCATTCAACCGGATATGGTCGAGCTGCACCACCCATGTGTGAAGCGTTTTCCGGCTCAAATTCCCTTCGTACACAAGAACAGCTTGACTTTCTGCTTGCCTGATCTGACTCCTCTTGGCTACCATCTTCACCAGGACATTTTGAAGCGCTTGTCGGTCGCGGAAGTCAGCAGCTGCGGCTTCCATTTGCTTGACGCTCGCAGTCTTCTCTTGCCATTTTTCCAATGTTTTACGCAGTATTTTCTCATCTCTGACCTTAACAAAGAGCATTTCGCGGGTCGCCAGTGTCCAATTCTTAAGTGAAAATGCAGCATCTCGTCGCATGCGAAAGTCGTCCGCGACATTATCCATTTGGCGGATTTCTGCGACAGTGTTGCGCCAATGCGACAGAACCTTTCTTGCCAGATTGCGGAGGTACAAACTGTCTGCCACTGCATTCATAGCCGGGTCCTCATATTCCAGATATGCGGCTCTTTGCAGCTGCAACTTGTGACGCCATTGTTCAAGCGCCTGCGATGCTAATTTTCGATTGTCGAGGGCGACAGCTTGCTGCCAGAGAGGATCGTTTTCATTGATGGAGTCGATGGAGTCAGGTGTAACAGGTCGTACTGGTATAGAAACATCATTGTCGACTCGTCCTTTGTAGTCCTCCTCGTAGTCGGTCGCCGCCTCTGTTGAAGTTCCGTCCGTGGTCAACACTATGTTCGCCTCCTGTAAAACATCGAGAAACTTTTCGTTGAGAGGGATTTCGGGGTCAGTCTCGAGGAGATCAAGGAGCCACTGCAAGCACGGGTCATCGTACTGCGTCGAGACATGGCTTTCCAAGCATATGGATTTGTACTCGCGCTCTATAGCAGCGGGCGTAAAATCGACGGAGGCTTCTTGGAGGCGGAAGAGAACACGATGCAAACGGTCAATATCTTCTGGGGAGAAAAGCCTCACATCACTGGCAAAACGTGCCAATTCTTCGGGCGTCATGATGGTGTTTAAAGAGCACCATTGTTCCTGGTTGAGAGGCTGTGAGAAGCGCAGGGCGCATGGCCATGAAGCGTGAAGCGGAATGACGAGACCGCGTCCGGGTCTTGGCATGTAACGCGGTCACACGTGATTGCCAAGGAGCTTTACCAGGAAAGGAAACCGCTAGACAACATCAATGGCCCCTTTTCGCTTCAGCCCTCGACTTTTATCGCGACGTTCTTTATCGCCCACAGAGACGCTCAACTTGCAAGGAGAACATTACGAATCAACCTTCTTCTTAAGAGGGACTGACTTGTCCCCGTCTGCATGAACATCGAAGCAGCCAAAATATTATGTCGCCTAAAAGCTGACGGATCGGGAAAATTCCGACTCTGCTGGCCAACAATGTTCAAATGTAACAGCGCTAATTTCAGTGTTCTCCAGTCATCGAACGCGAATTCTGGGGAAGTCGGCAGAGCACCGTTGCGTAAGATGACCAGCTTTTCCCTCCTTCAGTACTTTGATCTTGGCCCCGGAGCGACAACAATGACGGGGCGAGCCATCAACATCAGCGCCCAATCGCCTGAGTGATGTTTACTAATAGTATGTTCACACTAATCCATCTGACGCAGCCTCGTCGATCTCCACCTCTGGCCTTGACCTTACGAGTACTTCGAGGGCAAGTATCTGGCAACGCGCCGTTCGCCGTTCGGGGGCAGAAGGCCATTTGAACCCTATTGACCGAAAAGGGCTATTACCCTTACGAATATGCGTACCGTTGAAGCGCCAATTCAGCAGCTACGACCTGCCTTGCTTGAATTGAATCTCTTTGACGACCGCATCCGGTCGATGGCCTACTCATGGTTCTGCATTTGCGGTCCCGCTGAGACAGCGGCCCCCCCAGGGACGAGAAAGGGAAAAGGTGCGGAGTTAGTAAAAGGCCCTGAGAAAGCCGATCCTTGCCTATGGTAAGTCCTGCAGATGACCCCGGTGTGCCTGAGCAGCTTCATCATATCCAGAGTTAAATACACACAACAAACGCGTCTATTCTGTTACTTGTGCTCTCTCTTTCCATCAGTGTGACACTTTCACGATGGCACAAGTGAGCGCCACCAAACTATTCCTTGCCCTCATAGGCATCCTTACAATAGCGCTGCTCGCGTACAAAGTGTTCTCTGTCAATTCAAAATCGAAGTTCAATCATCCTCTTCCACCCGGCCCGAAACCAAGACTGTTGGTGGGAAATCTACCCGACCTTCCACCCACTGGCGCCAAAGAATGGCTTCACTGGATCAAGCATAAGGAGCTTTACGGTCCTATCAGCTCTCTCACAGTTCTGGGCCAGACCCTGATCATTATCAACGATTACAACGTGGCAGTCGAGCTGATGGAGAAGCGCTCCGCCATCAACTCTTCGCGACCACATATGGTGTTTGGGTCTGAAATGTGCGATTGGGGAAAGGCGCTTGGACTAATGCCTTACTCGACTAAAAGTCGTGCACTCAGAAAAGCGCTGCACACCGTGCTTGGCACTTCTGCTGCTATTGACCCGTTCCGACCGCTTCTCGAGCTGGAAACACGGCGGTTCCTGCTCAAAGTGCTTGACAATCCTCAAGATGTGCTTCAGCTTATCCGGACGCAAGCTGGCTCTATTATTCTGAAGATTAGCTATGGCTATACAATCGAACCAAGTGGGCACGATCCGCTGGTGGATCTTGCAGAGGAAGCCCTTGACCAGTTCTCGAAGGCTTCCACGCCTGGAGTCTGGATGGTGGATGTGATACCTGCGCTCAAGTATCTTCCTGAATGGCTTCCCGGGACTGGCTTCAAGAGCACCGCACGGCAGTGGAAAGCAACTCTTCATGCGGCGGCGGAGATCCCATACAAGTTTGTGGAGCAAAAGCTTCGCAGCGGGACGGCCGAGCCTTCGTACCTTTCAAAGCTCATTCAAGATGATAAAGGATCGCTCGCCCCGGAGGCCGAAGATGTTGCTCGGTGGTCTGCCTTCTCACTGTACGCGGGAGGCGCCGATACCACCGTGTCGTCCATGGGCTGCTTCGTCCTGGCCATGACGCTCTATCCCGAAGTCCAACGCAAAGCGCAAGCCGAGATCGACGCGACCATTGGCTCTTCTCGCCTGCCGACATTTTCCGACCGCGCGGCCCTTCCCTACGTCGACGCGTTAATCAAGGAGGTTCTTCGTTGGCATCCAGTGGCGCCGTCGGGAGTCCCTCACTTGACAACCAAGGCTGATGTCTACGAGGGGTATTTGATCCCTGAAGGCAGCCTTTTGATTCCCAACCAGTGGGCCATGCTGCATGACGAGACCGTCTATCATGACCCCAAAAGGTTCGACCCTTCGCGCTTTCTTGGTCCAAATGCCGAGCCAGACCCTCATAACCTGGCATTCGGGTTCGGCCGTCGTATCTGTCCCGGCAGACTGTTCGCCGATGCGACGCTGTTCTCCACCATTTCCGGGTTTTTGGCCGTTTTTGACGTGCGCAAGTGCGTCGAGAATGGAAAGGAAATTGATCCCGTCGTGGATTTCGCCTCGGGCATCATCAGTCACCCCAAGCCGTTCAGATGTGATATCCTACCGCGGTCAGCCAGTCACGAGAAGCTGATTCGGTCCGTCGAGGTTGATCATCCCTCTCCGGAACACGGCGACGCAAAATTCCTAGCTAACCAAATCATGGTATAGAGTTGGCGGTGGGGTAGGGCCTTGATCTCCAGGGTAGCTCTATTTGTTTAGTATTCACAAAAGGCGTACCTTGGGTATCCAGAGAGCGGACAACGACAAATTGAATTTCTTTATTGGCGGTGGTTCCTGCTTCCATAATCTTGTTCCCAGGGTGGCTTCGTAGAAGAGACCTCATGTCAATCACCAACTTGGGGGTCAGCTGCGTATGTGAGATGATTGCTACATTCGTTTCTCTTTTCTCTACTACGCTCTTGGGCGTGTTTCATGTGGTCACTACGCTGTACGTCCGTATTAGAAGCGTGAAGGTATATTGGCCGAAACCGGGAAGTTGAAATTGACGCTCCGTCCCCCCGCATTCAGCCTCGGCTCCGCACACAAATACAAATGTATGTACATACTACGAGGTACATGTTTATGAATCACCATTCTCGTCGCCCACGAGAGAAACTACCAGAAAGAGCTGACCAGCCGTAACAATTCCAGCGAGGGGGTTTACTTGCTCGTGGCCAAGTTGCAATTGATGTCTGTCTCGTCTTGCTGATCATCGTGGCGCAACTTTTGTGGAGATCCTCCAAGCTCGCCACTCCTTGGCCTCCAGTCGATATGCACGTCTAAATCTCGTCCACACATTCTGCTTGAGGTAATAGTCAGCTGGAGAAGATGTCACTCGCACCCGTACAGCCTCCAGAATGGCTGGAAAGCTACGCGACCCATCGGCATGACTGGCAGCAAACGACGCAAAACAATCGCGTCGTCTACTACCGGCGCATTGGCATTGTCGAAAGCCTGTTCAACACCGACGGCACCGATTTCGAGGGCCGAGCGGATCTGACGATGCACCTGCACGTGGAAATGAGAACGTCTCTGAGCCCCGAAACACTGCGAGCACGAATCCTGCGTGCATGGAGCGTCATGCGGCAGAAACACATCCTTCTCTCCGCCCGAGTTGCCACAGCGGTCGATATCCCCCAACCACAGTCCTCTTTCACTCCCGAAGAACGCTTGTATGTCTTCGAGCCAAGCACAGATCCAGGAGCGATGTTGCTCGAGGCAGAAAAGCACGCCGTGTTCGTGGGAGACTTTTATCCGCAGGGCGTGGATGCCAATGAGTTCTTCATCCACACGCTGAACTCGAGTCGATGCATAGACGAGGCCCAGGCGCTGGGCAGACTCTTTGTCATGCCAATCCAGGGCGATGCAGATGGCCTGCTTCAAGCCCACTTGATGTTCATTGCCGGGCACGAGATTGTTGACGGCCTCAGCTCGATGAGGTGGATGTCTTCGTTCGTCGACCTGCTGAACCAATCAGCTCAGCAGCTGTCCTCGGAAGCAGACCGTCTTTGCACTATCTCGCCAGTCGACCGACTTCCGCCTGCACAAGAATCCTTGTATCCTCCGGTGAAAGGTTCTGCAGCGCGACGGCGATGGGCATGGCTCCTGACTCGCATACTTCGGCACACACGCAGGCCTCCTCCTGCATCGTTCCAAAACCCGCTTCGACGAAGGACAGCACTATTGCCCCAACAAGAAGCCATTTCCCTCGAACCGAAGTTCTTCGGTGTTCTAGATTACACGCGAACACCCCCTCTCAACACGTTGCCACTCAGAGCACTTCTAGGCCCCTCGTCCACGAGGAGGCTGGCCAGAGTGTGCCGCCAGGCCGGAATCAGCATGGGAAGCGGCTGCTTCGCGCTGGTGGCGCTGGTCATGATGCTCTTCGAGGAAAGACGCCACCCCCATGTTCCCACGCACGAGCGCCTGCCCTTCGTAGGCTCCTTCCCTGTCAACCCCAGGCCGTTCCTGGGCGGCAAGCCCACGACGGGCAAGGAGGACAGTCTGATGCTCGCGTTCAGCGACGGCATCACGCTGCCGTTCTTGCCCAGCGACCTGGACCTCGAGGGCAGATTGCGGCTGCTGGGCAAACAGGCACACCGCCAACTCCGCCGGTATCAGAAGCGGCCGAGGACCGTGGACGAAGAAATCCACCTCGGCTCCAGGAGCCCCAGTCAGCTTCTGCCGCTGCTCTACCTCTCCACACTGGAGTATCTCGAGAGGAAGAGCCAGGGGGCCCGAAGACGCGGCTGGAACATCCAGGGCGCGTACCCGGCCAGCACGGGCCCCGGTCTGGCGACCTGTGGAGTGAGCTCGGTGGGTGCTCGAGGGTCCATCATCGCCTCGGGCAAATACGAGACGTCCACGAGAGGAGAATCCCTGTCACCAGGATCAGGTGGACGGGACGTGGTGGCGGACTTTCGCAACCTGTACACCACGGTTCGCGCCAGAGACGGCGAATTCCTCGTCGGGGTCCACGGGGATGGCGACCACCTATTGTTCGGGGTCAGCTACGATGCAGGTGCCATTGACCCGGGTCTGGCGAGCGAGTGGAAGCTCGTCATGGAGAGGATCCTAGAGGACCAAGATGCTGCTGCTGCTGCGAGACGCACCACCGCCACCACCAGCATTCCGTGCTTCCCGTCCCACAAGCTCTGATGCCCACCCAGCCAACCCCCAAACGGTCCACTGATGATCACGATGCTGCCCCCTACGAGCAGCACATGAGCAGTGGATCAATCGTGCAAAGGGCCAGGCCAGACCAGAGTACACGTACGCAGAAAGGGAGGAGCACCCGAAGTACAGGGACCCCCACGACCAGTGGCACAGTTGGCGAGCAGGTCATGCCGTCAATGCTCCCCTCCTCGGGCATTCTCAGTCGTTCGGTGTTCCCTGAATTTGCCCCCTTGGACAATACGGAGTGTTAACGGTGGCAAAACTGGCTCTTACCATCTCACCTTTGCCCGCGCTGGCATGGGGTCCGAAAACTGCTCTCGCTCGCCAGGGATGGGCAGTGTCAGGGGACTTCTTACGGGTGTTGTTCGTTACAACCTCGAAGTCCTACATGCCTTCATCCCTTTGATCCAAGCGAGCCAGATTCTAAGGCGTGTGAATAGAGGAAAAAAGGGGATGATGTATTTATTTTGAAAAAATTGGATTCGATTCGTATCAAGAGCTTCCCAAGGCAAGGCAGGCCACGCAAGAGCGCGGCAAGCGATGCTCTTGAGCGTTCTGTAGTAGTAGCTAACCTCCCTATTTACAATTCATGATTTATGCCAGTTCACGTAGGACCACCGCCTTTCTGCAGCTGCCAACCCAGTAAAGTCCGTAGTGACACTCGATAAGCGGATGGAGCCTGCAAGGGGGCGCGCAGCAGCAGCAGCAAAATATAGACCGTATTTACAAGATGTACCTAAAGTTCTCGCTGTCGTCGGTCTCTGCGCCAATCTCGTCCTCGGCGTTGACGATCTCGCGGACGGGGCCGTATTTCTCGTCGAGTTTCTTGTTGAGGTGCCTCAGCCACATGACCTGGCAGAGAGCGAGGGTGGAGGCGAAGGTGCAGAAACCGAACGAGATCCAGAAGCCCTTCCTGTAGTGGGGGGCCTCGCTGGCGGGGAAAATGTGCGTGCCCACCAGGGGGCCGCACTGGCCGACGAAGTTCATGAGGATGAAGCCCGCGCCGCGTTTGCTGTCGCTGCCGTTGTTGTTGGCGACCCAGGACAGGACGAGGCCGATGCACGGGTAAAGCCCGCCCGCGACGAGGTACAGGGCGAAGTACTTGACGCCCACCACCTCGACGAGGCAGAGGATCAGGTAACCCACGGCGGCGGTGCCGGAGCAGATGGACAGGAAGATGCCGCGGCGTTGGAAGTGGTCGGACAAGTGGCCCACGGCCAAGACGACCAGGCAGGCGAAGAGGTAAGGGGGAGCGGAGAGACCCTGGGCGTGCAAGGCCGTGAAGCCCATGCCCTGCAGGATTGTCGGGATGTAGATGGGCAACGAGGCGTAGCTGACGTTGCACGAGAAGTACATGAGCGTGGGCAGCCAGTTCTTGAGGTCGAGCAGCGACTTGAAGAAATTGCCCAGGTTGATCTTGCGGTCGCGCTCGACGTTGCCGACCATCCGCACCATGCGGGCCCGCGCGATCTTCTTTTCCTTGTCGCTCAGGAATTGGCAGTCCTGAGGGTTGCTGGGGAGCCAGTAATATCCGAAAAGGCCGACGGCAACGGCGGGGAGACCTTCGACCAGGAACAACGCGCGCCAGCCGGCGATGGCATGGTGATGTTTTGTGACGAAGTAGGCGAAGGCTCCGGCGAAGGAGGCGCCCAGGGGAGCAATCGACACGTACCAGCCTAGTCGTCGGCCCATCTCCTTGCGGTAGTAGAAAAACGAGAAGAAGTAGGCCAGGCCGGGGCTGTAGGAGGACTCGAAGATGCCCAACAAGAGTCGCAGGACCAGCATGCCCGCAAAGTTTTGGGCGGCACCGCAGCAGCCAGCAATAGTGCCCCAGATGACAATGACGGTGGGGACGTAGTATCGTGCGGGAAAGATCTTGTAGAAAACAGTCTGCCAGTCGAACAGGATATAACCCAGGTACAACGCAGTCAGGAGCCACTGGTATTGGCTGTCACTGAGATGCAGATCTTTCGACATGCCTGCGGTGTTGGCATTGCCAATGTTGCCACGGTCCATGTAGGCCAGCAGGTAGGCGCCCGAGACATAGCCGAGGACGATAACGTCGATTTTCAGCAGCATGCGTCTTTCTTCCGCCGGCGTATAGTTGAAGGCGAGAGCCTCCAGCCTGCCAACGGCCTCGATCTTCTGCTCATTCTCGGGGGCGGCGATGATGTCCTGGCCTTCGAGATGACTGATGTCGGTCTTGGCCACAATGGTTTCCTTTTCGGCAGCCATGGTTGGAATAGCTTGCTTCTTGATGAGAGGGAGTCAGTGGTAGAGACAGAGGAAAAGAGAAGAGGAGGAGTGTGAAACTGGCCAAAGACACAGCGACTCGTCCAACCGCTTTATGTAGGCTTCAGGGAGAGGCTCTAGATGCACCTTGGCTTATCCAAGCCCCTGGGATATCGCACCATGTCGGCAGTAGTACAACGTATCATTGCCTGACCCGTGGGGAAAATCTATTCCAATGTTCAGGAAGAATCCTAACCCCCACTGGACTCCAGTCGTTGACTCCAGTGGATCCCGTGGCATTCAAATCCGGGGAAAGCTTCTTCGGCCACTCTCCGGATGGGCGGAGTCCCTGCATGGGTCCTTTGTCCCCAATTGCCACAGAATTCGGGGTTAATGAAATAGAGCCGGTTTAGACATGGGCTGTTTAGAACAGAGGGACATTCGGGGAATGGCCGGCTGGGCAAATTCAATCCATTGCGTGGGGGACTGTCGAGCGATATCGTCGCTGCACGTCGGGGTAAGTCGCCGTGCCATAGTCCTTTTAAAGAACGGTATGCCGGTTCAGGAGTTGACCAAGACCGTAACATTTTGACAACTTACAATCTTCTTCTCATTCAAGCTTGACCAGAAATGCCTTCTTTCAAGATTCTTGTGCTTCCCGGTGACCATATCGGCGCCGAGGTCATCCGCGAGGCTGTCAAAGTGCTTCGTGCGGTCGAATCCCATCCCACCGTGGTTAAGCAAAACATCAAGTTTGACCTCGATTTTGATTTGTTGGGTGGCCAGTCTATCGATGTGCACGGCATCCCGCTGACACCTCAAGTCATCGAAAAAGCAAAGAACTCGGTTGCTGTGCTTTTTGGCGCCGTCGGTGGTCCAAAATGGGGCATGACTGGCGCTTTACGGCCAGAGACTTCGGTGCTAGACTTGAGAAAGGCACTTAATTGCTGGGCCAATATCCGGCCATGCAAGATCCCTTCTCCCGGGGTCGCCAAATGCTCGCCACTGAAAGAGTCCCTCGTCAAAGGGACCGACTTCATTGTCCTTCGAGAAAACCTCGGAGGTGTGTACTTTGGCGAGAAGAAAGAAGAGCTCGACTACGCCCATGATGTCTGGGGCTACCACCGATGGGAGATTGAGAGAATCTCACGAATGGCTGCTTACCTGTCACGCAAGCACGGAGGCTCCAAGGGACCCAGCAAGATCACATCTGTCGACAAGGCCAACGTTCTGGCCGTGTGCCGCCTGTGGCGTGAAGCAGTGACCACGATTCACGACCGAGAATTCCCGGAAATTCCACTGCATCACCAATTGTCCGACTCCCTGGCCTTGATTATGGTCAAGAACCCTCGATCGCTGAACGGCATTGTCATGTGCGACAACATCTTCGGGGACCTATTTTCCGACGAAGCAGCTGCTGTTGCCGGATCACTTGGTTTCAGCCCTTCCGCTTGTCTGTCTGGCATTCCAGGTGAACCACTGTCTACAGGCATGTACGAGCCCAGTCACGGTTCTGCACCAGATCTAGCGCCCAACAAGGCCAACCCGATTGCCACCATTCAAAGCGCTGCTATGATGTTGCGCTATAGTTGTGACTTGGACTTCTTGGCGAATGCCATTGACGAGGCTGTCAGTGTTGCATTGGACGACAAAGCCTCGGGCGGTCTCGAGGTCAGGACAGGCGACATCGGAGGCACTGCCTCGACAACGGAGATGGGGGATGCTGTGGTAACTGCCCTCATGCAGATCCTGGATAAAACGGAAACAAATGCCATCTCTGAAAGTGCTAGGCTGTAAAGGCGGGAAAAGCGTTCTCCATAGATCAATAGATAGTGGGCCATGAGCTGAATCTGATGTATCTTGACCCCCACGAGTTCTGGAAAACGCCGCGCAATCACTTCCTGCGAAGCCACGTGTAGCCTTGGGGGTAATGAAACGTATGGTGGATTGCAAGTCGATCGGAGCTGGTCGTAACGGGCATCTCAAGACATGGCCTTGATCGGCGGTATGAGAACCGAGGGGAGAATCCCCCACGGTACCGGCCACCTGCCGGCCAATCCCCGTACACGTGAATCAAATGATACATACCTCTGTTGCTGGCAGATTTGACTGAGGACTGCCTTTGAAGCACACGACCGGCCCTGAGAAGTCAAGTCAATCCAAGCCAACTCAACATGCCTCTGACATTGTACGACAAAATCTACCAGGAGCACTTGGTGAATCCTGACGACAAGACAGCACCACTCTTGTACGTGGATTCGCATCTGATTTTCGAAGTCCCGACTGCGCAAGCATTTGATGGCCTCAGAAAGAACAATCGCCCAGTACGAAGGACAGACTTGACATTGGCCACTGTTGATCACAATGTCCCAACAGATGACCGGTCGCAGTACCAGGACGCTGCGTCTTTCATCAAAGAGCCACAAGCCAGGACCCAGGTTACGTTGCTTGAGAAGAACGTCAAAGAGTACAACATCAAGTATTTAGGCATGCCTGACCGCCGACAGGGTATTGTCCATGTGGTGGGCCCGGAGCAAGGGCTGACTCTCCCGGGGACTACGATGTTCTGTGGAGATTCACATACCCCTACGCACGGCGCAGTAGGTGCACTGGCTGTCAGCGGAGGGACATCTGATATTGAACATGTGCTGGCCACCCAGACTGTGATCCAGAAGAAGTATAAGAACTTCCGCGTTCGCGTCGAAGGCGAACTTGGTCTCGGCGTCTACTCCAAAGATATCATCTTGCACTTGCTCGGTAAAATAGGTACAGCCGGAGCAACTGGATGTGTCATTGAATTCTGTGGGTCAACAATTCGAAATCTGTCCATGGAGGCAAGAATGGTGCTGTGCAATATGAGCATCGAAGGAGGAGCTCGTACAGGACTTGTGGCGCCTGATGAAGTCACCTTCGAATATCTAAAAGGGCGGCCTCTTGTTCCTTCCGGCGCAGACTGGGACAAGGCCCTTACATACTGGAAAACGTTGTATAGCGACGAGGATGCTCATTGGGACTATACTGTCGACATAAATGCTGCGGACATTGTTCCTTCGATCACCTGGGGAACCTCGCCAGACGATGTCATCCCGGTCAATGGCAAGATCCCGGACCCGGCAGACTATGATCAAAAGGAACCGTTCAAAGCGGCCGCAATCCGTCGATCGCTCAAATACATGGACTTGAAACCGAACATGCTCGCGACAGATATCAAGATCGACCGTGTTTTCATCGGGTCTTGTACGAATTCGAGAATCGAAGACCTCAGAGCTGCAGCAAGGGTAGCTAAAGGTAGAAAAGTCGCAGATTCGGTCTATGCTATGGTCGTTCCAGGTTCGGGACTAGTAAAGCAGCAAGCGGAAAATGAAGGCTTGGATGTTATTCTGAAAGCCGCTGGGTTTGACTGGCGAGAGGCTGGCTGCTCTATGTGTCTGGCCATGAACCCCGATGTCCTGGCTCCTGGAGAGCGATGTGCCTCAACGACCAACAGAAATTTTGAAGGAAGACAAGGCCCTGGAGGCCGAACTCATCTCCTGTCCCCCGCCATGGCAGCGGCTGCTGCTATCAAAGGCCATTTTACCGACGTACGGGAATTCCTGACCTCGCAGAACGGATCGCTGCAAGTGACTCAGTTGACGCTCGATGGCGCCAAGGTGAAGAGCTATGGTCCAGTTGAGGTGAGCTCAAGCGCTCCTACTTCTGCAAATGACAGCGGAGATGATACAGTTGCGAAACGACCATCAGAACAAGCCAAGCGCAGTGTGGAGGGAATCCCCAAGTTTGACGTGGTCCGGTCCGTACCCGCTCCCTTCGAGATGCAAAATATCAACACCGACCTTGTGATCCCTGGGGAGTACCTCAAAACCACAAAGCGGACCGGTCTAGGGCCGCATCTGTTTCAAGAACTTCGATACGACAGCTCAACACACGATGAGATTCCCGAGTTTGTCCTGAACCAAGATCCCTATCGCAAGTCGAAGATTCTGGTCTGCACCGGAGAGAACTTTGGCTGCGGTTCCTCAAGAGAGCATGCTGTCTGGGCGTTAGTCGACTTCGGCTTCCGCTGCGTCATTGCTCCTTCTTTCGCATCCATATTCTTCAACAATTCCGGCAAGAACGGACTGCTAGCGATTCCTCTTGACGATGCAGAGGCCTTGCAGAAAATCCATGCTGAAGGCCTCGCCAAACGTGAAGTTGAAGTGGACTTGCCGAACCAGGAGATCAGAGACGCCAATGGCAAGCTGATTGCAACGTTCAAGATGGATCCATACACCAAGCACTGCCTGGTCAACGGTCTGGATGACATCAGCAATACCCTCTTGAGCGAGGAAAAAATCTATGATTTTGAAATCAAGCAAAAGTCCAAATTTCCATGGCTGTTCGGCCGCATTCGGAAACTCCAGTCTCCGAGGCGCCTTGGTCTTTATCTCCCCAGTGCAAAAGACATCTTCGACTGGTAGGCTGTGGCTGGCGAAGAGGGAAAACTAGGGTATGTCCACTACACATAGCCAGCTGATACCAGCCAGCTGTTAGTTTAGCCAACTGCTTTCGTCAAGCCAAGGAAGCTATAAAATCCAATAACTGATAACATGTTTTCGAGCTTGTTTCCGAAACTTGGGAGTTCGGTCTTTCGGACTTGGTTTTCCCGTGGTCGTAGAAACACGGTATGCGATGTGCTTGAAGAGTGGGCACGCCAGCATTATCCCAAAAAGGACCTGACACTGCGTAGTTGTAGAGCGGAGAGCGGAGACCACACCCCACGCCAATAGCCCCCACGAGCCTGAAGACTCCGACCTGGGGTCTTGAGCTACCCCAAAAGCGGTGGCGTCGGGTTTTCGCCGGAAGCCGTGGGGAATGATTGTGAGCCGGAAGAGTAAGCCAAGAGACAGGAATGCTGTGACTGAATGCTCTGACTGAATGGTAGGATACCCTCTCCCAGGTAGATAACAAGTCGAGCGACGAGAATACAAGACAAAAGTTCAGACAAGAGTCCATAATCAAAGTGAGCATCACGATGACCATCTCATATCCAACAGTGTCGGCGCTTCGCTGCGGGTATCTCTCGCCTCCAGCATACAAATTCGTTGCGGATGCAAAAGAAGGGGAGAAACTGACCATGCCGTCGATGGCCTTCTTGATTCAACATCCCGCAACAAAGTCAAAAATTGTCTTTGACCTGAGCATTCGCAAAGACTTGACCAAATACCACCCTGGACTGCAAAAGCACCTCGAAACGAGGCACCCTTTAAGCAGCCAAGACGATGTGAAGTCAGCATTGGCGCTGGGAAACGTGGAGGCCTCCAAGATTGACTATGTGATCATGAGCCACGTGCATTGGGACCACGTGGGCACTCCGTCCGACTTCACCTCTGCGACTTTCATTGCCGGCCACAATACACGCAAGCTTCTCAGAAATGAAATGGGGCCAGACCTGGCGAATCCCTTCTTTGAGCCCGATTTATTACCATGGGACCGCACGATCGAGTTGCCAGCAGTACCGAGCTCCAAGGCGAGTGAAGTGTTTGACGAGGCTCACGGGTGGTATTGGCAACCCATGTCTCCAATCCAGAATGTCATTGACATGTTCAACGATGGCACCGTGTATATCGTGGATAGCCCAGGTCATTTGCCAGGGCATTTGAATGCATTGGTCCGGGTGGCCGTTGACAAATGGGTTTATCTGGCTGCTGATGCTTGTCACCACATGCGAATCTTCAATGGCGAGACGGATTTCGGTGCCTGGAAGGATGATAAGGGGCGGACAGTTACGATCCACAAAGATCTGGACGCAGCATACAAGACGCTGAACGTTATGCGCGTGCTTCGAAGCGACGGACTCAACGGGATTCCAGTGCAGATTGTCCTCGCGCACGATGGAGAGTGGCAGCAAAGGAATCCGGACCTTTTCTTCCCAGGCCACCTGTAATGAGGTGGTGATGGCTCGCATTGCACGGTATTTTGATTTAGGTAGATAGCACCTCTGGCGTCTGGTGGTAGTCCAATTAGGCTCGATATACCCTAAGCACGCAATGCAGACCAGTCATCAAGCACGGATCCGAGAACGCGGCAAGAGTCCTGTTTACCACGTTGTCGACGACGGCGGCTGCACCCATGGCAATAACGCGCTCTGAGCTCTTTCCCTCACATGCCTGCTGAGGTAGAGGGCCTTCCACGCTGCGTCAATCCGATTGTCGACGTTGAGATACGCGTGGGATCGGGCGTTGTTATCCCGAGTCGATCTCTCTTCATGCATAAATGCGGGTATGCGGCTGGCGAAAAAGGAGCTCATGCGCTTCGGTGTCGTTTCCCCGCCTGCATCCCAATAAGAATTGCGTTTCATGGAGTTGGTCCGGCTCTCGTCTCCTTTTGCTGGATCTCACCTGTTCGAATGCCACGTTGGGCCTCCGAGCGTGGCTTTGCTAAGTCTCAGGTATGGGGGTCATAGCCTTGGCCGCGGGGGTCTAAGTGACCCCCACAATATAGGATTGATATCGTCTGGAAACGGCCTTGGCGACAGTTGGAGACAGTTTGTACCTGCGTTCTTCCGGAAGGATTTCCTTGCATGGTTATGGAGTGGATGGCGATCCACCGCGGCAGTTCGGCAGTTCTCCTCCATCAGAATAACAGGGAAGCATGTCATCTTTGTTGTTCCTTCATGGGGTCTCCGAAAGTACCCCCGTGTCTGGGATTCGGGTAGTCGGCTTGGAGTAACTATGTCCTCGAAGGAAGTTTCTCCAAGACCAAGACAAACCGGGAGTAATTAGAAAATTGCGGAGATGTTAAGGTTTTGGGCTCCGTCAAGATGCGGCCCCTTCATTCGTCAGGCCATGTGGAGCTCCGTCACGGTCAAAGTCTCGGCATCAATTCCGCTCCGCTGGCAGGTCGCGAACTTTTTCTCCCGCGGGCGCGTTTGAGTGCCAGGCTTCCAGCAACGAAGGGGGAAGCAAAAGTGCAACTGCTCAAGCCCGGGCTTTGGAGCAGTAAGGAATGTGACGAGATGAATCCAGTGCAGGGTACCTTGATGCCCTTTCTTTACCCTTGCCTTTTCCGGCACTCCTCTACAAACTGCCTGCGTGCTCAAGCCCGCCGGATTCGACTTCAGAACCGTCCGCGGCTCCGATATCTACATCAAACAATTCGACTCAATAGACCGTCCAATGTAGAGACAAATGCGTCTCTTCACGGCCCTGCCTTCGATGCCTCCATCCCTCCAACTCCTGCTCCTTTGACGCACCTGAATCCTTCACCTGACGATTACTCACGCTCGATCTTCATCGACAAATGCCAAATAACCGTCCACGCGGGCTCCGGCGGGAGCGGGTGCGTGTCGTTCCTGCGCGACGCTCACATAGCCGATGGACCACCCAACGGTGGCGACGGCGGGTCGGGAGGGAGTGTCTTCATCCAAGCCGTACCGGGACAAACGTCTCTCCATAAACTTGCCAGACGAGGTATCATAAAAGCCGGCCGCGGCATAGGAGGCCAAGGAAAATCACAGGGCGGTCGCAGGGGGGAGGACATCTGTGTCCAAGTTCCCGTGGGAACAGTGGTGCGAGAAATTTGGCGGAGCGACCCCAGCGCGGAAGAAGAAATTCGCATCAAAGAACTCCGGGCCATGAGCGATGAGGAAGATATCCTTAAGGATCCCGACAACGGTCTGAGGAACAGATTCGTCATCTATGCCGGTGCCACAACTGCCGACGACCGCCAACAAATCTCTTCGAATTTGCCCTCGCTCAATTCTCACTTGGTGAAACCCAGAAAATCACATCTTGCCATTCTGCAGCCTCGTGCGCCCATTCACCTGGACTTGGATAAGCCCATGGACAAACCGATACTGCTGGCCGCTGGGGCTGTGGGCGGGTTGGGGAATCCGCACTTTGCGACGAAATCCGACCCGAAGCCAAAGTTCGCGACAAAGGGTGAATTAGGCGTGCGGATCAAGCTCGAGTTGGAACTGAAGTTGTTAGCAGATGTGGGACTCGTGGGCTTGCCTAACGCAGGCAAAAGTACATTCACGCGCGCGATATCGAATTCAAGGACAAGGATAGGCGACTGGGCCTTCACCACTCTCGCACCCACGATTGGAACGGTTATCCTAGATAACAATGAAGGCCGTCCGTTAGTGCGATCGGGCGTCCCATCCACGGACTCTGGCAATTCCACTTCATCTGGAAGCATTGTGCCGCGTCAGTCTTTCACTGTAGCAGACATTCCTGGGCTCATCGAAGATGCGCATTTGGATAAGGGCCTTGGGCTCTCTTTTCTCCGACACATTGAACGAGCCAGGATCTTGGCCTTCGTGGTGGATTTATCTGCCGGAGATGCCGTCACACAGTTGAAGGCCCTGTGGAAAGAGGTCGGAGAGTATGAGAATCTCAGGGATCGAGAAGTGAGTGAGCAGACGGAGGCGAGGATGATCAATTGGTCGCCCTTCGACGCCCAAGCTGCACCAGCACCAGCCACCGGGGACTTATTGTTCAACGAGGAAGGGGAGGAAATCTCGATATTTCCGTCAGGATCCTCTCGCTCGTCCTCAACACTCGAGCCATTGGCCTACCCCCCGATCAGCGCGAAACCCTGGTTCGTCATCGCCACCAAGGCAGACGTCTCTCAGCCAAGGACTGATGCGATGACACCAGTGGAAGCCAAAGCCACATCGACTCAAGCAAACTTTCTCTCTTTAGCAGCTTATATAAAACAAGTGGAACATGGAGAGACGGAACATCCCAGTGGGAAACAAAATGGATGGCGAAATCGCGTGGCGGCGATACCCGTTAGCGCGATTAGGGGAGAAGGGATCGACAAGGTAATAAGATATACAGCGGGCGTTCTGGACAGCCTTGTCGTTGGTCGCTGAATTTTGAGATGTAAGATAGAAAACGGATGGAGCGAGGCAAGCAGCGGAGACTCAGTCTCGGCAGATTCATGGGCTGGACACTGGAAGGGCGGAGGAATGAAGGAAAGCAAAGAGAGGAGACAGGGTATTGGATAGTAGAATGATAGTGTTCTCGTCGCAAATAGGGACTGATGCCTGGGAATGCAGTGTATAAAATCCGGGTCTGATAATATGGCTTACCCAGAGAGCCCACTACAAGTACCAGCTCGCCGAAGGTGCATCACCCACCAATTGGCATTTGGTTGTTCAACATCGCGGGAAATTTGATGTGGCAATGGGCATATCGGAACAGAACAAAAGCAAAGAGTCAAGCGGACAGGGGTTGTAACTGTACTTGACCCATCCGAAATATCACGGCTGAGGCAACCTCGTCGTCGCACGTTTGAAGATGCAGTGGTATTCAGCTATTCAGCCCTATAGGCATTAAAGCTGCTCTCTGTGAATGTCCTCACAAGAGGCTGACAGCAAGTCCACCGGTCGCAGTTGACGCTATTAAGATGAGGTCTTTAGGACAGAACCGTCCCGGCTTCCATGAGAAGCGTAAGCGGACACACCATTCCTTTTCACACGAAACCCGAATAAATAATGAAAACAACAGAAGCGCAGCCGGCTCATTGATCCGCTGACATACTCCTTCGATATTGCTGAGCATTCAGTCGCAGTAGATTGTCTCTACACAACAGTTCTCTGCCAAATTTGGTTCTTGGAGGAGTCAACCACTAGAAACTCCTACCTGGAGGTCCGAAGCTGCTTGGTTGGCCGACAATGCCACCCAATGGGCTGGTATGGTGGATATGTTGACTGTGGCCCAGTAACGGACTTCCAATCTCACCAACGCTGCCTCTGGGTGGTTGACTTGGGGCATCCTCGACGAATTTGATCACTTGCCCCCTGGTTTTGTCCTTGATAACCTCAAATGACCCGCCGCCATTCTGTGAGTTGCCCTCGGTGTCGCATATTCCAAGCATCTCATCCATGGAGACTGGTGGGTCACCTGGTGCTTTGAGAGTCTCCAGCTGTCGGAGCACATTCTGTACTGGATGGTACCCGTCGGCACTGGCAACCGGGATTTGTGACAGCTGACGGCAAGCTTGAACAAGCATAAGTCTCACAGCAATCGGGCGAGGGAGATGGGACCTTGAAATGGCTTGAGGTCCAGAACCAATCGCTCCAAAGGGTGGTTGACCCCAGCCCGGGCTAGGACGTTGCGAGCTAGGTGGGCCCCAGTTGGGAGTCGGAGCCATGCCAGGGTTGAAACCGCCCCAGCCAGGGTTTCCCATACCGAACGGTTCCTGCCTGTGTTCAGGAAAGCTGCTCGCGAATGGTATCCTTGCAGAACCAGGCGGACCGACAGGGGGAAGGCTCATGCGAGAGTCCGAGTTTTCCAAGAACGGCGCATCTGAATCATCCAACAACGCCTTGCTACCAAGCTGTGTAGCCAGATGATCCATATCGACATCTGGAGTTTTTCTTTGCGGTTTCTGCTTGTCTGGGGTAGTACTGGACGGTCGTGCAATGGGCCCTAGTCCTGGTCTGCCTATCGGAGCCTGCTCGCTCGATGGTTGTCTGGAATGTACTTGGGGCTTGGGCACTGGCTGTTGATTGACGATCGGAGGCGCCTGATTGGGAGGCTGGGGTACAAAGGGCATTTGTTGGCCTGGTTGGAAAGTTCTCGGAAATCCTGGAGGATACTGCATGCCGTTCTGGGCGAAACGCTGCTGGTTACCCATAGGAGGAGGCCCAGGGTACATGTGCATTGGAGGCATCATAGTTGGCATCATTCCTGGAGCACCCATCGGTGGTGGACCACTTACTCCCAAACCCGGCAGTCCATTCATATTGAACGGATATTGCCCCCGGCCGTGGTTGTTCAAAGGCGACCTGGGGGCGGAAGGCTGCGGGTGATGAAGTGGTGGAGGCTGCCCTTGCGCTTTCACGGGCTGCCCAAGAGCTGGTGTGTGAGGCATGGCGACAGTCGCTGGAGAAGCAGAACTTTGGGATATCTCGGTGCTAGCCTTCTGTGATCGCGGAGACGAGCCATGAGAATGCTGCCCAGGTTGCGAAGGTTGTCTGTTCCGAACAGGCGTTGGGACTTTGGGAGGAATGACCGGTGTTGCGACAGAGACATGCGGCGATTGTATGCTCGGACCGCGAGAAGGAGGCTGCAGACCAGGGGGAAGCGCCACAGGCTGTTGTTTCGCCGGGTGTTGATGGACGGCACGCTCTTTGGCCTCCTTTTCCACCCTCAGAGCCGCCTCTTTTTCTTTTCGTAACTGCTCCTCTTTGGCTTTCCTCTCGCGGTCTTCTTTCGCCTTCCGCTCCTTGGCCTCCTTCTCCTTAGCTTCTCGCTCCTCGCGTTCTTTCTTTTTCGTCTCTTCGCGTCTCAGCCGTTCACGTTCCTTTGCTTCCCGTGCCTTGCGTTCTTGTTCGGCTTGTCGCTCGCGGGCTTCGAGTTGCTTACGATGCTTCTCAGCTTCCTTACGGAGTCTTTCCTCCTCGGCAACCTTCTTCTCAGCTTCACGCTTCTTGCGCTGCTCTTCGCGTCGTTGCCGCTGTTCCTCTAGCCGCTTTTCTTCCAATTCTCGCGCGGCTGCTTCTTGAGCAGCTTTCTCAGCCTCCTTCTTTGCTTTCTCCTCATCTTTCGCTTGTTTCTGGAGTCGCTTCTTCTCCTTTCGCTTCGCTGCTTCTCGGGCCTTCTTTGCTTCTCGTTGCGAATCGAGTCGGCTCTCTTCATCTAGTTCTTCGAGCAACTTTCTCTGGCGTTCCGCGGCGACTTTCTCTCGATAGGCTGTCAAGACACGTTGTTCGAACATCCGCGCGGCAAAAATCTGGAACATCCGTCGACCTTCTTCCATGCGCTGTTCTTCGGTCATGGAATCCTAAGGCAATGCTGTCAGAAGTTTTGCAGACCACAACAAGAAGCCGCCACTGACCATATCGTCCCCTTCGAAATCGTCCTCTTCTTGGGAGTCGTAGTCCTCATCATCCTCCTCATCGTCATAATCATCATCGTCGTCTATGGGAGGATGATTGTGACCTTGATGAATATCTCGATGAGCTAATGACGAGGAATGGTAGCGAATATCTTCCTCACGTTGCATGCGTCTCTCCGCCAATTGCTCCATCATGTCTATGAAGTGCTTGCCGTCGTTCTTTAGCAAATCGTCTGCAACGGTGAGTATACCATCTGTACAGCTTGTTAGCCCGTCAAGCCACTGCAGAGAAACATAGTAGCCTGACCTTTCACGGTAAGACTGTTGCCGAATTGGAAAAAGTCGGGCGGCCCCGGTGGCAGACCATGATCATCAAGCTCTCCCTCATCGTCGCTATATCCTTCGTCGTCTTCGTCGTCGTACTCGTCGTCGTCCTCAAGATCCTCTTCATCGTCTTCCATCACCTCCATAGGACCTAGCCCAGGATACGCCTTACCCATGGGATGTGCTTTTTGTACAAACGGAGGACGGGGAGGGGCCATCATCTGAGGAACGGTGGAGAGGTCGGAGTTGTGGTTGGCAAACTGTTCGAGTTCCTCGTAGTAAGCATCGTAAAGCACCTCCAATTCCTCCTCGATCGCGGTGCGTTTCCGCCCACATACGGAGCAGCTGCAAGAGTGCTTCTGTTGCTCCTTCATTTTCCGTAAGACGGCCTCCTTCTCGACCTTGACCAAGGATCTTCGCTCATCCTCGCCTAACTCCAGCCAAAACTGCTTGATGTTTTCCCGCTCGGCTTGAGTTGAGGTATTCCATATGTGATCGCTTGAAAGTTTCTGGGAAGCTCGCATCGCGGCATTCGATAAAGGCGGGATGTTGGAGCGAGATAGCATTGTTGAAGTCCTCGACAGGGCATCGTTCGTGGTTTTGGACTTCTTCCGCTTGCTGGTATTCAGCCATGAGCTGTCGTGCATTGCATCTGCTCCTTCTCCGTAATTGGGATCCTCATCGCCACTATAAAATGCTTCTTCTGGACTCCCAATATCAGGGTATGTTGGGTCAACGGGATCTGGATAGTCTGGCTCTTCAGTGAAATAACCCTTTACCGGACCCCGACCTTGTTTGACGGGGGGTAACTGTCCGTTCGGTTTGATTCCTGGCGCGGGAGCATGACCATTTGGGATCGCCATGTCCGTCTTTTCCGCCGCCCGTTTTGCAGCCTCTTTTTCCCGTCTCTTTTGCTTCTTGCGATTGACCGCCGCAGCATGAGCAGGCTCTCCAGCCGATTCAGTGGTGTCCCCAGTCTTCAAATCTGCATCTGACTTTGCTTGTGAAGGCTGGCTGTTCAACGACGGCGTGGACGACATTGCTGGACCCGACTTTTGCAGGGGTTGGGTTGGTGCAGGCGCATCTTGTGCAGAAGTTGTCGCGGGCAACGGCTGCGGTTTGGCGGCATTAACCTGAGTGTTGGCTTTCTTCTTGGAAGGCATAGCACCAAGCCGTCACTGAAGGACTGCTAGTTTCGATATCGATCTTGATCTCGCAAGGTTCACATCAAAGGCACGGCGGTTTCGGTTACTGGTGGGGTATCACAAATTGGTAAGTGACGAGCACAGGAGATGCACCAGGGATGGGAAAAATACAAGGAGTGCGAGTGAAGAGAGACCTCAAAGGGCCAGATGTGAAAAAGGGTGAAGTGAGGGTATGGCAAGGAAAGGGCGGCTCCAGTCTGTTTGGAGAGTAGGAAGTTGAAGTTGTTCGACGTCCAAAGTCCCAAGATGCAGTCCCAGTCCGGATCAACTTCAGTTTCGTGGGGCGGCGACGTTCCAGTGGAGGCTGCAGTTGCGCAGTTGCGCTTGAAGGTGCAGTGCCTCCCCTAAGTGCCTCCGTGCTCCCCAGTGTCCCCTAAGGCACCGAGGCACCACGGGCACCTAAGGGACTCGCAATCTGCGTATTGCGGTACGGCAAAGGGGCCTTGACGGCACCTTTCTCCCAAGTTCCCAACCTTGCAGCCGCCAAAAGAGTTCAATAATAATTGACCTTAATTGCCCATCACGGCTGTGGTACGCCAATTATAGGCCATTTGTCGTCCCAATTATCACACCTCCGGTCTCCAGTCTCCCACTCCTCCTCCATACGCACACTTAACACGGCGACATCGAGGAACCGCACCTCTGGCACGAACTCAAGCCTTGGCTATCTACCAGCTACAATTGCATCATCGTCTACTTTTCGATCTGACCGGAAGAATTGCTCCTTATCTCGAGATCCAAACCCCTAGTCAACGAGAGATCTATTTGCGGCTGCGCCTCAACCACTGCCTTCCTTTGGCAGTCACCGTCCCGCTCGGGGTGGATTTGTTCTCCGTTGGACCCCACGAACTCCCAGTCGACTAGTCTCAGTTGTTCAGAAACAAGACAGCCGGTTCCTCAGCTACGGTTCAGAAGTTCAAAACATCGTTGCAGACGACTGAAACTGCGGCTGGCGGTGCCGGTCGCTGGTGGAGGTGAACGTACCCCGTTTGTGGACTGGTTTCGCTGGCTTTGCTGTATGCGACCTCAACTGCGTCCAGTTACACCAGGCCGCTCCTCCACTCCCCTTTGACTACATTTCAGCTCGTCCTCAATCTTATCCGCCGCACAACACAGACTTAAGACTCTCGACGCCCTCCGTACGCATTTTCACTTCTCTCCTCCGCAAGAGCTGCTCACCATCTTGCTCGAAAGCCGCCGGGGCCTTTGAAGCTCTCCTTTCGTCCGCCATCTCTGTAGTGGTGTGACCTGTCTGCCTGTGGGACAGAGCTGCAATAACTTCCACCGCCATGGCACAGGATCAGGCACAACAGAATGTGATGAGAAGGTACGTTGGCTCCCACCACTTTGCCGCCCACGTGGTGGAAATAGTTGTCCATCGACATCAGGGTTTCCTGTACAAGGCTGCCTCAGCCGCATATTTGGCATGACCCCAAGAACAATCACTGATTTCAGTTTCTGCAGGAAGCTTGTTATAATAGGCGACGGTGCTTGCGGAAAGACATCACTGCTATCAGTCTTCACTCTCGGCTACTTCCCTACCACCTACGTCCCAACCGTCTTCGAAAACTATGTGACAGACTGTCGGGTCGATGGCAGATCAGTACAATTGGCTTTGTGGGACACAGCAGGGCAAGAAGACTACGAAAGATTGAGGCCTCTTGCATACGCGAAATCACATGTCATCCTTATTGGCTTCAGCGTCGACAGCCCCGACAGCTTGGAGAATGTGCGGCATAAGTGGATTGAGGAGGCTCGCGAACGGTGTCCCGAAGTGCCTGTCATACTGGTGGGCCTGAAGAAGGATCTGAGAGAAGACCCGATGGCAATTGAAGAGATGCGGAAGCGGAGCCAAAAGTTCGTTACGCCCCGCGAGGGCGCTGAGATGGCCCAGGCTTGCGGGGCTCGCAAATACCTCGAATGTTCAAGCTTGACGGGCGAAGGTGTGGACGATGTCTTTGAGGCTGCGACGAGAGCTGCTCTTCTGACGTTCAATGGTAAGCAGGGTGGCGGCGGATGTTGCGTCATTCTGTGATGCCCCATGGTGTATCAGACGTGGATGAACATGTGCCGGGCGGGAAAAAACACAATGGGCGGCTGTTACCTCTTTGAATAATCCGAATGGGAGGACCTCTTAAGCAGGGGACTAATACCGATGCTCAAAATGGCGGAAAGACGACGACGTTGTACCTTTGCCTCTTGGAGAAATGAAGCCTGGCTGGCGTGTTTTCTGAGGACGGACCGAATCATACCAGACTTGGGGCTTGAACCTGTGCGACACGAGACGAACGAATTTTTTCATACTCGATTTAGCGAACTGACATCAATGATGGACCTTCTACTATATTGCCTCGTCTTTTCAATCCAGGTTTGATGGTCGAGGACGATCGGCCATCTTGTGAGAAAGATAAAAGCTTCCGAAACTTTTCCCCAGTGTATATATACATGTCGATTCTTTTTTCCGCTCATTCTCCCCCCTGGAGGGAAACAGGTCCACGATTGATCAAGACCGCGCATGCTTGTCCGAAACACTCGAGGTCCTCTCGGCCTGAGGGTCGTAACAGAAACTCCATGTAACTCGCCGCCCATTCCAGTTCGTCCCTCTATGCTGCGAGAGTTTTGCCTGGATACGGACGGGCCTTTCTTCTCCTTCCCATCCCGCTTTGATATCTCTGGCTTGTCGGGGGAAGTCATGTCTTTGATTCGTCGCAACAGCTGCGTTGGTCTGCTCCCGAACCCGCCAGGTGACATGGAATGATTTCTCCCATCTGCCCCCATCTGAACGTCTTTTTGTACAATGCGACTGCGCGAATGAGTTTGAACTCCCTTTTTCGACACAATTTCATTTCTCTTTGTGCCCATTAGCTGCGACATATAGAGACTTGCTTAACCCCTGGTGGAAATCAATGTCTTTTCCAAGCGTAATCCCAAATCTTCGCTTTACTGCCACTTCCTTCGGTAGGAGCGCCTTCTTCCCCTCCAACTCCAACACCAAGCCCGCCCGTGCTGCCCACCCACTCGACCAAACCTCGCGCATACTCGATGGGGACACCTCCCTTGGCTCTCCCTCCAGGCCCCGAAGTACTACCGGGAGTAGTCCCGGCACTCGACCCGCCTATCCCCCAGATACCGGTTTTCATCTGCGCCTTTCTGAACAGACGGCCTCCGTCGCCGGCTCCGACGCGGAGTTCCTCATTCGCGTCGCGCATGGCGTTGTACTGCCGCTCCAGCTCGAGTTCGCGCGATTTTTTGAGGTTGTGCCGATACAGGTTCCAGGCCCGTGCGATGGTCCAGTGGCGCAGGTATCGGTTGCGCGAGAAGCGGAGGGGTCGGGGCGTGAGGGTCGTGGGGTGGTGGAGGAAGAAGCGGATTAATGCTGGAGGGTTATTTGTTAGTTATCTGAGAAGAAGTTTGGTACGGCGGGCGAAAAAAAGTCGTTTGCGGGCAGTCATTTGTGGAATTGATTGGGAAGGTTGGCATGGACAAGCAAAGGGAAATGACAGTAGATGTGTGTTAGGGAAAACAAGGAGAGGTATGGATGAGATAGGGAAGAAAAGGCGCAGTCAAACAGAAAGAGACTCACTTATTCTCCTATCAGGTCTGCCACCGCCTTTCTTCTTCGCGTACTGAGCCGTACTTGTCGAGAAGGACAATCTCGAGCTCGGGGAACCTGGATTCGGCGCAGTATGATTGGTGCTCGAAGAAAGAGAAGTCGGAATCCCTCTGCGTAGCGACGACGGTCGAACCGTGATCTGGAAGGCATGTGCCAGCGCGGCACGGATCGATGAGGTATGCATCCCGCAGTCTCACAAAACGTTGGCCGAAAGACTGTGTCGTGGGGGTTTGAGGACGCAGAAATCTCCTGAGATTCGGGACTGAAGTTTGCTCTGGTCTCGAGCTCTGACCTCGATTGAACTCTGTAGGCGCGGTTGGGCGCAAACTTTCAAAGGAGCAAGGCTGGATGCTTGGCATGTTTGTAGTCTCCAGCCTTGCATGATGCCATATCAGGCTTCCCAGTCCTGAGGTTTGGTATTCGAAACAATTTAGTTTCGGGTTTCAACAGGCCTATATTAGTCTCAGATAAGCCTCCAATCAGGTCATCATGCCGGGTGTCTATTATTGAGCGAAAGCCTCCCAATTCTTGCCCACTTCGGCCGTCTTATCAGCCCAATCCTTCAGGGCATAGTGGACAACAACTTGCGAGAACCCTTATACCGAATACTTTTTCAGTCGCTTATCAAAATTCATAATGCGCCTTTGCCGATGTCCCTGGGCCAGCTTCCATCTGCAATAAAGCAATAAAGCATCTTTCATCACCACGAAAAGGCATCCACCCACCACACTTCTCCCCCACTTTGTCGAAAGCAGTCCCGGCCGACCACTTGTGGAACTGCGATAGGTCAACCACGATGATGGCAAGACACAGCTGAGGAGATTGCCCATTCCCGCAGCGACTGCCGGGAACACTAACGCTCCAAGGACGGTCTGCCCGATACTGCCACTGCCGTCAACGAGATCGTGGCGGCCCAATATTCGGCGAACGTGTTGGTTCTCTGGTTGGGCTTGCGCATTTCCTCCATCACCAGCAACGGCAGCAGCCTGTTCGTCGCCGTCGTCCTCACCCTCTTCTTCGCCATTCAGGTTGACGTCAATTTCAAGTATAACGTCGCCATCCTCGACTGCTTCTTGCATCTCGTCCTCATTGCCGTCGTCACCATTTCCTCCCGGTCCTTCCCCTCGTTCACTTTGTCTGGGTTGTACTTCTTCCAACCACTTGCGATTAAGATCACAGAATGCCTTGTGGTAACACCAATTGTAGATCGATCTCATGGCGGGTAAGCAAGCAAATACTGTGCTCGGGAGTGGCGGCCATATGGTCATGTCAATGTCAAACTTATCTGTAATCTGTGTGGAAAGTAGGATCAGACTGCTGCCGGGGAGGGCAAAGTCGGCATAGTCGGTGCGGGCGAGGATTAGATTGACCGGGATAAGGCTGTACATCCAAGCATACTCATTGCGTTGTATGGCGTACTGAAAGACTCGATTCGCATCGTCATGGCCAAACACTAAATAGACGGATTCAAATCCATGGAACCATGCCCCAGCCCATAGTGTGCCCACGAAAGAAAGTCCCAAGCCCGGTAGGACCAATTTTCCCAGTGTACGGTCAACTGCGCGGTAACTGTCTACCACGTAGCTTCTCGGTCTTGATATTCTGATTTCAGATTTGCATTGAGGGCATAGAATTTGTCCGGAGTTCTTGGTTTTGTTCTTGGGGTTCTCGAGGTCGGCTACCCAGTCCAACAAGCATGCTTCATGGGCAGTCAAACTGCAGGTGCACGGCGAGCGCCATATTGGGGGGTTGTTGGGATCGTCTTCACTCTTGTCGCTCATACATATCCAACATTTCGGCCCAAAGGTCGAGGCGCGTGAGGGAGCCGACGGTCGTGAACTCTTGTCCTTCGGTGATTGTGTAGTATTGTCTTCGGTCTGGGCTGGATCTAGGGATGGTCGATCGAGCGCGGCGGTATCAGCGTCTTCTGAGTCCATGGGGAAAGTCTGATGATGGGGCGCAGACAAGGGAGGAGATTCAGTTGACCAGATCAAGGCAGGCTACTACCAGCTCTTAGAGAAGAGAAGAGAATGTCGGCGTGATGATTGATCAAGCGTCGCGTCGAGCGCATCAAGTATTATCAGTAATATACAGAGCAAACAAGTATCTTTGATTCAAGTTAGGCAACAGATCGTGTGTCTCGGTCATTCTAACTAGGAGCATTCAGCACCGCATGAGGGCGTACCGAGGATACGTAATTTGTCGCTGCTATTTCACGCAGCTTCTGAGCTAACCCTATTAGGCTAGCCCACCATATTCCGCCCCAGGCGGGAAATGAGTGTTGGGTGGGAGTGGATGGATTGTGTGAGTTTTGCATCTGCTCTCTCCCAGCTGTAAACTCTGAGCATTTGTACCTCAGAATCAGCAAAAAGGACCGCAGGACTGTGTCTGATCTCTGAAAGAAAGAACCTCTCTACGTTGTGTTTGTAACATTCCACAACTAGCCACCCGACCAGCAGAGAAGTGTTGGCCAGACAAAGCCGTCCCAATTTACGATTGTGTTCTCGCTATGGCAGTTTTGGTGCCAAAGGTTGAAACTCTCGATCATGTCTACGCAGGAGGGTCGGAGGGTCATACTGTGCCTGTTGAGCTCGAGCAACGGTTCAAGAATTTGATCCACAGTTTCAAAACTGACTATGGTCACAAGCCAGACTTTGTATCCAGGAGCCCTGGACGGGTTAACATAATCGGCGAACACGTCGACTATTCGCTCTACAATGTCTTGCCCACTGCTCTCACCGTTGATGTGCTGATAGCCGTCCGTGTTGTCACCCCTGGGGATGGGAACGCAGCCGAAGTCAAGATCGCCAATGTAAATCCTACCAAATATCCTTCCACAACTCTGGTCATCCCAGAATCTGGCGCAGTCGAAGTCGACCGCGATAATCATTCTTGGAGCAATTATTTCTTGGCTGGGTTGAAAGGGTCCCTGGAATATCTCCGGAAGCAGTTCGGTGACTCTTTCAAGCCCAATGGCATGGAAATCCTGATCGATGGAAATGTCCCCGCGGGCGGTGGCTTGTCTAGCAGCGCCGCATTTGTCTGTGCTTCTGCTCTCAGTGTCATGGCCGCAAATAACCACGATATCTCAAAGCAGGATCTGCTTGACCTCTGCATTGTGTCGGAGCGCGCTGTCGGTGTCTTCTCCGGAGGCATGGATCAGGCTGCATCTATATTCTCTGAAAGAGGCTATCTCCTCTATTGCCGTTTCTTCCCGGAATTCTCTGCAGAGCATGTTCCTGTCCCGACGTCTGATCCAGAAGTCACTTTCCTGATCGCGCAGTCCTTCGTCACATCGGACAAGGCGGTGACTGCACCAATTCATTACAACCTCAGGGTCGTTGAGTGTACGATGGCGACTGTGGTTTTGGCAAAGCTTCATGACATAGCTCTGAATCCAGACCAGAGCTCTCTGGGATTCTGCCTGCGAAATTTTCAAGAAGAGGTCATGAAGAAAGACGGTCGCACAGATGAGCCACTAGCGGCACAGCTCGACTCCGTGGTTGACATTATAAAGTCCAACCTCAAGGAGGAGGGCTACACCAGACAAGATATTGCCGAGATTCTGGGTATCTCCGTGCAAGAACTTGAAAAGCAGTATATGTCAAAATTTCCCATTCGAGCCGATGTGTTCAAGCTGAGGCAGCGCGCCTTACATGTCCTGGAAGAAGCTGGCCGTGTCCTCAAGTTCCGAGAAACTTTGACAACCTCAGGGAAATTGGATGAAGAGAAGTTGCTCTACCTTGGTGACCTCATGAACAAGACACAGGCTTCGTGCCGAGACGTGTACGAATGCTCATGTCCCGAGATTGATCAGATCTGCTCCATCGCACACAAAGCCGGGGCTTACGGCACTCGACTCACTGGCGCGGGTTGGGGTGGTTGCACGGTGCATCTGGTGCCCCAGCATAAAGTTCCTGCTGTGACAGAGGCTCTCAAGCAAGAGTACTATTATAAAAAGTTCCCAGACATCAGCAAAGAGAAGCTCGAGGAAGCCATTGTCGTCTCAAAACCGAGTCAAGGGTCGTCGCTAATTGTCGGTGCAGCGTTGGATGTATAATGTGGAACTGACATTACGTGGCCGAGGATAATCCAAAATGGTCTTCAAGGGTGCAAGGGATCCAATACCGAGGCACCATGGCTCTTGTACGCTGCCTGCCACAAGATGTATCCAGCGAACGGCATTGCCCCTGTCTGAGATATGTGCCAGTCAAGGTTGTATATCTGGACTTCGTTGGCTGTTGTCAAGCTGCACACGATCTTCTTGCCAGTCGCTTGTGAACAGAAATGATTGCTTAAGCAGCAAACACATGGTCCAGAACTATCCTCTCGCTTGCTTCCTAACCCGAAACAACTTCGAAAGCCATAGAGCACTCCTTCAGAATCTTTTCTTGGAATTGTCAAGATTTGAATCTGGTCACTGCTGTCCGCACAGTCCACTGAATCTGCCGTCTTCTTCCAAGTGCATGCTTACCTTGACGCCCTTGGACATCTCGTCACTCTCCGAGCAATAATTTACAAGCCACTCCCAACAATTTCCAGCCGGCGACCGTTGCCGTTGAAAAAGTAGCCGAGCAGCTGCCACATTGTCGGACATGCCCAAACTCCAGGATCCAGCATGTATCCAACCCGTTCCACTTCCTCTCCAGGGTCAACCTACTAATACATAGGCCTTAAGGTCCAGTATTCCGAGCCAAAGACCATCCTTCTAGATCAAGTGACACGATCACTCTACTTGAAATGAGCCCAAGACGCCGTTTGAGACGGCTGATACTTTGAAACACGTCTGCGGGCATCCCGTTTCATCTCGATCAGCCTGGCGATAGTTGTGGACGAAGTCATAATCATGAAACAGTCTGAGGCCTCGACATCATGAGTAGCCCTCTCACAACTGCAACCGCTCGAAGCAGACTTTCGCAGGTGCTTGCTGGAGTTGCGACGGGTGGTCGGCACATGAGCCCTTCAGACACTTGTTCTTCCATCCATGATACCATCTTCCGATATTGTCTTCATTTATAACGGTCGAATTAGTCTCGTCTGTCCGTGTTGCCGGGCCATGAATGTTTACTTGGGTGTTGACATTGAAAGGTCAATCGGTCACTGATTACACTCAACGGGCAATTCAGCTGCTGCAATTTTGGATATGTGGACCACTTCAAGATTTGGACAGAAGAGGATAACGCAGATCGGAATCTATCTGACCTCTTCTCAGTAAGTTGGAATGGAGCGATGCCGCTATCGCCACGGACTATAAAGTATCTTGAGGGCGTCCAGCATTTCGTGATGATTTAGTATTACTCAACACAGACCAAAGTCAGATCAGAAGGTCGTAAAGGGAGGCGGTGGCTCGCTTAGTTACGGCCGTTGCAACCACATTTTCCACTGAGATTGTCTTGGGTGAAGCTGGGTGGATGATTTGCGACGAAGCTTTACCGAGCACAGTAATATTACCGGCTCCAAAGTCTCGCGCGTGCGGAATTAGAGCCTTATATCGACCTTCAAAGCACCTGGACTAGGCTGTTGTAAGCTTAGCAGATGCCTGTGACGCCGGGTATTGGGTGGCTATTTAATTGCTACCAAGTCAAATGGCCCTAACCATCCAGGCTTCGTGTTCCTCCAGAGTTCTCCGCTACAGCCAATTCCAGGCCTCGACTCGTATTTGCTGTGCCAAATCTCCAGTTGCAAAGTTCCTCGAGGCTGGCTATGATGAGCTCAGCAGCACTTCTGAATGTTTTCAAGCCATGAGGCGACAAACACACGGCGTCGCCCTTGACCTGATGCCGAGTCCCCGCATGGTTCCCCTTTTCGATCGCCACCACCCGTGCATACTGCCGAGATCATAAGCTGACAGTCCCACAGAGGCCACGCGCGAAGGAGCTGGGAAGGGATTATACATTTGTGTATGAGCATGGAGCACTGGTTCTTCGGACTGTGGCCCAATCCTAGCGTTGATATCATTGCCTGCTTATGTTGTGTGTCAGTCAGCTTCCACAACGCCGAACTGCGGGTCGATAGATCGGTTATATGGGTTTGTGGCATTCTTCCGACAAAGCCTCTTCTACTTAGCTCCAGGGGATAGTATTTTATCGACTGCATACTTCATTCCATCAGCTTTTTCAACATCTCTGTCGTGTCTTCCTTCAAGCTCCTTTTCTGCCTCGGGCTCTGTGTGCTCTTTGCCTGATCTAAAATGCCGTCCAGAATCTATCACTCACTCTATCCTCCGGTCAAGCTGATCGACAGCGACCTCTTGACCTACCTTTTTTCGAATCCGAGAAACACACCAGACGATAAACCGATATTTATCGATGCAGTTACAGGAGCTAGTCGCAGCTATGGAGAGATTAAACGCAGAACCCGGTCCCTTGCGCATGGTCTGCGAGAGTTGGGAGTCAAGCCGAAAGATGTTGTTGCGTTGTTCAGCCCCAACAGTATTGACTATGCTATTCTTTGCTATGGAATCATAGGTTGTGGCGCTACCGTGTCGCCGGTCAGCGCAGCATACACACCACTAGAACTTGCAGCACAACTCGAGACCAGTGGCACCAGATTTCTGATAGCTCATTCCTCGCTCCATCCAACAGCCGCACAGGCGGTCAAAAAGTCGAATCCGGCCATTCAGATCATTCAAGCTGAAGGAGTTCGCGGCAAGAACGGCAACCCGACCGCTGAAGCTCTCGCCTCAGACTGTCCGCCCAGTCCACTCGTCAGCATTGAGCCGAGTGAAGCTGAGGATCGGCTATGCTTCATGTGCTTCTCTTCGGGAACCACGGGGCGAGCCAAAGGCGTCATGACAACGCACAAGAATCTAGTGTCCAATATTCAGCAGTGGGACGCCCAGTTGCCCACCGAGACTACGGGGAAACAGACGACAGTGGCATTTTTACCATTCAGCCATATCTACGGCCTCACGTCCTTCGTTGCTATGAACACCTTTGTGGGCAACACCGCTGTCGTCCTAAGCCGCTTCGATCTAGAATTATTCTTGTCGAGCATCCAGAAGTACCGGCCCGAAATGGTCAACGTGGTCCCGCCAGTTATGCTGTTGATGGCCAAACACCCCTTGATGAAGAAGTACGATCTGAGCAGCTTGCAAAGAGTCTTCTCCGCTGCAGCCCCATTGAGTAATGAGCTTCGGGAGGCTGTAGAAGCACGCTTCAAGGAGTTGTATGGGACCAACCTATTGGGGCTGCAGGCTTGGGGCATGACAGAGACAAGTCCGCTGGGCGCAATAGTCCCTCCGACCCGACCGGACAAGAGGCACACGGTCGGGTGTATCACACCGAACATGGAATACAGGGTGGTCGACCCAGACACGATGCAGGATACAGGGTATGAATCAGACGGGTCTGCAGTACCGGGGGAACTGTGGTTACGCGGACCGAATGTGACCAAGGGGTATTACCGAAACGAAGAGGCCACGAAAAGTGGGTTTGCATCCGACGAGGAAGGCAAGCTGTGGTTCCGAACGGGAGACATAGGCACCATTGACAAAGACGGATTCTTGACCATTGTCGACAGGATAAAGGAGATGTTCAAGTACAAGGGCTTGCAAGTCATTCCGTCAGAGCTGGAGGGCAAGCTCCTGGAACATCCCGACGTTGAAGATTCCTGCGTTGTCCCGCAGTGGGTCGAAGAACAAGCGACTCATGTTCCGGTCGGATTCGTTGTGATAAGCCAGAAAGCGAAGGCCAGGGGCCAGAAGAATGTTGTTGCCGACATTGACAAATGGCTGAATGCAAGAGTCGCCAACCACAAGAAACTGAGAGGTGGCATCCATGTCATCGACGCCGTTCCCAAGTCGCCTTCAGGGAAAATTCTGCGGCGAGAATTGGCGGCTATGCTCAAGGAGTCGAGTGCAAGGAGTGGATCGAAGCTGTGATTGTAAGCGATATAAGCGGTCTGCGTCAAGGTAAGCCTCTTGTTGCAAGCATTGGAGTGGTCATCTAGGGAAGGAGATTAGTATAGAATTTCAACTGTACAGCATTAGTGCAAGGATATTTCTCTCACAGCCTCGCCGAGAGCCGCAAGGCTGAAGAGACAGATGGTGGCACGTGCTCACGACGTCATTCCACGTGAGTCGACGGAGTTTTCTTTTTCCTCTTTTTAAGAACTAGCGAGCTAGGTAACTTTTTCTCTTTCCCTACTATTATGCTGTCTGTGAACCCAACCTCGAACGTCAGAACTCAACCCACAGTTTCCAAGCGGTGCATATAAACGCGCTAGTCGGAGTGACCCGTTCAACGTTGGAGTCGTTCCGTCGGAACAACCACGACCTAGGCGGTGGTTCTAACGGATGGAGACTCACCAGATTTCGCAGGGAGAAATTTTCTTTGCCCGTCCCTGATATCTGTTCAGCCATTGGTCAACTCGGCAATCGGCAAGGTTGAGATGGCAATGCTAAGGGCAAACCAGTCTCCAGACCCAATCAGACTCGCTGAGGTCCTCAGGCGGGGAATGCCCGAGATCGGACTACTCGGTCATGGGCCGTGGCTATTGGCAGGAATCAACATGGCCGACTCCAAAAGGAATCGCATACCCGTTGACGTCGCGGTCCAGGACGTTTATGGGGATCCCTGGAACCAAATCAGCATGGTTGGAGGACCTCGAAGGTGACGGTGAAGCCTGAAGGAGGACCTCAAGATGATTGTGGGTATGAGTTCTTTTTCTTTTGCAATCTCCCTGCATATCTACGGTCAACATCGTCCGCCCTGTGATCCGTCCTGTGAGTGTTGATAACCTTGTGCGACGTCCCACATTATTCCCCAAAGACTCTCAACACCCAGTCCCTCACTATTCTGTGTCGCTCTCCAACTTGACTCTCGTCGCCCCTTTCCACGGGAAATGACCACCAGTTTTCCAAAACCTTTTCTTTCGATATTAACAGGATGACCGGCGAACTCCATCATGACACTGTCCAAAGCGACAATGCCAGTCCTGAAATTCATCCGATCTCGTCACAATCAGACCGCCCTGCTTCTCTGGATCTCGAGAGGACACCAACAATCAGAATAAAAGACCATCATGCAGACGATAAACCCGATCTGGTACGCATACGGTCGACCGTCTCGGCGCACGACATACAGGGTGTTCCCAGTCATGACAGTTCCTTCGTCGAAGTCAATGCCGCTCAATATGAGCGTTTCAGCGAGCGTCGGAAAGTTGTCATGACCTGCGTCCTCTCGCTATGCGGCTTTCTGGCCCCTATTTCGTCGACCACCATCCTGTCGGCCATTCCTGAAGTAGCAGCCACTTTCAACACCGACGGCACCATTATCAACTTGTCGAATGCGCTATATCTCATCTTCATGGGTCTGTCACCTTGTCTCTGGGGTCCGATCTCCAACATTTATGGTCGCCGATGGCCGTGCATCATCTCCGCCATCCTCTTCTTCGCATTCAGTGTCGGCACTGCGCTGGCACCGAATCTGGCATCCTTCTTCATCTTCCGAATGCTCACCGCATATCAAGGTACCTCGTTTCTTATCGTCGGGAACTCCTGCTTGGGGGACATCTACACACCGACAGCGCGAGCGACCGCCCTCGGCTGGTTTCTCTCAGGGACACTGATCGGACCTGCGTTTGGGCCTTTCGTCGGAGGCATAATCGTCACATTCCGTTCCTGGCGCGACATCTTCTGGTTGCAGTCTGCCCTCGGTGGCCTCGCCGCCGTCTTGGTGATCTTGTTGCTTCCTGAGACGATTCCGGAAAAGAAGATCCACGAACTCCGCGAATATTCTCGAAAGGAACGAACATTGCGGATAGTTCATTGGGTGTCTCCTTTCCGCACGGCCGCATTGCTCTTCTCATACCCAAACCTGATCATCGCTGGCCTCGCATCAAGTGCTCTTGTCTGGAATATGTATGGGTTGCTCACTCCGATCCGCTACGTCCTCAATCCGCGGTTCCACTTGACATCCCCGATCCAGTCAGGGCTTTTCTACATTGCGCCTGGGTGTGGCTATCTGTTGGGCACGTTCTTTGGAGGTCGCTGGGCTGACCACATTGTCAAGAAGTGGATCCGGAAGAAGAACCGGCGTGTGGCTGAGGATCGTTTGAGGTCGTGCTATGTCTTCATTGGCGGCGTTGTGCCCGCTTGCATGCTCATATACGGTTGGTCGGTGGAAAAGGCGGTGGGTGGCGTTCCTCTACCCGTGGCAGCAATGTTCGTGCAGGGAGTCGCCCAGCTCTTCTGCTTCCCCAGCCTCAATACCTATTGTCTCGACGTCATGCAGTCCAAGGGTCGATCCGCAGAAGTTGTAGCGGGAAACTATATGATCCGGTACGCATTTGCTGCCGCAGGCTCTGCAGTGTGTTTGCCAGCGATTGAGGCAATCGGGGTTGGCTGGTTCAGCACAATCTCTGCCGTGTTTCTTGTCATCAGCGCAGTCGGAGTGTGGGCCATGACCACATGGGGCGAAGGCTGGAGACATGCCGTCGACGACAGGAAGAAAAAGAAACGGAAACAACGGGAACAAGAGAAGGCGAAGGAGAAAGGTGGGAAAGAGGGTGTGTGAAAATCAGAGATGATGAAGGCGTCCAAAGGAGAAGATCATATCGGATCATTTATCAGAAGCACTTTGACTGCTCCTAGCCATGGTTGACGGCGTTGATTTTACGGGGCAAGGAGTTGGATGGGCATGAATGACGCGACGAATTTACTAGAATTCAGCCGATGGAGAGATGTGCAGCGTTCAAAGGGGTATTATCAGCGGGTTTGGTTTACAGCAGGCATGGGCGTCCTTGGTATCGGGGCAAACCTCGTTGGTGGGGAGTTCGACTTTGGAGCTGAGCCTACGAGGATGTCGTTTTTCCACGGAAAGGGCGAAAGGCAGGCATAAAATAGAGAACACTGTCCGGTGGACCAGGTATAGAAGTATAACAGCCAGGAGCAGTGACAGGAATCAAAAGCATTGTAAAACCAGGTTTGGGGAGCTATAGCCTCACTCGGTCGGTCAGTCAGTCAGTCGGGGAGAGGTACTAGCCTCGCCCACCACGACATTTGTATGGACTGGGATAGATGGGCAGCCTTGCGAGACAGCAGTTCAAGTTCACAGCATGTGAAAAAAGGCGGGCGGGGGGCCACCAAAACAATGATGAAAGTGGGGGTTCAAAAGTTGTTTGGCCTGTCGACCTTTTGGACTTCAGGGTCTTCTCCATCGGCGTCCTCCGCCATCCGCATTTCGGACACTCGATTGCATCGAGTAAACAGACTGATTTGGGGACACGCACGCTACGGACCTGTAATAAAACCTTTGGGGATTTTCTTTCTTTCGATCTTCTCGTCTCCTTTGGTGTCATTCGTCTGAGTCCTTTGCCTATGAGCATCTCCAGGAAGTTGTCTTTTACAAGTGTATTTCTGACATCTGCTTACTTCGAGCCATAATCTTGAATACCCCCAGGAGTCATTCACTCTGCTCTGGTAGAGTTCGCCTGCGCTTCTATCAAAAAGAAAAACTCCTGATACACCCCCATATTCGAGCTAGCCATGGAAGTCAACATCCAACCGCAGGCCCTCTCGGAGACCATCGTCGACAGGACCCTTGGTTCAAGCAGCACGTCAACCTCTAGCATAACCGTGACGCCCATCCCCGCAGTCCTCATCGACACGACCTTCTCTTCCTCGACGAACCTGTCCACCACGGTCCTCGGCGCATCCATCGTGTCCTTCTCGGACGAATACTTCGCGGCCGCCGCCAACCTGCTCACACCCACACCTCCCGTTCGAAAACCGGGAGTGTTCGTACATACGGGAGCGTGGTACGACGGATGGGAGACGAGGAGGCACAACCCCAAGGAGTTTGACTGGGTGGTGATCAAGCTCGGCTGTGTGGCACAGATAGAGGCGGTGGAGGTGGACACGGCTTACTTTAACGGAAATGAGGCTCCGCTCGCTGGATTGGACGGAGTAGCCTTCTCGAGCGACGAGGATGATAGTGCTGCCGCAAAGGAAGGGTATGATGCGTGGACTGAAGTCCTACCCCCGCAGAAGTGTGGCCCTTCTCAACGGCAGGCATGGAAAGTATCTGGGCCAGGGGTGCAAGGCAAGCAATTCACGCATTTGAGGTTAAAGCAGTACCCAGATGGAGGCATTGCCAGGTTGAGGGTCTACGGCACAGTCATCCCACCGTCGTTACCGGCCAGTGTAACCTCGGGAAAGGAAGAGAGACCCCTGGAAGATCTAGCCAGTGCGCTCAACGGTGGTGTGGCCATTGAATGCTCAGACCAACATTTCGGCGGGAAGAACTATCTGCTTCTGCCCGGCCGAGGGAAGGACATGGGAGACGGATGGGAGACTGCCAGGAGCAGGGTCAAGGGTCACACAGACTGGGTGATTGTCCGCCTCGGGTTGAAGGGCAGGAAGATTGAGAGAGTGGTCGTCGACACCAAAGATTTCAGAGGGAATTTCCCTCGGGCGGTCAAGGTGGAAGGGTGGGCAATGGAAGTGGCCAAGGCCGCCCTGGGCACTGAGGCGGACCCCAAGCATGACGCCACAGGCTGGACAGCCCTGATCAAGGGAGAACAGCCTTGCCATGCGGACACAGAGCATGGCTTTGGGCTCGACCAGCTGGTGGCCTCTGAGCCTCCGGAAGGACATGTGTGGACACATGTGAAGATGACCATTATCCCTGATGGAGGGGTCAAGAGACTGAGGATAATTGGGAGGAGGGCGTGATAAGCATGATGCTACACAGAGATGTGCTTGTATACTTGGTCGTCTATACACGTAGATTGCTGTATTTGGCAGCCACAAGTCTCTGCATCTCACCACCTGGTATCGGCGGAGCGGAAAAGTCTCGTGAGCACTCGTGGCAATATCAAACGGCCGCCTCGTGGTTGGTTCGTTGCCGACGAGTCTCGATTCGCCTGGTGGCTGCCAAGACCGACATCGGCCCCACGTCTAGCACTGTCATTGGGCAGCGACTCTTCTCCGCAAAACCGGGAGGCAAAAATTGCAGATTAGGATGCCACCGACGCCAGTCACTGCCAGTCACTCACTTTCTCCTCCATGTCACTCCCACTTCCAATTCCGCACCTTCAGCGACACACACCTCCCGCTACCCACTGACTCATAATTCTTTTCCGTTTCTTATTTCCTACCCAGCGAGCAGGTAGCTTTCTTATTCCACAAGTTTCACACTCTCCCCTCTCTGGCCGTTGACGGTTGGACTTTATATCCTGAGAAAGGCAACCATGGCCACCAAAATGACGGGCATGCGGCCTGGCTCCAGTGCCATTCGCTCTTTGTCCCGAAGAAGACCTTCGTGTTCGCAACCCTTCTCCTCCACTGCCCCGGCAGCTGCACTGTCCCCCTACCGAAAGTCCCAAAAGTCCTCCCCGGAACAGTCAAGAAGACCTGCGACAACTGCAGCCGCTCAAGCACAGTGAGTCAATTAGAAAGGCCTGGCAAAGCGTGTTGTGCTGACCTTGCTGTAAGAACCACGCGACCGATCCCCAGCCCCGCCTTCAACAACGACTTCCGCCGAAATGAGCCCTCGCCTTTGGTCAACAGGCAAATGCCTGAGCTTGACGATTCGTTCGTGGGGCTCAGCGGAGGAGAAATCTTCCACGAGATGATGCTGCGACAGGGTGTCAAACACATCTTTGGCTACCCGGGCGGCGCCATTCTTCCAGTTTTCGATGCCATCTACAACTCAAAACACTTTGACTTTGTTCTGCCCAAACATGAACAAGGTGCAGGCCACATGGCAGAAGGGTATGCCAGAGTGTCCGGGAAACCTGGCGTCGTCCTTGTGACTTCGGGCCCCGGCGCAACAAATGTCGTGACCCCAATGCAAGATGCGCTCTCAGATGGGACGCCCATGGTCGTCTTCTGCGGCCAGGTACCAACCACTGCTATTGGCACCGATGCCTTCCAGGAAGCTGATGTGGTTGGGATTTCAAGAGCCTGCACAAAGTGGAATGTCATGGTCAAGAGCGTGGCGGAACTGCCCAAGAGAATAAAGGAAGCCTTTGAGATTGCCACTTCGGGACGACCTGGTCCCGTCCTCGTTGATTTACCCAAAGATGTCACAGCTGGCATTCTACGGAGACCGATTCCCATGCAATCGACCCTGCCCTCACATCCTTCCGCCGCCACCCTCGCTGCCAGAGAGCTCTCCCGGAAACAGTTGGAGGGCACCATCAGCCGTGTGGCTGATCTTATCAATAAGGCAAAGAAGCCACTGATATATGCGGGCCAAGGTATTTTGGGTTCTCCCGACGGCCCCAAGCTTCTGAAAGAATTGGCGGACAAGGCCTGCATTCCCGTAACGACGACCTTGCAAGGTCTCGGAGGGTTTGATGAGCTTGACCCCAAGTCTTTACATATGCTCGGTATGCACGGCGCCGCCTATGCCAATATGGCCATGCAAGAAACCGACCTCATTATCGCCCTCGGAGCTCGTTTTGACGACCGAGTAACACTTAACATTGCGAAATTCGCGCCGGAAGCGAAAAGGGCTGCGGCAGAGAAACGAGGCGGTATCGTCCATTTTGAGATCATGCCCAAGAACATCAACAAGGTCGTGCAAGCGACTGAAGCTGTCGAGGGTGACGTGACGACCAACCTCGCCGACCTGGTACCCAAAGTCAAGGCTGTCAAAGAACGGCCCGAGTGGTTTGCGCAGATTAACGACTGGAAGAAGCGATTTCCTTTGAGCAGCTATGAAAAGGAGACGCCCGACGGCCTGATCAAGCCGCAAACCTTGATTGAAAAGCTCTCAAACATGACCGCCCACATGAAAGAGAGGACCATTATCGCTACCGGTGTGGGCCAACATCAAATGTGGGCCGCGCAGCATTTCCGATGGCGGCATCCTCGGTCGATGGTCACATCAGGAGGTCTTGGTACCATGGGTTACGGTCTCCCCGCTGCGATCGGCGCGAAAGTTGCCGCACCGGACGCCCTGGTTGTCGACATTGACGGCGACGCCTCTTTCAACATGACTCTGACGGAACTCAGCACGGCGAGTCAATTCCAGATCGGCGTCAAGGTGATTGTCTTGAACAATGAGGAGCAGGGTATGGTCACGCAGTGGCAGAGTCTCTTTTACGAAGACAGATTCGCCCATACGCACCAAAAGAATCCCGATTTCGTCAAACTCTCAGAAGCCATGGGTGTGCCGGCACGGAGGTGCTTGAAGCCTGCTGATGTGGAGGAGAGTTTACGGTGGTTGATTGAAGGTAGTGGCGAGGGTCCGGCGCTCTTGGAGGTCGTTACCGACAAGAAGGTGCCGGTGCTGCCGATGGTACCGGCAGGCAAGGCCCTGCATGAGTTTTTGGTTTACGATGAAGGTACGTTTTGATACTGTCCCCAGAACCTGGACGACCTGAGCTAACTTTTTGGCGCAGCGAAAGAAAAGGAGCGGAGAGCCGTTATGAAGCAACGGTCTGGGCATTAAGTACCGAGCCTTGTGAACGAAAAGGAGAGTGTGTGTTTATGGGATCCCAAAAAGACTTCGATGATGTTGGAAAACCCCCAAAAAGTTGTTTCCCAAACCAAAAAAAGTCGTACGACAATGTCCATACGCGCTTGGAATTCTGTATAGGCGAACATACGCATTTTCTTGCCCACGAAACATTCCCCAAAAAGGGGGAATATTTCCACCAAAAATTCCGTTTACTTTTCAAATCTGCTCTCACTCTTTACAGATCTGCTGTCTGCTAATCATTTTGCTGTGAATTGACTTGACTTGACTTGACACGAACGGGGCCCCTTTTCTTCTCTATCTCTCTTTGTACCTTCTCGAAAAAGCGGCACCCACCCTACCTAACCTAAGATACGTAGTACTCGAGGCTCTGGGAGAGTAGGATTGGAGATCTTTCGAGATGCAGGGATGTCGGCCAGGAGTGCGGTGCCTTCTGTCTCTTGCTATGGCCTATGCATGTCCCTATGCCCGCTGAGCGACCTCAAATGTAGTATCATGTTTTCTTTTGAGGGGGAACAGACCACAGGGCCAACTCCAGCATAAGTCGTCCGTTGCAACACGGAAAACGTCGATCGAAGAAAGGTGAAAATTGCATTTTAATGGTTATCATCACGGGATGCGATAAAATAGGGCAGCCATTCACTACCCTACCGTTATCGTTGTCACCGTTGTTGTATCGTCTTCAACTTCTCATCAACCAGCCTGCCGACAATCTTCTCCAACATGGCCGGCACACCTCCCCCTGCGGCACCGGCACCGGCACCTCGTTGTTGTTGTTCACCTCCCAAGTTCTCCTCAAGGTACCCGACGACGCTCTTCTCGACCAACTTGCCCACGATATCGATCTCGACATTGACCTCGTCCCCGGACGATTTCGCCGCCATGACGACCCGCTCCTGCGTGTACGCGATGAGCATGACCTCGAACCAACCCTGGGCATCGTCCACGCGCGTGACGGTCAGACTGGCGCCGTCGAGGGTAACGTAGCCCTTTTCGACAATGTAGCGCAGCACGGCGGCGTCGCGGGGCGCGAGGCGGAACGTCAACGCGTTGCCGTCGGGCGTCACGGACACGATCCGCGCCACCGTGTCCACGTGGCCCTGGACGAAGTGTCCGCCCATGCGCGTCGAGGCGCTCACGGCCCGTTCGAGGTTGACTTTGGCCCCCTCGCGCAGGGAGCCGAGGTTGGTGCGCCGCAGCGTCTCGGGCGCGACGCCGACCTTGAAGCCCGTGTAGGGCGGCGGTCCCTGGGAGGGTTCGAGTTCCGTCACCGTCAGGCATGTGCCGTTGACGCAGATCGAGTCGCCCAGCGCGGCGTCCGTGAGGATCGTCCCGCAGTCCGAGATGGTCAGCGACGTGCCGTTTCCGCCTGATGTCGACGGGTCCAGCGCCACGAGCGACGTGACTGTGCCGATCGTCTCGACGAGGCCCGTGAACATCTTTGCTGTTCTGTACTCGGAGGAGGGGGAGAGGGAAGCATTCAAGGTCTGGGCGTGCGGAGTAAATGTGTACACCAGTTTTCCCTTGCTCTTTTTCTTTTCCTGGAAATACACAGCGAGAGGGGGGTTCTGCGCACGGAAGTATCTATCGAGGAGTCCGCAGGAGTTTGGGGAATGTCTTGGATGGGAAAACAGAATTGGTCAGCACAGCGGAAGGCGAAGGTTGAAGGTGGAGAGAAGGCTTTGTCAATGATTGCGAGATTCTTATTACTTTTTTGTCGTTTCCCGCCCGCGGCCCCGCATCGGGCGCTGCAGCCTCGCATGCTTTCACCTCGGTGACGAGGCTGGAAGGAAATAACCTAGACTTTTCGCAAGCCACTCTGATGAGACAGAAAGTTCTATAAAACAGGTCTTAAAAATCAGCCACCTCCGCTGGCGCTCTGGGGGTATCATATTATTAGGGAGAGCTAAACCCTGCCGAAAGAGACCGACTTTACCCACCCCCCGCTTCATGTTCTGTATATACCTCGTCATACCGTGCAGTATTCACCGGTTCACTTTTTGGTATTTTGTTACAATGGAGGCTGTTTCCTCTTTCTTTCTTTCATCTCCTTCTGCTATCCCAGTTATTTGGCGTTCCGTTAGGGCGTTACCGATTCTGATACAGGATGCGAAGGTCGCGATTGCGCCCCCATATTCGGGAACACAAATGATCCGAGAAATGCGAGGCCTCGACGGATACGTGTTGGTACGTGGTTCCTTCAACGGAGTCCTTCTCCAGCAATCGAATAGCACCGTCGAATCATTGTTGGTTGGCTCATGTGGTCGACAGGTCTTGACCTCGTGGAGGTGCCCGCCCAAGAGGAGCGGCCATGTAAAGGGTCGACTCATGACCTTGGAACTCTGCTTCGGCCCATACCACTCCACGATAGGTGATGCTGTTCAGCCGCTTTTTTTCCTGTTTGGGCGACAGCTGAGAGCAAGCTCGAGGAGACTATCACGGTCTGTTGACACGACAGTCAGCGTTTTGAATCATGGGTGAAGAGAGCACCACGAGTGAGCCCACCTTCTTGGTGTTCGAAATAAATTTCCGCCATGTCCAGGTAAGGGAGACTTCGGTTCCAAGAGAACCGTCGGGTCAGCGACCTGGCCGGCGACAGGGTCGAGTCCGAGTTCCAGGTTGACGTGGATGCCCTTCTCTCAGCTTCGATCTCGTTGATCTGGGCATGTATACCCGTCAACAGCAGAGTCGACTTCCGACCTGTCCCCCTGCTCTCAATTTTGATGCTGTCTTGACACACTGTACCCCTGGACGTCAGCAGTATGATCACCATCAAAGCACAGGTGTATACTGACGGTTGAACTCCATGTACTTCTTCCGCCGCTTCCCCTTTTCCTGGATCAAATGCACCATAAATCGCATCTCTGATCCCACCTCCCAGACCCGCACGTTCTCCAAGCCGACGATGCGATCATCGTCTCGGCCGAAATGGGGGCGACAAATTTCGGTTACCGGTACCACAAGCCGAAGACTGGATCCATAGACTATTGCCTGAAATCGTTCACAGTCTATGGCCAGAGATGTCATGGTCAAAATCGTGCTGCAAAAAATGGCTCCGCGGACAAAAGGACTCACCAGGGACACTCCGGAACTTGTACTGGACCCAAGTGGTCGGAATTCTGGGGTGATCTCTCCGTTGGCCCTCTTCGATGGTGAAGAAGGTCAGACCCTCGCCTTGCTCTACCACAGCTATGAGTTCATCGCCGTTGATCGAATAGGGAATAATGTATTCCCAAGTGGGTACTAGAGAAGGCTCATCAGGTCTGAGGACCAGGACATCTGTCAGGAAAGGAATGGAGTCGCACCTCGCTGCCGGAAGCGTATGGTTCTCTTGTCGTTCAAAGTCCAAATATCTTCCACAGCAGCACCGTTCTTGATGAGCAGCACTCTTCCCGAGTCACTGGCCTCTATCGAAACTCCGTCCGCCGCCCCAGGCTTTCGCCAGACAAAATTAACCGAGTCAACACGTCTGGGTGGAAAGAAATATCAGCATTGGCTCTCCATATCACCATAGACTGGGTTTGAAATACATTTCGGTAAAGTTAGCATGCGCGGTCAGCTTATCAACGAAGTCTTGCTGTTCTTTGATGGACGCGAGCTTGACGTGGCGGTACTGATCGCCTGGGGTGACTCCAGGAAAACTCTCCGGCAGGGTCAATTGGTTGTCAATGTCCTGTCCAAAGTCGTAGTCATCAAGGCCGACTGTCGGACCTGGCAGCCATAGAGGAGCTATGGACTGAGTTTTCGGATTTGAGGAAAGTTCCGGAGAATTGAACTGGCTTCCAGACCCCCTTGCCGTGATCGACGGTGACGTTGGATCAGGAGATGGACCAAAGGGACTAGACATAGGGGTTGTGGACGAGCTTTGGTTTGACACTGCAACGGCGACCATATCTTTCAGGTCGCTCACTTGGTCTGCAAGTTGACTAACTCGATCACTGCATCAAGAGTGTGTCAGCTCCCAAGATGGATCCCTCTTCTCGCTTGCAAGAACATACGTGAGCAGTCCGTTCTCCAGCCAGGTCAGCCACTGAATATGTCGCAACAGCTCTCCTCGAAGGTTCTCCACCACAACGTCCTTTGTCGTCCATTCAATTTTGTGGTAGACGGTCTTAAAGGCTTCGATCCATTGATGCCAGGCGGCCTCTGCGCCCGTGGGGCTTCCGTTCCTGTTCACGATGTGCTCATACTTGGTCGCGATCTTTTTCAATTTCTTGGTCGTCTCCACACATTGCTCGAGCATACCCTGAATGTTGCTCTTCACGTCGGCATGATCTTTCAGCATGGCACCGTGCCGGCGAAGCCTGCTGGCAGCTGTCGCCACGCATGATTGGTACCGGTCTGTTTCCTGGATAAAGAGCTTGACCTCGTTCGGCGCATGTGTTGCGGCATGTAGTGTTTTGGCTACTTGTGTAGTGACCTGAACTAGGGCGATAACATCTCCTACGCCGTTAATAGCCATAGGACAACTGAAAAGCAAAGTAAGGTCACCCAACAGAAGCAATCAACTCTGGTAATGTCACCTCCAAAAAAGCTTATGTCGTCAAATGAACATGTACCGAGTAGAAAGCCCATGAACCAACAGGCCCCCGTAGAGTCATCAGCATGGTGGCTATAGTCGGCGAGTTGGGCAAGATCCATCGGCAGCTTCCGCGCGTGGCAGAGGGTCCTTGACTCCTGGCCCGAGCTTCGAATTTGTCGACATGCTCAGCTTCGACGAAGACGAACAAGTCGGGCCAATTGGAAAGGCAACGTCGGAAACGTGGACAATGAATGAGCCTTGCTAGCAGAGCCCCGCGCTAGCTTAGATCAGGAGATGGCCACAAGTGATGCGAAGGCGCAGGGTTGTGAAACAAGGCAACGGCTGTGTTGTCTTCCTGGCTCAATGTGGCATGGGGTTCTGGGCAGGATGAAAGGAGATCCTGGAATCCGGTCAGTTGGCGTGATTGATATGGAGTTCGGACGTTGGACGGCCCAATCATGTCTCAGCCGCATCGAACAGGGCGCGTACAGCAGGGTTCAGGGGCTCAGAGGTATTCGCACAAGGCTGCCTAGTTGACTTGCTAGAGAGCATAGCCTGTGCTCCGGACCCCTAGCTGTTGATCGTGAAGCGAAGGCAACAACAGCCATCCCTCTTCCAGAGGAACTTATGCAGCTGGGCTATTTGCAAGGCGAACACAGCCTGAACGCGCGATTTTGTGATTTTGTATCTTGTGCTGTAGTTCTTGCTTCCAAGTTAAACAGTAACTCTCTGCAATGCTTTCCATTCGATTTCTGTCCGCCCAATACAGTGGGTGAAAGCGCATTTGTTGTCCGTTGTCCTTCAGCCTGATGCCGGCAGATTGTGAACAGTGAGAGCTTGACAGTCGGACAAACAGCCATCATGGTTAAGAGGCATAAAGCCTTTCGGGACCTGGAGGATGAGTATAAGCACATACAGGTAAATCGGCCTTACTGCATTGTGCGAGCCGCCGTCTGCGTTCTGACGCTGATTGTTATTGCCAAAGGATCCGACTCTTCGTCGTCGTCTCATTTTGCGGGATATCAATGAACGATCTTTCAGCCGCGCTCATGTTCGAGCGATCCTGGTTGCCGGGACGGGCTTCCTGACTGACAGTTATGATGTTGGTGATCTCTCGACGTGTTTGGCTAGTTCATGTGTTCTGACATTCCACCAGATTTTTGCTATCAATCTGGTCTCTGATATGATGTAAAGATCTCTTGTCCCTCTTCTTCTGTGGCGATGCTCCTGTCATCAGACGCTCCTCGTCATCTGTGTACGCTGACAGAGATTGGCAAGTGGGTTTTGTTACTTCCCCGGGCATGGGAACAAGATCCCCCAGGTCGACGATACCTTGATCAAGGTCATGACTTCGGTCGGCACCGTCATCGGGCAGCTGTTTTTTGGTTGGCTTGCTGACAGGGTTGGGAGAAAGCGCATGTATGGCTACGAATTGCTCATCATCGGGCTGGCAACTCTGGGCCAATGCATCACCGGTCCTTCGTCAGCCATCGGCATCACAGGACTGCTGGTGTTTTGGAGAATCCTGATGGGTATCGGTATCGGTGGCGATTACCCTCTTGCGAATATCATCACTTCTGAGTTTGCTTCGACCAAATGGAGAGGCACAATGGTTGCCGCCGTGTTTTCGACTCAGGCTCTTGGTCAATTCATAGCCAGTCTCGTTGCGACGATTGTCATTGCGGCATTCAAAGATCAGATTAACAACGACGACAACTTCTGTAAGGACAGTGTCTGTTATCAAACGCCTGCTGCACAACTAGCTGTCGACAGGATGTGGAGGATCATTATCGGAGTGGGCGCCGTTCCTGCGGCGTTTGCGCTCTATTATCGTTTAACCATCCCAGAGACACCCCGATACACCTTCGACGTGAATCGTGATGTGGAGCAGGGCTTTGCCGACTACAAAGGATGGGTTCAAAACACCATTGGACCCAGAACTGGACAAGGAGAGGTCGAAGATGAGAGAAGGGAAATCCGCGCCGGCTTGAGACCCGGTGAGACTCTGGGCGGCCTTGATGCTGCCGTCGTACCCCAGTCCTCATGGAACGACTTCAGACGCTATTTCCGACGGGGCTTCAACGGCTGGATTCTCCTTGGGACTTGCGGATCGTGGTTTTTCCTGGATGTGGCATATTATGCCCTGGCTTTGAATAACACCATCTTCCTCCAGAAAATGGGCTTCGGGTCCGTCCACGACAGCGACCCTACAAGATTCTACACGATTCTCCGAAATGGCGCGGTTGGCAATCTGGTCCTGGTGGTTGCCGGTGCTATTCCGGGTTCCATCTGTGCAATCCTGCTTGTGGACAGAATAGGACGCAAATCGATCCAAGTCGGGGGATTTGCTATGATGACCATCCTCCTTCTGATTCTCGGAAGTTCTTTCCAGAGCATGTCCGACGCTTCGCGGGTGGCTTTGTTTGTTTTGATCCTGTTCTTTGTCAACTTTGGTAAGTGAACCCCCTCCGAATTCACTCCGCGCCCTTGATTGATGGATTTTTTTGCAAGGTCCCAACTCGACAACCTTCATTGTCGCGGGTGAGTGCTTCCCAACCAGGTACAGGAGCACGTGTCATGGATTGGCGGCGGCCTCTGGAAAAGTCGGTGCAGTTCTCGCCCAAGCGCTGACGGGCCCACTGCGAAACATCGGATTTGAAAAGGGCGAGGACGACGCCTCACCATGGCTGCCCCATGTCATCCAGATACTTGGTGGGTTTGCGTTTTTGGGTCTCCTCTGCTCCTTCCTCATCCCGGAAACGATGGGGCGGTCGCTTGAAAAGCTGGCAGGGGAGGAGCCGAGAGCACTGGAAGGCGAAGAAGCGAGCGACGAGGACGAAAATACCCATCCAAAGTCGCTCCTGGGGTCGATGTGGGTTTCATGCACGCCTGTGGTGTTGTGTCAGTGGATTTTCCGCGGGCGCAACCATGCAACTGCATATAATGACATTGATGCCGGCCAAGGAACACTTTCTGGAGAGCGGGTATCATTGTCCAGAATGGCCGCGGGCAACGAGGCGTCCCCTTCCAAGCCCATTGTTCCCAGAGGCGATCCGCCCGACCAACAAGATGACGGAGGACTAAAGATACTCGAGACCGAGATAGAGAGGATCTCCGGGGAAAGCTCTGACCGAAGAGGCCACGATGATGCTGATGATATCCGGCAGATCACTTGAAAAGTCAAAAGTGTAGCCTGTATTTGAGGATGTTTTGGCTCTAAGATCTGTGTTAGAAGCGATATAATACGAGAATAGATCTGTTTTGCTTAATCGAATCGAATATCGAGGCAGAGGCAGTCAACCTTTGAACGTCACCTTTCATTCTTGCATTGTATACCTGGTCATCGACTGGTATGGTCACCTGTACCGACGGTGCTAAGATGATATCGGGCCGATGTTGACCTCGTCGTGTTCTACTCAAGTTTGACTACCTATAAGAGAATGGAAGTCCACCATCATCTGTGTCTCCATCATATCGGCAAAACTCGAGCGGAGCAAATATTGCATACCGGATTCTATGTATGATAAATTTCGAGGAAAAGAATAGCCAGGGCTAGATGATATGAGTGTGAGCGAGCATGAGCCATCTGATCGGCTCGAACAGAAAAATGAAAACCATGCCATTTTCACTTTGCTAAACGCTGGCAGAAGGAGTTTGAAGTGTGTCTGCAGGTCCAGGTCGCGCACCAAGAAGCCTGCTTGGGCCAGACTGTGTACAATATTGGTGTTTACCGCCCATCTTTGCAATTACAACCGACCCATATACATTGCGTGGGCAGTCTACACATGTCTGATCATGTTGTGCGGTGAGATATGCCACGATTCACACCCTGTGTTGCAGCAGAACCATGCCCTTTGACATAAGGTCCAAACTCCAACCTGTAGTACACTATAGCGGAACCTTCATGGGGTTCACGTCGAGAAGTTAGCGTCAGGATAGAAGTTACGGATCAACAGCACGAAGCAGCGACGCTGATGGTGGTGGTGGTGGTCATGGAGACAAATAGCATCGTTGATGAATATCAAATGGCTCCTTGCGTGCAAGGAGCGAAAGGGAACTTGAAACTGGCTTGCGCGCCAAGACTATACGCGGTGGCGCCATATCAGCTGACCTATAGAATGACTAAGACTCGGGAAACATTCCCGTCCTGGAGAAAACGGCAAGCCCCTCGGCCTTCGGAGCCAAAGTGCGGGACTTGCGTTCTTCTCATCCACCCTCTTCCACGGCAAGGCCACTGACTGGCATATATACTCCGTCCTTGAAGCGTCATCCCCCAGTTCTCCATCATCTTCTATAACTGACCCCTTCAAGTTCCACCATTACACCTCTGAAATCGAAAGAACAGGTCAAAGCCTTTGCTTAGCTTTGTGCAACCCGCGAAGATGAGCCAGATTCCACCAGGTCCGACGTCCTCTCCTTCCCCGTCCGAATCTTAATGAGGCAGCCCCCGCAGGGGTTTGGCTAACAAGAGAGAAATAATAACAGAAGTCGAAGCACATCACAAGATAATGCGGGAGACATTGTACGTTGTCCCGGACCTTGGGGCACAAGACTGGCTATCTATATCTTCTGGATCTTCACTAAAACATCGGGCCCATATTTACAGCTTCGCAATCACAACCCCCCTCCTCACACCCCTCAACCTCACCCTCGTGGTCCTGATCCTTACACTCGCCTACCTCCGCCTGCGCCCTTCCTCCCCCGCGTCCCTGCCCCCCGGTCCCCAACCCATCGTTTTCAAGACCTTCACCCCGCGGACCCTCCTCAAATACAACGGCGAATCCGGCTCCCCCGTCTACCTAGCCGTGCGCGGCAAAGTCTACGATGTCTCCTCAGGCCGCAACTTTTACGGCCCCGGCGGTCCGTATGAGAACTTTGCCGGAAGGGACGCAACGAGGGGTTTGGCGTGTCAGAGCTTCGATGAGGAGATGCTCACAAAGGACCTCGACGGGCCGTTGGATTCGTGCGACGACTTGACGCCCGAGCAGGTGGAGAACTTGAATGGGTGGATTGAAAGGTTTGATGAGAAGGTGAGTTACCTCCCCTCGACCCTTCGACGAGGGGCAACATACATATACATGTGCTCCGCGAATGGATGGTCAAGACCCAAGGTATACTAACCTTTCGATCCAGTATCTGGTGGTGGGCAAATTGATGCCTTTTCGGAAGACCGAGTTCCATTAGTTCTACAGGACATCAGATCGTATGAGACATACGTAAAGACCAAGAATTGCCAAAAGCAAACGATGTTCTGGTACAAGCATATCTTTTCACGTTCCGTGGTAACTGCTATCATAGCTAAGAAGCTCTAAAGTTACAGTCTCGTAAGCCGTTCATCAGCTAAACTCATGCCCCGATCCTTCGTTGAGTAATCCATCACCGAACCAACTCCCTTGTCCTTGTGTCGCCACGGGATGAGAGCCCACCTCCATCTAAGGGTATCCACCATGCCCATTTCCACCTACAGTTCACTTTTAGCGCTCGCGGCACTCTTGGAAGCAACGCTGGATGCGGAACTGGCAGACTTTGATGCCACGCTGGACGCTGAACTGGCGGAGTTGGATGCCGATGTCGATGCAGTGGCAGCAGTACCTTGGGCCTGTCCAAGAACCCATTGCAATCCACTCTTAATGCGTTCAAAGATGGTTCCGGAAGGAGTCGATGTGCCGTATTTGAAGTAGTTGTATTGCTTCTTGGCTTGGGCGCGGAGCTCATTGGTGGTCGAGCCCTGGTAGTTGGGGATTCCATAGCTATCGAGATACGACTTCAATTCGCTATCGGACCAGGTGTCAAAAGTGGTGTCCTTCGCGGCGTCGGTTTGCTTAGCGAGATAACTGGTGACCGATGCGTAACTGGGTCCGCCGCTCTTGGAAGCAGAAGCATAGGAATCCTGCGCTTGTTTGACCAAGTCATCACGACTTGCCTTGGCGCTCTTCTTGTACTTCTTGCCGTGGGCTTCAAGGTATTTCTGGAGATTCTCAAGGGTCCAAGTGTCAAAGGTCCATGCCGACCAACCAGTCGCAGCCTTGTGCTTGTTCAATCGAACTTGCTTCAAGAGCTCGTCCCGCTTGCTGGCCTGAGGAACTGGCACCCCACGGGAGTCGAGATAAGCTTTGAGGCGAGAATCAGACCATGAATCAATCGCCGAGTTGAATGCATCGTCGGCCATCAGAGAGGCATCATCGGTTGCCTTTGCATACTCGTTGCCAGCAGACGAAGTCGCAGCGCCAAATGCGGACGCGCCCGAGCTGGAAAGCGAGGAGCCGCTTGCCTCGAGCTTCGAACGTTGTCTGCGAGCCAATGCGATGAGTTCGTTCTTCCTGCTACCCTGTGGGACAGGGACTCCATGGCTGTCGAGGAATTCTTTCAGCTGGCTGTCGGACCAAGCATCAAACAGAGCATCACTGAGGCTGGCCTGTGCACTGGAGGCGGATTTGCTGGCCACGGAGCTGGCGCTGTAGTAGGAAGCACTCGCAGAAGACGCGGCCGACGACATGTTGAGGGAGGCCAATCGAGAATTGCGGCGAACATGGGCGATGAGCTTGTCACGAGTAGTGGGCTGTGGAACCGGGATACCACGCTCGTCGAGGAACTCCTTGAGATCAGACTCGGACCAAGTCGAGTAGAGCCAGTCGCCCGGGTAGGAGGCGTACTCTCCCAGCGATTTTGCAACGGAATCGTAGTGCTGGCGGGCAGTGGTCAAGAGGGTATCTCTGTTACGTGGCTGGGGAGCAGGGATGTTATGGTGATCAAGGAAGCTCTTCAGAGACGACTCGGTCCAGCTATTGGATGTTAGCGAGGGCGACAACAAAAGTACCATTCGAGCCTTACCTGTCGAAGATCCAGTCCTTGACACTGTGGTAGCTATCACTAGTCTTGTCCCCAGTTGAAGCGACAGGGTCGACCACCTTGGCCTGCCAATTCTCTTTAACGAGGTTCTCGAGGTCTTTTCTATCCGCAGGAGTGGGATAAGGAACATCGTGATCGGAAAGCCAGCGCTCGAGTTCGGTCTCATGCCACTTATTGTATGCTAGAAATGAGGTTAGCAGCGTCCCTGTGAGCGTCGTGTGCACTTTGGTCATACCAGCTTTGCTGAACCAAGTACTGGCAACAACGGCCTCGGTCGAAGCCAAAGCGACGACGAGGAATTTGGAGAAGGAGAACCTCATGATGGCTGTTTGATTTTGAGGTGTCTTCGGGTAGGTATGGGTAATGAGAGGAGAGAGAGAGAGAAGATCTTTTGAACAACTTTGAACGGACTTGAAAGGTTGAAGAGGAAGTTCAGGCAAAGTTGACAGATTGAATGTTTGTGCCAACCTTGACGTCAGAGTTTGTTCACCATTTTACTGGTTCGATGGGCGGTGATGAAGGGCAGGTGAGAGTTTCCCAGGTGAGGCAGAAGTGGCGCCACAGGGTGAATGCCCAGGTGTAGCCAGGCACGCAGGCACCGAAGATTTCGATTCTAACCATACATCTAGCTACCCAACTACCTAGATAGCCAACTGGGTGGCCTCCACAGCCAGCACAGTTTGCCCTCTACAACAGCCACTCTACGCACTGGCAGTAAAAGCTGTGCCAGTGTGCCAGTCCAATGTTGCGGGACAAGAGTCCGACGAAACAAAACAGCTGCAGAGCTCCAGGTGCGTGACGCCAACGACTGACGCGATTCGTGATGCGGGGAAAGCAAAACACGCGAAAACTTAGCCTGACGTCACCACCACTTAGAGTGCCACTTGGGTGCCACACAGTCGCAGGTACTGGGACTATTCGGCGCAGGAAAATACCAGGGAATTGTATGAGGATGGGTTGTTTACGTCCGCCGAGGTAGTCACCCGGAGTACAGAAGACTGCTACTCTCAACTCAGTACCTAGGTAGTCAATCCACTTGAATGGTGCAGGCTCCAGAGCATGAGGGCAAGGCTGATCTGTGCCCGTAGTACTCATTCTAGCAATAGGCTTGGCACTCAATGAAGTCATACAATACATCAGAGGATCATCAGTGGCACTCAGGCTCCTTACAAGTTTCCAAGACTTTTTGACCTTTGCTTTCAATGTCCTTCTGAATTGCAGTCTTGCTCTACCTCCTACCGCTCAAATCTTCTGCTACAATCTAGCCCAAACCCTCACTGAATCAGCCCAGATGCAGCCCATTCTTCGTGTGGCCGCGAGGCCAGTCCGACTCCCTCGTCGCTTTCCAGCCCTTTCCTATCCTGCACACCCAACAAGATCCGCACATCAGTCTTATGGCAACGAACAGTCTGGTATGCAGCAGGGCACTGACCAGAACAACCCTAAAGCCAATATGGAGCATCCTGGCCCAGAAGCCCCTGCAACTGGCAAAGGTGGAAGCTCGTCCGGAAGCTCGTCTTCAAGCCAGCCCAAGATTCACAGCCCCAAATCAGCCGCCGAGAAGGAAGACCCGGAAGTTCGAAAGCATAACGAAGAGCTGGAACAACGGCACGAGAGGACAGTGAATCAGTTGAGCGAGGACGATAACAAGGTGGACAAGCAGTTTTGGAAAGGTTTGTCTTATTTGCCCGAATTTGTCCGATATGGTAATCTAACCCTCAGGCGCAGGCGACGTTGGAAGCCCATCGGAAGACAAAAAGTAGTCATGATTCACATAGGCCTGAAGAGTGTGAGTTGAGTGATGCATTTCCGACGGGAAGCATGGTGCCGGAACGTGAATCCGCACCCGGCGTTTTAAGGCTTTCAACGTAGGATTGACAACTGGGTAAACCCTTGCAATGGGACTTGCAATGGGTGGAAGCTCATCTGTAGCGATGAACGCGAGATTGGGCCGAACCGACATTGTATCGAATGACCAGTGTTGCGCGACTACCAACAAGAAAGCATCTCGTCGTTCAAATAACTGGGAATACGTTGGCGCAGTTATGGACTTGGCAATGGTGCGTTGCCGCAAGCAATGCAATAACTTGTGTCACCAGACCCGGCAAGACAGCCATTCCTTTCTCCATTGGTGATTGAGTCAGATCAGATGTGTTTTCATCCCTTCTTCAGAGCGAGGATGTCGGCCAGGCGCACTTGGCCTCGCTGACCCCAGCCGGCTTGGCCCTGCTCGACGTCCGGTCGGACACGCGTGTACCATGTCTGTGCTCTCTGGTCAAGCTGTTCCGGGCTCAAAGTGGATGCCCAACTCTTGTAAACAGTGTCGATCGCTTTAAGAGTCATAGCGGCGGCTTCCTCTCTCTTACTTGCCATTTCCTTCGGGGTTTTCTTTTTCGAGTCTGGCTTCTTTTGTGATTCTTCAGCGCTGGACTCGACAACGACCATGGATTTGAGAAGGTAGTTTCGAGGTGAAAGAGGTTTGTGTATAGGAGGCCCGGTAGAACTCTTGATGTCCTTACCAGCAATCAAAGGTCCATTGGACTTGCGGAGGGCCTCGAGATCAAGTCCCCAGAACGCAACGCTGGGCGTAGATGTCTCATCTTCAGCGGTGGCAGCCACGTGTCTTCGCATCACTGCCACTTCCCGTCCCATTATCTTGATTTTCGGTTGGCCCTGGGCCCAGCCATCTTCTTCCGCAGTTGGTCCACTTGTTAAGCCAAGGTATTTTGCTTTGCTCTGCGCACCTGCGCTCACGACAGCTTGTGCCAAGCTCCAACGACTCGAAAGAGGCTGCTCGGGGAGTGTGTATGCAAGGACAGCGATGGTGAAGGCCAGGAACAGAGGAGCGCGGTTCGTTTCAATCGTGATATTCTCTAACTCGGCAATGGATATCTCTGTCTGGGGTAGTGCGAGAGAGATCTCATCATCAAGCGGATCTTGATCTGTCCTCGCACGCTTCAAGGTTGAGGAGTTCGACTGCGCCGCTGCGCGTTTCTTGGGATTCGAAATGCGCTTGGCCGCATTGATCACCTGCTTCAGCACCTTCTCATCAGCAAAGATAGTTTTGAGGTCAGTCTCGTCGGCCTTGGAGATGTTCTCGGGCGAATTAAGTTGCTGTCTCCGCAGAGCCTGGATTTTGGGCATAGCCTCTGCCAATGGAATGCGGGCATCTTTGGTCAAGAATCGCAACAGAGCCTGCACTTCGGCCGCAGCGGTCATACTGTGGGAGAGCGCACGGTCAGAAAAGCCACATGTGATTAGTCCCTGAGGCACAACAAGGACGCTGGCAATATTCGCGCAGTGTGCCGGATAAACGATTGCAGTGTCTGAGAAGAAGGGATCGACACCGATGAACGCCGGTGAGTACTGGGTAGTCAAGTCAGCAATGCAGATGCCGCTTGTCTCAACACGAGCATGATGGATGGCAGCCAGTGCAGCGCAGCGCAGTGAAGGGCAGTGGGCGGCGAGGGCGGCAAGGCGGATGGGCATTGCCAAGCCAACTAAAATAAACTAGTACACTATTGGCCGATAGCCAAAGGCTGCTTAGGCCCTGGTGCGGTGCAATTGCCAGTGGGTGCCAGTCAACCGCCAGTGCAGTGGGTGCACTACTACTCCCTCGTACTAAGTGCAGACTGAGTCTAATGAGACCTCCTGTTCCTACCTTGACGGCTGCTTCTTGTTCCGCTCTCACACTGCCAATTCATGCTCATCCGACAAGTTCAACACCCACCACCCTCGCCTCACCCGCCTCCCACCCTCTGATACGTTCCTTCTCACCTCGAACCTCCCTACCATAATACCATCGAATTCTCTGCCGCTTTCCTCCTTCCTCAATTGCCGTCTTCGCGTGTCCGGAGCCGGTCTCCTAAAAGGGTGGCGCAGCGCCCATGGCGCGACGACCTCCTTCAAGACGATCGACATCGATGGAGGACGACACACCGCGAATGTCATCCATAGAAACCCCAAATCCCAATGTTTTCAGTGATGATTATGCCGTTGACCCTGCAGAGTCAATAGGCACCGCCAGTCCCACGGACTCGATTGGCAGCCGGCCGGAAGAGCTGAACCTAGACCAGCGCAATCACGCAATCAACAATCCACGCGAATACACACCTGCTGGACTTCCTGGAAACACATTCGGCCTCAACCGACTTTCAGTCTCCAAGAGAAACCTCCCAGCCGAATCCTCTGCCCACCCTCATCGAGCCGTATCAACCTCTTCCCGTTCCATTGCAGACACCCGAAGATCCCTCAGCACCTCCTCCCGATTCTCCATCCCACGGGCTCAGAGTCCTTATAGAGGGCCTACCGCCCCAAGTCAGCCATATGGCTTATACCCCCAAGTTACAAGAGCATCTAGCGTTATCAGCGATTCGACAATTCGGCCCCTGGAATTGCCCTTTGTCCCACAAGGTGGACCAGAGCACCCATACTCTATGTACCCTCAAAACACAGTCCCCGAGGATGACAGTTCGGATATTGGGTTAGGATTTCCTGGAATGGGTCAATCATATCCTTCGCCTGACACATCTTCTTCCAGTAATGAAGTTGGCGACATTGTCGGCAGTGATGGCCACATTGAGCAATTACCGCCCTACAGCCGCTATGCCGACAACGTGATCGCGAAAGGAGACATGGCTAGAATAGACCCGCAGACGTCGACCATCACCGAAGAATCCGGTCCTGCTCTCACTTTACAGCCTCCCGAAGCCTCTGCGTCAGATGTTGAGCTAACTGCTGTTGGCCCAGGCCCTTCTCAAGACGAAGTCGCCAGGAAAGAAGGGCTACGCGAGAAGCGACGGAGAAGAACATGCTGTGGATTACCCATCTGGACGATCGTGGTTGTCACTGCAATCGTCGTATTGGCAGCAGTAATTGGCGGTGTGATTGGCGGTCTCGTGGGAAACCAACATGGAACACACCAAGCCGAGGTGTAAGTTGATCCAACCATCGTCTATCCTGATACATCTAACCGTTCAATAGCGCAGCAACTACAACCGTTTGGCTCGATGCTGACCCCGCTCAAACTGGTCCGTCGACACCTTCATGTCCAACAGGCCATTACACCATCCCCCTCAATCAGACAGAGGACATAAATTCATGCGTCATCGATCATGAGTACTCCCACACTTGGGCTTGTCTAGATTTCGCGTTACTGGGGATCAATGTCTTCGCAAATGGCCCGAATTATTCGGTAGTGTTCGACGACTACTCGGTGAGACCTCAATTGTTCAGGTATGGACCACAACCTCCCGATTTCAACGGGACATCTTTCTCGATGCAACCATACAACGACAAGGAAGACGACCAACTCGGTGTCGCCCTCTTTTTCAGTGTTCTTTTCGACAAGCTTATCATTGGTACGCTCTTATCATACCCTTAAACAATCAACCACTGACTTGATTTGCTAGTTCCTGCTGATCAGCTCTCTCCTGAACCTGGCCCAATGAAACGCTCCGTATCCGCACTGGAGTTGGCTGGCAGGGGCTTGCCTTATCCGGGAGCAAACTACCTCAGCATCGGGGACAAGCCCTGGTACTGTTTCTGGAACTCTTCCGTCAGCGAATTCTGGGTCTTTTTGGACCAAAACATGAATGACGCCTATGAGACGTATAGCTCTACCTCTACCATAACGTCTGTATCCAGCAACCCCACCAACACAGGCTCTCACAGCATGACACAAAATGCGCCTGTCTACGGCAGTGGCCCAACCACTACGAACCCATCAACCACCACGCCGTACCCAAGTGACCCGACCGATGCTGACTACTGGGCCGGCACGAAAGTCAAGCGTCAAGCCACCGGTGGGTCACCGGATTACCCCAAACTTGTCAAGATGGTGGAGAAGCGGAAGCCTGACAACAATGTGCAACCGTATTGCCAACAAATGCAAGTCCTCAACAATTGGCAAATCATGCCCATACCCAATGTGCCGACCATCTGCATCGATGAGAGTGACTACGGGACCCCGACGCCGGGCCCCAGCAAGAAGAGGATGATACGCAGAGGGCCCCCAAACACGGTGGAGCAGCTGGGATCGAATTGTATTTGCGAGTGGTTCAGTGTATAGGCCCTAAGAGGGTATGGGAATTTGTCTTTATGTGTTACGAGGTCATGAGTGCGCTGCTGGAAGGCCTGCTATTTGATATTCCCTTAGGAAGGATTTTACCCAAGGACGAATCGTATTTATTGGAATATTTCAGGTGTGTATATTTGGGGGTCTGGTTCTACTGTCTGCACTTTAGGCATGGCGGACAGGGGACAGGCAAAAAGTGGGCAATATGGTAGATGTTTCCTACTGTTAGCAGCAACAAGAATTCAAGGATTCGAATTCATTTTCCAAAACGCACTGTGCATCCAGATCAGATGTGAAGAAAAGACAGGCGATTGTTCCCTTGTTCCCTTGTTCCTTGCTGCATCTGACACAGCCTCGTGTTCGTCATGGGTATGGCAAGGCTGACGACACGCTCCATGCCTTCTCAGAAGACCATACTTTTGACTGAGATCATCCTCACGTTCTGAACATTATCCACACTTTTGACCTCGACCAGAAGGGATAAAGCCTGAGATCTCACATGACGAATCCGTCAGCCGCAGAAGTCAAGGTTTTCCCGGAGCGGCCGAGTCAGCTTGTTCCCTGGTTCGGCTAATCGCATGGAATTATTACGAGCTGAGCTGTGGTGCGGCCCAACCATTAACCAACAAGAGCCCGATGCCCGCCATGTGCTTGTGTTGTTTCTATTCTTGCGGGGCTGGAAACGGAATATATGGCTTTTCGTGGGATTTAAAGCGCCTCCGGTGATTCGGGGCTCACTAGGCTTCTGCGTCTCCCCAACACTCCTTTTATCGTCCTTAAAAAACCGCCCAGACATTGAGAAAAAGATGGGCCGCCGGAAAGCCCTGCTCATCGGGATCAATTACCTGGGCTCGCAGCACCAGCTCCAGGGCTGCGTCGACGATGTCAACAATATGTCCGAGTTTCTCGCGTCGCGGGGCTTCTCCAACCACCCGGCCAACATGGTCGTTCTCACCGACATGAACGACCCTCGGGGCCCTTATTTCCCAAACGCCCACAACATCCTCGCTGCCATGCACTGGCTGGTCAGTGAACCCGGTTGTATGTGTTTCTTGCACTACTCGGGCCATGGCGGCCAGGTGCCGGATGAGGACGGATCGCACTCGAGTGGATATGCCGACACTATTGTCCCTGTGGACTTTGAGAGGACGGGCCAGATTGATAGCTCGACGCTGCATCGGGCCCTGGTCAGCGCCCTACCGCCCAGCTGTACCCTCTTCATCCTGTTCGATTGCTGCCATAGGTGAGAAGGCCCGGCGCACCGAAATTCCCTACACTTGCCCTTCGTTAGGTCATAGTGGCCGGTGCGAGTGAGACTTGTCACCTCAGAGCCATTACTAATTTGCGGCCGCCAGTGGTTCCGCTGTGGAGTTGCCCTTCGTATACCGTAAGTACCTACTTTCTCACTATCCCTAGCTAATACGCGGAGAGAGAGAGAGCATAATGGCCCTATGGAAGGGGTGCCCCATACTAGCAATAGTTCTCTACCATCCAGAACCTCTTGACTCCTCCGCAGATGTACGATGCTAACGCCCAATGGCAGGGACCGATGATGACGGGAACGTCAACGTGATGGACAACCTGAGAGCTGGCGCCGAATTGATTGGCGAGGTTAGTATACACTATTACTACACATTGCGGCCTCCCTTCATGTTAGAGACTCATCGGCTCTCATCGGCCTGAGTCGCCGACGAGCCTTACCAAGGCATGTGCCATGATGGGGGGCTGGACATATCCTATCCATTTGGGATGTGATTCTACAATGTCATGGCTCATGTAATAGTCTATCGTCTTGCCCCCCTGTTGACGCAAAAAGTGCCTCCACCTCCCAATACTGATGACATTGCTCTTCGAAAGGCATCACATCTCATCCGCGGCGACTTTTCCTACGACAGCGCGGGCGAGGCGCGCCACCTGTTGGCCGGCGCCACCTCGTTCTTCCGCTCTCTCAAGCACCAGTACGAAGGCGACTACGAGGAAGGCCTGCAAAACGTGGGCGACTTCCAGGACGAATACGGCGCGGAGAACAAGTCGGTCTTTATGTTCTCGGGTTGCAAGGACGAGCAGACTTCAGCTGATGCTTTCATCAATGGCAGACATGTCGGTACGTACTATACCGGATTGCCCTCTGTGTCTCTGCCGCGGTCTCTGTCCCCACTTCCTAACATCAACGTACCCTTACTCTCTTCTGAACACTTGCCATTTTTATGGTATGCTACGGCTCTTAAGAGAAAACGCCCCAGCTGACAAGATGGTGTACCACCTGGGGGTTGGATAGGAGCCATGTCATGGGCCTTTCTCGAGACCATGAAGACGGACGTCTATTGGAACATATCTTATGTCCAGGTACATACATTCCCTTCTTTTCCCCCCCTTCGCCTTTTTTTTTCTCTTTATCTCGCCATCCTCCCCCCCCCCCAATTTACCTTCCTAGGGTGTATTGCATTGAGTTAATGGGCTAACATTCCACCCCTCCTCCTCCTCGCTCTTCTCCACCTCAGATCTTGCAAAACACCCGAGCCCTCCTGCAGCAGCACTACTCCCAGGTGCCCCAGCTGTCGTGCGGGTACCAGTTTGATTTGAATAATCCGTTCCGGATATGACCATTATGATGACGATCGACGACGATGATGACGACGACTATGGTATCACAAGTTGAGATTGGGATTCAAAAAAAAGGGGGGCAATTCTAAGGCGAAGGGTTCGAGGCCGTGCGAGGGAGTCGGTTCTTAGGTCCTCATTGGAACTTCACCGAAGGAGATTCAAATGCATTCATGAATCATGAATCATGATACTCTCACTAGGCCAAGATGACTGATTGTGACATTGTTGGTCAAGGGGGCCCACGTCGGAGATATACGCGATATCTCGGGGTTGCTGTGATCACTCGCGAAATTCATCAGTGCAGGACCAAGGACCGTGGACATGGACATGGACATGAACATGGACCTGAAAGAACCTATAGAAGCAGGACTCGTTTGCCTGGGACTTCTAGTAGCTCCTACATAGTTGCCCTTGCCTCGAGCTGCAAACACGCGACTGCCTGGCTGCATTGTGTCCGAGTCCCACCCACTGGTAATCCTGCACGTTGATTAAACGTTTGATGCGCTTTTTTTCGTTTCCAACCCCTTGCAGATCCCATCTTCGATTGAAGCCACGCTACGGGCGATTGCCAAGTGCGATCTATATTCGAGTCCTCCAATTGACCATGTTCATGCGTATAGTTCGGACACAAGTCCTCCGACTCCAAGGCTCATACGAGTCCGGTGTCCGAGTTGTGGTTATAATCCCATCTCCTATAGTAGTACCTCAGCATTAGAACAAGCACATGACCACGCCGGGGTTTGACCCAGTCACATTTCAAGACTTACCCTTCATCGAACAAAAGTTGAAAGTTGTCAAACGGCCCAAACGACGCAAAGAACTCGTCAAAGGCCGTGCCGCTCAGACCACAGGTGTCTAGAACAGCGTTCATCGAGTTCGCCTGTTGGTCGTTGTCGCGAGGATGTTGAGGAGTGCTTGCAGCCTGCACACCGGCCGGGTCCTGTAGACCCGCCGCGTAGCCCGCATATTGCCTCGTGTCCCCCGTCCTCCCGGCGTTGAGTGCCTTTAGGACTTCGGTAAACAGATTGCGGTGCATGTCCGCGCTCCAAAATGTCTTGTTGAGATGGGAGAGGACCATCAGGTGTAGATTCAAATTGTGCCCGGCGTGCTGGCGGATGAGGCTACCCTCGGATCGGGCAAGCTCGAATAAATGTATTTGCATGGCGACCATCATGGTGGTCACGAGCATTGTGGGCGACGTGTCGATCATGTCCTGTGCGATTAGTCTGTTGAGAGTACTTGTCAAATCGGCTGCTGCGGACTTGGATCTCTGGGTTGCCGCTGCCTGGAGACCGCTTCGTTCCGCGAGTGATAGATGTTCGGGCGTCGAAAGGATGTAAGAGCGATGAAAGACGATGATGACCGCTTGGCAATAGCAGCGGAAATGGCTCATGTGAAGCATCAATGTTCGGGACGACCGGTTTTCGATAATGTCCACGGGAGGAAGGCTTTCGAGAAGTTGTGATACGTCTGCATAGTCGGCTTCCAACTGGGGCAACGACAGCGGCGGTCTTCTGGGGCGGTAGTGTAGAACCAGGGCGTCTTCTAGTTTGATTGACAGCCTGAGGAACTTGAGCCATAGTTCCGCCAGCTCTTCGAGATCAGGGGGTAGGAACGCTTCGCGCAGTTCCGGAGATAGATTTTTGACATCATCCACGACATCGTGAACAGACGGCAGCTGAAGGTCGCAGTCATCCAGGTGGACCCGCATCGGCCTCCCAGTACCCAAACAGATCCAGGCATCGCGGTAGTAGCTGCACCACCACAATCGTCTCCATAGTGCTATCTGCGATGGAGGGAAGGGACATCGTGGAAGTCGTGAATAACTGGGCTCGCGATGGAGCCCAATGCCCGTGCAAAAGTGGATGGCCGCCCCGATCCAATAGCAGGCGCCGTCCAGGTCCTCCAGGTCGGGATACCAGTAACTCAGAAGCAGAACAGAAGCAATGATGGCGGACTTGTCGGTCTCGAGATGTGCATCATATGTCCTCTGAACGCTGTTAGCTCGCTCTGTGTTTCAATTTGGGAAAAACCATCTGACCTTGGCATTCTGATAGCAAAATTGCATCAACACCTTACGGCTCTGGAACCCTAGAGCTTTGAGGGCCTCTGCGTCGACGTAGATAGCCGCAGCGAAAAACACTGACCACAACAACAGACAGCTGACATTGTTGGGGTCGTCGGAGTATTTGGTAACAAATTCCCCGGCATTGACAACAGGCAAGAAAGGGTAGACATAGCTGAAGAAGCAGCGAACGAGCCGGTCGCAAATAGGGGGTGGAAACAGGGGCCTGGAGCCCGGGGTTATCTCTGGTTTGAATTTCTGTCGCTTGAGGACGTTGCGAGTAATGATATAAGGGGCTCCTTTCACGGATCGATTCGGCGAGACGATATCGAACACGAATTCGAGTCCCTCAGCCTCTCCTAAGACACGCAGTCAGTACTGTTGATTAACACCAGAAGGCTTTCAAGGTACCGGCATAATAAGGCACCAGGTCCCGCGACGGCTCAGGCCCACGGGGCTTATCAGACACCGAATCGGAAACCGTGGTGGGAGTTTGCTGAGCGCCGGTTGCGGTCTCGCTTGACGTGTCCGGGCCCCTTTGACAGTCTGGGGATGCGACATGTGCAGGACTCTTCTCCACGTTTAAGTGTTTCCGGGGTACTTCAACAGTATCTGACGCTTGATGCGTTACCTCGGCAATCGACATAGATCTCGGAGACGGGGTCAGAGGGTAGACTGCTTTTGACGAAGGTTGGATTGCTTGGTCTGGCCGAATGTTGTATGCAATAGAATGCGATGAATGCCCCAGTGGATGACCAGGGGAAGGCAACGGCACCGACGTAGCATGCTGCTGACCAAAGATCTTGCAAACAGTGCCATCCTGAGCACAATTTGCACATGGGATGCCCTGGAAAGCAAGCGAGCACCGGACTTTTCGATCATGGCAACGTGTGCAAGCAATGGCCGAGCGCTTCCTCTTGCGAGCCTGTTGTGCATCCATGGCTCCTCCTCCCTCAGCACAGAAAGTGGACGCCCACCTGTGCGACGCGGCCATTGCGTCTGCAGGAATCTCCGCCTTATGTTTGAGTGGAGGAGGAGAGCAACCTCGGATCTTTGGCCATTGGCGGGAGATTGCGGGGAGAGGCCCGCAGACGGTGAAGCAGAAGGCGGCACCGAACGGGGAAGAGGAGGAGGAAGCGATCCTTGGCTGCGGAACGAGGAGGGTCGAAATACAGGCTGGTCCTTGTGAGGGAGAATCGGAAAGCAGTTCCTCCTGCGCGTAGCCTTGCTTACCCAGTCAGAAGGCATACTGCGCCAAACCTTCGCCTTACCTCCATCTCATCCACCGCATATCCTCCTCCGCCTCTAGCACAGCCGCCGAATCGTAGGCCAGGAGCACAACAGTGAGCAGCGAACTCCTTTCCGTATTCGGCACATGGCCTAGCAGTTCACAGGCGAAACAGCCTCAACCGAGGCGGCATACCGAGGTTGCCTCTAATGGCCATCTTTGCAATATATAATATAATATTTATATATGTACTGGACTTGGTTGGGGTTGGAGTGGGTTGTGCTTGCCATCTCGCCATCCTTGCGCAAGCCGTTGACAGTCCAACAAGTGGTGAACCAACATCAATCCACCCCCCTTTTGGTTCCTTTGTTGTCTCTTTTGTCTTTTTTCTACTGCCTTGGGTTTCTTCTAGATCTGTCTGATCTCCCTGTCGTCACTCAATCTTCCACCTGCTAAACTCGCTCACTTGTTGCCCCTCTCGTTCGCTTACTCACTCATTTCTACGCCACCACGCCCGACTGTCTCAGAGACTCAATCTCCCCGTCAGGCATCTGGAGCAGATCCCTCAGGACCGCGTCGGTATGTTGGCCGAGCGTGGGTGGCGCGGTTTTGGGGCCTGCCACGGTCTCGGAATACTTGACCGGATGGGAGACGACCTTGATGGGGCCGCAGGCCGGGTGGTCGAGGTCGGTGACCATGTTGCGGGCGCGGACGTGTTCGTGGTCGAGGGTGTCCTTGACGTCGTTGATGGCGGCGTAGGGCATACCGCTGCCCTCGAGCACGGCCAGCCACTCTGCGGTGGTCTTGGTGACGGTGATTTTCTCAATCATGTCCTCGAGCACGGCGCGATGCTGGACCCGCACGTCGTTGGTCACGAAGCGGGGGTCCTGCTTCCACTCGGGCTTGCCCAGCTTGTCGCAAATGATGCCGAACAGCCGATCGTTGCCCCCACCCAGCATGATGTCGCCGTCCGCAGTCTTAAACCCCTTGTACGGCACAATGCTCGGGTGCGCCGTCCCCCAGCGCCCGCCGTCCCTTTCCCCGGAGATCAGCACCGAGCTGGCAATGTTGGCCAGCGTCGCCACCTGGCAGTCCGCCAGCGCCACGTCGAGATGTTGCCCCCGGTCCGTCCTCTGCCGGGCCAAGAGGGACGCCATGATGGCGTTGCACGTGTAGAGGCCTGTTGTCAGGTCCGTAACCGCGACACCCACTTTCACCGGGGACCCATCCCTTTCGCCAGTGATGTGCATCAGCCCCATTTCCGCTTCAACCATGACATCGTAGCCGGCCCGCGGGCTGTAGGGGCCGTATTGGCCGTAGCCGGTAATCGAGGCATAAATGAGACTGGCTCGCGCCGGAATAAAGTGTCAGTGGACTCTGTCGGCAAGGAAATGAGGGACGAGGAAGAGAAGTTTTGCCTGGTAGGGATCTCGGAAGTAGACGCTCACCGAGGATTTATCTTCCGTATTGACTCGTAGTCCAGCTGGTACTTTTTCAGCGCTCCTACCGGAGTCACATAAAGGCGATCAGTTAATTTACGACACCCAAGCAGGGCTTGAACAAAGCAGGGTGTTTCCATCGATGTCTTTCTCAAACGTTTCCCTCCCAGAGCGGACATACCTGGAATGTAATTTTCCACCAACACATCCGACGTCTTGGCCAACTCATGCAGGATTTTGATGCCCTTGGGGTGCTGGAACGAGAGACCAACCGACTTTTTGTTGCGGTTGACCTGAAAGCAGCGAAAAGATCCTTCATTTTTAGCACCGCGCTCTCTAGAGGGATATCACAGAGGGCCATGCTGCGTAATGATCGAGGAGACGGGGGAAGTTAACTCACACCGATAAAATACGCGCTTTCCCCGGGTTTGCCGCCTTTCACAACCGCTACAGAAGAGGGAAAGGTCGAGTCAGTCGAAGCGGCCTCTCGTAGTGGATTTGGAAGGGTGAATTTTGCTGGCCGAGGGCTTGATTACCATCGTCTTTATACTTTGCGTACGGCGGGCCCCAAGCCCTAGTGTCGTCGCCGCGTGTGGGATGCTCGATCTTGATGATTTCTGCGCTATAGGACGCCGTGGAGAGACTCTGTCAGCCCCGATATACCACGTCGTGTCTGGGAGCCAGATATTGGCGCTTTCTCGGCCGTTTGGCAGAGGGAACGGAGATATGGATGAGGGAGAGAGGCTGGGGACATCATGCGTACCTACCCTAGATCGCCCAAAATTTGCGTACAATATGGCTGCGAGTTTGCAATTTCCAGTCAGTCAGCTAGTCAGCATCGTTGATCCACCGCATTCCACCTCGACACATCAATAACTTCCCATCTCTTTCCCAGGCCACCAACTGCTCAAGTGGTAGGGGCAGAAACCAGGTACTTACGCCAGCCAATACTCGCGTCATGTCCAGCACCCGAACACCCTCCAGCGGCGCTATCTTCCCAGTCTTTGTGCTTGTGGACGAATTCGTGACAGATGCGAAGCACCGACCTGACATGACCGACATGTCGGGCTGGGCTCGAAGGAAGGATGTGCAGCCATGCTTGCCCGTTAAGGCTTGTCGAAGAGCTCTGCTTGGAGCCATTGCGAGGTCGAGATCTGGAAGGGGAAAATGGGCAAAGAGAGGAGCTGAGAGATCGAATGTGAAGTAATTGAGAAGCAATACCTTTTTGACGAGGCCCGTCGCCCAAACAGCAACAGCGGCATCGGCCGCCAAGCGCCGAGGCGATTTCTCGTCCCAACTGAACCTTGAAAGTCCTCATCATCACCGAGGTTGAGGGCCACCAAGAGGGCTACCAAGAGGGCCATCCTCAATCTGAATTACCCAAAGCATGGCATATGCAGGACCGCCATGAGCAACCTCATGAGTTGGCGCCTACAATGGAATGCTTCAATCGGGACCAGGATCACTTTATCTCGTCTGATGATGGCCGTCATTGCGACTCACTCATTCCTATCTCGTCCTCCTAACATACAAGCTATAGTTATACACAGATTGTGAGAGCTGCCACCACCCCGCTCCGTGACGCTTCCCAATCGACAAAGACGCACATTTCAAGTTGCCAGGCGAAAGCCCGCAAGGTATCTTGGACAATAGACCTCCCAATTTTTTTTCGTAAAGTGGTGCAAACGACAGTACAAACAACAAACAACAACAATAACAAAACCAAAAGCGTTGCATAGGTGGAAAGGTGCAAAAGGCGGAATAACAAACGCGCCGTCCCAAACATAGGTCTTCCAAATGATACCCATCAATTCCTTCGCCATTCAGCACTCTCTAATTGATTCCATCTTATAGGTGTTGCAGCTCGCGCCGCATTGAAAGCCAGTCTTTTGTTACCGTAAATCCAGGTCATCAGTAAAAGGAAATGTCACACATTTTGAGCAAGCTGCGGTAGTCCTCGATCAGCCTCCAGATTTCGTGCTCCAGCCGCGGAGATGAAGTGCTGAAAGAGTCGGGTGAGCGACGAGGTTGCCGATTGTTCAAGGATGTGTGAAACGGATTATCCCAAGCCAGTCCTGCTGTTTGTGAAGTCGAGGGTCATGCCTTCTCCGGTGTGGTCTCGGCAAGATCCAGGTCGTCGATGAAAGCCAACCGTTCATTGCGAGGCGAGACGCATTCGTCACCTTCGACAACAGAAGGGTGCATTATCGGCTCGCAGGTGCGTTCTTCTCCTTCGCTCGAAGGACGATCCGAGCGTCCATCGGGGTCTTCCACCCAGTAGCTTTCCAGAGCTCCTGCGGCGCAGACAAGTCCGCCTGCCCACCACGCCAAACCGCTGCAACCAAGTTTCAGTCCAGCTGTGTGTACCAAGCCCGTCACAATGGGCCCACCGGCTCGAGCCAAGCACGCCATCGATGCAGCAGTGCCGTTGACTCTTCCGAGAACCTTTTTGGAGGGGACTGCATTAGCAAGAAGAATTGCATTCGAAGGAAATGATATCGCTTGGAACGTGATTTTGGTCAGAAGAGCGGCGTAGATGCCCGTTCTCTGGAAACGTTCCGGAATAAGCACAAGATATGGCACTGCAAAGTACAGTACAGGCCAGATGGTCATCGCTAGCCGAGACGCATGGAGAGGGCCAAGGCGGCGGGCCATGTAGGGGAAGATGAAGAATTGCGCAAAGATTGAATAAACGCCCTGCACCGCCATCATGAAACCGATGGCTCGCGTGCTCATGCCGAAACCTCCAGAGAATCGGAAGGGAAGTACGGGCTTCGTCTGCATGCGTTCTTCGCTCAGAAAGGTGGGCATCAAGGCGTCGAAGGAAACGCTGTGGCTACAAAACATGTCAGTCAGGCCAGCAGGCCGGGGGGAGGAAGGAACGTTGCACATACTAGGCAAGAATGGCATATGCGAAGATGATCAGTTTCACCTGCCTATTGAAGGGCTTGACCACGCTGCGTATCTCTTTCTCCCGCAGCATCTCCAGGTCCAGCTCTTCCGTTGACGCTGAGCGCAGCAATGGCGAGCTTTCCGTACTCCGGTAACCCGGAGGTGGACCGCGATGGTCGAAGGGGTCCGTGTGGTTTCCTGAAGGAAAGCCCAATTTACCACGCAGTGCGAGGAGCTTGTCAAACCCCGAGCGTTCGGCGAGCGCGGTGACCAACACGGGGCCGAGGTCACGGGGGTCCTTTTTCTCGGTATGTGTTTCTTCGAGAAACAGGACGCCAACCGCGATACCGCAGAGGAGCACCGCAACACAGACAAGATTGGGCAACAAAAACGGGAACTTGTCGAACAGGCCGCCTCGACGGAACCCAAGGGATTCGCATGGCATGGCCAGGGCACCGCCTATGGAGGGACCAATGATGGAGCCAATACTCCAAACCACTGGCATGATGGAATATGCGCGAGGCTGATGTTCCTTTTTCGTCACGAGCTCTGCAACAGTGGTCTGAAGCACTCCCACATTGCCGTTCAGGATCCCACCGAGGGCTCTGGCGAGAATGGCGCTGGACAAATTGCGCGAAAACCCAAAGCATATCATGCTTAAGGCGGTTCCAGCAAGACCCATGATCAAGACAGGTTTGCGGCCGACGTGGTCGCTAACTTGGCCCCAAACCACTCCGGAAGAAAACTCGGCAAAGGCAAAGGCCGTAATGAGCATTCCTGCATAGACCGAAATCTGCGACTCATCTTGGGTGATGTTGAACGATTCAATCATGCGGTATGCATAAGGGAATATCGACATGAAGGCGATTGGTTCGCATAGGCGACATATTGCTGTCGGATGGGTTAGTGATTCGCAACAGCTTGCCAATTTGGGAGAGCCTGCGAGATGACGTACCCAAGACGCCCAATTGCCTGTACGGAAAACCACTGTCGACATGTTTGGGCCCGCGTTCGCTCGGGGACCGCTTGATGAGAGGGTTCAGCATCGTCACCAAGGAGGAAAGGAACTTGTCGTGTGAGGGCGGGAAGGGAGGTGAGCAAAGAAGAGGGTCATCTAGCACACGGCGCGAGGAGAGCGGTCATAATAAGGGAAAGGAAATTTCCAGGAGACAAAGGATCGAGTCAACGATAGACAGGGCGAGCGGGGCACTCTCATCTTTCTTTTCTGGCGGAATGGCGCATCCGCCGCCGCGTGGAAGAGGCGGTGGACTGCCTGGAGCAGTTGGGATGGCACAGAACGCGGCAGCGAGCAGGCCCTTGCGATGGAGACATTTTTGCGCAAAGCCAGTGGCCAAAATACAGCCACGGTTACACGGACGAGGGAGTGCGGAAAGGAAAAAGGCAATCAGGGCAAAAGTCTCTGACATCCGCGCCCGGTTGTCCACAGAGGGCGGTGTTGGGCAGCTCCAGTCAGAGCGCTAGAGCCTGAGCCGTAGGTGCCGTTAGACCAGTTTGCAGTCACCCGAAATAAAATGCCTGCACTGACTGGGGTGGGAGATGATGTTCTTCAAATCGGACGGTTCGAGCGAGTTGGGCAACTCGGGTTGAAAGTCAGGAAGGGCCGGGAAGTGGTGCGTGATGCTCGGGGAAGGTGCGACTTGTGGTGCCCAGGTGGGATGTTGTTAGATCCTGGCCCAGGTGGGCACTGGAGGGGAACCGCACTGTGGATGGAGTCAAGGCCAGGATGATGAAAAAAATGGAGAAAAGGCCAGACGCTCCAGTCTGTTGGCTCTCTAGCCTTTCTCTGCCGTTTAGGCTCCAGAAAGTGGGTTTCAGGGCTGCCATGCGACCGACGGTGGCGGTGTGGATCCGTAGTTGGCATTGTGACGAGGAGAACCAAAGGCTCAGCAACGTCAAGTCGGCTTAAAGAGGAGAAAAAGGAAGGCAGAAAAGTGAAGCGGGCAGGGGGTAAGAAGGGACCCCGGGTTGATACTCGTCCAGTATGCAGCCAATCGAGTAGCGGACCCGGTGTGAATCCAGAAAAATTTCGGCGTCATGTACCAGGCCAGTAAGAATAAAAGCGCATCTGAGCCCAGGAACCGCGACAACGGTACCTTCGGGGCGTTGTGATTCGGAGGATCGATATGCATAGGCTTCGCTCTCCCAGGGTGGAATTTACCCCTGACCAGAGCTTGAGTGGACCGAGCTGAACCAGCTAGGAATTAGAAGCCTGGTCTTCCGGAGGCCGGGGAGCCTGTTTACCGAAGAGTATAATACCTCTAGCGCTGCCCTTCCACCACTCGGCTAGCACTTGGGCTTGACGCTAGACTGCCCCCAGAAGCTTTTGCTTCTTCGCACGTCCAGTGGCGAACAAGCCGGCTGGGAATCCTGCTCAGGATCCAGTGCCCTGTACCGAGTTATGTGACGAGGCAGGCGCCACTACCTCCTGCTGCATCAGCAGCATGTCATCCTTCTTGTTCCAGTGCACCTCGTGACCAGCGTGCCGTGCACGCCTGACCCATGCCCGACATCATACTGAACTCTGAATTGTCTAGGCATCGGGTTTTCTTGTTTTTCTTGTTCTTCTCACCAATCGAACCTTCCGCGACGTGGGATACAGAGGCGGTGAAAAAGGCGGTCATGCCCGACGGATTCGTGGATAAACGGGTCCAGTTTGGGCTGTAAGAGAGGGCTAAGGCTGTCGGGGTGCTGCTGGGTTGGGTGATTGGCGATCGCACAGTGCTCCCGTCACCCGCCGTGGGGTTGAGGGTAAAGCGGACAGAGGTGGACGTGTCATAGACTGGGGTCAGCTTTCAGGAGTTGGCGAGTTACCGTACAGTTGTACAAAGCCGGGTAATTGGGGCGTCGCCTCGAGTTTTCCAATGAAAGTTTCGAGTCGGTAGGATGCGTTGACTGCGCTCGACGTTGCCCCACCTGCTGTACTCGTACTTGTACCCGAGTTCCATGATGATGACGATCCTTTACTCAGTTCCTATGGCCCTTTGGTGGCACTGGCCGGCAGCCAAAGCCAGAAGGCATCGCGAGATGGGCGACTCGCAGCATGCTGCACCCTAGCAGCAGCAGCAGGGGGGATTGCAGAATGACTCAGTGTCTGTGACAAAAAGACCTTTGAGAAACGAGGGCCGCCAAAGGATCCGGAAGATGAGCGGGCCAATTTTCTCCTTCATTCTCCAAACGATGGAGAGGAATGTATTGGGATAGGATGGGGAAAAGGAAAATGTCTGACACGTCAAAATGCACCAGGGCGGGTAAAAGAGAGACAGGCATGGATCACAAGGTTCACCGGTAGCGACTTATTCAACGATGATTCGACTGCGCTGACCAGGGCAGACGCACAGTCCAAGGCAGATTCTGGCCCAAAGCGCGGGTAAGAAGCAAGTGAGAGGTGAAGTGAAAGTGGAAAGTTGAAAAGGGATGGGCAACGGAGAAACATGGACATTGGACAGATTTGCTCCCTCACGAGTCATCACAGAATATCAGGAGTAGCAGGGGCGCAGGGGAGCCAGGGAGCAAGGAAGCAAGGGGAGCCGTTCTCGTTCCCGTGGTTCGCTTAGCAGCTTCGAATCGAACAAGTAAGCAGCCGGTACCGTGCCATTGGAAGGGCACGCCGCACCACCCTCTTCTGGACAGAGACTCGAGGGCTATTTATTGCCATTATCACTCGTACAGCTGAACGGGGGAAGCACAGGTAGCGAGAAGTTCCAGCGGCCGCGGTACTAGGTCGCTACGGTATGAGTGGCTATTCGGCGTGGCGAGCTCGCAAGTAAGGGCCGGAAGAGTGAGGGGGGGTGTAGGAGGGGAAACGTTGATGGGTGCAGACCGTGCAGTGGGTATTAGCGGGTAACGGGACTAAACCTTCCACACAATTGACTTTGGAAGTGAAATTCGCGAGTTTCACCGGAAGCTGAATCCCACTCCCCCCGGGCATTTTCAACCCTGGCTCGCCTGGTGGCCCTGCCCGGCTCTGTTTGACTTGGCGTGCAGCCCCTGATTCATTTTCCAGAACGACGCCACCAGAACCAGTCCTGATGCTGCCACAGAGCTTACCCGTCCGGAGGAGCAGGTGAAAGAGCTGCGGAGGATTGATGAAACAAGAACTGGTGGAAGCCTAGAAGGTCACCTCAAGTCTCCAGTGGAAAAATCTCCTAAGTTTCCGGGGAAGTGGTTCACGCACGAGTGATACCTGAGGTAACTTCTAGGTACCGAGTATCTCGTACTCCGTCCAAACAGCTAGACAGGCCGGTAAAGAATGCCTGCAGTGCTGAGCCCTACCTAACTTACGTCGGGTCACATGCTTAAACGCGGTAGGCCAGGCATCGAATGGGGCCCGCTAGGCTGAGGGAAGCAAGGCTTTAGGCAGCGTCTCAGGCATGCCATCCAGCGTGCCCCATGCCTTTCCCCCTCCCTCTACCTAAGTGGACTCATCTCAATGTCACTTTATCCGATTCCATCAGCAATGCGCGCCCTCGATGACGCCGAGGAATCTTGGACCCGGTCTTGCAGGTCTCTCACTACTGTTGTCCGTCCCTCTATTTTTGGGAGGATGCCGCGTGGAATGGTTCTTACGTATCATGGCATGTTGGTCTTTCACAGGCTGGAATAGCTCCAACACGAGCGACCCCCGCGCCCTCTGCAGCCAGTGGCCTGCGCTTCATCTGTTGCGAGTCCTAAAGGAGCCCCTGCTGGGGCAAGCATGCCATATGCGACCAGACATAACAGTCCTATCCAGACCATCTGCAAGACTCCCTTTCTGTACCGTGTTGCGACTTTGTGTGCCCGTCGGGCGTGTCACTCAGCTACGACACCTGTCAGTCGCCCAAAAGAGCAGTTCCATTGGAAGCATGGCGGAGTCTGCAGGTTGCTGCATCGTCACTGCGCCCCGGAAAATATAAGACCTAAGAGCAGAAGGTCTTTGTCATGACAAAGAATTGTTAGCAGCTAAACTAGCTCGGCCTCAACTTCGTGGCGAAGGTAGTACGAAATGCCCACAGGAAGATGCCGGAAGGAAATCCTCCTCAGATTATGCAACCTGCAGGTTACCGCAGCGTGGGCAATTGCCCTAGAGCATGCACAATGTCGTCTATGATTTTCGGGGTAGCACAAAGGACCGCACAGAGAGTTGCGTGCCTCGCCTTGCGTTTTGGAGCCTCGTTTAGAGAGAACCCATCCCTAGGTAGTCGATATGCAAGGCGCCACCTGACATACCCTACCTCATAATCCCTTGTAAGAGTCGGGCCACAGCATCATCAACCACCGCACAACTGTCACCTCTCCCGGTTACGCAGTGCATCGTTCATCTGGTGCCAGCACATTCCCTAGCCTGTCATCAACCCCTCAACCGGTGAGGGGATTACTCGTTCTGGTTGACCGCCGTCCTAGGACCAGGATCAGAGTGGGTGGACGGTTTCCCATCACCATGGTTGGCCTCACCAAGAAAGATGCATGTCTCTGTGTGACCTGTCACCTCGCCTCCGACAATCAGTGAAAAGTTTTCCAACTTACCGGGAATGAATCATGCACAAGTCGCCCAGGAGGGCAAAGCCACCCGAAGGCCAGTCAAGTAGCGGTCAGATAAAGTTGCATCGTCTCCGATGGACACGACATCTGCCAACACGCCCGTCCTAAATCTAGACCACCAGCATCCTGCATGGGCAGATTCCACCGAGCCGCTCTGGTTAGAAAGGGAGCCTCGCAAGTGTTTCGTGCATTCTTGTAACTCTGCATGCTGTGGGTAGCATGTGTCCCGCTCTCATTCGGCCTCTCGAACTCCATGGCAGTTTCTTTTGTCTTACTGCAACTCCAACAACGCCCGGAACAGCCGAGTTCTGGGATACTGATCGCCTAGTCCGCGTTGAACCTCTTGCGCCCAACGTTCTTGACTTCAATGTGATGCAATACGACAACTTCCGCAGTTCCCGCACAGGCTACTCTGACTGCGCACTACGGGAAAAGGTGGGAATTGGGCACACCGTGACCCTTCATAAACAGGGCGTCGGTGGCGATGCATCTGAAGGCGAACCGGTCACCTGCTTCTCTTCTGCGTTTCTTCCTTGTTTCGTGGGTCAACTGATGCTCGGGCCATGAGAAGTGGCAGCAGATTGGACAGATGGCAATGGCCTCTGACGTCCGAGACATGACTGCGCCCTGCGATAGTAGAAAGTCCGGCATGGAAACGTAACTGCGGCATCGGTAGGAAGGGAAAACAGACTTGGTTGTTCTAGACCGCCGGGTTTGCATCTTGAAATGTGACTCTGGCATGGAAGACTGACGTGCGTCGTCCGATTGCACTTCTGCGAGAGCTGGGCCGTCAGATGTCCTCCTCGATGTGAACATTTGGGGATATTCTTTCTCCCCTTTCAGGAATCTCATGACCCAACTGACATGGCAACAGCTCGTCAAACGCGGTTCATACCCTTGGGTTTCGATATGTGATGGCCATAGAGGTTGTCAACCGTCCTTTTTTGTGCAACGCTGGGGCTAAATGGTTGATCGAGTGACAATTGACGTTTGTCGACCACACAAAGTCTGACATCCAACCTACTAGTATTGGGCACGGTCACATGGTCTGTGGCCAGATTCTCGATATTTTTGGGCCAAATCTTTTGTCGCACTGCCCGTGACTGCATCAGCAACAGCATGCATTTGCCATGCCTTGCTCGCAGGATGGCTTTACAAGTCAGTAGTGCCTGACATTGACCTTTCAGAACGCCTCGATAGGATCGTAATACTCTTGAGGGCAGATTCCAGGAAGTACCAACCTTTACGAAGCTTTTGATTCTGTCTTTATGGCCGCTTTACACCTTCCGCCTTTCTGCTAACGCACACTCTGTCCACCGTCGTCCACTGCTCTCATATTATGGAAGCAACACTGGCGAAAGGTAGCACCCAGGTGGTCTTTGTTGTCCTCGGTCCTCAGCCCTCAGTCCTCACGCTCCATGAATGAGCTTGTGTTCCTAGTATGTACTGCAGATCCCGATCCGTGATTCGCGAATGTAACCGCGGCAGTTTATCTGCCAAGCTGTGGGCAACGCACAGCTCTGATTTGCTGGCTGGCCATCTCGAGATAAGCCAACCTTGCAACCCAGTCACCCACCAGTCAGTGGCAGTCACCCACCGTGTTTGCCCACCGATGAGCCACTCCCAAGGTCGCCATGCTTTTTCTCCAACCAGCCCAACCAGCCACTGAGATCCTCTGTGGGCGTCTGCGATATGCGAGATACAACTCCTCTGCCTTCAGGCCAAAACCCAGGCTACTAGGCTCCGCTATGGCCTTCCATACGCCGCGCGAGGCTGACCTGTGCTGCCCGAGTCTCCTTTGCATGCTGTCTCCGTAGCACTGAAGAGTGCACTTTCCCAAAATACTGGCAGAAGATGTCAGTGTCCTTCTCTGGTTCATGACATGCCCTCATCCGCCACCTCTCCTCACAGCGCCGGCCAAAAGCGAGCGTATCCCGCTGACGAACCCCTCCTCCAACCGGCACAGGATGTTGCGGTTGCGGCCTCAACCAACTCCCCTCCTCCCCTCTCCGCCGCTTCGGCCACCTCGGCCTTCAGAAATGTCTCGGCCTGCAATCGCTGTCGCATTAGGAAGAACCGCTGTGATCAACGACTCCCTGCCTGCTCCACTTGCGAAAAGGCCAATGTCCGCTGCGTAGGCTATGACCCCATCACGAAGAGGGAGATTCCTCGGAGCTACGTCTACTATCTCGAGACGCGGCTGGCATATTTCGAGCAGCAACTCAAGGCACATGCCATTCCTTACAATGCCGCCGAGGTTTACAATGCCGAGTCCAAGGAGCTGGGTGACCCTGTGCAATCGCCAGGCAGTGCGAAGAGCTCCTGGATAGGACCGCAATCCCCAAGTAATGGCTCGCCGCGGCCCATCAAAAGCGAAGACTGGGACAAGAAGCAGGAAGATGCCGACAAGCTCAACAAGCTGGTGTCAAACATCGGCATGGTTTCCGTGCAAGGAGCTTCTGATGCCCGATACTTGGGGTCTACATCAGGCATATCGTTCGCCCGCGTCGTGCTGGCCGCTGTCAAGAGCTCCATGTCGTGCAACAACTCAGAGCGAGCTGGTGTCCGGCCCAGTCGCCCGTTGCCTAACATGGCCTCTTCGGGCGGTAGTTCCATGAGGGATTCCTACTTCGGCCTGCAAACCAAACCCACCATCAAAGAAGCTCCGTTCCCAGACCGACCGTTAGGTGAGAAGCTCGTCAACTTGTACTTTGAGCATGCCAATCCCCAGATCCCGATCCTCCATCGAGGCGAGTTTATGGATCTGTTTGACCGCACATACTCGATCGACCCGTCGAAGCGCACCAGCCGCGAGCTATATTTGCTCAACATTGTATTTGCAATTGGCGCGGGCATTATCTGGGGTTCATCCGACCCCCAGCCAAACTCTCAACAAGGGGACTATGCCCACAAACGAGCCAGACTGGCTATGCAACAAGCTCAGCCCGAGGAATATCATGCTTCCGCCATTGTCAATCTCGGATCATTTTTAGCGGCCAGTTCATCTCTGGAAGCAGCTGAGCGTCCCAATGGTGATTTGGAGGAGCTTCAAGCTGTTCTACTACTGTGTAGCTTTGCCTTGCTTAGGCCTGTGGCACCAGGACTCTGGTATATTGTCGGCGTCGCGATGAGGCTGGCAGTTGATCTCGGTCTACACTATGAAGATGGCACTGGTATTGACAATAATATCGAAGGTCACCAGGGTCCACCACCCACGATGGACATCAAGCAACCGGGGCAAGTGGATGCAAAAGAAAAAGGGCGACGAGAGTGGATTCGTGACCTGCGCAGACGCCTTTGGTGGTGTACCTACACCTTCGACCGTCTGGTCAGCACTTGCGTCGGGAGACCCTTTGGAATCACAGATCAAGTCGTGACTACTGAATTTCCCTCCCTACTCGACGACAAGTTTATCACGAGAGCTGGATTTTTGCAGCCAACGTCCCCTGATGAACCTACTTACAAATGGGTCTCCCACCACTATTTCCGCCTACGACTGTTACAATCCGAGATCCTACAGGTCCTCCAACATCAACAAGCCCAACAAGCCCGTCTGAACGGCACCAATCGTGCCAATCAGTTCATGCACACCAAGCTTCCGTCGCCTTTCCTGATCAAGTTCGACTCATTCCGATCGTGGCGACGAGACATTGACCAGCGACTATATGAGTGGAAAGAATCGGCGCCGGAGCCCTCAGAGACTGGCGTCAGTTTCTCGGTGCAATTCTTGGAGCTCAATTACTGGCAAGCGGTCATTATGCTCTACCGGCAGAGCCTCAGTGTTCCGGCACCTCTGGCAAACGAGTTTAGCCCGACCGAGGACGTATCGAGCCCGTCAAGTATAAGACTAGAAGAAAAAGAGGATGAAGATCTGGTGTTTTTGAAATGCGCCGAAGCTGGCCAGAAGACGTTGAAACTGTACAGGCAGCTTCACCGACTGCGCCTTGTGAATTATACCTATCTCGCAACGCACCATCTATTCATGGCCGGCATCTCCTTCTTGTATGCTGTCTGGCATTCTCCAGCAGTTAGAGCCCGTTTGGTAAGCCTGCCTCCACCTCCTTGCTGACTTCTTACGCTAAACGATCGCTTTTAGACACTAGATGACTTTGACTTCACAGTCCTTGCTGCAACATCTGTCCTGGGCGATCTTATGGAGAAATGCCCTCCGGCAGAAGCCTGCCGTGACGCTTTCGAGCGAATGAGCAAAGCCACCGTCCAAATGTGCATGTCTACTCCCGGATTCGGCTTTTCGATGGAACCGCGTGGAGAATATCAATCGCGACAACAACTCGCCCGACAATCCAGCATGCAGAGCCAGTCCGCACAATCGCAGACCCAACCAATGCCCATGCAGATCGACTCTTACCCTTCTACAACGACCTCGACTGCAGCTCGTATCGCTCCGAAACCAATGCCAAAACGACCACCGCCCAAATTCGACATGGATCTCCGCGAGCTGTTCCCCGATGATCTTGAACCGAGTACCCGGCCATCTTTTTCCTTCCCTCAGCCCCTCCAAGGCCTCCAGCAACAGCAACAGAGGTCACCGCAAGCATCCATGGCAATGGGACTAGCACCGTTGCAGCAGCAATCACAACATTCTCCTCGTCAACAGCAGATGTCCCCGGCCTCTAGTATCAATTCCCAAATCAACAACGGGCTCGGCATGGGCACATCGCACCAACCTTTGCTCTTCAACCAAGTTTCCACCCCACAGCAACAAACGCAACAAACGCAACAACAACAACAACCTTTCTACATGCAAAACACGTACAATCCCGACTTCATGTCCAGCTTACCAGGCATGGACTTCCTGAGCGCCGCCATCACGGGAGGTGGCGGTGGCGACGGAGAATTCAACCTGGATGTGGGCGGTGGGCTAGATCTGGGCTTTGGCATGACCGGGTTGGATTTCCAACATGACTGGAGCGATGGACAGGGTCAGTATGATTTGTTCGACGGCTTCTTCTTCGGCAATGGCTACGGCGGTGGAAATGGAAATGGGTATGGAGGTGGGAATGGGAACAGTGGTGGGTCAGGGGGCGCGGAGGGCAGTTAGTCCCTGCTGCAAAGTGATTCTTTAATGTCCTTGAAATGTAAGCTCAATAGAAAGATATTACCCAGAGCCAGCTTTTGAGGCCCGCGACAATAATTTCAGCCCCCAATTGACGACAATATTGAACGCATGAGGGGAACGAGATATGGATCGAAATGAGCCGAGCTAATGTCCCATCGTATCTTCATATCAGTTTTACAAGGGGGCCGAGGAGGGGTGGGCGGCGAGGGCGGGCAATGTTGTCGTCGTTGCCGACTGACTGATGTGCTGTGGCGAGCAGCCCCGTTCCCCCTTCATCCAAAGCCTTCAAAGACGTCTTCATGGGCGTTGCTGGCCTTCGCTTGCTGGCGCCGACGGAGCTGCTCAATCATCCGCGCAGTCTCGGCCTCGTATCGCTTCTCATCTTCCGTCATCTTTGCAACCCTGTCGTGTTGTCTCCGCGCTTCCTTCTTGGACCGCTTGACTTCCTTGTTTGCCTTGCGCTCCAGCTTCTCCGACCAAGCGACCGTGGTGCCTTTCTTGCGCTTCTTGGAGTCGGTCGTCTCCTTGCGAACAAGCGGACCACCCTCTTCGAGCATTTGTTTCCGGTGTTTCTCCCGTTGTTTGTCCTTGTACCCGAACGTATCCCAATCGACGTCGGCGGCGCCCTCGTAAGGCTGTAGCTTGGTGTTCTTGAGCTCGGCAATCTTGGGCATCTTCAATAGACCCCAGGCAGCTGCGTGGTCGTTCCAGTCGATCCCATTCAAGCTGAAGATGGATTTTGCTTCGTGTTTCGAATAGCTCCGCACCCAGCTCACGAATGCCCTCTGGCCCTTGTCGTGCAACGCGCGATCCGTGAGGACGATCTTCCAGAATTTCTGCTCAGCCGCGTGGCAGTCATCCGCCAGGTCGGAAGTGCCAGGTTCAATCAATGGCTCGATGGGGGTGTGTCGGACTTTCAGAAATTCCACGTAGTCTTGCTCGTGAGGGAGGAGAAGCACGACACTGAGACCCTTGCGCCCTGCGCGACCCGCTCGCCCGCATCGATGCAGAAAGACCTTGGAATCTGAAGGGGGGTCAATCTGTACCACCAAGTCCACAGAGGGGATATCCAAACCCCTTGCGGCAACATCCGTGGTCAGCAGTACAGAGGGAGAAGCTGAGTCTGTGAAGCGGATGAAGTTCTTCTCTCGCACATTCGCCGGATGCTTACCATGTAAAGGCACAAGCACCGCTTCCGAGGGCATGATAGACGGGAGCAAGGCCTGGAAGTAGTCCACCGCGGCACAAGTGGACAAGTATACGATGGTCCGAAGCGGCATTGGATCAAGGTGCTTGAGTAGAGCTGCTAAGAATGGGAATCTTTGAGAAGCTGTAGTCACCGCATAGGTCATCTTGAGACTCGCTGGCGTCCGCTTGTCTTCCACTCCGTTTGCGCCTTTTACTTTGACTTCGATCTTCACAGGATTCCGCAGACCCACGCGAATCAGTTGATCTAGTGCTTCGCTCACACTTGCACTGAAGAGACCTGTTCTCCGCTCCTTTGGTAGGAGGTTCAGAATCTTGGTCAGCTCGTCCTTAAACCCGTGGTCGAGCAATCGGTCGGCCTCGTCAAGCACGAGCATCTCGAACGAAGATTTCGGGTAGTGGACATCTCTTGAGGTCATGATGTCGACAAGGCGGCCTGGTGTCGCAACCAACACATTCGGGGAAGTCTTGAGGAATTTACTCAGGTCTTGCGCGGGTGTGGTGTAACCGCCCACCAGCAGCTGCGGGACAACTTTCAGTGTTGATGAGGGAAAGGAATCTGTGTCATTTTCTGGAACAGAATCAACCTGTGCATCCAACGGTTCGAGCGTCGCCGCAGAAGGACGGTGGAATCTCAGTAAAGAAACCAGGACGTTGTAAATTTGTGTGGCCAGTTCTCTGGTGGGAGAAACGATGATGGCACCGACATGATGTCTCTTGAGCGGCTCTTCCAGTCTTAACAGCTTTTCCACCACCGGTATGAGATATGCCAACGTCTTCCCACTGCCCGTGACAGCTTCAACTACGACATCTTTGTAGGCCATGAAGAGAGGGATCGTCGAGGCTTGGACGGGTGTCATGCGGGTGAAATTCATGGCGGATACTGCATCGAGGATCCATGGCGACAACGAGGGGTTGAGGGCATCCCATGTCCTAGAGGTTTTCCCTCTGTGAGGCACTGTTCCTCTGTCCGGCGCCATGGAAATGTCAGCGGAATGGCAAGACGGCGACCAACGGAGTGCGCAGGAGGGAACGCAGAGTGCAACTTGAAGAGAAAAGCACATCGGTATTTCTTCGGTACATTTTTTTTCCATTCCTATCGATAAGAGAAGAATAATCCTGCCGTTCTAAAAGTGTACCAACACGTGACCCAGTATTCTCCAGTCCATTTTACGCAAAAGCCAATATCTCCTTTTCAATCGCCTCTCCAAAGCTCTTCGTGTTCCCTTTCCCTCCCATATCTGCTGTAATAACGTTCTCCTCTGCTCGAGAGAGCACGTTCTCGACCGCCTTAAGCATTGCCGCAGCAGCTTCCTTAAAGCCAAAGTGTTCCAGCATCATTTGACCGGCCCAGATCATCCCAACGGGATTGGCGATGCCCTTTCCAGCGATGTCAGGCGCACTCCCGTGTACTGGCTCGAACAGGCTTGGATATTCGCCTGTTGGATTGATATTCCCCGATGGCGCTATGCCTATTGTCCCCGTGCAAGCTGGGCCCAGGTCTGAGAGAATGTCTCCAAAGAGATTGCTCCCGACTATCACATCAAAGATCTGAGGTCGTTGGACAAAATGCGCCGTCAAGATGTCGATGTGGTATTTGTCGACTTTCACTTCGGGATATGATTTGGTCATATTCTCGACTCTGGTGTCCCAATAAGGCATTGTGATGCTGATCCCATTACTCTTGGTTGCACTCGTCAGATGCTTCTTCGGCCTGCTCTGAGCCAGTTCGAAAGCGTACTTCAACACTCTGTCGACTCCAGTTCTGGTCATCACTGTCTCTTGAATGACGGTTTCTCTGTCGGTGCCCTCGAAGATCTTCCCACCGATACTACTGTATTCTCCCTCAGTGTTCTCCCGAACGATCCAGAAGTCGATATCTCCTGGTTTCCGCCCTGCAAGCGGACACCGCACTCCCGGCATTAATCGTGCAGGCCGCAAGTTGATATACTGATCAAACTCGCGGCGGAACTTCAGAAGGCTACCCCATAAACTAACGTGGTCAGGGACTTGGTCTGGCATGCCCACTGCGCCGAAGTAGATGGCGTCAAATTTCGATAGGGTGGCATTCCAGTCCTTTGGAAGCATGTCGCCGTGTTTTCGGTAATATTCACAGCTTGCAAAGTCGAATTCCTCAAACTCGAGTTCTAGTGCAAAAACCTTTGCTGCCGCTTGGAGGCATCGGACGCCATAGGGCATGACTTCTGTGCCGATTCCATCCCCGGGAATGACCGCGATTTTCAGTTTCTTTTGTTGGATCATGGCGACAATTACTGCTCAAGCACAGACCTAATGACAGAATGACCAACTGCTTGTAAGTGAAGGAACGTCAAATGCAAATGGATATATGTCTGGGTGATATCACAGTTGGGGTAAAAATTTGCCCGACGATCTTTTGGCCGATCCAGATCCGCTGCTGCGAAATCGGGGTTCCTGTCCCGGCGAATATCGCCGTATCTGCACCGATTCAACAACAATAGTTGGATTTGGCTTCAAAGGACAGGAATGACTCGGGATCTGCGCTTGCTGCGACAACCTTGGTGGTGCTGTTTGCCTCACCAGGAGTATCGGTCACCCGCAACAGAAGATTCAGGCTCTCCAGCAGACCCTTTCACGAGAGCGGGCATTCAGTGAGTATACAAGCGTATCCCATATCATTTTCCACCTCGTTCAATATTGCGATAGTTCTACGAGAGCTAAAAGGGCAACATTCTCATATGCTTGCTGGGACAACATGAATCCTCAAGATGCCGTTACCTCTTATGTAAGCAAGGCTTGACCCCCCTTCAACAAAGCGTCACCCGCTTCGCCATGAACTCCAGCTGCTGGTGAAAGCAACCTAATACCCTGCTTTATATGTTTATGTGCTCGTCTTGTATCTCAAAGTCTGGCGTCGTTCTCAAACTCGAGCCGAAATGGAAGGAAAGAGCTGGTCCTGTCTTCTTCCTTCCCTACGTGTCTGACGAATCTCTCACCATATTCGTTCTATCCCGTCGTATCAGACAGAAAAGGATTACTTTGGAGGAGCCTGGCTCTTCACTCCAGCCGGCGTTTGAGTAACGTCGGTGGACTAGCAGCCGTCTGGGTATTGAATCAAAACAAGATAGTCTTGGCAACACTGAACATGAGGTCCCCACGCCCTGTTCCAACGACCTCCGCACCTTCTTGTCTTCTCCACTCCATTTTACCGTGGCTATTCAGGCAGCGTGGAATGGAGAAAGCGATACGGAGAGTGCGGTCGGATGACCCGGGGAGGTTTCGGGCCTCCATTTGAGTCCCAATGGCAACCAACAGCATGGGTGGCTCGGGTCAATAGGTCAGCATCCCGCGCAAGGCTCACACAGACGACTTATATAATTCTTGATCTACGTTCCTCAACTTGGAGCCAGTCCATGAACAGTCCGATCACGCGTCAATAGGCACAACCAGATTGCAACCCGATACCAGGCTGTCAAGGCGCGAGTAAAAGGCAATAGTCGGAGAAATCGACCAAGATCAGCATGCCAGTTGCGACTCATGATAATGTAGAAACGCCATGTCATCGGCAATACTTCTACGTCGGAGGAGTGTACGAGGAGGACAAAAGCACGAGTTTCGGTGGACATATCATGAGAGATCAGACATACGTGGAATGCTTGACGCCTGTGGGCGGGCTCACACGGGAATATCCCCTCATCTTCGTCCATGGAGGTGGTCAAAGTGGGTTGGTATGGACCATGTCTCGCGACGAGAGCGTTGGGCGGAGAGACTAACGGCAGCGCCTAGAACTGGCTGCATACACCAGACGGTCGAAAAGGGTGGGCTTCCTTCTTTCTCGACCGGGGCTACACGGTCTACCTGATAGACACGGCATCAAGAGGCAGATCAGCGCCGGCCCTCGAGCACAAGCACATCCAGTATCCGACGGGGTTCGTAGAGGACCAGTTCACTGCACCAAAACACGCGGCAAAGTGGCCACAAGCGAAATTGCACACGCAATGGCCCGGAGTGAGTTTTCAACAATCGTCTGGCATCTGAAAAGGCTGTTGTGTCCTTTATCTACTGACTTCTGGCCCGTTTTAGACAGGTCAGCGAGGCGATCCGATCTTCGACCAGTTCTACGCCTCTGTCTTACCAAGCATGTGTAGTCTGGTCATGCAACAGCAAGCTACAAAAGCTGGCCTAGTTGCTCTGCTCGAACGGATCGGCTGTCCGAGTATCCTGGTCACACACTCTCAGGGTGGGCCTGGGGGGTGGCTTGCCGCGGACGCCTGCCCGTCGCTCGTCAAGGCCATCATCGCCGTCGAGCCAAACGGGCCGCCTTTTTCAGGGACACACCCATCTGAGGGCGTCCGCAGGGCACGCATGTGGGGTCTCGCTGATATCCCCTTGACATTTGAGCCGCCGATTACAGATCCTTCCGAGTTCCACCTTGTCACAATTCCGGCGACCCAAGAGGGTCGATCCCCAGTGATACTGCAGGATGACCGTGCAGGGCGGGCGGTCCACAAGCTGAAGAATCTCCAGGACATACCGGTGCTGGTGGAGGTGGGCGAGGCCAGCTACCATGCCGAATATGACCACGCGACGGTCGCGTTTTTGCGACAGGCCGGGGTCGCCTGTGACTTCGTTCGGCTGGAGGAGCTGGGCATCAAGGGCAACGGACACATGCAGATGCTGGAATTGAATAATCTGGCCATTGCGGAAGTGTTGCAAGAGTGGATTGAAGGCAAGTTGCCCCACAGCAAGACTTGAAAACTATTTCGACATCGTGGCTATGCTTCCCAGAATCGAAAGAATTATGCGCACTTCGAATGTACTGTACTGTCCACCCCCCCTCCAGTAGGACTGTACCCGGGCTAGTGACTCATGAGACTCCTCCCCCGGCTTGAACGCGGCTCCTCCTAGACTGTTTTCCTTTTCGCATGACTCTTCACGAGTTTGCTAGAGCGACGTTGCCCAAGGTTCCGAAATACCCAACTGTGAGGGTCACTTTGTCCGCCAGATCAGAGAGATCGATAGAAGGCGGGGGATTCTGCTCCTGCTCGAGAAACTGGTGGACACGAGTTGCAACCCACGCCGGGTTCTCATCCGCTAAACCATCCATGGCGGTCAGCAAATCATGTAGTTAGTCGTTCAAGACTGGAGCCCCGGGCTGGTCCAACGAACGGGGTGCGTCAAAGACATACCTATCCAATGCCCTGCCTTGGGAATGATATCTGTCTCGAGATCAGCTGTGATGTTCTCCCACAGCTGCCCAGCAAAAGGGCCTAGACTGGCTTCCCCTCCCATAGCCAGTGTCGGCATCTGTAGAGGATTGATGCCGACCGTGCCTTTGAAAAAGTTGGCCACGGCCGCAAGTCCCCGAACGTCGTACGAGGCAAGCATGGCCCTCAGAAATCCTGGCTTGGAGATCGAACTGGTGTATCTGTTGACAATGTCTTCGGAGAAACTCGTCACCCCGGAATAGCTGCCGTGGAAGAAAAACCACTCGAGCATTTGTTTCTCTTTGCCCGAGATGAAGAATTCGGCGGCGTCCGGGATCGAGAAGAACGCCAGTTGCCAGTTCGCGTAGAGATCCCAGTATGGCGCTGGTGTCCGCGCGGTTTCGAATCCGAAGCCCGGAGGGACGAATTCCGTGACCACGAGCCTCTTTACCAGGGATGGGTAGCTGGCGGCGAGGGCGGTCGCTATGCCGGAGCCGAAGTCATGCCCCACGACGTAGGCAGAAGTGATGTTCAAGAAATCGAGAACAGCCTTGGTATCCGCGGCGGAAGCCATGGCAGTGTAATTCCCGTCTGGAGAGATCGACGAATCTCCGGTGCCGCGGTTGTCAAGGGCGATGACGGTGTAGTTGTTGTCTGCGAGGATGGGTCCGATGATGCGCCATGTCAAGCTGAATTGCGGGCTCCCGTGCAGTAAGAGGATCGGGGGGCCAGAACCTGCGTAGCGAAGGTGGATGGAGACGTTTTCGAGGGCCACGCGCTGGTGAGCCCAGTCGTCGAAGTTTGTCAGACCCGAGACGAGAGCTTTTTGGGCCGCCAGCAGGAAGAGAATGATGGGGGATAGGCGGTTGAAGGTACGCATGGTGCTTGCCAGGGCCGGAGAAAAGGATCTCATCTCAGTGAATGCAGGTGAGCTTGACAGGTTGAGGGAGCGAGATGGAAGACAGTAACCGACGAGAATGAGCCTTTAATACTCCTGGTCGACTCTGTAATTGAAGGTAGCATCAAAGATTATTGCTTGGTAACAACCAAATCCTCCATGGAGCTTCCATCGTAGAGCACAACAAGGCTGTCAAGCTTGCGAGATTGTGCGGTGGACCTTTCACCATGGTGCCATCACTTGCTTACCTAGTTATTGTCAACGGCGCAGTATGTCTCGTGGATTGCAGAATATCCTGATACGGAAAAGACGTAGGCTTACCAAGTTCGTACCGTTTTGTGGTGGTGAGATCGCCGGACCATTTCTCGGGTACGGTACATCCACGCTTGAATTAGTACAACGCACGTTATCAATACAGATAGCCACTTTCCGAGATTTCGTCCTGACCAGGCGGATTAGTGATTCCGGTAATAGCACAATATCCCAGCACTTACAAACATTGTGGATCAATGGAGCTCCGTTCCTATGGGAAGGAACGAGGCCATAAGTCCAAATTCATATCCGGAAAGCCAATGCATTGAAAGGCGATACCTATAAAGCACAGTCAACATGCACAACGTATGTTCGGCTCACTGTCAACTCGAACATTCACAGTCGGCTTCCAGACGATCACTACCATGCCTACTGTTCTGTTGACAGGCGCCAACGGCTTCCTGGCCACACATGTCCTCAAATGCCTAGTGGAGGTGAGTGTCGACGGAAGGCCAGCGATGACTCGCAAGGTCGTGTTCTGATTTCCAGCAGGACACCTTCGATGTGGTCGGCACAGTCCGCTCCGAGGCCAAGGCTGACGACGTCTTTGGTGCTCATCCTGAGTTCAGATCGAGCGTCCGGCTCGTTGTGGTACCAGACATGTCAGCTCCGGGTGCCTATGACAAGGTCTTTGAAGGAACGCAGTTCGACTTCATCATCCACACAGCAGCACCGGTGCCTGATGGTGGTGGGACAGATTTTGACAGAGATTTCTTGGGGCCTGGTGCTCAAGGGTGAATAAGTCCTTCTCCCTGTGGCAACCCATATCTTTTGCTGACTCCCAATAGCAACCTTGAACTGCTACGGGCAGCTCAGAAGTATTGCAAATCTCTCAAGCATTTTACCTATACCGGTAGTCTAGTGACTGTGTACGACGTCACAAAGCCATTGGACGGGCGAGTGCTGAGAAGCACAGATTGGAATCCGGTGTGTCTCAAGAGAGCGTCAGAAGACAAGAGGCAAAGCTGATGCGCTATCAAATCACAACAGGTTAGTGTCGAGGTTGCTCGCCAGTTGCAGCACCCCGCCGCCAGTTACATGATCTCCAAGACCTTGGCGGAAAAGGCTCTCTGGGATTTTGTAGAGAAGGAGAAGCCATCCTTTGGTGTGTCGGTGCTTTCAGTGTAAGTATGAAAAGTGGCTTCACCCATCTTGCGGTCTTCATCTACTGATCGGATAAGGCCTTTGATTATCGGGCCACCACTGCAGCACCTCCGCCAGAATGCATCTGGCAAGAGTCAATTCAACATGAGTGCCGACCTGTTCTACAGCACATTCCTGAAGCCCGTGTCTGGCGCAGATGGACCTTCGCAGCCACTGTACATCGGGTATATCGACGTCCGTGACCTTGCTGTGCTGCATGTTCAGTCAATCATCAAAGGCGGGACTGAGAACAGACGTTTGTTGCTCGCTAGCCCGGAGCCATTCCTTGCGAAGATGGTGTTGGAGATCTTGGCTGACAAGTTCCCACAACTAAAGGATCGGTTGTCATCAGTAAGAGCTGCAGCTATTGTGGCGAACAAGGAGCAGGATGCGGACCACCGGCTCAAGGTGGATGACTCCGAAGCCAAGCAATTGTTCGGCGGGAATATATACAGGCCACTCGAGCAGACTGTTGTTGACACAGCAACGAGGTTGTTGGCGCTTGAATGAGCACCAGTGGAGGGTTGTGGAACGTACGAATGGCAGGGCTTCCGATCCGTGAGACGGTGGTAATTGCACGTGGCAAGCACTTCAATCTCTTACGAGGAAGAGTCCAAGAGCGTTCAGGGGATCCACCAGATGAAGCTGTGCAGACGGAATTGCCATGGCGCTGCGCGGTCTCAGTTCAAAGAAAGATTGTCCCGAGAAGTTGTGAGGTGACACCTTGACACCCTTGACCTCTAACAAGCCAAGACTGCGGCGAAGCGAGATCAAAACACCGAACAGCAGTGACTAAATTCCATCGCGTACGACTGAACCTTTGTGACCTTGTTTGGGTGCGTGTCAACAAGGCTATGAGAGTCTATATCGCGATCTAACAATATTCCCATTCATTTGAAAGGACTACAACGTGAGACAGGTTCGTACCGGTAGATAACTTCAGCGGCAGATCAGCTTTACACCGCCACTTCTGTTTGCTCCACGCGTGGCTGACAACGCTGCTTCTCACGAAAGATTCCTATGCACAATTCAATTCTTTTTTCTGACCCTATACTTCCAGTCTAGCACTCAGTATCATGAGCTCAGTAACAGATATGGACTTCAATATGTCTTCCATCTACAGCAACCCACAGAAATTCTTCGAAATGATGGCTCAGGCAAACCCAAATCTACCAGTCCCTCCTTCATTTCCATCTCGTGCTGAAGTCAGAAACAAGGCAGCGGCCTTTTCCAAAGAGATCTTCAGTAGCTGGACCACCCTCCGTGACATTTTGGCGCGTCGCGAGGAGGTGATTCGAAAACGCTGGATGAACAAGAGGAAAGAACAACGCAAGAAAATTCTTCTAGCCGCTTGGCCAGGCATGCCCGAGCGACACCGACCGGATTTCTACGAGCTTGAGAAGACCGGATCCCGTGCTGAGTCAAGAAATATCGAAGCTTTCAAATATCCCTATGTCAACCAGGAAGATCTCCTTCAAGGAAGAGCATTGTTATTATTCTTGAATTCACGCGGTCGAAATCCACCCCATTCCTTTGCCCACGCCGATCTCGACGCAATGCATGTTGGACAGACTAGCAAGATGATTGTCCCGGTATTCCTCAACGAATACACAATGTACATCGCCGGCGAATCAGTTCCACATAGCTACGGTCGCCTGGTTAGCTGGGACGATGACGACGACGCGTTCATGCTGCAGCAAAGTTGTCTCCAGTTCCAGCCTGGGACGGGGCTTTTGGTTTTGGAAATCCAGAGCAAGATCTATTCTTTCCTTCTTGAGTGCTGCTACCAAATATTCCACGATGTTCCGCGAGACGAGCTGGCCAGCCTCCAACTTCCTGAGCAACCTGAGCCACCACCGATCGTGGCTTCTGAGACCTCCTATGCACAACTTTCCTCAGTGGCAGCAGAAGCGCCATATAGACTACCAGCCAAGCTTGATACGCGTCGACTTGTTCTCCTGGTAGAGGCCAAGCGAGCAGCTGCCGAAGACCATGTCTGGGATCTTAGAGAAGATCCAGGGTATTTCGCATCGGTGGCTATTGATCAAGCACAGCATCGCCAGGAAAGCCTTCTCGACGTAAGGGGCCAACGCCACCCACACCACGATGACGAGGTTTTCTGGAACCGAGTGATAAGAAGCGTACCGGTCGAGGCTTACATGTCCTTTCTCAGTTGGGATCTGCTTTACAACTACGCAGTCAGCCTAGACGATGCGTTCAAATCTGCCGGAACTCTTGACCATGGCCAACCTCTGCCTGAGAAGCTCGAGACAGCCCTGGTGGAGTTATGCTTCGCTGCCGAAATGATATCAAAGGGCCTGATTGGAGAATTGAAGTCCAGTGTGCCAGCTTCGTTACCAATGCGCGAGCGCTTTGTTCGAGAACCCCAACAACCAGGAACGGCAGTCATCCGGACCAAGACGAAACAGGGTGTCGGCAAGGACCCCTTACTACAGCTATTCGTGATGCTGTGGGATGAAGACAAGGTGTTTTTAACGCAGCTTCCCAACCTCGTAGATGAGCTACAGCGATGCGTTGACCACGACCCTGGTCAGAAGGGCAGAATGTCGTCCTGCGTCGCCGGGTATTTCTCCGACCTGGCCCTCATTGCACAACTCGTTAGGCAGGTAAAGACCTTCTTTCCATGGGCCGCGGGTTTGGAAACAGAGATGAGTCCAGAAAACCGAGGTCCAGGGTACGCTAAAGCAACGGAAGATACAGCAACTGTCTATCAATTGTTCCGTGAAGACATCGCTCCGAATCTCGCGCGCATCGTCGTCCCACTCTCAAGACACCTGCAATATCCCATCGAAAGGGTCCACAACGTGACAAACGTGAACGCCTGCCGCCAAGCCGAAGATCGACTGGATAGGTTGTGGAAGGTTGTCGATGCGCATTTTCGAAAACATACCGACAAGACACTTCACGAGATATTCCTCAGCCACGATGTGAAGGCTCGAGAGATCCATCGCAAGCCAGAATGGACACCTCCACCAAAAGTATCCCAGCCGCCCAACAAGGAGAAAGAAAATGAAGCTCTCAGCGACTCATTTCCCCGCCTTAACATCGAGCCCGATAGACCAGGCAAATTCAAAGGACCCGAAGTATCTCGAGCATCCAAGTTCAAAACCCGCGGCCCATCTCACCCGCCCGATTCCAGCGACGCAACACCACCAGTACCCGACGATCCGACTTCCCTTTCGACGCCTCCCTTCCCAGTCTTCACCCTCCCGCGACGCGCTTACAAAGTCTTCGCCTCTCTCTTCCCAACACCCTCTAACCCCTCCCAGGGCGGCGAAATTAGCTGGACAGATTTCTTGCACGCGATGACGAGCATTGGCTTCGCAGCGGAGAAGCTGTATGGCTCCGTATGGCAGTTCACTCCGCCGGATGGAATAGATTGGGAGAACGCGAACACTCGGGGAATTCATATCCACGAACCGCATCCAGCGCCGAAGATGGGGCTTGGCACGGCGAGACGGGTTGGGAGACGACTGGGACGGAGGTATGGACTTAGCGCAGAGAGGTTTGCTTTGGCGTGAAAGAGGCAATCGGGAATTTGCAACGCGAGTAGGGAGGGAGAGGAGATCAATAAATTGAATTTCGAAGGTCTTGTTTACGAGGGTCAAGTGATTGGAAAAGGCTAACATTGCTTCTCGCTTGATCAGACGGACCGAGTGAAATACTGTGTCAACCTTCTAATCGTAACAGAGTGGTCCAACATATCAGGGAAGCAATTCTTCCAATGCCAAAAATGTTGATGATTTCCACCCGAATATCAACCCCGTTGAGGATCGCCTCTTCTTTGCACCTAGGATTCAGCCACCGACTTACCTGTGCACTCACTCGCCCACTTACTTGATGCATCATTATTCCCAGCCTTGTCAAATCACATCATACCAGAAGAAATATTGAAACCGCCCACCCTAACAGCCCAATTTCAACGCCTCCCTTTCCAGAAACGCCCTTAGCAACTCATCCTTACATTACATTACAAAATAAAGGTGCGGCACAACATCCACAACAAAAGCCCAGACCACAGTCATTTGAATGATTCGCATTCGTCTGATTGACTTGCATAACGTACACCAGCTGTTGTTGCGGCATTTGCTGCTAGATGAAAAAAATCAATCGTAATTAGGTACTTAACAGAGCAAGCACCACAGGAGGAGCCCAACCGAGTAGTCCGGGTGGATTGGAAAGGGGGGCTGGACTAGGATCCTCCCGCGTCCCAAATGGATCCCGTCGTCTTCTAAAATTGACCAGAGTTTGTATTTTCAAAGAAACATCGAAGGCTCAGGACGGCTCAGGGAGCACTCAGGGAGCGGAAGGTGAGCCGCCCGGTTACGTGGGAGAACAATACACCAAGCTTTGTAACCATCATCTGGCTCTATCAAACCCCAGAAAGCACCATTGGTGCCGGGGAGTTGTAGCTCTCCGAGGAAGATCTCTGCTCTTAGCGTCAGCATGATGAAGCGACTGGATCCTAGCACAGTCATGGGGAATGATCTCCAGAATGATTCAGGGTGATTAGTGATACTCTTGAGGTGATGAGGCTGAGTAAATGCCTCCGTCTCTGTCGGACGAAAAGCCGGAATTCGGAAACACTTCACAAATCACTATGATTTCTGTGCTCGTTTCAAATGAAACATGAAAAGGGGCTGCGAAACACGTCCGGATTGTTCGAAGCTTTCGGCGTGTAGAAATCTTTGCCTTGAGGCCATTCGATCCTCGAAATGCGCGCTTACCGGAATTTTCGCTCCCAGAATGAATACAACCGGTACCAGCTCTGGCCCGCGGCAAGCACAAGCCCATTTGAGTATGCGGAAGGGCACCAGGAGCTGTTATGAGTGTAAGACTGTCCTTCCGAGTTGGTAGCTCAATGCTGCCAATTTCCAGACTTGATCAACGTCGCTCAAATGCTGGCAATGCTGAATCGGCTGATTTAAAGCTGTCGTCAGGTCGACGTCGAAAAACGAAATGCACCTACCGCGAAGGAAGACAGTCCAAGTGCGAGGAATGCTATGCTCGTGGCTCCCCTTGCGTGGCCCAGGACAAAGGCTCTAAGACGACGACTACTATCAGTGCCGCATCAACCAAAGCGGATGGCAATAATGACGAGGCTAAATATAGCCTGCGGGAACGAGTTGCTCGCTTGGAGGATTTTGTGGGAACTTACCTGAGCAATGAATCTGCCACCAAGTCGTCGGACACTGGGAGAAATCACAGTCAACGCAACAGCAGAGTCGCGTATACCGGTAAATTGGGCATAGTGTGTACCTCACGGCAGCCAGTATTGATTAACAAGGCCACGACAGACTCAACGCCAGACGGACCAGCACCCACATATGCCAACGGTCATTTCAAATCGAACCCTATCCTCAGTCTATTTGACAACGACGTTATCACACGAGCAGGCCGTACGGCGGGCCCTTCTCTCATCGAGACAGCGGCTACGACAGAACCATCAGGTTTCCATCCTGCTCGATATGAGCTCCTGATACTTCTGCCGCAGGAGCCTGATCTAAACACATTGGTCGAGCTGAGCAAAGACTGGTGGAACTCGGCACCTCACAGATTTCCAGAGCTATTCGACCGCGCAGAAACGACTGCTGAAGACTGGAGATCTGTGCTCAACCACAAATTATCTCTTGCCAATCCCGCCGAGACCGCCAAAGCCCTCCTCTGGACATTGATCAGTGCTGAACGACTGAGCGAGGATGTCTTTCGCGATAGCACTTTTCGAGATCCTACAGCCATAGCTACTTTGGAGTCTCGAATCCTGCCTGCTATTGATAGAGCAGTGGTCTTCGAGGACGATATTGCGATAACCCTGCCCGGGATAGAATGCTTGATTCTGTTGTCAAGGTATTACTGCAACCAAGGCAGACTGCGGAAAGCCTGGCACCTGTGCCGACGATCACTTGAATACGCCATCAGCATAGGTCTTGACGGGTCCCCCGCCGAATCAGGCCCGATACTGCCAGATCAACCTCGCCATCGACAAATAGACGTATGGGGAGCGATATGTTTCTTGGATCGGTACTTAAGCTTGCTACTCGGTTTCCCTTATGGTGTGCGACATTCGTCCTTGGACTTACCAAAGAGAGGCTCAGAAACCACGCAGAACACTTCGCAGCAGGCGACATTCGTCCATACCGCCATGAGCTCCATCATTGGCCAGATCATTGATCGGAATCAGCAGCTACTAGACGACCACGATTCGTTGCTTCGGACTCTGAAAATAGATCGGGAGCTGAAACAGGTTATGGACAACGTGGACACTGTCCGATGGGACGCCGACTCAAGATCCTCGGATCCCCACATACAGGAGGCCTTTGAGCGCATTGAAGCATATTTCCTGATGCATTTCATTCAAGCTCTCCTCCATCTACCGCTGATGCTGAAGTGCATCGGTAAAGGAGACAAAGGAGTGTTCCAGTATTCATACGGAGCCTCTACGAGAGCATCGCGTCAGGCTCTTGTCGCTTACAAATACCTTCGCGTGGGCTTGCGGATCGACCCGTACTTGTGCACAATGCTCGATTTTCAGGCTTTCACAATGTCCGCGTTGCTGGTCTTGCATTTACTGGGCCAGAAGACCGAATGCAATGAGGAAGCGAACAGGGAATATGCTATTGAGGCGCAGGATGAACGTGATTGGAAATCCATCGCAGACGTTACAGATATCCTCCGACAGGCGTCTACACATAACAGCAAGAACATCGTGGCTAAGCAGGCCGTGGAAGTTCTGGACCTATTGTTAGGTGAGAAAGGGGATGCAGACGAACGGTTCAACTCATGCCCTCAAGCCGAATTTGATGGTGGAGAAAGGTGCCAGATCCAGATCAATATTCCCTGCTTTGGGGAAGTCACCATTGCGCGAGGTGTGAAGAGGAGCCCCTACCTCTGTCCTAGTGCCCCTGCAAACACAACGGAATCACCACCTTGCATGACTGCTGCTCTCTTGCCTTTGACTGGACAAGAAGAGACAGTTCCCAACCCAGCCGATTTATGTACGATGACAGTATCAGTGGGTGACGGTACGGCGGCCCTCTTTGACGGGAACTGGAACGTGCTTGCGAGAAATGTAGCCTCAGCAGTGGCAACCCACTCAGAATGAATCGGAGACCACAGCATCTGGTATTTGCTTGCACATGCACCCTGGGGTGCACACAATTTTCTTTTCCTTCTCAGAAATGATTCCAGCATCCTCAACCCACGCTTTACACACCGTTGTCGACCATCAGTCCCGAGGTAGTTCTCCCTGCACGTGCATGGGCAATTCCCCATTCGAGGCCCTGATTACGTCTTCGAACCTGTAAGAGGAGGCAAAAAAGCAATTCTGAATTAGCAAGTTTGATCCCGAGGTCGAGCATCTGAGAAAAGCTCATCCAATGCCTCCAGCGCAATGCAGTGGTAGAGCAAGGACACCCCGCTCGACCCTCAGGAGGTAAGGAACAAGGAAGCGAGGCAAAACTCACGCAGACTGAAACATGATATACACCATCTCATCATTGTACACGTTGCGCGAGTACTCTGCCTCTTCGTGGGCGACCTTGATGGTAGTGGTGCCGCGGCCCGCACATGCGGCGTCGGCGAGCAGCTGGGCCTGGATGCAGCGGTCCATGGCGCCGAAGAGGAAGGCGGCCCCGTCGACCGTCTTGCCCACCGTTAGGTGCCCGTGGTTTTGGAGGATCACGCCCTTGGTGTTGCCCAGCGCCGCGGCGATGTGGTGGCCCTCGTCTGCTTTCTGTCTCGGAGGAGGGGGAACACCTTTTAGCTCGGGAAATCATCCGGGATGGGGGTACAGAAAGAAAGTATATATAGATGGATGGGTTTTAATGGCGGGAATAACAATGCCTCGATTCAAGAACTCGAGAGTTTTCCTTTCCTGGGTGGATCAAGGGGTTACAAGGGGAAGAACGTACCAGGGCGATCCCGCCAAAGCCAGAGTAGATGCCGTGGTCTCTGTAGAACCTGAGGTGACACAGTCGATGTTAGCATTACTTGGCTGGTGGTTGGTGGTTCGGTAGGTATGGTCCAAAATACCAAAGGAGATATCAAACATCGAGAAGAGAAGATCTGGTCCGCCAGAGTCGATACCTCTCCCATACACACGCGCGCCTTCTCTCTCACACTTCCTCATTCTTCGTCCACTGGCTATGATTGCACACTTACCGGCACGCGTCCTGGTTAATAGGCTCCAAATAACACCCCAGGGCCGAAAATGCCTTGCTCGGCACACTGTGGCAGTGCACGGCGGCGACGACGTCGGGCCTGGCCTCGTGCACCGCACTGTGAATGACCCACCCGGCGGGGTTGACGCTGTGCATGTTCCCACCCTCGACGACCTCTCCCTTGGGGTTCATCAAGACCAGGTCGTCGGGCGTCATCCACGAGAACGACTTGCCGTGCGGGTTGATCCAGAAGTGGTCCGGGAGGACCGGGTCGCGCACCGTGACGTGTCCGCCCGCGCCCTCGTTGTTGTAACCCTGGTACCCCAACCACCGCAGCGCCGCGGCGTGGTGAAGTTTGCGGAAAGCCCGCTCGCTCTCCAACGACTGGAACTTTGGGTACCGGATGCGCTTGACGGGCCTGGTGCCCGTGGATTGGTACGCGCCGTAGGTGAATTCCGGCGAGAAGTTGGGTGGATCCTTTGGCGTGCTGATGTGCTGCTGGGCTGTTGCGACTGCGGCGGGAGTCGTTCGCGAGGCTGAGATTGTGCGGGTCGACTGGCTTGCATTCGCATGTCCAAGGGGAAATGCTGTTGGGTTTCCAAGAAGAATCCGGGAGACGTGTCGAGGTTTGGCGTGGTTTCCAACCACCCTCAGTGCGATCGAGGAGGGGCCTGAAGCCATGTCGTCCCACAAACCACTGGAATAAGGCCTTCGTCAATCAGACACAGGTCAAGAAAAGATGAGATTCTTCTTTTTGCTCCTGATCGAGATTCATCGACCTCAGTATGATCAGTATTGGAGATAAAACGGAATTCCAAAGAGGAATCCATGCTGTCGCCTTGGTCTCCGCGAACTTCGGGGTCGCTGATGTTGCGGGGAAACTATGTACGAATGACAATCAACTGCGAGGGGACAAATTCTCCAAAGATCGCCAGCCAAAGACTATTGAAAACGGGTTATCCGAGGTCAGAATGTCTTGTCATAGTACCGCGATCGTTCACACAGGGAGTAAAATAGCAGCAGCGGCAAAGTCATTGGACAGTGCTTTCCGCTCTATGTCCCATTGCTGGCTCGCTGGTTTCAAAAATGCTTCCAAGCACAGGGGTTCAGCCTCGTTGGTGGAGACGTTTGCCAAGCATCACGCCGACTCTGATGTCGAGGGATCGAAGGAGAATGCTTTGGGTAGACAGCAAAGTTGCGGGATACTACACCGAAGCTGGGGTCATAAGGGGTCTTCTCTTTAATGAACCTTTAAGTAAGGTCTGTGAGTCCCTGCTCGCCGTGCGTTCCGGATATCGCCCAAGGTCATCGCAGAATGATGTGAAAAGGTCTAATGGGTCAGAGGCCTCCATTTATACTAGCAAGTCTCTCGGCGGGTAAGTCTCTTTCAAACACGCTGCTGAGCTGCTCTGTGCAAGATTTCGATTGACCATAACCAACTGGAGTCTGCCGTTGCCTCTTGAGACCGGTGGGCATGGCCATTTATCATAGAATCGCTGTCACCCTTCGATGCCACGGTCTCCGGGTAAGTGGAGTAGCATTCTCGGATATCAGTTCATTCCTCAGCAACAACCTATATATTGGTCTAAGTTGAGGAATATGTGCATTGTCACTAATATCGGATATGATCTGTGGTCTGTTTCCAATGGCACTGTGCAGAGCGAGTGGGAATCATGGTCCGAAACGCTGGTAGCTCGTGGATAGAGGACATGATGAAAACATCCAGGGCGCAATGATACCGCCCAAAAAGGTCAAAATGGACAAGGTGGACAGGCGACCTGTTTCGCTATAGCGACCACATGGAGAAAATTCTGCGTCAGGCCGTCATTATATTCAATTATTTTTCTTCGCATAGTTCGACCAGAACCGCCTCGAGAAGAGTAATTCTCCTATCCATGCGCCACTGTCCCGCCGCGGCTTAGAACTGGATTATCCAAAAGCGCTCAAAAACAACCAGAGACCTGCACTGCTGAGGAGTGGAATCGTTAAGTTGTCATCCCAACCCCACAGATCTATAAACTCGGACACACTGGCAATAAGCCCTGTGCAAATGCTCATAACTGCGAGCGCAGCATCCCCGACAATAACTCCCTGATTCGGCCCCCAACCTAGAAGCTCCTTCACCTGAGCGGGGAGCGTCAGGCGGTTTTGGAACATGTAAGGATCGATGGGATCGTCGACGAATGGGCCGGTTCTCGGCACCAGATAGCCCCAGAAGAAGAGAGCCACGAGGACACCGACAAGAAAAGCGGCGAGGGAGCCTGCCAGAGACTTTCCTTTCCGCAGACGGATTGTATAACGCCCATACAATCGACCAAAGGTGCTGGCGGCAGTATCACACCAAGACAGGAGAAGGATTGACATGACGCCGATATCCTTAGGGAAGAATCGTAACGCGACGTACGCGCCGACCAAATACCAAATGACGCCGTTATATCCATCCACCTCTGTCTCACGCATCAGAGCGCCCAGCACTGAGATGTAGAATCTATTAAATCGTTCTGAGTGGTGTCGGAGGACGTCGGTCGGGGCGATGATGGCGAGTGCGCCTAGTAGCCACGGTGTTATAGCCCAGGTCTGCACACCTGTCACATACAAACGTAAGGTGAAGAACCCGATCGAGACGTGGAGGACCTTCCGGGGGATTTCATGCTTGTGGATCAGAGTGCGGTAATGGCGGTGGAGCGGGATCAGGCCGAGCGGTGAAGGAGAGCGAGAGAACTCTCGCCAGGATTTCTTGACCCGGTCGTAGGGTGAAAGATGGCCGTTTGATTGTGGGTATGGGACTGTACCGTTTGTGAGAGGCTCTGATTTAGTGACTGGTTTTATCGACGTAAGGCCACTCATACGCCTCCTCTTGCTGGCATTCGCCGAGCCATTCATGTGAGTGGTAGTCAAGACAGGACTCCTAGAGCGCGCTCTGGCACGTTTCTCCAGGCTCGAGTCTGATCCAGAGCCATCCTTCTCTTCGTTGATGGGATCTGGTTGAGGGGACCGTTGGCGCTGGGCTTTGGCGGCCGAACGTGTGACGGGAGCGAAATAGGAGTCCTGGCGTTCGGAGGACTCGGAAGGCGTGGGGGAGGGCGAGATTACTCTCGGAGTGGAAGGGATGGGATATGGGAAGGACATCTGGAGGATTTCGGACTGGCCGACGAGGTTCGAGGGTGGTAGAAGGAGTGCCGGTGGGCAGCAGAAGTGAGATGGAAATATCTTACGGCCTGCGCACCGGCAACGACTTGGGGAAAGGGGAGGATTTGCTCAAGAATCAAATTGGCGGCATAATGATGAAGAGGTAGGGAGCTTGCGTGGCACAATATCTCCAACCTGGCCGTTATTCTGGCAATTCAACGATGACGCGGGAGGGTGGTGCGCATGGATGGGATCTTGTGCCCTGGAATTGGGATAAAGAAAACTGGATGTGGAAGGGGGACATGATGGGCACATGCAAGGATCACGAACAAAGCAAAGCCACTTATCGACTTTGTGAGCAGTCAACGCAGTGCATAAGCCACATCCGCCCGTGGTTCCAAGACGCCTTCAGCCACTGCCGGCCTTGCGATTGCTCGGCTCGGGCTGCCCATGGGCCATGGCTCGCTCATCAAGGCGCGCGAGGCAATGACTTCAGCTGCGCTCTCACTAAATACTCCTTTGGGCTTTAGTGCGGTACAAGTAATCACATTAATTCATCTCGTGCATAGAACACATCAACGATCCTCTATTAACTCCTTCATCTCCCGAGTCAGTTACTCTTGGAACCAGGCACCTGTCGACAGCCCAGGATTACGGAGTATCCCGCATCATGATAGGTGCGTGATAAGCGCCGATGTCCATAAGGTTTTCGAATTCACAATATGCTACGAGTATAGGCGTCATAAACATATATATGTTTCAAAATCACAATATCTCACGCAATCGACCACAGGATTTGGAAAAACAGGGCTTCCCGTTCGCTCAGCCGTACTTAAGCCAAATGCCGATTGTGTTAGTACCAAGGTGGGTGACCACTTGGGAATCCCAATTGTTGATTGTTTTTGTTTTTTTGGGCTCCTATCAAGAGCAAACACCCGTTGGAATAATGGGATGGGTTGGTTCTGAAGACAAGATTTTGAAAGGCCCGTGTTACTTCGCAGCTCTCAAACTCTTCCGGACCGTTATACTCCATATAAGATCATTCTAACACATCGCGACAACCTATTTCTCAAGATCAAGCCCTAGAAACTCCGAATCAACACTCAACAGATGGCGTCGGCCGAACAAGAAATAAGAATCTGTCCCTGGCGTGAATGGTCAACTACCTGGTAGGTAAGCTCTGGCTGGAAAATGACTATGTATCTATTACCTTGTGCAACACCTTCACCGTCCTCGAGTGAGCAGACCGCGAATTTCTCACTTGGTCTCATGATCAAAGATGGCAAGTCGCGATCATTATCACCAGCACGGAAAGTCACTGTCTAAACAGAGTCTGGCTTTCTGTCCTCAGGCCCTTGATAACCGTGCTTGTACTTCGCCATCAGGTATTGCATGTCTTCGATCACTCTTGTTGTTCTGTGAGTAAAGGGACACAATCATCTGGGTCATTTGGCCTTACAGGTCTCTGAAGCGCATATTGTTCAGATAGCAAGCCGATGAAGTCAAGTTGAAACGGAGTCGATAAAGGATCAAGCGATCTTCGAAATCCTCCTGTGGAGCGGAAGTCGCAAAGTGTTTCCGATATTCTCTGATATAGGCGCGGTAGATTTTATGCCGCGGCTGATTCCACGCCCCAAGCTCATCTGCATGTATCAGTGATTCTGCCTCGACTATGCTTGGATGCCTTACACTCATTGTGGGCATACATGCCGCTGGCGTCGAAGATGACTGGCTTGTCCGTTACCGCGTCAACAGACGTATTGCCGTCCCACATGTCTCCATGCACTATCCTGGGTTGGATCTCTCGGCCCCCTGTTTCCAAGGGTCGCAAGAGCCTAGGAATCACTTTGTCCAGAATGACCTCTTGCATTTGCTGCATGTCCTCATTACAACCATGCATCTCTTGCTCAAAGTCAAACATGGTGCTCATCAGTGTGGTGAATGACTTCTCCCAGGAGCTCGTCCATTCATTTTGCTGTGTGCAAGCACCCATATTGGTGGGCACTGGGAATCCATATTTGCCGTTTGGTGAAACCCCCTTCAGGTGCATTTCTGCGACCTTGGCAGGCAACGACTCTGCATCGGGAATGTCGTCGGTCATGTCGACGAACCGAGCAAGATAGAAGTGGACATCGCTATCGGTTGCATACGTTCCCACCGCGACTGGTTCAGGGACTAGGTCTGGAGTTGCCCGCGCAATGGCAGATATCGACTCATATTCGCCGTGGAGGTTGATCTTGCCGGCATCGGTTTTGGTGATCTTCACAGTGTCAGTGCTCAACGCTTCCACTGGTCAACAGAAATACCTTGAGAAAGAAATCCAGAGTGCTGCCATCGGTCTGCACAGTCTGAATGGCCGCTGTCCTCGTCCAATAAGCGGATCCATGCGGGAAGATACCCTTCACCCTCGACCCCTCGGGAAAGCCTTCATTGTCAATATGGGCATTGGTCCTGAGGGCAAAGAAGATGCTCACTGGCAGCCACGTTAGGATCAATATACTGAATATGGCGCTCGGCTGGCAATTCAGTCAATCCTGCGACGATGTTTCGTGCCTTCGTTGGACGGCTGGGTCCAGAATAGACGGGGAGGTTGGCATGTTGAGGGTCGTTTTCGCGAGCCCTGAGGGTTAACGTCATTGGTGGCTCTTTCCGAGATTAACGTGCTCCTTCAAATGTGCTGGTCGTAGAGGAGAGTTCGCATCTTCCTGACAATCAACGGATCCCCACGGGATTTTGTTGACTCTTATTCTCCTTATCAGGCTGGCTGGTCGCACCAGCGTGGAGTCAGGGAGGATTGTGGCATCATATGCAGCATGGGCACCAAGCTGACGGATGGTGACGGGGAGTTTCGCTACGCGCCGACCCTGCAGGAGCATGGGGCAGCCTGTGGTGGCCTAGTAGCCTCCAAACTTTGTGTGCCACTGGCTGTACACATCCTTGCCATGCCTTGGTGGATGCTCACCTTTCTTCACATCTCAGTGTCCTTACCCAAAATAAATTACCCTCGAATTTGAGAGGCCGCCACCCCGCTTCTTGTAGCCGCTGTGGATGAACTGGTCGTTGCGATATCGCTTCTTTAGTCGCGCGGGGACCAACCAACTTCCAGGCATGAGAGCTTGTTGCTGCCGACTCTCCACGGTTTCAACGCAAGGGCCACAACAGGCCAATATTGACCAGTCCGTTTGGCATCGGCGGGCACTCTGCGAGCCTCAGTTTTGTTGATTTGGTTTGCTGTTGACGTGCTTAAAGATGATGTCTTGAGAGATCCTGGAGACACAGGGAAAGTCTCTCATAGCCAGCCTTATTTCCCTTACCATCGATAAGCTGCTGCGGTGCAATGTCAATCAGCCTAGTTACGAATGCGGCTGAACGCCACGCTTCTACAATCTGCCGCCTAAATTCCGTCCAGCAGTAGAGCTCCAAGGGTCGACACAAGTTCATCCCACGCGCCTGATCTACGTGGCCGAGCTGCCTTGTTGGCACATATCCCACTTCCTCTCAACTTCGCACCTGCAGATTTTCAATCCCGTAAAGCCGGAATCAACAACTCAGATTGCTCTAGGCCGCTCCTGCCGTTTCACCGTTACCCCATGCCTTCTCGTGTCTCTCAGAGCCCAAATGGACGACAAATCCCTTCTCGACCGGCGAAGGACGCTGGGAGAGAGTCCAAGATCCAACTCCTTCTTCTCTCGAGTGGGCACCTCGCGCAAAACAAGCAATGCCGGGCTTGATGACGCCAGAGGGCCTCTGGGCATCACCACTGTCTACAAACCCCTGGGGCATGTCACTGCCGATCTCATCTTCGTCCACGGACTAGCTGGAGGCTCACGCAAAACGTGGACAAAGGATCAAGATCCGGCTCTTTTCTGGCCTCAAGAATGGTTGCCAAAAGACGCAGCTTTCAGAGATGTCAGTATCCACATGTTTGGCTATGATTCAAATTGGAACAAAGCAAGTATCTTGAATATACATGACTTTGCGACGTCGCTCCTTGAGTGGGTGACCAATTGTCCCGATATTCCCAACGAGGCTGATAGGCCCCTTGTTCTTGTCTGCCACAGCATGGGAGGCTTAGTGGCAAAGAAGGCTTACATCCTTTCGAAACGCAACAAGGGATATGAGAAGTTCTCAGGGCATTTACGAGACATATTCTTCCTCGCCACCCCGCACCGCGGCTCTAATCTAGCTGAATTGCTGTCGAGAATTCTCCAGGTCTCTGGGGCCAGACCATTTGTCAACGACCTTCAACCCGGCTCAGCAACAATTCAAGCAATCAACGATGAATTCCCAGAATACAGCAAAGACTTGAATCTTTGGTCGTTCTGGGAGACTTTGCCTATGACTATCGGGATGCAGAAGAAGCTTGTCGTACCGAAGGAGTCAGCAATCTTGGGCTACTCGAATGAACGAAAGATGTTCTTGAATGCCGATCACAGAGACGTCTGTAAATTTGGCAGCCAGGATGAAGCAAATTATCGAGCTGTGAGAAATGCCCTTGCAGAAGCATTTAGCAGCTTTAGAACAGTCACAGGTCTCAGCCGCAATTCTACCAATTTCGAGCAGCAGCAATGGATTAATGATTGTCTTGACATATCCGACTCACCGGAAGACGATTACCTACGCGCGGATGCCCTACGAGTACCCGGCACATGCGAGTGGATCAACTCGCGGCCTGCATTTCAAACATGGAAAAACGAAGGACGGCCTCATCTATACTGGGTGACTGCGAAACCTGGAGCAGGCAAGTCGGTTCTATCCGGCCACGTCGTCAAGTCATTGAGAGAAGCCGACAAAGTCTGTGGCTTCTTCTTTTTTAACCATGGGGACAAGGTAAAATCCACAATGGGCGTTTTCTTCCGATATATGGCATGGCAGATGGCGTCAGCTAATACCGCGCTTTTGGATTCGCTTTGCAAGATATGCAAGAGAGATCCCCATTTGGCTCAGGCAGATTACAAGACTGTCTGGCGGAAGCTTTTCTTGGAATGCATTTTCAGACATCCGCCCTCGCAACCACAGTACTGGATCGTTGATGGTTTGGACGAATGCAAGACCGACAGTGAGCTGGTCCCATATCTTTTGCAAGCTGCGAATACCGGCTTCATTCGCATCTTCCTAACCTCTCGAACCACCTACGATTCGTACGGCCTGCCTTTCACATCTTCCGTCGTTGTCCACATCGACGCTGTGTCTCAGGAAACGACAAACAGTGACATCGAGCAGTACCTGAAAGCAAATATCAACAACTTGCCTGGTCGCAATCGCGATCTGACTGCGGGTTTGCTGTTGACGAAAGCTTCAGGCTGCTTCTTATGGGTGAGACTAGCTCTTCAAGAACTGAGAAGGGTTTCAACACGAGCTGGTATACAACAGATCCTCGAGGAGACACCTTCGGACATGGATCAACTGTACAACCGTATACTGGGCTCGATCTTCTCAGGCGCACGAGAGAAGAAGATGATCATGGCAATATTAGATTGGACCGCTTGTGCTGCACGGCCACTTACCACCACTGAACTTTACCACGCATTGAGACTGGATATGGATGATGAGATTGACGATGACGTGACAAGATTCATCGAGAACAATTGTGGCCAGCTAGTCCTCGTAGATCCTAACGACCGAGTACGCATGATCCATTTGACAGCACGGGACTTTCTCTTTTCCGATAAAAACACGTCCGTGGCTAGGCTCGACAAGAAGATCGGCCATAAGCGACTGGCCTTGGTGATCTTGAAGTACCTCTATGGACCAGAAATGGGCGGGCCGAAGCCAAGGAAACTCAGCGCTACACAAATCGTTACAGAGCGGTCCTCATTCGTGGCTTATGCTTGCGATTCATTGTGTCAACATCTGCCATTCGTTTCCTCCGATGACGATGAGTTTGCTGCAAGTCTAGTTCGTTTCTTGAAATCACCAAATCTACTATCGTGGGTGGAATACATCGCTCGGGAATCTGATTTGCGTCGCTTGGTTCAGACTGGAACGGCGCTTCGCCAATACATGCAACGAAGGACGAAAAATACACTCCTATTTGGAAATTCTGGAAAAGACATTGAGCTCGTTGATGCCTGGGCTACTGATATGATCAGGCTTGTCACGAAATTCGGCACGAAGTTACGTTCATCTCCTTCTATTGTATTCAACTTGATCGCCCCATTTTGTCCAATGCGCAGTGCAATGAGAATCCAACATGGTTCTTCCACAAGGTCAATAAGAGTCAGCGGTCTTTCTGAACAAATATGGGACGACTGCATTTCAACTATCACCCTCCCTGCTAGTCCAACAGCAGTTGCTTGCGGCGCCGGAGTGTTTGCCGTCGGCATGCAGAATGGAGATATTTCCATCTTCGACGAAACGACATGTCAAGAACTAAAAATCGTCAATCACAGGGAGCCGGTAAAGAGATTACTTTTCGGAGATACGGAAAACATACTTGTCTCTGCGGGCTTGAAACATATCTGCATTTGGAACTCCGCTACTTGGGAGCTGCACTGGACCTTTGAGCTACACTCTCAGTTCATTTCCTTGGCCCTTGCCGACGAAGATCAGCTTTTGCTTGTCACGTACCGTTCAAACGAGATAGTCGTATGGGAGATTGCGAAAGGGCTGGCCAGGGAGCCTATCTCGTGGCTCAATGAGGATGAAGAAGAAGTTTCGAGCCATTTTCGCAGGCCGCTTACAACAGCAATCTCGGGGGATCGGACTCTCCTTGCTTTTACCTATCGAGGACAGGATACAGTGGTATGGGATATTGAGAATGCCTGTGTTTACGATGTCTATGGCAAGGACGAAGGCTCCCTTGGCGTGACTGCTGAGAAACGCAATGGAATCGCCTCAGTCCTGAGCATGATCTTCAGTCGAGCTCCTGAAGCGCAACTGCTCGTCGTAAGTTACAACGATGGCGTGCTCAGTCTCTTCAACATTGCCGAAGGCACAGTGCAAGCTCAAGCAGCAGCAAATGGGCATACTCTTGCATCCTCAGCCGACGGCTTGACTCTGGCCTGTGGAAACTCTGCGGGTACCATCTCCATTTTTGAGTTCGACACACTGAAGTTACTCTACAGGATTCAGGCTGAAGACTCGAATATCAAGCAATTGGCATTCAGTGCTGACGGCCATCGCCTGGTGGACATACAGGGCAACCATTGCCGGATATGGGATCCACCCGTACTGCTTCGTCAAGAGCTTGATGAACAAAACAGCGATACTGTCTCCATCTCAACCAGCCCTGTCGACATCAAGCTAGACGATGACGTCGACGTCTTGTTAATCAGCGCAATGGCTTACGCGGATAATGGTAGCATCATTCTCTGCGGCAAGGAGAATGGAGGCGTATATCTCTATGACTCACAGACGGGACGAGAACGGGAGGAACTTCTACACCAGCACAAGGGCACACCCGTTGTCTTTCTCCATTACGACGTTCAGAGCAGCATCTTGATCTGTTGTGATGCGTCGAGCAGGATTACGGTGCACAAGTTGGTTCGGAAACGAGACGCCTGGACAATAGGAGTTCAGTATCTTGATCACCGTGCAGGAGCCGCTGTAAATCAGATCTTGGCCAATGCTGGCGTAAGCCAGCTTCTCATATCAACGGTCGAATACGACATCTTATGGCGGGTGACGTCGGCACGATGTGAAAAGACGGCAACCCTGAACTGGCAAGATTGTGACAAACCTCGCCATTGGGGCATTCACCCCTCTAGGAGCGAGCAGCTGATACTGGTGACTGGAACAGAGGCTCATCTCTACGAGTGGGACTCTTTGAAGAGACTGACTGGTGACAACGGCATCCGCTTCAGAGAATCCGATGGTTCTAAGCTCTTGATAAAAGGAGTGCGGCCTTGCTTTGATGAAAAGTTTCTGGCCATGACATGTGTGGACACGTCGGGGTCACACCCGCGGTCCAAACTCATGTTTTGGGATGCTGAAGATATCATCCCCGGTAACGCATTGATGGTGCCAGTCGAGCATTTCCAGCCCCTCGCTGACCAGGTCCAGTACCTGGTCGGGATCTTCAATCATCGGATAGTGTTCCTGCTCGCCGATGGCTGGATATGCTCGGCGGATTCCCACAGCTTCCACGAAGAACACTACGACCGCCACTTTTTCATCCCGGCCGACTGGCTCAGCACGGCGGGGAGCCTGCGGATCGAAGTCCTTCGGGATGGAACCATCCTATTCGTGAAGCGAGACGAACTCGCCGTGATAAAACGGGGCTTGGAGCATTTCGAGCATGGGCAGTCGCGGGCCTGGGGCAAGCGCCCTAGTGTTTCCCGGTCAGCCGTTAGTGACCCTACAGATTCTATATCTCGGATGAGGACAGCGTCCCTTCCTTCCAGGTAGCTATGTAATGATAGAGGCAGCTCTTGCCCAAACTTTGAAGCTTATGTCTTTTTAGACTGCCTTAATTCCATCGACGTCGTGGGCTCGTCCGAACTCTCTCCCCTGTGCTGCTGAGGACTGACATGAGCCGTCGCCGCTTGATCGTGTGTTTGTGTTTCACTCCTCCTGCTTCTCCAAGCCATACCCTTGCTATTCAATGCCGAAACTGCTGCTGCTCCGCCGACACCACTCAAGACGCCGGCCAGAGTAAAGAACCACCCTCGGCCCATGGCATCGAACAACGGCTGCATGGCAGCCACGGCGGCGGCGCTCATGGCACACCGGATCAGATTGCCGGCTGTAGCCGCAGTGCTGGGCATCTTGGGGTATCCGTCCACAAGGAGCGCGTTGAAGCAGTTGACAATCCAAGTTGACAGGAATCCCATCACAGCCTGGAACATTAATGGGACGGCCACGTGGACATGCTCTTCGATGGCCCAGCCATACCCAATTGTGATGCCCAGACTTGCGAGCAGGAGCCAAATACAACCCCTGGCCCTAGCCCTTTCGATCGGGAATTTGGCAAGGTCGTCTCCCTTGACCTTGTCGACCTCGAGGCCCGTCTGCCTCGCGACAAGTCGGTAGTTGTAGTCCATTGCCTTGCCGGTGATGTACATGCAGACGACGACCCCGGCCGATCCAGGCAGATATGCAAGGCCGATCTGCAGCTCGTCGAAGTTGTACGGGTGTCGTCCATAGGTGGAAGGGATGGACGACTGGACAGTGTACCACAAGGCGTAGAAAGAGCCCACAATCCACAGGATGAGTGCCGTATCGGGATAGACCATGATCCGGATCGAGCTCAGCGGGCTGCGGAATTTCGCGCTCCTCTTCGGCAGCCCTGCGTGGTTGCTGCTGTCATTATTACTTGAACCCGATTCCAGATCCACCCTCTTGTTCAGGTTGATCAGCGGCCGGTTCCACACCTGATCCCTGACGCGACCATTGCCGACCACATTCCTTGCCGTCTCGGGCAGAAACGTCGCGAGGGCCGCGAGCATGACGACTGCGAAAATCACCAGGGCCCAAAAAGCCCACCAGACACCGCCGCCGGAGCTCAGCGCGATCCAGCCGCCCACGACGGGACCGACGGCGGTGCCCAAGTTCGCCGCCGCCATGACCGGACCCAGCATCCTCCCCCTCTCGCTGGGCACGCACACGTCCGCCACGACGCCGTAGCATATGCTGAGCACCGCACTGGACCCGAGGCTCTGCAACGCCCGGAGCACGAGCAACGCGGCGTAGCTGGAGCGATTGAGCGCCAGCCCCAGCGACGCGAGCGCGAAGATGGCAAACGCCGCCAAAACCACGGGCCGCCGGCCCAGCGTGTCGGAAAACGTCGACAGCAGCACCGGCGCCAGGGCCTGGAAGATGATGTACACGGTTATCGTGAGGTTGACCCTCTGCAGGGAGACGTGGAAATGCGCCGCGAGAACCGGAAGGAGCGGGAGGTAAATGGTCGCGGTCAGCGGAGACGTGAGGGTCGCGGCGCCCAGGAGGATCGTGATGACGCGCCGGACCGGGGCGGCAAATACTGAATATGCTTCTTCTTCTTCTTCTTCTTCTTCTTCTTCTTGCGCCGAGGTTTCAGTCGTCGGGTTAGGACCACCACCATCAACAGCCGTGGATTCCTCTGAGGTCTTTTCCGAAGCCATGGTTGACATTCCCCAGGGATCAAGAATCTGATAGAGAGGGGGCGGTCAAACGAAGCCCCCCGATTGTTTAGAGCGCCTCGTATGCAGGATTCACCTCTCCATCACACTGTCAAGGGAGACAGACACAAGCAAGAGGAGCGAGCATGCTGCCTGTTGAGGCTCCCAGCAGCAGTTGACGGCTACACATCCCTTGTGACCTGTAGAGCATGGATAGGTAGATCCATCCCTTGTGGTTCCCAGTAGGTATGTAGTACGAGATCTGGCATATTTTACTTGAATCTTGGCGCCGGGTGAAGTTCTCGCAATCTGATACGCTACAATACTCACACCTCCAACCTCCCTATATCTCTGGCTACTAGGATAGGTTAACCTTATTTATATATTATACATCCGACGTAATAGGGAAGGGGGCCCAAATCCAGAAGAATCTTCCTCTATGTCGTTCAGGTGAGACCGGTGTCATTCCTACCTATGCCAGTCCAGTCCGGGCGACGAGATCGACTTGGAGAGACGAGCGTAGCGAGTTGGCAAATAGGAGTTCTACAATAGCTTTGATTTCCTTTTTCATGTCTAAGGCGGGATTTATATAGTTACAAAGGTTTGTGTTGGCATGAGGACCATCAATCACAACGATGCCGGGTGGTTGGCGAGATACCCAAATGTCGAGAATATCGTTGACATCCGTTGAGGGTTTGTAAGTGTAAGTGGGAAGGATGGTGCGTGAGAGACGCTGCAATCCTCCATTGCAGGCCTCGCAAGCGGATAAGTTGCGACATAGACGCATGCTTCAGCTTGTCTTGAAGGCCGGCCCGGGATATGTATAACGGTGCGACCATATCCCTCCGTTGAGGTAATCGGACTGCGTCCTGTTCAACGGGGCCCGATCTTCTCCAGACCACCCATGTAACGCCTCAGAACTTGGGGAACCATAACGCAGCCTTCGGCCTCGCGCCATCCATTCTCCAAGAGTGCAGCGATAACTCTTGGAATTGCCATAGCCGTCCCATTCACTGTGTGCGCAAACTTCTTCCTTGACCCATCAGCATCTAGGATCCTCGTGTCTAGCCTGCGACTTTGGTAGTCTGTGCAAATGGATGCCGAAGTGACTTCGCCCCATCCCTCATCCTTCCTCTTCCTCGAAGGAAACATTGCTTCGATGTCAATCTTGCGATACGCGCTAGCACCCAGATCGGAAGTCGGCATCTCGAGGACGCGGCAGGGTAAGCCAAGCGACGAAAGGATTTCCGTCTGTATTTCCACCATCTCGGTCAAAAGTTGACCGGAACACTCTGTCCAGCTTGCTTCATCCGTAAAAGCTCCGTTGCTGCTGTTGACAGGTGGGCAATCGGTCCATGCGAACATCTCAACCTTGGTAAACTCATGGACGCGGTATAGACCCTTGGTGTCGACTCCGCGAGCACCGGCCTCCGCCCGAAAACACCGACTCGATCCAACGAGCTTGACAGGGAGACGTTCTGCGGGGATGGCCTTGCCGGCATACATGCCTGCGAGGGGAATCTCGGCCGTTGCAGCAAGACTGCGGGTGGGCTTTCCCGCATCCTTTTCAAGTTGCGCGATTTGCCAGATCTGCTGTTCATCGTTTTGGTCCCGAGGTTGGAACCCGCAGGCAGCGGCCATGTGCGAGTAGATTAGTGACGGCGGTGAGACAACGGACCAGCCGTGTTTCATGGCAACGGACAAGGCATACTGGATGAGAGCTTGTTCCAGTAAAGCCGCCTCATTTAGCAAGAAGTAAAACCCCCAACCAGACGTCATCGATGACGATGAAAAGTCGAGCAGACCGAGCTTCTCGCCGATTATCGAGTGGTCGGCGGAAGCGCCATACTGCGGCGGTTGATCTGGGTCGTAGTTGATGTAGGCGCGCAATCTTGGATCATCGCCAGTCGGTGCATCCGAAAATGTCAGGTTGGGTAGGGACAAGGCCATAGAGCGCGTCTCCAACTCCAGCGCATCGTGCTCGGCTTGGAGAGCGTCGACCTGTGGTCTGATCGCTTTCATCTGCGCCACAATGTCCGCCTTGTTCCCTTGCGTAGTGTTCAGTTGCTTTTGCAGCTCTTTCAAGGCATGACGGGACCCGGCCATGCGCTGGTCGAGCTCTCTCATCTGCCTGACATTGTCCGCCACTCGGCGTGGGACATGCTGGTGGCCACCGTAGTTTCGCACCAGGCAGTTTCGTTCGTAGAGCTCAACATTGTCGCGGATCTGGGTCAGAGGGGGGAATTGGCGCGGCGCAGTCGCCGGTCGGAGTTCTTGGTGGGCGGGTTTTGTGGTGCAGTATGCTCTTCTGCATTGAAGCAGAAATGCTCGAGCTTCGAGAGCTTTCCTCGACATCAAAGCTCGGACGTGCGCGGCACAGCAAGTCTTGACCAGGGAAAACGCGGTTGGACGCGCTTCAAAAAAAAAAAAAGGCCCAGGCAAGCGTCAATTGACATTTGATGAACTTGAAGTGCGGAGTGCTGAGTGGCTACCGTTTCCCAACTAGGCATGGGTGTCTTGCTGTTTTACATGTGCAGCAGTCGACGACTCGACGCACTGAATACGACAACCACCTCGATAGCCTCGCGACGTGCTGCACGGTCAACCTCCGACTTGCAGTTCATGAGGTACGCTCCGTCCCCGAGTTAGAATGGTAGAGTGTGGCACCTGTTGATCTGGATTCAAGGGGCAAGCCTTATACATCCACTTTACTGCGTTTCCTAGAATGCTTCGAGCCTCCTTGGAAACAGTAATCTGGGGGGAAAGTATGGGTGTCACGTTCGTTTTCAGAGTGACAATAGCAGCTGGGAAATAACTAGTATACACAGTTTTATCCGGAGACCCAGAACCCCGTCAAGAGACCGCATTCCCTGCGGATTCACCTCATCTTTGTGTGTCCTGCTTGTGCTCAGCCTCCAGGAGATTAGCATAGATACTGAGGGATTCCCCAATCAAGTTGACCATCTGCCACACGCTACTCGACTGATACAGCTTAGCCCACAGCCGGACAACCATGCCGCTCAGCCGGGCCTTTTGCGTCAGGATGTGGTCACAGCTCATTTTATATTCAGTCTCGGCCACAAGCTGGACGACAAATTCGAGCACCCTCTGTTCCGCCGGCGTTAGGTCAGGGCTTGATTCGGGCACCGTGACTGCCTCAAGCCACTTGGCGAGCAGGACGGCGCACTCCAGCGAGCACAGAGCATGTTGGTTGGACCATAGAATCAGCTGCGTCTGGGCGACGTAGTTGATCCCAAGCTTGACTGGAATACTAAGGGCGTGTGCGCAGTGGAGCGCTGCCCTTGTCATTTTGTCGCTGCGTTGGACTTTTGGACTTTGGTGTAATGAGTTGGCAACCACGTACGCATCCCAGCTGCTGAGCGACCTCACGGGGCCTAGGTCCATGTTGAGTCGGATATAAGCCAGCCGAAGGAGTGCGGTCGATGTAAAAGTCACAGGACCGTGAGGACTCAACGGATCCATGGATGATTCCTGATTGCGTTCCCAATATTTTCCCCACCGCTTCAGGGCCCGCTCGAACACGTTCATTTCCTCGTCCGAAAGACTGCCCGAACCGCCCTGTACGACGGGTAGTCGAGCATTGCGTGCGAGCCAAATATGTTGAATGATGGCGTGGATGAGAGCACAGCCACCAAGAGCAGAGAACCCTCGCGCAACGATCTGGTTCGAGCCATTCCATTCACCCGGGTTTGCAAAGAGGCACGAGAACGCGTCCTGGAAGTCTTGACGAGGTGACCTTGATTCCGCACGGGCTTCTCGCCAGTCTGGCTCACTAGCTGCCTTCCACTCTTTCTCGGAGCAGGGAAGGTCGAGCCGGAGTCCGCTGGCGAGCATCATGGGGGGTAAGTCGAACAGAATGGTGTGGATATTGAAGAAACAAAAGACCACGAGGTGGGTTCTTTTGATGGTCTCGAACCGAACCCACTCCCGCCAGTCCTCCGTCGGTTGCTCCTGAGTTCGCGAAATCTCATCGTCTTGAATGAGGGAGTGCAACACACTGCGGATCGACAACGCATCAGTGACTGCTGGCTCGCGTCTGTACCAAGATGCAATCGCGATCAAAAGTAGCAAAGTCTGCACCATCTCAACCACGCAGCATCTTTGGTCGCCCTTACAACTTGGGTCGGGAATTACGGTGGGGATGTCACGCGCCCTCGGGTCCGAAGGCATGTTAGCTTTTCTTCTCTGGCGTCGGCGGAGGCGTTCCAAGACGATCGCTCTTGCGACGCGGAACAGCTCGATGCCCATCTCTGGCTCCCGGGTGTAGCGAGCCCCGAGAGCTGCGATTGCCAAGAGCAACTCGACGTGGATACTGTCCATTCGCAAGGTGGCAACGTGAAAAAAGGGATAGTGGGCATGGAAGTTTTTGAAATATCCGCCTATCAGTCGCGACAACGCATGTCGGGATGGGAGGACAAAATCGCCATCTATGCAGCTGGAAAACATCGCCAATTCGTCAATGATATATTGTCGACAGTCGGCCGAGATGAACAAATCGCGACTGTTCAGCCTCGTAGGCCCTTGTGGGTGGGGCCCGGTGGGCGGAGGCTTGTCCTCAGGAGCCAAGGATGGGAGCCGAGAACCAAAGCGCGAGATGGACGAGTCAGTGGCCCTGATATTGGACAGTGACGCGGGTGTCGCTTGTATTGTGGTCGTCGCAGTGGGTTCATCACGCGAGTTTTCGCCATCTCTGGGATCATTCGTATCATCAAAAACGCCGGCCAGGGGCAGGTCCAGATTCGAAAAGAAGACGGGTAACGGTTGGTAAGTCGGTGAGAACGGGTGGGTGAGACTGGGCACGCTGTCCATGAATGCCGCAAAGTCTTGTGCATAGGCGGCCTCAATGGCGTCGAAGCCACCATCATCCAGACCCAGATTCACCGAATAATCCGGGACCGGAGCGGGAAAAGGCTCCTTGACTCCGTGGCCTGAACTCTCGTCATTTGGATGGGCGTAGAAGCGCGCCGATAATGGAACCTGATCAAGGGGCTGCTGTTGACCCCTGGTGTTGCTCACGAGAGATTGTGTTGGGGCCGGGACTACATGTGGCTGGGAAGACAGGACTTGGGCAGGCGCTGAATGGTATTCGGTCCAATTCGCCAGAGGCAACGGCGCTGGCAAGAGTGTTTCGGTCCTGGCAGGTCCATGGGTCTGTTGTGATCGAGCCCCTGAAGGCGATTGATGTGATAAGCGTATATGTCGGGTCAGCAGATCTCTTTGTTCTCGGGGTCAGCAGCGCGACAACGACAAAATTAGTCTCTTGGAGGGCAGCATCGTACTTTCTGGTGAACCCTTTCTGACATCGGGGACAACGAAACGGTTTCTCCTTGGTGTCTGGAGACTCAGTCAGTCATTGATCCAAACGCGCTCTGTTCAATTTCCCTTACGCGATCTCTCATGGCGTTGGAGATGCTCCAGGCGGGCGAAGCCACGGCTGCAGCGGTGACACACGAATGATTTGACCGGAGTGGCGGGATCAGTTGTCATTGTTCGCGCATGCTCATCGAGCGGAGGACAGACCGGCACCGGTGGTAGTGGGGAAGTTTGCACAAGGGATTCGGGGAAGAAGCTACAATCTTTTAAGATGAGAATTGGAAGGTGAGGTTGAGTTTGTTTGAAATGCGGAGGCCCGGGGGCTGGCGGCTAGTGAGGCTGGAGGAGCCTACGTGCCGAGTCACTTGCCTAGTCGCCTGCCTAGTGTGCCCCCGGAAATGCGGCTGGTCCCTAGCGGGAGGCGGGCACCAACGGGACTGTTCAGTTGTCGGAGGCTAAAACTTCTCCAATTCGGGGAGACATCCTTTAACGACAACCTTGGAACACTGCACATCCAGCAGTGGCACCCAGTGGGCTTTGCTGACCACGGATATAGTTACGTGTCCTCGCATACCTACTTCGGATGCAAGCAGCTGGGCTTATCAAGCCCTTTTCTTGACGCCAATCGTTCATCTCACGTTCTCTGTTCGTCATCCACCAACCAGCAAAGACCCTACCCCAAATTCCTCATATCTCTCCCTCTTCCCGGTAGGCGATATTATGATTACCCCCAGTTGCAAGATAGTGAGAGAATAGCGTCTACGTACGCTTGCTCACAACCGCCTTCCTAAGAGCCAGGGGCGAGCTACTGCCCAACATATATCGCGGGTCTCACTATTTCAGAGGGTGAAGAGCGAACAACACAACCAAAGTCCCATTCCCAGTCCAAGATTAGCTGTCTGTGAGGCTCTCTAGTGAAAGCGACGACATCTCGACAATGCGAGCACAGGTGTTAGAGGCGTTCAACACGCCTTACCAATTCAAAGATATCCCGCTCCCGCACAATCCAACTGGTCAAGATATCCTGGTCAAGGTCGGAGCGGCATCGTACTGCCACACCGATGCGGTCTTTGCGTCGGGTGCCATGTGGCAAGACCTGCCTCGGGTAGGATCGCACGAGTTTGCAGGCACAATCGTCGCTCTGGGCCCGGATGTTTCACCAAAGTTGAATCTCAAAGTCGGCATGCCAGTTGGCGTCCCCGGTCGAGCGTTTCATCCTTGCGGATCGTGCTACGAATGCCTCAACAACGACGGCGACCCGGAAAAGTACGGGGTATGGTGCCCTAAGGCTGGCAACCTCGGTCTCTCGGCCAACGGCGGCTTTCAAGAATATTGCATTGCAGATTCTCGCCAGATAGCCCCCATGCCGGAGGGTATGACGGCCGTTGATACCGCTCCCCTTATGTGCGCAGGTCTGACCATCTGGAACGCACTGGAAAGGGCGGGAGTGAAGATGGAGACAGGGGGTGGGAAAGGGCTCACGATTGGCATATCCGGTGCTGGTGGTGGCCTCGGACACCTGGGGGTACAGTTCGCCGTCAAGCTTGGATGCAAGGTCGTAGCCATTGAGGCATCTGATCCGGCATTGGCGCTTCTGAAGGACGTCGTCAAGGATTTAGGACCGTCAGGGGACTGCGTTACCATTGTTGACGCCAGGAAGCAACCTGCCGAGGATGCTCGTGTGTCAATTTTTGGATCTCCTGATCCCAGCCTGGAAGGTGAGAAGGGCGTCGACGGCGTCCTTATTCTCCCCGAATCTCAGAAGGCCTTCGAGTACGGGATGAAGCTGGTCAAAAATCACGGCATATGCGTGACCGTCAGCTTCCCCAAGGAAGGCTTTCATATGCAACCACGAGACCTTGTCTTCCGCCACATCTCCATAACCGGAGTCCTAGTCGGTCGGAACCGGCAGCTCAGAGCTATGTTGAACTTTGCAGCAAAGGAGGGCGTGAGGGCGAGGGTGACCACGTACAAGTTGGAGCAATTGAACGAACTGGTGGAGGACTACCATAAGGGTGCAAGCGGAAAGCTGGTTGTGGACATGTCCAAGTGAAGTTCCACTAACCTCTACATGCGATTTTCACGGTTTCAATCCCTTAATACGCACATCTCTGTCGTCTACCAAGAGCATGGATAGATGAGAGGCGCCCAAATTACATTCTGGCTTTGTTAAAACTGCATCTCTAGTCTCATATACAACGCATGTCTCTTGGACATCAATGACACCGCCACTGCAAATAAAGCCACTTCGCGAATGTCGGCAACTCGGAGCAATTGCTGGGAGAGCTCGCTGTTAGTCGCTCGATCTCGCCGTGTTGCTTCTACGACGCCTTCGAGAACGTCACCCTGGTATCGAGCACGGCGCACATACAGCAGCCTAGGCCGTGTACTCTATCCGAACAAGCCCGAATCGCGTCGAAAATGTCAGCGGATCTGACATGTCTTCCTTAGATAGTGCTCCAATTTGGAGGAACCTAAAGTCTGTCTCCGATCTTAAAGATTTGGAAGTGAGTCGAGGTCATCTCGAGATAACCGATCAGAAAGGACCCTCGGAATGTCTTCTTACCCTAGTCATCTATCTCCAAATGGCGCTGTTCTATAGTCTCAAAGAATGTCTCAACTTGTGTGGATGTCTTACATCATTCAGCCTCGTAAGGCATTTCAATTGAGCTTTGTCGGGATGTCTTTGCCTTCCAGCCATAGCTCCAGGTTCGACGCTGTATCCTCGTACCATCGATGCATGACTCCTTCCTCCACGTATCCCATGTGTGGGCTGAGTAGCACTTGGCTTCTGCCATCCTTCCCCCAAGCAGTTGTTCGCCACGGGCTATCTAGCGGTAGCGGTTCCACATGATAGACATCCAAAGCCGCGCCCTTGATCCTGCCGTGGTTCAAAGTATCCAGTAAAGCCTTCTCATTGATGAGGGCGCCTCTCGAGGTGTTGATCAAGAGTGCCGAGGGTTTGAGCAAAGCGAGCTCCCTCTCCCCGAGAAGATCTCGGCTTCGTTCGGACAAAACGTAGTGGATGCTCAACACGTCCGCTTCCTTCAGGAGCTCCTCCTTACTGCTCGCCACCTTGAACGTGCCCGGGGGAAGGCCGAATGACTTGGCCTTCTGCTCAGCAACCTCCTGCGTGAGGCTACTCGACCATGCGAGGATCTTCATTCCAAATGCCCACACACCTCCCGCGGCAACCCGTGCCCCCAAGTTGCCAAATCCCAGTAGGCCAAGCGTTTTGCCTTTCAACCCTGTGGCCGGAGAAATCTCCCAGAGCCCAGACTTGACGGCGGCATCGTCACGAGCGATGTTGCGGGCGATGCCCAGAATGAGTGCCCAGCAATGTTGCAAGGTGGAATCGATCGAGGTCGGCGAGCTCGCGTCACCAGCCTTTCCAATCCCTTTCGCACCTGCGACGATGATGTTCTGCTTAGCACAGGCAGCCATGTCGATTGCCGAATTTTTCATTCCCGTAGTCAGAAGCAATCTGAGGTTCGGTAGAGCTCTGACTACATCTCCGGGCAAAGGTGTTCGTTCCCGCATGGTCGAAATGACAGTGAAGGGTCGAAGGCGATCGATGAGAGCATCTTTCTCCACCTTGCCGCTAGGGTTGATAGTGTCAGAAAACGTTGTGACTTCAACCTTGGGCTGCAGATGAGCGAATTTGGCAGCAGCAATCCCCTGGTAGTCATCCAGGATTGCCAAACGTATCTTTGAGGCGGTCATTTTGTTGCTATGTCGTCCCAAATGCGTGTAAGAGACCGAATACAGCCGAATGTTAAGCCCCTGAACTTAAGGCTTCCACAAGAAGTCGCTTGCACTCAGGTTCTTGAGATGACGTCCATACGCACGCGCCGCCCTGGATGCATTGAACCGTTGTAGATGCCGATGAGGCTCTCCATGCTATCGTAAGAACACGCTTCTCCAAATCGGAGGCTGATCTATACGGTTGACGCTGAGTTAAGCCGACCTAAGTAAGGCCTTTCAGTAGATGGAATCGATCCAAAATGGACAACCGCATATCCGCCCCAACTTGGAGACTTCCGCATTACAGGATCGCACGGAGTTAAGTCGCATAGATCAGCGTTGGTCGTGACACGGCAGATGCAGTCAGCGCTTTAAAAACGCTTGTTATTTATTCATGGGCTCTCGGTTTCATCCTAGGGTGCATTTTTCCCCATTCAACCTCACCAGAGAAAGACATACCGAGTTGTCACATTTTCTCTCTACCATGCATCCAGCCATTGGATTCTTCTTCGTTGCCTCTGTCATTGCGCTGCTCGTTAGGTGGGCCAATAGAACCGATATCCCAAAGATCAAGAACCTACCCGAACTTCCTGGAGTGCCAATTTTTGGAAGTTTGATACTTCTCGGCAAATATCATGCCAGAAACTGTGCCAGACTGGCCAAGACGTACGGCGATGTATTCCAGGTTCGTCTAGGCAACCGTGTAAGTGAATTTTCCATGATGCGATATTCCGTGTCACTAGATCGTTTCAAATCTTACTGTCGTCCAGAGATTCATTTATGCGAACTCGTTCGAAGCGGTGAAGGAGCTATGGATCAAGAATCAGTCAGCACTCACCTCTCGACCAAAGTTCTGGACGTTCCACGACGTGGTTTCGCAAACCCAGGGAGTCTATACCTTGGGAACCTCTCCATGGTCTGAATCCCTCAAGAAAGCCCGCAAGGCGGCAGCGACGGCCTTGAACAGACAGGCAGTTCAGACATACCTCCCATTCATCGACCTGGAGTCTACTGCCAGCATCAACGAACTGGTCCAGAACATCAAAAACGGCTATGACTTGGACCCCAACGGTTATTTCCAACGCTTCTCTTTGAACATCAGCCTTACTCTGAACTACGGCATCCGTATCCAGGGCACTGTCAAAGACAGCACTCTCAATGAAGTCGTTGCGGTTGAGCGAGAGCTGGCAAACATCCGCGGCATTGCGCATAACTGGCAAGACTATGTTCCTTTGCTCCGAATACTTCCGGGGTACAAGTCGAATGCCATCAAGTATCGAGGTCGAAGGGACGAATACATCCTCAGTTTCTTCAATCAGCTGAAAGAGCGAATCGCGAACGGTACCGACCACCCGTGCATTGCCGGCAATGTCCTGAAAGATCCAGAAGCTAAACTGGCTGAAAGTAAGAATCGGCATGACGCGATCTCTCGGAGTTTCGTGGCTAACTGGAGCCTAGATGAGCTGAAGTCTATCTGTTTGACCATGGTCGCCGCCGGCCTCGACACGTTGCCTGGAAATATCAACATGACGATTGCTTACCTCTCTTCACCGCACGGCCAGGAGATCCAAGCAAGAATGTATGACGAAATCATCAAATCTTATCCTGGACAAGACCCGTGGCATGCGTGTTTATATGAAGAAACGTCTGAGTACGTTGTTTCCTTTGTGAAGGTGAGTATCAGAATGTCAAGTGTGGTCCTGCTTCCACCGAATCGAATCTGACCACGACACAGGAGGTGCTTCGCTTCTGGTCGACTCTCAACTTGTCCTTCTATCGCCAAAGTGTTAGTGATATCACTTACAAGGGTGCTGTCATCCCTGCGGGGACGCCTTTCTTGATGGTAAGAGACCTCTCTCAGACGTGTTTACCGACTATCATGCTGACATTTCATACCATAGAATATGTGGGCAGCCAATCATGATCCTACACACTTCAAGTCGCCCATGGAATTCGTCCCGGAACGCTTTATAGGACAGTCTGGCGTCGGGGAGGGCACGCAGCACTTTGGCTATGGAGCTGGTACTCGGATGTGCGCAGGTGCTCATCTTGCGAACCGAGAGCTGTACATCATCTTCACTCGCTTGATCCTGGCCTTCCGCATCCATGAGGCCACCGACCCTAAGGACAGGCCAATTCTGGACACCATTGAGTGCAATTCGGTACCGACAAGCATGGTCACTCAGCCGAAACCGTTCAAAGTCAGGTTCATCCCGCGAGACCAGAAAAAGCTTGAGACCTGGATCAGTCAGAGCTATGAGAATACTGCACACCTCTGAAAGTACGGGGTCTTTTTCCAGCTTTTGACCGAGAAGCGTCGGATTCCCAGTTTCTAAGCTGACATGGACCGACTGTGGGATCGGGGATCGAACTCTGCCAGAATTGTCGACCACAACTGGGAGCACTTTATTGCTGAAGGGAAGAGATCAAAAGCGGGCATTTTTTTTTTGTGTCTGACAAGTGGGTGCACAGATGGAGCAACGCTGTTGTGGGCGACATAATGTAAGATGGGGCGTTGATATTGACGGATCAACTCGACTCGAGCGCTGACCAGCAAAACTGTGAACTTGGAACGAGGACATCGAACATGCTAGATTATCTAAGTCTTCCGCGATACGACAACGATTGAAATGTGAAATGAAACAGCTTTGACCACAATGTAAACGATGACCTTCCCCAATGGCTTTACAAGAAGTAATGGCAAATGGCAAAGAACGAATGATGAGTGTTGATAAAGCACGTAGGGTAACTCCCCCGCACACTGTATCAATAGCGTTTAGGTATGCAGAAACAGTGCCAAGAAGGCTGATCCTACCTAAAAGTGTAGTGATATATATTGTCGTTCATAGATTATGCTCTGATTTGGCTCACGAATCGCACACAGAAAAATGCGGTTCTTCAACACCTGAAGGTGGCGTGGCCTAATGGTAAGGCGTTGCTTTCCGGTTACATTCTGATGTTCCCAAGGGGACTGGCAAAGACTGTGGGTTCGAGTCCCATCGCCATCGATCAATATTTTTTAGACCCCTCCGGAGGGTATAATGAAATTTTTGGATGGTCGGAACAAGCGAGGAGGGAAACAGGGGTTGAGAGCACCTATCTCCCCACTTAGTTCGGGGAATCTAAAGTGCCAAGTCATCATATATTCTTGATGAGGTGCCTGTGCACCTAATATCGTCCACGAATGCTCTTAAGAGGTAACATAATAGACAACTTCTGGATGATGCGGTTGAACGGGATAGAGGCCAACATGGAAACCATTGAAACGCCATGAATCTTTCTTTGCCCACGACCCTCTGGGGTCAAACTACCAGCGCTGTCGTCCATCCACACCTTTACAGGGAGACCAGCCAAAAAGCAGTAATCTAATACTAGTGTCCCACAAGTTTTTCCATCTCTTCAGCTCCATTCTCAATCCTCTCCTTTGCTCACCCAGTCCTCTGCCACATCGTCATTTAACGACGACCGTAACCACCCTGACTGTATCCGCCACCACCATAGTTTCCACTTCGGTTGTCGCTCGCTGGCGGCCCGCGACTTTGACCTTGATAATAACCATCGCTGAAGGACCTCCCACCATTTTGCTGATATTGTCCGTTGCCACTATGGTACTGCGCCTGCCCGCCGTTGTAATGGTTCTGTCCCTGGTTTCCATAATAACCTTGATCCTGACCACCATAGCCTTGACCAGTATGCGCGGCATACCCTCCGTATCCGCTTGCGGCTGGCGGATTGCGGTTATATCCTCCTTGGCCACCGTAGTTCGGTGGGGGAGGTGGCGGCATTCCTGGCGGCCATTGATTTGGTGGCGGCATGCCAGGAGGGCCTGCATCAAAAGGAGGTCGGTTCACAGCGTAGTTGATGCGTCCTCCCTGGTTCTGTGTGTCGAGTCGGTCACGTCGAGTATTGTCATAGAGTGGCGCACCGCCAAAGTCCCTTCCCGATATCCTAGCCTTCGATCGAACCATGGCCAGGTCACCCTTGTCGAGAACAGGAGGCGGTAAGACAACTCCCGGGAACAACATGGATTTGTGAACATGAGTGGGAGGCGGCATTGTGAAATGGACATTCAAAGAGCGATCATCGTCAACCATAGGCTCCAGTCTGATGTCTTCTTGCGGTCCCACCAGGTCCATATGAGGCAGGAAATCTTCGTTTTTGGCTACTTCACCGGCCAGCTGACTTTTTTGCATTGACAACTTCACGGTGTTCGGACCACCTTTGGCTTTTTTCGAGTAAAACTTGATCGCCAAGGTGTCGTACAAAGGATTCTGATCTGAGATTATCAAAGCGTCTTGGCCTCGCTCGTTTCTGGCGTGCTCGTCGGCCGTCAACAAAGGGTACTTCGTGGCCATGGCCGCAAGGAGTCGCTTCTCGTCGATGAACGGCAGCAATACAATAGCTTTCCAGGACTGCTTCGCGCCATTGAGATCGAGATCAAACTCCTGGGGGTAGAAGTCGACAATGTCGGACTCGGGGTCAGTCATGAGCGGATGGAAAGCGCTCGGGATGGCGTGATTTGAAGATGCCGGTAACACACCCATTAGTTGCTCATATGGTTTGAATGGCGTTCCTTTGTCGAATTTGACGGTCTTTTTGTCAATATCGACAAAGTCTGCAGCGAATGGGGCGTAGTGATAAGGATAGTACCACGTCCAAGATGGGCATCCTTGGAAATAGTAGAGAAGGACCCAACACAGCCCTTCGACGTAGGCTTCGGCTACCTTGTGGCGGAAGCTGATATCCTTGGGGTCGACATGGAACTTTTGCTCGTAATACCGGTCAGCATATCCCTCCTCCCACAGGCGGACTGTGTCTGGTGGAGGGTCGTTGGGATCTCCACTGTTGTAAGTCTTTTTCTCAACCGGTGTATTCCTTCCAGGAGTGCCAGCACTATCTGACTCTTCGTCCATCAAGGCCGCCTTCCGCTTCTCTATTGCTGATGCAGGCGTGCCATCGTTCTCTGACTCTTCTTCCAGCGCTGTAGCCTTTCGCTTGCCCAGTATTGACGAAGGACTGCCACCTGAGGAATGGGGGGTTCCATTGATGCCATTAGCACCATTCTTAGTGGGTGTCTCAGCAGCCTTCTTAGCAAGCATCTGCTCTTTCAGGACCGCTGCTGCGCTCTTGTTCGATGCTAGTGTTTTGTCCACAGCGGCCCTGTTCACAATAGAGTTGTAGTCCAAAACCGGGAAGTTTGTAGCCTCAAAGGTCTCAATTGGTCCGGTAGGGACCCGGGCATCCGGCCTGCTACCCTTGCTGTAGTCAGGAGAGCTACGGCGCCTCTTCGCAAAGCGGGCTTCTCGAGCCTCATTTGCCTGGTTGCGCCGCTGCTCATTCCGGGCTCGTTTGTCTTCCACTTCTTTCCTGCGTTTGAAGATTGCATCCTCTTGCTTCGCTAGGCCCTGTAGAATGATCTGGGCACGCGCAAGGTCAACTCTTCCGTCGCAGGTCAAGTAACCGCCCATAACGGGGATATTGTCTCTCCAGATGGCTATGAGCTTATCGATCCCGTCTTCTCTGATTTCGAGACTAGGTAGATGAGGCAAGAAGTCATTGCCAACGAAGAAACACATAAACACCCAATCGTCGAGGGCACGCTCAAGATCGAAACGGAAGGTCTGACCAGGAACAAACATCTCCGCACCAAGATACTCACGTAGTATGGGCACATTCAGCCAGACAAATGGCTTCAGCTCCTCTGTAGTGCCTTTTTCGTCGAACTGGCCCGATTTTATCTTGGCTTCGCCTCTGCAGTTCTCAGCATAATGACCTTGCTGACCGCAGAGTCTGCAAGTCTTGGCTTTGGCATCTCTGACATCGACATCTTCTCGAAGGACGCGAAAGTGAGGCTCATGCGTGGCGATTCCAAGCATGATCAAGTCTGCATCAAGTCCATACATGACGTGTCTTGTGTTTGGATCATAGGCGGGATCTGATCGCTGGGAACGAATGAACTGCATAATCTTGTGCTCACCTTCGCCGGGCACACTGGCATCTGAGATTATGACCTTCAGTTGAGCCCAGGCAGGATCAGTGTTAAGCTTCCACTGGACCCAATATCGAATAGACTGAGCAAGGATGAACATGAAAGGCGTGCCAGGTGTGATGACATTACTATCCCATGTTTTCTTGATTACGTCGTCCACTGTTTCTTGGTCTTCGTCTTCATCCCCATCACGCTGCTGTTGACGTAAGAGTGTTTGAAATTCCGCCTTCTTTTCGTCCGCCTCCTTCGCGTCTCTTGCCGACCGGAAACGACGAGCTCGTTGCTGATTCATCTTTGCTCGTGGAGCAACACCGTCTGCTCTGCGTCAGAACCCATTTCATGGAGTAGTGATGGAGAGCACATCACGGGAGAAAAATTTCACTTACCAATTGCGATCATCAACAACCTCCGCGGTCGCACCATGTTCACAACGCGGTCGGTGTACTTGAAGATTTCCAACATCATCTCGCTCTCATTTGCTGGAGGAGGCTTGTTCTCAGGATGCGAACAGGGGTGGACGATGCCATTGAAATCAAGATAGAGATTGTGCATTTCTTCTCCGTTCGGATTCGGCTGGGTGGTGTCCACAGGATATTGCACGCCATCGATTTCTTGCGGCTGTTCCTCGATCACGGGGGTAATGATCTTGGGGTATTTTTTGGTGAGCCATCGGAAGAGAGCTGGGACACCCATCTTGACTCGATGATACGCAGCGAAAGATCAAGAAAAAGAACGGAATAAGCCTGGGGGATTGTGTTGTTGCCTAAGGAAAACTGCTCAAGGAATTACACTCCAGGTTGTCGCGTGCAAAAACAATGACAGACCGTCACTTGCTCTGCACGCAGAAGAGATCTCAAGGATGGCGTGAGATCCAAGTCACCATGAACAAAACATGTTGAACTCGAAGATTTGCAAACAACAGTATTGCAGCGAGATGGACGGGTGATGAATGCCAGAGGAAACTGCGCCTTGAGGTCGGTCGAGTCTGATTCTGAGCCCCACCCCGTGTCCAAATCCGGTTGGCGCACTTGGCATATTTTGAGCAAGGACGGAGTATAAAGACATATGGCGCAACTACGGTAGGCCACAAGGAAATCCATGTGTAATATCTAGATTCTTGTGATTCTAGGGTACCTATGTCTTTCCACCTGGTCGACCCTCATGTATCATTTGATCTGAGATCACGATGGCGAAGGGCAAAGCTTGTCAACAATCGGTCACCAGCATGAGTCTCGCTATGAGCGCTATCGTCACGTCTCGAAGATGATTAACATGAGTCGACCTGGTCCGCAAATCAATCACAGTTTCACAGGCCGAGTCGGCGGCACTTGAGGCAGCTTTCGCCTCATAATCTTTCCGCTGCCTGTTCTCGGAATTGCATCTATGAAGTAAATTCCTCCAGTTAGCCATTTGTGGGGAGCAAAATTCTTCTGGATCATCTCAAAGAGCTCTTTCGCGGTGAGTGTGTCATTTTTGCGGACAACAAAGGCCCGAACGTATTCTTCCCCGTTTCTGTCGCGGCTAAGTTAGCTCATATTGCAACGGAGGCTGAAAAGAGTGTGGCTTCCTACATCATGGCACCGACAACAGCGGCATCTGTCACTTTAGGGTGGTTGAGAAGTGTCAACTCGAGCTCTGTTGGCGAAACTTGGAGGCCCTTGATCTTGATAAGTTCCTGGTGGTTCAATTAGCCAAAGAACGATATGCCTAACTTTACCGATTCGCCTGATTGAAGACTTACCTTCAGCCGATCAACAATATAGAACTTTCCTTGATCATCGCAGTATCCGATATCACCGGTCCTCAACCAACGGTGGCCGTCCTCGTGGACAATGGTTTCTGCTGTTGCCCCAGGTTTGTTCCAATATCCCTTCATAATGTTCGGCCCAGATAGCCAGATTTCCCCAGCTTTCTGCCCAGAGCCGGTAGGCTTGGTTAGTTCCTCATCTACAGGGACAATCTTCGCTGCGCAATTAGGATTCAGCCAACCAATCGAGCGTCCATCGTCTTCCTCGTCCGGAGAGAAACCAGTCGCGGAACAGGTGCACTCTGTCATCCCCCAGCCTTGCTTGACCTGTACACCCGGTCGAAGATACAGACTTGCTAGAAGTCTCCCCAGCTTAGGATCAAGAGGCGCCGAGCCGCTCACGACTTGCTCGAGAGATTTCAGATTATATCGTTCGGGAGCGTCTTGCTTGCACAACATTGCGATGACGGTCGGCACGCCTGTCATGAATGTGATGCGGTAGGCGTCAAGGTACTGTAAGTACCTTATAACGTTGAATTTTGACATTATGAACACTTTCGCCCCCAATACCGCAGCATTTATGCCGTAATAGGTTTGACCCTATCAAGGATGTCAGTTTGATCTGTAGTGAGCTGGACCAATTTGTATACAACACCCGCTTCGGGGACGCGTCACTCACGTAGGCGTGATACATGGGCAGAGGCGCAAGCCACCGCTCACCAGAGACGTCGAGTCGTTCCTTCCGAGCACGTGCTTGTGGTGTGCTTCCGACCAAAGCACGTTTGAACAGAAGCTGTACGGAGTTGGACACGAGGTTATAGTGAGAGATTTGCACCCCTTTTGGCAGCCCAGTGGTTCTCAAGGACTGTCAGCAATGGATGAAGCACTTCTTGGGGCCTAGAGAGGTTTCCCGCCGCAACTCACCCACTGGAATAGTTGACAATTGCCGTCTTTCCGTCGACTTCCTCGAGGGTAGCTAGACGTTTCCACGACCAATGTCGAACAGCGTCTTCAGACGTCCAGATGTCTGTCCATGATGGTAGGCCATGGAGACTGTACGACGACAGATCCTCGTCTGGATCATGAAACACGTAAATCCTGCTCCGCGACAGTCCAGCTTCAGAAGCGGCTTTGAGAGCAGCATCAATCCCATCCGGCCCAGTGAGTAGCAATGTTGCCCCGGAATCACGCATCTGGTAAGCCAATTCTTCGGTCCGAGGTCAGCAGATGCAACATCCTCAATTTAACGATTTCATTGTAAGATACTCCGGAAGAGCAACTCACCGGTGACCGATGCCGACGGAGAGGCTGCAGTAAAAATGCATCCTGCAGCAATTGTTCCCCAAATCACGACCGGAAAGAAAAGTCGATTGTTGGAATATAGTAGGAGGCGTTCATCGCTCTGAAGCCCGAGTTGTTGTAATCCAAGAGCCAATCTTTTTGAATAGATTTCACCCTCGGCCAGACTAAAACATTTGGCAGGTGTATCGGCGTCGAAGTATTGAGGCGCCTCCCGTGAAGCTTTACTTCCCGACTGGAAAACGAAGGTATTGACATCGATAAGGGGGATGTCGATGCTATAGGGAGATCTGAACATTTCCAATTGCACAGAAGAACAGGTAGTGACCGGGCCCAATGCGGAATTGACGAGCAGCAACCTTTGGTGCGATAGAGTCACGAATCTACAAGGCGTCTACTGCACATATATGTCTCTTTACTCGGGCCCAAATTGTCATTGTTGGAGAACGAGATGCAGCCGATGTGTGGGCAACACCGGGAGAGGGGTCAGCCTTTGCAGCCTCGGCAGAGGTTGGAGTGCAAAGCCTTGCCCCTGAGGATAAGGCTGGCGGATGGATTGCGAGTGCTGCCGCTTTAATGCTCGGAATATTTCTTGGCCTGCGGACAAGTTGTCTGTTCAGGCCAATGTCAGAACGCGTTCCGCACCAACACTGATGCTTGACACCACCGACGATTGTCTGCCTTTTCCAGCCCAGACTTGTCTTCTCGATCTAAATCTCCTTAAAGCATGTGCACAGTGATCCCTTAGTCAATGGCTGACAAACGCACAGTCAAAATAAGACGACCATCCCCCATGACAATGAACCTGCCCTCAAGATGATGCGAATTCTCGAAGCACAGGCGCCTGCGCGACAGACTGCCACCGACACCATCCAGACACTCAGCAGCCGCCTTTCAAGTGCTACTTTGCTAGAAGATCGGCGGGCTGCGATCCTCGGTCTACGCAGCTTCGCAAAGCTATACCCGGCTTCGGTCGCATCCGGTGCATTGAGAGATCTCATTGCGGGATTGAGACGAGATGGAGACGATTCCGACACCATCAAGATTCTGCTGGAGACATTGTTGATGCTGTTTGAGCCAGATGAGAAATCAACAGAGGCTTCGGAAGAGATCACTCTGTGGCTAGCCGACGAGTTTACGCAGAGACAGGACAACATCACCGCTCTCTTGGACTTGCTTGAGCCGAATGACTTCTACTCACGTCTATACGTCCTCCAGATTCTTTTCCATATATCCACCGCGCGACCACAGCGGACACAAGAAGCTATATTCGCGGCGCCTCTGGGCGTCTCTCGGATAACAAATATGTTGGATGACAGACGGGAAGCGATTCGGAGTGAAGCCTTAATACTGCTGGTGGCATTGACTCCTACGTCTGGGGAAATACAGAAAGTCGTGGCCTTTGAGAACGCATTTGACCGTGTATTCGCCATGATTGACGGCGACGGCGGTCTTACGCACGGCTCTACCACGGTTCAAGACTGCCTATCACTTTTGGCCAATCTTCTGAACCTCAACACTTCCAACCAATCGTACTTTAGAGAGGTCGGCGGGATCTTGAAGATCAAGAAGCTGTTGGCGGCCGCCGTGGACCAAGAGGATTCTGGAGATGGCAGCTCAGAATGGCTAAAACCACAGCGAGATATGAATGTGTGGGGCTTATTAGGGGTTGTCCAGTTATTTCTTGCTCAAGGTGCTCAAGGGACCGTGGTCAATCAACAAATATTTTGGACGACCGGGGTGCTAGACGTTATTTTGCGAATTGCCTTCCATCCTGCGTTCAGCACCGGCGTGCGAACAAAGTCATTACAAACGTGTGGCGACATCATTCGGGCAAATCATAGTCTCCAGGAAAGGTTCGGTGATCTTGGAGTCCAGATCAAAGAGCCGGATAGCCCTACTACCAATGGCCACCCATCGAATACCACCAGTGAGAAGGCGCCCAAGCCGAGCAAGCCTGCTTTTCGAACACAGAACGTAATCGAATCACTTTTAGAGGTGGCACTAGAGCCTGCTCCTCTAGCTCTATTCGACGTCCGGCTGGCGGCGTGTTTCTGCCTCGAAGCCTTCATGAATGGCCATGTGGGTATACGATCCCACGTGCTGCGGAGGGCTATTGAAGGACACAAAGCAGGAGACGATGCCATTCCAAATATGCTGACCGTCTTGCTTGAGCCTCCTGGAGCACGTAACAACTCTGACCCGTATCAACAATGGATGGCTGCGGTGCTCTTGCTGCACCTCCTCTACGAAAATGTTGAGACCAAACAGATGGCCTTGAAAGTGACAGAAGGCGATGCCGAAAGTGGGGAAGAGGTCGTTACCTTTTTGCAGAGCATCACAAGCAACGTGGTGGCGGGTGTACAACATGTGGAGGATGAGCGCGGTTTGCTTGGCTATTTGATGCTGTTGTGTGTATGGTTGTTTGAAGATCCGGAAGCGGTCGACGACCTGCTTGCAGAGGGCAGCAATGTGCAAGGTCTCATTGCGGCTGTCAAGATCACCAACAGTTCCATGCCTCTCGTTGCGGGTCTCTGCGCCTTCGTGCTAGGAGTAATCTACGAATTCTCAACAAAGGACTCTCCGATTCCGCGAAGCACGCTTCATGGACTCCTGACCACCAATCTGGGTAGGGAGGCTTATGTGGATCGCTTGACAAAGCTTCGAGAAAATGTCTTTGTGAGGGACTTCGAGGTCCTACCACAGACCGGCAACGGGGGCTTGCCAGAAGTGTTCTTTGACAAGACTTTCATCGACTTTCTCAAGGACAATTATAGCCGGTTCCTACGAGCCATTGACCGGGATCCGAATTTCGAAGTTTCTATTGTGAGCAACGGCGTTCAGAAGGGCATCTCCCGAGACCTCGTCGACAGTCTCAGAGCTCAAGTCGAGGAACAGAAACGGGCGTTGGAAGCCGCTAATAATGAATTGTTGCAGCTCAAGAGGAGGCTGGAACAAGAGGAGCTCGATCACCGCCGGACACGAGACTCTACTACCGTCGAGCTATCGAGGATCAAGCAAATCAATCAGAGCCTGCAACAGAACCACGAGGACGAAATCAACAAAATGCAAACGGGTTTCGCCCAGGAGAGAAGCACACTGCTAAAGCATCATGAGGACGAGCTCAATCGAAGACGCAATGAGCATCTCACCGCTATCGAAACGGCGCGAAAGCAGCATGAGTTGGAAGTCCAGCAGTTCGAACAGCGCCTGAAAATGATTGAGCAGGAAGCGGCGCGGGAGCAGATGGCTCTCAATGAGCGCCACACACGAGAACTGAGTGAGGTAGAAACCCAAGCACAGAGCGCGCGAGAAAGAGAAGCGGCCGAAATCGCAGACCTAAAAGCCAGAGTTGTAGAGTTGGAATCTCAGCTCAAGAAGGCTGAAGCCAACCATGTCCAGGACCTAGAGACCGCGCACGAGGAATATAAAACCAAGACCGAGAGTCTGGAAGCGCGTCTCAAGCGGGCGGAGAGTCGGGCTCAAGATGCCGAGAGCCGGTCCAAGCACCTCGTTGAAGACCTCGAGAAGGAAAAGGCCGCGCGAAAGGACGTCCAGACTGAACTCGACGACCTTCTGGTCGTCTTTGGCGATCTCGAAGCCAAGAGGTCCGCTGACAAGAGGAAGCTCAAGGAACTGGGGCAGGAAGTTTCTGAGGATGAAGATGAAGAAGAGGAGGAGGATGACGGCGCCGAAGCTGAAGACGATGACAACGGCGGGGAAGGCGCTGCTAGCGACGACGCCGTGGATTGAAAAAAAAACCAAAAAAAGGCATGCATCCCAAAACCGGCACACCAGTCTGCTACCTACATAATACATCCATGTGTGCATTTGGAGCGTTTCGCATTCCAGGGGCTAAGCGTTGGAAACAAGGTCAAAAAGTTGACAGTATAGAAAGCGATACCCTGTACAGTACCGAGCACCTCGTACTTAATCAATGTCCTCCCACCGGAATCCGACCTGCAGCTATCGTTACGCGGACCCCTCGTATCACATCCATCAAGGCGTGGTTAGACTGGGATCGGAAGAGAGAGCAAGGGGAACATCAAAAAGCGAGATTGTATTATATGGCTGTCTGAATCTTAAAGCTTCCGAACATCGCTCCCACCATCCTCGGCGAACAGCTTCCACACGCTCCTCGCCTCCATGCCCTTACACTTGTCGTTCTTTCTCGCCTCGACAAAGACCTTTTGAACCGCACCGGCGAGGACGGTGCTGGCGCCGACGGAATCCATGAGTGCCACTGCATCATCAATGACGCCGCCGGCCAACTCGGTCGTGAAGCCGCCTTTGAAATCTCGCGCGGATGATGCGGCCGGGTTTACCCCTTTGACCGGGTTGTGGTGGAGGGAGTTCCAGTTCATGCCTGATGAAGCGTTGATGACATCTGAAGAGAGGGAGAATTAGTCGGTCTTCCTATCGGGTGAGCAGAAAAAATGAGAGGAAAGGAAGCAGCGTGGATGGCGTGGCAGGCCTTGTTGCGGGATTGAGGAACTTACTTGATAGAATCTTTGGGTCAAGACCGTACAGCATCCCGGCGTTCATCACTGTAAGCAGTCCGAGATGAGCTTTCAACTGATGAAGAGCAAAGCATATTTACATGAGGCAGTGGAGGGTATAGCAACTTACCTTCACAGAGGCCCAAATACCCGACATAACCCAGATAGTTATTCAACTGCTTCGTTGCGAGCCCGGCACCTAATCCTCCACATTGGTAGATATTGTCCTCCTTACCCATCATTGCTAGAATTGGCTTGACGACGTCGAAAATCTGCTCGTTGGGCGTCCCAACCATGAAGGTCAAGGTGCCCGCATTGGAGCCTTGGGGACCTCCAGAAACGGGAGCATCAACAAAGAGGCCGAGTCCTGTGGAGGCGACCTTTTTGGCGAGAGATGTTGATGTCGCGACGTCGATGCTAGAACATTCCAGGAATAGACGGGGGCCCAGCGAGGACGATAGTCCAGATATGAATCCTGTCTGGGGATTCGTGAAAGCGTCGTGGACGTGTGGTGCTCGTGGGAGCATGGTTATTATAATGTCCTGGATGATCAGAGCTTTCCTTGAGTCAACTCATTCCGTCTCCATGGCATAGGGGCTCACTCACAGCCTTCTCAGCGACCTCGCACGGCGAATTCGCCACTTCCACAGAAGCCTTGCATTCCTCGATGAATTGCTGCCTCCTTGTCTTGTTGATCTCACAGAGCACGAACCTGGCATTCTCAGGGATTTTGGTGCGGAGGTTCATTGCCATCCCATATCCCATCACGCCAATCCCGACGAACCCATAGACTGGGTCCGTGGGGAGCCTGAATGATTGCTGAGCTGTGTTGTCTTCCATGTCTGGCCTGTTCACGATCAATCAACACAGAGTATATTCTCCCTCTTTCGAACGGACAGTTCAACGTATTGATTCCAGTGGGCCCCAAGGAGGGTATTGTAGCGTGGACTTCAGTTTGGAGATAGTCCCCCGCATAGCCTCATTCGAATTGCCGTCACTGTGGACCAGTAAGACATTGCTCCTTCACCGGCCGAGTTTGTTTGCTCTTCTCCAACGGCTCTCCAAAGGCATCTGCTGTTGCCTTGTCGCTCCCGGCAAAGGGAATGCTCGTGGTCGGGGGGTAAAGCATGGTTGCTTCGAAAAATTGTGTCGAGAGTGCCCGAGGGACTACATAGCAGGGTGCAGGCAACGTGGACGAATAACGAAGGTTCTTTGTCAGGACATAGCAGACCATAAAATGGACGGGTAGAGACACTTCTTTGCTCGTCGGGCGTGCTTTTGGTGATGTTGTAGGTGTTTGTACGAGGATTATTAGGTACCTGGTGGTTATGGAGTTGACGTCAGGCTAGTGAAGGTCCATCCTCTTGCGCAGTCTCGTTCCTCGCACTTTCGCGTTTCCAAAACAACCATGAAACAACAGACCATTGAATCAAACCTCGCGCAGGGGGGTTCCCTTGTGACAGCGGTCTCTCGAAGTCTCCTCCGATCGTTCTGGAAGCCTCGTCCGCTTTTCGAATCTTTACCGAAGGAGAGATCGCCTCAGTGACATGTCGAGCATGTCAGCACTGGCGGTGAAGACTTGTGAACGCCGTACACGTCTTCGTGGTGCCCTGCTTTGGGTGCATGCGCATACGACCTAAAGACCAAGACTGAGAATTGTCAAAGCAATCCGGAAGTCGCCGCATGGGAAGAAGCAACCCAATCCTTCAACTTGGAAGTACTGCGTTCGTCCCATTGAAGATGGTGTGCACAGCCACAAATCAAATCCAATTGGACTTGAGCATGGCCTCCATCGAAGCTCCAGTTCTCATTGCGATTCATGCCCAACAGGCACTGCAGCCTTTCGTTCAAGTTTCCAGGCACACCGGTTAGATTTTCTCGAATCATGACCAAGACTTGCCTTGCTCGCAGGCAATCAAGCACAACTTGGTCCTCCTTTGATTCGATCCAGGCGCAGCTGATACATTAGATTTCCTATTACGTTTCCTGCGCAGCTCAAGTATTGGCAGGGATCAGAAGGCGCCAGCGCATCTTCCTCGTTTGCAGAAACCTAGTCAAAGCTACTTAAGTACGTTGACAAATTTGGTTCTTTCGAGCAATAAGACAATTGAGGGAAAAAACAACATCCATTCTATAAGAACACACCTTGTGGGCTTTCGGGCAGCCTCGGATCGATCATTGCCTTTGTCCTGCATGCAGACATGTCAGATGCACTGTGCGAAAAATGCCGCGCATTTCGGAGCTGGTCAGCCCCCAAAGCTTCGAAATGGTTTGGGTCAGCGAAGTTTCAACACTGGCCATCAGGAACAATGCTCGAGGCTTCCGCAGCCAAGGGTTGTCATCTCTGCAAGTTAGTCCTGCGGGCACTCATGAAGAGCGAGCGACCAGATGGCGAGCAGCATTTACCGGAACGCCCAGTCTATCTGTCCTTTGGTCGAGCAGATCTTGCAGGGCGGCCTGCCCGGATTGATGTGAGAATTGAGCCCGAGAGTTTGGAGACTGCAGGGAGGCCCAGGGTAGCCGGGAACATGAAACCCGGATACTCCATACGATCAGAGGGCGCGAAAGAGAAAGTCCTCACGAACCCGGGCCCCATGTATCCCGGACAAGACCAATGGTTCTGGATTGCTGACTGCAAAGATGGCTTCGAGTACTATCAAGGCAATACAGAGATTTCTGCGGCTGCTTTCTGGGCCTTAGTGAATCCCTACTACTCTGCCACAGTTGAGATCTATGGACTTCCAGGTGAGGCTCTTCCGGCGCACTTGGAGACGCATTGGATGCTGATTCACCTCAGTCGATGTAACGTCCGTGCTTGAGAAATGTTCGCCGATGGAGGATCTATCCACTGGTTCTTCTGCTGCTCTGCATCTGGCTTTGAGCTGGCTCAAGTCATGCATGCATACACACTTCCCATGCCGTCACTTCGCGCCCAATTTCCCCAACTTACCAACAAGGGTCATAGACATTGGGCCGTCAGACCGCAGTACGCCTCCCAGGCTCCACGTATCGACAGCGGGTCAAAAAGGCTGGTACCTCACGCTCAGCCACCGCTGGGGAACTTCTAACCATTGTCGAACAACGAAGAGCCGAGTGCTTGAGTTCGAGCACGCGATTCCTCAGAACGAACTGTCAAAAACATTCCTGGACGCCATGGACATCACACGGAGGCTGGGATTTCGCTATCTGTGGATTGACTCGTTATGTATTATCCAGGACGACGAGTCGGACTGGCAAACAGAAGCCGCGAAGATGGGAGATGTGTATCGCCAGGGCTTTTTGAACCTTGCCGCTGTCGATTCAGACGAGCCAGGGTTTTTCAGGGATCGCGATGGCGCATTGAAACGGCCCTGTAAGCTTGACATCAAAGTCCCGGATGGGGTTCTTCCTCTGAACAATGGCGACATCATCCACGCTTTGCCGCGCCAGAAGTTGGGGCCTAAGAAGCTTTCCCAGGCGTATCGCGGACCTCTTGACTCTCGCGGGTGGGTCCTTCAAGAGTACATGCTCGCCCGCAGAACCCTCAACTTCGGCAAGAAGATGATCTACTGGGACTGCCTGACGATGCTTGCCTCGGAGCCAACGCCAGATGGGGCGAAAACGGGCGAAATAGGGATCAACGACGATGGTGATTTTGTCCAACGGTTCAAAGCCGGGATAAGTGGTGAACTCCGGGGATTGAAAGAACCGCTGAGTAGAGACAGTCAGGCCTTTTCTCGGATTTGGTTCTTGGCTGTTGAAGCATACACACGCCGTAAGCTGACTTTCGAGAAGGACAGATTGACTGCAATTGCAGGTTTGGCTATTGAGTACCAGAAGGTGACAGGTGACGTGTATCTGGCGGGACTGTGGAAGCGACATCTTCTTGATGGGTTGTTGTGGAGTGTTTGGGCACGCGGATGCCCTACTGTCGGAAACACGGTGGCCCAAAAGGGTGACCATGGTCCGTACGGAGAGCGCTTTACAAACTTCCAAGGTAAGGTTATCTGGAAAGTTTGTCGAGTTGTATTACTGATTTCTTCCCCAGCGCCGTCATGGTCTTGGGCGTCTGTGTCGGGTTACATCCGATACATCGAAATATACGAACGGGATGATCGAGTCGGACAAACTTTCATGGCCGAAGTGCTTCATGCAGACTGCACTCCCTTGGATCCACGCATGACCTCGTCCAGTTACAGTGGCCACCTACTCATACGCGGCCATCTTTTGAGAGCCGTTACCGAGGCTACGAATCCTTTCTCAATCGACTGGGAGGCTCAAAAGAGGAGTGATTCAGCGGCGACGCTGATCAACTATGCTAGGGAAATGGAAAAAATCAGTGCCTCACCACTGTCGACCACAATAAAGCCGAAGGAAGCGAAAGCCGGACCGTCGAGACGAGAGTTTTCAGCCGAAACAGAATGCGATGAGCAGGTGGATCAAGATGCCCTTATCTCTAAGTTAGTCGAGACCGATGGGCAGTCGGACATTGCGCCAGAGACCAAGGGCAAAACTGCGTTGCGGGAAATGGAGAAGTTGCCGGAAGTCCAGCCCATTTCACAAACTGATATCGCATCTCCGGCTCCATTTCCCCATGAGCCCGATTACACGAAGTTGTCAGAGGGAATGCTGAGGGCCTTTGCTCCCGGCATCGACATGGACGAATTGCAGTCCGCCATCAGCGTCAAAGCCGACCACATCACCGTCGACGTGCAGGCAATACAACGTGCAGGGGAGAGGACAATCAATAAGCTAGTATCAGAGCCTTTCGGCCGAACCGTGACGGTCATGGACACCAGGCATGCACTAGCGGCAGTATGGCCGGTACATACCCTGCTTGATCCGCAGAGCCGGAAAATGATTGGATTTTGGTCACCTGACATCTCTGATGAGCTTGGAATTACGGTCGGAAGAATGCTAGTATCATGCCTGGCGATCTCGCGGCGCAAAAACTTCGTCTGGTGTTTAGGGTTGGTGCCGAAGGGTCATTCTGATGAGTGGTCGCGTGCCGGACTGGCATATATCATCGCTGAAGAATGGGATGCGAGAGTGCATGGATCATCAGCGACTGTGAAGATAGTCTAGCACCCTAAGTGCCTCCATGTTTCCCACCGAGAAGTTCGAGAACATAGCGAAACTGAGTCCGAGAGTTGATGGCAAGAATGAATTATGATATTGAGTCACTCGGTGGCTAAAAGCGGCGTAGGAGCCTCGCGTGTCGCCGCCAAGATTTGTATCAAATATTGAGTCACTCTGCCTCTTGAAAAGACTCTCACCACCCCCTCCCCCCAGCCGTCCGCTCCCAGTTCCGGTCTCTCAAACATGGCTGTCGATTTCTCTGCTGAAGAGGCAGCCATTCTCAAACGCTGGCGGGAAATTGACGCCTTCCAGACCCAATTGCGCCTTTCCAAAGACAACAAGCCCTACACCTTTTACGATGGCCCACCGTTTGCGACCGGCCTGCCTCACTACGGCCACTTGCTGGCTTCGACCATAAAAGACATTATCCCGAGATATTGGTCCATGAAGGGCTACTACGTCGAGAGGAGATTCGGCTGGGACACGCATGGTTTACCCATCGAGTATGAGATTGACAAGAAATTCCACATCTCTGGACCAGCGGCAGTGAAAGAGATGGGGATCGCAAAATACAATGCGGAGTGCAAGGCCATTGTCATGAGATATGCGTCCGAGTGGAGGCAGACCATTGACCGGCTGGGAAGGTGGATTGACTTTGACAATGACTACAAGACCATGAATCCGACCTTCATGGAGTCGGTGTGGTGGGTCTTCAAGCAGCTGTTCGACAAGGGCATGGTCTACCGCTCCTACAGAGTCATGCCCTTCTCAACCGCGCTGAGCACACCGCTCAGTCAGCACGAAGCTCAATCCAACTACAAGGAGGCACAAGATCCCGCCGTGGTCATCGCTTTCCCGCTCCTCGAGGATCCTGACACCAGCCTTCTTGCTTGGACAACCACACCCTGGACCTTGCCGTCCAACATTGGCTTGGCCGTCAATGCCGACTATGAGTACATCAAATTCCTGGACCAAGAATCCGGTCGGCAATTCATCATGCTAGAAAAGTTGTTGCGGACGCTGTATAAAGACCCCAAGAAGGCCAAGTTCAAGGTCCTAGAGAAGATCAAGGGTTCAGATCTAAAAGGCAAACAGTATCTTCCGCCCTTCGACTACTTCTATGAACAATTCAAGGACCGTGCTTTTAGGGTTCTCAATGCTGCCTATGTCACAGATGACGATGGTACGGGTGTTGTACACCAAGCACCAGCTTTTGGTGAAGAAGATTTCCGAGTGGCCATGGAAAATGGCATCATCAGCCACGAGTTCCTCCCTCCCAACCCTGTGGACGAGACAGGCCGCTTTACAAAAGAGGTAACAGACTTTGCAGGTCAGCATGTGAAGGAAGCAGACAAACATATCATCAAACATCTGAAGGGGACCGGGAGTCTCATCCGGGACAGCCAACTGACCCATCAATACCCGTTCTGCTGGCGATCAGACACACCTTTGATCTACCGTGCTGTGTCCGGCTGGTTTGTCAACATCGCTGGAAATGATAAGGTGCCCAGCATCATTCCAGACATGCTTGACGGAATTAAAAAGTCTCACTGGGTTCCCAATTTTGTGAAAGAGAAGCGATTTGCGGAGTGGATTAAGAACGCCCGTGACTGGAATATCTCGAGAAATCGATATTGGGGGACCCCTATTCCGCTGTGGGCGAGCGAGGACTACTCAGAGGTCGTTGCGATCGGCAGCATCGAAGAACTAAAGAAACTCAGCGGCTACAAAGGCGAGATCACGGACCTTCACCGTGATAGTGTGGATGAAATCACCATTCCCAGCCAGAAAGGCAACGGTGTGCTGCGCCGGGTCGAGGAGGTTTTCGATTGTTGGTTTGAATCTGGAAGCATGCCGTACGCCTCGGCACACTATCCCTTTGAAAACTCAGAATACTTTGAGAGGACATTTCCTGGTGACTTCATCGCAGAAGGTCTCGACCAGACTCGTGGGTGGTTCTATACCCTTGTTATCTTGGGTATCCACTTGAAGAAGGTCTTACCTTTCAAGAACTGTGTGGTCAACGGTATTGTGCTTGCAGAGGATGGCAAGAAGATGTCCAAAAGACTCAAGAACTACCCAGATCCTAACACGGTCATCGACAAGTACGGTGCCGATGCTCTGCGGCTGTACATGATTAACTCACCCGTTGTGCGAGCCGAGCCACTGAGATTCAAAGAATCTGGCGTCAAGGAGATTGTTGCCAAAGTTCTTTTACCTTTGTGGAACAGCTACAAATTCTTCGAAGGTCAAGTAGAATTGCTGAAAAAGGTGGAAGGTGTCGAGTACATGTTCGACCCGAAAATGGACACGACGAACACCAACGTCATGGACAAGTGGATTCTCGCCAGCTGTCAGAGTTTACTCAAATACATCAACGAGGAAATGTCGGCATATCGACTATACACGGTCGTGCCGGGGCTGCTCAACTTGATCGACGAGACCACAAACTGGTATATCAGATTCAACCGGAAGAGACTAAAGGGCGAACTGGGTGTGGACGATACTCTGCATGCCCTGAACACTCTTTTCGACGTCCTCTTCACACTTGTCCGCGGACTCGCACCCTTCACACCTTTTATCGCCGACCTCATCTACACCAAGCTCTTGCCTTACATACCGAAATCCCTCCACAGTCAAGACATGCGAAGCGTTCATTTCCTTGCATTCCCCGAAGTCCGACAGGAATTGTTCGACACGGTGGTGGAACGACGTGTGGGACGGATGCAAAAGGTCATTGAACTCGCCAGACAGTCACGAGAGAGAAGAGCTATCGGCCTGAAGACGCCGCTGAAGACGCTTGTGGTGATTCACAAAGACCAGCAGTACCTTGAAGATGTCAAGTCCCTTGAAGGGTACATTACGGAAGAACTCAATGTGCGGGATCTACTTCTGTCGTCTGACGAAGAGAAATACAATGTGCAATACAGTGTAACGGCGGACTGGCCAGTGCTCGGCAAGAAATTGAAGAAAGACATGCAAAAGGTCAAGAAAGCCCTTCCAGATGTAACCAGCAATGACTGCAAGACGTATCTGTCAGAGGGTAAGCTCACTGTGGCTGGGATAGAATTGGTTGAAGGCGATTTGGTGGTCAGACGCGCGCTCAAGGAGGACGAGACTTCGAAAGACCAAGAAACCAATACTGACAACGACGTTCTGACTATTCTGGATGTGGCTATCTACCCGGAACTGGCACAGGAAGGTCTCGCGCGCGAGATCATCAACCGCGTCCAGCAACTGCGAAAGAAGGCCAACCTGAAACCCACAGACGATGTCAAGATGGAATACAAAGTCCAGCAAGACCCGGACAACATCGGACTCGAGCAGGTGTTTCAGCAACAGAGCTCCTTCATCGAGAAGGCGCTGCGACGGCCGGTGGATCAGCACGTGGTTACGGAGGTGGAGGGACCGATCGTGAACGGCGACAAAGGCGGCAGCCCAGACTTGATTGTGGAGGAGGTGCAGGAGGTGCAGAAGGCGACGTTTCTGTTGAGATTATTGAAGCTCTGAGGAGGGGGCTCTCGACCGAAAAGGACATGACGAGCATGAAGATGATCCATTGTTATGACATTTCTTTGTAGAAAGACCGAGTCGGCGAAAGCGACGTATGTGGGTAGATTTGGTCAAGAGCCGTCCCGAAAAAGAACGTGTAAGAACAATGTGGCATGCCCGTCACGACTTCTTCGCATGTCTCTGCGCGGTCGAAGCAAGAATTAGCTAGATATTTGCCAGGAAGAAGAATGGACGAGATTTTTCAAACAAGACAGAAGCAAGCTCCCAAGGGAAAACAAATCCCTTTCCCTTCCAAGGAACCGATAAATACCGGATTCCCACTGCAGTCGAGTCTGGCATTTCCTGGTTCTCGCCCCTGCCTCGTGATGCAGTGCCGCACATACACAAAATCTCTCTCCCTTCATCCTTGATTACGCGCAATGCTTTTCTAGAAAGAAAAAAATATTGCCATGAACATTTCTTGCGTCTTGCCCCATGACTTCGTTGAATGAAAATGGAAAACTTACCAAGTAACAGTCCTTCAACCTCAGAAACTCCCGGGCGCACATGTCGTGGTACGTCGACTGGTAGTCGGCCAGGATGCACTTGCCGTACGCCGAGGCCTCGACGGAACATTTGGCGGCCGCGGCGGCGAACTTTTCGATCGGTCTGGCGCGGCCGGAGAGGGTGGGCATTGTTTTTTCTTTTAGTATGGGGATTGGTGGGCCACGATGGAGGAGGCGGGATGGTTGATGGATCGATGGCGAGTCACATAGGTATATCGTCTTGAAGAGATGGAAATCCGATGTCTTTCAGTCAGTCATTGAACCGGGAAAAAAGGGTGGTTGACGTCGCTTCGTAGGTACATGTCTTTGTGGTTTATATACTCCACCGTAGACAAGTTACGGCGGATCATATGCGCATATCGTGCGCTAATGAAAGGCTTCAGCAATCTTCTAGATTGGACAAAGGGCGACAGGCAACCTGATGCCCTTCGCACGTGTTGGGCCCCAAGCCAAGGCCGTCCAATCGCTCGATACCTCGTATTCTTATTGATGCACATCCCACATGTCCGCCTTGTTTGAAATCTCCGCCCTGATGCCTCGTTTTGTTCCCCACCGCCAGTCGAGACAGGACATCCTACTTCCATTGAGGTCTTCATGCCAAGCCCAACTGCACCAGCAGCAGCAGCAGCAGGAGGAGAGCATCGCCCTGACAGAGACGACCATTCTATCAACGAGATCTCCAGGCCAGCAACAGTGACAGAGCTGGTGGGAGATGCCCGCTGCCATCCTTGTCGGCAACAGGGTAGAAGATGCCATGTCGAGAAAGCCTCGACGTCGTGTTTTCAGTGCTGCTCGGTACCCGAAGACTGCATCTTTGAGCGTCTCATCGTGGTCAAGGGCCGAGTATCCGACTTTGCATGGTCTGATCTGATTGGTGAAACATCCACCACCATAAGACAGGCAAAGTATACTGTATCGCTGGCCGAGGAGCCTGTGAAGAAACCCGCGCTTCCTGCCATACACGAAATCCTCAAACAGGACCTTCAGGGACTTGCACACGCCGAGAATCCTCCTCTCGGTGGTGCGAGGCAGTCCGCTGCCCTTTGGACACCGCAGGAGGGCGCCATCTCAGTTCTGATAGAGCCCGCTCGCAGCACCGTCTCGGAAGTATCATCTCGAGGTTTCGTCAACTACGTGGCTCGAGACAAAACGGAGAACGTCCAGCGTACTGCGGCGGCGTCGCTTGAGACCAGAGTGCTACATGCTGCGCCAAAAGCACAGGTGGCCAAGGCAGGAGGGAGCATCAACGCCGCAAGACGGTCTCCCGCCAGATTAGCAGACCTCGAGTGTTCTGATTGTGGGTACCGCGCGAGAACCCGCTCTGACCTAAAGTACGGCACCCTTTTGTACGAGTCCAGGATCACTGCTGATATGCCACTTTCAAGGAAACACCGTGGGCGACACGACCGCGAACACAAATGTCCGTTTCCAGCCTGCCCTCAAAAGCAGAGGGGCTTTGCCACGAGCAATGACTTGGACAGACATCTCTTTGTCATTCACAAGATCAACAACAGGAGGTCAAGGTCTTACAAGTGCTTTGGCCAAAACTGTTCAAGGCCAAACCAGGAATGGCCTCGATTAGACAATTTCAAGCAACACCTCAAGAAGTTGCATCCCGGGGAGAGCGAGATCTCGCTCCTCCAAAGGTAAGTCAGTGTCAAAGGCTTTTTAAACAAACAGCTAATGCCGCTGCAGGTCTAATGATTGGTACGAGTGTCGACTTGTCCAACAAAGGGAGCATGCGATCCAAGGACATCCCGAAGGGGCCGAGGCTCCCACAGCATCGCTCTCACAATATGGGAGAGGGGCTTCTGCTCACCTCGATCGCAACAAAGACAGTGCTGCTGCAGATGGCGCTTAAAATGGAACTTGTTGCAGCGACGAAATTTTTCCCGAACTGCCCTCACTCCGTTGGGGTATCCTCTGACATCAAGCCGGCTCGATACATGGACAGTCACAGAAACAACACCCTCTGCAGCTGAATTGCTCGATGCTGAAGTCGGCAGAAATCCGACATTGCTTCCTTAGCAAGCCATACTACCGTGGAATCCAGCAGCGACAACCCGTGTGAAGGTCAGAGACATATCTTGTGAGAGGTTGTGTCCTCCATAACGCGTCGCCTTACTGAGCCTTGAATTGGGCTTGGCGTCGGCATGTCCGAGACCAGCGTCTCAGGTAAGGGGACCCCAAGCTTGGTGAATACACAACTGAATCAACAATACAGTACCAGCTGGTGCCAGCTTTGGTAGCTCGGTAGGTACCTAGGTAATTAATATCGACAGAGGGAGAAGGGTAGGGCTGAAGGAGCCAATGAAACCGTCGCAGTTCTTATTGGCTCGTTCTAACGCCAAGAGAAGTGGCTCTTTCCCACTGCGGCTTGTGACGTGGGATCTACGTCATCGACTGCTTTATCGACTTGCACACCTCAGCCGTCCAATGGCACACGAATCAATCGGTGAAAAGAAGGTGAAGAGCATGTAATATGCTGCTTTGAAATTTGTATGCCAGGCTGAAGTGAGACTTATTCAAGCAACCGCATCACTTTTGTTGTCACTACCTAGATACTTCCTGATCGTACTCGATTTCAATCCACGAAAACGTTCAAAGCAAGCATCTACCCCCAAAAGGAACACAGCACATCAACCACCAACTCAATCATTCTCGCAAACACCACGTAGCTTGAAAAGTATGTCCTCTCACCACCACCACAACCACCCCGAGCACCACTCCCACTCCTCTCACCAGCACGGCCCAACCCATGATCCCAGCGTGCATTCCCCCCACCGTCACAACCACGCTGCCAACCCATCCCACCATCCTTCCCTGCACTCACCAGAAAGCCACAGCGGACCCGGGCCCACGGTCCACGACAAGATGACCACCGACGCACACAACACCACCACCGATCCTACCTTGGGCACCTCTGGAAACGGCGGCACCACGGGCGGTAGCCACAACACTGGTGACACCTCCGGAAAAGCGACATACACCTCCTCCGACGCCTCGACCGCCCCTCACGCGCCCTCTACGCACAAGATCCTCGGCGACATCAAGGGCGCGGTGCACGGCGTGACGGGCTCCCTCCAAGCCGCCACGGGGACCATGTTCGGACAGAAAAACATGGCCGAAAAGGGCTTTGACAAGATGAGCGACGAGGATGCGCGCCTAGCGGCAAAGACCGGGAAACCGCCCGTGGGGACGGATCAGAGAGGCACTGTCCCGGAATCTAACACTTCTACCACTACTACCACTACATCTGCCCCCGGGGCCGCCGCAGCCGAGCACGGGCACGGGAGGGGTCTTCCTCATGAGCGAACTTGAGTGAAGTCGAGCGAAACTCGATCGTGGGGTGGGGCGTCACGGGGAAGAAACAGAGATGCAGGAACGCAGAAAGGAAACACGCTGTGACGAGCGCCCGGTGGAGATCCCAAAGAAAGGATGAGAAGCTGGACGGATGAGTACTAGCATATCGACGACATCCCAGCGCACCAGAGCAAGAGAGCTAGTAAGAGCAAGAGAGAGACTTGGCTGAACAACAACGAAACAACACACCTTTCATCTCCCTTGCCGTTCTCACCCACTTACAGTATGTTCGAGCTTTGACAAGAGGGGTAGGGGAGGGAGGAGTCGCCTCCAGCTCCTCTGCAACACTGTATTCTTATCAGCAATACCCCAGCGTCCATGGCTCACTCTCAGCATAACATTTGACATGACATGAGATGACATAGCACGATAAGTCGATATCACGCGGCTTCCCGTAGCAATACCTATCCAACATTGAAATCCATAATGCCTCCTCCTCAAGTGCGTTACTGTGTAACTAGACTAGAGAAACGTGCCAAAGAAGAGAGCACAGCAGTTTTTGATCCCCAAAAGAGGGGGTGGGTGGTCCTTTGGATATGCAGTTTCAATCTGCTGGCTGGCTGGCTGGCTGGCTGGCTGGCTCACTTGCTCAACAACATGATCCCATCCAGTCCAATTCAACCGGCACCGGCTTCCCCCCTTCCTTCACTAGGTAGGTACTCGGGTAACAAACTGTTTTTAACTGTTTCTTTTCATTCCTTTCCCCCCTCTTTTGTTTTTGGATCATTTTCAATTTCAGCTTCAACTTTGGATTCAGCTTGGCTCCTACGTATGATAGGTACATACATGATCGACGGCACGACATGTGCCATCCACATCCCACACATCCACCTATGATCGCCGCCCAACCGTGCCATATTGGAACTGGGTTCGTCTGGATCTTTCTCTCACTTGTTTCAATCCCTTTTGTCTTTTCGTCTCATCTCGTCTCGTTCTCACCAGTTCATGATAGCCCATTCCCCGTGTCGTTAGGACGTAGCGCATGCAAACATAGTGACAATAAAGGAAAATAAAAACAGTTTTGCTTTTTGTTTGTGGGTAATGCAATCGTGCATGCCCGGGAAACCCCACGTCAAGGCATGTACGAGGCATGAGCAACGCTATGCACAGGCAAATCATTAGGAACGTATGGTGGCTTTTGGGTGTCCCTTTCCCTCTCTGGGTAATATAAACGGATCCGACACGCAGCTGTGCGCGGGATTAGCGAGCCACTTCGGGAACGCTGTGCCGGTATTGGTTGCGCCTGGGGCTCAGGTATTATCCAACAAAGGCACAGGCGTCTAATCGCTTCTCGTGCTTCGTCTTTCATTCCTCGAAAAAGAAGCCGTCCTCACCCGTCTTTTGTACACCGCTCATTCTGTGCTCAAGCGTCTTCGTGCGGGCCAGGAAATTGTCATCGACTCGATTCTCTTCGGTATCCCGCGCCCCACCGAACTGCTGTTCCATCGTGCTCTCGTCCACAAAGGTGAATCCTTGGAAGGCGTTTTGCATGGTGGGCGACAACGGCGTCGATGCTGGAGCGGCGCCAGCGGCCAAAGCAGCCGCTCGCGCATTTAGAGAAGATGAGGTGTTGAGAGCGTTGGTGAATTCGGGGTCAAAGTTTGAAGTATCGGCAATCGACGCCAATTTGGGCTTGAACGGAGGCACCAGATTCTTCTTACCCAGTGCATCCCAGTCAATGTCCGCAAAGAAGGGATGTTGCATCAGTTCCTCTGCATCTCCATGGGCACCAAGTCGGTGCTTAGGATTGCGGTTCAGCAGCCCCTTGACAAAGTTTCGCCCCTCAGTGCTCAATGCATCTCTCGGAAATCGGACTTTTCCAAACGCAATGTTCTTGTACATTTGCTGGGTGTCTTCGGCATAAAACGGACTCCACCCGCAGCACATTTCAAATACGAGAACACCGAGCGACCAGAAGTCTACCATCTTGGTGTAGCCCTGCTCGTCGAGCAACACTTCAGGAGCCAGATACTCGGTCGTTCCGCAAAAAGTGTTGGTAGTATCGTCTTGTGCCAAATTCGCTTTGGAGAGGCCAAAGTCACACAATGCAATATGCCCGTTTGCGTCGAGAAGGATATTTTCGGGTTTGAGATCTCGGTAGACGATGTCAGATTGATGAAGATGCTTGAGGGCAAGGATAAGCTCAGCGATATAGAATTTGGCCCGGTCTTCTTTGAATCGGCCTTCCTTTTGCAGATGCCAAAATAACTCGCCTCCTGACATAAAGTCTGTAACCAAATAAAGATCGGTAGGAGTTTGGAACGAGAATTTAAGGCCTACAATAAAAGGCGATTCTGTTGTTGCGGTTCGAACCAGAATGTTTCGTTCTCCGATCGTGTGCTGGATCTCCTTTTTTTGGATAATGACCTTCTTTGAGAGGACCTTCATCGCGTAAATGCGGCCGGTGTCCTTTTTCCGGACTTGATAGACCTGTCCAAAGGTTCCCTTCCCAATGAGCTTGAGGATCTGGAAATCGTTGGGACCGACGTGTTTCTTTTCGACTGGAGAGAAGTGCATCCGGATGTGAACCTCGCCTGTGATATCATGGTCCTCTGGGCTACGGGGCTCCAGTTTGAAAAAGCCTTCCAGTGTTGGATTTTGTTCTGTAAGTTTCAAACATAACCGAATATGGCCCAAGAAGGTTTCTGCATGGCGATCGTAGACAGTTACATCCAATTCCGATTGGTCGCTGACGACGTCGCTTGGAACAGCAGTCAGTAAAAAAAGGAGACCAAGCTGTGCCTTCGGATCACTTACAACATGGCTTCGTGATCCCACTGCGGATCGGTGACCCTGCCATCTCCATTCGTGCTGCTCTGGCGACTTCTCATAGGGATAGCCATTGGCTTCCCCATGTCACTGTCAGTCCTCCTGACTGACTGTAACTGACCAAGTGGTCCTTTCCGGTCATCGACGTCGACATCCATTTTGTCCTGTCTAGGTCCTTTGGAGACATACTCATTCCATTCGAATTGACAGACTACATAGGGATCGAATGATGGCTTCAAATCCCGACCTTCCGCAATCTTGATGGAGAGCTTGCCTCTTGGCGTGCTGTTGGGGATTTCATCTTTGGCTAGAGTTCGCTTCTCGGGTTGAGAGTTTCCTTCACTGACGGTGGTACTCGCGCTCGAAAGCGGCGACCGAGTATCGGCCCGCCGATGATCTTCTTGGGACAAGGCTCGAGGAGTATGAGGAGGGGTGCTCTTTTCACGCGGCCCATTGGCCACGTCTGAAGTTAGCTCATCTGACCCTTTTAAAATTGCAGACGGTGGCAGCTTAACATGACTTGGAGAAGGAGACTTGGGGCTCTGTGGTCTCGAAGAATGCGTGGACGATGCAGGGTTTGAGATGTGTGCGGCTGAAACAGTGCTTTTAGTGACACCTGACACGGGTAAGGACTGGTGGCGGCGGTCTTTCACTCCTGATGCAGACTTGGGGAGTACGAAATTCCTCAAGGCCTGCGTGATGGAGGCTATGCCACCATCTAGCAGGGATCCGCCGTTCTCTGCCACCTCGCCATCCCGATGCACCACAGAGGCGGCGGATGAGATTGGCGTAGGCGGTAACCGAGACGTGCCACCATCTGAGATGGGTGGTGCAGACTCTTCATGCAACTCATCCGGGGGTGGTGTTGGAATGGAAGCTTGTTCTCGCTCCACCATTACCATAGAGCCCAACGAAGCAGACGAACCCCGCCGACTCTCACTCTCTTTTGCGAGCTCTCCCATATCATCTTGTTCAAGTTCAGGTTCACGGTTTGTGGCAGCTTGAGATGACCGTGACGGTGTATGCTGAGAAGGATCTCTACCCACCTGGCCAAAATAACCGTGTATTATACCTGGCAGCCGCTTGTCGTGGAGATCTGGGCGCGGCGTCTCTACTCCAGAGGGTGTGGGAGAATTGGATCCGATCTGATCGTGGAAGTCTTCTCGGTTTTCATGTCTCGCACTGCTGTTTGGGAGGTTAGCTAGGAGATTCAGAGGATTCGCACGTTCAAACAGAGAATTCTTCGATGACGACGATGTTGCAGCTGCAGCATAGCCGGAGCCCAACCCAAGGGGGCGGAACATGGTGTCGGCCTCTGGGTCCTGCTCGCTTGTCGGGAACACAGTATATCTCTGTCCATGGCCCAGGAGCCAGAAAGCTCGACACACACAAGGTCATGTGTGTTTAAAGGCCAAGGTGAAAGGGTCCCATTTGTGTGGAAGTTCCTCAAAACCGAGGCTGGGGTAGAATCAACCCCGCCATCCACATAGCCAGCCATACGCAGCTCTTTTCCGACACGAAATTTGGTTGCTCAAAGGAAAAGATCGGGACGTACTTCTGGGCCATGGCCTGTCTCAACAGATCTGCAGCTGCAGCAGCATTTGGATTGACTCCAGTCTGCGCCATGTTGGCGGCTTTCTTTTCTGGTTTCCTTCTCTTTCAAAACCCAAGAACGACTCTAGTCTGCGAAGTCTTGGACTAAACGTCGCCGCAGTCACCCGTGTAGGGTGGGAGTTGGTGGTTCCTGAGAATCCCGGAGGCAGGCTCGAAGGGCGAGTGACGAAAGAGGTGCAGAATTTGGAGAAAATCGGAAAATCGGTCGGCAAGGATTACAGGGCTTTCTCGGAGCTCGTTCGCTGGGTCTTTAACTCAGAATAGCGGCCATCCGGACCTTCAGTGAAGGGTGAGACTCAAGTGAAAATTTCAGATCTAAGGTGGCGATTTGGTGGTGAAGGTCAAAGATAACGACGGCAAGCTCGTCAAGACCGGGAGAATGGTGGGTGATATAATCGTGTTGCAGGGAGAGTAGGTCCAGGAAGTGTGACTTGGAGAAAACGTCGGCGGGCCCAGGTCTTCGTTGGGGGGGCAAAGTCTGGACGAGGTAAGGTTTTTGGGGCGCAAGTGGAAGGGAAACCGGAGATGAGATGGAGTGAGAGCGGGATGCGGAAAGTGGTATGATGGTAAAACTATGTGCAGAGCGAGGTTATTAGGCCATGGAAAAGAAGTTCAACAAGGCAGGGGGAAAAAGGATTTAAGAAATGGCAGCTGGTGGCAGCATCTGGAAGTCAAATAATAGAGGCCGGCGAAAGGCTCCCAAGGTTCCTGCTAGGTACAAAAGTCGATGCTGTGGCCACCGCGGTGGCCCTGGTGCCGCCTATGGGGGCGGCCAACTCCAAGGTCAAGGACATCAAGAACAAGTTCCGGGGTCTGACGCTGGGTACCGGGGAGTCCCAGGCGTCAAGTTACAGTAGGCTGGAGCCCAAGCGCCCCTCAGCTTTTACGATCCGTCTCATTGATTCGATTATCGGTGAGTGCATTTTGGGCCTGGGAATTTTGCATCGGGCGGGTACCATCAGAAACCTGCCAACCCGTAACACACCATGTGCCACCCAGAGCCAGGCTGTGCTGGAGTAAGCTACCTAGGTACCTAGCAAGGGCTGAGGACACCAACGTACAAGTACGCAGCGACTCAGACGGCGAGTTTATGACACTCGTCTTGCTGGTCAACAACACCTGGTCCTCCGCAGATGTGCCCGTGGATGAGCGGTGGACGGATGGATCGAGAAAACGTGAAGAGAGACAAAGGGGACGACGTCATCCATGCGCTCATGAGGGAATCCTCCTCCTGCTTGTACCGACTTCCGCCTGGCTTGGGAGTTTAACACTCATTCCTTTTCGGAGGGTCTGCTGTGTTGTGTCTTGGTCAAACACAAGCTGCCACGGAATGCCCTAGAGGAAAACTGTTGAGCCATATGCTTCGTTGCTCAAGCCTCACTGTCGGTGCTACTCATAGGCAATAATAATAGAAGCCTCGATTGATTTGCATGTGGCATTTTGCGTTTCGCGGTCAGCTGCAAGTGTCCCCCCAAATCCTGTTCATCCAGAGGCAACTAAGCGGCCAGCACCCAGCACATGCAACGTCTCGGAAGCCCCGCCATGTCATATGCTGTACTCGGTAGACGCGTCTGGACAACCAAAAACAAACTGGCGGGCCATCGCTGGCTCGGTTATCCTGATAGGCTATCGCATATCTCCATAGCTTCACGCGAATACTTCTCTAGAGGAATTTTCTCCCTCTGTGTCTGACCCGCCCAGGACAGAAAATTCTAAGGAAGACGCATCATTCGCGGAGTATCTGCCCAAAGCGTGTTTGACCTGGCCCAGGAAGGCAATTGATCTTAGTACCTCCAGTGCAATTTTGTCCCTCCGTTAGTGAAGACATGAGTGTTAGAAAGACCTGGCGCTGGCTGGCCGGGGGAGGGCGATATCCGTCTAGTAATCGGCGCATACGATCTTCTCCGTTGAGCTGGACTTTCTATTCCGGGCATGGCTGGGCCAGACTGTGCAGATGACCAGCTGTTGTGGAATAGGTAGGTAGTACGTGAAAGACCCATCGGCAACATGTTGTGCAACTCGCGACACTCGCGATACGATCGTCGTACGAGGTACCCTTGATGGTAAGGCTGAAGAGGAAGCAAAAGTGCCGATGATGACAGAGGTTATGGTTGGGGAGCCTTGCAATGCTGGATCTTATGTTCGCATCACCATGGTCGCTAGGGCCTTAGTTACTCCCTTGGAGCTTTGAGAAAAGTTGCTCATCTTGATCCAACATTGAGACTACAGTATGGTGCCATTGCATTGAGACTCGAGAGTGAGAGGCAGCTTGCAGCGAATATGTGTTTTTCTCTGGGCCCTGGCGCGAATTGTAAAAGAGGTCAACCGTAATTGCGCTAGATGTTTCTATGGTGCGCCATAAGGCGCCAAGACCAATGGTTGACTCGCGTGGCGCGTTTTTCCCGCTTGTTGCCAGTTGAGGTCGCAAGTTGAAGATCGCTGAAGACAAGAGATCAATACATTTCGATTTGGTTTTCGTCAACACAATGGCTCGGCGTCCACGTCTTGCGGCGCAAGCCGCTCAAGCTTCCATGAGTAAGTCTCCTTGATGGATTAGCTCATCTTCACCGCCTCTAATTTTGAGAAGGAACCCCTATCCCTAACATATCCGACAATGAAGACGAAGAAATGCCAGATGCTACACCTGCAGAAGTGCCTACACCGCAAGACGACGACGAGGATGCAGAGAATGACGAGGAGGAAGATGGGACGAATGATGCAGAAGAAGCACCAACTCCATCACGAGAGTCGGAGCCACCGTCGCGATCCGCGACTCCTCGCCGTGGCCGCCCTCCCCTACCCCGTGGGCGTCGAGGAGGCAGGCTGGGCAGACCTCCAAAGCACCGTGTTGCCACAGCATCTGAAGATGGAGACAACGACGCTGCTTCTGAAACAACCACTCCAAAACGAAGAGGAGGTTTCCGAGGTCACCGGGGTGGGCGATGGGCCAAATACAGAGCAGGAGGATCACGACCACAACAAGCTCCTCTTGACGACGATGGTAATCCGATGGAAATTGTCAATGACGAAGTCTTACTACCCGAGGACCCGGAAGGCGAACAGAAGGTTGACAAGAATGGCCGCTTGTTGGGCGGCAGAGAATATCGCGTGCGAACCTTCACAATTCTCGGCAGAGATGACAGACTCTACATGTTGTCAACAGAACCAGCACGTTGCATTGGATTTCGCGACTCATATCTTTTCTTCCAGAAACACAGGCATCTCTACAAGATCATCATTGACGACGATGAGAAGCGGGATCTCATCGAAAGAGATTTGATACCTCACTCTTACAAAGGTCGCGCAATCGGAGTGGTAACGGCTCGATCTGTGTTTCGAGAGTTTGGAGCTAGGATTATTATCGGCGGGAGAAAGGTAATAGACGACTACGAGACTAAGAAAGCACGGGAACGGGGTGATGTCGAAGGCGAAATAGCTGTCCCAGAAGACCGCTTGCCGCCTCCGGGAGAGCCTTACAATCGGAATCAATATGTGGCATGGCATGGTGCCAGTGCGGTTTACCACACCAACACGCCCAGTGTCCCCCTTCCTCTCGCAAAGGCGCAGGAGGCCAAGCGGCGCAAGATCACGGTAACGAGCGACAACTGGATGTTGGAACATGCACGAGAGGCCAGGTAGGTAATCGCTTTCACAGGAGACCAGACCTAAGTTAACTCGTTGGAACAGTCGATTCAACGCGCAATTGACAGCGAACCGGCTGGAAAACATCAACGGCGTCTATGACATACACACCAACGTAATGCAGTACCCAGCACACATGCAGCCAACACATGCACGATGGGAAATTGTTGACGATGATGAGGCTACTGAAGACCTGAAGAGAACAGGCCGGCTACCTCACCTCGACCCGGTATATGGACGAACTTTCCGTATCCATGACCTGTGTCTCGAGTCGGCGCCAGAGTCCTGGTATGGGACGCCTGGTATCACCGAGGAAGGGGACAGCCTCTCTTCAATTCCAACGAGCATCCTCGAAGAGCTTCCCGCCGACTGTCTACGCGCGTTCGAAGAAGCCAAATCACGCGAAGCCGAATGGCGGAGAAAGTGGCATACAGAACGGGAAGACGGGCTTAGAGCACGGCTTTTGCCTTCCTTTGAATGGTTTCCAAAGTGAGTTGACCTTGTGGGGCAAAGTATAACCACTGCTTTGGAGCAATCGACTCTCTCAAATTGATCCCGACTTGCGATAGTTCTCACCAGCACCGGCCAAGGTCTTGCGCACAGGAGGCTACAACCAGCCTCGGTCATTCGGAGCACCGCACCCAACACCAAAGCGGCTTGGGGTGTATCAGAAACCAAGGTTCCAAAGGTTGAAGCTCTTACATTGGAGACTTCGAAAGGATTTGCAAGGAATTGAGTCCAAGACCCCAGCTTCAATGGCTTTGAGTTCGGCCCAACCTCCGTGGGCATATTGCTAACCATGCGCCCCTGACAACGGACACTGGAACAAGAGTGGGCCCCCAGGGTCCAAGGGCTTTGCAACTCCCGGTCTCTGCGCGTGGGAACCGATGCGTATTGGAAGTCCCAAAGTCAAAATCGGTGGAAGTCGGGGCAACGAAGAGGGGCGTCTTAGTACTGGTACAGAAGAGCTCCAGAATCCATCTTTACAGAGTGCAGGAGCAGACCGATTTCCGGCGATGTTTTGAACGAGAGAATGGTCAAGATTATGATTGGACGTCTTCCAACCCCATCCCGACGCACCTGGGCATCTTTCGATTTGTTGAACCAATCACCTCTTTCGAACGAACCCATTCTCGTCCCAAGCATCGACTGGCGGTTTGTGACCGCCGAAAATTTTGTGCCGCGGCAAACCGCGCTTTCCATAGCACGAGAGCAAGAACTGCTGGAGAAGACCATCGTGTGCTCAACGGCTAAAGCTGCTCCGTATTGTCTTTCCACAAAACGCTATTATCGAAGATGATTCAGAGCTAGACACAGCCGACCAGCCGGATTGTGTGGTGTTCCATTGATAGAGTGCGGCCTCTTATTCAGCTGCACTTGGGAGGCACTGGCACAGTGACCACGTGAGGGGCGGGCGCACGATGATGTCGTCGTACGTAAGAACCATGCCGCTTCCAAAATGGAAACGTCGAAGAATGCGCAGCACTAAGTAGCAGTTGAAACGGCCTTGTTGCCTATAGCGGATCGGGGCATTGTCGGTCAGTAGTTGGTTGTCCTACACATCCTTGATGCTTGATGACGCTGAGAGGACGGCTGAGTACACACATGATGTAGGGAAGTATGCAGAGTGGGTGAGGAGAATAGGCATCAATATTGGATCCCAAATGAAACAGGAAATTGTCTACGACTTCACATGTGAAGAGAGATCCACGGCGGCAAAAAATCGATCACTGTTGGGGCAAACCATACATGCATAGGTATTCATGGTTCTCACACCTGTGATGGTGACGCGGGATGGGCCTTTCTTCTTGCGAGTCACTCTTGGCCCTCGCATGGCTGTTCGACTGGCTGGGACACAGGATTTGCGGCAGCGATGAAGTAGGTAGTCACAGCGAGTGGCGTTATTTTTCGAACCAGTTAGTTGTGCACAAATAATGTCGTCAGGTTGGCAGTGGCAAGCGGCACAGTGGTGGGAAGGTTTGGAAAGGTGCCTAGGATGGATGAATGTGCGTATACGGCGAGGCGGAAAACTAACTGCTCACTGCAGGCAGAGTGTCTCGTAGGGTTGATAATGATATCAGTCATTATTCCTAGTAGTCAAAGGTCGGCGGAGTCATGACCCTTTGGTGGCTTGTCGATCGTAGCAAAGCCCATGCACCGACAGTGATCATCTGCAGCTATTTGAGAGTCCGTACATCGTAACTGCAGCGCGCGGCTGAAGGCTGAAGACGAGAGCAGCAAGGGCCGGTGTCGTCAGTGCTTACACTCCTGATGGTGTTCGGTCAGTCTCGAGCGTTGCAATAATAATTCTTGGGTAGGGATCTTCTCAGGGGGCCGAGGGGCGAGGGGCGCAGAGAAACTGGCACCTGGCATCTGCAAAAATCAAAAAAAGGGCCAAGGCGGTCTTCGGACGGACCGGAGAAGGGTAGGAGACTGAGCATCAATTCCAATCATTGGCTGGATTCGACTTCAACGTCGTAGAGAAGATGCAGAGACACAGCGACCTGATCGAGGCCTGACCCCAACTTTTGGGCGACTTGGGCTGCTGGAGCTGCTTGAGCCACTGGGGAGCTCGCTAGTCCCGTTGCCGCCTAGCGGGCTCTGAATTATTAATGGCTCGTTCGTTGTGGTGAATTGTTTCGGTCCCTGCTGCTGATGATGCTTAACACTAACAGGCCCCATGGCTGGGCCCGAGGTGAGAGATATTCTGGCCAGAATGGACTCACAGTTACTCATGCTCCAGTACTCGTTTTTTACGAGACAGAATCGCTTTCGCTCGCCCATCGCAGACAGAACTCAGCGGCCACCGGTCAGGGAGTCGTAGAATGATGTATGTGAGTGTATGTCTGTAGGTGTGTGTGCGTGATTGTCATATTCTCATCGCCTCCAGCTAAGTCAGCCCACCCCCCGAATGCATTATTCTTTCTTCAGTGCCATGGTCGGGGTCTTCTGACTGGGCCACAATCCCCTCGTGCAGTCCCGCGTGGCCAGTCAACGGGCCTAGGTATGGTCGGCAGTGGGTGCCTGTGGGTGCCTGTGGGTGCCTCTGGGTGGTCCTCCAGCGCCCCCTCTGACGAATGATCCGGCTCTCCCTTCCTGCTTTTTCCCTGCTCTTCCGACTCCTCTTCGCTGCAGCCGCCTTTACCCAACCCAGCCCAAATTCCACGAGCCTAAGCTCGCTTTGAGCCCTGGCGCCGCCCATCGTCCTGCGCCCATCCTCGGTTTCGCCTTTGGCTTGCCCGCGCGCCCTCTTCTCTCCGCCTATGCCTTCCCTCTCCCTCCACTCACACTCTTCACTCGTGCGCCATCTGCCCTCTGCTCTCTTCCAGGGTTCCCTTACAAGTTACCACTCCCTTTTCCCTTGCCCTTTACCCTCCCGTCTCCCGGCCGCCGCAGCTCAAATTTTCGACCTCATTCATCATCTGGCCCAATTCACTTTTTGCCTTTGCCTTTCCCTTCACATCCTAACCCTCTCTCCTCTCCCTTTCCTGAAACCAATTCTTCACGAAATCCTCTCCTCTCCTCCTCACCACGAAGCGACCGTACACCAACCTCCAAAGGACTCAAGACCCACGGTCTGAGTCGTTGTTCGTTGGTGCAGCCACCGTTGCTATTCTCGGCGGTCCGACAGGATTCTCCCACCCAGCCCTTCGAATTGGTAATTTCGGACCCGGGCCCACGTCCTGCCTCACAGAACCTCCTGGGTGACGACTCCTTGCGGCCAGCTTGATTGCCACAATTTCCCACGGCACCACTGTCGCCAGGCTACCGATATTTGGTCTTGCTTCGCCATACCGACTACGTCTCGCAAGCCTCCCGTCGTCCCAGGCACCGCTCAAACCATTTCGTTTGCGACTTGGTGGACAGATTGGAGGTTTTTGTTTTTCTGACCAACGACCGCTCTGAATAGCGAGTCACGAGCCCCGTCAGAGCCATTTTTGCTGGCCTTGCCTGCGCGCTCTCCTGTCTGCTATTCCTAGTGGCTGTGTGCTGCCAAATTCGGGGCGCACCCGTCTGTCCACGCTCAAATTCTCCGTCACAACACCTCTCAGTGCCTGTACTTCCTTTCAAACAAACGCCCCAACTTTCATACTGCTACGACTCTGCGATAGCAGTGCATTGTTGATTGCTTTGGACGACCAGTACGCATCGAGGCGACACCACTTGGTATGTTTATCCCTCATGTCCAAAGGCTTCTGCCTGTCAGCGGCGAAAGCTTGATGTCGAAACCGAGTATACATGTTTGTTCTTGTCCGCCGGCACTCATTTTCTGACTCTTGCGCGTCTGCAGGCTGCCTCCCGAACGAGACTCATCTCACGCCGCCGCTCTCCACCTTCCATTCCGCCTGATTGAGCCATTTCGACGAGCTTTTCACTAAGTCTTGTCACCCAACTTCGAGGCGTCGCTCAGCCTAGATCAATCTGCGAGACTCACTTGTCTGTCTACCATTACCCACGACAGTCAACCCATTCGCTCGGATAGCTACAACTCCGTTTGCTGCATCAGGCTCCCACCATCAATAATTCCATCGATCGTTTGTGATATACTGTTCGATCATTGCCTTTGATTAAGACGAGAATACTGCTTCCATCCATGACCTGCTTCTGAGTGGGATCAAAACAAAAGCTTTTGAGCTCCGGCTTCAACGCCTAGGGCGTGGCCGCGCAACCAGCGGGAGCAGACGGTGAGGACTCATCCCACTATCAAGTAAATACCTGAACGCTAACAGTACCAAGGCCTGCGGCTTGTCTGCTCTGCTCAACCTCCTCAACCGAGCATGCCTTCTTACCACAGCTGGGGGCCAGCTGCCCAACACCACCGACTTCCCCCAACGCCTCCGGAATACCAGACCACCTATCTCACACCCTTGAGTGCGGTGTCTGATCAAAGCTTCTATCCTTCGCAAGGCTATCACTCTCGCCGATCACTCTCATCTCGAGACTTCAATGATAGATATCAGCCTCCGCCGGCGTACACTGTTCAGCCGTCTCTAGCTGGCCAGGCGTCGCGGATTGGGCATGCTCACCCATCACAGGAATATCCCTACCCGCAGCCCTATCAGATGCATGGTTCGTCCTATTGGGGGAACCACGTCGGAGCGCCTATTCTCCCTCCCATCCGTGTCACTGAGGCTCTAGATCATTTCCCGACACATTACGGACCACAGCACACAGAGTCGAAGCCAAAGGAGGACAAGCCTACAGGGGGTGTAGCGCAGCACTTGGATTATGATATGGACCTCATGTCCAGCTTCGTGGCCGAAATGTCCCAGAAACTGTGAGTTCGCCGATCCAGATTTGATATGCCCAACGCTAACCTCTTGCCATAGTGTAACACCAGAAGCAGCACCAACATCCCAGTTCCGCAAATACGTGTCTCAGATTTTGTCGTCTACTCGCCTGCCAAGTTCTACCATTATGCTGGGTCTATTTTACTTGGCTTCGCGGATGAAGCAGGTGAACGAACGCGGACAATCGACCTCATCTTCTGGCACTGTCTATCGTATGCTCACGACCTGCCTGCTTCTCGGCAGCAAGTTCCTCGACGACAACACCTTCCAGAATCGTTCGTGGGCCGAAGTCAGCAGCATTCCAGTACACGAGCTGAATATGATGGAATTGCAGTGGCTGACGGACTTCAACTGGGAGATCCATGGTATGATGTACGACGAGGATGATGGCTTTTTCATGTGGGTAGAGCACTGGCACGCCTACGAAGAAAAAGCCCAGTTGGCCAAGGTCAAGGAACTGCAAAAGCTTGCCCCGATCGAGACAAATCTTCACCGTCATCATGCCGTCCAGAATCAGCCCCTAATGTCCCCGGAAGGACCCATTCCCCCTCAGTATCAACAAGGCTCACAATACGACACCCGTTGGGTTCGTGCGTATATTTCGGAATATTCACCACCGTCTGCTCCGCACAGTGGGCCGCCCACGCCAGACTACTACAATGCTTCTTGGGCTTTTACACCGGGCGCTGCTCCAGCATATGGGCGCCAGCAGTACCACTCTGAGAGTGCATCGGCATACACTGCTCAACGTAATCAATTGCCCACCTATGCTCAGACCTTCGGCTATGCATCTGGTCTGACGCCGACTTGGGTCTCTCACGGACCTAATTGCGGCTGCAGTCTCCATGCCAAACACTCAGACTATTACTTCAATCACCCGGGATACACCATGCAAACTGTTGTGGGTTAACTTGTTCAAACTCCAGCGTTCAGCGATCTGGGTCCGGCTCAAAAAGTTCTTGAATCATACCGGGGTGTTCGGTATTGTTTTGCCACCATCGACCTTCAGCCTCCAAGAACCAAAATCGGGACTTTCCGAGGATGAGCCCCATTATGTTTGTTGGAGCTCCGGTCAATGCTCCCCTTCGACGAAAATTTCTCTAATCGAGTTTCCCAATCTAATGACCTTTTACGACCGGCACTTTCTTGTCTTTCGTTATTCAGCATCTAAAGCGAGCAACTCTCAAGAATAGATTCACCTTTCTTTCACAATACATTGACGACGGGGATGCCCGGGCGGCGCTTTCATGGCGGGAAAAGTCACCAAAAGTTCCGACTCGGGAAATGTTTATTATCGGGCTGGCGTCAGGTTTAATCAGCACAACGGGCATCAGGCAGGGGCTTGTTTTTTCCTTTCAAAAGACTTTGTTTGCTTCACAGTTACTACACCGTGTTTCTACGAGACTTCAATTGACACAAAAGGATGCCAAAGGATCATGGCTTGCATGAGAACTTACATAGCACGGCATCGCAGAGGATGGTGGATTGTCCGAGAGGTTTGCTGCATCATCATTCTTGTAATTAGCTATGTGAAAACGAGGCGGTGGTCCCAATGAACGAGCTTGAAATGTGCTACACGGCTGTCCAACTGGGCCCGAAAAGGCTATTTCCCAGTCGGGAGTCTGCTGCACGAGGGCACGAGACCGGCCCCTGTACGGAGTATGGCGATGGTGGTGTTGGGCACAAAACGGAAACACAGGACACATCGGTTGACGTTGTCATGGACCTTGTTGTCTTCATTCTCTTTCTTTTCAAACGGCCGAATTCGATGCTCGGCAGGTATATACCCCTGATAGACTGCAATGGGCGCTTCTTCAATCGCTTCCACAGAACGCAGAATTTGCAATAGACATAGCCTCGTCAATAGCGTTTCTCACATGGACTTTGACATGAGTCGTTCGTTGACAACCGGATTGGATCAGGGATCACGTTCTGGTATGATTAGACAACCTCCAGAGCACCAGGCCCGAGTACAATATTTACTACGAGGTACAAAGTAATACTGGTAAGAGGGACAGGCTCGTAGGCTGTTAGTGAGGCTGAATTATTAGGTGCTGGAGCCAGGGTTGCCAGGCTGCGAAGAGTGACGCGGTGAGGAATAGTGCCAAGCCCGGGCCGTGGTTTTGCCGCAGCGACTCTCAACTGCGAGCTACCATCTCGCTTCTGGAGGATTGTAATCAATTCACCTGCCCATACAACCTCCAAACCACCTTTCGACTCTTGAAATCCCCATCTGTTCCCTTTGCCTCCGATTCCGACGTAAACAACGAAAAACAACCATTCCTAGACCGATCCAGAAAACCCCATCAAGAAAGCCCCCATCATGTCGACGTTAGAGGATCTCGATGACATGGAGCGCGATGAGAAGGAGCAGAGAAAGGACGGCGATGACAAGGACAAGAAACCTACGTCCAACGGCGATGCCAAAGATGCCGAGATGAAGGACGCCGATTCTAAAAAGGATGAGGAAGAACAATACATCGATGATGAGATTCTTCAGTCAAGTACTAGAGACATCATCAACCGGCGGCGACTACTCGAAAACGAAATGAAGATCCTCAAGAGCGAGTTTCAGCGGTTAAAACACGAGGAAACCACAATGAAGGAGAAGATCAAGGACAATTTGGACAAGATCGAGCAAAATCGGTGAGTTTCAGGATCGTGTCTTGTTGAGTCGGGCCAAATAGCTGTGACTAACACGACGCGTGTCCAGGCAATTACCATACCTTGTGGGCAATGTTGTCGAACTCCTTGACCTCGACGTCGAAGCTGAAGCAGCCGAAGAAGGAGCAAACATTGATCTCGACGCCACGCGGGTGGGCAAGTCGGCCGTGATCAAGACAAGTACTCGACAGACTATCTTCTTACCTCTGATCGGTCTGGTGGACCACAACAAACTGAAACCTGGCGATCTCATTGGTGTCAACAAGGATTCGTACCTCGTCTTGGATACGCTGCCCGCTGAGTACGATTCCAGAGTGAAGGCGATGGAGGTCGATGAGAAACCGACAGAGAAGTACACCGATGTTGGTGGATTAGATAAACAGATCGAAGAGCTGGTGGAAGCGGTGGTCTGGCCGATGAAAGAGGCAGAGCGATTCAAAAAGATCGGCATCAAGGCGCCTAAGGGTGCGTTGATGTATGGACCTCCCGGCACGGGCAAGACGCTCCTCGCTCGTGCCTGCGCCGCCCAAACAAACGCAACCTTCCTGAAGCTCGCGGGTCCCCAACTTGTGCAGATGTTCATAGGTGACGGTGCCAAGTTGGTCCGAGACTGCTTCGCCCTTGCAAAGGAGAAGGCCCCATCGATCATCTTCATTGACGAGCTGGATGCTGTCGGTACCAAACGTTTCGACTCCGAAAAGAGCGGTGATCGCGAGGTCCAGCGGACAATGTTGGAACTGCTCAACCAGCTTGACGGTTTTGCTTCAGACGAAAGAATCAAGGTCCTAGCCGCCACGAACCGAGTTGATGTTCTCGATCCTGCCTTGCTTCGATCTGGTCGTTTGGATCGGAAGATCGAGTTCCCCTTGCCGAATGAAGAATCCCGGGCGCAGATTTTGCGGATCCATTCCCGAAAGATGACCATCGACGAGGGCAACATCAACTTTGATGAATTGGCGCGGTCCACGGATGAATTTGGAGGTGCACAGCTCAAGGCCGTCTGTGTCGAAGCAGGTACGTCGTTGCTCATCGTCCTTATCTGGTGAAGTTGCTAACTATCTGTCAGGCATGATTGCGCTTCGCAAAGGGCAGTCAAAAGTAAATCACGAAGCATACGTGGAAGCCATTGCAGAGGTGCAAGCAAAGAAGAAAGACACGTGCGTCCTCATGAAGCCCCGTCTGTCACTTACAGGAAGACTAACACTCGTCTTTGCAGGGTCAATTTCTACGCATAATCCACCAGGCGCCCCAAAATCAGTTTTTCTGGCACATTCATGGCAAAACATGGCATGTACAATACTCTAGCAAGGGACAATGTCCTCAGATAGATGATTGCCGTTCCCTGGCAGTCCTATAAACCATTGGACGCGGCTTTGCGTTACGCTTGTTCAGATTGTTCCGTCGTCGCCAACCCCGTCCCACTATCCAGTTTTTTGGCTGTATGGAATCACGCTTGACTCTTCTGCAGGTCGTATTGTTAGATATGTGGCTGTTATATCAGAAGCGGCTGGATACAGGGTCCTGCGCCCAAGACTCTGTAGTTGGACATGGTGGGTTCTTATTGGCTGGAAAGGCAATGCCTGCCCAGTTTCGTGTGCCGACTTCATGGTTTACGTTCCAACTTTTGTATCTGTTCGCCACAAACTATTATTGTTCGCGGCCTTTGCATTAATAGATGTTTCCTTATCTACGCGCTTGGGGTCTATTCGGATCGTACCAATAAGCACCCATGGTCTGGGATGAAGACCTATCGTGGCTATTTCTCTATTTTGGATTTCTCTATTTTGGAGCCATGGACAGATCAACACAATCAAACTGCCCTCCTAGCAGATGAAACCGTGGCTCGCTTTTCGACGCTGCTGAAGACTCCAAGCAACTTGAGGTGCTCGTATCTTTTTCTTCTTTCGAGCCATCTAAGCTGGATTGATGCATCACTGGCACACGATGGAACTAGTTGCAGAATACGCCCAACATGATCGCTACCAGCGTTCAAAATCTCCACAGGCATCCCAACCCCAGCTATTGTCATTTGCATATGTCGAGCAGATGCAGAGCGGAGCGCCAGCGACGCGAACGCAATCGCTTCGATCTCCAAGACCTTCTTCGACACCAAGATATGGGAGCAAGTCACGCTTCCCAATATCGACGGCAAGAGTCAGTTGGAAGAAGCTTCCACCATCGATCCTGAATCTCATCCTGGATCATCTGAGATATCTCCATCTGAGCCCCGGATCTTCGTCATGCTCGACATGCTACATGAGGGATTTGACTTCGGTACAGCTGACGTGCAAGACATGGTTTTCCGATGCACAACGAATTCTGTAAGTTTGTCCATCCTCCAAGTAGCCCGCTGCTCAAGGGTTTAGGTATACCAACATACAGATCATCGGCCAGGATGATATCTCGATGCTTCGAAAATGGAGAGTCTCGCGGGCAGCGCGCCTGATACGCCTGCGGTCGACGCTGCGTTCAAGACCACTTCTCGCTGCGCTGGTCAGGACACTACACGTGCCAGATCCTCATATACCAATTTATACGGCCAGTGGCAGCCCAAACCCCGAATATGATGCCTACCTCTGCACGATAGCGTCCCTCGTCATGGAATGCCCCAATCTGGAAGCCTTGACGGGATTCGTTGCGTTCTACAATCACACATTTGACAGGCTGACGCACGCTCTATCGACGCGGACGAAGCTACGCCAGCATGTCTGGGTCATCGCCGAGAATGAAGATGTCAGCGTGCGAAGTCAGACACAACTGCCGCCAGGTCTTCTGGACGCCCACCAGATCTACCAGTTCGAGCTTTACCATCGGCGGTGGAATTGCCTCGAAACACTGATGCTATGCTCACCAGGTAGCCTTGGAGTGATCGAGCACGAGTTATTCATTCGTGTCCTGCACTCCTTACCAGCTTTGCGTAACTTATGCATATCTTCCTTCGACGCCGATGATTTTCATGACATGACACTACTTTCACTCCCGCCGTGGGTTACCACGCTACGGCTGGAGGAGTGCTCGGGGGTCACAGATGCAGGGTTGATGCAGTGGGCAGCGAGCCCGAATGCGGCGCAGATTGAGCGGCTGAGTCTGATCCATCAGAATGTCACCAGTTTGCTGACACTGTCGAAGATATTTGCCAGCATGGGTCGCCTGTGGAAGTTCACCATCTTGCAAACTGATGTCGTGCCATCCTGGCCCAAGGAGGTGGGAGTCCTGTTCCAGCCAGTTCTTGCCTCGGGGTCTCTGAGATTTCTTCATTGGGATATTCTATCCCGATCTCCAGAAGCTCTTTCAGACCACCACAGCTATGCTTCTGAAGCTGGACGACATTTGCCAAACATGCAACTTGCACTCTCAATCTCCCACAACGGCTTCCCTTCGTTGAGGCAGCTACGCGCTCCTCGAGATATCTCCCCGCCTGGCGCTCTGCAAACAGTTTGCCAGATGATGGGTGATGATAACATCCCTTTAGACGACCGCGTCTTCTATCATCAGCAGAGTTTATCCAGATCGAACTCCTTACAAGTAGCTCGTCTGCGCGCCCGGGGAATTGCTCACCAAATCAGCACACGGGGACTGAATTCTGTTCTCCCGCAAGGCCTTCAATATTCAACCATGCCAGCTTGGAGCCATGAGCCAGATCCAGCACAAATACTCGATGGCGAAGAGCCAGTTTCCACTTCTACTTACTGGGAGCCAGCTGCCTCCCACGCTTACAACCAAAGTAAAACCGCTCTTCCTTTTGACCAGAACACAGTCCACGAGCTGGTTTCGCCCATTTCTCCCAGTACTTACCACTTTTCGCCACTGGCGCCGGATGATGGTATCATCTCTCCGATTACGGCAGAGCGGGAGGAGAGACGTTGGTACAACGAGGATCCAGACAGGGAAGGCGTGGTAGGATCCCAACAAACCGGTGTGTTCTTTCAGAGATTGACACATTCGGAGTCTACCTGGCAGCAGGCTCCAAGCGACGAGGACGTGTGCACCTGTAATGAGTGCACCTGCGATGATTGGGAAACTCAAAACGTCGAAGGGAGAAGTTGTGTCATCTCGCCGCCGCCACGTAGTCCTCTCCGGGTTGCACCCCGCATTACAAGTCTTGGTTCGTCTGCCCGTGGCTATCCTGCAGATGACAATTATCCCGAATCACAGTTGATGGGCTGGGGAGGGTCTCTGGTCCCGACTGGCCCAGCGAGAGCTAGCCAGTCCTACCGTCCCACCTTCTACCTCCAGCCAGACATTGCAGGACCGGATGAGAACGGTGGCCTGGTCGGATGGGCCGAGCTCCTGAATATCCGTGAAAAAGCTAAAGTACGCACGAATGACGCGAGCGCTGCAAGATCCGACAGACATGATGTCCAACCAGCCGAAGATGACGGCAACCATGACGATGACAATGGCGATGGCCAAGGGAGAACAGAGAATATGTGTACGGGCTCCTGGAACCGACACATTGATTCCGAAGAACGACCCGATGAACTTGGCGCCGTCGTGAAGGTCCTATCTGCGCCAGCGCCGTCCATAACGAGCGCCGCCGCTGGCAGCAAGAAAGGCCGACCGAGGTCGAAATCGAAATCGACCTTCAAGTCATCATCCTCGAGACTGAGTTTGTCTCTGGGCCTTCGAGGCTCGAAGGAAAAGATAACCAACGAGACGGCGTGGAGGCATGTCGCACGCCACAAAGGGGACAGGGGCGGATGTGTGACTGCCTCGGATTTCTTCTAGACTCTAGTCATGAGTATACCGAGCGCGGTTGTTGTCCGTCAGGCATTATCCGGCGTTCGGGATGTGTGTCACTGTTCCACCAGGAAAAGTTTATTTGAGATAAGTGTATTGGCTGTGTGTACTAAGACACACCAGCAGCCTGAAGCGCGCCTCCATCTTTTTGGTTGTGCTTTCCTCTTATCTCACACTGCTGCTCTTCGCTCAACGGGTTCAGGTCCACGCAGTTCCGGACAATGTGGCCCCTCTTCCCAGATGTGGAACGAAGTAGATGTCCGCGTGGGTTGCGAATAGTCAATGCTACTGACTGTCTGTAGTCGCGGCGTCGGGTTGTTTCTTACCTAGGTAGATAGTTTCTCGTCGAGCGACAAGACCGGAGCTGTGGTGGATTGCTGACCACCGGGCGACAATGACACTGACGGCCCCTCAGCTTGCCCGCCCGGTCGGAGTCAACAGCAGTGGCTGCAGCGGCAGCGGCAACCGGCGAGATAACAACCGCAATATCCTCCTACCTCGCACGAGGACGCGGAATCTATATAGACCAAGTAGAGATAACCACCGTGTACTCGGTACGCCCAGCAACAGGCCACTAACAAAGCTATTGGAATAGGTATCTTTGCTATCGCCGTCTTGGAGGCCGCCAATCTCTTCGACATGGATGATTGTGCGCATTGCTCCATGTGACACGCTCGGATCGACCCAGTTGCGGTCGTGTGGGCAGACCGCCAGTCTGTAGGTGGTCGGGTTGGCCATTGTCTCTGAAGAGAATGTCTGTAGAGTGTGTAGCTTGTCCTGTACGCTTCACGACACTTGAACGAAATAGAGAATGGGCCATGGCATTGTCCCTACTACAAACAGTCGCCCTTCTTGAAACACAAAACGTTATTACAACATGTTTGCTTCCGCCGGACTTCTCGCAGGAAGGAAAAAAAGTGGAACCGCGCTGCGAACTGGCGAGCTGGATACGAAATAAAGGTTTCAACCAATTCCAACTAAGGACGGTCCTCCCGTAGTACCCGTTTCGCTAATGCAAACTCCGATACTGCTTATATACCTAGTGGGGATGAGGATCATCGTACGAAGTATCCTGAGTACGGATTATGGTACTGCTAATACTGCTCCGCTCATTCAGGCAGGACAGGAATTGCTGAGAGGGCCGACTGCGGAGGAAGGGAATGATTGACTGAACTCTCTCCAAGTGAGTTGTGAGGTTCAATTTCATTGGAAACTCCGCGCTTGTTTGCTGCACATATTGATTTCGACGCAATCTACCTTGTACAGCCGGTCGCCTCGTAATGCTGATGCCATGCGGGCTCCGCCCTTGTCTTATCTACAGGGTGCTTCAAGGCTCCAGATGCTGGTCCCGTGCTTGTCGCAGCCTTATCCAAGAAGGCGATCATTTGCACCATTCGACAACACTCCCACTTAGCCTGTTGAACAGGGCGTCCGGGTCACCCAAAGTTCCCCCAAAAGGAATTCCCTGTCCGTGAACCTGCCCAGTATCGTACATCTCAGGGGTATCCATTTGTAGATCGTAATTCGTCTCATCATTAAAGGCGTCTCTCTAAGCATCTCAAGACTCCAAATGAACTTCGGGCATATGTCCGTGCTTTGTTCTCAGACTCAGCTCCCCACTGGCGCGCCCAACGACTGACTGAAAGGTCACCGCCTGTAGGCTTTCCATCCGGAAACTGGTCAATTGATTCTTGCTCCCGGGTGATGGCATGATGCACAAAGCATATGCTCACACAGATCCAGGTTTTGGCCTCTTGGGCCACCAAAACCTGCGGCGGGCGCCGAAACTTGATCGATCCCGTCCCGCAGACGTTTTTATAATTCCAGCTCACATATCGAGTTGGCGACAACTCAGATCCTATTCGCTCTTTTGACTTGAGGGAGTTGTTCCGAGTGAGAATTGGATCATTGGTGGAGTCTGGCTGCAGAGATAAAGCATCAAGTTCTCAGAGTGTTGAATGGGCGCAGTCCACGTTGGGTATAACAACCTGGGGGGGGGTGGTTTATTGTGGGTGCGTGGTTCCCCACCTTGACGCAAGGCAGAGATCTGATCTAACTCTTAGAGGCAGTGGCGTAACGTCCAGCTATATAATTGGCTCGGGGAACGCGGAGAGCTCCGCGAGTGAATCGCTTAGGTACTTCGATCACGTGGGATGTCCACACTTCCTGCGTGTGATTGTAGATTCTGATTGGTCTAGCGTCATCGAGCCTTGTTCATTGGACAGCGAAAAGACACGTACTGCCTTGCCCGCCGGATTGGAGTTGTTCCGTTCCTAATTTCACCTGCGACATCTACACTGTGGCATTGTGCACTTCCACCTCGTCGTCGTCCCAAGAATCAACTTAACTTTCCATCATCAATATCCTCATTGACATCCTCAAACATTCCCTGAATCTGAGCGTGATTGATTGCTTTGCTGGTGGTTTAAGGAGTCCAAACGGGCTTTGTTACTTGTCTATTTCACAACGTCGTTGTAAATTCGTCTCGCCACCTCTCCATCCTCCAAAACCATTCAGATTTGAGAAGCCTTGAAAAGAGACTTAGCACCACTTTACCACACGTCCCCGCCCGGCTCTTATTGTCTCCACAACTGCAAAATGGACTGCTTTCCAAGTGTTCGCCATCCCTTGCCTGACTCCGAACATCTCATGCCCTCGGAGCAGTCGTATAGCTACTTGGTCAACCCCAAGGCAGCAGCACTATGGTTCGCTGCTCGGCACAAAATCCGAGAGAGACAGGACTTTGCACAGTCACGTAAGGTTCCTGTTATTATCGGCGGCGCAGACGACGCGCTAGTCTTGAAACAGATCGCAGGGCTTGTGGAAATCCCCGAGGTTGAATGGGCTCAAACCATCGACGAGGCCGCTAAATATGCGAAGTTTTGGGCTGAAAGTGCTGCTGCTATTGCTGATGATCTTGTTGCTGAAGCAGATGCAGCCGCCGCCGCCGAAGATGCTGCTGCTGTTGAAGATGCTGCCGAGGCCAAGGCTGTTGCTGCTGCTGCTGCTGTTGAAGATGCTGCTGGGGCTAAGGCTGCTGCTGCTGACGCGGCTACTGCAGCGGCTGATAATAGGCCTGAATTTGTCTTGATCTGCACCATCAGCAAAGAAGCTGAATATCGCCTCAGCGAATGGTGGGACAAGTCGAATAGACTCCTCATTCAGTTCAAGGGCAAGGCGCGATATGCGAACAAGTTTAACCCTGATGCAAAAGTACGTTTCTGAACAATCGACCCTATCCACCATTACTATGTTTACCAGTCGGAGCCGTATGACTAACATCTGTCGCGCACTTAAGCCATGGAATCTAAGCGCACCGACTCAAGACTCAACAAAGCCTATCAGGGTTCTCTCACTTGGAGGTGCGTTCTCACCGTCACCGTCTTTTGTTCATACTGAAAAAAGAAAATCGGCCAGACGGAATGAATTGTGATCCAACCGCGCAGATTGATTTTATCAAAGGCCTCATGGACACGACCACTCCTGGTCTTAGACCGTGTGATGCATTTGACCTCATCGGCGGCGTTGGCACCGGAGGGTAAGTTCAATTCCAGGCACATGACTTCCTTAGATCGTCCTTACTGATTTTTGTGCCTTGTGCAGAGTCTGTGCCATAATCCTCGGACGACTCGGTCTCACTGTCGACGACTGTTCCAAATACCTGCCGGCAGCAGCTATTCTTCCCTCTATCCCAGAAGCCGCAAACCTGGTACCCATCCTGGATCCGAAAAATGATGTCGGTTCCACCTGTAACGAAAACAAACCATACATGTAAGTTTCTCGGCCCTATCTGTTGGGCATAAAGCTTGCGGCTGTCTGACATGGATTTTATTCTACTATAGCTTCGTTGTCGCAAATCTAAACAACAGACAAGACGAAGTGCTATTGCGTTCATATTATGCTCCTTGCGAGGATTCTGAGGTCTCCAGGCAGACCAAAGTGCCACAAGCTTCGCTAGCGACCCTTGCGGCGGTGTACCAGGACTCTGCCGAGTACGAAGACCTGGCAACCTATCTGGAATTCGCACAGGATTTGCACCCAAACATGCGGGACTGGAAGTTTTCTCCATCACAGGCCTTGACCACGGGAGAAGACCAAGTCGACGCGACCACCAACGATCCGATATACCACGTCTACCGTGAGGCTCGGGAATTCTGGCCTGACGAGGAAATCAGGATTGCGAGCTTCATGCCTGAACCGAAGAGCAAGTCCCCGGGATCCACAGCTGGTAGAGACGAGGTACGAGGATTCCGGGACTTGCACATCTCGAATCACAAGGGCGATATCGGTCAGCCGCTGCTCCTCCGCGCCGTCAATCGCGATGAGATTGCTTCGCCGTCATTCGCGGAGAAGGCAAAGGCATTCTGGGCTGATTGAAAGGGTTGGGTCTCTTGACCGGCCAATTTTGCCTTCAGAGTCTAGACAGAATCCGGTGAGAATGGGGGGATGGGCAAATTCTGCAAATCTTACTTTGTATGCGTATCTTTCCCAAACCGGCTTTCACGAACAGGGTCAGGGAGAGCTTCGCAAATTCTCTCTCTCTCTCACACACACACACTTTCGGAATACCGATCCTCAGTGTCCCAGAGAGACATGGGCATGGGCCTGGGCCTGGGCCTTCGGGTGGCAATCTACAAGCGAACAGCCCTCAATCGACCAAAGTCGGATCTCATGACGGAATTGACAGGTGGGGCGCACATCAACCTCCTATCTAATCCGTCATTGTATCCCCAGATTTACAGAGAGAGATATACTCTGTGGGACCTGACCGAAAAAGCGATTCTCTTTTTGCTGAGGACACGCGCGGCGGAATTGGACCGATCGATCGCTGGTGGAGGGGGGAAGTCTAGATCCGTATCGAAAATTCTGCGGCAGAAAGGGGGCTAGTTGGTGGGTTTGCTCTACTTTGGTGACTGACTGGGTGTGGAATGAGGCGCCGGTCACTGTGGAATGCGAAGAGCGATATGTATGTGTACGAATAGGATGGCGAGTCCAGAGATGGATTCTGGCGAAGCTACACTTGGGAGCCTAGAGGAATTTCCGGGGGGGGGGAAAGAAAGTAGCTTTCATGATACCCTTTTCACTTGCTTTCATCGATGATCATGATTACCTAGGTATGATGATAGTCAACGCATTCCTTCCTTGCATGGTCATTACTTCGTGATGTCTTTTTACTTGTTCCATTGATGATATTAAATGCATTCCTTTCATGGATCATTACCTCATGAACTTCGTCCCACTCAGTCCTTGTGTTCCTTTGGTGCTACGAGTAACCCCTGTAGATTCCCAAACAACGGAACAAACGACCAACAACTTCCATAACTTCTGAAGCCGCGGGTTGAGAACGGGCCTCAAGACATCAGAGCGGCGGTGGTGCAGAATCCTCCTCACTCATCGTACAAAAGATGCAAGGTCGTCGGGATGGGCGACTCCTTTGCATTCGCGTCAAGATAGATCTTTGCCTTGACGCCTGCAATATCCTGCTCAATGACGCTGAATCTTCCTAATTTACCCTCTGCGCGACGGAGGTTCTTGAGACGGAAGACTTCCTTGAGCGTGGCGACGAGGGCGGGGCCAATCAGTCTGGCGCCGAAGCAGTAGTGCATGCCGTGACCGAGGAGTGTGTACGACGACATGGGGCGATGGGGGTCGATTTTTTCGGGGTCAGGGAAAGCGACGGGGTCCATGGCTGCCGAGGACGTGGCGATGAGAACGTATTGACCGGCCTTGATGTGGAGGGAGCCACGGGCGCCGTCTTCAAAGGTGACGTCCTTGGAGGCGACGCGAGGTAGACCGGGCACGACGCCGGCGTGCCGCATGCCTTCGAACACGAATCCCAGCAGTTCCTTGTCTGAAGCTTCGTCATCCTTTTGTGCCAGCTCCACGATTCGCGCCTTATATTGCTCATACCCTTCACTAAGGTAGAGGTCGATGAGGAGGGAGGCCTGCTGGGTGATGTTGCCCGCGACTGGGGCACTCATGCCGATACAATCACCCACAATGTCACCCAGGTCCAATCCCGTCTTGTTCAACGCATGATAAAACTGGTCCGCGTCGGGCCCGACCTCATAAGCTGAGCCCTTGGCCAGCCAGTCCACAATGTACTCGGTCAGACCCCGCTGAGTGCGGAGATGAGCTGCAAAGATCTGTCTCAGAATCGGCGCGACCGTCTCGGCCGTCTCCCTCAACTTCCACTCGTTGACCGGCAGGATGTTGAAGCTTTGGTACATGAAGAGGACCAGGTAGATGTCGAACAGTTCCGGAATTGTGACCAGACCGCGAGGGTGGGCCGCGTCCTTGATTGGGATGGCGAAACGGCGTGCGAGCCACATGATAGGCGTGACGTTGCACACATCTCGGACGATATCGATCGATCTGCGATGGTCGGGATAGTTCAAGGTGCTTTTCCGAATCAGGCTCCTGACGGTTTCTCGGAAGAACTTTGTGAGGTTCTGTTCAAAATTCTCCTCAAAGAAGACCTTGTGGAGGATAACAGAACGGGGGTCGTGGCGGGCTTGGTCGTCCCAACCGATCATGAATTCGTGGCCGTCGGTGCAGTTGCGGATGGCGGCTTGGTACATGACGTGGAAAGTTTCTCGATCTTCAAAGGCCTTCTTGACACCTTCTTGAGTGTGGATGCCCACCAGCTTCATCACATTTGGTGGGGGTCTCCGAAGGTCGTACTTCGCCACCACCTTATTGCCTTCGAGTATGCCCTGGACGGCTTCAGGCGTGTAGAACGGCATCAAGGCATATGTGGATGTGCCAGTGAACTCGCCAGGCAGGCCGTTGAAGATGAGCTTGGCGAGTATGCCTCCGTATGCGCCTCCTGGGAGGTCGGCGAGTTTGGAAACGCCCCAGTTGGTCAGGGTGTTGCTGTTGAAATCGTACGTGAGGAAGCGGTCACCTCGGACCAGGGCTACAGCGTCGTCGAGGATGCCACGTCCAGTTGTTTGACCGGGACAGACACCACTACCCGGCATTGGTGGCTTGGTACACTCTGCCTGCAGACCGGGATATAGTTCAAGATTGTCGATGTGACCGTACAAGAGCTCGGCGGCTCGAGAAACTGCCGGATCATCGTTCCATTCCGAGAAACTCTTGTACGCTGTCAAGTTGAGGTATCTCCGGAACCTGGGAAATACCGGTCAGCTATCTGCAGTGACCACGTCACCAGAATTTTCAAAGAGATGTCTTGAGACTCACTCGTTCAACGTGCAGGTGTTGAATATCTCTCTGGCCTGAAGCTGGCCCATGAGGTCCACCACCTTCAGGCTAGCTGGTGTCCCATTAGCACCAAATGCGTGAGCTGGCTCTTCGATGCAGTCTTTGATGAGGCGGCCCAGATCGGCGTCATCGAAGCTTCCGTCTGGACCGCGCTCCAGACCTCCAAATGTCCATTCGCTGGCGGGTTTGGACATTAGGTCCTTGGTGATTTTCGAAGTCATCTGCCAGAAGAGCCCCGGCGTCATTTCGTCGATGGACTTGATCTGTGGAAGACTCGAACTAATGACCTCTTCCATCCACTTCGCGTCGGCGGCGCTGAGTGCGGCGTGCCAGTGGTAGAGAACTGCAAACTCCACCGAGACGGCGTTACCCAGACCTCTCTCTACACGTCCTCCTTGTGCAGACCTGATCTCCTCTCCCAAGTTGAGCGACCACTCCGAGTTAGCCCGAGGAGTGTTCAAGATGGCGGCGACGTAATCTCTCAGTACCACAGAGGCGAAGAAACCGACATTAATGTTTCTGCTAAGCTGGAAAATGTCTTCGTCTTGCCTATGGTTGGGTTAGTCAGATACTTAACTGACCAAATGGTGATGTCGGTGGAATGAGACTCACTCTTTTTGTTGAGCTTCTGTCAATTTGTCCCACGACCCGTAAGTTCCTTGCTCATTGATGGACAAGAGCGTTTCGGCAATGTGGTTGTGGTTCCTGGAAAACATCATCAGAACAGCAATGACGCCCGGTGGCATCAGCATGATCCTCTCTGAAGCGATCGAATCCGGATAGATCAGGCCGTTCTTGTAAGTCCGCACGCGTTTTTGTTCATTGCTTGTGTTTCCGTAGAGTGTGCTGAGGTCGACATAGCTGGACGTCTCGTTCACCCACTTATTGTCCCTTGAAGTCTGGAAGCACTCGTGGATGACGACTGTGGCGAAGGAGAAGAACAATCTGTTCAACCCGGATGGGTGCTTGCGGAACTCGCCTTCTTTTCGCCTGAGCAGATATTCAAAGACAAGTTCGACATCTGGCAAGTTGGGGCCTTTTGGTTTCATAGGCGGCACGCTTCGGCTGTAAGGTGAGCCTGCCTTTCCCAGCTCAGGATCCCAGAGATTATTATTACCTCCGTCGTGCCTCCTGTATCTCGTGGTTGGGCCAGCGAGGGTTCCTGGTGGGTGAGGCAAGTCGTCCCATAGCATTTTTATGAACTGACCAGCGGCGTCGGCACCCAGTCTGCTGTTGGGAGGCAGAGATTGCAGCATATGCACGCCGTGCTCGAGCAACAGCTCTTTATCATTCAGGGGCTGTCCCGACACCACTGTCTTGAAGGCTTGGACCATGGTGGCAGCGTTGTCTCGACCTAGATGAGTTAAGTCATGGAGTAGCGACGTCTGATTGACCGAGGGCGTGGCCGCCGCTTCGGCATCCGTCCGCCCATCTGGAGCGGTGGGAGCATTTTGGAAAATGGTTGCCTGCAATTTGTGCAATTGTTCCATATTGACCGAGTTGTCGTAGGGGCACCTTGGCTTCCTGCGTTGCTTTCAACCTGCTGGCCTGGAATAAGGCAACTAGAAGATGACCTGGGGCCTGCAAGGATGGAGCGGGGGAATGTGCTACATAGATATGCCTGGGCAGATGGAGCGAAGTGGTTCAACCTTCACGTAATGTTCGGTCTGTGCAGCTAAAGACGGCGGGGACCCGGGACGATGAGTGGAAGGACATGGTTCACAGACCTGTCTAGACCGACCGGATTTGGTGTCACGACGATGTTTTAGAGGTTCTCACGAGAATTGACATCCAGTTGCGGCATAGGTCAGTGCCCGATTCCTGCTGGCGTGGTGTCTTTTACTGTCAATCATGCCCGGTGCCCTATGGGAAGCTGGACAAACATTGTTAGCCAAAGTAATTTTCAGCTCGGTGGAGTACGAGTCCCTTGGCATGTCACACGTATAGCCAGCCTACCAGTTCTCCAAAGGTAAATCGCATGGTCGAGACGCTATGAGGGCGGTTCGCGACACAATCAGCCAGCCGTATGGATGCTCCTCTCCGGGTTTGCGCTGAGGGCCACACCTCGTGTCACACTCTTGCTGCGTGAGGGGACATGGCTTGACCGAACTCTTCTGGCCGTGATCCGCAGGTTTCCCCAGCTCCCTCCATCTCCAGCAACACACGCAAGAACTTCCATGCTTATCCCCATGAGGCTTGATTCGTTGCTGAGGGGCATGGGTAACGGAGCCGTTTGATCTTGTTTGCGTTAAGCAGCGTCGGTCGTCGATTCGGTTCGTTCCGAAGAAGATGGGTTCGCATATCAGTATGCGAGGTGGGCCCAGTGGCAATGGGCCCTGGCAAAACGGCTGATTGACAACACAAATCGCTTGAGCAAACCAAGGGCATCAGAGCTTTCTTCCCATCTGACGGGGAAGTGATGCCCAACGCAGAGAGTGTGTGCGGGGGGGTTCACATTTTGAGTCTCGAATCAGGCATTGAGGGAGATCATTGTCCTACAGGAGCGAGAAGAGGGCGCAGTCTCGACATGCACCCCACATTCGGGCGCCCAAGTTCCTTTCCGATTTCAGATCGAGAATCTCGCTGTTTAGTCAGAACTGAGACTCAACCATTCTGAGCGTGGGCTTGGCTTGGCGTTCTCCCCACAATCAGGCACAGCTCAGTAATAAGGGGGCATAAGCATCAGATTGCCAGGATAAGTATCTCGTAATTCAGGCAGCACAAATCCGGATACTATATAAACAGACATTTGGACATAGTCACCCAATACTCAAGCTTTGAATATTAAACATGCATCCGGCAAAGCGTATCGGTACTTCAGAGAGGAGCAACAGCCACCATCTGCCTCGGCGTGCAGGGATGGCGGCGCTTTCTCCCGGCTAACACGGCACGCGTCTCCGAAACAAGGATAGCACCGTCGTCACCAGAGACACTGGTCGGTCGACTTGAAAATCTGCTCTTCGCGCTGAGGCATATTTTGTCTATGCTGTCAATATGTTTTGTCTTTGGCTAAAGCATGTCAACCGACCTGAAGGAGCCTGCCACGCCTCTTCACCGCCTCGAACATGGCCCGCATGAGAAACACGTCGCCCAAGACGACCTCGACCGGGAAGTCGTTGCGTCGTTTGACAGCCCCTTCGATCTTCCGATATGGCGGAAATGGGTCATGACCACTCTGCTGGCCTTGATGACTACGGCCGTCACGTTTGCAAGCTCTGTCTGGTCTGCAACCATCACCGTCACGTCAAAGGAGTTCAACGTCAGTGAAACAGTGTCACTATTGGGGGTTTCGCTGTATGTCTTGGGATTTGCTGTCGGTCCCATTGTTTGGGGTACGTATGCCACTCTGCGTCCATTGAGATGACCTTGTCTATATCTCTCCGAGTCAATCGTGCTAACCTGACGGTGTGGTTGTTGAAGGCCCCTTATCAGAATTCAAAGGACGTCGTTTGCCACTCTTTTCAGCCTTCTTCATCTGGACACTTCTCCAGATACCGATCGGAGTGGTCAAGAATCTGCCCGCCCTTCTTGTATGTCGCTTGTTGGCCGGCTGCTTCGGCGCTTCGCCCCAGGTCCTGGTCAGTGCCGCCTTCGCCGATTTTTGGGAGCCAGCCGAGCGTGGCGTCGCAACCGCAGTCTACTCGGTAGCTGTCTACGTGGGCCCTACTCTTGGACCCATTTTTGGAGCCCTTATCACCGAAAGCAGCCTTGGTTGGCACTGGACAGGCTGGATTTCCCTCATTCTGGGTGTTGTGGTTGGGATTCCAGCATTCCTCTTCATCCCGGAGACATATGGCCCAATACTCCAACAAAGAGCAAACAAGAAACTCATCCTGGCACGAGACTCGTCAGAATTGGTCGAACGAAACGCAAAGAAGGCTCAAGGCTTTACGGAATTTGTCCAAAAGTACATGTTCAAGCCGGCAATCATGTTCTGCGTCGAGCCAATGCTCATGGTCATGGCGTTGTATATTGCCATCGTCTATGGGATCCTCTATCTGACCTTCTTCGCATTTCCATATAGCTTTGTCCAAGGCCGAGGTTGGGATCCTCGCGTCGGAAGTCTCCCATTTTTAAGCATACTGACAAGTGTGATTGTGTCTTCGCTCGGGGTAGCGGTGTTTTCGAAACGATACTATCGTCCCAGGCTATTGGCTCGCGGTTCCGTCTTGCCCGAGGACCGATTACCACTGGTCATGCTCGGTAGCCTCATTCTGCCAGTCGGGCTCTTTTTCTTCGCCTGGACTTCGTCCAGCAAAATCTCCCCGGTCCCGCAAATCATCGCAGGGTTTTTCATCGGAAGTGGCATCATGCTCATTTTCACCAATGCCGTGGCCTTTCTGGTGGACATCTACCTTCAATCCGCTGCCAGTGCCATGGCGGCCAGTACGATCGTGAGGAGTTTAGTGGCAGCCGGCTTTCCATTGGCTGCGCCACGCATGTATAAATCCTTGGGCACAGCATGGGCTACGAGCGTCCTCGGCTTCCTGTGCGTGTTGGCCATTCCAGCTCCGTTCCTCTTCTACAGGTATGGGCGGAAGTTGCGACAGATGTCACGGTTTGCTCCAACGCCAGATTAAGTTACCCTTCGACAACGGCACGCAGTCAGATCAGGATCAAACCGCCGAAGATAGTGGTCCGGCCGCTTTCACCACAAATTTGTATATATATATGAGGCCATGGCCAGAGAGGACATGAGAAATATACTTTGAATCCCACCCAAGTCGACAAGAGCCTTCCAGGTTATGACGAAAAGGAGTAAATTACAGCCAAGACGCTAGTAATTGTGCCAATAAAAGCGGCTCAGCCTCTTTCACTGGGATCTGGAAGGCAGCTAGCTTCAACTTGTGTCTAACTCTAGCCAGTACTCAGCCGACAATTACATAGCGACTCCGGACGGGTGCTTCTAACCGGTATCAGTCGGGATAAAGGCTGTCCTTTCCAACCTTTTCTGCGTCTCTCTCTCATGTGGGCAGATTCCTGAGATCCATCTTTCCATGCAGCTGTACCTTCTCAGTCAAGATTCCGACCGCGGACAAGGCTCCATCGAGATTGACGGCCTGCATTGGGGACTGACAACCCACAACTTGGACGCATCTGATGTCGAGGAAGTACAATTCACTTGCGTCTCGTATACGTGGGGCGAAGGGAGAGAAAGCAGTCCCTTTCATCCCTCTCACGAAGTTTCCGACCGGACCATACCCGCGCTGACCGCCGTTGTCAGACATCGCCCGTCTTGCACCCACATCTGGATCGATGCATTCTGTGTGCCTGTCGACGCTGCCCCCGAGAGGGCTCACACCCTGGAGAGCATGGGCTACATCTACTCCCGGGCCAATGAAGTCATTGTGGTGCTATCCGTGTCCGCCCACCCTGTACTCCAGAAGATGAACGCGTCCGATCGCGTCGACCCCGTCCATCTCGATATCTTAGAGAGGGAAGAGTGGGTTTCGAGGGCATGGACGTATCAGGAGGCGGCGAACAGCAAAGTCCTTTACATCACCTGCGAGGAGTCCCACGGGGTCATCATCCCAGGCAATCATTTCCTGAACTGCCTTGGCTACACGCTGACTCGCCTCGATGGCTCAGTCCCCTCGGCAAGCGAAAAGAGGCAGCGATACCCTCGTCTCGACGCATTCGAGGACCTGATCGCCGAGTACATGCTCGCTGGATATCAGGAGCGCTCCGCCTTGCAAGTCATGTCCAACATGGACCGTCGCACACAACGCCACGCCGAGGACCATTTCTATGCCATGATCGGCGCCATCAGCACGGCACGCGCCAGCTCCACCCCGGCTCTGGATCCTTGCGAGGCGTTCATGACCCTGTGTGAGAGGAAGGGAGACTACTCATTCATCTATTCTGCCGCGAAGCGGGACTCGACGCCGTCGAAACGCTGGCGTCCGGTGCCAGGAGATCTCCCAGCCATCCTACCTTGGCATTGTTACGGTGAGGGCCAGCCGGGTCACAAAGAGTCCGGGACATTGTATCTCGACCTGATGCTGCCGCTCGGGGTCTCGCCAATTGTTGACGACGGAAAGGAGTTTGTGCAAGCATGGCTTGCTGCGAGCAAATTCGTCTCTGTCGGGCCTGGTGACTCCCTCCAGGAAGCGGCCCATGCGGCCCTTCGGGTCATGGGCTTCAAAGGAAGTCCAGACTGCGTGACCACTTCGCATGGCTTCTTCTTCCCGTCAGAGCGAATCTCTGCCGACAAAGAATTCACAGTCCTGGTCGCAACGGCGGTACGATGGAGTTTTGGTGCGCCGGCCCTTGCTCGCTGCCGCCACGGAAACGAGGAAACGTTCACTCCGGGGGCTTTTTTTGGCCGTGTTGACAATGAAGCTGCTGTCTCGGTCAGGGTATCATGATCGACAGAGCGGGAAGACCGTCGAAGATTTGAACAAGGGAAACTGGGTTGTTTGTGTCAATGGGCGGAGAAGGTATCTTACTCAGAAGGCTTTGATTGAAACAACAACAGAAGCTCCATCCCGCCTGCCCCTCCTATCACGCTGTGTGCAACTCCGTCGTCGCAGAAACCGAGTTGCCACGGTGTGTCTGTCTAATAAATGCACTGGCTCCATTTCCACCGCCTCCCGCGCAGGTCAGCAGACGGCAAACCCGTCCAAAGGCCGACTGAGTATTCCGTAGTAATATGCACCCGTGCCTGTAACATATCCGTACATGGAACCTGCGTGTGTATACAACGGTATTGAAGTACACCGTGGTGACGGTGTATGTGCAGTGGTAGACCTCGTACGCTTGTAGACTAGAGTAATCGGGGGAAGGGGACGAGGGGCGTGCTGTGGAGGGGACCGAGCGGGCGAGGACTTTAGTGTCGGCTTGATTCCACGCCCTTGCATAAACGAAGTCCCCGTCCAGTGATATAATAATACTCCGTACACCTCCGTATAGGTAATCACATTCGAGATACACATCCAGGGAGGTTAGTCAATAGGGTTCCAATTTCACGGTGGCGCGAGGCAAGCGACTTCTTAGGCAGAACATGGGTAGCTAGTTGTTGCAACACAGTTCCATGGTCGGTTGTGTTAATATCAACCAACCTCTGGGTCCACGACTGCATTCTGACAGGGGCAACGACACCGGACACCGTGCATCAAACAGTCATACAACACGGAGGTGAATACGAGCGTGAGGCTCATGGTCATTTCCCTCACGAAAGTCTATAATAGAGTACCCAGCACTTCTCTCAACTGCCCCCTTCCCACACTCCTCAGTGTTCGCTTTGCGCGCCCAACATGGCCCCGGTTCCATTCTCCGACATCCTCCTCAACAACACCTCCCTGCTCAGTGCTGGCGGCGGCCCCGTGTGCGTCTTGGTCGGATGCACCGGGGGTGGAATCGGGCTGGCGACGCTGCACGCATTGCTGCGCCACACGTCGTCGCCAACCATCTACCTCGTCGACGGGAAGGCGGGGCTGGAGACCCTCGTCGCCTCCGTGCAGAGTCTCAATGAATCCGCGCGCCTGATCCCGGTCGTCGCGGAGGATTTCAGTATGGTGTCGTGTGCGCAGGACGCTGCAGGGCAGATCATCGCATCCGCCCCACCCAGGCTGGACATCCTGGTTATATCTCCTCCTCCAACCCCGCTGGAGGATGATTACCACACGCGCATGCTCACCCTCGTCACCCTGCTCCCGCTGCTGCGCAAAGCAGCGTCTCCGCGCGTGGTCAACGTCCTGGCCGGCGGAGGTGGCGGCGGGCGAGAGGACATCCCGCTCCAGGCGCAGCACGACCTCGGCATGACAACGTCCGCCATGACGACGCTATTCTTTGAACATCTAGCCCGCCAGCCCGAGAACGACAAGGTCGTGTTCCTGCACATCGAATACCCGGGCGTCGTGTTCGACAGCAGCAATGCCGCCGCCGAGACGGGCGAGAGGGTCCTCTTCGCCGCGACGAACGGCCGCTTCCGCCGCGTCCAGGACCCCGAGCGCGCAAAGGGCACGCTGATCCAGCAGGGCAGTGATGGCATCCTGGGCAGTGGCGTGTACCTCGTGAACGCGGACTCGAGCGTTGTCGAAGGTGGTGGGACGACGGAGTTGAAGAGACTAAGGGATGACATGGACATGGATGACGCTCGGCAGAAGGTCTGGGAGTATACGATGGGGCGAGTTGGAGAGGATTGAGAGGACGTGACAGAACAGGGGTATAGGTATGGGGTGGACGAGGAAGACAGTATATATAGAATACCGCTCGGCTAGCTGGACACGTCACAAACACGGAAACCCCAGCAGCAGGCGACTGCAGGAAGTAATTCGTAGAGAGAGGCAGTTCTCACTTTTGGCATAGGGTTCGTCCCTTCACTCCCAAGAGTAGGGCCCACAGGGTCCGGTCCAAAAAGAAAAATCCATTGGTATATATTTTATTCTTTCAGAATTGTCCATCACACCAAGACCCCCTTAGCTCGACGAGGGCGAAAATCCGAACGACTTCTTTCAGTCCAGGTCCTGTGCAGGTCAAACTAGCACCGGGCTAGCAGGCAGCAGGAACCTCGATTCGAATCCCACTTTCGCTCAGTTTTCGATCAAACCAAACAATCAAATAATCTAGGGTCTGTCAGGACAAACTCACAATAACGGGTGAGCAGGCAGCAGAACCTCGATTCGAACCTCTCCTCCTCCAACTCCGACTCCCTGGACTCAACTTATAGAAATTCGCAGTTATAACCGGCCGGCCGAGAAAAACCAACCCCCATTCGGGGGTGAGTTTCGCTTATCACGAACCAGAGTTGAGCTGCTTCGTTGGTTAAGTTTTTGCCTCCTCTTCTGATACCTATACTTGTGTTTGTTCCCAGCGGGAGGCATAGCTGTGCCGTCAAGTGTTTGAGTACCAGGCCACGCAAATTTGTTCCGATATCTACCTAGGTATACAGTGCTCAGTCCGAAAGAAGGTTGAATCACCAGAACACGAGCCTCTCAATCCAGAGTCGCCTCTTGAACAAGATGAACCTCCCGCCAGTCCCGCTCGATAGACCCCGTGTCCATATTGGCTCGCCAGACACTCAACTGCCACCTTGGCGATCCATCCCGCGACGTTTCCGGTAAGTGGAAGCGGATCGGGAAGACGAAGAACATTCTATAGGCGCGTGATGCCTTTTGCTCGTACGCCTCTCTGACGGGACCGTACCCATCCCGGGATTCCAGGACGTGCCATACCTTCAACATGACATTCGCATCCGAGAGCTCTTCCGACCCCGCTCGCTGCGGAACAGTGATCGTCCAGCCCTTGGGGTTCGGCGCGAAGGTCACGGTCCGCAGATTGGGAAATGTGTCCAAGTCGAGTTCCCACGTGGCCTCGAGTTGTTCAAAGACATTCAGCCGCACGTGGCGGACATACTCCAGGCTGTGCAGGGTCTTCATCCTGTTCACGAACGACTGCAGGGCTCGCTGACAATGGAGCTCCCACATGGCCATCTGGATGAAAACCCGCTGTGCCTCGCGCCTCACCTGGCCCGGCGGCGCAGACCTCAGCAGCCACTGGTGGTCCGCGCGGTACGGACCCGTCGCGTCGGAGAAGCAGTAACAGCCCGACTTCGCCGTCACGGCGACCCGGTTGCCCCTGAATGCGTGTGCAAACACGTCCCACCGGATCTCGGCGGGCAGCATTGTCAGGCGCGAGATCACATCGGCGAGTCGCGCGTCGCGGCTTTCAACAAGAGGGAAGAAGTATGGCCGCGCGGTCAAGGTGTGGAAATATGACGTCTCGGCTACTGCTGACTCGGACATGGCGGAGAGATGCTGGTTTGCCAGTAGGATGGGCGTGCCGCTGTTCGGTTCAGCTTTCACATCGCTGGCGTTGGCGCTGGCGCAGAAGCTGCAAATATGGAGACGTCCTCTACCACAGGCTGAGACCCAAAGATCAATATTGAGAGTTCTCCGAGAATCAATGGCTGGCACGAGGTATTGTAGCGGTCGGGAAACCGTTGACTTGATAATGTGGTTGATTGCTCGCTTCAAGTTCGGCATATCGTGGTAAGGGACCCGGAAGAAGTATATGGCACACGGTAGAGATTGCTACGGTGACGCAACAGGTACAACTCGGTACCTAATCGTTATCATCTGCCAACACTCCATCTACATAATTACGATTACGAGGTACAGGTAAACCTACCACTAGTGGGCCACGGGAATGTGTGACAAGCTTCATACCATATTGCAGATAGTAGAGACTATTGCCTTTGTCAACTATTGATGAAGAAGGGAAAACTAGCCCCTTGATAGTGAGCAAGAAAGTCGATAAAATTGGAAATTGGAAATTGGAAATGCCTTTTCTATTTCTATTTCGCATACATGGAGTATCCACCAAGATGGGCAAGAAACATGCTGATGAAAAAATGATTGCCATAACTGCGGCCGATGAAAACACGATTGTGCTTTTTACGTTGGTGAAGTGGTAGTACAGATATAACGAGATGCCAATTTGCAAAGTGGCAGACCCGAAAGTGTCGGAAGTTGCGTAAACTTATGGACAATCAACTCTCAATCCACGACGGCATCGTTCAGATCAGTCGCTTGCGGCATATTCGTCATGAGATCAGAACAAAGCTCATAGCAACCATAAGAGGTAGACTGGGTGGCTGACAATGGAGATTTCATCCCTTTTCTACGCATTGGACAGTCCTCCTTCAGCATGGTCTTCATCCACGAGGTCTTTTAAGCACCTCTTCGTACAGAGTATTGATCTTGTCTTGATCGACCATGTGGAGACGCCGTTGCTCTGTGTGGATATCTCATAAGTCGAGGCTTGTCGTGGAAACCGTCATCATGGTCTGATGTCTTCGGCAGACTGTCGATTCGAAGAGGACGTCCGCCAGTCGCAACAGAAGATAAATGGTTTAGCACAGCAACATCTTGACTGGATGTCCTGGTAGCAGGCGCCTGTTGCTTTGGCTTCAAAGATCGAGATCCTGTCGGCAAGGGTGGCACGGGAGGCAGCTCCCGGTTGGGGGGCGGCTTCGTGGGTGGATCAGGAGGCCGAGGAAAGTACTTCACACCCTCATCTGAGGAGGCGCTCGTGCTATAGTTCAAGTAGGTGAATGCACCTGTCTCAATCGACTCACCAAACGACAGTCTCGGATCCACTTGACTGTCGTTATTATGCCAGTTGTTCCAGTGCTTCTGCCGCAGCTCATTGGTCCAAGGAACCTCTTTTGGAGGGACAGTTGCTTCTGCGCGACGAGCACTTCGGTGCCGGGAATGATCACGGGAGCGCGGACTGTCTGCCACCACCGTGTCGGAAAGGCCGTCAAAATTGAAGGACAATAGCGAGCTGACCGAAGTTGTTCCTGGAGTCGTGGTTGCGCTTGGAGGTGTGTGACTGATAGGCGAGTGGACCATGGGGGCATCCAGAAGAATGGTTTGCTCTTGATGCTGTCTTTGCTCTCTTGTGACGAGTCCTGCATTTCGAGAGCCTTGACGGAAGGTTCTCCCTGGATTGTCGCCCTCAGAGCCTCCGTCCCGATGTTTCTTCTCCCGAATGGGAATAGTCGTCGATATTTCCTCACTCTGTGTTTTCTGTTGAGCCGCACAATGGAGTCTATCGATACCGGCAAAGCGACGAATAAGGTCGCCTAGCTTTTGCTCGAGTTGAGCGCTAGTTAGACGTGCGGAGGGATCTCGCTCGAGACACTGGAGAATGAGCTGCACAACAGGGCCAACCGCATGATATACCTGACCTTCATCCTTTTTCGCCTTCTTTTCGGCTTCATGCTGGAGACTTTGAGCCCATAAGAAGACCTGGCCAAGGTTGGCATGGAAGCTCGCATCGGCCAAGCCTCCACCGCGGCCAGCCATCCGATTTTTGGAGGATCGATGCCGTGAGAAGGAGCCATAGCTACGTTTGCAGAGAATATTCAAGATGTCCATGATCACCGCCCCAAGTGCAAAAACATCTGACGCGAACATGTCCTGTTCCACGGACTGCCAAGTCTGAACGACAGCGCTTCGCCCTTCGGGCGCCGCGACGAAAATGGGACTGCTGAGAGAGGGAGCATTCTTGCCATTTGAACTGGCAGATGACAGAATTGACGGCGCCCTTCCCGGGACGATCGGGTCAAAAACAGGCCGTGCTGTATCTTGCGTTGAAACGGATCTGTTGTCGGTGGGGGACCCCGTGTCCCTAACATGACGAACAGGCTGAGGCGGCGCGTCAGGACTCATCGCTGCGCTCAAGCGGAGCCTTGCGTACCCTCCTCTTGAAGTGGCTTGAAATGTATAAGTTGCGCCGGAGGAAGCGGACCTGCTTCTCGCAGTATTCTTGTCGTCTGAAGAGTTCAGCCATGAGTTTCCACCCACCTTCCGGCCAGATCGTCCGCCAGAAGGGAGCGACAGAGCGGCAGAGCCAGTGCTTTGCACTGTGACAGCTCGCTTCCAACGCTCCGGCGGACCGTACTGATAGGCTTCGATATCGTCATGGCGAGACTTATGACGAAGCAACCCGTCTCCATCCAGGAGGCCCAAGGAGATGCAGAAGGAGTCATCAACCTGGATATTGGAGGGTCGGATGCCTCCATGACATTCGCCATTCTCGTGTAGCCAGGCTAAGGCATTAGCTAGGCAGTGTGGCCAATTGATCAGGATTCGTCGTCGCTCAGGCTTCGGGAGAGCACCAAAGCTTTTGGGAGTATCGGTGAGAAATGTCTTGAGGGTCCATTCCGCCGCTGGGGCTGAGATGACATTGAAAGCCCCTTGATGGAGGTAGGAACCAAAGACAGACACGATATGTTGGTGGCATAGTCTCCTGCTTGCAGCGATTTCGTTTAAGATGTCCTCCTCCGTTAGCGGAGCTTCGAGGACAATGCGGCGGCGAACGAAGATCCTTTGATTGTCGGACGGTAACCGAACTCTGTCGGTACCTTCGTGACCGAGCGAAAGGACCACCGATTTCAAACTGAGAGGGACGACTGGGACTGTTTCTTCATCCGCATAACGGATATGTTCTCCCTCCCCAACAACGCGCGTAAGAAACCGGAACTGGTTCTTGTAGAAACGTCTGTCTAAAGACCTGTCGGGTTGGAAAGACAGCCGGAGATCGGGGACAGCTTGCTCGATAATGGGTAGATCTTCGTCATCGTACGAGTCATCGATTATGCCAAAGATTTGATCGGGTACTCCAGTGGCAACCAGGATGAGAAAGAAACGTTTTGCTCTGGTTAGGATCCAGTCCAAATAGGTATCGTCGGTCAGATCTCCGCCGAAATACAAAGGCCGTTGAAGATATTCCTGTTCATCTGCGCGGAGGTGAGAATGAACATACGCGGAGGTGACCGTTTCGTCCACACGCTCATCTGTCCACAACGACATGGTTCAGAGGATTCGCCCTCGTGAGCAAGACGACAGAAAGAAATTCAACGTGAGGGTTTGAGTCGGTGGCTAGCAAGTGAGCCATAGTCTTATCGGAGAGCATCCGGCCAGGATAGCAGGGGCTTCTGGGCAAACACGTGGAAAGTGGGCAGTGGTCATGGTTAGCAAGAACCAAGAGGGAAGTTGGGAACAAAATGGCAGCTGCGATGCTTACTCTACAGCAGATGAAACCGGGGAAAGAGGCCGGAATAGATCGAAGGATGGGGAATCCTTGTGTCTTATTTGGCTCAAATTGGGAACGCCGGGTCGCGTGAAGGGTATGGAGTGGGAACGGTCTCGCATGGCAAACCGTTGGCGCAAGAGAGCAAGGAGATAGAGGCGTGGATGACGGCGGTATGTCGAGTGGGGGTTTGGCCTTCTACTATTACTAGTAGGAAGAGAGGCAAACGAGAAATGCTCGGTACCAGCTCGCCAGATAACATTAAACGGGAGTAAGACGGAGGGACAAGCAGAGACACAGACACACCTTATCTCGACCAGACAGGGGCAAGTTAGTAGTAGTAACAGTCCGGCTCTTCGACCCTAGCTGGCTGCAGGTAGAAACTTTCCCCCGCGGATGCGCAAATGCACTTTGAGTTTCTCACGTCCTCCTTTTGCTCGTTTTGAGACCCTCTACATCTCAGACAAGGGAAGAGAAGGGTGGCCTGAACTGAACCGTGTGCCAGTCTGAACCTCGATGATCCCAGAGTGTACACAGTGTGGGTGTTGGTGATATTGGACAGTGCTGTGACAAGCTCCCGTGCCTCCTGAATTCTGATGTGCCGTGGATTGATTGATTGTTTCTGCAGCACAGATGATGTCGTTGCTCGTACCGAACGGGATGGGATGGCTTGCAGTGGTGGCGGGTGCAACGGCAGCGGACGATGGATGGGACCAGGGGCGACAGTTAGACTGATAGTTAGAGGGAGAGCGAAGATCGGATGAAAGATGCATGACTCCAAGAAACTGCCAAGGGCTGCATTTGACTGGTCGGTAGCCAGCCTTATCAGCCCTGACGATCGACTCAACCCTATTTATCAGTTCAGTTACAAATAAGCTAAATGAAAAGAGTCTCAAGGCCCCGAGGCGCGTGGGTCTCTGCATCCTGGCTGACAGAAGCAACCTCGGCTCCCTCGATAAGATGCCATCACCTCCCAAAAGGACTCGTCCTATACCCATTCAATGGAAGTCTACACCATACTATTGACTGAGGCGACTCCCGCTGGTCCATTGTGTGGGGCGAGTTCTCCTGCTTCGGGGAACCAGCGAGATGGATCAAGGATTACGAGGTACCTAGGTAGGTACCTAGGTAGGTACCCAGGTAGGTAATAGGGCCTCAAATGAGAGTGAGATGCTGGTTTGGCACTCCCTGTGAGCAGTTCGTTATTTTCCCCCAACCAGAAGATCTCCAAGGACCGCATGCACCAAAGCAACCAGGAGACCGGACCTATAAGAACCCTCAACCACTCAACACGGTGTTCTGAGTGAACAGGAACTCTCCCTGGCACAGAGTTTGTCACCCTGCCATAAGGCCTTCCATTTACAAGGATCACCTCAGAAAATGCACATCCTGCAGGCCTTGAAACAGGACAAGAAACCTTGGGACCAATATCAGCATAAATAGCCAAGGGCATCATGACCGCCGTCCAAGCTAGCCATCTCCCTCTGTTTCGATGTCAGGGCAGATCGCTCTGTCAACGAGGATGGCAGATGCCAGCCATCACACGGATCTCTCCGAGTCAAGTATCACAATCATCCCGCCGGTGTGCAACTTTAGGAGAAAAGCATGCGTCAAGCCTCCAGGCAACTCTTCACCGACAGCCCTCGGCTGCTGTTTCCCGTTCCCATCCATATACTTACCGTCTGTTGTTGCTTTTGCTCACGTTCATCCATCCAGTTATCGAGCAATATCACTTGGTGCGGACCCGTGGGTTTGTCTCCCCTCTCTACTTGTTGATCTTTCCCAAGCATTTGTTGTTCTGCGGGGACTTTCCAATATTTGCGGTGCCATCCATTTCAGAAGCCGCAACGCCACCTAACAAATCACCCTGACAGAGAACTCAAAAAGATGCCACCTTCGATCACCTTGCACTATTTAATTAACCCAAATGCATTCGGTCAATACAGGCTTGAAGGCGTCCACACACCCCCTCCCTCCCTCACTCACTCACGGGTAGTTTGACAAGATGACAGTTTATGGGAGGCCCTTTTCAAATTTTCCCTGGCAAGTGTGCCCAAAAGTTATTGTGCCACCCAGAAACTTCACCTTGGGGCTTGATACCATAAACAGTGGGAGCCCGTAAGCAGTTGACCATTCACCCCAGCCTTCTTGGGTGCCGAAAGCTGGCGGGTTCCGTGCTATCGAAAATATCTGACGGTCATACTAAGCGCGTCGCGCAGACAACCGGAGATGCCCCTAGGTGCCAGGTCAGTGTACAGTGCTTCTTGTCCATTGGAAGAGCAAATTGAGAGCCTTGGTTGTGTATATGGTTGAGCCTGGCCGAGCTGGAAGCTGTGATGCACAACGGTCGCGCTGCAATTGTCCATTCCGAGATCCACAGGTTGAAAAAGTGTTTGGTGTTTGATGGCTCGGCAGCGAGTGGTTTGCGACAATATCAGCAAAACTGTCGAAGTTCAGCCTGCCCTACGTTCATGACACACAGTATCCACCGCGGGACGAAGAACGGATGCCCCCAGGAATTCCAAGGGCCGGCTCTGACCGGTGCTCCAACCAGTGTCGCAGCGGTGCAGAAAGCACAGACAGCAGAGCAGGATCATTTGTCCTGTAGCAAAAGACCTTGCTTGCACGGGCGCAGAGGATGCAGATGAGACGCGTTTACAGCAAATGGTCAATATGCTTTGGGCGCCCGTGCATGTCGCTTGCACCAACGCTATACATTCCGCATGGCCTTCGCCGCCCGTGCATGCAGGAGGAATGATTCGAGGAGATACTGAGGAATGCCCAAGCGTAAGGCTCCCATGACAGATCATTGCCAAGTCCGCAGGATTTCGCGAGACTGGGGAGATTGGGCTCCCCCTGATCGACAAGCAGAGAACGCATTTCAGGCCCGAAGAATTTTCTTCGCAATCATCGCGATGTGAGGGTAGGGCTCAGTCACAATCCAGCTAATAATGGGTCACTGCAAGTAGCGGTCTATGGTATTCGCCGCTGGAGCTCGGCTCTTGCAGTGTGTAGGATGTCACAAAGGTATGTGCGGAAGTTGCGATATAATAGGATTTCATCTCGCCAAAGCCGCCAAGATCACAACCGCGCGTCCAAGCTCTTGTAAGTCCATTTTGATATCACCAGTGCGCGGATTCCAAAACAGTGTGCCGCAAATCGGAGAGTCCAAATCTCCCGGAAGGCTTGGTGAGATGAGCCGGATGAGACATGGGCTCGATGGTACTCGGTATGGTTGCCAGCCACAGACTCCTTGGGCTTGGGGCTTAATAATAGCATCTCTCAGTACAAGGTAATGGCAAACCAATCCTTTTCATCACCGGCTGCTAAGGACTCGTAAGCCGTGGGTTTTGGAGCTGATATGCAAGGACGAGATATGCTGGGCAAAAGAGCATAATCGTCAGGATACGAATTTCCGGGCACGGACCAGCAACAGCAACCGGGAGCCCAAAGCTTGCGAGCTTCAGCCTTCGACTCGATCTTTAAGTCGTACTTCGTAAACCTAGGTAAGTACCGAGCAAGTGCCTGATGGATCTCCAGATGGAGCTGTTCCCTGCGACTCTGAGCAAGCTTCGACAAGGCGCTCCAACCCACTGCCCACCAATGCCTATTGCTCTGGTGAAGAAAAGCCCTAAGCACCTCATGCGCAACGGCCCAAGATGATCCACTGGCGTCGCTTAAGGTCGCAAAGTGCCCCCAGTGGCCCCCCCTGGCGGCCTGGTCCTCGCTCAGTTCGCTGGACAGAAGAGTTTGGAGGCCAAGGCTAAACAGCAGAGTTTCCCGTTCTGCTACGGAGGCCCCTGTCACGGAAATGTGGCTCGTACGATCGACGAGGGTCTAGAACACGCCAACTGTCATCCTCGACCACCCCAATCCTAGGGATTGGCACTCCATGGCACTCCACTGCAATGTTCTGCATAGCCAGATGCCTGTGCCTAATCCTCTCTCGCTGCTTGTTGGGCGTGTTCGCCTGTTCGAGTGCCCATGGTGCCCACGTAACTTTGGAGCTCGAAAAAATGGCGCGAAGGCTACGGTGTTGTACCTGCAAGTGCTCCAACCCGGCTCCTTGACCGCGCCTCACCCGCTCAAGTTGACAAGGCCATCTGAAAAAAAGACCCTCACATCTGGTCGTACATGAGTCTTGTGGCCCGACACAGCCGAGTGCTTTCAGTGCTCTCAGTGCTGTCTCGACATCTTCTTTTCTTCTTTGTTCGTTCACAGCAAGTTCCCGATTGCCCAGAGGGCGGTTCTGCAGAGCGTTTGGCTGTAAGAGAGTGGCCACCTACCCTCATCGTTACTCACTTTTAATTCTTGTCCTTCGTTAATTCAACTCTCTCGGCTTCCCGGTTGGGTTTTTGGCTTGCAATCTAATTACGTGGCAATCAGCCTGAGAACAACAGTAGCAACACCTGCCTGCCCTGTTGTCCCATTTGCACCTCCCTTCCACAACTACCCCTGCGAGCAGATCTTCATGGGCTTGCGACATCAGCCCTGCCAATGACCTCCCAGCCTTTGTCGCTGGATAATGGCGTGCCCACTGTCTCCAAACGGCAACCGGTAGTCGTGCAGATACAGGAGCTTTCCCTATGTCTGTCAAGCGGAGACAGATGCGATGAACTCACCCCTGGCGTTGTAGAAGTTTTTGGAAAGTCGGAGGATGGTCTCGGGAATGGTTCAAGATCCATGTTGGACGGACTGGGGCTGAAGAGACCATTTAATGATATTGGACACGGTCAGAAACGAATTTCGCGGCCAAAGCCCCGGCGGAGGTCGTCGTCACTAGGGTCACTGGATGATATCAACATGGGGCATGAAGACTACTTCAGTTGGAGGGAACAGACAGCGAGAATCTGTAAAACCAGAAGTTCCGACGCTGTAGGGCCTTGGATCGCGCAAGTGGAGAAAGAGAAGCAGGAGGGGCCTCATCACGATATGACCAGAAACCGTCCAGTGTTTTTCGACGTTACTGCCACTCCTACCAACCTTCCAGGCCCGTTGCCCGCGCCTGGCTGCTTCTATCCATCACAGTTCCTTGGACAAGTGCTCAACGGAACATGTGGCATTGTACCTCCCCTCACGCCTCCAGAGGATCTCGACTCTTTCAAATGGGAGACTCCGTCACAGACAGACTCTAGCGGAGGTGTTCAGACTGCATCAAACGTCGAAGGCCGCTCAGCAAACCAGAGACAAAACCAGCCTCGCACTAGTTCGACATCCCGTCCATCAGAGATACGGATGCCAGAACCATCTAACATGGCGGGGGACGAACCAAGCAGATTGAACTGGCTCGAACGAGTCTGTCAACATCTTGGTATGTTGCGCTACTTGGCTCAAGATTGACGTGTTTACTGACCGGTGTGTGTCTAGTGTCTTCTTCGGGCGACCCAACCAGTCAACAACAGATCCAAATGGTTGTTCAGGCTCTACCCTCTCAACCAAGGTCGACCGACACGAGGCGAATTTTCGACAGAGTAGTTGAAGACATCCAAAATCACTTCACATCCCCGCCCTACATCACAATCACGCACGCATACTTTCAAGCAATCAGCATGGACGAAGTCCCAGCCTCGCCTCCAGCGACACCGAACACCAACTATCCGACTGACGACTACTTCCAGGACCACACTGTCTTCACACATGCGGCCACCGTTCCAGCTTACCACTCCCACACGGCGACTTTCAATGCCGTAGCCCAACGTCCATCGAACATCATCGCGGCTCCAAGCAGCATCCATATTTCGATTCTAGAGCGGTACATTCCGCCTACAACTCCCCGAGAGGTGGAGGACTTTTTCACGTTGAGCAGGCGGTCCTATTTGGCAGACCGGCTGCTGGAATTGTCCTCGAATGATGGTTCGTTACTCCTAATCTATCCCACCAAGCAGGGCGGACAAACGTTTGCGAATCGATACATCGGACCGGTCATCGAACCTTTTCTACGGCAATTTATCCTGTTGAACAACCTCTACACAGATATTGCGATCCAACTGGGCCGAATGGCAGCGGTCGCAAGTATGAAAAGCTTTGAGGAGATGCAAGAACTGCTATCGGCGATGTGCGAGGCTCTAAGTCAGAGAGCACCATCACGAGGGCTGCCGAGTCGATACCAGGTTATTCACGCCGAGACCGCCGAAGTAGTGCTAGACCGCGCCCTGTGGAAAGAGTGGTACATTGAGCAAGAGCAGCCTCGGCTACGACAGAACTTGGTGGATTATCACAAAAGTGGTGGGCGGATGCCAGCCAGAAGCGGTCGGATTGAAGTGACGCCTGGCATGCTTGCAAGAGAAGTGGTTGATGGGATCCGCCAGAGTCGGGAGACGGCAGGAGATGTTGGTTTGGAGGTTGCTGTGTTTGTCGTTCGGCGCACGACTGCTGTGTAATGCTTTTGCAGCAGTGGCAAGGAACCTGCATTGTTCATGGCGCGGCTGGCAGCTGGGGATACAGCATGGCAATGGAACTGATTAAGCAAGGCGTTGCGGGCTGACAACGGAGGTTTCGAGTGGCGCAATATGAAGCCACAGGACAATGAATGAGCAATGAGATACCCAGCGGACTGTGCGAATCTAATGAAGACAAGTTGATGCACATGAACAAAAGATATCGTCCCTGTTAGCAGTTGGGTGCCAGTGGTCCGTATGTTTGAGGAGCCATATGTGATTCGGGTCCCGAACTGGCACACATTGTCCTTTATCAAACACTGACGTCTACGGCGTCTTTCGTCAGGACAAGGACAGTCATTATCAAAATTAGCAACGCGATATGAGGATGACGTGCGCCACCAAGCGAGATTGAAGAAGTTTCAGCAAATTCACCACTACGCCGAGAATTAGGATAAGTTGCACAGGAGTTCCCGATAGCTTCGAGAAAACAAGACAGTCAAGTTAAGGCGTGAATGCGGGTTACTCAGTTCTTTGACGCTTCCGACCGGGACCTGATAGGTGCTTCTTAACGGGCATTCCCCTATACCAGTAACAGTAGGGGAGTTTAAAAGGAGAGCGGGTTCACGGTTCACGGTTCACGGTTTACGAGAGAGTGAGGGGGAATCGGCTTTCAGGTACGAGGTACCTCGTCTTCAGACAATCCGGACAAACTCTCCGGGGGCTGCCCCCCCTAGGCCCTGTGGCCCTGCACCTCCCAATCCCATGCCCACGACCTCCCATTTTCCCGCCACAGTTCCCTATCTTGACCACCCCATGCAGCCTAGTGGCCTAGTAGATAATTAGCGGGAGATAAAAGGCTACTTGTAGGCGCACAATCTTGCGTCCTAGCCATAATTCACCCGCGCCTCTAGCGACCCAGCGAGCCAGCAACCCGCGTTATCGATTCGGCGGCATGGGTCAAAACGGGCATCTTGATGGACAATGCATGAAACTGGTCCATCTCCCACCCGCGCTACGGCCCAATTCTACCTCGCGTCTCCCAACTACCTGCATCTTGGGCCTGCGATTGACTAGGTTCGGGGCAGCGTGCAGCGGGAGGTGACGCTTGAACTCTCCCTCGTACAGCCCGTTGCATGCTGTCGCAGGATTGATCGCATTTTCCGTAGCCAACGGATGCGCAAGGTTGGTGGCAGCGGCTGAATTGAACCATGTTGAAGCCCTCGTCGAATCTCAACCACTTTATCTTTCCCCTTTGCTCCTCCTTTGTCCGTCCTTGCCAGTGTCGTTACTGGTGTCGCCGGTGATGTCTGTCGTTCTTGCATGACCTGTTTTCTTCTCCTTCGTTTTCTCCCGGTTGCTGTCGCGCCTACTCTGTGAAGAGAACTGCGACTGCCCATCGCTATTTTTTTTTGCTCGAGCGCTGCAGCAGCGGCTCGTCCCTCGTTATCTTCACCGAGACTTCACTTACAGGCGACAAAGTCACTCAAGTCACATTGCCTTGGGGACGAGATCCTTTCTCTTCTTTTGCACATATTATTTGTCACTACTGGTGGTTGGTTTATACCCGACCTCTGACACAAAGTTGCTACTTCACACCTGCCAACACCTCTGAGCGATCCAACTCGGAAGAATACTCAGTTGCTCAGGTTACAAAAGTGTTTTGACATCAGTATTGCCTCTAATATTACCTCTCCTTAACCAAAGACCTCGAGAGATCTCGACGAACCATGGGTGCTCAACCTGGTTTGTTTTTCCTGGTTCTCGCGGCCATCTGCGCCACGATAAACGCGATTCCCACCATCTCAGCGGTCGGTTCCAAGTTCTTCACGAGCGATGGCAACCAATTTTACATCAAAGGTATGCCTGAGTCACCTGGAAACTCCACGGATCAAAGCTAACTGAAGCGTTCTTCGCAGGTGTTGCCTACCAGTTGGTTGAAGACGATCCCCTTGTGAACACCACCCAATGCACACTCGATGCCGCGCTCATGCAGCAGTTGGGCGCCAACACCATTCGTGTATACCATGTGGACGCGTCTGCGGATCATTCGGGTTGCATGAACGCTTTCGCTGCTGTTGGGATCTATCTGTTTGTGGACATGGACAGCTTCACCACATACATTCGATACGTATGGCAGATACGAGTGACTGTGACAAGAGATGGGGCAGCTGACACTAGGCCAGGACACTGACTCGTCGTGGACCGCGAACAAATCAGCATCGTACAGAGCTGTTATGGACAACTTTCAACAATACGACAACACCGCTGGGTTTTTCGTGGGCAACGAGGTGCTCAATACTTGTACGTGGCAAATCTATCTCCCTTGGGGCCCGCGTACCTACTAATGGACCAACAGTGGCTGATTCTGGCGCTGCCCCGTATCTTCTCTCTGCTGCTGCCGACCTCAAGGGTTATCAAGATGCCAAAGGCTACCGCAAGATTCCCATCGGCTACTCGGCAACCGACACTGCCGTTCTTCGGCCTATGCTCCAGGACTACTTGGTGTGCCGTCCTAATGTGACAGAACGCCTGGACTTCTATGCATTGAACAGCTACGAGTGGTGCGGATCCACACCGACTTTTCAGACTTCAGGATACGTTGAACTGCAGGCGCTTGCCGAGAATTACCCGGTTCCCATTTTCTTCTCGGAGGACGGCTGCAATACCGTGCCGCCACGGACGTTCGACGATCAGGCTGCAATCTTTGGCCCGCAGATGGTCGACACCTGGTCCGGGGCCATCATCTACGAGTGGATTCAGGAGACGAACGATTACGGACTCGTCTCGTATGGTCCGCAGGTCGGAGCAGACGTCAACGACGGGTCGATTATTGTGCAAGGGTAGATGACGGCCTGCAAACCACCAGTTTTATGCGCGGGCGAGCTGACCGAATTACAGATTCACGCGCCAAGGAGTGCCGACCCCGATTTCGCCGGATTTCACCAACCTTCAACAACAATGGAAGACGCTGACCCCGACCGGTGTGAGTTCTGCTCAATATGCGGCGACGGTTTCGACGACGGTGCCGGCTTGCCCAAGCTCGACCGCAGGAGGATGGACAGTGGACCCTAGCGCGCCTCTTCCCACGATTGGAGTTGGAGCCGTCTCAGCAGGTATGCCAAGCGACGTGCCGAAGGGCAGCATCACAGTGACCCCTTCTGCCGCCGGGACCCCTTCACCTTCTACTTCGCTCTCTGTTTCTGCTTCTTCCACGTTGCCGTCGGTTTCGACTTCGCAGGTCAGTAGTACTTACAGATCGACAGTCACCCCGTCGTCAATTAGCTCCAAGGCCAGCAGCACGGCATCGGGCAGCGCTGCTGCTGGTGCCGCCAGTGCGACGACCTCTAAAGGAGCTGCTGGCAGAAGCGTTTCCGGACCTCCCTCGTTCACGGGTGTTGGATTTGTGGGCATGGTGCTTAGCTTGGCGACAGTAGGCGCCGGCGTGATGGTTTGGCTGTGAAGCGTAGGAAAGGGTCGGATCACGGGGGGAGTTGTGGTTTATCTTACGACTCACGAAAAACATGGCTGCGAGTTTCCATTGGGGAAGAAATCAGAAATGCGATCAAGTGTTGCGGTTCAGGCCGAAAGGTAAAGGATGCACAAGTATGGTACGTTAGTGCAACAAGAGAACAGACATACCTAAGTAGACTTAATAATGGTAATCCACTTGTGAAGAGTGCAGGGTTGTGCTGCCTGTGGTGCTGATGGTGCTTTTCAATCACTGGCAGGAGTGCTTCATCTGATGGCGATGGATCCTGGACGGTGGATGCTGATTGATACCTTAGGGTTCTCGATCTGCATAAGCGAGCCATGTTCGCAGTCCCATTTGTCACGCACGTCGGCTGATGCCCGAGCCTCCGTCCGAACCAGGAATAAGAGCATCACCCGTTTGGGAAGGCCTGGTTTTTGGAGAATTACAGTATCAAGGTGAGTTGGACATCTGTGTGCTAGTAGCTGTCCGGCTATAGCGGCACCTTTTGGCACTGGTGGTCAGCCCGGCGGAAGGAGAATGGTTCGAATAGGCCGCACGAGTAAGGATCATTATTACGAGGTATGGGGATGAGATCCGGGGGGAAGGATGTTGTGTCCAGGGGAGTCGTAAGACGTAGGTTAGTAGAGTGCCTCATGGAGTCATGGGTGCCTCATATCCAGTGGGAAGTCAGCTGTCCGAGCAATTCGGCCGAAGAACATGACTCAAGCAAGTGGATTAGGCAAGTGGTATTGTTCCGTATTAAATAGCACTTCTCACCCATGGTACGGATTCATTATTACTCGATGAGCCACGTCCCAGGGGCTGACACGAGTCGTGCAAGAGAATCATGAATGGCAGAGATCGAAGAAGAGAGAAAGAACCCGAGCAAAATTAAGTCCGGAAAATCATCCACGACCCACCCGCACTGACACCCGCACTGACTTCGGCCCATCTGCATCTATTCTAACTTCTTACCTAGTAGTGGCTTCTTTTTCCCCTGCTCGTCCTGACCTCACCGGTATTTTATTTTTCAATTTTCAATGTCCACCCCTCCCCAACGTGACGACACAGATGTCCATGCTGGAGATAATGAATTTGCCCCTCGTTCTGACTGTCTCTCTTCCTCTCTCCCTCTCTGTATCCAGTCAAACAATCCCCAGCTGCATGTAGCCCTTGCAATGAGGTGATCCGGGCCAAGAACCCATGTCACCCACATATCCCCATTACTCGTACATCCCAGGTTGCTGTCCCTTTCCCTTGTTTTTCTGCTCCCAACACCGCTCCAGGCTTATAAATCCGTCCTCTTCCACGTGCCTGGCGGCCTTGTTGGACTCCGCAATGTCCGGTCTTGACTTGTCATTGATCTGATTTAGTTCTTGGCTACGGTCTTTGTTCGCCTGTGAAAACCGTGCGGTGTAGGGCCATCTCTCGCCGCGCGCCACCATTCGTTCGCTTCCCCTCTGGTTGTTCCCTATTTCACCATCATCATCCCCTAGCCTTACCAAATCTTTTTGCGACGTCCTTCTCTTTGTCTCTTCAAGTCCAAGCCTCGTTTTCTAAGGCAATCTCCGGACACCGTCCGACCCGCCGGACCCTTACAAACCTCTGAATCTTATGGTTTCATTGACCTTCGATTCCGACTTCAATTCCGAGACAAGAGTGCTCTGTATATTAACCTCCCCACCGAGGATTTCATATCTTCAAGCACTCAACCAGACACTGAGGCAAGATGTTCAACCAGCACAGTGGAGAAATGTTTCGGCGGCGGTACGGCCTCGAGCGTGAGTTCTAGCTGAACCAGACCCTATATCTTCCCAAATGCTAACCAGTCTAGCGACTCTCGCGAACCTGCACAATGTGGCATTGCCAGGGCAACTCTCGCAGGATACAAGCACAATGCCTTCGCCGCATGGATCTGGAGAACCGTCAAGAAGCCAGAGCCAGGAGCGAGAGGGGACGTGGGGTGAGCGTGATGTCGGAGGCCCCGTCAGCCGCGAAGAGGCCATGGCAGAATTCGAGGAGATCCGCCGCGGAATCTCCAAGATCAGTCTGCAACGTACCGCAACTCGCGAATCCGGTGCCGAAAAGGCCAGGACTTGGCTCTCCAGAGGTCGATCACGCCCCTCGATGGCTCGCACCCGAACAACAGCCTCAAGAGCCAGCACCGATACAACTTGGGACAAAGAGGCCGGTCCGGAGCCGGTCGAGGAGGATGACCTGGATCTGGGTGCCTTTCTCAAGGACGGCCATTTCGAAAAACGGACCGAGACGGGCGAGTCGGCCAAGAAGGTCGGGGTGCTGTTCAGGAACCTCACGGTGAAAGGTGTCGGTGCTCAAGCTACCTTCACAAAGACTCTTCCAGAGGCCATCGTGGGCACTTTTGGACCCGACTTGTACCACCTTGTGACCCGATTCGTCCCTGCTCTCAAATTTGGCAAGCCGCCTCCGACGAGGGATCTGATCCACGATTTTACTGGCAGTGTCCGCGATGGCGAGATGATGCTGGTGCTCGGGCGTCCGGGATCAGGCTGTTCGACCTTCCTCAAGGTCATTGCCAACCAACGGGAGAGCTTTGCCGGTGTCGAAGGTCTAGTCACTTACGGGGGTATCTCCGCCGAGGAACAAAAGAAGAGCTACCGCGGCGAAGTCAACTACAATCCAGAGGACGACCAACACCTCCCCAATTTGACCGTGTGGCAGACCCTGAAGTTCGCATTGATGAACAAGACCAAGAAGCATGATGCTAGCACCATCCCCATCATCATCGATGCGCTCCTCAAGATGTTTGGAATCTCCCACACAAGGGACACGTTGGTGGGAAACGAGTATGTGCGAGGTGTTTCTGGGGGTGAACGAAAACGAGTTGGCATCGCTGAGACCTTGGCGACAAAGTCAACGGTGGTCTGTTGGGACAACTCGACGCGCGGCTTAGATGCCTCCACCGCTTTGGACTATGCAAAATCGCTCCGGGTCATGACTGACATTTCCAACCGGACGACCGTCGTCACTCTGTATCAGGCAGGTGAAGGTATCTATGAACTCATGGATAAAGTCTTGGTTATTGAACAGGGTCGCATGATCTACCAAGGTCCGGCGAAGCAGGCGCGGCAGTATTTCATTGACTTAGGATTCCATGCTCCCGAGCGACAGACCACGGCGGACTTCCTGACTTCCGTGGGCGACCCCAACGAGCGCCAGTTCCGAAGTGGCATGGAAGCATCGACACCCAAAACTGCACAAGAGTTGGAGGCGGCATACCGCAAATCAGGCATCTACAAAGAAGTGCTTGCCGAAGTCGAACGCTACGAGTCCGAAATCAAATCTTCTGATTGTTCGGATGCCAGGCGATTCCAGGAGGCTGTCCAGGAACAAAAGAGCAACAGCAAGCTCATCTCAACGCAATCCAGCTATACCGTCTCCTTTTGGCGTCAGGTCATGGCTTGCACACTCCGCGAGTTTTGGCTGTTTTGGGGCGACAAGTCCACCCTGTACACTAAGGCTTTCATCATCGTTTCGAACGCTCTCATTGTTGGGTCTTTGTTTTATGGAGAAAGTCTGGATACCAGCGGCGCCTTCTCTAGGGGTGGCGCTCTTTTCTTCTCTATTGTGTTCCTGGGCTGGCTTCAACTGACTGAGCTGGTGAGAGCGGTCAGCGGTCGTGTCGTGATTGAACGACATCGCGACTATGCGTTCTATCGGCCCAGCGCTGTGGTTATCGCCAGAGTTGTTCTCGATCTGCCGGTTATCCTGGTCCAGGCTGTCGTCTTCACCATTGTCCTCTATTTTATGGCCAATCTCGATGTCGAAGCTGGCAAGTTTTTCATCACCCTCCTTTTCGTGTATATCACCACGATCTGCATCACAGCTCTCTATCGGATGTTTGCAGCCTTCAGCCCCACAATCGATGACGCCGTCCGATTCTCCGGTCTTGCGCTCAACCTCCTGGTCATCTTTGTCGGTTACACAATTCCCAAGACTATATTAACGGGGGATGTGATCTGGTTTGGTTGGTTGTTCTACATCAATCCTGTGGCATACTCGTACGAAGCAGTGTTAACGAACGAATTCCATGGTCGATTGATGGAATGCTCTCCCTCAAACTTGGTTCCCCGTGGCCCCAACGCCCAGCCGGGTTATCAAGGGTGTTCACTTACCGGAGCTACCCTGGGCAGCACCAGAGTCAGCGGGGATGCTTATTTTCAGACTTCTTTTGGCTATTCTCGATCACACCTCTGGCGAAACTTTGGGGTCGTCATTGCTTTTACAGTACTCTACATACTCATTACCGCTTTCGGATCTGAGTATTTCACATTCACAGGAGGTGGTGGTGGTGCGCTGATATTCAAGAAAACCCGCAAGGCAAAGGAGATGGTCGGCGAAGAGGCCAAACACGCGGATGAGGAAGAGGCTGTGACACCCGCGGATCCAGTTTCGAGCAGTACCTCAGAAAATATGAAGGATGAGCAGAACGCGATCGCCAGCGGCATCGCCAAGAGCAAGAGTGTCTTTACGTGGGAGAATGTCGAGTATGAAGTCCCATACCAAGGCGGAAAGAGAAAATTGCTCAACGGAGTTAACGGATATGTCAAACCTGGAGTGATGATCGCTCTGATGGGTGCCTCTGGAGCCGGTAAGACAACTTTGCTCAACACGCTCTCGCAGCGGCAGACAATGGGCACTGTGTCTGGGGACATGCTTGTCGACGGACGACCTCTTGGAATCGAATTTCAGCGAGGCACCGGCTTCTGCGAGCAGATGGACTTACACGACGAGGCTGCCACTATTCGTGAAGCTCTCGAGTTCTCGGCGATTTTGAGACAAGATCGGAATGTGCCAAAGCAGGAGAAGCTTGACTATGTCAACAACATCATCGAGTTGCTGGAACTCCACGACATTGAGGATGCCATCATTGGCTCTCTGGGTGTTGAACAGCGCAAGAGACTGACCATTGGTGTTGAACTGGCTGCCAAGCCCGAATTGCTCCTGTTCCTCGACGAGCCGACCAGTGGTTTGGATTCTCAGTCTGCCTTCTCGATTGTCCGGTTCCTGAAGAAGCTTTCGCAAGCTGGTCAAGCCATCATCTGCACCATTCACCAGCCCTCTTCGATGCTGATCCAGCAATTTGACATGGTCTTGGCTCTGAACCCCGGCGGCAACCCGTTCTACTTTGGTCCCATTGGAGAAAACGGGTCGGCTGTGATCGAATACTTTGCAAAACGAGGTACTCAATGCCCGCCCAACAAGAACGTGGCCGAGTTTATTCTCGAGACTGCCGCGAAGGGAGGAAAGAGACGAGCGGACGGAAAACGAGTCAACTGGAACAAAGAATGGCTCGAGTCTGAAGAGAACGCGGCCATGCTCAAGGAGATCCAACGGCTCAAGGAAGAACGATCCAAGGAGCCGCTCAAGGAAGTGAAGGAACAGCGCGCGTTTGCTGCTCCCGTTCCCCTACAGACGTACGAGCTCATGAAGCGGACGTTCCGCTCGTACTGGCGCGATCCGTCATATCTGTACGCGAAGCTCTTCACCAGCGTCATCATCGGCATCTTTAACGGGTTCACATTCTACAACCTCGACAACTCGGTGGCATCGCTGCAAGAACGGTTCTTCACCTCTTTCCTCATCATTATCATCCCGCCGACCATCGTCAACGGCGTCGTGCCCAAGTTCTACCAAAACCGCGCATTGTGGGAAGCGCGTGAATACCCGTCTCGGATTTACGGGTGGTTCGCATTCTGCACCGCACAGGTTGTCGCCGAGGTGCCCACGGCCATCATCAGCTCCGTCATCTATTGGCTGCTGTGGTACTACCCGACTGGACTCCCACGCGACAGTGAGACTGCGGGTTACATGTTCCTGATGACCATGCTGTTCTACTTCTTCATGTCGTCGTGGGGCCAGTGGATCTGCGCCTTTGCCCCTTCCTTCACGGTGATATCCAACACGCTGCCGTTCTTCTTTGTGATGGTCTCCATCTTCAACGGTATCGTGAGGCCGTACGACCAACTGCCCGTGTTCTGGCGATACTGGATGTACTATGTCAACCCATCTACGTGGTGGCTGCGGGGAGTGCTCTCAGCGACAATGAAAGACCTGACGGTGCGGTGCGCGCCGGGCGAGTCGACGCTCTACAACGCCCCGCCGGGCCAGACCTGCCAGTCGTACACCCAGCCGTTCATCGACTCGTCCGGTCTGGGGTATGTGAGCACCCTGGCCAACGGCACGTGCGCGTACTGTCCGTATGCGACGGGCAAGGAGTATCTCTCCACCCTCAACACCAAGCCGAACGAGCAGTGGCGCGACTTTGGCATCTTCTTGGTCTTTGTGTGCTCGAATTGGCTACTGGTCTATTTCTTCATCTACACCGTCAGAGTCAGGAAGTGGAGCTTCGGGATGCGCTATGTCTCTGGCACGGCGGAGAGGCTGATTGAGGTGGTGAAGGGGTTGGTCAAGGGGAAGAGGAGGTGAGGGAGTAAGACAATGAATGAACCGGAGGTAGGGGGTATCTGACCACGATCTGATCAGTGGGACATGCACGCGCTTCGTGAGTTTCTTGTAAGTATAGTTCTCTAGCGAGTAAAAGACGCAATCTGCCTTGGAAGCGAAATATAGATCTGTTTACGACTGCTACATGGAATGTAATAAGAAAGCATCTGAACCAATATATATTTCGGAACGTAGTTAGATGTTTGTCTGTTTGCCTATGTGTGTGTAGCTTTTCTCAACGCAGTGTTTCAACGGGCTCAATAACCCAGAGCACTCACACCCAGCAAATACTATCATTATTATCATTTTTCACGCCCACCCACACACTCACTCACTCACTCATCATCATCCTCAACCCCCACGATCTGGCAACTAACACTCCACAACCTCCTCGCCTCCCCAACATCATAGCACCACTCAGCATGTCCCGGCGCGTGCAACACCTCAGCCTGATCGCCCCTAACCTGTGGAGCGACGGTACAATCATCCAAAAATTTCCCGCCGGCGCCTTCCAGCTCCTTATCGACGGCCGCGAGGACCGTGGTGGCGGCGCCCTGCTCGACGGATTTGGTCGTGCGCTGGACCTCGGGAAGCGCGAGGATGGCCGAGAAGTCGACGTGCACGGCTAGACCCGTGGCGATGCCCCCGGGGTGCAGCGACCAGGCGTGCAAGACGCCTCTGGGACCGCCGTAGCGCCGTTCGATCTCGTTGGCCATGTATATATTCGCCGTCTTGGACTGGCCGTACGCGCCGAAGGGAGTGTAAGCTCCCGGTTTTGACAAAGTCAGATCGTCAAACATGACTCGACTCGCGCGGTGGCCGATGGACGAGACGTTGACCACGCGTGAATGGAAACCCGGCGTCGCACCCCCCCTAAGCAGCGCGGGCTTGAGAAGCTGGAACAGCAAAAAGTGGCCGAGGTGGTTCGTCTGGAACTGCAGCTCTTGTCCGTCCCGCGTCACCTCGCGCTGCGGAATCGCCATGACGCCCGCGTTGTTGACCAGGACGTGCAGCTTCTCTTCGCGCTCGAGGAAGGTCGCCGCGCAACGCCGCACGCTCGCAAAATCTGCCGTGTCGAGCTCGAGGAGCTCGACTCGCGCCCGCCCTTTTCCACCGTCCAGGAGGTCCGCCAGCGCGGCGCGGCCTTTGGAGAGGTTTCGGACCGTCGCGTACACTTTTGCCCCCGTGGCCGCGAGGGCCCGGACGGTTTCGACGCCCAGACCGCTCGAGCAGCCCGTCACAAGCATGACTTTGTCACCAAGCGCGTTTTCCAAGTGGTTGTCTGCGATGATTTGCAAGGCCGTCGGGCGCGAGTCGCCTGGTCCGCCGAGGTTGGAGGGGAGGTGGCTTGGGCGTAGCGGGTTGTTCATCCTGTTGAGCGAAGCGAGACAGTCTATCCTTTCAAACCGGGGTCAGAGGTGGGGAATACTGGGGGATCAGTTGCTTTCAGCGGCTGGAGATGGGAATTTGAATTGATGAAAGCGTGTTCTTGAATGCTTGATCGATATATTCTTCTTTCTTTTCTCTTTCTTGCCTCTGAAGAAAGAGTCGAAGTGGCAGTTGGTTTTCGTTTCTGAAGTCGGGATCTTGGACATCCCATTCCATGTCGTGCTCTTCAAGACTCTTTATATCAACGAGACCCTTACCTCTTCCCTTCCACGTACCGTCTTCATGTACCGTCTTTCCTTCCCGTCTCCTTGATGGTCCCCTAAAAGCCATGCGTGACCTCTGCTCACCCTGCAAGGCAGAGGAGATAAGGACCATTCTCCTCCCTCCTCTTTTTCCGAATTCATCTCGTCCTGTTGACGACTTACCTTAACACCGAGTGTCATCTACGTGAACCTTCGCTCTTTGCCTCGGTTGGTATCGTTGTTGTTCTTGATTGAGTGTGGAACCAAATCGCGCCAATAATGAGGGAACAGAAAGTGGACCGGCGTGCCTGAGAGACTGGGGCTGGAGCCTTGGGTGTGTTGATCGTAACCATCTGCAGAAAGAAGAGCACCTGCAGATAGGGGAGATTCAGTGTCTCAAAGACCTCAATTCACTCACCTACTGTTCGTGCGAAATGGTGCGAAGTGGTGCGTGAGTGGGTTTGAGGTTGGATTTGGATGACACTCGCGAAAGATGCAGGCTGCTTACGGGTTCGGAGTATGCAAGACAAACCGGAGAGTCGGATAATCCCCCTGGTTTTTGGGAGCCTTGTCAGGGCTACTACTACCACTATTAGTAGGCTGCCACCCACCGAGTACGGACAAGGATTCGAGATGTGGGAGCCCTTCAGGTGTCCACATATACTACGACTCAGCTCTTCTTTGCTTTTGCTCTCCTTGGCCCGTGGTTATCGAGAGGTGGTCAGAATCTGTGGCTAGTGCCTACTCCTTGGTAGCGGAGATCTCGAAACAGCAGATAAATGAAAGCAAGAACCAGAGTTGGTCTGATAGAGCGTTGGAATGGACAACTGTGACAGAATTGAGAATGCCTTTCTAGGTGTACTGATCATACATTGTGCAGGGATTCGATATCCCGTCACTCCCAGCTGGAAACCCTCTCATCGGACCAGAATTGCCCATTGGCGCCTCTGATATCCCCAATGGCCAACAACACAGGCGTCTGCGCTCCTTTATCTGGCGTCTTCACTCCTCTGCCTTTGGTCATGTCCGTGTTGACGTAGCCTGGGCAGCAGCTATTGATCAAGACTTTGCTACCTTTTTGCGCATTCTGCTCCGCGATGGTCTTCGTCATCCCGATGACACCGGCTTTTGAGACAGCATACGCAGCCCCTGGCCAATTCTTTTGGTAGGTTCCATTCGACACCGCAGCAGAAAACTCTTCCATGAGTTGGGTGATTTCTTCTGGTGTTTTCGCTGACAAGAAACGAGATCGAACAGAGCTCGAATACTTGGAACTTAATCGGCCCGCCACGCTCGCGACATTGACCAGTCTCCCGCCATCCTTGATATGTGGCAGCAATTTCTGCGTAGCCTCCAGTGTACCATAATAATTGCAGCCCAGGGTCTTCCTGACCACGTTTTCATTAAACCCGTCCATGGCAATCCCGGCATTGTTGATCAAGAAATCTATGCCATCGGGATGCTCTTGTTTGATCCTCCCTGCAAACTCCTCGATGCTCTGCTGGCTGTCGATGTCCAGGGGAAGGAATTTCACGTCGGTGAGGCCGCCATGAATCCTCAAGGCTCTTGCACGTTCGAGCTGAGGGTCTGTCTTGATTGACTCAAGAGCAGCCTGTCCCCTTTCTTCGTTTCGTGCGGTCAGGTAGAGGAGTAAAGGGCCGGTGTTCAGTGGAGAGTGCGGATATTGGAGGGCGAGTTGGCGGATGATGGCCAGTCCGATCCCTTTGTTGGATCCTGTGCAGGCGCCCACACGCGCGTAGGCTGTCATTTTGGCGGTTGTGAGGTGGAATAGCAGAGAGAGGATGAAGGGTCTAGATAAAGCTGTCGCATGAGTAATGTCTATTGAACGAAGCGCTCACCTTGATCGGAGATAACGGACAGTACGTGTCATAGATCTGCCTGCGGTGCCATGCGTCTATAAGGTGAATCTAAGAGGCGGTTGTTGTGGTCTGGCCGTACATTGTTGCCTGGCTGCATACATGTCTGCTCACCTTGACAGGGTTCGTATTGATGTATTCCTTGAGACGAAGCTGACTGAGAGCAGAGACGTGGACCTTCGACGGGCAGAAGGAGAGAATGATTGCTTTGGATTGCAGTCACGCCCATTGGTGGGTGATTCTCGCAGTCTAGGTGCTTGGGCCGAGGCCAACCGCCCTGCCGCCCCTGCGCCCTGACGTCTTTCATACCGAAATGTTCAATCGCCGAAGCATTTCCAAACCGAGCTGCTCGTGAAAAAAGGACCATCTTTCCCACCTTCTCTCCTCTGTTCTGGGCTCCAGCTCTCACAATGGCCTCGAAATCCCTTCCTAGACCTCTCCTGAGGCTGGCAGCAACAGCTCAGCAATGTCGCTTCTACTCCAAACCCTCAGCTTCAATGTTCAGAGCTTGCCCCGCATCACGTCGAGCTGGTCGCAACCTGTCACGAGCCACGAGACCAGTCTTTGTTGCAGGCCAAAGACGCTCCATTTCTGCCAGCTTGCAGCGACGCTACGCTGATGTCGAGGAGGAAGGCTTCGACCCAGCTTCCGTCGAGCGCGAGTCCGACCAGGTCGATGTGTGCATCGTCGGCGCAGGTCCAGCAGGACTGAGTGCCGCCATCCGGTTAAAGCAGCTGGCCAACGAAGCCGGGGACGAAGAATTTCGTGTCGTCGTACTGGAAAAAGCTGGCGAGGTGGGCGCACATATCCTGTCCGGCAATGTGTTGGAACCAAGAGCGATCAATGAGTTGATCCCGGATTGGTTGAGTGAGGACAACGAGAATCGATTTACGCAGGCCACGCCTGCTGGGTCGGATAAAATGCGATTCTTGACAAAATCAGGTGCCATTCCTATACCGGCGCCGCCGCAGATGCACAACGAGGGCAACTATATCATATCTCTGAGTCAATTTACCAAGTGGTTGGGTGAGAGAGCTGAAGAGGTGGGAGTCGAAATATATGCAGGCTTTGCGGCAGCCGAGATCCTATACAATAATGAAGGCGCAGTTAAGGGTGTCGCTACGAATGACCAGGGTGTGGGGAGAAATGGGAAGGCAAAAGCCAGCTTTGAGCGTGGAATGGAGTTCCACGCCAGGGTGACGCTTTTGGGCGAAGGATGTCATGGAAGCCTGACCAAGCAAGTGTCCAAGAAGTTTGATCTGAGGAGAGACTGCCAGCCGCAAACCTATGGACTCGGAGTGAAAGAGGTCTGGGAAATCCAACCAGAAAAGTTCAAGAAGGGTGAGATATCTCATACCATGGGATATCCGCTGACGAAGGATACTTATGGTGGCGGATGGATGTACCACTTCGGAGACAACTTGGTAAGCCTGGGATTGGTCGTTGGTCTCGACTATGCCAATCCCTGGATATCCCCTTACGGCGAGTTTCAGCGCATGAAGCTCCATCCATTCTACAAGTCAGTGCTGGAAGGCGGCAAGTGCATCGCGTATGGCGCTCGCGCTCTCAACGAAGGCGGCTACCAGTCAATACCGAAATGTGCATTTCCCGGGGGCGCCCTGATCGGTGACACTGCGGGCTTCCTCAATGTGCCCAAGATCAAGGGCACGCACACGTCGATGAAATCTGGCATGTTGGCTGCCGAAGCCGCGTATCAAGCCCTCGCTCATAACAAAGAATCAAGCACCATCTTCCTGTACAACTACGAGGACGCCCTCCGGGAAAGCTGGATCTGGCCCGAACTCAAAGCTGTGCGCAACATGCGACCGTCCTTCCACAACCCTTTGGGCATCTATGGTGGCATCATGTACTCTGGCCTCGAGGCCTACGTCTTCCGCGGCATGATGCCTTGGACATTGAAGCACAAGCAACCGGACTGGGCGGCCACGAAACCCGCAGATCAATTCCCCAAGATCGAATACCCAAAACCTGACGGCGAGATCACCTTTGACATCTTGACCAGCGTGTCACGGACCGGAACGAATCACGAAGAGGATCAACCTGTGCATCTCCAGGTCAAGGACTGGGATGCTCATGCGCAGAAGGAGTGGCCCAAGTACAAAGGCGTCGAGAACCGTTTCTGTCCCGCCGGCGTGTACGAGTATGTGGAGGATGACACCAAGGATATTGGGGTACGGTTTCAGATCAACGCTCAGAAGTAAGTTTCCTCTCCTTCATGCTGAACACTCAAGCCTTTTCGGTGTGTCCTGTATGCTTACTTATGATAAAATAGCTGCATTCATTGTAAAACATGCGACATCAAAGTACCAGACCAGGACATCAATTGGCAAACTCCACAAGGTGGTGAAGGGCCAAGCTATAGCATTACTTGAGAGGTCCATGGTCCATGGGCGGATATTGTGACACCTGTATGCAGCGGTGACTAGGACCTATTCAATTGGCCTCAAGGGGGATTTTTCTCCCATTGCGCCGCACGGATATCTCTGTCTAAGCCTGTTTTGATCATTGGCGGGATCCGCGTACGATAGGCTTGAGGCCTGTGCAATCAGCTTGTGAAAGGTATCATGGTGTCTGATCTTGCTACATACAGTACAAGAACGGTCCTGATCTCGAGTGCCGGCCATCCCGTCACTCTCTATATAAACAACCACCTGTAACCACCTGCGAGGTCCGAACAAAAAGGAGCAAGTGCAACGCGATACATTTCCACCGCAGGGAGTTTTCGAAGGAGAATAGGGGAGGTTATCTAGGAGAGAGCGGGAAAAGTATATTCAAAGACATTGCAGGACAAAGAGCAGCCAACTACCTCATCGCCGTGTACCAGTCGCATATACCTAGGTAGCCAATTGAATATATCCTGCAGGTGGTCTCCATTTGAGAATGGCATCTCTTGTATCGACCCAGCTTGTCCAAGGTTGAACTAGCGTAGCTCTTCGCCTCTACAATCGTGATAGTCCTTGTAAAGGCTCGTTGCTCCAAGTGTTATCTACCAATAATAGAACCTACCGCAAATCCCCAATGAAATGCCCATGTCAATCCCTCCCGCCCAGCGAGCTTTGCAGTGCCGTGTCGTTCCTCCGGAGAGAACCTACATACATGTAACGACCACTTCATCTGGTCCATGAAAAGAACCGATCATCCGATCATGGACCGTGGAACTTCCAGCAAATACCTCGTGAATTCTTGCGGAAGAGCGGTGCAGAAGGCTGGGCTACGGTAGATCTCTCGCCCTCGTTTCTTGGGGTTGGTCCCTTGTTTCCTGTTAGCAAGTAATGGGGAAGAGGAAATCTGCGCGTTTGTAGAACGTTTTGTTGCTGAGGGGAGGGCTTGAAAACCAACCATGCGCCTTGAGAGAGTCGTCTGGCATATCTGCAGGCATAGCCAGAGCCAGGTGACCTGCGTTTGGAGTGCAAAGCGAGGCTCACTTTCAGCAATCTGAAGCGTCCGCCTTGCCGTTGGTGCGATTGAAAGCTGTCGTAGCAAATCCCGCAACTCATCCGTGCATCGCCTGCGTGGAAATCCAGACCTGCTGGTTCGGTGTGAAGAGCGGCCTCTCGTCCTCGTTATCATAGCTTCTACGGTACCTCAATCGGGTCGCCGTCGGACCAGGGTCTTTGGTGGTTTGTGGATGTCGGGTCGAATCAGGGCCTTTGGCGGTTTGCGGATGTTGACCTGAACCTGTTCTTGCTGCGCCCGGCCCCGGTCGACCTGGGATCTCGTAACCACGGTCAACCACTGCCTCGCATCTGTTCGGACAATATCGACGGTGCTGAAGAGCAGACCGGCAGTGCGCGAGTACGTTGTGAACGCATCACGACAGCGTTCACAGCTTGGTTGACGAGTGCGAGGGGCTTGCAATTGCACATGTTCGTTCGCTTGGTCAGTCGCAGAATCATACTTTGAGATGGACATCGAAGAAATCGTCTTTTCTATATGGCTGCAGCCTTGGATGTTGCGACCACAGCAGGTCTTACGAGGAGATGGTTAGCTGGCCCAAGAGTGCTTACGAGGAGTCTGAAACAAAAACGATACAGCGCGGATGGTCCAGCCAACGAGGCCATATCAAGCATCACGCAAATGAAATACTACCTCAATTGGGACATCGCCTATTTTTCGTGATGCCATGGTCAGAATGAACGGTGGTGGTGACAATATTGCAGCCTTGATGCTGAGGCTGGGATCAACAAGGCTGAATGACCGAAAAGGGCAGCTCTCCGAGAGCAGAGGCCCGGGCAAGCTGAGAAGGTGGGCCGAGTGTGGATCCTTCGTAAAGTCCCGCAGCTCCATTGGCTAGAATGACACCGGTTTTGGAGAGTCTTTGGCCGGACTTTCTGGACACAGTTTCCGGAGGGTGATTGGCTGGCAGGGCGTCGTCATCCCTGCCACCACCGCCCACCACCGCCCACCACCGCCCACGAGTGGCATGCCAAGCCAGCATGTGAAACAATCAACCGACCGATCGGCCACACCGCGTCAGGGTCGTGACTCATTTCCGCATCTCACCATTTTCCTCCCTTGCAGCTTCTCTCTGCCCTCCCAGTTTCACTCTCTCTTTCTCTTCTCTCTCCTTGTCACCCATGCCTACTAGTACCTAGGTACCTGGGTAACTGGCTTGGATCGTTTGCTATCGTGGAAGCCCGCGGTAGACGGCATCCGAGTCCCAGCCAGAAAGCAGGTGTGTTTGACAGCTGACTGATGGGTTTCCAACAGCTGGGTTTGCCTGGCCCGCGTCGTATGGCAAACAAAACCCATGGGATGTGGGCGGCGGCAAACGACTGCTCTTGCCAAGTTGCCAGTGATGCCACTTCGCCCATCTCCAGCAGAAAAAGCCTGAAACACGTGATCACGACCCACGTACCGGAGTTCCCTTCCCAGTCTTGACATGTCCATCCGAATAGTGAAAAATTTGTTTCACGCTCACCTTTTTTCTTTCCATGATGCTGAGATGATGGCACGACTCGAGGGCAGGCTGATTTTCTTGTTGTTGATGCATCATGCATACTTTAGTTTAGGGGGTCACGGCAGGGCGGATTAGGCAGGAATGCCCAGGAGTGGTATGCAGCAAGCCAGAGGGGAAGGAAAAAAAGGGGCAGATAAGGTGCAAACCACAAAGCGCAGGGCGAAAAAGGTGCAGGGGTGGCTGGACGGGGGCTGCAGTGGACTGCGCAGGCGAGTTGCTGGGCAGATTCCTGGTGGAGGAGAGTGCAAGGTGGGCTTGATTGCAGCAAGCTTGGGCGCCCAGATGACACCTACTAGGCCCGTTGTAGGATAGCGGCCCTTCCACGGCGGGGTTTGCAGTCTGCGCTCTGTGGCGACTGCCTGGCACTATAAAACCCTCCCTCGCCCTCTTTCCGCGCGAAGTGCAGCCGACCTCTTTTTCCTGACATTTTTTGATTCTTGGCACTCCCTCCTGCCAGACTCCCATCCCACCCCCTCAATTCTTCGCACGGCCACCACAGCGCATTCTTGCCAGCCTGCGATTGATCCTCTTATATCCTCCTCTGGCATCGATTGACTCTCCCACATCATCGTGCCGCCACATAAATATCCCTTGGGCGCATCCCGCAAACCAGATCCGAAGTTTGGCCAAACCCAAAGATCTCACCTGCGATCCCTGCGCCTGCCACTCTCTTCACAAGGGCAAACAAAGGAAACAAAGAAAAGAAGACCAAGCCACAATAGACTGTTCGCGCTTTCCGCTCTTAAGTAATTCGCAATCGCAAATCTACGCACTCTTGCTTCCTCTTGCTCCCGCGTTCTCCCAACCTCGTCGTCGTCCCTCCAGATCGGACCAAAACTTCTCTGCAGACCTGATCTGAGACAAGCTTCACCGGTCGACCGACTCATTGTCACTTGGAAGTAGGGCAGTTGTGTTGTAGGGGAGACATTGAGTTGTTCATCTCCCGCATCTCGGTACGAAACCACCACCACATCCATCTTCTCTACCTCTTCCTCAGGTCGATTCTCCGATCTACAATCCCATCGTCGTCGTCGAGTTGACGCCGCGGCTACCTACTGCTGGCTCGAGTGAATTCAGTCGAAATTCACTTTGGCCTCAAAGTCGAGCCTCGCACCGACCGACACGATCGATCGCCTCTCTGCCTCACCCTCGCCACCTTGTTGTCACTTATCATTCCGCCAGCCTAACCTGACTTTCTATAAATTCTCTACAGACTGCTTTCATCCTTCATCGATCACCCTCATCGACAAGGATACACCCACTGCGACCGCTTGATTGCGCCGCATTGACAAACCTCACATTCCTGCAATCATGGAATCTCTTACCACTCATCCGTCCACCGCGCAACAGGCCAAGGCCTTCACCTCTCCCGCGTCTCTGTCGTTCCCCGGTGGTGCTGGGGACCTGACACCGCCCTCCTCTGAGAAAGATGGACAAAACCTCATAGGTGGCTCGTACGCAGATGGGAAGACCAATGGTCCGCAGGGAGGAAACGCCGTTCAGGCTCCACAAACCCCTGGCGCAACACCTGGCGCTGGCGTGAGTGGTATTGTGCCCACCTTGCAGTGAGTATTGTCCCTTTGTTGTCCTTTTTTCAAGGTCAGCAGAGGTTAACATCTCTAAAGAAATATCGTTGCTACGGTCAACTTGGACTGTCGTCTTGATCTCAAGACGATTGCACTCCATGCCCGCAACGCCGAGTACAACCCCAAGGTAAGCTATCGCTCACTTATGTGTCGATATCCTCAACACTGACTGATCGATGTAGCGTTTTGCCGCTGTCATCATGCGTATCCGTGACCCCAAAACCACGGCCTTGATCTTCGCATCAGGCAAGATGGTTGTCACTGGCGCCAAGTCGGAAGATGATTCGAAACTTGCAAGCCGCAAGTACGCTCGTATCATTCAAAAGTTGGGCTTCAACGCCAAGTTCACCGACTTCAAGATCCAGAACATTGTCGGTTCATGCGACATCAAGTTCCCCATTCGACTGGAGGGTCTTGCGTCCAAGCATCATCCCTTCAGCTCGTATGAGCCTGAATTGTTCCCTGGTCTTATTTATCGCATGATCAAGCCAAAGATCGTCTTGTTGATCTTTGTCAGCGGCAAGATTGTGCTCACGGGTGCCAAGGTCCGTGAGGAGATCTATCAAGCTTTCGAGCAGATCTACCCTACGCTAACAGGTAAGCATCGTCTGAACCTTTGTTACCTGCTGAACTTGCTAATCTGGCCTAGACTTCCGCAAAGTCTAGATCTGCTTTTCCCGTTAGCCGTGTATCAACAGTCAATATTTATCTTCGGCTCCCCTCGACAATGGTCACCCTGTCGCAGCGGGAATGCCAGCATGCTTAAGTGCTGTATCTTGCAAGCCAAGCATGACTCTGAAACCAACAACTCACCAAATCTTAAACTTTCTTTTTCGCCCGTGTCACGACTATCTATGAGCATTGCATGGCGTTTTTGAGCGAAATCCCTCCATATTGTTTCGTGGGGCAAAGGCACCAAAAAGGGCGTGGGTGGTGTCGGCCTGCTTACACCTTATTAGACATTGGGTCTCATCGACAATGGGATATCAGCTTGGGGGACGGTATCGGCGCTGGTCGATTTCGCATACCGTCTTGTGTGGAATATCTTCAGTTTCCTCTGCCCGTTCCTGGTCAAGTGGTGGTGAGAGACAACACACCACCGACCAGTGGCTATCCGGCGCACGGAAAGCTTTGCAGAATCAGGGAGGCTTAACTTTACTTTTCAAAGCATGGTTCTCCATCCATGACTGGAACTTTTTGCGTCATGGAAAAGAAAAAAAAGTAGATGGGCAAGTGAGATGCTGCCCATTTGCCCAGATTGTTTGTGATAGAAGCAGCAGAAGATGCTGAGTGTGGACTCTGAATGGAGTGAAGGGATGAGAGGGTTGGCACGATACCTTGATCGTAGTCGTGCTGCTCACCGACTGCATGATGATAGCTCAATATGAATTCTCATCCCTTCTGCCACTGTTTCATTCCGTAGAGTTGTCGTTGGAAGTCTGACACATGCGTGACTTGGTGATCCGGGACTTTAGGTGGGGTGCTGCTGTAGTAGTGACATCAGGTGAACCGAGGAAGCATGTGCTCTTGATCTGTAGACTGGGCATGTGTGAATGTACAGGGTATGGACACATGTGCTGTTAGACTTGATTTGATCCTGCTTTTGCTTTCTCACTCGACACCATACTGCAGAAAGCAGAACTGGTGGAAAGTGTTAGAGGCCAAGAGAGAGAGAGAGAGAGAGAGAGGGAGGGAGAGAGAAATGGAGAGAAAGAAAAGGGGGGAAATAAGAGAGTCTTTCAAGGCTGTCCAATTTTATGAGGACCTTAATAATAACTCTTCGCTCCCAGATCGGCACGGAGAAGTGAACATCGATTGATAGACTGATTGATTGATTGATTGATCGAGTCGATTAGAAACATCCCATTGTCCTCCGTCCACCCCTCCTCCGTGCCCCTGGTACTCCAGTCCGTCTACAAACGGTAGTATCTATTTATTCTGGAATAGAACGGATGGCCCTTGCATTTCGTGTATCCTGTGCTCATCGTGATAGTCCATGCGCACACTCGCGACGGCCATGTCGTAGAGGGACCAGAATATGATAGATAGATAGATAGATAGATAGACATGTCGAATGGCTCGATCCTATCCTATCCTATCCTATCCTACCTCTACCTCCTCCTCTGCATCTCCTCGTCGAGCACCATCCCCTTCCTCCCAGCTCGACTCCCATCCTCGCACCCCGTAAACTCCTCCCCGTCCTCCCCGCCGTCTTTCATTTCCCGCCTCAAATCCTCTCGACTCCTCCACCTCCAGATCTTCGCCAGCTGGGGCTCTAGGGTGCCCGAAATCGCGGCCACGATCTTGTCGCCTATCACGGGGAAGAATTTGAAGCCGTGGCCCGAGCCACCCGTGGCGAGGAACAGGTTTTGGAAGCAAGGGTGGTAGGTTATCAGGAAGTCGCCGCTTGGTCTGTTGGAAGAATAAGAATTTGGGGGGAAATGGATGAGGTGTCTTATCTGGGGGATTTCAAATGTAATGAAATGGGTGCGAGCAGAATCCAGAAAAAAAGAAACAAGTCGCGGGAAATGGAAATTGAGGACTTACGTATCACAGTACCAGCAGATGCGCGTGCGGGTGAACGGTCTGTCGGCCATTTGAGGCAGGATCTCCCCCAGAGCTTCCCTCAGGGCTTCTTCAGCTTCGAGCGGGATGGGTATGCCAACTTTGGGGACGCTGACTTGCACGGATCCAGGGTCAATGTCAGGGTCGTTCGAGATTCCGATCTCAGGGTCAATGACCGCCCTGGAGAGTTTCACTGGGTTTCGATATCCGTACCCATGTCGGGCGATTTTCAGAACGTTCCCTCTCGGTGGGATGACGAACATCCCTTTACTCATGTTCATAATGGTCGGTCTGTTCTCCATTGCCGCCTGCTCTTCGGGCGTGATGTCCAGGTAGGCCATTGTCTGCCCGGTGGCCAGACAGCGCCCTTGAAGGTCGATCAGGCTGGGACTCCATGCGCCAGCTGCAACGACGGTCAGGTCTGCGTGGATCTGCTCCCCTCCGGCACCAGCCAATTCCACGCCCTGACAATTGCTTCCGGAGAATACGAGCCTCGCGACCTGTGCACCAGGGCGGATGGTTACACGACCGCCACTCTCGCTCTGTATCCTCCTCAATGCATAAGCCACGCACGCTTCGGCATCGGCCCATCCCGAGTTGAAGTTCGCGTAGCCATGGTCCCCGCTGACACTCCCGTAACCCGTGGCTTTTCGGATCTCATCTCGTCCGCGTATTTCTCGGATCTTGCTCAAGTCCACATTGCCGCCATCTTGTGCCAGGTTCCTCACATTGGCCAGAGATTGCCTCAAGTAGGCATCTTTGTCCTCGTCGGCCGTCAGCACGAAGCCCGGTTCATGATATCTGCCTTCCCCTCCCCAGCCGTCTTTCCTCTTGTCGCGCCAGAGCTCTTGCGCCTGCGAAGCAAGCTGGGCATAGTGCTTGTCGGCATAGTCGGCGCGGACAATCCTGTTCGCGTCGACGGAGGAGCCTGAAGGGTTTGGCAGGGAAGGGGAGCCGTCGATGATGGTTATGCGCGTGGCATTGTACGCGGGGTTGGAGAGGAGCGAGAGCGCTGTGGAGAGACCAAAGACGCCGGCGCCTATGATCAATATGTGCTGGGGAACTGGGGTGTTAGACATTGCGAAACCGCACTATGTATACATGCCCTCTCCTGCTTCTTTGGGTGAAGAATAAAGTCTAGACTTACCGGACGCAACACAACCGAGATATGAGGCCTCGTTCTAGCCCGGTTAACCAACGCGACGTGGTTCTCCGCAGATGCAAAAAGCCTCGAGATGAGGCCGCGCCCTTTCACGTCCGAGGTCGGATCAATCTCGGCTAAAATGGCGTTGTGCCAGCACTTTTGATTTTTGGCACGCAGTTTGAGACAGACAGCATTATTGTTTTCAGGTTCCAGAGAGTCCAGCAGATGAACTATTGATGTTTGATCCCCTGCTTGCTCCATGGCGGAAGCGGCAAGGCTTTACATAGAGTGCTCGAGGATCCCGCATCTCGCACTCTCCATATCCGCGAAGCGCGCAGCTGCTCGCTCAACGTCAACAGCATGTCTCAATCGCCAGCGTCTTCTCTCGTGTTCAGTCGGGCGATCATCCGCACTGTCAACGCCTCGACAAGCTGTGAGAACTACTGCCTACAGCTCCTCCTTCCACCTTCGCTCGCGCAGACATGCCTCCACGACGAAGCAGACCGTCCCAAACCCTAACATCCCTCGACCTCTTGGACAGTCGCAACCGCAACATAAGCCCAGACCGACCCTCCTCGACCGCGCCACCGCCCAAGACGCCCTCGACCACCTCGCCGCGAAGAATCGGAGGCAGCGCATCCACATGTCCTCCAACACCTACTTCTGGATCACTTCCTTGTTTGGCTTCCTCCTCTCCACCTACGTCGCCTACACGTACATGTCCTACACGCGCTCCGTCAAGGAGTATGAGAATCGAGACGATCTCCCCCAAAACGCCGACGTCTCTTCCCGATGGATGGATCTCTCGAGGAACTTTGACGACGAGGTCGAGTTGTCAGAGAAGCTCATGTTTTTGAGGAGCAAGAGGGAGAAGTTGTGCAGAGAAGCTCGGGGGAACGTGCTGGAGGTGAGTGCCGGCACGGGAAGGAACATGGGGCTCTATCGCTTAGATCCTCTCGTCACGCCTGAAGACAAAAGAGTGGAAAGCTTGGTGTTCAACGATTTGAGTGAGATCATGCTCTACCAGGCACAGAAGAAGTTTGAGGAGTCGCAGGAGAAGGTCAAGGACAAGAGACGGTTTCCAGGGCCTGTGCAATTCGTCGTCGGGGACGCAGGCGACAAGAACCTTATCAAGAGGCCAGAAGGTGGGTTCGATACAATCATTCAAACTATGGGTGTGTGCAGTGAGACCAACCCTGTCGCATTTTTGAGGCAGCTGGGCGAATTGTGCAGGCAGCCAGGGGAGAAGAGCTCGGGTGTCGACATGAAGATCATCGAAAAAGAATCTCAGCAACGTCTTGAGGATATCACAAAAAGGAAAGACCGTGGTGTCTCGGAGCTAGACCCAGAGCAGAAAAGGCAGCAGGAAGAAGATGCACTTGTTGCAGAGTACGGAGGAGACTTGGGCGGCAAGATCCTCCTTCTCGAACATGGCCGGTCGTACCTTGGCTTCATCAATCGGGTGCTGGACAATGGTGCAAAAATGCATGCTGACCACTATGGATGCTGGTGGAATAAAGACATTGAGCAAATTGTAAAGGATAGCGGGTTGATCGTAGAGCGAAAGAGGAGATACCACTTTGGGACGACGTATGAATATGTTCTCAGGCCGAGACCGAAATCTAGAAGTGGAGATGAGAAGACGGAGAAGACATGGGAGAAGGTCAAGGGTGGAAAGAATGCTGTCGTAGATCTGAGTCAAGGTGTGCAAGTCAAAGGATGGACGGGAGGATGGTTTGGCAGGAATTGAACGAGGACATATTCCAGACCCATGATATTCGAAATGCCCCGCCAATGTTCTCATAGGCAGCAGCAGCAGCATTAGCTAGCAACGCTTGCCAGTGTCTTCTGGATGGTTGATGCCCGTGTGACGCATTGTCATTTCGAGGAACGCGCCGCGAGGCTGAGCAAAAAAGGAGGACAACGAGGTTGGCACGTGAACACGTGCCTGGGCCCTGGTTTGCGACATTCAACTCGAGCAGTCTCCGATGGCTACCTAGGTACATGTGGACTATGGGCACCGTCCGGCAGGTGGGTTCATGGTTCGCTGGGCTCTCTAAGCTTTACGTCCGCAAAGCCGGAGAAGACAGATGCCGGCCAGCGAGATTTGCAGAAAGCCCTTGTTATTCGGCGCATGCCTGATGTTGGAGGAGGAGCCTAAGCCGGAAGGTCGACTCGGTTGAGTTGGAGTCGCAGATTAGAATAGGAAGTACATTCCTCCCCATCGGGTAAGCGTTCGGTTGTGTATCCCTATGTGCAAAGGTGAATTTTCGATGCAGCCGTGCTGGTATGTCAGCACATATGAATGATCGCTCTATGATCCTAGAGGTGACGGGAAACACACGTGGAGAAGATTCCAACAATGTACAAGTGACCGGAGCTAAAATGTCTCGACCAATACCGAGTAGCTGGGACGTAAGCGAGTGATATTGGTTGAGCATACGCCGACATCAAACACAGAGTAGAAATAGTCCAGCCCCATGTTCAGGCAAGGGTGAGTAGGACTCAGATGTGTATTATCGCAGATCCGGAGGAACAGCCCGCGAGGTGACAGCTGGCTCGCTGGGAAGTTGTCTGGGGGAACACACATGCGAGGAAGTTGGGGATGGTGGATTGCCGTCCCAATCACGCACATGCTCTCCGCATGATTATTGCATCATGGTGTTTCCTGCATTGAAAGCGTCGGGCCCTCAGATTGGCGGGACTGCAACTAGGCGCAAAGAAGTGTGTGCCCTAACTAGGTATGCATCGAACCGACTCCGGATGTGTGAGAGTGAAGGCACAGGACGGCAAAGAGGGTGTCCAGACCGTGATCTCATAGATTTGCATTTCCGGGAGGAGGATTATGGTGGCAGGATATCTGAGCAAGGTTGACCTGACGCAGCAGCCCCACAAGAATGGCTCACGGGGATGCGATTCAGTTTGCTTTGGACCTGCAAGGCGGTCGCGTACACCAGCTTCGGTTCGTGGCTTTGACACCCCTCCGACAAACAGCATCCAATCGTTTGGTCTAGACACCAATAGTCCGTGTTTCAGATGTCTGTGCAGCTGTCAAGCCATCTCCCTTCGCACCGCGGGGTTGGGAGTTTGGACTTGTCTAGACTCATGTCTGCTCCTGACCGCCTTGATGTCGCCAATCAAGCACCAAACGTGCTCTCGGATAGGCACTGCCCATCTATCCCGAGAAAGTCGCTGTTCTAACAGGAGGATGCCAGCGGGTGCCATATGTCGCAGGCTCGACAGGGGCCGTATCTCAGGCTGGAAAGCTTGCGAAAGATCACGTGAAGATAAGAGTGGCTCCTCGGCTGCAATAGACGGATGGAGCGGCTAGTGGAGGCCTCGCCGCAAAGTCAATTGTTTTTTTTCTCCCGAGAATTTTTTTGGCCCTTCTAGCTGACGTTTTCATGTTGCGTTGGATACGTAAGTGATGATGGCAAAATGAACAGGGTGGAGTTGCTCATGAAAAAGAAAATCAAAATCACTCAAAGCCACCCACAGCATGACGGGTACCTAGACAGCCGCCTGTCTCTGTACTCCGGACGGCGCGAAGCCAACAACAAAAGCTCGAATAGTATCAAAGTACTGCCAGATGCAGAAGAGGAATCACCATCCGAAGACTGGGTGACGTCGCCCAGAGCAACGAAGCTGCAACAAATGCAGGCCGAACGATGATGGGCCAGGCGCATTGCCCATTTTGGAAGGATCCGTAAACTCAGGATGAGCAATTGTGCGGCGCGAAAAAGTGCGAAGGGGAAAAAAAAATAAATTTTGAATGGGGATGGAGGGGCAGCGGGGCGCTGATTCGCGGGACGATGGGCCTAGTGCTCGCCTGTCACCATTTTATTGCGCTGGACACTGAGCCACCCCCTGGAGACTGCAGCGACCTTACCGAGTCCATCCCAAGCGCATCCAGCTGCGTCCGGGTAAAGAACCCTGCCTCCATAGCCGGCCTTTTCCAGAAGTTTAGGGGTGACGGCCGAAGGTCAATGTGTTAAGGTTGGCTGATGATTGACAACTTTCTCCCGCTGCACCAATACCCAGCCAACAAGCGCTTACTCGAGATGCAGTCACGAAACTTGGCTCTGGATGACCGATGTAGTATCTGTTCTTTCCACTGGCGGATGGTGCCCGTCAGGTATCGCTTCGATTAGTGAGTGATGAGGGAGGGTGTAAAGACATGTCAGCCGTCTCCAGGTATGCGAGTCGTGGTACCTAGGTAGGTTTTATCGACATTTCCGAGACGAGTTAGTGGTGCTGTAGGACGAGTAAGTGACAGGCGGCACATCTGACAGCAGAAGGGGTTGAGTGTTCTTGGTGTCTCATGGCGGTGTTCTGCGAGATCTGGAAAATCACACCACAATTGACGCTGTACCTACTCGCCCTTGATATCTCTGCTGCTGTCAAATCGGCGATGGATGAAGGCTGAATATAGCAATTGCACCTGGTTGGGCGATGTTGGCCCCGTCCTGGATATGGCCGATGGCAGCTCGACGACGTAACAGGTGGAGGCTTTTTGGTAAAGCAAGGAGACCGCTTTGTGTGGTGACGGGCAGTGGTTTGCGAAAGAGTCGGGCAGGTGCATCCGCGAGCCCAGTGGGCAGGTTAGGGAGTATAGAAACGGCAGAGAGGCTGCTTAGCGCTCAGCGTTGCCTCCAAAGACACTAGCCTGGGCCGGATGGAAAGGGCTAAAACCATGACCCCGAGTTTAGCTTGGGTGACTGGTCGACTGGCGCCTGCTGGGCGCTCGGATCTCAACCCTTGGGAAGGGACGGGGAGGGACCTGAGTTGAAAAAAGGACCCATCGAGAAAAGATGGGCAAGGGACAATCAAGGGCAACCTTGAACCCAGGCATCGAACTTCGCCATTTGCTCCTCGCTAGGTACCTGGCACCCACTGGTAAGTGACAGTCGTTGGCATTTTTAGGATGGACAGACCCATCTCGGCGTGCCCACGAGGGTTTTTCCTTGGGGTTGTTCACTGTTGTGGCGTGCTGCCTGCCCTCGGGCCCTCCAGAGAGGCAAGTCTCTTCCTGCGCATTCCTGCGATAGCTCTCCCTCCATCATTATTCCTTTTCCATCAGAGCTTCCTCTCTCTTTTACTTCCCCTACTCGTACCACTCACTACCTTGTCGTAGTCGCATTGGCCTCATTCCTTCATTGCAAGGTGTAACTCATTCCCTTCGCTCCTGCGTGAAGCACGGGCCAGAGACAGCTCCTTGACAGTTCAAAAATATTTGCTTTGACCCACTCCCTCACACGACCACCTTGAAGCAAACAACGTCCTCGGGACCCTGAGCTACAGCCAGCGGCCGCCTAGCAGGCTGCCATTACCGCCATTTCTCGCTTCTGCGCTCTGCTCATCACAGAAAAAAAAAGAGGATACAAACACGCACCACCCTTCTCTCTCTCCTTCTCTCCGATCTACCAAGCGTCGACATCTGTCTGCTTACCGCCGTTTGACCTCAACAAGTCAAGTGGTCGGAACAAAGATCTCTTGACGCAAGGAGGCGAGGGTAGGACCACCGAAGGCCAATTGAAGCTCATCCTTGCTGCATTTTGGAGAGTTTTCATTGCTCCACGATCCCGGCACCTTGCATTGCAGCCACGCATTCCAGCTGCCTTCTTCCTCCAATCATCGCCCCGGCCTGCATAAACCCATCCGTCTAACCACCATCCCTTCTGTCACATCTTTCGCCCTCCCTTGTCCAACGCTACGCAGCACTAGTCCATCCCTCGACTGGCGTCGCCGCAGCCTGAATCATCATTCTGCCATTCGACAATTCCACCCATCCCAAAAACAAATTCCCTGCTTTCTGGGGCTCCTCTACTAGGTTACCAGAACACTCCCGTTGATTGTTGTACACGACTCCCTCCCATCCATCCCCGGCCCTACAGTGTCGCGACTTTATCTATTGTGCTGTTATACAACAGTCCACCGACAACATCTTCTCGTCCCTCATCCGTGGCAACACATGACATTCCACCATGCCTTACAACACTCGTCGGAAATCACTTTCCTTGCCTTCGCTGGGCATCCATTTGCCTAACGGCTCTCGCGCTCACCGCCCAGTCCTCAAGACCACCACACCACCTGCAGAGTCCTCCACGTCTCCTCCGCCTCCGTCAAAGAAACAGAAACGCTCTCATGATGGCGACGAACCTCTATCCCCAGTTTCTTCTCCGCGCTCCAAAGTCGGCTCTCCTGCGATCGACCTCCCAACATCGGCCACCGCACTAGCACTTGCGGCTGCTGTTGAGCAGACCCCACCCCCGTCTCCCAAGCTAGGTGCTCCGGTGCGAAAAGTCGACACGGACGGCATCAATGATGATATTGTGATCTCTGTCATTGAGCAGTTGGAAAAGACGGGAAACCGGCCACACTTGATCAGGGATCTGGCAACTATATTGGCTTCCACCAACGCCAGTATTGCTCAGTGAGTTTCGGTGAATTGAATATCGATAAAGATCTTGACTAACCTGCTCCTATAGTTCTGCAAATCCAGCTGCATTACTTTCCTCGCGTCTCAGTCTTTACCTTAAGAGACCATGGACTGCTTTGTCACCGTGCCCGTTGGCCAAAGAATTGATACCGGTCCATCCACGGAAGGTCTTCTTCTTCCTCACCACGCAACCGCGAATGCCTCTTCCCGAGTCCTCGGATGACATTCTCCCTCCACCAGTGATCTCGGTCAAGAACCTGACCCCTAGCGTGTCAGATCACAGCCAGGGTGACGATGATCTCGATCAACGAGACCGTGCTCGACTGTCTCCCAGCCCCGAGGTGGAACTGTACTCTCCCGACCTGGATCAAGATGACCCAATGCAGCCTCCGACCCCTGGCGAGTATTTCAGCGCCCGGAGCAGCCTCAACCCAGACGGTACGCCTGATGTCCGGCGTAGAACCAACAGGGCTCCAAGTCCACCACTCGAGGAGGACGAACGTGGGTTTACTGAGACGGCCACTGCGGTCCGCGCCCGTGGCATGAGTCTACACAACCCCACCGTTCAAGCCTCAATTGAGGTTGATGAAAAGACTTCATCTGTCGAGGTGTCAGAAGAGACCCCGGAACAGCGCCAGAAACGTGACCGAGAGCTCGGGTTGGCTCTCTTCGGCCAGTCCGATCAAGCTCTCCACGTGCCGGAGCAGAAGCTGTTTTCGAGCAGTCCGATGATTCAGGCCAAACCCGATCATCAGGCACCAGTGGCCAAGACGAGCTTGGCGCTTGACTTGGATGGAATTGAGATGGGAGTGGCTTCTTGGACCATGATGAGTCCCGAGCAAATCGACGTTGAAGAACTGGACGAGATGTTCATGGGATTTTAAGACTAGGGCTAATGGCATGACCAGCGTGGCTTGATACCAGCATTGGACTCTCACCTTATCACATTTCGTCCAGTTCTAAACATCTCGACTTTGGTGTTGGCTAAATCTCGAAATTATTGCCGGATAAGAGCTGTCTTGCGATCGGAAAGTTGGCTCTCGATGAAATGGCACGTTCTTACTTTCGGTTTGTCGTCTGATGTTTGAAGCGAGGCAAAGCCATGTGTTGATAGAATTCACATCTCATGAGAAAGAAGAGATTTTGTAGTATTAGAGGGCCTGTTGGCTGACAGGGGAAATGGCAGGTCAGCTGCTGAGATCTCATAGCTCATTCGGAGCTGAGGTTCTAGAGAACAAGTGTATCATTTGCAATGAAGCCAGCCATCGATTCCTTGTTGTTTCTTCCTTCCTTCGAACTCTTGTTCTCCGAAAGAGGCTTTCTGTCACGCTCTATTTTAGTCTGTCGTTGCTTTGTCAGCGTTAGGGTTTTTCCAGACCAACTCTTGCAGTCTTTCATTTTTACTGTTCTTGTATCTTGAATGTCGATGGTTCTGAACAAGCCTCGCATAGGCATCCCCGACCTTGCCCACCAGCAAGTCACAGGCCCAACTGGAGGACAAGTGATCAGATCCGAACCTGATTTAGGAAGGAGCACCATTCAGCAAACGACACTCCGATCACTGTCCCTAGCCCTGATACCTTCCGCTACCGTCTCAGTAACTCCTTGCTCTAGAAGCATCAAGGCTATCAAGCGCTCTTCCTCCCTCAGATGGCTCGCGTTCAGCCGAATTCGAGGTGACACAGGAACCAATACTCAACGGCAAATTTTGACATTGTCCAAAATGCGGTTCCGTTTCAATACCTGAGCATGCCCCCATTATCTGACCCAAGACCTGACTTGCTGTAAAGCCATTCTGAGCCAGGCCAATCGACCACCACGCGTACAAGGACCCTTATAAGCTGGCAAACGGCCATGGATCGTGGTGACACGCGCTCGGCCAGAATAGTCTTGAGTCGAGCCACCCGAGCCCGTCTCGCATGCACCCAGCAAGCTGGATTAATGACGTCATATTCCAACTATTCGTGCTTGCTGTGTAGCTCGTACTTGTGTGCTTCACGCTGCGAAGCAATGCAGCTCCTCCTTCTTCACACGATGGTGCTGACTTTAGAGAGTCTGAATACATAATCCTAACCGTCAAATAACGAAGTCACGACAACCATGTCAGGACAATTCATCGAAAAGCTGACTGCCGAAGGTGGCGGTGAATCAGCAGGTAAGAGCACATGGATGATGCATTTGCTTTTCTGAGGAACCAGTCCCCTAAGCAAAAGACCAGAGTTCTTGAATGACATCGTGAAGTACTTGTGGCCCAACATCAATGCCGCAGGTAGTAAAATGGTCAAGGAGATCGTGGAGCCCATGTTCAAGACGATGCTGCCTGGCCCCCTGGCCACGCTGCACTTTACCAAGATCGATCTCGGCCCTGTTCCTCTACGACTGTCGAATGCAAAGACAACAAAGAGTGAAGAACATGGCATCATACTGGACCTGAACGTCGATTGGGTGGGCAAAGCCGACATCGAACTGGATGCAGACATGATCCCTGCCCTCGTGAGTGGCTGTCTTCCGCTGCCAAACCAGCCGAACTGTTCCACTGATTCAAATTGAAGGGCGTCAAAAGCGTGCAGCTTCATGGCAGGCTTTCCATACTGCTATGTCCTCTCACAAATGTCATACCACTGGTACGAGATCTTCAGCCCTTTGGGACCCCTTCTTCCCATTGACACTCCATGGCAGATCGGAGCCGCCCAGATTGCATTCATCAACCCACCAGTTCTGAAGCTTGATTTTACCGGCGCTGCCAACGTGGCCGACTTCTCCCTCATCGACGACACCGTCCGCAAGGTGATTCTCGGCATCATCAACTCCATGTTGACCCTTCCCAACCGAATGCTGGTCAAGCTTGACCCCAGCTGCGACTACTTCAAAACGTACCACTACCCACTTGGCATGGTGCGGGTGACTGTGGAAAAGGCGTGGGGGTTCGGAGAGGAGGCTAAGTCGTCGACGAGAAAGTTTTTCAACAAGTTGACCCGTGCCGCCCCAGACTGCTATGCCAAGGTCGACGTTGGTGGGGAGAAATCGTGGAAAACTGCCACCAGGAACAATACGAACAGGCCGTCGTGGAACGAGACACATGACTTTGTAGTGAGTGATTTTGATCAGTGCATCAAGGTGGACGTATTGGATGAAGATATCAACGGAGATGATGAAGTCGGCCTTGCCGTGACGACCGTCCGAGAGGTTTTGGTGGCCGGAGGTAGGCAAGAGCTGCCACTAGTTCACAAGGGCGAGGAAACAGACGGCAGAGTCTCCATCTCGTGCGAATTCTTCAAGTACGTGGCCGATGCCGGTAGCCTCACTGCTTCCGACCACAAAGGCGACGGCCGCCTCTCCGGCATGGCCACCATCCTCGTCGCCAGTGCATTTGGCATTAAGGGCCTGCGCGAAGCCCTGAAACCAAGCGTGGTCGTGACTTGGGGGAAGAATCACCGATTCCAGACGGCCGTCAAGACCGACGCTCCCGGCACCGACATCAGCAATCCCGCATTCGACCAGGCGTTCCGACTTCCCATCACCACCGATCTCGTCGGCAGCAGTCCGGACGACTTCCGCATTTCGCTTCTAAACGGCGAGAAGGAGATCGGAGCCGTCGATATCCCTTTTGCGAGTGTGGCGGATGCGCCCAACAAGATCCTCCAGCAGAAATTCGACGTAGGTGGTGGAGCTACGGTCAGGGCCAGCATTCGCCTCGAAGGCATTGTCCCGGGAGAGATGCCCCAGCACGGAGCAGCGCTTCCTGAAAGACACAAGTAAATAGTGATACGACGATGAACCAAGGTGAAGGCATTCATGGGTCCGAGGTAGTGCACACAAGCTGCTGGAGTAGACGGAGCGGTCCGCCCAGCTCCAACTACTGTCGACTAAGGTTGGTAGAGCCGGGGGGTGGATTGGCGGTAGGAGGCTAGTTCTCCGTCAAGCCCTTAGGCCACTAGGTGCATATCGCCCGGACACCCACTAACTGACATTCTGTATGCGTGTTTGTCTCCCGTTTGCCGGGTACAATACTTCAACGTGCCGGGCTATTGAAACCCCATGCATCCGGCGTCGACGCGAGGATTCGGCATGTTCGTCCATTGGAGCCAGCTATCCATGTTCTCTGGAGGTGCCTCCGTCGAGAGCAGGCTAAGGACCAGCTTCAAGTGCGCAGTGAAAGCAGTCAGTTCACCACGCAATGGACCATCCTAGACCACATCACTCATCCATCCAGTCCTGCCTACCCTGCTCTGCACCTCTTGCATGATGGCCTCGCCATTTCGCGAGGGGCTTGTTCAAGGCTCCCTGACAATACCCTTGGCCATTCTAGCTACCACGTGGCTCCTATATCTGGTGTCGCTTGCTGTGAATCGGTTGTATCTGTCGCCACTCGCCAAATTTCCCGGACCAAAAGGTGCCGCTTTATCACGATGGTACGAATTCTACTACGAGGTCGTCTTAAAAGGCCAATACTCGCAGAGGATAGATGAGATGCATCGGCAATATGGTAGGTAAAACTTCCTGTACAGTTTCATTGAGTCAAACAGGCTAACTCATCCTTACCAAGGCCCGGTTGTTCGAGTCGCTCCAGACGAGCTCCATATCAAGGACAGTGATTTTTTCGATGAGTTATATGTCAAAGTCCCGCTAGTTAATAAGCACGACTGGGCGGCTGGGAGGTTTGGGAACCACGGCTCCATCATAACCACTGCAGACTTTGCTCTACATCGTCGTCGCCGCGTGGCGCTCAACCCGTTGTGAGTCTCAATGCATTCTTCCTTTTTAGACACGGGCCAAAGGGATGCTGACGTCGATCTAGCTTCTCAAAACGGTCAATTGTGGATTTCCAACCAGTGATTCGGCAGAAGATTGAGCTGCTAAGCAAAAAGCTACGCGAGTATAAGGCGAAGGACAACCCCGTGGTCCTAAGTGAGGCATTTCCAGCCTTTGCGGGCGACATAATCACAGAATACTCGTTTGGAATATGCTATAATCACCTGGATTCTCCGGACTTTTCAGAATCTTTCCACGCCGCGTTCATGGCTGTGGGCGGGTTTGGACATGTCGCAGTCCAGTTTCCTTGGTTCCACCCGGTGAGTTGGTACTTCACCAAGCGATTGACCCGCAGATGCTGAGAGTGACATTAGCTCTTGAATTCTCTCCCACATGGCTTTGTTCGAAAGATGCAGCCAGCCCTAGGGAGCTTACTGCAGCTGCAAATTGTAAGTTCGGCATATCTAGTCGTTACGGTTTGGCTTTTCTCTAAATCCTTCCGCACAGGATCTGCGAAATATGATCAAACGACTTACTCAAGGGGATGAACTGGGTGAGGATAAGTCTTCTCATCGCACCATTTTCCACGATTTGCTTCAGAGTTCTCTCCCGCCCGAGGACAAGACAAATCGCCGCATGGCAGACCAAGCCCAGACGGTCATCGGAGGCGGCCTCGAGACGACTGCCTGGGCACTGAGCGTGGCGTCATTCCACATCGTGAACAGCCCCGAGATTTACAAGCGACTACACGAGGAGATTGCCCAAGTGATGCCTAACGCATCTTCCATTCCTGATCTGCTGGAGGTCGAAAAGCTGCCATACCTGCGAGCCTGTGTCATGGAGGCCGTCCGTCTTTCATATGGCATTTCTGCGCGGAATCCTCGTGTGCTCAAGCAGCCGCTTCAGTACAAGCAGTGGACCATACCCCTGCGCACAGTCGTTGGGATGTCAATTGTGGATGTCCATCACGACGAGAACATCTTCCCGGACTCCCATTCATACCTCCCAGAACGATGGCTTGGGGAATCCCAAAGCGCCAAACGGGTCTCCGCTTGATCGCTACTTTGTCGGTTTCGGAAAAGGGAGCAGGAGCTGTCTCGGGATAAAGTATGTATCGTGAGGGTGTTCACTTCTTCTGGGCTGTGGTCAAGCTAACCGCAATGTCCATCTCTCTAGCTTGGCGTACGCCGAACTGTTTCTTCTCGTGGCGACGCTTTTCCGGCGATTCCGGTTCGAACTGTTCGAGACCGACAAGTCGGACGTTGAATTGAAGCATGATTTCTTCCTCCCCAGCCCAAAGTTGGATTCAAAGGGCGTGAGAGTCAAGGTTGTCGAGATCTACGAATGAAATCATGATGGTGTTTGTGGCCACGACGTGGTCTTATATGTAATATCCATCTGGAACTACGCCGAATACGAAGCGGCTTAGTAATTAAGAGCTGTTTCACGCGTCGCGTGTCCTTTAACTGATTGGACTTGTCCGAACCGACGCTTTTGATGATGCGTGGCGCACACCTCGAGGACCTTACCTAGCTGCGATCGTACGAGCAATACCACCGTTGTTGACTCTTGAGTTCCTGATCAATTGAATGGGAGGCTGGAAGTATCGGGGCTAAAGTTGTACGGTGAATCGATCGGAGCTATGCAGCGAACTCGCCAGTCCCTCTCTCTAACTCCTGGCTCGCCATCTTGAAGTCTTAGCGACCGGATTGGCCGGCTGTCGAGCTACATAGGAAAAGAAGTCTGCAAGAATACGAGCAGGACAGGTTTCCAGTTTCCCCGGTCCCATCCATTCGTTCGTTATTCATGGAGGCGGAGGAGCCCCTGATGCAGCACCACCGACAGCAGCCGACGACAGCTGCTCCTCATGCGGACTTCGATCCAGGCTACATCGATGAAGTTTCGCAGGGACGACGCACCCTCAGCACGCCTCATCTTCAATCCTTGACCACGGGGACAGGCGCCAGCATCTACAGATCCACCATCATCCCCGCCATTCGAGCGGCACAGTCCGAGGTCGTGCTGGTGACGTGCTTCTGGGCGGCGTCTTCAACCCGCATACAACTCTGCGACGCGCTCAAGGACCTGTCGCGGCGTGTCCTGCTATCCCCATCATCGCCGCCGTCGCCCAAGAAAATCACAGTGCAGATATGTTTCTCCTCAAGCTCGCTAGCGCGGAACATGCTCCTGCCGACGCCCACGGAGGGCCAGGTCTACGGCCCTGCAAGCTGGGCGACACTGGGCCTCCCGGAGCCCGACGAGGTCAGAGGCCTGGATCTCCGAGTCGTGCGCAAGTTCTTCTGGCCCTGGGGCATCATCCATTCAAAGTATGTGGTTATTGATCGCAAGCTCGCCATCTTCCCCTCGTGCAATGTGTCATGGGAGCGGTGGTTCGAGGTTGCTTTGTCGTTCACGGGCCCCATCGTCGACCACCTGTTGCGCTTCCACGTCGACTTTTGGAGGCCTCCATATTCTTCTGGGTCTACCGACCAGTCTCCCGCCGCCATTACTGATGAGACCACCACCACCACCAACGCAACAACGGCTCCCACAACTCTCCTCCCCTCGCCACACACTCCAGCCAAGCTTCCAAACCACCTGCACCCACGTATCCTGCTGAGTCGTTGTCTACCATGCCTACCGGACGCAGCGCCCCTTCCATTCCCTCCCACCCCGCTTCTGCAGGCCACGCACCACCTTCTCTCGACCGCGCAGTCCAGCATCGTCATGCTCACGCCCAACGTGACCGAGCGGACCGTGCTGGAATGCCTGCTCGACGCGCTCGAGAGAGGCGTCCGCGTCTGCATCTGGACAAACCGCCACCTGATGACCGTGGAGCAGATCGTGACCGCGGGCACGACCACGCCGAGCTGTATCCAGGACCTCAGACAACGGGCTGTACGGTCCGGAAGAGCCGCGCTGCTGGAAACGTTCTTCTTCGACGACGACGATGACGGACCCGGTGTGCCGCCGCCGCAGCAGCAAGGGCAACGGGGGCTGCAAAGAATTGATGATGAAGAACGCGACCAAGAGTCCATCCCCGTCAAGCTGCACGCGAAGGTGACCATCGTCGACGACGAGAGGATCCTGCTGGGGAGCGGCAACATGGATGCCGCGAGCTGGAGGACGAGTCAGGAACTAGGCGTGCTGGTTGAAAGCCGCGAGGTGGTCGACGGCTTCAAGAGATTGTGGAAGCGAGACGCCACTGTGTCTTTACGCCAAAGGATGTTTTAATAATGATCCCCCCCTTATGAACGAATGTCGCATTGCGAGCTAATGACGAATCAAGGTTTACTTTGCTACTAGAATTGAGGATTCTCTCGGAAACCATTCCTCTGCAGAACAGTAACGATGCCTTTAATCGCCGATGCATATAACAAGTAGAATGACCAGGAAAAATCGACAAAGAGACCGTGAAATCCATCTAAAGCACCCCCCCAAAAAGCCAATGCTGTCGCGCGGTGATGCCTTAGCAAGTGTTCAAAGCAATATCACAATTACCGATGAGGTTAGTATTCGGGGTTTGCCCACATTCGATGGTGGCCACCGTGACGGTGATGAAATCTTGACTGTTGGTTGCACTCCCAATCGACATCTTGATCGCGTTGAGCTCTTGGGCGATTGAATTCAGAGCCGAGTTCATTTGCGCAAACTGGGTGGCTTGCTGTTGGAGCAGCAGAACGACCGCATCCAACGGGTCCTTCTCCGTCGAGCAGACAGAGGTCTCGCTCACTCCAGCGGTAAGTGTTGGGGGCCCGTTGTTGCCCAGGGCTTTCTGAACCAGTGCTCCTACCAAGCCTGAAACCCCACCATTGACGGCTCCATCTGTGGTGATATTAGGAACGTTTTCTGAGGCGCAAAAAAAAAAGAGAAAAAAATACAATTCTTTTTGAGAGAATGTGTGAAACGTACCAATAGCGACCTTCTGAACCAGTGGCTTGGACAAGAGATTGAGCACGGCTTCTCCTGTCTGCGTCTGAGCAAGATTGGTAAAGAATTGCGTGGCAGCGGTCGCAATATTATAGACTGTGTTCTGAGTTGCGGCCAGGCAAGTGTTACCAGCGTTGCAGATGTTGGCAATCAGATCTCTTTCCGCCAGGGTAGAATTGGTGGTGATGGCCTCTGTTGTATATCCACTCCAGGGAGGCGGTGCGTTGTTCTGAACGTGGATGGCGTCGTCCCATTCACTCGGCTCCACGCCGACCCATGTGCCATCATAGATCTGATGCCACCTATACTCCGCTCCATCGAACATGCCATATGCCCCGTGACCCATGGCACCGTACTGCCTCCGCCGTAACGAAGCTCCACCGCCGACGATATTGAAAGCAGGGTCTCCATCAGCCACACTGTAGCCAAGTAACAAAAGCCCACAAATCACGGAAGTGAGAGAAATTCGGGCCATTCTATCCAGGACAGGACGCTATGACACGGTTGGAGAGGAATTGGAAATGACACTTGGTATTGATTTTGGATGCAGAGCAACGAAATTCAAGAACTTGACTGAAATGACTCTTACTTATATCTTTTCCGCCGCTGCAAATCCTCAGATTTACAGTGGTTGTGCCGGTGAGTCTCGAGATCTACCTAAAGTTGTCCATATAGTTGCAGCCGCGCGACACCTCGCGACACTTCTGCGACGAGGGCGAAGTGACCGTCGTGGACCACAAGGCGCATAAAATGGTTAGGAGTGAGGACGGGGCTGGGTGGCCGTGACAAGTTGGCAAAACTTTCGAGGGCGATGACACACTGAAGAAGACAGAAGCGAAGAATTCCTGACAACCATTGTGTTGGCACAGGGTCCCAACTGTTCGTTCAATAGATCGGCAAGATAGACCAACATTCAAACACACTGGTATCGTCGCCGTAGACGTCTGCTGCTGGACAACGAACGTAGGTCTGAATTGTGACCTGGTCGTGCTCACGGTTAACCTAGAAGATGGCCAGCTCCTAGCGCCTGTCTCAGCTGCCCTGTATGGTGGGCTAGCTTTGTGGCTAGGCAAATGCAGAGCACTCTTCTAGCACCCATACCAACGAGGACCTGCAGAGCTTCGCAAATATGCAGGCTGTGTTCCGCCTGAGACAAGACTTTGGCGGAGGACACCGTCAACAGTACAGACCTGGTGGTCACAGGCTATAACGAAGCCAGCCTTGCGCTAGATCAAATACGCTCATTTGGAGCAATTCGCCCGGTCTTGTTCTCAGTTGTCTCAGTTGTCTCAGTTGGCTCAGTTGGCTCAGTTGGCTCAGTTGGCTCCATCATCCCCCCGCCACGACGGTAGCTATTGGGCAGAGTTCGCTTCTTTAAATTCGCCCCTTGCCCCATTGATAGGTTTGGGACCTACTTGTAATCCACGAGAATCGATAGACGCAACCTCGAAAACGATTTGAGCTGACTTCTTGACGGCGAAGGGATGATGGCGGTGGAAGAATCCTTCAATGAGATTGACCTGCGATGGGTAGTATCTGCTAATGGACAAATTTTCCCAAATTAATGGAGGAAGGCTACCTCGATGGCCATTAAAGGGCTGGAAACTTGACTCAGTTGTTGTTATCTTGCCCAAGACTGAGGTCGTAAAGACTCGAAGACGATGTCACGCACCTGCGGTGATATGGGAGGGGCAGGCAGCGCTTGCTAGGCTGGTTCTAGATCCGTTATGTACTCGGGCCCTCCTCAGGGTCTATCACAACTAGCGCGGAAATCTGTTCCCAGAAACGAGTGTAGTTCTTCAACGACTTTAACGACATCATGACAAGGACTAGAAGAAGAAGAAGACGCTTCCAGCTCAAGTTTGGCAGTATCATCTGCTGACGGGGTCAGGGCTGTGTGGCCACTGAGTAGCGACATTGGCAACGCGCAATTCGAGATACCTCGGCCTCGGCCTGTCCATCAGCACCATTTGATCATGGGTGTTAATTTAGACACCACGACCAGGACGAGAGCTTCGGGCAATCTGGAATACGCCTTGGCGGCTATCCTGTAACATACTGATGTCTACTTGGGTATATAGGACTGGTCTCAATCGTCAGGCAGAGAATGCGATTCCAGGTCATATTAGCGCTGGCACGTTTTGGATACGTTTCGCGAGCCGGGAGACCCCAGGCGCCTTTTCAGAAGCGCCCACAATCACCTCACTGTGCATATACGTAAGCGATGCCCAATTTTGAAAGCAATGTCTCTTTCTCTTCAGAAGATCTAGGCACGATTCAATGACCGTCACAGATATGCGGCCAGTCACCGAATATTTTCTTTGTGTCATCGCAACGCCAATCTTGAGCGAATTTCCCCTAACCATCCTCGAACTTGTCGATGAGAAGGACGGAACAGCGCCTACGAACGAAAGAATTCTTGACCAAAAATTCCCACAGCACGGAAAAAGCACCAGCAATCCATTTGACCTCGGCTCGCCACAAAATGGCCACAACGAACTCTCTGGCGTGGATGCAAGACGGCAGAGAAACAAGATCTATGGGGTCATGTTGGCCACTGTCACGATACCTCTCCTCTACATGCTGTGGCAGGTGATCTCGTTCACCAGCAGAATGCAGATTAGCAAGCAAGAGACTTTGCTGTTCCAATGCTTCTACTGGACTTTGACTCTGGCAACAGCTTCTCGTCTTACATACGCGCTCAGTGCCTGCGCAAGATTCTACGTCTACGTCTTTCGTCCTTTCTGGCTACCTAAAGGAACGCCGCTCAGAGTACAGGCGTTTCGAACATGCGGCGCGGCTTTGTCTTTGATGATTTCGTTGATGGGGATTGTTGTTGTTGGCTTCCTGGTCAAGGTCTTGGTGTATGACAACTTGGTGAAGCTGGCTGGCGATCTTTTTGGCAAGATAGTTTGAAATGTCCAATGTCCTCGTACTCATGCTTATGGAGATATGCCTGCGATGCTTGATGAGGGTGAAACTGAACCAAGAAAGGACTAGTGCTATGCTATAGCCAGCTCCGAGCTATGACATTTATCTCTGCCAATCTTTGAGACGTCTTTGGCTCGCCAGGAACGACCCGTCCGCTCCATCCACGAAGTACCAGAACAGTCGCAGATACGGCCGGATCGTCATCCCTTGGTAGGTCTGCGAAGAAGCATCAGTGGCTTCCCAGCCTGCACGACATCGTTTGGCTTGACCAGCAATTTCTCCACCGTTGCTCCTTCCATGCTCTGCTCCGCCTTGACGGGGATTTCGAGCTTCATTGCTTCCAGGATCGAGACTACCTGCTCCAACTTGACGCTGTCGCCTTCCTTGACCTCGACTTTCCACACGTTGGCGTTCAATGGAGCTTCGACAGGGATGATATCCGGATCTTGGATGCGTTAGTATTCTCTACCTAGGTAGATTTCCTCTTGGGAACGGGAGAGAGTGGAAGGGACATAATTACCATGTAGCAGCTCCTCCACTGTATCCATGCTGATTTTCCCCTCTTCTTTCTCCTTATTCCACTTCTCAAGAAGTTCCTTCTCCAGCTTGTCCATTTCCGCCTGTGCTTCGCGCTGTTTGGCACGGATCTGCGCCACTTCGTCCTTGGTCTCCCTGAGGAGCTTGTTGTGTTCCTTCATGTCGAATTCTGTATCCTCGTATTCGTACTCGTACCGTCCACTTCGGAAAGTGGCCATCATCCCCTCATACTCATCCTCGCTCACTTCGTAGAAAGTGATCTGGTCAAAGTCTTCGAACAGCCACGGCTTCTCAGGGCTGTAGCCTTTCTTGAAACCCAGGATGTCAGCGCCCGGGATGGAAAGTCCTGTGTTCATGTAGCCGCCGGGCGACTCGACGTTGTATAACGCCATGCAGGACCCGCCCCAGCCGACTTGCCCCTCCGGAGTGTGTACCCTGGACGGATTCATTTTGGGGCACTGGATACGCTGTCGAGGATCGATGGGCAGAGCGATTGGAAGAGCCACAAAGAACCCCACAGCCACCACCATCAATGACGATTTTGTGTATATGTCTCGAAGCTGCTATGCGTTAGAGAACGGAAAGGTAGGCCGATTCGTCAGGAACTTACCTGTTGAAGAGTAAATGCATTGTTCTTTGCCACAAATTCCATCGGATCAGGCAGATATGAGGCGTACGGTCTTTGCGTCTCCATGTACCTCTGGAGACTTTCCTTCTGCCTTTTACTCTGGAACGTGATGGGGAGTTTGTACTTGCGGCTTGGAAATTTGGCTTCACTCAGATCGCCGAGTTCGTTCTCAAGCTGGAGAAGATAATCCAACATCTTCTGGCGGGGGACTTTGGTAGAGTCATAGTACAGCATCAGCGAGTTTCCACAAGCCATTCCAGTATGCATTGCACCATTGGAGAACGATATCTCTCCGATGTTTTCCCTGAGCTTCCGATACAGTGCGACTGCACGGCATCGGTAGTTGAGATCGAAGGAGCCATGACCGTAGTCGATCAGGATAAAGTCGTCAGCGCCCTGTCGATATGAGACGAGCGGTTGGTTGCCCTGTTCTTGGATTTGGTGAATGACTGCAGGCTCCCATCCTTTACTCTCGACGGAGGGAGGGAATCCTTCATACTTCAGGGGTGAAACATGCTCGAAGCTGCCTTTCCCCTGGCAGCAGTCGTGGATCGAACCTAGAAAGTCTTCGACTTCCTTTCGTTTCGCAATGGCATCGTGGTACGAAACCCTCTTGAACCTCAGCTTGTTGCCAGCCTTCATTTGACCGAGTCTCCAATAATCGGCCTTCACGATTGTCGTCGCGGACACGAATCCACCAAAGTCGGGCGCGTCGATGGGGAAGAGACAGGGATCGTCCCCCGTCCAGTTCACGGTGCCAACGGGATATCCATACTCGATGACATTTGAAGGATGGGCGCCGCCCTCTCCTCCATCGGGGCGTGCCCATTTTGGTTTCGGGCCAATCAGCCGGATGCCTCCTCGAGCGGCATTGTGTGAAATAGTCCACGTGCTGTTGTAGAACTCCTCGATGGACTCATTGGTGACAAAACCCTCGTCATAAGGGCCGGGCATGGCCAGAAGATCCCATTCTTCGGGGTAAGACGGTATCAAGTTGTCTGGTAGTCTAAGCTCGCCACTGACACTGGGCAGGTCCGCAGTGATCACCAGGAAATCGCCAGCTGCAAGGGCTCTTCCCTGGTAACCACCGACGGCAGTCATGGGCGCCGTTGCCTTCGACCCGAACCACGTCGCAATGCTGGGGAGACCGCCGTATATTGCCAAATAGGATCTGCATCCTCCTCCAGTCGTTTTGCCGATGGTGAGTCGCTGGCCGGCTTTGATCTTCAGGCGCGTCCACATAGGTGCATTTTTGCCATCTAGCTTGACCTCCATTGGCGCACCACAGATGGCCACTATGGCAGGCCCAAGGAATTTGAGATCCGGTCCACTCAAGGTGATCTCAATGCCTTCCTTGCCGGGAGGGTTGCCAACGAGCGCATTAGCTATTCGGAATGCTAGAGGATCCATGGGGCCAGAATGTGAGAAACCTCTTCCGATGGTGGGACGCCCAGGCCAGTCTTCTATCAAGGTGTATGCACCACCTTGAAGGACGTCGATCGCCGAAGGCTGAAAATTGAACGTCTCTAGAAATTTTGTCATTGTGTTGCCGGACTGGAATGTGCTGTCTTTCAAGATGGCCTCCAAGAACTCGATATTTGTCGGTGGTCCGAAGATCTTGGAGCCTTCGAGCATTTCAGACATCAATTTGAGGGCTTTCGTTCGGTCGGACGCGTGAACCATGACTTTAGCCAGTAAAGGATCGTAGAATGAAGTGACCTTCGTCCCCGTGTGGATCCAGCCATCAATTCTTGAGCCCGGAACTTGCTTCCAGGAAACATGTTGAAGTGTGCCTGGTGAAGGTGCATAGTCTTTTGCCGGATTCTCAGCGTAGACTCGTACCTCGATTGCTGCCCCTGAGGGATTCTTGGGCTGCAGACTGCGGAGATAGTCACCATCGAGGCCACCCTTTCCGGAAAGCTCTGCGTCGGCTTGCTTCAGCATCAACTCCACAAGGTCAATCCCATAGCACATCTCAGTGATGCCATGCTCAACCTGCAAACGCGTATTCATTTCGAGGAAGAAGAAGGCACCGGACTCGTCATCCACGAGAAACTCGATGGTCCCAGCCGAACCATAGTTGATTGAGTCGGCCAGACGGACAGCAGCTGAGCCTAGCTTCTCCCGGAGTTCGGGATGTTTCACCACGAATGGGCTGGGGCACTCTTCAATGACCTTCTGATGTCGTCGTTGAATCGAACATTCACGCTCTCCAAAATGTATTGCTTCACCTTGCCCGTTGCCAAAGACTTGCACTTCGATATGGTGTGAAGAAGGGTAGAACCTTTCTATGAAGACGCCCGAGTTTTTGAACAGAGTCTCACCACGCGACTGAACTGTCTTGAACGACTGACGGACTTCGTTTTCGTCCTTGCACGTTAGCAAACCCATACCGCCTCCGCCTGCTGTAGCTTTGAGCATAACCTGGAATTGTTAACACATTTTCTGAGCACAAAGGGTCATATTTACCGGAAACCCCAGTTTGTTCGCTTCCTCAACCGCTTCATCCTCTGATTTGACAAGGCCTTTGGTTCCCGGGACGATGGGGACATTCGCTTTTGCAGCAAGTTCGCGAGCCGTATGCTTGATGCCGAAGTCGTCGATACACTTGGGACTGGGTCCAACGAACACCATCCCCGCTTCGGCAACATGTCTGGCGAAGTCAGTGTTCTCGGATAGAAATCCATAGCCTGGGATGATGGCGTCTGCTCCTTTGGATTTGGCGATTTCAATGATTTGTTCTGTGTCGATGTACCCCTTGGCATCTGGTCCGGAGAGCAAAACAGCTTCGTCTGCGGCCCCAACGTGAGCCGATGCGGCGTCTGCTCCTGTGTAGATTGAAATCGTCTTGATACCAAGGTTGCGCGCTGTCTTGCATATCCGCACCGCAATCTCTCCTCGATTCGCGACCAGCAACGTCTTCAATTTCTCCATCTTGAGAAGTCTAGTGAGGGAAGAGGACGAGGCACAGGCCGCAGCTGACACGCAGCTTTGCCGATGCGAGGGGTTGTTGGCATTATCAAGCTGTGTTGTAATGGCTTGATATCAGTGAAAGCCACCTGCCGTCATTGGACTTAATGTGCAAGGATTCCCCAAAATATCCATGAGGGGCACGAAGGTTTATCGCGCCTCCGCAAGTCGTTCTTCTCCGCCAGCATTAGTGACGTATCATTGGAAAGGGCCGAAGGATGCCTCCTCATCACCAGAAAATGAAAAAATAATGTGTGAAAACATTCGCGTGGCATTTCGAACAGTTGTTGATTTTCGCCATCACACGTACTAAGCAGATTCAAGATGGCGCCTCCACCAATCAAGCACAAAGCCTTGCTGAATGTCGATCTGGGTGAAGGGGTAAGTGGGCTCTGTTCAAGCCCGTGCACCGTGTCTGATCACTAGAACAGTACGGCAACTATGTCTGCGGCCCAGACTTGGAGTTGCTTCCGTTGATAGACCATGCGAATGTCGCATGTGGGTTTCATGCGGGCGACCCCTTGATTATGCAGGAGACTGTCAGGAACTGTAAAAAGCACAATATCAAAGTCGGGGCACACCCCGGGCTTCCGGATATACAAGGTGAGCTTCTCGACCCTGTCAGAAGTCAACTCGATTCTAATGTCATGAAGGTTTTGGTCGACGCGAGATCAAATTGTCTCCCGAGGAACTGACAGCCATCACTGTGTACCAAGTTGGCGCATTGAAGGGTTTCCTCGATCAGGAAGGCGTCCCCTTGCATCACGTCAAACCCCACGGTATCTTGTACGGAATGATGTGTCGTGACTATGAAATCGCCAAAGCGGTCATGGAAGGGATTCCCAAAGGCGTCCCTGTCTTTGGTCTTGCAGGCACGAACATGGAGAAGGCGGCTAACGATCTCGGTATCCCCTTCTGGGCGGAGATGTATGGAGACGTGAAATACAGCAACGACGGCATGCTCGTTATCGACCGGAAGAAGAAGCCGTGGAATCTTGAAGATGTCAGGAAGCACGTCAGTCAACAGCTCAACTCACAATCCGTTACTGCAACAGATGGGAGTGTCGTCCAGTTACCAGTGAAGGACTACCCGATATCCATTTGCTGCCATTCGGACTCTCCTGGCTGCCTTGGAATCATCAAGACCACAAAGGAAGTGATTGATGAGTTCAACAAGGAACATGGAAGGATATGAGAGATGGTAGAGTTTCATTGATGCAGAATGATACCATGACAAATGTTGATAGCTTCAGCTCTTGGGGTCCTGAACGTGTTGCCCAAGACGCCCTCTGGTTCACCAACGTCACGGGTTTGCGGAAGGAGAGTTTCCTGCATTGTTCCCGGTCCGTATTTGTTGCAGAGTTGGCGTGTTCAACAGGCCACAGGCCATTGTGTTGATACTTCTGTTGCGTGCCGCGCAGTGTTGTCAGGCCTTGGTTGCTACGCGTCCGATTCTGACACCTGATTCGACATTTCCGATATTGCTCCGGATATCCTAATTAGGTAGCCCGTTGCCACCTGACAATGCCAAGCTCTATTTCAGACCACACGTGACTGTATACCTTGTCTTGGTCAACCTTATACTACCTAAAATAGAAAGCCCCTGACCAAATGCGGACTAGAACAGAAATCGATAAGCCACCCACCTCCCCACGGAACCGAGCATTCCATTCCTTAAGGGCCCACGCCTCTCGCTGCCTCAGGACTCAACTTTTGATTAGATAACCGAACCAGGGAAGGGAGTGGACAGCATTGCTGGTCTTGCGCATGCGTCGGACTTTGCGATCAGGGCCAGCCAACTCGGAATGAATAGTTAAATTTCCAGAACAATTGCAATGGGAGAGCTACCCTCTGTCTGGGCTGCGTTTTGTAATTTGTGGTTTTCCCAATAGCCTGAACTGCCTGGGAACATGTTTCTTGAGAGGTGCTGGTGGTTAATTTGAGTCCAAAAGGAGTGGTGAAATGCAAAAAGCGTACAAATGGAGCGATACAAATCAACCCCCTTGCCAAGCAACATTTCGAAGTAATCCGCCCAGTAACAGGTCCAATTGAGAAGTAAAAAGAGAGAGTGATATGATTGGCACATTTTAAAGCTAGGCTAAGCTTATCTAGTTATGATTTCTGCATCCTGTTCAGGGTTTTAGTCAACCAAAGTCCCCGGCACAGTTCCATCTTCCCCCACCCACACAAAGCGAAATATATATTAAAATAGTCAGAATCCATTCAACAATCACAATTAAACAATCCGCAATGGTGTAGAGGTAACATCTGTCGCTCTCATTTCAAAAATCTATCAGAAAAGATGATATGATAGCGCCGACAAGCCCGGGGTTCGATTCCCCGTTGCGGAATTTCTATGTTCTTTTTGGCTATTTTAACGTATACGGGACGCTGTTTAGGTACTGAATGATGTACTGGACGCTTTTTTGGACTCAAATATAACATTCTTCTGTAGATGCAGGGACTGGGAGTTGGGAATATTGTGTGGTGGCTTTTTCCTTTTGATACAGCTTCACTGGGTTTTACGAGACGCGCAGTTTGTGCGAAACACCATCAGAGAAGGCGGATGCTGCGCCACATGCACCAGGGAACATGTGGATTCAGCTTGGAATTGTTGAGCCAGTGGAAAAGGATATTAAGAGACGGAGCGCGGAATGCGATCCGTGAATGGACCTGAGTTAGTTTCCCCCCTCACACTCGAAATTCTTAGAGCAAACCCCAAAATTTCATTCTCCAGATACGTTCTTGAGTTTCCAGGCTACCAGATGATATCAATATCATCCCATAATGCTTGAGGAAAGCTGGTTGAAATGGTGTTTCGAGATTGAATAGTTCTGGGGGCAGTGCTGGCTAACGGTGGGACTTTACGCCGATTGGTCCCCTATTTTTCCGGGGGCTCGTTATTGGCTCTTGGGTAACGACGGCTTCCTGTGCTGAGAACAAAACGACCCCTTCCATTTCCATGAGCCTTTCCTCGAACCCAATCTCCTGCAGTATCATCGCATCATTTCCTGCAGTCAGAGAAGGGTTTGCCGCCCTAACATACGTCCATCTCAACAGTCTGTGCGGCTTCCTGTTGTCAACTCCTGGTCTCTGAGTGGTCTGAAAAAGGTCTCGCCAGTCTCTTCAACACCGGGCTTCCAGCGCTGCACTTCTCAGTCTCTATTAGATATTCGCGACGGCTCCCGGCCACTGCAGTCTTGGTGCTGGCTTCGGCCGCGAAGGCAGGCTAGATGACTGCGGTGGCAGCGGCGGTGGCAGACGTGGCGGCAATAATGGCATGTTCCAAATGGTCGAAATGCGTGTGCGCTCGAGGACTTCTGCTCTTCACTCCAACAACACGCTTTACAGATCCCAAAAAGACCTTGCATCCCCAGGCGTCTGTCGTGTTGTTCTCACATTACAATCAGACTTTGTTGATATTTACAAGGGTTCGCATCAGGGCCCAGTGAGATAGGCGGTGACAAGGAAAATTGTTGGAACGAGGATGTGGACTTAATGTCAGGTTGGCCACCTTGTCCTCTTGGAAAAAAACTTGAGATGTGGACATGCTCGACCTGGTATAGTCAGCGAGAGCACAGTCCAACCGGGTTTCAGGCCTTCTTATGCCAGAAAATGTGCTGGAGTAAGTATCCATTTCCTGATGAGAGGATGGTAAGGCACGGCTCATACCTTCCCCGTGCCTCGGGCCTACTTCATAGCTCTATCTCAATTTTTCTTTCACTTTACATCAACCACGTGGCCGCCTCGACACCACCATCAGCACCGGATTATATCCAATCACCTCACTGCCAGCAAGGACGCCCTTCGCTAAATCCCAAAATACCACCTCCCCCATCACCGGGTTCAGGACTAGTGCCTCAGAGTTTTCTCCCTCCTTCCGCTGATGAAGAGACTCTGAATATCTTCTGTGTATTCCCCGTCATCGGCCGCGATATAGTCGAGCTCCCTATCGGAGTTTCGCACACAGACGTCGCTCTCTAGCGACAGTGGCCCTGCCAGCGGCGGCAGTCCCTCCAGCGAGAGCGCCATTAGTGGTGACGGCCCCTCTAACGACAGCAGCAACAGTTCCCTGTGACAGCCAGTCCATGCTCATCTCAATGCCATGGCCGACCCAACAGCGCAGTGACAGCACGAAGACTCGACCGATCAATGGGGAATATTATCAGCGTTGGAAACTGAAAAAATACCTCAGTCGAGCGAAAGATATAGCGAGCTGCTTCGGCATCCAGAAGACCCTGATATTCAGTCGCAAGTTCATTTGCAGATGTCCCCAGCAGTGAAACCCAGTCCCGCACCAGGTTTGTCCATGATTCAGTCTTTTGAAGGTACATAGTACCGAGTCTTGTCTCACCCCCATCTTCATCCTGCTAGTGTTGACTGGTCTAGAACGGTTCCATACCTTTCCAAGTCTCACTCCCATTGCAACCACGTCTTAGAGCTTGTGGCTTGTGGGTAGATTCACGCCTTTTTCCCGTGCGTTTGGTTGTTTGACTGATCGCGCTCCGCACTTCCCAGTCGTCCATTACGGGAGATGCGCTGCTAAGAGGAACCATCTGAAGAACAAGGGAAGAAGAAATTGTGGAACGTGTGTAGAAAGAGATGCATTGCGGCCATGCCGCCTAAAAACACTGTCGCTGCTGCCGCTGCCGCAGCCGCAAGAATCTGAAATTGTTTTTTTTTGGTGGAAAAAAAAGAAGAAAATCATACGGCAACACCGCCGTCGTCATCATCATCATCGTCATCTTCTTCTTCTTTCTTCACCTTCTCCTCTTCCTCTTCCTCCTCCTCGTCGCCGTTGCCGTTGCCGTTGCCGTTGCCGTTGCCGTTGCCGTTGCCGCCGGCTGCCGTCGTCGTCGCCGCCGCTGCTGCCGGGGCCGTCGCCGCCGGAGCCACTGGGGCCATTGTCGCTGCCGCTGCCGCTGCCGCTGCTGCTGCTGCTGCTGCCGCCGCCGCTGCCGCCGCGGCCAACCGGTCTTCCTCCTCTGAAGTATATCAGTAACAAATCCCTGGACAGGAATATAACCAAGCGTACCCAACGCCGCCAGCTGCGCCTCCGCCGCCTACAGTATTGTCAGTATATAAGCATCTCAAATTATGTCGGATATAGGGTGAAACCAACCTCGCTTTGGCGGCGGAGGTCCTCGATCAACTCGAGGAGGTTCTGATCCAATTGTATTAGCCATAGCACTAGAGTGCGCACCACGTAGAATGACTTACTGCCCGCTGGCGCAGGCGATTGACAGCGGCACTCACGCCGCGCTTCTTCTTCACGCCGGTGGGGTGGCGCCTACTGCCACCACCACCCCAGCCACCGTTGCCGCCGCGTCGGCCCCCATTGCTGCCACCGCAGCCACCGAACTTGCCTCCGCGGCCGAAGCCGCCACCGAAACCACCGTTGCCGCCGGAGCCCGCCGCAAACATCTGATCCACAATGAGTATAAGCTTGAAAGGCGGACACCAGAAGGGGAAGAGTGTAAAGACGAAAACAGGAATGTAGGGCGACAAAGGGCCAAGACATACTTCGGAATGATTACTGCAAGATCATGTTAGCAAGCTCGACGTAACTGACGAATAACACTTACTTTTTTTTGAAAAAAAAAAAACGTGAGCCTTTGTGCCGAGACCTAGGTCAGCATTGCCAAAGTACAGGAAGAAAACACTGTAACATACGAGGAGCAGGGAAACTAGATATATGGTTAGTATTGACCACAAACAAGTGGATGCAGATGAACATACAAGACTCGCACAGTCTGATCTATTCCATTGAAAAATCTAAGTCAGCATTGCCAGAATGTAGGAGAAAAGCGCTGCAACATACTGTGGACAGGGATACTAGATACACAGTTAGCATTGACCACAAACAAGGGGACGGAGATGTACATACAAAACGTGTACACTGAACTCGGGTCTATTGCATTTAAACAGTCAGCACAGAACCAAGCCTTCCAATGGGTCCGAAAGAGAGTGTGATCAAGTGTGTTGAGCGTCAAAGAGAGGCTCGAGCGTCAAAGGAGGGACAAGATGATCTTCGAGCGGAGTGATGGAAACACTGGAGGCTGTTTCACTGAATCAAGAGCAGGAACGGGCAATGGTGTTCGATTGAGGAATATGAAAACAGTTGTACTCACCAAGGAACTCGAACGGACGCGGAACAGAGAAAAAAAAGATCTTTTGACTGTGAACCTGAAGAGAAGAAGAGAAGAAAAGAAGGAGGAAAGTGAAAGAAGAGTGAGATATTCACCTGGACACCTTGCACACGCCAAGATGACGGTCGTGCCTTCCCAAAACGACGCAGAGAGTACCGCACCTGCTAGATTGCCAACGGGCAGGTCAATCGGCCATCAATTCAATCCGGAACAACTTTATACCATGAGCATTGGAGCCGAGCCGGTGCCTTCGTGGCAAGTGCGATGACAGGCGCGATGGCAAGGGAGTGAACCACTGGCCATTGAATAGTCTCATCCATTTGTTGCTGAACCTGCACTTGATACTGCATCGCACTCAGCTCTTACAAGTCCTCAACATCTGGCTCTCCTTCCACTCGAGCGTCGCCATGAAGCAAGACCATGAACGAGAGACATTGAGCCAGCATGAATCAAGGTTCACTTTTCACTTCATCCCGAGGGTATATGAGACCGTCTGGTGCCATGGCGGCAACTCCCCCGTCCGTCCTGTGGAAAGTCGAGTCCTTACTGCAGTGAGACCGGAACATCACTTGAGATCGATAGCAGTCCAGCTCCTCCCTTTGCCTTCCACACGAAACTGACAGAACCTCTCTGAAGCTAGACACCACCCACGTTGCGGTATTGCAGACATCACTATGATACGGTATATCAACCAGCCCACCGATGACTTTCGAGGCCCATATGCGATTGGAAAGTCAATGAGTTGTGACTGAAAGGGGCCGAGAGGGGAAGACGACGGACTCTACAATGTCCTGGGGCGCTGTCAGGTTGATATATGCTGTGTGGAAATTACACCGAGGTTTCCTAGCGCAGACCAGACAACTTCAGCCGAAGATCTAGCGTGACGGTCATTGCGGAGTCCACCTCCCCAGAGAAGGCCACAGGCTGGAATCAAATCGTTTGGGAGGCAAAGACAGGAAGCAAGAGGGTTTGATCACACATATGGCAAAACGACTGTCAATTCTGAGCATGTACGGCTGAGATGTCTCTGGTATTTCATCTTTTACATACATCTGCGAATGAACTTCCCGACTTATTCTCTCTTCCGATTCAACATGTTACTTCTCATACTTGTTGCTCTCCTAACCACCACGCGAGCAACATTGTTCGGTTGCATGAATGATTCGCCAGACTTTGCTCTCCTGTCGGTCATGAAAACCTAAGAAGCTTGGTTCTACATCTATAGCAGCGGCGACGGCAGCGACAACGACGGCCCCAGCAGTGGCTATAGCGTGAGCGCCAACAATCAATCTATATGGGTTTTGAACGATGCATGTGCAGTGCATTGCTGCATCAGCGCCTCCACTCTTAATAATCTTCAGAATTGGTTCGACGGAGCACAAGCCAGATGGATCGCCGATAGCCTTGTTACAGTGTAGATATTCTCAGGAGAGCCAGTCATGTTACTCAAGAGCCAGATGATCAAGAGTCTCGGATCTGCAGCCCTCCTGCCACACCGTCATCTTATCAACTGCTTCCAGATAGTACCTACCTAATACCTACTAGGTACTCTTGATGTTGATCCGGACGCACCGTCCCAGTGATGTACCAGAAAAGGTTTGTGATTGATCGACTCCAAAGTCCAAACGTCGGAGATACAAGGGCAAGAGCTCCAGGGTGTTGTTTCTCCCCCGGACGCCTTCCCCAGTCGGCGCGCGTCGTGCCAAAATTGGAGTGGCGTTGGCATTGAACACGGAGACATGAGCAAGTATTATCTTGAAGGGTGGACGATGAGAGAAAATCGCATTATGCAGAGTGGCAGGTTTGTCAGCGCCTACCGGCCGGTCAGTCCTGAGACAGGCGATGATACGCAGCCGAGCCTTATTTTTTCCTAGTTACCAAGCTCGCAAGGTACGCCATGGCCAATGCGACGTGCCAACTGCACCCCTGGCACACGCTTGTCTGAGGGCCCATTGCAGACTCGACAAATGCGCGGAAGATACCCCGCTATCAACTGAGATGACGGGCGCCAAAGCCCACAATTGGCTCTGGACTGGGCTTCCAGAAGGTGCCCTGCGTGTGGAATAAGCAGCCACCTACGACGAGTCCAACGACGCTGGCTGTACCTAGCGCATTCGGATATGTCCACCATGCCCACCACCTCCTCCAACAGCCAATGCTCGGTGGCCTGTGGGCACCAACTTCCCCAAAGAGGCGCAAGAACGGAGACGGCCCATGTCCAAATGTCGTGGGAAGGGCGTGCAGGACCAAGGCTCTTACACACCCATTGACACCCCATTCCAGGTCCTGCCTGAGGAGTCATCGACCCTATCCACCGATCTTCGGAGATTCGTATCCTGGTCCGAGGAGAAGGCTGAGGATCTCACAAAAAGTACGGCCTGGTCGCCTTCTCGCCTCTCCATTCTTTTCTTCCATTGTCATCTCGAAGAGTGTTTGCTTGTTTGGTTCCCCAGTTTTGAGGATCCCAGGCATAGAAAATGGAGTACTTCGATTTCGACGACGCCTCGCATGCCATCCCTGCTTTCGACCTTGACGACTGTTCGTCGGTCGCGGGCGAGGCTTGTGAGACTGATGCCACGGATTGCTATGAATCCCTCTTTTTCGACAAATCGGCGGCCCTTCCGACAAGTCGACCGCCGCCCATGAAAATCGTCAAATTGAAGCTAATCAACAACGTCGAAATAGAGGCCATCCCACATCCTTCCGACATCACCGCGGACTACCCCATGTTTCGTGCCAAAGAGCCTTGTGATCTGTGCGCGCGAATGGGTCTCGATTGCTTCTTGGCTACAAGAGGCGCTCTGGTCACAGGCTGCACCTGCTGCATCTCTCTGTATCGAGAGTGCAGTTTTGTCCACCCCAAAATCCCCAAAGGCTTTGTCAATACTTTCCCAGGAATTGCAGAAGATCAGCAGATTACTGAAGGGCCATTGACCGAACGGAGAAAGGCCATGAAGTCAATGGAAGAGGGACGAGGCCGAAAGACTGGCGCCCGGTTCCCGCGCGACGCGGTCAAGATACTGAAACAGTGGCTTGCTGAACATGCTGACCACCCGTATCCGAATGAGCGAGAAAAGGACGAGCTCAAGCAAGTCACCGGCTTGAAGAGGAGCCAGATCTCGAATTGGCTGGCCAATGCGCGCAGACGAGGCAAGGTCAGGCCTGCCGAATCTGGGCCGTCCTCACCGATGCTCGGGGCAATTGACATACCCAACAGAGTCGACAATCCAGACATTACAGATCTCAATCCCCTAGACCGATGGAAAGCCTCACCACCAGAACACGAACCCGCATCGATGACCGCTATTGCTCGTGCCGTCACTTCCACCCCGCTACCAGTTCGCAATCCGTCTCTGCCGAGCATTCATGGCTCCAGGCCAAGCTCGAGGAAGGCATCGAGCGAAGACGATTCATCCTTCTCCATGTTCCGTGCTCCATCTGTAAGCAGTTTTGGAACCAAAGAATCCAGCAATTCCGATCTTACATTCGCTTCTTCGCGGTCGAATCGGTCCAAGGGTTCTTTTGCATCTTCCCAAGACCGGCGCAGGCGCAGGCGAGCCCCGGTGGCGCAACGCACGGCTACGCAACAGGCCAAATCCCGCGCGGCAAGGATCTTCCAATGCACGTTTTGCACAGATTCGTTCCCTGCCAAGTATGACTGGCAGAGGCATGAGAAGTCTCTCCATCTTGCTCTGGAGCGGTGGACATGTTGTCCCAATGGTGGTACAATGACCGACGCACTGACGGGAATGGAACTTTGCGTCTTCTGCCGCGAGCCAAACCCGTCTACGGATCATTTGGAATCGCACAATTTCACTGCGTGCCAAGAGAAGACGTTGCAAGAACGTACCTTTTATCGGAAGGACCACCTCAGCCAGCATCTGAAATTGATGCACAACGCGAAGGTGCAGTCTCACATGGACACCTGGAAGAGCACCACAAACGAGATCAAGTCGTCTTGCGGCTTCTGCCCATCCAAGTTCACCACCTGGCAACAGCGAGCAGATCATCTTGCTGCTCATTTCCGGAATGGTGCGGACATGAGCAACTGGGGTGGCGGATGGGGTTTTGAACCGTATGTCGAAAGACTGGTTGAGAATGCCATACCGCCCTACCTCATCGGCCACGAGAGGACCACGATGGACCCATATGTCGCAAGGCTGACGGCAACACCGTCCTCTCACACCGACGGCGGATTGACCAACGGCACCTCAGCCGAGAGCACGGAGCCTGATCAAATGACTCGTGACTCAAATTGTTGGGGTAGACTAGAGCAGGAATTGAGCAAATTTGTATCGCAACAGAGAGTTGCAGGTCACGTCCCGTCAGACAAGGAGCTGCAGGATCACGCGCGCTTTATCATTTACGAGGACAACGATCCCTGGAACTGGACCTGCGCAGATAATCAGCAATGGCTTGATACTTTCAAGTACCAACAGGGGATTGGAACTATCACAGAAGCAATGGTGCCGACCCAAACCCTGGCTGAAGTGCCCATCCTAGCCCCATACGTGATCAAGGGCGGGTTGAAGTCGAAGCCTGCAACCACCCAAAGTCAGCGTAGGAGCTTGTCCGTTGATACCAACTCTTTCCCAGCCATGACACCGGACTGCGGCAGTGTACCCAACTCGACCACGGCAAGGACATTTGACAACGGCATGGAGCTTGACTTTGACAGCATTGATTTTAGCAACCTCGATCTTGGAATGGTCGACGATCTGAACTTCGACCTAGGACTCGACAACAGTCAAGGAGTAGGGCTGGCATGCGGTAGTGGCATTGGCGTCTCGATGGCGCCTGCGACGCCGTTCTCATCGAGTATCTCGGGTGACGGTTTGTTCGGCTCGTATGGGATGAACCACCCAGTGGGCGTGGGTATGGACATGAACCCAGGAATGCCTCTTCAGCAGCAACCGACACAGGCTGGCAGCACTGGCCAGTTCATGAGTGACCGTGACCTGAACCAATTGACAGGTTACGTCGCAGGATTCAACTGAGTTTGAAATCCAGGTTGGAAGAGGAGAGAAAGAAAGGAAATAGATCAGGTGGGCATTGGACAGTATTTCAACAATGTAACAGACGGACCAAATTGGCCATGAGTGGATTCGCACTGGTCAGGCGGAGGGCGCAGGTCTCATTGAGGAAATAGTTGAAGGACATGGCGCCACCGGTTCACAGTCCAGTCATCAGCTGTCTCTGACGACGAGGAGTAGAAGAGTAATCAACAAGAGTACCGAGTAATGAATTAAAGGTTCTCTTGTTTGTTCCTACACGCCCTTCTGCCTCTCGCGCCCTGCGTCTGTCAAGGCTGCAGGTGGTCTTGGGTTTCAGGTTCCGAGTCGTCGGCAGAAACAAAATCCACTTCCGAGCTTCCGACAGACCGCCAAACTGTCCGTCCTTGGAACAGGAAGCCAGACAAATTTTGGTGGTTCTTGTTTCTTGCCCCTCAGAGCTGCAAAGGAAGCATGTGAGTAATAAGTTTTAACAGTCGTGCAGTCCGTCTATTGCACGTGCCCCAAGCATCTGAGAACCATTAGGCATGCAGAACAAGAAGGAGCTAGACGGCGATGACAAGGCAACACTACTACAGGCCAGACCATTCCAACAGAGGATTATTGCCCTCAAGTTCAGCCCGCTCTCACATGTCAGATTCTAAGAAAATGGCTTGTTCCGCTCGCCGCGTATCTAGGATCCATCCTCCCATCCCCCAGCAAGCATGCATGCCCCTGCCCTTCTCCCGTTCTCAACAAACCCAACAAAAGCAGTCTTGCTAAATCCCGCTGGCAGAACAAATCTTATCCTCTCATACAGCCCACCTGGCCTGCCTGCCCTGATACTTACCTAGGTAGTCCTTTCCGCCTTCGTCCTTGGCTATGCGTGACAATGTCGTGCATCGGATTATGTGCATGTGAAATGTCCACATGCCATCCGTGGAGGGACCTCGATAACATTCGCTGATATCATCTCCGTTCCCACCCCTTGCTTCCTCCAGATTGCGATTTTTACATGAGTCCGCCCATACTCGAGTGTCCGAATCCCAAACAGATCCTGTGTGTAGGACGAAATCCTACTTACCTGTCGCTGTCCCTTTCAGCTCTTAGGACGAGAGGGACCGTGGGAGACAGGTGGCCCTCCTTGACAATAGCGCCAGAAATGGCGGGCGCTGTCCCTCGACCTGATGCGAATATGACACGACACGAGCCCGTACCATACGAAGAACTCTCTAGATCGACCATCTACACCATGATCCCCTCCGTGGTCCGTTCAAGGATACCAGTCTTGACTTCCCTCCGGCATACGGCAAAGACGGTGGTCCTTCATGGCACGAGTGTCCGTAGGAGGGCAGGTAATTTTTCTTGCATCGAGTCCACCAAAGAGAAGGATAGTTATGAGTTTGCATCAACCGCCAACTCAAGTGGAACAACAACACCCACGATCAGACCAGAAAGCCCGGAAGGAAGCATCCCTTCACAAGATCTGACTCTGAGGATGCTCCCACCGTTGGAAGTGAGATCAGGCGTGGACTGGGATGTTGCTCTCACTGGAGTGAGGTTATGGGTCAACGCCAAAACCCAAGCAGAGCAAGGAGGCGACCCGGTCGCCCTGCGGAGCATGCACATTGATGCTTTGCGATATATGCACATGGCCCTGCCGTCAGATCTGACGCCCCTCGAGATCCAGACTCTGCGAGCTAGCATGTCAACCCAGCTTATCTCTCAAGCTGAAAACCTCATCGAGTATCGCGCTCGACGACAACCAAACATTCTCCGCCAGGGTGTTGCCCAGGCTGTGTGCTGGCTTGTTGCCGGATTATTACTGGTCCTACCGATTATCATGACCCTCCTCAACCGACTTCTTCAATTTGAGCGCGACCATCAAGTCACCGAGCGAGTGCTCGCAAATGGTATTGACCTGACTTCGGCTCTCGGTGATCGTGGTGCAGAGTTACACCAAGCAATCGTTCGCTTCAAGGATGGCCGGGTGGGAGGCGCCTGTGTGGAGCTTGGATCCTGGTTCGTAGAAGGAATCGTTGGCGGTGTCAATGATGGTATTGACGCTGTGGCTCAGACTCGAAGGAAAGCCTCGGTCGCCAAATGTCCTGGCTGACGATATGCTGTTGTTTTGTGTATAGAATTGGACCCTTATAGATCTTAAGATACCCAATGCCGTTCATCTTGTCAAGCAAAGAGTGTTGATTGTGCCTTGTTCTTTCCGCTCGCTTCCTCCTGTGGCTTGAAACCTTTCACGACAGCAACTGGCACAGCTCGTTTCACACGCTGAGCCGCGCCCCACGGTCCACGAGGACCCGCGCGGCTGGTGAGGCTTTGGTTTTTAAGTCTCGGCGCGGGGCACGATGGAGCTGCTTGTCTCCGCCATTTCCAACTCAAATCTCCAAATCGCATTTCGACTTCCACAACAATGTCACTTCCTTTGCTTCCTTCCTTTCGAAGACAACAACTGGTGTTGGACTTGTGAGTGAGTCGCTGAGACGTTGAATGTGCTGGCTGACACTACTTCAAGCTCTGCTTTGAGAGGACATTGTCCAGACGGGCTTTATCTTTCACTTACTCCTGGCGATCCTTGTATCTGGGCCGCGGTAATTTTTGTGCGAAGAGGTACCAGTCCTTTCACGTATCACCAGAAGGTTGTTTGGAAGCTGACATGAAGAGTCCAGGACCGTACACAGGGGCGATTCTTCGCTTCCAAATCTCTTTTCCAGACACATTTCCTGACCAGCCTCCTCTCCTCACCTTTTCAACCGATGTCTTCCATCCTTTGATCGTGCCTTTGACCACATACACCTTCAGCGCGAATATCGTTGATGCATCAGGCACTGTCAGCGCTTCAGATGAGGATCGTCTCCCTCCTGGAGCATTCAGCTTGCGCTATGGATTTCCACACTGGTTCACAGCATCTCCTTCGCCGGCCAGCAAGGGAGACTCTTTCAGTATGAACAAGCAAGGAGATGCAAGTGCTTCGAGTCTTGACGCCTTGGAATACAACACCAAAGAAGCAAATGAAACTCCTGTCGTTGAGCCGGAACCACAAGATCGTGGAACCATCATTTTGAACTTATTGCAACATGTTCAAGATGCGTTTGAAGATGAAGCGTTGCTGGACAAACTCCCTGTTGAGACCGCTGGAGATCCCAGTGCATGGCACGCGTGGCGTGCACATCGTGGACTTGCGAAACGGCAGAACGAGCCTCAGACGCTGATGCCTGAAGGCAAAGATGCAGCTCCTTCATCACCGAAAAATCCCGGAGAGTGGAAATGGGATGGTGTCTGGGAGTCACGCGTGAGGAATGGTATCGAAGCCAGCATAAGTGAAGCCACCCTGTTCGGCAATACTGGTGGTGGTCGAGCAGGGTCTGTTGCGATGGACACCACAAGCATGGACCCGCACCAAAGAATCCTGGCTGCAGCCGATCGACAAATTCGCTTCACAAAGCTGAGCGATGAGCATTTCGATAAAATAAAGGCCGAAATACCCGTCTCTGGCTCTGCCATGCCGACCTGATGATGGAAACTGCGACATTTCGAATGGGCCAATGAGGAAGCGGTGCGGACCGCCGTTGTGACCCCTTGCCAGTCGAGCCTCGCGATGGCCATGCTCCTGCACGATCTATCATCGATATCATCTTCTCCTTCCACAGCTTGCAGCTGCAAGAACGTGTGGAAGCTCTTGCTTGTGCTGTCTTCAGCAAATCCCCAACCTTCAATCTCGTCCGCAGCTCGATCGTTTGCTTCTCTCCTCAACAGTTTACACTGCACACGATACTCTGTATGGTTGCTGCTTCGGCTTTCGATTACTGGCCACATGAATATAGCATGTATGGCTTCTTCATATGACTGATGCATGCCCGTCGAGCAACTCAACTGTCTCTTCGAGCGGCGCAGCATTCGGCATCCTCATTCTCGGGATCATCGCCTTGCACTTTTAGCCTGCACAATTATCTTCGCTCTCCCAGGAAATGAACAGAACCGAACTCGTCCAGGCAGCGATTACCAATTCTTGAATCGGACTGTGACAATCTCCGGCTCCCTGCACCCGGATCGAGGCAAACAGAGCAGTCCTGTCCATCTCCTTTGAATCAATCTGCAGAACACGTCACCCGCTGCATCTGGGTCAACAAGCCGAGAAGATAAAGGCCTGTCGAATTCTTCATTTTCTCCTCGCCGGGAAAGACCTTTGTATATAAAAATAGCAATTGATTGCTCCAGGGACATTTGTCTCCTGCGTCCGGGTGTGAAAGGCTCCTGACAACAGTGCTGTCGCCTTGTTAGCATCAACATCAGGAAGAACAGGGAAGAGAAGGAACCATCACCACACAGCCTGTTGGCGGCCTCGAATCCTTGAGACTCTGTGAACATCATGGACGGAGAAGATATTGATGCGACCCCAAGGGTTCTCAGAGTGAAAAATCCAGATTTGAAAGACAAAGAGGAGGATGCGGATGGTCTAACAGAGTTCGGCGCTGCAAAGACCTCGAGGTTCTCAGTCAGGTCAATCTCGGCTTCGTTGTCTTCAATTTGGGGAAGAAGAAATGCCAGTACCAGCACCTCCTGCTCTCAGTCAGAGTCCAGCCAAGACCAAAATTGGACTGTCGCACCCGACTTGAACCTGGATTTCGACGACAACCTACCTTCGCGCGGCTGCGTCTCCTTCTCAGATCTTCTCCCTACTCGCAAATCTTCCGCTCGAGCGTCCAGGAAGAAGAGATTGAACTCCGTCAAGGACGTCAAGGTGAGCATCCTTCCCCAGCCTGTGATCACCTCTTTCACAAAGGTATTGGCTAAAGCTGCGATAGCCGTCTCATTCACAGAGTCGCGTTTCTGTCTCCAGACCGTCCTCAAATCATTTCAGTCTTCCACCAACAGTTCAGCGGCGTTATCCCATAGACGGGGAAGACGAGGTATGTGGTTGATAGGGATCACAGCCTAGCTATCGTCAAAGCCTTAGCTGATCATATTTCAACAGTCCTCAGTGTACAGCTTCGCCTCTTTCTCGACCAATCATTCCTCAAGACACTCAAGCAAGGTCCATCGTGATCCACAGAAGAGACAATCGCAGCGAACCGCTGTCCCACAGACACTCCCGTCAACCATGGCGTCAAACCTTCCGAACGGTGTCTACACGAATGGCGTCCCGAATGACCAAGACATGCGAGTTGTTCCACCTATCAACGATCACATCACAGCCCCTGCTGTTCAAGCACCCACCTTGCAAAACATCCTGGATTTTCGTGGCTCTCTTGCACATGAGGCTCGTGCGACAACGTCTTCCCTGACCCCTGCTTATCAGAATGAGCCGCTAGTGAACGGAGAGACAGTACCGTCTGCTCCGCCTCCAAGTCCGGTCAGCACAAGATACCCCGAACAGACTATTGCTCCCCCTGTCAACCGCGATCTTATCCAGCCTCACTTCGATGCCTACGGTTTTCGTGACAACTTTAGCGAACCTGAACGAAGCTATCGCCGCAATCCTCTACAGCATCCACTACCTCGACGGCACATCCAAATCGTCCCATTGCCAGCAATTGCAGCACTAAAAGTGGAGACCTTCGCATTCAATGTATTGGAAGCTGGTGCAAAATCACCTATGACCACGTATGTCGGGTTCAACCTTACTGCTGTCAAACAAAACAACCTCGTGACGCAAAGACAAACCACTCAATCCCAAGAGCGGCCTTACATCCTCACAGACAACAACGAAGGTTTCTTGACTGATCTGCAAATTCAAACCTACGTCAAAGGCCCTGCCAGCAAGCTTTTTGAGGCCGGAATTCAAAGCGTTCAGGAGCTGCGTGTCAAAGATCACTGGAATATTTTGCTCAAGCTCGGCGCACAAGAGAATACCCTGAAATCCAAACTCTCCAGCTCCCTACGGTCAGGCACCAAAGCGTCATCGCTCTCCCTGATCGACCAGTTCCTGGCAAGCCTTAAGATGGACGGCAAGAGAAGCGAACCAGTCTCTGTGGAGGCGATAGTCAAGTATCGCCATGCATTCCTGCCAGAGGATACGACTCTGGAGGCGCGGGCCGTCTGCCGCGTTGGCTCACTCGCTTCCGCCTCTTCCATGGACGCTGTTGAAGTTGGAGAGCTCGCAGGCGCTATCGTCCATGCGCTTGATCCAGGGGTGAGCACTGTCAAGCTGCTCTCGGTCGAGCGACCAGAGCGACAACACCATCTGGAGTTGGGTGGCCGCCAGGCGCTGGCACTCATCTACGACTTCCGACATGCGATGGGCCATGTCGTTTCGGAATCGGTAACCTGGGACCTCGCGGTCCTAGAGACCTATTACCGACAGGTCCGGGCGTTGGAGTCTGCGGAGACGCAGACTCCAACGCCCCGAGACACCCTTCGCCGCCGTGTGGCAACGGTGGCGAAGAGGTTCTCGCCGAGGAAGTCTGGTGGTGTCGGCCCTGGCGGCGAGGGGCGCGTGGAATAGGATGCCACGGGGCGTGGCGTTGGTGGCGGTGGTGGTGACGGCGGCGACGAGGACGACGAGGGTGAGGACGAAGCTGCCCTCGTGTGGCAGCAAATGAGAGAGGCCTCCGGGCTGAGCGACGAGGCCGAGAGCCTCTACGAGACGGGGGTTTGGGGGCCGCCCTGGCTATGAGGGCGAAATAAAATTGCATGAAACAAGTCCTGTTCCGTTCCTTTGCTTCGTGGTATTGTAGCTGTAGCGATCGCCGTGAACAGTGCAGTTTCGCTACAGAGCGTGCATAGAACGCCCTGATAACGGCGCCTGAAAGGCGTGCGTCCGTGACGGACGGTCTGAAACACTAAATCAAGGCCCAGAATGTAAGTTGACAATCTGGCGAGGCACGATCATCCGTGTTGTCGCCCCCTTCCCAGCGTCGTCCTTCGAGGCGGAAACCACCCAGGCGACGATAGACACCTGCCCCCCGAGTACGGTGCGATACATACAGGATCCCCCAGTTTCAGCGTGGTCCTCGAACCCTCTAGCTTGACCTTGACACTTGTCTTTCTCCTGACTGCCACCGCGATCGAGACCGCGACCGGAACCAAGACCGGGAAAGTTAAGGGGAAATTGGCCTTGTGCGGGTGAAATGTAGTTTGCGCTGTCACTATCTAAGTGTTTATTTAGTTCTGGAGTTACTCTGGTTTATATGTGTGTGTGTGTGTGTGTGTGTGTTTCCCTACGCGTCCTTCCAGGTTCTGGTCGTAATATGATATTATACACCTCTACTCGCCACCTAGGCAAAGTATTGCAAAAAGCTAGTTTATTTTCTCAACACTTGTCAAGGAAGGTGGAGAGGGAAAAAAAAGAGAAAGGCACAAGCTATTTGAAATTGATAATCATGTGAGGAATAGAGAATCAAGATCCACATAGGTTTAGCTGGGGGAAAGCTGCGAGAGAGATTCAGTTCCTCCATATCTTTGCTCTTTTCTGTCTCTCTCTCGCCGCTTCCTCCTCTCCCTCCTCATTCTACTTCTGTGGTGAACCCATGTGCAGAGATTGAATGGCTCAATGCACTGGTGCGCCTTCCACATTGTTGTGCTGCGCCCAAAAGAAGAGGAAAAAGAAAAGAGATTTGTGATCAGTGTGTCGTATCCACCATACCGCCTCATGATCTCTCTGTGAGTTGGGCCAGATTGGCACTCACAGACGCTCTGCTTTGACAAATCCCTAGAAGCCCTGCTAGGAGTGGTCTCGTTGTTCTTTGCTTCACACGAGAGCGATCGGCTCCTTTTTTGGATCGTACTTGTCCCAAACTTCGCCGTGTATGTGGTCCAAGATAAAGCAATCCGTCACGACTCTGTATTGGCCCGCATTCTCGGTGGGACGGAGTATGTAAGGAGTATGTGCATCGGCGAGGATGAACACTTGGTCTCCTTCGCGAATACCGCGTCCCATCCCAACCAGGCCGCTCTTCGTATAAAACAAGTCATACGCAGACCCGGTTTTCCGGTACACCTGAAAGAAATCCTCAGCCACTGATCCGACGTTTTTACAGGTAGCTGAAGGATGAAAGGCACTTTGCGTGAATTCTTGATACACATCCCTGATTATCGAGAAGTCAAAGTAAAATTCCGAGTCCGTGGGAACGCTGTGTATGGCCATTGTTTCGATCCACTCGTCGGCTCGAGCCTCCCACTCTAAAGGAGACAAATGGGCCGAAGAGGAATGCACCACTAAGAAACTTGCCAGAAAGGCCACGAAGCTTCTTTCCCTTAGAGGCCTCCGAATTCGCTGATCTGTCACTCCGAACGACGTAACAGCACTGTCGTTGAAGGTCAAGGTGTTGAAAAGCATTTCCAAAGGTCGATATCCATTTATATCAGTCGTGTGTGATTTTAGGAAAGATAGCAACGATACCGAGGAGGCCGTCACTGTGGGAGCGCTATGAAGAGGATATGTCTCTTGGATGATATCGAAGTTCGCTCCCAGACAACGGAGTATCCTGCCATCAATGTACACCTGATCATTGTGAAAGGTTTCTCCAGCCGAGTCAAAAGGGCCCTTGTCTGCATCGAAGTAGCAATGTATAGGAGTGAACTCCCTTGGCGAGCGGCGATAATCCGCGGTCCAAGAAGGGAGGGAAAGATCGCCCGAAAGGCAGGCCCAACCAAGTAAGTCGAGACATCGAGATTCTCGAAGAATTAGAGATGCCAGCTCGATATAGATCTGCTCGCAGCTTTTAGAGTAATCTGGCTGGATCAAAGTTGCGAAATCGATCTCGGCTTGTTTTTCTGCGATTCCCAGCAGAGCAAAAACTCGATCTCTGGGGTCTCTGCATGATTTCCCCGTCTGCATAGCTAGGATGTTGTGCAAGTGGATGAAATGGCGACGACGTTGATTTAAGCTCTCCATCTCCTGTTGGCTCGAGGCGGGAATGAGACGAGAAAGGGTGGCTGAGGGGTCGGCATAACTTAATATCCCCAGGACCGGAACACTATCCAATTCCTCAAAAGGTACGTCCGTTACCTTGTGCAACTGGGTCCACACCATGGTCGTCCAAACCATTTCGGATACGATGAAAGCGAAACTCGCCAATTTCCCCCAATCCAGTTCAATCTGGTCGCAGAAGAATCGTGGCTTCTCAGTGAGAACCAGCTCTTGAGTGGTCCACAATCGATGAAACCATCGACAAGTGTAAGTGAAAAGGGACCATTCCATCAGATACCGAGCAAAGTCTGTAACTCCTAGTATACCTTTGCAAAGATGTTCAGATAAAGAACCTTCCCGAGCAAGTGACGCCAAGGTACCCTCAGCACGCGCCTCAGAAACGATGGGTGCGATGTTTTTCATGGTGTAGACAAAGTCTGACGACAGTGAAGTTTCGTGTCCCAGCCAGATCAGTACCTCTGCAGCACGAGAATAGATTGTTCCCATGATCTTGATCTGAGCGGCTCGTTCCTCCATGTCATTTTGTCTGATACAGATCGCATCAATCCACAGCCATCCACAGATGTTCAGCGTTGTAAAGTTGTGCAGTGCGTTGAAAAGATTGGGTATGACTTTGATCGGCTCGTCGTTACAAATAACGGTGCACGAAGGCTCCTGGTCACATGACTCGTCAGGCTCTACAACCAGACGATCCATTTGGAAGTGCCCTTTTCGATAGGGGTCGCCACATGTGTATGACAAAGCTCTGAAGTCCGGCGCCCCATCGAGTTTGAAGACGCGCAATCTTCCTGTGACATGTTCGGAAGCTGGCTCTAAATAGAACAGACGAAATTCTCCTGGTGACAAGGAACCGGCAGGGTCCTTCGAGCCCTGAGCTGGTCCCCCTTCGTTGGATGATGCAATGGGAGACTCCGACACCGATGACATTGTGAAGTTGAGGTCAACTTTAGCTGGACTGAAACCAATGTAGAGGATACCTTGAAGACGAGTTGACAGTAGAAGGTGTAGAAGTTCAAGCGGTGTGCAACATGAGGCTGAGGTCCAGGCTGCCGCCTGGGCGCTAGAATTCCTCAAGAAGTTGTAGCCGCCAGCCTCATCTGTTAGTTGACTGAAAGGCGCGTACGAGTAGAGGACCCAAAAGCTCCCCTGCAGGATGAGCAGTGGAAAGTCTGTAAGGTGGATGTCGTTGCTCGACTTTTGTACCGCAAGATAGCACCTCAGACACAAGGAGTTCGATTTGGGTATTCCCTATCCCTTTCTCGTTTTGTCGTTTCATTGGAGTAGTTTCTCTGAAGCACATCAATGCATCTATTGGCCATCTCCAGAGATGGGAGTCTAGTGCGCTTATGAGCCAGCCTTGTTGTCTGTCTTTTGCTGGTTCTCAATTTCCTCTGGCTGACCCTTTTCTCCTGGCGTCCCATCTTTCCAACTCACAGGGACACCATCATCTGTAAATCTCGCCCATGCGAACCACCCGCATCCCTCGCCACCGCTCGGCTTGTTTCCAACCTGACACATCCACATATATCGACCCCGATTGGCCCTCTGTTTCTGTACCGTTTTCAACACGCAAGGGACCCCGCATTTACACTTTGGGGTGTTCTTGGGGCGGAATTCTTCTCGGTACCACCTATAAGTGATGTTGATGCGTTTATTACCAGCGGTAGGATGGGGAGTGACAGTGAGCGCCGGTGCGATGCTGTGCTTCCATTCTTCCTGCATTTCGGCATGCATCACAAGGAGAGAATTGTGGGGGAGATGGATCGCGATTTGCCCCGACACATCTGCCGCAGAAGAAGCATTTTCAGGCTTGTCGGGTCCATTGGGGTCGTCCTTGGGTACGATTCTTCGGACGCGAAACTCCCTTGCAACCCCGAGACTCAAGCTCCCTATGATGGCCCGAGGCCCGAGATAGGAAAGTTGGTCAGAGTGATAGCCCACATGTTGCGCGCCACCATCATAGCAATTGACGAAGGCGGCGTTGGGCTCCCATACCAGGGGTGACTGATATTTTAGTTTTTTCCCGTCTGGATAAAAGTCGCGGATCCGATCAACAATTTCCTTGTTGACAGCATCACGAACAAGAGCGCTGACCTGCTTCATGACTGGCAGAATCTGACGGATATCACCAAGATCATTGCCGTTGTAGTAATACTCGCTTCTCTGTCGCTCAATGTCTGCCAGGCTGTCGACATAGAAACATGCCGTGTGCGGGGACTTGACGACATTGTCAAAGATCTTGAATTGAATAGAGTCATAGCTGGGAACTTCAGCAAGAAGCTCTTCCAGAAGGGCGTTTGCGAGATTGGTGGGCAGGAAATTGTGGATGATGGAACAGGGTGTGTGGTTTGCGATGTCTTGCGGCGTGTATAGATGGAGAGTTTTGCCCTTTTTAGTCAAGGATTGTTGCCCTGTTGGCTTTGATGGGCTCTTGTTCTCTGACGCGTATGGTAGACCAGTCTGCATACCAGCACCCATCATTCGCCGCTTTTGTGGCGGAGAGACATTGTGCCCAGTAGTCGAGAGTGCTTTGATGGCAGCGTCCACGGAGCCGTCACAGCCAAGGAGGACTTCCAGCAAGTCATCCTGACGCCTGCTTGGGTGCAGAGATGAAAGAATTGCCAGCTTGACATCGGTCGATTCGTCGTCCTCGGCGATCGGTGGTTCGGGGTCAGCGTTGGGTGCGAGGTCACTCTGTGGCGGGGACACGCGACGTCGTTTGCGCAAGATGAACGCGTCCATGGTGGATGTGTCCTCGGCTGGGGGCCATGGTACAGAGTTGAGATGCGGCGGGGGCCTTGAAGTATTGGTTGCAAGACGCAGGCTGCGAAAAGCACTCACGAACGTTGCTTCAAGGAATGAGTTTCTTAGTCAACTTTGAATACGCGGCGTGGGAAATGACGATGACAATAGCAACGGCGATGGCAACTGCAACTGCGACTGCAACGGCGATGGCAACTGCAACTGCGACTGCAACGGCGATGGCGGGGAGAAACCTCGGCCCATGTCCAGGTCGACTGGTCAGTTGTCCATCTGAGAATCCCGCAGTCTTCCCTTTATTCTGCGCTTCACATTTTTACTCACCGGTCACCAGCAACTTGTTTTCAGATACATTTCAGTCATTCCCTTCTGGAACCTCTTGGGTGGATGCCAACCTGGTCTTATATTTGACACTGACCTCCTCAGAGCAGTGGCAAACCAGGCATGATGAGTGACTGTTCACTTCCGAGACCAGAGCTTCAGTATCAGTCATGCTAGAATTCCGCACACAAGGCTTCCAGGGCTACGCAGTCAAATATTCCCCCTTCTTTGATAATCGCATAGCTGTCGCTGCTGCAGCAAATTATGGTCTAGTGGGAAACGGACGGCTATATGCGCTGGAGCTGACAGCTCAAGGCATTGTGCCTCTCAAAGTGTACGGAATTTGGACTCATGGTGTCCAGGAGAGACAGATGCCCGTGCTAACCGATTGACTAGCTACCCTACACAAGATGCCCTCTACGATGTAACCCACTCCGAAGCCCATAGCTCCCATCTCCTCACGGCCTCTGGCGATGGCTCATTACGGCTCTACGACACCTCCCTCGCACCGGAATTTCCCATTGCTAAATTTGAAGAACATTCGCGAGAAGCTTTCTCCTGCAGCTGGAATCTCACATCAAAGGCGACCTTTGCTTCGTCGTCATGGGACGGCACTGTCAAGATATGGAGTCCGGAACGCCAGCAGAGCTTGCTAACACTCCCCACCCATTCCTGCACGTACAGCGTCCAATGGAGTCCTCACACCGATGGGATGCTGAGCGCAGTGTGTTCCGACAGTCACCTCCGGGTGTGGGATTTGAGAACACCCGCCAGTGCTAGTAACCATCTCATATTACAAATCCCTATTCATGCGGCTCCCCTGTCCGCGGGGGCTGCGGTTGGGAAGATCCAACCGACCTTTCCACCTGCTGAAGCCCTCACTCACGATTGGAATAAATATCGCGGCACCGTCGTCGCCGCTGCCGGGGTTGACCGTATCATTCGAACATTTGATATCCGTCAGCCCAAGGGCCCCCTTCATATGTTGCAGGGACACAGCTACGCGGTGCGGAAGGTTGCATGGAGTCCACACCTTCCCGATCTCCTCCTCAGCGCCAGCTATGATATGACATGTCGTGTCTGGACAGACGGAGGGGAGCAAGGAGGTCCCGCCAGAGAGCTTGGTAGTATGGGTCGTCATACCGAGTTCGTGACTGGCGTGGATTGGTGCTTGTTCGGCAGTGAGGGGTGGGCGGCCAGCTGTGGTTGGGATGAACTCCTCTGTGTCTGGGATGTGCGGACAGTCATGCGCCCGTGATACGAGGCACGAATCATGCGGCGAACGATGTGTGCTCGATTCCCGAGGTGTTATTGGATTGTTTTCAACGATAGGGACCACCTTCAGACTTGGATAATAAGGAATTCATCCTAACAACAGAACGAAGCCTGACTATCCCAGCTACTGCTGTCGCCAACAGCGCAAAGTGGATATGACAGATACCAAAATCTGAAACTTTATGCATCATGGCTGATCAGACCCGGAAACAAGCTTCATCGCCGACTTATGTTACATCTTGCAACCCGAACAAGGCTTTCCTAGGGAGTCGACCTGATCGTTCGGCAGACGCAGGAGGGAACAAGAGATGGAGAACAAGGATGGCCGATGCAGTTGAGGTCCGAGCGTCCAATCTCTTTCCTTCGCTCTTCGCCAAAGTCCAGCCAATCAACCTGCCAAGACCTTCTCGAAGCCATGGATGCTGTCGATCCGGCGCCTCTTCAACTTTCCTTTTTGCTTTCGTGCTCGACATCTACGCCTTGATAGGTGCCAACCGAACGACCCATATGGTGCACGGTTGTCGCTAAGGTGATGCCTTCACAGTGCTTGTTTACACTTCATGGCCTTGACAGGCTTAATCCGGACTACCGTCACCTCATGCAGCCGCCGGTCTGGGGAAAGCTCTCCGTGTGACCTCTGAGGTTCTACGTATTTGGTGCTGCGGGGACCTGCCTTAGGAGGAGCTCGGCTACGGCCTGGTCTTTGTTGATCGTTCCCTGTTGGCATCCTGGTCGGCCAAGGTAAGACAGCCGCTATTGTGAGCATATCGCATCCTGGAAGATGCACGTGTTGCTTTGCGGCTTGAGGCGGGTGCAGAATGATTGTTGAAGGATCATGGTGGACTCTTGTTTGTGTTACACAATCTGCAAGTTGACCGGTGGGGTCCGATACCGTGAGAACTCAGCGCTGCCTTCGAATACTACTTAAAGGCATGCCGCGACTGTTGCTTGACGAAGCTCAGGACGCAAAGGACGACCATCGAAGAACTGTGAGAAGGATTATTCGAAGAAGGCGCAGACCAGCATCATAACCTCGCGACCCCGTTGCTCAACACGACCTCTGTTATCACTTCATCTTATACTACGAGCCTACGATCACGCTTCCTTGATACACTCCCACAACAATGCAGCTCCCAAAGGTTCGAGGAAACACACTCATCTATTTTCTCACCTTCTAATTTTCTTCCAGGCCTTAGCCAGCGTTCTCTTCGCTCTCACTCCGGTCCTTGCTCTCCCGTCAGCGCTTTCCTCCAGCAAACAGCCCGCATCCCCGTCACTCTGGCCTCGGGAGTTTAATGCATTCACGAAGCGCCAATCCTGCGTCGAAACCTGCGGTAGTGTATGCTACTGGCAATCTGACATCGATGCCGCCCTCTCCAAAGGCTACTCCCTCTACCAGGACGGACAAACCGAAGGGTCTGACGACTACCCGCACCAATACAATGACTACGAGGGATTCGATTTCCCTGTCGATGGGCCATACTACGAGTTCCCAATCCTGGACACTTTCAAGGTGTATAGTGGTGGATCTCCCGGGCCGGACCGTGTCATCTTCAATGGAGACGGTGACTACGCAGGAGTCATCACTCATACGGGTGCCAGTGGTGATGATTTTGTCGCTTGTGAAGGGGCCAACCCGTAAATACCTAGGTATCTGGGGATAAGAGGGCGGCGGGCATCCCGACGGAGGTCAAGGGGGTTTTGGGAGTAGTATGAGAGCCTGCATGGGGGTGCCGTTCAACGAAAGAAGTCGAAACCAGGGGCTTGCCAGTATGGGCACGAACTTTCCCGTTCTGCAGGTGGTCTCTGTGGACGAAGTGATATGTGAGCAGTAAGCACATAAGACGTTATAATATATCAGCCTCTCCTTCCCATACCCTCGTACATCCCTCGTCTTCTTGTATGAGCAAATGGCATAGGATAATCTTGTCCAGCATCCCTAGGTACCTAGGGTCTTAACAAGACTGGAAGAGGAAGTATAGAATTGTTATTCACTCGCTCTTGAACACGCGGTCTATTCTGTCCATCCCCCGCGTGTCTCTCTATATGAAGTCGGATAGAACTTGTTGCATTCTCTCTCCCCAGATCGCTATATGGTCTAAAGTACGTAATATGCCCCCCTGGGTATGGGTATGGCTTGTTCTCCGGCCCATGGCCCGATGCATGGGCGTATATCGCAAAGTAGAAGGAAGAGGAAGAGGACGAGGACCGTGGACGAGGACTGTTCGAGAGGGGTCGAAGAAGGCAAGCAAACCGTTGCACCATCCCCACCCAGCCTTGTTTGTGTATTTCCGTCGATTCAATCGATCCGTGGGGTCTTCTTGCAGTCGTCGTCCCGAGTATAGTAACGGTTCTTATGGTCTCCATCTTCCACCCCGCATTAAAACCCCGTCTCTCGTGCATGTGGTGCTCGTATATAATCATACCATGTCGTATCGTATCTTGCAGTCTAGTCAAGTCAGCGGGGTTTGTTCTGGCCATAGCCACCCCCTTTCCCCCCGCCTGCAGGCGGGAATCGAGGTAGAGCTGCAGGTTGTCTGCCCCTGGCCTTGTGTGTTCGCTTTGATATCTCAAGAACCTCATGATCATCGGCTGGCGCCGTCAGTTTTGTTTGGCGCAGAGAGATCCCGTTCACCAGACGGACGGATGGACGGAACCCAGACGGGTCTTGACCTCCCGTCCATGGGGACGCAGAGCCGCATTTTATCGCTGGTCGCACAGCCCCCAAAAATTTCTACCTTCATTCCCATGTCTGGGAGAGGGCTTTTATTTCTCGCCCAACCGATTCTCCACCCCCTCCCTCACTTTCCTCTTATGCTCCGCCAATTCCTCCTTGCTCGCATCATACCTCACATTGCCCGCCTGGTTGAACGGGTTCTCATCGCTCTTTTCAAACTCCTTCTTAATGAGTTCGATCTTCTGGTTCCGTCTCAACCCGGGATGTTCCTTGTCGATTTCTGGCAACCTGCGTTCTTCGTACGCCTTGTATGCGGCGGGGAAACGGCGTTCCGGGTGCCGGTCGAGTTTCATGTCGTTTTGGGAGCCGGTGGTTAGCGACAAAGCGTCCAGCGCGTTGTCGATTCCGGATGCGTTCAGGGCGCGTTCTTTCGAGCTGGGCTCGCCACTGTCCAACTGGGACAGGTCCAATGTCCCACGAGATTTCTTCTCCGCGGTCTTCTTGTTCGCGCCCTTGGGTTTATCGCGCATCCCCTTCTCTTCTTCCGCCAACATCGCCTCCCGCTCGGCCTTTTTCGCAGCCTGTTCTGCGGCCTTTGCGGCAGCAGCTTGCTTTTTAGATGTGTCCTTGGAGCCTTGTGCCCATTTCTCCTCCTCGCGCGAGGCTGCTACTGCGTCGGCGGCGGCTTGTTTTTGGGCTGCGGCGTCGGCCTTGCGCGCGTTGCCCGCGGCTTTTTTTGTGTTTTCGCCTTTGCCTTTTGGCGCCATCGTTACTACAGCTGGCGCTGTGGGCGCAAGGCTGCTGCTGATGGCGGTGGTAGGTGTGGTGGCGGTGCTTGTGTTGGTGATGTACTTCCCCTCCTCGTTGAGGCGGGGTTGAGGGGCACTAGGAGCCGGTAGTGGTGGTGGTTGCGCTCGGGAGTCGAGATAGGCCCGGGTGGTGATGTAGGTGGTGATGTTGACAATCACGAAGATTCTTACAAATTGTGTGGGAGAGAAGATGAATGGGTTATGAGGCATGCAGTGGAAGGGGAATGTGGGCGAAAGATGCAACTGTAGACCTGTCTGATTGGAGAATAGGATCAAGGCGATTATTATGACTCCGACTCTGCTTTGCGCTGGCTAGTGAGGCCTTGGTGCATCTTCTCACGCGGCACTCACTTATGGGGCCTGAGGCCTTTTGCTCTCTACCGAGGACTGCCTGGCCACCCTTGACCGATGTGCCTGATTCATGCGGTATGATGTAATAGAAAGCGCGCAACTCGAAAGTTTCTTTGCACGCTGTTGCTCGTATGTATCTCCTTTTGGACAGGATACAAAAGATTTGGAGTAAGGGGGGAATATCACTCCAGGGCATTTTCCAGGATCTTGGTAACGCTATGCAAAAGTCCCTATGCCCCTCGTCAGGCCTGATTCATATCAAGAGGATATCGTATCTGGATGCATGATGCTCCTGAACTCCAGATCCATTCGTCTCCATTGCATGCACTCGTAGCAAACCTGCCCCGGACGCCGTCGCTCCATCCTAGTGGCCCTCAAATCAACCTCAATGGTGTCCTCATCCCCGCAAAGCCCTGTCTCATGAATTTGTACTTGTTCGGCACCGTCTGGAGTCTCCGGAACGCCTCTCTGACGTGTTTGGGCTCGATGGGCGTCCTGCCTTCCTCGGGCATCTCAAACAGACTGCACCCTTCCCGCTTACGTTTCTTGGACGCGTCCTGGTCGCCTCTGCCGCCGCCATTTTGTTTGTTGTTGGCTATGTCCTCCGCGGCTTTGACCTTCAGGGCTTCCTCTGTCAGAGTCTGCACAATCTCGAACGTCAAGAAGCCGAGAATATCGACTGCATCGTCGTTCGGTCTGTTGTCAATGATCGTGCCGAACCCTGCCCATTCGCGGAACCGTTTGCCCTTGCGGAATGTGAAGCTGGCTTGACGGCAGTCGGACCAGTAGACGTATTCGTCCTTGGTCATGTTCTTGGTGCGTTCGTCGGCCGAGGCCAGGCGGGCGAGGGTCGCTTCGTTCTGCTCTTCTTCCTCTTCGTCTTCTTCGTCGTCTCTTTCCGGCACCTGTTCGGCGTAGAAGGATTGGGTTTCCCAGGGCAAGACGAGTTTGGCTTTCTTGTTCGCTGTCGACTTTTGCGGGGCCGATGGGTTGACTCCTCCGGACGCCTAGAGGCTTGTTATTTCTCGACGAGACGACGGGGGCTCACAGGTACGTACCTCGTCAAAGTCACCAACTTCAGCAGCGTCACCTCCACCTTTGTCATCCGAGTCTTTCACATTCTTGCGGACGTCCTTCCAACTAAGAAAAGTCTTGAGTCTGGACACTTTGGCTCTGTCGTGCCGGATCTGAAAGATGAGGTCGGCGATTGAAATGGTCTTGGAACCTCGGCGGTTCGCGAGCGCAGTTGCTTGTGTCAGCTGTGTAGTAGGTTAGCAACATCTAGACAATCGTAGGAGAATGTCTAACCATTTCGATAACTTGCTCTCGTACGATTTCCTCAATCATCCAGGTTGTCTCTGCGCTTGGCTCGGCCGTTTCACCACTCACGAACATCATCTGTCCAATCCAATATATCAGTCTCCGCTTGAAGTCTTCTGGACTTTCCCAATCATCATCATCATCTCCAAGCCTATCGGGGGAAGCTGCAGCGGCTGGGCCAGAGTCCTGGTTGGGAGGCGCCCTGCTTGCTTGTGACTTGTCCAGGGCTTTTCCAACGATGAGAGCTTCGCACACGTCTTCGGGATTCTCCAATCCACGATTCGCCATGATGTTGTTGAATTCAGACCATGCTCTGGCTGAACTTGTTGGGGTTTCACGTTGCTTCTGTTCACCGCTTGGCTGGGAGGATGTGATGACCAGAGAGGCAGTTGAGGTTGCTTGTCTCGTGATTTAAACCAAACATCGTGGAGGAGGCTTTGCCGTCACCAAGAAGTGAAATCAAAGAGGTGCGTCGATGGATGTGACGGGCGTTCGTCACAGCCATATTTGCAGTGAATTGTCCCCTTGTCCACAACGTCTAACTTAGATCCATGGCCTTCGGTCGGTTCAACAGAGCCGGTAGTAAAGCGATGGCGATAGGAAGTCGTCGTCAACAAGATACAGGCTTGCAGAATGTATTCCACTTCGAACGTCCTCCCACCTCCCCATTCCAATGTGCAAAGCTGTTGCTTGTCGATATCTCCAGCAGGCAGGTGGTATCCTCACATGAAAATGATATAAGAGAGAAAGATGCTTACCTGCTGGATCTCCTGCCGGTACTTTGCCGGCCTCTCACCCGCCATCTTGACTCCTGGGCCTGCCCCGTCAGGGTCTGTCTGTTCTGCGACTTGGCTGGTTCTGTTTGTTTTATATGAACAACATAGGAACGACGCTTGTGCTGCTCCCGGACGGGAAGTCCACGATGTTGGGACGATGGAATAAGAGGTTGTGGATGAATAAACAATGACGGGGCTGATGCGTCTGAGATGAACTCTGAGAGTTGGACATGACAAAAGGCCCGTACCTACCTCGCTCCATACCTAGGTAGTAGACTTGGCCGAAGTTGCCCCGCGGCATCACCAATAATTGTTTCTTTCACTTATTGAACTTTGGAAACCATTCATTCATGTCACTTCTGTCATACTCAAGTGCTTCACGCCCGGGCCTCTGTACAATAGAGCCAACATGCTTTACCTCGTTGGTCTCGGTCTCGCCGACGAGTCAGACATCACCGTCAAAGGACTGCAAGTTGTGAAGCGCGCAGAAAGAGTCTACCTCGAGGCATACACCAGCATTCTTCACTGTGGGAAGGATAAATTGGTATGAACCTGACACCTCTTCAACCCCCATATCTTAGTGACTACTTTCGTCGCAATATCTCGCTGACATGGTTTTATTCGTCTGACAGTCAAGGTAGGAGTCATTCTATGGACGGCCCGTGATTGTCGCGGACCGCGAAATGGTCGAATCGTCCAGCGACGAGATCCTGGCAGGGGCGGACAAGGCAGACGTTGCTTTTCTGGTTGTTGGCGATCCATTTGGGTAGGTTGTTGACATATGTACCACGCCTCAACTGGACGTCTTTCTCTGATGATGAGACTTGCGCAGGGCTACGACTCACACAGATCTCGTTCTTCGGGCCCAGGAGCTCTCTATTCCCGTCAAGTCGATTCCTAATGCCTCCATTCTCAACGCCATCGGTGCAACAGGCCTACAGCTCTACAACTTCGGCCAGACCGTTTCCATGGTCTTCTTTACCGAGAACTGGAAACCGGCCAGCTTTTATGACCGCATCCGAGAAAACGCCTCGATTGGCCTGCACACCCTGTTGCTACTAGACATCAAAGTGAAAGAGCAGTCGCTTGAGAATATGGCGAGAGGGAGAAAGATTTACGAGCCTCCGCGCTTCATGACTGTCATGCAGTGTGCCCAGCAGATGCTGGAAATAGAGGAGGAGAAGAAAGAACGTGTCTATGCTGAAGACAGTCTCGCCATCGGCTGCGCGAGAGTTGGGGGCGATGACCAACAATTTGCCTGCGGGACGCTGAAAGAGCTATGTGACGTTGACTTGGGCCCTCCACTCCACAGCCTCGTGCTGCTCGGTAAAAGAGCGCATGAGTTGGAGAAGGACTACATCAAGAGGTTTGCCGTCAATGAAGAGACGTTCGAGCAGAGTTGGAAGAAGTACCATGACCGGAACCAATGAAGTCAGTCCCGCGGCTTTTTTGATGAAAAGTGCGCGCTCTCGTCTGAGCAAAGTGGACAGACGATGGCTGCCCAAGTCGAGCATGTCGTGAACCCGGAGGTGCACATGGTCGGCGCATCTGCTCAAAGCGAGAGTACTGCAGGCCATTCAGGTCTGTTGGGACGCAATCACGACGCCTCTGCTGGCCGACTTCGAGCTGTGTCGTTGCTGCTTCAGTAGCGGGTTGTGGACAGGAGCCTAGTACATCAGTCAATCATGAACTCGGGCCCGGACTGGTCCTTGATCAGGACAATCTTGACAATGAGACAAGTGGATTTCGTCTGGTAAATAATTACAGTTTGGGTCAGAATCCGAAGTAGTCGTATAGACAATAAGTCTGTCTACCCAATGGATCATCTTATTGGACCCGGCAATTTTTGGTCTTATTGTATTGTCAAGTTTTCACGCTATCGTACGTTGGTATCGTCGGAATCGTCAGAAATCATTAGTCTTCATTGAAACAACCTTCAGGCCCCTGCGGGATTTCAGCCCCTTCTCCCAAAGAATTTCTTCCTCAAGCTCTGCGACTTTGCCGTCTCCTTCGCCTTGGCCGGTGCCGGTTCTTCGGGAAAGTCCCTTTCCTTTTGTTTGCCCTTGCCGGTTCCAGTCTCCGAGGTTGAGGTGGCGGGTGGTGCTGTATTTGCCGGTGGTCTTGTTGTCCCTGCAGGTGATCCTATTGATGAAGGGGGTGTAAGTCGCACGGGCAAGGCCGTCAGGCCCGGGGAACCTCCTTCTTGATGTTGGTGTGGCTGTTGCATTTGGGAAGCGATATGTTGTGCTTGAGCAAGCATGGGTGCCACAGGTGGAGGAGACTTTGGATAGTCTGAGGTCGTCATGGTGGAGGTGGGAATGGGGAGGGAGTCGCTGGGTGTGGGACGATGACCTTGACCTCTCGTCGAAGCGGGGGAAGGAGCGGAGGTCGAAGCACTAGCAGCAGTAGGAGGAAGCGGAGGAGCTGAAGGAAGACAAGCAACAGGAGTACCAGCATCTTCATCCTCCTCACCCACGTCTTCCATTTCTTCATCCTCCTGCTCGTCGTCGTCGTCGTCTTCTTCTACATCATCAAACGACCGTTCCGGATCTCCGTTGTAGACGACCCACCATCCGATCTTCTCCCCCTCGGCGATCTTGTCTCTCAGATCTGCCAGCGCCTCCCACGCTTTGTTCGTCAGTCCGGGCCCATCGGCGACGACTTCGTCCAGATTGACACTCAGCGCCGCGGTATCATACGCGGGGGAGTTGAAAGGTGCCGACTTGGACATTGGCAAGGTCGTGGCGCGCTGTTTCTTCTCCGCTTCTGTGAGCACATGATGCTGATACGCTTTGACCTGCGCGACACCGGGTCCAGTCAACCCCATGCCTGGTCCCGCCGCGATCATCACGACCTTGTCCCCAACAAAAGCGTACGGCTGGCTCACGGCGTAAGGGCTCTCCAAGTCGTCCGGGTTATATTGCTCGATGAATTCCAATCTTCTCGTCGACGCGGGGTTCGTGTCGGTATGGTCGAGTTCTCTCATGATATCTGGGTATATTTTGCGAAAGGAGCGGAGGAGCTCTTCGCGCGAGTTTGCGTTCTGAATGTACTCGGCGCTGCAGTCGTCGAGGTTGTGCAGCACGGCGTGCACGCGGATGCCCGTGAAGCCTTCGCGCGGCCAGCGGAAGCCGTGGACGAGGTAGACCGGCATTCTTTTTCCTTTTGCCTCTGGACGCAAGTATTTTTTCCGCTTTAGCTCCTCGATGTCGCAATTTGCAAACCACTGGTCGATGTATACTTGTGCTCGGCCGGGCAACGGTGCTAATCGATCGCGTGATTGAGGTTCGGCGGGCTGTGGAAATCGATACAACAGAGAGGGCGAGCCCCGGGCGGAAAATGGCTGTTTCTTTGGGCTGAGGGAAGGCAACAAAAGAGGTGCGGCTTAGATATATACACGTAAATGTGGATATGCCAGCATATTGAGTAGTCGTCGATGTACAGGCATGTTTCAATCGATTTCTTCCGACGGTGGAAACAACTTAAGGGCGGCAGCGGCAGCTATTGCTGTATGGCGCGTAAGCGGGTTTTTTCCTTCCTCGTCCTCCCTCACACCAATCTCTTCGATCGCTGGGCGGAAACGCAGAGATCTGCGTCGCACGAGGTGGCTGTAATGTGCAACCCAAAAGCTGCAACAGCCCGCCAAAAGGCTCGGGGAGCTAAAATGTGGTAGTTTTACGAGAGATTGTCCAGGGTCGACGCCTGGTGGCCCGTGGGTGCCTGGTAGGGCATCGGGGAAATGAGTTCATCGGGCTGGTGGGCTTCTACCACGTGCGATTAAGCGGTGCTACTAGTACCGAGTATCTCGTACTGCTCTGCACGTAATAGCTGTTCCGCCTCTCCCTACGAGATACCTACCTAATAGGTATCTACCTAGGTAGCCTCGCTAGGTACCTGTTTTCAGCCTCGCCCATCACCCATCATGCGAGATGACGAGGAGTCTTCCATCACATATCAGATCGAGAGAATGTTTACATTTCCTACAGGTTCTCACTGTACTGACCTGGCCGAAACCAATGCCCATTCATCCACGATATAACTTGTATCGCTACGTCTCTAAGGTTCCGGCAAACCACAGTAGTGGGAGGAGCAGCCGCCACCTCCTCCTCCAGCAGATAAAGAATCCTGCTGCTTGCCTGGATCAAAGGTGCAACCCGTCTGACTACAGTGATGCGACTCGTCATTAATCTTGTTTGACCCAGCCGTCCCAGGACACGATCCTGCTACGTGTGTCTTGGACTGTCTGGCAGCCTCGGTCAGGAGCTGCCTTCAAGCATGGAATCTCTGTCCTTAAGGACTACGAAGTGGTCCACAATGTGCACCAGAGAGGTTGTCTGTCCCGGCCAGAGGGAGAAGAAAGTGCAAACTTACCCAGCTCCCTATACTCAATCACCTGGATGTAAAACTGGGGCAGATGAACTCAAAACAAATTTACAATAGACCAAGGAGTGTTCCTCCAGCTGCAAGGAACTGGTGATAGGCGGCGTGAACGGGGTTGGAAACCTTGGAACATCTCAATCACGCGTCTTCAGCGCCAGATGGAGCAGGCCATGTCACCCGCGGAAGCTCGAAGACGCTCAGACAAGAAATGGAAGAATTCAGACGTTGGCCGGAGGACACGTTAGACCACGAATTGATCTGGTTTCCCTTGAGTGGCCAGCTCCGAACCAGTGCTGCAAAAAAAGGGTTGAAAGTCGACGGTAGGATGCTTCGGTCCACTTTAAAGCCACACAGGAGACGTCCAGACTATGACCTTCTGTTTGAAATTCGGAAATCAAAATGCTTTTGTATGTCGTACCTTGCCTTGAGGGGCCGAAACAGCAAGGGTTGTCCTGCCCGTTACAGAAGTCCATGCAGAGAAGTTGGACCAATCCGGCTTTGAGAACCTTTCCATAGCGCAAGCACTGAAGTTGCAACTGAAAACACCGAAACAAAACCGTTGTGACAATCCTCGTGCAGTGGTCATCTGGATTCGCCACGTACAGAGTAAGGGACCACTTGTGGCTTACAAACTTTCCTGTGGCTCCTGCTTAGTGATGGTGTCGTCCGTTTCTCAACCCAGGAAAACCGAGCTGGCCTTCTCTGAATCTGAAGTGGTTAGTCGTTAGAAGTCCTTGGAGTACCCCTAGTATCGTCGGTCGTCGTAGCCACCATAACCACCAGAATAGCTATAGCGTGGAGGGCTTCTGGGACGAGCGTACGGGTCGCCGCCTCGCGCATATGGATCTCCATAGCCCCGAATAGGTGGTGGTGGCGGTCCGCGAGGATCATATGGGTCAGGATCGTATCTCCGTGGCGGTGGTGGTCCGTAGTCCCGTGGTGGAGTGCGTCTTCCGTAGCCTCGGTCATAGTAGTCGTCAATGGGTGGGCGACGTCCAGGTGAGCGCTCACGATAGCCTCGCGGGCTCCATCCTCGTGGGGGAGGTCCACGGCGATCATAGTCATCCGCGGGCCCGTAACGGCCTCGAGGTGGGGATCTCTGTCGATAGCTGCGATTGTCCGGTCTTTCTTCTTGAATCTGGGAAGATCAGTTAGGAGACATATCGAGAAACAATGGCAAGTAATACGTACGTCGAGTGTACAGTGGACAGTCGCTCCCTTAAAGGTCTGTCCATCTAGCTTCTCCACTGCAGTCTTGAGGTCGGACGAGGTTTCGAATTCCACGAACCTTCGGCAGATGGTGAGCAGATGATGTGAGAGAAAAGGGAGTCAAAATACCCTTTGCCATCGCGGTCACGGCCAGTCTCGGAGTATACAACGTCCAGTTGACCCGAGCTTCGCGCAAAGTCCTTGAGGTCCTGGAAACTGGTGAGCAGGTTTCTCCGTAGTTGGAAAGGCGGAGTATGGAAGTAGCTGGCAGTGACGGGCGAAGTCCCAAAAGGTCTCTTCGACTACCAAGACATGAAAGGGCCACGAGACTCCATTTCTTCCAACATGGGTATGCGTCAATGTCCCCAGATCCGCAGACAAGGGCTCCCAAGAACCGAGGTGGACAAGAAACTCTTCGGCCATGTCTGATCCAGAGCGCATGATGCCAAAATGTAGCAGAGGGGGATTTCTAACCTGCCAACTAGTATCCGGCTGCAGTCCAGTAATCTGCATGCGATAGATGGTGCGACGTGGCCGAGGAACGTTGCGATCAGAAGGACCAGCCAAGTCATCTTTCCGGCGCGGGCCCCGAGCAAACTGCACAGTGAGACGCTCGCCTTTGAACATGGTTCCGTCTATTGTCCGTGTTAGGAAGAGCCTTGTGAGAGGATGGAAGAAGGGAAAGGTAGGTCATACGGAACGCTGTTGGAAAGTTAGTGCTTTGGAAACAGTATGTGGGCAAAGAGGGTTTACCTGGAACAACGTCTCGCGCATCCATGGAGTCCTCATACTCGATGAAACCAAAGCCGTTCATGAGCTTGATCTCTTTAATAGAGCCGGTGCCATGAGTGCCAAAGTGCTCCTCGATGTCCTGTTTGGTGACTGGAAGGGAGAAAGTGAGAGTCAGCGACCGGCGCAGTCCCGGAACAGGTGGTGAGCGGGTCCAGGAGTCAATATTCAGGATTCAGCTATCCTCCAAGCATGCAATATAGTCCAGGGAGCCAAAAGAGGGAGAACGGATAAGGTGAGCATACTGTTGCGCGGAAGGTTGCCCAGATAGAGCCGGGTAGACGAAACATCGCCCATGGCGGACTACGGCCTGCAAAGAAGTCCGGACGACGGTCCAAGTAGGTGATTCAATGGTCAGAAGCTTCGGGATCGACCTGTTTTCGCAGATAGTACACGAGCCCAGACGTAGAAGTGAGGCGGGTGTGGTAGAGCCTGGCAGGGACAGGGAACCAACAAGCGGCCTGGGGTGACAAGGCGGAATGTGTGATGAGGAGTTGAATAGCCACAGAACGGGAAGTGAAGTGGAAAGACGAGAGGATTTGGAAAGTGATAGACATACACCAGGCGAGCAGGGTTCGCGGTGGTGAAGGAGTCGGAAGATGGAAGATGGAATGGGATGCTCGGAGGGTTAGAAGAGTGGAAGGGTCGCGTCTTGTTGCAGCCTTTGAGCTTTCAAGGTCAGTTCCAGTTTGCCTCACTTTCGAGATGCGGGTGGAGATGGGATGGTGCCAAGCCCAACCACCAGCACCGCGACCAGCACCGGCACCGTAACAAGCACCCGTCACCACCAAAGTCATGACTACCCAGGTCCGTGGCTGCGCCCACTGCGTATCCATCACCATCACCCATCACCTCCTCCACCTCCACCTCCACCCTCCCTTCACGCATCCACCAGCCAATCGCTTCTTTCACCGGCAGCATTCCTCTCACACTCCTCCTTCTCTCCTCATCACCACCATCCACTATCTGTCGAGTTTACTATTGCCGCCCGAGGCCTCTTCAGCTCCTCTCCAGCTCCCATGTCCAAGTACGGGGACGGCAACTTCTGGCGATCCATAGCAGACCAGTTGCAGAATTGCGGCCCAGATGATCCCATTCACGAATGTTTCCCAAACGGCATGGCCAAGAACATCCTGGATCAGGCTGAAGAATTCTTCAACCTGGCGGATAAAAAGCTCCACACTTTCCCCTTCAAGGATGTTCAGCCCTGTTGGTTCCGCCTCTACACTGACGCCAGTATCGTTAAAGTATTGAAAATGCTTGACCTCACTTCTCCTACCTGGGAAGATTCGAGGCTATCTGAGTCTCTAACGATTCATTTCGACGAGATTGTGGCCATCCTAGACATGTCCTTGATCATGGCCGGAGGTCTGCGACGAGAACAGATGATTCACGACATCTTGGCCAGATTGCAAGCTGCCAGCGTAAGTGACGAAGGAGACAAGGGACGCCCTCGAAAGAGGAGGCGGGTCGACGGTAACTGTGAGTCTGGTGACTCTCTCAACGATTCCCTACCTGCAGACAGCGTCTCTATACCTACCATCCAATTTCCCGTTGTTCAAATGGATCAGCCAACCCTCACAAAGTTCTCCCATCACATTCAGCAAGTACGAGAACCTATGGTCTTGACAAATATCATAAATCACTGGCCGGCTCTGGAGAAGTGGCAGCGGACCTCGTTCTGGCTCGACGCCACGATTGACGGCCGTCGCCTCGTTCCCATCGAAGTTGGGCGGAGCTACACTGATGATGACTGGAGCCAGAAAATTGTACCCTTTAGAGAGTTTCTACGTGGCCACTTACTGCCGTCGTTGAATGATGGATCCACCGGAGTTCCTAGAAGTAGTGACCAGACAGGATATTTGGCGCAGCACGATCTTTTCAAACAGATTCCAGCTCTTCGAAACGATATTGCAACCCCAGACTACTGCTACCTCGATGCTCCGCCTGCTGAGCCTAACACTCCAGTGGCCTTGAGCAAGGCAAAGGAAGGTGTAAAGAAGACAATTCATCCCAAGACCACACCTGCATGTCCTGATGTGTCCGACAACGCCGACGCCGACAAGACCGAGCCTGGAGACGAGGCCCAGACCAATATCTGGTTTGGTCCGGCATGGACGATCTCTTCACTCCATCACGACCCATACCACAATATCCTGTGCCAGGTCGTGGGGAGAAAGTACGTGAGACTCTATTCGCCACATCACAGCAAAGCATTACTGCCTAGACGTGACGACGAGCCTGCTCCTCATGTACTCTCTCCTGCAAAAGCAGGTGGCGTGAAGGATGCCGTAGATGATGGAGAGCCGCATGGCGAAACAATTGACATGTCGAACACTTCTCAAGTTGACATCGCCGCCATTGAACTGTCCCCTCTTGAAGACTGGGACGAGATATACCCCGGGATTGATCAAGTGCCCTACGTCGAGTGTGTCCTCGAGGCTGGCCAGGCGCTCTATATACCTATAGGGTGGTGGCACTACGTCCGGAGCTGTTCCGTAGGAATATCTGTGAGCTTTTGGTGGTGATCAGCCAACGGAAGCACCAGCAGCGCTAGCCACCCCTCCAGCAGTACCATTATTACATGACGAAAATTCAATCCGCCGGGGATCGGCTCTACCCAGCTCGCCAGGTGTCAATTTTGCCCCAATCGCCAGGAGAGCACAGACCCGCCCAATTGCGCCCCGAAGAGAGGGAGCCGCTGGCCTATCGCCGCCCAACCCGCCACCACTGGGGTCTACCATTGATGATTCCACGCTCCGTTACTGTCTGGTCGCTGCAGCACGAGAAGGGCAAAAGCACACGTGGTAAGCATGCAGGTCGGGACCTGGCGAGTTGAATATCAAGAAGTTGGAAAATGCGTCTCTTCTCACGATAAAGTTGGATGACGGCGTTGCGTCATTGGATCACCTCGCGTGCTCCTCCCTCAAAAGGCAACGTCTGGCCGGCCCCCGACAGGGGTGCCAACTCTTTATCTTCGACCATGGGCTCTGGCTGGGTGGATTGTTATCAGCAAGCCAAGACCCTTGGATCGTCTGCAACCCTAGTTACCAGCTATCTTCTGAGCTGTGGGTTATAAAGACAATGGCGTCTGCCACTGGGGGAGTTCACAGTCTGATCAACCGATTGAGGGAGCTTGTGTCCGGGCGACTTTTTCAGTATCAGCCGTTGTGCAGGCACATGCCTAATCATTATTGTTAGAACCCCCCGTCCCCGCATTCTCCAGGAACTCACGAGATCGAGGATTGTCGCGAATCAACCGAGCACCTAGCATGGCGGACACCGAACACGCGGGCACTGCTACTCGTAGCATGTCCAAGGACGAAGGTCGCCTACGCGAATTGGGCTACAAGCAAGAACTGAAGCGCGATTGGTCGTTGATGCACAACTTTGGTGTCTCTTTCTCCATCATTTCGGTCATCACCGGTATAACGACGCTGTTCAGCTATGGATTGAATACTGGCGGACCGGGCGTCATGTCCTGTGGCTGGCTTGTTGTCTCATTTTTCACCATGTTCGTTGGTCTGGGGATGGCTGAAATTGTCTCAGCGATTCCCAGCGCCGGAGGCCCCTATTTCTGGGCTGCAATCCTGGCACCCAGGAAATGGGCTCCTTTTGCGAGTTGGGTTACAGGGTGGTTCAATCTGCTGGGCCAGGTCGCTGTCACCACCGGTATCACCTTTGGCTGCGCAGGACTTATTTCCACCCTGGCGAGCATCAATGGTTACGAACCCACGGCAGGCAAAACCCTGGGTATCTATGCGGCGCTTTTGACTTCGCATGGCATAGTCAACTCCTTCGGCGTGCACATTTTGCGCTACTTGAACAACACTTCCATAGTTCTCCATTCTTTAGGCGTCTTCAGTTTTGCCGTCGCGGTTGTCGCCAAAGCCCCTCACCATCAGTCTGCCAAATTTGTGTTCGCCACGTTCTATGATGGTACTGGTGATCCAGGCTGGTCGGTTAGGGCATCTTCCGCCTACGTCGCCTGTATCGGTATCCTGATGTCTCAATATACAATTACTGGTTTTGATGCTAGGTGCGCCCATAACTGACGAAGCGAGGCCTTTCACATACTGACCTGTGGCTAGTGCGCATCTGTCCGAGGAAACCCAGAATGCATCCTGGTCGGCGCCCATTGGAGTCCTCATGTCGATTGGCTGCTCCGCTGTCTTCGGCTGGTTTCTCATCCTCTGTCTTCTGTTCAGCATCCAGGATTTCCAGGCCACAGTCAGCTCAGTGTACGGTCAACCGGTTCTTCAAATTCTGGTCGATGTGTTTGGCAAAACTGGGGCTATCGTGCTCTTCGTTTTAGTTATATTCTGCGTTTGGCACTGTGGCCTGTTCAGCTTGACTTCCAACTCACGAATGATGTTCAGCTTTGCTCGTGATGGCGGCATCCCTCACTTCTTCCACAAAGTGGATGCACGATTCCGAAGTCCCATCCGCACCGTCTGGCTCGCTGCATTTCTGGCTTTTCTTCTGGCAGTACCCAGTCTCGGATCATCTGTCGCATTCGCTGCGGCAACTTCGATCGCGACCATCGGCCTCTACATATCGTATGGGCTTCCTATCTTGATCGGCATGGTGAATCCACAGGGCTTTATTCATGGGCCTTTCAATCTCAAGTGGGCCTCACGACCTGTGGCACTGATCGCATGCCTGTGGATTGGTTTCATCACCATCATCTTCTGCCTGCCTGAGCTCAACCCTGTCAACTCGCAGACGCTCAACTATACTCCTGTCGCCGTCGGTATCATTGCGGTATGGTGTCTTGCCAGCTGGTTCTTGTGGGCGAGAAGATGGTTCAAGGGTCCCATTCGACAGGTGGAGGCCGAGGTGGCCGGGGTCAATGTGGACGACCCTGATGCGATGGACCGAGCTGAGAGGGAAGGGAGGATCCCTGAACTCGAGGAGCCTGTTGGCAACGAGAAGAGCATACTGGCCACTATGAAGCAGAATTACAATTGAGACCGCGAAATGAGTTCCGAATCGGAGGAGGAATATAGGGCTATATACCCGAGTGGTCACCTCGGTCATTGACTCGTATTCGACAGAATGCCACTCAATGGGGTTTGTTGGACCACGGACCACAATGATACCTCAACGACCCAAATTTGTGCCGTTTGCGCTTTCAATTGGTTTCTCCGTCTGGTTTGGTGATCAAAATCAACAGTTTCAGGTCAGCAGGTAAGACTGCCGCATAGGCTGAAAGGTTCTTCCGTCCGGAAGCCGTCCTCGAGCATTCGGCCTCCCTTGCACATGAGTATCAGCATCATCATCATCCTGAAAAGCGCTTCAGTACCTCATGACGAACGGAATTAGTAGGACAAGCGTATGGCTGTCACAAACCTTTTTGCCACTCCCAGTGTCATTCTCAGCGAGTGCCTTGCTTACCAGTCCTATCACCTCCAGAGAGAGTTGAGTTCAGCTAGGCTTTAGTGATCTTGTCCGAGGGACAAGTCCTCCATGGTGGTTCAAAAGCGGACTCGGCATCCCACGGCGGGGTCGTCGAAGGCAGTGGTGGGGGAGGCTCGTCCACAAGCAACAATCTGGACATTGGCCATGCCGCGGCCTGCTGCCTGCTGCCTGCTGCCTCGAGTGGTAGAGAGATTCATACTGAGACAACAGACACACGTATTTGGAACTATCTACTCCGAAGATTAGTAAGATCCCTGAATATCGCAGGTGCAACAGAGTCATCATGAAGCTTCCACCGTGACATCCATTTACCAACCCAAGAACCCAAGGCTGATGGCGGCCCCACGAAAGCTGTATTTTGGAGAACACGAGCTTTGCCAATGCCTTACCCTCTAGCCGTACGACTCGCTTTGGGGAACCTCACTGCGCTCATTGGGTTGTCAGGCCGCCCAATGATCACTTTATGCACATCGCATGGCCTGAGTGAGAAGTCTATATACTTAGCCGCTTGGGTTCTCGCGGCAATAAGTATTTAAACCTCGACTCTGCAATCGACTGCGGAATCGCCCTTTTATCAGTCTGATACAGGATTCTTGACGTCGTCGCCTCTGGGACTCCAACCGGTGACTGTGGCTAGATTAGAACTGATCTGTCGTTGCTCCGCCATAAAAACCATATATCCACACAAGGAAATACATCGCGCATAAGCGAGTTTGGAACTAAGTTGACAATCATGGGCTCCATCACACAGTCCTCCAACCGGAGCATCACCAACGACGACATCTCGAGTCTCAAATCATTGCTATCATCGACCAACGCAACAGTCCTCACTCCCCAAGACGAAGAAGCTTACTCGGCCTCGATAAAGCGCTGGTCCAGCGCGGCCCAGAAGCCAGCGGGAGTGGTCGTTGTGCCGAGCAACGCGGACGAGGTCGCCAGCGTGGTCAAGTATGCCACCGACCAGGGCATTGACCTTGCCGTGAAAGGCGGTGGCCACTCGACCGCGGGCGTCAGCAGCACCAACGGCGGCTTGCTGATTGATCTGAACTCCAAGATGAGGCAGGTCGACGTCGATCTGGAGAGGAAAGTGTTCATCATCCAAGGAGGCGCCGCTTGGGGCGACGTCGACCAGGCGGGAGTGAAGCACGGGCTGGCCACTGTGGGCGGCACGGTCGCGGACACGGGAGTTGGCGGGTTGACGCTGGGCGGTGGCTACGGATGGCTCTCGGGCCAGCGGGGACTGGTGATTGATAACCTGGTCGAATGCACGATCGTGCTTGCGACAGGAGAAATCAAAAGGGCCAGCGAAAAAGAAAACCCGGACCTGTTCTGGGCCCTGCGGGGAGCGGGACAGAATTTTGGCGTCGTGACCGAGTTCGTCCTCAAAGCTTACGACCAAGGGGACGTCTTTGCCGGCATGCTCATATACCCACCCACAAGCGAGGTCATTGAGAAAGTCGTCGCCGCCACCAACGACCTGTACACGCCGGACACGAATGGGAAGACCAAAGTCGCCGGTCGAGGCGCCGGCGGCATCGCTTTCGCTCGACCCCCGCCCGCCGAGGGGAAAGTCATGCTGCTGGCGGTCATCATCTACTTTGGCGGCGAGGCGGAGGCCCGCGAGAAATACAAAGCCCTGTACGACATCGGGCCCGTGGTGGACACGACCGCCATGGTGTCCTACCCAGTGATCAACACCGTCCTGGCGCCCCCGATCGGCCTTAGAGCGAGCATGAAGGGAACTTCCTTCACGATGCCGATCCGTGCCGGTTTCGTGGAGGAGGTGCTGAGCGAGTACACCAAATTCACCGACGCCAACGACGACACGGGCATCAGTCTTGTGCTCTGGGAAGTCTACGACCCGAATCAGGTCGTGGCGCACGACGACGTCGGAAGCTTCGCCAACCGCGGATGGCATCTCAACGGCATGATCTGCCCCATTTGGACAAAGGAGACCAACGACCAGGAATGTCGCCAGTGGGCGCGCGACCTCACGGCGCTGTTCAAGGCCGAGCTGGAGCGGCAGGCTAATGTCGAGACGGGGAAGGGCGTCGAGGGCGGTGTCGGTCTCAAGGGTAATAAAGGCGCTACTATGCTTTATGGGAACTATGACCGTGAGTTAAATATTTTTCCCCCTCCTCTTTCTTCCCTTTGTCTTCCAGCACTTCGTCTGCCCCTGACTGGCTGTTGCCCTCCTGTTCCCTCCTCCTCGTACACCCCCCTTTTTTTTAAACCCCTTTCTACCCATTTTGTGAAAAGTGACGACTCGGGGCTAAAAAAACTTGCCGGGTCAGAATACGACGAGAAATCCCGCGACATCTTCGGCGAGAACTACCCGCGCCTGCAGAAGCTCAAGGCCCAGTACGACCCGGCAAACATGTTCAACAAGCTCTTTGCCGTCACGCCGCAGTCGTAGCTGACTTTATTCGTATACCAATCTATACAATATACTGTGTTTCGCCTCGCTCAAGAGGATGGCATATATATTTAGACGATCAGCAGGGGTTGAGTTAGAATGTCTGGCTTCAGTGACTATATATCAAAGCTGGACAGCGTCTTGTTGGGCTGGATGACACTTACCAGAGGACTCACGAGTTTTGGTGGTCTCGTTTGGCTCAAACTAAACACTAACAGCGAATCACTGCTTCTGATCTGCTCGATTTAGTTTGAGATTATATCGATTCATTCTGCCTTATTCACACTTTCTATCAATTACCTCTTTTGCTGAGAGATCCTGGCCTTACTTAGACGGGCCCATTGTCTTCTGATCTCAGTGCTTGATTACAATCTTGCCACCCGCATCATGGCTTTCCAACAACGCATGCGCCTTCTGGATATCCTGGTACTCGAACACGTACGTCGGCTTTGCGTCCCACTCGCCGCTCTCGATCTTCTCTACAATCTCCTGCAGGGGGATCTTCTCCAGCGGGAAATCCTCCGTGCCGAGCACTTTACTGTGGAACAGGCTGAAGTGCACGCCGGGGTCCATCTCGATCATCGGGTTGAAGTCCTTGACGGGAGCTAGGCCGCCCAGCCACCCGGCCTGGAGCATGCGGCCGCCGGGGCGAGTGAGGTGGATGGAGTCGAGCAGGGCGATGTTGCCGATCAGATTGAGCGTCTTGTCGAATTTGTGGTCGGGCACGAATTGCGGGCTGAGTGGGGTTTCCTCGAAGATTGCGTCTTCCACGCCCATCTTCTTCAGCATGTCGAACCGTTCCCGACGTCGAGTGGTTGCTGTGACTCTGGCCCCTGCGTTGACGGCAAGATGCACGGCCGCTTGACCGATTGTGCTTGTCGCGCCGCGGATCAGGATCCTCTCTCCCTTGTGCAAGTCCAGGACGGTGAAGAGGCACGAATATGCAGTGGAATACACCTCGGGCAGGGCTGCGAGTTGTTCCCAAGGTAGATTGGTGTTGATTCTCACCACATTCGCGATGGGGACGTTGACAAATTCTCCGTATCCGCCCGGTCGGTTTCGACCCATCCCGCCCATCACCCCGATCACTTTGTCGCCTTTCTGGAACTTGCCCGAGGGATCGGCCTCGACAACGCCTACGCATTCGAGGCCGGAGATGGGGTTCCATTCGTCCCATTCACCCTTGCGCATGTGCATTTCCGCATGGTTTAAGCCGAATGCTTTCACGTGGATGAGCACTTCGCCTGATGTTGGGGTGGGTTTTGGGACGGTCTTGTGTTGTAGGACTTCTGGCCCTCCGAAGGCGGTGATGACGATGGCTTGCATTGTTTCCTGGGTAGACATGGCTCTGAGGTGGATGATAGTCGTAACTCAAGGTGATAGATTTGTGGGTGTTTGGTGTTATGCTAGTATTAGTGCCTGATGTAAAGAGCTCGAACTTGTTCTTGTGGTAGATAGATGATCTGGTAGTTACTTGCGCTGTCTTTTGTTCTGATGAAGGGACGGGTCACGGATTTATATCTTCATTTCAAACTCACAAACCATATTCTGCCTACATCATTGTTCTTGAACATACTGCTCTTGACATCGCAAGGCTCGCGGCCATTACGAACATAAATGCACAAGCAGGGATGAGATGTTGCCAGTTTCGGAACAAGCGCATTGCAATGGGTAGTGAAATAAAGGGCAGCGGCTAGTGTCCGACGCAATTACGAGTCCGTTGGGCTCGTTCGAACACCCAGGACACGCCGGGAAGCTGTGGGTTGCTGGAGTAAGAAGATGCTCCATCAGCAAGGCTGCCCTTCGCAGAGAGGGGATTGACGCAACCATTTGGCATGATTGGGGGGGAAGATTCTGTACCTGACGAGCTGTGGGTGAGCTGAGTTGAGAGAAAAGCTGACAAAGGCTGCATCTACGAGGAAACCTTGTGCTCGTGATTGCTGCTTTATGGTGACGTAGTGAGCGCTCGCTCAACTCGACCCAATCCAGTAGCCTGCCCGCCCGTCGCGACATGTGACCATCAAAAGCGGCAACCTGCGCGGTTTTTGGATACACGCTGTTTGAACGTCTTGCCTGCGCTGCCCTTGTAGTGACAGATAGAGAACATACCTACTGGCCATACCTGGCAGTCAGTCTCATCTCTTCCTCCATCCTCTGCTACTCTGTATGCTTCCGATGACCCACGGAAGAATGCCTCTTCAGGCATGCCTACACGCCTAGCTCGCGCGGGATCCCCACCCGTCTCTCGCTAGTTCTAGGGTCCAAAATGCCCACTCACCCCACGGTGCACAGCTCTCAGCACCCTTCGATGAATCAACTTCGCAGTATTCGGACGCTTTGCATGGGCAGAAAGCTCACCGAAGGGATATTCGACGCCAGGAAGCAGCATCGCTACACCTTGCTGTGATCGGTGGCTGGCGCACGAGGTCGAAACGCTCCCTCAAAAATGGCGGAATCCCCGGCTATCCCAGCCGACCGCCTGGCTAGTCGAGACGCGCCGCCGGCGGTGGCTATTGCGCGATTGCGGAGCTGTGGCAGATAACGGTACCTATATTTCAACACCCTCGTCGCTTTAGGGGGCTTATACAAGGTACCGCCCTCCCTGCCACCCTTTAGGGACTGGTTGATCACCTGGGAATATGTCCCAAACTTCCCGAGCATGATGAATGTCTCACTTCGGCATGTTGGCACATGACCGCTGGGGGCGATGCTATCAAGCCACGGCCGGGGTATGGCCTGTCCGCGAAGGCTCCAGGCACCGAACAACAACACCAAATGCCTAGAGTACTCAAAATTTGCGCGGGATGGCGTTCGAAATGCAATCAGAGACTCGAAATACGCGCTCGAGCTCAAGCAGACATCTCTTCCCCCGACCCCAGTCGGGTTGAAGCGCCACATACTGTGTCGCTTCCCCTCTGGTATGAGTGACTTGAATGGACTAAAATTAGCTGGACCTGCGGTCCTACGATAGAGCTGTACAAGGTAACATTCAACCTTGCAAGGCAGACTCGAGGGTGGTGGTATCTCTACCAGCCTCCTCTGCAAAAGTACAAAGAGGAGAGCGAAGGTCAGTCCCACCAGATGCTGCTCTCGTCTGTGCTGCTTACATTGTGTCAAACATGGCATCTACACCTGATAGACGCATTCTAACGCCTCGCAGTCGAAAGCCTGCCTTTCGGCGGACTCCTGCATCTACAAATACTCATGCATTCGCTTCACAGGTTTTCCTTGACGATGTGTCGAACACTTCCCCTCCAGCTACGCCTGAGCTAGACTGGTCTGAGACGCCGCCAGCGACCGAAGACCCTCCGACCCCAGAAGACGACTTCGATCCCGACGACGTTGTACCCTTGCCGGATTCTCCTCTCACGGCTGGCAAGACCGCCCTCGAGCAACCCGTTGTCCCTCTGCATAATTTTTCTCAGCTCGATGTAGATGTGCCGGTGCAACTACTGTCACAGCTATCCAGTGAGACAGATCCAAAGAAACGACTCTTCCAGAATGTAGCCTCCGAGGTGACTTTGAACGCCTCCTCTCGACTGAACCCGCCTCCTTCTACTGATAATCAACCTGAACCTCCTCAGACCTTTGTCAAGGTCGAAGCAAAGGAATCATGGCTGTATGGAACAGTACCGCAACAAGTCGATGCCAGCCACTCCAGGACTGGATACCACAATGATGCCATTGCAGCATACACTACTGCAGGCGACGTCTCTACCTTTGCGTCTGGCATCAACCAAGGAGATCGTTCGGTTGTATCTGAAGACGTTACCGCCACTGAAACTCAGACTCGTACCAACACGGCTACGTCGGCAGCCAAACCTTCTCAGCGCTCTGTCAAGAAGAAGCCCTTAACACTCTCTTTCGCATGGTCGTTGAACACGAAGCTGTCTACCATTTTACCTCTTGAAGCAGTTGAAAGATTCAACGACAGTCCTCTACAGTGCATCGCAACAACCAAGGAGGGTGTCAGATGCAAAAGATCGGTTGCGAAGACAGCGAATAAGTCCTTTGTGAAAGAATTGTCTAAGGCACTCTCGTCATTGGAGGGCCCGCTCGATTTTGGAGCCTTTGCACAGCATTTGGGGCCACTAATTGAAAGTGTAACATGCACACGGTCGCATCGAGAACCGGTTCGCAAGTGTTTGGAAGAGTTATGCTCGTACTCCTGGCGACCATGCAAGATCGCCACTACAAAACCACACCAACGCCAGGCCATTGTAGACATGGTTGAGAGCATATTCGAGCTCTGGGTCTCAGCTTTATCGTTTACTCCGAGAAAGACTCAGGCTGTGGCTGTGTCGACAAAACGAGACGATGACAATGTGCGAGACACACTCTGCTCTGCCTCCGAACTCTCTGCAGCGGTAACTGAACGGAGTCCTGCACCATTTCGCAATGACAGTTCGAAAGTAATCGAGACGTCAAGCGCGAGGAGTTTCCGTGCCACCGATAAGAATACCACTATAACATCAGGAACTATAGTAAGGGTACAGCAAGTGACCGATTCGGCGCCGGTCCGTTTGTCGACTCACCTGAACCATCAATTGGTGAAGTTTCCTTACTCTAAGGAAAAAAGGAACGCCACGCCCCAGGACTTGATCAGGCAGATCCTGCTGAAAGTTCTGACACCGGCCGACATGTGGCGTGCTGGATACATATACGTCTTCTGGCATCCGGGCAGTCTGGGTTATGTCAAGATCGGTTATGCTACTGACGTGGAGAAGAGACTTCAAGCTTGGCGGAGGCAATGTAAATTCGACCTCGAGCAGCACAAGAGTCAAGAATCGAAGGCCATCGCGCGGGTACTCCATTTACATCGAGTCGAGTCGCTGATTCACGCCGAACTCAAGGACTACCGAATGTTTGAGCCGTCGTGCACTGGGTGTGGGAAAAGTCATCGAGAGTGGTTCGAGGTCGACCCGAGCTACGCTTTGAAAGTAGTGGCCAAATGGACCAGTAGGTCCTTCTACTCCGGGGGGCTTTTGGACTCGAGTATCAGCGACGAGGAGATTGACAAGTTGTGCGAACTGACCAAAGCCGAAACATACCTTCCACGGCCACTGCCACGGCCCAGAAAGGTTCCTGCGAGCTTCCGCCGAAGCATTCGTGGTCGCCATCGTGGTGTAAAGTAGTGGTTTGAATACGAGGTTTTGCTCTTTTAGCGTGATCGTTGCTGGGCATGGAAACATGGGATAATGATCGCCGAGAATGTTAATCGATCAGCCAGCCAGCAGTGTAGCCACTAATATAGTCTGTGAGAATATATTCCCTTTCGTCGCGGATCCAGACACGTTATATACGCTATATCCGTACGAGTAATACAAAGAATGGCGGACATAGCGGAGTTGAAGCTGAACATTGACTGAATCGCCGGTCTCGACCCGGGTTCTGGTGTGTGTTTAGGGTTCTTTCCAAGAAAGCCAAATATGGCCCGAGGGTAAAGAGATGAGGAGTGGGAGATAAAGAAGTGGTAGTCCGGAATACTATATTCACATCTGTAAGCACAGTATCGACGTTGAAGCCTCAAGGGGAACCATCAGTACTTAATCAATAATCCCAAGCACGATATCAGAAAATAGCGAAGAAAGACCAGTCCCCACACCCGCCCGATATCACCAGAGTTACATTCTTTCGAAAACATGTCTCTCGACACCCAGACTCAACCTCCATCTCACCCCTCATCAGCATCCCAACCCCAACCTACAAGTAAAAAGCAACTCACCCTCTTCGTCGACTTCCACATCCACCCCTCCCGCATCGACGCCTTCAAAGCCGCCCACCGGCCCGTGTGGGCCGCCTGCGCCGCGGAGCCCGAGTGTCTGCTGTTCGACGTGTTCCACTCCGCGGACGACCCCACACATTTCCGCTTCGTCGAGGTGTGGGCCGCGGACCGGGAGTGGTTCGAGACAAAGCAGCTCACGAAACCGTACTACGCGAGCTTGTGGGAGCGCAGTCGGCCGACGTGGCTGCGCGAGGTGGAGATTCAGTACTTTGAGAGGGAGGGGGAGGGGTGTTGTTTTCGGGAAGGGTATTTGGCCGGGGGGAGGAGGATGGGGTAGATAGAGAGATGGGTAGGATAGGGAGGTTTTGGAACGAAAGGGGGAAAGGTCGGAAAGGAAAAAAGGGGAGAGACAGAGGAGATCTATATCTGTATATGCCTACATTTATACCTCGCATGCTTCGTCCTTTCGATCGCCGCGAGGTTATGTGGAGTCGGGGCTGTCTTTTCAGTTCAGGCGAGCATAGATTCGCCTCCGACACCAAGGAGCAGTCGCAATGTGGGCTGATAGTACTGTGCTGGTTCCCCTTGGTCCATAGATATAGTCCAACACCCCTCTAAACCACGTCATGTCGAGCACCAGGGGTCGTACAGGCATTTCCGAGTGTGGTATTTGGGGACTTGTCTACCTTCCTTCCACACATGTACAAAAAACCTGTCGATAGGAAAGGGGCCATCTTTCAGGTCATATATCCCATCAAAAATCTACCAGAAGCCCTCGTCAAAAAGTCGCCGTCGCTCATGATGCATAAAACCTCGGATAGCTAATGGAGCCCTTCACTCAGTCCAGCATATCAAACATCCGCTCCTGCTGCCGATCGCACCCTCTGATGCACCTTCTATACAGTCAACCTCGACCAAAACCCGGCGCCAACGTCCAGTGGAAGTCTATGGAAAGATACCTTTCATCGATTTGTGTTGAAAAACCAGCTGCTCCGTTTGTTTCCTTCAGACCCGGCCAAGTTCGAGATGATCGGTAAGCTGGGCGCGCCATTGGCTCCGTCAAGATTGGATGGTGCACCACCGCCTCCGCGGAGAGGTTTGGCTATCCTTGCGCCGGCGTTCATCAGGCTGTTGAATCCACCCGTCGCACCGGCTCCACCAGTTGCCATGTTTCTTGATGATATCTTTGCCGCTTCGAGACGTTCCTTGACTGCAGCAAGTTGTGCTTCGAACCTGTGAAAGGCTGTTAGTTTCCAAGTCTTGTGCCAGGATAGTGACAGCTACATACCTGTGGTTAGCTGCTGTCAATTTGTCTTGGCTTTCCGCCAGCAGACTCTCCAGACTCAGGATCCGTTCATTTCGGGCAATCAGTTTTCGCTCCGCAATCGCGACTTCCTTCTTCAGGCTCGTGTTCTGGTCGACAAGCTGTCTCTGGACCACTGTGAGTTGCTCCAGGTTGCGCTCCAAAAACGCCATCTTCTTCTGTTGTTGGCGGTTGTTACTCGATCGGAGCACGTTGTTGTACTGCTCTCGCGTCTCATCGAGCGAAATCTCCAACTCCACCACCCGCTCGCACCGATTCTGCAGGTCACGCATCAGGTTCTTCTTCATCGACTCGAAGTCGGCAATTTGTTGTTGCAAAGTCTTGCTTGTGACACCGTTGGACACACCAGCGCCATTGGCAGTACCCCTGGACTGGAGATCTGTGATGGTCTTCTGTAACCGCTCGATTTCTTGCGACTTGTGCGTGAGCTGATCTCGTAGGTCGTGGACAAGTTCGCTCTGCGTATCCTGTCGGTCTGAGAATAATTGCTCGAGTCGTCCTTTGACATCTTCCATATCCTCAGGGCCCAGATTTCGAGTCAACAGGCCTTCGTAATCCTGTTGCACCGCGGCCAGTTTCTCTTCCAGCGCGATTGTTCGGTCCTCGTGTTCGTCCTCGGCCCGGTCATTGAGAGATTTCTCTGCCTGTCGCACGAGCGTCTGCGATTCCAACAATTTTGAGCGAAGATCTTCCAAAACATGGCTTGGTACAGCTTCGCCATTGAGGCTTGCGGCGTGCAAAGCGTCCACTTGATCTAGCATCTCTCGCATGCGATCTTCATTGTCGGAGAATGCACTGTCGCCGAGGTCAAAGCCCGCCATCATCTTTGCCATCTTCTCTTTCTTCTTGCGGTCCTTTTCGTCCAAAGCCGCCGTGGTCTCTTTGGCGCTCATCTTGAGTTCGAGCAACTGCTGTTTGACGGAAATCAGCTCCGCCTCTAGTTCCGAGTTGGCGTCTTTCAAGCCCTCCATTGTAATTGCATCTTCCTTGCTCTGGTACGACAGCTTCTGCAACTCCAATTGTGTCTTGTTTAGTTTATCCGCCATGCTCTCGTTCTCCTTGGCCGTCCGCATGGCCCCTTCCTTGTACGATTTGAGTTCCTCTCGAGCTTCTTGAAGGCTTCGCTCCGCGTTGGCTGCCTGTGTCTCCTTCTCGGTAAGCTGATCTTGAAGTTCATTCTCTCGTCGCAAGAATTCCTCTCGCTCATCTTTCTCGAGTATAATACTGGGCGTGCTTGATCTTTCGCCAGTCCGGGAGTCGGGTCTACTAGGGGTATCTGATCTGAGAAGTTCTGAAGGTGCTCTTGAAGGGGTGTCTGGTCGTGCCTTGGCGTCCGACTTCTGCCCAGTGCCACCCAACGGAGGCACCCATTTTTCTTTCGGAACCGTCTCGCCCTTCCGCCATTGCTGTAACTCCGAATCCAACGAGGCAATATACTTTTCGAAGGTCATGGTCTGGTTCTGAGCGAGCTTGAGTTGGCGCTTGAGCTCTGCCGGACTCAATTCGGCGTTGATCTTGGCCTTGTTCTTGATTGTCTTTGCTCTCATACCAAATCGCAGGGTGCTGACGGTTTCGGCATCATTGTAACTGCTGGGGGAACAATTGATAATCAGGGTTGTTCTTGAATTACCGCCCAAACTTTCTTGCAGAATTCTGGTCAACTTGGAGTCTCGATAGGGGACGTGTGTTGATTTGCCGTCCGTCAGGGCATTGATGACCATTCCCAGCGCACTTAAGCTCTTGTTGATCTTCTTTGCTTCTTCCAGCGTTTGTCCACTTGCGCCCGTCTTGCCGACCTTTTCTGACCCTGCCAAGTCCACAAGATATAGCATACCACTCTTTTGCGACCCGGTGTTGACATCTTTCTGATTTATGGTGACCAAGAATATCGAATGTGAGCGCGACGATTCCAAATTCATGTTGGTGGACGCGGTGACTCTTGACCTCTGCCCGAGATGCATAGCTGTATAGACTTCCTCCACCGTGTTGACATAAATCTCACGCAACCCTTTCACATATGGTCCCCTTGGGCCTTCGTTGATGGGAAGATTGTCCATGACCGGGTTCAGTAAATCGCGTATCCGTTCCATGTAAATTTCCAAGTAGGATATGCCGACGGTATATTCAATTTGCGCTGAGCCGTGAACGAGGATAGAATCGAAGATCTGTTCGGTGATGCGAGGAATGATACCCTTCTTGTCCGAATCGTCCATGTCTCCCATCATTGTATAAGACTTTCCAGCACCCGTCTGGCCGTAGGCGAAGACGGTGCCATTGTAGCCATTCATGACATCTTCCACGGTAGATCTTATGGAGAAATCGAAAATGTCGGCTTGTTGGGAGGACATGTCAAAGACTCGATCGAAGGTAAAAGGCGCATTGGTCTCGGAGGACTGCAAATGTATGAGTTGGAGTGTTTCGTGCGATACGGTCGGGGCATCGAGGAGCACATTACCTGAAGCTGGACCGTGTCCTCGCCTGCGAACTGGACAATAGGCTGGCCTCCATTTGCGATCTCGACTTTGTTCTGAGGACGGAAACGGGCAACAACTGATGGAGGTAGTTAGCGACAGGGTGAAGTGAACGCTGGCCTGGGGAGATCTCAAACCTTTGATGTTGTTCCCGCCTCCGCTACTCCCTGCGGCAGACCTAAAATTCGTGGTCAGCCTCGACATGCTCAGAAGGCACGGGTTGCAATAGCATACGCCATGGTTTATTCAAGACTCGACGTTGTCAATCGGGCCAGGCGGAAAGCATCAGTTCTGCAAAGCGTTGGCCCGACTGCGCGGGTCAAGGTGGTAAACACGGCGATTTCAGGGTCGCAGAGCGCCAATGTTGACGGACCTGCCGCGACTGGGAGATTGAGAGTCAGAGGAAGAAATGGAGAAAATATCAGAGCGCGGTCCGAGTACAGTATCGACAGTGAGTGACCCTGAGATGGTATTCACGAGATTTCCGCGTTGGTTGGCGACACAGCATGAGTTGGGTGTCGGCAGCGTGCAGTGTGCAGTGTGCAGTGTCAGGCATTACACGCGCGGTGCAGATGCAAAGTGCCAGGCGTGCCTGCAGCAACAAGCCAACAGCCTGTTTTCTCGGCTTTGCCAGGGTTGACGCGCCAGCCTTGGAGTTGGACCCTGACGACGCTTGGCCCCCGAAACTTGCAGCTAGTGCACCTATGCTCCTCCCCTGTCACCTCTGGCATGGTCCCGCGCCCGTACCCGCACCCGTACCATCACCCGACGACAACCGTGGGCTTCCCTACGGGTACAGGCATAATAGGGGATTTTTCCGAGTCAATTGCAGCCTCGAGTACCGAGAAGTCCAGTTTAGTAATAAATGTCGAGTTGCATATACCTAGGTAATACTCTGCGGCATCTCGTGGGACGATAGATGTTACCGCAGGTACAAGGTGAGGCACATATACATATAGGGGCTGTCCGAGCAGTATATCAACGACCCTGAGACTCTCTCTCAACTCTATACACTTATATACCTTCTATTTGATACCAAGCAGTGAAACCCTCTATAAATCCAACACCCTCTCAATCAACCATGGCAGCAGCAAAGACACAGTCCCTCTATTCTTCACTCCAACTCACCCACAATGTTACCAAGACGTCTTCTGGCTCAGAGGTCCATAGCTACAGTTCTGACCTGGGCCCGGACTCTCCTATCCTGACTCTAATCCATGGCTATCCTCAGTCTGCTTATGAGTGAGCACGTCTCTTTGTCCCTCGCGACCGTTTCATTGAGTGCTGACTGTTGACATTACATTTCAGATGGCGTCATGTCCGTTTTCCCTCTCTTCCCCTCACCCGCCACAGCCTTGCCCACATAATGCGATATATGGCCTTCCCAAGCATACCCTTGATCTCGAATACCAATATCGTGTCCGTTAACTGATTCAAAACAGGTCGTCCCTCTTCTCCGAGGCAAGGTCTCCTTGTTCGTGCCTGAACTTCCAGGGTATGGCGTCTCAACGCCGATCCGCGACCCGGCGTCCAACACCAAGCGCGCCGTTGGCACCGCGTTACTGGAAGCCGTCGCCGACGTTTTCAAGACCAAATCGGCCTCTTCTCCCAGAACGGTCATCCTAGGCGGCCACGATCGCGGAGCGCGAATTTGTCACCGCCTCTCAGTCGACTTTTCCCACCCACCGCCCCACCAGCTCTCACCCGGATCCCTCTACAAAGACTTGAATGTGACAGTCCCGGGAACAATCCTTCTCGACATCATTCCGACCAAGGAACAGTGGACTGCCTTTTCCGACCCGGCAATATCCCAGGGATACTTTCACTGGCCACTCCTGGCAAATGCGGACCTGGCGACCGAGATGATCTCCGCGTTCGGTGGCGCCAACTGGGCCAAGGGAGCACACACACGCATCTCCGGCCCGAACCCGAAAGCACTCGAAAGAATCAAGTCCCATGACGCCCTCGACGTTTACGCGGCTCTATTCAGTGACAGAGAGACCATCTACTATACCTGTCTGGACTACGCCGCCGGCGCCGCCCCGGAGGCAACGGAGCAAGACGAGGACCAGAAGGCCGGCAGGAAAGTCGGCGTGCCCCTGCTCGTCATGTTCAGTAAAGCTAAATTAGGAGCGCGGATTGACGTCGAGAGCCTGTGGAAAGGCTGGGTCGCGGAAGGAGTCGACTATGAAGGATACGGCGTGGGAGACGGTTGTGGCCACTATTTACCCGAGGAGGCCTTCGACGTTGTAGCTGAGAAGATCTCGGCTTTTATTAAAAAGGTGACATGATCACATACGTGATGAGGATAGGTTATCCAGGACCATGTTCCGGAGGATTTGAGTTCCATTGTAAAGTGAGGGAGACTGACGAGCATCGGGGCTAATGAGGGAGATGTATTATGATACCACGCTAAAAGATTCTCATCGTGTCTTGGTGTCATTATCATATTACATTATCTGTTTGCTGATATCCTGTAAAGGCTGTCGAAGAGCGTCCTACCGCTTCCTGTCCTGCTCGTTGTCGGGGAGCTGCCCTTCTCAAGGGGATCGCTCAACGGCTGTCCATCGTCTTTTCCCGGGACTCCTCTCCCTTCTGATCGAAGACTCGCCACCCCAAAGCCCTGCTTGACTCGCACTACGAACAGGCAAAAGGGGCGAGACTGATTTCTCGTCGCTGTTCTTCACCTGGGCGTTCGTTCCACTGCCACTGCCAGAACCACTCCCGCTGCCAGAACCACTCCCGCTCCAGAGCGGGAACTCCTCTTGGATACTTTCTGATCGGCCCACGCTTACCGAACTTGGCGTTGCGAAAGCATCACTCGACGACTCGGTCGTCTCGTCGCGGGAGTACCGACTTCCTCGCCGCCAGAGTCCTGTAGGAGGCCCAGAGGAATCCGTCGCGTCTGCAGCATGGGATCGCTGACTTATGCTCCTGCCGGGCATCATCGATGCAGAGCCGCGCGGTACTATGGACTCTCCTAGGCTGAAACCTTCCGGGGAATCGGCTCCTACCGCCCGACGACTGGCAAATGCTGGCGATTTTCCGAGTCGAGGCGAGTTCAAACCCAGTGGGTTGGACGCGCCACGGAGATGTTCGGTAGAGGCTATGATTTTCATATCGTAATCCTCCGATATTGCCAAATCCAGAGATCCTCTTCTGCGTGTCGGGGACGATGGCTCTGGGGGAGCCTGCTGTGCCTCCTTCCTCACAGCCATAGACAAGGAAGACAGGCCCACATCACGCAAGGCTGGTGCAGCTGTCAGCAATCTGATCAGAGCATTACAGCCAGCCTGGTGGGTAACCAGGATAACCACGAGATCTTCGTCGTCATCCTGCTGGTCGCTATTCTCTGTATCCGCGCCAGCTGGATTCTCATAGAACGCGATCATCTTCTGCAGACCATTGCGAAACCTTCGGTGCATTTTGCCCCAATCCTCGTCAAAAGGACCACCATCACCCCAGTCAAGTGGTTCATTTTGGCTGTCCCACTGCTGGTCAACCTCGACACATGCATCTCGCGCATGGGCCACAAACCCCGGTGGGATTTTGTCCGAGGACCCAATTGCATAGTTCGGTATGGGTGGGCTGTAGCCCATAGTTCCCTGAAGAGCTCTGTTCAGTATTCGAGCACCATTTGCCAACTCGGTCCCAAATGAGATATTGCGTGGTCGCTTCGGGAGAGAATGACCAACGGCTGCCATGGCCCGTAAGCCAGTCTTTTCATGGACGGGCATGGACGTGCTTTCGGATTCTCCCTCTTCCGTGTCAATTGGTGGTAGGTTGAAGGCCGGGGAGCCCGAGAGATCGGCCCCTTTGATCTCTTCTTGTGGCTTCTGCAAGCTCATTTTGGCTTGTGAGACAAGAACGGCGGAAGGGGGAGGAGCAGAGCCATCGTCAAAATAGCTAGAGGTTTGCCACTCCCCAAGAAATGCATCAATGCGCAGCTTGCAGGTATTGTAACCAAGACGATTTGTGTGCTCTTTGTCTTTGCTTGGCACACGCTGGAGAAGCGTTTGATCACCATCACCCGAGTCCAAGGGCGCACCCTGCGCCTCATCCATAGGCGAGATATTAGAGCGGGCCGAGATTTGGCGCGATCTCAAGCGTTGTCGGGAGTGGTTTTGAGGATGTTGCATGCCAGCGGCAATGGCAATGGAAGACTGGACGCATCGCAGGTATGGTGAACTGTGGATAATGATCTTCCGCCTCTTGCGAGGCTGGGTCTCTCGCACTCCATCTTCCTTGCCATCGCTTTGGGGCTTGGGCTGTCTGTCGAGATTGTGCAGTTCATTGTTGATCCTCAGGCCCAAAGACTGGCATTGAATCCAACCGCCATAGGACAGAGGAGGGTCATAGGGGGCTTCGGCAGTGGCTGCCCAATTCCTATCTGCCTGATCAAGGCGGGCACCATGACTATTGAAACCGAATTAGCAGCGATGGTCGAATGTTGAGACAGACATGGGCAATGTGGCCATACCGGACGACGAGGATTGCAGCTGGCTGTTTTCCCATGGTGGAAATCGAACGGTTCCAACGCAAACGGGTACTGTTCCTATATCGCAATTTGGACGTACGAGGAAGGGAAATACGTCAATATTGCAAAATTGCGGGGGTAGCGGTGGCAGCAAAAAGGGATCGGTTCCCGACAGCCTAGGAAACTGAAGTGAAAATCCAGAGGGTATGGTGTGTCACCGCAAGCGTAGGCGTGACATTTTGAAGGAGGGTGCGAATGTACCACGTTGCTGGTACAGTATATAGAGGTGCAGGCAGCGAGGACACAAAAGTGGCGAGAAAGTAGGATTCAATTACTCTGCTGTGTTTTTCCTGCGCAGCTGCAGCGACGGTGATGGGTCGCAGTGGGAATTATTTTGGGTGCGCAGGTGCGTAGGTGCGTAGGTGCGGTGTGAATCCTCGGTGAATCCGGTTTGTGAGATCAACTCCCCCATCCACTCATCGGTCCGCCTTCTTCTTTGGCCGTGACAAACACTCAGACTCGGCGAGTTGGGTCAATGGCGGAATTTGTTCCAGGTACGATTTTCGACTTTGAAGGAAAGGACCAGGGATGAGAAGAGTCAAGGGTGCAGGTGTCGGGTCTTGCAACAACAGGTACGAGGTATGCTTGTCCATTCCACCAACAACTACTCGGTACACCTCACCATCATCACCGTACTACCGTTTGAAGATGCTCTTCGGCTTGTCACCGTCGTCTCACGTGTCTGCCTCCGCTCCCTTCCTTCTCGACGCGATAACAAGGAAGTCCACGAGCCTCGGCAGACCACCAGGTATCTGCTTGGTATCCTCATCCGTTTCATGATTGAACACAAGCGGCACATGGCTATCAGCGAAACTCCTCGTCTCGGACCGACATCCCGCGTATCTCTTGATCAATCTCGTTTCAAAATTGAAATCCAAGAAAAGAGACTACGAACACGAGCACAGTCAGGCTTATGCTGCGGAATGCCTAAGCCGGGAGACGCTAACCAGCGGCCACGAGTTGCATTTCATCTCGCTCCAAAAGCCATCTTTCGCCTGATCAGCACGGGCATTTCCCTCCAACATGGAATTTGGACAGGTGCGGTGAGCGCATTTGGTCAGGGGAGAGTATCAAAGAGCAGGATGGCGGAGAAAACAGAGCCGATGGGCGTTTCTAAAAAGCAGGTGAGGAAACAAGCGTGTCTTTTCGGATAGCCAGACGCGGCTACTCGTAGAAACAGCCCATCCACCCTCCTTGTGGCTCGTTTCAAGTTGGTGGAGCAGCCATTGCAGCACAACCCTTGGAGTCGCCTGAATGGATGAAGCCACACCATCACCCGCAATTCTTTCGAGCACACCCCTGGCAGTTTTTAGCGACGAGGGATCTGCCGCGCCCGTGCTCACGGTCGACGCCTCAAGCGCGTCTTGTTCAGCTACCGTAGACGGGCATGTGAGTGCTGCGTGTGGCCAGCCATTTGGGTCGAACCAAAGCAGCACCAATCATGGTTGGACTTCCGGTCCTTTCGAACTTCTTGCGGATGGCTGCCCGAAAATACGAAGTAAGGGGGAGGCCGCAGTACGTACAAGATGCAGAGTCCGGTTGCCAATTCGTCGGCATCGGCCTGCCACCCTTCCCTTGGTCTTGCTGCCTTCTGAGGTGTCCGTTTCGAAGTGCTGGCTACTATCCACCGACTCTCCACATTGGTCCATCTTTAGGCATCCGACCATGCCGATGGTGTCGTCTTGTTCCTGACGATCTGGAGCCAGGATGAGGGGTGGCGTGGCCAGGAGTTCGTGGCTGGGTCCAATCCCATCTCCAGCTTCCCTCGTGCCCCTGGCATGGCGCAGGCATCCTGCCTTGTTCTTGCTGGCAATGGCTGGAGGTGACCCCCTTAGTGGCTATTTCGCAAAGGTCAGTCGATCCCGTCGCTTTTTGCTCTTTCGTGCGTTTCAAACTCCTCATTCATCGTTTTGCTTTGTTCCCGTTCATCGAAGATGGACATGTTCCTTCTTTTGACCGGCTATCTGCATCGTCATCATCCGCACTTTCAATCCACTCGGTGGTGGAGGCGGATTGTGTGTCTGATGGTCGAGATTTTCGTCCCGCTCTTGCTCTCGCTCTCGCTCTCGTTCGCTTCTTCTCCGTTCCTGCATCATGTGGCTCATTCTCAAATTGATCTGTCCAGATTGGCAAATCCGCCATCGACAATGACGCTATGTTCCTTTCATTTGCATCAAGGCCCTGGCCCCCATGGTTTATGGCATGGTCCAAGCATTAGGGCTGGCAGTCGCGAGCTAGGCCCCTCGTAATGATTTCAATCCACCCAAGGCCGTTAGAACTACTTCGGCCATCCTGTCAGAAGCGGGAAGCCTGGAAAGAGGCCAAAGGCAAACTTCTGGATCCTTTATCCACCTCCGCTCCCATTGAACGATCTCCAGAGCAAGGGGAGTCGTCAACTATCATTATTGGTCCAGGCATCTTCCCTGCACATGCATACACTTTTTGCTGCTTCTCCTCTCTCATCACCCGGAACCTTACCATCTACTTCTTCAGTACTGCACTCTGTACAGTTCGTTACTTTGACCTGCTGGTTCTTGTTATCCTTCACCTTCTCCGCTTCAGCCGGAGTTCTCTTCACCCCGACATTTCTTGTTCTCGTTCTTGTCCCTCTGTGATTCACCATTCTCCCTGTCCTGTTGAAGGGTTTGCGATCCTATAACTCTCCTGTCACATTCCAAATTCTTTTCTCTGACAGGCGTATCCTTGGTCATCACGGCAACAATCCGCAAATAGCCTTGAAGACTGTCTTACACCGATACCGGCAGATTTGGCTTCAACTCTCCTCACTCTTCAGACGTCTCGAAGGTCCTTTGAGCGCCGTGTCAACTTTCTGCCCAGCTAAACCTCAGACATCTCGACATTCTTCTGAGTTAATCCTGTTACCAGATGTCAACGTATCAGTCACCAAGTATATTACCTCACTTCTAACCCTGTCGCCGAGAGCGCTCACTCTCCATTGAGTGGTCTACTACACCTTCAACGTGACCCGATGTTCCCTGTCCCTGTTGCGGCACGTCATCTTTCTTCATGAAGACTCTTCTCAATGATACTGGTTTGCCTCTTTGGGTGTACATCGTCATAATTGCTGTTGGTTCGACGCTCCTCTTGGTCACCACTGCCGTTGCATTACGATGTTGGTTTCTGCGTCGAAGGGCCAAACAACGGAGAGAGATGGACAACCTCACCGGGCCTCTTCGCCGTGTCACCTTGAGACGAGGGCGCATTGTCCCAACTTCACAGCACCTGTCCTTGACGGGCTCCAAATTCGGCATGAGGCAGTTTGGGATGCTGGCAGATAACGAATCGGCCATGACGGGTAGAAAAAGTCCTTTCGAATGGTGGAGCACTATTATGGACAGGTCACAGTCCCGACAGGATCAGATGTCTCAGATGGAGACTGCTTCGATAAATACTCGACCTGCGTCTAGGGCCACCACCATCACAGGCAGAAGGGAATTGTTCAATGCTACTCCCGTCCAGACCCCCGAAAAGGCCAAAGAGGCACCCACGACAAGAACATGGGAAATAACAATTCCTTCACCAACACCATCGCCATCACCATTGGGACCGAACAGGAACACCAACTTTTCCAGATCGTTCAGCAACCGCGGTGCTTCTTCGCCCGTCACGCAAAGATCCCAGGCTACCCTTTCTCGAATATCGGAACGTTCGCCTCATCAGTCTATGATCAGTGCAGCAAATGGGCCGATGATATCGCCATCAACTCGCTCTTCTTACCATTCCGCAATAAACCCTCTCGATAGCACGCCTCTGGCAGGACAGTCACCACGGCTCGATCCGGCCACTCCACGGGAGCAAGTGTCCCTTACAGTCCCAGTTCCAGGTGCTCGATCCTTGAGGACATCCCTCACTTCCCAACATGACCGTCCCACTTCTTCCAGCCTAATACCCTTGTCCAATAGACCCAATGGACAGAGCCCCTCACCAACGATGGCGTCTCGTCCTTTCGAATCAAAGGCGCCGCAGTATCCAATGCCCCCCTCTGCTGCCCGCTCGAGCCCTCGCAACGTCCATTCTCCAGTCTCCAGTTCCTTTTACCGGCAAGTGAACCAATCTCAGTTCAGTCTCTCTCATCCTGGCCAAGAGAGCAATACAAATTCCCCGGCAACGTCGACTACACATCTGTCTCGGGTCTCTGTCTCCAGCATTGGCCCCAGCGGAATTATCTACGATACCCAAGTCCCTCATTCACATTACCGGACGGAATATTGGTCTTCGAGAGCGGACTTACACGATGTCTCTTCTCTCGCACGAAATGTTTCCACACCTCGGTTGGCTCACTCGTCCCCACACCCAAGTTCAGATCAGAACCTGACACAACAAGACTCCTCTCACGACCAACATACGGAGCAAGAGAGAGAGAACATAGTGGGAATCGTGACAGTACCAGGGAAGAAGAGCACTAGAGTGCTCAGAAAAAAGTCGTTGAAGAGAATGCAAGTCGCCAGCTCAGTTGCGACATAAAGTGGTGGCTGAGCTTTGGAACACGGGATTCAATGGTTTTATGGGTGGTAATATGCTGATTCTTTTCTCACTTTTTTGGGAGCGGCGACGATCTTTTTGACGACACACTATGACCCAAACCTTGAGGATATTGCAATTCTCAGGGCGCCGAGACGACCTCTTTCTGCCTTGACTCTTATACCCAGCATACGAACCTTTGAAGGTCTTTTTGTTTCAGATCCCGGGTCTGGAATCTGGGACATTATCTGAGACTTCTTGTTCCATTTGTTAACATTGGGCTTGCCCATTGAGATTTGAGGTTCGCCTCCCTCTCTGTATTTTCGGACACGAAAGGAAAAAACATAAGCCATTCGCCGCTCAGCAGCAGGCGAAAATCTATTCTACTTACTTGAGGTACATACATAGCCAAATTGCAGAAATTGTGCCGCGATAACTCCTCCTCCATATGAAGATGATCGACCTCCTCCTGGCTCCAGATAGATAATGTTGCCGACCTCCTCGTGAAACCATCCAGGAGAGGCAGGGCTACTGTATAATCCCCCCCTTGTACAGCATTAGTATCGAAAACGCCTTTTGCGCTGCGGCCAGTTCTTCTCCTACGAGTGTCGAGCAAGTAGGTACCTAGGTAGTAAGCGAACGCCTGCAATCAGATTGGGATTTTTGAGAGGATTTTGTCCTATGGAGATTTTTTTCCGGCGCAATTCAGCAGCAATTTGTAGGCGATGGATGATGGACCTATGTAAATGTCAAAGCCGCAGATTGTTCATGCCGATATATGTTTTTGGGAGTCCCTCCAAAGAACAACGTGCTGGGCTTTCATTCATGGTGATGATATAATACAACGCCGGCGCAATGCCTGCAGCACCTAGACAGACGTCTGTCCGTCCTCTTTCCACTGGGTAAATCCAACCACTGAAGCAAACTCAGCTTCACCCCAGCTGTCTTCCTCCTTTTCGGGATCAGATTCTTGCTTTTTGGACTTTCATGCTGCACATCGCACATCAAAAACTTTCACACTATATACGTTGCTGCAACCTTAGTCGACGTTCTCGATCCGTTGCACAACGATGGCGGTTGCTGCACCACCACCGTTGCAGATGGCGGCACATCCATACTCGCCCGGCTGCAGCTGATGCAGCAAGGTGGTCAAAATGCGCGAGCCCGAACTACCGAGCGCGTGACCGAGCGAGATGGCACCACCCAGCATATTCACCTTTGCATTCTCCAGACCCAGGATCTGTTGTGAAGAAAGAGTTAGCCAAAGAACGAAGGCGCTGGGATGTGATTTTCGAAAAAAGATGCACACAACGTACCTGTTCGTTTGCTTTGATGACTGCCGCAAATGCCTCATTGAATTCCCAGATTGCAATGTCGTCCTTGGTAAGACCGGCCCTTTCCAGCGCTATGGGTACAGCCTTGGCGGGCGCGATGGGAAAGTCCACGGGGTCGATGGCGGCATCGGCGGAACTGACAATGCGCGCAAGCACACGGCTTCCCTGGCCATATTCCCGAGCAATGTCCTTATTGCCCAGCACCAACGCGCTCGCACCGTCATTGAATGTTGACGAGTTTGCAGCTGTTACTGTTCCTTGTTTCGGGTCCTTTACAAACGCGGGCTTCAAGGTGGCGACCTTGTCCTTCTTGAGGTTGTTGTAGCCTTCATCTTCAGAGATGACGGTGTCACCCTTCTTCCCTTTGACGGTGACGGGGACGATCTCATCTTTGAACTTGCCTTCTGCCCAAGCCTTTTGTGCCCTTTCAAAGCTTCTGATGGCATATTCGTCCTGCATTTCTCGGGTGATATTGAACTTCTTAGCCGTGTTCTCAGCGCAGTTACCCATGTGAAATTGGTTATACACATCCCAGAGGCCGTCTTCAATCAGCCCGTCCTTCAGTTGCATGTGTCCGAATGGTGGATTCTGCGCTGCTCTGGGCAGATAGTAGGGCACCCGAGACATATTTTCCATACCGCCTGCCACTTGCGCCTCCGCCAAACCGAGTTGGATATTTTGCGCAGCAATAACCACTGCTTTCATCCCGGAAGCGCAGACCTTATTGATTGTTACGGCCTCAACCGTTGGTGGCAAGCCGGCGAACATGGAGGCCTGCCTGGCTGGTGCTTGACCCATACCCGCTGCAAGTACGTTGCCCATATATACATCTGTGATCTTGGAAATTGGAACTTTCGACTTCTCAATGGCAGACTTGATGGCCACGGCACCGAGTTGCGGGGCGGACATGCTGATGAAGCCACCGTTGAATTTGGCTGTCGGCGTGCGCGAGGCAGAGAGAATGTATGCTTCGCCGATCTCTTTATTGCGAGCCATGGGGGAGGTAGCATTGGTACTCATGTGGCTGCGCATCTGGGACAGACGGGCGCCTGCGCTGGTGGTGGAAGAGGCGCGAGACGCCACGCGAGCAGCGGAAGAGGTGAGGGAAGGCATCTCGGCGGTGTTTGGGGTTTGAGAATCCAGGTTGGGCACGGGCTCGAACAGGGTTATATAGCTATGTGGCAGTCAACTGCACATGTCAAGTCTTGTTGGTCTGGCTCGAGCGGGGAATGAGGAGCAGCGGCGGAAGGGAGAGAGAGGAAGTGGACGAAACAAATGTTTAACGAATTCGCTCGAGCTTGAGGTAGAGATGCCCTACTAATCAGTCAAGACCACAGGGGCGTTAGGAAGAGCTTCATCCATAATAAAAGACCGGGAGGCAAACCTGGGCTTCGGTCTCCCAAAGACCATGAGGTCCCGGATCCGGTGTTTTCGAAGAGCGGAAGCGTAGCGCTGCCTCGGCCGCGGCGTGGACGAACTTCGGAATGATTTCAAAGTCACGTGATATCCAGATTACTGCGGAGCATAGAGATTTCCCCTTTCGCTAGGGTGGAGTGTTCACCTGTCACTCCTCGAAAAGCGCGAAAGCGAATCGGACGGCGGGCAATCCACTGTCCTGGCCTCGCCTCGTACTTGAGCGCCACTCCGTCTTCGCTGCCCTTCTATCTTTCAACCTCGCGTGCGTCCTTCCTGATCACCCTGTCTCCTCCACACACCGACTTACTCACGAATCTGCAACAAGGATCAACTCTCAACTAACTTCCCCATCCTTTGCCCAACCTCAAACCCAAGATAAACCACCATGTCCACCTCCGCACGACGCCGCTTGATGCGGGACTTCAAGGTACGCAGTTTCGCCCATATACATGGGAATATGGTGGTTTAACTCGACGCTCAATTTCCCTGTGAGTGCTGACCCGGTGCTCTTATAGCGTATGCAAACAGATCCTCCCGCTGGCGTTTCTGCCTCTCCAATCGCCGACAATGTCATGACCTGGTAAATTCCTACCCCTCACCGTTCCAACCTATCTCCAGAGACAACTTCTCACAGAAAGTTCAGGAATGCCGTGATCATCGGCCCTGCAGACACCCCGTTTGAAGACGGCACATTCAGACTGGTCATGCAATTTGAAGAAGCCTATCCCAATAAGCCCCCGGGGGTCAAATTCGTTTCACAAATGTTCCACCCCAACGTGTACGGCACTGGCGAGTTGTGCTTGGATATTTTACAGAACCGGTGGTCTCCAACCTACGACGTCGCCGCTATTTTGACATCGATTCAGAGTCTCTTAAACGATCCCAACACGAGCTCTCCGGCCAATGTTGAAGCAAGCAATCTTTACAAGGACAACCGGAAGGAGTATACCAAGAGAGTGAGGGAGACCGTGGAGAAGAGCTGGGAAGATTGAAACCAGTGGAAACGATTTCCAACCAGATGAAAGACTTACGATTGGCCTGTTGTTTTTCAGCGACTGCATCAACACACGGATGGGCCGGCGTTGGGTTGGGACCGGGCATTTTCTTGTGTCCGAAGCGGGGAATTTTATTGGAACAAGTGCGACGTTGGATATGGAACAGCAGGAACATCACAAGGTCTCGTCAACATTTGATTTGCTTCGGATTAGCGAAGGAGTTTCTGCCAGGGATTTTCCTCTCAATAAATCAGGCTGGACGGCCACGCCCGAGCAGACAAGTTGCTCTTCGTTCTGCAGGCTTTGGCTACGGTCAAGCCTCATTTTCGCCACATACATATGCATCGGCCTTGATCAAGTATGTAGCTGCACGATACCAAGCTTATTGACTGTATTTTCACGTTCTTGCTTTCAGTCCACATAATATTAGAGTCAAGAGACTCGACCACACGAACATAAGAACATGTGGACACGTGGACAGGCTTAATTCATTTATAGTCGTGTCACATCCATCGTCGGAAGGCCGTTGTCAATATATATCTTCTCTCTATCCAATTCATCGCATTCATCCTTCTTATCCATCGCATCTTTCACGCCAAGGCCCCCATCGGATCCCACAGTGGCAGCACAGTTGGCTCGCCTTTCAAGACATCGCGAACCTCCTTGGCCACAAAGCCCGGATCCACGACCACCTGGTACACGAACTCGTCCATCCATTTGTCCGTCATGACAAAGTAGCCCTTCTCGCCGGCGCTCTCGCCCCAGGAGTTCATGACGCGCCAGCGCACGCTCTTCCCACGGCCTTTCCCATCATCTTCCATCTGGACACCCGTCAAGACCATGGCGTGGGTCATTGCGGACTCGCGGGCCTTGAGGCGCTGAGATTTGGAGAGGTTGAGCGAGATGTTGAAGGCGAGGCCGTAGTCGTACAGGTCCGGGTCCATGATTCCGGATTGGGAGTTTGAGAATTTGCCCACGTCGCTGCCGAAGAAGACGGGCAGTCCCGCGCGGAGCATGGCGATGGCCGCTCGCTTCATCGTCGCCATGTCCACGTTGACATAGGTGATGGGTCGTCCCCCGACGACGTTGCCTAGGCGAGCGACGGTGAGGAGGGACATGTATTTGTTGCGCGGATCGTTCACTAAGCTGAACATGCGGGCGACGTCGGCGCCACCCAAGCTCCTCACCACGCTTGGTGCGGAGAGTGATTTGGCGAGTTCGAGCGGCGTCATTGCCAATTTGTGGTACTTTTCGTCCTTGTCGTAGAACTCCCACGTGAATTTCTCGTCGGGTTTGGGCGGCGGGCCCAGCATGAGCGTGAGGATGCAGTGGATTTCACGCATCATCTTGGCTTTTGCCAGCACCAGTGAGGATGACCTCGCGGTGTGGCTGTTGGCCGGGACTCCGTTGTGAACAAGAGCGCGCAGAGCAAGACCGTCTTCTCGCAGTTTTGTGGTCAGGATCGATCCCATGGCCGAGGAATTCATGGCGTTATAGCTGTCCGGGTACAACTTTTGCGGAACCTGATATTACCATAATTGTCAGTCCGCATGGCTCCGGTACGAGCACTGTCACGGGTATTGCCTTACCAATCCGTATTTCTCCACCAAGTTACTTGCCATATCCCACTGCCCACCATCATTCACGGGAGCGCCCAACAGCTCCTGAACCTCCCTATCTCCCAGGTCCTTGTCGGCCGTATCAATCATTTGTTCCAGGAACCAGTTCGCCTTCTCCATCTTATCCCAGAAGAACAAGTACGACTGACTCAGTTCAAACTCTTTCAGGTTGTGCTTTTTCATTATCGGGACACGTAACACATTGGTCGTGGCGAACAGCCAACATCGTCCGGAGGAGCGTTGGTTCGTCACTGGTGACCCTTCAAACGGAATTTTGACGTTGAACGTCTGCGTGTCGGGAAGAGTTGCGACCTTGTTGCTGATGACGGAGCGGATGTCGTTGGAGAGGAGGGCGTTTAATGCGAGGCGGTTCTTGGGCGAGGAGAGTAGTTCTCTTTCCCATTCTGCGGCGGCTTTGATGTCGAGAGACGGGTCGGTTGAGTAGCAGTGCGGGATACCTTTCTCGGCGTCGACTTGGACATAGTCGTGGTCGGTCTCGACCTGGGAGAGCTTATCGCGTGTTCGAAGTGATTGGAGTTGTTGGACGAGGATCTTCTCGACAGCGGGCTCATTGAGGGTAGAAGAGCTCTGCGAGTTTCCCATTTTGACCGCGACTAGGAGGAGAGATCCAGTATGGGGGAGAGCAGGAGTATCTTATAATAATCTTGTTTCTGAAGAAGTGACTTGGGATGGGATGAAGAGCGCAGCTATGGCGGGGGGGTTGGAAGATCAATGGAGCCTGGCACCCACCGGGCGCCTTGGTAGATAAGCGATAAGCCGAGACACGGGTTCACGTGCTGATCCCGCGAGGCTGACGCTGATCCCCAACTTTCTCCACAATCTCAACACGGTTGTTGAACGCGTCCGCAATATTTGATATCTAAGTCACTATTCAGACCATATGATCTAGGAACAAAAGGATTCTTTGAATCCAATCAGTCGCCGCGTGGCCCTGAAACCATTTCATACGAGCAAGTACCCTAGGTAACTCAGGAGCCCAAACAGGAGCCCGCCTGTCAATTGTTCATTCCCGTCCACTCTCGCCGCAGGATTGGAATTGGGATTTGCGCTCGGGGTCGCGGAGCCGACGGTGACCACAGAATATGATACAGAGGGAGCTGGAGTTGTGGAAGGGGTCTCCGCAGCTGGAGTTGCAGTCGTGCCTGCCTCGGTGGAAAACCCAGAATCCGTGAGCTGAAGAGTGCAACTCGTTAGCTGATTGTACAGGTAGTAGAGCAGTGGGCACTCCCAAAAAGTACTCACCAAAGTTCCCTGAATGATATTCCCTGGCGTGGCCGAAGTTGTCGCCGATGCTGATGACGGCGAAGAAGAGGTGACTTGTGCATCGGCTCCAAACATCGTGCAGAACCCCTCCAAGGCACTGGCGTCGCTGGCGATGTCGGTATCGACAGTGGCATACTGTGATGCACACAAGGAGGCCAAGTCGTCAAACTCCTGAGGACCCCAAGTCAACGTTGAGATTTGGCTCGAGCAGAGACAAGATGCCTGTGAAGTCGCGGGGAGCAGCGTAAAGCCGCTGGTTTCTGCCTGGCACAGTGACATGACATCGACCAGAGCTTGACAATAGTCGAGAGATGTGGATTGCGCAAGTACGGCTGACACGCCAAACGCGAGGACGAGAAGATGCTGGGCCATGGCTGGCAAGGCTGAACTTGAATGAGTGTTCCGAATAAAGCTGAAGCAGAGCCAGAGCAAAGCAAATCTAAATAGACCCTGTGGTTGACAAGATCTGACTATTTTTAAGAAAAGGAGTTGGAAAGAAAATTCGTCTGGGAGAATTGGCGAGACAAAAGCAGGATGGACATGCCGCAAACCTTTTATGTTCATGCGGTATAGAGCAGCGCTGAGGAGAAAGACAGCTAGGGTCTTCTGAGGTCACACGAGCCTCCTTTGCGTCTGTGGTGGCTGAGAAATGAGTCCGTTCCAAGCCTGGGCCTTGGGGGATGTCTTGTCCTGACTCCTGGTAGGACACGAGGTGGGAAACTCTGAAGCACCCTACCTCTCAATTTAGGCAGCACAAGCAAATTTCTACGGCCAATTTAGGACACGGTGACAGCTTGAGCCCTTTTATTGAAGCTTGAAGGTTCGGATACGAGAATCGAGGAGGTGGCGTTGCTCTAGGCACGGCGAGAGGGTTCCAGGGGTAAGGCTGGACTCGGGCTATATCGACGTCAATTTCAATTTTCCGAGCCTCGGCGTTTGCTATCTGCGATTCAGCCTCACCGGGGAAATTGCATAGTTCTTTCCAAAGAGTCCAACGCAACCAACGCTATGCGGGATAGTAGCCTTGTGACGTCTGGCCACTCGCAGATGGTAAGTATAGGTGCTGTGTCAATCCATGCGTTGGCTCTCAGCCGTTTCCATTTGAACGCCCTCTTTCCCAGAAGTCGAAAATCAGACACTCGCTCGAAACAATGTCTACTGATACCGGACGCATTTATACTGGATCATGGGTCAACCACGCCAAAGGTTCAATCACTGGAGCGACTCTGACCCTTTCTAGTTCACAGGGAGCCTTTTTGGTAGCTTTTCTCGGTGTTTTCATAACATTGGTCGGATCGCAATTCTGGGTTCTTGTCAGTTTTGCTCTTCATCAGCTGAATTGCACCAAGACATACGACGGCCTTCAAAAGCAGCATCAAGTTATCCTGAGAAATAGCGGCACCTCTGCCGGCGCTGCATATGAATTGCTCCGTCTCCCTTTCTACTGGTGGCGACGAGAAGACCAGACACAGCGAATAGAAGATGCCCGGCTGTGGCCCTTCCTGCGACGCTCATGGGTTTTGTCACTCTTTCCGCTGCTGTCTTTCGCCTTGTTTGCTGGAGCTGGAGTGCTTTCATCTCAAGTGACCAAGGCAGCGGGTGATGAGTTGCTTGTCTCGGGATCTAACTGCGGACAGTGGAATTTCAATCCGCAAGCGCCAATGAGCTCATACGTGGAAAAGTCTCAGAACGAAAGTCAAATTGCATACAACTATGCTCGCGAATGCTACGGCGGCTCAGTAAGCTCCACCACCTGTAATACCTACATGCATCAACAACTCAAGTGGTCTGAGGATCGGAATGCCAACTGCCCATTCGAAAGCGGAATGTGCCTGCTAGGCGACACGGCAGCCCTGAAGCTCGACACAGGCTACATCGATTCTCACACAGTGTTGGGCATCAACAGCCCAAAAAGAGATCGTATCGATTATCGAAGGGTCACGACTTGTGCGCCATTGAATACTTCTGGCAGGATACAGCCGAATAAAATCAGTGGCACCAGTATTATCTACTATGACTACGATTTCGGGCCCACGAGTAGTAGCAACGTCACATGGACGTATTTTGAGGTTTTCTCCAGCCTAGGAGGTCTTTTGTACTCGCTCGAGTAAGTTCCAAAGCCCAGATGACCAGGCAACCAGGACTGGGGCATGACTGACTCCATCCATCCAGTCAATGGGCCAACGAAGCTGGTGTGGCCAATCAGTCTTGGTTTCCGGACCCTGGCCTGGCTCAGGCAGACGCAGACATCACGCTCTTCGCCATGTCAGCCAACAACGTTGCGTATATCGATCCTGTGACAGATCCTTTCTTTCAAGCAACACACCAAGTCCAGGTACAAACGTCTACGGGCACGCAATTATACTACAAAGCGAACGGTTAGAGCTTTAAACCTTTCACACAAACTATGTCCGCCGAATATACAGGCTAATTCCCAACTGCTTCAATAGACTATGACGAATTCGTTCACTTTGCCTCTTGTGTCGACCAGCATCAGCTTTGCGACCCTAATATTAAGCCTCCCAAATGTACAGCTCTTCACGGGTGGATGACTCTACAAGCTGCTATATTGAACTTTGCATGGACCACGCCTCGTCAGCTGGCTACTGCTTTACGTATTCAGCAAGTCTTGCAGTATTCGTCCATGTTTTACACCACATCTGGCCGAGGGGGATTAGTTTTGCGTGCTTCGGAGAAGGTTTCCCAAATCATCAGCGCAGGTCTCCCAAGCAATCAGTGGATGATCGAGATGTCAGATCTATTTGCGATGGCACTTGCTCGACTCCAGCACGGCATTGTAGAGTACGCTACTGGCCCTACTGATATTACGGAGGGCATGATCGTGCAAGGCCCCTCAGACTCGGAAGGTCAGGCTCTCTGCTCTGCGCAGATGGTCCGAAACACGGGCTTGTACTCGAATTTCTCGATCCTCGGCCTGAGCCTCATTGTGGGAATTGGAACGGTCATCATAATTGCCAGCATATTCGTTGAATCCATTGTCGACGTCTTTCGGCGCCGTCGGCGTTATTCAACGGTCAACAACTCTGTTGACAAGAGCCAACAATGGGTTCTAGATGGCAAATTCCAGCTCATGCGGCTGGCATATGAAGGCATTGGTGTGGGGACATGGGTTCGGACAGGGGAACATGTTCCAGTGGTGAAAGAAGGAGGACAAAAGATATTCAGTGCATTTGAGAAGTCGGGAGGTGCGTGAGCCTCTGCTGACAAGTCGGATATTGCCGTCCATCTCAATGCGGATTGTGATGATGCGGGCCAAATAGCTGACAGGTTCTCGATGGTGTCAATTGAGAAGTCGGTTGCTGAGGTTTTATACGAATGCATGACTATTTTACCTTCCTTCTCTGATTGCTGCCTCTCATAGTTCATGCCAATTACCTTCAGCAGCTTGATGGTCGTTTTACAATGCTTGAAGAGGAAGGCGGAAAGTATGAAGGATTTGCTCTACGTTACTACTGTTGTCGACATCGATGGCCCTTTCCCCCGGTTCTGCTGTCTTGGGAGCGAAAGTGAGAGTATTTACTGTACTTTTGAAGGTTGCCCGAAGACCCATGCGTCCTAAGATACAGGGAAGGACGGATTGCCTGGGCCGACTGAATGAGTCGAGAACACATTACCTGGCTGAAGAAGTGGCTGATCTCAACCTTGTACGAGGTAATCTTGCAAGCCCGGTTCAAGCAAGATCACGTAGTGAGGGTAAGAGACACATGACGGGGAAATCTAGATGTTGACATTCGATTGGTGTGACCGATTTTCAGGGTCTAAGCGAGATCGCTGTTTGGGCTGCACATTGTGGCATGAACCATTTGAATTAGCCTAAACACGGGACAAACGGAACGATATTTCGTAGTGTCTTTATACGTAGGGAGCGATGTATCAATCGCCAGCTCATGCCCAGTGGGGGGCGATTCCCAATCCAGTCCCCGCAAATTACCTAAATAGGTCGCTGCACTAGTCCAAGAACAGGACTCTTGGCATCTCTTGGCGGCAATTTGCGTGTTATGATTGGTATGTTGGACTCAGTTGGCCTGGATTGAATGCCGCAGAAACGGCAGTCCATATGGCCCAAAGAACATGCAAAAGATGGAACAGCCGCCTATGAAGCAGTAAATGACAGGGCGCAGCTCACGTTACTTGCTCCCAATGGCTCGAACTAGACTGAACTCGATGAGCATCACGAGAACACTCACTTCCGATGCCATTTGCAAAACAGCCCGACGGCTTCTGGACTTCTCCTGCCCTGCGAGCGATGTTTATCATGTCGCGCCTGTAACCTAGCTTGCTCAAACCTGTCATCTTTACTCTCTAAGTCTTGCGAGTTCGATGACAGTTTCCTGAAACATGGTCAAGCTCCAAGAGGTCGACTCGCACACGCATGTCTTTCTTGTGGATTTCAGCTCTCTTTGCCCATCGTCTCGCTTCGAACGGAGGTCGGCAATCAATAGCCATGCGGCCAGAAGAATGCTCTTGAAGCGATGGCAGTTGCGGAGGGAGCAGATGAAGAAAAGTGGCGTGTCGTTATTGACGTGGCAGGGCCTGGTCCCAAGGTGGCGAGTCAACGGAGGCAAATCTCGGGTGACGGGTGCTGGGTCTTTCCCTCTCGATATGAAGTACAAGACCGACGTAAGTCCAACGCTGAATACCTCCAGCATGTTAACTTCTGCCTCCCTATGATTGTTCGTTGCTGTGTGCTGCTACCTCGAAAGAACAATCCTGAGTCCTGACACAAGCGTTCCTACTTGGCAGGATTCCAGCAGCAGACACCAACCGTCGGGCAATGCAAAGGGTTGCCTCGCAGGATTGGAGCTGGCACAGAAATGCTCTCCCAACAGCTTTAGTGGTCGATGCCACCGAGAGCGGTGTCGCTGCTATGGATCTCCAGAGGCTCAATCGATTGACGACCGGGTTTGTGTCCCAGAAAGCTCCAGTGGGAACGACGATAGCTACTCGAAATCACAGGAGCTATCCCTGAGCCACCAATCCGCTGAAGCTGTGCGTGATCCGCAAGTTAAGGCAGAGCCAATGCCTATATTCGATCCAGAGGACCATGATCCATCTGATATGCCTTCTTATCCATTCAACAGCACAAATGGTGAACCCGAGGTATTTGAATTTTGTGAGCATATATTCCTCGAATTCTTGGTGGGAGCGCTCGTCATAATTAATATCTGCTTGGTCAGTTCGCAATAGGGACTCGAATATGATCTGTGGCCATGGTCCAGCAACGCCTTTGTGGTACTTAGAACTGGTGGCGCATCAGTTCGCCCACGACGAAGCCGTCATGCACCTGGTCCTTGCGCTCTCCAGCTACGCTTGGTCTAGTTTGCTTGGGGGAGATGAGCACTACGAGGAAACCGGTTTGATGCATATGACACAGGCCATAGCGTTCATCGTGGAGAAACTTAGGCAGCCACAATCCTCGACTTCAGACAGCACTATTCAGGCGGTAATGCTCATGGCGGCAATTGAGGTGAGATCTCCCACCGACTTCCAGCTCTACATCCCAGTTGGCTTGTTCTAAAGTATAAGTTTCTCTTCCAGGCCCGTGCAGGGAATCTAGAAGGTTTTCAGATGCACGTCTTCGCAGCGAGCCTGATGGTCAAAATGCGGGGAGGCCTAGACAAACTCAGCCCCATTTTGGTATGGCAAATATGCTCGTAAGTAACTTGCCTTCTCTGGCACTGGAGCTTGATGCTCTTGCTTACATGCCACGCTCGTACGGAGGAGCGAGCCAAGTATCTACACAACAACAGGTGTCGAGACTTTTGCTTGCACAGGTCGCCATTCCGGCTCCTTCTTTCTGCATAGCCGGTCATATGTTGCGATGGAGCATGCGGCTTCCAGCAGAATATCACCATCCGCCAAATAAAACGTTGAAGAGCTCCTGGAATTTTGTGATCCGCTTGATCTGCCCACTAGCCTCTACTTCTCAGCGCGCGTCACAGAGTTTCTGTGATACGCAGAGCGATTTCGAGAGCTCAGCCCAGCGAGGACTCTGCTGCTGGTAGATCAATGTGGCTAGTTTCGTCAACCGTAGGATTGCTCTCCTCCCAGCTTGGCGTGGCTTGAAACGACCCGTGGGCATAGGATCAGGCCAATATATCCGTGGTATGATATTGACCCGGTGGGCCAAGACGCCAGCCAATGTATCTTTGCATGACTGACACCAGCTTTTCGACCAATTTCTTAGTAAAGATTCAATCTGTTCAAACGCCCAGAGGTTGTGCCTCGCTAGTCAACCTTGGTGGCCTCCTTGGCTCTGCTGACATGATGGTGAATGGTGCAGAAAATGCTTATTAAGGTCTTGGAATTTTAGCCACCACATACGCAGTGTCTTCGGCGTACAGTTAAGCTTCCGATCGTGTTGAAGTGGCATGAGAGGCTGACCAATGAATATCTCATCAGCAAAACCCTATCAACAACGCCTGGCTCAGTTTTGAGAAGCTGCCAAGGAGGTCAGACGGTACGTCCGGCATGGAAGCGTGCTGCGGAACTTGAAGCCCTACAACTCCAATACACGATGCCAAGGTCTCTAGAGAATTGCCGGCGCCTTGCAACCTAAGCTGGAAGGGGAAGCAGCATGTAGGCACGACCTGAACCTTGTCTATTTGGTTTGGAAACCTATTTAGTCGATGGTGTCTTTCAACCGGGTCTTTCGATCGGCGACGTATAAACCACGGAAGCAACGAACTCCGCCCTCCAACACCTTCCCCCCTTTTACCATGCGTCACTATGCGGAAAGTCATGTTGGAACTCTTTCTATCTCATACGGACTATGTACCAACAACACCCACATAGGCTATAACATGAGCAGCCGACCTTGCGATGGAGCCTGTTCAGCTATGCTTTGTCGAGGGCCGTCCACGCCACGCAACCCAGCGGGACAAAGAACTGGTCGACGCGACAATCCGAGCGCACAATGCAAGAGTCGCTCACGCGAAACGAAGCAAGGGTACCGCGGCGCATTTATCAGGACGGCAGTCAGCCTCGACTGGGCCGTTGGTTACTCGATTTCGCATAGAGCCATCGTCGGGGCGTGATCGGGACCGCGGGCAAAGGGACGACGAGGAAGCCTTGCAACGAACTCAAGATGTTGCTCATGCGGAACAGAGGGGCCGTTTTCACAGCAAGAGCTGGCTATTCGCCATGATGAAACACCGGCAATGGATGGATGCCATATGGACACCGTTCTCGCCTCATGTACCAAGGCACATTGCAATATGTAGGCATATTTTGGTTCTTCCTTGGCCCCGATTCTACATTCATGTGTATGTCTCTCTCTCTCCCCCTGTTGTCTGACATTGTTTGTTTCCCACAGACCAGCAGATGATCGTCCCCACCATCCAGCTCGCGTTTGAGGTCTTCCATGTCCGCAACACCCACAACTACGAGTTCCTCCTGTGGATGACACGACCCACGACGTCAGGCTACCATGCCGGAGCGGCTGGTCTGCAGCTTCTCTACGACCAGCAAGTCTCTCCCGGCTGTCGACAGACTCGCCAGTGCCTCTCCCACAAGGTACAAGCGTCTGCGATACTGAGGGAGACGTTGTCTCACTCCCCGACAAAAGTACCCGACGATGAGCTACTTGTGATCCTGGCCCTTGCAACTGTAGAGGTAAGCAAATGAATTTCAATCCCCTGCGTCCTTTCACACTACTCGCGCTAAAGATCTGAATTAGAGAACTGTGGACTTGGAGGTTCACCAATATCATCTCGAGACCTTGTCCAAGATTATCACCGCTCAGGGAGGCATGCACCTGGTGGCTGATCACCCTCAATGCACGATTATGCAGTAAGTATCCGTATGTTTTCTTGGTTTGAACTTGCACTACGCACAGTTGTAGTAAAGTCAGGAGTTAAAGAGTCCACGGCTGCATTATGTATCTGTCTATCTATCTATCTAACACGGAAATTCATCTTTTTCTTTTTTGTTCCCCAGGTTCGACGCATGGTGGAGCCTATCCACCGGTCTACGATACTTTTCCTCACCACCGGCCCTTCCACTCCAACGACCCGAAGACACTGTCGGGAGCCGATTCCGGGACCAAATCCACAAAGTACCCTCGGGGTTCCACTGCTTCATCCTCGCCGGAAAATGGCCCACCAGCACGGTCGAGATCCTTGTGCGTCTCGCGTATGTCTACGAACGGCAGCGACGGGGTAAGCTTGCGCGGGACCCCGCAGGACGCATCATCGGCCTCCCCAACACGGCGGGCCTGCCGGTCTGGCGCACGTTCCAGGAAGCGTGTCCGGCCCTAGACGCGCCGCACACGAGCCGCGAGAAGCTGGTCGCCCTTGCGATGGTGCTTTACTGCGGCATCGGCTTCGAGACGGCGCCCGTGTCGAGTAATGGCGGGCTGGCGTCGAGGGGGCAACTGACTAGGATCTTCACCACGGATGAATTGTCGCGCGAGGACGACGACGACAACAACGACGACGACGACGACGAGGGAGAAGAAAAACCCTTCCTCTTCTGGGTCTGGATGGTCACCATTTGCGCCTGGCACAACGCCTCGGGCAGCGGCTTCCTGCCACCTGGCATCGACCTGCTCCGAAGACTGCGCCGGCGGTTCAGGGATGTCAAGGACTGGGACGCCGCGGGGGGTATCCTGGAAAAGTTTTTCTGGAACGGCACGCTCAGCGAGCTGTGCAGGCCTAGGTTTGAGGCTGCGATGGATATGTAGATATCTATGTCTATATCTTGATCTTGATAAGGAGAATCAGTGTATCAAGGGGCTTAGCGGATCAAGCAGATTAGGACTGAGTAGTGGTATCAGCCGAGCTAGATATTCATGTATCTACGCTAGAACAATAGATACTGTAAGATCCCTGGTGAACTCTGAACAGATTTGCAGCATTGTAGCCAGATGTTTTCTCATCTGTGGTGTGGTGTATAACACACGCCAGAGGCGGATTGTAACGTCCTACACAAAATGGGAAACTTCAATCGCCCGCAGATTTCGTCGTAATGATCTCGGAGTGCGTAACTTCAGCCTTCGGCTCCTGGGCCTTCACCGGCAGAGCGACTCCTTCATTTTCGATCGTTGTCAGCAGCCGGCCCGTTCCATGCGTCTCGTACTTCTTGAACTGCCATGCGTGGAGCTTGGCCGCGAACAGCTCGTCCACTTCTTCCAGAGACCGACCCTATTCATGCCAGAGCGCGTTAGCACCGAACAGGTGGATTTTTTCTTTTTAAAAAAGGTCCGCAGCAAAAGTTCCTCCTTACCTTGAGTTCTGGGAAGAACAGAGCTCCCCAGAGAGTGGAAAATAGTGCAACAGACCCAAAGATCCAGCCAATGTTGACGCCCATGCCCGGTAACAGGTACGGTGTTACGAAGGTGACTAGAAAGGCAGCCACGACATCGCAGACTGTACCGAATGCCTGTTCATCGGCTTGTCAGATTGAACTGCCGGAAATTCGAAAAGCATGTTCCATCCACGACTTACCATTATCTTCTTCCTCATGCGCACTCCTCCAATCTCTGCGCCTGTCAGGAAAGCACAGTTCGAGGCGGAGATCCGACAAAAAGCAGGAAGTATCATGAAGCAGGCGACCAGAGTATAGGTCTCGTTGTGGTTCGGATTACGGATCAAACCTAGACCTGAGGCGAGGTAGAGAAGGAAGGTTGCCACGGCACTGCCCATGATGAATAAGGGACGACGTCCAGTAATGTCGAAAAGAAAAAGCCCTGCCAGACATCCAACGACCCCAATCGCCCCGCCGATGATGTTGTAGGTGAAGGACATGGAGCCTAGACCCTGTTGTACATAGAATGTAGGAGCGTAGGAGAGGACAAACTGGTTTCCGTTCATTTGTTCCAGAACGAACAGTGTCGCGCAGATCTGTTTGCGCACGCGAGGTTAGCACTTTTAGCGCACAATGGAGAGCGAAACGCAACGCACCCAGGTTCGTCTTAAGTAGTTGCCGCGGAAGATATCCAACCAAGACCCACGCTCGTTGGCCCGGGATTCTTCGATCAGGTAGTCGATAGCTTCCACTTCGGCGGCCGTGGCTCCGTTGTCGACATCATGCTTCGGTCTGATCTTGTCGAGGGTAGCTTTGGCCGCTTGCTTACGACCCTTGAGGACAAACCACCGCGGAGATTCCGGGGTGAAAGGCACCAGGACGAGGAACGAGACGGCAGGAACGAGCTGGATTCCCGTTGGGATCATCCAACCTTTCCGCGTTTCTGTGGTCGCGTATGCCCGCGACAGTCCGGCCCCCAGAAGGTTTCCGAGACCTGTAACAGCCATGATTGAACCAGACAAAAGACCTCGTGCAGCTGCGGGGGCTGTCTCGGCATTGTAGGCGGGCACAACGTTCTCGACCAGCCCCACGGCGAAGTAGGCCACTATACGGCCGACAGTGAACTGTGCCCAGTTGTGTGCTGTCAATTCGACTGCATACGATCTTAGCAAAGCCCACAACGATGAAGGTTTCGACTCCTGCCCATTCAGAGACTTACTAATAACTCCCACGATCTGAATTGTTCCGACCACATACATGGTTTTCTTGTAGCCAAGAGTCTCGATAATCCTTTCCACCAAAGCACAACCAAGTATCTTGCCCGTCCATGGCAATGAGTTCATCAACGATTTCCGCGTCGGTGACAGCTCGAACTTCCCCTTGGCATTCACGGTTCCAAATCGGCTCAAAAAAGACGGAAGGGCTTGCAACGAACCAAAGGAGCCGGTGTCACTGCAAGCAATTAGTTCAAGCCTCATTGGACCGGTGTAAGTGGAACCTACATGCCGAACATCACGGCCCCGAGAAGAAAGACAAAACAGTTGAAAACTAGATAGGGCGTTAACTGATGCCATACCTTGAGCGCCATCGTGGTCGAGACCCGGCGGGGAGAATGTGTCGAATGCGGGTATCAGTGAAATACTCCAGGTTCTGGTGTAAGCGGAGTCGAAGTGGGCATTATATAGCCATGGAATCGACCCTCAGATGAATTGCACCATCGCGCCGTGACCCATTCTGGGTTGAAGATTGACAGAGGGATGGATCAGAATGGATTAGCGGCGCCATCCGCACCGGCACCGAGAACCGTTCCACGTGCTTGATGCCGCCGACATACTTTTCCACGCCGCCGAGGGTAAGTCGCAACAACTTTGGACCATGCAAGCTGTTACTAGAACTATCAGAGCACCTCCTCGGTACCTTGTTCAAAGCCATCGAATGGATCTTGAAACAGTGACATCTGATCCCAGGCACTGGAGACCGACTCCAGGTAGGGAAACCCATCACCTAACTCCACATCTCCTGTTGGTTCCAGATTTGGGAACGGCTCCTGCAATGCAAAAGGTGCTGGATGGGCATCATTCGGCATTTCTGGCGGTGTTTGGATAGCCGCACCAATGCTGGGCGGCTCGGAAGGCTGAATAGGTGTCCTGTTCTTTGCTGAGGGCGTCATTTCGAGCTTGGGACTGTCGTCTGTGAAGCCGACATTGCCAAGCACTGTGTGTCTGGGAACGAATTGCCTGGGGACGATCTCCCTCGTAGGTTTCATAAGTCTTGGTTTCTCCAGAAGGCCCTGTGGCACAGAAAGCAGTGCCTGCTCGATGTCTGTTATCTAAGAGGTATGTCAGCGAGAACTTCCACGCATTAATCGCCATCAACTTGCCATAGGAGATACAGCTGGGTACATGCCGGACATGTACCTGATCAATTCCAAGCAGACGGTCACGTCCCGTACTATGTCCTCGGTTGAGATTCCAAGTCGAGCTCGTTGCGAGGCATCGATGGCTAGCAAGACCTCTGTGGCGCTATGTGCACACTCTGCCATTTCGTACTCCAGTGCCCATGTGCCGCCTTCAATTTCGAGGAGAGAGGAGAGAATCTGCGCAATTGTCTGCGCATGGAGGAGGCATTTGACCTGCTGCTCAAACCCGACATCGAGTCCTAGATGGTCCAGATACTCTTGTGGCAGCGATTCGCCGAGTGCGGGAATTGTGCCTCGAAAGAGTTGACAATGGCAATGATTCCACCAGATATGCGTCATTACATAGCGTGGCAGGCGCGGCGAATACGCTCGCAGTGCCAGGTTCCTCTCGGAGAATTGCTCGCCTGGAGGCAGTCTCGACACAAAAGTCTCCAGATCTTTTTCTAGGCTCTGGAAGCGTGACGATATGACGCGGAAATCGGATCTTGAGGACATTGCTTGCCTCTTGCACCTGGGCAAGGGTTAGAGAACAGAACCGAGAAAATTTCAAGAGGCGACTGACCTCAGAATCTCATCGTGAAGGTTGATGATGCGTACATAATAAGCCAATATCCCCAGACGAACAGACTGAGGTCCGTTCTCCCGGATCTGGTTGAAAACGTTCTCGTTGTTGAGCTCAAAGTCGTCTTCCACGGCAGGGAGGCGAAGATGAATTGCTGTGATTGGGCACAGTGTATACTCCTGAAGCCCGCAAGCCATTGTTGAGTCGAGGATGTAGATGGCCCACATCAATCTGCGGCGGGCTTCTTGGACATAAAACGAAGGCCGTAAGGTTTCATGGTTGATGCGCAGAGCGAAAGCGGACCGTGTGAGTTGGGCCATGAGCAGGAATGCGGCATTGTGGGAAGCGGTCCATATTCTGTACCGGATCACGAACAACAATGCTTGCAGCTTGAATATGGAAGGCTGTCTGAACTCAGCCAGGATCAGCTCCTCGGCCAAGTCTGCGCATCGTGACCCGATCTCCCTATGGCTTGCTGGAGCACCTGGAGTGTGAGAAGTGATTGCTACGATCGAAAAGAGTAATGCCCGATCAGCTTGATCTTGGTGAACGAGCCGCAAGAGCGATGCCTTGTGCAGAACTGCGAGGCTCGGAAGGGGCTGGAGGTACTGGAAAAAGGCCTGGATGGCTTCCAAAACCCGTTCACGTGTGAGCAAGGGAGGGCTATGCCAAAGTCAGACATTGCTCGAGCTCCATAATGAGGCGACTCACTGTCGTATGAGCGCTGCGGCAGGTGGGACTTGACTGGGCTGTTCTGCGAGCAGGGGGCTGGATCGTGATGCTGTTTCTGAAGCTCCCTCGAAAGTGACACCGGCCAGACTCTGCTCGACCTCGGAAGAGCCAGTTCCGACTTGTCTCCTGTCGCGCGAAGGGTAGACGCATTCAATGCCTTTGGTATAGCATCGATTGCAGCTTGGATAATCTCCGCTGCATCGTGCTTTCATAGAGTGGCATCCTTTGCAAGCGCGCGACACGCGGGCCTTCTTAGGCGGCGATTCAGCTGTATAGGAACCGTCGCTTGGTTGCAAATGGTGAAAGGAGCAGCTGAAACCTAGTCTGGAGCAGTTGCTGCAGGATTCTTCTTGCCCGACGACTCTATCACATCGTACCTGAGGAATTCAGCGCCGACCGTCGCGCCAGGTCTCGAGAAATCTAGCTTGACGTACCTTTCTACTTCTACATTGTGTGCATGTCTGTTTTCTGCGTGGAACAGAACCACTTCCGGACAATTCGCTTTCGGTATGCGAGAGACTGGGTAGATTCATGATCGAGTGTTTTCTCGAAGCGAGCAGCAAATGCATCCATCGTGCCGCAGAAGCTGAGGGGTGAATTGATGTCGTGATTTCGAAACACTGGTGCTAATTTTCTTAGGCTTCCATTGGAGCTAGCGAAGCTCATTAGGCCGAAGATGGGCGCACAAAGCAACGAATCTTATTCTCCGGGAGGAAGAGTCTGGAGTCGAGAGCTTGTCAATCCTAAGCAACAGTCCCTGCAATCCCCTGAAGAACCATCCTAGCCCAGGGACCAAGGGCAAAATTATTAATAATAACATGATGACAAACACAAAATCTGTGGAAAGGATATTAACTGTAGCCTCCCTATCTCTTAACTGAGGTTAAGCCTAAAGGCCTTTTAGGCCTTGGCCTCTAGGTAAACATAACTGCCTATAGCACCCAAGAGATTCAGCCCTGTAAGGGCTTCCGCTCACTCCTTTCAACAAATTGTTCAACGTAATACCTCTCGTCCCATGTTTTATCGGTAGCCTATAAATTGCCGCAGAAGCATGTCTTTCTCAAACGGACAAAACGCAAATATACCACCTCTTGGATTCATATCGGTGGACGTTGATATCGAACGACCGGTAGGGGATCCTTTCAACGAAGCGACGTGGCCCTTCCCCGTCCTCAAAGAACTGGCAGAAGGCTCGCAACTGAACAACATCGTCACGAGTGAAGAATACCCTGAAGAATTTCTAGATGGCATAGTCTCGGCTGGGGAGAAGCTTCAGCAAAAGGGCTGCGTTGGCATCATCACCGACTGTGGGTTTTTGGCTGGAGCCCAGAGGGAACTTGCGAAGCGCCTCTCTATCCCTATTGCAGCGTCGGCACTAGCCCAAATCCCTTCGATCCAGGCTTTTCTGCGTCCTGGTCAAACCGTCGGTGCGCTGACTTATGACGATTCCAAGTTGGGTGCCCGCCAATTGCTGCAGATAGGAGTCCGCAATCCAGACGCCGTCCATATCGCGGCTCCTCCAGAGAATGGCTGGCTTCGGGGTCATATACGAGACCGTATACCGTATGACCATGCAAAAATTGAAACAGAATTGGTTGAATCTGCCTTGGGCCTGTTGAGGAGGCATCCAGATATCGGGGCGTTCCTGCTGGAATGCACTCAAATGCCGCCCTTTGCTGATGCTATTCGCAAGGCCACAAACCTCCCGGTGTATGATGTTTACACACTCGGAACGTGGTTCTATTCGGGTTTGACTAGCCAACGACCGCAACATTGGGGACCTGTTTGAGGCCCTGCGCTGGGCCTGCGAAGGAAGCGACTTATAAGGGCACGTAGCCATGCAGGAGCCGGGCTGGTTGAGGCATTCAGGTACTACAATGATATGAATCGAGGCCAGGTAGTGCTAAGGCTGCGGTACCAAATACTCATTTGTGGCTACCTACCTTACACCCCATACCGTGCCTGCCTGACATTCCTATTCCTGGATTGCGATCCCTCCTCTATCCTTTCCGTCGACATCCATCTTGCTCTCTACGTACCTATCTTGCAATCCCAGACTCACGAAGACTATAATAATCTTTCAATTAGGGGGGCCCTCTCGACATGGAGTGACGGACTAATCGATGCCGGCATCTTGAGAGTTTTACCTCATGACATGGATTACGAATGTCGACCACGCTGCTCTGGAACTCTTAGCAAGCACCTACAACTACTTCACGGTGGATTTCTGCTTTTGAGGACTCTATCGAAGACCCGAGAATCTGCGCCGTCGCAAACGCGATCTTGTCTCATCCAGATCTGAATAAGCGGAATATCTTCATCGATAATGACGATCCCCGCCAAAGTCACAAGCTTTATCTATTGGCAGTCTAATATGCAGTCTTTCATAGCCATCAATCCCTTTTCAATCGCCGAGCTGCTGGATAAAGAAAGTTACCCTACGTCCTCTGAACGGTCTGAACCAATCTAGGGTCGTCGACTCTATACCGCTCCAAGCCTCCCATCACCGCCGAATCCAGCACAAAGTCAAACGACGTGGGCATCTCTAGCTTCTCGCCCGCGTACCTGCGCAGGGCCATGACGCTCTGGCCATCGCGCAGAAGCCAGGGATCCTGAGTCTCTTCCTGCCAAGACTCGCACTCATGCCTCATCTGCGCCAGCAACGCGGCGTGCTCGGGCTGGTCGACCAGGTTGCACACCTCGACTGGGTCGGATTCAAGGTCGTACAGCTCCTCCGCGGGCCGTCGGACGTACTGCCTGAGAGAGCGGGCGCCGATCAGGACGTCGGCGCCCTCCTCCTGGTGGTTGTGGTTGTGGTTATGGTTCTTCCGCACTCCCTCAAGGGTCAGACTCGCGTACAGGTCCGAGGCAAAAGGGAAGTCGAGCTGCCACGCAATGTTTCGGTGGTACTTGAAGCGCCGGTTGCGCACGACCCTGGTGGGCCAGTAATTGGCGATTTCATGGAACGTGTGAGACCCGTACACTTTGTGCTGCCATTGCTCTTCCGGCAGAATATCCGAGCAGCCGATGATATGTAGAAAGGATCGCCCGAGACGTCGGGGCGGCGGCGGCGGCCGGGTTTCCCGTGTCCATACCTGACCCTTGGGCGCCTCGACCTCGATAGGGGCACAGAATTCCAGAGGGGCACCCGCCCACGCGAGGAATGTGGGCAGAATGTCAATGTATGATATCATATTTGGGTTCCGTGTGCCGGAGCGAGAGCTGCCAGGGAGACGCACGATAAAAGGGAGCTGTGTCCCGGCATCGTACAGGGTGGTCTTCGAGTTGATGAATGGAGGACCGTTGTCACTGCAAAGGACGACCAGGGTAGAGCTTGCGAGGCCTTTGCGTTCCAGAGCATCCAGGACCAGTCCCACGCCGTAGTCCAGACGGGAAATGGCTTTGTAGTATTCGACGTATTCAATCCGTGTCTCCGGCAGGTCGGTCAGCCAGGGCGGGATCTCGACTTGCTCGGGCTGGAAGTTTGGGGCAACGAACTGGCCGTCGCACGTTTCACCATTTCCAAACCCACTCCGGGTGGTGATGTCTCTGTGAGGGTCAACGTATCCTACCGTGAGGAAGAATGGACGCTTTGTCTCGTTGGCTCGCTCAAAGAATGCCTCTGCTCGCTCTGCCACCCACGCAACATTCCTCGTTTCGCTTTCGTCTCTCGACACCCAGGGAAATACATGTGCTGGTCCCACATGTACTTTGCCTACAATGCCTGTCTGATAGCCCAGAGCGTTGAAGAGCGTGGGTGCCGATTGTATGTGGTCGAAAGACTGGAAATGGCTCGTCCCTCCTGCGAGACCATACTGTCCGTTCTCGTGTGGATGCAGGCCAGTGTACATGACAGTTCGACTGGCGCTGCACGAGGCTGTACTCGTGAAAGCGAGGTCAAAGACTGTTCCATTGGCGGCGAGCTTATCGATATTGGGTGTCTGAAGCCCTTTTGCACCATAACAACCCAGGCATTTTCCAAGGTCGTCGGCTATCATGAAAAGTATGTTTTTCCGGGAGCCGTCTATTGAACCCATCACGATTTGAGTCTGGCGTTATGACGCGATCAGTTGAAGGAAGACGAGAAGCTGGGGAGACCTTGGCATGGCTGGAAATGCCCATGATACTTAACGCCTCGAGTACAGAAAGCGGGACAGGCCGATTTATCTCGAAGGCCGACCGAGCCGACCGAGCCGCCGACATCTGGGACGGTGTTGCTTGTCGGGCGGCATCTCCTCCCAGAAGCACTTGAGCTCCGGTCTCTTGGATGCTTAATGAGTACGGAGCAGCCTTGGACGCGATCCCATAAGTTACCCCGCCGGGTGGCTCTACCGGTACGATAGATTTGTATCGAATGTTCCCAAATCCCACTTGTGCTCAAACGCCTTTCTGTGATTTATTGATAGCCACCAGTTCTAGGGAAATTGTGCCCTATAGCAGAGCCACATTTATTTCCCTTCGACTGGAGAATGCTGTGCTCCCAGGAGAGACAAAAAAAAAATTGAGAAGCCGCAGAACAGTTTTTCGGATTTCCCAGCATCAAAAGCCGAGACTTCTCGCTTCACTATAAATATTAAATTACTTCACCGCTCGGCTAAGACAATGTTGGTAAACTTTGCTGCGGCTGGTGGGTAGCGTGTTCTCTCAGAGTCCCGCGTGCTGGAAGGCTGAAATATGGGATACGGCAGCTTTGCGCTTGCTGATTATTCGAGCCTCCATATTCTTTGGCAGCCCAGACGGAGTAGGACGGCGACGAAGCTGACTTGCAGAACACCCTTTGACACTCTTGCAGTAATGGGCACAGGTAAGAAGGTGCTCCGCGCGAAACGTGCAAATGCAATTAATAATTTTTGTTCCCCTGGCGAGACTCGGGCAAACCAAACAGTTGCCTTTTTTGGTACTTGACATGATCTTGGAGAGTCTGGGCTGGGCTTAACGATCGACGCACAGTTAGCGCCCCGGAAGTAACGGTCTCCAGCATGATGCGCTCTGGACCTCGTGCAGAGACACTACCGAGTATTAGATCACGAAAGGACCGCTGAGACACCCACCAGACTGCTCGTACACAGACAGGGCCGCATACTCGTATACCTTCCTGGTCTGTTGGCGGGCGCTTCATTCGAAGGCAGCAAACAAGCCTACGCTAAGAAGCACATCATTTCGGAGCTGATGTCCGCTATCGTCATGGGCACATAGTATTTCTGAGCTGATGTTCTCTCTTCATTCGCTATGAGACATGCACGGCCTTCCTCTCGACATGTGGCTGTGGAAAAGGTTATTAACAATCGTTGATGGGCACGCCCTTTGCAGCCCAAGCGGAAACCCCTTTCAACTCGAACACCTACCTAGCTGCCAAGGAGCGAAGGGCAAGCCACCGATCGATTCGGTGTGGAAAATCACCCTTAGCAGTTAAGCGAAGGGAAGGGCATCGCCTAGGGCTCAGGTGCTTTGGCGGCGTGGACCAGCAAAACGCGCTGGTGACGCCTTTCTTTCTAATCCGCTTCAGCCGCAAGGCTTCCCAATGCGGAAAGCGTTTATGATAGCTATCCTGACGCCCACTACTTGTGACTACGCAACAAACCAATGACCACCTCCCGACTTGGCGAACGCTGTCTGGCTAGACCACTATGCAGCGTACGCCCTGAGGCCGGCTTGCTGGGTGGCTTGCTACTTGCACTGGTACGTTATCAATGGACTGTGCGGCGAGCGCGGCCAAGGCGACACCAAACGACATGGGTCTCAGCCAGCCCTGCCCCTCCTGCAGCAAGCGTTGTTATGCCTTTGCTTCGACTCCAGCGTGGTCAACCGGTTGAGCCGTGAGCTCGTCTATAAGATGGGTTCACGAGCCTGTGGCGGCTGCTGGATGATCTGCCAGATTTCCCTTCAGCATCCACATACTCTCTCGCTCCCTTGACACATCATCAGTAATAATGGCCGAGTTTCTTAAAGAGACGCCCGCAGGCCAGTTTCTACGCCTGCTGGGGTTTCGGTCTGATGGCCTCTTGTATCCTGAGGAGAAGCCGGGCTTCGAGCCCACCATGGTCCCTGTCGACCGCGACAGGTCACCGTCTCCCGCCGAAAGCGACCTGGAGAAAATCCTGCCCAAGCAATCTGCCACCGTCCGCACAACCGAAAAGGACGATACAACAGTGACCGTCTCGGACAAAGACTCGGAGTATCTTGTCGTGTCCTGGACTGATGAGAAGGATCCCGCAAACCCTCGGAACTGGTCCCAGGGCAAGAAGCAGTGGACCCTCTCAGTGGTCAATCTGTACACGTTCTGCGTCTACTGCACAGCGTCCATCATCACGCCGACTGCGGGAGCCATCCAGGTGCGATATGGTGTCTCTATTGTGGTGGCAAGCCTGGGACTGTCCATGTATGTTGTTGGCTGTAAGTTTTGGCACCATTTGCATTCAACTATACTGTCTCGTCGCTAACTCTGTATAGATGGTCTGGGACCCATGTTCTTTTCTCCCATCAGCGAGATCCCCCGAATCGGGCGGAACCCCCCTTATCTCTACTCTTTCGTGGCATTCTTCGTCGTCTCCATTGCCCTTGCCTTCGTCGACAATTTCCCTGCCATCATTGTCCTTCGATGGCTGCAGGGTCTCTTTGGCAGCCCAGCCTTGGCTAGTGGCGCGGCTTCGATCGAAGATATATACGACATCTACAATGCTCCGTATGGCTATGTATGGTGGATTGCAGCCATGTATTGCGGCCCTGCTGTCGGCCCGTTGATGGCTGGATATGCTGTGCCTCATGATTGGAGATGGCCGGTGAGTTTAGTTCCCTTTCACTCTTTCACTCTTCAGAAGTCGCCATCACCTTGCCTTATTCGCTCATTCTCACTATTCTCTTGCCAACGGGTGCATATACTAATGGTGCGTCACAGCTCTACGAAGTCATCATCATGTCGGGGATCATTCTGTTGCTGTTGCCATTCCTGCCGGAGACCTACCCGGGTACCATCCTCCTCAACCGAGCAAAGCGACTTCGGAAAGCCACAGGGGACGACCGATACCGGGCAGAGAGTGAACTGCACCCTATCCCCTTGAAGACTCTCCTCCAGGAGTCCCTGATCCGACCGCTGGAGATCACCATCAAAGACCCTGCGGTCCTCTACGCGGCACTCTACGGCGGCCTCGTCTACGCGACGTACTACTCCTTCTTCGAGGCCTTCCCGCTGGTCTACCTCGGCACCTACCAGATGTCCCTCGGCCAGCTGGGCCTGATATTCTTGGGATTGATGACCGGCTGCATCTTCGGGCTGACGTGCTACTACGTCTATCTCCGCCGCTGGTTCATCCCCAGGGCGCGCAAGTACCACGCCGAGAAGGGCAAGGCGGTCGAACAGGAAGAATGGCTGCGGCCGGGTATGGCCGGCGTCTGGGGCCCTCCCATCGGCTTGCTGGTGTTTGCCTGGACGGCGCGCGCCGACATCCACTGGATCGCCCCCACGATCGGCATCAACATCTGGGCCGCCGGCAGCTTCTGCATGTTCCAAAGCATCATCTGCTACGTCGCCCTGGCGTACCCCAAGTACGTCGCCTCGTTGTTTGCCGCCAACGACTTTGCCCGCTCCATGCTCGCCGCGGGCTTCGTCCAGTTCTCGAGGTCCATGTACGTCGATCTCGGCATCGGCAAGGGCGTTACCGTGATTGCGGGCCTCTCGGGCGTGGGCGTCGCGGGAATGTATGGCCTCTACTACTTTGGCGCGTTCCTGCGTTCCAGGAGTAAGTTCACTGGCTGAGCACCACATGTTTCTGAAGGGGGCTATGGTGTGTTTTCACGGTTGCGAGAAAATTCTGGCGAGTGTCATACATATACTTGAGTGAGCATTTTTCCCACGAGCCAGATGATCTTCATTTCATAAAAAAAGAAAAGAAAGTATGTTCATCGGAATGTTTCGTCTGTTCTTGTCAAAATGTGTATTGATGTTAAACGTGAGACGCCTCTCCGGCCTCAATGCCGCCCCATGTCTTTCTCTAGAGGAAACCATGCTACTCGAATACACTCCCAAGTCTGGCAGGTGTGCATTGACATGTACGGCGTCCCAATTCCACCCTGGGCATGGGGACTCAGACTCGATGAACAGAAAACTGCTAGGTGGGTTGCGCTCGGCATTCAAAAGACAAGGTATTCCAGAAAAACCTGCTGCGTCTCAAGCTGCATGAGTCGCTGGAACGGTCCTCGCAACAGAATCAAGGCTGCGGATGGTGTGACGAATTCTTGAGCGTAAAACAGTGCGCTCGCGCTTCCAGGTCGTGTCTGGACGACAGGACTGGTCCGTGTCGTCTCCAGATCTGCTCTTCCTCGCTTACAGCTTCCTGCCACTGAAAGGTGCCAGACAATATGCGAGATAGCCCCGAAATTGTGTGGGTCTTGCACCATCAACACGTAGTTGGTGAGTGGAGAAGCGTCATGATCCTTTTCACAGGTCACAGATGCGGCCTTCGGTGTCTTGGTGTCATTGCTCTGCGGAGGACCTCATCAAAGACCCTCGAACACTGGTCCTTGTTCTGTCCTGACTTTGGAGGCATCTGAATCGAACAGATCGGCTGGCGAGACGGCGCTTTCTCCTCTCTTCTGTATGCCATCCTCGCCATAGGTCTCTGCACCAAGCCGGGAGACATGTTCAGGCCACTTCGTGAAAGGATCCAGGTCCATCTTGGCAATTCCCACTGGTCTTTGCCAGGTAGACATGCCGAGTTCAAAGGACCAAACGCACATAAGAGCCCAGTGTTGGCAGGTTGCTGGGGGGTTTCACCCAAATGTATTAGGACTCTTGGATGTGAAGTGCTTCTTGCGAAGAACCTGATAGGAGAACCTCTCGTTCCAGAAGAACTTCTCGCATATTCTGATCTTCTGCATCCAACTCTGTTTCAACCCTTGGTGGTCCAAGATCCTCATGCCTAACGACCATGTGAGATCATTGGTGTGGGAGCTTGTAAGCATCATCATGCCTACCCAGGTCAGCCATTCCGCCTCGTGGCTCTGTGGATGAGAGGCGCCGGGGAAGCAGAAGGTGGAAGGAAGGAGACCGGCGTGGATCTGGAGATATGCCAGATTTAAAAAGCGTCCCCTCTCGCTAGAGTCCACCAGTGAGCAGTAAGCTTGCAAGGCCATCAGGACCAATTGGTCTTGTAATGGTAGATCGGCACTCTGAAGCAATTCAAAGCATCTCGTGGCGTTGTTAAGATTTGCTTCCAGCAGTGCACTGTCCACGAATAAGTGCTCTCTTCCGTCTTCCGAGGCCGTTGCTTTTACAGCGGCGACCCATGCGGCAATATCGGAAAGGACGTCGATCACAGCGGCCACTGGGCGTTGGTTTATGCAGAACTCTTCGAATGCTTGCGGGAGCCTTGCTATCTGGGCACAGAGAGCCGGAGAAAATGGGTGGACAGGGCGGTCAAGGCTTCGGACTTTAGGGGCTGCGGTTCCTGGGTGACTGACGATCGCTCGATGGCATTCTGCGTGTGTGATGAAGCTGCACAGAGGTGATTCTATAAGCCTGATCAACTCCCAGGAGACAGGGGGAACCACTCACCTGTCAGTGACAGTCGCAAGCCAGCCGTCGAATTCCAATCGTTGAGGGCCGCCTCTGCGAGCGATTGCCTCCTCTATAGCTCTTAAGTGGATCCAGGCACTGTCATAGTTGAGTGTCAAATTCTATGCTTTGGTCAGCTCGTCACATCTCGTCCTCGAATAGAAGGCGGCTTTACGTCGAAGGTCGCTAGAAACAACATTGTGCATATGACCAAATCGGACACCTTATCAGTAGTCGACTGCAGGTACTGACGAAAAAGTCGAATGGTTACATCGTAGATACCCTTTGCCTGTGGAGATGGGCCATGGTGTGGCCTGTCCATCAAGTCGAATTGCAGCATGGCATTTGCCAGCATGCCAGCAAACGACACGTGGTTGCTGAGAATAAGAGGAATGTAATGGCGGAGAAGGGAGAGATCCTCTCCAACACCCTCGAGCTCAAGTCTTCGGAACGTGGTAGGTGCATAGATGTCAGTATCTGCAACATGTGGTCAGCAACGTCGTTGTGCATACCAATTCACAGGCCTTCGACATACAGTATCTGCAAGCAGTCTTTGCCTTTCCTTCGATTCGAATGGGAAAGATTTCGAGCGCCAAGTGCGTGAGTGCGGATTGCGTAGACTGAGCTTTTGGCAGGCTCGTATAATGACCAGGCTCGGACTTTGTCGACGCTTCAGATTCCTCCTTTGGCGGCATTGTCCCATCCTGGAGGCCGCCTTCCATTTTCTGCGATGGTTCACCAAGGGCGCTGTAGCTGCAGGTGTGCTTGCGCCATCTTTAAATTTTCCGTCCTTGCAAATGTTGGCTACTCCCGTTCCCGAATAATTCTCAATGGCTCCTGGTCGAGGATGATGGAGGCGCTATCCACTCGGAGGCTGATGGCCTCTTGATTCTCTTTGGAGAACAGCAATAACGCTGATGAGTTCCCGAGCAGCGCACCCGACTGCGAGGTGATTCGGATCCAATGTCGACCTGAGATTCTCTCCTTGATTACATGCAAACATGACATTAAAGGTTGATTTATGTAATACTGCGCAAGTCCGATTATCTCAGCGAGCTCAAATTTGTTCCAGCATGCGAGTCGTGAGGGCGGAAAGCGGCCGGGGAAGTCTAGGCGGTCATACATAGGTACGAGCAGAGTAGCATCACCAACTTCTTAGATGCACCCTGAGACATGAGCCGCCGAACCGCCTCTTGGGATAATATCACTTGTTGCCTAAAACGGCTGGAGGGTATATCGTTCCTAATTGGATCGGCTGCGGGAGCATCGAGTCTGGGGGTTTTTGAAGCGGAATGAAGTTCAAGCGGTTGGTTGGCGATGGACAACTTTCCCACCCGCTCAACGTCGGTCTTATCTTTCCGTGGCCAAATCAGTAGCCGTAGCCACGGAAGAAGGGGAGCGTGGCACCTGGAGCTTCGAGAATCGGGGCCCGGGGGTCGGGGTCGTGGGTTTTCGCCTTTGCATCTCCGTTCAATGAGATACATGTATCGACACCTGCAGTTCCCACCGGAGGGTGATAGATGTTCTTCAACAGAAATGACGAGTGGGGAAGCCTCATCCACTTGGTGCCTGCCTACTACGGTCTCACTGTACCGTCGGATCATTAGTCATTGCATGCATATACTCGGTACATCAAGCTGGGTGGCAGGCACTGAGTGGGCTTGGGCTCAGCCCCGTAACCGCACCACAACGTTTGCTTGTCCTCATCCCCCGCCTCTCCGGCACGCAAGGAGTATCTTTTTCCCCAAGTAGCCGTACACAGCGGTGGGGAAGCGGCTGACCGCTCATCAAAGCCAAGAATGCGGTGCACACAGCAGGAGGATAGCCAGCACATTTAGTGATGAGCAAGAAACTTTTAAAGAGAGACGACGTAGCCGCAGAGGAGGGAAGTGCAAAATGGCATGACTTCCAGGGCTTGAACGAAACAAGGACGGGCAGCTCTGACACAGGGACTGCCGGACAACAAGCAACAAGGTGAATCATCACCAAAGTTCGTGGAGATCAAAAGCAATAGAAACAGATATCAAGAGGCGGCAGGCCGCATAAAGACCTGAACAGAGCCTCGTCCATCCCAGAGTGAATCATTGAGGGGCATTGCTGTGCCGATTTTGAGCTTGGATGGCTACCTAGTGCTTCAAACACACATGTTCTCTGCCTATTCTCTTTGTCTCGAGTGTCTGAAGTCAACGAGCTCAATTCACAGTTATTTTTGAGAATAATGCACAATACAGTTTCTCCACGGGCAGAAATACTTTCGCAGTCCTGCTGCGCTGGCCGCTCAGTTGCTCTTCCATCTGAACTGCAGCTTCTCCAACAGGATTATCCTCAACATTCCGTCCTGACTCAACCGCAGACTCCATCAAAGTATGTACCTAGATACCTAGGAATGCACCCGGTATCCTGGACAAATTGAGACTACCTGGTCGATTCTATCCGTCCGATCTTCAGCGAGAGGCATCCCTGAAGTCCCTATTCCACCAATCTGGATCGCTTTCTAGTGCCACCGCGTTGTCTTCTGTTTTCTCTTCCTCATTTCGCCGGCCGCCTTTGACCCTTTTCCCCCGACGTTCACGATATCCCCACGAGCCAGGTATGAGTGCAGCGCGGCCTGAAGTTTTATCAGTACGATGGTGTTGGATTCTTGAATGTACGGGGCAAGATCACTCACGTAAAGGTCGCAGCGACACACTCCATCTGTATGGTCTCCTCACCGTGAACCTCGGAACCCAAATTCTATACTTTTCTTGAAAGGCTGCAGCGGGGGCAGAGTAACGCGAGGGTGTTCCTCTATCCTCCTGATCATGATAAGCAATGGCTGTACGCACCATAGCGGCGAGGCGGTCGTTTCCTTGCAGAAGTGCGCGATAGTCACGCTCTCTGGCAGAGTCCGGTGCCCACTGCATAAAGTGCTCTGCGATCCACGCTTGGACACAATGGAGAGCCGGTGGTTCGTCAAGCCGGTAGAGTGTATCAATGAAGGTCACACTGGGAATGGTGGGATGCCACACGCTGAACAATTGCCAGATCTCCAGGAAAGCGCTCACCACCATGTCAGGGATGAAGAACTTGTCCGCTGCGATGTATACCTCTAGCCAGAATGTGTCTAACTCCCAGCTGCTCTGAAGGGGTTTGAAACACCACTTTTCGCGAGAGGATTTTGCATAAAGCCATTCGCATAGAAACCTGATGATATCCGGATCGTCTTCTGGTAGCTTGAGTTCTTTGGTCGCACTTTCCCTGAAGCCTCCGTTGAATGCTGCGTCGAAGAATCTTGAGGTCGCACAGAGGAGATCCTTGTGCACAACTTGTTTCACTTCGTGGGGTCCTGCGAGAATCGTGACGAGGGTGTCGCTTTCAAGAGTTTGCGTTGCGGCACAAGTAGGCATACCTGTAGGTAGGACTGGAGTAGTCGCATCAAGGTTCTCAGGCGAGGCCATGGCCTTCGAATCCGGCGTCGTCTTCCTTCTCTTGCGTGTCCTTGGCATCTTGCCTACTCCGGCTTGCTGGAGTGTCTTGTTCTCCTTCGCCTCGGCGTCGTCGACGTGATTTCCAAACTCTTCCGGAGGTGTTCGATGGAGATAGAAAGGACCCGGGAGACAACGATGAAAATGTAGGATGAAAGGTGGGTTCAGCGTCGAAGGAACAGGACAGGGAAAGATGAAGAGCATACATGGGAAGTTAAGCAGTGTGGATCGAGGAGAAGGAGTGGAAAGCAGCGAGATAGCAGCAGAGAAGCAGCCGGAAAGCTGTAGGGTGAATGAATACCTTGCGGTTTGCTCAGGAAAACTGCCTGCACGTTTGTGTCTAGGGCCACGAGATTAACCGCGTGTCTGTGAAAGAGCCACTGCGCGCTTTGCAATGGCACTGTCCACCAGTCTCATATGCGAGGATGCTGTGCTGGGCGTTTCTTTTATTTAATTGCCTTGTTCTCTGCGGCCGGTCTCCAGAAAGGACATGCCTTGATGTTTGCTCCTCCTTCTCCATTTAAGAGCTGTGCCACGACCGTCGACAGCCGGATGTGCCAATTCTAAGTTCAGAGGCCTATGGAGAGCGGTCCGAAGTCCGAAGTCCGAAGTGTGAAGTCTGACGTCGTTTCGAGGCGTTTGTGTTGATCATGGTGCTGGTGGAAGCTGTAGAAATTGGCGTTCTTGCTTGGGTAGGTGATATAGCTGGTTTGGCTGGTTGCTCAAGTGCTGGGATTTGCGGCCGCAGTCGGCTCAGAAGCTAACATCTGCGACGCAGATCTCTTGATCCCTGCAACTGTCGGCTCCTGACCTGAGACTAGAGCCTAACTTAGGACATTAAAATATCGGAACAGAGGTGTTTACTCACTCAGCTTCGCACGGTGCAGTAATTTTCCTGCAAGCTTTGGAGAGACATCATCAGCCTTTCTCGCCCGTGCTTCCATAACCCGAAGATCCAAGCCATGCCTTTCCGCGAACCGCTCTTGATTCGATGGGTGTATGAGAGCATGTCCTTTGGCCTGAGCGCGCATCATGGCTAGTGCCATTTCGAGGCAGAACTTTTCATGAACGACGAAGAGCCGACCCCAATCTTCCTTCTCTTGCGACTTGCTGAGCCAGTAGGCCACATGTTCGACCACATGCCTTTGCATGGCGAGAGGACTGGCTCCAGAGAAGAGCGAGAAGATGAAGTCGCGAGACGGGATTGTGGGTGAAAGGGAGAAGACGTCTGTGAGCTGACGGTATGCCAGGACTTGCAGTGCAGGGCTCAGAAAACGATCAGCCATACGGTACACCATAAGCCAGAGGAAATCTTCATGCCAGCGCTGATTTGCAACCTTGAATGCCCAATTCTTGCGGGCGACCTTTCCTGTATAAAGCCAGTCGACGAAGAAAGCGAACACTTGTGGCTCTTCCTCGGGCAACTTCATTCCTTGGTTTTTCCCTTCGCTGAACTCTCCTGAGAAGGCGCGTTCGAAGAACTCAGAGGATGCACACAAGGGGTCTCTGTGGACGGTAAATTCTCGCTGCTCAATGCCTCGGCCCACAGTAATCTTGACAACACGCGTACCGCGGTCGATGTTTGGCGGATCTCCCATTGCGCTGCACTAGGAAAAGATCAGGATCCGAACGGCGAGACGTAGGAGAGGGACTCGGGACAGGGACAGGGCCAATTTAGACTGGTGAGGAGGACCTGGGGACTGCAGTTTGACAGTGATATGGTGAGCTTGCTTTGTGTCGCAGATTAAACAGGGAAATGAACAAATCCACAAGATGAAAGCGATATGAAAGTGAAATGAAGTTGTCAACAGTAAGTGAAGGGAAAACACAACCTGGGCGGCCGCACCCAGTTGCAACCAGTGTGCAAGTCGACGTTGATTCCAAGGTCCGCCACTTGATGAACCCATTTTCCTGGTTTTCCTTCATACAAATACCAACACCAGATACCGAAAATCCCAATCATGGATATGTCATCTGACCTGGACTTGCATAGGGCTGCTTGGTCTTGGGATCCATGCCTGTCGTCCTCACAATGGCTTCCTTGTCTTCTTGGATCAAGGTACAACATCCACACCAGCATGATGTGCAAAAATCGCCACAGCTGCCCCCCTCAATGCCATATCGGTCACGTGTAGAGCCTCGATTGATGCACTGGAGGATGCAATGCCCGCCAATGCACATCAAGGCGTAGAATGCACAGCACTTTAATGGAAGTCAGCCAATGAAACCCAGCTCGCAAACAAATAGGGGAGCTCAATGTTGAACGAGCTGGGAGCAAAGCATTGCAAAGGCCACAGGACATAGGAAATTCAGCATGCCTACATTTCCGTTGATGCCGCTAGAATCATGATCACCCTTATACCGATCCTGTGTCTTGCCGTAGAGAATGCACGGACACCAGGTTGCCAAACAGCCTATTCCGCAGCATCAAAGTCAGCAAACAATCAACCTACAGCTGCTGATTGAAGTGAGGCCACATACAAGTGCTAAATGGTGAGCAGCAGTCGAAGAGACCAAATGACCATTTGCCTGGAGCACCGCCAGGATAGGCTCCGGCGGCGCCGTTCATTGGTTTTTCGTTGGCCATTCCGTTGGCCATTCCGTTGGGCTGCTGTTCCATTGTCGCCTTGAATAAAGAATGTCTTGAGTGAAAGTATGTGAATGAGGCCAGCAGCTCAGTCAGAACCAACGACAGCACAGAGGACCAAGAGTTGGGGTTCAGGTTTCAAAAAGACAATTCAATCCAGGGAAGCGAGATATCAGCCATATTTCAGTCATTCATGAGGCATCATCTCGGGTAGCAGTTTGATCGAACGCTCCAGGAGAGAGACGCGCGGACTGTGCTGACACCTGATCATTCATGGAAGTCTCCGTTAGATCCTACCCCAGTGAATGGGCGGGGGGCTTCAGCTGAAGACTGAATTCAGCCCCCTCGTGTGCACGGTTATGGTTCTTGTGGGAGTCAAGACCGCATGGTTGTCAGCCTCCTGCCCCTTGGCCTTACCATGGCACCTCACCATCTCCGGAAGGTATCACTGGGCGAAAAGGGCATTGGGTGGGCGTCAGGGATGCGGATAAGGCTTGCCGGGGGAAAGCCAGGGCTGGCGAAAAGGGTCCTGATGTCGGAACTCTGGTCGCCTTAAGGTTTCAGCACCGATGAAAAGACAGAACGAGATAGTAGGATACGAGGTCGCCAAAGTCTTGGTTACGACTATTGCCATACCCGTAGGAATTTGAATGCATTTAACAACGGTCCAGAGCGTTCCACCAATTTGTGGACCAGCAAGCACAACGGATGTTCAAGATTGCGGCTTGTGGAGATTTGACCCAGAAGGTGGCCTGCTCTATCGTCGGACTTGCCACGCTCTGGCCTCATTACTGCTTTCAGATGCTGCCATGGCTTTCCTGTGCTGGATATCTACGAGTTGGGGGAGCTTCAAGAGTCCCAAACTCGTCTCAGGAGAGGAGTGCCCAATTGACTCTCGCAAAGGATGAGAAATTTACAGTCTCTTTCACCAGTATGAGGCAGCTCGTTGCGTGACAGCCTCACGTCCGAAAGCACATGCATACTCCCCGTTTGGGGTGCTTCGATTGAGGTCCGAGCTTGAGTTAAAACGACCACTAACGTCCATTTTTCAATAATTTCGACTTTGAAAAAAGGGATCTTCCTTCTCATTTAGCGAAACCCCACAATTGGGGGCTGAAAAACTCTAAGGATGAAAATAGGAGGTGGAGATCAGCATTAAATCCACCTGTCGAATAATCGATCAGAAGGACATCCTGGGAGCAAAGGCGGATTCAGATGTAGCACAGAGGATTATGGATGGCATGGATCCTTGGGCGTGCTGCTGCCGGTTGACTGACGGCAGTCCTTATTAGGACAACATGACTTTCTGGGGTGGGTGAAATGGCCCGGCCGTAAGTCAACGTTGGGTTGGGTTGGGTTCTCGTCCTTTGTGAAACTGGAGGCGTTGTTCGTTGCCCTCATCAGTCTAATCGAGCCTAAAGTGTCTCCGGTGCGGCCTCTGAAAGGTGTTCTCCCAAAGCCATCCTGCTGCAGATGCAGATTCCACCCAGGGCGCAATTTTCTGCAGGCTACCCTGATTGACTGTTTCGTCCTTAAAACAATCCTCACAAGAATGCGAGTAAGTTTTGGCTTCTCGGCTGACTCGGTCAAGACAGGGCTCGGATAGGCAATCTGCAGGTATTGAGGGTGTAAAAGGTTTCGAAATCGAGCTCTGTTGCAATCAGCCCCATACATGTGCCTTCCGCTGTAGGGGCCAAAAATGATGCGGCTCGAATGATGACTCGATCCTGCAATTCTTCGACCTATCGAAATCTCCCGGTCCAAGACATGCACTGCGCGTCTGTCAGTTCTTCGTGTCACCATTTGCTGAAGCGTGCGCTGCGTGTGCCCGGTTGTATTCCTCCCGCATAGTCTCCAATATCTGCTGAACCTGCGCCTCGCCTTCTTCACCGGGAAATCGTTCCTCCAGCTCTTCTATCACGAGAGAAAGAAATTGCCGGTCGTCGGGTTCTGGCTGTTCTTCTCCCTCTGCAGGGATTTGACCGTCGACACCGTCAGCGGGGGCATGGTCATCAACATCATCGTTGTTATCACCCTCGCCGTTGACATCTTGTGCTTGATCATCTTCATCAGCATTTTGCTGCTGCTGTTGTCCCCTCGGCAATCCCAATCCCAGATTGATCAACCCGAGGGCTTCGGTCTTTGTTAACCCAAATGCGTGTAATCTAGGCACGACATTTTTGATGAACGTCTCTGGGGGAGGGTATCTGGCAATGAAAGGGACCGTATTCGTGACATAATGCTCAAACTAGACAGATGGTATACGAGGTCAGCAGCAGTTCGCCACTTTACAAGGATTTGAGGCCCAGCGATATATCACCGCTTTGGTAGACATACATCGTCTCGCAAGCGCTCATAGTCCTTCAAATTGACCTGCTTGTAGGAGCCGATCTTCCGTGGTGGGGGCCGGGGCGGGTTCTGAGAGAGGAATTGATGCACTTCGGAAGTTGTAAGCAGTGCGGACTGGGGATCGAGGACCTGTGGGCGTGTATGTTGTTAGCAATGGTCTCGGTGTGTCTCTGAAGGGAACGGGGCGGAGATACAAGGGTTATCGGAGTGCACATACTCTCATGTTGGCGGGTTTTCTGCTGCCTGATACACTAAACTCGGGCCAGGTTTGTGAAACAAAACTGCTTCAACTCATTTTGAGCGAAGGACTATGTCTAGAATCCGCAGATTCTTCTTGGGCAACGCGAGCACGCATGAGGAATCTGTGCAGAGGCGCAGTTGAAGGTGCGGAGAAAAATTTGAAGAACCAAAACCTTCTGCGGGGAAACATCAGCCTGACGGGGTCGACGAGGCTGCGTGCTTTTGGCATGGGCGGACAAGGTATTGTGGCATTGCATTTCATCCACACACTCTCCGAGCAAAGCTACCTTTCACAGAGAAAGCTAATGGCTCATTCATGAAAGAACGCCAGCAGTAAGCCAGTCAGCTAAGTAGGCTCATCCAGCGCCACAGCCTGGTGCTAGTAGATTGTACATTTTCTCGTCGACAACCATTCCTCCGACCAGGCAGAACACCAACCCCCGACGCCATGCAGTAACCTGAGATGCAGAAAAGACAAAAGGCAGCGTAGGTATCAGTCAGCACCTTATGCCTTCTCTTTCCGCTTCTTTTTCTTTTCTGACTTCGAGGTGTCGGCATCTTCTTCCACTCGTTTCCGCTTCTTGGACCCCTCAACCTCCCCGTTTGCCTCCTTGGCCGCAGCCTTCTCGGCCGCTTTCTTAGCCTTCTTAATCTCCTTCTTCGAGATTGCTACTGGCGTCCCGTCCTCTTGGAGCTGGATTTCGCCCCTTGCCAGCTTTCTCTTGTATCTTTCCACGCTCAATCCACACTGTGCAGCGAGTAATTCAATCTTATCCTCGTGGCCAGCTGTTGCCGCCTTTTCTGCTTCGGCCTTCTTTTCTTTCTTTGCAGCCTTGCGAGCAGCTTTCTCCGCAGCTTTTCGTTCTTTTTCAGCTTTCTTGGCTTCCTTTTTCGATATGCCATTCACCCCGTTGACGGCGGACGGCACTGTAGCCTCAACTTCGGCTGCATTTATTGGTTCGTCAGGTTGTGACTCGGCTTCGTCGTTATCCAACTCGCCGTCTTCTTTCATATCCACATCCTCTGAAACATCTTCAATGAGTTTCTTTTCCTGCTTGCCCTTCTTATCCTTCTTTGACTTCTTCTCCTCTTTAGCTGGAGCCTCGTCACCCGCCAACCCATCGGCATCTGGGTTGTACTTCCGTGCTTCTTTAATCTCCCATTTCTTTGGCTGCGGTGTGGTAGACACGCCGTTGGGGGCAATGGCGACTCCTCGAGGTTTGAGCGGTTTGCCCTCCATAGCGGCTAGTTTGCGCTCAAGGTTCGCTCGTGCAGATAACCCAAGAGCGGCCTTCTCGTCCTCAGGAATGTCCATTTCGTCATCCCCCCATTCTTGCAGCGCATCTACCCTCAATCCGAGTGCGGCTTTGGCGGCAAGCACTCTGGCCATCTTGCCCTTATTTCTGCCTGTGGCTTGGCCAATCAAGGATGCATGGTAGATGAGACCGTATTTTGGAGTGTCATGCTTTGTCTTCAACGCGCGGAACAGTGCCTTCTCGGCTCCGAGGATTTGTATCGTACTCGCCGGGCTTTTGGAGAGGTTCATCAGACTTCCAGCATGGGCAATGAGTCGAGCACCCACAAGATCGCCCACAAGAGTTGTCAAATTCGGAGCGATTGCCGTCATTCTCGCCGAAAGATAGCTGGCAAGCTGAGTGCGGTATTCTGTAAATTGCACCACCTGCTCGGCCAAGCTTTGTATATTCTCCAAGTCTTCGTCGGTGATTTCCGTGCCCATTGATCTGTCAGCAGCGGCCTTTACTGCAGCTTCAATCTCTTCGGGCAGAATCTCGGCTAGGTCACAGTTCTCCCAGTTTGTCCGCATGCCCATCTTCAATACCACTTTGGCATATGCGAGGTTGTCGTTCAGGATCTTTGCCATCTCCGGAAAGTGCCAGCCATACCATTCCTTTACTCTCATGGCATATGTGTTCAACTCTTTATCCAAATCATCCAGCAAACCAATTGCTTGCACAATCATGACATCAATCTTGTCCGGAGAGAACTTGAGTTTGTGTCTCGCGAGCGAATGTGAAAGGCCCAGGCTCATGGTCTTGACATCGTCTGGCAATAGACCAGGAATGAGAGACGGGAGGTATTCTCGAATGGCTCGATACAGGTCGGCGGTGGTGGAATCGGCAACGGCTTTGATCTCCAAGCCTGGAATCTTTCCGATCGCGTTTCCCAGTTTTGGATCTGCGACAGCCAGAGAAATCTTCTTCTCGTCTTTCAAGGTGTTTAGTAGTGATGAGAGTTGCGGCGTTACTTTGCCTTCCACAATTGCAGCAGCTTCTTCAAGTGCTGCCGCAGCGCTATCGAATTTCTGGAACTCCTTCAACTTGAGCATGGAGGTGACATTTTCGACGTTGCTCAGTTCGGAAGCGAGGTCGTCCCGCTTCAGGAGTTTCTTGTCTTTGGCCTTGAGCAAGGCATAGCCAGCGGAGGTTTCGGTGAGGATGAGGAGGGTCATGTTGAGGATATGCGCAACACGCGCCGGTAATCAATGTGGGAGATATTACAATACTAGATGTGCTGAGAAGAAATATGGAAAAGCTCTCCAAAATTTCGCGGACCTCGACTGCACAATTTTGCGGAGCGGACCCACCAGCGCCAAGCCTTTCTGTAGATGGAAAGTGCGGCGAGAATATTCAGGCCGCGGCGCTTATCACCAAAAGCCACTCCCTCCTAGCGGCTGAGGAGTAGGAGGAAGAGTTTCCTACCACGACAGAAAGACGTGAATTACAAAGTCGATACAATTTCAAGTGCGACCAAAAGTAGCCCCTGTGGAAGCGCATCCAATTCCGCCATCCTCAGCACTCCCTTGGCTATGGCTATTCACCAATAGCCGACCACAACCTCTCGATTTCTGCCTGCGGATCATGTGAATACGCCCACTCGGTCAACACTGGGTCACTCCATTGATTAGGGCTCTCCTTGTACTCTTCGCCTTGCACTTCCACCTTCATGGCCTCATCACGAGCTCGCTGTACTGGCCCGTCCGGAAGATGTAGTATCAAGCCATGTGCGTAACTGGCTTCGTGGACTCTCTTCACCCGAGGTTTGCGCATTTCTTCCCATTTGGATATTGCTACTGGAAGATCCTCTATTGATCGAACATGCTTCAACGAGGCCGCTAACGCAGCAGCATCTTCCACAGCCATGGCAGCTCCCAAGGCCATGTACGGAACCATCGCGTGAGCTGCGTCGCCGGTTATCAAGACTTTGCCGGAATCAGAAGACCAGATGTCAGGAATGTCGATGCAGTTAATAGGCCAGTCTAAAGTTGAAGTCACCAACTCTAACAGCCGTCTCAGACTTCATTTGGTTAGCAACAATCTCACAGTCAGTGCATTTCCGTGCCAGTACTGAGCACTGTGCTGTGAGAGATGGACTCACCATGGATCCCACCCAACAAATTGTGACCTCATTTCCTCCAGTATCTGAGGCATTGATTTCTCTTCTGCTCCATCCCGACTTTGTGGATGAGTGACGACCAGATTGAAACGTTCTCCCCCAGCAATGGCATAGCTCATTACATGTAGGTTGTGCCCGACCCTGGCACCAGAGTTAGCCAACTCGCATGCTCGCAATCCTGAATATGCTACTTAAAGGTTTCATACCACAGATTTAGATTCGGCTGCTCGAGAATCCATCTGGTCATAGGGTCTGCCTTCATGTCGGCTACGGAAATTGTCCCTCGGTATGCAGAAAGCCCATGGCCCCACGGTCCTTTGTCTTTGTCGCCATTGAGCTCATGGCGAGCCAACGACTTCAGTCCTGCGGCAGAGGGTGTCAGTTTACGGGCCAAATAAATCAACTTTCAATCTCAAATCTCACCGTCGGCAGCAACTATTAGATCCGCCTTGATCGTCTGGCCATCAAAAAATGTCACTTCACCATTTTGCATGTCGTACTTCTGCACCTTTTTGGACAAATACACAGGCACACCCAGTTCGACCGTCCGGTCATGCAGAACCTCATGCAAATGTGCTCTATGGGTCACATAGTAGGGTGAGCCAAACCATTGCTCAATATCCGGATTGAGCTTGGCTTTTCCGATGACGGATCCATCTTCCCAACGTCGCCAAAGCAGGGCCGCTGGCTTGACAGACCGCCGCTCGAGAGCAGAACGGAGACCCCATGAATGGAGAATGCGGGTCGAATTTGGTGGGATTTGGATACCAGCTCCGACCTGTGCATACTGTCATGAGCTCGCAAGTCGCAACAACGCTCCTGCCAAGGGGACCGCAAGCAGAGAAAGCCGGGTCTGCGCGATGCACGGCTTACCTCACTCAAAGCGGAAGCCTGTTCGTAGACAGACACAACGTGGCCCGTTTGAGCCAAAGCAATCGCATTCGAGAGACCTCCAACGCCGGCGCCGATGATAGCCACGTTCAATTTCGCCCATGGTTGCTCCGAGGTCCCATTCGTTCCATTCGTTATGCTTGTTTTGGTCTGTCTCGTTGCATGCGCAGCTGTTCCGTTCGACAACTTGCACTTGACCGGCGATAGCAATGGCAATTCCTTCTCCCTCCGGAGACGACGAATAAAGTTGTACGATCCTGAAGGATAATCAGGTATCTGATGAGGATTGATTCAATTAACATCCCTGGACCAGAAAAGCAATGCGCTCAACCGACAAAGACATGTCTGTATACATACCTGGATCTTGTCTAGTTCTACGTTCATCTTGACCCTCTAATTTCCTGACGGCCTGTTCCTGTTGTCGTTGTTGTGGTGACGGCGTCTTCTTTAACCTCTGATTCTAGCCTTCTCCTTTTGTCTCAATGATTCAAGTTATATCAGACTAAGTTCCTCAGTACGTTCTGCCCTTCTTCCGACGACGCTGCCTCCTATAAAACCTCTCGGATTGCCCGGGCACTCCGAGCAGACGAAGCACGAGAGACATTTTCCTGGGCCACAAATAGAGATGACATACACAATAATGACACGAGGATTCGTGTCAGCAAGCTTTCTCCAGCATCATCCACATACATACTGCCGCCACTTGGGCAGGCTCTGCATGTCGTGAGATTCTCGGAGCCATCCGAAGCTTGATTACATACTCTGCAGAATTTGTGTACTCTTAGTATTTCACCCGAGGAAACCCACCCGAACTTTGCTTTTCAACTGCTTGCACAATGCACGCTATGAAGTCTGTCATAATCTTGCCGTCATAATGGTCCTGACCGATTGGGGTGGCGAAGGTGACAGGGCGGACCGATGAGGTTTGTTGGCCTTTGTTTTCCTGCAGCCACTTTCGGTATCAAGTAGTCGGTGACAAGAACTAGTTTCATTCAAACAAGCAGGGGGAAACAGAGTCCATTAACTAGCGTATATTTGCGCGTATGAACCTATCTTTAGAGGAATCACACCACTCCTATTCCCCAATAGAGTACATCTTGAGGCGCTCAAGCAAAGGCCTGTCCGAGAGCACAAACAGATAGCAGTCTTGCACTCCATCTGCTTTATGCAATATCCGACTCCAGGCGGGCACGGCGAAAGTGTCATGAGGTCCCCAAGTCACCGTCTTGGTGCCTCCACTCGCCGTCGTGATCTCGGTTCTGCCGGAGCCCGTATGGACATGGTAGATATAGGAACAGGTGTCTCTCCTGGCAGTCGAGTGTCGCCCCGCTTGCACCTTCTCTGCATGTGCTCCCAAGGTGCCTGAGATATAGGCGCTGGAGGGGCTCCTGTAGTGCTGCAGTGCCCAAGGAGCGGCTTCGGTCTCGGCGTCGAGCCTTGCTTTCATTTCCGCCCAGGGAAAGCGGAGAGGGCTATTTGATACGGGCCTGGGTTTGAAACAGGTTCTGTAAGTACTCTTCTTCCTTTCTTTCTTCTGCCCATGACCGAGCAGGGGAGAGCGGAGGCGTTCAGTCTTGGGGGTAGTGTACTCACTTGCTAGGGTACCGCTCCTTTTCGTAAGGTTCCGCAAAGTGGGTCGGAAGCTGATGGTATAGAGGCAAATCCAACCCGTCCAGCCAGATCATGGGGCCAGTCCCTTCGTGCCCGTGGTCATGCCATTGCCACTGAGGGGTCAGAATAACGTCCCCGGCCTCCATATAGAGCTTCTCTCCTTCAACCGCGGTGAAGCCACGACTGCCTTCGATGATGAAGCGCAGGGCGAACGCCCGGTGCCGGTGGGCTGGTGCAGTTTCACCCTGATTGATGAGTTGAAGACCGGCGTAAATGGAGTCGGTCGTGAAGGGTGCCTCTGAGGATATATCTCTCATTAGTCCCGACTGTCTTGTTTCACGCCTGTCCCCAAGCCTCAAACTATCGAGATCTTACTCAGCGCAGGGTTTATGAGCATGAGGACGCGTCGCTCGGCCTCTTCGCTGCTCACCACCTCGCCAGCTTCCAGCAAGAGAGGGCGTAACTCATTGTATCTCCAGACTGCGACTTCTGCCTTAGGAGATGGCTGTGGCGTGACCATGGCTCGCATGGCCTTCCAGAGAGGCTGCACATGCTGTGCAGGGAGTTTTTCCAGCAGCTTCATTTCCGGAATTCGACCCATCTTTTCGGTCGCCGCTGTGCTGGTGTTGGTGACGTTCATGTTGAGCTGCGTGCAAAATGCTTAGCAGCGCAAAGTCTCCTTCAAGGAACCAACATGGGCCACTTAGATATAGCCATTTCCTCACGGCTAGTCAAGCATTCAGCAACACCTGCAGCAGTCACAAGATGCCAGATGGAAAACCTGTGGTATCCTGCCCTGTGGCCGGCAAAAGCATTGCTCGGCAGGAGACCCGAGACCACTTATTCAAGACTCGGTTCAGCCCCGAGCTCAGGCACATTTCCGTGTGGCTGATGATTTGTCATAATCGTGGCCCATCATATTATGGTTATAACAAGAGAATGGTTCGTCGTGTCATTCTTTGGCTGTAGTTGATGTCAGCGAGCTAGACCCATTGGGATAAGGTATAGGCTGCGACTGTTGGCTATTGACAGGGACTTCTTTCTCCCATGCTCACCTTTCCTACTTCATCGCCATCAGGCAAGGACTTTTGCACTCCCATCCAGAAGAGCTTGCATTGGCTGGTGTGAATGTCATTATCACTATTGTTGTCCTTGGCGTGATTTCTCACGCAAAGGGGAAAATACCACATTCAAAAACCCCGCAATGCGTTCGAAATGGCCACGATACATTGCGATGTCGGAGGATATTTCATTCGAATAATCTTTCGCCGCAGTCAAGAATGATTTAGTCCTTGATGTCTGTAATCGACATACGAAGACTTCTCGGATCTCGCCCGAAGTTTTGTCGCTGCATCGCAATACTCCAAACCCGCCTCCCCTCGCCCTAGAATTATCCTCGGTATAAGCCCGAAGATTAATTCTCCAGCCCGCCCCTGGATTCAGGCTGGTGATATGCTCTATTGGTAAATTATTCTGGACTTCTGACAATTTCATCCAAGCCAAAATGAGCATGGCGGACAACAAACAACCAGTAAGATGTCTTCACGCATTTAGCAATTGTCGATTTGGCTGACCATCCCACTCCATGCCCAGACTCGCACCGAGACGGACGCGATGGGCTCCATTGAGGTAAGCTCATACTCCAGAAGCCTCCTGCAAAGGACGGAGAATGTTCCTGACTTGTCGGACATAGGTTCCATCTGACAGATACTGGGGTGCCCAAACGCAACGGTCAGAAAACCTGCCTTTGGTCCTGCTTGCCTGTTCTCATGTCAGAGTGGGTGTATAGCTCGTTTCAGAATTTCCGCATCAATCAGGATCGAGATCGCATGCCAGACTCGGTGATCCGTGCCTTTGGGATCCTCAAGGGTGCTGCAGCGAAGGTTAACGTGGACCATAACGTGCTAGGTGAGTTGGATATGCTTCTTCCTCTATCCCCGTGCCAGGAGGATATGAAAGGACAAAGCGACTAGGAGAGGCTGAGCAAAGACATCGACATAGATGCGAAGCTTGGGCAAGCAATTCAGCAAGCAGCCAAGGAAGTGGCGTCGCTGGAACTAATAGACCACTTCCCCTTGGTGGTATGGCAGACCGGGTCGGGCACGCAGACCAACATGAACACCAACGAAGTTATATCGAATAGAGCCAACGAGATCCTTGGCCAGCCGCTGGGCCAGAAAAGCCCTGTCCACCCCAACGACCACGTAAATATGTCCGGCTCTTCGAACGATGGTATGGCAACTGCTATGCATATCGCGGCTGTACTGGACCTAGAAGACCTTTTGCTCCCGGCAGTGACCAGCCTTCGAGATGCCATGAGGAAGAAGAGCGAGCAATTCGCGCATATCGTCAAAATTGGCCGGACCCATCTCCAAGATGCCGTGCCACTTTCACTTGGACAGGAATTCTCTGGTTTCGAGAAACAACTCGAGCTGGGAATACAGCGTGTTGAACAAGGACTTGAGGGTCTCCGTTTCCTGGCCATGGGGGGCACGGCAGTGGGGACGGGCTTGAATACATACAAGGGATTCCATGAGGCCTTTGCTGCCGAAGTCAGTCGAGTCACGGGCAAGCGCTTCTTCACAGCACCCAACAGGTTCGAGGCCATTTCAGCAAACGATGCCATCGTCTATGCCTCGGGCGCACTCAACACATTGGCCTGCTCCCTGTTCAAGATCGCTCAGGATATCCGCTTCGAAGGCAGTGGCCCGCGGTGTGGCTTAGGAGAGCTTCTGTTACCCGAGAACGAGCCAGGCTCCTCTTTCATGCCGGGAAAGGTGAATCCAACTCAGTGTGAAGCAATGACGATGGTGTGTGCAAAGGTAGTAGGAAACCATGCCGCCATCACTCTAGGGGGCTTGAGCGGGCAATTTCAACTGAACGCTTTCAAGCCGCTCTTGATCTCTGATTTTCTGCACTCGGTCCGTATTTTGAGCGATGCCATGCGGAGTTTTGAAAAAAATCTCTTGGAGGGGCTTCGGGCGGATGAGAAGCGCATCAGTTTCCTACTGGGCCAAAGGTAAGCTTCACACGTGTCTTCCCACCTCTCATACTCTATCGAAGTACCTTTTCCTGACCTTTACACAGCCTAATGCTCGTGACTTGCCTCAGCGGTAGACTGGGATACGACTTGGCCTCAAAGGTTGCAAAGCATGCTTATAAGAATGACCTCACGTTGAAGGAAAGCGCATTGGAGCTCAACGCCCTGAGCGGAGAAGAATTCGATCTTCTCGTGCGCCCTGAAAAAATGATTGCGCCCACGGGGTAGTCAACTCGGACTAGTTCTAAGGGCAAAGGCCGAGAGTGAGGTGTTTGTGAGTCCATGTAGACTTGGAGAAATCGATACATAGCTAGGTAATTACCTCATTTCTGTATTTCTCTTTTCAGATGAGACTCCACAAGCCGAAGCCTCCTACCCCGGATTTGCGGGGCGGAGGCGGCTCACCAGGCTGAGTAAAGCCTCGGAACATGTCCGAGTTTTCTTACTGTATCTCATTTCAACTTGAGTCTTTGCATCGAACCCTTCCCCAGGAAATAGGTACATCTTCGTTCTTTGATGGAAGCTGTGAGGGAACGCTGTATGAGACAATTTTTGCGAATAGATAATCCAGCCTGCCTTTGCCGAAGCAAGTGGTCATCGAGCACGAAACCCGCGCCATGGAGTCTGCAGGACCATCGGACCCAGTGGTGAGCGGAAAGCTCAGAGCTGACGCTGTCGGCTTTAGCCGACACAGAAAGCGTGCATCCTCCAAGAAACAGAGTACAGACCTCAAGAGGCCGAAAATTGCGCTTGCTTGTATCGAGTGTCGTTCGCGGAAGGTCCGGTGTGATGGAGTCCAACCTGGTGTGCAACGACCGACTTTCATCGCTCCCTCTCTCCCATCAGAAATGCTGAGCCTTTTGCAGTGTGTGGAGCCTGTCGTCGCTGTCGCAGAACTCATCCGAATTGCGTCTACCCAGATCGAGGATTGTCCGGTATCTCTTCCGAGTCAGTCATACCACTGCACAAGTCTACAAACGCGCCCAAGCTGATCGCATGGGAATTAGGTATGTGGTACAGTTAGAGAGCAGGATCCGGCAACTGGAAGCCGCACAAGGGGGAATACCACGACACGACTCACACGAGGGGAACACCGGACCAATTTTGAGCCAAAGCCAACATGTACCTGTCATTGATCCGTACCCACCAGTGAGTTCTTGCGCCGGTAGCTGACGGTCACAACGCCAAAGCTAACGAACGATCTAGCAATCGCCCTTGGACGTGGAAGTCAACTCCAACACAGAAACTAGCCACAGACACGAAATCGTGTTGTCCCCGCCTCTGACTGCGCCCGGTGAGCAAGATCATGTCGATTACGATTCAAGTCCTTTCACTGGGCGTGTCGAGGGTATTGATGGTATGGGGAATATTGGAACGACAGAGCACAGCTTTTCCGAAGACACGTCCAGCGCCGCGAGCTTCATGAAACAGGTAAAGAGCGCCATGGCTGCCAGACTAACTTCCTCCGTGCCACGGACCCTTGCAACGTCATTCTACAATGCTGCTCCTGGTTTTCACGCCGTTACTAGACCTAAGCAGCATGATCAGTCGATCGCGGAGCTCTTCGTTTTGCCACCACGTCGCGTCGCAGACGACATGATGGAAAAGTACTGGAACGAAGTATACCTCCTCTATCCTTTTCTCATGCGGGAGCGCTTCATGCCGGCCTATCAAAGAATCTGGACGGGTGCAGACCGAGAGACTGACCAGAGATTGCTGTATTGTATTTTGAACCTGATCTTTGCAATCTGTTGCCAGATCAGCAAGAGGGAGTCTCCAAGCGAAAAGGCTGCTGCTGCCGAGGTGTTTTACAAAAGGGCGTCAAACCTGTTGCAGGTCAATCTAATAAGCAGCGGCTCCCTGGAGCTCGTACAGGCCCTTCTTCTCATGGGTCAATATCTACAGAGCACCGAATGGCCGCATAGATGCTGGGTTGCCATTGGTTTGGCCATCCGCATCAGTCAGGGCTCTGGTCTACACCTTCGACGGACCACAATGAATGTTGCGCAGATCGACCGAGAGCTGGCGCGTCGGGCGTGGCATGGGTGTGTCTTTATGGACCGGATGGTGTCAATGACCTTGGGCCGTCCGATGATGATATCCCGAACGGACGCTTCGGTTGTGCCTTTCCCGGAAGCTATCGACGACCAATACCTGTCTCTGGAGATAGGACAAGATCATTCACAACCTCAAGGCCAAGTCTCGATCATCGAGTTCTACGTCCAATCGTTGAAACTCTACATCATCACCGAGGAGATATTGTCGGTCATGTATCCTCACGAAGACGCCGCCTCTTCCCCAACACGGGCTTCTTCTGCTCTGGAAAAGCTCGCGAGCCTCGACTTCAACACAATCTTGAGGATCGATTCGGCCATCACCAATTGGTACAAGGCAGTCCCAAACGAACTCAAGATCCATAGCGACTCTTTGCCGGAGCCCCACAAAGCTGCCCATGCAAGGCAGGCAAATATCCTGCGGCTTCGCTGTCTCCAGGTCCAGATCCTCTTGTTCCGTCCCATCCTTTCGCTTCTGCTGGCTCAGGAGATCAGAAGCAAGGCAATCTGTCTACCGACAGCAGAGTTATGGTTGCCGCTCTCGATGGGGCTGATTTGTGTGAGGAAATGCATGCGCAATGCACTCGAAATGATCAGCATCATCTACGAGAAACAGATTAACCCGAGGTCCAATGACATTGAGCTCCTTCCAGCATGGTGGTTCCAGGTTTTCTGTAAGTCCTGTGCTCAACCGGAAAGAAAAAGCGGTTTGCTAATACGTGAAAAGTCATCTATAGTAAGCACCATTCCAATTTTTCTCCCTTTCTAATCCACCTTAGTACATATCACCCTGCGAAATTGTTTGACTTCACAGCAAACCTCGCTGTGCGTCCCGGCTCTAGAAGCTATTTCGTTATGATTGATCCGCGATGAGTCGACAACACATCTGCTGACCGAATAACTCCAGCTGCCGCCACAGCCCTAATACCGGCACGCGTCTATAGCTACATCCGCGGCGACATCTCGCAGACATCGCTGACCGAAGCGTGGCGACGCTCACTCGAAGTCCTGCGCCGCCTTTCTCCCCTGAGTCCCACTGCAACGCGGTGTCTGGCTGCACTCGAGCTCCTCGACGAAGAAGTGGTTGCAGATGAGATGCCCAACAACGGCCCCAATCCGACCTCCAGCAAACACGACGGGGATGATGAACGTGCACTTGACAACTCACCCCATCCACTCGACCTTCGCGCCGGCCGGCTGCACGAAGACAACACAGTACAGCGAAGTAGCTGCAACAACAACACCCTCGGCTCACAAGGTGAGGGCAGCACCACGATAGTCGCGCCAGCTTGGAGCGGACCGAGCGGTCACAGGACCCCCCAGTCACAGACACTGTCCGAGCTTGCCGTTCCTTTCCGAATGGTCCAACAGCCACAACATCAATACAATACCCAAGTAGATTCATTCGGACGAATGCTACAGATGCAGGATTTCAGCTGGCTGGATTCCCTCCCTGCAGACCTCTTGGCAGGGGGCTACGAGGACTTGCCGGAGCTTTTTTCCCAATGATATGACCTGGGTAAGGCCCCGGAAGGGGCAAACTGAGGAAGTATGTCTTGCAGAACAGCAATCTCCGGTCTAATGCGGGAAATTGTTGGGGAGACAGATAGAGACGGCTTAAAAGAACTCCTGTTTTTCTATTGTATATTGTGTATACTTCTTGTTGTTTACTTCCTCTCTTCAAACCTGACCATTATGGTCTTGGGATATGCCGTGAGGCCATCTGCAAATTCCAGCGAGGAGTCTGGTGTGGTGAGGTCCATCTTTGTGAGAATCAACCAGTCAGCATGACCACAAGTCATCACATGGATAGGAAATGGAGAGAGATAACCAACCTTGAACCGCAGAACCAGAGTGGGAATCAGCTTCTTGATCTCCAGCTCGGCAATGTGTCGGCCCAGGCAGACCCGTTTTCCAGACCCGAACCCCATCGAGGCTCGTTCCATGGCAAGCCTCTTCTCCGGGTTCGTCAGCCACCGCTCGGGTCGGAACTCTTCGACATCCTCGCCGTAGAGCTCGCGGTTGTAGTGGATGACTTTGGCGGCACATCCAACCGTGGTGCCGGCTGGTACCTGCTTGCCGACGATGACGGCGCCGCCGGGAGGCACCACGCGCTCCAAGGGGATCGTGACGAACGGGTTGCAGCGCATGGCTTCCTTGAAGACAGCGTCTAGGTACTCGAGCCGATTGACTTCGGTCCACTGCGGCACCGGGGTGGAAAGTTGGGCCTGCTCCAGCTCCTGCTTGAGCCGGTCGTACGCGGCGGGGTATTTCATCAGGAAGAAGAGAATTGTCGTGATCGTCACCGTCGTGCTGTCGAAGCCCGCCGAGATGGTCGACGTCGTCATGAGCTCGATGACGTCGTGGCCGATGGCCGGGTTTTTCTTGTACGCGTCGACGTACTTCTGGAGCAGGTCCTTCTGGCCCTCGGTCTTCCCCGCCGGCGCCGCTTCGCGGTTGGCCAGCTTCCGGAGCGCCTCGAGCGCCCACGCGGATGATCTCTTGGTGACCCAACTGAAGAGCGGGTGTTGGAAAAGGAGGTACTCCAACGTCGGCAGCGCCTGCCAACGCACCCAATGCGCGACTCTGTCACGGCTGGGGTCGACCATTCCCCAAACATCCCTCCGGTTCTGCAGATGGCCCAGATTCTCACTGAATGCTAGCTGCGTCAGCATATCGAGCTGGAAGAACTGTATGGTCGTGAAGAGGTCGAACTCGGGAAACTCGATGATGGTCCGGGCGAGCTCGCTGACCGTTTCGTCGACGCTGTGCTCGTAATCGAGTAGGGTCTTTGTTGCGAACGCGTTCCCGACCCCCCTCTTCAAAAGGGTGTTGCCGTCCTCGTCCTGCATGTCGATAACGCTCCCGATCGACTTGCCACGAGGCGTGGGCACCCGCAATGGGGAGTACGAGTCGGCCTGTGATGCAGAATTTGTGAAAACGGCTCTTGAAAAACGGAGGGACCAGAGTACTACGGGGCTGACTGACCTTTCTGAATTCCCCATGGTTTGTGTAAATTGTGCTGACGGCGGCAGGGTCGCTGACATGGATCGTGTTTGGGCCAATTCGCACCAGAGGACCATGCTTCTCGTGAAGCTTGATCAGTGTCGTGGTGATAGTGCCGTAGTTCTGAGCATATGCTCTCCAGAGGTCCGTGAAATTTGCCAAAAAGGGCCCTGGGATGGAGCTTAGTTTTCGATATCTGGAGTAAAGCCGTAGTGGAATCAGGAATACAATGGCGATAAGCACAATGCCCTCGACCGATGAAGCCATCATTGATTGTCGCTAACCCTGTCGAAGCTCCTAAGGTAAGGTGAGGCTGTCGACAACCGTTCCCTAGACTTTTGGTGGATGGCTCTTTATAAACACTGTGATAGCCATTTTGGCAACTCCTCTACCCTTATGCTCCACTTGCTTGTCGCTTTCAAGCATTGCTGAAGGGTGATCCTCCGGGTGATGTCAGCAAGTTCGGAAGCCACCCGAGGATGGACAGTCGAGCACGGAACATGCTGTTCATGGAGCGCCTTAATTGGCGCCTGGCAAGGACAAGTACCGAAGTAACAATGAACTTCGGTTCCACCCTCCTCACCGTCTGAATTCACAACCCTCGAGACAAGTCGGAGGTCAAGAACAACTGGGCCATTGCCCCTCGGGGGTAAGCTTACCACAGGATGCTGAACAGCAAAATGAGCTCGGGAGGTAATGTTCATTGTGAGGCGTGGAACGTAGCGCAGACTCGGGCGAAGTACCCCATTATGACTCCGACATTCGCCAGATGATTCGGTCTAGGGGATTGAGACCAGTGCCGCAGGGACCCGATTGACTTGGGTCGCCAGGAGTACGCTGCGAGGCAGTACCGGTATTGATCATTGCCAAGGACAGACGAAAAGGGGGAACAAGACAATCGATGACGGAGGCAGTTCTTGAGAGAAAGTGCCAAGTAATACAGTACTCTTTTGGAGCGAAAATGCCAGGTATTGAGCATGATGTGGGCAATGCTAATTGTAGACAGAGAAGCTGGCTTTTAAGTAGGAAATGGAGGTCAGCCAATGAAATGATACTCCGGCTTCATCTTCCTTCCCATGCCTTCAAAGGACTTAGCCTTCAACTATTATCGCCCTCCATTTTGAGTTCTGAGGATGTGGTTTATTTCAACGCTCGCAGCCTTGCTGCCGAGGGAGCTAGCGGCCTGTTTCCAAGTGTATGTGGCTCAGGTTCATGTCCTTCGGGACATGGTAGCCGAACAGCCTCGGATCCAATCCTGCAGCATTCATGGCAGTTTCTACACTTCTGATTGACAGACCTGAAGTAGGACGACACAATTGCACATCATCAGAGGTTTACGATTGCCGTGAAAATATGACTGTGCCTGCCGCTGGGGGAGTAGCTTCACGCCACGACCTAGATGACGTTGCTCTCGGGCGGTATCTGCAACGCACGAATTCCGTGCCTACATTAAAGCTACCAGTTGTATCGACAAAAATCGGTTATGGTCAAAGCAATCCGACATATTACGTCGACGATGCAGCGTAGGTTGTGTATGCAGACATATGACTGTCTTCATAATAGCTGACACGATGCACCCTCAGCGGAACCCGACTCATTCTCAGAAAAAAGCCCGCGGGGCAAATCATCAGCAAAGTCGCCCACCAGGTCGACCGCGAGTTTCGGGTGTTGAAGGCCCTTGGCACGGTCAAAGGATTTCCTGTGCCCAAGGTCTATACGCTATGTATGGACGATTCCGTCATCGGCACAGCGTTCTACGTATGCTTGTTAGGTATCTCCGGCTAGAACCGGGGTCTGTTTCGCTGACTCGCAATCAATGGTCGAATAGGTCATGGAGTTTGTGAAAGGCAGGATATTCACAGATTACAGCCTTCCAGAGCTGTCGCCTTCAGATAGGCGCAAGGCGTGAGTTGGTCTCTGCATGTCCTTGCCACGGGCTAACCCAGCATTCTTTTTGCTCAGCTGGTTCTCTCTGGTGGAAACCCTAGCATGGCTCCATTCAATTGACCCATTTTCCATCGGGCTAGAAGGATTCGGCAAGACCACGGGATTCTACGCTCGTCATTGCAACACCTTTACTAGAATCGAGGCCGAACAATCCAAGATCGAAGACAGCGATGGAAAGCCACTCGGCCGAGCACATGAGCACTATGATGAAATTATCGACTACGTGAGAAACAATCTACCTGGCGACCGCTACGCGATTGTGCATGGTGACTACAAGTTTGACAATGTGGTAAGAAACTCCCTCCCGCAAGGGTTAGCAACGCTTAATTTCGGGTCATTTGCAGATACTCCATCCTACCGAGCCACGAGTCATTGCGATCCTCGATTGGGAACTCTCAACTATTGGGCACCCGCTGATGGATGCAGTCTTTATCGTTGCGTCGTTCTGGAACGAGGCATATAAGACTTCCTCGAACCCACTTTCCAAAGTCAACGGTGTGCCCGGGGCTGATGAGTTGATGGACCGCTATAGCGAGATCGTTGGATTCGACCCTCGAAAAGATGGCGGAGGCAAGGACTGGGAAGTGGCCAAAATCTTCCACCACGTACGGGGCAGTACGATTACGCATGGGATCCAGGCAAGGACGATCCGCGGCCAGGCCAGTAGTGAGTTCAGCCACGTGTACTTCGAGTATACGAAATCAGGGCTGGACATTGCATTGAGGATCGTGCGGGAGATGAAGGCAAAGGAAACACCTCTACCAAAACTCTAACAGAGTAGTATACCCTAATATTGCTCTATGGGCAATGCAACGTTTGGGCACACTTCACTTCTAACAGCGGAATGACCTTTCGATGACAGGACCTTCGAAATGAATTTCCGAGTGCAGGACCACTACGCTCTGACGACAGCGTGACAGTCTTAGAGAGCCCTGACCTTGGTCGCCTTTTTCAAAAAGCTGCCTGATGGGGAACCATTCAGGCAATATCTGCGATCATATCTTGGACCGAGAGAGTTTCGCGACCCCACATTTTCGTATAGGTTGCGGTTGAGTTCCTATCTCAGCCTTGCGATTCCGAAAGTGGATTTCCTCCACTTCCAGTATTATGCTCACCAAGCTTGAACTCAGCAGCACCTTCAAAACTCTCCTCAAGGATCTGACGAGCACAATTTTCAGCTTTTCAAACCTGTTTACCATCTTGACTCCGAAAGAGAAACTCAGGATAACTTGGCAAAACTCTCAGATTTTCCGAGGCTGCGGCTTGTTTCCAATCTGGGGAAAACCGTGGCAAACCTGGATGTCTAGCACCCCAACTGCGGGATCTCGCTTCCACCTCTCTCGGTATTGCAGCCAGCGATCATGGAGAGTGAAACGTCTAGGAATACCACCTCAATGTGCTTTCTGCTTCACCTACGCTAAACCCACTTGCAGTTAACCGAGCAACAGAACTTGTCAGCTGGAAGCATAGCTCTGGCGCTCTATCCGATCTAGCCCCACCAGTACGGGGTTGAACCTTGCAATTCATGGGATGTACAGCACCAAGTTGGCCTGACAGACGAATAGCTTTGTCAGGAACCCGGGGGTAGTCTATCCCATTGGTAACAGTCGACTTCGGGTATGCGTGCAATCAGCCTGGCCGAGGCTATCAATACAAGGATCCTAGTCTTCAAGACCAATATCAACAAGTTTCGACCCCGCCTTTTGTCAAGTTCGATATATGAGTGCTTGGAAGCTCGAAAACTACGCGTCTCCTCTGCTTTGGCTGTCCCTCTCTCCACAAAGCCTGTTCTCCCTTTCCCCCGGAAAAACGCTATCGACCATGCAGAAATATCAGCTATTGTGCATTCTTTTCGTTGCCTTCGGCTCAATCTTCTACGCCTATGACTCCGGTAAGGGGCACCCAAGGCTGCAGAACTATCTATCGGTATACTAATTCTGGGTTCAGGCTGTACCACATCGGTCCTGGGATATTCCTCGTTCATCGAGTACTTCAACCTCGACGCCACGACCATCGGAGCTTTTGGGTCTGCCTACTATGGAGGCGGAGCTGTTGGATGCTTCCTCAACTACTATCTGCCTGATAAGTATGGGCGACTGCGAACAATACAGATCTCTTGCGTGCTGGCCTTGATCGGCTCTGCAATGCAGGCTGGGGCGACGAACTTCCCAGTCTTCTGCACTGGCCGTGTCCTCGGAGGAATAGCGAACGGTATTTGCCCCGACCCTGTCTTTACAATGCTGAACTTATTGCCACGGTGGTTTCTCCACCTTGGTAGGTTATTAGATAATCAAATTAACTAACGAGGTTCGTCCCTCAGGTATTGTCTTCTCGGTGTGTCCGACATACGCCAGCGAGATTGCGACTCCAGAGATCAGAGGCCGCGTTGGCTCGCTCTATGCTTTCAATGTCAACTTCGCCTACATGCTCACGGAGTGGATGGGTCTCGGCTTCTATTACATCAAGGGCAATGCTGCATGGCGCACTCTGCTGGGAATCCAACTTGTTCCCGCCCTTTTCATGCTCATTGCTTCGTTTTGGATGCCCTTCTCTCCCCGATGGCTCATCATGAAGGGACGAGAGGACGAGGCATTGGAAGTGCTCAGGAAGCTTCATGCCGGCGTCGAAGGCCATGAAGAAGACTTCTATATCAAGGAGTTCCACCAGATCAAGACTCAGTACCAGATCGATCAGGCCAACAAGCTCGGCCTGATCGCCATCTTCAAGAAGAAATCTTACCGCAAACGCATGTACCTCATCTTGTTGTTCGTGGCCTTTTGCCAATTCACCGGCATCATCCCACTGCAGAACTACCAGGTTACAATCTACACCAAGCTCGGATTCACCAATGTCTTCAGCCTAGTGCTTACAGGTATCTGGGGTACCTTGGGCTGCTTGTCGACAATTACCGCAAGTCAAATTGTTGACAGACTGGGTCGACGACATCTCATGGTGCGTGCTTCACATACACCTGACAATTAGTATATCTTTTGCTGACATTGCGACTTAGTTCGTGTCTTACAGCTTCATGATTCCTGGGGGTATTCTTCTCGTGGCTCTATGGGCAAGCTTCGAGGCTACCAATAGCACCAACTATGCGTTGGGCAAAGCCGTCATCTTTGGCATGTTCTTCTACGGCTTTGGATACGGCGGCTTCATGAACACCTTCTTCCCGACCTACTGCACTGAAGTCATGCCAACCAACATCCGCGCGACCGGCACGGCCAGCGGCTACGCGCTCTTCAACCTCATCGTAATCATGCTGGTCCAGGTGACGCCCATGGCGATCGAGGCCATCAGCTGGAAGTACTTCATGATCTTCGTCATCTGCGACATCATCTTCATAGTCATCTTCATCATCTTCTACCCCGAGACCAAGAATAAGACGTTGGAGGAAATCAGTGCGATTTTTGGCGATGAGGTATGTCGTAATAATGTCAAAGGGTATGACAACAAGGCAATGCTAACTTGTGATAAAACTAGGTTGCCGAGACGATCGAAGAGGCCGGTCAGCATGTTGAAGAGGTCTTGCACCAGCACGAGAAGACCGTCCATCATATCGACGAGGTGCCAGTCAAGCTCGCGTGAACGACTCTTATCAACGCGGGGCTATAGCAAAGTACCACCGCTGACGCTCATATTGTCCCTTCCTCGTGACGCTACCAAGACTAAAGTTGTGGACGTTGGAAAGAATTGTTGAACTTCTTGGCGGCGATTCGCCCGTACTACTTTTTTCCCTCTTACACCACCACCAGCAGATGATACCGGTTGTTTCACCTGCCATCAATGGCAAGATAATATTGTCCCTGTGCACTAAAGGATAATATAAATGTCCATAGTACATTCATTGTATCCACAGTTCCAGGATGGCCGTAAGACTCAAATCATCCCGCGCATCAGTGATATTATTGGCCTAGTGCCCATTTAGTAAAGTGAATAAAGGGTGTGCAGGTTGGGTAGATCTCACGACTAGAATGGCATAGGTCACGCCTGACGAGCACGTTTTAAGCATACGCAATCATGACAAGAAGCCTTTTTGATTGGGAGCTTGCTTTCGCTCGAGACATCTTGTAGTCTTCCTCACACGCGTGACTTCGTGGGGAATTCACTAGTGACTAAAAATATCGCTTTCAAGGAGCAGTAGCGGTGTTACGTCCCAGATATTCAACGCCCTTATGAATGTTCAAACTGCTCAGTCTGCAGATCGGTCTGCAGCCGCAGTTGATCTATCTCTCTTTGTTCCTGGGAGTCCAGCCCCTCCATGATCTTTATGCGACACCGACTTCTTCAGATCCACCGCTCTCTTGTCTATGACAGTACTTCAAATACTCTCTTTCAACCGTACCCTCATCTGGAGGCGGACCTAGAAACATCCATACTCGGTAGCTTGTTGGACCACATCCGGCGATGGAGCCGTTGTAATTGAACCTTCTTCTTCTCCCATAAGGCCCTCAAGCACCATCCCAGACTCTCTCGACAACATCTAGGCCATCCATCGTGGGACGAAATTTGACGTACTGTAAAGGGAGAAAGTTGTTAGTTGACTGCATCACGGTGTGGGTGTACAAGTGTAACTCACCTGAGAGAGCACAATTATGCGGTTGAAGGTGTCATTGAACCAATGAATGGCGGTGTTCAGGTGGATTTTGCAGGGATGTGCGGCATCCGCCATATAGCGGACCAGGCTATCCATCTCGAGGATTCGGCCAGTCCATGTGAACTCGCTATCCATTTCACCCGCGTCGAACAACTCCTTGTTGCCCAGCCACCCGTCGTCCCTGATTCGCGGGGACGGGTCCGGAACGATGTATCGGTACGCATCGTAGTAGATCATGATGTTGTTGACGCGAGGGAAGAATGCCGGCAGCATCCTCCACACCGCGTCGAACCCATGCCCAACGCTTCTGTGAGACAAGCCGCAGAGGGAAAGCGCCATGATTCGATTCCGGATTGCTGCGAACTTGGGACCGCAGACCTTTTTGAATGCATCCGCTTCATATTCCTTGTCCCAGAAGATTGTCATTCGACCATTGAATGATTTCTGTCGTGTTCTGTGAGAGTCCTCCCGAACCTTTTTGCTAACATATGCCACACTCTCGTAGTCATAGCCGCGGACGACCACCTCAGAACCCCCTTTTGCTAGATATTCCAAACCCCAACGTGTCCCCACAATTTCAGACATGAATACTCGTACTCCATGCTTCTCGTCGTAGACGTGTTCGTAGATTTTGTCCTGGATTTCTTGTGGGAGCTGAAAGAGTGGGAAAGGGATATATGGAGGGGATGAAGTTTGTCCGGGCAATGTATTGCTCACTGCCTCCCAGTTATGCATCGGGTTGAGGTTCTCATTTGGGACTTGGTTCGACTCATCGGCTGGAAGGTCCCATGCTCCATCAGTCCCTCGACTGGGCTTGCCCCAAGGGCGGAGCTTTGGGTTGGCGACCCAGCACTGGCTGGTAAAATGGCCGTAACTTCCGCACTTGGGGTGAGTGCATTTGATGCGTCGTCGGCCATGGCCCGGTGGATTCTTTTTTGAGTTGCTTGGGGACATTTTGGGGAGTGTGGTCACCACGAGGCTGGCGGGATAAGGGGGTTGCTCAAAAGGGGGTTACTCAAGTTTCAAAATACGAAAGATGGGATGAGATGCGGAAACTGTCGACAGACCAGTGTACATGTCCGAGGCGTCTAAGATGCAGATGGGAGAGCGCATATTTTATGAAATGGTTGTTATCAGGGCAAGCAGAAAACAAAAATAGTGTCACTCCATGCCCGGTGCAGCCAGTGACGAGCCGGTGCCGGATTTGCTGGTGACATGTCTTTGGAGAGGGCGGACTCCCAGCCACTCTCGTGACAGAGTCTCGAGGACCTCAGCAGCAACAAAGCGTAGTGACATATTACCCAGAGTGTTCCGTGGTTCGATCGGCTTCGAGTACTGCGAACCCCAGGTTCCGAGCTCGACAAGCATCGGGTGGAGGGGAGAGTTCAAGCCAAACTCTGGACCACTAGACCTTTAAAGTTCTTGATGAACTTTATCCATACACTTGTGTCTTGAATTTGCAGTCACGGCTCCGTCCAGGATGTGAAGCATGCACAGGTCGTGACCGACCAGTGACCATCAAGATGCAGGCTGGTTGGAGTGCAGACTCTGTCCCAGCATATGCTAAGTCCTATCGACCGGCCAGAGGGCTTATTGTAGAGAAAAGGTGCGATGGGGGAAGACATATGGCAAAGAGGCAACGGGTGAAGATGAGAGGGTGGAGACGACTACTTACCTATGTCTAATAGTCTCTCCGCCTGCGCCCGACAACGTTTCGAGTTTAAAGCATTTCATCAGGAACAAAGACCACAGCGGACCACCACACCAGTTCCCGCGGCTCCTTTCCAAGCAGTGGAACTATACAACCCTCTGATTGAGAATGATGGACAGAAGAATCGCGTCGATTTGTCTCGGGTCTTCTGTTCGAACAACGCGCAGGAATAGACCCGTGGGGTCTCCAATATCCGAAACGGCCAGCAGAATCATTGTCTGGATTTATGTCGTGTCTTGGGGGCCACGAAAGTAGCTAGGTCTTGCTGTTTTTCAAATTGCGGTTCCCGTGTTCCGTAATCTTGGTTGTTCTTCGACACGTTTTAACTTGAACCCATTCGCGCAACACCATACCAGAGTGCAGTAACAAAGGGTTTCCAGATTTAGGGTGCCGTGCTGAATTGAAATGGTCAACAACCTCCATCCAAGACATAAATGTGGGTGGGCTGTATAACTCACAGAGGCAGACTTCGGAGGTCCGAGAGAATGAAGTGCTTGGAGAATATCGCATGGCCTTCAAAGAACGCCATCATGGCATCGGGGTCTCCTTACACCGAAGATAATCTCTGACGATTGGGACTGCGGCGAAGGTATGTTGGGTAGCCCTTGACGCGCGATGCAAACTTCAGAAAAGGCAATAAACGACGTTTTGAAGCAGGATTAAGAGGACGATAATCGTGGTCGTGAGGTAGAGCTGCTCGTTGGTCGCTTTCCTTTGGATCTTATGAATCGAAGAGGTCATCGACGCGGATGGTTACTGACACTCACTTCCCCCTCCTGAGATTGGCTTACGAAGATTGCCAATATTCTCATATACGGCATTGGTTCTCCATCACAAAACTTGTCCCCTCTCCGCAAAGCTTTGCTGGGTAGCTTGGCGAGAATTGTGGCGTGGATGTACATATGATCAAACTCCATGCTTAGTAGAGCTGAACCCCAGTGCTATTCGCAACAGCAACAGGGATTCCCAGTCCAAGCTTCGAGAGGCGTTCGAGTCAAAAATCTGACGAAGAAATTCACAGCACTACTCTCAGCGACACGTCTCCTCGTCGGTTGACCATGCTTTTGGATGCTCTTTTGCTTTATCATTGGGATACTTCTGTGGGTAACCCGTCGAATCCGTATTCATTTTTGGGAGTGGGGACGGAAATAGACCGATGGTGCCATTGGGCTTGTTTATATCCAAAAATTAGACTAGTCTAGTATAGATTGATGAGTGGCAACGCTGACAAGTAAACAGAACTGAGAAGCTGGAATGGCGTTGCGTCAATATTGTACATATGACAATCCCTTGATTGCTAAATCAAAGCCCAAACCACCGCTCCAGGGCCGCCTTGGCCGCGACCATGTCTGGCTTTGCATGTTCATCAACCACCCAAGCAACAATCCCATCAGGTCGGACTAACAAAGCACGAAGTCCGCGTGTGTCTTTTGCGCCTATACCAATGTATTCCACTCTGTCCTCGTACTCTCCGTCGACAATCAACTTCTTGAGCGTCGCGTCGTTTTCGAAATCGATAAGAAGTCCCCGACCCCCTTCGAATTTGGATCCAAGTCTCGAGCCGTCGTGCAGCTCGAAATCCGGAGCGCTGGCGCCAACGAGAGGGTGAGCGTACGCCTCGCCATCGCCCAGTACGTATCGTTGGGACATGCCCGAGAAGCGCCCCATGAAGTAGTTGGCGCCGTCAGTAGTGTCGATAAGGTCACGCACGATCGCCTGCACAGCTTCGCCATAAGGATCAGGCTGCAGCACGGCAACCTGTGCGCGCGTCCATTGAAGAACGCGTACCCCAGCAGGGTGACGCTCACTCTCGTAGGTGTCGAGTAGAGCCAGGTCCGCTGGATTGCCGTCCTCTCCGGATTCTCTTCGTATGGTCGCAGCAAGCTTCCAGCCTAGGTTCATAGCGTCGCCCAGCCCAAGGTTCAGGCCCTGGCCACCGAGAGGTCCGTGGATATGGGCGGCATCACCAGCAAGCAGGACTCGGCCCTTGCGATAGCTCGTTGCTTGTTTGCAGCGATCGGTAAACGTCGAGGCGAGGTGTATCTTCGTAATTTGAACGTCTGTGATTCCTGACACGCGGCGGAAGACACTTTGAATGTGCTGTTGCCCAACTTCTGCCGAGCGATCAAACGCACCACCGTCGAAATCAGTCAGATAGAGAGTCTCTGGCATCCTTACAATGTACAACCCGGCTTTCGTGACATGGAAGCCTGGTTTCAACCTCTCCGGGTGGTCCCACTCGCACTGAACAACGTAGCCCGTAAACTTGGGTTCTGTGCCAACAAAGTCAAAGCCTGCAGACTTGCGAACCAGGCTTCGCCCGCCGTCGCATCCCACGAGCCACTTGGCGCGAAATGTCTGATTTTCTCCAGCTTCCACGGTAACAGTATCGTGGTCCTGCGACACAATTTTTGTGACACCGTCGCCTCTCAGGATGGTTATGCCCAACTGCTCAGCACGTTCCGTCAATACGGCCTCGACGTGCTCGATAGTCGTAGGACCGGGGACCAACGCCGGCCCAGGGATACGATATTTCCAGCGATCCATATCCAATTTGTTGGCGTTGAGAGGGATACCAGCGAAGTGACCGCCGAAATTGAAGCCCGGTTTTTTCTGGTAAGATGAGGGTCGCTCGTCCGGACCAAAGAGCTTGCCCAGGAGGCCACGTCGGTAGAAGCTTTCAAGTGAAGGCGTAGTGATGCCGCGAAAACCTAGAGGATCGCCTTTCCATGGCGATTCAGCCTTGAGATCACGCTCCAGAACTAAAACAGACACACGCGCCAGTCCTAGCTCGCAGGCCACGAAGAGCCCGATGGGCCCAGCGCCGGCGATGATAACATCGTAAAGCTTGCTCATCGTTGGATGCGCTCACGGTGCAGCGTCGGATTTGCCCGAGAGACGAGTTTGGGCAATGTATCGAATACATTTCCGGTGGATTCAAGCGCCTTTTATAGCTGCGGCGACAGAGTGACGTGCGCTTCGACTGGAGGTTGTATACGCACCGGACGAGAAAAAGGAGCAGAGCCTCGGGGACACGAGAAGTCTTTTCGGGGCGCAAAATGTCCGGGCGGAGAGCATTCGGGGAAACTGGCGACTGCTTTCCCCGAGACCCAATATTCACTCCAAACAACTAATCGGAAGGCTTCTGGTGCTCCACCTTCCCGAAAGTCTCTACCATGATTCATCGCTTTCGAATCCGCTGGGGAGTGGCATCGATTTCGATGGATTGCGGATTCTTCTTCCTCGAACCATGATTCATCGAACTCGTGAGAGAAGTGGCCGTTGCCATTCGTCTAGCACATGGCATTCCCCCTTTGCTAGAACTCACTTTCCCTCATACTTAGTTTCCAGTCGTATCTATATCCACTTGTTATGAATCCCCCAAGCCTTTCGCTAAGGACGTCGCCCACAAAGCGGAGCTCCGCGGCCTGCATCCATTGTTCAGATCGGAAAGTCAGGTGTGATAAACAGGCTCCATGTAGTACATGCACGAGGCACAATGTGCAATGCATATTTCCTCCGCCGAAAACGAAACCCCTGAAAACGAAGCGAAAATGGGTTAGCATCGAGGAATACGACGAGCTGGAGAAGCGATATGAGGCATTATTCCAGGAAAAAGGCGTCGGCGTCAACCAAGTTGAAGCCACCGCCTCCTCACAGCATGAAACTCTTTCCATAAATACTGCCTCGGACGTGTCTCGAACCCATCTCCAATTTAAAACACCAGATTCGGCTGTTTCAGAGCCCCAGAGGACTGTCTTCAAGCCTCAGCTGCTACAGGGGCAAGGAGGTACCAAACTTGTGGACAAGTAAGCAACATTGTTGAATCCAAGGAGGATGAAGCTGAGGTCCCCAATAGCAGCCTGTGGTCACGGGTGGCACAAGAGGTATGTGGATTATCGTCCCCTCCTTGCAGCCGCAGACTTGATCTCCTTCCTTGTGTGACAGGACTAACGGTAGAGCCAGATCCGTGATGCACAAGACGTCTTTGAAGAAGAAGACTCAACGGCGGGCTCTGTCGAGGGCGGATCGCCAAAAGACGATTTTTCTTATGTTCTGGGCTACAATGTGCTCGCGGCTGTATCCTTGCATCCACCCTCTCAGCACATCGATCAGTTATGGCAAGTTTTCATCAAAAATGTTAATCCTCTCACCAAAATAGTGCACGTACCGAGCTTGAAGTCCGCAATAGAGAAAGCTAGCAACAATATCGATCACATCCCGAAGGGCTTCGAGGCACTCATGTTCGCCATTTATAGCATCGCTGTCTTGTCGCTGACTGAAGACGAATGCAAAGAGATACTGGGTGAAACCCGGGTAATACTGCTTTCCTATTACGTGGCAGCTACGAAAAGGGCTCTGTTTCGTGCAAAGTTCATGAGCACCACTAGCATTGTGGTTCTGCAGGCGCTGGTCCTCCACATTCTCTCAATTCGAGACGACTACGAACCACGTGCGGTGTGGAGTCTCAGCGGGGTTGCTCTCCGTGTCGCAGAAGGTATGGGCATGGGCCTTGATGGCACATTTCTCGGCTTGCCACCCTTTGAAACCGAGATTCGTCGACGCATCTGGTGGCAGATCAGGTCGCACGACGCTCGTGCAGCAGAGCTTAGCGGCCAGGCCAAGTTTCGGGGAGACTTTGAATTCACTGAGACCACTCCGAAGATGCCCGCGAATGTCGACGACCGTGATATTTATCCTGCAATGTCGCAAGCAGCGGTCGAGTCAACGAGACCAACAGAGATGATATTCTGCATGATCAGGTCGACAATGGCAACCTTCGCGGCGGCGCAAATAAAGAAAATAGGCAAAGTACGCAAAGCCGCTTTTGCATCTGATGAATATCCTGCCATGGACGACTTGGGAGGGAAGGACGATTTCATCAAAGAGGTTGAAGACATCTTGGAAACAAAGTACTTGCGATTTTGCGACCCATCCCAGCCCCTACAACTAATGGCTCTAATTTGTGGTCGGACAGCATCAAACCTTATCCGCTTCTTGGCTCATCATCCACGTAGATGGGCCTACCAAGACCATGTTCCAGCATCGGAACGGCGATTGGTCTGGGGCGTTGTCATTCGACTCCTGGAGCAGTATAATATGATGCAGACCGACCCCAATCTGAGGCGCTTTGCTTGGCATGTGTCCTACTTCATTCAATGGCATGCTGTCATCCACGTCCTAGACACACTCCGAACAGACCCCCTCCACGGAGATGCTCAGAGTGCCTGGCGCCTCATCGACACCTTGTTCGAAAACAATCTCGAGATGTTACTGAGTATGAACCGGCCGATCGCCGCAGCAGTCGGGAATCTTTGTTTGAAAGCATTCGCTGCTCGCGAGGCCGTTTTAAGGAGACAGCAAACAGTTCTACATCGCCCGCCCGAATATATAACTAAGCTCCGGGAACAACGAGAAGCCGCCAAGGCAAGGAGAGAAGAAGCAACCATGAGAAGCCAGATGCAAGACCCACTTAGCGACCAAAACAGATTGAAGACAAGCGATGCCGACCCAACATCACCAGACACGATTTTGCGATCGAGAGACACACACGCAGCAGCTCAACCGCAGCAACACTTGCTGTCAAAACAGCAGGTAAGCGACTTTCAAAGCAACGCCAGGGGTGAAGACGATGCGTTCTGGCTCAGTGACACTCTAGGCGACGGATTTCCACCTGATGGAGCTGCCGACATGATGAGCCTATACACGGATGCCATCTTGGCCCAGGAATATTCGCTGAATACTCCCAATGACGGTGCCATAGACTGGGAACGATGGGATTCCTGGTTTGGTCATCTGAATCCCCTGCAACCAAATGTTGTCCCGCAGAGAGAGCGACGAATTAGTGTCCAAAGTCTGATGTCCAAGTAAGGCTTACACTCAAGCGTCCGCTTTGCGTGCTAAGTAGGCGCATTTCTGTCTCCTGCACGTACCTGGCCTTGCCTTTGTAAGAATATTGGAGTTGTCCGCAATGTCTGCTGTGGCCGGTGTGATGGTGCGTTGATGAATGGACTTCAAGCCTCATGTCCCTTTCACTTCTCTGGTTGTCAATCCTGCGCGTCCTTTGACATGTCGAAGCTTTGACCAGCAATATTGAACCTCGTACGCTCTAGGTTGTATCATCAACGAAATAGGGCTTCCAATTTCTTCATGGCACGAGTCTTAATAAGGCTGTCTGAGACAATGTCAGGAATCTTTTCAGTATGCCCAAATGTGCCAAGTACAGCCCTAGATATCTCAGCCAAAAGCGCACGTTCATTTCTCTTTCTTCCAGCAAATGTGAAGCTGGACCCCTCACGGAGCTTCGGCCACTGGCGGTACCCATGACCGAACGGACGCTGATCCTTTTCCCTCGTAGAGTTCCGGAGCTGCAAGGCGTAAATCGTTGGACTGGAATGTTTACCTAGATAGGCAGTTTCCTCAGGTGACACGCACTAAGACTGAGGAGATGGCAAAGCGAGGCACGTTCAGGAACGTGGTGCTTCGTATCAACGGCACCCGACATTCGCGGACCGCGCCAACAAACGAATTATTGTAGGATTTAGCGTGGCTTCACAGTGTTATACATACTGTATAACAGCAACTGTATTCCTGTCATTTAATCCCAGAGGGAGACATATGAGTAGACAAGAAGGCCAAATCGACAGTTTGGGGTTTGTAGAGCTACCAAAGTAAAAGCGGCAAGGGAGTTGGTGACTGGGCTTAGGCCAAGACACTAAAGCAGCAACTGCGCAGCTCTCAGTTCCAACGTCAAGCCCGGTAGATCTATTCGCCTGCCTGTCCATCGACGTCTCTTTACTGCAAGCTGCCACTACTTCAGAAGCTCCTTGGTCCGGCCGCAGCTTTATACCTTCCCTGCACTCCTTAACCCGGCTCCATTCTCTTGTTTGTGACGATGGAAGGTGAGTATCTGTGGCTCTACGAGGTTTCCGTAACTGATTACAATCCAGGTCTTTTGTTCAACGTCAACGGGGGTTACTTGGAGGGTATAGTTCGTGGCTATCGCAATGCGCTGTTGACAAGCACAAACTATGGCAATGTATGTATCTCCAAGGAGCAGTTCTGGGACGCTTCATTGACAGAGTGTAGCTCACACAGTGCGAAACGATCGAAGACGTCAAGACGCAGCTCGGTCCAGCCTACGGCGAGGCGCTCTCAAACCTTCCTCCAAACCCCTCGACATCGGCCCTGGCAAACAAAACCACAGAAAAACTAGTCTCTGACTTCAGATACCTCCAAGGGCAGGCGACCGGATCATTGTCAAAATTCATGGAATACCTCACATACTCATACATGATCGACAACGTGGCCCTTCTCATTACTGGGACGCTACACGAAAGAGACACCAAAGAGTTACTGGAGAGATGTCATCCCTTGGGTTGGTTTGAGACAATGCCAGTTCTTTGCGTGGCCACCAATATTGAAGAACTGTATAACTCAGTCCTCATCGAAACTCCACTAGCTCCGTACTTCAAGGGGAGTTTGAGCCATCAGGATCTGGATGAGCTAAACATTGAGATTGTCCGAAACACCTTGTACAAGAACTATCTGGAGGATTTCTTCCATTTCGTAAATACGGATCCCGAGATGGCCATGACTCCAACGGGAGAAATCATGTCAGAAATCCTCGAATTCGAAGCTGATCGAAGAGCCATCAACATCACTATCAACTCCTTCGGAACAGAGCTGACCAAGGAACAGAGGAAGAAGCTCTATCCTGAGTTCGGGAAGTTATATCCAGAGGGGATGCTCATGCTCTCGAGAGCGGACGACCTAGAAGGTGTAGGCCTTGCGGTCAGCGGCGTGGGTGATTACAAGCGGTTTTTCGATGAAGTCGGCTTCAACCAAAGCAGCGGCGCGGGTGCTGGCAACATGGCTGGAGGTGCAGGTGGTGAATCCAAGTCTTTGGAGGACATGTTCTACCAAAAGGAGATGGAGCTCTCCAAGATGGTTTTCACTCGACAATTCACTCACGCGGTTATATATGCGTGGGTCAAGCTACGAGAGCAGGTGAGTTGGAACCTTCCTGGAGAGACAAGGCTGCTAACCCTTCCAAAGGAAATCCGAAACATCACCTGGATTGCCGAGTGCATTGCTCAAAATCAAAAGGACAGGATAGGGAACTATATCAGTGTGTTCTAACATGGTTAGGTTCGTTGTCACGTGGGCAGCATGGCGTTCGGTAGAAGGGGTCTGCCTTTGCGGCCTTCCAGCTTGATAGCTCCAGACCTAATGAACAACTTTTTCAACACAACTCAAGGGGGCCTCCTTCCAGCTTCTTGAGAAGATTACTCAATCCGACGAGTCTCCGAAGGAAAGTACGTCTGCGTTGAGAGCTTCTCACTGCCTTCCGCATCGACAGCTTGGAGTGCGGTTGCCTGAGGAGAACTCATCAACAGCTCACATCAATTGAGCTCTACTTCTATCATGTGGAGTGAATCTCCTGCCAAACCCCATCGAAAGGCCAATCTACATTCACAATATCTTTGTTTCTTCCGCCTTTCATTCGCGTCATCGGTAGTCTCGCCTGTCACACAGCTTGTCTTCAAACTCAAACCATCGCTCGTTTATCCGATTGTCTCTTTGCATTAACAAAATCCATCAAAATAACAATGGAGGGGTCACGACTCACTACGCCACACGTTCCCACGGCTCCAACCCCTGCGCCGGATACGATTTCATCGCCAACAACCTTCATGGGCGCGAGTGACTCCTCGGTCTGTTGCTCGGATCCCGCCGTTGAGGATTCTCCACTCAGGAGGATCGATTCAGGCTTTTTCGAGGGAAGTTGTCAGCAAGAAGAGAAAGCAGAGCCATCGCCTTGTGTCAAGGATCATGAGAGCCGCCGACTCAAATCCTCAACCCCGCAATCTCGCATTGGCAATTGTGTCATACCAGAACGGTTACGGCATGTCATTCGACAAGACGTCTGGAATTCGAACAGGTTACCTCATTCAGTCCATCATGGCTATCTCCATCCTGACATCCGTGATGATGAACCAGCCGCTGCGCTCTACTCCCATGCGGCCGGTCCAAGTCAAAATATGGAAGTTGTCAGGTACACCAGAGTATTTCCCGAGCGCGGCATTGAGGGACCATCGACATTCAAAACATCCCAGCTTTATGGCCGGTGTGCTCCTGACGTGGAAGCTCGCTTCCAACGATGGGCAGCAGACAGAGCTGCCCTACATCAACGTCAAGCGCGCACGAACGTTGACAAATTGAGGGGAAAGCAACGCAAAGCGGATGGGGGACTTCTGGTTGGCTTGCGAAAACGCATCGAACGGCCGGCTGGATGCCCTGCGTCCCTTCATTGTCGAGTGAACAAGCCGGCGGGTCCAGAGAAGACGTTGCTTTCCAGCTACACGAATGCATTCAGGGCGTGGGATACTGCCATGTCGAAGTCTATAGGAGGCTACGCTGACAGCTATGAGAAGAGGTATTGGTACATATCTCAGTGGGATGGACCATGTCCTAAGTAACGGCTTGTCTGTTATTATTCAAGCAAGCGGTATTCGGGCTTTAACAGGGAGATAACTGGGTTCTCTGTTCTAGACCTGAGACAGCTGGCCTTAGTCAAGATCCCTTGTATTGCAGGAGATGCTATTTTTGTGATGTTCTTTCCCGCCAATGCCGAGATACATCAGTGGTTTGAAGTGGATACACAGAGTCGTCCTTCTTGGGCCCACCTTCTCTTTCAACTCTTCTTCGCTCTTGTGCACACGAAGCCAACAGATTTATCCCTTATGCCGAGGATTCTGGTGCCCGAACCCTTTAGTTTCACGGCTTCAAAGCCTCGTACGCCGCTCCCCCTTTACCACTCCTCCCACCTTTGGCCATCCGCTTCATTTCCTTCCTTTCCTTCCGGTCCTCTTTCTTCTTCTGCTTCCGCTCCTTATCTTCCTGGGAGAAGTCGCTGCGCTCGCCCTGCAGGTACTTACCCGGGTAGAAGACATTCAGGACCACGAGTGCAAAAAACATGGGCACGCCGTCGAAGACGTACGCGAACCACTCGTGCGTCACGGTCGGGGAGTTTGCGCCCATGCCAAACTCGACGAGGCGGTAGATGTTGCGGATGATGATCAGCGCGAGCGTGATGTAGAGCACGCGGAGCAACGGCGTGGCGAGGTCGAGGTTTGGTAACGTCGTTGCATTATTCTCTGGTGTTGGGGACGAGGAGCGGGTTTGGCTTGGAGAGGGCACGTGCGTGTGCGCGTGTTGGTATTGCGTCTCGATGTCGGCGAGGTAGAAACCTGAGTTCATCGTGGAGGAGTGATGCTCCTCCTTCTTCAGCTGCTTGACCTTGCGTTGGAACCCGATCGCCAGGGAGACAAAGACGGCGAGGAAGAATAACTGCACGCCCACGCCGGCCGTGTAGATGTTCAAGCCGGTCTTTTGGACCGAGGCACTCGCGCCGGGTCCCGTCATGGTGCCGCCGACGGCCTGGATCAGGAACGCCGTGATGTCAAACGCCACGAACATGCGGGTGATGGCGCGGGCGCGGACCTTGAACACACGGTCCTCGTTCTTGGGTAGGAAGAAGTGGATCATCCGTCCCAGAAGCATGTAGATGTACGCGTTGATCCAGAGCGGCGCCAGCAGGATCAGGAGCAGCTGCGCCGTGTAGATCCCGCTCGACCGCTGGTTCTCGATCGAGGCGATGCGCGCGACGTACCCGCCTGTCTCCCACAGGCCGCCCATGATGAGGACCGCGGCGAAGGGCTTGCGGTACACGATGGCCTGGACGATGTGCGTACATGTCGTGATGCCGAAGAGCGCCGTGAAGAGAATCGCCGCCCCGAGCGAGGGGCAGTAGGACCAGATGTCGTTGGGTCCGGTGCCGGCGTGGCATACAACGTTGCCCATTGTTGTCGTGTCCTTTCAGTGCAGAGAGTGCTCCTTCAAAAGAGAGCTAGCGATTTCTTGAGGGAAGAAGTGGACGGATATTTCCTGCGGTAGTGAAAAGGGTGCAAGCAGAGGCAAAAGCTGGAAGAGTATATACCAAGATTGAGGAGAGAATGCGAAGAGACTTTCATTGGGATGATCCATTGTTGATATAGCTACCAACCTTGGAGGACAGCAACGCCGTAAAATTGCTGCCTGGAAATTGACAGAGGTACTTGTCTGCACACGCTATCAAATACGGCTGTGTACTCCCAGGGCATGGTTTCAGAGGCCGCCGTATATTCACAGTATGCGGCACAGATGAGTTTAGCGCGTACGAGGTCTGCCGGCGGCCGCCAGCCAGCTTTGGGGCCATTTGATGACAAAGGTGACGGTGATGTGGATGAAACTGAAGACGACTTGACGGAGGCTTAGATGTTGGAGCGTGAACTGGCGAAGGGGCTTAGGGGGCTTAGGGGAGACTATGGAATACGGAGAATAGTGCACAAGGCTAGTGTATGCGAGTTGTGATTGGCCAGCGACCAGCCCGTATTGTCTAACCTCTCTCGGCTAGCGTGGGTGGCCTGGTTTGGGCCAATACGAGTAGCGCCTCTCTTGACGTCGTTCCTGGACATGGTTCTTCCTCTTGCCCATGCTCATCTGCCACTAACGGAGAGGGTCTTTTACCTCAGCAGTGGTACTTCTGGCCATACGTGGTGCAACTAAGCGCAGCAGCCCTGTGAATTCAATCCAAGCCTGGTGCCTGTCGCGGAGGCATTGGGGTTGATCACTGGCAGGGATCCAATGTTCGGGACCGCTGATCTCCAGGCAGTAGCCAAAAGTGCCGGCGAGATCTTCTGGCTGTGCTCCGGGTCTGTTCAGCTTGGGGTGGCATTGGCTTCTGGTGAAGCCGAAATTGAATATAATATCTGCTGAGCTCAACTCCTACACGCCTTCGTTGAGCCATGAATACGAAGGGTCGAGAAGCTACAGAGTCATGATCAGAATTGGTAAAAACAAAGTCCGGACGGGATGCTTCACTTGCAAGTAAGTCCAAGCCTGGACCTAACCCTGATGGCTGTTACCCCTTGCGCACATTGCACCTTCCTAACGCGGACAGGCGCCGACGAGTCAAATGCGACGAGGCACGACCCAGCTGCAATCGCTGCATCAAGGCTGGTAAGCCATGTGAAGGATATGCCCACGATCCGGAGTCTGGTCGAGGGAGGAGCGAGCTCGTCAGATTCGTCGTCTACACCCCCCACAACCCAACTCCCCTGTTATCTGAACACCCAGATCTCGATTGGTCGGAGCGGCGGTCGTTAAGCTACTTCCAGGATCGCACGGCACTGGAGCTTACCGGTCCTTTCCAATCCGATTTCTGGCTGGCGTCTATTCTGCCGCTCGCGAGGCAGGAGAGCTCTGTCAGACATGCTCTCATAGCCTTGAGCAGCATGCACGAGCATTTTGCTGGCGTCGATCATTTCTCCCCTACGCGAGGCGTCGATTTTGCCCTGAACCATTACGGCAAGGCTATGCGTGAGGTCGTGAGACTCAACCAGGCCCAGCTCGATCAGAATTTTGATTGCGCCCTCGTCACCTGTGCTCTCTTCTCTGCCTTTGAGAGTCTTCAGGGACAGTATCACGAGGCGTGCAACCATGCTGCCTCGGGGATCAGAATTCTCGCCGAGGAGCAGCAGAGCCCGAGCGCCATTGCAAATAATCAGACACACACTATCCCTCGTGAAGACCTCACGCGCTTCTTCGTCGCCATGGAGAGGCAGATCCTCGAACTCGGAGACCCAAACTTCCCCGGCCCTAGGCCGAAGTTTTACCATACGAAGCCTCCAAGTCCCATGCCACACCAATTTACTTCGCACGAACACGCCTTGCTGCATATAGAATTCCTGATGGCAGAACTCTTCGAATACGCGGCGCGAGCTGACCTTTTGGCGAGTGAGGGTCCCATAACGGGAGATGTTGCTCGTTCCCTTTTGAAAGAGTTCCACGCCATCAAGACGCAATGCGAGAGGTGGCAGGAGGCATTTGACGCATTCTCTTCGGTCGACTCGAACGAATATTCCAAAGAAACGCCTGACTCCTCCAGCTCAACCGCTTCATCCCCAACAAACGACCATTCTAGACCACGAAGTCCCGCTTTCCTGATTCTTAGGGCGTATCGGGCTCTCATGATAGTTCTCCTCGCACGAATTGAGACCGACGATGAAGCAGCGCTCAATGATTACACGCCGCAATTTTGGAAGGCACTTGATGCCGTGGAAGAGTTTATCCAAAGCACTTCTATTCTTGTCAGTCCCGTAGACAGCAGGTCGTCAGCTCAGCCTCCATCGAACCCGACACACACAAGCTCAACCTCACCCTCGAACATGACCTCGGCTCTACATCCGTTGTCAGTACCGCAACAGTCTCTGGTTGTGCGACCGACTTTCTCCCTTGCCCTGGGAATCGTGCCCGCCCTTTTCCTCATCGCCTCCCGGACCTTCGACCTACCCTTGCGCGACAAAGCCCTCTCCCTCCTGCGCATGTGCAATCGGCGCGAGGGCCTTTGGGACTCCCGCCTCGCCACGAGCGTGGTCGACCGTGTCATCGAATTGAGGGAGCAGGCGAGTAACATGAGCTCTTCGCACCCTCTCGTTGACGCAGAAATCCAGAGAGCAACAACAACGAGCCCAGAAGCACACATGACAGATAATTCCCCAGCGTCCGGACAAGGCGGCGGCGGCGGCGGCAACGCCGTGGAATTCAGGATATTGGACATCAAGTTCCTCCCGGGACGGAGATGCATGATTCGATACGCATTCGCTGACAAACAGGGCAGGATTGAAGGAATGCCGATCCCAATGCTGAGTGGTGAAGCGCCGAGTCACGTCCCTGGCGCAAGCGCTCATTTTGTAAGGGATTTTTGGGAGGAGGTGCGGTGGGAAGGCTAGCGAGCATAGCTGACGACAGTGATGTTTGTCGAGATAACAGAGAGAAAAAGGATACCCACGTCCATGCATCCATGCATGCATGTTCTTTGATGGCTGTAATTCTACTACCCTAGCAACCAATCTTGCATTACGGGGGAGTATATTGGGAATTACATCGGTGATTGCTGTATTCAGGCGTGTCCGCGACGGAAATTTGGGGCCTTTCTAAAAAGAAATCATCCTCATGCAGTGCAAATCTCTTCAAGAATGGATGGAATCCGTCCCCCGGCCCCCCTTCCTCCCTTCCGCAGTTTCAATGTCATCTTGGGCAGCTTTGACTTGTTGGATAGGTGGTCGACGCGATGAAGCCGTAATGAAACCATTTCACGCTTTCTCCCGGTTGATACCCTCTGTGCTTCGAAGAAATCCATGAAGTCCCCACCCATAAAAGACGCCGCTCGCCTGATGAAGACCCTTTCCAGCACTTGGTTCAAGGCACTTCGGTTGTTAGTATTTTTTGTATGTTGTCTCTGTTGTAGTTTTTTTGGTGTTCGCGCGTGCGAAATTCGATCTTGAAAATGTTGAAACAGGTGTACGAGATGGCATTGCAAGGAAATATCCACGGCAGGCCGGCAGACCATAAGGAACGATTGCACATAAGCAATCACGCAAGCATCACCAGGCTTTGGAGTGCACGAGCAAGGGACTCTGCAAATGATTCCTGGTATGATCACTAATCATATTGAAACAGCACACTGATGCTCTCGCCATAGTGCACCCTTCGGATTGCCTGTTGGTGAGATTCATATCAGCATATCTGGCCATCCCTGGCTTTCAATTTCAAACCAGTCTCGAACTCACCTCGGCAAAGACGTGACCAACCTCGAGCACTTCAAGCTTGGGACATCTCCTAGCATGGTGAGACTGATCGACCGTGTTGGTGACAATAACTTTATCCAAAGCACTGGCATTAATTCTTTCGATTGCATCTCCACTCAAGACTCCATGAGTCACCAACGCATAGACTTTGCTGGCGCCTTCTTTCTTCAAAAGTTTTGCGGCTCTGGTGATAGTGTTGCTCGTGTCGGCCAAATCGTCAATCAGAATGGCTACTTTGCCAGTGACGTCGCCGACAAGCATCATGGTCGCATTCTGTCGGTCGGTGATCTTGGTGGGTCTGCGTTCTTTGTGGATCAGTGCGAACTCGATTCCTAAGGAGTCGGCAATGGCGGTTGCTCGTTTGGCGCCTCCAGCGTCGGGACTAACGACCACTCCATTTCTATAATCTGGAATGTTTTGCTGGATATACTTCTTCAGAATGGGCCGGCCATAGAGATTGTCAACAGGAATGTCAAAGAAGCCTTGATATTGAGGATCGTGAAGATCCATTGTGATGATGTGGTCTGCACCAGCGCAAGTCAAGAGATCTGCCACAAGAGTACCTGCCTGAGCGACCCATTGTCGGTAGCCCGGGCGAGGTTTGAAAGTCTCCTGTGGGTCCATCTTTGGTGGTGGAGCGAAATCAATGTTGGCGACGCCGTTGGTGGCTGAGGCTGCGGAATCTCCCCGCTTTCGTTGGACTGGAAAGTATTCTGACTTAGTTGATGAATGTGAGCTTGCGTCACGGTCACGGTAGTGGCTGAAGCGGGCCTGATAGGTAGGGCTGTTCTCTACCTCATCGAGCTGTGACTTGGAGGTTGCTTTGTGCAGGGGATGTCCATTCGTGAGGCCCTGGCTTTCGGACTTGTCTGGGTGCGGAGTAGGCGGGATGCTGTCAAATGTGTAGCCATTTGAATCAGAAACCAGCTTGTTGGACAAATTCGATCCTTTGACTAGAGGCGCACCACTCTTGTTGTAGGGTATGTCGGACTGTCGTGAATATGGGAAGAGCGGAAGAACAGCGGTGACTTTCTTTGCAGAGGCGGTCTTGCATGCAGAAATGGCAATGAGAAGCTCAACAAAGTGGTCATTCACCTTACCACCACCAGACTGTATGATATAGACATCTTTTCCTCTGACTGACTCGCCTATCTCGACCCTGGTCTCTCCGACTGCAAATTTCGAGAAGAGGGCTTGGCCAGGTGCAATCCCGAGGATCTCACAGATTGTTTCGGTCAAGGTCGGATGGGACGACCCTCCGAATACGACGATGTTTCTGACCATCTTGTCCCGATCGAAGGGTACAGGCAGTAGCTTGCGGTGGTATGTAAGGAGAGGCTGAGGGGGAATCTTAGGTGGTAGGAGAAGGTGATTCAGAGAACAGTCGAGGTGGGAGAAATAAGGATACGGTGGTCAGAACATGCAGCCTACTGTAAGCCGTGAGGTCAAGGAAGTCAACCCAGTGGTTGACATGATAAAAGTAAAAGAGTGAAACCACTGATAGAAAAAGTTCGGGATCAGGTAAAGCGCAGTTTGGAGATTGAGGTTTGCTCTCCCCACGATAACTTTTTGTCTCGCCCCACCTTCCGCCTTGGATCCAGTGGTAACCGAGGTCAACATGTCGTCATTTGTATACATTTCGTCGAGACAAGTAACTGCTCGGTGCACAGCGTTGACGAAGACATTTCTACCTGGCTTTCATCCACTCTTTCACGGGTTGATGTGTGTGTGAACATTCGTATCTCCCGTCCAATGTGCCCCGTAGTTTTTGTAAGCTGCTCCACCGTCATTCGACGCCAACCCCTTCCACCACAAAACCATGCACGTCTGCCATCAATCGCCCGTGTCAACCTCGAGATCCAGTTGGACATTATTGCTAACGCCGTAGTCTTGGAGTGTCAGCTGGTCCTTGAATGGTCTTTCGCCTTGTCGCTTAAGCAATATCTCGTGAGGTTGTCTGCCGATCATCGACGCAACTATAACTTTGAAGTCCTCTGGCATTTCATTAGCACAGGCAGAACCCCACAGGAATGATATGGACTCACTTATTGGATCTGTGGGATAGCATGGGATGGCTTTTTTCGTCCCCAGTCTGTCGTTGACGTAAACAATGATCATCGGCTGCGCTGGCACTGCAGGAGCTGGCTTCTTCTCCTTCTTGTCCGCCTTGTCCTTCCTCTTTTCTTCGAGTGGTTCTGGTTCCTCTCGATCACGTCTCCTGTCGCGATCTCTGTCGTCTCTCCTGGGGGAGCGTCTTCGAGGAGGTGGGGATCTAGATCTCGAGCGAGGCCGATAATGATCTCTGTAGCCTCGCTGCAATCCTGAGTCGCGGTCTCGCCTCGAGCCGTCATCATCTCGACGTTTTTCCTTCCATTTGAATCCTGTGTCTTTTCGCCGCGATCGATCCTCGCGCCGGTCTCTATCCCGCCGAGGAGACCTGCTTCTCCTGCGGTCTTCGCCCCTGGACGATTCTCGCTCTTTCCTGTCAGTATTGGTGGTTGGAGGTGAGGATAGTGAGGTCTCACGCTGACTATCAGCCATTTTCGAAGCCTAAGCAGCCTCTGACAGATTTTGAAAGCGCGGGCGGAAAGTTTGTTCGAACCGATGGAACTGCCTGTGTGTCAAGGACAGAACTTGCAAGCGGCCGCCGTAGGCCACTACAAAAACCTGTCGGCGCCGGATAAACTTCGGATAAATTTTGCAGCCGAGCTCCATCTAGATACCTAGGTATTCCCTACTTTGGCTTGACGGCGCGCTCTAATAACACCTGGTCTCTCAAGATGTGAGTCCAATTGAATCATCCTGGCCTGGCCTGGAGAGAGAAAGAGCTTTCCTAAATGTCCAAATCCCCTTCTTCGCACCGTCGACCTACTCCGGCAACTTAAAGCTGTGAGCGATTCAGGGAAAGGAAGTCGGTTTGTTGGTTCATTCACATTAGAAGCAGAAGATGCGATCATGACCACAGCACAAAGTCACTCTCATGCTGTCTATCGAGGTTTGACACTGGATACGGATCAAGACTCAATACGTCTATTGACGATATTACCTGGAGCAGCGGATAGTGCCCTCCACTGTCGGCTGAATGTCGTCCTATTGACGGCGGATATTCACTATGAAGCGATCTCGTATACCTGGGGCAGTGATGAGGAAGTCCACGAGATCGACATCAATGAAGACAGCGATAAATTTTGCGTTCGTCCCAATTTGCTGGATCTTCTTGTCAGTATCAGGAACGAGAAAGTCCCGAGAGTAGTCTGGATTGACGCGATATGCATCGATCAAGAAAACCTGGCTGAGAGAAACAGACAGGTTAGCATGATGAGGGAGATATACAGCATGGCGAAGCAAGTTGTTGTATGGCTCGGGGGACCCGTACACGCGAAGCTACTACCGGCAATTCATTATATCAATAGCTCCAGCGCAGAGGTGGAGGACAGCACTTTGCCTGAGTTCGTCAGAGAAAGTCTTCTTGAGATTAGCCGCAATGCATATTGGACCAGGGTCTGGATATTGCAAGAAGTTATTTCAGCTCGCCAGATCACAGTCCTGGTGGGTGGAAGAGCTGGATTTGCATGGTGGAGACTTGAATGGGCTATAAATTCAGCGTTCAACACTCAGCAAAATACCCAGAACGCCGATCTCACTCCTGATGAGACATACCACCTACGCCGCCTCATTCGTCACCGACGTCAATTCCTGAAGCACGGGACGATCAGTTTGGAAGAGGCACTTTACCGGTATGAGGACTGCAAAAGTACAAATTTCAGAGATCGTATCTTTGGTCTGCTTGGTATCGTACAGGGCCGGGGATTCACAATTGACTATACCGTGAGCAGGGAGGAGCTCTTCATCCAGACTCTCAACTTCTGCCAATCTTCCAACCCCATCCGACTTGGTGCCACGTTGCGTCGTGCCTTCCAGCTCAAGGTAGGACACCTACAACATGAGCGAAAGGAGGAATGCTTGCCTCAGAAAATCTCGCCGTCGATGCCACAGCACATGATGTCCGCGTACTTGAGCTTCTACGGAGTGCTGGCGGAGTGCTTGGATTCTAGCCACGACAATCATCAGACTGTGCCAACACTATGGCTATGCGACCCGGATAAGCCCATAAAGAGAGGATATCGCGGTACCCTGGTGCACGATATGGCGGTGGGTTTGTGGGCTCTGCGACACTTCGATGATGAGTATTGGTTAAGAAAGTCAACTCAAGACTTTGAAGTCAATACCATCATGACCAGATGTTACCCTGCCGCTGTCAGGCGACACAATCCCTTTTTGCGGATTGGCGGCCGGAGGTTTCGCAGAGTTGCTCATTCCAGCGAACTTGTCGGATCCATACGGTCAGGTCACAACTCTACTGAATCACAGTCGAGTCACAGCTTTCCACAATCATTTGGAACTGATCCTTCAGATTACAATATGACGGTTAGAAGAGGAGACCGACCTATTCCCCTCCTTTATGAGTACCAGTCCGGCGTCGTACCTTCTGAGGAGCACTGCTGCGGCTTCGACATAGAGCCGCCGCCTGTTAGACTCGTATACGACTTCGAAGGCACTGATTTGGCGATAGTCGTCACACCTGGGCTCTTTGCATGCAAGGTAGAGTTGGCAAAGATTCTGTCCCGGCAAACCAATCTGCATGTTGTCGAATGCAAGGGAACCTTGACTGGGCCACCGGACCTTCTGATGTCGAATTACAATTGGGAGCATGCTCCTGACGGTATCCATGTTATCCTCACATGGTCAATGCTTATAAGACTGGTTGACATGGCTGAGACCCATGTGTCCGAAACCGTTTCATGTTGTGAAACGCATTGCCGTTCAAGTATCGCTTCAGGGACGAAAGCTGGACGATGTCAGACGCATCAAGTACCTCTCTCCACTTGACTCTTTACCTAGGTACTCACTGTGCAGCCTTACCTGTCCTTTCCCATGTCTTTTGGGCGCGCGATACGGGGAACTCGCTCGCAGATTTGATCAAGTTGACAAATGAATGTGCACGTGTCCACTGACTATTCATAAAGATTTATGTCCCAAGGTGTCCTCTCTCAATGCGTGGAGACCGTCCACAATGGCATGCGTTGGCTCCACTCTGATGTCCAGATCCGGAAGGAGCAAATCTTGGCGTTGGAAGGTCGGTATTGTCGCCTCGTCCAGGATGGCAATGCTATGAGCTCTTATAGTAATCATGTAAATGCTGAAGACTTGCCGTCATGTAACTAGGAGCATGGTCGGTCTATTCTTCGGAAAGGCAGGGTCTGACGCCGTGAGACTTTCCTTGGACTCCCGCTCTTCGCGAGACCAGGAAGCTGTTGGCCCGGTGAAAAGTATGAAGGGAAAGATGGAGGATGAATACTCCCAATTCTCGTGCAATTGGTCAAGCTGGATTCCTCAATATGCGGCCCTTGCGGAGGCTTGCGCAGTTTTGCCGCTCCATCACCTATCCCGAAAGGTACAAACCTGGCAAATCCGTACCTCCACGATGACCCTCTTGCTAGACTGTCGGGCACGAAACCAAGACTAGCGGAAGAACATATTTGGTACATGCTTGGAAATCAACGTTGACAAGTTCCAGATTTGTAATTCGAGGAAACCGAGCGAAGAAAGTGGCTCTCTGTGGAAGTTGTCTGGGCACTGAATGCTTCTCCTTCACCCTCGAACTTGAACGCCCCACAAAGGGGATATATAAGTCTGGCTCGCTGAGGACATCTCTTCACAAACGTCCCTCAAGTGATTGACGGACCTGACCTTTTGTATTCCGCCAAAAAGCGAAATACCTTATCATCATCAGACAACATGGCGCAAAAGACGATTCTGCTGACGGGCGGCACCGGGAGCATTGGCGCATGGGTGCTCGAACAGTCCCTGAAGCAGGGCCACAAGGTTATTGCCGTGATTCGATCTTTCGTCAAATTTCAGAAGCACTTTGACGACAAGTACGGCTCACACCTCGCCAATGGGTCGCTCGAGCTTGTCGAGGTGCCCGACTTGGCGGTGCCTGGTGTCTTTGACGAACCCGCCTCGAGATCTGATGCCATCATTCACGTTGCGACACCTCTGACAACCTCGGACTTTGAGAACACCATGATCAAAGCGACATGGCTGATTGACGAAAACATTCTCTCCGCGGCCCAGAAGTCACAGAAGGTCAAGCGTGTCGTCATATCAGGCACGATCGTCTCGGTAGTCAAACTCCCTAACGGCTTGTTCCAGGACGCGACGGTCACCGAGGAGGACTGGAATCCCATCACACACGAAGAGGGCGTGGTGAGCTTATCTGGCGCCTACGCCTACTCCAAAACGAATGCAGAGAAGCAAACGTGGGCGTGGATGGAAAAGGAGAAGCCCCGTTTCGACCTCGTCGTCCTTCTGATCCCGTCTGTCATCGGCAAGAGTATCAACCCGGGCTTCAAGCCGAACAAGGAAGCTCTGGGAGGCATGTCCAATGCATACAGCTGTTTCGTCGACACCCCGCAGCTGAGTTTCGTGTTTAATCCGTGGATGTGAGCACACCCCAAACACGATCCGACTTCATGCAGAGAGAGCTAACGTCATCTTTTCCAGGGACGTTCAAGACGTGGCGGCTTTGCACATCCGATCCGCAGTGGATATCCAAAGCGTTCCTGGCAACGAACGTTACCTGATCAAGGGCCCAGGTGTCTTGGACGCGAATGAACTCGCGGGCAGGATAAGGGAAGAGTTCCCTGAGCTGCGTGACCGTGTGCCTGCACCGGCCAAACAAAAGAAGGGCAATTCCCCACCCCTCACCACGTTCGATACCAGCAAGGCCCAAAAGGTGTTCGGTCCAGAGTCTCAGTTCCGCGACGGCTGGTCGGCGATGAAGGACACGATTGCAGATATTGCCCGGTTGGTGCCAAACCCGCCCGCGGCCTCAACGTAGCCGGTCCCACGCATGTTGGGAGGAAGAAACGCGGAACGAGAATCGCATATTCGTACCACAACTATCCCATACCATCTCCTGTTGCCAAGTAGGAGCATCTTGCTTAGATGTGTGGGAGGTTGATTTGAGCACATTGTGGGGAATACCGCGTCGAGTCAGGGGATATCTGCTCAGGGCGAAGTTGGTGACTGACTCATTTGAGGATATCGAGCTGCCCTTAGATTATAGAGAACTGTAATCGCACTCGAAGTCCTCAATCTGAGAATCAATCAAGTGGTTCTCCGTCGCCGGCCTTGTTGATAGCTGAGTTGCTAGCGCCTATATGTAAAATCATCCTCGCCGACAACTCTGGTTTCCGCCTTTCTCTCTGCTTTTCCTTCCAACCCTAGTATGCTGGGCTACGACTCCAAAATCTGCAGCATCGTGGTTGAAAGTGAAGAGGAGCGATAAGAGAAGCATGGGCCAGTAACCGCAGGCTTACTTTAGGCCTATCATATCGACCCGGTAGAGCATTCGCCCGAGACAGTGGCATCCTACGAGTACTTAAAACTGCTGTGCTCCTGCGCAGCTTCTGGCACCACCAACCTCTGTTCTGGATCAATCGCTTTGGTGAAAGCTATCGCCGTACTACTTGATCAAGAGGACGCTGGGAAGGTTATTTTTTGCATCGGTTGCGGTGTGTTTTCTGGATGAATTACCTCCGCGCTCTTCTTCTTTGCTACTCTTTTTGAAGTGCCCATTGCAGACCAGAACTTCCATCGAAGTACACTTCTCCGACTCTTCTCTTGATCCGTATTCCCGTCTTTTCGTTTGTGGACTCCAGTCCTCGAAGAGTGCAGTGTTCTGCCCCAAAGCTCCGCGATGACATTCAGGGAATCGTTTATTGACGGCTTTGTCAAGAGAGTAGATTGCTATTAAGCACGGGCTTCTGAGGACCAACGATGCACACGCCTCAAATACTCAATGAAAACCGCCAAAGAGATCAGGGGATTCTAAACAGCTGCGTCAGCCGCGATGGCAACGAGCGACCTGTACCTACATTCCTCTACGAGTCGCGAAAGCACCGCAGACGACATCCTCATCTCCCTGCTCACGCAGGGTTGCAGCACTTGTCTGTGTGCGCACAGGGGTTCGTGAAGATGATTTAGACCCAGAAGAGACATCGACAATGACGAATTGTGATCATACAAAATCGTGATGCATGTTAGCACGCCTTTCTGTGCTCGGAACCAGAATGGGTCCACCATAGACTCGCTACACAGTGGAAAGAAGCAAACCGAGCACCTTCCATCCTGCAGGGAGGAAAAGACGAAGAGCAAGAGCTACCTGATCCGCCTATCAAAGTGTTGAACCAGAAACCTATCTGTGGTAGCCCGGGGATTGGAAGAAACATGCATTCCCCCCCAGCGCATTTTGACGGCACCGATGTTCGCACCGTGAAGGTCGGGGACAAATTCAAGGATTAGTTGAAGCTATAAAGGAGGAGTCAGCAAAGATGGCCACCAGCTTCAACTTGGTCCTTACTTCGGTGGGCATCATTGTTGTTGTGAGGTGAGTTTCAGTGGTATCGGAATCAGGCACTCGAGTATGGAGATATAAATGTGGTCGATATACAGAAGTTTATCACGGACGACCATATATCTCGACAGGCACATTCCATTTGGAGTAGCACGAGTATACCATCAAATCTGCAAATCTCACTTCGTACAAAGCTATGTCGACAGCCATCATGGCATGCGGATTCAGCCTTCCGTTCTCGGGTACTTGCAGATACTAGTGAACAGAGCGATCTAATAGAGCCTGAGTGGGTCTAAGGACCAGTAAAGTCTGTAGCCTTGTGCATTAGTTCGCACAGAACAGGAGCTTTAATATTTGCTTGACCGGTGACGAGAAGAGTGCTTCTGAAGGATAGATTCTGGGACGAGCAACTCTTTACCATCTTATGACACCCCGTGCAGTCACAATAGCGGTCCATGTTTCACCCGAAGCGAGCCGTGTCCATCGTCGATTCTGCGAGTCGACAAAGCATGTGGTGACGGGCTATTGGCCCGTCTCGGAATTGGTAGGTGACACACTCAAAGTCAGAAGACGCATAGATTATTGACTGCCCGGGGTGGTTTGTCTAAACGAAGGCGCAAAGTACAAGGTAAGTAGGCTGAAAAGTTAAAACCCCCCTCAACTGAAACTCTCCTGTGCCACAAATATCCTTGCCCCAAAATACCAGTTACAAATGATCATCAGCGCTTCAGCGCTGCCACCGCGTCCGGTTGAGTTACGGATGTCTTCGGGCCAGTGCAGTCAATATCACAGGTGTGGCGCAGGGGTTTCGGTCGCCGGACTCGGTCGATCCTTTTGAAAGAGCTCGAGCCATTTCGCCTTCTCAGCAGCGATCTCTTGTTCAAGTCGCGCCTTGTTCTCCTCTTCTTTCTTCGCAACCTTTTCTTTCGCCACTATCAGTGTTGTCAGCGAATTTGGAAAGCCCTTGAGTATGTATGAAGCAAGAAGCAGATCGAAAGCCTAACGCACCTTTCTTCGGGAAGCAGGGATAGACTCCCGGGTTGCTGGCGTAATACCATTTGTCGCAGGCTTCCTGGCCTAGAACGATCTCGTGGTCACCCTGGGGAACTATGAAGAACTCATCTACCATAGTCTTCAGGGAAGCTTGCGGAGCCCAACGAAGCCGCAAGGACTTTTTCTTCTCCCCGTTCGCATCAATAATGGAGAAGCCGAGATCTTGGACGCAAGCCTCGGTGATTTCAGAGCTTTGATCGCTTTGCCAGTTCTTTTTGGCCATCTTTGACGTTGGCATTTGGTTCTTACGTTCTATGGTGATCTCGCATAGATTTGAATCTGGTCTAGCGTTGTTCGCCATCCTTTGGGTTGCGTCTCCTTTTCTTTTTGTTTCCTCTCAGGTTTGTTGGTATTTAGAGGAGTCTCGAAACAGACACAAGTGCCTCGATTTATACCCTCAGTCCTCTAACAGGGCTGCCTTACCATAGCCTCACTGGCAGACCACCCTCACTCTTATGCTGCAGGGATTAGATGGCCATCGAAAGGTTGCCTGGCACTCTTCAGCATATAGGTGAATGCATTGGCCAGAGCGTCGTGGTCGCGGCCCAATTTGGTCAGAGGACCGACAACGACGGCACTCATTCTCAACCAGGGCGCCTACCTTCGGGCAACCTTGTGCGTGTCACCAGCTCAGAGCGGTCGTCGATAACAGGATCAAAGAAGCGGTCAACAACATGGTCTCGGACAGACTCATGCCAACAGTGCTAGATTTGCAAGTCACTCTTTCTTCCAATTTGCGCCCGTCAACCCCATGTTCAACTCAGCCGCATCGCCCGCCAACTCAGCAGTCCACAGCGACTCGGGCCACCTCATTTCTTACAGGATTCGACGCTATCTTTGCGCCCTTCACAAAAGACCGGGCATGAACGCGGCCGAGTTTTGCTTTGCCCGAATTCTGTCAAGGAGCTTTGTACCGAGCACCATGTCATACCTATCTTCGTTTGGAACCACAATAAAGGTATGTCGGTACCAGACAGCACCATCCAGAGAGAATTTCAGTTTCATACTACACTCAACCTTGAATCCTGCTCCCTTCACAAAGCCTTCGACCATGTCAAAGCCTTTGGTCTCTTTTGGCTCACTCCGATCGATGGTAGCCACGCCCAAGGCTTCAGCCCGGATTGCAGTTGATTCGCTTACGAAGCTATGCGTAGATCCGGAGTCCAGCAGAGCCCGACCCAAGTATGTGATTTCCCCATCTGCCACGACCACAATATCAGAAGTGCTCCTATTTTCGTCTCTCCAGCAAACTGAAGACACACTTTCCGTTCTCGCTGGACACGCCCCACACTGGCTCCGGGTATCACAATCTTGCAGCACATTTTCTTGTTGTTTTGTTTCTGCTGGCATTTTGTTGTCGATCACGGAGAAATGTCTCTTTTGAGCGACCACCTTGTATAACCCGCAAGTGTTTTGATCTCCGGGGACGTCTGATATTAAGGGGTCTTGCCTTGTCACTTGTTGCTCAGCCCGTGGCTACGTTCGACGGTTTATGTTGGGTGTCGAGTCACTCTCGCAGCTGAAATCTCAGGCTCAAATGTCGAGATTGTCCTAGTCCTTGTTGATGCTCCGAATCAACCGCAGTCTTGCTTTGAGTCAAAGGGTCCTTCACGCTGCAATTGTGCCTGGGCGGCTCGGGACGCTGGATATGGGGGCCGATCGAATATCAATGCATTCAAAGGACGCAGCACGCTCGAATGGGGGGATGAGGAGGCGAATAGACGCTTGGTGCACTGGATTGCGGAGGCTGGATACGACTCGGAGACGTGGGAGAAAGCGTCAAGGCTTGCGCAAAAGGGCAGAACGAATTCCTCAGAAGTCTTCAAGAGCAGCAAAACGCGCCAGGTTCATGGCAAGGAACACGCATGGCTTTCTGTTGTGGTTGGGATGGATGCAGGACGTTAGAATCTCGCTGTTTGTAAAATTCGTGGTGCGGAGCGCCGAAAGTCGACCGCGCGATTGATACCTCCAAACCGTGGAAATGAAACACTCAACCCTTCTTTGCAACCACCGCGCCCATACCATTCCAGAGCGGCCTGAAGTGAGGCGAGGCACGACTCCAACACATTAAACAGGCATCGAATTTCATACTTCCTTCCTCGAAGCCGGTACCTTGAATACTTGCCGGCGGATGGCACTTTTACGAAAGCAGGCAATATCGCATACCATTGTGTCTCTGGCCGAGGAAACCCTTCCTCAAGGTCATGTGAGTATGAGATCTATTCAGGCCAACGCATTGTCGCAGTTTCATGAGAGAAACGATTGGATCTTTATACCAGACAGTCTGTCTCCTATAGACACCAGCATATCAAGATCGGTAGGCTGTGGCGCTTCATGCCGAGATTTCCCGAGAATGGAACATTTCAAAGGCAGAGAAAAATGACAACCGAGAAGACGGCTCCGGTTCCTTGGGAATGCTCACCATCTTATCCCTCTGGACTTCCCCGCGCTGAAGCAGAGGACCACACCCTCCTTGCTCCTCTGGACCGAGCTGCATGGGCAAAATGGCAAGCCGAATATGATTGGAACTTTCCGCCGCAGCTCGCCGACCCATCGCGTTGATTGTCCTATCTAGGAGCGGTCCCCGGGACACGCGGCACGGCTCGTCGCTGGCTCTGCGAACAGGTGGTCCGTGCTAATTACTTGTAGGTGTGAAATATCCCTGCAATGCATTGGGCAGGCATTGGACATCGGGGTTCAGATACAGATGCCTCACTGCGACTGGTACGTTTCATTTAGGCGGTGGCTGCCGTCGAGCGGTTCTCCGCACACGACTACCATCCCAACAGCAAGACTCATCAAGGCCATTTTGATCTGATGGAACACCATATTTGAAGATGAATGATTACTCTCGTCTGTCAGCAGTGCAAGCCGGCCAGCCCGAGTTCGCCATCTTTCGGCGATTCATGCCCCTCCAGGCTCTCCAGCTGAACCGTCTGCAGGCCGAAATTGCGCACCTCAGGCAGGGATTAGGCACGCTATTGGAGGCGGAGAGGAAACCTGGAAATCCAAAGGAGTGGACCCCTAGTTTCTCCTTTGACCAGACTCAAACTTCGGGAGATGATGCTCCTCCCAGCTCAATGCAGAAGGCTCTTTGGGACCGACTTGACGCTAAACTGGAGAAATATAGTGGGTAGTTGTCCCCCCTATCTGATGATTCCAAAGCACCTCCTAACTATTAGATGAAAAGGTAATGCGCTCCTTCGCTATCGCGCCGTCTCCCAACTCCCCTCCGTTGATCCTTTGCATCACAAGCACCTACGCCTTTGGAATTTGGACCTCGAAAGCGGCCATGGCTGCATCCATGGCGTCGAGGGTGTTGTCTGGAATTCAGAGAATGCAGAGGATCTGACCTCGATAGCTCTGCGTGCCGAGCCCAGAGATCCTCTTACGTCTTTCCTCCACACGCGATTCCTCCCGTTGTATCACTCCTTGCTCGGGCACAAATATAAGCGGCGCGTCTATATTGCTGATGCATACACAGATGCAAGGCAGCAAGTGCCCATTTTCTCATACTCGGACAAGGTGGTGCTTCAGATCGTGAACACCTGCAGCACAGTCTTATCATCGATGATACCTTCCCTCTGCTCGCTCGCCTTATACTTCATCCAGCGTGAAGGGGCCAGAATGGGTGCGATCGTGGGCTTTACCTTCCTCTTCAGCGTCGTCATTGCGTTGGTCACACCGGCCAAGAGGATAGAGACTTTCGTGGCCACTGCCGCCTTTGCTGCCGTCCTCATTGTTTTCGTTGGAAATGGCACTTGACGACATGGGATTGTGCTTGTCCAGTGTCTGCAAAGTCGACGACACCTTATGAATGACCCGGAGGACCGGCCCAGGGACCGAACAAAGAGCTTATATATATTCCGATCCCCAATTCGTTCACTTGTTTCTTGGGAAAAAGAATTACATGCTATTATTCTCGTTGACACCTGCATATGCTATGGCAATTCCCTACGGTGGATATCATTCATTTGGGCAACCAAAGACTACCTCATCTGATATTGGTGATGATTAATGTTGGTCTCACAATTTTTCAGGAGCAAGAAATGTCAGGATGTCATTGCGCATCACATATATCAGTACCCATTCGCCCTGGCTTAATTCAAAGGTTGCGAAGTTCAGGACCTCACCAGTCCGGAGAAGCCTTCTGCAGGAGAATGTTAAAAAGTCTGTAAAGATCCTCCCTAGGAGTTCTGTACGCTGAGGCTGCGATACAGGCACTGATATCGGGAAGTACAGTATACGGCCTGGCATTGCCCAGTTGACGACACTCATAGGTCGATTTCAATGGCGCCAGTTTTCTACCCCGGCGCATGCATTTTACATCTGGTCTACAACGTCTCCCTGGTTTTCTTCCGCACTAGGGAAAAGGGCGAGGGACGCCTTGTCAGCCTTTGCTCCCGGTACTATCAATCTTATTCGCCAGGTCACTCCCTTGGGCATACACTTAAAGGTGTCTGTCTGAACTTGCGCCTGGACGCACACACACATGCCGCTAGGCCGGGCGTCAAATGCTCGTATATTCCTGGCCAGACACTCCTTGCACTTGGGCCCGCTCTCGTCTTGTCACCCTTGACGCAAGGCCACTGAACCAAAGCATACTGACACGATGCTAGCTATGTTTCGCAGAGTGTCTGTGGCTGAGCTGCAGTTGCAGGGGCTGGCTATTTCTCTATTTGCCACGCCGAAGGGAGCCCATCAGGCTGAGAAAGTAAACCATATCCCCAGGGCGGGGAGATGCCTTCCATACGCATGTCTTTGCAGCATCTATGTCCCTCCTCTGCATGGACACTTCTCAGTTGCTTGAAGCGGGTCATAATCGAGATCAACGTCAACCACTGGGAACCACTGGGCTGTGCAACCAACGGCAGTTCAGACAAGACTTGAACGGCCGGGGCATTTGGCTGGCCTTCTATCTCCAATGGCATGGGGCAACGGCTTGAAACAGGATAACACCGGGAACACAGCAACCACGGCACTTAGGGCGTTGGAACCACGCGAATGCATCGCACGCTTCGTTTGTATGGAGTGACTTCGCGCATGTTGTGGGATGTCGGCCCTGAGCTGGCCGTCAAGCGCCAATATGAACGGTGAAGGAAAGACGGCTCAATTTATACACCGCTAGGTCTTACAAGACACTATTCAGAGTCATGAAGGTATTTGCATGCGCCGTTAATGTTAGAACTTCTTCACTGTATCTGCGGAAATGAGACTTGAGTAATATGCTTATCATTGATCGTCGTGTGCATACTGAAGGCCGCGACTGCCGTTGGCCACGATCCTAAAGTGTGATCCCAAACGATATGACAACATGCCCGAGGCGATAGATGATGTCTTGAAAGATTGCTGGTGGAGGGGCTTTGTCGGCGGTCGCCCAACAATACCTAGCGAGCTAGGTATACTAAGAGACATAATAATTAGATCAAGAGAAGGTTCAGTCGGCGCAATGAATTTCCGTTCCGAACCTTACTGTCCTTGTAGTGGACACTGCCTGCATCCCTTTCGCCGCATCAAAACAATGTCACCTTCATCCACGAAAGCCATACAGATATCCTCGCCAATCACTTGACATAGCCATGGGATCATGTTCGCCGGTCCCAGCCAGTATCTCTCCATCCACCTCCCGAGCCCGACGACGGTCAGCTTCACCGTCTCCACGCGGCAACCTGGTGGGTGGTCTATAAACAGACCTTCCTCCTCACACTCACACTCACACTCGTCCTTCCGCCGGGTCTTGCCCCCTGTGTTCACCCTCATCAATTACGCGCTACGGATTCTCCTCGTCTTGTACATTGTCCTCCTCAACCTCGCGAAAGCCCAGAGCGACGTCGCTCAGCCCTCCAGACTCGACGCGTATACGGACCTAGGGCTCAAGCTCAGCTTGGTGGGCGGGTCCATCAGGGCCGTTGCCGAGCGCGCAGAATGGTGGTTTCTGGCGCCTGTGAGCTTGGTGATCGTCTACGTGTGCCTGAGGAGGGACTATGTCGGTACGTTACGCCTGCTCGTTTCGTCTATGTTGTTCTTCTCTTGTTATTGTTCCGAAGGAGCTTGCTACTTCTAGAGGTTTCTTTTTGCATCCCGAATGAACAGCTATTCCCTTTCCCTCAACATTGCTTGTTCTCTTTTCCCTTTTTCAAGAACCGTGATGCTTGTGCTGCGGACTGCTCTAACTAGTCGGTCGTACAGAAGAGTCCCTCTTGGTCCTCCAAGGCCTCGGGATCCAGACGTCCACGTCCTCGCGCTACTTCTTCACCGGCGCAACCACGACATTCATCCCTACCACGCAGATCCAGGATATCGTCATCCACGAAGCCTTCAAAGGTCTTGAAGTCCGCTTCTACTTGGCCGTGATAGTTGAAGGGGCTACGGAGGTCGTGGTTGTCTTCCCTGTAAGCAATTTCCCCCCTTTGTCAGAGCCAACGAAATGGTCAAGTCATGGTAGCCCAGCAAAATTGCAGAGGCTGACATTATTTACTTATTATGTACCGGCAGAGTCTGCTCCCTCGACGGGAAATTCTCGAGGAGGTCTGGCGAGGAAGTCGGAAATGCTTGTATTCCGGCATTCGCTGAGAGGAGCACCCCAAATTCTACTCTACTTGCGCATTCGTCTCCTCAAACTCTTCCTTGGCTTTATCTCTCGCTTCCCGGCTCTTCGCCCATTTCGCATTCAATACCTCCAAGGTATCCATCCTCGGCTTTTTCATCACAGGAACATACCGTCCGCTGTTCCTCGCTCTGCTACTCCCATCAAAGACTTTTTGACTTCGCTCTCTGGCCCTTCGGTGCTCGTCTCGTGTCGCTTCTCTGTTGAGAGAAGTGCCATCGCCCTGAGAAATGGCCAGATCGAGCAGACTGCCCGCGAGGAGCTCTTGCATCTTGGCGTCGCGCCACTGAGTCCAGAGTTCGTCTACCACGCCCCCAATCCCAAATTTCCCATCTTTCTTGGTTAGGCTGGTGGTGAGCGCAGGGACTGTGGCTGCATCTCCGGCGTATAGCCAGGGTAAAGAGTCTTGCATCATTCCACCATTCCCATTCTTGTCGTTGTCGGGGAATATGCAGTCCCACAGCACCAAAGGCGCGTCATCAGCCATCTCGTACATTGGTCGACGGGGGTTCTTTTCAATATCCAGCAATTCATCGACGATGCTTGGTTCCTCAAGGCCTTGGCCGACCAGGAACAATATTGCCACCATACACCGCACCTGATGCCACAGGAACGCGGTGCCGTGGACGCAGAAGGTATATACTTTTGGACCGTCGGACAAGGCTGATGCTCCATTTCCGAGGATAGAAGAAGCCGACCCGGTTTGGTTCAGACCTTCATGTTCCGAAAACATCCTCCCGGTCTCGGGAAACTCAACCACATCCGCAAACGTCACCCTCCTCACACAGTTTGGCATCTGCTTGCTCGCATCGATCTTGCAGAGATTCCTAAAGTCATGCACCCCGACAAGTTTCCTCGCGGCTTGCCTCATCTTCTCGATATCCAGCCAGCCTTCGCGGACACTGGCCGAGCCAGCCATGCCATCTGCGCGCTGGAGACCCAGGGGGCCGGGAGTAGGGCAGAATGCCGGGTTGGTGAAGAAATATTTGTAGCGGCGCTCGCGACAGGAGAAGCGCGCATCGAACGTCGGTGGCGGGGAGGGACACCAGGCTAGAACGCGGATATCGGGTGGGAGGATGGAATTGAGGAGGGAGATGTACGGCAGTTCGTCTTTGATGGGGTCGAAGGGTTTTGTGTGGGTGTCTGTGACGAGGTCGGTGGCATCTATGGACGGCATAGTATCATCACCTTCCGCCTCGCCCTCGCCCTCGCCTTCGCCTTCGCCAGTTTGCTGTTTCACGTCCACATGCCGCCTGCCCTCCTCCTCCTCTTCCTCGTCAACAGAGTTCTTTGCTTGACTAGTTTCCAGCGCCCGGTTACTCCTCACTCTGATACCAATGACCTGGCCAAACGCGGACACGCCCCTATCCGTTCTCCCGCATTTACTATACTGACACCCCTCCCAATTGAGATCCAACCGGACCTTCTCTCTGTCCTTAACCTTGCCCCCGAGGTCTCCCCCACCCCTGCGCCCGTCCTGCGCCCGTGCTAGTGCTGCGCCCTTCTTCAGATATCTCTCCCTCCTCTTCTCCTCGCCCCACACCACGTCGTAGCTCTCATCGCTCCCCTCCTCCAGGGCGGGCGAAATCAGCCGCGCCTTTCGGAGCGCCTTCCACAGCACCTCTTCGATCGTGGGCTGCGGGGTGGCGTTGCCGTTCGCGTGCTCGTACCCGCCGTACCGCCCGCCCAGGTACGCGAATTTCAGCGCGATGTGGCGCGTCGAGTAGAGGGAGGGGTTGAACGGGCGGGCGCGGCGCGGGGATCGCGATCGCGATCGCGATTGGGAGCGGTTGCCAGGAGGGGCGGGTTGGTGCTGCGCGGTCGTCGTCGTCGGCGATGATTCTCGGACGAAAGGTGAGGATGAGCGGGGAGCCTGGTTCGGACTCGCCCGAGTCAAGGACGCCACAAGGGCCGCCTGTTCGCGCAGCTGCCGTTCCAGCGTCGTGATGCGCCCGAGCAGCTCGGCCGTGCTGTAGCTCGCGTAGTCTGCATCCGTCTCCGTCACTTCCGCTGCGCTGCTCGCGTCTCGATCCTGCTGCATGCCTCTAGTCGACGACATTGCGCGGATGTGCGAGGACCTCGAGAGTCGAATCGTAATCGTGGATGACGGGGGTGCTGCTGCTGCTGCTGCATGCCGCGGAGAGAAAGTACAGATCTTGTGGCGGAGAAGCACGAGCCCGCTTGTGAAGGATACTGGCACGGCAGCAGCAAAGGGATTCGGCATCAACGACAACGACCTTGCAGGATGGGAAAGGGAGAGGGCAAGGCGCAGAGAGCTTTGCGCCAGAGAATTGGGACCAGTAGGGATTCAACGAAGGGTTTTGAGGGTTTGGGGGAAAATAATTATTTACAAAATTTTGGCACGAGACTTCGGGATAATGTCGTCCGAGACGAGGCACGACGAGGCTGGCTGCCTCAGAGCCTTGCGGAATGTAATACGGTACCTCGTACTCGGTACAGAAGGGGGGCTCAAAGGGGGGGGTCTGCAGGAATTTGATCATATAACATGATTTGGATTTCAGGAATTTTTGTTTTTCTCGTTCTGACTCCTTTGCCCACTCTCTATCGCTATCGGTACAGAAGAGGACGGTGTGTCAACCTTGTGACCTCCTTAGATGCTGCACCGTCTCCAATGCTGGTGGGATAGCCAACGATGTAGCGGTTCCTTCACATCTGTGCGCCTTTGGTCGCCTTTGCTTCCACTTCCACCCCCTGACTGAGTCAAGCTCGTATTGAGCAGCAGTTCCCTAGTCCACTGTGTCGGTGTGTTCCTGTCGTGCTTCATGAAACTCTTGTTCGTCGTCGCCCGGGCTGCTGCCTTTGTTCTCTCGTGCAACATTACCAATGTTTCCCTGCGAGTCTTGAATCTCGATCTCATCCTCTGCATCATGCATTTCCTCGTCGTCGTCTTCTGTGCCGTCATTGTCTTCAGCTGCATCTTCAGCTGCATCTTCGCCTCCATCGTCGGCATTCTCCCTGGATATCTCGTACTCTTCAAGCATGTGCTTCTTGTCTTCGTCCATATCTTCGAGCTCACTAAGCTCACTTCCAGAATCTTCTGCGTCGGCTTCTCCATCCGCACTGTCCTGAATAGAGCCCCGTCTTGAGCTTGCTCTGCTCCCGTCTATGTCTTCGTCCTTGGTTTCGGCCAGCCGTTTGTCAATTGGTGCTTCTGTTCCAACTTCTGTCTTGGAAGGCAACTCCACGATAGGTTGCTTGGAAAGTATGGGCGTCTTGATTGGCGGTGGCTTCACAATGGCGGCCTCCGCTTTGCGCTGGATCTCACGCCGGGTGACTGTCTTTGTACGTCCGGGTCTGGCTCGTTCGCGCTGAACTTCGGGGATTGGTTGGCCACTTGCAACCGAGAAAGGAGTGGGTGAATTTTGAAGCCCAAGTCCTACAGGCGCTGAGATTGACACAGACAATGGTCCGTCAGCAGCACCGTCGCCTTGAGCGCGGAGCACGTTGGCAAGACGGGCACGTTCGGCAGCATCGTCGCCACCAGCAGCGAAGTCGGTCGTCATGTTTATGAACGTGCCTTGTGGAAGGGCAGCGGGCTGTGGCTTGGGCTGGTCTTCAGGTGGCAATTGCTTGATAAATTCGTCGTAAAGACAAGCGTAAGAATCCCCTATGAGGTCGTCAATGACGGGGCCTTTCAGCAAACTATTATTGAGACGTTTCAAGTCGATGCCGTCTCGCATAATATCCAAATATACTGAGGTCGTGTCGGGATCATGAGCCCATTTCTCCATCATCTCTGACTTCTTGGTGAATTCTTCATGGTTCATGCCGTCGAATAACGCTCGTTCTCGACCTTCGGGTATCTTGCCTAGTCGTCTCAGCAGCCGCACATAGGTTGTGGCCACCTCTTCCCAGACCGCAGTGTGATCGAGAAAGTCCCCCGTCTTCCTCCGAACGCGGCGGACCAGCAGGTCCAGGTTTGCGCGGTCGCTGAGTTGCTCCAGAAGGTGCACGAAGAAAGAGATGTATCGCCCAGTGTAAACATAATGACGCCCTGGCCGCTCAAATTCAGGCTTCCAAACCTGCATCGTCATGGTTTTGGTGAATATCTGTTGTGTGAACTGATGCTTAGCACCAAGTGCCCCGGCGACAGTCGGATCATCGTCAAAGATCACATGGGCCGCGCGGTCTGTGATTCGATGGTGCCAATTGGACTTGTCCGCATGCCCAAGTTTTTTCAAGATGTCCAGCATGTATCCCACCCAATCGACTCCTTGTTCATCCTCGGGCAAAGGCACGCCTTCCGCATACCGCGATGCTTGTAGGTACTGGTAGGCTTGTGCATGCGAGATCTCTTGTTTTCTCACCATCTTGTGAACAATCGACACAAGTTTGAAATGAGGTTCCAAAATCGGTTCATTGGACTTCTCCTTCTTAGGGAGAGCGTCAATGGCCTCGATAATGGCCTCTACAACAGCTTCCGCGGTGACACGGCCTCGGTTTTCCGAGCTTCGAAACATCTTCCACAGACACTTCGCGCGTGTGTAGTGGGATGTCCATGGTTTGGGCCGATCCGTCAGCTTTCTTCCGAGAAGATAAGCTGCGAAATGCCACAGAGAATACTGTCCGACGGGCTTGTGATAGGGTTGCTTGGACATTCTCATGTCAATGATGCTGCTCATGTGGCGTATATGTTTGTCGGTACGGAACGCTTCCATATTCAGCGGAGGGCGAGAGGATGCATACAAGCGCGTTGCAAACTCTGTGAGCATGTCCTCAACCTTCTCCACAGTTTCCGGTCGGTTATCAGCGGAGCGCAAGGCTACTGCAGTAGCCATGATGTAGCTGTGAATCGCTTGGCGCTCCAGCAGAGCAATCTCGGTCCTTGATTCATTGAGTTTGGTGGAATTCCAGATCAAGTCGTCTTCAATCTTGGCCTCGTAGACTTGTGCCAAACGATACCAACTTTCCCATCTTTCAATGTTGTGATCCAGGTCCTGACGGAAGAAACTCGCTGCAACATCCAAGTCGTCGGTTGGCGTTGGATTGACTCTTTTTATCGACTTGTATTTCGAAAGCGTAAGATGTCCAAGCATGAAATACCAGCCACTGTTTGCCGCAATCTGCGTGTCCGCTTGCACAACCCGTGTTGGCAGATCACCGATACCTCTGATGCAGCGGTACAAGTCATTTGCATTGACGATCGATTTGAGATACGAAGAAATGATTCGCTTGTTTTGCTGCAACGTGGGAGGGCTCTTCATCACTCCTAGAGCTTGCTGCATTTTGTCAATTGTGGCTTTGAGCTCGCTCTTGTTCAGGTCTCTGACGTTAAAACGTTCAGCATATTTCATGATCGTGGGGATCAAGGACCAGGCCGTCTTCTTGTCCAGGTTTTCCGGAGGACAGCCATGGTCGACGTCTCCAACACCACTGGCAATGCGAAGCTGATAGAGATCAAAGAAGACTTGAGCAATCTCGCCAGTATAGTCCTGTTCCGTAGCGAGATTTCCCAACTCGGACTTGACCAACTTTACAAAGGATTTATTCGCATATTTGCAGTACTGTCGGACGCCGAAAGAGTTGTGGACCGTGCAGAGATATTCTGCCAAGTCGTCTGCTGCTCGCGGATAAAGCGAAGGTTCTTGGACAGTCGCCTCCTTCAATAGTGTATATTGCAAAGTCCATGCGCGGACGAGCATTTCTCTGAAACGATCCTTGCTCTTCTCGTACAGTTTCGTGGAATTCGCGCCTTTGAGTTGAGGCCCGGTAGACTGACCAACGCGTGTGGAATCTTCGTAGATGACAAACCCATGGAGGAGCTTCACAAGCCTAACGACTGCTTCCAACGATGAACGAAGATGGGCTCCGTCAACACATTCAAACGGGCTAGAGTCGGTGAGAACTTTTGCCAATACTCTGATCATCATCTCGTCCGCATCATGTAACCATTTGAGCATGGAGATCTGTCGTATAGTTGGTTCCATTTCGAGATGCCGCGTGGTATACAGTTCCTTGACAATCGTCTCAATCGATCGCAGAAGACAAGAAACGACTTTGGGAGTATATAAAATCGCCGTGTAAGCGTTCTGAAGGCGTCTCCACAAGTACAATTTGAGTGCCGCGTCGCCGGACTCAAGAAATTGGATGAGCTCTTCTGCCTGAGTCAAAGGCTGGAAAGTGGTAACCCCTTCTCTGGGTTCAGGGGTTGACTCCAGGATGGGTTCCAATTTCTCGATTACTGCCACGGGGTCGTTGTTATCGTCGTCGAACACGCTTGTGAAGAAATCACGCGTACTGAGAGCCGATAGCTCTCGATCAATGGCCGCCACAGAGATGACAGACATCACAGTATTGTTTGGCAGAAAGATCGGGTCGGCGTTTGTCTTCTCCAACAAGGCTTTGAGCTCTTCGAGCAATGATACAATATGTTCTTTGGCGACATTGTCGTCCAGCCTGGCTTGGGCAACTGATGCCCAGATAAAGCGGAGAATTAGAGGATCGTTCAGCCCAAGAGCGGGATTGTTGAGATAAAGTTGCATGAACTCGCTCGCGAGACTTGACCATCTCTTCATGCGGTCAGCGTGCCTGATCCGATCTGCATGGTCAATGTCTCCGCCCAGATCGGAAGTCGCAGCAGCCGTATCTAGAAACATCTCGAAAAGGGTCTGGACGAGTTCGACAGATGAGCGGACTTCCGAGTCGACTCCATCGACCTGCTCTTGGCTCGATTTGGAAAGGGAGGAAAGGCGCTGGCGGAAAAGCTCCCATAGATATCCCTCCATTGTGCGCGCCAACTCACCGACCATGTGTTTCATATTGACACTCCATTTCTCACTTAGATAGGGCGATGGACATGGCTTGTCCATGTTGCTCGAGCCAGTGAGGACCGCAGACAACCAGGAGCTTGCCGCCTTGTAGATATTTGTGTGTTCAGCATTGATTGAAGTGACGAGCCGGCCTAGGACAACTTTGTCCGAGCTCCTCGGGCGCTCTATCTCCTTCGGAATGGCAGGTTTAAGGTGCTGCAGGAACAAAGACATGCCACTTGCTTTCTCAAGAAAATCCTGGGTACCATGACCGTTGACAATGGCATGGCCCTTGTCGTCCGACCAGCTCATCAAAATCAAGCGCAGGTCTGAAGACAGTTGTAGGTCTTCCTGGGAACTTTCGGAACCTCTTTCATTCGCTTTCTCATCTGTACCCGTCCAGAAAGCTTGCTTAGCTTGCTCTGTTGACAAGTATAGCTCCATCCCGAGCTGAGTGAGAAGGGAATTAGCTACATCGAATGTAGCTTGGTCCGCTTGTTCGAAGATGGCGAGTTGTTCCAAGAAGTACTGGGGATCTTCGTGCGACGCTTCATCCTCTTGAGCGTTTTGGTCAGCCATTGATTCTCTCGCTCGTAGTCTTTTACTCTTTGCTCGCCCTTCGGTTTCATCGTTACCAGCAACAGTCGTTGACCGCTTCCGTGATGGCGCTGCAACAAACGATCGCTCCTCGATTGTGTCTCCATCCGGCAAGAACCCCATCTTTTCGTTCTCTCGTGGTTTTGCTTCGCCCGTTTCGGCGGCAACTTGATCACGTGGCGAGTCCTTTTCAGGTAGCGGCTCAATCTCGATTCCTGTCTCTGCTGGATCTTGGACAGGACTCTGCGACGCTTCGTCCTGGCCAGAGCCCGGGATGTCGCCCTCCTTGGCTGCACTGTCAGATGTTGGTGCCATTTCAACCTCGTGGTCTGTCGTAGTCAGATCTATTTTAATCGTAGTGGCGCTGCTGAGATCGATGCCGTTGAGGGTGGTGGTACCCTCTTCAAGCTTTTCCACAATCTCAAAAATCTCCTCGCCAAGGGAATAAAGATCAGGAGAGCTCGGTCGTAGAGAGATTTGACCTGGCGCAACGCTAAGAGGGCGATACCTGTCATCAGGGTATTCGAGAGTCGTGGCGTGCTTGGGTAGGAAAGGGTATGGGTCATTTGATTTCTTCAACACACTCAGAAGCGTCTCTTTGGGCTTCGCATCTGAACTTTGAAGACGGCTCAGGTCATCTTGCACCAGCTCGAGTACCTCCTCAAGTTCTCCAGCTGCAAAGGCTTCATCGAGACCTGATAAGTCGATGGTTTGTTCGCCATCCTCATCCTCACCAGCTAGGACGCTCTCCAAGCAGAACCGTGATATTCGCTGGGTGGACAGTACATCTGCCACACGGGCAGCTTTCTTCCAGGAGTCGAGATCGGTATCATCGCGCTCAAGAGCTTTTGCGAACTGTTGAAGGCCTTCCTTGCAGGACTTGGCATAGTATTGACAAACCTCGGGGCGAGAGGCCTTCTGATTTGGGACTTGATGGCGAGCAACATCCAAGAGAAACTGACCCCTGTTCTTGTAGGCGAGATAGAGAAGTTGAGGAACCGAACTTGCGGAGGATTCCGCGGCACTGCTCGGGAGCAGAGCGAGTGCACCGGGGTCTACCTGAGCGGCGGCGATTGTCGCCTCATCGTCGAGCTCGTCATGTTGAAAGTCCGAGACCACATCTGGGTATTTGAAGACCTCGGACCGCAGGAGTTCGTCGTAAGCATCCTTGGCTTCTTGAAAGTACTCGGGGCCTTGAGAATGAAGTTTCAGGGCATTTTGATAAAGTTTAAAGGCCTCTTCAAGTTGAATCTCTCGCGTGTCATCGATCTCTTCTTCAAATGTGTCTTCGGGTTCGACATTGAGAGCCGTAAAAGCAGACATGATGGATCTGGTGTTAGAAGGCGTCTGGCACTGCCAACCTTGATCTGCGACGATTCATCCGGGGTTGGATCAGAGTCATCTCAGACTCATTGCAGATGTCACAGCGTTTTTTGACGAAGCATGCACGGCGAGTGGGATAATCGATGATATTGCACATGTGAGGTCGGTGAGGTCCCCATGAAGACAGTGAAGATGTTGTGTTGAGCCGGTTATTAGGAAGGCATCAAGTCTGCCTTCAACGCGTTCAAAAGTCGCGACAGTGGCAGATCCGGTTTAGGAAAGCTTGCCGAAACTGCACTCAATTGATCCTTCAACACTCCCCGGGCATTGATGAGACACGTAGCATCCACATTTCAAGCAGGAATAAGAGCTTGAAGACTTTTTGTTTGAGGGCCTCATCAGGTCTTCTCTCGCCACTTCCTCAACACCGGGCTCCAGCCACAAAAACTTACGGACTGTCTCGATACGCTAGCTTTGTTCAATCTGTCCACAAATTAATTGCCCTCCTCCGCCTGTAAGGGTGCGCCGCCATGGTTGCGCCGGCAGTGCCAGAGTCAGCAGTCCTCCATATAGTGTTTCTTCGTTGTTCTCGCCGCTAACAGGCTACTGCAGGATCATTGAAGACGATGAGATCGGCCTCGCGGTAGACGCTCGCACAGAAAGTCTACCCGGACTGCGCGAACTGGGACCTCCTGATCTTGTCCACTTGGTCAAGCAGAGCGTCAAAGCTGGCAATAAGCAGACTGGCGTATATCACCATGTTACCGGCATCGATGCCTCCTCCTCTGCGAGCTTGGCGGCGTACGTCAACACCTTGACGTTCAATCCCACGGATAAGACCCACAAGGTGGTATCCGGGCTCTATTGTTGCTACAACGCTTTTTCGCATCTCGATATGCGCGTCGAAGTCAAAATCCCGGGCAGTGTGGAGAGTTACTGTGTGGATGAAAGGGGAGACAGAAGAGTTGCAACGGAGAATTTGTGGCTGGAGACGTTTCTCTGCGCCGTTTTGCGAGCATATTCCTATTCAGACAATGGCAGCGGTGATACAATAAAGAAGATTATTGGCGTCCGAAGATTCAACCCGATCATTAACACTGAGCTGGAGCACCGTTTCTTCGAAGCCGCCGAGAGATTGTTCTTCAATGGCCGTCAACTTGGATCGGACCCGGAAATCCAAATCCCCAACGTGGTCTCCAACCATCTCACAGCGGGACTCTTGAAGTACATACGGACAACTGGACGATTTGCATCAGGCATCAACTTGTTCGAGAAGCTACGGACAAAGGACGTGGAAGTTTCGTCATTGCTGGCCAGAGTGTTACTGGATGGAGACGAAGAGATCCAAGCCGTGCGGCTTCTACATGATTCATTACAGGATGTTCCCATGGACTATGCACTTCTGGACTGTCAAGCCGCCTTCTGCCAGAGCAAAGGCGAGGGCGAGATGGCCTTGGAACTAGCGAAGCAAGGAGTCACAGCAGCTCCCAGTGAGTTCAGTACTTGGGCTCGATTGGCAGAGGTTTATGTGGACCTGGAGCAGTGGGATCTGGCTTTGCTTACCTTGAACTCCTGTCCCATGTTCTCGTACCAGGATAAGGACTCACCTAGGATGCCTGAGCCGAGTCGCGTGCTCCTGCCAATCCTTCCAGAGAGTGCGCTGGACGAGATCGACGAGGGACAGCCAAGACACGGAGAGCCCTATGATCAAGTCCATGTCTCGTTACGAAAATTACAGGCGGCCACGTATCAAGGGACCTTCTTGAAAGCATACAGCTTGCTGACACGGATTGCTGCGGCCATCGGATGGGACACACTCTTGAGGACGCGCAGTCAGGTCTTCGTGATGGAAGAAGAGTACCGGTCTGAAAAGCAGCACCAAGTGACCCCGAAGATACCCACTAGCAAGAATGCGAGCACAATCGCTCTGTCTGGAACTCCAAATGGCCACTCCAAGGAAAAGGAGAACGGAGTAGACGACGACGACGAGTCAGATGATGTTTCTGATTTGGAAGAGCCGAAGAAACTGGGCGATCAACTTGATGAGGAGAAGATTATCGATGAATCTTCCTCCACTGCGCCGACACTAAATGGCGGCCTCAACGAAAATGAAAACGCAGAGATCAAGGCGCACCGATCAATGGAGAAACCGGTGCCCACAATTGCAGCAGAGGAAGTCAAGTCGGGCAGTGATGAGCCAGATCCATCTCACAACAACTACCCACAATTCCAGAACAAACGCCTATGCGAGCGGTGGCTCGACAACTTGTTCATGGTTCTGTATGAGGACCTCCGGATATACACAATATGGCGGACCGAAATGGGCCAGTACCGGCAACAACAAATGCAGTATAAGAAATCAGCAGCGGAGTGGGAGATCCTGGGAGACCTCGCTGAGCGGTTACACCACACAAACGAGGCGCTGGAAGCATATCAGCAATGCTTGAACATCCGGTTCTCGCCTAAGGCCATGAGAGGAATACTTCGAATGTACGAGAAGAAAGGCGACACAAGGCACGTACTGGCATGCTTGATCCGATTGATCACCTGGCAATACCGGTGGTACTCGGAGGTAAGGGACCTACACCAGAGCCTGCAATCCTTGTGCTAATTTGACGTGACAGTTTTCGCCGGAACTCTTCTACTCGATCCGGAAGCTCATTGAAGAAGAAGGGGCCGTCAAGATCCGCTCTATTGTCCAAAGCACCAATCTCCCGCAGCATGTGCTGGATCTGACTCACGAATACTGTCGCTTGTGTGTCACTTTTAGAAGCAGTGGCACTGATGGATGAATGATGGGATAATGGAACTCTTTTTACCAGGTAATCAATCTTCTTTGTGCATGGGAGGAGGATCAGATATTCTTTGTGTTGTTGCTCCTGAGCGACTCCCCAGCGGCGGCGTATTGTCAGATTTAGACAGAGAAGCTGTCAGGTAGATTGAAGACCACAAGCTCAAGCCGGGCTGCTTGTGTCCACGGTCCATAAACAGAAATTCGTGCCGGAAACGCCGGTTGCCTTTCAACACCAGGTTCTATCGCTGTTTGTGACATTTTGCACATGGTCGCCTAATGCGCCTCCGAAGCAAACAACTCCGGTCGATCATTTGCCATTGCACTTTATCTCCAACCCACTTCATTCATTGTTCCCTGACATAGACTTGAGATAGACCATCAACATTCCTCTATCAACCACTTCCGACCTTTCTTCCAACCACTTTTGCTGTCAGACATCAGTCCCTTGATCGCCCTCAGCGCCAACAATCTGTATCCTCAAAAGCATTCCGTTGCCGAACTCCCGTTCCAGCAGCCTTAAGGCGGAACGGCGGGGCTAGGCAGTGAGAAGGCTCTGAAGACACCAAACCCGCAACTTTTCCCTCAACTCTCTATCCATCATGAGTGCCCACAAGCGCATCACCAAGGTAAGAGAAGGGCCCGTGAAGAAGACCATAGAGACTGTACATGACTGACCTTGCGTGTCAGGAACTTGGTGAACTCACCACTTCTCCACCTGCCGGGATCACGGTCGCTTTGGCCGATGAGGCGAATCTCTTCCAGTGGAAAGTCACCATGGAGGGACCAGCTGGATCGCCGTATGCTGTAAGTTCTGTCCGCAGTCTCTCCCGTGGGAACAACGCTTTGGGCTCTGCGCAGTGTCCTCCTGGCTGCTGTCCCGCCCAGGGCTGCCGTTGCCTAGTCTTCATCCCGTGGCCTAATACTCCGCACCGTGGAAGAATGGAGCACAACCAAACAACAGAGGAAAAACCTTCACTGACCTTCCTTTCATTTTGTCGCCAATATATATAGGGCCACCTCTTCAACCTCTCCCTGACCCTCCCACCCAACTATCCCTTTAAGCCACCAACCGTCATGTTCACCACCAAGATCTACCATCCAAACATCTCCAATGACTCTCCACCGAACTCCGGCACCATGTGCTTGGGCATGTTGAGGGAGTCGGAATGGAAGCCTAGCACCAAGATCGCCGCGGTCTTGGAGTTTGCTCGACAATTGTTGAAAGGTATGTTTGACACTGGAACCTCGCCCTTGCATCCCCTCCTGCCGGTAAGCCTCGCGACCAAGCCTCACCGGTCCACTCGACCCGAAGACGGATCCTTGAATCTGTGAGTGCTGCTTCGGCTCGGATCATTTCAGTCGTGTCGAGTCGAGTGGTCACGGCATGCTTGTCGCCGAATATATCTTCCTTCAATCTCATATCACTAGTACCAATACTAACCCTCGTCATTCTAGAACCAAACCCCGACGACGCCGTCGAAGGCAAGATCGCGGACCAATACCGCAGCGACTACAGCGCATACGAGAAGGAAGCCCGCGAATGGGTCAAGCGCTATGCCACGGCCAAGAAATGAGCCCTCAACATCCAGCCCTTGATCCACGCGCAAAGTTGTGTAACACTTGTCTCTGTTTCTGTCGACCGCAGGTCCCCGCCTACAGTCCAGGCCCCCGTTCATGCCGGTATTAGGGATAAGGATACTTCTCTTCTTATTCTCTTTGCAAACCGAAATTGCGAATCTGCAGGAAAATAGGGACTTTTCCAATTCTGGCGTATTGTCATGGGGGGTTGTGAGCAAAATGATTCCATTGTGGTCGTGGGTCATGGTCACGGAGCAAATTACTAGGTATCGACAGGGGAGGGGATACACGCGACATGAGATGAGAACTGACTTTGATCTGAACGGGCATGGCGATGGATAGATTGTGATGTGGAAGTGAGTCCGATGAGCCAGGCATAGAGCTAGCAAGCAAGCAGACAGGCAGACATGCATGCATACGGCAGGGTACGGTACCATCATCGATAGCGATCACCAGGGCTGAGGAAAATGCCACCCGAAAGCTCAAGCAGCTGAGCCAGTTTAGGTGCTAATGCACAAGGCATCGCCATCTCTAGCATGCAACAAGGAATGACAAAATGACAAAAAACAAATCACTCTTGATTCCCGTTCTCGGCCGCGTTTCCCTCGGCGCCCACGTCGTCCATCTCATCATCATGATCATCATCCTCCCAGTCCTCCATATCATCGCTATCCCACTCCTCATCCTCCTCTTCGTCTTCCTCGTCATCATCTTCCCCGTCACCCTGTCCCGCATTAATCTTCGCATTCTTCTTGGCCAGCTTCTTCCTCTCCACATTCTCCCTCTGCTCCTTCCGTCGAGCCTCTTTCTCCTGCCTCTTCTTGGTCCATTTCTCCTCCAACGCCTTCTCCTCGGCTTCGGTCTTGGTGACAAACTCGTTCCACATGACCCGTCCCTCGCAGATGCCGTCTTCCACTTTGACCATGCGGAGACGCATCCGGGGGCCGAGTTCGACGAGTTTCACCGCCCGTTTCTCGACGTTCGATGATCCGCCGCCATTTGCGCCGGAGTCTTTCGTCGTTTTGTCTTTGTCTTTTTCTCCATTTTGTTGTTGCTTTTCTTGTTGCCGCTGTCGTAGCTGCTCTCGCCTGCTCAGGACTCGCTGCGTGGTGGTTTCCAGAACTTCAATCTCGGCGTCGGTATCCAGCTCGGTCTCGCTGGCAGATGTATAGCCCCCGGCGGACGGGTCAAGGATGTAGTCCGCAACGTCCTCCAGTTTGCCCAGGTTCGGCAGCGCTCCCGACTTCTTCTCTCTCAGTCGCTGTTCACTTGGATCGAATCTGCGGACTCGTTTTGAAACGCCCGTTCGACGGGTAGTGATTGCGTAGTGGCGGAGATTGATTATATATGTACCATCTGATTGAGGTTCGCGGTTCAATAGCAGAATTCTTCGTATTGAGCTGAGAGGGGTTGTCTGTGGAGATATGGGAGGAAATATGGATTGGAATATAGTAGTAGTGAGGGATTCGAGCTGTTTCTTGATGGGATCTGCTTTGGCATCTTCGCTTGATGCTTGAGAGGTGAAGTTGTTCATAACCAGCAACGGCGCATTCAGGTATTCATTCCCTCCGCCGCGGGGATGTTTCTGGGCTTTCGCTATGTCCTTGCACAAAGCGTAACGCTCCACTCTGAAAGTGAGGGTCGGCCCCCGCGGTGTAAGAGCGACTCTGAGGTGGACATTGCCGGATTTCGAGCGCGAAAAGAGGAAGAGGTGTGTGACACCCAGCGGACCAGCCATGGCGGTGTAGTCTTTTAACTTATTCGCACGTCGCTCCTGGGGTAAAGAACGTCAGCTCGAGATGCGCATAGACCGCCACACTGCGTATGTGCTCACTTTTAACCTGCTTGCAGTATCAGGCTCCATGACTGCTCGAAAATCTCGCGCCAGCTGTGTCACGCTAGACCCGACGTCGCCTGCGCCCATGCGAATAACCATGCTCTTGGGCGGTCGGTTGGCCTGTCCGGGCTTTCCAGGCCTGTCATTGTTGGGAACATGAGTCCTCTTCTTCTTTCTCGCCTTAGCCATGATCGTGTCCTTGAGTTACAAACTTTTGAAGAGGAGGAATTGGGGGGTTTGCGCAGGTGAAATTGTAATATTTGGAGTGAGGAGCAAAATGTACAGTCCGAGACAACTTTTTTCTTATCGATAAGAAATGTCCACCGGTGGAGTATAGAGGCCGACAGCGCAGCTTGGAAAAGTTCAGATCAAGAGTCGGTTTTGTCCATACAGACTTTCATTTCAACTCGCGACAAGCATACTTGATTGCGTTGATCTTCGAGTGGAATGGGACTCTTATGTTTCAGGATGTGAATACGTCTTGTCCAGCAAGAACATGTTTGAGCGAGGTGAAATCCTCGAAACGAGCATCGGCTAGATTTGGCAGTCACCAGGTAACGGAACTTGAATCTGCGCGGAGCTCGACTCACCCCTCTACTAACCCCTTTAACAGCAATTAATAGATTCGATTTTCACAAACCAACTTGTACCTACATTCCACTCCCAAATTCTCTCAATTCAATTCACTTTCTTCGAGTACCCAAAGAGATGTCATTTGAGCAACAGCTGATTCTGATCACCGGATTTTGGCACATACAGCCGTTATGATGAGGGAATATTTGTTTGAAAGACGAGTGTATATGGTGTCCGGAGGTCAAACTACCTGAGCTCCCCTTGCTTCTCGGCTGCTGTCCACAATTTTATGCTCAGGGTTTGCTCCTGTGCTTTACTCCATCGTAACAAGGACAGTTGTCTACCCGAGGCCCGACCTGTCGAATCAGACCGCGCAGAACCAGCGCCTTGTCGCCCTGACCTATGTACTCAGCCTGATACTGCAAACCTCGTGTCCAAGGATGGAAGGGTTTGCGTAACCGTCTGCCCCGCAGTGAGCTCTATTCCGACTTGAAAACTGATCGTGTTTCCTACAGTGACGGAGGTCAACAGTTCTAAGCTGCATCTTTACCATCCAGTATTCTCTTTATCCCTCATCTAAGAAGATCTTGTCCTTGTCGGAGCCCTCCTGAATTATTTTCGTCATGGCTTTTCTTCATTACAGTCGGCCTATCCCAGATATCGAGAGAACTCTGCTCAATATAGAGGTAAAAAGGAGGAATTTCGTGTGGAGTACGAGCAATACAGGTATCTTTGCACTCGACCCAAAGAAGAGGGACACCGATGTGCAACATCTTGTCGAAGTGATTGGGAACGCGCTGAACGTGAGATTTGCGAAGCAACACTGCCCATTGTGCTACTGACCCCTCGTCATTAACAGACTCAACTTACCAACCCGAGGATACTCGGGGTGAATGCGGACCATCCTTACTACGTGGGCGATTCGCCTCTTGTTCTAATCTGTCTGATTGTGGGTGGGCAGCCTGGGAACCACAAGACGACATGGTCCGACGGTGCAAGGACTTTCGAGTTTGTCGAAGGTGCTGTGTTTCGCTGCGAGAATGGGAAGATACAAGCAGAAGTGGGTTCCTCCAGCTCCTTCTTGTGTCTTACGCCCAGCGCTTAGTGTGAGGATTGACGCTGCTGGACCGAAATACGCGAGGCCATACAAGCTGCTAAGGCTTGTGCTAACAGAAATGTTGGCCAACTCAGCCTCGTTGGGTTGTTGGAAACTGTCAGCGACCTGCCTATCGAAGGAGTTACGAAGAGCACTGAACCTAATGGCGAATTCGTATGAGCGAGTTTGAGCTTGAGAGCAGATCCCTTCAAGGTCTCTTGCTGCATCTGTGAGCCGTACCACTCATTCCTTTTCTGGCAGGCCCTGCTCCCTGTAGACCTGCGATCGTCCTGTCTATACCGCGATTCCTGCAGAAACCACTGATGCCGAGCCGCAGCTAGCAGTGACTGGCCGAAAGTAACCAGGATTTCCTGCTGGCACTTCCGTGTGGCCTACGACTTGTGGCCTACGTGTGGCTCACTCTGCCTACAATGTGCTTTTGAACAACCCCACCGGTGGCGCCTAATTTGTTGATGGCCACACCCCGACTAGCCCCTATTGCTCAGCCTCACCAACCTCAGAGTCATCAGCCTAGTAGGCCCATAGGCCATGACCCTAGTGGACCGCCCTCCCCGCATAAACTTGAGCTAGAAGTCTGTCCCGCCCGCCAATGGACTTGAGGACCCTAAAGAGCTTACGCGAGGCTGAGCATTGTCCTCCCAGTGTGGACACCACGATGAGGTATTAGTGAGTCACCAGCCAGGATGTGACAGAGAGTATAAGAACAATATGCAACATACCCACTCGCTTCTCGAGCATAGAGGCCATAAGTGACCGCTTTTACGAGAGCTCAAAGGTCAGAAGTCCCTGGAATCACCAGCTCCAACTTCCTGTCTTTCCGTTGCTCGAGGCCACTTCTTGTATAGACAACCCAGGGGAACTCGCCAGCACCATGCCACGCCGTGGCCACGACCTCGCCTCTTCCGAAACACACCGAGATCTCCGGTCCCAACGACGCAGCAGGAACCGCCTCTCAAAGCAATCCGCAAAATACTACGGGTACCGCGGCGTGCAGCCGGGCTGGATCGACCAAGAATACCTCACCATCACCAACGCTCCGAACAGTTTCGGATTCGCAGGCAGCGCCCCGCTCATCACCGCAGATGCCGCCGCCGTCAAGGTAGCAACGTGGACAAAGCGCGACATGTGGCTCGACCGCGACGTGGACATCTGGCCGCTCGACGTGCGACACCACACGGGCAGGAAGAACCGGGAGAAATACTTCTCAAAGTGGAACGAGTTGGCCATCGGTCGGCGGATGAAGCAGAGGTCCAGACGTCTGGACTTTGCGACCCAGGACGGCGAATTGCTTGCCATGGACGACGATGTTGACATGGACACGGTGTATTGGGACTTTGAGGAGTTTTGGGGCGATGAAAACCCCGAGGTTCGCAATGATCGAGACGAGAGGCCGCCCAGGTATGTTGGACTTGATGGGGAATGTTACTCGGAAGATCAAGGCAGGCCCGACGGGGTGCAGGTCGATCCCGACGACGCTGATGGGCCCTGGGAGAGGGAATTCATAGAGTTTTATTGTGACGACAACACCGGCGATGGAGATGACTTCAGTGTCATTTCCGAGCGAGAGGCGCTCGATGCTTTGTCGTTGTTCTCGATCGAAGATGATTATGAGATGGTTTGACAAAGGGGATTCGGAGAAGGCTACGGCCAACTCACGGTGGGGTGCGCACTTGTACGACTACCTGACTACGAAGGTGTAGCAAAATATTTCGCTAGAGGAACCAATCTATAGTCTGTTAAAAGTCAAAGACTAACGGCAAATGCCTGTCATGCATGCATTCAATTGAGCGCTCAGATTAAGGCAATAAACGCGCGTGACAGTCTATTTCTGTCAAGGACTTTTCCTTCTTCTAAGGTAAAGACAGTGAGATCTTGGGAAAAAAAGCCTCCCGCGGTCACAGAGAACGAACACTCTCCGTTTCCTCCCTCCCACCCTCTAGCCCATCGCACTGGGAAGGCGCCTCGGCTGGGCGACTTCTCACATGGACTCGAGGTCCCTGCCCTTGCCATCGGCGTTCACATGGACTTTTGTCTTCCCTTCCAGTTCCGGAGACAGGCCTTCGCTCGGAGTGCCACTCTCAGTGCTGCTGGTTTTGACGCCATAAATGACGCCCTGTTCGATCTCGACAAGGGTCCGGCCTTTGGTCTCGGGAATCAACAGTGTGCACAAGGCCGTGAGGGCCATGACCCCGGATAGGATGCCAAGAACAGCAGGCAGGCCAATGGCGTCTGTGAGCGAGCCAAAGGAAAACGCCGTCACCATTGCGCCCGCCTTGCCCGAAGCTGCGGCGATACCGTGCGCCGTGCCGCGGACGCGGGTCGGGAAGACCTCAACAGGGATGAGAAAGGTGGTGCAGTTGGGTCCCATATTAAGGACGAGCTGCGAAAGTGTGAATAGTGTCACTAGGCCAGCGGTGGAGCTGTGGTTGAGAACGCCGGCCCAGATGGCGTACAGGACGGCGACGAGGGCGCTGCAGTAGAACTGTTGCTTTACGCGGCCGATCCAGTCGGGCAGGAAGATTCCGATGTAGTAGCCTGGGAGATATCCCTTTTGAGAAAGATTAGTATGGACACTCACAATAACAGGTGGAGAGCATCTTACCGCAGCCGCTACGATAATGTTGCCAACGGCAGTATTCCACAGGGTGTGCCACGGGGTGGGTCCTTTGCCGTATCCAATCCTCGAAAGCACGATGCTCTGATTGAGGTTGACTCCGTAGAAAGCAATGTCACTGCGTTTCCGTCAGTACGTTGTACCCGAGGCACGAAGAGTTAGCTAGCTGGCTTACAAGAGAAACCAGCACATGCTGACAGCAAACAGGACTTTGGCGTGCCTCCATTCCGAGAAATACTCCCTGAAATCTCGGAATTGTTCGCGAAGACCTCGTTTGCCGTCCTTTTTCAGGGATGTCTCCTCAGCGACATCTATAGACATTAGCATTTACCCCTAAGCTGCTGAAGCCGTGCTCACATTGTCGATAGGGCTTGCTTTCGGGCATGGTCAAGCGGAAATATAATGTGATGATGAGGGGCACAAGTCCTATGCCGAACAGCAATCTCCACACCCACTGCAGATGATATATGTTGTCATTGACAGACGACTTGAAGGCAGCCAGTAGGACGAGGTAGACTATGCCCGAGGTCATGCCTCCAAGACCGATAGAGGCAAACACTGTCAGGACCAATTTCGCTCGGGAGTGCATGGGGTTGTGCTCGGCGGACAATGAAGAGGTCATTGGATAGTCTGTTGAGGGTCAGTCATCAATTCTCTCAAGGGCTTTTTCTCGTCGCTGCTTACCTCCACCAATGCCAATTCCCGTCACCACTCGAAACACAGACATCCACGCAATAACATCATGGTGCGAGAAGCCCTTCCACGGCATCAAGATAACCAAAAAGGTACCAAGTATTGTCACTATGAGCTCTTTGCCGTAGATTCTATGGCGGCCTAGGGCATCGCCAAAGATTCCGAAACCGATCTGGCCCACGATCATGCCCATGGAGAGCGATGCTTTGATCGCGTCGGCCGGGACAGTAGGGACCTTGTTCTTCTCATCTTGAAAGTAGAGATATCCGAGCATTGGAACAGCTGCAATTGTCAGCAAGTGGATAGCATGACTTGGAAAGGGCAGGAGTACCAAGCCCAATGCTCAGGTTCAGATACCCATCACCAAACAGACCAACACCCGCCACCACCAGGAATTTCAGAAAGGAGAAGCTGGAAGCTGTGTTGAACATGATGAGAACGAGCAAAAGTTATTGATGTAGCTTGACTTTGACTTAGGGATTGAGGTTGGTGGTCATTTTCCAACCTCAACTTCGTTGCCATCGTGGCAGATATACATCTTTTCGAATGCCCTTACTGGGCTGGGGGTTTCGCACAGGTCTCGGGCCAGGACCGCAGTGGCTGTATATCCTTCGAGGCACATATGTTCAGGATAGACGTGTTGTAAGGTGATCTAGATAATCGATAACGAATTGAGGGACCTAGTGCAACCACGTGGAGATGTGGTACAAAGCATAATCTCACTCGATATCGATGAGGTCTGAACGGGCCTTGTTGACTTCTTTCCGGCACCTGGGACGAAGACCGCAGGTCCGTAGAAGGATTCGGCGAACATTCCTCGCTTTTTAGGTCCTAGAATCAAGGAAAAGTCAGCCACTCGCCGGTTGGGCCGAATTGTTCTAGACACCAAAGGCTTGAGATGAGCGGGCAACGGCTGGCCATCTATCCAACCACGTGGACATGGTGGTGGGAAGAAAGGGGAGAATGTAATGACAAACACGTTGGCCGAGAAGTGCTGGAAGAGGGGGAATGGAAGTTGTAATGTCAAAACCCACGTCAACCTGCACCCGAGCTGCGGGACCCAGGCACGTCAGCAAACTCCACGGGCTGCAATTGGCTGGAGAAGCACGACATGATTGACCTGCGATTCAGGCAAACCGCCGAGCCATCTTCCTTCTTCTCTTCTCCTCGTCACAACTGCCCGGAACCTTCGCAACTGCGACCATGGCGACGAGCCCGAGCGACCCCAGCTCTTCGGCCGTACAGGCTCTGCGAGAGTCCTTTGGTGACCGCAAGCCTATTGACATTAGCCGGAAAATCACCGCGTGCGTGTCCTGCCGGAAGCAGAAAATCAAATGCCATATGGGAGATGGCACTCCACCGTGCACCAGATGCAAGAAACGGGGGCTGTCATGTGTTGTCAATCGGAGTTTGCAAATGCTGCTTGAAAGCGATGTAGCGTGAGTCCGTCTCAGATCAACTTCTACTCATTCTTGGACAAGACGACATGGGGCGATCCTGTGACGACAGAGGCAACCTCAACATTGCTGGGACGTACATCTGTGCAGCCTCTTGTGCGGGACTGCTGCCGTTCTCTCTCCGCCAATTTGATGTAGGCTTGTACGGACAAGGCTGACTCCCGCAGATGGAAAGCCAATATCGAAGAGAAATTACGCATGCTAGAAGACTCGGTCAGGCAGCTCAACCAGCGGTCCACCGGCGGCCAAAATCCTCCTCTCTATGTCTCCCAGGAGACTAGTCCTTCGACCCTCTCAACCAAACCGGACACGATTATGGCCTCTGAACAATCTCAGCCGACAGAACCAGGCTGGGAAGTCGTCATGGACTTGAACAGAGGACCGGGAGTGGTACCTGCATCTTGTGTGTCGGAAGTATCAGATGCCTCGCCACAGGTGTCTCGTCAGAACTTGGCTGAAAACTTCGACCTTATTGACCAAGGCATCATCTCGCTTGACGATGCGGAAGCCTTCTTCCAACTGTACGCGCGACGCCTCGATCATTTCTTGTACAGGATTCTGGCGGAGCATGACTCCCTAGCAAGCGTCCGGAAAAGCTCCCCCCTCTTAACCGCTGCTATATGTGCTGTGGGAGCCCTCCATACTCCCTCCCATTTGTATCACACTTGTTATCAGCACTTTGTCAATTTGGCATCTTCCAAGATGTTTTCCAAGAAGAACAATCATGACGATGTGCGAGCGTTTTGTATTGGTGCTTTTTGGATAAGTGATATGTCGTGGACCCTCGTTGGAGCAGGCAAGTGTCCACATACTAGCCTTTTCTCAAGAATGCCGTACTAACCCTGACTCCCGTTACAGCTGCTCGGCTTGCGGGAGAATTGAACCTCCACCGCTGTATTCCCAAAGCTCCTCACACAAAACGCGCCTGTTATTTGCGCACTCGGTTGTACTACCTCGTTTTCGTTTGCGACCATCATTTCTCAATCTGCTACGGGAGACCTCCCTTGACGAGGGACTTCACCTCAATCACTCCTCCGAATCAGTTTCTGGAGTCTGAATTTGCGACCGAGGATGATGCTCGGCTTGTCAGTCAAGTAGAAATCTGGACAATCAGTACGCGGGTCTTTGACCAATTTAGTCTGGACCCCGAAGCCCATCTGTCTGATCAACTCATCCCTCAACTCCGCCGGCTGAGCATTGCCTTAGATACCTGGCGAGCTGATTGGAATGAGCGATTTCATTTCAATGAGTGCGTCGGCAATTACCCGCGAAAGGGGGTAGGTCTTCATTATCACTTTGCGAAGCTGTTCCTCTGCTCCCATGCCTTCAGAAGAGCACCTGTTGCCGAAGGCGAACATCTCCAACTGGATCCTGACCTAGAGGAATTTGCGACAAGTGCGGTACACTCGGGAATCTCAATTTTGCAAGTCATTGCCGCAGATCAGGAGATTCAATCCTACTTAGATGGACTTCCGGCCTACTTCGATACGATGATAGCGTTCGCGTTCGTCTTCCTCCTCAAAATCACCATCAGGAATCCCGCCAACCTCCGAGTCGACAAGGCCGGGATATCCCAGACTTTGGATGTTCTAGCAACCGTCTTAAATAATATAACATCTAAAATGCACCCCCGCCACCTATTGACCAGCGTTGCAGGCAGTGCCCGGAAGCTGTTGGATCGCTTCTCCGGCCAAGAAGCTGCTCCAGCACCGTCTCAGAGTGCTCCAGGTCCGCTGGCTCCTTTTGACCCAGACAATCAGTGGCTCAGCCCTAGTGACGCTATGTTTCTTGAAAATTACGACTTTCTGTATTCGCCAGGTGCCGACCTCAATTTTGACGCTGAGATTGGTTTTGCGCACCACCAATAGCGACATCGGGTGGCAGATCGACTCTTAGAAATTAAGAGCTAGATCAAAGGCATCGAAATTCCTCCACTGTCGATCTTCAACTGTATTGCTGGTAGGGAGAGATCTTAGCAGAGGGATGGGCTGTTCAGATAGTCCGCCGTGAGAGCGAAGTCGATGGTCGCCCAAATTGTCGAGCGGATGTTCTTCTTTTCGACTTCCAAGAACTGCATTCTTCTTCGAGACCAGCACAAAATCTCCTTCGCGGTCGAGGGGCATTTCGAACATTTGAGCAGCTGTTGGTCCATCAAGAGCAAGTTCGATTTGTGGGAAGGATCGACAGTAGGTCAGGGCCTCTTCGATGTCGATATCTGGTCGGTTCAGGTATACCCGCACAAAAGCACCCAACGCGCCGTGGTGGCGGACGAAAGGATCTGTGATCGGGCAGATGACCCTTGAGGAACGCTCGCCAAACTTGCGATCCAGCTCTTCCTCGACAAAGAGAACGTTTGGCGTGCCGTCATCCTTGCACTTGTCGCTCATCCCGTGATCTCCAGTCACAACAACAGTAGCACCCAGTTCGACCAGGCGACCGACGCAATCATCCACGCTCGCCATGAAGGCATTCGCTTCTTTGCTACCAGGAGCAAATTTGTGCTGGACAAAATCCGACAATGTGAGATAAAACAAATCCGCCCGGTCTTCCTCAAGCAGCTTTATCCCTGCTTTCAGCACAAATAAAGACAGGTCCCCAGAGTATTGATCAGGAGCGGGGATTCCCAGCCACTTCTCAACATCGGAGATGCCATTATCGGCGAGATTACACTTGTTGGCGTATTGGGCGGAGAAGCAGATATCTCCCTGCGAGCAATTCAATCCGTGGTTGATGATTGCTCTCAGCTTGTCTTTCGCAGTTATGGCAGCGACGCGGACGCCTCGCTTCGACATCTGCTCCAAGATGGTAGACCCTCGAAGCAATGTGTCATCCACGATCATTTCCTCCTTTCGAGTTGTCCGGTCCAAGAAGAAGTTCCCGGAAATGCCATGGACAGACGTCGGCATCCCAGTAATGATGGAGACGTTATTGGGATTGGTAAATGCTGGCATGGCACATTTGGCCGTTGCAGCGAAGCCTGTTTGGACGAACTTGGCCATGTTCGGGGTAATGCCGTCAGACATTCCCTGTTCGAGGTATTCGGGATCAAAGCCGTCAACGCAGACCACGACTGTGGGTCTCTCAGGAAGCTTGTACTTTCTTCCGTGCAATTCAAAGACAGATCGAGACTCTACACAGTTCGTTCTCAGAGTCAGTCCTTCGCATCTTGAAGGTGGGGGGGCCGTTGTTTCCGATGCTTACCGAGCAGGCTTTTTGTTGCCATTCGTTCATAGTATTCGAGCGGCAATGTCGCCAATTTGGGTACCTTGGCCATGTCATCCCAGCGTCGAACAGCCAGTTTGGCCTCTAGAAGAGGGTCCTTCTGGGCCTCGATGACTTGCTCCTGGGTAAAGGTACCGCCCTGTGCCTAATTTTAGCCTCGAGCCCAAGAAGGCTCTATCTCTCCGAGATTGAGCGCTGAGTCTGGCGAACACGGACCTGGAACTTCAAAGTCGTCTTGCTTGATTGACTCAGGCCGTCATAATAATCTTTATCAACTGCCGTCAAGTATCGTTTCGCCATGACGTGCGCCCCGACCAGTTGGCAGATTGGCTCGTTGAATCCGAGACCACGAAGGTATTTCTCGCCCAAGATTTCGTGGCTTTCGCGTCCCACAAAGGCTCCGTCTGGGGCGATCATTGCAGGCATTTTCTTCGCCGCAGGAATGAACCGCCCGACATCGTGGAGCAAAGCGCCCAGCACGGTGTCATCGTCCGCACCTGCTTGTACTGCAAGCTGAGCGGCCTGCAGGGTATGTTCAAGCTGAGAGACGCGCTCCCCCAGGTAGTCGCCTTGGCCTTGGACGGCTATGAATTGGAAGAGTTCTTTGACACATTCGCGGGCGTGGCGTTCGACGGATGGCAGCATTTTGGCCCTTTCTATCGGCTCTTTGGCACCTGGATTCGTCGTGTGGAATTGACGGGGATTCCGATACGACTACTTGTTTGAGATGGGAGTTTTCAGAGTTGAGAAGTCGAGAGTTCCAGTCGAAATGTTTTGAATATGCATACAATTGTCCTTCTGAATCTTTGCTTGCGTTATTCGAAGTCAAGGCGCGAGTCGGCAGATCACCGAGAACTATCACCCACACCGGATTGAAGATCGAGCTTTACAGCCTGAGGCGATCTGCATACGGCGGCAGCAGTGGCGATTTGTGTGTGGCTCAGGCTCGTGTCTGACGAGTGGACCTAATTCATGGTCTTCCAAATGCTCGGGGCGTGGATCGAGACCGTGTTTTGCGGCCCTGAAACGGAGCTCGACCGAATGCTTGGCATCGGCATGAAGACCGCAAGGCTGGGGCCAGAAGCCTCGCTATCGCAATGCAGCCGTGCACTATTAAACGGCTGAGAGACTTGACCCATCTGGGGTTGGAATGCTACAGGAGTGAGTCTTTTGCCTGTGCTGCTTTCGAGATAAGCCGAACTCAACCTTGGACACCTCCATACCTGTTGCTTCCAAAGACAAAGAGCCTGACATGGCGTCCTTCGTGCCGGGCCCCGAGCTGGTGGAGCAATTCCACCGCGATGGATTTTTGGTCCTCCGCGCTGAGGAGCATGGGCTCGTGAAGCCTGAGCAGCTGCAGGCCTGGACTAGAGAGGTGCGCGAATGGCCAACTGAAAAGGGCAAATGGATGCCGTACCACGAGGTCAACACAGACGGCACACGACAGCTGATGAGGACGGAGAACTTTGTGGACTATCATCCCGAGTTTCATGCATTGCTGTGCGGCGAGGCCTTGGCGAAGATACTGAAAAGCATCTCGGGAGACGTAAGTCAGCTGGGTCCTTACGAAAGTTCCGTTGATTGACTTCAGAGTTGTAGGACATGCTCCTCTTCAAAGACAAGATCAACTACAAACTGCGCTCGGGTAACGGGTTCGCAGCCCACCTGGACGCGCCCGCGTACGACCACATTGGCAAGATCGAGCACCTCACCGCCAATTTTGCGGTGGACGAAGCGAACGCCGAAAACGGCTGCATCGAAGTCGTGCCTGGCTCGCACAAGATGGACGTCGAACTGTCCCACGGCGGCGCCATCTCCAAATCCTGGGAAGACAGCCACGAGTGGACGAAGGTCCCGCTTCGGTCTGGCGATATTCTGCTTTTTGGGAGTCACCTCGCACACAGGAGCGCGCCTAACCGCACGAACAGCAACAGAAGTAGCATCTATGCAACGTACCACGGCAAGAGTGACGGGCTGGATCTGAGGCAGAGATACTATAAGCATCGGAGGGAGAACTTCCCGCCTGACCACGGTGAGTTTTCAGCACACGGTCGACACTGCTACTGCTGTGCTTCCCTTGTTTTGTAAGTGATTTGAGACAAGATCGAGGCTGACATTTTTCTCTCTGCCTCGTCACAGAACGCGTAGCTGGGAAGGATTATAGCCAGGGCTACAAGACGTACGGGTTTGCCGCTCCGTTCATGTCAGAGAAGCAGGTCGAGCAGGATAAAGCGAGGGTGCAGCCTGTTCACTAGGCGAAGAAAAGGGAGGGGGAAGCATAGGGGAAGGAAGGCAGAGCCCTCTATTGAACCTAAATTCCTGTTTGAATGGAAAGCCTATCCCAAGACATGGTTTCACTCGTAGCTAATTAGTAGACGAAAGCCGCTTGATCCAGCGCTTGGACTGTGCCTCCTGGCGTACCTCTTCAGTACCACTCGATCCAATGCATCCTGAGCAGTGGATGGGCTTTAACGAGGACCACCTAGAACTCATCGGGCCCCAGAGCGATCCCTCGTCAAGGCATGCAGGGTTTGCCGACCCTCCCTCAGCTCTTTCTCTCTGCACTCGCTGCGAGCTTCTGCCTCCACGTAGCGTCAAAGGTGTCCTGCAGCTCGCTTTGAACAACTCGCCAGGTGGCCGGTCTATGTCTATCTCTAAAAATCCCACAGAATGCCAGCCTCATTTTCATTTTATGGCCCTTAAACCAATGAGGCCTATCCTTTAGAAATCTTCTCAAAAGACGTCTATGTCGGCCTGGGCATACATCCCTTTCATCCCAGAATTTTCGGAATTTGCTCCTTCAGATACTCGACAACGGCATCCGGGCCCTTTTGGACCTGCAGTCCTTCGGGGATTGCGTGGGTTTTGATGTCCGGCACGATGCTCCGAGCAATCTGCTGGATCTTTGAACTTTCCTCGGGCGTCCACATTGAGGCACAGAACTGGTTTGGAGCATTTGTCAGTCTGAAATTTGCCGCCGTCACAAAGTTTCATGTGTTCCAGATCTGGTGTGGGGAGGCAATGAAAGATGTCGGAACAGGGCATACATACAAGTACGTCTGGTTGGATCTCCTTCACTTTCCCTTCGACTTCATCGATGCCTATCGCGTCACATATCAGCCACTTGCCAGGCTTAAAGGGAATTCGCGCAGCATCCAACTTCATCGACTCGACCGTTGGGAACTGTGCTGGTTATAGCGGTGACTTACTTTCGCAGTTTGCCAGATGCTGGATCGTGTACTGGTCTTTGAGCTCCTCGGTCACACGACCAATCAGTCTTTTTGCTCTTTCAGGTGCAGTGTTGACTGTGACGAGCCTGTAGGGTCCCTTGGGAGACATTGTTGTGAGTTTATCCGGGGCACAAGGCTGTGGTGGTGGACAAGGCTACCCTCGTTGCAGATGCACTAGGCTGTTTGGTATTTGCAATGCTCCCTCCTTTTGTGAATCCTTTTCGGCTTCTCTTCGTACTCACAGGCTTCCCATTCACACAAGATATATGCCAGACATCACTGCAGCCGTACGGCATCTCCCGCCGATGTCAAGTCGCTGGACGGGCAAAGTCGGCAGTCCCGCTCGGCAATTGAACTTTCAGCGTGTGGGGATCTCCACATTCTGTCTCCTCCCGCCGATCTCCCCCCATGGCCCATGGTTCGTCATCTTGCCTCTTCCTCTCTTCTTCTGCGTGCTCGTCAGACTTATGCCATCACCCGGGTTTGTCTTTTTCCGCCAAATGACTTTGTCTTCCCGGCGTCTACTTCCGCGTTGAGGGGAGCATCCAATCTAGACCCGTCGCACATCCCGGAGCGACGAGAAAACTTATAAAACGTAAAGAAAAAGACCGGAAACGAGTTCTGGGGAAAGACCAGGCATATCAGACAGAATCTCACCATGCATTCCGACGTCCAATCACTCAAGATATGCGTCATCGGCGCTGGCATGGGCGGCTTGACCTGTGCACTTGGCCTTGCCCGTGCCGGCTTCAAGGACATCACAGTGTATGAAATGGCGTCAAATCTCGGCTTTGTTGGGGCAGGCATACAAATGGCGCCCAATATGGCCCGCATTCTTGACCGGTTCGGTGTGTGGGACGACATTTTCAAGGAAGCGGTGGTGTTGAACGAGACGAGTATCCGGCAAGGCTCAACCGACAACGAGCTCGGGCATGTGGACTTGAAGTACATTCGTGAGACGTATGGCTTCCCACACACGGTCGGTCACCGGGCCACACTTGCAGGCGAGCTCTACAACGGCTGCAAAAGAGAGTCGTCCAGCATCAAGTTCAACTTCGCGACGACATGTGAGAATTTCAAGTTTGCGCCCAAGCCCAGCTTTACCGCCATCCCGCGCAAGGGCGGCGAGCCGTACGAGGTGCAATGCGATATTCTGCTCGGAGCAGACGGGGTCAAATCAAACACACGGGTCGCGATGCTCAAAGAGCTCAACGTCGATGCAGACATCGTAGATACGGGTCAGGCGGCCTATCGAATCATGCTCAGTCGGGAACAGATGTCATCGGATCCGGAACTGCTGGCCCTCATCGATGCCGACAAAGTGATACGCTGGATCGGCGCGAAGAGACACATTATCGCATACCCAGTGTCCAGCAAACAAATCTACAACATCTCGACAACGCAGCCAGATGTCAACTTCGCGGCGGCTCCCTCGGCCACGTACACGACCAAGGGTTCAAAGAAAGCAATGTTGGAGGTCTTTGGAGATTTTTGTCCCATGATCCATCGCATGCTCGATCTGGTGCCGGAAGGGGAAGTATGCGAATGGAAGCTGAGAGTCCACGCGCCTCTCCCGACGTGGGTCATGGGGTCCATGGCGTTGGTCGGCGACGCGTGCCACCCAACATTGCCGCATCTTGCGCAAGGGGCCGCGCAGGCCATTGAAGACGCCGCAGTTCTTTCCGTGGTCCTTTCCCATCTCCCGTCAGGCGCGACCCCTGCAGACATCAACAAGGCTCTCCGGCTGTATGAGACGGTGCGGAAAGAGCGGGCCGAGACACTGGTCGAGCTGGCTGCGGCGAGCGGCCGCGCAATGCATCTGGGCGAGGGAGCAGCGAAGGAGGAGCGAGACAAGCAATTTGCCGCGCTCAAGGCCGGGAAAGGACCCGTGCCGGACAAATGGGCTGACGCTGATGTTCAGAAGATGGTCTATGGGGTCGACTGCATGAAGGTGGCAGAAGAGTTGGCCAAAGCCGAAATGAATGGCGCATGAATGGACAGGGGCATCGCATTGACAAGGCTACAAGAAGAGGAAGGAGGTGAAGGTGAAGGCTTCCCAGCTCGGGATGTAAACCTCCGGGATCGTATTCGACCTGTATATTGATAGCATAGCATATCTATGATCATTTTGGTGGTTTCGCCCCTCGCTTCGGTACCCCAAGGATAAACGGCTGATCCTGATGATCCTACCCTAAACGATCCTCGTCCGTCTCCAGGGCCTGGACCCTTGATTCCTGGTCATTCCCACAAGCCAGCGACAATTCGGCAGACAGGGTCGGATGAAAGAAAAGCCCAGGGACCCAGTTCCTTGTCGTGCATATACTTGAAGGCACAACTCCCCACCACCTCTCCTCATATCCCCACGCAATCTTTCTTGTAATCAAACCCTTTCCCTCCTCCTACCCACCATCGCTGTACCACAATAATGCTGTCCACAAGCTCAGGCCGAGGTGTTCTGCAATGCAAATTCTGTCACAAGGGTTTCTCCAAGGGAGAACATCTGAGGAGACACGAGCGAAGTCATACGGGAGCCAAACCGTATCAATGCAAAGAATGCAAGCGATCCTTCAGTCGACAAGACTCGCTCGCCCGGCATGAGAGACTACACCTTCGTCGCCGCAACCCAGAGGATGGCTGCTCGCCCTCAGAGTCCATTGATAGACTCGTCGCTCCAGAGAGCCTCAGGGACAGCGAATTGGCCGAAAGCTTCCCCAATGTGGCAGCCGACGTCTTGGTCTTTCCTCCCGCGCCGCTTCCAGTGGGAGTCCCACAACAAGCAGGCGACTTGGACTTTGAGCTCATCTGGCCCGACTCTGAAGACTTGCTACAGACACTCATGTCCAGTGACGCCTCTAATCAGTGGCAGATCCCCCTAGGGACTCTTCCATTCTCTGCCACCCCGTCCACAGCCGATAAGTGCTTCGAGACACCCAGCTCGTTTGATGAGCGCCCTCCGTCGATAGGAGCTATACCTTCGGGAGGAAATCACCAAGCAGTCCAAGATGTCAGTAAGATGGTCTCCAATGTTGTAAGTCCGATCACCTTCAGGTAGCAAATTATCACTACTAAGTCCTGTGCAGTCGTCCAGCGTCACGGCCGCAGCAAGATCCACCTCCATCACCTCCGTCTTCCTCGACGAGTGCCTGCACATGTTCTTTGTCAAGTTCATCCCCACGTTCCCGGTCCTTCACAGAGCCACTTTCATCTTCCGCGACTGTGCTCATCCACTACTTCTCAATGCCATCGCCATTGGCTCTCTGTATCTGGGACCCAAGGATGCTGTGGCAAAGGGCGAGGCGCTGTGGCATCTGGCACACACGGCCATTGCAACATCATGGCAGAGCCTGATCACTCACCGAGGTCCTTATGATACCTGCGACGGCGTCCAGCTGCTGGTCACGAGCGTCCTCAGCCAGGTCTATGGTGCGTTGTCGAAGAATCGCACCATCCGATCCACGAGCCAGGCATTCCATTCTCTAGGGTTTGTCTGGGCCCGACGCTGCGGAATGCTGGACAGCGAGCCGTATTCGCTCGCGTCAGTCCCTGCCCTAGATGCCGCCGAGTCTGAAAAGGAGCATCAATGGAGACTGTGGGTGGCGCGAGAGATCCAGCAGCGAGCCCTCCTGGCACATTACATGCTTGACGGTCTCATCTCGCAGATGTCTGGGGAACCAACTTCAGTGCGCCATGCCACGAACCAGCTCACACTGCCCAGCGACGACGCGGCGTTCGAGGCATCAACGGCTGGCGAATGGATCTCCTACATGCATGCCTCGGCATCTTTCCCGGTCCCATCCTTTCGGAGCATCCTCCGACGCCTCTTCCATCCGCTGGACGAGTCGAGCTGGCTGGACACGACACTGTCGGCATTCTCATACAAAGTCATCTTGGAGGGACTCCAATCCTTGATTTCCGATGACGATTCGGAAGAGGACACAGCCGTGGGAGTCCCCACCCGAGGCGAGGTTCGCGCCGCGCTGAACAAGGTCTACGAGAGCATCAGACTGAACCCGTCTCTATCCTCAGCGGACCGGTTCGAGACCCTCCTGCGCTGGCACGCCATATGTCTCGACACGAACGTCGATTCATCCCTACTTTGCCGTAATTTGTGCGCGAAATACGCCATCCCGCAGCACATCTGGCGCAACGGACACGGGCCAAAGCCCAACACCGACCTCGCCGCCTGGGTGACAACTCCAGCAGCGCGCAGCGCCTTGCTCCACGCCATGGCTATCCAAGAGATCATCGAGCAGCTGCCCCGCGGCCGCGCACACGCCATCCACATGCCCAGCGCCCTGTTCGCCGCCGCTACGGTGTACTCGGTGTTCGCGCTGGGAAGCCAGCCTGCGGTCAAGATTCCTTCGACGGTAGTGTGGCAGGACGTTCTCTTATCCGAGCACCACAGCCATGCCTCACAACTGTCATCTACATCTCCTTCATCCTCGTCGACCCTATTGTACACCAACACCCCGGACATGGACATGGACCGCTGCTCGGCGTCCACGTCCGACACGACGCGCTACATCCGTGGCGACAGCCTGCAGAGATCGAACGCGGCCTCGCGCAATCTGCTCTACGAGCTGAACTCGATGGAGAAGCTGTTCCGCTGTCTCATTGCGCAGTGGGGCGTGGCTGTGGACATGGAGAGCGTGGTTGAGAAGTGGATTGAGCTTTGTCATTGATCTCGCATCGCAGGTGAGGGATAGAAAAGCAGCAGGCATGCCGTGAATAAAGACACAGCGTGACAGGGACATGGGTAAGAGGTAGCGAGAGGGCTTGTTTATAGTGTTGTACACCTCTCTTGAAAGCCGAGCACAGGAGGCGTTAATGCACCTAACCTCTCGCGTAGGAAGATGGAACGGCTACAGCCCCGGGGTGGAGGGAGTAGAAAATAGACGAGATCCCCTCTTTCTTCCTAGATGGTCTCTCATGGCCCTTTTCTACGTGGGCGGCGATTTCTCATTCTCATTCATAAATACACACAAAGCTAAGCCAACCATCTCTCTTTCTCGCCATCCAGAGCACAGAACAGAGACATCCATCTCATCCCCTCCCACACCGATTCATGCTCTTTCCTGCTCTAACCTGGCGTACCTCTCGTGACGGACTACTGCTTCTCCGCCAAGCTAATCCTCCCCTGCTCATCATACACAATCTCCCTCATCTTGACACTCCTCAGGTGATCCACGCCCTTGCTGAGCTCGCAGTCATGATAAAACAGGTACCACTTGCCCTTGAACTCGACAATACTGTGATGCGTGGTCCACCCCAGCACAGGCTCGAGGATTCGGCCGCCATACGTGAAAGGCCCCAGGGGGCTGTCGCCGATCGCGTAGACCAGGTAATGCGTGTCGCCCGTGGAGTAGCTGAGGTAGTACTTCCCGTTGTACTTGTGCATCCAGGCGGCCTCGAAGAAGCGGCGGGCGTGGTCGTCGGCGGCGATCCGCGCACCCGTGGAGGGGTCGAGGATCTCGAGTTCCTGCACGGGGCCGGCGAAGCGGCGCATGTCGTCGCTCAGTTTCGCGGCGCGCGGGAGCAGAGCCGACACGCCCGCGCCCGACGGTTCCTGGGGCCCGGATTTGGAGGCGTCGAATTCCCCGCCCTGGTCCGGCGACGTGGGCCAGCACTGCAGCTGCCCGCCCCACAGGCCGCCGAAGTACAGATACGCCTGGCCGTCGGCGTCGTCGTCGACGAAGCTGGCCGGGTCGATGCTGTAGCTGCCCGGGATGGGCTGAGGGTCCGGCGTGAAGGGGCCCCCCGGTGAGTCACCGACAGCGACGCCAATCCGAAAGATGCCCTCCTTGTCCCGCGCGGGGAAGTACAGGTAGTATTTGCCGTTCTTGGTCGCCGCGTCGGGCGCCCACAGCTGCCTCGACACCCAGGGGATGTCCTCGGCCTTGAGCGCCACGCCGTGGTCCGTCACCTCGCCGCCGACTTCCGAGAGGGACAGGACGTGGTAGTCGGCCATGTCGTATTGGTCGCCATTGTCGTTGAATTGGATGTCGGTTTCGCGGTCCTTGTTTGAGAGTACAGGTTAGTATTGTGGTAATAGAGAGAGAGAGGAAAGTCATCGCCCGGAAAAAGTCAATAACCCGTTGGGGAGCCACCACCGCCGAAGACAACAGCATCGCCAACGCCATATGGTCCTCTTCCCTCATCGTCCGCGACGTACCGAGTACTTACATGAGATGGGTACACGTAGATCTTGCCCTCAAAGACATGCGCCGACGGGTCGGCCGTGTAGATATGTGTCACCAATGGTTGCGGCGCCATGATTTCTTCTCTTCTGGTCCTTTGTTTTTTAATGCGGTTGGTAAGGCTCGGTCGGTCCTAGTATCTTCTCGCTCACTCCTATTATATATTCACCCAGATGGAAAACAGAAAACGGGGAATTCCTTCCCCCCCATTCTTGCATCATCCTTTATATCTGCCCGTTTTACACGGCTCCTTTGCTTGGGGCGTGGAGTTTGCCCTTACCGATGCGGATTAGTGGTGGCAGCATTTAGCCAGATTTATCCGAAGGGGGATGAATGAACTCGAGGGGTCAGTCCCTCTCCATAGTACCTAGTAGGGGACGATGTGATTCCGAAGAGCTGCCGATGACCCCCCTCCATTTCTGGGCGGATTATTTGGTTCTTACCTTGTCGAGTATCTGTTCGTGCACCTTGTTGCGTATGACCTTTTCGGGACTGGACTATCTCACAAGTATGGAGAAACACAGCTGAGTAAATGCCACCGACTTCCTGCCCATTGCGACTTCGACCATTCGAGGGACTGCAGGTGATTTTGAGCTCCAAATCCCTCGTGGAGTTGTGGTTAGCAAGGGTTCCGGGTTTTCAGGCGCTGTGTCGCCCCTGACAGACGGTAGCCTCGCCAAGCAGCCCCCGAGCTATACTGGTGGCTCTCCATCAGACGGCGACACAGCCAGCGACGATGCGCACCGTTTTCCGGAACGCCAGAGTCTTCACTGGCTCGCAGGACGCCTCGTCGTACGGAAAGCATTCATGCATGATCGTCAATGACGACCTGATCGAATACGTGGGCGACGGGTCCGATGCTGCCGTTGTGCAAGCGGCCGCCGAGCAGGGAGCGAAAGTAGTCGATCTCGACAGCAGACATACTCTAGCACCAGGCTTTATCGACGGCCACATGCACCTCCTGATGTTCGGGACGTCTCTCCAAAAGATCAGCCTAGAGCATTGTCGGACGCTGGCGGACATACAGTCCACAGTCCGCGAAGCCGCCAGAGCCGATCCTTCGAAACGCCGCATACTGTGTCGTGGCTGGATGCATTTCATGACTGGTGGCAAGGCACTAGCAAAAGACCTGGATGGACTTGACGAGCAGCAAGATCGACCCATTTTCATCGATTCGAAGGACTTGCATTCCACATGGTGCAACACTGTCGCTTTGAAGGAGATGGGCGTGCTGCAGGACATGCCCGATCCGCCTGGTGGAGAGATCCAGCGGGACGAGCAGGGGATTGCCACCGGTCTCCTAAGTGAGGCCGCCGCCATCACGATCGTATGGCCGCATCTCGCGAAAGTGGCGTCGATGGACGAAAAGGTCGCGGCAATCCGCCAGGCGATCACGACGTACAACTCCTCGGGATATACGGGCGTGGTGGAAATGGCCATGGACGAAAACGCATGGGAAGCCCTGCTCGAGCTGAGATCTTCTGAAGATGTGACCATTCGCGTCGCCGCGCACTGGCTGATCTATCCGTCCAAGACGGACGAGGAGAACTTCCGCCAGGTGGATCGCGCCATCGAGCTGTGGAAGCAATACAACCTGCAGACATCGCCGGATTTCCGCATCGCGGGGATCAAAGTCATCGGCGACGGGGTCATTGACGCGTGCACGGCGGCGCTGCTGGAGCCGTACTCGTCAAATGGAGTCTCGTGCGATCCGCTGTGGGATGCGCACATGCTCCAGCGGGTCGTCGAACGAGCCGACACTGCCGGGCTGCAATGCGCCCTGCACGCCATTGGAGACGCGACGATCAAGATGGCCATCGACGCTCTGAGCACCGTCGCTTCCAGCGGCCGCCGCCATCGCATTGAGCACTTGGAGCTGACATCTCCGGGCGATGCGAAACGGCTAAGCGAGGCTGGCATCACCGCGTCGATCCAAGCCGTGCACGCCGACCCGGCCATCTTGCGGCAGTGGACCAAGTTACTGGGAGAGCAGCGGCGCGGCCGGGCCTTTGCATACCGCGAATTCCTCGACCAAGGGGTGCCTCTCGCGCTGGGCACCGACGCCCCCACGGCTCCGAACCTGCCTTTGCCGAACCTCTACGTGGCCACCACTCGAAAATCAGCAAGGGAAGCGACATCCCACGAAACGGTCAACGAGCACTTTGCGCTGCCTCTGTTGAGCGCCTTCTCGGCGGCCACTCGGGGCGCGGCATATAGTTGCTTCATGGACCAGATCACAGGCAGGCTAGAGGTAGGCATGAAGGCTGACTTTGTGGTTCTGGACATGGAATGGTCGCCCGAGACCCTGCTGCAGGCAAAAGTTCTGCAGACCTGGTTCAATGGACAACAGGTATATATTGCTCAATAAAGTCCGGCATATATCAGTGATACATAGGTAAATCGGGAGCCGTCAACGTCGCTGCCAGTCAAGTCTTTACGACGAAGACGAAGAGACTCCCGCGACTTTCTCCTTGGTGTTTTCTGCAATTCCCTCCGCAGCATCCTTGGTGTCTTGACCACCCTCTTTGGCCGCGTTGGTTGCTTGCTTGCTGTGTTCCTCAACCGAACCTGCTACATCGCCACCGATTTCCTTGGTCTTGTCTGTAGCTTCCTGCAATCTCTCCTTTTGTGCCTCCTTGGCGTCTGCCACACAGGCAATCAGTAAGTTGATCTTGTATTCGCCTCACGTGGACCTGACTGGAATAGGACTGGCGCTCACCTTGACTACTGCCCTGTTTATCGCCGCCTGAGAACATATTGCCTACTTTGCCTGCCCCAGCACCCACTGCGCCTCCAGCGAATTGTACAGTGCTGCCCAGTCCGTCTCCAACGCCCTGGACGGTTCCAACCACGCCCTCACCGAGAGATCCAACGGTGTTTCCGAGTGTATCGACGAGTCCTTTTACACCTCCTCCTACTGTGCCTCCAAGGGCAGTGACGGCGCTTTGGGTATTAGAGGAGACGCCTTGAGCTTCGTCTTGGGGAACTTTGCCGGCGATTGCAGCTCTGGCGTGACACAGGGACTATATCAGCAAATTGCAGGTAAAGAGGTCGGGAAGTCCATTCACTTTCACTCACTTGGTTTGCTGCGAGAGCCTGTCGGCCTTTGGATCGCCTGGGAGAAGGTCGAGATCAATGACACGGTTCTCTGCGACTTTGACCATGATGCAGCAATGGAGGGTTGATTGGAAGTGTATATTAGTATATTACTCTTCAGAATGGAGCTTCCCGCATGTGGGAGAGCGTGTCATAGTCGAGACTTGTCATATTGGATTTGCTGGATGTTGCTGCAGCCGTCCAGTGACGTAAGGCTGGACATGCTTGCGCGCAGTCCCTGACTGGCAATGCTTTCATGACTTCATGCTCGACAGGATTGTGTTGGGATGAAGAAAGGATCTCATGGCCGGCCTCTCAGAAGGCAGAAACAGGGAACTTGGAATACACAAGCAGTTCCCCCGCAGTCTCCACGACGGCGAAGTAGAGGCCCAGTTAAGCGCAGTTACACTTGTCCAGATGCGGTATGATGGCATGTTGTCGACCTTGCTGCCTCGTTACAGGCTTACAGCTCTGTCAGCTGCCTCTACTGCTCAAGATGAATTTAATTAAGAGGTGCTGAAAATGATACGCCAGGATGTACAGCTCCCAAATTCTGGTTAATGACATCAATATTCCAGCAAGCTGGAAATATGCACGGTGTAGCAACTTGTAAGTATCCTCAACACTAAAAAAACGGAACTTCCCCACGAGCCTCCAAGAACAATGCCTGCAACCTCACTTACTGATTCGTGCACGAAACACCATACAACGTTCTTCAGCAGCAGCTCCTGTTCATACTGTCATTGGCATCAGGGATCTTCCCTATGAAATCAACGGATCCGCGAGCGACAGCCTCCGAACACTTAGCCTGCAATTCCTCGCTCGACAAGCTGGTCCCCATTTTGCAAAGGAGGCTGACCAAAGGCAACACTTTGGTCTGAAGCTTCTTGAATACTTGGGTCATCTCATCGTCTATTGATGCCTGGAAACTCTCCACTGACCTCAATGCTTCTGTCTGGAGCTTCTCGAAAGCAACCTTGAGCAGGACCGATATAATCAACCTTCCGCCAGAGTGGAAAGTAGTTCCCTATTTGCATCTTCGGCAAACAGGTTGTGTTGGAAGGGTTGACTGCTGCTCCTGCACCGACACACGAAGCGATGCCTTATGCCTTGATCAATGTTTGTCACAGTATTGTTCCAGTTGTCAACGACATTGGAGATCCAGCCAGTCAGTGTGTTCCCCTCTTTTTGGAATATCAGGAAATGCAACCATTTGAGAAGGATTGGGTGCCTGAATCGGTCAGTTGCTGTTCTTGTGACGACCCTAGGTTGGAAAAACTTGCCATTGCAGATCGGGTGAAGCCGTAATGTGCAAGATGTTGGACGCACTGGCAAGCAAGGCCCATATCGTTACCGCCTCCGTCTTGGAAGATAGATCTCGTACCATCCGAGTCTACAGTGCCTTGGGGTACCGCCGGGCAATCCAAGGCGAGCGGACAATCAGGTCCAACTCCGCAAGAGCGTCCGCCGACGATCCCCTTTCAGGCCCAAAATACCAAGACCTGCACCAGACCTTGATGATCTTTTGGCAGCCCAGACTACACTGTCAAGAAACCCAAACGAACCAGGATGTTCGCATGACTGCCTTGGAGGACCTAAAGCGTTATTGGATGACAAAGGGGACGCATTGCGGAACATGAAAGCACTGATACCGTTAGGTGAAGCGCCTGAACCCAAAATTCGCCATGGGTCCCGCCCGACGAGCCGAACACACGGTCAGATGCAAGCCTTAGGGCCAAAGGTGCCATCTGGCAGAGAGCCATGCCAGGATGCCAGGATAACAAGAGATGCAAGACCTTGGACCCGCAGGGAGGCCCAAGAATCTGAGTGTCCCGATCACCAAACCGGAACAGCAAAGCAACGGCCAGATCAAGAAGGGTTGTTTCCCAGTAACGCCACAAGGAAGGGCAGGTACAACTTCTGTCGCCGAGGACTATCGAGACACACTTCGGACCTCGATGCCACCCGCCCAGCAACAGAAGAAAAGACAGCTCACCAATGATCTTCCGCCGTACAAAGTGCCCAAAGGATAGATCAAGCAACCTTTGTATGCTCAATTTGTTCATAAATCGCCAACTTCCACAGGCTATAGATCCCATCTTTCCGATTCAGCTCGCTTATTTGTGATTGGGAAGTGCTGGGTGAGCCACAGAGGAATCTGGGTAATCGAGGCCGCAAAACCTCAGCCAGCGACGGGAGCGATGATGTTCGAGCGGATTTGGGGCTGGACGCCGGCGTCTGGGGTTGTGGTGCTATCGACGTTGGTCTGGGTCTAAAAGAGTTTGTGCCCACCTTTTGTTCTCCCACAGGAACTTGACGCGCTCTTGTGTCGGTCCAAACGTGCTGCACTGCCATCGAGGATCGATCGACGAGCAGCTCCGTTCCCTGTTCTTTCTATACTTGACATGAGCAGATTTTGGATGCTTTCAGCAAACCAAGTTTGCGGTATTCACAAAAACGGACTTGCCAGAGGTGCTCCTGGGTCGTTCGAAGACCTTCATAAGAGATAGTGATTGATTGAACAAGGAATGATGGCGGTGAGGGCGGACATCCACGAAAGGGTTTGGGTATCGCAGGGGACGTGAACGGGGCATCTTGCTCTGAACACGGTCCTTGTCTCGATTCATTCGGAGACTTGGTCTACGCAGATGAGTCATACCTTCCTCAGCCTTTTCCGCCTAGCCATGGCGTCTTGTAATCACAAAGGGATTCAATGGAAAGGGTGGACGAGGAGGCAGCAGGAAGGGTGTGTCTTGGTTGCCATGGTTCAGCCTTTTGCACACGACGTCTTCGGAACGGAACAGATCGATTTCCTTACTCGTAGGAGTATGCATGCTGAACACTCCACCTCATCCGGGGTGCCGTGGTTCTAGATCGTCGGCATCTATATTCGTATCCTGACAAGGAGATAGATGATGGAAGAAAAGACTCGAACGATCCACCAATCTTAGACCTTTCGGCGGATCCGCGCGTAAATGTTCTTCGTTTCTTCCCCTTGTTTCTGACTGTACGCCATAAAGGGGCAAAACACAGGAAACTAAGTTTCTAGCTAGTGTATCAAGCCCTTTCATGTATCTCGGTACTTGTTCAAGTACCGGGCCGGGAAGGTTTTGGTTACTCGTATTGTTTTGGGTTATATACTAAATCAGTTGACCCAGGGCTGCAGTGGCGATGAACTGCCGGGGTCATCAGGGTCTCTGCCTCAAAGAGCCTGATGGAATGAACTGAGCCTTCGGATAAAGAACCCTGACCATTTTGAGGGTCGCATCAGGTCAGAAAAGGGGGTGAGAGCCGAGAAAGACGAAGTTGTGTGGTCATTGTCGGTGCTTGTTCGCGTCGGCAACTCTCGTCCGCGCTACAGACTGAGAGAGGGAGAGAGCCTCGCAGGCTGCTGTTGGTTTCCGCTCCGGCGATCAATCAACCATACCTAGGTACTTAGGTACCCATTTTTCGTACTCCGTATTCGCTCTTGAATGGTCACAACTCACGATGGCCCTCGGGGAGAATCCCCACCTATGCTTGTTCGCAAGATCAAACGACGGCCTTCTCTCGCGATTTTTCCTTTTCACACGTGTCGACTACAGAGGGCACTAGGCAGAGAGATGCGAGGCCGTTCCGGGGTTGATGCATGGCGAGCTCCCAAACTTTGGGCGCGACCCAGTGGGAGAATGCCGACAGAGATGGATACAGGTATGGCAGTATGGCAGCCCTGGGGGCCCCCCTCCACGAGGTGCATTGTGACTGGCTATGAGTAAGTGGGAGAACACAACTTGACTACTGGTAGGGAACGAGTGAATGACTGCCCACATGGACACCTCGCCGTCGACCTTGGCCGCGGATCCAAAATCCCCCACATACCGGGTATAGTGCCTTGTTGTGCGGAAAGTAAGTAACTCTGCCTGGACCTGGACCTGGACCTGGCCCTGGAGCGGTGGCGGTGGCTGGTCTGCTCCTTCCATGCTCCGTCTGCTAGTATTATTCCTGCTATTTCCCGATTCATCAATCAATACTCGGCAAATCCAGCTCGTGGCTCGAAACTTCGAGCTCTCGTGTCAGGAGTATTATCATCGTCGGCAATTGACCGTCTGATCATGCTTTATAAGATCCCAAAACTAGTGGCTGTTCATACGCGGATGCAAGCTTCTCACTCTTCGTCCTCCTTACAACTCGGCAGATCAAAGGCGAGAAGTCAGTCATTTAACGCCTAACTAGCTTTCACCCGAAGCCCGGGGCACCAAACGCTGCTGGTCTTCCTTCCAAGGGGGGGACAGGCACACCGTCAGTCCAACAGCCGTGACCCGCAAGATCCTTAGGCCCGCCTAATCTGTAATGGAGCAAAGGTTCGAGCAACGGCAGTTGTCCTTCTTCGCACAGCATGACGCCACGATTGGTTTTCCCTCGTTTCCCCATGGCACTAGGGTGTCCACCCAAAGGCCCCTGCACGGCCCCAGGGCTACCTGGGCGACTTCTGGGCGAACTGGGGCAATTCCGTCGAGGCCCTTGCCCCGTGGGGCGAGAAGATCATTGGAGAAGCTTGCATCGTTGCGGACGCCCACGCGGACGAAAGCTTCGAGCTGCCTCCTTCCTGCCTCCCTCCCTCTCTTCATGCACCAGGTCGGATAACTCGTGCCAAACGAGCAGATCTCGTCAAGGGAGGGGTCGACGCTGGGGCTTTTGTGGATAAGTAGACCTGTCAGGCCACTACATCACCAGTCTTCTCGACTCTCTTTTTCTTCCCTTCCTTAACGAACCAGCTATTACTGGGTCCTCGAACGGGCAGAACTCGGATCTAATCCAGAACACAATCAATCCATAGTGGTTCGACCTCCTTTAGCTGTGAGAGCCCTGCAAAAATGGGTCTTGGAGTTCTAGAAGGCAAGCAACACTCCGCTCCCCTTGGTCGGCAGCGAACTGACAGCCAGCAGACAGGAAGCTGGACCACGTTCCTGGGACGGTCTTGCTGAACGACGAAGCCGCCCACTCGGAAGCCATCACCTCGGGGCTTAAGCATGGAAAAGGCAGTGATGCTCATATCGTGCTGTCGCCTCAACCCAGCGAAGACCCCAACGAGTAAGTTTGCGTCTTGAACTTTGGGAGAGGCCCTTCCTTCGCATCCCCTGTCGCCAGGAAAACATTCGTCCATGGTTATTTGGATCAAGGGTGCAGGCTAATTGGTTTATGTGGTAGTCCCTTGAACTGGCCACTGTGGAAAAAGGAAGTCATCATCGCCATCCTTTGCTTCGGCTCGATGCTTAATGCCGGTACCAATGTAAGCGCGGACCCGCGGGCTATCTGGCGGTGAAGCAATGGTTTCTAAACTTGTGTGTTAGGGACCTTTCCTCAATGCGTCGTACTTCGAAATGGCTCAGCAGCTGAACACGAACATCACCACCGTTGTCTTGGTCTCTGGATACAACCTTTTGGCTGCGGGATGCATTGGACCATTCGGTATGTGTTCCTCCTTTGTTTGGTTAAGTGATGATATCGACTAACGCGCTGCGCGTCTCGTCCAGTTTCTGCTTTCAGTCGCAAATACGGCAAAAGACCAGTCTTCCTTGTCTCTACGCTCTTCGATATTGTTGGGACCGCCATCGGCGAGTCTAAAATATCCTACAAATACCTCCTAGCCGCCCGCATCGTCCAAGGGTTTTCGACATCGGCCTTTGAATCCCTCATTGTGGCAACTGTCGGCGACATGTACTTTGTGCACCAGCGCGGTCTGCGAATCTCCATCATCAACTTCATCCTCAACTCGGCCTCCAGCCTGGCATCCGTCATCTGCGGCCAGGTCTTTCAAAAACTGGGCTGGCTGTGGCTGTTCCACATGTTCCAGATCTTCCTGGTGGTGCAATTTGTGCTCATGTTCCTCTTCTGCCCCGAGACGACGTACATCCGTGATACGCGCTACAACACTGATACTGCAGTGGATGAGAAGCTGCAGGATTTGGCTGTGATCGAGGCCACACACAAGGAGATGGTGGGTGAGCCGGGACAGGGCGAACGCACGGATGTGCCCCGGAAGAAGACCTTTGTGCAAGAGCTGGCCGTCTGGACGGGCGTCTACTCGCACGAAAACATCCTGAAATTCCTCTTTGGACCTTTCTTGACTCTTCTCAACCCGGCGGCCTGTTATGCAGTCATTGCGTCTGGCGTGCTCAACAGCTGGTAAGTTTGTGGTGACCACATTGAGATGGTGCGCGTCTAACAGTACGCCAGGTATGTCGGATCCGCCATTATCTTGTCGGGCATCTTCTCCGGCCCTCCGTGGAAGTTCAATGCGTCGCAAATTGGATACGTTGGCTTTGGTCCTTTTATCGGCGGATTGATCGGGTCGATCATCACGGGCGTCACGAGTGACCATGTCATCAAATACCTGGGTCGGAAGAACAAGGGCGTCTAGTAAGTGAAACGACCTTCTCTCCAACTTGAGTCTGCGTTGTCCACAAGAATCAAAACAGGACTGACGAAACTTGAAAAAATTTAGCGAGCCCGAGTTCCGTCTGGTGTTCATGGCGCCTGCCGGTGTCGCGTGTGGCGTCGGAATGTTCCTGTTCGGGTATACTCTCGCCGTGGGCGCTTCAGCCGGACTGTGCGCGTTCCTGCAAGGCGTCATGATGGTTGGCGTGTTGATCGGCATCTTCGCGACGCTGTCGTACGGCCTGGACTCGTTCCGGGATCAGAGCAACGAGATCTTTGTCATGAACATGCTTTTCAAGGTGCGTTGCTGCTACATTCCTTCCGTCTTTTTCCCCATTCACTTTTGTGCTGTTCCCTTAAGGGAATCTGTAGCACTCGATCCATATCGTGCGATTTGGTCATGCCTTTGCTGCAAGCATCGATTTTATACCTGGTGTCCCGTGCTGACATATCATATCACTGGCAGAACTTCATGTTCTACGGCCTCTCCAACTACGCCAACAACTGGGTCGCGGCCAACGGACCCGAGCAGATCATGTACGTCTTCGGCGGGACCTCGATCTTCCTCTCCCTCCTGGCCATCCCTGTGTACATATTCGGCAAGCGCCTGCGCAGCTGGTGGGCCAGACACGATTTGTTCAAGGTGCTGAAGATGCAGATCCACGGCCCGGTCAGCGAGATGGGATAGGTGGGTGGTTTGGATTCTGGGAGAGGTTAGAAGGCGGGTTTGCAGTCGAAGCAAAGCCGGCCGACCGACCCAAGTGATCTAGACCATCAATGACCCAACTGGATGCGATGTGATGTGATGTACCTCGTACGGGGTCACTCATACTCCCTTACTGTGTTATTAGGTTGAGTTGGTTAGCTTCGACCCGGTCCAGTTGAGTGTAGTTCGGTATAGAGATCTCCGAATACCAAGTCTCCTCAAGACAAGCAGAACTTTCAACAGAAGTCTTGTCCTTCGCACTCCGCTTCGCCTCGCTCGTTACGCCTGCTGTATAAGCAGGGTGTTCCAGCACCGGGGGAGGAGCGCGGATATAATAAACCTCTCGTGCGTTTAGATGTGCGTGTATGTCTGTATGTCCAGGCTCGGCCGAGGGCGGAAGCTTAAGCAGTCGTGTTCGGTCTCGGCTTTACGCCCGTTAGTTTTTGCTAGCTATACCAAGTACTAGAACACCCAACTTTGTTTTGTCTTTGCCATGGCGAGCGCCCCTGCCGAACGGACCGAGAAACTCTTCTAGGTACGAGCAGGACCGACAGCCTTGCGAGGACGTGTGCCATGGCCGTCATCTCAACGTACTTGATTCGAGACTGAGGCCTTGAGTGCCCGACTGCCCCGCAAAGCACCTCCATCTACCTAGGTAGCGGTATCTGGCGCCCAGGCAAATTCCGTGCGTCCTGTGCCGTTGGTCTGCAGCCCCAAATGCACCCGCCGCCATCTCCGTTGAGCCCCGTCAATCTCTTGCCATAACGCGCAAGGTGTACGATATGCTTTGGCGCCAACGCCCGCATACTCCCCGGGCTAGGTATGTGCACCGGTTGCAGGGATTTTCTCGACGTTTTCACATTTGCATTCCACAGCTTGTCGGGCGCGTTGCTTCGGACTCGCTCATGCGCGACGAACAAGCAACTGCGGAAATAGGCAGATCCTCGTCGCATTGCTCTGCGTGTTCTGCTCCCTTGAGACCCTCGTCCTCGGCTTGATACTGGTTTGATGACAAAGAAACGAGCACGCAGGCCACCCAGCCCAGGCCATGCATGCATGCATGTGTCGTGGATCACTTATTCCCGGGTTGGTTAAGGACTACCTATGAGCGAGCGGAGACGGTTGATCACTTTTAGCACCGAGGCGAGTTAACAACCCCAGGCCAGGTATGCATCCTCGCTGCAGAGCTACTCGGTCCATTGAAGGAGAAGAAAAAAACCATCAGGCGTACGCATCCCTTGTTCGGTGCCGCAAAGCATGTTTCGTTTTTCGGACGCTGGGCTTGGAGGGCCTGAACGGAGAGGATTGTTACATCGAGCCCCCTCAAAAGCGTTATATATACCTTAAACCTTCGACAGGACGGAATTTCTCTTTCTTACTATCCATTGAAATAGTTTCTCCCAAGAACGTAACGCCTCAGTTGTCAAACAATCAGGTATTTGACGTCAATCTCCTCCAACGTATCCAAACATGTCGGCCCCTGAAGTTGCTATCATCGGCGCTGGCCTCGCTGGCCTCACTCTGGCCCTGGCGCTGCATAAGCAAGGCATCAAGGCCACGATATACGAGTCCAGACCGGCGCCTCTCAACATCGGTGGCGCAGTCATGCTGTCTCCCAATGCCCTGAAAGTCTTGGATGCCTTGGACTTGTACCATGAGGTCCGTGGACGGGGTTACAACTTTGAGCTGCTCAAGGTGGTCAAAGTCGACGGTGAACTCATCGAGACCTACGAGTTTGGCGGCAAGGAGAAATATGGGTACCAGGCAAACCGGTGCTACCGCTACGAGCTCATCGATGTCATCCTCTCCAAGATCAAGTCGCTGGGTATACCGGTGGTGTTTGGTCGCAAGTACACTCGTGTTGTCGAGGAGACTGAGGATCACATCGTCTGGGAGTCGAGTGACGGCGCACAGTCCACTGCGTCCTTCCTCGTGGGTGCCGACGGGATCCACTCATCTGTCCGCAAATACCTCTATCCAGACGTGGAACCAAAGTTCATTGGCATGGCGGGTATCACCTCGGCAGTCCCGGCGAGCCAAGTGACCTACCCCTACGGAAAGATTGACCAACCTTTGACCATCACGGCTGAGGGAAAGGGTGCGTTCGTCATCGCGCCTCAGAAACCTGACGCGTCGGAAATGTTCTTCGGGAAACAGAAACGCATCGACGAGCTGGACCGAGCAGGATGGGACAAGTTTCTTGCGGATAAGGAAGGCCTGGTCAAGTTCCTCCAGGAAGACGCCGAAGCATTTGGCGAGGTTGCTGTGACTGCCACGGCAAAGATCCCACACGACAAAATCAACGTGTGGCCCTTCTATGTCATCCCGCATTTGGACAGGTGGGCTTCCCAGAAGCGCCGGGTCGTGATCCTCGGGGATGCCGCCCATGCCATCCCACCCAGTGCCGGTCAGGGCATCAACCAGGCGTTTGAGGACGTGTACATGTTCTCCCTTCTCCTGGCAGCGGTCAAGGACCAGGGTGTCAATTTCGAGGACGCTTTGACGTTCTGGCAGGGCTACCGTCAAGGCAGGGTCAACAAGATCTTGGAGCTGAACAAGCAGATCGACCTGAGGAGGATGCCCAAGGGCACACGACCCACCGAACTCGCGGGTGAGGTCGTGCAGAAGGACTTTGACTTGCAGTGGCTTTACGAGCCTGACTTCAAGGCCGAAGTGGAAAACTGGATCCGAAGCACTATATCTTAGCCGTCGCGATGTTTTGGCAGGTCTAGCTGAGCTTAGATACAGATGGCCACCAAGGAAAAGCTGTGGAAGATGCGCAGAGTATGAGACAGAGCTGTCGGCTCGTGGGATACAGGGTGAAGTGCCTTGGTGGACAACCGCCACCTTCAAATGACACACAAATATCTCGCTAGGCTTGGCGTCATTTGAAATTTCACTCAATTCGCCTTCGCTTCTCGTGTCTTTCGATTCTTCACTTTAGTCAAGCCCCAATCTTACATGTAAAACTGTCTTAAGAATAAGACAATTGGAGGTTTTGCTCTATGAGATCACGTTAGTGTAGCAACTTTCTGATTCCTAGACAGCCATGGCCACCTCGACAGAGCCTCAGATGGACGGCGTAAGCGACACGTCCTCTGAGTCGGATCCTCTCGATACAACCAACGATGAAGGCTGGGAAGACATGGAGCAAGACGAAGAGCCTATGACTATCGTGTCTTTGCTCGATGAGAGCACGTTTCCCGACGCGCAGAGTATGCTGGCTCACTGCCGAGACACGCATGGCTTGGATATCTGGAAATTAAGGCAAGACTTCGGTGAATATCGCGCAGATTCAACACAGAACAGGATTGTGCTGACTCCCGCCCCTCTGTTTAGCTCTTGATTACCTAGATCTGGTCCGGCTGGTCAACTACATCCGATCGGAGGTCAAGGCTGGCAATTTGCAGCCCAACGTCTCTTCCAAGACTCTGTTCGATGACGAAAAGTATCTCAAGCCTGTCTTGGAGGATGATGCGCTGTTGTACAGTCTAGACGATGTCTTCGAAGAAGGTGTCAACACGGCTTCGCTCTCCGAAGTCGAACAACTCCGAGAAGAACTCGAGACTCTGCAGAGTCAATTCTCCGCCTATCGAGAGCAAGTGCAGAACGCCATGCTGGATCGCTTCGAGCAGACGGGTCCTCAACAGGAATCGAGCACCGCGCATGCCGGAAATCGAGGAAACAGCCACGCCGAACAGTTCGACAAGGATTATTTCCAGTCCTACTCGTACAACGCGATCCACGAATCGATGATCAAGGATCGCGTGCGGACCGACGCCTACCGCGACTTCATCTACGACCACAAGCATCTCTTCAAGGATAAAGTTGTCCTAGACGTTGGCTGCGGTACGGGCATATTGTCCATGTTCTGTGCGAAGGCCGGCGCCAGGCTCGTCATTGCAGTGGACAACTCGGGCATCATTGACAAGGCTCGCGAGAATGTGTTCAGCAACGGCCTGCAGGAAGTTGTGAAATGCGTCAGGGGCAAGATTGAAGAGGTCACTCTTCCAGTGCCCAAGGTAGACGTTATCGTAAGCGAGTGGATGGGCTATTGTCTCCTGTATGAGTCTATGCTCGACTCGGTGATCTATGCGAGAGACAAGTATCTCGCTGCGGATGGCTTGATGGTACCTTCACACGCGACACTGCGAATCGCTCCACTTGCAGACTCGGACTTGAAGGCCTCGCACATCGACTTCTGGCGCGACGTGTACGGCTTCGACATGACCGCCATGCTCGAGAAGGCGCACGAAGAAGCCCTGGTACGCCTGGCAGACGAGAAGGAACTGGCCGGCGAGAGCGTTGCATTTCTAGAACTTGACCTGCACCAGACCAAGGTGGACGACTTGACCTTCACCAAACCCTTCAGGACGACGTGGAAGGACGGGTTCAAGCTGCTGGAGGGCTTCGTCATCTGGTTCGACATCTTCTTCAACACGTCACGCTCGCAGGGTGTTCCTGCCGGAATGACGGCCGCCGAGGCCAAGGAGAAAGGCGTGGTCTCCTTCTCGACCGGCCCTCATTCCGAAGCGACGCATTGGCAGCAAGGGATTTTCTTGATCAAGAACCCCGTCGTCGAGTTCGGCGCTGGAGACACCGTCGCCGGCGAGGTGACCTACCTGAAGAAGCAAGGCCAGGAGAGGTCATTGGACATTGACATAGCGTGGAAAAAGGAGAGCGTTGGCGGCAAGGAAAAGGAGAGGGCGTCGAAGCAGAGGTGGATATTGGATTGATCTTTCTTCTCACTGACCCCGAAGTCCCTGCAATGTCCATATCGGTGACCGGGCCGAGCGGCCTTTAAGAGAAAGCAGAAGAAGGCGTGAAATATGGGACGCATCTTCAAACCCCAAATGCTCGCGTTCAGTCCCTGATACATCTTAGTCATCGACAATGTCCCTTGCTTGCCAGAGTGGCTTGCACAGGGTTGCGGCTGAGACCGTTATGCCGAACAACTCCAGTAGTAGGGCACGCACATCACCTAATTCATTGTGGCTATGAATCCGTCGGAGCAAGCCATAGCTTGTTATGTTCGTGCGGGCATTAGACTCTCGTTATTGTCCACGTTCCTACCATCCAACGTGCATGGCTTAGGCGGTCAGTCGTTGAGGAGGGCGCACACCTTGCCCCACAGCCTGATACTCTTCGAAGCATAAGCATAGGGTAGAAGAGACTGTTTTCGAACGACGATGGTGCATTTCATTCGAGATGATGATTTTTGCTATAGACTGGAAGATGAGAGCAGTGTTTAAGTTTTAATAACAAAAGTAGGGCGGGTTTCCGCTTGTAGTCGGTACAGACGCGCCGAAGCTTCGACATGGATTGTAATCTTACTTCCAACGCCTATTTGCCCGAAGCCAATGCCAAGGCGTGCTTCGTTACAAGGTTCACAATGGGCCTTTTCTCTTGTGGAGTTTCCTTTACCATAATCAGGAGATGCAATTGTGACATTCGGCGATTCTGCCAGCTCAATATGAATTGACTTTTCACCTACGATACTTGATTTCTTTGAACCAATAATAGATTTCATGAAATCTAACGACACTGCCCGAGAGTGTTCCCGACCAAGCGCTCTCTCCACGCGCCAATAGTCTCCCTTGGCGAGGCATTGCTATTCGCTTCATGTGCGACGACGATCGAACTCAGACACAGGCGGTGCGAGATCTGGGTTTCTTCAGGCTCCATAGTCATGTAATGCCAACTGCACCAGAGACCGTAAGTACCGAGTACAGGTTCGTCCTCTTCTTCTGAATGCCTTTGACCTTCCACTCCTTACGTTCAACTCGCTCACCTGCATTCCTTTATTCGCACGTTCGTTTTGGAAAGGTTCTCTCGAGATGCCTTTCGTCCACTCGTTCATCTTTGCAATCATTACTGCTTTGTTTGTCTCTGTTCGAGCTGCCCCGTCCGATGAGACTCACCACGTCACTGTCACATACACTAATACTCACTATGTGTGTCCCTGCGAGACCACTACACCGGTGAAAGGCATCGACACAGCTGCAGCTTCAGGGTGGGAAGATTGGAAAGGCATCAGCTCAACTCCGGTCGCTCATACCTTGAGTAAGAGCTTCCCTACAACGGCAAAATGGCACTCGAAATCGACTACCTCCGCAAAGACCACTCATCGGAGTTCTTCGTCGAATTGGTCATGGAGTAAAACTGCTGCCCCCTCTAGTACCTCCTCGATCACTTGGACCACTTCGTCCTCTTCACCTCTCGGTTCTTCTTCTTCTTCTTCTTCGACCTCTACGACGACTACGGTTCCGATTACGCTTTCAACCACGTCAACACCATCGACCATAACAACGACTACACCTTCACCTACAACTACAACAACCACTACAACAACCACGCCTTCAACCACGACTACATCTTCGACTACAACCACAACCACAACCACAACCACGGCTACGACCACGACCACGACTACAACGACAATCACTACCACGACTACATCCGCAGTAAGAAGCATAATAGATTTCCGTGCAAGTCTTATAGTAACCTGATTCTTTAGGCTCCTACCTATACAGGCAGTCTATTAATAACGTACCAAAACGACCCGACGAACCTCAACGTCAACGGCTACACAACGGCATTGAATTCCCAGGCCTACTTTATCGACTTTGAATCCACCCCCGGAGACACCTTTGCCCTCGACTCTTCAACCGGATACATAAGCGACGTGACGGGTGCGGCCGCCGGCGACCTTGCCTTCTACTCTACCAGCGTGGGAGCTACATCGTTCATACTTGTCTCGACCGCAGATTACGCAGCTTCCCAAGGAGGCACGCAGCTTATTTGCAGTCTCGATGGTGACGACAACCTCTCTTGCGACTTCGGAGAATCCCCCGGTGACTTCTGGCTGTGCGGTGGGCACCTCAACATTGTTCAGGCTGGATACGACTTCACCAACACGTGTAGCGCAGGAACGGCGGTCGAATTGGGGAGTGTGAAATTGGTTCCGACTGTTTAAAACGTCAGAACATTTGACGGAGGGGGCAGGGCGCAGGATTTATCACTTATGAGTAACCATGAATTAGAGTTCTCAAAGTATACCTATATCTTTCCGTTCAGTATTTGGACCTCCATTAAATACAGCGACAATCCAAGGCCATGGACATTGTTTACTTGGTAATGAGAGCAAGGGCAGATACTTGGCTTACCTAGACACTGTAAATGAGATTGCGCAGAATCCGTCAAGGAATTACTTATCCCGCTCTTGCGCATGGTCACAGGCAGTTGCTTCCCGCAAATTGCGCGGTGATTCCAAGACCATATTTGAAAAATCTACAATTTTTGTCGTCGCACAATAGTGGCCCGCGAAGCCAGCACAACGATGGGTTTTGCCCCTTTCCAATCTCGCGCTGCCCGCCCATAGTGAGTGTTGAAACGGTGGTGGTGAGAGGGACAGAATTGACGGAGCTCGGATATGTACCCGAGTACGAGGTACTTAGGCCGTTCAAGCAAGAATACCTGGGTAAATAGTCTAATGGCGCTGCGCCATATAAAAAAGTGGATACTTTGCCGCACCCTACACACCAAAAAATTTGCAAGTCATATTTTGTGATGACCAAAAATGGTGAAAATTCATCCGTTTTCACACGGTTGAAAAATATTATATCTCTCTGTCACTCATTGCTCCGCTGGCGCAATGGTAGCGCGCCAGACTTCTATTGCTTGAAATCTGGAGGGTATGTCATTAATTCCCTTCCTCAAACGCGCTGGAGGATGCTAACATATGGACCGTTAGCTGTGTGTTCGAGTCCCACGCGGAGTGTCTTTCTTTTTTGTTTTTTTGTTTTTTTTTGATAGGGAGAGAGGTGGTGGCGAGAAAACGAGTCGAAAATACGATAATATACTACTAGTATGTGAGTGTTGGGGATTGTGTGGCTTGGCGATCGGACCATACAGATGTGTTCCTTTCTGAAGGGGGTCTGGGCTCGAGGATGAAGGTAACAAGGTATCTGTGGCCAGGGAGGTGCCTTGGATACCTACCTAGGTACCTATCTTCGAGATGGACATCTCATCCCGCCCCATCCCACGGGGTACGTCATAATCACCTGGTAATTCCTACTGCCATACTCGGCACTTGGCGATGCAAGGCTTGCCCCTTTGTGCCGCAACAAGGCAAATCGGTGGATCATTGCCGACATATCTACCAAACCCGACCGATCAGTCCACTGTCGCCGTGAGTTTTATGGTGAGGAGAGTTTTTGCAGAAGGATGCATTACGTGGTGAATTCGTAGAGTTGAGAGCACGGTGTCAAGAATGATCCAGAAACGGAATAGAAAATATATATGGGAAGAGAGAGGAGTCCGAGGTGCCCGCCCACCGCTTGCCTGCCTGCCTGGCGGTTTTTTCATAGCCCACGAGTCCTGGTCAGCTAGCTTCGGTTCGCGATCACCCTGCGCGACGTTGGTGTTAGATAGGCAGAGAGAGAGTGAGTGAAATGGCGCTCCAACCCTCGATGGCAGCCTCGTGCGTATGTCCCCCCTGCTCCCGTCCTCCTCTTGATGACCACATTCCCATGCGTGTTACAATCTCCTCCAGTTGCGTCCGTTTTACACAAACACATCATATCAAATCAATGATCAAAGAAAATAGTGCACCCAGCTCTCATCCGCCCTGGGCGCATCTCAGGTCTCCTTCTCCAATGACACGGTCTACACAGCGGCCCAGTCTTCGTACTGGTCGATGCAAGAGTCCTCGCTGGTGCCAGCATGCATCGTCAGCCCTCTGTGGGCGCAATCCGTCTCGACGGCCGTGTCGATCCTGTCTGAGAATGATTGCCCATTCGCCATCCGAGGCCAAACACACGCCCCCGCCGCGGGCTTCGCCAACATTGACGGCGGTGTTACGCTCGACATGACTAGCCTCGCTAGCGTGTCCCTCAATGCCGACCGTAGTGTGGTGTCCGTGGGCGCGGGATCCTCCTGGCTCTCCGTCTACTCCTACCTCGACCCGTTCAACCTCACCGTCGCGGGTGGGCGGAACGGCGCTGTGGGCGTGGGCGGCCTGACGCTGGGCGGGGGGATATCTCACTTCACGGCCCGCGTGGGCTGGGCATGCGACAACGTGGTCAACTTCCAGGTCGTGCTGGCTTCGGGGGCTCTTGTCGACGTCAATGCCACATCTCATCCGCTCCTGTTTCGCGCGCTGAAAGGAGGCGGCAACAATTTCGGCGTCGTCACGAGGTTCGACCTAGCAACCATCCCGCAGGGCGACATTTCGGTCACGACCCTGAGCCACGCGGTTGCCGAGCGAGACAGCGTCTTTGACGCCTTCACCAACTTGACGACCGCCTCGCCCTTCGACCCCTACATCTCCCTCGTCACGGGTCTTTTGTTCAACGCCACGAGCAAGGCGTGGACGCTGAGTAACTCGGCGGTGTACACGGCGCCAAACCCTGACCCGCCGGCTTTTCGCGGACTGAAAGCCATTCCCAGCCTGTCCAACACGACGAGAGTGACAAATCTGTCCGCGTTCGCGAACGAGACCCCAACGCCACCTTTGTAAACCGCTTCCCCTTTTCTTACAATCCACACAGAAGGCTTTCGGGCTCAACGCTAACAGGCCAAAATATAGGAACTGGCTCTTCTGGACAGGCACGTACGCCGCCTCCACCTCGCTCATGTCGCAGACCTTTGATACCCTCAACACCAGCTTCTACAACTTCACCGTCCCCGGCGGCGTGGTATGGAGCATCGCCTTCGAGCCACTCCCGACAATCATATCCTCTTATGCTTCAGCCAAGGGAGGAAACTCTCTCGGGACGTCGCCCGCCGACGGGAACGCATATATTCTCCTCATCTCCGCGCTGTGGCCGAACAGGTCTTCCAACAGCGTCGTGGAGCAGACCGCGCGGTCTGTCGGTGCACAGATTGACGCTCTCGCCGCGGGCCAGGGTATGCTGCACCGATTCCGGTACCTCAACTACGCGGATCCGAGTCAGAGTCCCTTGCGGAGTTTTGGCCCGCAGAATTTCGCGAGACTGACCCGTGCAAGTCGAGCGTATGATCCGCAGGGTGTCTTTCAGAATAATGTCCCGGGTGGTTTCAAATTGGTCTGAGGGTCTCTAGAGCCACTGATTGGCGGAAAGAGATGGCCAGGAGAAGTCGACCGAATCCGTTGCAATTGGAAGGTTGTTCGCCGCATGGGATGAACTGATTATTCTGTCTTTCGATACCTCGAGCAGTCCTTCAGATTGACTGTAACCTGAGAATATTTGTAACCTTCTCCCTTTGGGTAATCTGAGGTGGCTCGAAGGCCGGCACCTGCGATCAAATTGGCGATGTGATGTCCACTTATTTCATTCAACTGAGCTCGAGCCACGAAAACCACTTCTCTGGGGGCTCGCCGTCAAGCCGCGCAGCCATCCTCCTCACACAGTCGTTATAGTACTCGTCGTCGGACCCGTAGATCTTGAGGGCCAGGTCCAGTTCCTGCTGAGCCCAGTAGTTGCTTTTGGCCAAATCGCCCCTGCGGCAGTTGACAAGCGACAGGTTCTGGCACGTGAAGATACTGCTTTGGTCGGCCGGGCCACGGTGGGAATTCGACTCGGAGTCCAGCGCAAGGATGTTCTCAAATACGCTCTCGGCGTCATCCCAGCGCTGCTGCTCGAAATATAAATTGCCCAGCCGGCGCAGACAATTGCGCGTCGCCAGGCTGGACGGCCCGTAGACGTGGCGACTCACGCGGCAGGATTCTTGGATCAGGGACTCACTCCGCTCAAACTCTCCCTGGCGCATCAGCTCGATCGAATGGCTTTGCCGCAGAAGAAGGACGTCCGGGTGCGTCGGGCCTAGGTCCTGTAGCTTCAGGTCCAACATGACAGCCAGAGAAAGCTGCGCAACGCCGCGCATCAAGTTCCAATCCTCTATCTTGCCCACGATATGTGTCAAAGGGTGTCGATTCCCCAGCGCTTTCGCGGACATGGCGGAGATGAACCGCAGGACGGACTGCCATGCCTGCAGATGGTGTTCCCAGCGGCGGTTCCCCATGACCAGCAACAGACTCACCAGAGTGTGTTTAGAAGGGCAAAGCAGATACTCCTCGGCCATAGCACAACCCTGTTGAAAGTCGGCAAAGGCCTTCTGGACCTCCCCTTGCTCCAGCAGGTTTAGACCGTGCTGAAAACGGTTCCAGATGTAGTTTTTCCGTCGCCGGAATGGTCTAATTGTCGTGATGGGTGTGTCTATGGTAATAAGCGAAGCCGGGACGTCTACGAAACACCTTGTAAAGGCATCCGTGGCCATAACGATCGACTCGACTGTGTCGTTGATCTCGTCTTTGATAAAGAAGCTGGGTACGGGGTTTGGAACATCGGGGAGTCGCTTGATCAGCTCCTGCTGCCTGCCTGGTTGCTGTCCCGGACTTTCATGATCAAATTCGACCGGCAGTGAGGAACGCTCAAGTGACAGACTGCCCGTCCGCGACCGTGAGTCTGTGATAGAGCGACCATCATCCTCGGTCTTGATCGATCTTGCGGAGAAGTCGCTACTGAACGTAGAAATCAGAGCAGTGTCGGGATCAAACAGAATGCCCAGCGGATTCGACTGGGGAGTGCCCGCCCGATAATATTTGCGGATCCCCCACGATCGGAGCTTGTTCTTGTAGGACCGGCACCTAAACGAGGTCAGCAAGAGAACAAGCAGACGGCGACGTTGGATTCCTACGAGGCCTTGAAATGGTATTTCTGACAGAGAGTCCTCTGGACCTCGGAGAGACTTCGCCCTTCTTGGACATATAGCTGTTGAATTATAGGCTTATAATCTTCCCAATCAGCCAGTGACGGAGGGTAGGCCGGTTGAGGTGGAGGCGTCAGGCCTTGGAAATTCACGGTTTCGAGGACCTCTGTCGCAACAAATGGTCGCTCGTGATCCAGTCCGAGTTCCGGAAGTCTGTCCATGATACCGATTGCATTGTTGTGGGAGGATGCGAGGGGAGGGTAAGTGTCCGAATCCACAAACTTGGAACCTAGGTGCCTACTAGGTACCTGGGTATTAAGTAGGCGTGGTAGGTAACATCGATCGACAAAGTTATCCTTGATTGTTCATCTGTGAAGGCCCCTCGCCGCTTTTACCCACCCTCCTCGGCTCACCTGCTGCTTCCTAAGTGTTCCCTGAGCGTTCTCCAGCCTTTGAATCCGCTGGAGCCCCGATCCAACCGAAGGTGGTCAGTCTAACGTAAAAGTGCTGGCGTTTGGTCTCGTGTCTCAAAGGCACCGAGGAGTTGATCAGCACGATCATGGAAGAGCTGCTCTGAGGAACACGATGAAAACCAGAACCGCGTGCGTGCCCTTCTTCCAAAAGGCAACACTGCCATCGTTCGTCGTCATCGCTCTTCTCATGGACTAGCCCGTCACATCGGCATTAATACCTAGGTACCTAGGTATTTGGACAAGTCTGTGTCTGCGGTTGAGGGTATGCGTAACTCGGTACGGACTTGGGCCAGGTCTCTAACCACGTTGCAGTGATCCGTGGATGGCAAGACGCTGTTGCTGGAAGCTGAAGAACAATATTATAGATTATCTGTGTTTATGGCCCCAAAGACATTTCATACATCATACCTTCCTTCACATCCTCGCCGTGAAATCCATTGTGACTAAAACCCACCTATGGTCATTTCGCCTGTGCTCAGATCACTTCTGTGGTTACACTTGTTGTGCTCGACCAAAACATTTGATCTTCCCGCCCACTTCATTATTCGCTCTATCGTGTAAGTCCGACGGGCGGTCCTAACCTGCCACCGAAACCATCAACAATCGCCCCTTCTGACTCTGCCAGGGTTGGAGGATGGTGTCGTCCAGGGAGGATATTTGTTCGTTGTATTTCCATCGACTCTGGGGTTGCGAAGGAGTGGTTGCCATAATCCACCATGAAGCCAAAAGCGTGAGCTTTGGCCTCAAAATGTCCTCGAGCGGACGGAATTGGTGGAAGACGATAGGTCTCGAAATCAGTGTCGACGGTCTCAAGAAAATGTCAATTTCGATGCCAGCGTTGAATGAATTGCCACAGCTGAAGAGGCTGCCAGCAAGCGTCGATCGAGTTTCTTCTTGCAGTCAAGTTTGTTGGAAGAATTCCACTGCGGGAGGACAGTGGGTTTGTACCCATGCAGTGTGTCATGAGTGAGCAAGGTGCAGCCCTGGACGCCCACAGAGAGCGCACTCCCAAGCACCATCTCATCACTCACTTCGAAGAGTCAATCTTGCTCAGATCAACTTGCAGACCGTCCACATGGATCCGATACCATCGACTTCTGCAGAAATGATTATGAGCCGACGCTTGGGATTACCACAAGTCCATGTGGATTGCCGCCCGTTGAAGTATGCGGCCTAGTCGTCATCAAAGATCTGGAAGGTATTGTTGAGTATCGTCTCCACGACTTTCGCCTGCCATCCGGCGTCGGCTATATCAGCCCCTCCTGCTACATTCCCATTCACGCCGCCTTGCTGGCCCATCAATGTCGGAGCGAACACAATTGCTAGATTGCTGTTGGTCATCTTATTCCTGGCACTGTGCTGGGCAACTTTGTGCAGATGAATTGCCAGTACTCGGAGAGTCGCATAATTAGGATCGGGCAGAGCATTGACCAGGGCATGGACCGAGTCTCTGCGTATAATGTCGTCTTCTATTTTAGCGGCTTGAATAAAATCTCGGTACTGTGCTGCGGTGAGCAACGGATCTGGGAGGTCGCGAAGAAAATGCTTGAGGAGTGTGGTCACGGCAGCGATATCATCATGGAAAGCCGCCGAGTTGCGAAGGTCGACTGCATTGGCGTCTAACATCGGTCAGCTTATACTTCGACACTACTGATCAATGGTCTTACCGTGATCGAATTGCTGTCGTAGCTCCATAATGAAGTTCGTAGATCCAGAAGTTCTGTAGATGCCTTCGACCTCCAACCCGAATAGCTCGACGGCTTTGGTGCACTGTATGACAATCGTCGGTACAGCAGCTCCTTCTCGTTGGAATAGCTCGTCCAAGGCTACTCCAAAAACTGGCCGGATCGGAGGACCTGGTCTCGGACCTGCTTGGAGTCTTGAAGGAAGTGTATTTACGCCACCAACAGGGCCTGGGCGAGGTGCGCCATTCTGAGGTCCGTTTGGTCCTGGTCCGGCCGTTCCACGGCCAGCTCCCTGAGGAGGACCATTTTGCGGTGGCTGTCCTCGACCCATGCCTCCTTGTGGTGGTTGACCGCGGCCAACTCCTCCTGGTGGTGCTCCTCGTCCCATTCCATTAGGAGGAGGTTGCCCGCGTCCCACGGCGCCTTGTGGTGGCTGACCCCGGCCAGCGCCATTTGGCGGCGCCTGGCCTCTTCCCATGCCACCTTGTGGTGGTTGACCTGGGCCAGGTGTGCCTTGAGGCGGTTGTCCTCGGCCCATGGCGCCCGGTGGTGCTTGCCCACGACCTGTGCCTTGCGGGGGTGATCCTCGTCCCATTCCCTGTGGTGGCTGTCCTCGTCCCATGCCTTGCTGAGGCGGTGCACCTTGACTTTGCGGGCCCATTTGGCTTGGTTGACCGTTTTGCTGAATTGCTGGGGCTTGCTGCTGTTGGTTCATAGGTTGCTGACCAGGAGACGGCTGACCTTGAGATACGTTCCGGACGTGACCGGGCATTGCCCCGGGAGCCTGACCTGCGGCGGCTGCGGCGATTTGAGGCCCAGCGCCGGGATTACTCTGGGTGGGTTGTGCAGGCCCTGGGGGCCGTTGAACAGGGCCTTGAGTACCCTGGGGCGCACCCATCTGCTGCTGCGGCGGCTGCGCTTGTTGTTGAGGCATCTGCCCAGGACCCTGGTTCCCCTGCGGATACTGAGACTGAGAACCATCATCATAATACTCCTCGCCTGGGTAAGGAGTGACTCCCGAAACTTGCCTCCCGTGAGTTGGAGCATAGGGATCTTGATTGTAATACGGATCTGTGAATCCAGGCTGCTGTTGTTTTGGCGAGAGCGACGGATGCTTTTCGTACTTGATCTCGTTCGGTCGTGTTGGGGCTTTGTTGCTGAACCCAAGGACAAAGTCGGCCAAGTCTTTCTCGTTATTGACGTCCGAGGCCAGTTGACGCAGACTCTGAGTACCTTGACCAGGGATCGGCGACGGGCCCTTGATAGGCGCAATACATAGTCCAAACCCCACGAGCAGCTTCTCACTGAGATCGGCGAATTTCTGTACATGCAGAGTCAAACCGGCATCAGTCTCCCTGATGAGTTCCGAGAGTGCATGCACGGTTTGCGGTCTCAAAGTGCTCAGTAACTCATTTCGCTGACTCTGGGCAGCCTCGACTTTGGCGGAATAATCAGCATCGGCCGCTTCAACTTTGTGTCGTAGCTCTTCTTCCAGCTGGGCAGCGGACCTTTTCAAGCCAAACTTGCCAGGCTGTCGTTCCCCGGTCCTGGCGCGGTCGTATTGTTCTGCCAGCGAGTTGTATCGCAATTTGGCCTTCTCCATAGCAGACTCTGCGTCTTGCACCCGTTTTTCAGCGTTCAAGCCTGTCTGCTTCCAGTGTTTCCGCGCCCTTTCAGAATTGGTCGCCAGCTCGTACAGCTCCTCCGACATTCCGTACAGCGTCGCGACATATTGGAGGGCATGCTCTGCCATTCGCTCGTGAATGTTGGTCATCTCCTTGAAGTTTTGAGCAAAGGTCCCTTGTCTGCTATCAGGTCTTCCTATGGACTCGTGCGTGCTCTTGCTTAGTCTCTTCAGGCCCTGCGCATGTTTCTCTTCTAGAACCGATCTTTCTTTCAGGAACGCCGCAAAGTCCTATTCACGATATCAGCAAGCCGTGCAGGTAGGAGGGTAAGGATGATGGTACTTTGGTGGAGCCAATGCTTTGCTTCAGTCGTTGCAGCAATGTGCCCATGCCGATCTGAGAGGTTGGTCAACAGAGGGCCACAACGGACGCTCGAGCTCGTGCTTACATCTGAAGAGAGAACATGTTGCACTCGCTCTCTGGACGCTGAATCCAGCTCTTCTCCTGCGCCCTGTCCTGCGGGGACTGGAGGCAGAGGCGGCTCATTTTCTCGCGAGGGTTTGGGTGTCGCAGGTGGAGGGGCGCCATTGACAGGCGCATTTGGCTCGACTGCGGCGGCCATGTCTGACAGCCTGAAAGTCTAGCAGGGTTCAATACAATCGGTGGACGGCGGGAGTAGATACAGACGAGGAAACGAGGGACGACATACGGCAGCTCTGAAGACTCGGATCGGCTGCTCTGGCAAAGAGAAAGGAGATCAGGCTGGGCGAGTCTTGCACCGTTCTGTTTGGAATGATGTGACGAATGCCCTGCTTTCCGTTAAAGCCTCTTCTGTGCTTCCCGCCACGCGCAACTTCCAGGAAACGGGCGTCACCAACTCAAACCCGATACGATCGACCCGGTGCCCCGTTATTATGTGAAGCTTAAGCTGACCATTGGTACCAATTGAGGCCCTGGAGGCGTCATCCTTGCTAGCTGCGCCTCCCTTAGCCACAGCTGTTGCGGCGCCCTTCCCCACCCTAAAGCTCTGGGGCCGTGCCTAGGGGCGAGGGGGGCCTTCGTTTGCCCTCTACAAACCACAGCGGGCATTTCCTATTTTCCGTCCCAAGATTGTCATCGCAGGATTATAGAGTGCATAATACAGTGGGCATTCACCCTTAGCCGGACAGGGCCTATATGGACCCAAGGTGTGTATTATTGGCATCGGCGCCATCGGCTACTATCGACACTGCATAAGCTGACGCATACATACCTGGGTATGTATATACTTATACCCTGTGTGGAGAGCCTCTGTTCCCTTTCTTGACAGTAGAAATATGATTACCGTCGACTACAATCTGCCCCTTCGCCTGTCTTCACCAATCTTAAGCACCGGCTTGAGGTTCTTCTCCTGCACCCGATCCCAAAGACTGCCTAGTCCCAGTTTCCTCCCCCGAGCGTCTTCCTTTCGAAAGAACTCTTCTGCAGACCTGATCCTGGTGGGGTGGATCTCATCCAACAGCTTATAATCTCGACGAATGACCCCTTCGTTGCGCCCAGAATACTTCCACATATTGAAGAACCCTGTGAAGTTCTGTTTGAAGGTCATGAAAGCAGGGTCGTTGGGGTCCGAGTTATACCCTGATCCGGTGTTGGCAGCTCCCGCCACAGGTCCAGTCGCCCAATAGGTGTCCAGGTCCGTGTCAATATATCTCGCTGGGTGGCCTGTGACCGTTTCAAATGCCTTTGCGAGGTCGGCATAGTGGATGTGATCGATTGCAACTTCGAGGTCCATGCCGTTTGACCTCTCTGGGTGGTCGAACAGCCAGCGAGCATAGTGCTCGCAATCATCCAAGGACACGTGAACCACAGCTCCGTCTCCAACCGGGCAACGCCACGTCACAATACCGTTCTCGACCTTGGGCGTGAATATGGTGAGTTTGGCGATGCTCATTTCGATGTAGGGTCCAGTGGTAAAGACCGCGACGCCCATGCGGTGGCTGTTGGTCTGGTTCTGGGTAAGAATCCATTCTCCAACCCTGCCTTTGCCGTCATAGTGGCCCGTCCGAAATTTGGGATCGTAACCGCTCTTTTTGTACACGTAATCGAGATTCCCATAGACATAGAATCTGATGCCCTCCTCGAGAGCCAGCTCGTACGATCTGATGGCCCAATAGATCTCTGTCTTCTCGCCACAGTTGAAACCGTCAATGTTGACAAAGGCTCCGTCACAGCCGCGAAACAGATTGCGAAGATCCTCCTCGCTGGCGAAAGTGCCCTCCATTAACTCAACATTTCCCATCCCAACGAGTTCTTTAGCCCTTGCAGAATTGACATCGCGCGTCATGACCCGACACTTGTACTTTTTGTCCTTGACCAGACCTCGAATAACCGGAATACCTTGGGCTCCGGTGCCCCCAATCACAGCAACGTAAGATGCGTGGTGGTGAGAAGACATTTTGCAGGACGTAACACCCGATGAGATATACTGAGCGCGTACACAAGATGAAGAAAACAAGTCCTACCTGTCTCATTAAGGGAGGCAACCTCGATGTCTTAAGAGCTGCAGAGCGGTTCCTGATTGATTAGTCGTGGAAAGATCTTTAGCGCATTCTGCGGCTCCCCTCGACGTGTTTACTAAACCCAGTTTTCGTGGGATTGTGCGAATCTGCCTGGACGGCATTTTGCGAGGAATTGGCAGTTGGTATTTGGCCATGGTTATGCAGGCAGAAGCATCATTGTTGCTTCTGGCCACAACATGGGTGACTGAGTGAAGCGTACAAAGCCGCCATGAGTCTCATAGTGACGATTCATAGGTATGTTGAAGAGGAGGTAGAGTAGTAGTAGCGTAAGTAGGTACTTCTCGAAGTAGGAATTTATCGCCGCGCTCGCTAACGCGTCAGACCGAGGCAACTGCGCCCGCAAACACGAAGCTTCACTTTACCTTCGTACACGCTATAGATTTCTTGACTGAACGCCATCTGCGAAGGCTGTCAATATGCATACTAGCGTCATAGCCACTGTTCATTCACACGTTACCTATCCCATGACAAAACACGAGGTAACTAATCACCAGACCGTGGGCTTCTTCCAAGACACATCCTCGACCGATGCGTTTCTACATACGGCCGAGAAAAACAGACACCATTCGTACATCGAAGCAGTCGTGTGCGATTACTCAAGCGGAGCCATCCTCGATGCAGCATTGGACACCCTGATGTCCGACGACAGGAGCAGTGATTTCAAAATGTGTCGTCGCTGCCCCGTCGGTGGGTGTCGTGCATCGAGCACTGAGTGGTGCCCCCTGACTGCAGGGTGAGGGCAGCAGCTAGGTTGAAGACAAATCTCCTCTGTATAGGTGGTTTGCCGCAGACAACCGGTGGAGCAGCACTCTCATCGACCACCTCGACGATCGATTCAAGGGCTGTTATTGAGAAGTCGTGATGGCTTTCTTGCTGTCCCACAGTGACAATCACGCTTTTGAGCAGGACATGCATCTTCACTCAATCTCCAGGATCCTGTCAAAATCCAGAGGATCCTCTCCACGACTCGCCCGCCATTTGTTCGTGGATTTCTGAGCGTTGAATGCGCCTCTCAGCAGGAAAGGCCATTTCCGCGCAAAAAATTCCGTTACTTCCCATCCTGTCGAGTCCCAGGGTTCTCCCCACACAATCAATCCGTTCGTCTGTTGAGTGTCGAGGCCCTCCAGGCCTGTGTAGCTGCCATCCCCGACCATGTCGAGACATAACTGCAGGTCATCAATGTTGTCTTCCCCGTATCGGAGGATGTTGTCTCTGATTTCGGCATCGGGAAAGAGGTCCCACATCGGATGGTGTGCCATGGTCTTCTGTAATTCGGTCGGCTGCAGTGAAGGTGGCAGGTGCCGTATATTCGAGGTGGCGCTTTGTGACAGAGGTAGGAACGGGGAGGGGTAGTCGTCGGTGTACATCAAATTCAAATCAAGGCCCAGCATATGGGTGTTTGAGATGAGGGCTCGGTACACGTTGTAATAGATCAGGGAGATCAGGTGATCGGAAGGCAGCGGATACATCCAAGCGTTGTCGCGTTCCGTCATCATCTTCTCAACCAGTTCCTTGACGGTGGCCAGTCGGTTTTCCAGAAGCACCTCATACCATCGCTGACAAGACATCTTGCTCCGAATGGACACAAAGGGCGACTGACCCGATGGGTCGGACGCCCTGAGGGCAGTGTGCCAGTCGGTGCGGCTGATCCTCTGGCTCCTCAACGCTATCAGGTCTTTAAGATCGGCCCGCTCTACCAGGGGCACATCTTTGAGCCCTGCAGCTCGAGAAGGGCTAGGATCCGACGAGGCGTCCTCCCCCACCTTCTTCTGCGCAGCCTTGCGTCGTCCTATTCGACAGGTCAGCCGTCTGCATGGGGGAGGCCAGAAAGTACACGATCGGGGTTTCGGGAACGAATCAAGACCCAAACTTACTCGCTGCTCGTTGGTTCAAGCGGTTCTGAAGCTTCCGACGAGTGACAGGGTCTGTGACCCCAGACCATTCTTCGTCTAATGACTGCACGTCCGGATGCAATTTCAGTTCAGCACGGAGACCTAGTGGAAGAGGCATGGTCTCTCTTCTTTGCTCTTGCTCTCTTAACTTTACACACCCGTTGGAGTGATGTGAAGACGATGCTGATGGGTTGAAAGTGGAGGGACCCTTTGTTTTAACTGCATCTTGCTGACATGTAGAGAGATGCCCCAGGCTGCAAGGGACAAGCGACGGTGACCTTGGCCGGGGGCATCATGTGGGTTATGTCAGCACTTCGGAGCGCGAGCACAGAATATGATTGGCTGACCAGATCCACCCCATGCAAGCTGCTGACAAGTGGATCCTCGGATTCTCCTCAAACCCAATCGCAACGGCCGACGGATCGGAACAACTTCTCCCCACGGTCCCCGCCATTGTTCAAATACAGACACGGACACTGAGCGATATCTGTCAACCTCGTTTCATCTAATAACTTCATCCGCATACGTCACGGAGGACGGCAGGATTGCGAAGAATCACAGGTCTAGGAGGTAATTTCGCTCGAGGGCGAATGAATTTAGGAATGATGGAACCAAGTATAAGATCAACCGGTGCCAGCATTCTCAGAAGGATGGATCATCATCGCCATCACCACTACAAGCGGCAGAAGCACCAGCAGAATCGACCAGCATTGATTAGACTACGTTGACAAAACTCATCACAAAACACCAATTCTCCCTTTCGGGTTAAGCAACCTCCCTAGGGTCTCAAAACATGTCCCCACGTCTCAACTGGACGCCAGCCTCGCTACCGTCGCTGAAAGGACGCACCTATGTGGTGACAGGCGGCAACACTGGAATCGGATACTGGACGGTGCACCATCTCGCGCTGCACGGGGCGACCGTGTACATGACCTCACGATCAGCGGAAAAGGGGACGTCGGCGATCTCTTCAATCACAGCCGCCATCAAAGAGAAACACCCTGAAGTCGACGTCGACGACGTCGAGAAGCGGATCCACCTGGTGGTGATGGACCTGATGTCCTTACGCACTGTGGTAGCAGGCGCGAAACGCATCCTCTCAGAATGCACGCAGCTGCACGGGCTGGTCAACTCGGCAGGGATTATGGCCACGCCGTACCTTCTCAGCGAAGACGGGTACGAGTCGCAGTGGCAGACCAACTACGTGGCGCACTGGCTGCTGACACACCACTTACTGCCCTTACTAGAGTCGACGGCCCGGGTATCGCCCGAGGGAGTCGTCCGCGTGGTCAACGTCTCGTCCATGGGCCACGCCGCGACGTCCAAGGAAGGCATTCGCTTCGAGGACACTTCTCTCAAGGACGCATTCACATTCCGCCGCTACGCGCAGAGCAAACTGGCCAACATCCTGCACGCCAACGCCCTGCATGCGCGGTACAACAACAACAACAACAAGCCGTCCTCAAGCGGCGAAGAAGCCAATCCCCCTCCCCCACACATATGGGCCATCTCCCTGCACCCAGGCAACATCAACACACAACTCAACACCCACGCATGGGGCGGACACACACTCGTGCCCCTCCTGCGCTGCATGGGGGTGTACATCACGCCCGAGCAAGGGAGCTACAACTCTTTATGGGCCGTCGCCGCCGCCCCAGAAGTCTCGCGTGACATGTCGGGACACTACTTCATCCCCGTCGGCGAGCGGAAACAACCCAGTAAATTGGCCCAGGACCCCGAGGGAACGCTGGCAGGGAAGCTGTGGGACTGGACGGAGAGAGAGATGAGGGGGAAGGGGTTCTTGGATTAGATGATTACCATCTGAGAGGCGAGAGGGACATAAGAGAGGATGCAAAGGGGGGAGGCTAGCACGGAGTAGGGAAGCAATTAGAGACGAGTGTGTACGTGTGCGGGCGAGGCTAGTATATGGAGAAACAGGGAAGATACAAGGGGGAGAGAGAGATACAAAGAGACAGGGCGATGTAAAGCTAAGAAACTTATCTTAATAATAATAACTGGATAAATAAAAGTGTGTGTCCAGGATATAATATACCATCTATGATCCATCCATCATAGACGAAATTCTCAAGGAGCGGCATACCTATTTACTTATATCTTTCGAACATCTATTTTCTGCTTTATCCCTTCTTTCCATTCATCATTGTCAATAGATTCTTTTCAGATCGCATTATCTACCCTCGGTATACGACAATTTAAACGCCACCTTTGTAGGGCCATATCGTTTCCAGTGCAGTTCTACAAGGCCCCCGTGGGACCTCATCGGAGGCTCCCTTCCGCTGCAGATGGATTTCCATCACATATATCAATATCCCACCCACCTAGAGCAGAGCAGAATGGAGACATCACGTCGCAGTCGCAGGTTTTGAGTTGTGGGATATATCACCGCCTTGCCACCCGCAGACCTTCCTCTTAGCAACAATATAGACTCCCTCCCTGAGAGGGAGTATCCGGCTTTCAGCGCTTCCCATTTTCAGCTGAGAAGCACGCGACAACCAGCATCAAGCAGTTGGAGCCTGCTTATTTCGCGCTCAGCACGAAAACTTCACACTTCCACTGCCAATCTCCAAAATTTCGACTTTCCTCCCCTGCGTCGCGCCTCTATACCCCTTCAATTCACGACTACTCTCTCTCCGGACCACCAGTCCAGTTCCGCTAGCCGCAATGCTCCCGTGTCCGTGGGTCGAAAGATGAACCATACCCTCCCATTCAAGGGGATACGCAATGTTCATACTTCCACTCCCACGTATAGTGTGGCTAGCTTCGATGGCCCGGATCGCCTCGGTCGAACCCAAGGCCGGGACAACCTTGATGTGTTGGCTACCTGAGATGGAGGTCGTAGAGATGGTCGATTCCGGATCCGTCTCGGCGACGCCAACAGCAAATATGCTCACTGAGATGGACCCGGACAATGTGGAGATGGAAGTTGATCCGCCGTTGCCGTGCACCACGCTGCCAGAGACGCTACCGGCCTTCGTAGAGATCTCCGTCACCAATGTCCTTGATCTCGCGGCGTCCGAAACGGTGGGCTTCGAGAAAAGCCCGCCTCCAGAAATCATTTTGACGTTGACACTGCCTGAAAACGTTGAAAGACGAAGGACTGCTGGTTTCTCTCCAGGCTGAACCTCGACGTTAACCGTGATACTGCCAGCTGTGGTCGAAAGATCGAGCAGATCGTAGAGTTGATAGGTGCCGCTGATAGAGCGGGATGTCTCGTGCTCACGATGTTCACGTTCTGGCGGAGGCCAGGGTGCTTGCGAGGGGCGTGGACCAAGGTTCGGGAGCTGGTACCGTCCATCCTGTGCAGAGAAACATATTAGCAACTTGACGGAAACTTGACGTCGCAGAAAAATGACTAGAAGGAAAAGGTCCGTGTACATTCTTCAGCGATCGACATAAGCCCGGGATCAGAAGCCACAGGCAGGCAATAAGGGCCAGGAAGATAAAGCATATCCGCTTGAATCGGCGGGCTCGATGTTTGTGACGGTCGCCCTGTCGTATAGCCTGCCGGCGTCCGCGGCAGCCTCGCCCTCCTCTAGAACCGCGCCGGAACCATAGCCGATTCCGCCGCGAGTGCTGTTGCAGGAAAACGGGAAGGCCATCTGAGTCTGCATCTTCTTCGTGCTCGTGGTGATCATGGTGGTGGTGATGTCGAGAATGACGGTTATGCCGAGCAGACTCGGGCGAGGATGATGGAACCCCCTCTTCATCATTGTCTGGGAATGTACATGGGAGGGATTGTGGGTTGGAAGAAGAGGACGCTGCGGCAGGAGCGCTTACTGGCTCTGGTACTGCTGGAGAGAGGTTCGATCTTGCAGCCACGGGAGACGCCGGTGCTGCTGCAGGCGATAGAGACCCAACCTGAGTGCTGGCGGAGGGAGTGTAGACTGGAGGAGGATCCGACGGATCTCCCTCCGACGAGAAGTGCTGATATCTGAGATCCCTCACTTCGTCGCCGTCGACGGTTGAAGCTGCTGGTGTTTGGTTGGTGGCGGGAGTGCCGCCTGCGAAATTGTCAGCCCATGAGCCTTGAGACCCAAGTCGTTGAGCCTCCGCCGCAGCGGATCGGGTCTTGTCATCGTCCCCTCCTCGCCGGTAGGAGGTGGGAGACTGTGTGACGCTGTCATCAGCGTCGTCATGGAAAGTCTCGTAGTTGCGAGCAGGGTACTGTTTGCGGATAGTCATTGCAGAAAATCCTGAGTGCTTATGTGTGCAAGAAGCGGGGTTGCAGACTCAGCGCATTGAGCCTCGAGATGGGACTTCTGAGGGAAGGAGTGGTTTGCTTGTAGAGAAGAAACCAAAAGGAACAGTCAGAAAGCCATGGGTCTCATATCCGAATTACCTTGGTAGTATCATCCGTATCTCCTAGGACCAGTCCTGGATGTGGATGGGGGTGATTGCGAAGTGCGTTGCTGTCGTTGCCGCAGGCAGACACCAAAAGAAACCCTGGATGAGGCCCAGCCAGTGCCAACTGCGCCTCCCCCCTCCATTCTCCTAGGTGCCCGCACGTTCCCCAAAGAGGTTACCGACGAGCCGACTCCCTGCACGCACCAGGCCCATGGGGGAAGAGATGGGCACTGATAGGCTCTCAAGGCCCGAGCCCGTGGTGCTCCCAGTGCTCTTTGGGTGGCACTTGCTTCCAGAGCGCAGCTTAAGGCCCCCAGCCTCCATCTAGAGCTTCTGTCAACGTCATAAACCGCAGATGTCGTATTCGTATCAACCGGCAAATTTCGCTGACTTGGGGAATTGTCTAGAGGTGGTATATAGGAAAGCGGTGATGCTCTGAGTTCGAGGGAGATGAAGCCAGCACAACGGAGAGCATGTGAGGTGCAATGGGCAAGATGACAAAGGTGGATGCTTTATCTTTGCGACAAGAATCCGGTGCCCGTATAAATTTCAACATCTCAAAGCTTTCATTATCCAACGACGATACTAGTGGGGGATATCTGCATGTGAATGAATGTACAGTCCAGTATCCAACGTGAACTCCCTCGCTGATGCATTTGGAACTCGACTCGCTAATCTCGCTCAATCGGTCTTCGCTGAAAACGCGGTAGCTTCACTAACCGAAGCATATCCAACACTGTGCAGAGAGCTTTTGGACGAAATCACAACATGCACGCTCATCAAATCAATGGATGTTCCTTTGCTCTGCCAACCGTCGAGGCTCTAGGCAAACCCCAAATTTTCCAGGATGGCCTTCGCCTCATTCATCGGCAGCCCAGCGACGCCCAGCGCACGGACTTGGGTTCCCCTTCTCAATCGCTGAAGACCAACGGCGACCTTCCAACCCTCGGATTGAGACAGGATGAAGACGTACTTCTTGCCTTCTTGATCGCGTACGCTCGCGCGGAGAACGTGGAGACCGGAGAGTTCGCAGCTCTGTGTAAATGTAGAGTCAGTATCAGTTGAGGTAGTGGACCTTGTGGTCCCGGCAGCATTGACAGATGGAGAAGAATGTGAGAGACAGCTCCGAGACTGAGGTTGAGACCGATTCTTGCATACGGCTCCGCACATATCCAACAGCTTACTGACAAAAGCCGCCGATTCGTCTTGCGAAGGCGAACGCAGTACGCGCCTCGAGTCGGCGTTCAATCCAAAACCAAGGGAGATTTTCCTTTTAGGGGGACACGCATCCATGTTCTTAGGGGAAAGAAAATCGGGACACCATACCTCTGCGAGCTTCATCGTCCAAGCCTTCACATCCCACTCACGTTGTGGCACTCCTCGTACGTCGTCGTCGATGAACAGGCCCTCGGTCGTGATGCGCAAGATCAGTCCGTCGGTGACATTACCTTGTCCAGATATCAGCTGGGAAATTGGAGTTCGCATAAACGCATTGTTGAAGGAGAAGACGCCTTTGATGATGATCTTGTCAGGGTCCTTGGTCGAATATGGTCCACGCATTGAAGGAGGCGGGGTGGTTTTGGCCGTGCTCTCTGACGGTGCATACGATGACTCTGAGTACATCGAAGCGGCAGAATTGGCTTTGTGTGTTCGTTTGGGTCGGTCATAGGGTCTGAAGGAGTATGCATCATCGTCTCGTTCCGTGGTCGCTGTCGGCATGGGTGGACGCTTGGGGGGGCTTCGATTAGCCTGCTCCGACTTCGCTTTTGCAGCAGCCTCCTTTTCTTCACGCTCTTTCTTCTCTTTGCGCTCACGCTCAAGTCTTTCCAGTAATTCTTTTTCTCTGAGCTTCAGCCGCTCCCTCTCCAGTAGATCTTTCTGCTTCTGCCGCTCCCTCTCTAGTTCTTCCTTCTGCCGCTGGAGCTCCTTCTCTAGGTTTGCTTTCTGCCTCTGCCGCTCTTTTTCTAGTTGTTCCTGGCGCTGTCGTTCCTTGTCCAGCTCGTCTTTCTGTTTCTGTCTTTCCTTCTCCAGTTCCTCCCTCCGTCTTTTCAGTTCCTCGGCCCGTTTGCGCTCTTCCTCTCTTTTCCTCGTCTCTTCTCGCGCCTTCTCCCAGCTCGACTTGGCACTGGTAGTATTGGCTTTGGTGTTGGCCTGGGGTGGAGGCTTCTGCCACGATGAGTGCGGAGGAGGGCTGCTTGCTCCGTGATTAGGCGGAGGTGGAGGACCGCCGGTGGCGCCCGGCGGTGGAGGGGATTGAGCGTTCGGGTGATGCCCTTGATGTGTGTAAGATCCAGCGTTGCTGTAGCCACTAGGGCCTGAACCGCCTGAATCGCCTGAAGTAGAGTTAGAGCTTCCGCGATTGAAGCCGGGGTAGCTTTGCCATTCACTTTGAGTCTTGCCAAATGCCCAAGCTACAACTGCAACACCGCAGATGAGCGTGAAAACGCCTGTCCCGCCACTGTTGATGGTGCTGTATAGCCACTCCTTGACAACGGGCACGGCGGTGTAGTAGATGAAGAAGGAGGCTGCGGTGCAGAAGACTCCCGCCAGGAAAGAGTTGCGGTGTGTCTGCAGCGAAGGGAGGTAGAGGAAGCCCGAGCCCGCGGAATGTGGAGGGATGACAAAAATGTCGTATTTGCCGTTTGGGAGACCTCCAGACCTGCCACCACCTTGAGGATTGTTGCCATGCGGCGGTGGCGGAGGCGGAGGCGGCTCCATGAGAGCAGAGCCCTCTGGTGACTCGAATCCGTGTCTCTACCTTTCCAAGCACAGTGGTATCGTCGTCCGTCGTAACTGTGCTAAGGCCTTCTTTTTCATATTAACAGCTGGGGACCGCGCAGAGGGCAGTTCCAGTGACAGCGGACGGGGTCCGAGGTTTGGTAGGGGAGAGACCGGAGAGGCGCCGATGCGTGAGAAGAAAACGGGATCGTGTTTTGACTGTGTCGTGGACTGTCAAGATCGGAGGGGAGGGTGACAGTCAAGAAAGTGTTCGAGATTTGACGTGTCTGAGAAAGCGGTAGGTGCGAGGGAAGAGTTCGGAGGAAAAGTAGGACAGGGAGGTGAGGCGCAGAAACAAAGCAGCGACTGGACTGGTTCTGACACTTCGATGTGATTTGACTTTGGAGCCCTCGAGAGACAGAGGACTCGACAGGGCAGGGAACAAGGTGCACCAGGTGGACTCGTCGAAGTGTGATGGCGCTAAGGCGGGAGGGAAGGCCCTCGAGGGCGTCGGGGTCAACTTTCCGGCGGGTGTCCAGGGATCCTGGAGTATGACCCAAAAGGGCGACCGTTCCAATAACTCAGATCAGTGATGGATGGGAGGGGAAGAAGAGAAATTGATGTGACAATCAATCGGTGAATTCTTTTTTCCCTCTTGTCTGGTGGTGCCTGGCTTTATTTCCTGGGGTAAGATTTGTGAAACGGGTGCAGAACTACCAGAAGGTGGTGAGGCAGGGCGCAGAAGGCAGAGATCTCTTTTTAATCACCCTGGGACCAACGCAACCTGCCTGCCCGCCCTTTCTGATTCCCCATCAAGAAGAGCGGCTTCTGCACAAACTACGAGCGCGAGCACGAGCACGAGCACGAGATAAATATGGATTTCTCTGGAGTGTCCGATGTTCGACGCACATACAGCCGAAGCCCCAAGAGAGGAGCTGCAAAAACAACAAAGTCGACCGATATCCAATGGAACCGAGGGTCACAAGCCAGATGATGCCAGGACCTGCACTCGAATTTTGCTAGTTGGGCAAATCACGGTTGCAGCTCGAGTGCCCAAGACGCTGATAGGCAGGATTTGGTGCAGAAATCAACGCGCATCTACCACTACGAGTAAGTCGGCGCGCCCCCTTTCAGCAGGCCACCAAGACTGCATCCTTCGCTTAGCCAGCATCAGCAAGTGAGCGCCGGTGTCCGGTCTGCGGACGCATGAGAAAAGACCACGTTGGACGTTGGGATTAGGCGGTGAGTTCGTCTAATGGAGACTTCCCGGGTGACGAGAACGACTGGCTGCGCGCGAAAGATGTGATACGCGGTGGCAAGGCTCTGGCGCTGATGATAAACAAATGCGGCCCGTTGAAGGGTTGACGGGGGAACAACAGCGCGGGTGAGAAGCTAACCTTGGAACCGATCGCTAACACGAACCAACTCCGGGGGTCAACGGCTGTTGCAGCAGCCTAGCCACAGCCTAGTCACTGCCTAGTCCCAGCTGACCAGGCCTAGTGTTCCCCCTAGAAGCCTCCCAGCGGGAAGTTAGTGCTCCGCCTGGCGGGCATCATCCAACCACTCATCGCCTAAACCTCCGAGCGATTCCTCGTGGTCGATTGTTTCTTCATGCATCATGCATGATGACTTCATTTCGATGCCGACCAAGATCGCCGTGCTCCAGGGCCTCTTCAAAATGTGATCTGAAACCTTTCCCTTACCCGCCCGCCGAAATAATAAAACAATAGCGGACTCGGCGCTATCAAGACCGCAAGAAACCCGAAGCAGCTGATCCCCCATCCATAGCCCAGCTTTTCGAACAGGAGCGGCGCCACCAGTGGCACCCCACCGCCTACCAGACTCCGAAATACAGACCCTCCTGCAATGGCTGAGGCAGCGTACGTCGAGAACGAATCAATGTAATAGTTTTGGACCGTATTGAAGACCACCACTTGACCCACCCCATAGAAGTACGTTGCCGCGATGCTCGCAAGCCAATGGACGCGGAACTGGACGGTCCACGCGAACCAGAAGAGACTCACTGGGATCAGGACGCTGCCCACGTTGGCGAGAGGTAAGCGGTACTCAGGGAGCGCCTTGCCGCCATGCTTCTCCGTCAGTCTGTTGAAGACCGTATCGATGCGTGGTACGAGGAATCGGACCGAGGTCAGAAACCCCAGTCCTGGTCCCAGGTATAAGAGGCCAATTTGCTCCGAGTTGAAGTTGTAGGGCGGTTCAGAGTAGATGCTCTGCATATTTGTGTAGATACTGTACGTGGTGCCAAAGATCAGAGCTTGATACATACTCATGATCAGCACAATTGGCTGGACAAAGATGACGAAGGGCCGTTTCATGCTCGCCAGGAGCTTTTTGGAGAGTGGTCTCTCGTCTTCGCCGTCGAAGTAGTATCTCGTCTTCTTCCCCAGACCTTGGGACTCTTCTTGGGCAAGCTCGGCTTTGCGGCGACCTAGAAGGACCGGGGCATAAGTCTCCTTGAGGAAGAAGTAGCCGATTGCTGTATTGATGGCACAGACAATTGTGAGAAACTGTCACCACACCGAGCGTTAGTCAGCTCCATTCCATTTGTTGTCATGTTTTGCCAAACTCACCCAGTATATCCATCTCCACCCCAAGCGACTGACGATGACACCTCCAAACAATGGCCCAAGTGTCGGTCCTGGTATGCTGTCAGCGACGTCACGAACTCCACGAACGATCCTTCTATCCTCACCTAAAAGAGGCCCAAGGAGGTACCATCCAAAGGTACCCGCCCGTTCAGACGGATCGTACATGTCCGAAATCGTTCCGCCTCCATTGGCTATCCCGACACCTGCAGCACTCTCATCAGCACCCTTTCCCACTATGCAACGAGCCCCTCGCCGCCCCGATGATCGTTGACTCACTACCAAAGAAGCCCGAAACCGTCCTCATGGCAATCAGCGTCTGGATATTCGGACTCAACGCCGACGCGGCCTGGAGAACCGTGAAGACGGCAAAACAAGCGATATACAGCGCCCGGCGTCCAAAATCCTCGGACAAGGGTGCCCAGACCAAGGGTCCCAGGCCCAAGGTGATGACAAACCCCGTGGTCGTGGCGATGACGCTCTGCTCATTGGTGTCCAAATCCTCGGCGATCTGGGTGATGCCGGGGGTGAACATGGAAGAGGCCAAGGGGCTCAGGATAGCCATCAGCGAGATGATGCCCACGTTGATGAGCTTCTTGCGGCCGTTCCAGGCCTTTGGGTTCTCTTCGTCGTCTTCCCCAAACTGGATCTGGCGGGGCTCATCGTGACTGCATTGGCTGGCGCTGTCGACGTCTCCATCGGGACGAAGGAGAGGTCGTTCCTCGTCATCTTCGCGTGGTGGAGGCATCTTCTGTTCCTGGGTCTAGGAGCGATGCAGGAACTGCGGCTATGGCTGCTGGCATTTGCAATCTGGACCGAGTAAAAAAAAAAGGGCGAGGTGTCACGGTTCATGTTTGGGACGAAATAGACTTTTGGGCCTTTGGCCGCCCGATCTGTCACCTGGATCGATGACGCCTATCGAGCACCCGTTTCAACTTTCGGCGCCTTAACGGACCTCGATCCCGTTCGCCGGGCGCTGGCGCTTCGATTTCGATCGCCGAAGAATGCCATTTCCCCGCAAAATCCCCTCCCATAAGAATCGCGCCAAAGATGGGAATTTCACTCCACCATGGATTCTCTTTACGGCGTTTGCTGCATGATCAACACTATCTAGGTACCCTAGTACCCTGCTATCATAACCACAGTAGCTCCAACACATCAGAATCTTCGAGGCTTCGTACTAATCCGGCCACACCACTCTCATTAGGAGTCTTCATGTGACCCACAGCCAAAGGATCTGTATTGGAGTGGACGTTGATTCGTATATTTACCGACCAGTAGATCTCCAGGGTATATATCTAGATACCTAGGTAGGTATATATCGAGGAGCTACTTTGCCTCGAATCGGGAGGCAAAAACAATGTGCTTCACGAAATATGGTGCAATGCTTTTGGAGATTTGAAAATACATGCGTTGAATCAAAGCTGGATGATTGTACATTTGCAGGTCGTGAACCTGCAGTTTTGGGGAGATGTGACTGCTGCGTCGCGGTTGGTGATGGAATTTCGTACCAGGGACGTTTCCCGTCCGAGTATCCCTTTGAGACGAGGCAGATTTGCTCTGAATGGGTCCCCGGAGAGGTCTGGATTCAGTTCATGGCTTCCACCGCTCCGTGGCACCGACAACAGCGTGTCGCGGTGGTGCAGGTGAAGACGTTGGGTGTGATCCAATAGCCTCTTCCTCGACATCCTCAGATGTGCCTGACATCCCACAGGCTCTTCTGTCACCATGAAATAATAGTATACCCCTTTCCTTGTGGTCCTGTTCACCTCTCTTGACCCCGGTCATTCGTCTGCGACGGTCTTGGTCCTTTGGCCTCCTTCCTTGCCAGCACCGTCGCCATCCACTCCTCAAACTCTTCCTCTGCTTCTTTCTCCGACTTGCCCGCCCCGTCAATGCCCAGTCCACCTCTTAACTTCCTCCGCGCCTCGGCCAAGCTATTAATGTCGAGATACCACAACGCTCCGCCCGTGGCCATCATCGACAGACTGAGGACGTTGATCGTCGCAATGTTCAATGCCTCGACGGCCTCCATCGCCCCGTTCACTTTTTTCGCTTGTTCTGCCTGGTGTGCGGGAGCATTGGCATAGAAGGCCGGGTTGGAGGCCAGCCGTTTTCGCGCGAGGCTTCTTCGGGTGACGAGGAGGGAGAAAGCGAAAAACACGGCGCCGGCTCCAAAGATGAGTTTATTCCTGCTCAAGCGCTCGCTCTGAGTGGGTTGCTGTGTGGTGATGGATTTGGGTGCTTCAACAGTAGTAGGCTCGGCCGGTTTTACGGGTTCCTCAAGGACGCGTTTCTCAGCAGCAGGCTGACTGGCCGGAGGAGGCACTGGGTTCTTTGACGACGTGAACCATGAGGTGAACCACGACATTCTGGCAGGAGTATGGCTGGATGCCTGGAAAAGAAGTCGTCTTGGGCCTTTACTGGCAAGAAAAGAAAAAAAAGTTGAGCCGGAGATCAATGCGCATGCCCGCAGCTTGGGGGGTGATGCACGTGACGAATCTGGGAGCCGAAATATCAGTCGGGGCTTGCGTTTCTCTACAATAAAGTCTCCACGTTTCGATATATTGCTCGCTCGTCTCATCGAGGAGTCCAACGCAACACATACATGGCCATCCAATCTGCCCATCATTATGATTGTGCTTCGCCCCACATCTCAATTATGGGCAGCCACCTATTCAGCAAGACCTGCCTGCTCCTCATAATTGATGATCCACATGCAACTGTTCTTATTCCTTTTCACTTTGCTCAGGGTTGACGTGCTCGACCGTATCCTGATGAACAACTCCGTGCTTTTCCATGTCTCCACCAGTGGACGGTTGTGGGACACCAGCTTCGGTGGCGATTCTGTGCATACCGTGATTACCGTGCTCGTCGACGATGAGTTCGTGGGTGCGATGATCGACGTGCAGGTCTTCGGCATAGACGACGACTTCGTCTCCGAACAGTTTCGCCATCTCTTCGAGGGGGATATTCTTCGTCTCAGGAAGATAGAAGTATGCGAAGAACGCACCCAGGCCCGAAATGACAATGAAGACTAGATAGAACTTCCAGCCAATGTTGTTAAAAGCCTGCCGACCTCAATTCAGTAATGACCAAAGCCCGAACACGAAAAGAACACTTACCGTTGCTGCAACTTGCAGATAGACCAAGTCGGTCAGTGCAATGACACTAATACTAAGAGCCAAGCCCTTCGCTCTCAGATGGTTGGGAAAGAGTTCCGAATAGAAGACGACACCAGCCACATCGATGCCGATGCTATACACGGCCAAAAACAAATACGCCGCCGCGACGCCCATTCGAAGACCGGCCTTGTTGGTCGCTTCTTCAGCGAAGGAGCTAACCATTGCAGCTTCGAGAATGAGTGAAACGCAGCAGCCAGCGACACCCATGACAAGCAGAGGCTCGCGGCCCGTCCAGTCCATGATGAGAGCTCCCACCAGGTTGCCAACGATACCGACAGTGATCCAGCCACACTGGAAGATCAGCTGGTACAAGGTATCGTAGCCTAGGGCGGCGTAGATGGTTGGACCTGTGCCCAGTCAGCATTTCATATCCACAAGCAAGCAGGGCAGGTCTCGAACGCAAACTTACCGTAGTTGTTCAAAACCAACACGCCCGTTGACTGGCCAATGAAAGCAAAGCCCATAACCATGATTGTGCGCTTGCGGTAGCTGGGTCGGCGGATCATTTCAATCTGTGAAGATCAGCGCCCTTGCACCGAATGAAAGCACGTAGTTACTGACCCAGCCCGGTTCCATTGTCCGATCCAACTCAGCTTGCTTGGACATCTGGTAGAATTCACCACGAGCGAATTCTTGATCGGGGTCATTCTTCGATGCATGCAACTTGAAGACGACGTCCCTCGCTTCATCGATCTTCCCCTTCATAAGGAGATACCGTGGGGATTCTGGGATGACGAGGCAGACGAGCATCATCATCACCGGCCAAATGAGTGCAATTCCCAGTGGTGCTCGCCATTGTGTTTGTGGGTCATCCACATAATAAAAGGCGAGACCCATATAGCTGGCAAGAGCATAGCCCAATGCAATATTGACGCCGTTCATGCCCACCATGAGGCCACGCAGGCCTGGAGGTGCCAACTCTGCAGAGTAATACGGGGCTTGATCTGGTCAGCAGTGGAGGCGAAGACAGAACAGAGGCTAATACATACTGACTGCTAGATAACCCCAGCTCCCACCCCCCGCGAAGAGGCGGGCAACAATAAACATAGTGGCATTTCTGCTACCGCAAAGCAGCGCACCTCCGAGCAGCGAGAGAAAGCAACACCAGTGGAATCCTGCCTTGCGGCCCCGTCTGCCGGTGGCGATCAGCAACCAATGTACCTGCAGTAGATTGGTTGTATCCAAACAGCTTCGTGAATATAGTGTCAAACATGGACTGCAGGAGGTATTGTTTGTTCCAGTCTTTGTGAAAGGTTATGCACGCAGGGGTCAGACACCGATCGTCAAGAGGTTGATGCTCGCATGTGTAGCTATAAGTATGCCTGTCGCTATCAAATTAGCGGCAGCAAAGCACCAAACAAATGACTGCGAGTAATTAGTATCCAAAGTGACCCAGAGTTACGTCTCGTATTAGCACATTTCGATCTGCTCAGCCCGAGCTTCTGGACTCATTGTGGTATGGAAGCCTCCGATCTCGACGCCTTTGGCCTGGATGACAGTCATATGCACAAGAGGCTCCGATGGAAAGAGCAGGCGATGTAAAAATGGAAGAGCATGCCGTCTGGGGGAAGTGTGTCAGATGCCGGTGTGCAGCACCAGAAAGCACCAATATCTCTTTGTCAACGCCAGCGGTCTAGTGATACCAAGAGTCCGGCCCCTCCAGTGATGCAGGTGTCGACGAAGAAGACTGGAGATGAGATATGTAAGCTGGTGGTGTGAAAGGATGAAGGTCACGAAAGGTCTGAGATCCGAGGCTCAAGCAATTGTTGTTCAAGTTCAAGTTGATGGGCAGTGCCGCCAAGATTTCACGACTGGCAGCTTCAACAAGTTTATTCCACGAGGTACTCTTACTCGTAGGCCCTCGCGGATAAGCTGACTCCCAGACACAATGCTTAAAGGTACCTAGTGAAACAGATGCTCCATTGCTGTCAGTGATTGATGGATTTTTGATACATTGCGATCGTCTGCCACGCTCAAGGAGCCATGGAAAAGCACCAGCTATCGCCGCAGCCACGACCACACAGCCCAAGAAGCCCGTGCAGTGATGTTTCTGTCATTCAAGAAAAAGCCTTCCCGTTCAAAGGGAGGGAACCAACCGTCACTTATGCAACGTCGCGTGCATACCCGCAACGCCAGCAACGCCGGAGCCTCGCTTACCCAGCCTTCGCCCCGGCGCAAACCCACATGGCTCGGATGGGTCCGCCAAAAGGGGACACAAGACGCCCGAAAGGAGAAAACACACCCCTACTTCCATCTCCCAGCAAATGTATGTCAGAACTTTTATTTCAAGGCTTATTCTTCCTTCGAGCACGGGTGCCATAACCTTGTGGAAGTGATGGATGCGAGAGGAGGGGTCGGGCACGCCAATAAGATGTGAGAAGAGGGCATGGGCTGCAAAAGATTGATGTCAGACAAGGAGACAAAATAAGGGCTATCAGTCCAGGCCTCCCAAGTGTTCCTTGAGCTCAGGTGTACGAGGAGGCATTGTGCACTTTGAGTCTGTCTGTGCTCGGGCTTGCGGCCATTGGCAACAGCCGCATCCATTCATGGTGTTTGCGGCGCGATAAAATACATCAGTACGAAAAACATGTCGTGCTTCGTGTTGCATTGACGTGGTAAGCTTTTAACAAGGTGATGCCTTCCGACCCTAAAAGTCCAGATAGTAAATCTTCGTCCTTCCTGCTCTCAGAGATTATCGAGGCCTGGAAACCAATGCTGTGCCCTTCAAGTTGCCCATATTCTTTGATTGAATGCTAGCGGTTGGAACAAATTGTGGCCGTCACCCTGAGCGTCGCAGAATTGCTTCAGGATACACTTCCAATCGTGTTCGGTTGAGCTACCGTTAGTTGGAAACAAATAGATCTTCTGTATCCGTTCCATTTGACTACGGATCCAGGCCACTTGGCCCTTTCTGAGCTTTGCCACCAACGGCCCTGGTCTCACGCGCGACATCGTCATGGTGCGAGCCTTGAGAAATCCGGCCAGAGGTACCATGATGAACCAGCCACCGATCGCCGCAGCAGCGCGCACATGGTCTTCCATCGTCATCTGGACCTCGTTGCCGAATGGGTCGACATAACTCGCCAGGCGCCGGAGCTCTGCAGGCACGTGAGGATATTCTCTGTGCTCATCGGGGTATGCAGGTGTTGTTCGGTTGCCTAGATGGAATGGCACCGATGCACAGAACCGATCGACAATTTCTTGAATTCGCACGTCAAGATCAGGCTCGATTTGGGGGTCGACGGCAATGCCCAGCTCCGTAAGCCCCTCCGAGCATCTTGTAATCAAACGGATTGCTCCAAGTTGAGAACTCCGAGCAGCATTGGTGATATGAGAGACTGCGAGCGAGGAGTATACGTCGCACATGCCTTCATAAAGTCCAGCGTCGCGGATGGAAGGATGTAGTTCGGATGCCGGAATAGATACAGGTCGCCATGAATTGGGGAGGGCGTCCATCCATGCTTGCAGTCTCTTTTCAAGGGCCAGCGCCCTCTCCAAAATGACCTGATAGAACTCGACTAAGGTGAAGCCAGCGACTTCAGGACCGTCGCGAGCCAAAACAAGCAAGTCCGCTAATTCCACGTTCAAAAGGTCAAGCTTCGCAGAAGGGAGAACTGCAGTGTCGTCACTTAGGAGTTCCGGATCCAGTTCCACCCGTCTGCCAAACTGCAACGAATAATTGATATGGCGACTTCTCATGGCATTGAAGAGCCTCTGAGAGAGCGGAGTAGTGAAACTATGTTTCCCCCTATGCTTGAGCAAAGCTACCGCACCTTGCTGATGGGTGCCGGTGTCGACAAAGTGTACAAAGCGCCGATTGAGGGAGTCATAAAAGTCCAGCATGAATACAGTGGCGAGCGTCTCATCTGACTTGGATTCGATGGGATCTTGCAGCGAGGACTTCAGGATACTCACGGCCTTGGCGTATGCTTCGCGGGCACGATAAGAATCAGCGTATCGATTTATCCACATGGAAGTGACGTTGATGGCGGCGGCATTGATTGCTTCCGCCAGCCCCGAGTTGGGGTCGGTGTTCAGGTATATAGGAAGGATGTGTTCGATGAAGATATTAGTACTCGGATCCCGGGGAATGTTGACATAGTTGGTGAAGAAGTAACAAATTGATTCCATCTCGAAATTGCGAGATGGCCTGGTGAGGAGAGCAAGGCTTAGGTCCAGAGTTGGATCGAGATGATTCGGCGACGGCGTGTTTGTGACGGTGAGAAAGCTGTCCGGGGAATCGCTGGCAGGACTATGGACCTTCTTTTGCCGCTTCGGGGCACTTTTATGAGAGGTAAGGAAAGTCTCATCCTTATGGACTGCGTCAAAGAAGTCCCGATATCCAGGGCAAGGATGTTTCCTCTTGACGCAATTGCCGCAGTGAGGGCGTTTCTCATCACACTGGATCGATCAGCATCATATTGAGCAACAGGGCCGACGCCGCTCGGATGTACCTTGACACGGCGTTTCCTACACGCGTGACATCCTTTGCTGGGGCCTTTATAAACCATCTCGTTTCCTCGGCAGATTTCGCCAATTATACATGCGCAAAGGTGGAATAATCAGAAGGACGTCTGAAGTTGTTTCCTCAACGCTGGGACGGGACCTTTAAGCCAAACCTGAGCACTCGAATCTGATAGAATAAGGCTGCCCATGGTTACCTAGGTATGCAGGAATAATCCAAAAGCAAGTTTGCTGTCGGCATTCTATACCTCACTGGGCTGCTGAATCAACCAGACTTGCCCGAACGGCACCGAGAAGGTTTCTTTCCTCCGACGGTCAAATGGAGGCTGTGCCCCCCTGGAAATCCACACTTGGTCTTACTGATGATTAGGGGTGCTCGGTTATGCTTCGTCTAGTGATTAAAAGAGGATGGTGTCCTAAGCTGAACTCCCGCGTAAAGGGAAAACGCATCATGCGCGGCAATTGTGGCTGGCGAGGCAAGAATGACGACAATGGCGGGCTGTTAGATAGGCCATTTGGTGTGCAATACGAGGTCTCAGGCATAAATTCTCGTATGGCACCACAGAGGAGAATAATGCTCAGGGCGCTCGTATTATTCACGGTCCCGTGCAAGCCGGATACGCTGGCGGCATTACCCGCCAGCCCTTCAATTGGTCTTGGTAACCTCTGTAACTTTCCTTTCCAAAAAATTAATGGAATTATAATGGGTCGCCTTTGGGTGTCATCCCAGCGCACCCAGTCATGAAGCCCAAAGAGCGTTCAGCCAGGATCGTGATGGACTTCCTCCTTCCCCTCATTTGCGCCCCTGGCAACCATGTCCATGTTCTCTCTCCACGCTTATACACCCGATCGATTCTATGGGCTGGCATTGGATGCCTTATGCGTTACCTACATGATTGAGCTCGGCAAATACTGTGGCACGGATGCAGTATGACCGGGTCTATTTCAAAAGGAAATCAAATTATCCCAACTTTGGCTATTTTCTATCTTGTTCGATCTATCAAATCCCGAGCTCACCAAGGCAGCTGAACACCATTTTGATCCCAGAACTTTCCGCTGTACGTGGCCTTGTCGGCCTTGTCGAATACTGAGATCAGGCCACTCACAGAATCCTCCAATTTGACTGGAACATCTTCCGGCTTCATACCTGCGAACTCGGCGGCCGTGTTACCCATGTCTATTTCAATCTCAAGTCAGCATGATTGTTTTGGGGGAAGATAGCGTTGTACGGGAAACATACTTGTCTGAACCCAACCGGGCTGCATGGCAACAACAGCAATCCGATCCTCTTCGCGGTGAATGCGGCTTACAGCCCAGTTCGCCGCTGCCTTTGACATGCCGTACGCGATCACTGGCATGGGATAGTGGTCTTGAAGACCGTTACTGCCGATGCTGGAGGAGATGATGAAGAACTTGGGCGTCTGCTTAGAGGCGTTCAATAGTTCTTGGGTGCCCTGGTAGAGCAATATCGGGGCCAAAGTGTTGATCTGCAAGTGCTCCATGATGGTCTCTGCGGAAGCTTCTTTGGCAGGACCGAAGTGTTTTAAGATGCCTGCATTCGCTACCACGACATCGAGGGCGGAAATGTTGTGGACTGACTTGAGGTAGTCGGCAAGCTCAACCGCCGCTGTCTTTGATGAGGCGTCGTACTTGGCGACAATGATCTTGCTGCCAGCACCAACGGGCAAGGAAGTCAGAGCTCTGGCGGCTCCAGAATCAGGCCCATCTCGGATGGCAGCAATGGCTAGTGTGTTAGGGCGAGCGGCGTACGTGGCAAGCAACCCTTTGCCGATGCCGGACTTGCTTCCAGTCACCAGAACGGTATTGGTGTAAGACATGATGGCTCTGTGAATGTGGTGTTGGCTTGATGAGGACGAGAATAAGGATTTGGTCAGGCTGTTGAAATTGCTTAGGTGTCTGGCTGGCGTTGTCTTCTGATGATGGACAGACAGTTCTTCCCGCACAGGAATGCCTCTCTTATATACTTACGAGTTCTGCATCTTTGCAATCTGTATGGTGCCGTGCTGGGCGCGTCAATTCTGTCTCTTTCCACATTATCTCAGCGGGCGCGTATATTCTGCAGAGGCAGATGCTTTCCCAATGGAGAGCTTGGTCAACTGCGGCCGTGGTGTTGTTGTAGGTTTGATGACACAGCACAAGAATAACAACGATGCACTCGAGATGTCCGGCAAGAGAACAATAGCCATACCCGTCTAGAAGGGAAGACTTTGAAGCGGAGCCATGTTCTTCCACTCCTCGAATGCTTCATTATCGAGAACTCGCTGGAGGCTGACCAACCAGTGACGTCGGCGTTGTTTGATTGGTAGAGATTTCGTTTCCAGATTGGGACAGTGGTCGCCTCCTCTTGTCTGGTGCGTTGCTCCAATTAGGGTCCTCGCGGGATTATTGCACTGCATACTCGGTACTTGTTGGTCCAAGGATTAAGTGCGACCATTTTCAAGCCGGTCGTCGCTCCTATCATGTTCCAGGAGGTCGTTGATTACGTCTCGTACTTCTTAGTGCTCTCTGCAATTCTTGAAGTGTCTCATTGCAGCCGATCAAGATCTGTGCTAGATCAGCCTTCCGCTGTTGGTCGAGGTTGGACTAATTTCGCAGGTCGTCTACATTACGGAGAACAATTGCGAGGCTCCGAACTCTGATAAGACTATTAATCGACAGGCAGTGATTTTGGTTGAGAAGTTTTACTCTTGTCTAACAGCTTTAAACGTCTTCGGTGCGTCCGCCCTAGACCATCTGCTAAATCAACGACGGCAGGGAAATCGCCTATCCCACTCAAAACTCACCATGAAATATTTTGTTTCAAAATCTCGAGAAGGAGGCCCAGAGGAGATCTGGAAATAGCATGTTCTTGGGATCATCGGAAACGACACATTGCTTTGAATGCTTCTAGAGCTGAACTGCACCCCGCAGCGGGTTATCGAAAAGGGAACTACAGATGTTGTGAAGACGGCGAGAATCCTCTTGGTCGCAACTCCATTGGCAAAGAACGAGAATGAGAGAAGCTAGCCGGTTCAACTTCTATTAAACGGGCTCGGAAGTCGATCAACAAAAGTCGTTTGACGCAGCCAGTTTTACGTCGGAATAAGTATTCCCCGATGTACCGAGGAAGAAGCGCCAAGGCTCAAAGCAGCAGATAAATTCTGTACGTGGCTCCGTCAAATGTACCGAAGGTAGCGAAATCAACAACCTGTCCCACTCACGCTGCTGAACCCAGGCGACAGCTTCTCTTCTTGACCGCGGCCCTAATAATAGCACAACTGGGATCCGGCACCAGATCTCTTGTCAAGGTCACCCTGTTCGATCTCACAACTTCGTAAAGAGAGGGGCGACTTCTCCAATTTTTACCGGCCGTCTCAATTATCGCAAAACGAGGCCGCGATCTGTGAGTTGAGCTTCCTCTGCTTATCGCTCTGTGAGATCTGACTATTCTTGAAGTTTTAGGTGTGCCCTAGGAACCTGCATGAGTGCGCTTATTCTGGGGCTCCTCCCGTGCGGTCTTTAAGAGCAGGAAAATGCAGAAGTTGCGACATGTCTCTAGGCACGCGCGGTCCCGCTACCTGAGCACGACAACCCCCTATCGAGCCGAAGCCTTCCACGCGCAGCTTGAGGATCCTTCTATATCGCCTTTCCTCACCTCTCTGAAAAGACAACCGAAGACTCCGCAGACCTTGACGGAAAAAATCGTACAACGTTATGCCGTCGGTCTACCAGAAGGAAAGCTCGTTAGGGCTGGCGACTACGTCAGTCTTGTACCGTCCTATTGTATGACACACGATAATTCGCGGCCCGTCGCCGGCAAGTTTATGTCTATGGGAGCCTCGAAGATTTATAACAACAAGCAGATTGTTATGACCTTGGATCACGATATTCAGAATAGAACCGAGTCGAATCTTAAAAAATACCAACAAATAGAGGAGTTTGCAAAGACGCACGGTATTGACTTTTATCCAGCAGGGCGGGGAATCGGTCATCAGATCATGGTTGAAGAAGGATATGCATGGCCAGGCACACTTGTTGTGGCGTCGGATAGCCATTCAAACACTTATGGTGGTGTCAACTGTCTCGGTACGCCTATCGTGCGTTCAGATGCCGCGAGTGTGTTTGCCACAGGTCGCACGTGGTGGCAGATCCCGCCCATTGCGCGGGTGACATTCACGGGGACGCTGCCGGTCGGCGTGACGGGTAAGGACGTCATTGTCGCATTGTGCGGCCTATTTAACAACGATGAGGTGCTTAACCACGCTATCGAGTTCACCGGTTCAGAGGAGACCATGGCCAGTTTGCTTGTGGACAGCCGGCTAACCATCGCAAACATGTCGACCGAATGGGGAGCACTCGCCGGTCTGTTCCCGCTCGACCAGACGCTGGAGCGCTGGCTGCGGTACAAGGCTACGGAGGCGGCGATGCTGGATACTCGAACAACCCGACAACGCATCACCCACGAGAAGGTGGACGAGCTGCTCGCGAACCGCCTCACTGCCGATCGCGACGCTGTGTACGCTAAGCAGCTCTACCTCAATCTCTCCACACTCTCGCCTTACATCTCCGGCCCCAACTCCGTCAAGGTCGTAAAGCCTCTAAATGAGCTCGCGCCGCAGAGAATCAAAATCGATCGCGCATATCTTGTCTCTTGCACCAACTCGCGCGCGTCAGATCTCGCCGCCGCCGCCAAAGTCTTCAAAGACGCGGCCAAAGCGAACTCCGGTATCGTACCAAAGATTGCTGATGGCGTGCAATTCTATATCGCCGCGGCTTCCGCTCCGGAGCAGGAAGCCGCTGAAGCCGCGGGCGATTGGCAAGCCATGCTCGACGCCGGTGCGCAGCCGCTGCCTGCCGGATGCGCGATGTGCATTGGGCTCGGAACCGGCCTGCTAGAACCAGGCGAAGTCGGGATCAGCGCCAGCAACCGCAACTTCAAAGGGCGAATGGGCTCGCGGGATGCGCAGGCCTATCTCGCAAGTCCCGAGGTCGTGGCCGCCAGCGCCCTAAGCGGCGTCATCTCCGGCCCTGACGCGTACCAGGTGCCGACAGACTGGTCTGGCGTGGAGCACGGGTTCGGCACGGGGATGCCGCACACGACCGAGCACGAGCTCGGCAACCTATTGCAGCAGATGGAATCACTGATCGAGCGGGCGGATTCGGCCGCAAATGCTTCGGAGGCGGCTGTCGAAATCCTGCCGGGCTTCCCTGAGCGGATCAGCGGCGAGATTGTCTTCTGCGACGCCGACAACATCAATACTGATGGGATCTACCCCGGTAAGCTCACGTACCAGGATGACGTGTCCAAGGAAGACATGGCGCGCGCGTGTATGCAAAACTACGATCCCGAGTTCAATAACATCGCCAAACCCAAGGACATCTTGGTGGCAGGTCGGAGCTTCGGCGTTGGCTCGTCGAGAGAACAGGCGGCGACAGCGATTCTTGCCAAGGGGATCCCCCTCGTCGTCGCCAGTAGCTTCAGCAATATCTTCGCGCGCAACAGCATCAACAACGCGCTCATAGGGTTGGAAGTGCCGCGCCTTGTCGAGCGCCTGAGGTCTCACTTCTCCTCTGAGTCTGCCTCTACCTCTTCCTCCTCCTCCTCGTCTAATCCCATAGTCCCTGAATCCACCGCGAACGAAGAGTTAGTCGACGCCGCGCCACCGGCTCCTGTCACACCCTACGAGAGGCAGCTGACGCGCCGCACCGGCTGGACGCTGACGTGGGACGTGGCGCGCAGCGTCGTGGAAGTGCAGGAAGGGCCCGGCGGCGCGGTGTGGACGGAGCGCGTGGGCGAGCTGCCAGCGAACGTGCAGGCGATTATTGCTGCTGGTGGACTCGAGGGGTGGGTGAAGGCTGAGCTGAGGAAGGCGGACAACTAAGTTGGCGCCGTAAACCTACTCGTTACACTCCATCACGAGCCCCTTCAGCAGCTTTTCGGACGACCTTGCAACCTCGGGACCGTCGTCCTGGGCCAGCTGAGCACATTCCGCGAGAGACTTCTCCCTTGCTCTCTTCACCTCCAGATCGTCTCCTGACGCGCAAAACCTTCGCTTCCTCTGCGGAGCCATTACGTGGTCGTTTAGGGGCCCCGATACAGGACTGGCGTTCGTTGGGGACGGGAAGATACAAACTCTTCCGCACAATACTGTACTGTAGAAGCGCCGAAAAACAAGTTAGAGACACGGTGAGCGAGAAAGGACCTTCGGAAAGCAACTACAGGTGCTTCTCTGCGTCTACCCACGACCGACCCTCGCAAGTACCTCTAGAGGATTGTCCTCGTTTGAGAAAGTCGAATACCGATCAAAGAAGCTTGTGAACTAGTCCACGCTCTGCCTTTTCCTCGCCAGCGACTAGGCTTATAGCGGTCGTTGATGGTAAAAAAAAGCCATCATTGCTGATATACCATGGGTGGCCGTCATTGATAGTATGTATTGCATCTCCTTTTAAGATCAGCGGCGCTCTGAACGATATCACTACCACCCTCCCTCCTCTTCCTCAGCTCCTGCCCAGTGAACAACTACCCCTTGGGATACAGTGACGTTTACTCGAAATTTGCTCAACCTTGACATCATAAACACCCCGACTCGGCATTTTCCTTCTCGTGACCAGGACATGCCATGAATTGTCACGAGAATAGCAGCGCCGATCACTGAAATATCTCCATGCAGATTTCGGATCCCCAAGATCTCGTTGGATTCCTTCCCATAATGATATGCCATCTTGACACGAACGGCCAATTAGATCCCGTGAGACACCATGAGAGCATATCTTCCCACTATGAAATCCGAGAAGAAGAGAAAAATAATCTCCGCAATGATTTTGGAGGACGACCAAGGCCCATCGAGACCCTCGAATATCCAATCGCCTTGGCTTCAGTATTTTGCGATCGTCGGACAATACAATTTGACCATTTTCAAGAATACGTATCCGTGTAATTTTGTAGGGGTGCGAGGAATTGGTCGTATCAATCACAGAAAGGAATGTCGGGAACCAGAAATTGGGACGTACTGAGCTTGGCTCATCCGTGGACAGGTAAATTGGCTGCGGCTGCTCGAGTTTTATGCTCGAGTCGATAAGAACCACTTCGGTTAATCGTTTTCGGTAGTAGCAGCCTGTCTCACTGTCCAAATGCACGTGTATTCCAACCCATTTTCCATTCCGTTGGCAGTTCAGAACAGCAACTGTAGACAGATCGAGCTGCAGGAGAGGCAGCGAAACAGAAAGACCAAGATTTGTCACCGTCAAGAGCGACGACAAGAGAGGACCAGCGGACGCTTTGACATTGTCATTCGAGACGATAGCCGTGTCTGTCCGATGCTTCAAGAAGGCTTTGGGGGACGAAGTCAGGACACCACAAGGTTCTGATGGTAAGGGCCCGTAGCGGGTGTCGTGACGAGGATGCCGAATCTTCCACGCGAAAATGGACAGATCTCCGGAGTTGACCATAATTTGCATCTGGAGGCGTCGAAATGCCTTTGTCATGCCCTCGCCATACAACAGCGGCATATTGACGTCGAAAATGCCCATTAAGCAGTATGCCCCATCTTCGTCCTTGGTTGTCGTCCTGCTGGCTGCCCAGGACATTCTCTCCGCAATACTCTCGGTCCATACACTTCTAGGGTGAGTCAGAGCTTCGTATGATATTGCCGTTATTTTTGCAATCTTGTCCAACAGGCTTCCCTTGGTCCCAATAAAAGACCAGCTCTTGTCGTAGAACTCCACGGTCGTGGGTGCGATCAGCTCCTGGAGAGTCCATCCTCTTGTGAACCATTTACTGCTCGCAAAGCCATGTGGAATTTGTGACTTTGAAAGAGCGACATCATCCAGATATGCATAACACACGTGAGCCTGGGAATACCAGCCAAACATGCTGTTAATAGCTTCCTGTAGCTCGGATGAGCTGCGTTTGTCGATACAACAGGTATCTATCCAAGCGTAGCCGAGCCCATCAGCCGCAGCTTGCACACAACAACTCTTGATTTTGAAATATCCATACTTTTTTTGGCACTCTGGTGTTCCAATCTCTTCAAATGATACTTCACCGGAGGTCCAGGTATGGGAAAGAATAGCGTAAGCGGGTGGAATGGAGGGGAAATAACACAGTTGGAGGCTGCTAGTATCAAGTAACCACATTGCCCCAGAGGAATTATGTGAAGGCTAAGGTTTGGCAGGGAGGAACAGTAACATAAGCATTGCGCAGCATGATAAGTAAGTTCTATCAGAACGGGCGCCTACCTTGGGGCTGTGTCAGGGAGTCGCATATTGGGGGGGGGGGGGGCTGTAACAGGACCGACCGCTTTTTGGCCCTCTGCGACCGGGGGGGCTTGCCATTGCTGACGAGGCTGAAGTTTGCACTGTCACAGAAGGACTACCGCGAAGCAAGTAGAGAAGGAGAGTGTAGTCAAGGCAGGTGGAAGGAGGGAGGCGGCCATGGTTATCTCAGACTTCAGCAGACGAACAGTTGGTAGGGACCTTCCTAGGTAAGTAAATACGAGGTAATAATATGGATGCAGGGTGGACGTCGCTGCAGACGCAGCCTTCCGGAGCCTTGATCAGCGCACGAGCCTCGGCCAAGTTGCCTAACGTGAGGAATTTCTACAGCCCGGCTAAGGGGGCCTTTCGCCATGGACTTGTACCCTGATGGTTCCAGATGGTTCAACTCCCATCATACTTAGGTATGCACACCGTAGTCGAGTTGAATGATCTCGACTCTCAGGCATTACCCAAAATGATCTTGAGATAACAAAAGGAGGCGCAAAATGGCGCCACAACCTTCATCCACCCCCGACACCTCGAGCGCTGCGGCCACCCCAACCCCTTCACCTGCGCCCTCCCCCATACCTCCCCCGGTACCTGTCGAGACTCATCCCAACCGAGGCAAACCACAGGCTAATCGAATCGCCCCTGATCCCAATCGTCTTGCCCCCGAAGATGCCTACAAGACTTTCTCCCCGCCGCGACTACGACCGGTTCCAGAGATCAGTGGTTCTGCGGCCGCAAATGCTGCCGCTGCCGCTCTCCGACCAGCAGTTGCGTCTCTGCGGGCGCCGCCTGCAATCCCGCCAGTCGCTGCGCGGCTAGCCGAAGAAAGACGACGGGCAGCCAGCAAGAGACGGAAGCAACCCCATGTGTGGAAGAAATTACTATGGATTAAACAGCATGGATTCCCAGACAACTATACGGATACCGAGACCTTTCTGGACCATCTACAGAGGAACCCTCGTCTGAGACCATATGATTTCTGGCCGTTGGTGGCAAACTCGGCCGTTATTGTGCAACACGTATGCTCTGTGGCCATCTTCATTTGCGCATATGCCGGAATCTACCAGGGCCGTCTGTCCCCAGTCTCGGTGGTGACGTGTGGCACGGTTTTGACGGTGGGTGGGTGGATTGTGTGGGACCATTGGATGGGTCAGCAGGAAGCAGAAGAGTTGGCGGCTCTGCACAAGGCAAACCGGCTTTCAGTCGACGTCGATGACGGTTCAAGTACCAGCTCTGGAGGCTCTTCCAAGATCCAGATGAATGGGAATGGGCATGTTGGCAATGGACATGTGAACGGCACCCTGGGCGGAAGAGGCGTTGGTCTGAAACTGTCGACCACGAACCTCGGAGTCAAGGATCACGAATCGAAGTTCCCTGGGAAACATGCTCAATCCCTGTCCAAGTCATCCTTCCAGTCGATTTCTCCCATCGATCCATTAGGCGATGGCTCAGTGGAACCATTTCCCGACCTGCGACCGACGACGTCTCGACCACAAGTGCCTCAATCGCCCAGCATAGTGTACAGTCCAACGACGCTTCCGGCGACGATATCCCCCCGAAACCAAGCGCGACTCAAAACGCTCAAATCTGCTTCCTTGATCTACTTTGCACTGTTGGGCCTTTCGCCGATTCTCAAGTCGCTCACGAGATCGACATCATCCGACTCCATCTGGGCGCTGGCGACATGGCTTCTGATCATCAACATATTCTTTTTCGACTATGGAAGTCTCTACCTACCCAAAAAGCCCGAAAATGCGGGGCGTGGTCCTGGAATATCCAACGCCACACCCACGGATCCGTCACCACCTCAATTGAGCAATACTTTCCGGCCGCCTCCATTTCCCTCGTCTCTGTCAACCAATGCAGCCTTGATGGCCAGTACGGTACTTGCTTCGCGGCTGATGACAACCACGGCGGTGTTCAGCCTGACTCTGTTTTCGATTCAAGTGTTTGGACTATTTCCGGTGTTCCGGCGGCATCTCCATTACAAATCATTTAAGCTGCACTTGCTTCTCACGTTCGGGCTAGTCGCAATGTCCACCTGCGGCCTGGGACTGATCCTGTCTAAATCCTACACACATACATATGGCAACTGCGGGCTCTGCTGGGGCTGGATCTGGCATGTGATTCTGCGGAGCACGATCGGGTTTGTGGTCGGAGGGTGCAGCACAGCATTTGTCATGGGCGGATGTTCGTGGTGGTTGATTGGATTGCAGCGGTACAAGAACGTGGTGATTGGGCCCTGGGATCCAGCCAAACCCGTCCTTGCGGGCGGTGTTTATGGAAGAAGTAGGACTGGGACGGACTGAGCTGTGATCACTGAATTGACAGCCTTGAAGGGGGATTAGGTTCCCATGGAAAAGGCCAACGTGGTACAGTCCGTCCCGGTATCGGATCCGCGCTCGTGATGGAGCAGTGGCCTCGACTATTGCCGGAATCGGAGAAGCCTGGACTCACAGTCTCGAGACGAAGATGTTTCGGTGTGATGGCCCCGTTTCGGGGTTTCGAGAACGCCGCTCGCCCACACCTCATTTCTCCAACATCGGAAGAGGGGTTTTTTCGGGACGCCAAAGAGCGCATGGGAAGCAGTAAGATAGACACACACCACGCCCAAGAGGCAAATCGAGCACCAACTGCGGGGTCGACGCCAATGATGATGATGATCCAGTGTTTGGGCCTCGGGGTTAAGCTGTTGATGATATTACTACCTAGTATATTACAAAACAACCACGTCCCTCGCGGGTCTACTCCCTTTCCCATAAACCCCCGCGTGAGTTGTGTCGTTCCAACGCTGTATGCTGTCGACTTGAATCATCACCTCCCAACCGCGTAGCCAAACGACTCATCTTATACTCCCCCCGAGGTCAACAGCCATGGCACCCAGCCTCCCCTTCTCACTAAAAGACCCGGACCTGCTGCGCCAGGACTCGTACGTGCACGGCGAGTGGGTGCAGGCCAAGAGCGGCAAGCGCTTCGACATTGTCGACCCGGGCTCAGACAAGACCTTTGCCTCGTGCCCGGACAATGCAGTCGAGGACGTCGACGCGGCGATCCAGTCGTCGTACAAGGCGTTCCAGGAGTACAAGGTGCTGAACCCGCGCAAACGGGCGCAACTGCTGATGAAATGGCACGACCTCATCACGGCCAACAAGGACGACCTGGCGCAGATCCTGACGTACGAGACGGGCAAGCCGCTGGCCGAGAGCGTCGGCGAGCTCGACTACTCGCTGGGCTTCACGTGGTGGTTCGCGGGCGAGGCGGAACGCATCCAGGGATCGGTGTTTACTCCCTCAGCGCCGAACCGACGGACGTTTGTGATCAAGCAGCCCATCGGCGTCGCGGTGGCGCTCGTGCCCTGGAACTTCCCCATCGCCATGATCCTGCGGAAGGCCGGCGCGGCGTTCGCGGCCGGTTGCACCATGGTGGTCAAACCGTCCCCGGAGACGCCCCTGACCTGCCTGAGCCTGGCGTACCTGGCGACCAAGGCCGGGTTCGCTCCGGGCGTGTTCAACGTCCTGACCACCAGTCTCGAGAACACGCCGTCGCTCAGCGAGGCCATGTGCGTGCACCCGCTGACCAAGAAGGTGACATTCACGGGATCCACGCGCGTAGGCAAGATCGTTGCGGGACTGTGCGCCAAGAACCTGAAAAAATGCACCCTCGAGCTGGGCGGCAACTGTCCGTTCATCGTCTTCGACGACGCCGACCTCGAACAGGCCCTCGCGCAGTTCATGGCCCTGAAATGGCGCCACGCGGGCCAGGCCTGCATCTCGGCCAACCGCCTGTACGTGCAGTCCGGGGTGTACGAGAAATTCACGCAGATGCTGGTCGAAAAGACAAAAACCCTCAAGGTCGGCCACGGCGCCGAAAAGGGCACCACCATGGGTCCCGTCACCACCCCTCGAGGTCTCGCCAAGGCACAAGAACAGGCCGCCGACGCGGTCAAGCACGGCGCCAGGCTTTTGTTGGGCACGGGCAAGGCGCACAAGGGCTCCACGGCGGACGAGGGCGCGGGCGCCGGAAAGGGCGTCGGCGGATACTTCATGGACCCGACCATCCTGGCCGACATGAATGAGGAGATGCTGCTCGCCAAAGAGGAGACGTTCGCGCCCGTCACGGGTATCTTCAAGTTCGAGAAGGAAGAAGAGGCCGTGAGGTGGGCCAACGACACGTCCATGGGCCTGGCCAGTTATGCGTTTACAAAGAACGTGGATCGTCTGTGGAGGATGCTGGAGAACTTGGAGGCCGGTATGATTGGATTGGTAAGTTCATCTTCTCTCTTTTTCCCCCCTCCCCACACCCTTTGTTTTCTCTTCTACTCTTTCATCTCTTCCTTCCTAACCTCTCTTTCCTCGTATAGAACACCGGCAACTCCTCCGCCGCAGAGTCCCCCTTCGGCGGCATCAAGGAGAGCGGCTACGGCAAGGAGTCCGGCAAGGACGTCGCCGTCAACGAGTACCTGATCTCCAAGACGGGCACTTTCACTATTGATGGGCAGTATTAGGACCTCCCGACAAAACTCTTGCAGACGGGAGCGGACAGGACAGAGCAAAGGGGTGAGAGGGTGGGAGTGGAGGAAAGCTTGAAACATCCTTTTTGGGTGTGAGTGGGACCGGGTTGAGGATATTTATTTGAGAGAGGAGGGAGGAGCAGAGAGAGACTGGCTGAGTATGATACTGTTCATGGCCAGGAGTGTAGTGAGACCGTGTATAAGAGAATGGATTCATTCCCACTGCGGTACTTGGTACATTCGAATCACGCAATGACATACATAACATGCAATGTGTACGATTGTAACTTGCATTGAGAATCCATAGCTAAGCAATGCTATGCTATCTATCAATCTCTTGCTGTCACCACGATCCTAACGACTTGGTATGTCTCGCTTCCGATTGCAAAAAGCAGATTAGATGTTATCAGCCTGTCTCAAACTCCCAATCCCCTCATCAATACCGGGCCATCAACCACAACCGTCTCTTCTCATCACCAAAGCCCCTCAACTTGGCCATCACACTCTCCGAGATGGCAATATAGTCGTCAACGACCGCATACCCCAGAGACCGTCGTAAGACTTTGTCCCGGTCCAAGGCTTTGAGACTCTTCTCCAATGTGTTAGGCAGTTGCGTGGTAATGCCGAGTTTCTGCCTTTCCTCCTCGCCGATTCCTGTCGGGTCTCCGGTACAATCCCCGTGCTGAAGTTTGAGATCTTGGCGAAGACCATGGAGTCCCGAGGCCAGGAGAGCGGCCATGGACAGATAAGAGTTACCCATGCCATCAACCGTCTTGAGCTCGAAGTGCCCAGGTCCACATTTCCGCAAGGGGACTTCCTTGTTCTGCGTTCCCCAGCATACATACTCTCCACCTGCCCAGATTCCAGCATTGACGCGTTGATACGACTCCTCAAACGGCAACAAGAACGCTATCAGTGCTGGGAGATGTTCCAAAACGCCCGCGAGGAAGGGTGCTTCATACTTTTCGACCGTATCACCGGGTCCGTTGATGCTGAAATGCGCATGATTGGCGCTGCCCGGGCTGAACGAATAGGGACGTGGATAGCACGTTGCTTTCAGGCCGTGCTTCTTGGCGACATTGCGAATAACATCTTTGGCCTTGAACAAGACGTCGACGGCCTTTACCGGTTCAAAGGCTGGTAAGGGAAACTCCCATTGTCCCGGTGCGGCTTCAGAATGGAATTGGGAAAGGTGAATGTCGAGATCGGCCAGATGTTCAACGATTTCTTCAATAATCGGTAACATATCGAGCTGTTGATATGTCATGTTTGACCACGAATGAACCATATGCAACGGCTCGAATTCCACAAAATCGGATTTTGTTTCGTTCAGAACCGGCTTCATGAAGATGATCTCGAGTTCGAAGCCCATCAGCATGGAGATGTTGAACTCTGACTTGAGAGCGTCAGCTTGAGACTGAAGCAGCCAGCGAGGACAGCGGTCGAAGTGCTCAACAAGGGGTACTTGCTCCGAGTCTGCCATCCACCATGTCTGAACAGTGGCGGACGGAGATGAGATACCCTTGTTCAACGAGAGGGTCGACAGGTCTGGAATCATGAGAAATTGGCCGGTAGCCGAGCATCCGGTTGCAGGGTAGTCGTCCTGCATCAATCGCGTCAGCGCAGTCGTACAACAGAGAGCTTTTCCTGTTGACAGCTGCTTTTTGAATTGTTGGACGCTCATCATGCGGTTACGAAGAGTGCCAGTGTAGTCCAGATATTGAACCCACATCCACTTGATGCCCGGATTTGTTTGCATAAAGGCATCAAAAATGGTCACATTCTGCGCAAAGATAGCAGTGGAGTTTTGACCTGAAGGCGCACTTGCACTCCCAGACCGGAGAGGGAGCGAAAGAGTCGACGATGACAGAGACGCGGCGTTCAGAGATGCCCCGGGTCGTGCTGCAGCAGCTGCAGTTGCTGATGACGACGCACCTCCCGCAGTAGTCGCGACAGCCGTGCTCGCGTATGATTTGAAAGAGGGAGCTTTCGAACCACCATTCACAAGCGTACGCATGCTGTCTACGGCTTCTCTGCCACAAGCTCGGAGCAGCTCGGGATATTTGCGCTCTTCGTCAAGCTTGTAGAGTAGATTTGAGTTCCAGAACATAATATCGACAGCGATGTCGATGGCCTGAGCGACGGTCACATCACCCGCAGCAATATAGGAAGTAAGCAATCTCTCAAGCGCTTCTCTGAAGTGCTTGTTGGCCAGCCAGTATGTCTCGGGATAGAAGTGTCCGTCCGTGCTCCACAGAATCTTAGAGCTTGGTGTCAGCTCGAGCGCCTGTCGTAGCACAGACTCCTCGCCTTCACGAGAGAGCATGGGAAACGCTTCTCCGATATCGAGCCAAGCGTTGGAATAGTTGGCTGCGAGGTAACCTGCCTCCCTGGTGTATGGGTACGACGAATGAAGGATGACAAAGTCGACCTGGGGGAATGCTTCGATTAGGGGCTGCATATACGCCGGATTTGCTTTGACCAAGTCGATATCTGTGTCACCGAGACCGGTGTGGAACTGGAAGGGCAGGTTCTCGCCGTCTGTGTCTACAAGCTTTTCCAGCACGTCACAGACAGCGACAACCAAGAAGTCATTGACCTCCTTTTGCTGGATGCGATACCTGTGATCGCGGACAGCCTTCTGCAGGAATTCATGAAACGACTGTAACAGAGATGATTCGGTCAGAGACTGATGAGGCCGAAAGTTCTTCCTGCTCTCGAGGCCGATGTCCAGACCCGAACGATAGCAGATGACTGACTTGAAGCCCCGGACATCTGGATCGTTGGCCAGCGTGCGAATCTGATTTCTGAAGACGGTATTGAAGCGGACCAAGAAGCTCTCTGTCTGGCTGATATCCCAATCGGCGTCCAGACCGACCCTCATAAAGCCCGCTGCGTGAGCGAGATGTTCAAGCAGCTCCGCTGCAACGGCTTCGATCCTCACGATCCTTGACACTGTGGGCACAAACTGTCTGTGCCACTTAAAAGAATGGATAATCTCGGGCGAGAGTCCATCGTCCATCATGATCGCATGTGTTCCCTCAAAGCATTTTTTGATCAGACCGGGATAGTCTCTGCGCACCCACTCATATCGGGCAGCCTTGACATCCTGGAGCGTTTCTGGGCACTGGTAGAATTCTGCCAGGTGTTTGATTCCGCGCATGTGAGAGAGGCTGGTGTGGACATGATCCGTCAGAGCGTGTCCCTGAGCTTCTGAAGTGATGCACTCAAAAGGATATTCCGCGCTGCCATAGGCATGTTCTTCGGTGAGCATGTTGTGGGCATGGTTGTCAATGACGGGGAATGTCTGAATGATCTGTTGCAGGTCCTCGATGCCCGCAGTTTCGAGATCGCGCACTCGGTGCAGGGTAGGATAGAGCTCTGGCTGAGGTGCCATGGCTGATAAGGTGGTAGGTGAACAGACTGCTGGGCACGAGATATGAGGAAGTCTGTCAAGATCAGAAGACTATCGGTGCCGAAGAGGTATTTTAACTGACCTGGGAAGGAATAGCTAGTGACTGATAGGAAAGCTGCCACCAGTGCTCAACTCCGATAGAGCGAGCCTTGATAGACTTTGAATGGTAGCCGATATAGGTCCACGCGTGCCGCGTTCTGTCTTTTGAGCTCAAGGACGACTTCACTGCTCACGTCAGAGAACACGAACATGCGCATTCGAGTAATCAAGTAAAGCAGGACGCCTATGAGACAATTGTCAGCGGCAATACGATTGAGATAGAAGAGGTATATGAGAAATGCGCAACCGTTTGTCGAGAGCGCGCCTCCTATTTTCCCCTTCGACCATAACCATCATCACCCCCACCACAAACGGAACCACAAACGGATGGGGCTCTGATCCCCAAGCTCAGCAAGCTGGCGACTCGGAGCTTTGCCGGAAAGAAGGCTGTGTTGCTCTCCTGCCTAAACGAGACAAGAGACCTGGGAGACCTTGCAGATCAACTGTCAAGCGCAATTGAGGAGTCGACTACTAATAGCTGGACCGGGCTCTAGGTGGCTCTGGGGCAGCCCAAAGGGTCAGTGACTGGAGGCCCTGAACCCCGAAGCAGTCCAATTCACCACTCAAAGCTCTGCATCACAGCTTTGACGGTTCGGTCCGCTGATGGTGAGGGCACCCCTAGCTGCTTTCCAAAGAGCATAGGGGCCACCTAGGGGTGCCGAGATGCCTATTTGGCCCTATTAGGCACGAGAGAATACCTTGGTACTGCCTGTGGGCCTGTCAGGCCTGTGCCCCCTTCATGACGTCGCCTTGTATTGGCAAATATGGCCTGCCAATTCACACCACTGCAGCAATCGGCACCGGATATCTTAACGAGGACCCAAGCCCACCTGCCCTAAGAGGCTATCGATCGAGACACGGCTTCTTCAGTGCCCATGTCCGCTACTGTGAAGAGATCCCTCAGCAGCACCGGCAGGTCCATCAGTCCGCCTGCACGGAGGAGGAAAGTTTCACAGGCAGCTGAGGAAGACACACACGTGGCCAGCACATGGTTTGCTAACCCAGACCATGTTCGAATCTTCAGTTGGAATGTCAATGGCGTCGCTCCACTGCTTCAAAAGCCGCTGTCCTTCAACTCGACATCCCTGTCGCCGCTGCGATCTTTTCTGAAACGCCATCAGTGGCCTCAATTGCTGTGTTTGCAAGAAGTCAAGATCAGCCCCAGAGACGTCGCAACCCAAAGGCAGCTGCATCAAGCCGCCAATCACGGTCACGCCGCAGGAGAACCGACCTATACGGTTCATTATTCTCTCCCCCGAGACAAGTACAATGCGACTGGATTCGGCGGCAAAGTCCACGGGGTTGCTTCCTTTCTGAGAGATGACTTCGCCTCGGGCGTTCGTGTCACCCGGCGGCCAGAATGGGACCTCGAGGGTCGGGTCTTGATACATGAACACGAGGTTGGTCTAGTTCTCATCAACGGCTACTGGGTCAACGGGACTTCTAATCCCTATCGAGATCCTGGAACGGGTCAGATCTCCGGTACCCGACACGACCATAAGCTACGTTTTCATCAACACATGCTGGAAGAAGTTCTCCAACACGAAGCAGAGGGCCGCCATGTCATTTTGATTGGGGACATGAACATCGCTCGAGCCCGAATTGACGGCCACCCAAACCTGCGAACGTCCCCTCTGCAACATGTCAAGAACCGAGCCGATTTCAATGCCAAGTTTTTCGACGAACCCAGTGGCATGCGCGGAACCGACATCTTCAGGCACATCCATGGGAACACCAAGAAGTTCACCTATCACCCTCGTGGCTGTGCCTGGGGTGCGAGCTGTGATCGAGTGGACCTAATCATCGTCAGCCACGCCTTGGTGGACGACCTGGACGTTGTTACCGGCACCGACATTTTGGATTCTGCGTCAGAGCGTGGGCATAGCGATCACGTCCCACTCTGGATCTCTGTTGATTTAGCAAAACTGGCCACGAAGAAACCCACGACGTTGTCTGAGGCTGAATTGTCGGTCGCCTCTGGTTCTACATAGCCGACCCCGCCTCACGGAGAAACGATAATCCGACATCATTCCCCTCCAACCTCAAGTGGTGACCTCAGTCTAGGCGGGCAGGCTGGAGAACTTCAACTCTACTCTATCCACTAGTTTCGATTCATCCATGATTTCCCATTATTTTGACCAAGATCCCTGCTCGGGCTGGATCTGGGTCATCAGGTACTTCATGTGAATCCTCTGACTGGTCGAAACCTGAAGTCTGCAGACCGGAAACATGTTGTCACTCAAATCCATGAGGCTGCCTTACTCTGCCGGCGACTCCTGGCACGCGACAAAGGCAAAAGTGGAACTCCCGTCAGAGGTTCTAGATTTGGTTGCTGAGCTGCTCTATGAGAGTAGTTGTCGGCAACTCAGCTCGCTTTTGCCCTTTTCTCTCGTGGCGCACCACTTCCGGAAATCGGCACTGCCTATACTTTTTGGAACCGTATCCCACGTTGTGCGTGATCGACTGAATCAACGAAAACATGGGCTTCTTGTTTGCCTCCTCGACGACTGCCACCTTCTTGGCTATGTCCACACACTGCATGTTCAGCGCCCGCTCGAGCTACCCGATTTTAAATCTTCGGAAAATGCAGGCTCTACGGACAACCGCGAACACTATTCCGCGGACCTTGGGGCAATCCGCGAGAGTCTCCCGTTCATGCATCGGCTTCGCCGCATCCGGTATGTACTCGTGAGGGGTTTGTGTTTTTGAGACATGAGCGGATGTGACTTTCTGTGCTTTGCTGCATCAGTTCGTGCGTATGTAGCTAATGGTGTCTTAGACTAGACTGTTCCGCAGCTGCAGCATACGAGGTGCTTAGAATGCTGCCGGATGATCAGCAATATGAAGTCATTATCGACCATCTCTACACAGCTTCACCATGGCCAGACCTGATCCAAGCAACCACTGCTATGGCTTCTCTTGGTAAACGCCATCAGCTCGCACTCGGAGCGTTCGGCGCACCTCCCTTCAAATACCCCGAGTCCGATCAAGCCACCTACGATGCGATATCAAGAGCCGTGGCCGTAGATCTACACATGGCCTGGCTGTCTGGTGACTCGAGTATAGATGACTCAAAGACGCCACATTTGGAAAAAAGCCCTGCATGGGTTGAGTTGCGACTGACTATCGCGCGGCGAGCTTTCGATGTCCCACGCCGCTCAATAGACGATTTAATCTCACCAGTGATACCGTGGGCGAATCTTCGGAGACTCTCCATCGAATGGGAATTTGCCGCGCCCATCAACGAATTCATCTATCTGACTGCTCCTCGGCTCGTCCAACTTCAGGCCCTGCGCCTCCATGCAGACCCATGGCACTACCACCCAACATGCAGCTACGCAGAAGCTCCAGGCATGAGAGTTGAAAATGAGACGGATCGCACATTCGCGATCGACTTCAAGGAGATGCCCGAGCTGCGAGAGCTGGAAATTGATGGGATCTGCAACCACATCCCCATTACGGATCTGGTGGGCAAAAACCTCCGCCGCCTCCGGCTACATTGTGAGGATTCCCGATCTTCGGTCCACAGCAAGCAGAGCCAGCGTAGCCACACTGACATCCTGACGGCGGCAAAAGTCGCACCCAAGCTCGAGCGGCTGGAGTTGGACATCGGCTACATCGAGCATCTGTGGCATCCCACAGCGATCCCCGGGGTGGACGTGCACGTGGAACAATACGCCTTTCTGAACGCCCTTACCAAGTTCCGGCACCTGCGATTCCTGCGCCTATTCCCTCCCTTCATCGCCAGCTCCTGCCTGCGCATCGAGTGGCGCGTGCAACATTGCGTACCGGTCTCCGACAATCAGGCGATCCGCATCTTCGATCAACTGCACAGAGAACTGCCCTCGTTACAACTGCTGTCCATCGCCGCCGCCCCATCCTTTGTCGATATCGACACCATGTATTGGCAGGTCACACGCCAAGGGGACCAGACCGTCCTGACGACCGGCCACCGGGCGCGGAACTACAAACACTGCCAAACCTGGATTGGCCATCGGAGAATGCGCAGCGAAATCAAGCGCTTCAACACCCCGCAGATATACCTGCCGGACTCTGACGGGTGGATGCTCACGCGCAATGATCTCCATGATGTCAAACAGGCTTCGTTTGGCGGGCGATGGTGGGATGATCGATAACTGCCATCCCTCCCCCCCCAAAGACGTCTTGATTTCATCTCCCTTTGATTCTCCCAAAAACGACAGATATATCCCGGCCTCTCAAGCCTTGTGATTGGCAGATTTCTTTTTTTGGAAAATCGTCCGGGATATATAATATTACCATCACATTTCCGCCATCACGCTTTCCACCCCTTGGTCGATTTCTGCGATGTAGTAGGTAATCCTCTTTAATGTCATTATATGCCTCCATTCCTGGCACTCCCCTAGCATACCGTGCAGCAGTGGATAATAATTTGCGAGTCGCGACCATGTATGTATGTATGTAGGTCAAAAAGTTTCAATGTTCATGTATGCTCGGAAGGCCCACCAAAAAAAAATAAAAAAAAATATTAACTTTAGATACTAATGAGAAAACACATGTAACAGAAGGGCTCTTTTTCCGTTTGTACACTGCTCTTTCTACAGTTATGTTCACCTTCATTCTTCTTTTGTGCTGTTCACGGCAATATCACGCGGGCACTGGCGGATGAGGAGCGATACGGGCCATTGGCTGCAGTCTGAAAACTAGATTCATGCGGTTGTCGGCCTCGCCGTATCTTCGGAATCAGAACAGGCGTCTGGATGAAATATTCCTTGCACAGCGTTGTCTCTTCGCTGATGCTCTGCTCGAGCGCTTTCCTACGGCCAAGAGACCTTCGTTCTTTGAGCAGCAAGCAACAACGGTGTCCATCAGTCCCATGCTCCAGGCATTGCCCTGGCCACCGTGCCAGCGGCCTTGCAACTCTCGCAGATCCGATCCACAGGACGGCCTCGATCACCCTCGCTATCACGACTCTGCGCACCCGACTGGCGCCGTACCCACCAGTCAGACATGTCCACACCGCACCTCTGACATGCCCGATCCAGGCTGCTTCCGCTCTCGTTGGCTCTCGTGCTTACAGGGCTGAAGCGGCGTGGGGGACTGGGTTTTCCAGCCTTGGAACGCAAGTTGAAGAAAGCTGAAAGATCTTTAAAGAAGGGGGCTCTGCCGGGGACATTGTCCTGGGAAGATTGTGGAGTATGCATCTTTGCTGGACCGCATGATTCGGCAGGTGCGAGACTTGACTTGGCCGTGGAAGATCTTCGGAAAGGATTTATCGCTTTGGTGGTTGAGATGCTGCGTCGTATACGACTCCTCGCGTCGGATTGCGACCTATCGGCGTAATCGGATGCTGGCGTGCGTAAACACTGAGAAGGCGAGGCGCTTGATTGTGTCGGAGGTGAAGCTTCGAATTCTTGATGGTTCGAGGATCCTGCAGGAATCTGCTCGACCAAATGAGTGTGCGACGCGGCCACTGACTCTGGCGATAGTATGGGCAGGCGTTTCGACAAGCCTGGCCGAGGCAGACGTGAAAATTCTGGACGAGATACCCCATGGATGACTCCGGGGGACTGAGGCGCTGTGGTGAACGACGTGGAATATGCTCTGCCTTGCTTCTGCAGAGGAGTTCCAAAGGGCTCTCCACGCCGGTCTGAAGACAGAAGAGTCATCCATGGTGTAGGCATTTGATGTCTTTGACTTACATTCCCGAGCCTGTTGGCCTCCGGATCCAGTGGGTTTGTCAATGACAGTCTCGAAGACGCTCCATCCAACAATCCCTTGGGTGGCAAGACGCTGTCGGAGCCTTTCCTCGGGACTCTCACATGTTGCTCAAGCTTTGCGAGGGACTCTGGCTGATCGGCACAACGGGAGCAGACGGGCGGGTCCTTGACAATCATTCCATGCTTGTGCGGCTCACAATTACAATCAAGATAGGGAGGAGGAGACAGGGGAGACTGTGTAACCGTCAGCGAGTGCTGTTCACGGTGAGCTTGCTCCTCTTCGGCCCTACTGCGCAAATGAGGCAAGAGAAGCAACCCCAATGCCACTAGCACCATCCGAAATTGACTGCATCAGTCTTTCGAAAAACGACCTCTCCACATCGCCAGCAGATGCTCATGTTGTGGATCCATCTCCAGCAGTCAGCACACACAATGCGGCCCTCCAGACCGAAAGTATGTGGTAACGATTTCTGCTCGGTCCAGCAGACGGTACAGAGGAATGCACAGGATGGCTCCGACACTGCAGACTCAGGCTCGGGCTTTTGCCGTGGCTTGGGCGGCGGCGGGAGCGGGAGCGGTGGAGGTGAAGACAAGGCGCTGGAGATGGATCGAAAGGATGATAGCGATATGTCGGGATTCGATAGGGATCTCGAAGGAGCGAATGTGTTCTGCGGGTAGGCCATGAAGGGAAAGACATGCGGCTTCGGAGGAGAGTTTGAGTGGTTTGGACTGCAAGGGAAAGAAGACGAGCTGAGGAGAACATGTCAAGATTCAGGAGGCAAGAGAAGTTGCTCCTTCCACCTTCCCATTTTCTCGATGATATGCACGAGATCTGAGAGACAAAAACTCAAGGCAGCACACGATCTCGTCACTTCATCCTCTCCAGTGACCCCTCACCAACCAAGCCGCATAAGAACTCATACCGACCACGAAACCCAACGTGCCAAAGTATCCAACCGGCCTTCCCCAGCCCATCGAGTCCTTGGCCTTCAACCCGAACTCGACATGCGCGACCCTGAAGAACAGCAGCGCGGCCAACGAGGCCGTCAAGAACCGGGTGTTTCCGCCGTTCAATTCGACAAAGGACGCAACGAGGAGCGCATACGGCACGTTCTCGACGAAGTTGGCGTGGCAGCGGGCGCTGACGAGCAGATCGTTGGAGTAGTCGGGTTTTAAGGCCGAGGATGATTGACTACTCTTGCTGCTCTTGTTCGCGGCATCGGTGCCCATCATGGTGTTGCACGACACACGCACCATGCTCACACGGAGGTTGAGGAGGGCGTAGTAGACAGCGAAGGCTAAAATGTCTTCGTCAGCCTGAGCCCATGGGGGGCCATGGGTGAATAGCAGAGATGTACCTGGAGCAAACGTGGCTGTTACGGGAAGCATTTGAGGGACAAGGGATCCTGCTATTGTCCGCACGTTAGAGGAGAGACAATTGAAGAAGAGACTCATAAACTCACTAGACACCGACATGTCGACTGTGACTGTTTTTTATCCTGCGGAAATCAAGACTGGGATATAGGAGGGAACAACTCTGATGCAAAGCTTCAAGACGCTCGTCGAACAGCTCAGGTCTCCCAGTGCGATAGCACACACATATATATGTGTACACGCGAGAGACACAACATCATGAGGGACATCTTGCCCACTGCCATTTATGTCGACATTCAGCGAGCTAGATACCTACCTTAGGTAGGTAGGTACGTCTCTCCCACGACCCCGAAACACCACGTTCAAATTCGTGTAATCAGCTAGTTAGCGGTGATGATACTCTCTTACCCAGTTGAGTTCACCCGCACTTTCCTGATTCAGCGTACTGTATGTAGGTAATTACAAGTCGTCGGAGACTCGGGTGGGTGGGTGAGTGGCCAGCGCCACAACCGTACAAGCCCGCCGCCGCAAGATGATTTGGGGAAAAGACCCATCGGAATGAGAAAGGTGGTTTTCCAAACTTTTCCGGCCGGGGGCGGATCGACGCATTTCAACACCGGCCTGATGCCGACTATATGCAACTTCTGATTCTGTCCGTAAATTCCCCATCTGACCCTTGGCGCAGGCACTAAAGGATACAACTTCTCCGGCACTGTGTTACGAGCACATGCGAGATCCTCGGCCTTTCCGCTAGGATTGCCTTCTTATCCAGGCAGTTTGATCCAAAAGAGAGAGAAAAGGAAGCGAGCAAGGTTTCTGGATGATAAAACCCGATTTCAAATATAAATGCTATCTAATGCTCGTATGTAGATAAGCTACTTTGTCGTCAATGAGTCAAAAACAAACGCCAGTCGCTATGCCCGATAAAAAATGATTGACAACCCAAGGTTCCCATTCGGGACCCGTTTTTATTCCTCTTCCATCATCCCATCACCCAGATTCTTAGTTGCTCCTTTTTGTTGCGTGCCATGCTTCCCGCTTGCGAAGGGACTGGATCAGGAAGCTTGAAGAAACCACTGGTGGATTGTTTAGTAGCTGATGTGGCAGCGGATCAAGCACTCCTCGACACCAAGAGCCAACGGAGGGGGGATGTTGGCCTTGAACTGGGCAAAGTTGTTGGCGTCGATCTGCTTGGGGAAACCCAGGGTGGCATCAACAACGGCCGAGTCGGTGTTGATGAGGAAGTTCTGGGCGATGGAGCTGGCACCGGGGTCCTCAGAGTTGAGACCGGCGATGGCGACGGCCGGGTAGCAGTCGTTGTTCTGTTGGAAGTGGATGGAGCCCATGGGGAAGACGGTGCCCTGGAACTGGGTCAGCTCGGTGGTGAACTCGGTTGTCAGGCCGTTCTCGAGCACGAAGCCCGTGGTGATGTTGCTGTCCGTGGCCACCGTGAAGAACTCAGTCGCGTCAGGGTGGATGTGCGGGGTGTTCAGGCCGCAAGGGTTGAAGAAGATGCCAGCGGCGGAGATGCCCAGGTCCGTCAGGATGGGGAAGTTGGCACGGTTGGCGAGATCGACTTGGCCGCCCTTGCCTGGTGTAACACCGGGGTTGGCAGCAGGGTTGAAGTCGAACTTGAGCGCGAGGTTGCCCGATGCGACCTCGGACTGGATCTCCTTGAATCGCGCAACACGGCTGTCCTCGGTCAGGAGCTTGGCGATGGTGCCCTCGGTTGGGACTGGGTTGGCGGCGACCGAGGTGGAGGAGGAGTACGAGGATCCCCAGCCGGCGCTGCTGTAGCTGCTAGTGGAGGTCGAGTAGCTGGTTGGCGCGCTGTAGTAGCTGGTGGTCATCGAATAGTCTCCAGTGCTGGTGGGATAAGGGGCATAGCTGCTGGACGAGCTTGATTGCCAGCCTGAGCCAGTTCCAAGAGGAGTGGCGGCGGCGGCGCCAGCGAAAGCAGCAACGAGAAGCGACTTAGAATGCATTTTTTTGGTCGGATAGTTGATTTGATCGGGGGTTTTGTTTAGTAAGTGATTGGATTAGAAGGTAGAATGTAGTTGGTATAGCTTGTATGCTAAAGAATGTGTGATAACAGTAAGGAAAGAAAAAATAGGAAATAAAAAAAAAAGGAAAGAATTGATTGGTTTGTTGTGTTGTTTAATGTGTGAATGAAAGAATGAAGAGCTGTTGGAAGGAGCGTGTGAGGTCTTTTATGTATGTCTTCTTTCGCGCATCTTGCGGCGTGATTGCGATGTCCGCGGATTGTGGCAGCAACCACCAAATCTGTAACGTACCTGATTAGAAGCCCTAGCGTGGCATGTATGGCCAGGTCGCTGCATGCGCCAGCGGGAGCTCTGCTTACTGTGGATATCGGGGATTGGTCGAGACCCATGGCACGTAGAGATTCGGGAAGCAAAAAGACCAACAACAATCCAAATGAAGCATGATGCCTATACAAGGATTACGGGGTCATGATGGTCATGAAAAGACAGGGTGTCAGGGACATGGGAAAGGAAACAGCCACTCACGAGTGCTGCGCATCATTCTTGGCTAGAGAGCTTCACCCATGACCCCTCCTCGCCGTGCGCGCGCAACACAACGCTGCGCTGGACCCTATCTAGGGAAGGGTTAGTGCTCACGCGTTGCTGTGCGGTCACCCATGGCCAGAGGGATTCACCGCAGCTTCTTACCAGGCACGGAAGGACCAAAACCTCGGCCTCGGAACATGTGTATAGGCAGGGATCAGAGCAAATAGTGATCCAGAAGAACGGTGACTAAGTCAAGGGAGGAGGCTGGAAAGTACCTACTCGGTACGGAGAGCGGCAAAAGACGGCGAGCCGGCAAAGCGGAGGCGAAGGGGACGAACGACAAGGAGGAAGGCGCAGAAGGCGTAGAAGGCGCAGAAGGCATTGGCTCGGATATGCTATTTTCGTGAGGCCCGCGAGTTTGATAAGCATAAGCACCGCCGTCCTCCCAGGAAAAGGCAGGGGACTAACTGTCCATGGAAAGCGCCAGCGACCGCCAATAGGTACTCGGTACCTAAGTGCCAAGGTAGGTACTTATCGTAGGGATGTATAGTCATTGGCCAGGTGGCACTGATGTTCAGAACGGAACATCATCGAGCCGACATTGGACAGGCCGCAGGGTCTAGGGCGCTTGGGCGGGGCTATGCTGACCGCAGATACATACCTAGGTAGCAACCTTGGAAACTTAGGCTGCGCGGCTGCACGGCTGCACCAGTATCTCGACTTGGCATCACTCTGCGCATTTCCCGATATGATCAATATCCCTCTCGCTGAGCAGCTCGACGACATGTACCATGATGCCTCTGCAATGACCGCACTGACCGGATGCCCACCACCGGGCCCTGACCGACACCTCCAGAAGCCTACAGCCCTATCGTTCAATCCGGACCCGTTCCTGGCCACAAACTGTAAAGGGTCCTTTCCCCCATCGTATACCGCATCTTCAGCCGAGCGCGCAGCCCAGTCAGTCGGTCAGAAGGTCCGTTCCGCCTCATCACAGCATCCCTCCTCGCCGCCTGATCGGTGCACACCCTCCGATCAGGTACCGTATGAGATCTTCCGAATAATGATTGGTGCTATCCCCGATTTCTCACTGGCCTATTCTCGTATTGGCATTCGAAGCTGCCAAGATCTTACTTCTTCGCAACGGCGAGTCCGTTTATCCAACGCCCGTGATCCAGTCAGGCCCCCGAATATCACGAGGCTGCGAAGCTCACGTGTTCGTATATGGGCCGGAGTAGCTAAGGCTGACGCCTGTGGTAGAGGATTTGCATTTCCTATATCGAGCATGGACCAAGGCCTTCCCTATCGGAAGCCAACCGAGCACATGCACCATTCCAAAGACGTGAGCCAGGTCATCGTAAAAGTCTTGGTCATACTATCCCTTGTTATTCAGCCACGAGACTGGAAATCCTGATCTGCACATTGCCTGCCTGGTGCGGTGTAAGACGCTGCCAGCTCCAAATTGGGCTGTGTCGTGACGGTTGATGGTCGTCCCGGATCCACTCCGGCCAAAACCACTTTTGAGCGCTGGGTAACCCTGTAAAATAATGGTACAGCTCCAAAATCGGCATCCTGCCATATCATGCCCGACTAGATCTATTTTTGCAAGTTCTGCACAAACGAGTCGAGGTTGAATTCCTCTTCGTACTGCCTCTCGTCCCAGAGTTCACCCACGTCGTCGAGCCAGCCTTTCTCTCCTTTCTTCCTGACCTCACCGGTCTCGAGATCGACCATGTCCTCGTCTTTCGTCCCACCTGCCTCACCACCACTTTCTGCTGTTTCCCCGAGATTGAAGAGGTCCAGGATTTGATCCGTTTCCATGCTCCCTAAGCCTGCATTCTGTTGGTTGACGACCGTCGACGCGACGTCGATCTTGAATCGTTGAAGGCTCAGGATCTTTTCCTCCAAGGTGCCGCGCGTAATCAACCGATAGACATTGACCACCTTCTTCTGGCCGATTCGGTGGGCTCGGTCCATAGCCTGAATGTCCTTTTGAGGATTCCAGTCGTGTTCGACAAAGATGACGGTGTCGGCCCCGGTGAGGTTCAACCCGAGACCACCCACGCTGGTCGTCAGCAAGAGGCAGTCATAACTGGGGTCGTTGTTGAACTGGTTGACAATATTTTGACGCTTGGTGGCTTCCACGCTTCCGTCGAGTCGCAAGAATTGTACACTAGGAAGAAGCTTGCCCAAAACCTCAGTTTGTACCATGTCGAGCATTTCCTTCATCTGGCAGAAAATCAATGCCCGATGCGGCGACACATAATTCGAAGCCGACATGTCATTTGAGTCATTGGTCACGCCGATGCCGCAATCAATCAGCAAGTCGCGCAGAGCGCTCAATTTGGGTGCATGAGCAATATCCCGCAGACTGGATTTGGACGCGGCAAGCTGTTTTTGGATCGCCTCGTATTGCTTGTTTCCTTCCTTGACGACAAGCGCAGGCGAGTTGCAGAGTTTCCGCATGTACTGCAAAGCTTGGAAGATGTGTTGCTTGGCCTCTTTATCCGACGAGCCGACACTGTTCTCCACCGTCTTGCGCTCCTTCTTGAAGAAGTCCTCGAACAGACGCTTCTGCAAATCACTAAGATCACAGTAGTAGTTCTGCAGAATCTTGGGTGGTAGATCGTTGAGGACTTCTTCTTTCAAGCGGCGCAGCAAAAATGGCAGGACCTGCTTGTGAAGAGCTTCAATTGCCAAAGCGCCCACTTCCTGTTCCTTAGATGAGGACTTTGCGTTGCGGCTGGCTGCAATCGGTTTTGCAAATCGATCCTGGAAGACTTTCTCCGTACCCAGGAAGCCAGGCATGAGAAAGTCGAAGAGAGACCAAAGCTCCAGGACATTGTTCTGAATTGGGGTCCCGGAAAGAATGAGTCTGTGATTGCTGATTAACTTCTTCACCGCCTGGGTGATCTTCGCCTTTGGATTTTTAATTAGGTGGCCTTCGTCCAACACACAGTAATTCCAGGTGATGGGCGTTAGAATATCATTATCGTTCCTGCACACATCGTAGGAAGTTATGACAACATCTGCCTTTTCGAGTAAAGGACGCCGGCTGATTCTGTCCGCCGGCGGTCCAACGTACGCCACACAGCTCAAAAACGGTGCGTATTGCTTGATCTCCTGTTGCCAATGGCCCGAGAGCGTCGGCGGACAGACAATAAGAGATGGCAAACGCCTCATATCAGGAGCTTGGGTCTTGGCATACTCCTCGGCCCGCATGTGATGGTCGCTTGCTACAATGCAGAGAGTCTGGAGAGTCTTCCCAAGACCCATATCGTCGCACAGAACACCGTGAAGGTTATACCTGTTGAGGAATGCTAACCAGTTCACCCCGTCTTGCTGATACGGTCGCAGTTCGGCTTTGATCTCCACAGGAATCGGGAAGGGCTCGACCTTTTTCGGATCAAGCATTTGCGCCATGAATTTGCGCTCTCGTTCACGTCCTTGGAGCAGTGACTCCGGCATTCCTGGCGGATCAGGGATACCTGCTTCCAGAGGTACCAGCTTCACCAATGTGGCGAAGGCGGTCGTCGCGAGGAGACGGATATCATTGTTGGCATCGCTCATCCGGCCCAGAACAGGTACAATCAAGAAGATCACATAGGGCAGGATCCTGTCGCCCATGGCCTGGATAAGGTGATAGACGCATTCGGTAATCCCTTGTCTGTCCCTCAGGTCCAGAGGGTTGTTGATATTAGGCAAAACATCCTGCACGAGCCTTGTCATCCCCTCGACGGGTATGACACTGCATATGGTGGCGAAACATTTAGCGGCACTGTATCTTATGACAGAGAGCCTGCTCCTCATCGCTTTTCCAATAAGCGGGCTCAACGACAACACCCAAGTGTGCAGACCAGAGTCCAGAGTGGGTGACAGCGTCCGCAGAGCTGACATCGCGTCGACCAGTGATTGACCTTGTTCTTCGTCGACCTGGAGAGTAGCTGGGTCAGTTGACTCGATCAGATCATGGATCGGATTCTCGATGAGGGATCTCAGCACGGGTAATTTCTCAAGGAGCTGAGCACGGTATGCTTCTGCCAACTCATCGAGAGCACGTTTGGCTCCTCGCCGCATGATTCGGGCCTCCTTGGCCTCTTGTTCAAAGCGCGCAGCATCTGGGTGGTCCTTCCTGTCTTCTTCCTTTCGCAATGACAAAACAATGTCTTCAAAAGCGGCATTGGGACCGAATTCTGGGGTCTCCGAAGTATCCACGCAGGTAAATTTGACCAGATTGGAGACCAGCTTGTCCACAGGGCCACGTTTCGGACTCTTAGTGTAATAATCAATGAGCCCTGCGACGGCTGATGCAGATCGATCTTGTAGGTCCTCATAAGCTTCTGATTTGATACTGTCCATGATGCATTTTATCAATTGTCCAGGTTTCTTTGGGATCTCCTCCATTCGAACCAGGACCGACGCAATCGTGGCCTTGATGGCAATGTCTCGACTTTCTTTGACCTTTCTAGCTTCATCAACAGCCGTCTTAGCATTCGTACGGGCATCATTCAGATACTGCGTTCCTGAAACACGCTGTGCCGGTGTAAGGCCTTTGAGAAGACGATCAAAGTCCGTTGTCACGATCCTCTCCGCATCTGCGAGTGAGAAGGCTTTGGGACCAGCTCCGCTGTCGCCTTGGCAAACAACTGCTATTGCCGGTAGCTTGTCTCGAGAGACGTGCGCCTGGTTCTGGAAGGCGCTAATCAAAGATTGGCATTGGCCTCGAGCAGCATGCAGCGACGACACTATGTCTGCGTACCAGTTGTTACCGTCATCGTCAAGGACCTGTTGCAACTGTGAAACAATTCCTGGCGTATTCGCTGGTTTCTGGTGTTGGTTCTTTGCGAGCTCTTCCAGAATCATCGCTGCAAATAGCCTCGAGCTTGAATTAGGAGAACTGACGAACGGCATGAGACGAATCCAGTATGAATCAACAGAAGACACATCTTGTTTGCCGAGTAGAAGGCCCAGTGCCAGAGAGCAGACGATTCTGGTCCGAAGCATGACGTCCAATCCGACGAGATCTACTTCCCCGTGCAACATGTGTCCATCGGTATTGTGGGAAAGGCGCTGATTTGTGTCGGGCTTCTCAACCTTTCGTCTTTTCTTGAGTTGCTGATCAGATTCAGGAGTATACCCATGCTTTGTCGAAATGGGTACCATTGCCGCCCCCGATGGTTTGATGAGAAGGAGCGTGTCCATGGGGATGGGGCTCCTTGCTTGACCGATAGGCTGAAGGGTGGCCGCTATCATTGGTGAGATATGCGGCTCCAAGTCTGCACCGAAGGTGGAAAACCCTCGGTGTTCCATGAAGGAGATGAGAGCTTTCCAGACCTCAAAGGACATCCACAGGACATTTTCATTCCGTTCAAGCAACATGTTCTGGAATATCAAGCGGACCACGCGGCCATCCACCCACTCCATGTTGCTCGCGTTTGAGAGATTCAGGAATGTGGCCAACGCCTTCAACACCGATAGTCGGACGCTGGTAATCGTGTGCCGCAGGAAAGGGTACAGGCGGGGAACGAGCTCCTCGAATGACTGCCATTGGTCTTCTTCGGCATTGATGCGCATTGCCTCCAAGATCTCATGGTGCGAGCAGAGGGTTGCAAGAAGATCCATGACGGCACCAGTACTGGCACTGAGATCGTCTTGCATTTCCAGAAGACACTCCCACACAACGCTAATGAGTTGACCAAGGGCATCGGGGCGCATAGTTGTCAATTCTTCGGCGATAGGTATCAAGGTTGCTGCGCTAACCGACTTGACGTCGTCATCAGCATGAGAAAGACCGTGCATGACGGCTGAGACAACCCCATCGAGGAGGTTGCTGTGACGAAACAGGAGATCTTTGCGAACAGCAACAAAATAGCGCAGACCGATCATGCCTCCGTGGCATACTTCCCAAATCGGAAGCTTCAGACCGGTCTTCCGTTGAAAAACCATTTCCTGTAAGCAGTTATAGACAGAAATAGCCAGGTCGTCAGGTAATTGAGTTATTAAAGCACCAAGAGTCTGACCAATCGATTCACGAATCGGGGCGACCACTGTATCCGACACATAGTCCCCGAAGCGGTCCAGCATTAGAACACACAGCAAGCGGCACGCCAGGTCATCGAGCCAGCGGCGATTGGCAAGGTCATTCTCAGCTCTGGACTTGCCATATCGACGACCAGCACCGCGTCCATGTACACGGAGAACTTCCCGCAAGCCCATGGCTGCTCCGTGTCGGACCTCCCAATTGGGATCGAAAAGGTCTACCGACAGGAAATCGCACATTACATCAAAAGGCCAGTCTTGGGCATGCTCTTCGTCGGGTTGGATGAGCGGCTTTTCCGGGACATCTTCGCCCTTGAATTCGGAGACGAGTGCGGAGTTGTCATCGGGGCCTTCTCGCTTGATCGAGAAGTAATCTGGTTGAGCATCTCCATTGGAGTCTTCGTGGCCGTTGAGCTTTACCGGATGTGGGGTCGCTGAAACCGGTGTCTGGCCAGGCTCGGGCTGACGACGCCCTGAAAGATCTACCACACGCATCTTGCTAGCGCCAGCTTTGGCGGCCGACTTGTTTTTCCTTTTTAGCTGATTCAATTGTCGTTTACTTAGGCTGGACTCATCGGGCAGGGGCTGGCCATTATTGTCTGAAGGAGACACGGCACTGTGGGGAGCAGCGGGGCTGAAGCTGTCGAGTCGTTGGGCTCCTGATTTGGTATCTACTCGAGTCAGACCGGGGGTTGTTGCAGTTTTGTGCTGCGAGCTGGCTGCAAAGTCGTACTCGTTGACCAAGTCGTCCTCCATATATTCGCCGCCAAGACCGAGTCGAGCGGTAAGACTCTGCTTCTGATGTGCCAGGCGTTGAGCAGGCGTCATGCCAGCCATTGAGTATTCATACTCTCTGCCGGCACTGCCCAACAGCTTCTTCCCATGGTTGAGGATCAATTTGATGTCAAGAGCGCTGAGCTGAAGAAGGTCGTCCGCTTCCGGAGTCTTCTCTGCAATCTTGTTGCTCCCCTCCTCAACCCTGAGGGGCTCGAACTTGGTGTCCGCATCGTCAGCGTTGGGATCAAACTTTTCGGCGTTTGAAATGATACCGCCTATGGCTTTCGCGGCGGCAGTGCGAGTGTCCCATGACTGGGACTGCAAGTAGGGAAGAACCCTGCCAAGCAGTGCAAAAAGATTGTCTGGATTCTGTTTCTGGACATCGGCAAGTTGTTGTGCAGCAGTGTTTCGAATGAGCTGGGTGCTACCCTTGTCCAGCAAGCTGCGATTCTGAATTAGCCTCAAACATGATACCAATGGCCAGGGCTCGCTTTGGGACGGAGTTGAGCCTAGAGACACTCACGTGACAAGACGATCTAGTCTGTACCAAAGAAGTTAGTCGACGCTTGGCAGATCCTGGGTACTAGTAGTAGTAAGAGGGATCCAACCTTGATGTACCAGTAGTGGCCATGATTATTATTCGCAAGTGTCGTTTGGCAGGATCGTCTTTTTAACCACACGCCAGCCAGGTCGCGACCCGGGAGCCATCAAATGAACGACCTAAGCGACGGAAAATGGGGTCAAGTGACTGGATAAAGCCAACCAGGTCGGCCAACAGTAAATTAAATCTCAAGAAGAAGAAGGGCGTAAACAACGCGTAGATGGGTGAATTATGTGTGATGGACTGGTCACGGTGTCATGAGTGCCGGCGTGGAAAAATGATGATGCTGATGGTGATGCAGTAAGGCACGGCTCTTTCTCTGGTGCCGGGGAGGGCACTGGCAGATCAGAGAGTTGGAATCGGGGGCGCAGCGTGGGCTTAAGAGGGTCTGGAATGGCATTTAAATCCTCGCTTGCTGCGCCTGCAGCCTGCATCAGCCCCTGGCCTCTGATTGCTCTTTCCGCATGCTCTGGCAGCCACTGGCAGCCACTGGGTGCCCGTGGGTGCCCCACCCTTTTGCAAAATTCGGCCACTTGGGCTGCGCTAGCACCCATTGCCCGCTACAAGCTTTGTGCAAGCGTGTCTTGGCACTTTTATCATCCGTCCACTGCATGCTCACCGTCGCTGCAGCCAGCTCGCCAGATATACAGTAGGTAACTTCGTATCCAAGTCACTTTGGAGCAACGTCAGGGATGTGCGAGGAAGAAGTCCAGTAATCTATGTGCCTGCGGGCTTATCCAAGCTATCAGAGGACGATTAGACAGGGCGAGAACTCTCATGACAGTCCCTTCGTTGTAATCTTTAGTGTTGGAATGTGGCGTCCTACCTACCAGCCGCATCTCAGCTTGAACGGTCCGCTGGCGCAGTATCCCGAGGATTTGTGTATTGGAGGTGGTTGCAGTACTCTACTCTAGCAATCTCGGAGTAACTTCCCAGGTTATCATCACGTTTGTGATGTAAAGTCTGAACAACAGTCAATCTTCTCGTATACGCAAAGAACGTTTCAGCCTTGATGCCCGGAGGGCAAGCTCCAAATGCCTGATCTTGGAGGTCGATGCGACAGCTTCCTACCTAGGTATTTGAAGAGTGCTCTACGCACGTCATCTACCTCATGCATTTGACGCGCCGCCCGTCAGCTCAATCGAGGGAGTTCCGTTGAAGCTTGAGGATATGTACAATTTTGCAAAAGGCATCCCACGAGACTGTTTGTCTATAGTCAACTCCGATCTTTGTCCAACTTCATCTCTTCTCAGGAATAGGTTCCGGGTGTCGTGCCCAGAAACGTCTTGCTCTCCTCTTCCTTGCCTATCAGACCCAGACTTCGTATTTGGCCCAGCTTGGGCGCATTCTCGCGGGGGTGGGCTGCTTCTGCTTTTCGTAGAGCCTTCTGTATCGCCACCGTTCTCGCATACTAGATCGATTGAATTAGTGTCCAAGTTTCGTTTCACCCAAATCGCAGGGACGGTCACTACCTCTTTCTTGTGGTGCAAACATTCATAGTAGTCTTCTAATCGTGGGGCGCAGGCACCTTTGGCTCTGGCTTCAGGGTCGTGTTGATTGATGACATAGCAAGACATGTACTCTTGCCAGAAAGGAAAGCATCGAGAAACGCCTGTAGACGGGAAATGAGTCAGTGCGAAGCTCCATATGACTTGAGGAAGCGATGCCTGCAGAGGTGGTGCACCTCTAGCATCGTGACTAACCTCCTTTCAGGCCGTAGCCAGATGCCATTGTCAATAATGAAAGTTATTTGGGACAGAAACCCCTTGAATATCAAGTGGTGACAACAACGGTACTGGCGCTGCGATGTGCGGCTGTCGTGCAGCAGGTGAAGAGTGAGGGTCGACGTTGGAGCAGGCCAAGGTTGAGGCTGGTCCCGAAACTCCGACCCTGACGCAGTTGTTTGTTGGCAGCCGCCTGCGAACTTTCCACGCTGTCTACACTACCTAGTACCTACCCATTACAATACAACTCCTGCGCGTTCCGTCGACAAAAGCGCCCATCTGCACCATGACCCCAAACCCTGCGGTATGAAGACTCCGAACGAGCTTACTGACGCTCACATCGTCCTCTCCGCTGTTCAAGCAACTTCCGAAGGCGACCTGGACTCGCTATCCAGAATCGTCCGATGGCAGCCGGAAATCTTCTCGAACACCTTCATATATCGACTACTACTTTCTTTCTATCCTGCAGAAACTTGTGGACCATCGGCTCTCGTCGAGTTTTTACAGTCTCTTGGGAATCAAATCAATGATGCTAAAGGGTCCGAGACTCCGAGTTTCGAACCCTCGATTTCCAACCTCACCAAGAATGAAGCATTACGTCGATGCCGTGCTCTACGCTTGCGACCGATTTCCGCACACGGACCTATACCTACACGGAACGAATTGGCCAATGTGATTATCGAATGGGCAAAAAGACTGGAACAGTTTCATGGATCTGCTCAGCCAGCTGTGGAATTCGTGCAAAATTTCGTCGGACAGGATTCCGATCTGCGACTGTGGTATGAGACGTATCTGGTCCCAGTCATCCGGCTGCAATATGAGTTCTATCCGGACAATGAAGAAGTGATCGGACTGCAGGATATTGAGAGGCTGTCAGATTCTGAGGGTATACAAACACTTCTCCAATTTGCAGTGAAAAGGCACAATGCGTCTGAAGTTGCCAGAGACCTCAACTATGTGGTATCACCATGGGTTCGAGGGGCGAGTGAAGCAAAGAGAAGAAGAGTTGATCATTCCGCTGAAGACACCACCGCTGAAACGGAACCATGGGAATCTGTGTATGATTGGCTAATCTCCACGAGCATGACGGAATTTAGTGTTGCAGCAAAAGCCTACGCTGATTGGAATGGTCCTATGGATGACCATCAACCGACGAATGAGTCTGCCGCGCGGTTTGCTCAGACTGGTTTGGCCCTTATCTACGGGTGCTCAGAGCTTTCATCAGAGGCCAGGAGTGTGTGCAGACAGGTGCTCATCAAAGCTGCAAAACTTCTCAGTCTAGGACTTCCTGATTTCTCGCAACCTGAGCCAGATATTTCACTGCCTGAGGGATATGCAAAAGACCTCGACGAGACAGATTTGCTGGTCAACTCTCGACTTAAAAAATCAAACAAGTTCACCCGGGCGAATGAGTCTTCTGTTCAACTACTGACTGGAATTTTCGCTACGGCAGAGATCCTATCTGGATTTGGCCTACCACGCACTATAAGTGAACTGGCGCACGTCGCCATTTTCGGCTCAGAACGCCGCCACAAGGATGAACTCCGCCGATTGCTTCAACACATTCCTCTACAAACTCGGCAAGAAATTGACTGGCGCTCCGTACGACGGCGGCTTCTTTGGCTCCAATCTTGGACCAATACCCAGCACATGGAGACGTCACAGCAGCGGACCGCATTTCTGTCTCGCTTGCCCGTCAGCTTTGTAGAAACTCAAATCCTCGATGCATTGCTGAAGGCTGCTCAATTTGGCATCGTCAAAGAGGTGTATCTCGACCGTCCTTTTGCAACGCTCTCTGTGTCGGCAATCGAAGCCCGTGTTGTTGCAGCAATACTTGAGGCGTATGACAATGCCAGCAATGGGAACAGAGATCGCGGCGGTATGAAGCGGGCAAGCGAGATCCTAAGAGCATTTCGACCGAACTTCTCCCAGTCCGCTGCTCTCTCCGACATTGATCACTTGATCAAAGCCACTCACAGTCTGTCATTCTATCAGCTCACACTACAACATGGTGTTCCTTTCAAGCCGGTCTCTATCCGAGTGCAGAAAGACCCGCTAAACTTGGTAGAGAAAGTTTTGGAACAAGACGCAAGAGCGTACACCAAGTTGGAAGACCTGCTGGAGATAGGTCGCAATCTCGTTCGTGCCCATCTGCCGAATCGAGGGAACGTGGTAACAGAAGACGCGGAGCCTCTTCAATCACGTCTGCTGGATGCTGAGCACAGGATAACGTACCAAGCCATCATGGCGGCTCTAGGTGCGAATGACTTCGACACGGCATATGCCTACATTACAACACGCCTCAACACATCAGCGGAGCAGTCTGCCACTTCTGGATTTGTTGACGACATCTCCTGGCGTGCGGCCTATGCCGCCGGCAAATATCGGCCCGGCTCTTCACCAAGGAGTTTGAATGCACGCATTGACAGTTTGACACAGCGGATGGAGCTTCTTTCCCGAGCCTTGATGTTGGCACCTTCTGGAGAAGCTCTGTCCGGAATCCTTGCCACATGGCGCCGCTATGAGGAAGAGCTAGATGGACTGAAAACACAAGCCGTGGAGGAAGAGCGAGCTTTCGATGCCAAAGCAGACGCCTCGGTGCCTGGAGCATTTGGTCTCGACAACCGGGACGCAGATGTAGCTGAAACGAAGCGCGCCATGGCCCGTCGGTCCGGACCCATTGGATCCGGGCCTTCTTATGAGGAAGAGGCACCGCTGGGTTTGTTCGATGTTGCCAGAGGAGCTGCGGCGGCATTGCGAAAAAGTGCGGCATTCCCGCTGGGTTCCAATGGGTTGCGAGATCTCAAGATACACCCGGAAACGGCTAGACGACACGATATGCAAAGGGAACAAGCGGGCTCTCCAGTTTCGGACGACGGCGGAAGGGTACGCAAGAGAGACATGGTTGCTAATATGGTTACAAGTGGCCTGGTGAGTGGGATGGGTTGGGTGCTTGGTGCTCAGCCCCGAGACCGGGTGGACTACAGGGGTGAAAGCCAACAATAAGTGAGTAGATTGATTTGGCTGCGTAACGTTCTTTATATGTTCTTGATGTTCTCAGGCTCGATGATACCGAGGGATTCGGTCGTACCATCTTCATGTCAATGTGTGAAAGGCCATCCTCTGGAATCCCGCTGCTTTATCACTTCCCATATGGGGCAACGTTGCAAGTGACAAAGAGTGAACGAAAGCAGGTCAATGGCCTCATGAGGAAAGAGTTACGATATCCAGCTTCAAGAGTGCAGGTGCTGCAAGATGTGTCTTCTGCTGTGACTCGCTGTTCCTGCCCTCTTGGGTCGCCATCGCACAAGCCTTGTGGTTGTCGTCGTCGAATATTCACGCCGTGCAGTTACTCACATCAACAACCTCCCTCTCAGACCGCAGTTCTATGCTTCCTCCTCTTTGTCAAAGCAAATGTCCATTCCTTCTCCCTCTAGTTGTCAGTCGTCGATTGTTGACCACCGTCACAAATCATGGCTGTCATCCCTTCACAAGTTCTGCGCCCTCGTGGTGACGATAAAGACAACTCAGGTCGAACTTTCTCCATCATCTTTGCCGTCATTGCCTTTCTCGTTGTCCTTGGTTGTGTGATCTGGGGCATTGTGCTCCCCAAATATCGAAAGAGACGCGGCACTCATCGCCTAGGTCGATACACAGTGACACCGAATTATCCAGCGTTCAGTCCTCCTCCTCGATTCCCCAGCCATCCTGCCCTGTTGCGTGGCTTTCGAAAGCCGTCCGAAACTGCCGTGCAACGATACGATCCGAGGATCGAAAGCCCTTTCTCAAACAGTCCGGCACAGTCGCATACCACCCATCGTCCTCCCCAAGTTGGCTCGGTCAACACCACCGGCCATACTTATGGGTTGTCCGTTCCCTCCCAATGCTGGCTTTCAACAAGGAATCACACCCAAACCATATGGCAAGGCAACTTGCAATCAGCAAGACAAGGTGCAGGAGGTGACCCCCGAAACTTCACCACATTCAGAGGGAAGCATGATTACATACTGCCAGTTCCGGAACCTGTTGTCTTGAAACCAAGGCCGGCAGGGAGACCACCGCCACTGACGAAGCAACTCGAGCGGTTTCCCTTCCCTGTGAGCTCCGTCGGCCACAAAGGAGGGCTCGTTCATCCTGCCAAGATCTTTCAAGAGTTGGAACTGCGAAAGTCGGACTCAACTACAGACACCTTCGGAACTCCTTCCCCAGCCCCACAACATAGCAGTCAGCCGACTGCTGTAGAAATGTCAGTGATGGGGCCACCCGCCAAATGCCGGACTCTTACTGCAGACCTCCGGCGCGAATTGCACAAATCTGTGGAATGCAAGAAACACCATGTGCAACAGGTTGGCTCGTCGTCAGTCGCGAGTGTCCCGTCCAAGAACTGCGATGTGGCACGAACACCGAAGACGAGGCATGTACGCAAGCAGGAGAGACTGGAAAGAATGGGGACGTTGACAAGACCAAAGACTCCCGTGGCTGAGATACGGGATTGGTTCGATCGAGCGGCGAGCACTGCAAACAAGGAGAAAGATTCATCCAAGGCTTACACGCCTTCCACTAATCCTTTCACAACGCCCGGAATGACATCGACGCCACCGACTTCGCCAACACAGTCTGCAAAGAAGTTACAGGCTCCAGCTACTCCGTCGCGGCCACAAGGTACCGCTCCTTTCATGAATGTGCCATCACACAGCCACCGGAGAACACCTAGCTCGGTGATCCTCCCATCCCCCGGAAAGCTCAACACGTTGCAGCTCGCAGGTCCAAGGCCAAAAATGCACGCGGCAGCCAAAGGTTCTCCTGCTAAGATGTTCAAACGGCGATCAAATTCTGCGCGTGCTAAACTCGTGTCATGGTCCCAGCTGCGACCCAGCAAGCGAATCTCGCGGCGTTACTCTTCTTCCTCGCTTTCAACGATCTTCAAGCCGATTCTTGCCACGAGGAGCAAGCACAGCCAGGGCACGTCGAGTATATATAGCCGTGACGTGAGAGAGCTGAGTTTCACGGGAGGAGCAGATCGCCAAGGAGGAGACGCCGAGAGCAATGAGAGAGTTGTATCAGGACTACCATCAGGAAAGGGCACTCACTTGCTCCACAAGCCATCAGCATCCATTGATCATCTGAAGTCCAAGATTGATAACTGGGATCTTCACACCGGCGATCTGGATGTGACCATGATGCCCCGCTCAGCGGTCAAACGATCGGTTTCGGATTCTGGGCTCCGTCGTTCGATCGCCCGCAACGAAGGACGTCCTGCAAGCAGGCAGGGAGCTGGCAGGTTGGCTTATGAAGGACCGGGTAGATCCATCCCGCTCATTCAGGTTGGACGATCCAGCGACGACGTTTTCGGCATTGAAGCAGACGGCTTCCAACCGCACGAGGCGACAAAATTGATGAAGAGAGTTGGACATTTCGAGAGAGCACCAATCATTCTTGGTGGGTTGGGTCCTGGCACAGCACCCGGTGGTGGAGAATGGCTCTGAAGGAACCTACTGAGGGAGCAGAGGAGAACAGAGGAGAGCAAACAGCATCTGACTCTATGTTTCACGGTTGGACGAAGAAATTGATGAAAAATGTGCTCGACATGTGTCGTGGCAGAGCTGAGCCAGATGAGTGACGGCGTACCCAATCACAAGGATGGGCATATTGAAAGAGCTTGATCGGGGATACCATGGGTACATACTAGTATTTGCGCCTCCAGAGGAGGAGGAAATCCGTCTTCCATCAACGAGTTGATATCATGGCGCCACAAAAGGTTTCAGAGCCTCTGCTGAGCTAGAACACAAATGAAGAAAAGTTACCAGTATCATTATTACTCGTAGCTCCATTTCACGCCGGGCCTTGTCTGGCGCAAGGCTGTGTTTTGTGATGATCTCTTTCTCGTTTCCTTGTCACCCACTTGTATTCCTTTGTGCGCGAGGGATGGGCACTCGGGCGGTGGCGGTGGCTCAGTATTAGGCCGAAGAAGAGCCAATGCCACGCCACCACAACGGAACCAGTTGTTAGAGGCACCAGGCAAGCGGTTCGGCGACTGGGACCTGCATTGGCGAGCGCCGCCCGCACGCCAATATCTACGACATCAGAAACTCCAGCAGCGTTGCTCCAACCTTGACAACAGCACCGAGTTACCTTGTCGCGAGAGAATACAGAATACGCAAATGTCAGCACCTCTGCATGCAAGCAGCCCTTACTCAGAAACCGTGTAAAATGCGCAGTCATCTGCCCTGCAAAGTTGAGTCAGACTGATAATACTCCCCCTTGTCGGATGGTGGCCACGGCGGACCGAAGAGGGGCTCAGTGGACTTTGTTCAACTGCTAACAACGGGAATCCACCGGTCCCACTCTTCTCAGACAAACGAAGAGTTTTTTTTTCACTCACGCACGAGACGACAGAGGATCTTCTCAATCCTCCAAAGGTATGGCAAATCGCTCTCCGTGTAAGGATATGGCGAGTCCGAGGGATGCTGGGATGCCGCCGCCTTCCTCGCCCCAACCCGCCATGGAAAGGAGCCACAAGATGCAGAGGGGATTTGTCCTGATACTCGAATTCCGTCCCTGCCCACGCGCGTATATCCTCGGTGGGTATCAGGCCCAGTCTGAACAGCCTCTGATCGTTTCCATCACGCCTATTTTGGGTGGCCCCAGGTGCAAGATGGCATCATATCCTGGCCATGTCCTCGATGGTGGTGGAGCTTCTTGACCTTTCTGAAACATCACTAAGGTCAGATCTGTTGACGAACGACTTGGCTATGCTAATACTGCGACACTCACTACTTGTACGAGTAACTAACTCGTGTCTCCGCTCCCATGTGGACTGGTCATTGTCGACGGCTCCCTTAAGGGCCCCGTCTCTCCACTGTGTCTGCACATCATATGTAGGGGAGAGATTTCAATTCCTTCGTCTTTCATACCCTTCCCCCTTCGCGCTTCCCCACGTCTCTCTCCCTCACTTTAACGCAGATCGACGCTTTATCCATTCGGAAGGTGTGTGAATTTATTTGCTTTTCATTGTACTTGAGCTGGAGGGTGCAGAATTTGGTGCATGATGGCTCTATCACGGCTGGTGAGTTTGAGTGTCCAATGCACCCCATGACAGAAAAGACCTGGAGTGCTGATAGCCATCTCAGGTCCTTCTCACATCTCTCCTCTCTGCCTGTACTTCGGCCGTCCCCCTCACAAAGCGTGCGACCGATGTGGTACAAGGGAAACTCGGTAGTGACGGGTTCTGGAATGATTACGACGGTACGCACTCTCGGTCTACCTTTGCCAGCAAGGAGAAAGGCTAATGAGTCGGGTTGGGAAAATAGGTGGTCAGAACAATTACATACAATATACAGGAAACGGCTCGGTAGCCTCGGGATGGCCATCCAGTCTGTCTTGGATATCCTTCAACGACATGTGGGTCGCCAACCAGAAGACCATGTCTCGAAGCTGCAACCACCTTTACAATCAACCCAACAACTCCGACCAAGAAATCCAAGACATATATGATGCCATCAAACAGATATCACAAGAGACGCGGGTAGATCACCGGTTCATCTTGGCCGCGGTGATGCAGGAGACGGGCGGATGTGTAAGGGCCAAGACGACGGTGTCCCCAGATGGCACCGTGAGGAACCCGGGAATTCTGCAATCTTTCCGAGGGAATCACACTTGCAATGACAATGGCAAAGTGCAGAATCCGTGCCCAAAGGACCAGATTCTAGGCATGATCTCGGATGGAGGTGAGATGCGAATACAGACAGCACTTCCATCTTCCATTGTAGATATTTGGCTAATCTTTCTTGTTGGTAGTTGCTGGCACGGCTAGCGGCCACGGGTACGCATCCGATATCAACGCTCAAGCTGACGTTGCCGACATCGACTACGCAGAGGGATACTATCGCGCGGCACGGCTATACAACTCTGGCGCGATTGATCCCTCAGGAGATCTGGGCAAGGGCTCGGCTACGCATTGCTACGCCAGTGATATTGCCAACAGGCTGACAGGGTGGACGGACGCCCCATCGGCATGTACACTGGATAACAGTACTTGAGAGTATCTGGTCCTGGCCACGAAGCAACGTGTCTAGAATTGGCGTTATAAGGCAGAAGCTCTTGGAAACGAGGCTTTTTGGTTTCGGCGAAGGGCGAAAAGGGTTTCAGGTGCGTCCTAGAGTCGACACATACTGTTGTTGACCTTTGTCCTCGATGACGAGAAATGTCTTTTGCATGGTGTTAAAAGTGCTCGGGGCTGGTGCTTTTTTTGGACAGATCGTACGCGTGGAAAAGCTCTCACTGAAAAAAGGGACTTGTTCATCACAGCGTTGAAAGGTCAGGCAGAGCCCGATGGCCCAGGGGAATATATGTTAATATTCGAACGATGTCTCGATATCATGTTACAAGCTACAGTACTCAAAGAGCCTCCGGACCCAGGACCAGGATATATCATGTGAACGCGCTTGCCAACAGTGAAGATGGGGAGATTCTTTCACTTTGATTGCTCTTTCTTTTGTTCTTGAAGCATCCTTAAATTTGTTCACGAACTTCACCTTCCAAAAGTCACTTCATCCTTACTTTACACTCTTCAAATCTTTTTCTCATACCTTTGATCTCACCTTTCTGTCGCCCTCACTTTACACTCTTGGGTCTGTTCTCTTAATCTACGGCCTTATCATTCTGTCATCCTCCTTGCGCAAGCCCAATGGCACCCAAGACCAATCCAGGGCCCGAGGAGGACAATGATGCGCCAGGCACTCACCAGACAGTCTCTTCCAAGCAATGTACCGACGACCAACAACAACCACGTTGCGGTGAGTGTAGAGTCAAATCTACCAGCAAGCGAATCCCTAACATTGATTTACAGCCGCCATGCCCAGAAACGATGCAAACATCGATGGTGACGCCGGCAACCCAAGCACCTCCCCCGGCCCTGCCACCGACTTGGAGAAAAGAGACCTCATCGCACGCTACGCCGAGCTCTTTTGCGGGCACTTCAGCCAATTCAGGGACCCGCTGGACCGGATGGAATTCCTCAACAGCGAAATCCTGGGCCGTGCCAAATTTGACCGGCACTACCTTAGTATCTGGGCCCTGCATGCAGACTATGATCTCCTGATGTCGCGATGCCTCGTTCACAGCCCGGATGTCATGCAAAACGTCGGTGTGGAGCTCAACAAGTTCGCCAGTGTGCAGGGCTATTGGTGGCCAAAGTGTGTTAACCTGCCCACACAGGTCGAACGACTGGCGTTTGTTGACGCAGTGTTTGAGAGAATAAAGGCCCAAGATTTTGACATGGTGGCATTTCAGACCGAGTATGAGGAGTAGTATTCCACGGCTTACGACGAGGGTCTTTCCCACATCTTGGAGGCAGGGTTAAATGCTGTCGGCGGGATCATAACCCTTGGAGGTTAAGGCTAGCTTGAGACGTTTGCAAGAAATGTGCCTGCCAGATAGGCAAGAGGAACGGTACTTACTTACGATGACAGCATCCGAGAAGAGCCAACATCTTTGTGCTGTCATGCAAAGATCAGTTCAGAGTCAGACTGATCTTCAGTGGGCGAGATGGGCGCAGAGAGCTTCATCCGAGCAGCACGGTTTGAGATGAGACTGGACATGAAGGACGGGTGAACTGGTGCCTAGTTTGACGGCCACAATGGATGCGGGACACAAAGCAATATGCTGTGCTTACGGACGCGCATTTTTATATGGACTTGAGAGAGCGATATCACGCGAAATCGCTGGCTCGCTGGCTGGTTGCTGGGAAGACGAGGACGAAAAGACTTGTGCTGTGCGGGATTTGAGAAGACAAGGTCAACGGCATCCAACATCGTCCCGCAAACACATCATCGACCTGGGAGGAAGAGGTGACTGGACATTGCCATTGTTGCGCGAATTGCGTTCTAGACAGCTTGGGTCTTGCTGTTTCCGTAGCGGAAGGCAGGGGACAAAGTCAAACCACCTACCTAGTACCTAGGTATCTAGCTGCGTCGCTCGCTCCCTTACAGGTTTATCTACTCGGTACCTCTGTGTTTACCTAGAAGTTTAAAGCGGCGCGGCAACGTGGAGGGTGCGTCTCTCTCTCTCCACTTGAGCTCCAACGGCGGAGTCGGAGATAGGCATTTCAATGTCCCGCATTTGACGAACTTAGTAAACCGTGTAAGGCGTGCGCAAGGCGGACGCCCGATCAGAGTCAATACCTCACCACATTCCGCAGCCTGCAGTCTGCGGTCTGCCATCTGCCATCTTTCCCTTAACGCTTTACTTGCCCTCACTTTTCCCAATCAAGCCATGGCCAATTCCCCGGATCCTCGCGAAGGACTGAGCCCCTCGCCGTCCAATATGCTCGATATCTTCTCGGTCGACGATGACGACGATGACGGCGAAAGTTTCCACCCGACCGAGGAACAAAGTACCGATGCAAGTGCCACGCAGGATGAAGACAGCGATGCTGATTTCACCGGTGAATACCAGCCATACTGTGAGAGATGTATGGCTTTTGACTCGCTGCAGATGCCCAGGAGACCTTGCACGGCATTGAAATCATCTACGAGGGCGGAGAAGACGACGAGGAAGATGAAGAGGAGGGAAATCACACCGAGACCGAAAACGATGGTACTGCAACGAGATCAAGAACCGCCGGCCGACCAGCACAGGGTTTGTGTCTGCTACCATGTGCCGACTTTTTTCTTCTAACCAGGCCATCGTAATAGTGACGGTCAACGACATCCGCGGCCTACTGAGTGCCAGTGCGCCTCTCCGGCAGCTCATTCTTAGTCGCTACCGCTTGCTCGGCCCGAACGGTGGAGTCCTTTTCGATGAAGACGAGGAAGACGACGAGGACGAGCCGTACGAATACGGCGGCTTCAGTCGCCGTCGCCGGGTCCAACGACAAAAGCCAAAGGGCGACCGCTTCCCCAAAGTCCCCAGTGAAGCTGGAAAGGCGTTGATGAACTCAGGCACTTATGGTTGTCGAGACACATACTTGGACATCCGACGTAAGAGACGGCAAACAATCAGTGAACGCCTCCTATGGCGACGTCTGGGGTTAGAGGCACGATCCACTATGAGACGACAAAACAACCTCATCGCCCAAGAACAAGTACCCAACACCACCACGGCCGATAAGATCATCCACTACGACTCACGAGCCTACTCGGGTCAGTTTTCCGACGACGGGAACTTCTTCTTTAGCTGCACCCAGAATTTCAAGGTCCGCATGTACGACACATCCAATCCTTATGAGTGGAAATACTACAAGACAGTGGATTACCCTTTTGGACAATGGACAATTACAGATGCGACGCTGAGCCCGGATAATAAGTGGTTGGCATATTCCTCCATTCGACACACCGTTTGTCTGGCACCCACCGACCCGACGGACCACTCTGACCACACCTTATTGGATTTTACCAACTTCGCTCCCGGAGCAGGACAAGGCCGACCGAGCTACGGGTATATGGGCCGGCATGGTTTCGGCATCTGGTCCTTGCGCTTCAGCGGTGATGGAAGGGAGATTGTCGCCGGGACGTCGGATCACTCGGTCGTGGTGTACGATCTAGAACGCCGCCAGTCAACCGTTCGTCTCTCTAACCACGAAGACGATGTAAATGCGGTCTGTTTCGGCGATAAGTCTTCACCTCATATCCTTTACTCGGGCAGTGACGACCAGACGTTGCGAGTTTGGGACAGACGATCAATGGCCGATGGTCGTCCCGCAGGCATTTTCGTCGGTCATACAGAAGGCCTAACGTACGTTGACTCCAAGGGCGATGGCCGCTATGTTCTCTCCAACGGTAAAGAACAAATGATGAAGCTTTGGGATCTGCGGAAGATGATTTCCCCGAATGAATTCTCGAGGATCGACATCCATTCCTACACCACCAATTTTGACTATCGATTCTCCTCGTACGATGAAGACGACTACGTGCCCAATCCCAAAGATTGCAGCGTGGTAACCTTCCGGGGCCACTCCGTTCTCAAGACCCTGATACGATGTCACTTCTCCCCCCCCGGGTCGTCAAACTCTCGATATGTGTACAGCGGAAGTGAAGATGGAAAAGTATATATTTGGAACATGGACGGGACCCGGAAAGCCACAATCGACGTCTATGCAGCGACGAGACACACGAGACCGAGAAGCGATGGGAGTGACGGCTTTGGTGGTGGAGGGTATGGGTATGAGCTGCACGGCCACCACAATAGTGTGTGGAAGACGTGCGTGAGGGATGCAAGCTGGAGTCCTACGGCCCCGGTTCTGGCTGGTAAGTCAAGACTTTCTCTACACAATAATAGACTCATTCCCCCTCTTGTCATATCTGTTTTGGTATGCGGATATGTGCTGATTGGTATTGGTTAGCGACGTCTTGGAACGGCTGGGGAATGGCTACGGGCACAGTTTCGGTGCATTCGTGGAACGACGGCGCCGAAGATGACGAAGCCCTTCCGACCATGTCCTCAAACTACAACGCCCGCCTCGATCCCAAAGAAGATTTCAACAACGCAATGCGTCGTGCGCGAGGTGGAGGAGGACCCCGGGGCGGCGATGCAACAACCAGAAGCAGCAATAATCCCACCACGACGCGGAGTCGCGCCGAGGGGAGAGGTTTGAGAAGCTTTCTCGTCAGGCCGCCCAGGTTGGGTGACGACGAGGGCGGCGGCGGCGGAGGGGGTGGAAGTGTTTGGTGACAATCACTGACCGGTGCAGCGAGGACGATGAGGAGACGGCTAAGTCTGAGGACCGCCAGTGGCAGGCATGAGACTGAGACGGAGGACGAGGACGAGGACGGACCCGCAGGTGGTCCATCTGCGCGTTGAACAGTCGAGGCGCTCGAAACCACCTAGGCATCGTCGCGTCCACTGTCTGCAAACCCACCTGCAAGTCATAGTGCGACACTCTACTCTTAGATGACTTGGAGAGACTGGGAAGATGAGCTTATAGACGAAGGAGCCCCAGCGCGACAAAAGGACCACAGCCCCCATCCCCCAGCGGAAACAAAGGTACCTACTCGGTACAGAGAAAGACACCACCATCCTACCTCCGTCTTCCGCGCCGTCCATTCATCGTCTGGGTGTGGAAAGCCATGTTTGGACTTTTGATAACAGACGAGATTCTCAAGAGTGGTCTAACTAAATACCTGGTATCTGATGAAAATGATGAGCGGTTAAAACCACCTACCTGCACAATACACGGGCCATAACGCTGTTACGAGATTTCGGCAAATACGAAATGTTGGGCAACAAATCATACCTAGGTACCTCAGTACTCGTATCAGATATGACCTGCCTGGGTGTCACGAGCAGAGTGACCTCTAGGGATAGGATACGGATGATCTGTACCTACATAATACCTAGGTAGGTATTTTATGTATGGGTGGGTGGGTAGGCGGGCTACAGGTTCTTCGGACGCTGGAACCCGCTGGACCTTTGGAGGATTCTCCTGGCCGTTGAGAAAAGCCATATATCCATGGATCCATATCTCCATATATCCTACAGCTAGCTAATGGGAATGGGGAGTTGGACTCGGAAGAGATTCATTTGTCATCCACAAAAACAAGCAGTAGCCAAAAAGGGGGAAGGTGAGAAAGGCCGTAGAGACGGTTTGATTATGATTTGACTTGTTCCAATTGAAAGGGAATTCCAACACGTATTCACGGCTGCAAGCCCGATCAATGCGGCTTTTCCTTTTTCTCCTGCGTGGCCCTGGCTACCTTCTTTTCCGGCTCGACTCGATGGGACTCTTTTAACGCAACGCTGCCCCTTGGATCCGAACTCAGCTGGGAAGGGGATAGTAATACAATCAACGCTCAGGTAGGCATGTCAAGGTGTGGCAATGACGGGAGGTAGTCCGTCTTGTATTCGGAGGGTTGGATGGGTGATGCAGGTGATTATGAGCCCCCCGTCCGAATTGCATCTTTTTACCCTCTGGTCTCCGCGGTTTTTGGGTCTGCGTTAAATCATCCCACTAATACGTTGTTGACGGGTATGTGTACTGCAACCAAAGAAACCGGTTTGATATGTTAGCGCATTTTGGACTTGCATTTGTCTCCTTTTCTTTTCTTGGATTCGCGTCTCGAGGGTTGGAATGGAGAAGGGGAAATGGGAAAGGGGGGCGGGAGAGACGCACTCAGCTTGATGAAGTATCCGATCGCGCCCATGATCAGGAATCCCATGCCCACGGCCTGGGAGATCTTGATGAATTCCCTGCGATCGGCTGGAACGAGAGACAAGTTAGTATGCATAAGCTGGTTTTGGGGGAGTTTCGAGGTCACAAAAGGAGAGACGCAGAACAAGACGATTGTGCGCTCTGCTTTGCTTTGCTCTGCGCCTTGTCTCGTCTTGCTGCTGCTGCTGCTGCTGCTGCTGCATCATGCAATCTCGCGACGGGGAACAAGTGAGGTGAGGAGAAAACGTACGCTTTGTACATCTGTTGATAAACTGCGTTCCATCCTTGAAGAACTCCTTGGGCACATCGGCAATCTCTTGCAGAATTTCAGACATCTTGTTCTCTTTTCCTCTCTTCCTCGTCTCTAGACAATCAATGGGCGACTGCGACTCGTGGATCCGGGGTCCGGGGTAGAATGAACAATGGAAAGGATGATTCGATTTGGTCGCGGCGTCGGTTGGCCAGTCAATCAGGCAGGCAGTCGCTCGCTTCGCTGAGGAGAAAAGGACCAGGCCAACTGCTTCAAAGTAATTCTTGTCTAAGAGACTTGAGAAGTGGGAATGGTATGTGCGATCAGAAGTGGCAAGTTGGAGAACAATGTGTCGTCGACAAGGTAGTAGGTAATTCGCATGTGCCACAGAGCAATAGGTGGCTTCTGTTCTGGTTTTAGCGAATTGCGCTGCTGCGGTCGAGGGTCAGGGGACAATCTTCATTTCTTGGCGGCTTTTTGAGTGTTAAAGCGGCTTCGCGATTCCTCCCTCGCTACCAGATTCCCGTTTGGTTGGATGACTATTCAACGGGAAGGGTCTAATATGACCCCGTCCTTGGAACGGAGTATAAAAGCAGAAGTCAGGACCATGGCCTTGACAACGCTGGCCATCGCTCAATACGACGTGGTCACTCCAGGACCTTTTGTATTCTGGGTACCGGCAAAGCAAGTTGTTGCCAACGGCGGGCTCCTTGCTACATGCCAAATCCATTGCCAACCTCGAGATCCTCGGTCGCAGCCGACCTCTCTGTCATGTCTGTTCCAACGCGGCCGAAGCGCCGCGAATATCGGTACCCTCCTCGTCTGGACGACTCCATTGACGACATCGGTTGCCGGCCTGCCTGGGCGTAAGCTGGCACCATTGTCGGCGGCTGCATGTTGATATGCTGGGCGCCATTCGGGTCCATACGGCGCACCGCTTGCGTCTCCCCCATGACTCGCTCTTTGTGATCGTCCAGATGGTCCACAGCACTATGACTCGACGCGGGCAGTCCGGTGCTAGGCTCTTTGTAGCGCCAGGGCTCATGTCGTTTGCGCCTTCCAGGTAACCTACTGGTCCAGTTGGCTCTGCTGCTTTTCTCGACAATGCCACCCGAAGCATCGCCCGTGTGGCTTCTGTGTGCCCTGCCATCCTTGCGTGTCCTTCTGTGATACTTTCCGAGCTTTCTGTTGACCCACCAAGTCCGAATGTCTCCAAGGACAAAGGCCACTCCGATCAATGGCAGACTGACAGCTATTCCTATACCGATGACATACTGGAGCACCCAACCCAGATGCAGCTCTCCAGTCCCGGTCCCTGGGGGACGGGGAAACTCGATGATATCGATCGCAAAAAAGCTGGCGAGAAAGCTGAGCGGGAGGAAAATGATTGTAACAACGGTGAATACCATGATCGTCTGCCCCTGTCTTGCCGCCTCCTCGGCCTGCTTGCGCTGAGCCCTCGCTTCCACGGCATTAGCATGCTTCTGCTTGAGGTCCAAGACTTGGGTCAAATTATCATTGACACTTTTGGCTTGCCGTGCCATGCGATCGAGATCCAAAATGTTCAGATCGACCAGTCGTTGCTGCTCGCTGACTTTGTAGAGGTCGAACTGGTCAGGCTGGGATATCTTCCTGCACGCTCGGAGCGTTGCCTCCAGGTCGCTCAGGACTTGCCTTTGCTGTCGAAGCACGCTCGTGAGAATGTCCAGTTCGTCTTCGACGTCCTTGCATTCCACCAGCAGGGCAGCCTCTTTATCGATGTTCAAAAGATCGTTAACGAAGGAGTCAGACGCCTGATGACGATTGTGCCACGAATCCATGCTGCCACTCACTGTGTCGCCGGCATCTTGGTGCTCATCAGATGACCATCCCGAGGAGTAGTCATCCCTTTGCGTGTCCTGTTGAGAGTCAAAAGGGATGTCGCCACGATCATGTCCTCTGAGCCAGTGAGAAGATGCTTCTCTAAAGCATCGAAAGAGCTTGGTCTCTTTCCTAGTCAGCCGTCCAATGCTGAGTTCAAACATCTCAGCGAACAATAGATCGTCGCCATCCAGCGTTTCATTATTATCACGCCGATCACCGTTGTCCCAGTATTGTCGGTCAAAGAGGCCCGTACATCGCTCGGTGATAACGGTCGCAAGCTCAAAGACATTTCTGACGGGAGGACGGGTAGTGGAGTTGATATCCTCGACAACACCCTCAAAGAGGTTGAGAGGATCCCTGTGCGGTTGCCGCCATCGCTCTGGAAAGCAGGAAATAAGAAGATTGTCAAAGGCGATGAGCCACAATTGGTCGACCATGAAGACCTTGAGCTTTTTCCTCTTTTTCTTACAAAATCGATACACAACTTGGTCCGTGTCTTGATGATCTGTCCTCGTGCTGTGATGTTTGAATTGATCTAGCGTCCGACGAGGATGGAGATCCGTTGATTCTCCCACGTAGCCGTGGATGAGAAGTCTGTCCTTGGCGACCTTTGACAATTCTGTGTCGTCCAGGGCATGCGTACTGTCCACCGGCTCTCGCAGCGTCTGAGTCAGTGCGGCTCGATTTCTGTCAGTCTCCCAATGCAGATAAGGCATCATTAAGACCACCACCTCTTCTTCTTCCTGGGCCGGGTGCAACGCTGTGGGCTCGGAAGATCTGGACGACGCTGCATGTAATGGTACAGATGCTCGTCTCGGCGGTAACCATAAGCGCTTACAGGTCGGCCGCATAAATCGTGAATGGACCTCGGCGCCCCGATGTTGCTGTCTCCCAAGTATTCGAATAAGAGTCTTCAACATCGTTACATCTCTGCGGTCTACCTCCAGATACCATTTTGTAAGCAGAGCCTCGAGCCACGAGATGTTGTTTGCAGGCAGATGGATCCAGCGAAAAAGCGGCTTTTTCGTCCCCTTGTTTTCCAAGACGATTGGGATAGCAAACTTCTCTGGATCCTTGTCGGCCCGAGCGTAGAGAATCTGATGCACGGTGTGCTTGTTGACCTTGTTCTTGACACCGCTGTGGGAATCTTTATCCTCGAAAAAATTGACCACTGCAGCCCGGAACCGCTGGCAAGCCTTCTTGGCAATACGGTTGGTGGGCTCTTCGAGCACATAAGGTCGAAGGGCGTTCACAACGTCCCAATGACCATTCTGGGCTGCACGGATGAGAGGAGTGCTGTCAAAGCTGTCTTTGCTGTTCTTATGGACATGTCGCTCCCTCAAGATGCGCTTGACGGCACCCAGCTTCCCACTTTCCGCAGCCCAATGGAGGGAAGTCATCCCGGCCGACGTTCGAGCATTGACGTTGGCATTGGAGGTTAGCAAGGCATCAATAGCATTCTCGTGCCCTTTTTTGGCAGCCCAAAGTAGAGGTGTCCAGCCACCGTCACCTCTTGCTTCAATCTTGGCGCCAGAAAAGATGAGCAGTTTGATCATTGCAGGTTCGCCATGCCTTGCCGCCAGGTGCAGGGCCGAATGCCCCTGATCGTTTGTCTGGTTCACGTCGACCACACCCTTGCTCATTTGCAGCAATGCTCCGACCAAGGCCAGTTGGCCTCTTGCGGCAGCCCAAAGAAGAGGCGTCCGACCTTCTCGACCTTCGCTATCTCTTTTGTTGAGGTCTTTGATTTTGGGGAGAAGTTTCGACAAGGCCTGGGTGCTCCATTCCGTCTTCCGCTTCGACTCTGAGGCCATAACTTGCAGCGCATTCTTGCCGGCTTGGTCTTCGATGTTCGGATCGGCTCCACGATCAAGCAGGGTAATGATAACATCATTGTGCCCGTGTAGACAAGCGTAGATGAGTGGCGTCCTCCCAGCGGCATCTTTGGCTTCGAGTTCGCATCCGTGATTGAGAAGCAGATTGATTATGGCATTCCTGGTTTTGTCATTTGTATTGGCAATAGCACTGTGCAGTGGACCTTTGCTGCCGACGCCATCGATTCTGGCACCAGCTTCGATCAGCAGTCTAACACCAGTCTCGTAACCAATGCTTATGGCTTTACCAAGTACCGCCTGGAGGTCACTTTCGTCGTTGCGGCCCCTGATCTTCCTCTCATGCACAAGTTTCTGCAGCTCTATGTCTCGCTTTTGCGCAACAGCTTTAGTAAACTTGATGCGCCACTTTTGCGCGATAACATTAGTGAGCTTGTTGAGCCATTTTTGCGCGACAGCTTGAGTGAGCTTGATGCGCCATTCTGGAGCGTCCATTATTGGCGTGGCCATGTCGCCGGTGAGGGATGGCACACATATTTTTTCAGCCACGAGTCTGGTCGATGACCGGGCATTTCTGGCGAGAGAACAATGCCAGGAAGTAGTCAGTGTGAATGATGTCTACCTCGTAATGTTCTCAGCTGCCCAGCCTCACTAAGGCCCCAGACAATATTGAAAAGAGGCAAGTCTTGGGGCCAGGAAGGCCCAAGCAATGCAAAGATTGATCTAACGAGTAGGCTAGCCATGGCCACTCCCCACAATCGAGATCCTTGCAGGGAATCACTGGGGCGGCTGTATTTTGCGTAAGCCTGGTGTCGTACGTTGTCAGCCCTTCAACAAGGGTTTGTGCGACCAGCATCGAGCTGAACTCGAGCTTGTTTATGATCAATGGTCGGGCGGGTTGGAGACTGCCTAGGTACCTAGGTAGGTTACACATGGGTCGTGTCTGGGACATCTTCCTTAGTGCAATAACTCAACCTGCAGTTGTCCATGGCAGGACTATGATTGGAGTCGAGCAGGTCAAGCCGTGCCCCTCAACTATGTTGCATGGTGCAGACCCAAATATAAGCCGCACATCCCTTGCTGGGACGCTGCATTTTTCAACGAGAACTGCGTACGAGCTTGATTTCGCGTCTTCTCCCTCTCCTTAGCCTTCCTCCTTTGCTCTTCGACGACGCGGATCGTCTTTTACCTTCGATAGCCATGCGCGATTTCTGATCGGGCGACAGCTCTGCGCGCTGGAAATGTACCACTCCACCTAAAGGAGAGCCCCCGGGTCAATTCCATCCAGGGCGAGTTTAGATAAACCATTGTTTCGCTCGACAGAGTTTTTCGTTACGGGAGAGAGGGCGTTCAACTGCAGGATTGAAAAACTTCAAGGCGAAGAAACAAAGTGCGAAAATCTTGAAAACATTGTGCGGTGCATCCACCACAATGTCATAGATCCCTTTCCGCCTGATGGCCGTACGAAGGGCTTCATACATTGGTGTTTGCGCTGCCTGATGTTGTTTATGCCACACGAATGTCTCCTGGAAACCCATTGAAAGCTGACCCCTTCGATCGGGACAAGAATGCGTCTCAAAATTGCGTCTCTATGGACGTAAAGCGACTGGGAAGTAGCTCCAGTGGATTTACTAGATTTCGGCTCGGCGTCTGCCGCGGCCCATGCCTTGCGCAGCTGCCAAAGCAACCATAAAACGACCAGGCTGACTTGATGGCAAGCGTCAGTATGCCAAGGGGACCTGCGTAGAGCTCCGTTGGTGGGAGACAAATGGGAGGGCTATTTGAGGCCGCAGGGCGGTACAGAATGCTTGCAAAGCCCGGTCCATGTTTTGGACCGACTCTCAGCCTGCTTCTGTCTCTGCCTTCTTTGATATTCATTTCGTCTCGCTTGGCCCATCAAGCTGCTGGTCTCATCTCAAGAAAGAGTCTTTTCTTTTGGCATCAGCTTCACCTTGGAAGAGCAAGGATGGAGGAACCAGCAGGCAACAGTACAAGCGAGGGTACCAAATCGACGAGCTCACTTTACGGATCTCTGTGATCCACGACCTGTAGACCGGTCGGATCCTCTAGCCATGTCCGTCATTGTCTCTGCTAACTTTTTGTCAATTCCATGGATAAGGCTGCTGAGGCATGGTGATGGGAGACGACAGGGTATTTTCATAGCACAATCATCGCTTGCCTTGGAAGACCAAAGTTTGCGGCCTGCAGACAGATTTGGCAATCTCAATAGAGACCGATGTACTCATTAGACCTGGATGAATATGTCCAACTTCGAGCAGATTGTGACCGTGAATGAAAGTGTTGGACGAGAACTACTGATAGGGCGGCATGACTTGTCTTCCAACCCTGGGAACAAATACACGCCACTTTCCCTTAGAGTAGCAAGTAGGCAGCTTGGCCAGGAGTGAGACAAACTGCGCTCTCGCCTGGGGCTCAGCCTCCCTGTCTCCTGTTCAACTCCTCGTGTCTTCCCAAGTCTCTGGCACCTCATCAGTCCTTCCATTTTCCTCTTTACCATATTTCTACTTGTCACTGCCACGCGCGGCCTTCACTTTCACAGAGGTTGCTTTACAAGAATTGTTCTCACCAAGCCACGCGGCCAGTACCTTACTTGACGATTTGCTGCCGGTCCTGTCCGTGTCTAACTTCGCAGTGCGATTAAACGAACTCGGCGCAGCACAGAGAAACAGCCGCCGGATTTGTTTTCTTTTCCCTATTTCTTGCTAGAATTCACATTGGAACAACTGTATCACAAGCTTCAGGAGACAGCTGGCCTGCTTCATGTATTATGACATTGAAAAGTGCGCATTGATATTGCAATGAAAAAACCACACTGAACTGTACAAGAGTCTCAAGTTCTGTACGTATTACTTGCTGGGTGACTCATGTCCCTGAGGTTCAAGTCGGAGCTGTCTGGCGGCGCGGGATGCTTTGATGTTTGGCAACACAAGAACGAGTTGAATCTCAGATCATGCGTCCTCTGTTTGTGAACCCTTCATGTATTTTGGCTAATCGCGCATGTATCTCACAGAAACTACCTGGTTCATATGTCCTGCCTGTTGATGTGGCCGTCTTGTGCATAGATCTGTGGCAGACAGAGAATCCGACTTCATTCTAACCTCCTCTCTCCTCTAAGCATCTCCCACCATGGCTTCTGCAGACGAAGACAATTTCGATATTGACATCTACGGCGACGGTGAAGTTGACATGGATAATGATGGGAACGGGGATTACAAGCAGGAGGACGAGGATATCCAGTTGCACACAGAGGCCGAAGAAATGCCAGTTGCGGAAGAGACGCACGCGAATCCCGAACCCGAGGACCAGCAGCCAATTTCGAGCGCCACTACTTCTTGGGCTAAAGAGAAGTCCGGAGATGTGCAATCTAACAATCCCGATGCCGTTCTCGCTAAACCCATCCCACAACAAGGTACCAAACGAAAAGAGACCTCAGATGAGAGGCCTATTGACCACGGGGCCACCAACGCTCTGATGATCTCAGACTTGCATTGGTGGACCACGGAGGACGATATTCGCGGCTGGATTAACGAGGCAGGGGCTGAAGACGAACTGAAGGACCTGACCTTCAGTGAACACAAGGTCAATGGCAAGAGCAAAGGGTTAGTCACCAAACAAGCAGTGTTTCCCACGGGTGCTGATACGAACCTGACAGCCAAGTATATCTCGAATTTTCTTCTCCCCAAGCAGCAACGGCGACGAAGCACAAGATGGACTCCCTGGCTGGCAGTCAGCCTGGCTCGCGCAAGCACTCGGTCGTCTACACCAATGCCACTCAGAATCCTTTCAAAACCCTCCCAAAAGATGCACCTGCTCGTGTCAGGGAAGACAGGCCTGTTCGCGGCGGGTCATTCAATTCTGGGCCGCGGTCTGATACCAATTACGGGATGAACAACCAAGGCTTTCGAGGTGGCCGAGGTGGCAGCTTCAACCGTGGAGGTTATAACTCGCACAACCAATACAACCGCAATTTCTCGGGTCCGATGGGTGGCTACAACAACAACCAGAACATGGGCTTTCAAGGAAATATGGGGATGGGTGGTAGTTACGGCGGCTTCAACAACAGAGGAGGGATGATGGGCAACCCAATGCGAGGCAACATGGGCGGCATGCGCGGAGGCCGTGGAGGTATGAACAACATGATGCCCATGGCCGGCGGGATGGGCATGGGTACTATGGGCATGAATCCCATGATGGCTGGGATGGGTATGGGAGGTATGTTGGAAGTTGATATTTATTCCCAGAATCTTGCCCCGGCAGCGGCTGACGGTATATTTCAGGCTTTCAAGGAAACCAATTCAATCCGGGAATGTTCAACGCTGGTCCAGGTCCGAATTTTGGTGGCAGCGATTGGAATCAACACGGAGCAAAACGTCAACGACAGGAGTAGCGAGCATTGGAAGATCTCCACAACAGCACTTCTCGATCCCCCAAAGACCTGGCGACACCAGAGCATCCCATACCGCAGAAGTTGACTCAACTCTCGGCAACTTCCAGCACCCTGCCCACATGCACACCCCTCAGATCGGCTGCGATATGCGAATGACACGACTGCTGCCATGCCTCTCCGCCATTGTCACCGATTGGTAACGACTAGGACGAGAGCGATCTTGCCGTTATTAGCCACGCTGCCCTCGCAAAGCTCCTCGACAATGCTCTGAGGCGTGTAAGCGGCTGATAATAACTGCTGTAACAGACTGCGCGCATGATGTAATTCTGCACCCCACAACACGAACGCTGGGGCACCTATGAGGTGATGATCAGCCCTGGTGCAGGGGCAGGTGTACCAGGGGGTTGGTTGCATTTCCATAATTGAAATTCCCACGCCGCGGAGAACGTTTAGGCCTGGGTGGCATGTGCTCATAGGGAATCTCCTTGGCATTATAGGTAAAGAACTCGAGGAATCAGAACATTCATCAGGATGATCTTGAGGGATCACCAGGGTCATCGTCTCCAACGCGCCGTGGCTAGGCGGCCAAGTAGTTCCCTAGCAGTGTCACTGGCAGGTCTAGAAGCTGGGAGCCCGGAAGGAATTTCCACTCATATTTGTGGCGGTTTTTGGGCAACAGATCAAGAGAGGCACCCAAGAGGAATACATCACTCTATTGGATTTCGTATTATCACGTCTCTATTTCACTTACAACGCGGTACAATTAGCGCACTATGCGACTTGCGCTGGATGCCCCAAGTCTAGTGTGCTGCTGCCTTCCACCTCACCTTGACTCGCGATTGTGCCACTCCAGTACAAGGAAATTCCCCCGCTCTCGCCCTCAATCCAGGAAAAAATCTCCCTGCGCCACTCGCCGCCCGCTCGAGCCACATTCACGTCGTCGCGCAGCGCTGCTCAGGTAATACTTCATTTGGCTTCTTTCGCTTCCAATGTCGGAGCAAAGACACCAACGTCGTGGCGAAACTCCCCGTGCTCCTGCCCCCCGGCAGGGTGAAGCCTCTTCCTCGAGATCTCAATCCGTGTCTCAGACCCCAGGTCAAGCTCCAGTGCTCTCAATCGAAACACCCTCTTCCGATCCTGCCAACCGGCCAACGTCAGCCTCAAAGACACCTCGCTCACCCGCGCCAAACCCTCTGTTCCGTGTCCCACAATCTCCTCTCACTGCAGCAGGTGAATCTTCTCAGCGAGCGGGCAAAGTCGCCATTCCAAGGTTAAAGAGGTCGATTGATCCGTCCGAAGACCCCGCCCGATCAGGAGGAAGGCACCGTGTCAACCACGCATGCGAACCATGCCGCCACCGCAAGACCAAGTGCAGTGGGGAGCGGCCGGCGTGCAGACATTGCCAGGACTTCAAGATTACATGCTTTTACGCCGATGGCAAAAGAGATAGGGCTAAAAAGTTAGTCGATATCGACGTTAGCGTGTGACTTATGTTTTGAAGCTAATTCGCACCCAGGCAGTTTGGTACTCTGACCGAGAAGGTGACCGACTATGAGAAACTACTGAGGGAACTGATATCCAGGGTCGATGAAGACGATGCAAGACTGATTCGTGCCTCGCTGGAGAAGGTGAGTCTTTCACAACGCATTTACCATCCCCGTTCCTCTGCTCACTTTCGAAAGGAGTCGACTTATGAAGCCGAAGAAACCCCTACAGAAGGCACCGCTGAAGTGGCCCAACTTGGCGATGCTGAGGCAGCAGAGGAGTCGTCCGGAGCGGAATCAGAAGCTTCAGCCGGTGCTGGGTCCACGGGCGCACTCGATAGAACCGATGAGGACTTTACGCGTGAGCAGGCCAGGATGACAGGCTTCATGGGAAAAAATTCGGAGGTCACCTGGCTCCAGCGTCTGCGCGAGCAGAACAAGTATGGAGACCTGCAAGAAGATCGGCAAGGTAATGAGAGGCAACAGGCGCTGGCTGCCATGTCTAGTGCCTCGCTGACTTCAAGACGTCCAGTCGGCGACACGCGAATGCCCCTCTCGGAAGCGGACGATGGCTTCACGGTCAAAGATTCCAGTTATCACATGGACGACATGTCGATATTCATGTACGAGGCCGTGGATGCATACGAGATGCCTACGCCGGAAATTGCGGATCATCTGTTCAATGCATATATGCAGCGAGTTCACTCGTCCTTTCCCGTGGTCGGCAGGCTGAATCTTACAACTCAGTTTCGAAGATTCATTAGTGGCACCGTGCAAAGACCCCCGGAAAAGTGGCTCGCTATTCTCAACTTGATCTTTGCAATTGGCGCAAAATATTCGCACTTGATTAAAGCCGAATGGAAAGGCGATGAGAGGGATCACCTGATCTATTTCACCCGAGCTCGACTGTTGAGTATGAACTCTGAAACCATCTTTCATCATCCAGATTTGCAGCAGATCCAGGTACTAGGCTTGATGTCGTTTTACCTGCTGTGTGTCAGCCAAGTGAATCGGTGAGGACAGGCCATCATATTTTCAGTATCAGCGTAAACTGACGAGAGAGCAGTGCATGGTTGTTGAATGGGATCGCTATCCGAGGAGCTGGCGCCTTGGGCCTGAATATGCGCAACGACAGCAACGACTTGAAGGACTCACTCAAGGAGATCCGATACCGACTCTGGTGGGCTCTCTACGCCCTGGAACATCGTCTGTGCAATATGACGGGTCGAGTCAACTGTGTCATGGACGACCATTGCACTACACCCTTGCCAGTTCCCTTGGAAGAAGAACAATTTGAGACCGAGGAAGGTCAGAGACTTCTGAGCAAGGAAATACAACAGGGTGACCGCGCACCGTCCTCAAATTCGCAGACGCCGAGTATCGGATCGACCCCTTCAACCGACCGCTCTCGTTCGCAGACCAAAATCGACTCACGTTCACCTTCAATGCCCGGAGGGGTCAGAGCCGGTGACTTGGAATGGGCAAAGGACGTTCAACCTAACTCTTCGCTCTACTTTCTCCATGTGGTTCAGTTGACCCGCCTGACACAGAACATCTTCCATAGTCTCTACAACCCAGCCTCGATCAAAGGAACATGGTCAGAAGTTCAGGCCAAGGTGAAGGACCTCGACGAACGCCTTGAGCATTGGTATCGCAAACTGCCCCAGGCTTTTGCCTTTCGGCGGAATCAGCGCGAGCGCGGGTCTTACGAGTTCCGCTTGAACCTGGGCTTCTTTTACTACAGCACCAAGATGACCATTCATCGACCTTGCCTCTGTCGACTCGATCGCAAGATTCCCGGGCAGTCATCCAAATCACTCGAGTTCAACCGCAATTCCGCCGCTTCCTGCGTGGAGGCTGCAATGGACATGCTTCAACTCATTCCTGACAAGCCCAATGCTGTTGGTCTGATGCGAGTCGGCCCTTGGTGGAATATTGTACATTGGCTGGTTCAAGCGACCACGGTATTGATGCTTGAAATATCCTTCCGAGCCAATCACATGCCGGAAGAAGCAGAAACCATCTTCGAGTCATGCAAGAAAGGCATCCGCTGGTTGCATGCATTGGCAGAAGACAACATATCCGCTAGGCGTGCCTGGACATTGTGTTTCACACTGTTCAAGGAATCGGCCAGTAGAATTGGCCGCGACGTCGACGACTTGCCACAGGATCCTCCGGGAAAGCCTTCTCCGCAGCAGCAAGATATTTCCATGGCAAACTACTCTGCGGTCAGCAACCCTCTGTCCCACAATATGTACGTGTCGGCTCCCAGCGCGCCTCCCATCTATGGCACAATGCCTGATATGCCGAGTGCGCAAACATTTGCCGCTTTCGACCCAATGATGCGATATGACCAATATTTCGCCCCAGATATGCTGATGAACGAGCCCTCGATGCAATTCCCGCAGCCGACAGATGCGGAGATCGAGTTTATGAGTAATGTCTATCATGAGGACCAGGGTCCCCAGCAACAAGTTGGTGAGTCCAGTCAGGGACCCAGGATGAATTGAGATACCCAACCGAGACAAGTTCTAGAATGCGGGTTGCAGGGCGCATCGCATTTCAGGGGGCTGAGCGAGGATAGAAAGGGGCAGCACATCCACATTCCAGTCGCGATTGAGTTGGCATTCCACACTACGCGGTCTGAACATTTTGTAATTGAAATGCCCTGCCACTCGAACAATCTTTTTCTGCCACCTCTTGATGGCGGCATAAAAGTCCACGTCGAGTCCGCTTATCTTCGCTGGCGAAGGTCACAGGTTCCCTCCTCTTTGGTTGAGATCAGACTCAGCTTTTCACTTCAATACATGGAGATTCTACTACTTCTGATCGCCCTGGCGGCGCCTATTGCCTCCATCAAACATCACGAGGGGCGAGCCCATTTCCACGCCAGAGAACGTCGACAACAGCCCAACTCGCCCTTCGAGGGCTTGGGAGTGCTGGCAACCCCAGCTCCTGTCGCCGCAGCCTTCACCACCCCGTCAACTATACCCACAATATCCTCCTATGTCTTTCCCACGACGGTGATTCAAGAACCAGTTGCGACGGTGTGTCCTGACACCCCAGCTTCGTCAGCAATATTTTCAATCCTTCCAGTATCTTCGTTAGCATCCATAGTAGGAGCCAACACGACGCAAGGCTGGAATACCAATAGCTCAAGTTACATGCCCATCCGAGTGAATGCAACAGCCCTGCTACCCAATGGAAGCACAACAATCTTCTTGTCTACCAGCACGACCTACTTGCTACCGACGGCGCTAGCCACAGTACCTGCCATCGAACCTGACGAAGTAGAAACGGCCCGCATAATTTTGGACCAGAATGGATGTCAGACGGTATACAGTGCAAAAACTACGGCATGGTGCAGTACGACTGTGCAGCCAGCTGGAATGCTACCCGTTCCCGTCACCGACTGCGATCAATTTGTTACGTTTTCCAGCCAAAGACTTGATGCATGCTCTACGACGTTCGGATCAAGTTCTTTAAGTTCATCTCTCTTGCCCATGGAGACGGATGAGCCCGTGGCGTTCTATGCCGCCCATTGGTACGACCTTATACAAAGCCCAATTCCCAATATCGTCCAAGTCCAAGATTGTCTTCCTCGATCAACCGGATGGGACTGCATCACTTCGAGTGAAAGCTGGGATGTGGTCACTACCACGAGCACCAGTACCGGAACTAGTGTGGCTTCATTCGCAGGGGTAGGTTGAAGCCATTCCATTACATGTATTCCTCACTGACATTCCCTTCTTAGCCCGCTGTGATCACATCTGGAACGTACACAGTCACCACCACGTTATCCTTCGAATCGACCCTCACTACGACCACAGTGATTACTTCGTCAGCGATCAGTCGACTTAGGCTCGGGGGTAGCAGTGCACCCACTACATCAGAGCAAACAGTGACTGTGCTGCTGACGATGCCAACCACAAGGACCCTGTCATTGGACTCGTTGACCAGAACCACAGTAACCATTCAGCAGACTTCAACGGTCCAAGTAACAGAAACGAGGACTCGTACTTTAAGCGGTGGCTTGCCGAGTGCTACAGGACTAGCAAGTTAGCCTCCAAAAGCCACAAAATCAATAAGCACTTATCCACTCGAGAACTTTTTGCGGGCTGTTCTTTCTGATACGTTCCGCTACCGCATACTCTCTAGCGTTTGCCTGTTGTCCTTGGCCCGCGCCACACTGACATGAATTAATTCGAAAGGGATAACCGGAACAGGGACGTGCTTAGATTTGATCAGGCTACACCCGTTTCATTGTCCTACTTCCCTACAGTGGCATACGCCTTGCCCCCTGCTTCTTTGTCAATGTCGATACACTCCTGCAGCCCACACAAGTTGAAAGCCTCCTTAACGCCGCCAGCCGAACTCCTTGCGGTGGTCTTTCCGGTCGTTTGGAGTACCTTGAGCTCTTTGCCCACGCTTTCGAGAACTGGACCGATGCAGAGCCCGGGGTAGATGATGATGCGAAATCCCATCTTGGTCGCTTCTTCAATGGGGACTTCGGGAGTGGCGCCGCCTGGTACCACATTCAAGAGTACCGGAGTATCGCCCATGATCTTGCACACCTGTTCCATCTCTTCCTTTGATTGCAGTGCTTCCAGAAACACGGCGTCGACGCCAATTTTGACCGCCTCTTGCAGTCGCACAATCGCCTCGTCGAAGCCGTAGGTCTGTCGAGAGTCCGTGCGCGCAATCAGCACAATGTCGGATTGAAGTTGATTCCGCGCGGCAACCGCTGCTCGCAGTCGGCTGAAGTATATCTCCCTATCCACAATCTGTTTGCCGAGAAGATGGCCACATCTCTTCTCTTGCACCTGTTGTCTCATCTTGTCAGTCCGGTCGGGTCCAAAATCGGGCGCGATAATGGCTTATTGAACTGTACCTGATCTTCAATGTGGAGCGCCGCAACACCGGCACGAGCATACTGGGTAACGGTCCTCGTGACCATGACCGGTCCACCGTAGCCAGTATCGGCGTCTGCAATCAAGGGCACTGAAGGATTGAGCGATGCGATCATCTCGGCATTGCTTCTCATGTCGTTCAGAGTGGCGATTCCCAGGTCCGCCCACCCGAGTCTGGACATTGATGTCCCTGCACCAGTCTGTTGAGAGAGAGATGACTTTGTTTAGTACATTGTTTTGTTGTTTCTTCTCTGTGAGACGTTTGTCTCGGACCTAACCTACCATGTACAGGGCATCGTAACCAGCCGCCAAAGCCAAGCGGGCTGTGAAGCCATCAAAAACCCCCGGACACACGACGACTTTGGAGGGATCTCTCAGCATTTCTCTCAACCGCTGGGCGCCGGTCAGTGGCGAGCATGCTTTCACAGTCTTTGTATTCGTCGTGTCGTTGCCTACGGAACCCATTTTCGAGACTGATGTTGGAAAACAACTTGGAACAGTTCGCTTCTTCGTGTTATCTTGGCTAAATGTATAGAAGCCCCAGATGAAACATCTACGAACAAGTTATATGGACTATAATAATATCCCCATCCGAGGCACTTCCCGACCCGGTCCAACTCCAACGTGAGCGGGGGTGAGAGACGATTGACGCCGATGTCGAATCAAGCATTAGTCCGATTCTCGCACCGAAATCCGGACATGACACAAGAATCGGCCTGACTAGACAAGCTGCGTACCGCGGCTGCGTATCCAGCTCGCAACTTCATTCGCAGGCCGCGGAGAGCGGATGGTCAGGCCCGCGATGGGATTTCTGTCCCATACTAGATCCTGTCCGGTATGCAGCGCGTACGCGGCACCGACGCGGGGTCCTCTCCAGACATTCTGATGCCAGGCCCGGTCCCGAGATCCAATATATGTCTCCCTCCCAAGTTCTACGGTAAGGGCAGACGACTCAGCTCACATCAGATCAGATCAGACTAGACCAGGCAATGGAGACGACAACAGAGACGCTGCAAAACACCCGTTTGGAAGATAATCGGGATGATGAGTTTGAGAGCAAACTACGCGACCTCCTGTCCCGTGTCAGGAAAGTCGACTTGACGGCTCTCAACCTCAGAGCCGAGAAGTCGTCTTCCAAAAGCATCCCCGCCGTTTTGCTATGCTACGCCGAGGCGTTGAGAGATGCGCGTCAGACGCCCGAAGCCGAAGCGCTGGACCAGGTGCGCGAGAAGGCGCTCGATAAGAAAGCCTTTGGTGGCCTCGGTCTGCGTCAGGATGACGACGACAGCACCGCTACTCCTGCTCAGCAGTCAGAGACCCTCTTCCTGGTCGAGGCGTGGCTCGAAGCCATCAACTCCAGAGAACGGGCACAAAACTTCTTGTCGTATAGGACCTCCCCGGTGGAAGGCACGAGACCTATGACTCTGGCGCAGAAGATCTTTGCTCAGCACGTGATTGGGGAGAAACCATCAAAGGGGCTGACGGCGGGCGACGTCGTGAGGGTCGGGATTGACTGGATCCTGGCGTCCGAATTGTCCTGGAGTGTATGAATTTCGACAACTCCTTTCTGGGTTTCCCGTCTGATGAAATGCTGACACTTGACACAGGGCATGGCCCGGACATGGAGACGTCTAGGCTCTCCGGGAATCTGGCGCAACGACCGGTTCTGGCTGGCCGGCGACCACGTCGTCCATCCGGCGGTGGCGCAGAACCCCAAGATCAAGACCCTGGTCGAGATCTCAGAAAAGGCAAAACGGGAGTTCAAGATGACAGAGTACCAGGGCATGAATTACACCATCATGCATACAGAGTTTGTCCGAGAACGTATCGAGCCGGGCATGCTCGCCATCGGCTCCGACTCGCACACCTGTTCTGGCGGCGCCGTGGGCTGTCTATCAATTGGACTCGGCACGGCGGACGTGATGATGACTTTGACGTTGGGAGAGACGTGGTTTAAGATCCCCGAGTCGGTTCTGATCGAGTTCGTCGGTCAGCCCGCCTTTGGCATGTCCGGCAAGGACGTCATCCTCTATATCCTCGGCGAGCTGAAGCGCAACACCGTTGCTGCGGAGCGCATCGTCGAGTTTTGGGGTGAAGGTCTCAAGTACCTCTCCGTTGACGCGAGGTTTGCCATCTCAAACATGTGCACCGAATTCGGCGCCATCACGGGCATCTTCGTCCCCGATCGCATCACAAGCGACTACATTGCCCGGCGGCGAAGGAAGGCCAACCGCGTCAACTCGCTCTACTTCCGCCCCGACGCCGACGCACCTTACGCCGGTAGGTACACCATCGACCTCTCGAAAGTCGAGTCGTCCGTGGCAGTTTATCCGAACCCGGACGACGTGGTCCCCGTCTCGCAGATGGCCGGCAAGCAACTCGACGGCGTCTTCATCGGCGCCTGCACCACCACCGAGGAAGAGCTGGTCCTCGCCGCGCTGGTCCTGAAAGTCGGCCTAGATAGGAAATTGCCCCTGGCAAAGGGCAAGAGACACTATGTGCCTGGATCATTGCCTATCGTCGAGAAGCTCAAGGACCTGAAGCTCCTCGAGATATACGAGGCCGCGGGCTTCACGCGTGGTCCGCCGGGGTGTTCGTACTGCGTGGGTCTCTCGGCTGAGCACGCCGATGAAGGGGAGACTTGGTTGAGCTCGCAGAATCGCAATTTCCAGAACCGCATGGGCAAGGGTGAGCCAACTCCTTCGTCATTTTTCATGCACTGTTTTTTCCCTGAGCTCCCCGGAAAGAGAGTGTCTCTTCCAATCATTTGTTTTGTGCGCGTGCTAACAATCCCTTCCTCACTCGCTTCCTTATCACAGGTGCATTCGGCCACATCACATCCGCAATGGTCTGCGCTGCCTCGAGCTTCAGTATGTCCATCACCAGTCCCGCGGAGTTTCTCAAGGACCTGGACATGGACTTCTTCCGACGGTACCGTCCTCTCCCTGAGGTTGATATGGTTCCGGTGGAATACGTCGAGCCGGATCTCAGCCAGGCATCGAGCGATGCTGTGCAGACGAACGACAACAGCAGCAGCAGTGCACCCACCAGAGCCACGACCACCACGAAGTCTTCACTCCCGGACGCGGATGCGGAAGCCGAGCCGGCGAGAAAGCTGGACAAGATCACCAGCAAGATCGTCACGCTGGGCGACTTTATTGATACGGACGCGGTAAGTCGGTTCAGAAATAGTTTCCTCCCTTCACTTCTCCCCAAGCAAAAAAGGCTGACTTTTATCTCTCCCTTTGTGGTCCCAGCTCGCTCCAGGTCATACTCTGACTTCGTGCGTGACCGACGAGGACTTTGGCGAGCACGTCCTCGAGCACACACACCCGGACTTCCGGGCAAAAGTGCGCGGCGGGCAGCAGGTCGTGGTGGCTGGGCATGCGTTTGGCGTGGGATCGAGTCGCGAGATGGCTGTGGGTGCTTTGAAAGGTATGTAGTACTTTTTCCCCTTGCGCATTTAACATCACCCTGCCCCCTTCTGGGTTTTCCCTCTCCTCCCTTTCTCTCTATTCAATACGAGTCTCTTGCACGAATGATAACGCACAATACCTGACCATCCTGAATCTGGACAGGCGTGGGCGTCCAAGCCGTGATAGCCCGCTCATTCGCCTTCATCTACGGTCGCAACCAGCCCAGCCTGGGCCTCTTGGGCGTCACAATGACGGACGACGCGTTCTACGAAGCGGCCCAGGAGGGGAAGGAGATCACGCTGGACATCCCCGCCCGCACCATCACGGTCTCTGGAAAGACGTTCCCCTTCAAGTTGTCCGAGATGGAGTACAACCTCACAATCAATAACGGCGTCGCTGAGAGTTATCGTAAGTTTGGCAAGGGCATCTGGGAGCGGTTCACGGGTGCGGGGAAAGAAGAGGTCGAGATGTCCATCGTCAGAGCGGCGGTGCAGGGCGGTGGAGAGGAAGGTAAGGTAGTGGATAGGAAATTGGACTGGTAAGGAATGTAGCTAATGATATTGTGTTACCTGTCCCATCCTATAGTTAGTCTCCCCGTTTTCAACTTTTGGTGTGGTCTCCCTCGTCGGACAGTGTGGCTCGCTCCGAATCTTTGATCCGTTCAGGCCCTTGGCCTTCGGGGAAGGGCGCGAACTTGTCAATGAGGTAGTACATGTCGTCAAATGCCCTGTATGAGGAACATACGGTCAGTTCACGCATTGTCCAGAGAATGTGCTCTGACAAGCAACCACGGGGATGGAGACCCACGTTTGACGGACGGCCTTCCCCTGGCCCCGATGGTTCACCGAGTATAATATGTTATAGTAAATGCAATAGAGTCGATTTCGATCGGCCCATTCTTCTGTCGGCTCGCTGGGCTCGTTATAGCGGAGGTACGTCTGTGTATAGATTTTGTGGTGGATCTTGTTGTAGCTGCATCTCCAGTTCCCAATCTCAAGCTCGTGGTGTGCATACATGGCGGCGGCGTCAAAGAGGTAGATGGCCCCCGTCTGGTACGAGGTCCCCGTGTTGCCTTCCCAAAGATCGCCGTGGATGAGGGACGGCTTCAGCACGCGGCCATCTTTGGTGAGGTTATCCAGGAGGTAGGGGACCACCTCGGCAAGAAGCCGATCCTCGAGGGTGCTGAGAGCGTCCCAGGCCCCATTTTCCGCATCGTCCAGTGCAATAACATGACGAAGCAGATTGGTGAAGAACGTCGTCCAATTACTCTCCCAGGCAATCGCCTGAGGATTCCGTCCCTGACATGTCGGGACGTGGAAGCCAAATTTTCCGGTAGGCGAGACACTGGTTTTATGCAGCCTCGCCAATTTGGAACAGAGCTGATCGGGCTCTGGTACGCGATCAGACATGTCAATGAATTCGGCCAGGAAATAATATGTCTCGACAGAGGAGGTTGAATACTTCCCCCAGGTGTATGGTTTTGGAAACAGTTCCGGCATAGTCTTGTATAGCTCTGACATGGAGTTGAATTCGCCTTCGAGCATCACCCGGCCGGCTTCTCCGACGGCACATTTTAGAAAGAAGGTTGCAGGGGTACCATCAGGCTGTTCCACGTCCAGACGGGCGGTCGCCGTCCATTTCGACTGACCACACTTGTTAGCAGACAAGACGGTGGTGCGCACGGGAAAGCAGCTGATGACATTGTCGTCGACAGGAAAGTCGCCCGCTATCGTTGTCGATTGAGGACTCTCATAGTCGACGAGCTGGGACGCAGCAGCGGTCATCTCAAACAGAGTCCAGACGAATCTCCAGGGGAACCAAAGTTGAAGCAACAGATGTTGGGACATAGGTTGAGAGAGCTTTGCGCCAGGCTCGAGAGAAAGACATCGCAGGAGGTCGCATCTCTGAGCCCTTTATCGTTGGAAAGTCCAAGCCAGGGAGGTTGGGTATTGCGTTGCGCAGCTCGAGGGGTAAATTGGTGGTGTCTCGTACTCTCCTTGCTTCGAAGGTGCTAGCCGGGTATGGCAGGATACGAAGGTTGGGAATGCTCACCAACAACGTAATCATCGTGCTCATACATTCCAGCTGGACGACTGAACCAAAGAGGGCCACAGCGTCTAGGAGATATTGTAGCTTCCAGGACAAGTACAGCCGCTCCCAATCAAGTCGGGTATAGGTATGCATCAGCTGTCTCATAGGAAGATGGCTTGTCATGTTGATGTTTCTATATCTCACCTGAATGCCCTTCGACTAGGTATTGAGGCGGATCCTTGCGTGACAACCGTGCACTGACATTCCCCTATGATGTATTGGCATCTGCTACAGTCTCTGGATATGGTAACTTACCTCTGCTTCGTATTGAAAGTTTGAAAGGACTCTAGAGACCAAGAAATCCATGGAGCCCAAAGAAGTAGAAGGTGGCTCGACGCCCATCAGCGAGGCAGTAACTGTCCCATATACAGTCTTCGGGACAAATCAAAAACGGCTGCTCATTGCGCTGCTTGGATTTGCTACCATTACTTCTCCGCTGACGGCCACGATATATTTTCCTCTTCTGCCTCTTCTAAGAGAGCATTTTCACACCACGTCGCAGGCTATCAACCAGACACTCACGATCTATATCATCTTCCAGGCGATCTCACCGGCGATATTCGGACCCTTGTCGGACTCTGTGGGCCGGAGACCGTCATATCTATTCACACTGTCGCTCTACATGGCGGCGAACTTGGGCTTAGCCCTGAACAAGAACCACTACGGTATTTTGCTGGGCCTAAGGGCGATACAGAGCCTTGGTGCAAGTGCAGCTTACGCCATCAGCTTTGGCGTTATCGCTCATGTCTGTGTGCCAAGCGAAAGGGGGAGGATGCTGGGACCGGTCAGCATGGCGTTGAACCTGGGCGCTTGTATTGGGCCCGTGGTCGGCGGATGGGTCGCATATTCCAGCGGCAGCTTTGCATGGATCTTTTGGACACTGGTCATTGTCGGAGGGTTGCTGTTATTCTTGGTCGGGACCTTCTTGCCGGAGACGGCTCGATCGCTTGTGGGCAATGGCGAGAAGAGAGCGGGCCTACCAGTCTGGGAATGGACATGGCTGCGTATTATCATGCGGCTCACCTCGATCTATCTGCCGAGGAAGAATCCAGAACACACGCGTGGGGCCGGGCGTGGATCGTCGCGAGGACAGCTGGACCAGGAGAAACCGTCAACCTACCCGGCGCTCCTCTCACGGCTGCAGGTAGGCAACCCGCTGACCTGCCTGCGGATCATCTTCCACCTCGATACCTTCTTCGTGCTCTGGATGCATGGATCGTTCTACACGGTGGACTACTCGCTAGTCGCCGCAATCCCGGACATATACAAACAGATCTATCACTTCAACGAGTTGCAGATTGGGCTGACCTATCTACCGCGCGGCATCGGGATCATCGTGGGTGGTTACTGCATCGGCAAGGTCATGGACTTCAACTACAAAGCCACGGCCAAGAAGATCAATTGGAATATCGACCGTGTGTCAGGCGACGACTTGGGAGAGTTTCCGATCGAACGGGCTCGGGCCCGCGGCAGCGGCTGGCTGTTGCTCGTTTCCACATGCGGCCTCATTGGATACGGCTGGGCTGTACATTATCATGTCCACGTGTCAGTCTTGCTGATCTTGCAGTTCATGCAAGGATTCTGGGGCACGTGCTTCTACACGGTCTACAATACGTTGCTGGTGGATGTATTCTCACAGAGTCCGAGCACGGCAGCGGCCGCTGCGAGCATCACGCGCTGCGCCATGGCGGCCGCAGGCGTCGCAGTGTTGCAGCCTCTGCTCGACGCCGCAGGTAGAGGTTGGTATTTCACAGTCTTGGGCTTGTGGAGCGGCAGTTTTGGCGGAGTGGCGCTGTGGTGTACAGTAGGGAGCAAAAATCCAAAAAATTAGCAGGTTTACCGAGCGTGTAACAATACAATAGCGAATAGATCTGCGGCTAGTGCAAATAACAGGGTGTAAACAACACGTCACTACGCAATAACTAGAGCGTTTTATTACTTATTAATAGGCTCAATCGATTCCTCGTTATCGGTTTTATATATATCTATCATTTATTTACGCGTTAATTATACCTTCGGGCGGCTCGCACCCCCGAAAGTCAAAGTAAATTCGTATCAATATAGGTACTTAACTAGTACTTAGTATACGCCTAATGGCCGTTGTACGATTAAATAACGTTTCCGCCTCCTTTATAATATAGTAACGATATCGGGATAAAGTAATTATAGCTAGTTTATCGCTAGGAAACGGCGTAGTTCGCGGACGACTAAGGGCGATCTATAAGGAGACTTAAAACGCTATCCTCGAATTCCTCGATAATATCCCCTAGACACGTCGAGATAAGATCTACGACCTCCTAAGAGACGAGTTTAATATATACGTTTATCTAATAATAGTAGAGAGGCTATTAGAAGAGCTATAGATTATATATAAGCGGGTTTCGAGGATTAATATACGCCGCGACGAGGACCTTATTATAGCGTTCTTAGCCGATATAATACGGTTTACGGCTAAATAACTTATTACTCTTAATAAGAGTACTATAAATAAGAGGACTAGCGATCGTAAATTTAGCTAGTCGTCGCGTAAAACGCTCTATAGAGTATATACTTCTATAAGATATAGTACTCGATAGAGTATTCTACCTACGCTTATAATCGAGGGCTAGCTTATCTAGGAAATATTCTATAGCTTATTTAATAGCTAGAGATTTATAAACTTTATAGAGAGACTATTAGGATAAATAAACGCGTTTCTAGGGTCTCGATCGGTACTATTATTAGATAATACTTCTATATATTATAGCGAACGGATATATACTCTCTATCGCTAATACGACGTAATTCTTACCTATTTATCCCTCTATTCGCCTTATCTAAACCTAATCGAGATATCCTTTTATAAGTTAAAGGAATAGATAAGGAAATACCGCGAGATTAGCTATTAATATAAGGAGGAATTCTATAGGTTTATCGACCTTAGAATGGCTAATATTTACTCTATAAAGATAGTAAAGGACTACTTTAAAAAGTACGGTTATAGATTCGCCGTAAGCCTAGACGAAGAGGAACGCGAGATAACGCTAATTAAGGTAGTAATTAGAGGCCTTATTAAGTAGGAATAGATATATCTATCTACGATATCTAAGCGATATCTAAGCTAGATTAACGTCTATAACTAATATTTCTATAGCTAGATCGATTCCTATGAAAGCTAGGTCCCTAGCTAATTTGGCTAGGGATCTAGCTTTTATAGGAATCGATCTAGATCTCGTACTATAGCTAGCTACCTAAGTAATCTATTTCAACACTATCTATTCTACCTTTTATTAACGTTATAAGAACCTCGATTAGCGCTTATCTAGCGCTATTCCGTTAGCGTTTCCTTATACTATTTTATATAATTATTATAGATCTAGTCTATAACGCCGTATTAGACCGGTATTAAATTCTATATAATAATAGCGCGCTTAGTTAACGAGATTAATCTCGTCGATATTAGTTACTATAGAGAGCTCTTCTATATTTAATTCCTCGTTTATAAAGGTCTTGAGGTTCTTCTTAATCTTAGTAACGAATCCGCCGTCGATATTTATACGTTCCTAGGCGCTATTAGTAATATTACGGAAGTCTATAAATCCCTATCCCGCCTCCTATAGAGTCACTTTAAATGTATTAAACTCGTGTCTATAGGTAGGTGTTACGAACCGACCTTCATGCGGCCAGACAAACCTGGAGCAGGAAGGGAAGGTCAGGCGAGGGAAACGTGATATAGCCTCGTTGGCAAGGCTGATCAACACGTGATAACCAAGAGGGGAAACAACCCGTTACACTCGTTGCCAGGTTACATAACGAAGGACTGCAATAGGTGCAACAGTGCAATACCTAGACCTACCTAGATAGGAAACCTACCTAAAGTATATAGTCAGCTAGGGACGCTTCTATAGGAAGTATAGTCAACCTCAGTTATAAATAATCGAGTTATTCTCGGTTTGATCGCTTTGCGTACAGCTATATACTATACTCTTAGTTTCCGTCTCTACTACATTGAGCCCCATATTACGAGTCGCCTTACAACACGTGAGGTGTCAACGAGCAAACCCGAGGTGGTTTACTTAGTAATATAGCAGTAGGGCTCAATATAGTAGAGACGGAAACCAAGAGTATAGTATATAGCTATACGTGAAGCGATTAAACCGAGAACAACTCGATTATTTATAACTAAGGTTGACTATATAGAAAGCTATAGACTTGTACTGAGACTATATAGATAAAGGAGATTCGTATAGATCTATATAGCTCTACTTAGCCTTAGGAGCATAATAGAGTATGCCGCTCTATATAGCTCTACTCAGCCTTAGGAGCATAATAGAGTACACTACGTACCCTAGCTTATATCGTTACTCCTTTCGGCAAACCTTCTCTCTTATTCTTATACCGTAGCCGTCCTTTTTAGCCTATTCGTAACACTTCCCCCTTCCTAGCTTCTTTATCGTCCTCGATATACTTAAGGTAGACCGCTTCCCGACCCTCCTTCCTTTGTACTACTTTCCTTTCGCATAGCTAACTATACGTCTTTAGTCTAACCGTGTTTCTAAACCTACTCCTCGCATCTCCTCTACCTAACGTCGTAAAGCCGCTACCGAACGAATCTAATCTCTCGGTCGCTAATTCTTTAAAATAGGCCGGTATTCGAACTATATTACCTCGGACTCTCCTTATTAGATAATAGAAGGGTAGTCGATATATAGTATATATCGTAGCAAAAATAAGAAAGTTAGCGAATATAATAGATGTTTTTCGGTCTTCGATTTCGACAGTCTCCAGGATCAACGCGAGCGAATATAGCGTAAGATAGAGGAAAAAGATAGGCGGATAGGGGAGCTAATTACTTCTCTAATATTAATCTAACGTAAGAAGGACTAGTTATAATAGTAGATATAACACCTTCTTAGTAAACAAAAAAGGATATTATCACGAGAGTTAGAGACCCTAGACGCTATCGATATAGTATCGGCCTCGGACGACTTATCGCGTTTTGCTTTTGCGTTAGACCCTACTTTAGAACCGTCGGTTTAATAAATAGTCGAGTTCGAGGGTCTCTTCCCTATCCTTAGTGACACTAGATAATCCGCTCTTTCTACTTCAGCGAATCCATAATCTACTAGTTTCGTCTTTTTATTTCCTTATCTCTAGATATCCGCGCTATTCGGATAAGATATTAGTAGTATTCGATAATAAGTGGCTTCGGTAAGTCTTCCTTCTTTTCCTAGGTTTGTATTTCCTAAGTTAACTATCGTACTAAGTACTTTGTTAGTAATAGATGCCCTATACTAGCGATTAACTTTTCCGGAGTTCTACGTTCTACGTATATCTCTATAAGGTTTTTACTTTAGAGGTACCGTTAGACTTCTTTAGGTAATAGGTTCTCTACGATTTCCTACGTATTATCTTCCGAGTCGTACCTTAACTATCTTACTAGGTAGACTAGTTTAAGCTCTTCGATTTCGGGTTAGTATTTAATAATTTTGTCAATAAAGAAGTTATTTCTATTAACTAGTAGCCCGTACTTCCGGTAATACCTCCGTATATCTTATTTATCTAGGTTATCGAGTAGTTCCTACGTATTTTCTTCCTTTAGATATCCCTTCTACTTAATTAAGTAATATAGTATCCCGTCTTATACCTCACATTTTTCGATCCTCTCGATTTCGTACCTTAGTTCTTAAGTCTCCGAGTCTATTTCTATAGGTCCTAGTGTCGTATCCGGGTTCTTATATAACTCGAGTCTATCTTTGTGAAATATAGGATATATTTTCAAGTTTGCCGGTAGTTCAACCTCGAACGTAACTAGTCCTAACTTTTTCTTAATACGATAGGATCCGATTTTTATATAATCTAGTTTATCGCTTAGTCGTTTTATTTTGATATTTTTTCGTCGTATATAGACTATCTCCCCCTCTTTAAGGTCTAGTCCCTTAGATCTTTTCTTATTTTCTCTTATTATTGTCTTTTCTACTATTCTTTATAGTTCTTTTTATATCATTTTATATAGTTTCTTAATATTTTCGATTTATATTTTTACTTCCTCTAATATTGGTTTCCTAAATTTTGATTCCGTAAACGTCTTTAGGTATTTCCTATAGTTTACGAAGAACGGCGATATTCCTATAACGACTATACTATTATTAAATACTATTTATACCGTAGATAGTAGCTATACCTAATTATCTTACTTATAATTGACGTAGTATCGTAAGTATTGTTCTAGCGTTTAATTTATTCTTTCCGTTTATCCATCCGTCTATAGGTGGTACGCTATCGATAATTTATATTCCGTCCCTAGTAGATCCGTAAGGGATTACTAGAACTGTAACGTAAATAGCTTATCTCTATCTGATATGATTTTATCTAGTATTCTGTATTGTACGATTATTATCCTTATAAAGAGGTATACGAGATCTTTTACTATAGCTTTTTCTATAAACGATAGTATATAGGCGTACTTCGTCAATCTTTCTACAACTACCATAATATTATCGTATTCCTTACCCGTAAGGGGTTCTTTAGATTTCGGTAGCTTTATAATGAAATCGATCGTTATGGAGCTCTATAATTTATTTAGTGTTTATAGTACTATTAGGAGTCTATAAGGCCTATACCTTTCCTTTTTTATTTTCTTATAGATATCGCATTTTCCGATATATTCTTCCACGTCTCGTCGTAGGCCTTTCTAAGTGAAGTCCCTCGTAATAAGTTCTATTATCTTTACGATTCTAGGATATCCCGTAAGTTAACTATCGTATCTTTATTATAGTACCTCTTTCTTTTGTTCTTCTATAAAGTCTATATCTATAACTACTAGTGTGTAGTTATGCCCCCCATATTATA